TTCGAGCCGTTAGTGCTCGAAGCCTTACGGAAAGGGGATCGTTAATATCCCTAAGTATAGCTAGCGAACTATAAAGAACGATAAAGCTATCTATATATTAATAGGAAACGATATATCCTAAACTCGACCCGTCTATGAGTAAAGATCTACTAAACCCTATATAATACCGTAGCCGTCGGCTATCCCGGACGCACTAAGATAATAGCTCTAGTCTATTAAAGCTATTAGTTTTCGGAGCTACCCCGATTTATAGCCCGATAGGTAAGGAACTGTGATATATATAAGAGATCGAAGCCCTCTCGCGAAGCTTACTAGGGCTGGCTATAGTCTCTAGAGCCTCTATAACGATACTAGACCGATATCGCTATAGATTATATCGGGCCTCTCCCCCCGAGTATATTTCTAGATATTACCTATCGATATGTACTCGTCGTTACCGATAGACTCTCGAAGATAAGACATTTCCTACCTACTATTAGATAGACTACCGAAGAAGCTACTAATGCCTTTTATTAGTATATTTGGAAACTTTATGGAACACCGGAACGATAGGTGTCCGATAGAGGCACCCAATAACTATCGGAATTCTAGAAATATCTCTACTAACGTTTAGGAATCGACTCGAGACTCTCTATAGCCTACTACCCGGAGACTAATAGACAATCGGAACGAAATAATCAGTCCTTAGCCCACTACCTTCGGGCCTACGTCAATTACCTATAGAACGACTAGGCTCAATATCTCCTAGCTACCGAGTTTATAGCGAATAACGCCGAATCCGTAACGACGGGGATCTCACTATTTCTAGCCAATTATAGCTAGAACTCTCGGATTGGGTTCGAATAACCGTCCGAGGGCCCCGACCCCGTCCCGGAGGTCGACGAACTTGTACGCAAAATGAAAGAGCTTAATAAGTACCTCTACGAATCAATACTAGTCTCGTAAGCTATCTACGAGAAAACGACTAACCGACACCGACGACCTACCGAACGATACTAGGTAGGCGACAAAGTGTACCTCGACGCCGAGAATATCAAGATATCTCGACCCTCGGTAAAGCTTAGTAACGCTTCGATAGGGCTATATAATATATCGAAGATCTATAACTCGAACCCGTTAATCGTCCGACTAGACCTACCGGACAATCTTAGAATTTACTCAGTCTTCCACGTTAACCTACTAAAAAGAGCCGGCTCCGATCCTCTTCCTAGCTAGGTAACCGACACTCTAGACCCCGAGGAAGACCTCGAGACGGGCGAAACGTTCTAGTCCTGGGAATCGATTAAAGACTCACGTATTAATAGCCGTCGTAAATAGCTCGAATACCTCGTAGAATAGACTGGAGATTAGGAAGATACCTAGGAACCCTAGTATCTTATTGAACAAGATATACCTAACGCAATAATAGCGTTCTATCACGCCTATCTAGACCGCCCAGGACCTTATGAAGCGCCCTGCCAGAACCGGAGATACTGTGTGAACCCCTACCAGCCGCGAATCTATACGGCTACCAGGTCTCGAAACCAACGCGTCGCAGAAGCTCCGCCTTAGGCGGGGGGTACTGTTACGGTACCACCCCGAAGCCCTCGGATTGCGCCGAACAGGAAAGATCTGGCTAGATCTCACAACAGGAGAGATCTAGCCAGATTCCACAACCATCAAGAGAACAGGTGCAAGGCTCTGGTAGAGCCTTACTATAACTCCGACACGTGACGACCCCACTAATATCGAACCCCTTGCAGTCTACGAAGTCCTTACATCCGACTATTGAAACACCCTTATATTATACTAGGCTGCTTTGCGACAATCGAGGAGCCTAGACTACTAAGTAAGGGGGGATATTTCACTCGGAAAGGTATATAGAACTCGAGAAGAGCCCGAATCTCCCTTCGAGCTCTTTGTCTCTCGTCTTGTACTCTACCGTGCATCAAGATAGCAATATCAGGACTCTCAAGCCTCCTATACACGTTCGAAGCCCTCTGAAGCCCTTCAGAGTCTTTTCTCGGTCCTTATCCCTGACAGTAGGCTCAATCTCATATTGTATACTTCACTCCGTTCTTCTTTATCAGTACTAGTTCCTATAAGGCGGGTAAAGCCGGCAAAGAACCATTCCGCTAGGATATTGATCGAGTCGGCGGTCGGTCTTATTTTTTTCTTGTCAAGCTTAGGCTTACTTATAGCGATATAGAACCGAATAAAGTCTTCGACAGTGGGAAGATTAGGAGTAGTTATATCCTACCCTAGATATTGACGGCGGGCCGTCTCTTTATCGGGAGGAGATAGGCCTTTCTGGGCGTATTCTTGTCTTATGGTACGAAGACGCCACCTAGGGCCGAGTCATAACCGGGCTGCGAAGGCTGTGAAAGGGAGAACGTAAATGAGGAAAGGGCAGGTCTTACAGGATATAGCGTCGGAGGGTAGTATCCTAGTTCTTCTTCGTCTTCGCGATATACTTACCTCGGCCATAAACTTTATCGGCCTCTCTATATGCTCCTCGCTAGTAACCGTTAGCTTCAGCACGAGTAAGTAGTAGTTTATCCGCCGTGAGCTCCTACTAGCTCAGGTGGCTTATAGCGACTGCGGAAGTAATAAGAGTTTATAAATTCGGGGTGGGAGGGTCGAAATAACGACAATAGTAGGATCGTCCCACGAGGGGCCCGTATTCTGGAGGAGGAGGAAGAAAGCTAGCAGTCCGAAAGAGTAGGAAGCGGGTTTTGTACTCCATCGTTAGGAAGGGAGAGTCGCTGTCCGAACGAGGGAGGGGGACAAGAAAGTGGTCGAAAGTCGAAAAGGCCGTAGAAGAGGAAACGGTCGGCGCGCCGCCAATTTGGGCTCCTAGCTGGCGCTGTATGCGGTGGAGCAGGGTCAGGATGAAGGGTGAGTGTGAAGGTGAGTAGAGGTAAGTGCGCCGAGTGAGGAGAGGGCGAGTCGTTATAAAAGCGGCACGCTCGGGGTGAGTCGCACGTGAGCTCCGCGAAGTTTTTACTCATCTTGAGCCGCCAAGCACGACCTGAACGCCACATTCCGTGGTGGTTGATTCATAACCGACTCTGGGCTTCGAGTTCTCTGTGCTTTTGTACCCAGCGATGTGCGTTCAGTCTGTCCACCACGTAGCGGCTACATCAAGATGAGTGGACTTGTCAGCTACGAAAGCAGTAGCGATGAAGAAGAGCAGATCCTCCCCAAAGCCACACCTAGTATACCATCCAAGGGAAAATCACCCGAGTCCGCAATTCCAGCTGATGACCCCTCCAGTAACGGCATCAATAATGCATTGCCAACTCTAAAATCAAGCGAGCGGGCAGATGGGATCACAAACGTCGACAATGGGCCAATGCTGGGTCCCACGAGGCCCGCTCAAATACACAACGACGACGATATTCTTGAGCATCAGGACCCCTCGGCAGAAGGCTCCCAACAACACATGTCCGAACGCGAAACTATTCACTTGCTTACACAGGCCACCCATCCCATGACGGCTATTCCGCCCTCGCCCCCAGGATCGCCTGATCCGGCACTCGATGCTAAATTCAAACACTTTTTGGAGCTCAAGGCCAAAGGTGTGCATTTCAATGAAGACCTCGCGAATAAGTCTACGTTTCGCAATCCCGGGTTGCTGGCTACGATGATGGCTCGAGCCGGAGTGGAAGGCGATGACCAGTACAGAACTTCTCTGCCACGGGAGGTCTGGGATCCTTTGGGGTTTCCTCCGGTGGCATACAAAGAGGAACTACTGCGAAGTCAGCAAACCTTACGCGAGCAGGAATCCAACAGCAAGAAAAGCCTATCAGCTGCTGGGAAGAGAACGATCGAGTTCACCTCAGGTGGTCTGTCTGGCACATCCAGCAGAGAGTCGACTCCCGGAACGGCCAGCAAACGGAAACGACCTGGGTAACCTGTAGGGGCTGTTGTTACATTCTAGAGCAATGTCGGAAACCCCAGGAGCTGGATCGATCAGCAACAACCCTGAGAAAGAAGTTATCACGAGGCAATCCTTCCAAAGGCGGGACCTCAGCTTTGAAGGAGCAATACGCTGGCGTATGCGGAGGGTTTGTCATCTCCCAGGGCTTTCCCAGCAGTTGTAGTCATGAGTCCCAGGCGCCTCCAGGTGGTAGAGGAGGGTTGGAGGACCAATCATGGGCGGTCTGATATCATGTGTGTTGCCAACTCAGTTGCCTCCGAGGTCATGCATGTGCTTTAGCCTCCCAAGGAGGTCAGCGAGAGCAGAAGCTTTTTCTGAAAAACGTGGAAGACGCTCACTCCAAACCGCTGAATGGCCACCAAAGAATCTGGTCGGTGTGAAAGGATGTTGATGCTGCACATAGGTGCCTGAAACGCGGAGGTGATTGGACTGAAGCGAAGCCTAGGCCAGGCCAATCACATGGAAGGGACTGGGTGTGCTCGGGTTCCTGCAGCTGAAACGATCCGAGCGTCGAGCGTCGGGTCGAGGTGGAGGGGGAACTCTGGCGATGTCCAAGCAGAGAGATGTCCTGTCCCCCCCCCTTGATGAACCTTGCCCTCCTCTTCTCAGCAATACGAGTAGTTGAAGCAGGGGAAAGGAGTAAGAATTCCACGATTGGCATCGTGCCTTGTGCCAGGGGCCCTGGTAACCTTCGCTTCGCTTCTCGGATTTTCAGGGTCCAGAATCTGATCGGCGCCGGGACGATGGCCACAATAGAGCTTGATGATACGTGAAGGGTGCAGCGTTAGGCCGTTAGTGTAGACGTGGTTTTGTCAAGGAGGAGGGCCGCGTCGGTGGTGTCTCTTTGAGCTTGGTCAGAGGGTTGGTTTCCAGAAAGCGGCCCGGGGCACGTTTGTTTCAAGGTTCCCGCGAGTGTTTGAAACCAATTTGCCCAGATTCCGGTCCTTGCACACTGGTGTACATAGCAGGCAGCGTAAATGGAGGAGGTCAAGCGTTGGTGAGTGTGGTGCACGAGCTTTGGAAGAGAGGAACTTGCAATCGAACACGCTCTGACCGACAAATGACGGCTGCAGATCACCCAGTTCACTGTTTCAACCTCTATCCTGGATGGAGATATTATTTCATTAGGCGAGGGTGGAGGGACAATCTTTGGGTGCCTGATTGCGTCTTTGGTAGTGGCTCTGCTGCAGTCCTTTTGGCTGCTTTGGCTGTTGTGCAGCCAAACGAGTGGGAACTGGTGGGAACGGGTGGCAGCCAGTGGCCGTCGGTGGGCAGATTGGCAGGCAGCTAAAACTCCTCTCCACCTCCACGTCTTCTTCGTATTGTCTACCATCCTGGAAGGCTCAGAAACTGGCAACTTTGTCCACGTTGGCCTCCCTCACGGCCAATCGCCTGCTTCTGGGCGTGCCTCCCGGCGCTTACGGTCACACCTGAAGCTTGCCCTCTCCTGCACCCGTCACTCGTTCTTTTGTGAAGCAGCACGAACAAATCGACTCCCGACTTCGACGCTGCCTCCGTTAGGCTCTTCTGCGTCCTCCGGAGAGAGACGTCGTCCTTGTTCTTGCGCCGCTTCGCACAGCTGGCCTGTCAGCGGTCTCCAAGTGTTTCTCCTCCGTTCCCTTTGCCAATGATGGGCCAAAGTCTAAGAAGCAACCCCCCCATTCCCTATGCAGCCTGATCGATTTGCCCGAAATGTCCCAGTCGACCGGCGACACACTTCCCCCTCAGTCTCCCCAGGATCGTTTGGCTCAAACAACCGCTGTTGTTTCAACCTCCTCGCTGGCCAGCCCCCATTCGTACATTCTAGCCTCCCGCAAACCACAAAGTCCCGCCGTGCTACAGGGTAGTTTAATCCCTCGAGACTACCTGAGCTCGTTATCCAGCTCGAGGTCCCCCCCGACCCAGCAGCGCCCGTTCGAGGAAGAAGACGACGACTTGTACGGGGCGCCGCTTAGACCTGATGGTTCTGGGAAGAGACACGGTAAAAATACAACGGAGGGTGAGGCTGCCCTGACACGAGAAAAGAGCCGCGGCAGCACCGCGACGCCCACCGACCAGTCGTCAAGCGTGTCATCTAGATCTCATAATCAGAAGGACCAAGGTGTTACAGCTGTCTTTGAATCCCCCAAGTCGTACGCCTCTCCGTCGACGAGCGTGCACCCCCCGAACAAGATGCCGCGGACATCCTCCATCGATTCCGCCATTTCTAATATTTCCAATGTCTCGCATGCTCAAAAACATTTGGGGGAGGTCAAGGAGCCCACACGAGAAGAGGTGCACAATCTCATCGCCACCGCGGGCTCTGCGGAGAACCTGATCCAGCACCTCTTGAAGGATAAAGTTCACGCGGCGGCTCAAAATGCCCAGCTGTGGAAACTTGTTGATAAGCAGCGGGCGCTGTTGCTGGGTCTGAACAAAGACCTCGAGCGCTTGACGAAAGAGAGGGACAGATACCGGAAAAAGGTCAAGGAATTGCAGGCTCAACCCTCGACGTCGCAGGGAGACCGCCTCCGGCTGGAAGAAGGAAACTCCCCTCAATCTGATGGGGAAGCGTCCCTTGCCTCACGGCTACCTGACCCGGGGGCAAGCTTGAGGACAGAGGACCTGACGCCGAGCAAGGGCTTTACCAGTATGCAAGTGCACAGCTCGCCCGTCGATGCCGCTATGATGCCGTCGCCGCTGCACCTACAACAACAAGCACCGAAGATGCAGAGCTTAGCGACACAGCTTGCACAGCCCTCGTTTGCCCTCACCGAGGCGACTCCGCTCACCGAGAAGCCACCGAAATCATTCCAAGCCTCCAGGAAAGCACCGCCCAAACCTCTTGATTTGCGCCCTGCGAAGGATGAAATGCCAGCTCATCAAGTAGTTGTCCCGGCCGAGGCGATTGTCAGCGGCGACGAAGATGAGGAAGGGCGGGAACCTGTGCAAAGAGGGCGACGGAAAACCCGAGAAGAAGATGATCGAGACCGCGAACTTCTTGCCCTTAAAGAGCAAGAAGCGCGAAGTCGATCCAAAAAGGAGAAGAAAGCGAAGCCCGAAGCAGAAACACCCGCAGTTCTTGATCAAATGCCTCCTCGCCAGGCTGTCGCTGAAGCCGACCAACCCCTACCTTTGAGACAGGATCACCTCTCGCCTTCCTCGATAGCGTCAGGCTCAGTGGGCTCTTCAGCCCAACTGTCACTCCCTTTGCGAAGTCCCGGCCTTCCGATGAGCCCTCGTCCCATGATGGGGTCTGCGCTTCCCATGTCACCACGCGTTCCTGGAGGCAACTTCCCGCTTTCACCCCGTGCGCCCAAGATGCCTTTACCCATGCCAACAACACCCGGCATGCAAGCACCCAATCCCCAGGCGCTGGCACAAGCACAGGCAGCTGCAGCTGAATCACAGAAGAAGACCGGTCCTTCGTCGCTTTCGAAGATGAACACTGCTACCGGCGCTGAGTTGGAAAAGGGTCAAATTTACGACTCTCCTCTGAGCCCGGGTGACGTGCCAGCAGTGAGCCGTGGGCTTGTCGATCCAAGCTGGCCTGACCTGCTTCTTCCTCCAAATGCCTTGCCCTCTGTTCAGGTTAAGGTCGCCTCCTCTCGTTTGCGCCCCTCGAGAAATAGCATGCTCGGGCTGAGGATACCAGAAGAAAATGCCGTCTTCAGCCTGTCGGTTTTTGAGCGTGCCACGTCATCTGAACTTTGGCGCGTGGAGAAAATTCCCACTTCACTTCCGTCCCTCGAACAGCAACTGAGATCTCGCTGTTCTGACCTACCAAGATTACCTGACCGAAAACTCTTTTCAGGTCATTCACCTGCAGTCCTTGACGCGAGAAGAAATGCAATTAATGATTATTTCGAAGACCTGCTCGACACTCCTATGGATGAACAAGCAGCTGCCGTCATATGCCGATTCTTGTCGACAGACGTGATGGAGCCACAACTCACCGTTCCCTCACATAATACTGAGGATGCACAAAGTAGACAGACACCACAGTCGCATTCCGGCATTCCTACCAAGTCCGGATACTTGACCAAAAAGGGGAAGAATTTTGGAGGATGGAAGTCTCGGTATTTTGTTCTCGACAGTCCTGAGTTGAGGTATTTCGAAGCCCCTGGTGGAGCCCATCTCGGCACGATCAAGTTGTTGAATGCCCGGATCGGCCGGCAAACGCAATCGGACCCTTCAAATGCAGAGGTCGACTCGGAAAACCAGTATCGTCACGCCTTTCTCATCCTAGAGCCCAAGCGCAAGGACATGAACAGCCACGTTCGACATGTGCTTTGTGCGGAAAGCGATGCGGAGCGGGACGAATGGGTGGAGACGTTGCTACATTATATCGACGAGAGACCGATGGAACCCAGATCACAGTACGGAGCGGGTGTTCAGTCATCACACGCCAAGGACGTCAAGGCGTCTCAAAGACTGGGACACGAGGACGCAGAGTCTAAGTCGAACGGAAGCCCACAAACGCATAGCAACACGCCTTCTCCGTCTATCGCGTCTAGCCAGACTCCGGAGCTCGTTCAGGAACCTGTCGCGGCCTCCAAACCGTACAACATCTCGGGTCCCATGAATGGTGCTGTCATTTCGGATGCTGGAAGCTGGGGCAATAAATCTGCCAGTAACAGTGGCAGTAAAGAGCGAGAGCAGAAGAAGCGCAACCTCTTCCATTTCCGGAAGCCATCATACGAGCAACTTGCTCCTGTGCAGCCATCACATCCCAAGAAATCCGACGTCAACGTTCACCGAGGTGGGCACGTTAGACCGGTGTTCGGAATGCAGCTCCAGGAGGCAGTGGAGTACTACTCACCTGTGGATGTGGAGGTCTATCTTCCAGCCGTGGTGTATCGCTGCATCGAGTTTCTCCGAGCCAAGAACGCCTCGAATGAAGAAGGCTTGTTCAGACTTAGCGGGTCGAACATTGTGATTCGACTGCTTAAAGATCGGTTCAACACGGAGGGAGACGTTGATCTGCTGACCGAAGACGAGGATTACGACGTACACGCCGTGGCGTCGCTGTTCAAAACATACTTACGCGAGCTACCGTCGACGATCTTGACTCGCGAATTGCATCTCGAATTCCTGAAGGGTCTCGAGCTGCCTGAGAAGTCACAAAAAATTGTGACCTTTAACCATCTGGTGCACCAACTGCCTGGGGCGAATTTCTCACTGCTGCGGACGCTCTCACAGTATCTGCTCGAGGTGGTGCAGAACTCGGAGCGGAACAAGATGACGATTAAGAACGTCGGAATTGTGTTCTCTCCGACTCTGAACATCCCCGCGCCGCTGTTCGCCTTGTTCCTGACTGATTTTGAATCGATCTTCGACAAACCCACCGACGGAGAGTCCATTCGATCGACGGAGATAGAGCGTGGGGAGGGAACCCTGACGCCAGAAGACATCCGATCGCCGCGGCGGCAGATGTTTACCGACTTACCGACGCCCATGTACAATCAAGACAGCTTTGCACACAATGCCCGGGCGCCAGGTGGCATGCAAGCGAGTGCACGGCCCGAGTATCCGCATGATGCCACCAACGATCTTGGATTCGCGCCGATCCAACCGTCGTACGAGTCTCGACAGTATGTGTCGTTTCTACATGAGATGCCCATGAGCGCACCCAGATACCCACCACCACAGCCCCCCAACCAACATGGACGGAGCAGTCAATACGGGGGATCGAACAATATGATGGCTCCGGAGAATGCAGCGAGTGTCAGGGCACGACGCCGCGAGAGCTCGATGCTGTTCATGTGAATGCAGATGTCTTGACTTGACGAAGTTTCAACTGGTGGAGGAGTGATGAGCACTTCTCCAACCATTGCTGGATAGTTATTGTTGTCTTTCATTTCCCAATACCCCATTTTGCAGGCGGGAATATTTTCGTGCGGTGTTTTTCTCCCGGAAAATCTTTCTGCCCTAGGACGAGCATCTGAGCGAATCTAGCTGTTTTGCACTATCTCGAAGAGTGGAAGGGGGGCGGGGACCTTCTTCGCCATCATGTCAGTCACTTAATGAGAGCCTTTTGAGTCGCTATGAAATTTTGGGGGGCATGAGCGATGGACGGACGAAAGGGACACGAATGTGAGAGCGTTTTAGTTATTCAGGACCTGGTGAGGAGATCATGACCTCAAGCACGGGGTTTTTGAACAGGCTGCGAGATTTGGCTCGTGAAGTTGAGAGATGAGCAGTCCATAGATCCATCGACCTGAACCATGGTCGCATTGCCCTTGTTTGCGATTCTTCCACCTGGCTGCTCCGATCCTCTGTCTCACAATTCATCCCTTACTCACAGAAGCCGATCGATCGATCAGCAGAGTGACCGCTAGTGGTCGTCGTCGCGGCAGCACAGCGACTCCCCATATAATTCTCTTTCGGTAGAGTTTGGAGTGACCCGTTGATGATAGCCCCTGGCCTCGCCGAGCATGGCCATTCTTTTCTTACCTGCCCATCGTGATTTAGGTTCGCCCGCCCCGAGTAAGATCTTAGTCAGTCTGGATTGGTCCGGGGTAGCGAAGTCAGCAGTAATTATCATTATTTGACTGAAGCGACCAGGAAACCAAAAAAGGGGCTGGCAGCGGAGAGAAGGCCAGCACCCGAGTTTGATGCCACCATGTGCCTCGTACTATTATGTATTATTGATTGCATCGGATAAGGCACCCGGTTCTACAAGTTTCTACCAACGTGCGGTCTCGCAGACCTGAGAGAAACTGTTCTGTACTAGGTACTGTGGGTGGCTGGTCGGCCACATGCATTTTTGAGATCGTCGAGCGGACGTTCTTTCTATTATTTGTGCAACTACTGTTTCTCGTACTCCATTCAACGTCCCAACTCTGGCTGCATTGGGAGGACAAGTTCCCAATCCAATGAATCATCCCAGCCCCTTGCTCTTCCCCTCGCTCCTCCCCTGAAAATCAGCCCGCTGTCTCCAACCTCACCAGCCCTATGCATTAACGCCCGGGCCCTTAGGACTCCGTTGCAAGCTCCCATTGGCCAATGCAGACCTGTTTCGGCGGTCCGACTCCACCGGGCGGCCGGCGCTAGTCAAAATATAGTACTTTGTGGGTGCCGGGGTCCGTAGCCCGCGCCAGTCAGCAGCCTCCTAGGATGCCTTGGTCGTCTCCTGGAGCAAGCCTCAACCTCCCTCGTCTCTTTGTCCACCTGGTTCTGGTAGCTGAGCCTGATCTTTTGTCGCTTCTGTCCTGTGTTGACCAAAAAAAAATAATCTTTTTCGACTGCCTTCCTAGCTTGGGCTTGAGTTCTCCGTCGAATCAGGCCCCTCCCTCTCCGCCACTCTGACTTCTTGAAACTCATGGCTGACTGACCCGTAGTCGCCGAGGGCAATTGTTCGTCTCTTGGCTCCTGGTGGTGAGTCAGGTGGCCTGCACGTCCCATTGAGCGGTGTGTCCAACTCCTGGAGCCCAGGCGGCGCAAGGGATACAAGGCGGGACTTGACAGGCAGTCCATTGCATCCTCAATGGATTATGGATTCAACGCCATGTCCGCATTGGAAATGCCAACTCATACCTGTTGGGCCTCTCTCGACTGCGCCGATCCAAAAGGACTGTCAAAAGAAGTGTCAAAAACAAGAATGCGGTTAGTCGGATCATCCTTTCTTCATGGGGTGCAGCTGTTAGACCCAACTTTTTCCCACCTACCTACGGCTGGCCCCACCCGCCGTAAGCGAATCTACCGGTAGCCTCGTCCAGGGGGGCCCTGTGTTATACTTCGATTGCATGGCACGTCGCGCTACGGAAGTATCGAGCAGGACAAAGGAAAGCCAATGGGTGCCAATGGGCTCTGTGATTGACACTCGCTACTAAAAAGAGTAGTCAAGCCCCTCCCCCTGCTAGCCCTGCTCGGATCCTGGTCGTTGTTTACTCGACCGCAGCGACATGTGAGACGAACGACAGAAAATATTTCAAGACACGCGAGCCCCTGCCCTCTGTCCTCTGCCCTCTGCCAGGTCCGGTCCTTCCATCTTCACTACCTGTCCCTTCCTTTTTTACCACCGTGGTCACCTGGTGTTTCTTCGGTCGCACTCTTTTCTTCTACCTTTCTTCCCGCACCGCAGTTTAGTCATGGCAGACGAACCCTCTTCACCCAAGGACATGCCCCAGGCGACGGCCACTGAGGCGCCTGCAGCCGACACCTCGTCACCGCCTTCCATCTCTAGTGGCGAGAACAACAATGAGAAGGCTGCTGCGCACACGACCACCGCTGTCGACCTCGACCGGGTCGGTGAGACCGACGGCTACCTGCTCGACGAAGCCAAAATTCGCGAGAAGCTGGGTCTTGCGCCCGATGTGGCGCTCAAGAAGTCCAGCGACGGCAAGGTCTTGATTCCCCAGCCTACCGAGGATCCTGAAGACCCCCTGAACTGGCCCAGCTGGAAAAAGGCAGCCATCCTGCTGGTGATTGCGGTCAACGCTGCGACCTCGGATTACTCTGCCGCCACCGGCGCAAGTGCTCTCATTCCTCAAGCGACACAGTGGCGCATCAACCCGAATGAAGTCAACCATGCCACGGCCGGGTACGTCTCAATGTCCCCTGCCCCACATAAACTTTGCGTTAACATGTCAAAAGTAACACGTTCATGCTGGGTGTCGGCGGTATCCTGACCGTCTGGCTCTCGGCCTGGATTGGTCGCCTTCCCGTCCTCTTCTGGTTCGGATGCCTTTCTGCCGGTACCGCGGCGTGGTCTGCCGCTGCGAAGTCTTTTGAGTCATACATGGCGTCCCGCATTTTGAACGGCATGTTCGCGGTCGCAGGTGCGGGTGGTGGTCTCATGTGGATCAAGGATGTCTGGTTCTTCCACGAGCATGCCAGAAAGATCAACATCTGGAGTACCGCCATCATCTTGTCCCCCTTCCTGGGTCCGCAGTTCATGGCCGCCATTCTCAGTGTGAGCACATGGAGGACGGGCATGTGGCTCAACTTCGGCATCATCATGCTGGGATTGGCCTTGACTGTCACTCTGGGTGACGAGACCTTCTATCCAAGACATCTGATGCCGGACCGAGTTCCCAAGCGCAAGAACCGTCTTCTCCGCGTTGTTGGTATTGAGCAGTACAAGACCAAGTACACGACCAACACTTTCCTCGAGGCGGGCAGCCGACTGGGCTACACCGTTCTCAAGTTGCCAGTGTTTTTGACCTGTCTTTTCTACTTTTTTGACTGTAAGTGGCGTTCTCTCCGGTGTTAACAGCTCAGACTAACCTTATGCAGTCCCATGGACGATTGGAAACAACACAACTATTTCCGTCTTCATTATTCCTGCATACAACTTTGACTTCCGCAACCTCGCGGCCGTCTACACGGCACCCGTCATTGGCGCAATCCTCGGATTGGTCATCGGTCACTTCATGTTCGACTTCATTGCCAGAATGTGGGCGAAGCGCCATAACGGGATCATCGCCCCCGAGAACAGACTGGTCATTTTGTGGCTTGTGTTGCCGTTCAAGCTCATCGGCTACAATCTGATCGGGTCGACCCTGCATCATGCGCCCGCGTGGTCTTACTGGGTCCTTGTGGTGGGATGGGGAATGCACAACTTCGCCACGATTGTCACCACTTCGGCGGTGGGTGCGTACTTGCTCGACAGCTACCCTGAGGCTGCCGGCGAGTGTGCTGCCCTGCTCAACTTTGCCAGAACACTAGGTGGATTCATCATCGGGTATGTGTCGATACTCTCACATTCCATCCCCATGCTAATGTCATCAATCCAGGTACATCCAGATCAACTGGGCCACCAAAGCGGGCACACAGACGGAATACGGTATCCAGAGCGGCATCATGGGAGCCGCCTTCTTCTTGGTCGTGTTCCTGCAATTCTTCGGAGCCAAGTTGAGGCATGCACAAGGACCGTTGAACTTCAGGACTTACTAGGTTCGGGAGACGCGGACCTGGCGAAGCATTAGGGTCCGTGGATATGATATGGTGGGATTATGATCGACGTTGGAAAAGAAGGGATAGCAGACTGCATGCATTTAGCTTTGTCGTAGTTAACAGATTTACTGAGTGCATCCCATCAAACACACATATCCCAAGAAAATGCCTCGTGCCACATGCCTCACAGCGTCGCTTAATCACCCGGCGAGTCCGGATTGGCCGGCCGACGTCATCCTGATTTGCGGCCCGGGATGCGGCGCTGATTGGCCAGGAGCTTCATGGCCCTTTGCATCAGAAACAAAAGCTCCTCCACCTGCGATAAGTTTTCTCTGCTTTACTTTCCGCCCACCACGACCAGGAACGTCCTCGAACCCGAAGTCTAGTTGTTGTTTGACACTCCGCTGCAATGTCGCTGGCCAGGTCGACTCGTGGCGCTCAGGTGAGAACCGGGGTCCCTCTCCCAAAGCTCCCCTCAAGTGCTAGCGATCTAACATGGCTTTTTTTGCTTCTTCCCACAGGTGCTGTTCCGTGCTGCTCAGCGGGCAGCCAGGCCCCAAGCTGGTTCGCCCTTCCTCGCACGATGTGAGCATATCTCTCGACCGTGGTCCCTGTCCCTTCGATGCTAATCTCCTCGTTCCCGCCTCTAGCCTACGCAACCGTCGAATCCGACATCTTCAAGCCTACGAAATATGGAGGGAAATACACGGTGACATTGATTCCTGGTACGCGCTGGCCCTCGAGCTCCGCGGTTGGTGAGAGGTGGTCGTGCTCACGCGTGGAAACGTGCAACAGGTGACGGTATCGGTGCCGAAGTTGCCGAAGCTGTCAAGACGATTTTCAAGGCCGACAATGTCCCCATTGAGTGGGAACAGGTCGACGTATCGGGCGTCGACTCGGGCGATAAGCACTCGGAGGACCTCTTCAAGGAGTCAATAGCGTCGTTGAGGCGGAACAAGCTGGGGCTGAAGGGTATCCTACACACCCCGATCGAGAGATCCGGCCACCAATCCTTCAACGTGGCACTCCGACAAGAGCTCGACATCTACGCTTCGGTGGTGTTGGTCAAGAACATCCCCGGCCTGGTGACCCGGCACAAGAACGTCGATCTGTGTATCGTGCGTGAGAACACTGAGGGCGAGTACTCGGGTCTAGAGCATCAGTCGGTGCAAGGCGTGGTCGAGTCCTTGAAAATCATCACCCGGGCCAAGTCGGAACGGATTGCCAAATTTGCCTTCTCATTCGCGCTGGCCAACAACAGGAAGAAGGTGACGTGTATTCACAAGGCCAACATCATGAAACTGGCCGATGGGCTGTTCCGGAACACGGTCAAGAAGGTTGGGGAGGATTATCCTAGCTTGGAGGTGAACGATATGATTGTCGACAACGCTTCGATGCAGGCTGTGTCGCGCCCGCAACAGTTTGACGTAATGGTCATGCCCAACCTGTACGGAGGTATCCTTACGAACATCGCGGCGGCGCTGGTGGGCGGGCCCGGTGTGGTCCCTGGTTGCAACATGGGACGAGACGTTGCGGTCTTTGAGCCTGGCTGCCGACACGTTGGTCTCGACATTCAGGGTAAAGACCAAGCTAACCCCACCGCCCTTCTGCTGTCGGGCACCATGCTTCTCAGACATTTGGGTCTTGACGAGCATGCCAACCGGATCTCACGGGCGGTGTACGATGTGATTGCCGATGGGTAAGTGTAGATCTCCCTGAGGTGGTGAGTGAGAGACTAATTCGTTCACAGCAAGGTGCGCACGCGGGACATGGGCGGCGATGCTACGACGCATGAGTTTGTCCGGACCATTCTGGACAAGATGGAAGCCGAACTGTAAGATGTGATATTCGAGCTGGGAGTGATGGAGGTTCTGAACACGTCGACCGTGGCTGACTGAGGGTGCACATGCAATTGCTTGTTACTTTGATTAACACTGATAGCCCAGCATTGAGTTAGAGATGGAATCCTTATGGGTTTCTGGGGGTCTGCCTGCTGATCCGCAACGTCCAACTATATCGTACAGACGCACCAGTGATATATGCGTCCATCTCCATGTTCATCGCCTTGCGTTCCGTCATCTGCTTGTCCTGCCCTCTCATTGCTATTCCTCCTCGGTCGGCACTTTATCCACTGGGGTCCAGCAGTTGATGTCTGTCCGGAGGAGTAGTAAGTATGATGTATCCCACCAGCCCAGACACACCACAATATACTTGTACCCCGTAATTACATGCAGAACAATTCCAATCGGGCCGAGCAGCGCCTTACTGCGTCGAGGTGTGGTCTCTTGAGTCTTTGATCATGTTAAGCTCGGCAAGTCCCAAGGCAATGCCAGCACTGAATGCCAAACCTCGGTCCAGCACGTCTGTACCGACCGACCCGACAACCCACAACGCAACCCCACACTTTTAGGGGGGGCGGAGAAGACCATGTCAGTGTTTACCAGTCAACAACTTTTGAGCCATCTAGCTATCTCATCCTGGGTAAGACGAGATGACAGAGGCGCTTGCTTGAGTGATTGATTGTCTTTTTTATATAAACACCGAAAGCACCGCCCGCTCGCTCACCCGGGGGTTTCTGCTTTCTGCTTTGGTCTCAGACGTCTGCTAGTGAGTGGTGTTGGAGCTATACACACACGGTATTACAGACAGTTACCTCCTACTTACTTGCTGGACATAATATACACACACATATACTGAACACACACATACATACATACAACATAAGGAAGAGAGGGGAGAGGAGGCTTATCTGTTCTCACTTTTCATCGACCACACACACACACTCTCTCTCTCTTTCTCTCTCACTTGATTCTACCGACTACTCACCTCGTCACAAATCCATCGCCACCCCCCCATACAACAAACATGTCGTCCTCATCCTCCTCCGTCCCCGCGCTCAACACACCCCTCACCAAGCTCCTGGGCATCAAGTACCCGATCATGCTGGCGGGCATGGCGCGCACGTCGGGCGGGCCTCTGGCGGCCGCGGTCTCGAACGCCGGCGGCATCGGCACCATTGGCGGTCTGGGGTATACGCCGAAGCAGTTGCAGGAGGTACGTGCTCTTTTTTTTTGATTGGATTGAGTGATTGAGTGATTGATGGAGTGAGTCTTGAACTCTTGATTTTACTCTTGCCCGTGTCTGTGTTTTGTGCGCCGGGAGACAGAGTATGAAAGAATGTTCAAGGATGGCGCCGCGTGGACTGGGGACTATAGATCGAGCATGAAGAAGAAGAAAAGGGGGAGAGAGACCCCTGGCGTATGGAGCATGGCGCATGAAGGAAAAGAGGATGGAAGATGGAAGATGGGATCCTCTCCCAAAGACTACGCTCTCCTGCTCTGCTGTACCCCTTGGATTTGGACTGACACGTCTCCTTCCTCCCGGTCTAGATCATTGACGACCTCAAATCCAACCTCACCGACCCCTCACTCCCCTTCGGCGTGGACCTCGCCCTCCCGCAAGTCGGCGGGAACGCGCGCAAGACCAACCACGACTACACGCACGGGCAGCTGGACGAGCTGATCGAGGTGACGATCCGCAACGGGGCCAAGATCTTCGTGAGCGCGGTCGGGGTGCCGCCGGCGCGCACGATCAAGCGGCTGCACGAGGCGGGCATCCTGGTGATGAACATGGTCGGGGCGCCCAAGCACGCCGAGAAGGCGCTGCAGGCCGGCGTCGACATCGTGTGCGCCCAGGGCACCGAGGGCGGCGGCCACACGGGCGACATCGCCAACAGCATCCTGATCCCCGCGGTGTGCGACGTGGCCAAGAAGTACCGCTCCCCGCTGACGGGCGAGCCGGCCCTGGTCGTCGCCGCCGGCGGCATCTACGACGGCCGCAGCCTGGCCAGCTCGCTGATGCAGGGCGCCGTGGGCGTGTGGGTGGGCACGCGCTTCGTGGCCGCCGAGGAGAGCGGTGCCAGCCGCCTGCACAAGGAGGCCGTGGTCAGCGCGGGCTTCACCGACACCCTGCGCACGCTGGTGGTGTCGGGCCGGCCCCTGCGCGTGCGCCTCAACGACTACGTCGCCAAGTGGGAGGCCCAGCCCGAGCGCATCCGCGAGCTCACCGACAAGGGCATCGTGCCCATGGCCTACGACCTGGAGCGGGAGGCCGACATCGACGTGCCCTTCCTGATGGGCCAGGTCAGCGCCATCATCAAGGACATCAAGCCCGCCCGCCAGATCGTCGAGGAGATGGTCACCCAGGCCGTGGACATGTTGAAGCTCGGCAGCACCTATATCGAGGCCGGGCCGAGGAGTAAATTGTGATCTGGACAGGGTGATGAGGAGGACGCGTGGGTGAGGTCGTCTTGGGGGACTTCTTTTGCCGCCGTGTGAAAGCGATGTCATGCCTGCGGACGGATGGACTGATCTCTTACCGTGGCAGTGAGGTGTCTGGGCAGGAAGAGGGATGGAGATCGGCTACTTGAAGTATCGAGGGCTCACCATTATCAGTATCTGCTTCCATGGTCGTGGAAAGAAAATGCTTCATGCGCATTAGCTACCAAACAGTACCTCGTACAGCTCGCTCAATCCTTCCTAATCCCTATGTACGCCGTCATCATCGTCTGTAACCCTGTGTCGACATAACAACCTTGCCGTTGCCCGTGTTGGTTTGGTTTCGCCTTTTGTAGTCCCCGTGCCCCTTATCTATGCTCTCGTATCGTATACAATTGAACACAGCGATTGACTGTTCTTGGTAAAGATGGATCGTTCTCGTTGCTTGTGCAATGGTGTCCGGCAGTGCTGGGTCAACCAATCTGCGAAGTCGTGTTGTTGCCCTTGTACACGGTCCCGTGGACCTTGACACTGATCCCGACGGCAATTCCCACGGCGGCTCCAACGATGATCAACCCAATGACAATCTTGACCAGCAGACGCTGACGTGGAGTCAACCGGGCAAACAACACGCATCCTCTCTGCTTCGGTTTTGTCATGCACTGCTTCTCTCGCTTCCAAAACTTGAACCTATCTCTGGCCGCCGAGTTCTGTGCGTCTTTCTTCTCTTGGGTGATGGACGGTGAAAGGTTGAAGGTGCCAGACTCGAGGTCATGGATAGAGACCTCGATGGGGTTGCCGGGCTTTTTGACGTCAAAGGACGGTCGAGGGGAGTCATGGTTGTAGAGGTAGAAGGGGGAGGTCACTTTGGCATTGCAGCAGGGATCGAATTCTGACTTGGGCTGTTGCTCAGTGAGCTCGGTGCCTTCAACGGTGGGAGCCATCGTGGCGTTGGTTCAAGTCTGGAGAGACTGATGCAAGTCGGAAGAAGTGCAGAAAGGTAGAGATGTGGTCTTTTGAAGCCAATGCTCCTGAAGGGAAATAACTGTAAAAGTGCCTAAGGGCGAAGATGAGGGTTTCAGAAGCCCATGTTGAACCGAAAGCGTCAAGTCGATGAGGGTGTTGTCTCGGGACGTTGGGAGGAAGGGTGTGTTTGGTGTCTGCGTTTGGTCGTTTGGTGGTAGAGGCAGGTTCAGGTGTCAGGTGCCAATCTGTCAAGCTGGATCCTCGAGGAAAGGCAGGAGCGGTTGCAGGGGAGGTCTGGTTGGGTCAGTTCAGCAGGGCAGGGTCATGTCAAGATACTGCCACCGTTGAAGGACACGCGTACGGCCGGCTGAGAACTGGGAAGTCGTACGAGTCGGAGGCGTCGAGGAGAGAGAGGGAGTGGGAGAGAGGCTGGTTCTGGGGATTCACTTTTCACCTTTCACATGGGCCGCATGGGGAAACCTACGGGGGCAATAATAATATATTTGGGGCGCCATGATCCATGATTCTGGTCCCGGATGTGGTGTTTGCTTCGTCAGCCCACCGATTGGAGCCGAAGCCCAGTGCAATCAAAGGTGTCTAGGCTGCGTACCGCTTTGACTGGACAACATGGAAGAGGGCTGGTACCGGAGATCAACAAAAGACGCGCCACAAGCTGTTCCCCGTTGACACTAGCGGCGGCCCCATGTCGCTAGTGGTGCTAGCCTCCGTTCCGACTCAAAAGGGTGTTTCGCTCTAACTATGTTGAGTCGTCCACCGACTCAGGTCACGTGAATGGTCTGCCTCCTTTTCTTGAATGACGTCTGAGTTGGTGGAAGGCACGATTACAGTCAGTCCAGAGAGGGACATGGCCAGGAGCCAAGGTGTTGCCAGAAGAGGTAGCTCTTTAGCATGCAATTCAGCAACGCATAGATCAGGAAACGGATGAACTGATAAGGCTACAGTTGAGGCTAGTGAGGCTGGGAAAGCCCGTCCTATCACCACTGCCAAAGGATGCTGAGATTACACGGATATTGTGAGGGTGCACTCGCCAAGGTAATGCCCAAGAACGTGAGAAGAGTTGTTGTTTGCTGTTGCCTCGCTCTTACACGATTCCCTCAGCCATGCCCTATGCCAAGATGCTCGCCACCTCGTCCATGACATCGTATGTAGCAAGGTCATAAGTGTATCTCGAAGTGCAAGAGATTGACCGGTGTACCTTGTCAGTACAGTATCGTTGCATAGATTTCAGTTCGCTTGGCGTGGCTTCGGTCTTTGTTTCTAAACAAGCCCCGACTTGGCGGATTCTAGGCACAAACTCTGTTCACATCACGTATCTGGTCCCAGACAGGTTCTTGGTAATGTTGTTTTATCCTGCAAAGAAGTTCTGCCTCTGTTATCTCATACGAAGTGCTGCCCCTAGTTGATTCAGATGCACATGAAGGGTTCAACCAGCTTTACAGAATCCACATCCACAGGTCACTATGCAACAACGAATCTTGCCCTTCGACCACCGTGCCTCTTCCACCGTTTCTGCCCCCCATCAAACTCTTTGACAAAGAGAAAGAGCGTTCAATTTCCGTCGACGGAAGTCACAGTAGGATTATCAGTGGTGTATGTAACCTGGTGGGTTGTCCTTGTCTGCCAAACACTGATTGTGTAGCTGTCATTCGGCGCATGAAAAGTGTAGTCATAAGTGTCCGTGTAATTGAATGTCAACTGATAGGTCCATCCGATGATCTACTCCAATCTGTACCAGGTGATACCTGTTATTTTGCCAAAGTCGGCACTTGTCTTGTCTGAAGCTCCCGCAATCCAGTTGCACTGTACGCCCTTGAAAGACGGTCCGCTGGCCTCGACATCATGAACACATCCCCCTTCGTTCTCAGTCGTCCCATTCAAGTCTACGGCTCTATAGTAAAACGTCTTGCCATTGTCAGACTTCTTCGCGGTTCACCCCTCAAAGTCGCCCTGTGGGGTCCCTTAGGTCCTGATCGTTGGAGATCTCGGCCATGGTGAAAGTCGTATCCAGTAACAGTGATGTCTGGAACTCGATATGTTGCGAGGTTGAAGATGGATTGGAAGATTGGAAGTGGTTGAGCACAACCTTCTTATGCTTTTTATGCGACATCATGTTCATCGCTTTCTCCTCGTTCGTCCGGCTGCTCTAGGACATCACCTTCTCGTTGAGCAGCAGCTGGATATCTCGAAACTGGAATCTCTCCCGATGAATTGTAGACGCAGTGTGTCAATGACATATGCGAGAAGGCATCCACTCGTGACAGTCGAAACGATGGCACTCTGTATTGGATCACATGCTACCAAGCAGGCCACGTACTCACTCACACCCTTCTGGCCCAGTATGGCAGGTCTGCAGGTCTGAACTAATGGTGCCAATACGACATAAGCGGTGAATTGTCTGCGGATGAGATATAGGCCAGACCATCGGCCACGTGTTCATCACTATCAACCAGTAGCCATCAGTGGCATTGGTCAAGGAACCTATTTAGACATACCGACCTAGATTCCCCTTCCAAATCGAACAACTCAGTCGTGGCATCCTGCGTCCAGCTTGAATTGATCTCGTAACAAAAGGGCCACTTTCGCCAGCGGGTCGAACATTATCTTTGAACACTTCAGTCCTGACTAGAGATCCATCATGTTAGAAGTACCAGCCGATAAAATCTCAGAAGGCAACGACGTTGTCCCGGAATCTGCAATTGCAGGGGGGCCGGGAGGACACATCCATACTCCTGTTCATGAGACTCTCACACTAGCTGCTCTGATCATCAGCAGGTACAATGTGACTCAAGGGACTACCTTGTTCAGTGCCAGTAACAGTGATTGGGGAGTATACTTGGGAACAGTGTAATTTTCTGCTCTTCAATGACAGTTCTAATGAGAATCATGAGTACTCAACAGGACTCGAATGGGGTTGGAAGTACAAACAGGGAGCATCGCAGTGGGCAAATAATGATTCCCAAAAAATGAAAAATCCAACAGGCCGTTCTCATCCGGGAGATCTTCAATTCCTTCATTGTATGGCATCTACGCCTGGAGAGCTTCCTACAGAAACAAAGCCATGTTCATGAAATGGCTTGAAGTTTTGTGGAAGCTCGCCAATGGAGAGGACGGTATTACTCCCGACACCATTGTCAGCGCCACAGGTCTCAGCGAGTTCTGTCCAGATTTTTCCTCGCCGCCTAATTGGAAACCACTGAGCTATCTATTCGCCCGTGAGTCTACATTCACTGGTGTAGATATCCAGCGGTGAGCACTGGGTAGCATATTCCACTTCATTCAGAACTCGTATGCCTTGGCGCACACAAGACGCACTCTGTTGAATCCACAAAACAGAGCATCCGGCAGTAAGTGAAAATCATATGAGCCACAGGTTACTGGTCTAACACATTCGTCAGAGCCACTTCGGTTTCAACCAGGGATTGCCGATCGATGGGGTGCTGTCGAAAGTTTTCACGTGTACAACAGGCAGAACGACGACCTGCACTCACTCTATGATCATTCCAATGTACCGATCCCGAGTCCGACAAATTTGAGCAATCTGGATCAATTCAATGGCCTCATTGGGTGTCGTGACGCCGTCGATAAATGCATAGATCTCATTCAGCTGAAGCAAGGTGGTAAGACCTGGAATACCGGGGTGAGGACCTAACTTGACACAGTCGTGTTTCCAATCTCGCGGACGCCACGCAGGCGAACACTCAGGTATGGCCGTAGTTCAAAGGGCTGGACAATGGAGCGAAATGGTCGATGTCGTGCAGGATGGGGTCATGTAGAGGCCATAGTAAGATCTCATCTCGAGTCCACTTTTACATGAATGCGCCCCCAAATTACTCAGTGTATCTTGCGGCCATCTCATGCCACACCAGATCGTTCCCCGAGAGTGACCCCGGGTAATCTTCCGTGTCGAAACTGAACAATGCTGTCTTTCTGTCGTAGTTCCAAGTTCAGGGATGGGTCTAAATTACTGAGGCGTACGTTTGTATTCACCTCGTGTATGCTGCTGTTATGCATGGATAGCGCCGCCCACCGTTTTCGTTTCACCTCTCGGCAGCACTGCCCTTGCTTTACAAGCGAGCTAAAACATCGGACTAACAGTCTTCATCGTTGGGTGTATCGCGCACCTGCACAGAGCGGGTGGTGCGTTCTACAGGCTCGACTTTTCTCCTCCAAACGTGGACCGACTGAAGACGAGCACAGTAGTGTAGAACCGAAACGGCAGCAGAATTTCAGCCACAAAATCTCAGCTGAGGAAGCTGCTACTACCCATCTTCCGAGGGGTCCTTGACGTCCTCGAGTCTGGATTATATCTTTTTTCCCTTCGTCGTCCAGCTATTTGACTATGACCATACTGACGCAGGCAATCGACTGGATATCTCGATGAGCTCAAAACGTGGCGTCTATTACGGTCAATGGCAATATTATCGGTAGCACACGATGCATCACGCATGTAAGGGACTCGAACTTCATCCTGATACAGGGTCAATATGTTCTTTCTATTGATGAGAAGCAAATACTACAGCAGAAGGGCGTCTTGATCCAAGAGTACGTTGCTGAGTGCACGTATGTTTGTCGATACAAGCCGGAAGATCTCCAGACGTTGCGTTCTTTGCCGTTCCTTTGGACTACCGATATGTAGGCTCTCCAGAGGTTGCCTCGGAGTGGATCGATTCTATACAAGCTCGGAGGGCTAATCAATGATCGACAGCTACCATGCACAACTCAAGGCGACCAATTCGTTGAAAGACATTATGCAGAGAGAGGCCGACCGGACAAGTTATGAGGTGAATCAAATACTCCATAATGTCCCCAATATGACCTCGGCAGCCTTGGCCTCGTCCGTGACACAGGCGGCGGGAGTCAGCGTAAATGACCTGGAGATTATGCCCAATAAGACAAGGATCACCTGTCGTGACTATGACATATCCTGATCCGCCCAGTGCTCTTCTGTAGAAAGATGTGAGCCTTATCGTGCGTGCCGATGGTGTTGAGAGACATGGTAACATGAGTAGTGTTGACGGAGTTGATCATACCAGTAAGACATACTGTTGCATCATGCACCAGGTGCTAACTGAGGTGCAGACAACGTCGAAAAGGTCATCTGGGACAATGTCCCTGGTACAACCGCCACGGTCATTGTGCATGCCAATGCCTTTACTATACCAACATCAGAACAGACATTTGCAGTGGCATGGGACATTCGTAGCCTTTGAAGGGGCTCTCTGCACCAGATGCAGAGTACCTTGTTAGGAGAGCTGGGTCAACAGAGCCATGTTGCAGAGGCAAGCACAGGACATCGGGTCGTGATCTAAGGGAGTGCGACGGTACTGGTGGCTGTCCAATGTCCTTCATGAAAGGGATGGGGGGTTAAATTCGTATGGGGGTCGGGTCTATATAAGCAGCTTTCTCTGATTGGATCGTGCTTGGCCGTATCTATGCGGGGGGATCCACTTCAGTATGATCGCTTCCTGGGAGACTACCGCAATAGGGTCTAGAGCAGGACGGGACTGTTGGCGGGGATTGAATCCTGGCAAATGTTGTCTTACGGAAGGAGCGGTTATGACAGACCCTGGCAAGCTGTTGATTGCTGGCCAAAGAAGCTCTCCACCCTCTCTCTGCCAGCGACGTTGGACTCTGGCGAATCTGTTAGTTTTTCTTGCTCTTGGTGGGAAGAGTTTTCCATCCACACATAGCGGTTGCCGGGCAGTGCTCTGCCTCATCTAGCCCAGGTGTTGTTATGGTGGGTCTACGTTAGCAGGAGCGCCACAAACTGACAAAGCATTCCAGGGCCCATCCAGCATCCAGCAGCCGCGTCGAGAACGTTCGTTCAGCCTTACTACTTACCTATTGGCCCAACCTCTTCCTGTTTTGTTTGTTGACCCTCCCTCAGCCTCGTCTGTGCCATCCTCGTATTATTCCGACAGAGCAAGGAATTGAGATGGCAAGCATGTGCTCGAGACCACACCGCTTGTCGTGCTCCCGGGGAGACGCTCAGTCGTGTCGAAATTCCAGAAGTCCATCCGTACGCGAAACGCGGATATGCATGAAATGCGGCAGGCGGACGGCGTGTGTCCGGTGCGGGACTTCCCACGACAGGACAGGGCGAGATAAGACGCGGGCTGTACATAGAGACCTCGACTTCGTAGGTTGGGTAGGTCGAAACCAACCCCTGTCCCTCGTCCTCAAGCGGTTAGAGCCGGCAGGCTGCCATCCGACCTCCCCTGGGGCCGAGACTGGGGTTTTACAGGGTTTGTATGGCACGCGGAACGCCACGAGAACGCCGCGAACGTTCAAGACGACATGATCCGCACCGGGGGAAGCGGGTTCCGTCGTGACAGCATGCACGTACCCCAGTGTTGTCACCACGCTTGGCAGGGTTGTAGCTGGCAATGTCCTTTGTGACCGGTTTTAGTCCACAGAGGGGGAAAGAGAAGCACCAGTGGCTGTTCCTTTGAATCTTTTCTTTTTCTCCTCCAGCGACAGGCCCTACACTAGAGGTGAGGCCCCACAAGGGTATATGAGAGCAGGCCCTCCCCCCTCGTGTCCAGCCTGATGATGCCCAGAATCATTCTCTGGTGATTCGGCTTTCTCTGGCGTCAATTTTGTAAGGTCCCGATTGCTACACACTTCTTGCTTGTAGTGTGAGCATTGACATCCATTTCGACCCTTGGGGCCCCCTTCACTCCTTCCCCGGAGCATGTTTGGCTGGGACGATACCGCGATTTTTCCAAAGGGAATCGTGTGAGATCACTTTCGCCTCGAAATGAGTACAACTTCGTCCGTCGACCCACGCAGGCGGCCTTCAGGGGACGATCCGGCTGGTGAGGATAGTTGGGACCCTGAGCTGTTTGATCTCGACCGCCTGTTGAATGATGATGATGACGAGGAGGAGCTCCGGGCAGGTGTGGTACATACGGGATTGACGACGTCGTATGTCCCTTCTTGGACTTGCCGGGAGGCTTTTCGAGAACTATATCAAAACTGGTACTGCTTCATGATCCTGGCTCTTGCTGCCCCTTGCTGACGTTCCATTCCGCTAGGAAGGACGCCATAATTGCATCGTTTGAGCTTGACCCAAGGTCTTTTCGGCCAGTCTTTGGAGAAACCCGTACAGAGATTCACATAACTATCCGCAGAGAGACTGGACCGTCTTCAGAGCTTCTGGGATTCATCCGCTACAACCGCAAGGCTGGGTTTGTTGAACTGACCAACTTCCAAGCGCGAATGCAGCGCAACGACTTGGGCTTAGGCAGGTCTTGTAAACGGGATCGCGACGAGCTTGCCGGGTGCCATGGTGAGGGGTTCAAAGTGGCCGCTGTGGTGTTGCGGCGCGAGGGGCATTCTGTTCGATTTGCTGCCAGTGAGTACTATTGGAGCTTTGGGCTGAGTGGACGCTACCGCACGAATCTTTACTGTCGGTTGACATTGGCCAAGGCCGAAAGGATCGAGAAAAAGAAGTTGTACTACGCAGTTCAGCGTGCGAAGCCGAACTTCAAGAGGGCTCTTACATCGAATATCTGGGAGGATGTGTCCGTGAGAATCGGCAAGGGCAAAAACAGTTCTGGACGCCCAGTCTCAGAAAATGATTTTCGTTCGTGGCTGACAGTCTCGATCGATCTCAACCCGCCCTTGCCCGCTGACATCGTCCAGACTCCCTCCGGCGATCTGATCCTCGACACCCGCTTTGCAGGGCACATCTACCTCAAGGGCTTGAAGATCGAGGGACATTCTATTGATTATGTATTTGGGTATAACTTCGCACGTGGATCCGTTGGCCGTGATCGAACCCACATGAGCAAACAGTCGGAGGAGACCCAGATCCTCGGCGATATTTGGGAGCAGGCCATCCTGGCTCGACGGCCTGATGTGATCGACACCTACATCAAACTTCTGTGGGAGCAGAAGAAATGCCCCGAAGTTGCTTTGGCCAGTGATAGACTTTCACAGTCGTCGGCGTGTGTGGTTTGGAAGCGACTGAGGATAATGGAGCCTGATGCCTTCTTTTACTGCGAGGTTGATCCTTCAGAAGACACATCCAGACCTGATGATGATGCCGGCAAGATTGCCCTGATCTCAACCGAAATCCGCAAAAAGGCCGTCGTGGTTTCGCGTGCCTTATGGGCCTTATTGAGAAAGTTTTTGCTCGTTCGGACGCCTTACGAAGAACGCCTCCGCTTGTTTAAGTGGTCAAACCCGATAAAGGCCGATAGCACACCTTTCGGTGCCAACGTGCTCCGAGCCCTCCTAGCGTCATTGACTTTACATCCAAAGCTGAACGACTTGCGACTTCTATTTGTTGACGGTGGGGGGACGGATGTCGACCTGGCTTATAACAAAGAGGCGAATTGGGTACAAATCCACGGCAAATGGTTCAATTTTGAAAAGGTCCACATGAATGGCTTGTGTGAGGCTTTGCGGTTGACAAACGGCCGGTATACTGGCCAAGAGGCATTCTTTTGTGACCATGCTGCAGAAGACCTTTTCGAGTGTCTCCTTTCCATGACGGGCACCTCCCTAGGAATCACCACCCTAGGCCATAGACGTCTGCGACAAGCCATACGTGAACAGCTCGCATTCATGCCTCGGATCGTCCGTGCCACACCAACTGGTGCAACGAATGAACTCGAGGTGCGCTGGCTCTCCAACGAAGGCGGTCTTGTGTCGGCGACCTGCAACAGGAATATCTGCTACTATGTCACCCTCCACCGGGAAAGCTCGTGTCTGTTCAGGGGATATCGGACGGTGCATGGTCTTGAGAGCGGTGTGTATAGGTTGATGTCGCTTTGTGTGCTTGACGTGATGCTCACGCGAAGACAGACAACCCCTCGTCCGATGACCATCCCTCACCACATGCGTTGCCCATTTGCTCAGACATCACCACAGATTGCGACTGCCCGTTCCAGATTGTTCCCAGGACTCTATCACGAGCCACTTTCACCGGTTTAGACCCCGGCAAGTTCTATATCGCGATGGTTGCGCGTGAGGAAAGCAGGTCGTTTTTCGCGCTGGCGTCAAGATCAGCGACATTTCGAGGGCTTCCCCTGCATCCAGGTGTTACAGAGAGCCCTCATGTGGCAACTAGTGGCGTCAACGGTGGCGAAGGGGCCCAGCGGGGTCGGGACCAGGATACAGTCAGTCCAAGACTCGAAGGGCTCAACGAAGATATTCCAGACAGCAGTAATCGAGTCACCAGCAGTGATCTCAAAGCATCAGGCCAACAATCGCGGAGGCCACTCTTCTGGAAAGGCGTAGCGGTTGGCTGGAAGGTTTTGAATGGTCAAGAAGCGTTCAGAAAAGATGAGGCTGAGTGGCAACGGTGGCACACTGAGGATTTGGCAGGCGCGTTTTCAAAACTCCTGGCACCTCGAGAAAAGCATCACACAGTACGTCGAGCTTCCTGCGGCCGTGAGCTGAACGACAGACTGATCTTGGATTTGCGACAGCCGACGTTTTACCCAGTGGCGAGCCTTGAGTGCGCCCACTTGGACTTTCATTTCGTGAAAGACGAATACGCCCTCATCCGTCTCGGCGGTGACGGTTCCTCGGAGTATGTCATATTCATTCACGAGATCTCTTTCTGCGAAGAAGGACATGAAACCGCCACCGCATACCTTCTGGTCACCAAATATTCGAAATTCTGGTCGTTCCATGCCGATCTTCAGCCTCCCGGTTTGGACAGTGGCAATGTGGTCGCAGATCAGCTAGAACTGTTGCTTCATTTCGCAGACTTCAACAAAATGGGCATGCGGGATGACGCCGAGGTCATTCGGTTGGACGATATTGTCTATGCGGCTGATCTGATGGCTTGCTCCAAGACTGGTCCCGGTGGCGTAGAGCATGTCCTCCAACCGCCTTCAGGTAAGCAAAGAATACTCTCGACATGGCTCTGATGGACGGCTGACGGTACGAATCTTCTTATTCAGCCGCGGAGGATAACACTGTGTTCTGTCGTTTTGCGGTCCGAGGGGCGACGTCAGACGAGCCAGTGGCTTGTTGGACGCCCCTGGCGTCTCACCTGCTGCAGCGGCGTGATCGCTGGCCGGCGCCACAGTTCATCAATGCCTCGAGGCCTTCCGTCGTCGACTTCACGCCGGGTATCCTGGGTCCGGCCGAGGGATTTTCGCAAGCTGGCTTTGATATTCAAGCTGCGTTAGGTTTTGACCAGGAGCGCCATTTATCATGGAAGGCATGCATAATCTAGCTCTGCAGATCCGATTCTCTCATTGACCTATTAGCCAGATACGACACGCGGGGAGCCAAGTGTTTGATGGGCCACCGAAAAAAGTCCTCGACGACATCTATTCTGAGCAACTACGGCCCCCGTCGACGCCGAACCCTGCGCCGCCGAATATTGCACTGATTGCTGGAGGAAACGCACCTTTTCGCCTGAATGATGAAAATGATGCTATGCCATCCACTGAGCAGTTTGTCTCCACGCTTGACCTTGTCAATATCGCTGTTGAGAGCCCGGGTAAGCCAGACTTTCTGGTGATGCTGAGCTCACCGGCTGTGCTCCATGGATCAGTAGTATCGCGATTTTTGGCGACCATAATCAACCTTCTTGAGCACAGACGGTCCGTCCACATGAGGCTCTGCCATCTCCAAGCGTACGGGCTTCCGCAAGCACGGAGCGTCCTCCTCTTGGTAGCTTCTCCATTTTGCGCGCCACTTCCCTGGTATCTGCATTGGCCCTCCCTACGTACACCACCACCCATCACGCTCCGTGATCTGATTGCTGACCTTGATTTTGACAACTCTCGCATGGGAGCCGAGCAAGAGCGGGCATTTGTGTGTTCACCGCCTCTCGAAGGTGAGCACGAAGATCGCAGTCGCAATGCATGCCCAGGGCATGTCTACAACCATCAAACAGGGCGGCAGGTACCACCATCTTGCAACATCTCTCTGCAGTGGGACACTGACAGCCTCGTCGCCCTCTCCTGCAACCCTCTGCCACGGATGCATCCCGGTAAGAGACCTCAGAAGACCCTTCTCAAACTCTCCTGTGGACTAACATTGCATCTCACAGGACGCAAAGACCTTCTCACTGTGCGGGAGTTGGCTCGACTCCAAGGTTTCCCTGATGATTTTGTCTTCTACCAGTCCACACCGAGGCAATATCAAGATGTATGGGCGGCTTTGCCTCCAATAATCAGCAAGCTCTTGGGAAAGACTATTCTTCACACTATCCAGGGCTCGCTCAGGGCTAGGGTGGACGGTCGTCTAGAGGGTTCACGGGTTGCAAAAAGAGCGAGGGAAGAACGCAGTGAATAGACGCCTCGTGTCAATCCAGACCGACGCCAGGACAGAAAATGACTGGGTGATCGGAGATGGAGGAAGAAAGACAGCGTGAGACTTGGGCATTTGCTCACTTTTGGGCACGTCGATGCCTTTGAGGTTGAGCAACCTGGGTGAGGTGTCTGATGTCGTCGGTATTGAGGTCGATGGCTTCGCTGTTGCCAAGTTCAGGTCGATGCCAAGCCTGCGGGCCGGTGACGCTGAATATGTGATGAGCTCCATATAGTCACATAGTCTATCTGCAGCTTTCATTCCACTTGTCTCTTCTAGCCCCTGTCGCACGGACCTTTGAACCTAAACGTTAATGCCTTAGAAACCTGTGTGCATATACGGATACCCACCACGGAGTGGATTTCGCAAGCCCACAATTCCAAGTGAGGGGGGAGAGGAGCACAAGCCAGGTCGCTGTCAGCGGGAACGGCACGAGGCTGTCACCCTATTCCATCCTATAGAATCCTACGGCATTATGCGCCATATGGCCCATATCCTCAGCGGGAAGGGCTGCTTCATTGCATACTCAACTATCCCCGATCCAACACAACCGAGGCTTACGGCAAGCATCTCCCTAGGAAGGAACGGAAGGTACAGAACAGAACCCTGCGTTTATCCAGACTCTCTTGTTGTCATTAACCTAGGTGTGGAATCCCTCGGTAGTGCTCGGATATCTGGCAGACAGACGGACTCTCTGCGATGGAAGGCGAAATGGGTGCTTGATCTGGATAGGGAACACACTAAATAGCTTTTGGAGAACGTAAGGCTAACCCTATCAAGGTATCTCGCGAACATGTATGTACTGTAACACCATCCAATGCCAAAGGATACCCACAATGCTATGACTCTCTGAAGAAATCTTCTCGCACAATATGGCTCTTGTCGCACATGCCCCGGAAGATGCCGCCTGCCTCAAACAGATTGATGGGAGTATCCAGTTCCGCAATCCTTCCTTGATCCATCACGCAGATGCGGTCATAGTTGATAATGGTCTTCAGTCGGTGAGCAATGCATAACACCGTCTTTCCGGCAAAACCAGTTCGCATGGTTCGCTGAATCTTCTCGTCGGTCTCAAAGTCGACCGAGGAGGTCGCTTCGTCACAGACGATAATCTGCGAGTTGCGGACCAGTGCTCTGGCCAACGCCATCAATTGCCGCTGGCCTAGCGAATAATTCAAGCCTTCTTCATCCACGGGACTATCGAGATGGATTCGGCTGGCTCCCGCTGGTGCGTTGACGTTCGACGTAGATGTGGCTGCGGTTTGGGCGGTATCAGGACGATCAGCTTTCTCTGTGGTGACCATCTCATCTCCCACGAGATCCGCCTTGCGCAGTGCTGCCCAGAGTTCCAAATCTGAATGCTCGTTGAAAGGATCAAGATTAGACCGGATAGTGCCTCGGAACAGCGTCGGATCCTGCGGGATGATGGCTAGTCGTGACCGCAGATCGTATAATCCAACAGTTGAAATGTCAATGTCGTCAATCTTGATCTGTCCCGACGTGAGTTCTGTCAATCGGAAAAGCGCTGACATGATCGACGACTTGCCAGCCCCGGTACGACCGACAATACCAACCCGCTCCCCACCTCGGACTTGAAAGTCCAACCCGTGGAGAACAAGCGGCAGGCCTGGTCGATACCTCATTTCAACTTTGCTGAAGGTGATTGCTCCCGCTTGAGGCCAGTTGTCGGGTACCTCGGCACCTTTCAGCGGTGCCTCTTCCTCCAGCTGAGTGCCATAGTAGTGCAGACGCTCCGTTGCGTTCATGTTGTTTTCCACTTCAGCCAATTGACGAACAGTAAACTGGATCATCTGTACAATAGCTAAAACATATGACAACACCAAACCCGCTATGCTGGGATTAACATCAAAACGATCTGTCACCACCAAGATGCCAGTTACAAAGACAAGCATATTTCCAATGGCGTCAAGTCGGGTAGATAACCATCGCTGGTTTGCAAACGTCAGGTAGTATGCCGAGTTCATCTGATCAAGGGCGTCCCGCAAGCGTGTCGTGAAATAGTTTTGCAACCCGTAGGCTCGAATAGATGCCACTCCTGAAATAGACTCCGAAAATCGTGCAAACACTGTGGACCGGAGAACCGCTTCATGTCGTTTCATTTCCCGTGCTGATGCTCTGTAATAACTCGACGCAAACAGGAATAAGATGAAAAGGGGCCCTAAGGCCACCGCAAAGAAGTGGAAGTATGCGATGATGAGGGCAAAGACCGAAGTGATCATGGCCAAGGTGAGGAAGTACATCCTCATAGCGTCGGTCAAACTGTTGTCCATCGAGTCGACATCCTTGGAAAATCGGTTGGTAATCCGGCCGAGAGGAGTAGTGTCGAAGAAGGACATGGGGGCGCGGAGAACTCGTGTCATCGCTTTTTGCAGCATGACCCTGCTAGCATTGGTGCCGCTCGTGGAAAGCAGAGTCGAAAACGTGAACATGAGCAACGCTTGCGACAGCCCGAGACATGCGTATGCGGCAATGTAGACGCCTTCCGAGAACCCGAACTTGTCACTCGTCCACCAACTGAGCCACAAGCTGGTCACGATGTTGGCTCCCTGGGATAAAACCAGGGAGATGAAGATGAGCGGCCAGAGGATCGGAGATCCTGATGCACGAATATAAGCTCCCCAGACGGACCAGCTCACCGATTTGACAGCGCGCTCTTCTTGCTGCATCAGGGCCGCAGGTTTACCCTTCTTGGTCTTCTTATCAGGCTTCTGCTTCTCGGCTTTTCCATCTTGGGCTTTCGCCATTGCGCTTTCGTCCTCTTGAGCAGTCGTAGCCATCAATTTTTGAAAATCCACGCTGTTGCTCATCAAGTTATCAAAGGTGTCGATGGCCTGAATATGACCGTCTTCCATCCAGATAATCCGGTCACACCTGGAAAGAACGTGAAGCTGGTGGGTTGCTAAGATCCGGCATTTGTCCTTCATCAGCCCACAGATTGCCTTGTCCATGATATGACGGCCAACATGAGCATCCACGGCAGAGAGTGGATCATCCATCAAGATGATGTCCGCATCAAAATAGATCGCCCGCGCAATGTTCAACCTCTGTTTCTGACCGCCTGAGAGAGTGATCCCTCGCTCGCCGATCTCGGTCTGATCCCCTGCAGGCAGGATGTCTAGGTCAGGTTTCAAGGCGCAGGCATCGATTACATCCCTGTACCATTTGGATTTGTACGGCTTGCCGAAGAGGATATTATCCTTCAAAGTGGCATTCTGAATCCAGGCATACTGCGGACAGAATGCACGAGAAGAGGCCATCTTGATTTTGCCGTCTGTTTTGCGCATGTCTCCCGCCAGAGCGGCCAGAAGTGAAGTCTTGCCAGAACCGACCGTCCCAATAACAGCGATCAGCTCATTTCGGCCCACTGTGAAATCCATGTCATGCAGTTTGAAGGGTTCGACCTCGGTCGTCTCACTTGCAATGTCTTCATTGGATGCTCCAGGGGATTTCTTGTTCTTCTTGGCTGCTTTTTCGGCCTTCTTTTGAGCTTTCTTCCGTTCCTTCGCGGCCTTTTTGGCAGCCATGAGCTCGCCTCTCGTCTGGAACGTGCCAGCCCTCTCCATGTCTTGATTGGCAGTCCGTTCCCAAGTGAAGGAAGCATGTTGCACCTCTACCGCAGGATCCATGTCCTCATCCCAGATGATCTCGTCTTGCTGTTCCTCGCACAGTAGAAACTCTTGGATACGTTGCAGCGCAGTCTGGGCATCAGTAACCTGCCCCAGAACCAGAGGAAGCAAATTGAGCGGCATCCGTAAGGAGTTGAAGAGGGCCAAGGACGAGAATATCCGCGCGGGAGCAAGACCGTGGTCAGACAGAGAATACGTAATGAAGGCCAGCATTGCCGCGAACACTGGCATGGACATGGCGACGGCGTTGATGGCATTTCTGATTGATAGCAGGATCTGGACAGCTCTGATCTCTCTCTTGCGGATTTCCTTCAGCCGGTCCAGAAAGCTTGACTCCCATCCAAAGAATTTGACAAATCGTACGGAGCCCAGAATTTCCTGCGTCAGGCCCACACGCTGATCCGTGACTTTGTTGATCTTCTTTCTCCTGGCTAAGAGAGACTTAATAGCCTTAGTCAGGACGGGCAGGACAATGACCAGTAGAGCGTAGCCAGACAGAGCACTGTAACCAATGTTGATGCAGAGCACGACCAGGACGACGACGATCTGGATGGGTGACGTCCACATGATATGGAACAGGCCGGAAGCTTGATCAATACGATACGTATCAACACTCATCAAGTTGACAATCCTGCCATTGTTCCAACCAACGCCGTCTCCCGCAATGCCGGCCGCTTTGTCAGGGGTGACTTTGGGTCCTCCTTTGGGAGTAAGTCGCTTAGATAGTACTCGGGCAAGGCTTGATCTAGCCTCGTGCTTCTCGTCTTCTGTCTGTACTGCCGTCTCGGGCGCCCCCTCAGCTTTGATTGCTTTTCCGCCAGCTTTTGCCCGTCCGGAGATGACCAGAGATTTCTCAAAAATGGCGTTGATCAACACTGCCCTGCACTCTCCTCCGACCATCATACCACGGTAGATGAAATGATTGGTGGCCATCGACTGACACATTTGCATAAACGTGATACCAATGACCAAGCCAATGCCATGGCCAATGCTGGGAGCTTTACCACCGAACTTGTCGGCGACCCAGGCATCCGTAGCAAACTGAATCAGGTATCGGGTGGTGAAGGGGGAAAAGACCTGGAACAGGGCAGAGAACAAGGCACACATGGCACCGAGCAGAAACTCGCCTCGAAAGGTGTCGAACAGGGCAAACATCAGAGGGTTGCGTTCTCCTCGAGCAACACGACGTTTGAAAGAAGCCGACAGCTTGTCCCTCATGGTTGTGGCGCTTCTATCGGGGTTGACAAGCCAAATGTCGTTCAACTCGATGGGCCGCTTGTAGCCCGTGGTCATGAGAGGATTCATCCATTGGAACAGCAGGAGACTGAGGAAGCTCGCGTTGTATTCTCGACATACTGTCCTCTCCTCCGGTACAGGTGGAGGGTTTCGGCGGAGGGGATTTATCCTGTAACGCCATGGTAATTTCTGTGGCTTGCTCTGGGGTACATAGGCCGGAGTGCTAGCTTCAGTTGCTTCGGTCACGGTCGACTCGACCTTTTCTAACCGTGTACTGTCTTGGCTCCTGCCTCGCCCTTCTCTTCTCGTGTCCCTGGGGACTTCCAAATATTGTACTCGCTCATCTCTCTTCTCCAGATCCTGCTCTTCGACGTCGTTCCGGGAGAGGGCGCGCTCGACTTCTTTCTCGTCATCAGTCTGCGCCATAGCGGCCGGTTCCTGTCTAGGGGACTGTCAACAACGAGTGAAAGGTTGCGGAGTCCGTCGAGCAGTCCATGACGGAGTCACTCTCCAGGCGGGGAGGGGGAGACAATATTATGTAGTGTCACGTCCGAAGAATCGGTGACGGGAGGAATGAGAACCGGGCGGTTGATGACTAGGGAGGGGACCAGGATCAGGCGCAAAACATCCTCGGTGTTGTCGTAATGCAAGGTCGAGCAGCACCTTTACGGCAAAGCGGCCACAACCGAAAGGAAAGGTGTTGAGCGAGCGGAGACGTTCCTCTGTCTTCGAGCTAATGGCAAGCAGAGAAGCTGGCCGGCAGGCTTCTCATGATGCAGATGGTGGGCACAAGAAACGGGAATTCGAGCCATGTGGATTGGGCGGCTTTGGGCTTGCATTCTTTCGAGCCTAGCAGGACGGACGCACACAGACTCGGTGGGCGGGTGTTGAAAATCTGGACATCCCCAATTGGCGCACGCGAGACGAAGCTTGTATGTGTCCGGTTGCCCCAACAGAGTCAAGTGGGACGATACTGGCGGTGCCGGTGATGCTGCCACTGGAGCTTAGCAATCCAAACGCCCCGAGCGGGCAATCTTCAGATCCCCGCAAAATTCATAAATGAATCATGGCTTTTCTTTGATGGTTGAAATGGAACAACTATTCACTTTGTTGCCGCTGTTGGTGGAATGTGGGTGGGGGAGCGGCCTCACAAAGTGGATGTTCCTTTTTTTGCCTCCGCTGCTGCAGTCTGCAGGCAGCGATTAACAATCACCAGCGACCGTCTATTCATGCTGGAATGATCTCACCACCGAGGGGGTGGCCAGCATCATTATCGTGATCCCGGTACCTGGCTGCCTAGAACCCCCCGCCACCTCAAGGCTGGCTCGAAACTCTCCACGTTTATCGGAGCGAGCACTACATACGCCCAAACATAGATTCTTGTGCAGGCAGAGACCGCCATTTCGTCCACCGAGAAATTCCTGACACTGTGTGCTACAGGGCGGCCATTCAGCGGTAGAGACAAACCACGAGAAGCTGCGGACATTATGCATGACTGCCTGAAGACCGGCTGCTTAACCCCACTGCAGCCTGGAATCCTTTTTGCCCCGGCAGATGACTCCTTGAACCTCGCTACACATACCTAGCTGGGTAAGACGTGCCGGCAGGAGTGAAAAACATCGAGAAGGGCCTTTTATTGACGTCCGGAACGTTGTCTTGACTGCGGTCCTGACGCCTATAATTTCGGCGCCGAGATGCTTTCAGCACCTTCCGAATGAGAATGTGGAGGCAAACATTGTGGCGTCTATTCTGGCTTGAGAACCCGAATGAGGACGATAGCAGACACCCCACCGGCAAATCGGCCCGCTGGCTTACGAATGTCCTTTGGTGTTGTCCATGAGCAATGCCTGAATCAAGGAGGAGGGACGGCGCCGGGGAAAGGAGCTTCAAAAAAAGTGCTGAAGAACGACTTCCTTCGGCAAACAGCTAAGATATTATTTGTGCGCTTTGTCATTGGCCGGTCTCTAGCGAAGCCATTACCTACAATGCGCTGCGAGACTGGCGGGACAGATATTACCGCTCAACGCCGTTACCCGAAAGAATACTGTAGATAGGGACATCTGGCGGACGCCCGCGCCTAAGGACGAGTACCTACGATAGCTCGCTGGGGTACCGGTAAGTCGTCTTGGGTGCCCGAGTTTGTACTACCCAATGCTTGTCTACCTACCTAGGTGCCTATGTATCAATTGTCCAGCATTTCTGTTCCTCTTCCCCGGCCCTGTCTGCGCCAACTTCCGGAACCGGTCCGTTGAGCAGTACGCTCGGACATAGATATGAACCTGACATACCGGACAGGAGCCTGATTTGAAGAACTCGGAGAGAAATCAAAACAGGCTACACAGCAATCACTCTATGCAGCGCCTACACCTCTGCTTTCCACTCTCGTCGTCACGGTCGTCAAATGGCTGATCGGCCCCGAAGAGCTACAGAGAACATTGTGCCTCCACCAAAGGGGCAGTTGATCCAAACCACTGGGAGTCTCATGCTGAAGATGGTCCTTCGGGCGGGTAAGCTATGCTACAAGGCTCCCTCGAGAACGCACGTTTGATGATGAGTCGGCCCCGACACCGGCTCCCCAAGTTCCTAAAAGTTTGTGCTCGCTGCGACCTCTGTGAGGATATCTGTGGTCCGTCGCAATTCAGTGACCTTTTTGTCGATCCCTTTCCAGGAATCTGGGCCAATGATCACTCTCAACAGGTTTTCTCTCCTGATTAGCTCCCCTGCTTCGCCTTCTCCTGTTGCAGCTTGGAACATGACTTGAGCAGCCTTGCTAGGGTCTCCCATTGCGACTTTCGGCAACGTTGAAATGAGTTGAAGTCTTTGAGTCACCGGGTGATCACCGCGATATTCCAGTGACGGTTCAATGTGTTTGCCAGTACTCGAACCGCCAAACTCCGTCCTGTATGCACCTGGTTCAATGATGAGAACCCTAACCCCAAATTGTGCAACTTCCTGGCTGCAAGACTCGGATGCAGCTTCAAGTGCAGCCTTGCTTGCTGCATAGACGCCGCACGCAAGGCCTGGGGCGATGCCCTGTGTGCTGGAGACATTCATGATCACCCCAGATCTTCGTTTTCTCATCCCAGGAAGAACAGCCTGCATGATCCTCAATGGTCCAAGAAAATTGACCAACATCTGGTGGACAGTGTCGGCGTCAGGTATATCTTCCAAAGCGCCCAGAACGCTTATGCCCGCATTGTTGACGAGTATGTCAATGCCGCCGAAGAGGGGCTCTGCAATTTGCATTGTCTTGTTGATTTCGCCTTCTGGCTGTGTCACATCGAGCATGAGCCATTTCCCGCCGCAATCCTCAACCTCCGACACCAAGTCTGGCGTCTTTGAAGGGTTGCGCGATGACGCGATGACAATGTGGCCCTTCGCAATGGCATATCGAGTCAAAGCAAGTCCCAAGCCTGCTGACGATCCGGTGATAAACCAAACTGGTGGTTTTGCACTGCTGGACATTTTTGTGCGAAGAGTGCAGTGAACCGATGGTTGCGCTTGGAAAGAGAATGCAATCGACTCTCAGATTTGAGAGAAGGCAGCAAACGATGAAGTTTTTGTACAAGTTGGTGCCCGTGTAGCGTTGAGAAATGAAGGTATCGGACATACACACGGAGTTTGCATGCAAGTCTGTGAATGCTGACTTGCTGGAGCCTTGATGTACTCTGATCAGAAACTTACCTTCTGTGTACTTGTCAGCTCTGTGATTGATCGACTCTACAACTCTACATCACAAGTCTGCGCGAGCCAGTAGAGTATTAGTCGGCTCTGCAAGCCGCTGACTCGACCTGATTCAACTTGTGTCCGTGTTACCTCCGCTGCTGCTCTGGGTGTGGTGTTGATTAGTACGACAAGGCGGACTGCAAAGAAAAGGGAGATGTGTGCAGCATCGCACTCCTGCTAGACGATCACATCAAAAGCCTGGGTATCTTTGAGCCGTCGACATACGTTCTCTAATAAACCAGGGACGTAGGGACATAGGCCTGGAACTGCCTCGGAATTGGATCGGATGTGGAAAAGGTGCAGTATTATTTAGCCGCAATGTGATTGGTCGTCCAGTTGGCAGCACTGCACGCCACTTGCCCTCCTCTTCAATCCAATCTCAATCACCTTCACAGCTACTCTCCGCTCCCATCCATCAGACTATTTCCGGCTCTGTGCCATCAGTGCTGTACCTGGCAAGCTTTAACATTGGCCATGGCAGCTCTACGCACAGCATCGCGCCTCGTGGCGCCCGCCCGAGCTACCATCCGATCTTCCTACGCTGCGAGATCATACGCCACCGTCACCAAGGACAGTGCCTATGATCTGTCCGCCAGCCGACCTCCGGTCCCTCCGTCGAAGACCAGCACGGTGCAAGAACCAAGACCAGACAAAGATGCAAAGATCAAGACCTTCCACATCTACAGGTGGAACCCAGACGAGCCGACGTCGAAACCTAGGATGCAGACATACACTCTGGATTTGAACAAGACTGGCCCCATGATGCTGGATGCGCTGATTCGGATCAAGAATGAGGTGGACCCGACACTCACCTTCCGTCGCAGCTGTCGAGAGGGTATCTGCGGCAGCTGCGCCATGAACATTGATGGAGTGAACACCCTTGCGTGCCTGTGTAAGATTTGTGACCCGTTCCTGGTGTATACATCTCGAATTGACAATGCGTTACAGGCCGAATCCCCACGGATACATCCAAGGATTCCCGAATCTACCCCTTGCCGCACACCTACGTGGTCAAAGACTTGGTCCCTGACCTGACGCAATTTTACAAGCAATACAAATCTATCAAGCCTTTCTTGCAACGAGACACAAAGTCACCGGATGTGGGTTTTCTGGTTGTGTTCAAGAAGATTTATATACTGATAGCATCCCAGGGCAAGGAAAACCGACAGTCGCCGGCCGAACGGAAGAAGTTGGATGGACTATACGAATGCATCCTCTGCGCTTGCTGCTCGACCTCATGCCCATCTTATTGGTGGAACAGTGACCAATATCTGGGCCCTGCCATCCTCCTTCAATCCTACCGCTGGCTAGCTGACTCTCGTGATGAACGCAAGGCCGAGCGCAAGGAAGCACTGGACAACAGCATGAGCTTGTACCGTTGCCACACCATTTTGAACTGCTCAAGGACCTGCCCGAAGGGCCTCAACCCTGCCAAGGCAATTGCAGAGATCAAGAAGAGCATGTCATTTGCTTAGTTTGTGTGAAGCGACAGAATTCAGGTTAGGAATGGACTATCGTGGCTGTTCGGTGTTATTGAGGTCCATCAACCACGCAATTTGGTCCGCTCAGATAGCAAAATGCTGTACATATAAATGCAGTGCATGATATTTGATGACTTGACAATAGCCGAGCTTCTCATGTTCATAATACCTACAAATGCGAGAGACACAGCCTATGCCCTTGCACAACTACAAGTACGGAGCACCGAGCAGGATCACGGCGTCATCACTATTGGCGGGCATTCTCCTGCCTTATGAACATGCGGAATGCGCTAACGCACTCGGCCGAAAAGGTTTCCGTAGTCCCAATGCGTTAATTAGAAATGCAAACCCATAACAATCGCGCAATTCAGCCTAGGTATTGCGATTCTGTCTCCAGCAGGTCTGAGAGCAAATACATATGTATACAATGGAGACCTCGTGTCGAGCTCTCGGCAGCTTACAGCTATGGATCGATTCCCTCAAGCCCTCCACCGGCCGGAGAACGCGTTCGGCGGAGTGCGTCCCGACCACGTCGCAGGCAAGACAGCAACAGTCCTTCTCCGATAGGGTCTTCGATCAGCTTCCCTCCATCCATAAGACTTCCACTGCGGGTGATGGCGATGAGGAGACGGTCTTGTATCTGGGATATGGGTCTAACCTGAGCGCCGAGACGTTCAGAGGGAAGAGAGGTATACGTCCGGTATCGCAAGTCAACGTTCTCGTACCGAGCCTATCTTTGACCTTTGATCTACCGGGAATACCATATTCTGAACCGTGCTTTGCAAATGTACGCTACAGAGAGGTGACACCTCAGGAAGACGGAGACAACGCGATATCGAAAGACTACCACAAAGATCATTGGCGAAAAGGTCTGGTTGGCGTGGTCTACGAAGTGACCAAGTCCGACTTTGTGCACATAATTGCTACAGAAGGAGGGGGTGCAGGGTATCACGACGTACTCGTTGATTGCTACGCGCTCAATGGAGGTCCAACGGAGGATGTTCCTCTGATGCCGTCAGGGCAACCTTTCAAAGCACATACGCTCTTCGCACCCAACAAGACAAATCGACCAGACCCTTCCTACGCGCAACCAAGTCCGAGATATCTCAAACTGATAACAGATGGCGCCGAAGAGCACGGGTTGCCTCTCGAATATCAAGCCTTCCTCCATCAGATTCGAACATTTCACATGACAACCACGAAGCAGAAACTGGGCTCATTCATCTTTCTCAGCGTGTGGTCTCCTTTCTTCTTGTTCTTTATGGGTGGAGCCGCTGCAGTATTCCTGAGACCAGACGGAACGTATCCGAAGTGGTTTGCCAAGTTCTTGAATGCTATGTTTGAGGCATGTTGGGCTAGCTACGACCACTTCTTCAAGGAGATTTTTGGAGATGGCGAGAGGACGATAGGGCAGAAGGATGAAAATCATGATAATGATATCGAATATAGGAGGAGTGATTTCGTGCTGGACGAGAAAGAGCCATTGATTGAACGATTTCAACATAAATACGGGGCAGTGAGTACGGTGGAACGAATCGTATGAAGATGAGTGTATGAAAAGCTCAAGAAGGATGTTTTTGATAGACTGCTTTGGATTGATTTCTGCTTGATTTGAAGTATGACCAGTGTTTTGAGTATTCGGTGAGTTGAACCAAGAATTTGTGCTCTTTCACATCAGTGGCCACTTGCAACGACCGATTTAACTCGGTCATCTGCTCTTCCTGCTTCACTCATCCCCAGTCCTCAGAATTACGACTCGTTCCCTCATTTCATTGCTCGTGACCCGATGCCATCTCCCACAATGGACAAGCAGTCTCAGTTCCAGGCCTCGTTTTCTGCTCTTGTGAAATGTCTCCAACAGGGCTTCCAGAAAGGGGGAATCGTGAGGTCAGTCTCCGCCATTGAGCATTACATACGGAGAAGCTGATCAGATCTTCCCTACAGCCTACCAGCCGACATCGTCAAGCCCTTCAGGCAACCCTTCACTCCAACTGAAAGCTCTTCACTTCGCGATCTACAGAAGGCTTTGGAGAACGGGCAGCCCAAGAATATCAACCGTCTTGATTCACAGTCTTTCTACGTCGTCACCTCGGTCGTTCTTCAATTCCCCTATTCAGAAACACAGAGCAAGTTGCTATATCTTTTCATGGTTCGTGGGTTTCCGTGTCTGCTGGAATCGGGCTAGACTCATTCAGTCAGGACACTATCCGACGATACAAAGATGAGCATACTCTCGCTCCAGTCTTGTCCCTGGCCCGCGCAACCACTATTTCTCCCGCAGAAGCCAAAGAACAGGGTGACTATATTGGAAGGAAGCTGGGCACTTGCATACTGCGCCATCTGGTCAGTAGTGAGAAAATACCACAGCATCGCTGGAGGGTACGAGCTTCCACTCTATCATCTAGCCTCCGGAGTGTTGTACCAAGCTGACAGTGCATAGCTGGCGCAATTCCTCTCCGTCTTGCTTCGCTCCAGTTCGGTCGTGGCAAACCAGATCATGGAAACTGATGAAAGGTACTCGGAAGCTTGCTAATGATTTCATCACTAACTTGAGGGCAGCCCGTACTTGGAAACCATTCTCGCAACAGGAGAGAGCTATTTCCTTCGCATACTGATAGCCGACGTGGTCCGAGAGCTACTCTTCAATGGTGCAGAAAGAGAGCCTCTTAAGAAATCATGCAACCGACGTAGTATTGTGGATGATTTCCCCCTTTCAAAGAACGGCGATTCTATGTGGTTGAGCAAAATTGTTGATCACCTCAGTGCACATGATGTTGCAAGAGCATCTGTCGGACGGTACGGAGATCGTTTACGCTTGGTGCGATGTTTCAGCTAATCTTCTGCAGATCTGAGCGCATATTCCGGGTACAACGCCTCGAATGTGACGGAAACGAGTATTTCGACTGTCCCTCCCCCTTCATCGCAACCGTGTCGCACGATATCTCATTACTAGTACCCAACGGGCAGGACATGCTCACATTGTTTTCAGTCCCTGTGTCGAAAAATATCTCCCTCAATCACCAAACATCAGAGTCCGAATCATCGACGGTCCTTGAAATCAGATACCCTGGGATCGAAGGAGACAAGCACATAAATGGATCCAAAGGTGCGATAAACAGCCTCACTATTACTCTGTGTGATAAGGATACAGTGGAAGACTTTATCCAAATGATTGAGGAGCAGCGGTGTGACAATACGCTGCTTGGCTTGCCAAGTGTTCCGAGAAGTCCTAAAAGGCACTCTGTTGCTTTTATTGAGCTGGGATCAGCTTCTACAGGCGGAAATCATGAAAAGCGTGCAAGATGGAACGCTTCGACAATCCCTGAGGCTGATGCTTCTTCCCCTCTTCACAATATTTCATTGCGTGCACAACAAAAACAGGACTTGACAGCTACATCTACGAGGCAAGATCATGCTTCGAAGTTCGAATCTTCCGCGAGTTCCAGTGATAAGTCGGCTGAGGATACACCGGCCTCGAGGCGTCTCCCAGAAACCGAGCCTCTGATTGAACGACTACGTGCTTCGCAGGAAGGTCCAAAAGGTGTGCAGTCAAAAGACAAAGTAAGCCCAGCACAGCCGCAGCTGGGTCACAAGAATTTGGATGCCGACGTCGCGCAAGGCGCTCTGGGAAAGAAACCATCGCCGTATCCGCCTTCTGACGCAACCGAACCAGCTCCTCAAGCTGAACCACTTGATCCAGATCGACACTCCCTTGCCAATAAATCGGATCACAGGTATAACGCTGAGGTGGTGAAAAAAACAACTGCCACTTCGTCGAGAGACGGCCTCGGGTTCTCTGGCGTTGATCACAGACACTGGGGTATTAACCAAATACTTGAATCTACCCCTAAAAACCCCAGACACGATGTTCCTATGGCCAACTTGGTTGGCATCCAACTTGATCCAGGAGGCCATTCTCAAGCTAGCAAAAGTTCAGCCAAAGCTGGTCTTAAGCGGAGGTCGGTCAAAAACTCTACAGCTCCCCAAAAACCACAGCCGCAGAAGCCATCTAAATCCGCTTCAGACGCAGCTGAATTTGACCTTCCGACTTTCGTTGAGGAGGGGACCCGTCCCACAAAGAAAGCAAGGACGAATAATCCTAAGGCTCCGACCAAGGCCTCTGCGAAGGAAACTGCAGGGACAAACGGGCGCGCTCGCAATGCTCAAGCTGCAGTTTCACCAAAACGGCACAAGCACAAGGCAATTGGGAAGAAGTTGACCAAAGCTCCAGAGAAAAAGACTCGGGCGACGGCCGCCTCAACGAGGGCCAGGCGAGCGGCCATAACACCAAAATACATCGAGCTATCTGACGAGGGTGGCGAGGGTGGTGCAGGAGATGCTGAAGAAGAGGAGGAGGAGCCGGCGAACCATGGAATCCGCGACAACATTGAGTGTGCAGAGGATTCGCTTCCACTGACCAAAGGAGCGCTAGAAATTGCTCTTAAAGCCTCACAACACAGTTCCGAATCGAATATTGAAGAGATCATTGACGGAGACAACACTGACATGGACGATGTGCCCACGGAAGTATCACCTGCGCGAGACTCTCCAGATGAGCAAGTTGCACCAAGTCGCAACTCTGTGATTCCATCCACCAGTCATAAACAGAGTCCAGCAAGCAGGAAGCATGTATTGGACCCTCCATTCGCAGTGGCTGTCTCCGAAGATAACCACGATCCAAAGAGAATTAGCCAGCAGAAATCCACCCCTCGGCACGGTCAGAAACGACTGAGTGAAAATTCCATACCTCCTGTGAGTGAGAAGCTACTCCGAAAGACTAGAATCGTCCACTTTAGACCGCAGGGCCCTGAAAATCAGGCTGTCCTTCAAAAGACCCGCTTAGCGCCGATCGACCCCGAAACAATAAATGAGACCAGTCGGAGGCCAGAACATCCAGCACGAATTCAGAGTGAACCTGCGGAAGACGTCGACGAGCGTGTTCTAGACCACACCCCAGAGCCCATGCCGAGGGCAGTGGAACTGGAAGAGGCCTCCTCCATGCGTCATGGCATTGATATGTCAGAGCGGTCTGCTGGAGGCCGAGATATGGATATGAATACACACGCTGACAACGCTGACGAACAAGCCATCGAACTTTATGGCGAATGGAGAACAGATATCTCTTGCGACCAGGAAGCTTCTGAGTATATTGTCTCGGGGCTTGAGGAAGCGGTAAGCGAAGACTCTTTCCATATACCCGACTCTCGTAGCTCGCACAAGACCGATACACAGCGAACGAAGCTGCGAATGCCTCCTGTCTCTGACGCAGAATTACCTTGCGACACTGCTGGAGCCAAGCAACCTCACATTTCTCCAGAGCCGACGCGCCAGTCCATCGGAGTCAGCTCCCTCATGGATCATTTATATCCCCAGACTGAAAAGGTCATCAAAGCCAGCAAACTCCATGCCAGTCACCGAGCAATGGCAATCAAAGAAGTCAGCAGAAGCCACGCTACGCCCAAGGTGGCCCCTAAGAAAGTCATAGGGTCTAGAAAGTCCGAGCCGATACTTGTGTCAGACGATGCGGATATGGTCCGTATCGACAATACTGCAGTTGACATCGTCCCGGTTCCTGTCTTGCGAGCTGTAGCTGTGGGTGAGGACAATACTTATTACAAAACTATTTCACCAAGGCAGGAACATCTACGGGCCACTCCACAGAGCGAACGCGAGTCTTCTGCGTCCCTCAAGCACTGTGCGGCCGAGCCAATGGGCCTGCCTCCGCCACCGACCGCGCCGTTGAGGTCAAACAAGCAGCATTATCCTCTCCGCAAATCCTGGCCTGCAGCACAGGCGGATAGAAAGCCGGCCCTGCTTGAGAAGGCCGTGGATGAAACGCACAAGCCCCTCGCCACCGGGCCTGTCCGAGTGAAAAAAAACCTGAGTCTGCCTCTTGCAAGTCATCAGCCTATGCTCGAACCCGAGCTATCTCCCGCAACGCCTGTCTCTTTCTCTTCACGTCTCAACCTGCATTTGCCTCTTCCAGACAGCGAAAGCTTGAAGAAGACGAATGGCGAAGAGACGGATCGAAAAATCGGTAATGGCAGCTTGACCCTTGTGGACGGGGACGAAACGGGCTTGAGAGATCGTTCGGGCCAAGGACCCAGGCTAGGACGGAGACAACCATCCGAGTCTAGAGATGATAGCTCTGAGATCACATCCCCCTTGCCCAAAACGAAAGATGTCAGAGGAGGCGACTCGATGGTGGGTGTCATATCTGCCCGCGAATCTCAACAGGAAATTTTAGATGCAATTATTAATATAACCAATGTGAGTTTGTCGCCGATGCCTCGGGGCCCACGCTGACGCTTGCGTAGGATGTTCTGTTCCGGTTCGGCGCGGAAGAAGACGCCATCCACGCCAAAGTCGACGAGTATGACCGTGGAGGGAATAAAGTCGTGCACACGCTCACCGACACATGGGACCATCGTCTGGACCACGAGCGCCGCATCCTGGTGGATGTGTTGGAAGCAGAGAACGGTGTCCTCACGTCGGCGCTGCAGCTCGTGAAAGACGAAGAGAAATCTGGTGGTGCGTGGAAGGAGACGGTGTATGATCAGGAGTTGACGGGGAAGGTACAGGAGAAGAGGGACAACCTTGTCAGGAAGATTGAAAAGTTGCGGAAGAGAGGCTGAGCTGTCGGGTGGGGAATTGGGAGTTAGTTCGACCATATTCATTGTGGAAAAATGTGGTTTTATCACTGTATGTTTGTAGGAGATGATCTGATGTCGAACATGGACGGATCCACACAAAAGACATATGTTCAAATGCATATAAGCGGAGGCCATACTGAAACGACAAAAGCATCCATCTTCCCCAGAGCCCTAGACTTTTTGGACCAAAGAGTATCGTCTTGGTCATCAGAAATGCCGTCCTGTAGCCGCCTGAGCCAGGAATTCCTCAGGCATATCGATCTTCTCCTCCGTACAATTCCCTTCCTTGTCGACCAAGACGCCATGGTTCTTTTCAATCACCTTCCATTCCTCGATCTTGTAAGTTGTGGGCTCGCTGGCCACAATGACGTGCTTGCCGTGGTCCTCAGGCTTGAGGGTGGCGTTGGGGTTCTTTGTGCCTGAGGCATTGTCCGGATATTTCCTGTTCAAAGTCACGCCGGCCTTGGTGCTGTAGTACAAGCTCGGTGGGTTCTCGATGGCGTGGTTGCGTAGACGCACGGCGATCAGCTGCTCGCCGTCAGTGCAGCACACGTTTAACGAACAGGCCTGGACGTTCTCCGCGCCCAGCGTCTCCTGTTGCAGTCGAACGACGGTGTGGAAGGCAGCAGTTAGTGCGTCAATCATTTCTCGCGGCGTATATTGACGCTCCCAGCTGTCCGGGCCTGGGCCGGCGGCCTTGGTCAGGTTGGTCATGTACAGCGCCGCCAGGTGCTCCGAGTCGGTGGTGCCGTGGATGTTCTCGTAAGCCGACTTCTCCATCAGACTGAGCATCGGCCGGCGGATGTCTGCGAAGTGCGAGATCAAGCCGTTGTGCATGATTGTGTGCCGGCCAAAGACGAAGGGGTGGTTGTTGATCGCCGCCACCGAGGTGCCCGTTGCGGCACGGATGTGGGCGAATACAGCAGTCGTAGACGTGCCGGCGCAGATACTGTGGAAGTTGGCGTCGTTGTTTGGCGGTGTGGCATTTTTGTATGTGGCAGGCCGGCTTCCATCAATGCTGTTGATGAACGAGGAGCGGACGGGCGTGTACCATACGAGTCCGAAGCCGTCGACGTTGTTGAGGCGGTTACGCAGGGTGATCTCGAGCTTGGACGTCTGCTCACCAGGGACGTGCGAGAAGAGCTTTGGCAAGTAGTGGTCATGGACTTGTTTGGCGATGCCGTGTTCAGGAGTGATGAGGACGTCCTCAAGTAGGCATTCCTCGTCGGGCGAGATGTAGGCGAACCACCGACACATGTTGTACGTATGTCTTTGACTTTTCTTTGGAAATACCTCTTTGCTCTTGTTTGATTTTTCTCTTTGGTTCTTGTTGTAGCTATGAGCAATACAGAGTTTACACGAATACTGCCTTCATGTACAAAACGAAAAGGACAATTGAATCTGAAAGTATTTCCCGTACAAATGTGGTGGTCAGGCCACACACACACTTACAGGACGGCAGATATCTCAGGCAGGAGTGGAGGATGGCAGTTTATTGCGAGCCCCCAAATATTTATTTGGCGAGAGAGGACGTTGAAGGATTGAATGGGTAAAAGAAACAGGAAAAAAGGAAAAAAAGGAAGCCCGAAGGAGGATACGAGGTACATAGAGGAGCTGAGAACCAACACCAGCACCGCCAGCTCCTTCCTGCTTACAAGTTTCCCCACGGACTCACATTTCTGCTCTCCCAGCTGCGTGTACATGTTTTGACCTTTCCGCTTCGAGGACGTCGTGACACTCGAACTGGGAATAAGATGCCGGTGCATTGTCACAGATCTTGTCTGTGGTATCCTGCGATCTCTGTGCCACGTAATCGGTCAATCAGCTCTGCAGGGGGATTTCGGGAAAAAGGTGGTGTGGGTGTGGTGGGTGTGGTGGGTGTGGTGGGTGTGATGGTGGCACCAGTGGAAGCAGGCGGCTGGTGGTGGGAAGGATCCAGTTACGTCATTAGTCGCAGGGGGGCTAAGCTTTTGCCAAGTCATGACGCGCTCTAGCCTCTCCACGGGTCTGGAGGTGCCAAGACATATGCATAGCTTCACTTTACCTTCACTTGCTGGCAGAAGAGGACAGGCAGCAACTACCACATGTTCATGAGCAATGCGTCTCAGGATCACAGCAAGTGTTGGAGCGATGGAAGGGGGTTTTCGAGCGCTACGGTAGTGATCTCAACTACCAATTTGCACAGGCAGGGGAGGCAGGAAGTTCTCGTCAGTTCTAGGGCTCGCGTGGTATGCGTGTGAGGGAAGGGCATATGTTACAGAGCCTATCTTGATGAATCTAGTTGGAAGTGGGAGCAGTACCTCTACCATACCATCGTTTGAGGAATCGCATGCTACATCATGCTCCTTCGAAAAAACTCTCCACCCCTCGCCTTCTCAAAAATTGCATATGGACCACGAACAGTGTCTTCGAGATCTCCATACTCGCTCGGAACCCAGTCGCCAGGGGCGCGGTGACTCGTCGCCCCTATCCACGTAGCCAACTCAGCATCGCCGACAGCACGATCAGATACTATAAGTAGGTATTGGCAATGCAATCAGTCTCACAGCTCCTCCACCTCCACCTCCCCCTCTTCTTCTTCTTCTTCTTCTTCTTCCCTCGCACCCGTCTCATACAGCCTCCTCAGCGCCGAAGGCTGCGCGAATAGGGCGCCAGGGCAATCAAACTCCACCAGCCGTCCGCCCTCCAGGACGGCGACGCGGTCACTGTTCAGCACAGCGTCGAGCCGCTGATGCGGTCCCGCAACGGCCACGATCGTGTACCCGGAAAACTCGTCCCGGATCGCACGCCACACTGCCTTCGCGCGGGCCGGGCTCAAGTGGCTTGTCGGCTCATCGAGGAGCAGCACGCCTTTGGGTTCGGGGTGTTTCTGCTTTTCTCGATTGTTGCTGTTGTTGCCGGCGTTGTCGTGTTTGCTCTTGCGGAGGATGGCCCGAGCCAGGCTGAAGAGCTGCTTCTCGCTCTGGGACAACAACTCGGAAGTGACCATCGCATCTAGTCCGCCTTTCTTTTCGAGCGTGGGCCACAGAAAGAATTTGGCCAATGCTGAGATGATTTGTGCGTCATTATGCTCGCCACTGGGATCCACATTGAACCGTATAGTTCTCTGCTGGACGAGAAAGGTGTCTCTGGGAACGGTGGTGATACGTTCTTGGATCATCGCGTGAGCGATGGTGCTGACATCTATGCCGTCGATACTGATCAAGCCTTGTGATAAATCCAACAGTCTCGATATGGTCAGAAGAAGGGAAGTCTTGCCACTCCCCGGACGCCCGCAGACCGCTATCATTTCACCTGGACGAATTGACATTGTGATGTTGATGAGCGCATTGTTGGCCGTACTGTAACCCGCAGTAATGTTATGGAGCTCGATACTGCCGTGGCTCGGCCAAGTAGGCCGGATTTGGGCGCTTGCTGTTGGTGTCTTCTCTTCTGGTGTATCGGTTGCAAACTCTCGAATGCGCGATATCGACCCTAGTGATATCTCCAAGAGTGTCCAGTACTGAAGCAGAGTAGACAAAATCTCATTGAAGCTAAGGATGTTGTTAAGAGATAGACCTAAAGAACCCGGATTAGTGGATGTCCGCAGGCTGACGGCCAGAGTCATCACGATCAAAGCCAGAGCGGCGATGACCAGGTCTAGCACCAGTTGGAGCCACCTTTGTGCGCAGTAGAGCAAGTAGTAGGGGATTTGCGAGTCGTCGAGCTTCTTGATCATGGTCTCCGTAAATTGTCGCTCCCAGTGAAGGCTCCGGATACTGCTGATCCCTTTGATTGTTTCGAGGAAATGGGAATACAGCGGGCTTCTCAGTTCCAGCTCAATAACCCGGAGTCGACGAGACGTTCGAAGATAGACCCACTGAATAAGGAACAGCGCAAGCAGGACCGCGGGAACAGTCAGAGCCATCCATCTTGATCCATTGCATATCAGTGCCAAAGATCCAACGGTCCAAAAGAGATAGATGGTGGTGCAGAGCACGCCAGTGGGCAGCTGGGACTCAATCAGAGTCATATCCTGACTGAACCTGTTGAGCAACACGCCGACGTCCGCCTTTGCAAGAAACAAATAAGTCGCGTTCGTGACAGTATCGAGGAGTATTCGATGCAAGTTTGCCGCAGATTCCGGCACCAGCTTGAGGAACATTGCCCAGGTAGTGACACCGTAAAATACGGCATTGCCACATGCCAGAATGAGATAAGGGGGCGTCCACTTCGCAAAATCAAGGCCACCGTCGGCGGTCCACCACTGCAAGATGACCTGGGACATGTAATAGCACACTGTCTGTACGGTGGCCGACAGGAAAAACAAAACCACCCACACCCAGTTCATGCTTTTGAAATAATAAACGTAGTCCGAGAAGTCACTCTCATTGCGGCCAAGTTTCTCGACCATGACGGACTTGGGAACAACTTTGAAGGTTTTGTCTTTTTCGATAGCGTCGGTTGTGTTCAATTCTGTGATGTGTTCGGGTTCATCCGTATCGGCCTCGAAAATTCCATCGTGCAGTTTGGCTGTTTTCTGAATCAAACTGACATTTCTGTCGCGATCAATCGTGATCAGACTGTCCGCAATCTCTGCATAGCGTGCAGTCTGGGCAACAATAATCCCAGTTGCATGGAGTTTTCGGAGCAGCCCATCCTGGCCCAATAATCGCTTCATCACTACTCGTTGCGTCTGGAGGCCGGAAGCACTGAATAAATTGTCAAGCACAATCAACTGAGGCCGCTGGTACAGAGCACGAGCGAGCACGATACGCTGTTTTTGGCCTCCATTGAGAATGGAACCTTGCCCGTCAATATGCGTCAAATCGCCGCGTGGCAGCGATAGTAATTCGTTGTGGAGAGCACATGCCACAAGGATAGTCTGATACCAGTCCTCATCACAAGACTCAATATTTTTGCCGCAAATATTCTCCCGCACAGTACCCGTAAAGAGCCATGGAGTTTTTTCGCACAAGATAATTCCACCCCTTGACTGTATTGGTTCAGAGTGATTAATCTCACTCATCACAGCTCGCAAAAATATGGATCTAGCTGAGCCGCTCGGCCCAAGGATGAACGTGATGCTTCCGGGATAGAGAATTGAATCCAGATTTCGAAGTATATCATGAGAACCATCTAGCATTCTGAGGCCGGAAGGAGATATACATGAGTCGTCAGATTTTGGCTGATCCGATAGACCACCCAGTTCAGTACTGTCTCGACTTGGTGTATCAGCTTGTGATTTCAGTAGATGTGCCTCGATCCTGCTGAGACAGCCAATACATGCAGCTCCAGCGGGATAAGCTGTCAGGATCTCGGCGGCAGGAGTTGTAACCAAAGAGATGAGAGCAAGACTTGTGAAGGCGTCAGAGGCGTTCAGTGAGGCAGAACCCTCAATTCTAGCCTTGATGGCATATGCAATGAAGGTTACGACAGCAGCGAGAGCGGGTGGTACGTTTCCTGTCAAAAGTCAGACATTTCGATTGCGCGTAGATAATGGTGCACCCACCCAGGGTATTCAGCCAAATAGTCGCATGACGAAATTTCACCTGGAAGCGCAATTCGCGCAGTCTTTCGCTTTGCAGCATCAAATGTATGGGTCGGGTGAAACCCAAGGTTTTGACGATTTTCAAAGACCCCAATACGTCTGCCGTTAAGGAGATTCTTTGTTGGACCGCATCGTTCCATACCTTGACTTTTCCGCCTATCGTCACGGTGACTCTAGAATCGGCAGTGATGCTGAAGAGAACAACAATTAGCGGCATGACAGACACCCACCCCAACTGCAATGCGAGCAGAATAGTCCCAGCGACGAGTTCCAGGGGTCGAGACCAAAGATCAGGAAGCACAGCTAAGCTTTGGCAGATCCGGTCGACGTCGGTGCTCATAAGCGTCAGGACGGCGGAGGGATCATCCAGAGACCGGTCGCTGGAGAGTGTTTCAGAGTATATGAGCGCGACCAGGGCGCCTCTGGCTAAGGTAATATGCCGGTAGAGCTGATGCTTGTAGAGAGCGGTCGATATCTAACAGCCCCGGATTAGCCCACAATCCATCATCAGGTTCAGGCTCTGTACCGCTATTCCAACGTAAATACAACCAGTAGCTGCTATGAGACCGTAACCGATATCATTTTCTGACCGTGGCTGAGCTAGGTAATCAGTGGCTCGACGAATGAGGAACGGCTGGGCGAACAGGAATCCGCTGTAGCTGAGCCGAGCTGGTATTGTGGACAAGATAGACCACCGAAGTGCTCTCCATAGTGTCCGCAGAAGAGGCCATCTAACTTGGTGGTCTTGCTTCGACCACTCATCGTGTATTCGTCGGTGAATAGTTGTAGAGTTGAGCTTGTTGTCAATTACACCGAGATCTTCAAAAGAAATCACTTTCTTAAACCCTTGAATGAACAAACTATTCATCCAGACGAACAGCCCACGACTCAAAATACTGCTGGTGGTTTCCACTGACAGCGCTTGATACTGCACTTCGAGAAAGCTTCTCTTGCTCCGCGCTTCAAGTAAGAGCATGAGAGCTTTGACTCCAAGCGCTGCGGAAAATACTCCTGCAAGATCACCATAACCATGTAACAGGTATAGTGTGCGGGTTTGAGGGATGTCAAGAATGATTGAGAGGGCAAGGTAGGAGTTGAGAAGGGTCGAAGGTCGAACAGAACGATGATGTTCGAGGTATGACAGAGGAGCAATGAATATCGCCACGCACATTGCCAGCACAGTCGCAGAAAGGGACGTGGTGTTTTCAGTGGACGTTGCCGCAGTATACAGCAGCAGGAGGACCAGTTGAATGACGGCCAGGAAACAAGCGATTGTGACTTTGGTAATAGAAGCCCATCCATACTTGGTGGTACGAGCTGGTACATGAAGTAGAACCCATAGGCGCGAGGCCGCAAAAAGCAGGAAGATAGTATTGGGAACAATGGAGAGGATGCTTTGCTCGAAGAGGAGAGTGAAGTCAAAGGATCGAGCACAAGAGGCCACCACTGGGCCAAATGTATTGTCCGCCCAGGATTCGCAGCTTGCCATTGTCGAATTTCATCCCTCAGTCTGTATGAGGCGAAGAGAGATACATGCTGGATAGCATTAACATCAAGAGCGACCGGAAAACAAGGCAGCAATGTTCTTCGGGGAAGATCCTGAGGGTGATCTGCATAGTTCTCACAAATAGGCTACCTGCTGGCACTGGGCAGAGGGTCGGGGTTGATTCAAGCATCTAGTGGCAGATCGCCGAAGTGCCCTGGCTCTGACGGTGCATTGATCTCTTCTGTCGATCCCATGGGTACTTCTGTCGCTCCTTATCAGAGCCGGCCCCGGTTATACCTCCCGGGCACTGATGAAACCTACCTAGGCTCGATGAAGCAGGCGAGAAATCAGCCAGGAAAATGCTTTCGTAGTAGCAGATGGTAGGCGGGGGGCCGCTCTGCACAGTCGCTTTTGACACTGACATCCCACTGCGGCTAGTGGGCTCAAAGCCAATGGAATAGAATGCAATGATTTCAAGGCACAGTACTTGTTCTCTGGGCAAGGACTGAGCCAGGGAACAAGGACTGAGTGCTTCTGCCCTGCTGAAGAAGAGCTATTCGGATACGAATACTCTTCCGGACCAATTAGATCCGCGCCTTTTTATTCGGCAAAGTTACCTACTATTTACGGTCTCACTTCGCTCAACAGGCACGTAGGTGACAAGATTAGCATGCCTAGGGGTTCGCTTTATAACAGTAATAAGGGTACCGACTCTACCTCTCAATCTAGCCGATCTCTCGATGACAAGCTTAACTACTTTAATAAAAAGTGAACGGCGACGAAATCAGAAGTAACACGCCTCGTTCAAAGTCCACAGACGAAGGAGTCAAAATCAGATTTGAAATTCGCACGCCTTGAATCAGAGATGACATACCTTAACAAGAACTACCACCTAGAGTTCACCACGACGGGCACCTAGAGTCCATCACGGGATTACCTAGAGTTCACCACCACGGGCACCTAAAGTCCATCACGGGATTACCTAAAGTTCACCACCACGGGCACCTATGGAGAGATATTCTGTGGAGAACATATAACTCGTTGGAGAATGCTGCTTTGTCTAGGGCCGAAAGCTTAACGCAGCATTTTAAGGATCCGGTCTAGAGAGGGTCTCGAAGTGGTATTGAGTTGAGTGAGGGTGGTGGTTGTAAGGGTGAGTGAGGGTGAGGAAGGTCATCTCGGTGTAGATTTCAGCCAAGGCGGTAGGCGTTGTCAATAATACAAGCAGCCGGCGTAAACATCGGGTAGCCAAGGATTTTCCCAAGCCGTGTCTGAACGAGCCACTTCATCGCCTTCCAAGAAGGCCACCTGACACTCTGTGCAACCTGCGACTTGTATAATAGACCGTTTCATTGTCTTTTGGTATCCTTGTCCTTTATTTCTGGGCTCTTCATCCCACTCAACAGCCTCTATCGACCCACCCACGACTCACATGAACCAACTCGGCCGGTCCGATTCGCCCTCCAATGTCCTTCCAGGTGCCCCAGAATGCCCCTTCGTTCACCAGCTCACAGCGCACGTATGAAGATGCCTACTGGCGGCAGAAGCACACTAGTAATGGACATGCAAAAGGAGGACCTGCTGGTGCAATCACATCCAAAATCAACGACATCTTCGGCGAGGACAAGGACCTGCCCATGTACAAAGACAAGCCACATTTCCCCTCGAGTCGGCGGAGAGGGCGAGGGTTCTGGCGGCAGAAAAGTGTGCTGGCCTTGATTGGTTCTGCCTCACTAATGTTCCTCTGGTGGGCCGGATGGTTACCCTGGGGCTCCCGTCAATTCTATGATCCAGCAGCCCATCAGCATTCTTTCTTCCACGCCGAAGACTGGTCAGAGCAGAGAGAGGCCGTGAAAGAGGTATTCAAGATATCTTGGGAAGGTTACGAGAAGTATGCTTGGGGAATGGACGAATACCACCCTCTCTCGAGGAAGGGAAAGAATATGGTTGAAGGTGGCATGGGCTGGATCATTGTGGACGCATTGGATACTGCCATGATGATGAATTTGACCTCGCATGTTGCCAAAGCAAGAGAATGGATATCTACGTCGCTGTCTTACACCGCCCATCACGAAGTCAATACCTTTGAGACGACTATCCGCATGCTGGGGGGCTTGTTGTCAGCATACTACCTATCAACAACCTTCCCACACCTTGCACCGCAACGGGACGACGACGTCAACCAACCGGGAGAAGACCTATACATTGAGAAGGCGACAGATCTTGCAGACCGTCTCCTCGGGGCCTACGATTCACCTTCGGGGATTCCGTATGCCTCAGTGAACTTGAACACGACCCAAGGAGTCGGTTCACATGTCGACGGAGGTGCATCCTCTACCGCTGAAGCGGCGACTCTACAACTCGAAATGAAGTACCTTGCCAAAATCACAGGGGAGCCAATCTACTGGACGAAGGCTGAGCACGTCATTGAGGTGATCGAATCCCAAAAACGCGAAGATGGCCTCTTACCAATCTACATATACCCCGCAACGGGCGAATTTCGAGGCGAAAATATACGGTTGGGATCTCGAGGGGACAGCTATTACGAATATTTGATCAAACAGTACTTACAAACGGGCGGGGTTGAGGAGGTGTACTTGGATATGTGGGACGAGGCACTTGAGGGTGTCAAGAAACACTTGATCACTTATTCTGAGCATGCATCATTAACCATCCTTGCCGAAAGGCAAAATGGACTCAGCGCCCCTCTGACTGCCAAGATGGATCATCTGGCGTGTTTCATGCCTGGGACTATAGCCCTAGCAGTAACCGAAGGACAGACGGTCGAGCAAGCCAAAGCCAGACTGGGGAGCAAGTGGACGAAGAAACATGACGAGAACCTCAATCTCGCCGAGGAATTGATGAAGACGTGCTGGGGGATGTACAAGGTCACTCCGACCGGCCTCGCCCCCGAGATCTGCTATTTCCATACAGACAATCCCGCTCCACAATGGCGAGGGCATGTTGACCCAACGTGGAAACCACCACACGCTGCTGAGCTCTCTGACGATGTCGATGCAGACTGGCGCTCTGACTACGACATTCACTCGAACGATGTGCACAATCTCCAGCGACCCGAGACTATCGAATCGCTCTTCTACATGTACCGCATCACCAAGGACAGGAAATACCGGCAGTGGGGGTGGGAAATGTTCGAAGCCTTCCGCGAGCACACCAAGGTCGTCGATGAGATGACAGGCAAGGTGTACGCCTACACCTCTCTGGATACGGTGATGGAGAACCCCGTTCGAGAGAGGAAACGACGTGATAACATGGAAAGTTTCTGGCTGGCTGAGACACTCAAGTATTTCTATTTGTTGTTTTCAGATGACGATTTCTTCCCTCTTGACAGCGTTGTCTTCAACACGGAGGCTCATCCACTGCCCAAGTTCGACATATCAGGAAGCAAGGTCTTTACGACAGGCTGGCGCAGGAGCAAAGAACCGGCCGCCGAGCAGAAATACGAGGGTGGTATGGTCGCAGATGACTTTACGCAGCTCAAGGGTGTTCGTGTTGGCAGTGGCGTGCGTGTCGATGAGAATGGAAACAGCATCCTCTCTAACGCAGAAGTGGGAGAGAAACAAATCCCCGCCGCTGCTACCGAAAATGAGCATGATCCTGCTCAAGATCTGTCTGCCCGGGGGACTTCAGGTGACGCGAACTTGGAAAATCGCCCTCCTGACCAAGATGAGGGTATTGGCAAAGCGGAAAGCGATTAAGGTGGACTCTGAGAGGAATCGATTCTTTATGCTCTTTGGTTGGGAAGATTGGTAACATCTATCATTTTGCTTGGATAGACTGTGACAATAGTCATTGGCTCCACCTGTCTTGATGCTTTAAGGGGGCGCGGCGCTGTACCAAAAACCTGGTTGTGGTTGCATGGAAAACAAAGGCTGTTCGTTGCCATTGTGGGTTTTTTCCACTATTGGGTCTCAGTGGAATAGGAGCATTTGCGGGATGGCGGTTTGGAAAACAAAAAAGCAACCGTGGATGGAATAGAAGCAGGCGTTTGGCAATATCCGAATTAACGATCTTTCGGCTTTGGGATGTTGAATTGACAATCCACCATACACTTTCCCCCTTTTTTTATTCTGCTTTGATCGTTCGAAATCTCTCGTTCGCCGGAAGGAGGAGCACAGCGCCTTTATCACAGCCTTGTTTATCCATTTGCGACTTTTGCGGCCGAACCACCATCCCTAGGGGTTGGTCGAGTACAACACAGAAGAAAGCTTCGTTCGTCGCCCGCGCAGGTTGACTGAAGAGCTCTTGTTTGCGTGGCGTGATGAGGACTCGGCCTGGCGTACGTATGTACGTGATCGCACTCGTAATGAATAAGGACAGGGTCTGATCGCCTCATCTCCCATCCATCCCATCCCAACCTTCTTGGACGAGACGACGGTTTTCACCATCCCCTGGGCCTCCTGGTTCTCGGCATAGTGGACTTGGACAAGAGTCCTCACTTTCGTTTGTCTCGACTCAGCCTTCCCGGGATGCATCATGATCTCTCAGGGTGTTTGTTGCGTTGGTCAGGGCATAACTTCGTAGCTCGTCAGCGTTGGTTTTCTTTCGTCATTCGTGGCTCCTCATTCCACGCCCGTCCGATGTATTATTATTCACTCATTCACTCGTGGAATTTCGTAAGAACCGTAGTCGGGGTTGGTGATTCTTTGGCCACCATTCAAAACTTGGGCCCTCTGCTGCGCGCGGTGTACTTCGAGTCCGTCTTGACCACTTTGCCCTTGTTCCTCATCTTCTCCTTCTTCTTCATGACCCACGCCTTGCTGCCCTTGACATCACCCAATGGCCCCCGCCTGCCCGCCCCGCCCTTGTGGGAAGTCGTGGTCATCTTGGCCTCCCGGATCCGGCGGCCGTCCTCGATGTCCACGTTGTCCATGTTCCTGACGCGGTCGGTGATGTCGCCCCCGCCGACGCTGAGGACGAGGTACGTCTTGACGTTCTTGGTGCCGCCGTCGTCCTCGAGGATGCCGGCGCCGAAGCCCGCGCGCACGGCCGCCTGGGAGATCATGGCGCGCTGGGCGTCGTTCTTGGGGTAGAACTGCAGCACGGCGCGGGCGCCGCGGCGCAGCGACGCGTACAGGCCGTCAAAGAAGCGCCGCAGCCGGCCCTCGGGCGACACGCCGCTGGTCTCGGCGTTGCACAGCCACTGCACGGCCGAGATGCTGATGGCGGCGTCGAACGCCCCCGCGCGGAAGGGCACGCCCTGGCCCATGTCCGCCAGGAACAGGTCGCCCTCGACGGTCTCCCGCTGCAGCGCGATGTCCAGCATGCTCGGCGAAATGTCCATGCCCACCCAGATGTGTCCTTCCTCCGACAGGATCTCGCCCGACAGGCCCGACCCGCAGCCAACGTCAAGGATCAAGGAGGGGGAGTCGAGGTCGAGGAGCTCCAGGGCCCGGTGGGTCATGGACGCCTGGATCGACTGGATCCGCGACGACGTCGTGTATTTGGCCGATGCGGTGTCGTTGTAGTACAGGTCCGGAGGGAGAAGGTCTTCGGGGCGAGACATGGTAGCGCCGAGTCTGCGGGCGAGGAGAGATGGGGGAGGGGAAAAAGGGCGCTTCGTTACAGTGTCGTTGATGTATTTGTTCAAGGCGCCATAGGCACAGACACAGGTACTCAAGGGTAGTACATGTCGCAGCGTCGTTGGTTGCGGTGGGAAGCGCACGAACAATAGAAAAATAAATTTCTGGTGGAGAAACAAATTGGGAACTCCGCAGTGATGTGATGGTGGACTTTGTGTGGGGGGCATTTTCCATATGGGGGCTATTCACATAATACCTAGACAACAATACAGCATGAGGGATCACTTCAACTCTTTAATTTGGGGTCTTGTTTGGTACACAGTCTACTTCATGCCGAGACATAGAGGGCATCAAGGAAAGAGCGGATCGTTTTCGTATATTGTATGTCCGCATGTTGGGCCTTTTCTATTGCGAAATAACCGAGTATATCGAACCGCCTGGCGGGCCACCAGTCCTTATGTTTGCTAGGGATTCCTAAAAGCGATATGATGCAGTTTCGTGCCAAAGTGGGCAATCGAAATATCATGTAAATTTCCCGGAACACCCAAAGTGAATGAGTATCCATGCATATTCTCAGCGCCGCTCTCGACGGCCTTGTGTCTAATCCTTAGTATTCCGATCCGAGTCGGCCACCACAGCATCGACGACGTCCTTGTTGAGACCTTTCCAGTTCCGCTTGCCCCATAAGAACCACAGAGCCAACGCAACGAGCTGGACAAAGGCGTTGATTGGGAGAGCATAGTTCATATCTGAGCCGTTGATAGGGAGGAAGGACGGAAAACAGAGGAAGACCATGATGTATGCCGAGTAGACGACGGCAAAGACGTTGATGTAGACACCCCAACGTCCCAGAGACCAGCCCGGGGGCTCCACCCTCCCCCGATATCGGGCCCATATCATGCAGGCAATCGCCATGAGGTAGGATTGGTACAGGCCGAGGGTCGACAGCGCCACGATAACGTTGAAGGCAATGCTGCTACCGACGTTGAGGAGCGCCAGCAGCATGACGATGAAGATGGGCAGCCAGACCGAGCGGACGGGGATGCGGTGCTTCGGGTCGATGTATGAGAAATAGGCAGGCAGTGCTCCATCGCGAGACCAGGCCCACGTCAATCGGGATGCGGACGCGATACTGCCCAGACAGCAGGCCAGAGTGACGATCATCGACAGACCCACCATTGCCGAGCCGGCCCTTGTGGACTGCGTCGCGTTGATGCAGATGAGCAGCAGAGGATAGCCCGAGGAGAGAAGATCGTCGACGTCTCCGGCGCAGAAGAGGAAGACGATCACCATTCCGTACGCGAGCGCCCCGTTCATGACAATACTCCAGAACATGGCTCTCGGCACCGCATGTCGCGCCTTTCGCACTTCTTCAGACATATGGACTGCTCCATCGAACCCTGCAACCGACTAATCAGCAGCGGGCAAGCAAAAACACGCCGCTGTGTAGGATGTGTACAACTTACCCACGAACCCCCAGGTGGCAGTAAGCATACCGAGGTTGAACGAGACATACTCGTTGTTCCAGCCGGAGAGCGCCGACTTCTCCAGGAAGACAAACTCGGCCGAGTGGCGAGAGGCGAACGTGACCAACACGGCAACGAAGACCACCCACATGATGACGTGCAGGAGACCAGAGAGCAGCTCGATCCAGGGAATGGTCCAGAAAGCGTACTGATTCATCAATCCTTGGACAAGGAGCAAGGCGTAGATGATCAAGGTCACATGCCATCCGTGTGGAATGTACGTTGGATAGTTGGCAATGACCAGTGCCTGGATCATGAGAGCAGCGATGTTGGCTACGCCAGCCAGGAGCGAGATCCACGAGAACCAGGTAATCCAGCCTTGCATCCAGGTGATGAAGCGTCGCTGGGTCGGAGGCGCGAGGTAGTGAGTCCAATGGTACTGCGCACCTGCAATGGGCTGGACCGAAGCCATTTCAGCCATGGATGCGACCTGGCACAGCACACCGGAGATGACGACCAAATAGCCCAACGAAAGAGAGCGAGGTCCGCCATTCCAGAAGAAGTATGCGATGTTTCTATCTGCTATTAGCTTGCGGCGGGATGGCCAGCAGGGGAGACGTCAGCCGCACGATGCAATGGCCTCCCAAGACGACATGTAGCTGAGCGCGAAGAAGAAAATCTGAGCGAAGCTGAAGATCCTCTGTAGGCCGTCTTAGTGTTGTGCAGCCACATCTTGAAAAGTGGCGTGTACTCACTCGAACTCTTGTCGATGTGTTCTTAGTTCCCTCGGTCCTTTGACCGCCATAATACGGCGCTTGCTCTCTCTTCTCGTCTTGAACGTTGACTTGAGGAGTCTTGACCGAGAACATCTCGTGAGACTCCATCCTGGTGAGGATAGTCACAGGGAAGTCTGAGAGAGGGCCACAGGAAGAGGCAGGGAAAGATGAGAGAAAAACCGTGAAGAAAAGAGAAGTTCAACGACGGGCAGTTTCTTTGAAAAAAAAGATGGGTAGTCTGCCGACACTGGGTCTAGCCCACCCGATGGAAAAGCAAGCATGAAAACGGGCAGAAAGAATAAATCGAAGAAAAGCAAGGGTGATAAGGGGACTGAAAACAGAAGTTCTTGATCGGCTCATGCCTCACGTCGACCACGAAAGCTCGGTCGGAGGAGGGACGGAGGCGTCTGGGGAAATCCCATCAATCACGCAAAGAGTGCTGGAGGCGAAACAGACCGCGAAGCGAGCTATAGAGGATCCCTGACACTTACGCAGGACGAGCAGGGCATTGTCGAGGCACATGGCTGTAAGACTGGCTTCGTTGCTGACGGCTCCGGTGACGGCCAATGGTTCCCACAGCATGTACCTGTAGGTATATCCCTGAGCCCGTCATTTCGCCAAGAATGAGCGTGTCAACGGAGAGCGAGCCCTTAGCGGAATGGCGACCGAGAGGAGAGGTTGACATGCATCGCGTGAGCATGGATTCCAATACTGTACAAGGTGCCTGAGAGGCCCAAGACAAGCAAGATAAGGGCACTGCGAAGGAGCTCATCGTGTAGGATGCTATTGGCGTATGCGAGTGGTTCGACAGTACCCATCAACGTGCATAAGTCGAAGCAGAGATATCGACAGGCTCGAGAAGCAGACGAACTCGGAGCGGGGGATAAAAGCCGGAATATGGGGCGGGCCGAGATAGTTAAAATAGTGGAGACGGATTGTTGTTCCCCGAAGGCGTCGATCGTTGACTATAAACTCTCGTTATACCGCATTGAGTATAGATAAAGGCACTGCCAAGATCTGTTAGCGTTGCAACCCCTCAAGCTCTCGCTCAACTCACGTTCAAGATTGGCTGCTTGTCCATCTCTTCCAGGACACGATAAGGGGATTTCTGTCTTGCACCTATGTCAGAATGCTCGAACAGCTATACGAGATACTTGTTGCCCATCAGAAGTGATGGGGAATGGCACTCCTGTGTTGCAGAAGCCAAATTCCTGCGACAAGACACGCATGCATGGCAATCCTGCGGCTTGCTGCGACCTAGGCTTTATCAACGACGCTACCATCGACGAGAGTAACATTACGAGTGCCCAGGGGTCAATCCTTCGAGGGCCCTACCCACGGCATTCTCGACTGCGCCCGTCCTGTTCCGTTAGCCTCGTGCCAATAACTCCCTTGTATAACCTTTAGGTGTGCTGGAGTTTGGACTTCCCTACCTCGAGAATTAGACTTGCAACTTCATCATCGAGTTTGTAAAAGGCGCGAAAAGCACGCGGGTGAGAAAAGCTCTGTTCACTTGTGCAAGGCACCCGCTAGGAGGCGACGGAGCGGTGTGAGAGAAGGAAGTATCCTTTGACTCCTGGTTTTTGTGTCTCCATACGAATGAAGCTGTTGCTTGAATGTATTCTTTCTCGATAACCCGACCCTCATGTCTTAAGAGACTCCGTCGCACCACGCGGCGATCTTCGTAAAGTCTGTCACGGACCTTGACGACTTTTGCTCTTTGTCACTTTCGGACTGATCGTTTGATTTGCGTTGATGAGACTGTCATACTGAACTTGCAAAAAGGACTGCACTAGCCTCGTTCAGGGCCCTACCACGAGATTGACCGGTGGTATTGGCGAGAGGGCATAGTTGAGAATCTCTCGTGCCTACGCTGTTGCAATAATGCCCAGCCAGAAGGCTGCAATGCGTGGGCAGTTCTTTCTAATCCCGGAAATAAGAGCGCCGTACTTTTGACTTTTGATTTCCAAAGCGTCTCGAATGCCCGTTAATTGTGCTCCTACCACGTTGCACGGTACCGCAGGATTGAAGAAGGCACTGCACAATAAAGAGCCACTGCATCCAACGTGCAGCCCATCATGGTACACTGATCACGGACATTGGTCTGGGCCACTGCTTCGGCTGTCGGCTACTTCAACGTCCGACGGCCATTCAAGAAGCTGCAGAGGGAGTCTGTCGTGAGTGATGAGAGATATGACGATGACAAGAACAATAGTACATTCGTGCAACAGATTTCAGGCCTTGCAGTATTCTTCAATAAATCTGAAGGCATGTGCTGAATGTGGTTCCGAAATAGCAAAATATTCTCTGCATTCCAAGTGTGAGGGTAAACTTAACTTCAGCGAAGTCCAGGTTCACTCACATTCCCGTATCAAAATCGAGGTTGCTAGCAGGAACTCCGCTATCTCATCGAGAAGGTCGAACAATGCCTCCAGCATGGAAGGAGTGATTGACCGCCAACACCCACCACGATTGCGGAGTGCAGTGGTGGAACCGAATCGATAAAGGTTCGCCTGGTGCGCTCTGATGGTCTGTGTGCTGCACGGGATACTCTCTCTGCAATCTGCCTGGCTTTGAAGCCCCCATCGGCAAGCATATCCTGGCTGAGGGCGTGTTGCGAGGCTGCAAGGTTCGGCGCCATGAGAGTTACCTGTACCTCGTTCTACTGCCGACAAGTCTACAACACCGAATCGCACGCACAAAGTTTGCACTGAAGGGGAAATGTTGAAGGAACAAGATTTCGCGATCACTCTCTGGGTCACTGCACGCCGAGCTGTACAGTACCTTTGCAAACCATCCCTCGGCAATAGCCCTTTTGATGTTCTGCCAGTTTAGGTGTTAATCGTTTCGTGAAGGTGTCACCCGGCGACAGTAAAGGCTTTCCATAATGATTCTCCGTGCTATAGTCCGCGACGACGGGCACAGGCAGAGTCGTTATAAAAGCGGCACGGTCGGTGTGAATCGCACGTGAGCGTCTTTAGCTGCCAAGAACGCTTTTCGAGGTTGAATCGACGTCACATGCGCAGGCTTTGCGTCTTCTCATTCTTTAGCAAAGTATCCTTTTCACCCCTCTCAGTCAACCGGCATTGACCAGCCTGGCCTCATCCTCTCTCCTCTTCCCCCCCCTCAATGGCCTTTCCCATCTTCACGTTCATCTCTGCAATTCCGGCGAGCCTCATCGCCGACTTCTGACATCGGTTCCGCGCACTCAGATAGACGAACCATGTGGATTCTTCCCCTTGTGGGGTACACCGGCCTCATATTAGGGTTCGGATTCCTCACTCTCTCCATCGCCTCGGGTCTCTATTACCTCTCCGAGCTCGTCGAAGAGCACACCGTTCTCAGTGCGAAACTCCTCAGGCGCCTTATTTATGCCGTGGTTGTTGCACAGTTACTACTCTGGCTCGTCGATGGATTTCCCTGGTATCTCACCTTGTTGGGCGTGGCCAGTCACGGTGTCTACGCGACGAACCTGCGGCATTTCCCCATCGTGAAATTGTCCGATCCTTTCTTTCTGGGCAGCTGTGCCTTGGTCATCCTGAACCACTGGCTATGGTTCCGACACTTTAGCGACGCAACAACAAGAGGAGGGCCATATCGGGGTGCACCACCGAGCAGCAGGAGAGACTGGTATTCGACGCCCCCCTCATATGATCAACCCACATTCACCGAGATTGCATCCTACTTTGGGCTGTGTGTGTGGTTGGTCCCTTTTGCACTCTTCGTCAGCCTCAGTGCCGGAGAGAATGTGCTGCCAAGCATGGGCTCTGAGTATGCCACGGGCGAAAGAGAGGGTGTTGGCTTCAAGAAGGGTCACAGAAGGAAGAATACTGGGATGGCCAAGGCCGCCGTTCATGCTACTCGAGATTGGGTTACGGAGACCGGTGCGGTGATGGGGTTCTGGCACGCTGACAATGTTCGGCCGGTGTAGTGAGAAGAGCTGGATCGAGATTCTACCTCGCCCAGTATCGATCGCTATGTCGTCACACGTGGACACATCAGCTCAAGCTCCGGGTATGACTAGAACCTACAGCCATGCCAGACACCACCCCACGCCCTGTACAGGACGGGACGGGGCTGAAGGAAATTAGGAGTCAAATCCCGTCTATTGGAGTCAACGGCACCGAGTCTGCTGGCCAATAGACGAATCCTCCAGGAGCACCATGGAGAAAAGTATGACCGACGTGGGGAATTGGCGTGGAATTCAGTCAACCTGAAAGAATCACAATTTGCGATCTCTGAGAACCGGTTAGGGCTATGCAGATGCTAGATTTTGATGGAGCATCTCCCGCGATGAATTGCGACCCAGCCGAGCCTAGCAGAGATGCTCGAGATGCTCAAGATTGGATCACAGTCGATATGCCCACACGAGCTGCAGCTTCGACGCTCGGCGCTGCTCCTTTATCGTTGGACTCTGACCGTCCCTTGGTTGCGGGAAGCTGCGGTCTCTGCCATACGGGAGCTTCTGATGACGAAAAGGCATTCCGGGCTCCAGGAATCAAGGGCTGGGATGCAGTACGACTACGAAGCTTGAGGGTTCATACAGCCATGGGATCCGCGCCGCCGAGCGTTGAGCTTCTTCCATCGGGCGGAGGAGAATTGGAGGCACCAGATACCAGGAGTTATCAGTCTATGTACGCACGCGTGCACGCGAGAAGCTAGAATTCACATAATGAGAATGACGAAGAATGACAATGGTCCCAGATACCGGAATTCAACATCGATCGATTGATCCATTCCAAATGCGTGATAGATATAGGTATAGATAGATATATCCCAGCAGGTGAGAGAGATATATATGTATATATATATAGTCGATGTGTCGAGTAATAATACATTACGTATCTCCAGACTCGGGCAGATATACCACGTAATAACAGCCATAGTCATAACCATAGCAATGGCCAAAGAAAGATCAAACCCAACTGACCGACCAACTAACCACCCCCCCCTTCACCAACACGATGGTGAACTTAAGTACCTACTAGTAGAAACACAAGGAAGAAAGGAAGGAAGGAAAACACAACAACCTGGAAGAATCCATCTGTGATTACAAGGAGATCGTATCCCCTTATTATTCCTTTTCTTTTCGCACACATTGCTCTGCTCCACGCTCTCGATCTCGCTCCCCCTTCGCCTCCTCTCGCGTTCCTTATGGAGGACGTTTTCCATTCAATACCCCCATCCTTTAAAGCAATTGCCTCCACCTCCCTCGCACAGAGCTCGGTTTGCAAGTTTTTGCGTTAGAATTATTTGGGGCTCTGATCTTCATGTCCGTCCGGTAAGGATCTCGAACTTTATTATTCCCAACGTTCGTTGTCCTGTCAATGCAGGCAAACTACACCCTTGCCCTCCCCTTGTCTGGAGGTGAGGGCCTCTTACTCACCTCACGAACCCGGAACACCGCCGCCGCCGCCGCCACCACCACCAAGGCCGCTCACGTCGGGCCAGAAGCGCCTCTCGACGTCCAAGATGTGCTTCCACACGGCGCGGTACACGTCCAGCTTGCGGGCGACGGCGTCCTCGCGCTCGGCCAGCAGGTCGGTCAGCTCGGCGATCTCGGCGACAAAGGCCTCGAACGCGCTGCTCGTCCAGTTGGGGATGAATGCGTCACGGAGGGCGCCGCCGTCCAGGTCGCTCGCGTGAGCGGAAGGCTCGTTGCGGCGGGTTGTGGATTCGTTGTTATTGCCCTCGTCGTCGTCGTCGGGGACGTGGCTTTGTTCGTCGGTTTTTGCGTGCCACCCGCCGCCGCCGGTGGTCGTCGTCTCGTTGTCGTTGTCGTTGTTGTGCAATGTGTTGACCTCGCTCCCTTCTAGTTCCGACATGACGCCTTCTGATTTGGTTGTCGTCGTCGTTACCTCCTGTGTATCTCCTCTGGCTACGTCAGTAGTGGCAACAGAAGGCTTCTCCTCTCCAAAAGACCTGGCGTAGCTCCACGCGCTCAGGTACACCGTCTCGGTCGCCCACAGCACCACCATGCCCTCAAGCAAGCTCATGCTGGGGTCGGTCCAAAAGGCGCGAAACAGGTCGATGTATTGCTTTGTGGCCTGCTCGGCGGTGAACATCCCGTCAGCGCGTGTGGGCGCGTCTAACTCCAGGCCGTACTTGGCCGCGGTGTTGCCGAAGAATTTCAGCTCGGTGTGGATGTTCTGCAGGGCGCCCGTCAGGCAGTTCACGATGCGCCAGCGCAGAGACGTCGATTTGTCCGGGACGTTGACGTAGGGCAAGTCAACACGGGCGATGAGAGAGCCGATGAAGCCAATGTAGGCCTGCGCGTACAGCCGGTCTTGAGAGAGCCAGCGCGACAAAGTGTGTTTGGGAAGAGCACCTTGCCCTGCCAGACGGAGGAACGGATGTTCTGTGGCCTGGGCGAACTGTTGCGGGGCGGACGTCAGGAGGATCGTGGTGAGTGACGGGGGAGGGCCTGTTGTGATGGGCGGTGACGAGATGTACGGATGGTTCTGGGCCAGAAGGTGAGAAGGCGGATTGTGTACGTGGCTGCTTGGGTAGAAGTAGGTGGGGGTCGTAGTGGTGTTGTTGTAGGCATGGGGGCTGGTTTGTTGGATGTTGTAGTTCTGGGGATGGGGATGACTCCCTTGGCTCATCACCCCTGTGGTCCCGGAAGAGACGGACAGCTGGTCACTCATGGTGGATTGACGATGAATGTAAGGTCCCGGAGGGCCCTGGTGAGGGTAATAATGTGGTGAATTATTCCACATGCTGGAGAGATGGTCTGCAAGGCTGAGAGCCGATAGCAGGGCTCTAGATGCCAAAGAACTCGCGTGTTCGATGTGATCAACCTGCGCAACAGCCTTGTCCTGGATGCATCTACTAAAAGAGATGCAGAAGTAAAAGAGATCTTATCCGAGGTGCTGCTGTTACACCAAGAGTTGCCGTTGATTCGACCCTCTTTCTTGTCAGGATTCGATGCTTCGCGACAGCGCCCAGAGACGCGCGGTCTGCCCCCGGCCGAGTGGAGCTTTACCGAGATTTGAGAAGCCAGAAAACCAAAGGGTAAGAACAGGTAGGTCAACAGACAGTTAGCGGACCAAGCGACAAGACCCCAGGAATGGTGACGGAAATTGTTTGGTTGTATACGAGACGTTGAGATGGAGGAAGGGACAAAGAGAAGCTCTGGGCCTTGCGGGATGCCTGATGCTCCGGATGAGGAGGTGGAACGAGCCCCGGACCTCGAAATACGAGGATGATATGGGAAGTACGTGATACGAGGTGTTCAGTACCGAGTACTCCGTACCTGTATCCAGGCCCCGTTCGAAGTCGTCCGTATCAATCGGATATCGGGCCTTCAGCTCGCCTCACCAGTTCTCTACAGGGCACCCGAGATTTGCGGCCCAGGAGCCGCGGAACAGGGCGTTTCTTTGGCGCACGGGTGGGACACAAAGGGGGTCACTGGCGATCGGAGGCGGTCCACAAGAATTACGTACAGCGACTCGGTTGCTGAAACGTCTCTGTCCTTGTCCTTCTTATCCTTCTTCCTTTCTCCAAGAAAGAAACCCTCTGGCTCTTCTTCCCTGTAAGATGGACAGTCGTCGTTACGCAGGGCTGCGTGGTGTATTGTACGGCGTCGTTCTGCAGCGGTTGTTGGGGGCTAGCTCCGGCGAGCTTCTCCCGTAAAACACCCAGAAAAAACCCAAATCCGGTCTGTCGGGTATCGAGATCACAATGACTCCGTTGATAGGGTCGAACCAAGACTTCGGTGGACCGGTGGACCTCTTGTCGAGGATTTCCCGCGATAAAAGATATCGAGGACGTCCAGCTAGCTGCACGTCACCCCCTGGTTCCTGGTTCCTGGTTTGTGCAATAGATAAGTGACAAGAAGAGGAAGACACGTCCTGCTCCACGGCCTTTTTATAGCAAGGATTGGAGGAAAGAAGATTGTTTTCTTTCTGGAGGTAAGAGGCCACCAACATCAAGTGACTCCAACGACGTCGAGAAGAGCCACAAGTCTGGTGACGTCGTCGATATAACACACACCTCTGCGTCCACTGTTTGATCTCGTCCGTGGTGTCATCGGAGGCCTGACAATCGATCAATCAATCAATCAGTGACCTCCGTGCCACGGCACAATCCAACCTAACAAACCAAGTGGACAAGATCTGCGACCTGGGGAAAAAGATGCCTCGAGTCTTCCTCATCACCGGCACGTCAACCGGCTTCGGCCACGACTACGCCCAGGAAGTGCTGGACCGCGGCGACATTGTCGCTGCCACGGCGCGCGACCCGTCGCAGCTCTCCTTCGCCAACACGACGCCCGAGACGTACCTGGCACTGCGCCTCGACGTCACGGACAAGGCGTCGATCAAGCAGGCCTTCGCCGCGACGCTGCAGAAATTCGGCCGCGTCGACGTCGTGGTCAACAACGCCGGGTACGGCCTCGCGGGCTGTTTCGAGGAGTGCACCGACGAGCAGATCCGGCGGCAGATGGAGATCAATTTCTTCGGCGTGCTGGACGTCACGCGCGAGGCCTTGGAGACCATGAGAGACAGGCAGACTCCCCAGGGCGGCCTGATTCAGCAGATCACCAGCATCGGCGGACAGAGGGGCGTGCCGTTCTTCAGCATCTACTGTGCCAGCAAGTGGGCTGTCGAGGGCTTCACCGAGGCGCTCAGCCACGAGGTGAAGCCCGAGTGGGGGATCAAATTCACGCTGATTGAGCCAGGCGGGTTCAGGTACGTTTTGACGTCGTCCTCGCTGCCGTGGTATTCGCGGGTTCTCTACGTGAAGCCTCTCAATACATGGAATGACATTATATGTGCGGATGCTAACATGCCCTCCAGGACAGACTGGGCTGGCCGCTCAATGACCTTCGCCACCCGCCACCCTGCCTATGACCGTACGTCTCTGCTCATCTTGTCCCTGCTCTGTCTGATTTTGCTCGTCCTCCGTTACCCATCACTCACGATGACCACAGATCTCAACGCCGAGAAACACATGACTGCCCGCCATGGTACCCAGGCAGGAGATCCCAAGAAGGGTGCAAAGGCCATGTACGAGTTGGCCATCATGGCCAACCCGCCGTTACGTGTCGTCATCGGGACCGACGCCTACAAGGCCGTCATGAACAAGCTGGACCAATACGAACAGAACTACACCAAGTATGCAGCACTCAGTAATTCGACGGATGTGGACGGCTATGTCGCGCCCTAATAGCTTGGGAGACATCACAAGCAAGGCACACCGAACCACCCTGTCTTATTATAGCTGCACTAGATTTGATGAGAGGGATGGATGCTCGGCACAGCTCCTCGAGGCCCGTAGGAGGACTCCAGGGTGGTGCATTCCAAGGGTCCTATTTGCTAAACGAACATGATGCACATACTTCCTGTGTCTAAACAGTTGTATTCCCTGCTCCAGGTGCCCCGTGTCCTCTCCTGATGCAACTGCCCTCCCGTGGCAAGCATGAATCCAGGTTCCGTGCGGTCCTTTGGCCACTCTTTGGTTGTTGGGGGTGTAAAAAGAGATCCGTAATGTACATATACACAATGGTGTAGAACAAGTTGCACAACAAACACAATCATCTGGCCCATCATTCAATGAACTCATTCCCGCCCCGTCCCTAACCAGTTTTTGTCCTTGCCTGTTTTCCCCGTCGCGAGCACTGGGATCATCATGGTGCCGTCACATTGCTCTGTGCCTATGTGTCGACAGCCCCTTCCAACCCGCCGTCTTGCCTCAACGCCAAAGACCGTGCACACGCAGAGAACGCCTGTTCTTTGAACCCGCGATGCTCCGTCGAATAAAATGAGCTAAAAAGAGAGAGGGAAAGAATAAAGATGCAACACGAGGGGTATCTGTAACATGCCCAAGCAAAAATGTTAGAATCGGATAAAACCCCGGCAGCATTCCCTAATGCTTTTTTGACTGTGCCATGTTTTCACTTTTCGTATTCGAACTCCACATCGAGCCCGGGCAATATCTGTAAGGTCATATTCACTTTTCCCGTTCCGGCTGGCTTGGTTGGCGAGCAAAATCGTTGTTGCTTAAGAGTGCTCTGTATCATTTTGAAAGACGTTTCAAACCCGTTGCTGTTGTTGCTGTGTGGCGCTGGCCAATTGTTGCTTCAATGAATTAATCTCCTCCTGCATGTTGTTGATCCGTTGCTCGAGGCTCGTCACGTATGCCCAGAGCCGTTCCTCTTGCGCAAACATGGCCTTGGACGTTTCTCCACTGCCATGTCCGGAATGACCGTGACTCGATAGACTGTTGCTGTGTGACGATAAAGGACCACTGCCACTCATGTGGGTAGGCGGTCCGCTAGGCTGAGTAGGAGGATGCGCCGGCCCACCTTGACTGGGCAGCGTATACCTCGCATCCGGCGGGTTCAGCACATGGGGAGGTGGTAACTGTGGACCGCTCGAAGGGACACCCAGAGAGGAACCCGAACCTCCGCCAGACCGGGCGTGCGGTTGTGGATAAAAGGTCGTGCTGGGCGAACGGTTCCGACCGATGCTGCCATCACCTCCAGAAACCTGGCCACCCCTCTGCATTTGACCAGGCGAAAGCGGCTTTGGGCTCTCTGTCATGGGATTCTGCGGGTAGACGGTGCCTGGAGCCGAGGGCCGCGAGCTGGAGGATGACCCAGACATGGGGGGGAATGGCATTGCTGCAGGTGAAGGCACGGGGGCATTGCTGGGACCCGCACCTTGTTGGTTGAACCCAGACCGAGGGGGATACTGACCACTGGCGATCCCTCCAGGAGGGCGGCCCTGTATCGGAGGATATGTACTCGGAATGCGAGATGTATGAGCAGGGTCGTCCAGCGTGTCGTCTCCCGAGGGTGCTTGTCGGCGGATACCCGGTCGTTTGTCATTGCCCTCTTCATCCTCGAGAGGTTCAGGTTCGCCGTACACCACGCCCTCCATCGATTCGTCCGCGTCAGCCTCTTCCTCCCCACCAAAACTGCCCATGCTGGATCTCCGTCCGGCACAACCTCCCGGCCCTTTGTTATGGCGGGCCAAAGCATCGCCCCGGGCAAACTTGCGGCCACATTTGGGGCAAATATGGGGTCTTTCGCCGGTGTGAAGCTTGGTGTGTCGCTTGAGGTCGTGGAGTCGCCGGAAGCGCGAGGAGCAGGTCGAGCAGACGTAGGGTTTTTCTTGGCTATGTGTTAACAGATGGCTCTTCAGATTGTGATGACGAGTAAATTCGGTCGCGCAGTAGGGGCATCTGTGCTTTTTGCTGGAAGGAGATTTTGTACCTTGTCGTGTACCGGAATGAGGCAAGCTCATCCCTCGTCTAGCAGCGTTTTCCGCTCCTTGTGGTTGTAAGAATGGGGTCGGATACGAGAGCGCCCCCAACTTTGCAACACCGCCGGGAGAGGTAGAGCCTGCCTCTGCATTCACGACCTGACGGACTGTTTCTTCGAGCGCAAGCGGACTACCCACTGTGGTGGTCATTCCCGAGACGGCTGGCATGCCTTCTAGGGTTCCCAGCGTCCCGCCACTCGACATACTCGTGGGGCTGGTTAGCGCTGCATGGTTGTCTCCAGAAACAGAGCCTTCCGGAACAGACCCAGTCGGTTGCTGAATATTTTCTGCAACGATGGCTAGTGGTTCGCTGACGGTGGTTGCGGGATCGGAAGGGATGTCAGACATCGGCTCGGGGGCTTTGCTCGTCACATTCTGATTTGCGCCCATGAGCGCGTTTCGGGCTTCGTGAGGCGGGTTCGGACTTGTCCCAGATGTCGGCGGAAGCTTAGATGGAGATGTATGCTGTTGTGCCTCAGCGAAAGCGGCTGCGGCGGTCATGAGAGGGCTTTCGAGCTTGGGTCTCTTGCCAGGTCTCGACGACTCTTCAAAGTCGTCGCGCGAGCTGGCCCGGGCTTTTGAGAAGCGTTGCGCTGAGCTAGGTGGTCTAACGAACGTGGGGGATGTAGGAGCAGAATGCTCTGGGGATATTTGCGGATCTGGGCTGGATTCAGCCATCAACAAGATCTAAAGCCACAAGATTCACCGTAGCCTACATAAATAGTCAGCGCGAAGGTTCTTGAGCCCAAGGTTGTGCATTCCACATCTCTTGTCGTGTCAGGCAATGCTTCGAGACATAGAGACTGGGAACAGGCGGCCATGGACTATTCAGAGGCTTGAAGGGAGAGCAATGGGAGTTGCGACATGATTACTGACGCTTGAGGATGGCATACCTTTTGCAGGGCGCATAGGTTGGACCGTGCTGGACTGCCCGAGCTGGAACAAAAAGGTGGGCTGAGCACGAGGCAGTTTTCAGCCTCACGGCAGAGCAGGCTGTCTTATTGTACGGATTGACAGGTCGGCAAGCAGACGCCGACGAATCTCTTTCTTTTTCTTCTCCCTATCTCTTATACACCAGGCAAAAAGCGATGCGCAGCATGTTATGGAGGCGCAATGCCTGTGGTTGGCCAGTTTCTCGGCGGTTTGGTAGGGTTCAAGTGCGAACTGGATTCGAAAGGCGAGGCTGAGACGTTTCGAAATATGCGTGCTCTTAGGCGTTGGGGAAAATGGACAGCTTCGACCTCAATTCAATGAGCGGCTTCGACCGAGTTCCAAGGGACCAAGTGAGGAAGAGAACGAAAGTGCGAAAAGGCGACAGGAGCAGAAGGTCGGTTTTCGACGGTGAGGGGAAATGGTCAAGGAATTGCGCGCCACTGGATGCGACAGAAATATGGCCGATCTGCGGCGCAGGAGAGGTCGTTCTGGTTTTCGCAGCTGCTGAAGTCGTATACGGGAAAGGGCGAAGAGAGGGACTGAGGCGACGAGGGCAGTGGAATAACTGGTAGCCAGGTACTTGTTTGGCCGAAGCGAGGTGAGCGCTGGACGGAGTAAATGCTTTGGAATGGTTGGCAGCAGGTGGGATCTCTCTCAACGGGATAGCCGAATTGAAATGACGAGGATCGTTGACTGTTTGGTTGACTGCAATCTGATGAATCGCGATGGGGAGCGGGGGTCAAATTTCGAGAATATGAGAGGCTCTTTGGTGTCAGATCGTCAGATTTTTTGACTTTTGATCGCAATGGTTTCCTAACCCAACGGCTCGCGACCAGCCGAGTGGGAAAGGAATAGAAAGATGAGTGACGGGCTCGTGTGGTTGTGAACCGGCCCAGTGGTCGAGGGCGGCGGATGGAAGTGGTGACGGTATTCGGGTGGAGCTGCGACGAGGAGAGGTCGAGTGGCTCAGGCAGGCAGGCCCGTGCTGAACGAACTAATAAAAGGGTCCTGGCTCTTGGGTACACCCTGGCTGGTGGATTCTGCTTGGAATGGGTTGGGGCTTTAGCTGGTGGGACTTTGACTGGACTTTGACTTGTTCAAAAGGATGCTCCGGAACCAGTGTGTTGTCTGGTTCGACGGAAAGATGGAGAGCAGGGGGATGATGAAAAAGGAAAAGAGGCGCAGGCAAACCGAATCGTGGTACGCAAGTGGGATCGGAGACTGGGGGGAAGAAAAAGAGGCAGGTTCAAGAGGCCCTGGCAGCTAAGAGCTGCAGGAAGCTGGACGTGGATTCGTTTTAACTTGTCTCTCTTTAGCCGGGGTGGCCACAAGCGGCTCGAAGATCGTAACGCAAAAAAGATAAACAGGTGGCGTCAAGGACGAGGAGTAAGTAGTGCAGGGGAGCAGGACTACCCCGTAACACCACCACCCCTGTGTCGCTTCGGGCTTTGAGCCACTGATTGACGGTGGGATCCTTTTGATTGACTTTGGACGGTTTAGATGTGGCCGATGGGAGGAGAAAGATCAGCCCTCAAAGTTTTGGGACGAGAAGAGATGATTCGTGAATAAGAGGATTGATTGACAAACGTCCCTGCGAAGAGCAAAGTGTGGCAGAGGTGGCAGAGTGGCAGAGTGGCAGTGTGGCAGTGATGAGGAGCTTCAGCCAGTGACGCTGCCCTATGACGCGCCTCGGCCCCAGGAACGGGCGCCCGCTGCAGGTTTGAGGAGGCTTGTGGCAGCCTGTTTGTTTTGGGGGCCGCTTCATGACAACTTGCCTCCAGCACCTCGTACAAAGTACCTATCTACACTGCCCATAAAAGGCTCCCTAGGTTTCTTGTCCCTGGGCCCCCGGGGCCCGGGAGGTACGGTACCTACCTCGCTACCTTCACACTTACTTAGGCATAGTGCACACCCAGCTCAGTACTTGTATTATGGGTGTTCGTTCCTTGCTCGCACTTCACCCTCACCTTTTCTCTCCTCTCTGCTGGCATACCGATTGACATACATCCTCCTTGGATCCCAGCTTCCGAATGACGCCATGGCATCGGTGGCTGCCTTGGTGGCTGGTAAGTGCCCAGCCAGCCAGCGTAGTGCCGCTGGCACTGGTGCTTCTTTCCACCAATCGTCCTCATTCAGCTCCAACTACCTCGTACTCGGGACAGCACGTCCACCGCAACCCACCACCACCACCACCAATACCACTAATCAACCTTGTGTGAGTGAGCCCTTGGTGAACCCTCGCAACCAATGTCACACGCTCTTGGTCGCTGTTGGTTAGAGTCCAGCTCTGCTCCATTTTCTGCTTCGAATGGTGCCTCCCAAATCGTCAAGGTGCCGTCCTGTTTCGGCCAGGTTGTCGACTCGACTCCATAAATCCTCAGTCGTCCTTGGGTCCTGGTGGCGTCCACTACGCCGGAAAAGGCCTCCTCCACACCTCATGACTGGAAACAAATAATAGGAGGACAAGGCTTTCAGGTACCGTGGCTGACATGCTAACGCTCAGCTTGCGTTCGAGTCGCCAGTCTCACGAAAATTCCCCGATCTCCCCTCTTGTTGTGATCTTCGCCCCTCTTAGCGGACAAACCCATTGATTACTCGTGAGTGAATCTGTCCTTCACGAGTACTGTACGCAGTCCCCCAGGGTTCAACGTGAATAATAATGAGACACACACACCTGCGCACGCATATGACGCGAAGAAGCAAGCCGGACGTCACAGAGCCATTTGGGGTGAATGCTTTTCGGCCTCCTCCCAAAGGCGGTGTCGACCGCACACAGGCCTCGCCTTTCATTTTCTCAGAATAAGGTCACCTGTGTTAAACACCCAATACGAGGTACTCGGTGAGACACCTTCAAGACCACCGAGCGTGGCCGCAACCCATGTCGTGAAGTCCTCGTGCGAATATTCGCATGCAGGCTCTTGAGCCCTGACAATTTGCCGAACGAGCGAGCGGAACAGGGCATATCCCCGCCGCGCCCGCAGTCATTCTCTCCTAGGTAGTCTGGTGGCTTGTTAGCTCTCCAACCTCCCCATGCTTGCTGGGCTTCCTTCGACACATGAGCCAGTGGAAGCTGCCGGTTTCATCTAAATCCCGAACTCGCCGATTACCACCAGACGACAAGCACCGAACGCGTTAGCCAGATTAACGACAATTGCATTGTCCAACGGACTTCCCACAGAACAACGTTTCGGTAGTCACTGCAGATCTTCAATCGGCCTCAGCTGCCATTCCCGTGGTATATTATCACATTGAACTGCTGAGAGGTTCTTAACGGAGGCACTGGGTATTCATCCTAACCTCTAACGCTATTATGTCAGATATGTCGTTTGGCAAAAGGTAATAAGTGAGCCCTTGTCTGTTCCACAGCACGCCCAAATCCTCCAGATTGTGCGCTTCGGCCAGAAACGGCAGATACGCCGGTCTTGATCCACTCTTTTCTGGTACGTCGGTCCAGTCCTCCATCGCTGCTACTGTGATGATTCTTCCAAAACCTCCGGAGGGTTAGACCGTTCGAGTTTGGCAAGACGACATCTGAAATACATTTTCTTCCCCAGACCACTTCGGACAGGGGGTCTCAATCCAGACTTTTTTGAGTGCCACACTGCCGAACACTTCCTCATATTGGACCCCAGTTCAGCTTGTTGTCCATGGCGTAATTCGATCTCCAACCTTGATGCGAACAGGCGGGCAGTGAGACAAATCCTCTATCGCGCCACACGGTTTCAGACACATGTGCATGCCAAACCAAACTCGGCCTTCCTTTCGTCTCGTCTTCGCCAGGGTACTAAAAGGCTCTTGCCTCCGTTGTGCGTTTTTCTGGTCTACACAGACCATTTGACAACGTTGGCATGGCCCCAGAACTTCAAAAACGTTCGCGGGATTCTCTCCAATCCGTACGCCTGTCCACTCATCCTCAATGTATGGCGTCTCCATCTGTCCCCGTTCAAGTTCTTCAGCAATGACCACATTGCCACGGAAAGAGTCGGCTGTGACAGCCTTGCCGACGCCACCGTTCTGCTTGATCTGCTCATTGAGGCGGTTCACACTGGAACGAGAAACAAGCAAGATGGGGCTTTCATTGGACAAGGCGATTGATTTTCCAACCTCGGTGGCTTGTTTCCCACGATGCATCCCGGGCACTCGCACTCTCGCCTGTCTGATGGTGCCATTGTTTGGAAACCTCGCAAGGGTGCAGGGGACCCCTAACGCTTCGGTGAAGAATTCCACCACTTCGGGAGAAGTGTACACGTGAACTTCAACATTCTCGCCACATACATTGGATGACCTGTTGGTGGTGCGTTCGCATGTAGAAATGGTGCCCGCGCGTACAGGACGCGAGTCCAGACTAAGGTCCAGCGTTTTCTTGTTTTGCGACGACTCGGGTACGAACGAGATCCGAAGGACGCTCCTTTGGAGATCGATCTCGGGTTGAATGAGCGCCATCCTTGGGAAGCGCTTCTGACTCAGCGCAACGTTAGTGCCCTCGTGTACCAAACACCATTCTCGATCCCAAGCAAGTCCTTTTGGACCCACTCCCCACAGGACATCGCTAGGGACTCTATATGCCGCACAACTTTTGATGGGAAAGACCGAGAGGCTCTCTACCACAAAACCCTGCTGCGTCGGAGTCGGACCAGCCACTGAGGAATGTCTTACTGGCTGTACTGGTCTGCCGTGGTGCACGTAGAACTCTTTGATAAAATCGATAAAAGCCACCACATCTTTTAGATTGCTCATCGCACCCAGACTCAGCCGAATTGCACCCGTTGGTTTGCCATTGATGATGTCGTTCTCATCCCCACAACGTTGGCCTTCGGCGTAATTCTGCCGCAGCTCGTCGGTGGAAAGCCCCAGGTCGCGTGCGATGCCGCCAGGATTGCAGAGACCGCCGGTTCTAAACTGTATGTTCTTCACAATGCCAAGTTTCTCTACCTCCGAGTTACTTATGTATCGGCCGTGGCTGTCCATCAGATTCAACGCAATCGTCGGTCCTTGCGCAGAAGAAAGCACTGGCTCATCAGAGTAGATGACACAGACCTTGCTTCCGTTGGCGTGGTGGAGGTTGCGGAGCTGATCTTCAAGCATAGAAGCCAGGAAATTGGCATGCCTCGAGACATTCTCCATTGACCCGTACAGTCTCCTATGCACGTCCAGAGCCGTCTGCAAGGCAAGGATGCTGTGGAAGGCCACAGTCCCGTCCTCGAGACTGCTGTGCAACGCCGGGATCTTCTTCGCATGCCAGCTTTCGCCTAACATTGCGACTGAGTCTACCGTTCCTCCGCCAAAGTACCTGCGTCGTCGGAGGATGTCGCCAGAGGACTTCCGCACTATCAACGCCCCTAGGTCCGGAAAGCCGAAGATCTTGTAGAAGCTCAATGCCGTGAAGTCCGGTGCTGTTGTGTCATCTGAAAGGTCGAGTGGAGCCGTTGATACCAGGGCGGCAGCATCGAGAAGAGTATAAACGGTTTGGTCTGGAGACTGTGTGGCGTCGCGTATCCTTTGAGTCCATTTCAGGGGCAACCGGCGGCCGGTCATGTTTGATTGAGCGGGATAGGCAAAAAGTGACAGATCCGCCTTCACGGTGGATGATTTATTTTCCATCCCTTCCAGCCACGCCTCCACTTCTCCGTCATCGGCAAAGCAGTTCGTCTCCCCTGTCGCCAGCTCCCTCACGCCCACAAGACTAGTATGGGCCTCCGAATGATAACAATAACTGAAGCCGGGAGCATGGTCTCGGAAAGACTCCCCAACAAGCTTGATGGCTGCCGTCGCATTAGCAACGAAGACCAGGTCGAATTTGTTGGGATCGGCGTTGAAGAAGCGCAAGACCTGGAGGCGAGCATCGTCGATGCGACGAGAGGACAGTTGAGACGACGCTGAGGCGGAATGTGGATTGCCGAACAAGCTCCCTGTCAGATCCTCGGCGTATTTCTGGATCAAGGACTTTGCATACGGCGTTGTCCCTGCATGGTCGAGATAAGTCGTATCTCTTAGCTGGGGGTATTCTGCCTCTCTGATATCGTCAATATTCGTGACATAGCCCGTTTCTGGGTTGATTTCCGCTTGAACTTGCGTCCCTCCCAAAGAAGAAGGCACTTTCACAACGTCCATCATGGTGGCCATCGCTGAAATACCTGCCGATATCGACGGGCTGAAGTCGGCGTAGCGGCACCGCCCATTGATCTCTAGAGAAGACAGAATGAGAGTCGAATATATCCGTGCTGTCTTCTCAGAGATGGCGAGGCAGTCAAAGGCAGGAAAAGAAACTGTAGATGTACGAGTACGAGATGAAATGGTCAGCGGTGGAGGATGAAGACGACAGAGAAAGTCATGAAGAGGAGGGCGAATTCGGCCTTCTCCGATGACCGAGAGACCTGTCACGTGACTATCTTCTGATTGGTGCGGAGTCCCGCCCTTATCTCATCTTGAATGTGTCACTTTTATCCTCTTCCTGTCGATAATGCGTGAATGTCATACATCGACTCAAGTCAGCGTCAGCCAGGAAGAACTCTATACAGCCGTCGACGGCGGTGCAAAGCTGGTGAGATATTGCAGACGACGACGGAATGCTCTTCTCAGCCTATCCCGAGTCGCCTTTTCGGTCACACTTATTGGAAATCCAGCGGGGGATAGGATAACTCTTCGACTTCGGGACAATGTTGGACGGGATTTAGTCAAAACATGTTCAGCACCGGATTTAGAGCAGCGAGCTTCAGTGCAGCCAACCACTACCGCATCTGTGCGGGCAGAGCTTAGATGCCACACCGCCGTTCGATTGACTGATCTCACCATGATGCAGAATATGGCGCCTCAGAGAGGAAGACCCCCTTCTGTACCTTTGCGCACATGAAGATGGCAGCGTTTATGCTTCCAGATACAGGCTCAGAGTTCCTGGATGCAATGGCACTCTGTTGACTCTGTTGGAATCGTGCTCGGGCCCTGGGTGAACAGGCCGAGCTAGTCCAGATCTGGGTATGAGGCTTGGCTTTACCCAAGTCGTCCCTTCGTCTTCAACATCCGCCATTTCTTGCCTTCAGGGTATCTCACCTGTTCCCATCTTCTACCGAAACTCCGCGACAAAGGATGGCATAATGCTCGGCGCAGGTGATTTTAAAGCGTTCAAGATGTTGAATGCACGGCATTTGGAGATCCTGCCCTGCCGACGCTATCCGCTTCCAGCACGGAGCTTCACAAAGCCTTCCTTGGCTCGTCTTTTACCCTGCTTGGCTTGGACATTGAGGCTAAATGGTCCTTTGTTTGAACCTCCATCGCCAGTCCAGATCATGCAACCGGAAAGTATGCAGGTTCATGATCGACCCCTCGGTCTATTCTGGTTGGACACTGGAAACATGTGGCTTGAAGTTCCTAGGTCACCGTCGGCCGTCATTCGACCACAGGATGAGCCAAGGGCTTCCGGGCTGACTGTCGACCTTTGGAAAAGCTCCTGTGCGAGGCTGTCGCTGGTGGATGTAACCAAAATCATCGGATAACGTCGACGATCGACGACCACTGCCGTGTCTAAACCCTCCACGATAAACCCCAGATTCCCAATTCTCCACCTTGAGAGCTCCACCGCCCAGACATATTGGTCCTCTTGTGCCATTGCCAGGTATTGCTCTCTTTCTTGCGGTCTCCAACTCGGGTGATATAAGTTTCAAGCGAGGATAAATTTGCCTTCACCATGTCGTGGCGGCGGCTGTTTTCTGGAGTTTGCCTCCAAAGAATAGAAATAAGAGCTACGAGCCCCTCGGCCACCTTTGGGGAAAGAATTTTCTGTTCTTGCCCCCAGTACTGTTGAGATTCCCCTCGTATTCATCATGGCTACTACCAAGATATTCAAGCCCGCCACCCATGAGGTAGGGGCTTCCGATCCCATTCTCACTCGCATTGCCCAGGAAGACAAGGTGCCCTGGTATCGGAAGCGGAACTTGCGATATCTCTACTTCATGCTCTTTCCGACATGTATGGGCATCGAGTTGACTTCCGGCTTCGATTCACAAATGATCAATGCCCTCCAGATTGTGCCATCTTGGATTGAATGTACACCTCCTGTCCGGCTGGTACGCAACGAGAAACACACTAATCTGTTCGATCGCAGATTTTGGTGACCCCGAAGGCTCATTGAAAGGCATCATTGCCGCTGCATATTCGCTTGGAGCCATCTGCTCTCTCCCTTTTATTCCGATTGTCAATGAAAGGCTGGGAAGACGGGGATCGATCTTCCTCGGCTCCCTCATCATGGTCGTCGGTGCCATCATTCAAGGATTTGCCCGCAATGGTCTGTTCTGTTCTGTGGTACTGCTAGGTGATTTGCATGCTAACATGAGCTTCAGTTGGCATGTACATCGCCGCCCGTCTGATTCTGGGCTTTGGGATACCGACTTGCATTGTGTCTGGCTCTGCTCTGATTGGTGAACTCGGGTATCCCAAGGAACGCCCTGTGTTGACCTCTCTATTCAACGTGTCCTATTTCATAGGCAAGTCTCTTCTCCAGCTGAGAATATTCTGGTCGTGGCCACCAAGCGGAAGTCTTCGTCGTCCGTTCGCACTGCTAACAGGCCGAAAACGGCAGGTCAAATCGCTGCCGCTGGCATCACTTTCGGAACGAACAGCATCGCGAGCAACTGGGCCTGGCGCATTCCATCTCTGCTGCAAATGGCCCCGTCAATGTTACAGATCTGCTGCGTCTACTTTTTGCCCGAGAGCCCCCGTTGGTTGCTCACCAAGGACCGCACCGAGGAGGCGTACGACATCCTCGTGAAATATCACGCCGAAGGTGACCGGGACTCTGACTTTGTACGCGCCGAAATGGCTCAGATGCAGACCACGATCCGTCTGGAGCTGGAAGCGTCGAGGAAATCTTGGCTGTCGGTTGTGCAGTCCGCAGGCATGCGCCGACGTGTGTTCATCTCGTCTTTCCTCGGACTCTTCACCCAGTGGTCGGGCAACACCTTGATCTCGTACTACCTCGGCGACTTGCTGGCCATGATCGGCCACACGGACAGCATCTTCAAACAGAAAATCAATCTCGGCAACTCGTGCTGGTCGCTCGTGTGTGCGTTCACGGCCGCGATGCTGGTGACCCGGTTCAAGCGCCGCACCATGTATCTCGCGTGCACTTGCAGCCTGCTCGTCGTCTACATCTGCTGGACCGTGACCATGCAGCAATCCATCGCGGCCGTCGAGTCCGGCCGGACAAACACGGCGGCGGGCACCGCGACCATCTTCTTCATCTTCCTCTACGCGCCGTGCTACAACATCGGCTACAACGCCCTGACGTACACGTACCTCGTGGAGCTGTGGCCGTACGCGGAACGGTCTCGCGGCATCTCTGTGTTCCAACTGTTCGGCAGGCTGGCCGGGTTTTTCACCACGTTCGTGAACCCCATCGGCCTGAAAAACATCAGCTGGAAATGGCTGATTACGTATTGTTGTTGGCTGGCTTTTGAGATCTGCTTCGTGTGGTTCTTCTTCCCCGAGACGGCCGGCCGGACGCTGGAGGAGTTGGCCTTTTGTAAGTGTCGCCCACTGCAACGCCCTCGGGTTTTCAAAACTGAACTGATCTCCCCTTTCTCTTTGCTGCCCTGCCCCCCTCCCTCTTCCTCCTCCTCTTCCTCTCCTCCATTTCGAGCGTTGCCCTAGATCATCACCGCGTTGTACCCGCTAACATTCGTCCAACAGTGTTCGAGGACAAAGCTCTGGCCGACCAAGCCGTCATGGCCGTCGAGAAGGTGGTGCACCATGAAGACATGGACCCTGTGGCGCTAGACTCGAAGCACGCTGAGATCGGACACGCCGAGGTCGTCGAGGCCATCGCCGAAAAGCCGAGCAAGGTGTAATAGAGGCGGCCAGCCAAGTTTCCTCACACACTCAGCCAGCCAGTCAGTCACCCACCCACCCATATCGTGTGGCAGTCAGCCTTGGGCTGGCGAAGCGAGAGCGAGGGATCCTCCTCGTGGGGGGATAAACAACAATCAGAACAGCACACAACGTACGGCGAGGCGCGTGGGGAGTAAGAAAGGAGAGGTTACAATAACGACATGCCCCGAGGGTCGATGCGGTCTGGGAGTTCATACACGTATGTGTGTCGGTATGTGTGTGTGTGTGTGCGCGAGGACACTTGTGTATCCGGGATGGCGGTTGTGAAGGGAGCTTGTCAGAGCGAGCAGACAGACAGACAGACCCACAGAGATAGAGGTCGAAATACTCACTCGATCGCCGTTCTCTATCTGTGTACCATAGCACCTGCTCCGGAGTGTCCCGCGCGAAATGTACTGAGTATGCCATGCAATAACATCATGAGTTGTATCCTAGGAGGAGGATGGCCACACTGACGGTCTGTCCAGGGTAGGATCGCAGAGCATACGGGCTCAATAGCTGGATGAACGACGTAGGGAGGAAGCACCCGATATAACGGATTCGTCATTTTTATTTTTTTAATTTTTTTGGTCTGACTTGCAACCATTCCGCCTCGTGAGAGAGAAATGCTGTACACTTTCCTGTCCCTCATACGCTCTCCCAAAATCGTCATCAATATCCTCGTGAACAGCGTCATCCGAGCATCCAAGCGATCCACTTGCAAAATCAACCCTCTGCGTCGCTAATACAGTCAAGTCGCCCAAGAGACCGAGCCGCTCCCGGCCTATATTCGCCACAAATAAAGAAAATTCGTGAGGTCTGGTTTTGCAGCCAGTCCACCTCTTGGAGAAATAGCACCCCGTCCCTATCTCTTGCAGAGTGTTCATCCCACCTAAACGACGTATCGGTGGCGGCTGCTGCTCCTTCTCGATCCAGAACGAGAGTGACCCCGCCGGCTGCTGTGTCGCGTCCGCCGGACCTCCTTTGTGACGACCACTCTCTCGTGCCGGTGGAGAAAGAGGGCCAGAACGAAGGTGAAAAAGAAGAGGATGGTATTCATTATCCCCAAGGCCCAGGATGCCTTCAGCATCGCGCAGTTCTTGTTGAGATGGAACGCCCATGACGACCCGCTGTTCAGACCGTAATAGCCAAAGGGACCGAGGTTGATGAAGATGGATCCGGAAGTGAAGTTGGCGCAGTTAGCGTCGTCGATGCCTCTGAGCTCGACATCGGCGGCAATGAAAGCGCCCACGAAGCAGAGGTCGACGAATGCGACGAACAGGGCAGATCTGCGGGTCGAGCCGAGGCGGAGGAGGGTCACCAGGGCCCAAGCGCAGGCGAGCACCGAGACGATGAACAAGGTCAGGATGAAGGATGGCGTCAGTTGGTTGTTGTCGTCGAAGCCATCGACAAACCAGGCCTGGAGTGCGGTTGTCAGTTAGATGTCTACCTTGACGTGGCACTCAGGTACCTTGGGGAGAAGAAGGGGTCGTACCAGCATGCCAATGACAGGTATTAATGTGACAATCTCCACGAACCTCCAAAAGCCGAAGAGTAACCCGCCGAGCATCTTGTCTCACGATATTGTATTAGATCAAACACCGACGTCGTAGATGGTGGTCGACTTTGCGACAGTGAAGGTCTCAACGGACAACGCAGACGGTCCTGCCTTCGTCACCCAATATATTTATCCAATGGGTGCGGGGTCACGCTGATTGGAGAGCGCAAGAAGATGCGATTCGCGCAAAAGCAGGATTTCGTGGACGAGATTTCCAGCTCCGGATAGGATATACGAGGTACACAGAACAGAGTACGAAAGAAATGCTTTGGAGAAATGCGAGAGGATGGGTGTCTGGGATAGATGGGAGGAGCAGGGAAAGAGGAGGCTGGGACGAGTACCTCGTAATCGGTCGTCAAGGTCAAAAAGATCCGGCAACGAGGACATGGTGAAGGCGTTTAGGCGGGGCGTCCTTTAATTATTATCACTCCACAGGGAGTCAGAATGGCAGTGGCTGGGCATTGGGCGCACTACGGCTGGTGGGCTGGAGCCTTCCCGGCTATGCAGTCACCCATCGTCATCGCACATGCGCAATTGGTGCAGATGGACTTCGGCAACTTACGCTGTACTTCTGTCTGCGGTTGGTGCCTCACTAGCCCTTTCCCCCCCAAGTTTCTTTTTGCTGGCTTCATGCTGCTTTCCCACGATTTCTTGTACAGTCGGTCTCGAAACCGGCTTCCCTTCACAAACATATCAAGTGTTTCTCCAACGGAAAAACTAAGGACCGGAGTAGCCACCTTTCCTAAAGAGATATAGCTTTGCGCACATGAATAGCCAATTATCGATAGGTGATATTGGAATGTCGTTATCCAATTACGTGGGCTTGTTCAAATAGATTCAGTCATGAAAGCTTTCAATACGATCCCATACCGTATTCAACGAGAGGTCTAAGGGCGGCACGGACTGGGGTCACTTACTCGTACCATCGACAGGATGCAGCGCCACATCACTCAGGCCATCGGAAATAATGCAGTTAGAAGCTGGACAGAATATCGCAGGTGCAAGATCGAAGCCGCCACCATGACAGTCTTCGATCCTCGAACAGATTGGCAGTTCATTCCAAAAGTCAATGAGTCGATTAAGCTGCTTCTCCCACCCTCGATTCTCTTAATCAATAGTCTCCTAGGGTGCTGACGCATGTGGAAAACCAATCTCAAACCAGACATGGTCACGATCGAAGAGTTTCTCGAACGAAAGAATCCAAGTCTTGATAGCAGTCATAATATGGTTGGGTCATTACTGAGGATGGAGTAACCGACTTTTTGACCACTAGAGATTCTATTGGGCCCGGTCTTTCGACATCAAGACACCCACGAACCCCCGCTGCAACTCCGGGCCATGCACGTATCGCCTCTGACGACACTGATCTCAGTTCAATGATAGCTCCATTATAGATTACCACCCACAGCTATCAAGATGAACCCCCAAATGTGGAATATCAGCCGATCAAGGCCAAGTTCATCTCGTGGCGGGAAGGTAATAAGGGCCTAAACGTCAAGAAAGCCCTCTTTATGCTCTTCATGCTTGCCGGCGCACCTAGGGGCCCAAAGTTCGTTCAGACTAGTTGTCCTCCACTCGATTTTTGGTCGTTGGAAGGGAAGATCTTTCGTCACAACTCGACTGGCCGAGTATGCGAGCATCTTCAACCGAACAGTCTTCTGTACGATATCTCAGGGTCGACTGCCGATCCGCCTGCGTTGGTCGAAGACACGGAAAATTTTTTGCGGTCGAAGGTGAATCTATAGCTGGGTTGGTACAAGACAACAAGCGTGGTAAGCGGAGGAAACTTGAACCTAAATAAGTCGAATGTGTTGATGCTGAGGTGATACGCTCACGGATTTAAGTGTTCAGTCGCCATCTACTCATAATCTTGCTCTAAAAGGAACCTTTTGTAAGCCTGAGCAGCCGTCTGCCACGTCCCTTGGAACGGTAACGTTAGCACATCACCACCATCCACAAGAATCCCTGGGCCGATCCAGTTTCGCCGCTCAAATGCACGAAGGCTATATCCCATATAATGAGCCAGGTGCATCCACTGCTGCATTTTGCCATTGTCTAACGGCGTGTCCGGTGTGACCAATTTCTTTATGATCCCGAAGGGGTTGTCCTGGAACCTAATACCGTTCATCGTGTAACTAACGTCCAGTCCCCATATACGGATAACCTTGTTCATGTCTTTACGATCCAGCCTGATCCAACCTAGACTACCATCCATCTCGGAAAGGGTCTGACGGACTTGAATATTGTTCTGGTCTTCATTTCCCAGCGTCCAAGCATCGTGGTCGGAAGAGAATGATCGTAGAAATCGAATCATGTCCCGTTAGGTATAAGATTCCGGAGCGCGCTCTCGTGGCAGCGGTTTACCGGATAACACGCCTGCATTTACGGCTTCTGCTCTTGAGTAATATAGACATTCTCTAAGAAAAGGCCAGATATAAGGCTTAGCGGGTCGGTAAACTTGTTTGAACTAACGAACTCAACCGTGTCAGCCTATTCATCCAAAAATATCTAGAAGAGGAACGTACCACTTTCAATACGAACGGCCCACGTCCATTTACGGTTACCTTAAAAACGTAGCCTTCCATTCCATGATCATCGAGAAGTTCCTCGAGGCGCACATTTTGACATGTTGGATAGCGTCTAAGTCTGGGAGTACGAAGCTTCTCCCATATCTGAGGCGTGAGAGGATCCTCCTTCTCCTCTTCGGATAGAAAAGGGAACTTCGAAAGCTCCGCCGTAAAGGTGTCAATCTTCAGGGCGCGCACATCAAGAGGGCATCTTTTCAGCTCCCTCGAGTACAACATGGAGGGCTGGCCATCAAAACCGGAGGACAAAGCCGTGACCATAAAACCCGATTGTGGTGCTTCGTGAGGTGCGACGGGGTGAAACGATAAATAAGTCCCGAACCCTTCTTCAACGCCAATGGGAAATTGCCTGCTGGCTGAGCATCTTCGTCGACGCCCATCTTCCAGCATGGCTACCATCACCCATTATCTCAAACAGTGTGTGCACACACATGTCTTGCTATAGGAGCTGGGCTTAAGTAGCTATCGTACTCTCAATCGTTGGACCGGATCCTTATCGTCCGTTTTCGCATTGCGTTCCTGTACTCACTCTCTTCCGCCCTTCTTTCATTAATACGGCAGAGCCGCATGGCGATTGAACGGCATATCCGTCAGCATATTGCATGACAACATGCAAATCTGCTGTGAGCATTGTATTTCATCCTCCTGTGTCATCTCGCACTTCAACCAGCTTTCGTGAAAAAGCTGGCGTGGTCAGGAAGGTGGCCCCAGAGCGGCGCGTGTACGCCTCCTTCGATACGCGACTCTGCGCCAATGCTATCCATCCTAAGGTCATCTAGGTAGACGGTGGCTTCGAGTATCTTGGTTTGGCGACGATCGAGACCAGGGATTGGTGCTTTCCAGTGAGAAAAGGAGAAAAAAGGGCAAGATCTTTTCAAAAGCCCATTATTGCTGCATAGCTGGCTGCGCTGCGCCTGTTGTTGGCGGGGCTGCAGCTTGCGCCTCGCCCCTGACAGGAGTTGGCGGATCGACGCCTAATTCGGCTGGGTGCGTCGCCCATTCGCAAACATCACCACAGATCTTAGCCTAAGCCTCCCGCATTCCGCGTGGCTGTCGTGATCACCAGTAGGGCATTCTTGACTAGCGGTGGTGCTTACTCTGCTGAACGGATCCTATTCGGCTACTGTCGCCGTTAAGCCGCCGACTGAGAGATTCTTCTTCGAATCGACCAACCGCTGACGCAAAACTTGATGAAGAACTATAGGTGCCAGGCGCTCAGAAGGCGCTCCATGATATGGCTGTAGCAATGCGGGCAAATTTCTGGAGTATCGACTCGCAGTGCATTGAGCAGCATTCCTTAAAGCCCCGGGTTCGCTTGGTCTTAGGACCTCTTCTACACTCTAGACCGGCGATAAACCGAGGTGACGAATTTTTGTGCTGCTCTGAAATTTGAGCCTCCCGGTGTATGTAACGAAAAGTACGAGGTAGACTTCGTCCCAATAAATAAATTCCAGTTATAATACGATTAGTTGTACCGTAATTTACGGTGCTACTCATCGATAATTGGCTGCTAATAAACGTTTGCTAGACTACTTGAAGAAATGCTCTCCACATCGGTTCTTGGAGAAAGACGAAGAGATTTGTGAAAAAAGGGAAGCCGGTTTCGAGAACGGCTGTATTGAGATGCCCCAAACCTGATCGACACTTATCAGACCCATGTCTGTTTCCAAGTCGTACATTCGTACGTCCTGACAGCACCACCAGCACCTGCTGCTCTCCATTCTGGCTCGTGGATGCGATGATCGTCAACGTCCTCACCATCGTCCCAAGACTTCCTTCCTACTTCTCCCGCACCTGAGCCTCGCATACCACTCAATCCTTGCATATGTTCATCCTAGTCCGAGTGTTGGATTTGAGTCTATTGTAAAATTCGGTGCAAAGTCCAGTTACACAAATGGCGAACGAGGCGAAGGAGGCAGACGGTGATCAACAGCGGAATGATCTTCCAACCGCGAGAGAGGTGCTTGCGACCCCCTCTGATCAAGAAGCCTTGGAGCTAGGCTCAAGGCTGACCGTAACAACCACAAACAAGAGCACCTCAAGTGCATATCGATGGTGGAGGAGGCATATCTCTATGAGCGTCCCTCATGTTACCTGTCGTGACCATTTGGGTAAGGATATATGCTTGATGCGACCGCCGAGATCAGACGCCTCCCATGACCTCGTCCGACTGTCACGACTAACCCACTTGTAATAGCAAACGAAAGGACGTTTCTTGGGTACTTGCGAACAGCGCAGGCATTTGCCATGGTAGGAGTGGTCATGGCCCAGGTCTTTCGGCTGAACCACAGCCTCCACCCGAACCCGCATTTGGGTTTCTTTGTCGTCGGTGTACCGTTATCCTGCGTTTTCCATGTCTGTGCCATTCTGGTATCTGGTCTGGGAGCACTCCGATTTATCCGATATCAAAAGGCGATGGCTCGTGGGTATGCTCTGTCCGGTGGGTGGGAAATGACGTGTATCGGCACGCTGACCACTCTTGTAAGTACAATTTTCGTCACCTAAACACGTTCCCCTCTGCTGACATGGTTCAGGTCCTGTTCGGCACTTTTCTCTTGACGCTGGCTATAAGCATTGACAAAGGTTGATAGAAACCAGGATCAAGATCGATGCTCCATTCGGAAGGCCCGCCTAGGCAGTCTGCTCGATGACGAGAGGTTCAGATCTGTGTGCAGTGGTCTAGAAGAGATGAGCCTGTCGGTAAGGGTTTCCGCCATAGACCAGACATGGTATCCGACGCCGGAACCACAAAGACCTACTTGGTGCCTCATCAGAGCCACGGCCCCTTTCTGGATCGTGATGTCTGCGAGCGTGATAGCGGAAGCACGGGATTTCCAGCTATTGCTCTTTCCACAAATCACACGACTCTATAACTGAGCTACTGAACTATGCGGTTGCGGAAGGCCGACCGGCTCGCAGGTATGTCGACCGAAAGAGAGTGCGGCTGCACAGCGCGTGACTATGATTTCCTGAAAGGCCTCCCGCAGGACGACACCCTTTCGATGTGGATGCGATACAGAGTTTGCGGCAACAACGTGCATAAGTGGGATTCCGCTTGGCTCTATGATTCCACACCACCCCAGGCCAATGTACTCTGAGAACCAGACGGAGGCATGGGGGCTAGATGCCCGCTCGTGCCGGATGGAGCAACTGCAACCCTAATAGAGTGAACATGTTCGCACTATGTCGTCAGGTGCACCCTCTATGATGCTGGGGAAGACGGAACTAACGATGCCTATCCACGCTACAGAGCGCAAAATCCCCGGGAAAGGTGTTGGGAAGTCGCTGCAATCCCCTCGATCACTCTCTATCAACGTTCTTGGGGAACATGGATCGAAATCCATCACCTCTTCCGCTTTGGTTCATGACTCTGGGACCATCTCTCGGACTATATCCACTGCTCCCCTCCACTGAGTCTGCCTTGCTATTGGCAAAATGCCTAATGTCTGAGGAGGGTGGTTCCGGAAGTGGTCACTGAGGCGTTCTGCGGCGGGCCTTCCCTTCAGGCATCGCCAATCCAGAGGTGGCCAGCCAATATCATCTGCAACCGCAAACTTGACCCATTAACTCCCTGCACCTAGGCTTGACAACGACTGATTCCGGGCATGGACCACTTCGCTAAACCTCTCGATGACCTTGCGGCACACCGGTCTGTGTCCAATGGGTAGCCGACAGAAGCGCCGGGCAAGGTCGTCACGTGACTTCGTCGCCCTCCCTGGCCCTTTTCCAGTCCCTCCGCTCTTGGGTACACTGACACCCCCAATCATGGGATCCAGGGTCACTGGAGAACAGTCAGTACACTAGAGCAGCTTTGAAGGTTTGCTTGTGGCTCGGGCAGTGGTAAGTGGCCTTGCTTGGGGGTGGTTAGACAAACCAAGAAGTTTGCCTTCCTCCATGGCGGAGCATCAAACGGCCGCATCGGGACGTACACAGTATTCCAACGTCATTTGTGTTCGTCCATCGATGGCAGTGCCTGTTTCTTATCATCAAGGCAATAGTTCAGCAGTCGCTAATGACCTCTGAGCCCTTGTGTGACCTGCCGGTCCATCCACTTGCGCCCAATGCGACCATCGTCATATATGGAACAGACTTGCTCTTAAGGTCAAGGTCACCGACTGTGGTCTTCAGCTTCTTCTCTCCAAAATGTCTATCCCTACCGAACAGTTTTCACATCTGGCTTTTACCGACGACAGTCCCACCCCAAGGCTGCTAGAGGAGATGGGGTTCGACAACACGACCCTCGAGGAGAGGAAGATCATCGTCAGGGATATCATCTCATCGTTCGACTCTCACGTCCTGCCGGAAGAATTCAAACCCGACGTCTACGAGAGAATAACCGAGGCGCAAGCCAAAAGGTCGCCCACTGAGTGGACCATACGAGATGACTTTCATGCGACTCTGATGCAATGGGGGTGTCACGACGAGACTGCGTGGACACTGCTGCGTAGAATTGCTCCCAGGGACCGGGCCCTTCTGTTTATACAAAAGCTACAGAGGCGATTCAACGAGCAGTTCGATCGGTATGATACCAAAGTGCACCCCGACAAAGAGCACGCTGCCAGCCGTATGACAGCGGCAGAACTACGTACAGAGATTGCTGAGATCTGCAGCCACCTTCATGCACTTGCACGTGTTGCCACCATAGAGGCGGGCCGATACAACATCACCATGCTGCTGCTCGAAGTGTTGGGAAAGGTCTGCGACCGGGACGACGACGTTGAGCCCGCTCGACGCAGCGCACGCCTGTCCACAGAAGAGGCCGGTGCGGGTGCTGAAGTGGTGCCGACTCTGTATCGTGGCCTGATCCAGGATGTCTCGAAAGATTTCATGCTTGATGCCCTAGATGTTATTGCGGAAAAGTGGCCAAGAGCGTTGACGACCCGTGAGGCGAAGGCCCAATTGTCCAAGATCAACACGGTCCTGCACGACAAGGTTGCTCCACACGATTACCAAACCAGGTTACAGGCCCTTCTTGCAGGCTAGGAAGCTAGGGAATCTCTGTGAAGCTGCCTCACCTCGGCTCGCAAGGGATGGTGCGCCTGAGATTGGTTCCGGTGGAAGGGACGAGATTCTCGATTCCCATGCCTCCCTCGTGTTATGCCCCGTTACTAATTGTGGATGGAGTGGGTATGCGTGTGAACTCTTTATCCAGCGTTCTTTGTCTTGCTTGTCTTGCTTGTTGGCACTAATGCAGTAATGTTGTTGATATGGTGGTGCTTGGTTTCAGTCCCCTGCCTTTTAATAGAGTTATAAGGCCGAGTATGCCTGCGCGGTAAAGCGGTCGATTGGATATTTGGTGCAAAGAATGGGTAGCATGCTACGAGGGACAGCTGCTGACACGACGTCTCTTTGCATTTTTGCCACTGGCTCGGCCTATGTTCGCCCCGGACTGAGTCGTGCTTTTGTACTCGTCATCGATCGCGGGGTAGGTATTCTTACAATCCACCTGGCTATCCCATACACCATACAGGGGTCCCAGGGGTATACAGGGAGGGAGGGGGGAAATCTTACCCCCACATAATTCCGAGGCTTCTATCCCTCGGTCGGGGCGTGGAGCGTCGAGCTTGGAGTTCTTTAGGAATATTCCGTAGGATTATCGCGACGTCGAGACAACGAGTCCGGGGCGAATGTGGCAAGCTGGGTCGAGGGGAACGACACCCACTGACTCGACCGCGTCGAAGATGAACAATCAAGTCGACCACGGTTCGGAATAAGAGGGACAAGGACAAGTGCGTGAGAGAGGGAGGATCTGCCTCGATAAGCCCCGCAGGGGCATGGCTTCAGTGAAGGAAGATGGTCCAGACACTGAGAATGCATGCATGCATGCATGCTGTTACCCCTCTTCAGAAGATGCGTCCGCTCAGGCCTTTATAAAATCCTGGGCCATGACCGCCGCTGAAACCCTATCTATTTTCTTCCTGCGCGTCTGTGTCAACTGACTTCTCTTGGATCCTTCTCTTCAATCCCTTCCCAGCAAGTTATACTCTGTGTGCCACTTTTCCAAATGGCGAGTGTTCAGGTACCAGCCAGGCACAAGGCCTGTGTGTATGACAACCCGGGCAGCATTTCCACCAAGATCGAGGAGATCGAGACCCCCAAACCTGGTGTTGGTGAGGTTCTGGTGAACCTAACGCACTCAGGAGGTACGCTTCTGCTCTGATCCTCGTGGATACCAGGGAGAACCACAGCACTGACTCAGCCACATAGTCTGCCACTCGGTAAGCGCTCGGTGTTGGTGAACCAAACAGACGAACGAGAACCATGTTTGAGCCTGACACCTTCCTTTTGCCATACAGGACATGGGTGTGATGTGCAATGCATGGGCATGGCTTCCTGCTCCCACACAGAAAGGTCAGGTGGGTGGCCATGAAGGCGTCGGCACCGTCGCCGCCATGGGACCTGGCACCGAAACTTCGGGTGTGAAGATTGGCGACCGTGTGGGTATCAAATGGATTGCCTCTGCTTGCGGGAACTGCATCCCTTGTCTCGTGGGCGCAGATGCCTCCTGCACCTCAGCGAAGATCTCCGGGTACGTTTGTGCATTGTACGCCGGCACATGAGAGCACCACGGTACTGACTCTCCGGACCAGGTACTATTTTCCTGGCACATTCCAGCAGTATGCCATTGCCCCTGCCCATTATGTTACCCCCATCCCAGACGCACTCCCGAGCGATATGGCAGCCCCCATGCTGTGCGGTGGTGTCACTGTGTACGCGGCTCTGAAGAAGTTGATAGACCAAGGGGTGCGTCCTGGAGACTGGGTGGTCATCCCTGGCGGCGGGGGCGGGCTTGGTCACCTGGCCCTACAGATCGGCTCTCGAGGCATGGGATTCCGGATGATCGGTATCGACATGGGCGGAAAAGAGAAGCTGGTCAAGGACTGCGGCGCTGAAGTGTTCCTCGACTTGTCTAAATACAGTCGGGACGACGAAGGGACCAAGAAATTGGTCGAAGACGTCAAGACTGCGACGGGCGGTGGTGCTGCGGGCGTGGTGGTCTGCACAGCGAGCAACGTCGCTTATGCCCAAGGCGTGAGTTTCCTCAAGTTCAGAGGCACGTTGGTGTGCGTGGGTGTGCCCGAGGGCGAGGCAGTGCCGATTGCTACAGCGAACCCAGCAACAATCTTGGTTGGGGAAATCAAGATCGTGGGCAGCGCGGTTGGCAACAGAAAAGAGGCGATGGAGACCCTGGAATTGGCGTCGAGGTGAGTCTTATGCCCTTGTTCGACATCAATACGCATCATGTTTGCTGACACTGAGAACCAGGGGGATTGTCAAAACACATTTCGAGGTCCAGCCGATGAGCAAGCTGACCGAGACCTTTGAGAGGATGGACAAGGGCGAGTTACAGGGGAGAGTGGTCCTCGACCTGAGCGGGTGATTCAGGGAATACATCAATATGTCACATAGGAACAAAATGCAGCTCTCCACGGCCTTTGTAGGTGGCTTCTAAGAGTGTTTCGTAGTCGTTGTGCTGTGCGGCTGAGACTGTCTTGTGCGAGGCCGGTTATGCGCCTGCGCCCCCAAGAAACTACAACTGCGCCGCCAAAAAAAGATAGATATAGGACATGCACTGTTTCCCGACCCGCCTACTTGTTGTCACATTCTTCCTTTCCTCCCGACCCGAACAATAGTGGCAGTTCGAGGCCATGAATCCATACCATCAACAGCCATACGGGCTTCCGCAACAGACACCAGGCCCGCCACAACCGCCGTGGCAAGCACCTCCGCGACGACAAGGATGGGGAGACCCCAGGCTTCACGCACAGCCGCAACAACCGCAGCAACCACAGTCTCCAGCGTCTCCCTATTATGCCGCCGGACCCTCGTCGAATGCGTTCGGATCTCCTGTCCCACCAGCACCTCCTCCTCCGCCGCCGCCGCCGCCGTCGCAGTTTGATACACATCAGTGGGGAGTCAGATATAACCAGGGCCTGGGTGCTCAGGAGCCCAAACCTGCGTTGCCGCCACGTCCTTCCTCTGCCACGGGCAGGATAAGCCCGCAGGCCCATCAAACAGGATATTCGCAACAGCCTCCGCCGGCATCGTCACAACAGCAGTATTCGGCATCGTGGAACGATCCCTATCACACGAGCACGACCGTACCACCTCCTCCACCCCCCCGACCGGCCGAGTATCAGGCCCAGATCCAGGCCGCCCACCATAATCGGACTGGAACCCCCCATCAAGAATACTCTTTCCAGCCTCCCACACATCACTACGACCCTCCCGTAGTGCAGCAAAACGCATGGAACACACAACATGGACAGCCGACGGCACTGCCATATCACCCAACACCCCCTCCTCTGCCACAGACGTCGGGGGTGTTAGACGGTCCGTTGGTGTCGCCCATAGATTCCACGAGTGGTTACTGGGGCAGCGGTGTCCAGTCGCATTCGAGTACAAGCCAGGCTCTCAATCACTATAATCCTCCTGCCGCGATCCAGACTCCAGACTTCAAGCCTGCATTTTCTCAGGCGTTGGGCTTCGGTGGACCGTCTGATTGGGAACATTACGATCCTAATGCGCCTCCGCCAGATCAAACACCGACAAGCCCTCCATCCAATCCCCTATATCAAGGCCCTATTTCCCCTCCTCAGACACACGAAGCCCTCCCTGCGACCTATCACACTCCGAAACCAGAGCCTGTTCTGCCGACTCATGCCGTGGAGATTGGCCTTACCAGTCCAGTGACGCCCCGAAGGGACTCGCGAACTCAACCACCTTCCGTGTTCGATAACGTTCCATCCCCGCCCTCGCAACCTGACGATGAAAGACCTTCGACTGCTGGCCAACAGAAGAGTGATGTTTCCGCTCGTTCTGACAATGGGTCGGGGATCGACAGTGTCATTCAAGCCTGGAATGCTCCCTTGAATGTCCGGTCTGCTCAATACCCGACACCAAGACCCGAATCCCGGGCGTCTGCGCCACGGGCGACGTCTCCGGAGTCGGGCCTCTCTCCAATCAGCGTCAAAGTGATTGATCCCTATGCTGATCTGGAACCGGAATTCAAAGCCTCGCTGAAAAGATATGCGGCGATGCTGCGAAAAGAGGCGGAAGCTGAGACCGATGACGAGAAATTCGACATTTTCCAGAGCTTTATCACCAAAGAGCTGAGGTTGAGGAGTCTGCTTTACGGAGTCGAACTGAAAAAGGAAGCGGTTGAGGTCAAGAAGGCGGCTAGCTTGGCAGATATCCAGGCCATTTTACCGAACTCCAGCTTTCGCCCGAGCGAGACAAGTAAGGATCCTGATCAAGCGGGTGAGTCGGTCGGTAGACCCTCTGCGCCGGTACCAGCTCCGTCGCCACCTCAGCAATCACAAGCACAACTGTCGATCAACGCGGCGCCAGCACCCGCCCCAGCGATGGGTGTACAACAAGAGCAGCCGAAGCTCGACATTCCCAAGCCTACAGAGGCTGTTGCTGCTGCTGTCCCAGAGTCGTCAGCTCAAGCAGTCGTCGAGACCGGCCCGAAGTCGAAGGATGGCCCTCACGTTGTGATTCCGGTGGCAGGCCATGACGAAGCTTATAGCCCTGGGGGACGGCCACTGATGACAAAAGCCGCGGATGGAGGTGAGGAGCAATCCTACAGCCCCGGTGGTCGTCCAATCGCTGCCAAATCCGTTGCGACCTCGTCGACGAAACCTCCTTCAATTAGCACGGTTGTCCAAGCGCAACATCCTCAACGATCAGAAGACATGTTATCGCCGAGCAATGACGCTCCAATGGTCATCGAAGACTATGCAACCCCTGAACCAGCTTCACCAAGCATGAACGCTCCAATAGTCGTCATTCCTGAGGCTCCGCAGACCCAGGCTTCGGCGGCACGACCTTCTCAAGGCAACGGCAGCAAGCCGGTCGTGCCCATCAAATTCGAGCCTTCTCGTCCTGCATACACGCCATTCCGCTACAGTGTCGGCGTCCAAGAAGAGAAGAGCAAGACCCTCAAACCAGCAGACCAGGCGTATTCCTCGTTGCGAAACTCGGTGGCCGATTCAGGTCGCTTGATGGCCCAGGACACGACACTACTGGCGCCTGTAAGACCGTCCTCCACCAGCGGCAAAAAGGAACACGAAGAGGCGTTCATTGGCTTAATTAGAAAGCAGAGCATGGCTGTGAGACAGAAGAATCTGGGATCGGGCCCAGGACTACCGCCCCCCGGAATCAGGCCCGGCAACGAACCCAATCGCGCCACTCCCTCTCCTCGGCCTGAGCCGCCCCTGATCATGCGCGCTGGGACACCCGCCACAGCGCCGATTCAGCAACCACGGGGGCCAATGGATCCCCTCAAAGCCGCAGTGGCCGCACTGCGTTCCCTGTTGCCGCCCGCCACGGACATATTCTCCCCAATAGAAGCCATTCCTGAACATCCGAAACTCAAACTCATCAAGTCCAAGATCGACTCCATCCCCGACGGTTTCTCCTTCATCCACGACACCGTCGTGGAATGGGACCGCACCAATCGACTTGTCCGCAAAGAACAAGAATCTGAACGACAGGCCCGCCAAGAAGAGTCTGAGGGCCACATTGACGCCCTCTTCAATGACAACGAAATTGGATACGCGGATATTGGAGAGTTGGAGGCGGAATTCAAGCTCAAGGAGGCGGAGAGAAGGTTCGACGAGGATCAAGCTGAGCTGGAAAGCTTTACGAGCCAAGTTTTCGTGGTTGTGACGGAGCGATTGCAGAAAGAAATTACGGAGCTGATGACGGCGTACACGATGGCGATTGACCTCCTCGACATCGACAGTTTGGCGGTGTCGCGGTGCTTCAAGGCCAACGACAGGACGACTGCGGTGAGGATGACCGAAGTCATGTCGTACGTCCTCACCTTGTTTAACAAGATCGAAATCCGACATACCAAAGTGGCCGAGGCACACGTGGAGCGCGAGAGGCGTCGCAAACACCTCGAACTCACTGTGCTATACACCAACGGCGACGTGCAAGGCGTGAAGAAATTGGAAAAAGAATTTGCCGTGGCGGAGAAGATGGCCGTCCTGCACGAAGCGCGGGGCCGAGATAACAGGGCGAACAAACTAATGGATTCGTTCGATCGGGCCACCGTCCGCGGGCTGGGCGACAATCAGGTCTTCACGGACGAGGTCTTGAGCAAACTTCAGGATGTCAAGAGGGCGATCGACGCGGGAGCAATCCAGAACGAGAAAGAGAAGTTGTTCGAAGCGGACGGTGCGCGGGATACGCTGTCACTTGCTCAAAACGCCCTGGACACCGTCATGGCTGATTCGCGGCGGCTCCTGGCACTCTCGAACGAGGCAGACCTCTTGCTCAACGACGCCGACTACAATGTGTCGGTCGCGGAGGCGCGGGTAGCCAACGCAGACAAACCGACATATGCGACCCTGGAGAGTGAAAAGGCCAAAGAGGACGCGAAGCTCATTGAAGAGATGAATGCGCGAATCAGCAGCGTCACCAGGGGACCACAGGATGGCCTCTCTTTGATCCGCGGCTTAATCGACCGAATTGGGGATGATCCAGCACACCAGGAAAGGATCAAGAAGGCCTTGGAGGCGGCGAAGATGCGGAATGCTAATGGGGCGAATGAGGTTGGATGACGAGCTTGAGTGAGAATGTTTGTTCCGATATCTCTACAGAAGTGGTACTTTTGCGCGGAGTTGGAGAATGGATATTGGGACATGGACCTGTATGTATCAAAGCACGGCCCTTGAAGGCAAGTTCTGTTATCCCATTGAGCGAAGCGAAACAGTATAGGTATAAGTCGAGGGATACGCGGCAAGAATTCCCAAAAAGTGGCGGATTTGGTTGGTTGAGGAGAATTAACGTAGGCGATTGGCCAATTTATGCTAGCGTCCGATGACTGCTTCGGTTAGCAACGTCGATAGGTTTTAGAGATAATTAACTGGGGAAGGGGGAGGACACCGTAAATCGACCGCTGCGGATGCCCATAGTCCTTCACTAGAACACCTTAAGAGCCTGCCACCATGGACGGATACCTGCAGTCCCTCACGACTAGAGTATCCAGAGTCTAGGAAGTCCGATTAATTTTTGTTTTCGCGCTTTTACAAGGGACTGGTTGGCTGCCTGCCTGCCTCCCTGCCTCATGGTAAATACGTCATTAGTATCAGCGTGTGCTTGGTGCACAGACCACCACAGATCTTCGTTCCCTAAACAAACACTAACCACTTTCAGGTTCAGTTTCATATTTATATATTACCACACCGCATAGCATTTTCAACACGGTCACGGTCCACAGCCCGATCTCAATCTCTCTTTCAACCACATCAATGTGCCAAATTCAGCCTAGCTACGTTGATTGACGGTTGCACGGTTGACGATCGACTATAATACCTTCATAGGGAAGGAAGAAAAATACCTTGGGTTTTTGGAAAGATGGGTCATGTTCTGTTCGGGTCTCCATCGAGTGGACGAATGGGTGGGTAGGGTACTGTAATACTTCTCGTGGGTGGTCCACAAAAGGGTACGATTTCCTTTGAATTTCGAGGCTGTCGTCGAGCAAAGGCAAGTAAGTAAATCATTTCATACCTACAGTATGTAGATAGCTTGTTGCAGGGGCAGGTCGGCAGCGGCTGTATTTCTGGGTCTTGTGCGAGTTGTTTGGCTCTTCATAAGGGCGGTCGGTCGGTCATGTGGTCGGTAGGTACCTGGCGTGAATCTCGCCTTGCCAGCACATACGACAGCAACACCGTTGGCCCTTCTCATGTGAACACAGTACATTGTCCCACCACCAAGTCCAAGCTTCGCAGCCAGCTCACTTGCCTTCCATACGTACAGTCTTTCGCAGAAAGAAAAAAGAGAAGAAAAGAAAAGAAACTCGTATCCGGTCCACCCATCCATCCATCCATCCATCCTCGGAATCCATCGACAACACCTGTCTGATGACGATGACGCTCCCCCTCCCTACAGCCGGGGCTTCTTGCGGTATTCCGAAATCAACTCGTCGCTAAATAGGTGGTTTGCCCCGCCCAGCATGCCGGCCGTCACCATGTCATCGTCCACCAGCTCCCGCAGCATCGAGTCCAAGAAGCTTCGCTGTTCCCGGATGAAGGCCTTGGTGGCCTTGGTGTCGAAGCGGCGCGCTCGCTTGCCGTCCCGGATCACCTTCAGATGCGCGCGCACCCGCTCCTCCAGCATCTCGAACCGGTACTCGGCGTACTGCGAGTACAGCTCCCGCAGGTCGGAGATGGGCCGCACCGTCGTCAGCACCGTGTCGTCCTTGATGAAGGCCGACTTGGGCCGGAACGACGTCACCATCGAGATGCGTTCCGTGGTCCCCAGCGCACGCAACGCTTGGTGCTCGATGTATCGGCCTTGGAGGACAATGGCGTTACCCTACATCATGATACCCACCCAGTCAGTCGACAACGACGATGAACAAGACAGAACGCTGGATCTGGTCGGACTGCGTTGGACTTACCATGGCAGGTCCACGGACTTTCATGATCTCCCCGGTCCCCATCCTCAATGCTGTCTCCCCACCGATCATGTTGGTGCAGTCACTGAGCATTGTCACACACACAAAGGGGTAGCTGTCGGTGTGCCAATCGACAATGGGCTGGTCGTCTTCGTATGGACACCCCGAAACGCCTTCGTCCGCCTCGCGGTGAGATTTCTCTTCCAGAGCCTGCTTGACCGCTTCGATTTGTTCCTTGGTGTTGCTGGAGATGTTGATATGGGCGATCTCCAGGTCCATGGCCGGGACCAGTTCGACGCCAGCGATCTTGGACACGATGGAGAGGACCGCCGGGCTTCGCCACGCATCGTACACAAATGGTGCATATCTGTTTTTGTTTTTTCCACTCATCAGTACTGATGCCTGCCAGAGAAGCCAGTAACAAGGCCCACATCACAGGCATGAGACTCACTCGGGGGCAAATCCTCGCAGCTGGCAATGGGCAAGCTCGCTGGAGTACTTGCAGTTGTCCCAGACTGGCTTGCTGAGGACTTCAGCTCTCATCTGCTGAATGGCGTCTGCGGTGAAGAGAGGAAAGGGCTCCGAGACGGCATTCGGCGAGACTCCCTGCTCCGCAAATCCCATCTCCTTCATGGTCCAGATCTTGCTTGGGGGTTGGAAGTTGAGATGCGTCTCTGGGTCAAAAGTCGGTCCGTTCGGGGTTTTGTGTGCCATCTTGTTGTTGTTGCTGCTGCTGCTGTTGAGGTACGAGCTTGACCTTTTTCTCTTCACGGTCCCAAAGGCAGCGGATGATTCAGGAGCGAGAACGTCCACTGAAGCCATTGCACGGTTGTTGTCGATTATATACTCTGTGAGGTGAAAAAAAGACCAACAGCAAACGAAAGACGTGCGGTGAAGACTGACTGTACAGTGATAACTGGAGCAAGCGGGCTAGGCAAGGCAAGGCAATGCGAGCGGATGAAATGATAACCGTCCCGTGAAGAAAAAGACAATGTTCGGTCGGTCACCAAAACACTTCAATGATCGTGGGATGTGTGTACCCATGGCAAACAAGGAACAAACTTATATCAAAGCCCTCCTCAAGTCACTTTTCAGCAAACCACCACCCTCCTGGGTAAGGTCTATGTGGCTTCCCAGCGACTTCCAAATAGACCAAGCCAACGTCAGATGCGACCATGGCGTGTCCGGAGGAGGGAAGAAGAGAGGAAATCCTTCCACACAGTCAATTGCTAGCCCAAGGGACCGAAATCTGCAAGTAGGTAGGTACAGAACCCATGAATACTCCACCACCAGATAGGGCAATGACGGGAAGACACTGTTTCTGGATTGAGAGGGGGGAATCCAAGACATCCATCCAACTGCAAGTCAACAACTGTCCACGGCGTCACAATTCGCTCACGAGTTGGCCGGCTGATAAGACGGCCAACTGCTCCTTATCATCTATCTGCCTATCGGCAAGGTTTGACCTCGAGTTGCTCAGCATCTGTGGACCGTGGATGGCTTGCATCGGCCAGGCTATGAAAGGCGTCCTTTGGCGAAAGCTGGGGGATGTCCGCGAAACAGCTTGTGGAGATCGTCAGGACGCCATCACCACGGACGACACGCTGTTTTGTTCATGAATGGAAATTGTTGCTTTGTTTGGACTAAAATCACTGCTCCGTTGCTTTCTCCATTTTTCTCCTGCAATCACGGCGGAAGGTCCTAAATCCTGTCAACTTTCACATGTGTGGACGTACGGCTATTGATTTTTCTCCCCAGCCGCAGCGAGGCGACTCCGGATGTTCCTCCGCCCAACAGTCCCGGGGACGGTGTGAATAAATAATGCATCTGACATGGTCAATCACCCTTGGCGACGTGTTTCGTGGACCACCAAGGTGAAGCAGAAGGCGGATAGGTGTCAATTTATGGGACCATAACCGCCAATACGTCTGGTGAGGCGGCCGAGTTGGATGTCGGTGTGACTCGTGAACGTCCGTAACAGGGTTCCCCTTATTGATGCCGTAGCCAACAGTGCACGCAGGGTCCGACAATGCATCATCGCTTATTGAACTTGCTGATGGCTCTGGACATACCCCGCCGAAAGGTGGTGGATGGATCTGTTGACCAGAAATGGCATCGCGTCGGGATGGGCATGGAGCTATCCTTGAAGGCTGTTTGGGATCTGTTTGGCCCGTCATCAGAGTCCACTTCTGGGAGCTACCTTGACCTTGAAAGCATTGTTGCTGATCATTGCGATGTTCTAGATAACGGAATTCAGCCATCACGAGGCATCGAAGTCCAGCAGCATTGGTTGCACGTTGTTATCATTTGATTGAGGGATCGAGGGATCGACGTCAAGATGTCCTTTGTTTCGTATGCTCAGCATTGATGAATATGACGAATGGGGGCGGACGGGAAAGGAGCCAACCAGAGCAGTCAAGACGTCTTCCCTTCTGCATCCTGTACTATTCGATGGGAGACTGGGACCGGTCAGTGTCATTTGGTGATTGGAAACGAGGTTCTTCGTTGATTGGGCGATGGTCAACCCGTGGATGTGATCAAGCCGAGCAGAGAAGCTCCACGACCCAGAGATGGGTAGAACCATGAAATATCGGGTCAGACAGCCAGCATGAGGCTTACTGGGGCTGGCGGACAAGTCGAGTACGCAGCTGTCGAGCCCGCAATACCGAGTAGACTGCGCCAGGAGCGTGCTGGAGGGGTAGAAAATAAATTTTTGGAGGGCGTCTTATCGATAACGCAGCCCGGCAAGAGCTTCCGTGTCAGGCGACATGAGGCTAGTGTCGCCTGTAGCCCAGTTGGTGTCGCAGGCACCCAACAACCATCACTGATCGCCGCTTTGCATCAAGCACCTGCAGCTATTTCCAGCAACCACCCCTTCATTCACCCAGACAACCGACATGGCCACTTCTGCGCAGTCTGATCAGGCTGCTGCTTCTTCAGAGCCACAGGCCGATGCGTGGGAGAAGTCAAAAGCCACGTTCCAATCGTATGCGCACTTCCGCCATGGTGCATTCAATGACACGAAAACGAACTAACCGATGGTTTAGGAAACGGAGTTCCGAGTACTACGACCCCTGCCAGGAGTTTGCGAACAGGAGTATCAAATGCATGCACAGAAACAAAGGAGACAGGGAGATGTGCCAGGACTACTTCAAGTGCGTGTTCCCGGTCAACAGCAGCGGACCACACACAACCCCCCCGAGACCATGACATGTCCAACTTCATTCCAACTGCATCGATCGCGAACAGCGGTACAGAATCATGCTGACGACAAGGCTACATGTACAGAGCTTACCGCGACTGCAAGAAAGAATGGGTATGACGACGCGGATCCCGCTGCTTCAGAAGAAATACTGACTACGCGATCAGACGGCAAAACGGAGAGCTGAATCAGGTTCGTGGTTCGGTTGAGCACCACTGCTTCCTTGAGCATCTTTGGGTACTCTCGGAGGGAATGGGAGGACTGTACTAAAAGCAGAATTGATACCCTCTGTCGAAAGCATAGCGTGGGAGTAAAAATCAGGGCCAAAAGAAAAGGATGACTAGCTCTACACGGTATGAGGGCTGACCCGTGGCCGACGGTATTGTAAGGATAGGTGTAAGCGCTGTAAGATATATCCACCGTCTCCTTGAATACTCCTAGGTCAGTGACTGCGCGGAGCAGGCCTGACTTGGTGGTTGTCAACACGTGAAACCTGGTTCCGCAATATTGCATTTCAGCCTCGTCCACATATTTCCCCCGCATCGTAAACTTCGCCCTCGTAATTTCTTCTCGAGGCATGGGCCAGTCCTCCCACGAATATGTCCGACCCGAGTGTTAGCGAGCGCAGAATAAGGCCGATTCAAGACGCCATTGCGAGTGCAAACTGGAAGCAGGCACTACAACTCTGCGACAAATGGTTCAAGAAAGGCGAACGATCTGACCGGTTCCTGGTGAGCATTCATTCTCACGTTCGAAAAGTGACCCTTGTCTCTGACCGTGACAGGCCTTGAAAGCCTTCGTCCTGGTCAACCAACAGGACAAGACCCAACATGACCGAGGCCAAGAGGAGGTCTTTGACCTCTGCAAGCGTACTCCTCCCATCACCGAACCAGAAGCCATCTACCAACTACAGCATGCGCTCAGAGCGCTGTCGATACACGACGAAGAGAGCCCCAAGCTCTGGGAAAGAGCCCTCAGTGCCAGGAAGGAGGACAAAGACTTGTATATGAGATGGCTCAATCAAGCAGTTGCCGACAACAACTGGAAGAGTGCTCAAAAGGTGTGAAGACCAGAAAGCCAAAATAGAAAATAAAAAATCGTGACATTTGAGACCATCCACCACAAAACACCAAAAGAAAGGGACTGGCTGACATGGGGGCCCCTCCGACAGGCCACCATGGGTTTGCGAAATTCCTTCTCCAAGGAAAGAGACTACGAGTTCTGGAACATCCTCATGTGCTATCTGATATATATGCAACAAGACCTCCCTGACAAGGAGCGCACCTTGTTCGGGACGCTTGCCTATCGCATGATATCGAAAGCCGCCGAGTCGATACCTAAGAACGAGGTGAGTCTGGGACAGTCCCTGCTCGAACCGTTCAGAGGCTGAATTTCCAATAGCACGAGCGAGCATCGGCTTCCGGAAAGGCAATCTCGGAACCCGAGGAGATCGCGTTGTTGGCACAGGTCTTCAACTCCACAGGCCATGTGGGAGAGACCGTCAAGCTGTTGCAGGGACCGTCGCTGAACATGGAATCTCCAGTCGGCAAACTGGACCCTCAGTTGGTTCTCTCTCTGTTGCTTGAATCTTTGGAAGCTTCGGAACAATGGGACGAGACTTTCAAGGCGTGCCAGGATCTGCTGTCCAAGTCCGACCATCAGTCAGATGACCGAATATGGAACCTCTGGCTCAAGGCACGATCGAAGTTGTCGGGAGACAAGGGGTCAGACAGCCAGAAGACCTCACTGAATGGTTGGCGCTGACATTGATATAGGCCTGAAACAGAGTCCATGAAGGTGCTTGAATCTGTTTGCACCGGGAGACCAATTGTCCGCGCGGCCTTCCTCGCAAAGCTGAATCTTCAGCAAGGCCAGGACGCTGAACCTGAGCAGGACGGTCTGCTTGAAACTTGCAAGGCGTATTTTGAAGCGTTTTCGTCCAAAGGGTTCTGTTTCGATGATCTGAAGGGTCCTCTTCAACGGCTTGACAAGCCTCATTTCGACCGGTTCAAGCAACTAGTCTCTGGCCACGAGGGGAATCTAGCACGACTGTTCGACCTTAAGCTGGCATACATCACACTCCCACCCAATGCCGCCGGATCAGATCTTCTCGATTTCGCATACGGGGCGTTGAAATTATATCAGTCGTCCCTGTCCGAGAGCCCTGCGTGCCCGGAGGCAGCTCTTCTCGCTGTGTTGGCAATCCTCCGACTCGCCAATGGCCAAAGCTCGCCTTCCATGGTCCTCTTTGCTGTCATACTTCTTCAGATCACCCGCTCAAAGTTTGAAGACTATTACATTCTAACAATTCTACTTGTTCAGCTCCAGTCTTATCTCGGACAACTCTCTCTTGGCATGGAAAGCTTTGTGAAACTCAGCGTCAAGAACCTCCAGTGGGAAACGGTTGGACATTTGATTCTCACCAGGATATCGTCGTTGCATCCAGCCTACGCTGTTGAACTAGAGCAAGATTTTGAGCCACTTTTGGCGCTGGAAACAGGACTCACAGTTCTTGAGAATGCGGATGGTGCTCTGGTGCGAGGCATCCGCGAAGGATTGCGATGCAACAGCTACTCCAACATCTACAACAGCGTCAAGATGCGGTCCGAGATCGAGAGGAGCGTGAACAAGCAAATCTATGCCATCGAGGAACGCAAAATCCGTCGATGGCGGGGAGAGCCTGACGACCATACGGTCTTGCCGTTGACAGATTCCTCGAAACCGCTGGTCGATAAGCGAGATTATGGGTACATGCCGGGCTATCGCAACGACGATGGACAACTGCTGGCGAGCTTTCGATGCGGCGCCCTCCCGAAAGAAAATTGGATTCACGCCATGGCGCTGTTCGACAGCATAGCCACCTATCTGAAGGCAGAAATGACGTCGCAGACTTCCCTGGCAGCCACGGCGTACGAGAATCTGAAACAGGCGCAACAACGTGTATCTTGGCCCGCTACGGACGATCTATTGAAGGAAATGACAGGGACCGAAGTGATCAATCTGGAGTGCCACCAGATTCTGGCCCAGGCGATAACGCTGTTCAAAGAAGGGAGCATTGGGACGGCTCCTGCATCGACATCTCAACAGGACTCCAACACCAAAACCCTGCCGGATCTCTTCTCGGATCTCAAAACCTGGCTCACATCTGCCCTCACGAGCCGCAGGGACAGCCCCGCTGGATCGAACGTCGTCGGGATCCGGGCGCCAACGTGGGCAGATCTGCACGGGAGCTTCACACAACTCGAGACGCTGCAGGTCCTGGCCAACCTCACGTCCCTCGTGTCCAAGAAGGCGCAAAAGCCAGCCAAGTCTACGAAGGCCGCTTTAGGATCGGTCTCCAAGGAGACCGTCTCCGAGATACAGTCGCTCGTGACGGACCTCGAGGCCCGGATTCTCGCGGACGCCCGGGAGGTGAAATCAGCCATCAACGAGCCCGGCGTGCTGGGTCGACTTGTGGACCTGGGCATGGCGCGACACGGCAGCGGCAGCGGCACGGACGGAGCAGGGGCTGGTGAGGATCCTGCTGCGGGAGGCGGCGATCTCGCCGGTGGTGAGAAATGGGAGGCTCTGACCGAGAGTCTCTGTGACGAAGTGACTATGGAGATGATCTGCGGGGACATCAAGGACAGCTGGAACGACGCCCTCGACGGAGTTCTGAGTGGGAAGGGGAAAATTCGCCTTGGAAAGTAAATCGGGGATGTTAGATGGGGGCGAGACGGAGAGAAGAAGAAAAAAGAAGCCGGGATGAATGGATGCATGGATGGTCAGAGAGAGAGACGAGGAAAAGAGGAGGAGGAGGAGCAGTCATCGGCCACGGAATAACAGGTTACGTATGTAAGTAACTTGTTCTGTGTACTCTGTACGGAATACCGACCGAGTGCTTCTATTTGTAGCCTGTTACTCCGTAATGGGAAACGATGCCAGATGGATGAATGGTGTGTCTCTATCCGCACAGAAACAGCAACTGGGTGCTGCTACTTATTTCACTTCACTTCACTTCACATAATCTCCAAGGCGTGCATATAGCAGGAAGGAAACTGGAGGAGGAGAACAGGGGGGAATGGAAATGGGAACGGGAACAGAAACAGAAAGAGACAGAGAGATCGCAACGCCCCAGAGTTTTTCCATACAGGAAGAGCCGTAGGAACGCCATTTGCCGCTTGCCATTTTCCATATGCCATATGCTGTTCGCCCACGTGCACGTGCCCCCGACCATCCATCCATCCATCCATCCAGCATCTGCTAGTATGTGTCTTCAACATACTACAACAGACTCGAGAATCCGGTAGTCTGGTCTATTCTAGTCTTGCCGTCCCTTGAGGAGCCTCTTGGTCACCTTGTCCTTCTCGATGATGTAGACGTGAGCACCCCAGCCTGACAGAGCATCTCTGTCCACAGCGTTAAGCAGGGCTTGGGAAATTGTTTCGAAGAGGTCCTCGGGTTCCTAGTAAGAAGTATTTGTCAGAGTTGGGATCCTAAAAACCGCGGAGGAATATACAGTATGCCGTCCCATAGCCGTGACATAGAGCCATTAGGGCAATGGGGTGTGGATGTATCTCACCAGATCCGGCTCCCAGAGCCCTTCACACGTCCCGAACAGTTGGTCACTCGCAGTGCCCGCCACGATGAAATCTTTCGCAAAATCAATACAGCCTATACTGTCGAACCCGCAGATGAACGGTTTGCCCGTCGTGTGATTTATCCCTGCCAGCACCGGGCTCACAAACCACGGCCCAAACCGCCTCTCGTACAGCGAACTGCTGACGAGGTTGGCCAGTGTCTGAGGGGAAATGTTGCGTTCTTCGCGGAGTCGATACATGTTGACCTTATATCGGAAGGTGTCGCTGACTGTCTGTACGTCGGTCGCCAGACCCGTCAACCCGAGGAAGACACTAGGGGCATAGTTGAAGATCTTGGGAAAGTTGTTGGACACCGTCAACGCTTGCATGCCCAGTCGCAAGTCGCAAGCTATGGCCACGCAGTCCTTGCCGACCATTGCAACGCAGGCACCGCCATCTGAATGATAATACATTAGAGGGTGTAGGAGCAGGAAGACAGGGGGAGAGAGTACTGATGTCGAACGGAGAGCTCTGTCGTCGATTGGTTAGCATCGGATTGCAGTTGCACTTTGATGCTGAAGCCTGCTTACCATCTTGTTGAAACGACAAACTGGGTCAGAGTACAAGCAGGAGAACGAGAAGGATGAGTCAATAGAGTGTCAGGTCGAAATGGTGGATGTGATTGACAAGACCTGGGATATGGATCTCGAGAATCAGTCGGTAGTATGTAGAGGGATGCGCAGGCACAAAATGCAAACGCGTTTCCGCAGGCGCAAGGCTAATGCTCGGCTGAGGCTAGTGAGGCTCAAATCGGGGAAGCTGGCGCTAGAAGCTCCAGGGGCCAATAGGCGGCCACCTTAGCTAATCCTTCCGCCATGACGCCTGGTGACGCCGACCTTCTTTGCCTGCGTACGCCCGCGATGCTCATCGGTCACTGCGGAGTGGTTAGTAAAGCCTGTGGCAGTCTCCAACTCATTCTAGAATATGAATATCACGTCTACGACCTAATCAGTCTGGGCGACTGCAATACTTCTAGACACTTCTATTGGACATACTGTTCAATTCTCAACCCCATACCATTACAATCTCGTCCAAACTCTCCACTGTCTACCAAACATAAGAGACAACTCTTCCACATAACCCCACCAGGCTGTCGCCTAACGATCGACCATGGCTTCTCACGTAGTGGTGATCGACTCGACGGCTCGAAGAGCCACGGTCAAGACTACCCCCAGCAAGACCCTCAGTGAGGTTTTGGAAGAGGCGTGCGCGAAGTTGGGGGGCAACGCCGCTCAATATGGACTGAAGTATGTTCCCTCTCATCACGCCACGCACAACACAGCTTACTGACGGTTGTTGTGCAGACATAATAACAAGCCTGTCGATCTCTCCAGAACCATTCGCCTCTCAGGTCTGTCCTCAGGCGCAAAACTAGAACTGGTTCAACTCTCCAAATCCGCCGGGGTCGTCACAATAGCCCTCCAACTACCGGAATCAGAAGCAAGAGGAGTCCCCAACGCGAGACTCACAGACAAGTTCCCTAGCTCGACGACGTTATGGCTGGTGCTCAGAAAGTTCGAGGCCGGCGTCGCGGGTGGAGGTGCTACGGTTACCCGGAATTTCACAGCCAGAGGGATACCGTCCGTGAGCCAGGGCAGTGCCGGTGCGGGCAGACTGTACTATGAACAGCCGGTGATACAGATCATGAGTAGGGAATTGGCGTCGTTTACGGACTTACAGAAGTCCTTGGCACAGTTGGGTCTCAACAGCGGTTCAGCTCTGTTGAGGTTGAGTTTCCGGCCGACCGAAACCCCGTTAGAAGAGGCCATGGCTCAGATACAAAGTTATTTCGATTCGGTCGAGGGACCATCTGTGCAACCGCCGCGCCAACAAGAGGTTCTATCCACGAGCGAGCCACCGACCGGGTCATCGGAGACACAACCAGAATGGAACGATGAGAGGCCTTCACAGCCTCCTCAAGAAGAAACATCTATATCAGTGCCCTCTCAACCTGAAACGGTGACTTCATCAACAAGTCGCCCGGTCTCTGTGTTCCGGCCGCCGAGCTCCTCTACTCCGTCTGCCGCCCTCATATCTCACAATGATGCGGATTATACGCCCACCGTTGAACACGCCCAGGTCCACCAAAAACTATTACAACAGAATTCAAGAAACGTCCGATTACCGACAGAAGCCGAGCTTGCGGCTCAAGCCGAAGAAGAAGCGGCCAAATGGGCCGCCGTGAAGGACGTCGAGATCAAGGTTCGCTTTCCCGATCAGAGCGCGGTCAGCGCCAGATTCGAGCCAGCCGATACTGCGGCAGATCTGTACAATTTTGTGCGAGAGTGTCTAGAAGAGCACTACCGATCAGAGGCTTTCATGCTTCGAAATCCCGGTATCAGAGGGAAAAACGAAGTCATTCCAGACGACAGTGGGAAGAAATTGATCAGAGATCTCCAGCTTAAAGGACGAGTCCTTGTCACATTCCAATGGGATGACCACAAAGCCAGCGTTCAAGCGAGAAGTGTCAAGTCTGTGCTGAGGGTGGAGTTGAGGGAACAGGCTCAGGAAGTGAAGGTGCAGGATCTACCCACTGTGGATGTCGAGGGCGATGAGGATCCGGGCGTCAAGGTCAATTTGACGACGAAGGAGACAAGCGAAGGGAGCGGAGAGGGTAAGAAGAAGTTGCCTAAGTGGTTGAAGGGCTTGAGCAAGAAATAGTGTGCCCGGGGTGCTCGCATCAGTGCCCGGGTGAGGATTCTGAAGGGTTGATATGCATTTGCTGCGACATGCTAGCTTTCATGAGCGGGTAGCCCTGAGTGCGACACGTGAAAAGGGATAGATGTTTCCGAATCATCACAGCATTGTTGCCTCCAACCTGGCGAGGAGTGGCATGTGGGCTTTCAGCCTTGTCACCCGTGAGTTTTATCTCCGACAAACACCGGCGCTAGCCCGCCGCCGAGGATCCCCCGCCCACAATCGCATTTTCAGTTTCGACAAGCCAAAGCCCGCGCGAAACTGCGAGCTGGGAATCGTCTTTACCGAGTTTCACGTCGACAACGCCGCTCCAGTTCCCTCCCTTTGACGTCTGTATTCCCTCTCAAACCCGACCATACACTTGAGTCTCTTCCTTCAAGATGCCTTCCGAAGTCACCGATATCAAGCAGTTCCTCGAAATTGCCCGCAGAAAGGATGCCAAAGGTGCGAAACCCAACCCGCCCGCCCTAGAAGAAGCTGCTTTGCTTCGCTGGGTGTGTTGTTGCCCCCCTCCAAGATGCGCACCGTGTCGCCTTTCTCCCCCATTCCCTGACCGCTCTGCCGCGGCGATCTAAAATGCCCCTAAAAAGGACACATTCGCAAGCACAAGCACAACAGCATGCATGTTTGCTGTGCAGGAAGAGAAAATGCCTCGGTCATATGCTAACTCGAATCTTGCGACATGTGTATAGGTGCCCGCCTCAAGAAATCTCCCAAATCCAAGGACATCAAGATGAAGATCCGATGCAAGCGGTACTTGTACACCTTGATCCTGAAGGACTCGGACAAGGCCGACAAGATCAAGCAGAGTCTGCCACCTAGTAAGTTTGGCCATGTCCCGTCTGAGCGGTTGGAGGTTTTGTCTGGGGGGAGAGGGGGGATCTGAAACGCAGTTGGCGTGATTGGATGAGAAGAAGAGGAGGCAATCGAAAAGAAGTAGTAACCGGCAAAATTGAGGGATGGAAAAGTTGGCGGAGCACCGAACATCATGAATCGGCCGAAATCGAAAGATTCGAAGCCATTGGGGGGGAAATGATCCTCTCCACACGCAGCGACCCAGACAGCAGCAGCATCCGTGGACATTGAATTACTGGCTAACACAATATCTTTCTCACTCTGCAGCGATGCCCTTTACCGAGATCGGCAAGAAGAACAAGAAGCCCAAGAAGAACTGAAAAAAGTCTCTCTCGTTCGTTCGTTCGTTCGTTCGTTCACGACCCAGAATCGCGCGTCAATTGGCCTCGGGAGTGGTGGAAGATGAGGGACCTGTCGACGGACAACCACGGTCAGGAAGCCGGTAGAAAAGTACTGGTGTTTGTTTTTTCCTGTGGGCTCGGATTGCCAGGACGCAAAACCAAACAGAAATGATTCATTGTACTTCTGCTACAGCACTGATACAGCGTAGAGAAGTAAGCTTCTAAAGCTTCTATGCCCCCTAATGTTCACGTGCCAACGGAAACAAGTCCATTTGAGCGCCGTGGCGGCTGAATAGCTCAGACTCCATTCTTGCACCTGCCTTTGAACCCCGGAGCTTGTGACCAACGATATTAGAACCAGGCGGAAAGTCATGTTCGAACTGTGGCTCTCCAGTACCTTTCATATTCGCTAAGACAGCCTGTCTGAAGTGCCATCGTAGAAGCTGATCAGTAGGCGCATGAGGGCAAGTAGCTCCCAGTCGAGATGCTTGCCTGCAAGATCTGCCGGTGTAGGGGAAAAGGCTACAACCTGATTGATAGTTATCACCTGGATTAATCGAGACAGTGTATGAATCGAAGCGCTGATGCATATCAGAGCGGAGTAATATTCCATTCTGTACCGAGTCGCTAGATCTCCCTACTCTCGGTTGAATTGTAATCCATCGACCGTAGTTCTGCTCGATCCAGTGGTGTTCGAGGGCGATCCGGGAAATATGCGCTGCCTGAAAGCCAACCCAGTCGGCATCTCCATCTGAAAATGTAGGTACGATCTCTCCGGATGAATAACATTGATGATCTCGCGACCGACCGAACGGCTTCGGTAAAGGCGGCGACACGAGTTCCGGTACCCAGACTGATTGTTCGGACGAGCCATGGCTCATCGCACGAGTTAGTGTCGGTCTCGGTGCCGTCGCCGTCGCCGTTAGCAGTAGACGGGGTCCATGAACGTTAAAGAGGTCGGTCTTCTCGAGGAACGCGTGCACCACAACCATAACGTCTTAACCATGGCCGGTGTCGAGGTCGCCCTCCACCATCACAAAGAGCGCTCCCTGGTCTTTATCCCCAACTGTCGTTGACCAGTCTCAAGTAGCTTTGCCGGTGATCTCAAAAGGATCGGCGGCAACAATGTAATAGTTTCCTGTCCGTCCGCATTCCGCTCTTATTATTAGTATTACTACTGGGGCTGTTGCTGTTGTTCCTGTTGTTGACACGCGTACCCAGCCTCGCAATACCCCTCGAGCAACCCCCCGTCGTTGTGCGATGCGGCGAGAAGCACATCCTCCAGCCCTGCGCGCGACAGCCGCAGCTCGTACTCTCCGAAGTAGCTGGGGCCGTCGCTTGTCTTGCGGAACGCGAGGCTCTCGAAGAGCGCCATGCTGCGGAGGTTCGTGCCGCCGATTTTGACGCAGATGTGGTCGAAATGACGGAGTTGTAGTGTGCCAGGGGCCGTGGAGGGAGAAGGAGAGGGAGCAATAGAGTCATGCTGGTGGTGGTGGTCATCATCTTCGTCCACCGCTTCTCGCTGGAACTCGGCCAGGATCTGATCCTCGTGGCGCGCGATGTACTCCAGAAACGCCAGCACCGCCGCCCGACCATAGCCCCTGCCCTGGTGTGCGGCTTCGGCGATCATGAGCTCGAGTTCTCCGACGACGACGTGCTGCCCGAAACCGGGATGGTGTTCGTTTTCGTCTTCGGATCCATCTTCGGCGGTGGAGGCGGTCGAGATGAAGAGGTTGACGTCGCCGACCATGGCGTCCACCTCGCGCTGGAGATGAAGATCGAACGGTTCTTCTGCTTCTTCTTCTTCCCCTTCTCCTCCTCCTCCTCTTCCTTCACGGGGCGTCTGTAGCTCCCCTTCTTCTCGCACGGAACAACCATTCCCTCTTTCATCATCGTGACGGTGGTGGTGGTGGTGGTGGTGTTGATGTGGCCGACAGACAATAAAGGTCAATTTATCCCCGTCGTCACGCCAGCTGCGCTGCATGGCATATTCCTCCTCCAACGTGAGCGGCTCGGAGGCCGTCGCTTCCTGGATCTCCTGTAGTTTCCGACGAGGCAGAAGAAAGAAAAAGGTCAGAGACAGAATCAAAACCAAAACCAAAACGATGACAGCCGCCGTACTCAACCCTCCGTCCATGGCGTTGAAATTGAAGATGGAAGTGGGAGTTGAGAGCCCCCCGCCTCCCCAGCTCTCTCCTCTGAAAGAGATCTTTATTTCATTTTATTTGTTGTAAGAAACAAAAACAAAACACGTACAGGATCTTTCATCCAGCCATGGTATTTGGGCACGTGGTGTGTCGAGTAGGGCACCAAGACCACTTTCGTCGTGGAGACGTCTGGGGTTTTCAAATTGAACATGGGTGATTGATTAGAACACGGCCGGAAAAGGGGTCATCCACACATGGGTGTACACATACACACTCACTCACAGACATGGTGGTGGTGGTGGTGGATGGATGGATGCAAGGATCGAGAAGGAGTGATCTGTCCGTACAAGGGAGGGACTCTACTCACAAGTGTGCTCGTTGATCCGCATTGTCTCTAGGGGATCGATCTAGATCTGTTCATCATGGCCATCATGTTTTTAATTAATTCCGAGTAGTAGTGGCCGTATCATCACCATCATCATAATCATCATCACACAGTACTGTACAAGATTTAATTGTTGTTTGGGTAAATTTTGCGACTTTGGGAGGCGGAAAACTTTCCGAGGGCAAAGCGGGAAGTAATAGTATTACAGCCTCGCCACGATATTCGAAAAAAAAGGGAAAAAACTAAGCCGGGTCGTGAACTTCAAACCTAACCACCTCCACTTCCAGCGTCTCGGCATCGACCAGGACAAGCTCGCCCGTTTCGTGAAACCGCGGGACCGCAATGAGTCGGACTTGCTGCCCGTCGGGACCATCGATCACCGTCGTGTCGAATCTCGGCTGGTTCCCCACGAAGAACACGTGCGGACACTCTTCAATGACAAATTGATCGCGATCCTGGAATGGATAGCACCATAGTGTATCGGGAGCGGTTGGGGCGCCGCATCGCCAACGCAGCATGCTGGCCATGACTTCCAATCTCCCGTCGGCGCCTTTTCCGTCCGGGCCTCCGAAGTCGACGTATTTCAGGATGTCGTCGACCGGTTGACCGCTGTTGCCCATGAACCGCCATCCCTCCACATCACCGTCCCACGGGTTTGTCACACTGTCAAGCCACCCGGGCTCTTCTTCTTCGGGGTCGGCGACATTGCTGGCAGCGTAGGCGCGAGAGTGCGGCAGCATGGCGGGATGAATGGGCTGCTGTGGCAGGCTTGCATTTGCCGGATCTTGTTCGCCGGCCATGATTGTGATCGGGATGCTGGGGAGGAGATCGGCCAAGAACTGGTCGAGATGGGCCGTCGGCGTGGGATTGTAGCCTGCCGCATCGTAGCCGTATTTGCGATTGCCGGGTTTTTTGCCGTCTTCGATCGACGTTTGATGGCCCGGGAGTAAATCGGCGGCGATAGAATTGCCCACGATGATAAGGCGAGAGATTTTGCTGGCTGCTTCGCGGTCGTCTTCGTCCAAGGCCTCTGCGAGTAAGAACTCCGAGAGAAGTGAAGCATTCAGGGTGTCGGCTTCCGTTTCTGAGAAGTCGAGTCCGCTGATCAGGGCGATCTTCTTCCGTTGTTGATCAACGTCCATTTTTGTGTCTTCCTCGTCGTCCCTTTCCCACCTCCTTGGTTGTCGTGGTAAATCGGGGATGTGTAGGTCCAGCACATCAAAGTCTCCATTGGCGGTTTCGGTACCCAGCACGGCGACAATGACGCCGGTGACCAGCAGGTTGCTCTTCAACGTTGCTCCCGCGAGTCGAAGCCGACCCGATTCATCCTCCAGCATAACCTGCGTTTCCCCGTCCGCAGTCAGGTAGGACTGTCGTGGCGGAGCGCCTGCAACCCAGTGCTCTTTTGATATATCCTCCAAGATATTCGGTTTCAACGGCATGTCCATGTAGATTGTCCCGACGACCCAGCACAACTGACCTTGCCGGACGTCCAGCACTCGATCCACCCTCTGTGCTTTCTCTCCGGCGATCTCAAAGTCGGCCCAGTCTTCTGCGGCGATCCTCTCGACCACCGGCTTCAGCTTGGCCAGACGCAGAAAGTACATGTCGCCGAATTGCTGGTGGTATTGTTTAGTGTTTCCGCGCGACAGTCGGAAGGAATAGAGGGGATTGTAGGAGGAGGGGGCTCTTCGTCTCTCGTCATACTTGTCATCCTTGTGCCAGGGGCGGAGGAGGCTCTTTAGAGGAGCCATACTGAGAGTGACCTTTCGAAATTGCGTTGGAACGGCTGCAAATACATGTGTTGGGCGTGGCTTGAGAATGTGGTCGCTGTTCTAGTGTTCTGTGAGAACGCGTCAAAGTGAAAGCGCGTCGCAATTAACCAGTTCGCGACTGCGCCAATTACTCCGCCGTACCCAAGACGCCATATAAAGCCTTTGGTCCTCACGGTCCGTCCATACAATATTACACTTCAGGGTCAACCAGCCTGTTCCAAAGTATGAATGGATTTTTGTCTTTGTCGACATGTCGGTTCTAGCATCTCGTTTGTAGGAGACCCGTGTTCCCAGCGGCTCATCAAGCGTGTGCCCCGTTCGACCCTACTGCACTTGAAGTCTGAGGCCCTTCACCGGTGGTTCTCGATGCAGGTATCTTTTTTTTTGCTCGGACAGGTTGAAGCTCCAGGTGAGTTCGACGAGGACATGGCGGACCTCAAGGCTTTGCCAGTCCTTTCAGGAATCTATATAAGTCGTCCACGTTCCCTCTTCTTCTAAGTGATCATTCACCACATCTGTTCACAACACCTCGAACACTCCAAATTTGCCGTGGACAACATATCTCTCACCTTCACAAGAATTCCTCCCCTATCAACACCATCAATGGCTCTCCGAATCCTCTCGGCTGTCGCCGTGGCAGCTACCGTTATGCTCCAGGCGATGGCTCTTCCACGCCGCATATTCACCGCCTGGGACATCAACCACCACCCGGTGAATCCGCCAACCCACAACGTCACGATCCCTCAGCCCTGGGTCTGTCCTAACCCGGACCTGGAGCTCGACCCGATCGAGTGTCCGCCTGGCACTAAGGGTGGAATTCCGAAAGCCATCGATCTCTTCAGAGTCCGGGTCGGGTGCAACAATCTCCGGTGCCCGCATGACTGGGTGTTTGTCGACGCGGGCATGCCCAGATTCGAGCACACCTGCCCCCGACACGCGGTGGTGGCGGCGGCCAACTGGCGAAAATACTGCCGTCTCGACCCCCCTTTCTACATGGAACCCCTGGACTGGTGCGGCACGGGATCAGAGCCTATGGACGCGACCATGGACGCCCCCAGCATCGAGCGGTGCTGCGGTCAGTGGGTGAGCGTCAAGGATCCGTACTACAAAGACTATCCCACGGCGATCCTGCCCGATCTCAGTGTGGTGGAGAACAAGATCGAAGAGGGAGAAGAGATGCGCCGTGTGCTCAAGCCCCACGCGTGGGAGTTCAACATCGACAACGGCTACTGTCGCACGTGGATGGCGGAAGACGAGGCGACGTTCCAGTACTTTATGCAGAACCTGGCGTCCTGGGACGTCGACGACGCGGATCTACTGGGGCATGGTGGGCCGAGATACAACATCAAGTGGGACCAGGACATGGCGTGGGGGCACCTGCCGGAGTGAAGGCCACATGGGGGCATTTTGTCGGTGGGATTGGGCGAGCTGGGCCTTTTTTCTGGGTGAGAAGCTGTACGTGAAGGAGTCTTGAAGGGAGCCAGAAGGATCAGCTGGGAATTCAGGGACAGGTTACGTCTCGAACCCCGGATGGTGTCTTTATTTCTAGAAGAGCAAAACCGGATACTAACAAAAAAATCGACCTCTACCATTGAATTGGATTTCCAACCCTCTCCCTCTGCACCTGTGCCTCTCTACCCAACTCGTCTACAGCTTCGCCTTGGGCCCTAACCACATGCCATCCGCCTCGGCATGGACATTCCCGTGGCCATCCTCGATGACACCGTGGACCCAGACCTTCCTCCCGTCGACCTTGGTGATCCACGACCGGGCCATGATGGTGCCCGGGGTTCGGACGGGTTTGCGGTACGTCACATTCAGGGCGACGGTAAATGTCGCCGCGCGGTGCCGCAGCTGCTGGCCGATGACGTTGCCCATGGTGCTGTCCAGGATGGTGGCGATGACGCCGCCGTGCAGCGTGTCCGGGTGGGCGTTCATGCCGGTGCCGAAGGTGTAGAAGCGCCGCACCTCGCCTCGCCGGTCTGGGTCTGGGTCTGGGTCTGTTCCCGCCGCCGCCGGCCGTCGGTACATCGACAGCAAGTACGTGATGGTCTTGTCCGTGTTCCACGTCTCGGCCATCAGCGAGTGCCCGTGGCCCGGCTGCGTCAGCGTGCGCGACATGCTCACCCGCCGAAACGCCCCGTCGGCCAGGTGTGGGCGGCACCACGGGATCGCGTTGAAGTGGTCCAGCGTCGACTGGGGCGTCGGATCGTGTTTGTTTGTGGAGCTCATGGTGCTGCTGGCCGAAATGGGCTGGGGACTGGTACCTGGTCTTGGTCGTGGTCGTGGTCGTGGTCGTACTGTACTTTGTAGCAATGGCAAGCCGCAGCCTCTCACGACTTCATCCTCCGATGCGAGATTGGTTCGGCACTGGTCATTTGGTCCACCTCGGTATCTTGTCCCAGCTTGGGAAATGGTATTTTGTATCGTTCAACAATAACATCAACAACCAAAACAACAACAACAATGAATCTTGTCGTGACTAGCAAGCAGGACACAAGCAGAGGAGATACATGATAGATTGAGTGAAGCCGATAGAGAAGACGCTGAAAGAGAGAGAGAGAGAGAGAGAGAGAGTCGTCTCATTAATTTACCTCGGCAGATTGATACGCGGAACGAGGTAAGAAAAGAAATAGATATTAGATGCTAGATTGAGACAGATAACCAACACCAACACCAACACCAACAATAACATATGATTCCGTCCTTCTCTCGGCGCAATCGTTGTTCCTCATCCCTTCCATCATCGATCATCCAACGCCAATGGTTCCGAAGATCGGGCCCCCGGCGCGAATGTCGGCGGCTTTGCTCTCTCTCTCTCCCCCTGTACAGACTGGTTGATTGATTGATTGATCAAGTGATTGGTTTGTAACAAAGGCTTCATGAATGCTTCGACCCTCTGTACCGGTGTGGCCGTGGTGCTGGCGGCTCGAGCGGTGCTTCATTTGTATCGGATTTGTCCTCCTCCTTTTCTTCGCTGGCATGATCATGGTCTCTCTCCTCGTCCTTGTCCTGGTCCTGGTCCTGGTCCTTCTTTTTGCCTCCTTTCCGGTATCGATGTGACTCTCCTCGATGTTGTTGTGACTCCTTCTCCTTGTGCTGCTTGTCTCTGGATACTGCAGCCTCTTTTTCCTTTTCCTTTTCCCTTTCCCTTTCCTTCTCTTCTTGTTCTTCTTGTTCTTTCTTCTGTCTCTCCTCCTCCTCCTCTTGCTCGGAATCGTGCTCGGGCTCCTCCTCCATCGGACTCGTCCACTCCTCGCCCTGCGACTCGTGGTCGTCTTCCCCGTTACCGCCCTCAGGCTCTTGTGGCTCGTTGGTGCGCGCTTGCATGTATTCATCCTCGTCGAAAAATCGGGTGCCTTTCCACACCCATTCAGGGTGACCCAGGCCGCGCCCGATTTCCTTGATCGGCAACGGCGGCACTTGGTCGCTGGGGAAGACGCTGAGAAACTCGTCCTCCCCGGTCAGGATGCGAGGGATGTTCTGCCGTGTCGAGTACATGATCTTCTCACTCCGGCCCTCCTCGACGACGTCCTCGTTGTCCAGCCCGCGAATGTCGCTGCCGCGGTTGGACGCGCCCGCCGGTTTCGACACGCCCACCACCGTGGGGAACGGGGCGATGCAGGTGAAGTCGAGGGCGTGTTGGTTGCACATGGCCCCCATGCCGTTGTCCACGGGGTCGTTGAAGGGCACCATGCTCTCCGTGAAGACCACCTTCTCGGCGCCCCGGAGCGAGATGGCGTACGCGGCCGTGCACGAGTTCCAGCTCGACCGGAAGTAGATGCGGGTCTGGAAGTTCAGGTAGTCGTCCGAGTCCTCTTCCCAGATGGACATGTCGGGATGCACGAACTCCGAACGCGACCACGGCGGCAGGACCGTCGGGTCGTCTGTTACTACAAACCTCCTGTCGTTGGCCGGGTCGGTCTGCGCCGCGCAGTGCCCGAACCAGATGATGTCCCAGTAGTTGCCGTACGGCGACAGGGGCTTCTCGTCGTCGGGCTGTGCGGTCAGGAACCGCGTCGCCTTGGCGGCCTGCATCATCTGGTACTTGATGGCCAGGTCCCAGTCGGCGTCGTCCTCGAACACCATGGCCGATTGGATGTTGTCCCGGACCATCTCTTGCATGACGTTCAAATGCGCCCGCCAACACCCCGTGGCACCGGCGTCCTGGGCAAAGCTCTGTCGAGAAACACCGAGACATGTTAGTTTGTTTATTTCTGCTTGCTCATCGCAGCACAATGGTCAAGGAGGATGGTGTCTCACATGAGGAAGAGCCTTCGCCGACACGTCCGCCCCCGCGACCCCGTCCCGGACTTCAAACGTGATGTTGGACAGCCGGGCCTGCAGACTGAAGGCGTCGCGCTTGTCACTCCTCTCGGGCATGGAGATGACAAAGACCTTGGCGAAGCCCAGCGTCGAGTTCCTGGCGTCGTTGATATTGAAGCCGGGCAGGCCTCCCCCCTCGGGCAGCCCGTCGTCGTCGAAGAATACGTCTCCGACTCGCACGTTCTCGAAAGGGTTGGGGTCCTGCACGTCGTCGTCGTCGTCAAACTGGCTGCTGCTGCTGCTGCTCGCACCGCCACGGCCGCGAAACCTTCCCAGGGCGAGTGCTGCGGCTGTCCGGCCCCGGCCATCGTCGACGTCGCTGCCGAATCCGAGAACCGTCACTGACGAGTCGAAGTCCGGGAACGACGGCTTGAATCGCGCCCCGATCAGGAACACCACCGTCAACGTGATGGCGAAGCCGGCGATTTTGAACCGTGGGAACATGGCTGGCTCTTTGGACAGAGACGGGAAAGGAAGCTGATGCTTCGCTCCCCTTTTGCGTCCTGTCGTCGCTTCTTTGGAGAGCAATTGTCAAAAGTAGATGTTATCAAGGGAAGAAGAGAGAGAGACACACACATAGAGAGAGAATGAGAGAGGGAGGGGGGAAAGGGAGGGATGAGAGACGCAGCCTCCTTCACGCCGCGTCCCTGGCGGCGCGCTGGAATGTATCAAGCACCCTCTTCCCGCCCTTTCTTTCGGAGGAGCTCGACCCAGACCCCCCCCCAAAACACCCCCCTTCATTGCCTCGTGCGCACGGGGCGTGGCATGGCATGGCACGGCACGGTTGGGCGAAGAAGCAAAGCAGAGCCAGCCATCGTGAACTCCTCGATCAGCCAGCCGAGAACAAACCCTCCTCCCTTGCCTTCTATGTCGAGGACGAGGGCCACAATCAAGCATCAGCAGCGATGAATGAATGTACCGTGGTGCCGGTATGTACGTATGACATGACCCTTTATTTCGTCTTTACATTGAACTGGCCGACCCACCTCCAAAGAACGTCGGAGTCGTCGTTTTCGCTATTAATACCTACGGTACATACTTACCACGGCAATATATATATGCTTGCTTGCTTGCTGCACTGCACTGCACTGCACTGCACGCTCTTTTGTCCCGGCGTGGATTGTTTTGTGTGTGTGTGTGTGTGTGTATGTGTGAGACATTTGTCCCCTGCCGCACACAGACAGACAGAGAGAGTGGTCAACCAACCAACCAACCCACCTACCCATCCCTTGCATAGTAGTAATAATGCTCGGGCAGAAAATAACAGGAAATGGAGAGGGGTGCATGCATGCCCTTTGTGCCCGATCGAATTCGAACGTATTGTCATCAACCTTCTGGGATTCTATTCATTCATCCCTCGTGTGCTGCTGGCTGTAGTTTAGTTCGATATACTTACTGTATGTATAAAATATACACAGTCACGATATATATATCCCTCTCGCACATAACCACATTCCTCCCAGAAACGCCTTTTCCCCCACTCGCTTCCCAAGAAGCATCGAGGATCCATTCATCCAAACAAAACATGCCATCCACAACGAAATTTATCCCGAGACAGGCCTGTGCCACCGCGTTCCATGACTGCATCATTAACCGACTTGCTGCCTTCCAGACCACTCGTTCTCACAGGTCCGGACCCCCGCCGTCCTCGTAGACGATGTTCTTCTGCGGCGGCTCCTTGTCTGCACCACCATCACCAGAGCCGGCGTCGGCAGCAGCCTTCTTGGCCTCGTCCAGCTCCTCCTCGGCTGGGTGCGACGTGTCCGACTCGCACTTGACCGTCTTGGGCGGCGCTGTCTGCCACCGGATCTTGCTGTGGCGGATGGCGCCGCCGACGTCCTCCAGGTCGTCCTGCTCGACGCGCTGCACGATCTCGGTCGCAAAGCCGTAGCGCTTCTTGGTCTGCCGCGCCTCGTCGTCGTTGTACCCGATGTTCACGCTCGGCACCACCGCGATCCGCCCGTACCCGTACTTCCAGAAGTCCTTGCACAGCAGCAGCGGCTCGCCCATGTGGCACTCGTCGCCCCGCGACACCCGGAACGTGACATTGTGCCGCAGCAGGGGCTGCGCCGTGAACACCGCGCCGCCGTTCCAGCACGAATAGACCTGTCGGGAGCGCATGGTGTCAGTATCGGTGGCAGCCTCGAGATACATCTATGTCGATGTGGGGAAGTGGGTGGAACTACGTGCGACGGCGGCGAGAGCGGCTTCGACTCACTTGGAAAGGCACCCGCGCTTCAAAACGCGTCTTTGTTTTGGGGTCGTGGCGGAAAAAGGTGTTGTTGGGGTCGATGCTGCTGTCCTCGGCGTAGACAAACTTGTCGCCTGTCATGCCTCGGGACGCCCCAACGTCGACGAAGGTCTCGCCGTGGTTGGCCCAATCCATGCCACAGGTCATGTCGGCCCTTTGATAAACCTAGTTGCGGATTGCGTCAGTTACCATCAACCGAGCCATACATCATTGACCGACGACTCACCTTTTGGTAAATGAGTTCCAGAATGTCGTCCGTGCAAATCGCCCCGTCGTTCAAAAAGATCACCGTCGTATCCGGGTCGTAGAGCTCCGGCTGTCGCACCAGCGGATCCAGCGCCAGATTCCGCAATGCGGCCCATTCGGTGATGTAGTCCTTGCCCTCCTTGAACGGGTCTATGTCGCTCGTGCTGAAGTAGTATGTGACGTTGAGCGTCGCCATCTCCTCGCGAATGTTCTCCAGAATTTCCAGCGTGCCGTCGTTAGACGAGCGCGCCACGATGGACAAGACGCAGTCCTGCGGCCGCAAAAAGCGGATGGTCTCGACGACCGACGCCAGCAGACGCGGCAGCACGGGCGCGCACTGATGCAGGTTGAGTGCGAAGAACCACCGTCGTGGTGGTGAGTCCCATCGCGTCGCAAAGCTCCTCCGGCGGCGCAAGATCCCGTATCGCTCTTTCATCGGCAGCGGGCAGCGGAGTCGGGGGAACCGTCGGTCGCTGGGGTCGGTGATGGCTTTGATGTACGGCTCGATGATCCTCATCCTGTTCTCGTCCAGATCGGCCACCCCCGGCGGGTCCCACGGTTCCGAGTAGAAGTTGAAGAGCCCGTGCGTGGGACTGTTGTCGGCCTCGTCAACGACATCGTCGCTGACGACCTCGAGATCCGAGGAGCGAACGAGGCTCTCGTTGAGGGGCTGCCCGGCTCCTCGGTGGTAGACCAACTGTTCCACCGCGGCGACTTTGGGCTGGTAATACGACGAGAACGGCCCGCCAAGGTAGGTCACGAACAGAACGCACACGACCAAAAGAGCCAAGAACGACCTGTCTATGCCTCGCGCAAACAACCCAAAAGGAAGAGCCATGGTTGACCGATCCTTTGACACGGAGCAGCAGTGGTGGTGACTGGCAGAAGGAATTGACGCCGGAGGATGGTGGGACACACAACGGGGCCGCCTGACTTGCGACGCCGTTGCTGGCTGCTGTTTCGGTACAAGCAGATCAGATCGGCCAGATAGATGAATACCTGGGCAATGGCTCAACTACTGGGATGCACCGCCACCGCAACCGGCCTTTGTTGCTGGAGCACGGCTTTGATAGAGACACATGGTGAAAAGTCGGACATGTCATTTCAGCAATCTCGACGTTGCAGGGCTGTTTCTAGGCCCTAGGGCCCGTTGCAAAGATGCTGCAGGAACCCCTTTTGTTGGCTCAAGCCCTTTGTCTCGAAGAGTACTAGGCGGGTCCCACAGTCGCGATAGTGATATTGGAGCAGCCGGCGCTAAGGGAGGAGGAGAGCAGGGGTAGCGAGTTGGCTACGCGGAATCCGATTGAATAATGAGAACAATACCGAGTACTCGGAACATTCTGTATGCAGACTCGTTATCCACGAATGGTGTGGGGGCAAAAGATGCTGCCATACATATGTACGTACCGAGTACATGTACCGAGTAGTTAGAAGACTGAGTCCTGCTTGACGCCGCCAGCACAAAGGGAAAGTATTGCGTCAAGGCGCTCTATGCTTCACCGTGGAATGGCGCATGAACCCTTCTATGCTCTGCCGTATATCAGAAACCCTGCTACGGTGGAACCTGAAGCCACCCAAGTGCAAACGGTAAATTTTTCGAAATCCCAATTACATCGGAGTGCTTGACTGGTGATTTCCCATTCACAACTCAAACGCCCAGCCCGAGGAGACGCACACCTGGAAGGTGAGGTTCAAGATGGGCTTAGCTGAGCCGAGAAAGTACGTTTGTTCCATTCGCAACCAGGAGGCCTAATGCCACATCTGGGTTGACCGACACCGAAAAGCTGCGTTCATTGTTTCTGTCAAGACTAACCGTGTGGTCGACAGGAGGCAAAAACTCTCCCATGATCCCCGGAATCTCGCATGGTCGTCTCAGTCCTCTGCCACGTCCTATGGCCACCGCCTTATGACCCAGCAAGGGTGGTCGCAAGGGCAAGCCCTCGGCAAGCGCACCACATCCTCTCGATACGGTGCACCCAGCGATGCCGAACGCCTCGCGGCCGCCCAGGTGGGGGTGCTCTTCAAAGATGACAATCTCGGTCTGGGCGCCAAAAAGAGGAGTGGGAAGGAGGCCGTGGAGAACCAGAAGGTTGGGCTGGATGCGTTCCAGGGCCTGTTGGGCCGACTCAATGGGAAGAGTGAGGAGGTGCTGAAACAAGAGGAGAAGAAGATCGAGGACCGCAAGTTGGAAATGTATGCTCGCGGCAGATGGGGTGGCATGATCTTTGTGAGGGGTGGAGTTTTAGTTGGAACCCTTGACGAGAAGCCACGGGAGAAAGACAACGCAGAGAACTCTCTTCTGGCGGAGGACGATCAACCTCCGGCCGAGTCATCGTCGCAAGAGCGAGAAGAAGCGGGAAATGAAGAGCGACGGAAACGGAAAGAAGAAAAGAGACGACGAAAAGAAGAGAGGAGGATCCGCAGAGAAGAAAAGGCGCAGAGGAGGGCTGCGAAAACCGCCCAAGACGACGTTCAAGCCATCCCGGTCCACAAGTCTCCTGTGACTCAACCACCTGATGAGCCCGTGTCGTCTGCGCCATCAGACGACGAAGCGGAAAAGGCGCAAAGACCAGACCAGAGCGACAAGAGACGCAAGCACAAGTCTTCGAAGCACAATGCGGACGTCGACGAAGGGAAGTCGCCAGTATCGACTGCGGCGGCAGCATCAAAGAAACCGAGCGCCACAGTGATGCAAACTGGCCGACACTTGCTTAGAGGACGAAACATCCAGGCCAAGAAGATGGTGTTGGCAGACATGAAGGGACTGGACGAGATCTTCATGAGATGAATTTCTGACAAGCTACCGAGTACTCTGAGCGTTTTAGCAATGGTGGTATCAGTGTCCCATAGTAGATCTAGAGGCGTTTCTACGGTAGACAATCTTACCCAGCATTCATTGCATTTAATTCTCTTGACTAGACATTCTTCTCGCTGTCGGCATCGAGGAGAGCGTGGGAGTTCAATTCACCAGACCGCCATTCGTCCTAGAACCACAGTCAGCCAGGGCTGAACGACATGGACCTCTCCGTCCTCGATGTCCGTCACCCTGAGTCAGGAGTGTCCAATTACCCAAGGCAGATGATCGTGCTTATCACCAAGCCACTATCGATATACGAGCAACAGCAGGAGGAGACGTCAAAGGGCCGATCATCAGGTCGATCAGGTCATCCTCGAACCCAGTGATGTGATGGCATTGCGCGACAAGATGGCGCGTCACGTCGTGGATTATTCGCGTTCAAGATAGGGAGATATCTTTTCCAGCTGCTCCTGTCAGAACCACATGTCGACTATTGGACTGACTCCATCCAGAATACTCCGAACTCCATACGGAGACTCGTACGGACAGTCCCGGCCAATACATCCAACATTATATCATCACCACCCGACGGTTTCACCCCATGGTTGTCTGTCGATCCAATCGCACAACCATGCGAGGTAAAATTTGTCAATCCACTTGCTGGACATTCAGGAGTCAGTCATCGTCCTGAACAGGGTGGAGCACCGAGATTTCGGACCCGACTGGACGAAACCCCCCTGGTCCTGGTCTGGATAAGATCTGAGATAACGCCGATGATTCATTGCTGATTATTGGAATTTTCCATGTGCTCAATGATGATCCATGCAGAGGCTATATCCTTCCTGTAGAGGAGGCTAGCGGAAAAGAGTTCATGATTGTGTCCATTTCTAACGGTCCATGGAATGAACCCTCATTCAGCCACCCAATTACGTCGACACACATGCATACGAGAACCCGAGGATATGTGGAATCGAGTGCTGCGTATCTATGTCAACGCACCTTTGTTTCGACGCGTCAGTCCATGGAGTGGTAGTCACCGCCCCCAGCGCCATCGGCGCAGCTGAGGACGCCGTGGCGTCCTCAACAACTGCCACAAAGAAACACCTTGTACTCAACTCAGCTAGAAAAATCGACGCCTTCCTTATCGGTGACAACCTGAAACACCGATGGGCCTGCGACCAAGGGTAGAGCCGCACATGCTTCGAGGGACATTTCTACTTGTTCTTCTGCTTATTGGATGGGAGGCCCCACGATTTACGCGAGAATATTGACCACGGCACTTTGTATCAGTACTTACGGTTACAACGGTGACAGGTTTCGTAGTGTGGAACTTTGCGGCGCTCATTCTCGTCCCTCCGAGTGGATGAGGCACCAGTCCAGACCCCATGCAGCTTGGGCTTGCACCGGTATGTATAAGCTCAGTCTTATTTCTTTGACCCACCTCGCTAAACCCTGTCGTGGCGTCGAGCCAGCTCAGCTACCTCTATGGCACGACTTTGAGTGCGGAATATGCTGTGTCGGTCAGGAGAGCCCGATCGTGCCGAAGAGAGCCCAGGCCCGGGCAACGTCTCATCATCAGCCGACGCCTACCAAGACACCTAAGAACGTTGATTGGTGACGAACAGCTGCACTCCTGAGAAGCCCATCTGCAGCCCTATTGACTAACGGACACGTTCAGCAGGTTAAAGTTTTTCTTTCATGAGACCAGAATAATCTCCTTGGGGAGACAAATCAAACTCATTAGGGGATGCAACATTGGCAGGATCAACGACACTCATGTTGCAAAACCGCCGAGCGATGAGGTCTTCTCAGCTAGGACCTGGACGAGACGACGATCAGTCTGTCAATCAATCAGTCAATCAAACTGAGTCTCTCTTCTTCCAAGTTCCAGACCATGCTGTACCTGCAGAAGCGTCCCCTGATAGGGACCCACATGGTATGGCCCGGGTTTCCGCACAGGGTTAGTTCCGTTCAGTTTCTGCTGCACTGTTTACTCCCCCCAGTTGCAAAAAGGAAACACTGAAAGGGCATGCTGCAGCAAAAGTCCTACGAGGCATGATACAGTCCAAGAATACCCAAGATATCCCCAAGCCAAACATTACAGTTGACATGGGTGTGGCTTTGGGGCGAGTTGATTGCCTTTCCCGGATGCAGCCAGCGGAGCAAACGGTTTGATGAGTTCATTATCTGTCTCCTTAACGCGTGTGCTTTAGGTTCAAAGACACGAGTCTTGCGTACCTACTCGTCCCAGCCCAATCCCCGGCTCTCACATTGGGAAAGAGTTCTCACAGTCATTGAAAGCCTCAAGCTGCTTTTGGACTCCGTGGCGCTATCCACTTGACATAGAATTCGCTAAACTAACGGGGAGCCTTTTCTCCTTCCCCCTGATACTCGATCCAGATCAGAACGGGGCACCGCTGGCGCTTCGGAACTCTCTGGTTCCACTGTCGTCCTTTTCCCTGTCCAGACTCCCTGCTGGCCACCGCTGGGAGAAAATGGGGGGGTCTACCGCACCCGGAAGGGCCCCCACGTCCCGTATCTTTTCTACCAATATACATATACACAGGCTCAAGCTCAGATCGAGGCATTTGTGCCTCGTCTGCGCGCGCACGTGAGTGACGTGTGTCCGACGTTGGTAACCACTGACCATAATCATGTTTTCGATGCTGACGACCACTGTCCGCAAGAGGCCGTCCAGCATTCTTGTCATTCTTTTGTTGCCGTTGATCACACTCTTTTATTTTCGCTATGTTGTCGTGGAGCAACACAAGACCGAGCAGCTCGTCACCGACCTACACACCTACGTGGCCGAGTACCCTCTCGATGTCGCCCTCCCGGACTTCGCCTCGGTGGCCAACCAAGTGGCGGCGCTGTCACAGCTCGCGGGGCTGTATATGCGAGAACAGACGCTCGACCGCAGCCGGCTGAAAGACTCCCTCGCTCACCTGTTCCCCTGGTGGAACGAAGACAAACTGGCCTACGTGCCGTGGAAACACCAGAAGAGGCAGAAACCCTGGTCCAAGGAGAAGCCGGAGCTGAAGACGGGCATCGTCGTCTGTGTCGGGGACGGCAACGTCGAAGACGCTCTCTTTTTGATCACCAACCTGAAAAAAGTCCTCAAGAATGAACTCCCCATCGAAATCGCCTACGCGGGCGATTCCGACCTGTCTCCCCATACCCGCACCTTTCTCCGTGCCACCAGCAAAGACATCCAATTCCTCGACCTCACCAAAATCTTTGACAACTCCCTAATTGACCTCAAAGGCTGGGCCACCAAACCGTTCGCCCTCATCGCCAGTCGATTTCCCCAGACGATTCTCGTGGACGCCGACGCCGTCTTCTTCTCCCACCCCGAGCGGGCCTGGACCGAGTACGAGGGCCTGCGGGAAACCGGCACGCTGTTCTTTCACGACCGCGCCGTGACCATGGACCGGAGCGAGAACCGCCGCAAGTTCGTGGCGGAGCAGCTGGTCAAGACCGGCCGACAGCCCTCGCACCGGCTCAACAGCAGTTCGCTGTTCTACAAGGGCTACATCGGCGAGGAGGCCGACTCGGCGGTGGTGTACTTCGACAAGTCGCGGCCGGAGCTGTACGTGACGGGCTTGTTCGCGGCGTGGATGAACGTGCAGGACGTGCGCGACGCCATCACGTGGGACACGTTCTGGGGGGACAAGGAGTCGTACTGGCTGGCGGCGGAGCTGACGGGGGTGCCGTACGCGTTCGAGCCGTGGCAGGCGGCGCGGTTCTCGGAGGCGCTGAGCACGCCCGAGGCTGAGGTGTTCAAGACGCCGCGCATCTGCTCGCCGCACATGGCGCACTCGGACGCGCTGGACGACGAGCCCTTCTGGACCAACATGGGCATCTGGCAGAACAAGGAGGACAAGTCGCTGGGCTTCGCCAACTGGACCCACTGGTACCTGGGCGCGCCCATCGCCCAGACCATCCTGACCACCGCGGCCGCCAACCTCACCGAGGAGCCCGTCGACCGCGGCAGCAACGTCACCCTGTCCCGCCCCGAGCACGAGTCCGAGGTGCTCGCCACCCAGGCCGCCTGGAACTGGCGCGACTGGACCCAGGACGCCCGCGGCTGCCCCCAGCACGACGAGACGCGCTGGCGGCCCCTGAGCCGCGAGTTTCTGGACCGGTTGCACTCCATCATCACCGAGGCCGAGCACATCCGCTATGCCTGGACGAGAAAGAAGATCGAAATGAATACTTGAGTCCCAATTATTTTTTTTTTGGTTTATGCTGGGTGGGCAAGGCATCCAATGGAAATTGGACATTAGATTTGTATGTTGTATGTTGGGCGTTGGGCGTTGGGCATTTTGATATATGGGGATGGGCCTTCCAGGTCAGGCCAGGCCAGGTCAATGTCTATTTTTTGTCGACTGAGGGAAAAAAGAAGAGAAGACTCCATGCCATGGAACTGTCTGCGGGAGTTTTTATTGGTTTGTTATATCATCATGGATGGCTACGAAATACATATAATTCCTTTGTCGTCTTCTTTTTTCTGGCTTCTAACCAACCTACCTACTCCACCGTTATTCTTATTCTTTTTTTCTTTCCGGTGAAACAGTTGCTTTTTTTCCCTCTCTCCTCTAGAGCCGATTAGAGTACATAGATAGGGATGGCATAGTAGAGAAAGAAGAAAGAGAGAGAGACGCAGGAAGGAAGGAAAGGGTCTATGAAAGTCCGCTCGCAAGGATATCCGCAAATGAAAAGGGGACATTATATACATTATGCTAGGAGGTCACAATTACCAAACAGTAAGGACTTCTTCGTTCAGCTCTCGTGATGATGTCTGCTGTTGTTGTTGTTGTCCCCCTACATAGAACTCCTCTCTCTATCTACAGTATGTCTCCATGCGTATCTGACTGCTAATGATATTCAGGGGCTTTTGGCACATCCACACGGCACTTGTAAGTATGTATGCAGTCGAGGATCCTCGCCCACCCGCCTGCCTATCTCACTCACTCCGTGTGCACGGCCTCTAGCGACCGTCGATCTTGACTTCTTCTGTCGACAAGACCGACCTTTGCTCCGGCGCGCCAGCTTATCGCTGCTTCCCCTTGCCAGGAAAACCGACTGGGCCCCCATCATCAATGAAATGAGTCCCATCCATGTCATCATCATCAAATCTGCTTGTAGATCGTAGCGCAACGACACCGGAAGAATCGTCACGACACGAGACAATGACCATGACCGTGACCGTATCACCATTTTTTCCCGACTCCTGGGCGTACCGTGGGCGCGCCTGGATGAATGCTTCTGGGCTTGCTTCTGACCCTTATTTCGCAATAAATCAAAAAGGTAAAAAGGTTTTGCCAAATTCATTCCCCAGACTTGTGGCCAAATCATCCTCCTTGTTCAATCCGGGAGAGCACCTTTCGAACAAAGTCAACACCAGTGTACCCCAGTCAGTGCTGTCTGTATAGTTGTTCGAGCAGGACTGGTCTCAAAATGGTGTCGGTATGCCGTTCTTCGTGCAGCTGGCGGGAGTTCGTATCTTGCTGTGTGCCATCTGTTCATCCCCCCTTCTCTTTTAGCTTTGGACCAACTGGTCCAGCTCAGGAGAAAGAAAGAAGGCTCCTCCATTCCATACCCTCATAGGACCGCTCCGGCCTTCCAATCCCACCTTCCATTTTCGTAGGAGAGCTCTTCCTTGGACAGGCCCTTGAAAGGCGCGGCGATAATTTCCGAGTAGTACGAGGCGACCTCCATCGTACAGTCCAAGACGTCTTTGCTCACGGCCGTGTACCGTAGATCCCACTCGGTCTTGTTCCGGCTGGACATGCCACCCAGAAAGGCGCCGTCCAGGTGGGCGACATGGGGCAGCTGGCTCACGAACTTGGAGAGACTCGCCAGCTGCATGATCTGCACGGTCGAGTCGGCGACCGAGAGCGTCAGCGTCAGGACGTCGTGCTTAGGCCGCCGGTCCCACTTCGCGATGCTGTTAGCGATCACGATCTTGCCCTCGCCGCACGGGTCGTTGATGGCTTCGGGCGACATGGCGGCCGTGCCGAAGTCGATCGGGCCCGACATGAAGCTGAGGTAGAAGTGGTCGCCGTGCGCCGTCATGATCATCAACTCGGGCCGGTACATGGCCAGGTCGTCGGTGCACCCGATGTTGATGTGGGACCGGGGAAACCCGACCCAGGCGTTGAGGTCGGAATGTGTTTCCAGCTGCAAGGGCACCATGTTGGTTCCGCCCGTCATGCGCCCGTTCGCGCTGAGGCCAGAACCTCTCAGCTCGTCGGGCACTTTCTGCTCGTACACGAAATGGCACCATCCGTTGAGGGTGTGGCATTTGAGCACCCGCAGCGGGTTGAAGTCGTAGATGAAATGGATGTAGTGGCTGGGCCACTTATAGTGTCCCGGCGAGATGGGCTCGTGCTCGTTGATGAAGAAGGGAGCCCAGTTCTTTTCGGCGTGCGCCCTCTCCGTCTGGCCCGTGATGGTCAAGACGGTCGTGTCGTTAGAAAAGGGCCGGAAGATGTACATAGCCCGATCTCCGGTCTTCAAGTCGTACAGCATGTTGAAGGTCACGATGGGCTCCGCATCTTCGACTCCCTCTTCGAGAATCACACGAGGGTCTTCTGGCCCAAAGTAGCGGTCGCCCTGCTTGAACGGGGCGGGGATGTTGAACACGGTGGGGAATTTGATCTCTTCGCTCTGCCACTGGATGGTGTGGTTCTTCAGCTCGTTCCAGTTTTCGTCATGGAGTTGGCCCGCCAGAAAACTGATGACGGGCTTGTGTCGGAGGCCGTTGTCGTAGAAGATGACTCTCGTGACGGTCAAATAGACCTTGAACTTCTCGATCCAGACACTCGACCCGGACAGCCTGGCCCACGTCTTGGCCACCATTTGTCGAAATGTCAAGCCCTTCTCCTGCTGGGAATAGTCGATCATCGGGTGGCCTGCCAACGATCGTGCAATGTGCTCCAGGTCATCTTCGAGGTACAGACTCTTGTGCACCCGCAGCTCGCCTTCGTGTCTCAAATCTTCACATGTGCGGCTTGTGAGGTCCCCAGTGTTGACGAAGCCGGTGATGGGTATCGACTGAAAGCCTTCCTGGTCGAGAGAGGTTTGCTGCCGGAGCGCATGAGGCAATCGGGTCTGGTGGACAACTTTGTCAGCTAGAGAACCTCGAGTCACCTGGTTTAGATGCTGCATACCTGGAGGGGCTTCACGTCGAGGGCCCCGAGAAAGAACCGTAGACACAGAATCCCACACAGAACTGCGACGATTCTGATCTTGCGACTCGTCCATGGGATATTCCCAGGCATCGCATACTGCTGCAGGATTTCGAGCTTCATCTTTACCGACGAGGATGGGGATTGCATGTTGAAACCTTGACTCCCAACCTCATATCCGCAGCATGGCCCAAGTGTAATTAGTTATGGAAAGCAGTGGGAGGAACTGTCGTCCAACGCAAAATCCTCAGGACATGGCGGGATAAACAAAAAGGCAAATGCCACTTGAGACACTTTCCCCCCTGAGGTGACCGACAGCCCACCACAAGAGCTAACAGCCAGATCCGCACACGGTCGGATCTGTTGAGATATGGGCGAGACGATAAGAGCCTGTGAGTCGGTTTGACCTGCAGCCAGCAGTACGAGGTACTCCGTTCTGCCCATCCATGTCTCCACGGAGACCAGTCAGCTTTGGCCGTGAGCGTCTTGAAGCGCCCCGTCGATCGAATTCGTGACCGGAGACCGACCCTGGGGGACAAATCTTTTTCGGAATAGGGGTGTTGGCCAGGCGAGCTAGGGTGTTGCAATTTCGGATCGACGGTAGCGGGAGTCCCTGTGTCTCTGTCCGTATGTACATGTACGTGTATCAAAGTATTTTTCAGGGGCTTAAAAGGCTTAAGAGCCGAGGCTTGGAGGGCTTGGAGGGAAATCCACTTCAGGGCCCGCCAGGTACCTGCATCCATCAGCCACTAAATTATGGCGACATGGGCGACGCCATCAAAAAAAGTGTAGGGACTAAATGGGCTAAAGCCGTTTTCTTCTGCCGCCATGGGCACCTCTGAAGTGTTTGCTGGTGCCAAAGCCAAGACGGGTGAGAGAGGACATTGTCCATGGTCTCTACTCGGGACGCGGTACCGAGTACATATAGCGAATATACGAGACGAGCAGGTTAAATCACCAGTCATGACATCACCTCGGGCACTGTCACATCCGCAGTGGTATACGAGGTGGTTGTATCATTTTATCAGCTGTGATCCCTTAGACACACCAGTGCCTGCTATGAGACTGAGCTCCCTGCACCGGTGACCGGGATCCTCAGGCTCCCTCTGCTGGTACGTCCATCAAGCCAACTACCTCAGTAGGAAATTAGGCCTTGCGTAAGCAGCATGAACAAACATCGCAATAGAATAGTGGATACGGTTGAGTTGTCACTGCCAGAACGTTCACTGTCTGGCCTGGAACATGGGCAGGTGCAATCCAAGACGTACTGTATTATTCCACATGAACGATAATACTAACCCTGTCGGGGCGGCCGTAATAAAACGTCTGCATGCTCTTTCAAAGTTTCTTGAAGGAACGCCACCCATGCCTCCCGCGACCGTGTATTGACCTCGACAGGCGATTGGCGGTTGAAACAACAATCCTCCGTGGCCCATATGTACAGGGGTTGTTGCGGTGTTTGCCGGGCTCCTTAGGCCTTCTGGTGTTTGCTCTTTGATTCGTCCAGTGGCCCTTGTCTACCCTCTACCCTCGGGTACCTGACGATCGTGATAGCACATCGGCGTCAGCGGTGACGGAGCCCGGACCCAACAGATACGGACAGCCTACCTCGTACATACAGGGGTTTCTCGTCCCTTTGGCCTTTTGACCATCATCGACAGAACAACAGATTGGAGCCAGGAGGGGGAGTTGTTCTCCGTCTTGTCCAAGGGTTCCTCCCCTCAGCCAAGTCAAATCTCGGCCCAAACACACAAACAATGGTAAAGCAGGCAAATAATTTTCAGGGGTTCGTGGGTGCCCGATCCCCCACGCTATGCTGGATTTACTCAATCGCTGACGACTTCAGAAGTCTAGTTTTGTAGACGCCGCTCTCCGACATCATGACTGAAGGCGGCGGCAAGGGCTTTTCAAGGGCTCGGTCGATAAATAACAGAAGGTTCGACTTTGCAGTCCTCGGGAATGGCGGTAAGAACAGGCCTGTCGAATACATCATTGGGCTGGCTGGGTGCTGATGATTTGTCCCGTATATTGCAGCTCAACCATTCACCATGACCCTTCGTAGGCTCCTGCTATGGCTAACCCCGAGTTTTGCCTCGAGAGCGAGAGCCGCGAAGACATCGACATCGAGCTCGTCTGACAAGATATCCGCGCTCGATGGCCTTCGAGGTATTGCATGTCTTATCGTCCTCCACGAACACTGGACGTGTGCCGTCGATGATCCCTGGCGACCGTATGCTATGCCCGACCTCGCCACTGGCTTCATGTGGAAACCTTTCGTTATCCTCTTGTGGGGCGGAGAGGCCATGGTCAACCTGTTCTTCGTGATATCAGGCTATGTGCTTTCCTGCAAACCGCTGGGATTGCTGTATTCCTCCGGCCCTCAAATGATGTACGAATGTATCGCATCCTCAAGTTTTCGCCGGGCCTTCCGCCTCATGCTTCCCACCGTGGCGGCGGTAGTGATGATTGCCACCTTGACGCAGATGCGAGCTTTCGAACCGGCAAGGTACGTATGCAACGACCTCAACGCGGCGCAGATCGAGGCGTTTGACGCACAGAACAACGTGACTCAAATGATCGAGGCCGGCATCCTGGATGTGGACCCTCAGCCTCGTCTCATGCGAGAAGAACCTCCACCACTTTCCGAGACCTTCTTTGCACAGGTCTCAGATGTCGGTACCGAGGTCTACATGCTCGCCAGAGGTTCAGTGCCTGGAGAGCCGAGTCAACATGACTACTTTGTCTATGACGCGCACGTCTGGACCATTCCCGTCGAACTAAAGTCGAGCATGGCCATTTTTATGCTCATGGTGGGAACATCAATGCTCACCAGCAGATGGCGGCTCTTCTTCCACGGGGCCATCGCACTGTTCTGTGCCACGCAGGAATATCGGAGTATCTGTCTGTTCGTTGGTGGCATGATCATCGCCGAGCTTGACCTGGTTCGAAAGCATTCTGGACGCCCAGCACGGGGCCCCATCATCGGAAATGACCAGTCACTGTCGCCGTCGCCGCTGCCCAACAAGAATTTAGAGTGGCTCCGGCAACCGGATGTGGTGTCGGCAGCTTGGGGCCTCTGTTTTGTTGTCGGCCTGTATATCCTCTCCATCCCCCTCGTCGAGCCCGTCACGACCCCGTCATATGCGTTCCTGGCCCGTCTTCTCCCAACGTACATTGTCGAAAAGAACCGGCTGATCCGACTGTTCGGTGCGGTGGTAACGACGTGGGCGTGCATCAACTCGGACATTGTCTCGCCCATCTTCAACAACGAAGTCGCCCAATATCTGGGCCGAATCTCCTTTGCCCTCTACCTCACGCATGGCATGTTGATCCGGTCGTTGGGCTATGTGGTCATCGGGCGTCTGCGGTCTCTGACGGGGGCCTACGTCCGCGAGGACACTTCACTGGCGCAGTTCATGTTCATCTGGTTGTTCGGCTATGTCCTGATGCTGCCGTTCTTTCTGTGCGTGGCCGACCTGTTCTGGAGGACCATCGATGTTCCCTCGGTCAAACTGGCCCGAGACATCGAACGGCGTCTGCGGCGCCACCAGAATCATCATCATCAGCAGCAGCAGCAGGACTGGTGGCCAGGGAATAAGATCCCCTGACATGTATTACCTGTTATTGTCTTCACAAGAAAAAAGCATCATGCATGGGTGTTTCGTGTTGGCGCGTTAAGTTGTTAGAATAATTCAACAATCTTCAATCGCAGAATCCGCTGGAGTCAGCGCAGACGCTTCATGACGATACACTTTCTCATTTCCTATTACAAGCTACACGGCTGTTTTCACTATCCCAATACCGGACCAACCTGATACCGACCCAACGCAAGCTATAGGCGACCGACCACCCACGAAACCCGATAACAAATACTTTTTCCGGCCTTTGAAAAGATGCACAACATGCGGACGACGTGATATCCCATAGCCCATGGCCAGTCAGCCTACCGGCACCACGCACAACATGCACAAGCCAAGAAGCCGCGTGACAATACTCGTCGTATAAACACCCAGTTAAGAAGGCAGGTCGGAACCATGGACATGTACTTGTACTTGTACATGGAGCACAATGACTCGCCCAGCTGACCCATCCACATGGGCGCTCGTACCAAGGACAATAGAAAATGCGGTTTTCCAATATGTTGCAGTATTGGTTGTTTCGTGTCGTGTCGTGTCGTTCGGCTTCGCTTTTGCCCCGTGCTCAATCTCACATCATCTCGTCCAGTCGTTCTGTGGTCATTCGCCGGTGTTGGAGACCGGGAGTTGAAGCAAAATCACACAACAAAGTCGAATATCATCCAACCCAACCTCAAGCGCAATGATTGAAAACAGCGGCACACCAACAGCGTCATTCCGATGCACATAATCCAAGCAAGTCTGTTGCCAAGGTCGTTAACATGTGTTGATCGCCGTCTCTCACTGTTCACTTTTTTCTCCCCTTGGGCACTTCTTCTGGCAAATACCTCGAGGAAACATCATCTTCAAATAAACGCATGTCGCCTTTACCGCCCATTTGCATAAACTCGTCTTGCTGTCGATTCGCCGCGGGATGTTCCTCCTTGTTACCATTCTCCTTATACTTCTGCTTCTTCCCCTTGTTGTTGTCCCTGGGTGGGCTCATTCTGGTATTCTTGCCGCTCGGGTTCTTGTCCCATATCTTCACATGTGCTGGTGAGCCGGGGATGTGGGGGGTCTGACCTTGGATCTGCTGGCCTCCATTGAGGTCTACTACTTTGCTCACTTTGACGTCGTTGATGTTGGCTAACAAAGTGCGTTCCCGTTGGACTTTTCGTTTGGAGAAGTCAAAGGCACTCATTTGCCCGGTGAGGCCGTCAAGCGAATCAGCTGGATTGATGTAGCCCAAGTTTCTTGTCCAGGGATGTTCGAGGCACTGATCGATAGTAATTCGCTTCTCCACGTCGACTGTGAGCATGCGGTCGATAAGATCGAGTGCAGGGTCCCCAATCGAGTCCCAATACGGTGACGGATAGTCAAACCGGCCCATTTTGATCTGTTGAGCGAGGGTATATGGATTCTCGCGCGAGTAAAGCTCATCGGAAAATGGTGGGAACCCGCATAGACAAATGTACAAGACCACACCCAGGGACCAAACATCAACTGCTCTGGTATATCTTCGATGCCGTGTGTTCTCCAGTATTTCGGGTGCAACATCTGCACACCGTTAGGCACAATAATTCGAGAAGACGAGGTCAGCACTTACAGCTTGGTGTACCACATAACGTAGTTGTGAACGACTCCTCGCCAATGATCTTAGCCAGGCCGAAATCTGCCAACTTGACCGACAAATTCTTGTCGGTCAGTAAGATGTTCTCTGGTTTGATGTCGCGATGGACGATATTGCGTTCGTGCAGATACTTAGTCCCCTGAAATAATTGGATGAAGATTTTCCGGGTCTCGGCCTCCGTCAACTTCTGTTTCGTCACAATCAAGTTGAACAATTCGCCTTCAGCGGCGAGCTCCAAGACCAGGTAAACTCCGTCCGGCTCATCGAACGTCTCCTTCAGGCAAAGGACATTGGGATGACTGACGCTCATCAGCACAGCGATTTCCTGTTCCAATCCTTCCGTCTGCGATCGTTGAGACTCTCCCATGCGACGCTCGAACTTCTTGACGGCAAACTTGAAGCCCGTTGATCTTTCTACACAGAGGTATACCGTAGCAAAATGGCCCTTTCCCAACTGCTGGAGGATGCGATAACGCGAATTGAAAGCACTCGAGTCTCGGCTTCTTGGGTAGCGAAAGACAAATCGTGCCTCATCTAAGATAGTGATCTCATCCCCATCTTCTAGCTGTCTTCGCTTGTTGCGGCCCAAGAATGCTTCGTTGACAAAGGTGCCGTTGCTGGACAAGTCCTCGAGAATGGCGACCGAGTCGCCATTTCGTGTTTCGTTAAAGATCAAGCAATGTCGGTTCGACACTGTTGGGATGTCAAGAATCATGTCACATTCAGGGTGTCTCCCGATCAGGTATCCGCTCGCTGGAAAGCCTTTATCCGTTTTCTCATGCTCGTATTCGGCTTCAGCTTCAATCAACTCCTTCTTCCCTCGCTTTTTGCTCTTAACAGTCTGCCTCGACACCTCGAGCGGCTTGGCGGGAGCAGGACAAAATGCTCGCCGTTTCATCTGCAGTCTATGACCATTCCCGGTCATTGGAAACAGGTAACCCCACGTTCCGTCGTCATCATTCAGGTCAGGTTCGATGTCTCGAGGGGGGTAGATGAATTGGGATAGAGGCTGTGTGTCTTGAGGAGGTGAGGATTGTGGGAGAAGTGGCGGCGAGGCTACGGGCGTAACATGGCGAATCTGGCTGGGGCGGCCTTCTGGAGGGGTAGCCGTATGTTCCTTGAATGTTTCGGTAACAGTGGACTCATGGTTCGTTAGAGGAGAGGGAAGATATTGGTTTTTGATGGGCGTGTGGTGAGGATCTTGTTGAGACTGCGAAGAAATCCTCTGAGATCTCCGAGGTTTCTTGATCTCCTGGTCCTCGCCAGTGCTATGCTGTGCGGCGGTCAGATCCAATGCCGACAACACAGAATGCTACATTCTCACCCGATTTCTCTTCAAACTGCTCTTCTCTTTCCTGGGACCCATCACCCCCACAGAAACGCCGACGGAGATCAGCCCGCTTGTAACGACTGGAAGGTTTCCGTTCGGTGACAAGAATGGCAGAGTGGACGGCTTATGATCGGTGTAGAGCGAGGGGTTCAGTTGAAGAGAGACTATATGGTGTCATACATTAAGATAAAATAAAAAAGTGCAATTGAGGGTAGATACAATGTACCGAGTACAAGGCACGGCTCACTGAAGACCCAGTAGACAGACGTGCTCAAAGTGGAGCTGCAATTGGGCCACCAGCGACATCACGTGCAATGGGGGCTGGGGATTGGCAGGTTTGCTCCATGTTTGCCTGATCTGCCTGCGCCAGGTGCGTCGCATGCGAACCAGACGTGCGCATTTGGTGCGATAACAACAGCAGTGGGGTGCTGGCAGTCCAGTCATCGACGCCACTCGCTTCGGACACTTCGGCTGAGACATCGAGATTCGAGATTCAGGACCCTGCCCCAACTGCTGGACCTGATGACGCGCAGAGTAAACATCAGTTCAACCTCAGGAATCGACCGGTGTGATTGTCCACAGAAGACACTCCGACGATGAGCTTCCCACCCTGCTTTGCGAGCAGCCACATATGCACTGGATGTGTTCTCCCCGCCCTCGTCCGGCCTCCCTGCCGTGTCGTGGGCTCTCATTAGAAGTTGCCTATAGCAAGATGTCCTTTGGATGGTGTCAGCTAACGGGGGGTTTTCAGGATTTCCTCTCATCTCCTTAACGTCCAGAACATCTTCTGTTCGCTTCAACAAAGATGGAAAGAGCCCAGCTATTGTGCGAGACAGGTTCTCTTTTGGTGCCTTTGCTTGTGCCTCCTCTGATTCATCTGCCAATAACCATTCCGGTGCTCGGATGGCCCTTCCTCCCACCACTCACAAGATATGTCAAAAAAAATCAAAATCGGGCTCGTTGCTGCTGCCAGCGGAAAATCGAACAAGGAGCTCCTGGCCGTGCCTCCCCTCTCTCTTCGCTTTGGTACCGTTCGCTTGGCTGCTCGCAAATCCACCCTCCAGCGAAAACGTACCTAATGCAGAAGCAAGAGCTGCATCAGCTGCTCTAAAGCTGTTCTGAATGAGACTGTCGAACTCCAGTCCACTGATCGCCGACGAGTCATCGACCTTGATGTCGCTTTCTGCACCCTTCCATTCCATCGTGCCTCTGTTATCGAAACAGACGCTGAACTTCAGTGCCTGTACCGCTGTGCCGCGACCATCGCCCCCTGCAGTTCCTTTTGCCCTTCATATGGCGCTGTGGACATTCATAAGATCCACTCGCAGAGGCAGAGTCGTCCCGGCTGTCAATCTTCGAGATCTCATCTCGGGAACCGTGCAATGTCCTGGTGTAACCTACAATTTGTGATCGAAGGGTTGTTCTCGTCTCCTGATTAGTCCTCGGAACCTCGACTTCGGATTGATGGTGGCCCCCAAAACTACGGCCGAGCCGTTCAATCTTGATTTTCCCAGATGGGAAATCTGAAATCACGTCCAGAAGGGACCGAATTTCGAACAGATTAGGACCTCAAGTAACAAATGGTTGAACAGCCGGTGGTGTGAGGTTAATGAGGAGATTCGAGTCAGGCCGCCCTTCGAGCTAATAGATTAGGACGAAAAGGGGAACGGGAAGCGTAGTGGACAGAATGTGGATTCCGCCTGGCCAATCCCAACCAAATCGCCGAGTATCAACCAACCTTTTCTACCTAGGTCTTCCTTAAGGAGTCTAAGAAGGTAAGATCCAGTCTCGGTTCGATGGCCGAACTCACATAGTTGGAGACTTCAGTTGAGACTTCCTCTCCATATGGCTTCGGAATTGCCGCGTTCTTGATCACCTCAATCAGGGCACAATATCGGAAACCATCTGCAACAAGGCTAACGATCAAACTACTGCCGATGCTCGAGATGTCGGGCCCATTGACATATGTGAATTCCCCAGGCGTTTGCTTGATCAGGACGTCTACGACTTCAACCATTGGTCTGGCGATAGTTGGACAACATGATACCAAGGTTGGAAGCGAAATCGGAAAGTCGTTGATCCCACCACGCAGGATACCGATACAGATTACCCCTCGCCTTCAAGATCTCTATCTACATCTTCCTCGGTCCGCTCGCTTCCCGATCCGCATCTAGCCGCTCCCTGGAAGACCAGACGCTCCTGCAAACCGGTCATCAAGGGCGAGAAGAGCTCTCATGATCTCTGGTGCTTAGGGACATATTCTCTCGGCGGCCCGAGGATGTTCAAGGGAATTCAGGTGGCGGCGAATGCAGGTGGCCAGGCTCCAGCCGTCTCGGCCACCACGACTAGAGGAAGTGAGTCAAAGATTCCCGTGCCTGGGAGATCTTCTCGTCCTATCGTGGAGCGATTCGCGTGATTTCCTCGTAACGATCATCATTCTTGTCGAGACGCTCGAGATCAGTCTCTGTCCCTGCCACCCAGACTTCGAGGCTAACTGTAATACTCGCCACCCTCGGGCCAACCGTCAGTTCTCCAGCATTGTGATGTGAGTGGCTGAATCTACCAGTAGCCTGGTACCTCTCTGGAAACTTTTCCAGCCTATGGTTCTTAGGTTCACTGGTTGAACTATACCGCAAACCCTACTTTCGGTACGATGGACGAGAAGATCACCGACGGTAATCTAGCCAGGCCAATTAGTGTGCTTCCTACCTGTGAGTCTTGGAATTTAAGGCGAAAAATGGTGGCTGTGGAAAGTAAAGCGGACCAAGCCGAGAGGTTTGGGAGCGTGGACGGCGACGGGCACAAACCCTCGCGGAAAGACAAGAGCGACAGACGTGTGCGCGCAAGAACACCTCTTGAGTGCATGAAAGAGCCCAGCCAATTCAGTATCTTTTTGAATCTCATACTGGAACGACTCCCAACATTTTCACTCCTCATAGCGACAAGACGTTAAAGGGATGATAACAAAATCCTCCGGGGATGGAGGGCGTTGTGTGTTGCCAACGACGAATTCTCCCTATGTTACACAACAGATGCGTTAAGGGTGCCACAGCAAGCTGCGGAACGGGCCGTTAGCGCTGAAGCCAGTTCTTCGTACCGCTCCTGATTTTGCCGTTTCTGGTACAGGGCAAATGATCGACGTGTAATGACTATGATGTCGATCCACGTCGATCCCTCCTCCTTCTGTGGAAAGCCAACTTCGGATTGCCCTATCGTTATCCCATGGCTGAAACCATAACACGCCGTGATATTCGTCAAGTCCTTGATTGGGAATCTTAGCACACGAGCACCGACACAACGAATCAGGGCCTCCAATGTCGGACGCGAGGCTGGTTGTTCGCCTATCACAGTGGGCCGATGCGAGCGAGGCGTTCTCGGGACCGGAGGTTATTTCACAGCTGGCACCACTACAGAAGTTAACGACGACGATCTTCTATTCTTGTGTGGCAGGGGTTCTTGACCGTGGCCCTTCTATCACGAGCGCGTCTGAGTACTCGATCGAGTGCACCTGACTTGGGAAGGCTGGGGAATCCTCTTGTCCTGAGATCTCTTGTGCATTCGATTTCGAGTCTCGAGGCCTGAAACGGTTGCTATTTCTTCTCTGTTCGTGTGCCGATGGTATGTTAGCCCCTGACGAGCAATTCGGAGATCAAGCCCACAGGGCGGCTGCCACGAGCTTATTTCATCCAATAGCCGATGTTATGGATCGCTCGACTGCCGACAAGGGGAGCTGGACCAGGATTACCTGAGCCACATTCTCGTAAGGCTAATAGGCGGCACGATCGCTACTCGAAATCAACCCCGGAATCTTGGTAAATTCCTTGCCCAGTCTCTCGAGAACCACAATACGAAATTGCCTTACCCTATCGAGGATCACGATCACGTTTACTGTTTCCTCAATAAGATCGCGTTTGATTTCCGCTCTGTGTGGTCGCGTGAGCTCGCGCCAATTCGCGTCCGATCTTCCTTCAATGGTCGAGTCGCTCCAGTCTTTTCCAACCCCTCCCAGAAGTAGAGCTGGGGCCTGCCATATGTTTGCTAGATCTATCTGCTCGGCGTTGGGCGAGGTGGGCAATTTGGCTAGCAAGCCTAATGGAAATTGCAGCAGTTATTGATCTCAAGGCTGGTATGTCTTCTTAAGAACCACCAGCCTCCCTTTAAAACCGACTTGCACAACGACATTCTTTTTGTTTAGCTACTTAATTATCTTCATCACACTCATTTATCACACTCGTTTATGTTGTTGTTTTTGTCGTTGCTGTTCAGAGTACTTTTCAACAGTTACCCGATTGCTGTCGACCTTGAATACACCTTGGATCCGCTCAAGAACTGATCGCACAGCTACCTCAGCGACAACATGGTTTGTTTCGGCTTGGACGCCGGCCTTATGGTCACCCTTCTGGGTGTCCTGTCACACTTCACTGTTAGGGCTTCCGCCGCAGCCCTCCCTCCGGATGGAAATTCAGCGCTCACGGCTGGTGACTCCAACGACACCTCGTACTACCTGCAGTCGTTTGTTGTGAATCAAAAATATCACAAGACCAAGCCCAGCTTCGTTTCGTTCACTGGGGGCGACGGATACGTCACTGAATCCATGGCAGACGCTGCCAAGTTCTGGATATGGGGAGGACAACTGGGGGTGGGCAACCAGTTTGTTCATCTGGACTTCAGCAATGGATATGCGGTGGTCCAGCTCGACGACCGCCCCAGCTCAGGAGATTACACCTTCTTGTACGGCCAGGACGGCTGGCTCCATGTTCAAGGAGAAGGGATCTCTTACGGCGAGGGGAGCCAAGCAGTCTTCTGCCAGAGCGAGGATGGATCCCTCTTCCTCCAGGGTAATGGAAAGCCCCCGTTCGCGTGTCAAGACATTGGGTTGTCACCAAGAGAGCGTGAGTATTCAGATTTACCTTGCCTTCTCCTCCCACAAACAATGTTCCTAACTTAAGAAACCAGAAACCGGCCCCGCCCCTAGATCGGTACCACCCCGTCAACACAAATCTGGGAACCAGCCTCAACAATCTGCGATCCCGACAATGACTACCACCGCCACTCCTAGCAGTCTGCCGACATGGTTCGCACACCAACTCCAGGCAAGAAGCCCGCAGAGAGGTGGCGGTGGGCGCGGAGGCGGCGGGCGTGGAGGTGGTGGTCGAGGCGGTGGTGGTCGAGGCGGTGGTGGTCGAGGAGCCGGCGGACGAGGAGGGAACGGACGAGCAGGCAATGGCCCTGGGGGACCTACTCGCACACGCCCCAACCAACCTAATCCCTCCAGTGACAACGACGCGCCCAACCCCTTCTTGGAGAAGCGATCCTTCGAATTCGACATGGACGGCGACATTGTGGAGTAAAGGATGAGGACTTCGGGCGGCGCAAAGATCATTTTCCTTCCACGAACGACGTTGACGATTATTCTTCTACTATTCCACTTCGACCTATGGAGGACTGTATCGGACGGAATCCTGCCTTGAACCCCGCGATGGTCCAGCCAGAATGGGTTCTCATCTACGGCCTCTCCTACAATTTTCTTTTCTCGGCTTACTCAAAAGCTCCTTCTTACCAAGGTGCGTTTACATACCATATTTAGAATTATTTTTAATGGTAAACAATTCAATCACTCCAACTTCTCCCGTGTGTGTGCTTTGGTCTATGTGTGTTCTCGCTGCAAGCGACAGACAGGGCCTAGGCTCTGTGTGTTTTCGTGTCTTTGATTCCAGCTGGCGCGTCAAGCTTTCCCAATAGAAGCCTCAAATCTCGTGGCTTTAGTTTTGATGTTCTGCATAACACTGGCTTGGCTCAATGGTCGATCACTTTGCCCTCCCTTTCCACATTCATGTGCCTCCACGAGTCTCGAATCGTCACGAAAATGCTGGTTGTCGCAAGCCACGGCGCAGCAGGCAACCATTCACAGGACATGGTAGACTTAATACTTGGACAACTACAGCCATCATCACTGTTGCGCTTGACATGGCTAGCTCCAGCAATGGTCGAGACCAAGTCCAAACAAACATCTCGTGAAGAGGCTGGACAACAAACTGAGTTATTGTTGTCGCGTCGAGCAGCACCATTATTAGTTCGTAGAGGTAAACTTATTTTAGAGTTGGATTAAGGTTTGGGCACTAGTAGCCCTAAACGTGATTGCCAAGCCCCAGGCCCATGGGGCCAGCCACACACCACCGAGTACCGAGTCCGTGTTAGCCACCCCCCTTTACCTCGCACAGGGTCTGTGATTATCCCGTACGGAGTATTGTTGTTACTATTTCCACTCCTTTTGTTGAACCCACCCACTCTAAAGGGGCCTGCCGCCGACAAGCGAGGTCAAAGGCACGCAATCACGGATGTGGTGTACCGAATTCTAATTCATCCTCCTGTCTTGGAGTGCGCCTCACCTTCCTCTGGATCCTTCAACTCCTTCTCCTCGTCCCAGGACCACACTATCGACGAAAGCCGAATTTGAGCCCTGCGATGCGGAACCTGCGCTGTGACTGGCCACACGTTCTGCGATTATGGCTGATGGTTTTTGCAAATAGTTGCTCATGGCGGACAGCTTTCACGTAAATACAAGCCGGGGTCAAGCGAGTTTGTAATTGCAGGCGGGCGCCGTGGCCTGAACGCGTTGCTTACTTGCCAGGCATCGACCGCGAGGGAAGAACACACCGGCCGGGAGACACCCCCCAGGACAGTGTCTATCTGACTTCTGTTCGGGTGCGCATATGTCAGCTCCTCCGTATTCCTGGTCTCGGAGTTGCGGCCGAAGGAGGCCATCCCAAACGACGCTCTGATAACACCACAGATCTGAAGGAGGAGCGAGAAGGATATTCAATTGATAAGCCTATGGGAAAGCGCTAAAAAATAACTACATGATATTCGATGCTCGTCATCCTTGGTTCAATCAGGATGGGTCGAGACTGACACATACAGGGAGTATCGCAAACCTCGTGTTTCAAAGTGAATGCTGCGAATTACCCCAGAAAGATTTGTCTCCTCTCACAATGATACTGGCGGCTGCACGACGCACTTGTGCAAGTTAAGTGACTTCAAACTCACTCAGTGCATTTCCACACAACTGGTTTCTTTTCATATCGTGATGGATGCGTCCCGCATAGGAAGAGCCCCAAAGTTGATATTCTTGAGATAGCCATGAGATGGACGTCTAAAGGCCGGGTTGAACGGGGCTTCCTGGATTTCTGTGTCGGGCCACTGTGATACGACGGAGGCAGCACCATTGGCTAGCCGAGGAATATTAATCATGGTGCTGAAGGGAATGTCGAAGGTATATTCCTGGTGCCAGCCAATCCTCGCATTGACGTTGATGTCGGAATCCTGGGACTTGTATCCTGCCGAGCGATGTGTCGAGATCAAGGGCGGCCAGACGCCGTAACAATCGAAGCCCTTGGCCATCTTGCCGCGGCACATGTCCGACACGCTCTGGTCCACCGGCTGGTTGCGAGGCTGCGCCGACATCGACGATAACATTTTGCGCGCACCCTCGTAGGTGACGGCGTACCCATACAAGCACATGCCAGCATAGGCCTTGAAGAACAGCCGCGTGTCGTTGCGCAGCGCGTCTTCGGGAACGTGTGACTGCCGCCATCGGGAGTTGCGGTGTTGCAGAGGGGGGACCGTGAAGTCGTGATCAATGACCCAGATGTTTTGTTCGTCGTTAGTGGGCCCAATCCGGTTGTGCCCCAGCCAGAGCAAGTCCCAGTCATGCCCGTACGGTGACGGTGCCGAATCTGAGGATTCCTGCAACGCACGAGCCCCAGTTGCAAGCTCGAATAATTGGTCCTTGATGAACGGAGACCAGTCTGCGTCGTCTTCGAGGATCATGGCCGTCTGGATCCGCTCGGCGACGATCTTCTGGAGAACATTCATGTGTGCTCTCCAGCATCCGAGAGCGCCTGGCGTCTGCACATCATAATCCCAATTCTGAAGCCCAAGAGTCAGCTTTCTCGATCCGCGATATATGGCGGAAGTGAGCGATCATTGTTACATACCCACGGCGCAGCTTTCTCGATGACTTCCTCGACCTTGACGCCGGGAAGATAATCGACCTGAAAGCCCGCGAACGAGGCGGCGATGGTGTTCAGATCCCTCTTGTCAGTCCGCTGCGGGAGATTGATGGCGAAGATTCTCTGAAATCCCAGTGTAGTGTTGTAGACGTGGTCGATCTGATTGCTTCCACGTGTGTACCGACCAGTTACTGAAGGTGACCTGGAGAGGTGCAAGAACAAGATCAAGAGGGTTGCACACAACACTGTCCGAACCAGCGACTTCCGCCTGCCGGAGCTCAATATGAGTACGCTTAACGACGGCAGCTCGGGCATCTGTGACGACCGGGACTCCCAGACAGGAAGCTGAGTCTTTGACGCCGTTTTGTCGGCCATCCACGCAGCACTTCAAGGCAAAGATTCGCAAGCTGCCGCAGGGCACAAAAAAGCGATGCAATAGGCAGCACACTAAAGATAATGTTCCCGAGTGATAAGACGAACGAAGCAAGACCAGCACCATATCAAGGCTCCGGAGCATGAAACCGAGCACGCGACAAAATCAGCGGTGACCCCTGACTATCGAGAAACAGCCGATTGGTGTCGGCAACGACCGGGGGACGCTGTGCAGACAAGAGGCCTGCCGACACACGGGAAACCCCCCCGCAAGGTGTGATATTCATATATTCTGCTGCGAGATGGGTTTAGTGCAAATCTCGTGGCCGCCGGTCCGCACCTCATCGTCCCTCTTCTAAGCATAGCCAAGCTCTTCAAGAAACGCCCAGGGGCAAGAGGGGAGGATATACTCCGTACACAAGCATTCGAAGAATCATGCGGCCTTCTTCGGAAATTGGCACGGATTGACGGTCCGTTCGAATGAGGTGAGGGCGTGCAGTTATTGAACTTTGGCTAAAAGGGGCCGGTGCAAACCATACGGCCATAGCTGCAGGGGAAAAGGAGGTCTTTATCCAGACTGGGGAAGGTGGCTGGCGATCTATAGAAGTGGAGACTCATGATGTAGTCACTACCCACCATGATTGGTGCCATCTTCGCCGAAATACACTCTCGCCGTCGGCTCATCCCTCTCCCCCCTCTCCCCCGCCACTTCCACCCTCTCTCCGTACAAGGGACAGATACCGAAGAGATCAGTCGTCATTACAACATGTGGATATCGCTTCCTATGACTGGTGTAATGTGCATGTAAGTCTGCACCCTCCATTTCCAATTGACCTCTGTCATGACTGCTGCAACATTGACAGTATCAAGCGCCTCATTCCCCTTGATCTCCTAAGCTTCCTTCGAGCAACCCATCCTCTAGCTCAATGGGCCTGTCGACACACCAAATCCATTGTGGAGACCCGGATCTCATGTCTCCCTGTTCATTGTATTGGCTGGTCTGAGGGCCTTCACTCATCCCGACTGACCAGCTCGGGAGCGCCCACGACGCGGAGGCAGTGCCACGCAAAGCTTGAATACGTGTTGCGTCCAATTCGGTAGTCTCTAGAGTTACCACGGGGGAATCGAGGGATCGAACTGTGCTTGAGACTTGGCAACTTATTGTTCGAGCCTTCCCTCCCAACGAACGATAAGCAGGCCCGATTTTCGTCGACTATTCTCCTCGAAGCTATCAGAACTATCCTATACACGGTCCGCTAGCCTGCCTACATGGCGAGGAAGGTCCAGCTTGTGCTGGCGATACTGTTTGGTTTTGTTGTCCTTCAGTTATGTCTCTCGCATCTCGGTCAGTCCGACGACCCTCAGGCCAAATGGGTAGACCTGTCGTCCTTCCGCACGTACTCCTCCAGACAGATCGTCGAACAGGCGCCAATAACTCCGGAACAAGACTTAGGAGAGCTGGAGGACTTGGTCATTCAACAACAAGATGACGAGCTCGACCTCGATACGCCCATTCTCGATGAGAACAACAACCTCCAGCCACGGCCCAAAATCGCCAAAGTCACCATGCTCTACGGCGACACGTATAGTGAGGCCTACGAGCGAGCCCTGGAATCCCACTCCCTCCACGCCGACATGCACGGCTATCCTCTATTCGTGCTGCGTCAGAAAATTCTTGGACGCCTATGGACCAAACCTGCCTGGCTGTTGGCCGTGGTGCTCAACGAGCTGGCCAAACCTCCGGAAGAGCGGCTCGAGTGGCTATTCTGGTTCGACGCCGACACATTTCTCCTGAACCCCAAGATCCCTTTGGATATCTATCTTCCACCCCCGGGCGTGGAAGGGGTCAACTTCCTCTGCGGGAACGACCATAACGGGCTCAACGACGGCGCCTTCCTGCTCCGGATCAACGACTATTCCGTCCACCTGCTGGCCTCGTCACTTAGCGTCGAGACCTTTCGACCGACCGTGGACCTGCGCTACTCGGAGCAATCGGCCATCGAGCACGTGGTGCACGAGGGAGGAGTCTTCCGCCCGTGGGACGGTACGACTTATCTTGACGGCTATGCCGAGATCCCGCAGCGGTGGTTGAACGCGTACATGGGGGCACGAGACGACCACGGAAGGGCACTTCCCAGAAAGAAGCAGCATCCCAACGGCGTGCGGCCGGGCGGTAAGCAAATAGTCCTCCCCATGGCATTGGCTTTCCCAGGGTTTGAAAAACTGACGGTTCTTAGATCTTCTGCTGCATTTCGCGGGGTCTGGCGCCACCAAGGTCCAGAGAATTATCACCTTCGTCGAAGCGTACGAAAAGGACTCGTCCGACTGGGTCAAGGAGGTCGACCAGATGCCTGAGCTGCTCACGGAAATATCCCAATTCTGGGAGTCGTATAGCAGTCGACAAAGCCAAGCCAGGGAAAGTATTGACGGAGATGTTTATACTTAGATTGGAAGGGCGTGTGGGATTTCAACAACGCACCGACAGGTGCAGGATACAGGGGCGCGTTCAGGATCGCGGAGGGATTTTGCTCCCTCTGGCACAATAATGGTTTGTGGAAAATCCTTCAGCATGGGCATAGTCTCGATTCACCTTGAATCTGGACAAATTTCAAGTCTAAAGTTTTGGTGTCATATGAATACAATTTTAATTTGCCCATTTCAATCTGCCAATAAAGGGCGAGATATTCCGTCTATTTTTATTCGTTGCTGAAAGGCACAGGGATCGAGGCAAACTTCCCTGACATTTGATACTGCGTCTGAACTATATCCAAAGACGCTCACACCAGTAACGCATATCCACATCCCCCTTTGACTGTATTAGATTCGCTTCGAAACTCCTCATCAGGCCCCAAAAGAGGCGAAGAAACATATTAACTCGAACCAGCCCGTTAGGCCACGAAATATCCTTTCACATATCATACCCTTTTTTTTTTGGATGTTTCCTGCATGGACTGCTCTCCATTAACGTCAATCAATAAATCTCACCGCGGGCGTAATCACGCAACCTTCACAGAGATCATAATCTCCGCTGCAACCACGAATACGCCCCCGCGCCACCCAGGGCGAGGGTGACGCCCAGGATGTCCTTCATCCCGGGAGACTGTCCGGCCATGTACCAGCCGAGGGCGATGATGATGACGTTCTTGGCATTGGACACGACGTTGAAGGCGAGGGCGGACACGCGGCCGATGATCAGGAACTGGCTCAGGTTGAGGCCGGCGGCCAGGACGCCCGAGAACAGGAAGGTGGCCAGAATCAGGGGGTCGACGGCGCGGAAGTCCGGGATCGTGTCGGTGAACGGGAGCAGGCACAGCAGCATGACCACCGAGATGGGCGCTTGGTTCAGCAGCAGCGCGGGGGCGCTGACGTCGAGTTCCTGCACCTTCTTGCCGATCCAGATCTGGTAGAAGGCCGTGGTGACGAAGGCCGCGACGGCGATCAGCGTGCCCGTTGGATTGGACGTGACCATTGCGACATTCGTCATGGCCACGCCTAGACAGGACACCAAGATGGCCACCAGCAGCGGGTTCGGGAGGCGCTTGCGGAAGAGCACAAAGTTGATGGCCACGACGGTTGGTGTGGTCATGATCTTGGCTAGCTGGTATAACGAGACTGTGTTGAGGGCCAGCGACAGGTTTCCCAGCACCAGGAAGCCGACGAACAGAGTCGACAGGGGTAAGACGTCCCGCACCGCCAGCCGCACGGGCTTGAAGAAGTTGAATGGTCTCAAGGTCGCGAGGTATAGCAGCACCGTGGTCGCCGTAAAGTGCCAGGCGGCCGTGCCGAGCTGGAACTTTCGGAATTGCGGATCGGTAAAGACTCTGGTGAGTAGATGTCAGGGTCAGCCTTCCCGCTACGTCTCCTGTGGCAAGGCTCTCTCGGTATTCTGCGGCAAAACCTTACATCTTGTTCGCAAAGACAATGGACACCGTCGACACGGTGTTGAGCAGGACGCAGAGCAGGTTGACGGCGTCTTTCTCGCTAACATGGAACCCAAAGAGTGTCTTCGAACTTCTGATGGCCCATCGAGGAATCTTTGCTTTATCGTACGACCCCTCTTCGATCACGGCTTGTTTTTCCAGGTAGTGTTGGTCCATGTCACTCTTGGCTGGAAAATGCTCATTAGCTACCGGCTATTTGGTGCCATGACTTGATGTCAGCTGTACACTTACCTGTGTCGAAGGGTCCGCGGGGATGACAATGCACAACACCTATCGAGAAAGGTTCCGACAATGGTACGTTGTATAAGTTCGAGGCCATAGTCAGTATCTCACACTGAGGCAACAGCATCCAGACCAAGCAAAGTAGAGGACCCCTTCGACAAATGGTGAACGGCCAGAGCATAGGTATATGAGGTTGCTCAGTGCTAATCTCCCCCAGGACATTTTGGGATTCGTAGCGGTTGAGAGTCCAGACCCAGCGAGTTTCGCGAGCCTTGCACAAGGAAGTGAATTCCTTTCAGCGTCCTTACCGTGATCCGATGAGACAATCTCTAGGAAAAAGGGTTGGATAGATTTTGGGATGGTGTCAACTGAAGCATGACTCCTGAACCCTTCCGTGAACCGCCAGCGAGCCAACCTCGACAAGACCAGCACTTGTCCAAACCATACTCTCTAGGAACCAATAGCAAAGGTTGAAGTGAGACTGGTATCGTGCTCGTTCTCTCTGAACCAAACGCCTTTGACGAGTAGCGTGATTTGACGCGCTCAGAGATGAACACGATGCATTCCGCAAAGGGAAACTTCCGAGATAGTGGAGCAACCCATATAAGAAACATCGGAAGCCAAACAACCGGGGATGGACTTTCCTGCATTCGTACGTCGATCATCCTCTCGGCAGCTAAAGCACCACAGACTTTCTGCGTACCTGCATAAGTGCTGTCAATCCTCGCTAAAGGAGAGTCGAGGGGTTTGTCGCGATGATCCCTCAAACGAGGACGAGGCTGTTGCTGTTCGTGCCCACGCCCCGTTTGTTTTCTTCTGCCACGTTCAATCTGCACTTCGGAACACGGCGACAGAGAGGGGTTGCTTTGTTTCTTTTGAGGCGGCAGACAGACTGAATCGTCTTCAGATCATTACAACAGACTTGGCAATACAGGTGAGCTCTCTTTTTCCCACCCCTATCTTCCTTCTCTGCCGTCTCCCCCCCACCACGCAACCCAAAAGTACGGCCAGTTTCACCATCAACCAATTTAGTTCTCGGGATCGATGGCTTGTCGGAATATTATTCATTTAGGCAATCGGCCTTCTCATGTATGTATACTTGGTCGCGTGCTCCTTGTCAGGTACATCGTATGCACACTTTGGACTTCAGCACATCCAGACCTGGCCATCGACGGAGTTACCACGGCATCTGTCGACATACGTCCAGCTCAGCTTTTTCCCTCCTGGTGAGCTTGTCTGGATGCCTTCAATACCTCCGAATCCCTAGGTGCGCGTTCTTGAGTTTTGATTTGGGATTCATCGGCCCCCGGGTTATGGTGGAAGTCGCGGGAGGAGGAATCGAGGCTCGACAGCAAAATTGGCACGATAATTCGTTGGCTCGAGTCAAAATGTATGATTATTACGCGGTCAGTGACCACAGAGCACCGCTCTGGAACACGATCAAACGGCCAGTATGGCGGAGGAAAGGCTGCCGGTCGACGATCCTGTTGTTGTTCGCCGTCCTCATGGGGGCCACGATTTTCCTGGCGACGATACCAGCCACGACCGACTTTCGACATAATCATAGCTACAAAGCCAGTCTCCAGAGTAGACTGGGAACGCCGAAGCAGAACAAGCATGTGCAACAAGCGGCGATCGCCGTCAATGGTACCTCGAAGGACTCGGTCTCGCAGGATCATGAGACCAGCGTATCCATCGAAGCCGAAAACCAAGCGGACAACAAAACAGACAGCAAAACGGACAACAAAGCAGACAGCAAATTAGAGAAACCAAAAGCCTCACCACCCGCAAAGAACAAACAACAACCCGCAGAAGCAATCAAAGATGCCATTCCTGAACCCCCGCCGCCACCGCCGTCAATCGACGACATCTCAGTCGACGAGGAGCCCAGCCCAGGCCCCGCGCCGGATCCTGCGAACACTGAAATAGAAGTGCCTCCTCCTCCTGTTGTGCCAGACACTTCGTCGAAAGATGAACCGAAAGATCCGCTGGTCGAGGACGAATCCAACGAGTCGCAACAGCATTTGTCACTGGAGAAGAGGGCAGAGTCACTGCCGGAATTCATCTGGGTGCCCTTTGAAGAGACCGTCAAGGACGAGGTCCTCCGGGGCTGGGAAGACGAGTGGGTGAGTTCGGGGACGTACGATTTCGAGAAATGGGGGCCGTTGGAGGAACCCAAGATCGATTTTGTTTATCTATGTAGGTATTCCTGCATCCACATATACCGATGTGGAGTGGCTTTGTCAATCAGCTTCTGTTTTTCGAGGGGCGTTTTCCGTGCTGACGAGACGTACAGGGGTCAATGGATCAGAAGAGGACTTTCAGCAGACCATCCGGCCGTGGGAAGAGAGGTCGATCCTGAACGACGCCGAGGGGGAATGGATCAGCTCCCATGGGGTGAACCGATACCGCGACTGGGACGAGCTGCGCTACTCCTTCCGCAGCATTGAGAAGAACGCCGGCTATTTCATGAATACCATCAAAGTCCTGGTCAACTCCATCTATAAGAACGGCGCCCCGGTCCGCAAACAGACGCCCACCTGGCTCGCCGTGGACGACCCGGAGGTCTCCCAAATGGTCCAGATCATATCCCAGGAAGAGATGTTCGAGGACGACAAGAAAGTGTGCTTGCCTGCATTCAACTCTCTGACAATCGAGAACCAGATCTTCAACACGGAATCAGACATTGACCAGGTACGTAAGACGTAACAGCTGGCCCAGAGGCTTGGGTTTCCATAGACTGTCGACACTGACGCTGTATATCCCAGTTCTTCGCCATGTCCGATGACATGTTGCTGACCCGGGAGCATGCCCCCGCGGACATTTACTCGCCACTATTTGGAGCGGTGATGAGCTTCAAGACCAACGGCTACAGCACCACGTCTGCACCAACCGAGGCCGACGCACAACGCTTCGGCGAAAAGGTATGTTTCCGGCCTTTTCAACCCTTCTTCACAGGGAGGAGTGTGTCTGACGTTTGTTCTTCACAGCCGTATCTGATCTACACCTCGTGGCTCCTTAATCGTCGGTTTGGAGTGCGCAAACGCAAGGGGCAGAGCCACTTCGGGCACTCGCTGTCACGCAGCATCATGCGGGAGGCGATCGAGGCGTTCCCGCGCTCCGAGATCCAGAGCGCCTGCAAGCGGTTTCGGGGCGAGCCGGGCTTCCAGCTGTACTCGTGGTACGTGACCAACCACTACGTGATCGAGCGGCACCGCGAGCTGCTGCTGTGGAGTTACATCATGCTGCGTAGCGACGTGGACCGCGACGGTATCCTGTCGTGGGACGAGCGGCAGACGATCCTGGCCGACCTGGAGCGCGGAGCCAAGAACGCCGAAAAGGCGTCATTCCGGCGCAAAATCTTCTACCATGTGCCCTCGATGCTGGAGGAAGCCGGCCTGCGCGCGCCCCAGGTCAACACCAACTCGCTGTGGACGTCGCTGGACGGGCCCCACGCCATCCGCAGCGCCGACTGCTCCGAGTTCTCCATCGACGACTGCCTGGCGCCCGGGTTCGTGACCGACGACTCGGCCACGTCACGTACGAACCCGACTTTCAGCGCCGCCGTGATTTTCGATCGTCTCGCCCGCCAGAATCCCCATTGCGGCGACTGCCTGCTGAAGGGCCTGCTGCAGCAGACGCCGGTGGGTCTGAGCCCGCTGCTGCCGGACGCGGAGACCCAGGCAGCCGACCGCGCGCTCGTGGTCAAGGGCGCCATGCGCTACAAGTTCATCGAGGTCGACCCGTCGGACACGCTGTTCGTCATGGTCACCGACGCCGACCAGATCGACAGCACCTTGTACCGCCACTACGTCAAGGAACGTAAGCAGCTACCGGGTCAGATGTGCCTCAACGACGACGTCATTACGACCGACGAGCAGGAGCTGGAGGACATCCAGCACGCCATGAGGGAGACGCTGGCGGGATTATTCCCCGCCCAGAGCAGGGCGGAGTTGTAAATGGTGAAAAAAAAGTTCAGATGTAGATGTGTGTCATGAAAGACTTTTGAGGAGTTTTCTTCTTCTGGTGTTTGATGGTGTTCTATGGCGGTGTTGAGGTGGTGTTTGGTGGAGTTGATGGTGATATTTCTCTGTCCAGCCTTCTTGATGGACGGCCATATTTTGCTTCAGTTCATTTTTGTCCCATCGAGGACGACACCATTGGTGCCATTGCCTTGCCCTTGAACATGACACGTCATGTCTGGCGTTGCAAAAAATACTCTTTTGCAATGCGCTTACCAGTGCAGGAAATCCGGCGCTGGACATAGACACGGTTACAGTGACCCTCAATCGAAGGAAATGGCAAATGATGATTTTAAATATCCCTGATTGAGAAGACTCTGCGTCAACAAAAGTTCTTACCTTGCAGTCATCACCAAGATATCCAGCGTAGTGTATATCTTTTCCATGTAAATGCCAATTGCAAGCCTTGGACCTTTCTTCCCTCCGAAGCACAGCACGCGGCTGGCAAAGCTTTGAGAGTCAGAAGCTGTCATGTCATGTATAATTTGTCCCCCAAGTCCGTCGACAATAGGCAACACTGGAAGTGTGCTGGGAAATGGTGGTCATGGAATGGGACTTGCCAAACACCTTCCTGTCATCTCACCGAGCCGCTTCGGGGCCTTGAGACTTGCTGGTATGTGATCGATGTCAAATATAGTCCCAAAATAGAATCATTCTCTTAACCTAGTCAAGAATGAAACGATGTCAAACATTGTCTTCTGGAGAAGACACAGGTCGAGTCGGTGTCTTGTTTATTTGTGGAGATGGTGTCGACGCCGTTGGAGGCGGTTTCGACAATACTTTCTCGCGGAGAGCAGGCCGAGCGACGGCCTTCTTGCTGCCATCTCCAAGTAGACTGGAATTTGTTCGCGGGACCGCCTGAAGGTTGCTGGATTGCCCGATCGGCAAAGGCTTGGTGGCTTGTAATGAAGCTGTAGACGATTGCTGGACATCGTCCCTCCGCAACCAAAAGAAAAAGATCACCACCAATGTCACCGCCTCAGTGACCACTGGGTCAATCACCGGCTGGGTTAGTCTCATGAAGGGAAGAAGTATACAACTAGCAGAGCAGGGCATTCTTACGTAGGGCCACGAAGATCTGCCACCATCGCCAGTTAATGCCGCCTCCTCCGTTGATCTGTGGGAAGTCGTGACTGGGGATTGCAAAGAAGCCAGATGTGAAGGACAAAGGTGTCTGCTATCAAATCAGATCACTTCATCCCCTGGCAACGAATGTGACAGAAAAGATCCACGTACGAAGATGACGGTGACGACGGTGAAGATGAAGAGCAGCTGCGACTGAGTCTCGCCGGCTCTTGCTCGTTCGTCAGCCAATTTAGCCAGTCTGCGGGTGTCCGTTGCTTCATCGAGGTTTCCTTGCTTTTGTTTAAGGTCCAGAAGGTGATTGAGCTTGTAGACGTCAGTTTTGAGAGCCGGGCCGGCGTGGTCGTTTGCGAAAAGACGATTGCTTACCGACGCTTCCACAGCCTCAGCCTCCTTCACGAGCCATTCAGCCTTCCTCACACGGTACGTCAACAGGCTCCATTTATCATCGTCAACGTTTTCCCTCGTTTTCTGACAATAGCTGGTAATCACCCTCCTCTGGTCTTCAAGGACCCGTTGAATCATTTTAAGCTCATCTCTGATGTCCTTGATTTCCTTCAGACATTCGACCTCTACCGTGATATCTCTAATCTCTCGGGCATATGCATTGTCTGCTGTATTATCAGATTGCTCTCGCACATATCCACTCTCTATGTACGCAGTAGTGTTAGTCATGGGGTGGGACTGCAAGACAGTGGAGTATTCTTACTAATAAGAGAGTAAAAACTCCGGTACCTGGCGGTCTGTCTGCTGGACTGTTGCGTTCACGTTGTCAATTTAGTCGGCGAAGCCTCCTTGTCTAGGATAACTCACAACTGTTGCAATACTCTGCTCGAAGATTTCGAAACAATTCTCATCCAAACCAGCATTGCAGGGCGCATCAATGAATGCAGTGCAATTGCATAGTATCCATTTGATCATAGATTGCATGCTGTAGGGAGGATGTTTGAGGAACATTCGTGAGAGGTAAGTCAAAAGATCATCTTCTTGTCCTTGGTGCCAGCGGTCCGGAAACGCCGTGATAATAGTATCTTGATCCATCGATTAGTCGCCGTCTTCCAATGACAAGGCCACATACTTGAGTCAACCTTCCAAAGCCAAAGCTGGTTCACCATGACAATCTTGGCTCTCCGCAGACTTTTTGGGGAGATTTCATCCTGTGCAATTTGAACGGTAGTGGTATCTTTTGGTTCTGAAAGCGCGCCGCCATTTGAGGAAGACTTTGGTGATGCACTTTTATTTGCTGCCGCGAGCACCAGGTTGTTTGTGTATCGGTATACGACTTGATCCCTGATATCAACTGTGTCATTAATCGACATGTAGTATGTCTGGTCCAGAGTGCAGGAGAGGTGCAAATCCTCAACATCTTCGCCGCCACGTCGGTAAAAGTTTTCCAGTTCTTGCTTCATCGCACAATGTGTATCTTCCTTGATATAGTTCTTCCGGTCTAGAAACATCTCTGTCTCCATGTCGAAGAATGGAATCTGTTAGTTGATCTTGGTTAGAGAAGCTTCGATGGACGAAAGATTTGTGTACCGAGTACATACAACGAGGGACCAAACATCACCCGTATTCCCCACGAGCTTGCTGAAGCCAGGCCTGCGGTAGCGTGCGTGCGGTGCCGACCCTCTGAATTCGTCATAGCTATCATCGATGAAGGCTTCAAGCTGCCTCGGATCTGTAGAAAGCACGACAGATTGGTGCAATCTGCGGATGACATGCTTTTCAAGATTTCAGTATGAAGCAATGTGCAGAGAGCGAACAACCTGACCTTCACCCACAGCTTCTGCTACGTGTCAGCTCAGTGGCTCCCCGAGTAGGCTTACGCAATCTTACATTGTTCGAAGGTAGATGTACCCATCTCCAATAATGTAAATCGCGGCGTCCGGGTTCACCGACACCCTCCTTGGCCCAATTTTCGAGTTCCGTAATCTTTGCTCGTTCGCTGTTCCCTTCTTCTTGTCCATAGATCAGGCTGCCAACGGGCGCCATGCGATAGCTGAGGGCTTTTCGTGTGTCACGTTGACGGCCCGAAGCCCCAATGTGATATTGAATTCGCGCCTTGAAATGGTCGCAAATTTTCATCATGTCAGCGTCCAAGCTTGGTGGAGAAGATTTCCAGTTTCTCGGAGCCGTCAGCTCCACAGGAGGAGGGTTTTCTAGTTTCACCAGAAACGCTCTGAGAGGTCCCCTTTGGACATCATTAGGGGACAAACCATCCATAATTTTCGCGGCCATGTCCTGCACGGTCAATCCGTCCCATCTCTTGAGATTTGGGTCCGCGCCACATTGTAAAAGCTTCTCAGTGACGGCTTCATGCTGTCGTCCGAGAGACGGAATCTCCTGACGAACGTTATCACCCAGCTTCCTCAGAAGAGCAGCATATTTTTGACCTCTGTCTACGACCGCGTGGAGCGCCGTATCCCCCCCAAGTCCAACTTTGGCATTTATCTTTGCTCCTGCGTCGATCAAAAGCTTGACGATCCCGGTGTGGCCGAATCTGGAAGCCTCATACAACGCCGTATAGCCGAATCCGTCTGGACTATCGACGATGATGTCTTGATCAAGTAAACGCCGTACCTCTCCCTCGTGTCCGCCAGCTGCGGCCGAAATGAGGCTGATGACATTCTCAGGACACCTGAAAATCGGAGATGCGGTTTTCTCTAGGAGCATTTCTATTATGTCGAGACATTCGTCCTCACCGATCGCCGTGGCGAGAATGGTTTTCCCAACCTTGTCGACTCTGTTGACGTCCGCGTCGTTAGCGAGGAGGATGGAGATTACATCCTTGTGGCGGCCTGCCACGGCCAAGTAGAGAGGAGTCCTTCCCTCTCGATCTGTATCGTCGACCTTTGCCTTGTATTTCAAGAGCAATCGAACTATGTCTGCGTGACCATTCTTCGCGGCTAGGTGCAATGCAGTTCTCCCATCCGGATCTTGTTCATTGACTTGTAGCTGAGGAAGTTCGAGCAAGACTTCCACAATGACCCTGAGCCCTTTTTCTGCTGCTTCATGCAATGTGAGAGATCTGACCAGCCTTGGAGCGACAACAGAGCTCTGCAACGCTTCAGACTGCTGGTTCGTGGTTGATTGTGCCCTGTGACAATTGTTATGAAGGATCGCAACATAGAGAGTAATGGATCTCATCTCCGTACTCATTTATCCAAGTCTCCAACATCACAGTGAGAACGGTTTTGACCTTCCTGAGTCGGCCACCAATTTCGTCCAACTCTCGTTGATGACTTTTGTCTCTGAATGTGTCTCTGAGGGCCAACCGAAGTTTGGATTTTCTCCCAAGGTCGGCGTCATTCTGCAAAACTTTCACGATGGCGAGACAGAGATCTTTGCATTCCTTCGTCAATTCCGCAATGGGGCCAATGCGGTCGTCAACAATCGGGCCTGATCGGAGCAGCTGTAACTCAAGCTGGAACGCATAATTTCGTAGGGAGTCAGCTAGTTCAGCTTGGACTTCGGCCGCGGCCGCGTTCAGACCTGGGGGTCGGGCGCGTATGGAGCTGACCGACTTTTCACAAAAGTCAATGAATTGTACAATATTGCTAACTAGGCCTAGTGCCGACAACGAATCCATCGCAATGATTGGGAGGTTTGGCTGATCGATATCGAATGTTGGGGCTTCAGGTGACAGATAGCTTGATGCGAGAATGATGAATGAGTTAGAGATATATATATACGAGAGCTCATAGGCGGGGTTCTTGACCCCGCTGCTCGTTCGGATCGTGGCTGGCTGAATCAATGCGCAATAAGGCTGTCGAAGGCGTGGTAGCAACACGCAGTACTCGAAGCTGCCACAGCACCGAGATTCACCGTAACCAATCAGGCGAGCCCTAGGCCCTGGGAGCACCCGTTAGAGACAGTAAAAAGGCACCTCAAATGGCTCACTTCCAGAACCATTGAGCCGTTGTAATACTTGTTGTCACAGGGAATAAGGCAGCAAGCAGTGGCAGTCAGCGAACTATGTCTCGTCTGATGTTGTGTGTTTTGCTATCCTCCTACTGTAGTAGTGTTTGCGATGGTCCGTGACACCTGACAACTTCGCAAGCCTGTTGGGTAGTGGAAGTTGTGGGGCTCTAGGGGGTCATCGTAAGAAGGCTACTAGGCTGTAATCTAGGGGAGGAGAGCTCGTAGCCCAGCAGAGCAGAGAAGGCTGATACTTATTTGTAAGAAGCGGGAGCATGGATGATGGAGTGTCGGACGCTTGAGGCGTATAACCCTGGACTGAAGTTGAAAAGCGTCACGGGGGAAATAGACTAGCATGCTGCTCATTTTGGATGTCTTCCAAAGGGTGAGCGAGGGTGAGCAAAAGGGTAGATTAGTACTCCGTACGGAGTACTGAATACTGTACAGTATGCACCGAGTACCACCCAAGTACCTGTTCCCCTGTAGGAATAGCACGTGTTCCGCCAAGCTTCTGGCATCATCATACTTCCTGTTCCGAACTTGGGACTTCAGGTCAATGCCGCAGTCTCTCAGCAGCCCAGGGCGGATTGTCCTCCAAATCCCCGCGACAGTGCCTCAGTCTCGGGCCAGATGGACCTGTATACTTCCCATTCTCCTATTATCTGTGTTTTGTGTTTCGACTGACGTTTCCCCAGCGGCCATGGAGGCCTGCGTCGCCAGGCTTTCTCCAAACTCGCGGCCCTCTCCTCATTGCGATCTTCTACCCGCGAAGCAGAATTCAAGCGACTCACCTCGTCGGCGCCTCCCACAAAGTCCCAGGGGAACGGCAGTGTTCTCGATGGAGTCCTCCGAGCTATCGCACCCACTTCACGGGTACCCATGTCCCCACGCGAGCTCGATGTCCTGCTCGCGTTATGCACGAGTGCACATGACTTGCACGAGCTGTCTCATGCCGACCGCCTAGTCAGACAATTGACTGCTTACCTGCCCGAGTCACACTTGCAGGTATTCTCCTCTTCACCCTTCATCCAAGAAATAAGACCCGCGCCATGGACGGCCCTCACGTTCCAACTCACAAAGGCACTCCTCGTCCTCGGAATCAGGTTTCCCTCCTTGAAAGACGCAGTCGCATACAGTATCAAGACGTATACGCAGAATTGGTCTCAGTCCGCTTCCGCATTGGCCGCTGTGGGGGTTGGCGAGCAAAGTCCAGACGAGGACGAAACTCAGGAGATTGCAGCGATTACGGTATCGTTGATAGGGTTCCTTGACGCGGCGGCCGCCCATGGGAACTTCTGGTCCCCCTATGAGACAGTCGAACTCATTCGCTGCTTGAAAGATGCTTTGTCAGAGCGTTTCTTGATAGCCGTGGAGACTGCCTCGTCGGCTATCCGAAATTCTACATCCCCCGATCCCGCCGAACGAGATTGGAGAAAATACTTGAAGAGGTTCGCCGCACAAGGGCTCCCTGTCGGAGCAATGCTATTACAAAAAGGATTCATGAAATTGGTCCTTGCGTGTACAGCCCGAATGTTATGTGATGAGCATACAGTAGAGTGCGGAGACATCCTCGATCAGTACATCGCCGGCAGTCACCTAAACCGAGTCAAAGATGACGGCATCACAGATGACATGGTCGAATACTTGGTGGACATTGTCAGTGAGCAAATGAGCGTGCTGGAGGATGGTTCAGATTACCTACAGCTCAGCTCCGTCTGGCAACAGCGTCTCGCCTTTTCCGTCAAAGCATACGCCGTGGAGGCATACCTGCATTGTTTGGTTCTTGACGACGAAATTGCCGATGCCGAGGACCTGGCCGGATGGCTTGAAGACTCGATTGCCAACCAAGTCCAGATGGCAGACATTGACCTCGCGGACATAGTACTGAAAAGCATGGCCGTGGTGGCCAAACACATCCCTGAGGGCGCCAACAACTACGCCCGGATCCTCTTAAGGTTCATAGTCCGAGGCACCTCGAGACCACCAGCAGTTGCCATCGCTGCGCAAAGCCTGTCACATATCTTGAGGATGTTGTCGCACGATGCGGTCATCACAACAATATATTCACTGGGAAATGTTCTCAGTTCACAGACAGGAGCTGAAAAGGTTCACCAGGCCCATGGCATGTTGGACATCACTGGCCAAAATGGTTCCATGTCATCGACAACGAGACTCCGAACTGGAAGTGTGATATCGCTCTCCTTGAGTGGCGACGAAGAGACGTCCCTTGTCTGTGGAAACGTCGCAGACGCGATTGTTGTCTTGGCCACCGAATGCAACGACAACAAAATAATTGCTCTGGCACAGATGATGATGCTGCAGAAAGTGGGGAGAATCAGCGTCGTGGTTGACGCTCGTATCATTGAAGAAGCCGCAAAGCTTGCCACTATTGGCAAGGAGAACGAATTCAAGGCTTTGCTCAGACTTTACACTCGACTGCATCACGAGGCTGTCGTCCAAGAGAATGCCACCATTTCACAAGCTGTCCGCAATGGGCAAGAATACTTGGCAACCAATCTGGACAATCGATCACCACTATTTAAAATCTACGCGATGCAGCTGCTGGAACGAGTCCTCAGTAAGGGGGATGTCGTCGAAGGAGAGTTCAAGCAGTCCGCAGAAGTCGAACAGGCTGCGAAAGAGATCGCGCCTCTTCTCAAGCCCCTATCTATTCTCGCTTCTCGAAAACCCGCACTGACGATCGAGAGCACGCTCGCCGAAGACGGCGACGTGTTAAGCATGGTTAGAGAGGTATGGTATAACGTGGCCGTGCACGGAATCACTCTCCAGTCTCGGATCGGCCAGCAACATTACCATGACTTGCGGGTATTGGCGATGAACTCGATGCCTCTCGTGGATGACGACCGTGCCGAGCTGTTAGAATCAGACGTGGAGATCAACACTGTCCTGCGAAGAGGAATGAACTCACATCACATGAATGACCAAAAGAAGGCTCTGATCTTTGCTATTCCCGATCGTGAGTCTGACATCGGCAAGTTGAGTTACCAGAAGGTGGTGTTTTTGAACGCTGTATTTCTGGTCGAAAGTCTCCGGGCTGTATCTGGCAGCTGTGCTGAGATTCTAGACTATTTCTCGGACCCGACGACACAAACAAGCCATATGGGGTCATGTCTTGGCTCGATTGCGAACGAGGTTGTCAAAAGATATACTTTGAAAGCTGTGGCTGGGAAGGACGACGACTTCAGCGCTCCCTATGTGTCTCGACAACTCGCTCGAATTCTAAGTGGGTGCTGCCACCGTAGCAGCAAGATGCAAGAGGTTGCAAGGGCGGCAGCCAACCATATCATCAGTTTCGTCCCTTCTGCTTTGTGCCAGAAATCTGCGTTGTTCGCTTTACTGGAGCTACTCTCTTTAATGTGGTCCAGTTGTCTCGATGCAGATACCGATGAGTACGAATGGCGGTCGACCCTCACCTCTGCGAGAGGCAAGATCACAGTTGAACTGTCTGACGATTACGCGTTCCGTAAGCGCACTCTTCAAATCTTGCATAGTGATGCCAGAAAATGGGTGACGATGGTGATGGGGGTGGCGCCGTTGGATGTCAAGGGCCTCCTCCAAACATACCTATCTGAGTTCGACGATACCGGGGCATACGGCCACATCTCATTGGGCAGATCGTTCGCTGTAGAGATGGGCTCGATGATTCCTCCGACAGATCGCAGGCTCAACGCTATTGACCGAAGAAACGACTCGACAGAAATTAATATGGCATCCGATTTTGTAGCCCAATACACTGCTCGGCAAGAATATCGATTCACTGGCATTCCAGACCACCACCGCGACAATATCTACATGGACGACACGACTGGGCGAAGGTCTTCCTTGCAGAGACCCAACACTGATCCAATGCCTGTTTTACAAGATGCGCTTCTCGATCTTCACCAAAGAACAAGTCAGAAGATCCACGTCAAAGCTTTCGAAGTTAAGGACGTGCTTCGACGTGCAGCCGCCCTCCTCTGCCAGAGCAAGAAGTCGCAGACGGCTATCGTGCACCATCTGGTCAATATTCCTTTCGCCATTTTCACGAAAGAATCCATTAAACTTGGTATTTCCTTGTGGCTGGGGGTCATTCATGAGAACACCAGAATGGAAGCCCGAATCCTGACCGAGGTTGCGCAGGCCTGGGAAAAGACGATTGATCGAAAAGTCGGCATTTTCAGTCCCAAATTCGAGCAGCCCGATCCATTTTATGTCAAAGAAGAGTTCGCCCCATCCGACAGAGCTGCCCTGCACAAAGAAGCGCAAGTAGCGCACAACACCATTGCTCCCCATTTCCGGTTAATACAATTTTTTGAAAGTCACTTCAATGCCATCAGACTTGGAAGCGCCAATACTCAACGGACGTTCATTCGACTGCTTGAGCGGACTCTTCTTGGCTTTATCCACATCAAGGGACATCCTCTTCTGCGCGACATACAGTTCCACGTGGTCCTTTTTGCTCTCCGAGTCGTGAAAAATAGTACAGTCCTCAATAAGCTGTCGATGTGGAAACTGAAAGATCTTATTCTGTCCGTCGGTCTGCAGTGGTTTGCCAAGCAGCCATTTTGGTCTTTTGGGGGTAATCGGTTACAATTGCTCGCTGAAGTTCAAGTTATGCAAGAGGTTCTAGTCTTGTTGCAAGGTACCCGAACACCTATCTTCCCGGCATCGGCGACCAGGAAAGACCCGCAACAGAGACAGGAGCTGTTGGAAGCCCTTCTCCTGAACGAAATCAACCGGCTGAACGTTTGGCTATCGCCTCTTGGCCATTCGGGCCACCAAATTCAGCCTGACTCTCAAGTTGCCGGCTTTGTTCGAACAGCATGGGCAGAGGATCCCGCGCTTGCCGTACAGCTTCTCGCACGTTTCAACAATGACCAGCTTCGCCGCGACGTTCGATTTCTGCTTATGAACCAGCCGGAGAAAGCCTTGCACGAAGCCAAGGCCGTCGATTTGTTGCTTGGGGATACCTTGTCGTCAGACCTGTCCTTCCAGCTGAAGTATTTGCTATACTGGCGGCCGGTCAATCCCGTTCAGGCTGTGACGTACTTCATGCCTGCTTTTGGCAATCATCCATTCGTCATCCAGTATGCGATGAGGGCTGTGGAGAGCCACTCTGTCGATGTTACGTTTTTCTATGTTCCGCAAATTGTACAGAGCCTGCGATATGATACGCTGGGATACGTCGAGCGGTACATCATAGAGACTGGCAAGTTCTCACAGCTATTTGCCCACCAGATCATTTGGAACATGAAAGCCAACGCATACAAGGACGAGGACTCACAAGTGCCGGATCCCGTCAAGCCTACACTGGATAAAGTCATGAACAGTCTGATTTCAAGTTTCTCCGGCGAAGACAAGAATTTCTACGAACGGGAGTTTTCTTTCTTTAGTGAAGTGACCGACATCTCGGGCAAGCTCAAGCCCTTCATCAAAAGGCCTAAGCCGGAAAAGAAAGCCAAGATCGAAGAAGAGCTTCGGAAAATCAAGGTCGACGTTGGAGTTTACCTTCCCAGCAATCCGGATGGCGTTGTGGTTGGTATTGATCGGAAATCCGGGAAGCCGTTGCAGTCTCATGCTAAGGCCCCGTACATGGCGACTTTCCGGATCCGTAAAAAGAAGGACGCCTCCAATGAGGAGACGAGCGAGCTGATCGAGTCGGCGCCGAAGACTCAAGTCGGCCACCCCAGAATAAGTCACAGCCGCAGAAACACAAGCGACATTTCCAACGTTGAACTGAATGATGGGAATTTGGCAACCTACGAGGTCTGGCAGAGCGCCATCTTCAAAGTTGGCGATGATTGTCGTCAAGATGTCCTCGCGTTGCAGATGATTGCGGCCTTCCGCGGCATCTTCAACTCTATCGGTCTGGACGTCTACGTCTTTCCGTATCGTGTCACCGCAACGGCGCCTGGTTGTGGGGTCATCGACGTTCTTCCAAATTCCATCAGTCGCGATATGTTGGGCCGAGAAGCGGTGAATGGTCTGCACGACTACTTCATTACCAAATATGGCGGTGAACATTCCGTGCGCTACCAAGAAGCTCGCAGTGAATTCGTGAAGAGCATGGCCGCATATTCTGTCATCACGTACCTCTTACAATTCAAGGATCGCCACAATGGAAACATCATGATTGACGACAAGGGCCACATCCTCCACATTGACTTTGGGTTCTGCTTCGACATCGCACCGGGGGGGGTCAAATTTGAACGGGCCCCCTTCAAATTGACGCCGGAAATGATTGCCGTCATGGGCGGAGATGATCCTCATACGAGTCAACCATTCCGCTGGTTCGAAGAGCTGACCGTCAAAGCCTTCCTTGCCAGCAGGCCCTATTGCGACAAGCTCAGTCATCTGGTGAGCTTGATGTTGGATTCCGGGCTGCCGTGTTTCAAGCCCGAGACGATGAGGAACTTCAAACAGAGGTTCGTGCTGGAGAAGAGCGAGAGGGAGGCAGCCGAGTTTATGGTGGGTTGCATCAAGAAGAGCGCAGCAAATGTGACCACCAAAGTGTACGATGAATTTCAGTTAATCACCAACGGGATCCCGTACTAGATTTAGTGCGTGAGCTTGGGTTTTGCGCGAACTATTATTACCGGGAGCGTCCACATAGAGAGTGTCAATGTGCACAGTACAGGGAAACCTCTAGCAGCACAGCTGGTAATGTAATCAGGAACTTTTCCTCGTTCCAGTTCTACTATTCCTCGCCACAAGCAGCTGAGCTCATCTGACCAGAACAAGGGGTGACCGCCCCATCCAGCCCATCGACCCCATCATTCACTCCTTGCCTGCCTGTCCTCCGAGACTTCCTTGGCCTGCTGCGTATGACACTTTCTTCCGTTCCACAGGGTAAAAGCAGCAGCAGTCGGAAAACTTTAATTGAGGGAAAACAAAATGACGAATCCAAAGAAATTTCGTACTACTATTTCGATACCAGCCCAATCTTGGCCAGCAGATCCAGCAGGAGACCCCAGAGATAAGGGATCAGCTTTAGTTGTTCGATGAGCAGGGGGGCGACGACGACGAAAATCAGGAGCACTGGTTTTTTGGTGTCGGTCAGTCAAGCTCAGTCCCGTCCAGGGCACTTTTTGCACAAAAGTATAAGAGGGAATTGGCATAGATAAGGAAAAAGGAAACAAAAGGAAACAGTAAGCACGAACCAACAGCTGCGACGCCCACGGGCGACTTCTTGGTTTCTTTCTTCTTGTACGCTGCCTCGGGTTTGCCCATGCGCTTCTCGACGCCCTTGGCGTGCTTCTCGTTGGCGCGGCGCTGTGCGGGAGTCTGGGCCTATGATGATGGAAGCAATATATGTGAGCGGTCGTGGACTCTAGGGGTTTGCATTCGGTTGAATGGTGTGGAACTGAATTGGATGGCGTGAGGGGGAGAAAAAACTGACCATGTTTAATATAGGGGGAAAGTGTTGTTTACTTAGGTTGTTAGGGAAGGCGAAAGAGTTGTGTAAGATGGCGGCCTATTGGACCAGTCACCGAGATTTGAATGTCCGTAGGAGATGGAAAATGGTAGAGATAGATGTTCAGATGGTGAAAAGACTGGTTCGTCGCGTGCCACAATTCCTGTCAAGGTAAGGTCCTCAAGTCACTCGTTCCGGTATCGTCTGTATGTGGTATCTGTTATAGTGAGACCTGGATTCTAGATGAGAAGATAGGGAGTGAGATGTTGACAGATATTATGATGGATGGAAGGATTGGATGATAGCCTCGATGTTCTCTCTCTCCTTCTCTCTGCTCTCTTCAGCCCCTTTTGCGAAGTTCGAACAGCGTGTCACGATGCCAAGGCCTCTGTCACGTGGAGATAAGGCCCCTTATCGGTTTCCCGGAGCACGAGAGGCACTGAGAGGATCATGCGCTTCCAGGCCTTTGGTTTCATCACCAGAATCCTTCTTCCATCGTTCTCGAACTAGAATCCGGCAGTCAGGCTCTGTTGTGGTCCTGGCGTCGTTTGATGGGATCCAGAGGAGAGCACAGTAGGTGGTACTTGGCCCGAGTCATCACTACAGTACTACTCACTGCTCTCTATAACGCCCTCTGTCATCCCTACAAATAATCGAATCTGAGCTCGAATCGACGTATACTTTCTGGATGTGCCAACTTTTTTATCGGCTCCTCCTGTAGCCTCATAACCATACGTGGTACTTGGCTCGACGCCTGTGGCTCTTTACAATCTATCTTTGGTGCGCTGGCGGTCCGTTCCGCGGACGCCATGCCGTGTTCCGGGCGACGCCTTCTGGCCCCCAGTGAACACTACTAAGTATGTGTCTGCGGGCGGTTCGGAAACTGACCAGCTTCTAGCTAAGACGCCTCGTCTTCCATCACCAATCCCATTGAACCCTCTCTCTTCCACATAACCATTCATGCGGCATCCTGTGCTCGAGATGTTCTCGCTTTGGCTCTTCGACCATGACAACACATCCGTGCAGAGAACCTCTGACCTCTAGACGTGGGGGTTCAAGGCTGCAGCAGGGAACAAAAGTTGGTCTGCCTCAAGTGCTGATAGGTCCATGGGGCATCTCCCTTGATTCGCACGGACCATGTGTTCTCGACTACGCCTCACAATTTGGGCAGATGTGTCCAATGACAAAAATCTCAGGTGCGCAGGGTGCAATAATGTGAAGGAACCCTGCACATCATCGTACCACTACGGGCACCCGCCATGACATTGGCTGAAATCTGGGCGTTGTTCCTTCACTCACTGGCCGACACGTGGAAGATATCCTTGAGCAGGCAGTCGAACAATTACGAGTTACATGTGATTATGAACGCGACAGTCAGAGTGCATCTCAGGAGACTGGTCCAGAAAAATATAGCTCAGTCCCTCTGCATCAACCGTCCTCTCTCCAAAGCAGTTTATTCATTGACGATGCCCCCGGCTGTGCTCTTATGTCCCGCAAAGCTCCTAACCTCAGATTTTCCCTGTACCTGGACCGCGAGATCTCGAGCACCGAGGCATATGTGGACAGGATTCTTCACCCTGTCCGTTCCATCGCCAGAAGAAGAGTCAAGCTCCCGGTGAGTGTGTTATACATTCGTTTTCGTGTCCTCGCGCAACATACTCAAGGCCACTATGAAAACCAAGGTCCGCCCAAATCCTATGTCCGAGGCCGGCATGCACGCAATAACCAACGTGAATGCGGAGAAGGTGTCTGACGGGTTGCCGAACGGAGTCGACAACAATGACCAGGAGAACACGCAGATTGACAACGTGGATTTTGGTCTGTTTAACAACGAGGTTCATCAACAGGTGAACAATCTGAATAAAGGGTTATCTGTTGTGAAGACCGCGGTGGATCAACTCGCCGTGACATTCAACCAATATGGAGAAATGGTCAAGACGGTAGACGAAAGATACCGTTCAGGTCAAGATCTTGAGCTACAGATTCAGGAACTGGAGCAACAGTACGAATTTCTCGACAGGAAAATGCAGCAGGTGAAGCAGAGTCACAAAGTGCAGCTACGGAACGAACTAAAACAACATGAGAAAGAAATCTCAGGCCTCAAAGAACAGGCAAAGTCAGGACAACGGGAAAAGGAAAAATATGAGGCAATGATTCTGGACTTGAAGAAGGAGCACGAGAGCGCCCTGAAGGATGCACGGGATGACCTCGAGACAAAGAAAAAACAGGTGGAGCAGGAGAACGCGGACCGCGTTGCCAAGCTGGAAGCAGAAAACAAGGCACTTGAGGAGAAGCTGACGGCGACCGAGCAACAGCTCGAGGAGAAGATCAAGATGCACAACGAGGAAAAGGAACTCCGCGCAACGATGCAGAGCAAAGCCGACGCCGAAATTCAAGATCTCCAAAAGGCTCTCGCGAGCGTGAAGGGCAAGTATGAAGTGCAGAGACTGCCCGTGGAACACTAGTAAGATATCGTCCCCTTTCTCGCTCCATTGCCCGAGTTAACTCATCACCCGCAGCGCGCAGCGATACACAGCTCTGGTTGACTCGGTGGCTAAGCTTACCCACGAATATTTCTCCGAGCTACCGGAAGAAGCGTTAGATGTAAGTGCTGTCCAGTCTGATCCCGATGTTCCTGATGCCGCACTCTGCTTGTGGTCGTTCTCATGCGTGGCTTCATCTAGGATCCGACGTACACATATAAACAACTCAGAAAGAAACGGAGCACCTTTGACCCGGTCCCCATTACCCAGTCCGAATGTGCTCGGGTTCTTCGACTGGGCATTGTGCAAAACATTATTTTCAACGCGATCCGCGAGACCGTGTGGCCGCCGTTCTTCTCTCGGAGCCTCTGGAAAAACAAAAAGGACCGATCCCTCATCTACGACATCTACCTGCGGCTAGCCAGCGACGGCGAGGAGATCCAGAATGACTGGAAAGTGTCGACCCTGAAGGTTCTGGATCGAATGGACAATGGCGTGGACGTCGGCGACAAGATCGGCCTCGCGATCGAGCTGCACGTCGTCCAGATCCTCGAACCGCTGTTGGGTGAACGAAAGACCGATTTCGGGAACGAACTAAAGAACATCTTCGCCCGGGCCATGGAGCTCAGCCAGGAAGCGCGGCGTGATCGATCCCCGGTCTGTTTCGACATCAATCCCTCGGCGGACAGCGGTAAAGGGTGGAAGGAGTTCAGCGAGGGGTTCGATATCGAGGAAGCTCCCAACCCGCCTCCAGTGGTCTTTAGAGAAAAACCTTTTGAGCCCGTGTGCGTGGTTCCGAGACTGTACCGCAAGCGCGACCCGACGGCGAGTCCAGATGCCGCGGAAAACGAACTGGTGTACCCCGGGGTCGCCTTGTTTCCCAGCACCGGCATTTTCAAACAAGGCATGATGGAGTGGGAAGGGCTGGTGCAGGCAGAACGAGAGATCCGGAAAGCCTACAACGGCAAGGCCAGGAGAGCGAGTGCGGTTTCGTTCCCCACGGGCATGGGTATGGGTATGTCGGCGCTGACCTCGCTGAGGCCGTCGACGACATGGGCGGGTCCGCCAATCGCCGAGTTCAATTGACGGGCGACGACGTTCGCCATGGAGGGAGGGGGTGGGTGTGACGAGCGACTTGAGAGAGTTGTGGAAGTTGTTACAAACCAGGGTTGTTCAGCAGGTGGCAGGGTAGATAATCAGGCCTTTCGGGGGGTTAAAAGTAATTGTGAAGGAGTTAATTTCAAGCGAGAACCAACCTGTCTTTATCTTGCGTCCATGTTTTATGGAGGGGCATTGATTACATCCTGAAGTCTTATGTTCATTCATGCCGGCGCTGTGAGTATGAAAACGCGTAGTCTTTCTTTCTTTCCTTCTCTCTCTCTCCCCCCGCCATCTCCCTACCTCCACCAAATTTTGCCCCCGTTGGAGAAAAACCAACAGCAGTGGTGGTGTGTTGCCCTCCTGCGATATCGGCCCAATCCCCGGTGTGAGGGGCATCGTTGGGTTGAAATGAGTGGGCTAATAGTATGTAATACTGTAAGTGGCCCCCATCCTGTCGTTCATCCCATCGTCATTCCTCCCCCGTTCCCAGCATCCTCACCCGTTGCGTTGCAGCAGAGCGGAGCGGACTTTCGCCGTGGGGAAAGCCGTCGTCGCGGTTGAAATGGATCATTTGCCGGTAAGGACAGGTGTGTGTATATATATGTATGAATGCCATATATGTGTATTATACGAGACACGATATATTGAGATTGTCTAACTGGACTGAACTGAACCCATTTTCATGATATTATTATCACACACGGTGCAGGTGCACAAATCGGGGCTCGATTGATATCAAAACTAGAGAGAGGCACAGAGAGAGCAAGAGAGAGAGCGAGATAGAGGATCTCCACGGTCCTTCACGCAGCCCAGAACCTCGCGACAGAGGAAGCAAAGAACAACAAGCAGCAACCAACTAGATAAGACCAATAACAAATAGCAGCAGCAACAATGGCGACCCAGCGCCTCGCCGCGTGGGCCACGTCTCTCCGACTGCACGACCTACCCGCGCCCGTGGTCCAGGCCGCCGTGCGCAGCTTCTACAACTGGACGGGCTGCGCGCTGGGCGGGTCGCACCACCGGACGACCACGACGGCGCTGCACGCGCTGGCGCCCTTCTTCGGCAAACCCACGTCGAGCATCCTGGGCCACACGAACACGGACACGGACGTTGGCAGTGCCGATGCCTCGCACGCCGCCCTCATCAACGGCATCGCCTCGCACGTCCACGACTACGACGACACACACCTCGAGACCATCATCCACCCGACGGGGCCCGTGGCGAGCGCGCTGCTGGCCCAGGCCGAGGCGCTGGGCAAGCCCGTGGCGGGGGACGACTTCATCCTGGCTTTGGTGGCAGGCATCGAGGCCGAGTGTAAAGTCGGATTGGCGGTGTGGCCGGACCATTATGATATCGGCTGGTGAGTTTTCCTTTTCCTTTTCCTTTTTTTTTCTCTCTCTCTCTCTTCTCCATGAGTGAGTGAGCGAGTGAGAGAAGGAGGACTCCTCAAACTGACAGCTCATTCACCCTCTACAGGCACATCACATCCACCACCGGCTCGATTGGCGCCGCGGTGGCCGTGGGCAAACTGCTCACCCTGACGACGGAGCAGATGGCCCACGCCATCGGCATCGCCGCCACGCAGGTGACCGGGCTGCGCGAGATGTTCGGGTCGGACACCAAGTCGTTCCACGTCGGGCGGGCCGCGCAGAACGGGCTGATGGCCGCCGTGCTCGCGCAGAAGGGGTACACGTCGTCGCCCACGGCGCTGGAGGCGAAGCGCGGCTGGGCCAAGGTGGTGAGCACGACGCAGGACCTGGACGGCCAGATGGCCACGCTGGGCAGCCGAGACGGTGGCGTGTGGGAGACAGCCAAGAACTCGTTCAAGCCCTTCCCCTGCGGCATCGTCGTGCACCCGATCATCGACGCGTGCATCCAGCTGCACGCCGACATGCAGCGGCAGGGGCTGGCGGCCACGCAGATCAAGCACGTCCAGTGCACGGTGCACCCGCTCGTGCTGGAGCTGACGGGCAAAAAGACCCCGCAGGACGGCCTGCAGGCCAAGTTCAGCGTCTACCACGGTGGCGCGGTCGGGCTTGTGCTGGGCAAGGCGGGGCCCGCGCAGTACGACGACCGTGTGGTCACGAGCAACGAGATCGTCGCGGTCCGGGACCGGATCGACGCCACGGCGGACGCGGGCCTGGGCGCCGACGAGGCCGTGATCGTCGTCGAGTTCGACACCGGTGCCACCACGCTCACGAAACACGTCAAGCACGCCGTCGGCAGCCTCGAGGTGCCCATGACCGACGCCCAGTTGCTCGACAAGTTCGTCGACCAGGTCACGCCCGTGCTGGGGCCTGAGGGCGCGAAGAAGGCGAGCGACGCGGCGTGGGCGCTTCAGGGGGTCGCTGATGTGTCTGTGCTGGCCAAGGGGTTATAAGTCATCGATCCGGGGAGGAGAAAATAAGGTACAAGGAGGGTGAATAGGTGCTACTACTAGTGAATGGTACTCCGGAGAGGAGTCATGCGATAAACCCTCTGAGATGGTAATCGTGTGTAGGTCACAGACCTGTCGTCCTGGTTCTTGAATCTTGAAGGAGAGCGTGATCCGTCGAACTGGGTGTTCCTGGATGACTATTCTGTTGCGATGGGCAAAAAACAAGTAGATATGCAAGGGTAGACCGAATCGGAGTCGTTACAGTCCGGCCAGCGATCCAATCCATTCGGACCCAGCTAAGGGGGAACGCACATATTGCATGACTTTCGGTATATACAATGGTCTGTCTATCCAGCTCTCGGTGCGCCCGAGGGCCACGTGGAAAATCGCGCAATGTATTGATGTTGTCTGCAATACGCGGTGTCCGTGATGGATCAGGGACTAGCATGATATCGATATTGGCAAGTTAGGCAGATCACCCGGGCCGTGAGTCTGCTGGACTATGTCCGTCCAAGGCCAAGTCCTGAGACTGACGTCCTAGCCGGGAGACAACGTACCCCTTTGGACTCGAGCTGATAAATAGACGGTGGCATTAGCACCCGAGGCGGGTATCTCGAGACCCTTGTTCGGCCCCGTCCAACATGTTTCGTGAGCTTCCTTATCCCGCAAGTATCAGATCTCTGACGCACCATCTCCCACGTTCCATGCGAGGACACCGGTTCCGGGGTCTTACGTATGCTTGGTAAGGTGTGGGGGACCGGAGAGCGAGGGATGAATACCCCGGACAAGATCCAACGACAACATACCCAGTTTCCTGGGGTATTTCTGGTTGAGTACACATCTCAACCTCGTATACCCTCCCCCGGCCCTCGGCCCCCCTTTTCATAAACCCCCGCTCCGTCACTCCAGCTGGGGTATACACACGAAGGCCTCGGGAGCCATCTTCCTTGGTTTTTGCGCTCAGTTCTATTGGCACACACTGCACAGAGGAGGAGGCGAACTTAGTCACCGTGAAATGGCACAGAACGGAGGAGGTCTGAAGCGGCACCGCTCTTTTCAATCCACACCGAGTTGAGGCTGGCGTCACCACGCGCAAACCCTTTCCCCGGGTAACGGTCCAATGGATTTATTTATTTCCACGGACTCTCGCTCTGGCAAGAGATGCCCATGCGAAGTGCGAGACAAATAAACGAGTAACGAGCAGATAGATACAGGCGTGGCAGTTGAAACATTCGCCGACACACACACACACACCAATTCTCCCGTCCGAGTTTCAACATGCCCAATATCCTCAGGTCTGTATACACACATTGGATGCGTCGACGGTGGCGGTGGTGGTGAAAGGAGAAAAAGAGTGGCTGATTCGACATGCCAGCATCCCCGGACGCATCGCCATCGTGACGGGCTCCTCGTCCGGAAACGGCAGGGCCATAGCGCTGGCGCTGGCCTCAGAAGGCGCCTCCATCGTCTGCAGCGACCTGACCACCGAAATTCGAGCCGGGGGCTTCGAGAAAGACTTGACGCCGACCCACGACCTGATCATCCAAACCCACGGGCAAGGCAGGGCTATCTTTCACCGGGCAGACGCCAGTTCGGAAGACGATGTCAGACTCCTGGTCGATGTCGCCGTCAAGACGTACGGCAGGCTCGATATGTAAGCTGCTCTTCTCCGCTTTTCTTCGGTCGTCTCTTTCTGGATCGTCCGTCGTGCCCGCGATCTGTTGATTTCCGAATGCACGTCTTGTAAGAATATATCCCAACTGACAACCCTGGCCAGCATGGTCAACAACGCTGGCATTTTTACAGGCCTGTTTAATATTGTCGATGAACCCGTCAGCAATTACGACAAGACAATGGTAGGTGGACACGCACCCTTCTAGCAACGGCGTGATTTTGATCTTGCGCCCAGGCCGTGAACGCCAGAGGGGTGTACCTCGGGATGAAGTTTGCCATTACCCAGATGATGAAGCAAGACCCTCTACCGTCAGGAGAGCGTGGATGGATCATCAATATCGCCTCGATCGGGGGCCAAGTCGGTCTCGCCTTGGAACGTGAGTGTGGCCTACCTTGTGAACCGATGAACCATCAGAATCCCTCGAAACGAAGAAAAATGCTGATGATTTCTGTTCGATAAAAGCCGCGTACTGTGCCAGCAAAGGAGCAGTCGTCAACCTCACGCGTCAAGTGGCGGTGGACTATGCGCCGCACAAAATCCATGTGAATGCGGTCTGCCCCGGCTACCTGGCCACAGCGATGGTCAGGCCCTTCTTGGAGGATAAGGAAACGCATGAAAGGCTCCACCAACAAAGCCCCTGGCCTCATCTCGGAACCCCGGAAGATGTTGCAAAGGCCGTCCTCGTGCTGGCTGGGGACGCTGCGAGTTGGATGACGGGCAGTTTTCTGAACGTCGACGGGGGGTTCATTGCAGGCTGATGGGTGGGTGTTTGAGGGGCTCATCCGCAAGGGTCCTGGGCAAGATAAGTCCCAACAGAAAAATCTGTGTATGCTCGTGGAGTCCATCAGTGTGTAAGCCAGTGGCTCATTGGTGTCAACATGCTGTCTTGAAATCGACAATACCACTATTCCAATCTTTTTGCAATCAGCCCCTATAGGTTAGACGCTTCAAATATCTGCACGGTGCTTCATTCGCACGTGGCGTTCAGGAGAACTCCAATGCACAATGCTTGCGTGGCCCACGTATATGGGTGCAGGAGTAGCAACCATCGGCTCGTTTCTCCAAATCGCTTTCGTGTCTGGCAGCATTCTCAATGATGGTCCCATCCTTGGTGACATCGTAGGAGAGTTATTACCTAGTGCCTGGTTCACCCCTGATGTCGTAGCCGCCGCTCCCTCCGGGACGCCTTCTTGTCTGGATATCGTCGATAGGTAGGTCCTCAGACAGATCGCAAAGTGCTGAGCCACATTGCCTCACTTTGAAGAATCATTCCACCCTGCAATTAGGTCTGCGATGGCCGACTCCGATACCACCAGAACCCTTTTCCTCTTCGGTAAAGTCTATATGATCTTCCTCCTGCACATCGTGGACGCCACCTGTGTCCCCCAACCGTTTCTCCCGGTGCATTACCTCCTGCTGACTCCACAAACTCAATCCACGTGCTGATGCAGAAGTCTGGTGGCCGACCATCTCTTGTCTGGTCATAAGATGGCTACAATGTCGTTTTCACATGTTTCGTCGTCTAGGGTGAGCAACTGTGAGGTTGAATCTTTTCGAAACTCCGGGCTTGGTACTGTTGTGTCCAGTAGGCGTTGTCAAAGGGGACGTCAGAGCGGAAAGAGGAGCGAAGAGAGGTTTCCGTTTGATGACCATCTAGTATCGGTGTTCCTGGGTGGCCTGGAGAGGCAGAGACGAAGTTCGCTTCCATGTAGGGTACGGTCGAGGTTGCCTTGGAGACCAGCATCGAGCATCTACTCTAGGCATTCGTTGACGTCGGCCATGTAGGCAAGGCGCAGGTGTAGAAGGCTGAAACGATGTTCAAGAGTCACACAAAGGCGACTGATCTTTCGACGACATTCTCAGTGGCACTGAGTTGTCTCTCCCTGCCGGACCAGCCAGCACGTAGCATATACAAGCCGCCCATTGACCAATGCCTGGCCCATCCCTAATACTCTCGGTGAAGCGGAGTATCCGAGCACTCATCACACGAACGACAAGTTGCAACAGGAGGCCGCCAAAGTTGCTTCTGCATGTCCTCAGGGACTTACAACCACTGAGGCTTCGGACCTGACGACTATTTATAGCGCCGGCCTTGAGCCTTGAGCCGATATATATATATATATATATATATACATTATATATGCCCCGAACCGTGCTTTGTCCCTAACCATTTTTGTTCAGGAAAGGGAGCGAGGCCGCTTTAATTTGGCACGTGACGGAGCATCGAGGAGGCCCGGCCAAGCCCGGGGGGAGCTACGGCAGAGTAGTACGGGGAAGCGTCCCTCGAGCACTGGCGAGCCACAGGGAGCGCTGCCTGATGCCCGTTCGCAGAAGCCAGTTCGGGCTCAGGGGTCTCTTTTGGGTCTCGGATGGACACTTCCTGAGCTCGCTAGGGAGGCATCCGATATGGAACCCTCTAGCCAAATTCCCGAACACATGCCAGAGAAGCAGCAAGCTGGACATCAAGACGGCGGGGACCAGCCAAAGAGCAGCCCGCGCATTCGATTGCGAGTCATTCAGCCAAAAATTACGCTCCGCTTCACATTACCGGCTACAAGGCCAGCCGGACTGAAGAAAAACTGGGGAGGGAGGTCGAAGACGGAAAAGGATGGCACTCGAAAGGGGAAAGAAAGGAACGGAGTCACGAGTCTGAGCTTGAATCTGTCCTGGGCCCGTTGTCCCTGGACCACGGGATCTCGGGGTTTGAACAGTGTACAAAACCCGTACAGGCGCTCTAGCCGTTCAGAGAACAAAAGCATGGAGATATCCCTCGAAGTGGAGCAGTCCCTGTTTGATGTTTTCCTATTCCGTGGACATTATCTAGACCTCTCCGAGACTCTGAGCCTCGGTGGCAGCAGCGGCGAGGGTCTGTGAGGGTCCCAATAACCTATGCATGTCATAGTATGAACCACCAAGGCGCTCTGGAGTAAACTCAGCAGCAGTAGCGTGATACTGCAACCTTGCAAAAGGTGGCCGGGTCATACCATACTATGCACCGGCCATTGCCATAGATCGCGTCTAAATCGCTTACCCAGAGAAGACGGTCGTCGATTCTCCATTAAAATTTTCCGTTGGAGGGCTCCAGTGAGGTCCGTCTTTGTTCCCAGGGTTGGCAATGTCGAAATCAAATCGGTCTGGCAACTTCAAGCCTAGCTTCTGGTGCTTCTTCGAGGTGATGGCAGAGATGCCGTCCTTGAACAACCAGACGTCCTCGGTCTGATATTGCCACGCCTCCACTTGCTTTCGACACTCCTGGAGAATCGACGCGAAGTTCTCGTATTTGGCCAGGTTGTGGACCTCTGCCGGGTCGTTTTCGAGGTCGAACAGTTCTTCTGGTCCTCGTGAAAGGTACTTGACCAGAGGCCGCTGGCCTATCATGATAGGCTGCTTGCCGTTCCGAATCCCTTCCCACGACAGACTTCCATAGAGGTCGGTGCCAAAGGGAAAATCAAGCTGCCAGGCGATGTTTCGATGGTATTTATATCTGTGGGTGCGTAGAAAGCGGGTGGGCCAGTAATTCTGGATCTCGTGAAAGGTGTGCGAGCCAAAAACGTGTTGCTTCCATTGGTCTTCCGGGAGGAGGTCGCTGAAATCCAGGATTGGCAGCAAGGAAGTTCCCAAGCGAGATGGTGATTTCCCTGTGTTGCTAGTCTTGATATCCTTGTCTGCCACGCCAGCCCAGTCAATGCACGTGGGGAGAATATCTAGGAACGAGACTAGATTCGGGTTAACCACTCCCCCTTTAGCCTGAGGGTTCTTAATAATCAGAGGTAGTCTCACACCCGCATCGTACAGGGTGGTTTTGGAGTTTAGGAACGGAGCGCCGTTGTCGCTGACAAAGATAATCAACGTGTTCTCGCTCAGGCCGCGTTGCCCTAGTTCCTGTAGTATCAGGCCTACCCCGTGGTCCATGCGGCTGATGGATTCGTAGTACTGAACCAACTCAGCCCGGACCTCTGGGAAATCAGAGATGTATGGCTGAATCTCGACGTCCTCTGTCGAGTACTTGGTCTCTGGGATGGTAGAGTTGGCGAGCTCTTCAGCGTCATTGCCGAACCCATCTCGTGTGTTGTCCCGGTGCGGATCTCTGAATGCCACGGTCAGATGAAACGGGCGATCCGTCTCTTTGGCTTTGTCGAAGAAAACACGGGCTTGGCTGGCGTTCCAGGTTACGTCGCGACTGTGACTGGGTTCGAAGACCTCCCAAGGATATACCGAGTGAGGCCCGACGTGCACCTTGCCAATGATACCGGTCTGATAACCAAGAGACGCGAAGATTTGGGGTAGAGTCTCGATGTGCTCGTGCGTTTGGAAATGATTCCAGCCGTGAGCCAGGCCATACTGGCCGTTCTGGTGGGTATGGAGACCAGTATATATTGTCGATCTGCTACCGCTGCACGAGGCCGTACTGGCAAACGCATTGGTGAAGCGTGTGCCTTGGGATGAGAGCTTGTCTATGGAAGGGGTTTGGATTCCCCGAGTGCCATAGCACCCCAGATACAAGCCGAGGTCGTCCGCAATGAACAGGACCACATTATGATGGCTGGTCGACATGGTGATTGAAAAGGGAATGGTAGTAGCAGTAGTCTAACTCGGGGACGGCTCTCGTTCCAATTACAAAGATACATCAAACACTGGCAAGGAGCGGCAATGCAGCCGGGTTTTATGGTCTTGGTTGTACGGCAGAGGGATCGTCTACCATCCGTGCTCACAATATGTGGCAACGATACGTGGTCGGCGACGGCCCGACGTGGGCAGTCGGCAATCCATGGTATTGACGGATGTCGGTCAGTTAGCAGCGGCTGTCGACCCGTGATTCCGAACCGACAGCCAATGGTTGCAGGCGAAATACCGGGTCAGCACGCCAACCAGATCACGACTGCCCGCATGAGCCATCAGACACTGGGGACCTGCGACTATTTCAATTACCTGGGGACGCCCCATCTTCCATTCTCTGGGGAGATCCCACACAGATTGTCATATTGGCCGGCAAGCAAAATGTCGGTCCTCAAGAACTTCAACAGGTCGTTGACTGGTGCAGTTCTGCTGATCAGTCTGTCGACCTTCAACTATGGCTTCGACAACCAAGGCTTCGCCACCGCCCAGGCCATGGATTCTTTCACTCGGCAGTTTGGCGACAAGAACCACAAGACGGGCAAATACGAGCTCAACAACGTGTGGCTATCACTTTTCAGCAGTCTGATCTACATCGGGTTCAGTGCTGGTATGCTTCCCCACTGACCCCGGCATCGTGGTGTGGCGTTTATCAAGCTGACGGTCATGTCGCCCAGGTATCATTCTGGGGAGCTCTCTGAACGCTTGGGTCGGCCGTCGCAGAACCATGTTTATTTTGAGCACCTACGAGATCATTACGGCCACGATCATCGTGACATCTCAGACACGGGAACAAATCCTCGCAGGGAGGGTGCTTAACTGCAAGTCTACGTTCAATGGTCATGTCATAAAAGGGCTCGAATAACAAATTCCAGATGTCTACATCGGCATGGAATTGGCAGTGGTGCCAGTGTTCCAGTCCGAGATCGTCCCAACTCCGGTGCGAGGTCTTGCTGTTAGCACCTACCAATTCAGTTTGATTGTATGTTGTCTACCTCTCCTCGAGCTAGGCAAATGGCTGAGTCTTATATTCAGTTCGGTGGGCTTGTTATGAATTGCATTTGTCTGGGGACAAGTTCAATCAGCGACAACAGAGCGTGGAGGATCCCGTTGGGCCTGTTCTATATCATCCCCTCCATCATCATGGCGAGCATATTTACCATTCCAGAGGTAGGCGCACGAGTTGTGGTTGTGGTGATGTATCTGACTGCGTACTCAGTCACCGCGTTGGCTCCTGATCAAAGGACGCGAGGAAGAGGCTCTCCAAAGCCTGACCAGGCTTCGAAAAGGCGCGTTCTCCCAACAGGAGATTGAGAGAGAGTTCGAGGCCATTCGGCTCGGATTAATAGCAGAGCCAGAGCAGGGATCATTCACAGAACTCTTCCAGGGGGTTAACCGCAAGAGAACCTTCATTGCAGCTGGCGTCCACTTCCTACAGAACCTGTGCGGACAGGACATCGTGTCCAAATTTGGCAGCTTGATTGTCAAGAGCCTGCACACCATCAGCCCTTTTGTCATGACGGTTGTCTTTGCCATCACCAACCTTGTGTTCGTCTTCACGGGAATGCTGACCAACGATAAAATAGGTCGACGGTGAGCCAATTCTTCGCCGCTTCAAGCAGAACCAGGCTAACATGGCTATTATAGACCTCTCCTCATGCTCAGTGCTGCACAACAGATGACAGCTCTGCTCATTCTAGGTGGCATTGGTCATACCGGATGGCCACTTGCCAAACGCTACCAGCCCGTTAGCATTGTTATGCTAGTATTGCAGACCGCCGGATTTTCGATCGGATTTGCGCCTCTGACTAATGTGGTCACGACGGAAATTGTTGCTTTGCGTCTTCGAGACCGCACGCAACTGCTTGCCTGCACCATGAACGTGATTGCAAAGTGAGTCCCTTCAGCGAGTTCATTTGCCTCCCCGACACAATCATCGCTGACTGCGATAATTTTCTAGCTTTGCGGTCGGCTTCTCCCTTCCGTATCTTCTGAACGCGCCTTACGCAAACCTCCATCTCCAGATCGGCTGGGTATTTGCCCCGATATGCTTCATCGCCCTTGTCTTTGTCTATTTCATGGTTCCCGAATGCAAAGGTAAATCGATGGAGCAGATTGATCGCATGTTCCACGAAGGCATCTCCATAAGGCAATTTGGAAAGTACAATATCGCAGATGTTACCGAGGAAAGTTATGTAACCGAGCTGGCCGCCAAGAGCGGAGACGTTACCCATGTCGAAGAGCGGGAGAGGTGAGGGAAATGTGTTTGCACTCACGCAGACAATGTCAAGTACAGCTGCGCTACTGTGGCTTTACTTCTGGGATGTTGGGGATAGAGAGAGCAGGATCTCGGAGTGATGTACAGCGACATGGATGATTAGCCTGACCGGAAGCAAATGACAAGGCGAAGATTCTATCTTGCAGACACTGGAGATTGTTACTGGACTTTGCTCCTATGCGTGTTGTCTATTGCTGTTCACAGACGTCGGGAAGTGTTGCACCTTGTGTTGTTCCTACATCAACAGCTCAATTGCGATTCCCTTACCAAGTCAAGCCTTGGTCGCCTCGTACCCACTGCCCCTACAACAGGATCCGCTCACGCAGCAAGGGAAAGCAATTGTCAGCAAAACCAGGCATCAACCTAAAGCCAAGGCGACTCCGTACATCTTGAGTAGGTACAAATTGTGCGATTAAACGGATCTGTTCTTCGTTGGGTGGAGGTTCTCCCAGTTCATACTGGGCTTTGGCAGTCCCATGTAGTCGGTCTCTGTATCACCTTATAATGGAGAATGTTGTAGGGTGATTCTAAAGAAAGGGGGATACGAGTCTGTTTCGTCCGTGTTTAGGGCGTCGGCTTTCGGTGGCCACTTCGTCGGAAGCGGCTGTCGGGCGGTACATCGCGAGCCCACTATGCTTCTCTCTTGTACTACAGCCCTATTGTGTCTACCACGGCCTTTATAACATCGAGGTGAAAGTTGGCTTTTGTCGACGAGTTGTGAATTTGAATTAAGCACCTTCCCATTTTAATTCCGATCGCTTTCTTGTAGCAACGAACATGGGCTCAGCTGGAAAACGGCCAAACTTCCTCGTCATCGTCGCAGATGACCTTGGATTCAGCGACATTGCCCCGTACGGGGGTGAAATCCAGACGCCCAATCTCGAAAGAATGGCCAAAGACGGTATTCGAATGACGAACTTTCATACGGCTTCGGCCTGCTCGCCCACTAGAGCGATGCTCTTTTCGGGAACCGACAATCACATCGCTGGCTTAGGTAGGTCTCGCCATGATTTGCCCTTGTGGTAGGCAAGGCTGACTCCTACTTTGATGGAAAAAGGGCAGATGTCAGAGCACATGCGTGCTTTTGGTGACTATTTTAAAGGGAAGCCAGGGTATGAAGGCTACCTGAATTGGCGAGTTGCTGCTCTGCCTGAGATCTTGCAGGACCAAGGGTATTTCACCGTCTTGTCTGGGAAATGGTAAGCCAACTTTGCCAGGGGCAGATGGGGTTCAATCAATAGGCTACTCATGGCTTTCGATTAATCATCCCCTCTGCTTGCTTTGCTGTCTTTCTACTTATCCCTGGGGATGAATTTGATTCTGAACTTTTGCGCTCTAGGCATCTCGGGCTACCTAAAGATTTGGCGCCGTGCTCACGGGGCTTCAGCAAGAGTTTTGCTTTTTTGCCTGGATCAGGCAACCACTACGGCTACGAGCCCCAGCTCGAGGATGGCGAGATTAAGATTCCTTGTCTCAATACTGATGGCTTTTGGATGGAGGGCGGTCGTTTCATTGACCGCAAAACCGAACTTCCTGCAGACTTTTACTCAACAACATCATTCACCGACAAGCTGATCAAATTCCTCGACGAGCGAGACTCGGAAGAAAAAGCCAAACCCTTTTTCTCATGTCTCACGTTCACAGCACCACATTGGCCACTCCAGGCGCCCCGAGACGTCATTGAAAAGTATGGTAAGTGTGATGTCTCCTAGTCGGGTTTGCGGTGTGTATGCACCTGTGAAGCTGAACTGATGTATACAGCTGGGATGTACGACGACGGGCCAGACGAATTGACCAAGAGGAGAGTGGAAAAAATGATCAAACTTGGTTTGGTCGAGGAAGGCGTCGAGGTCGCCGCTCCGGTCGGCACCCTAGGGAAGGAATGGACGGACATGACCCGTGAGGAGCAGACAATCTCTGCTCGGAAGATGGAGGTCTTTGCGGCAATGGTGGACGTAATTGATCAGAACGTGGGGAAGATGCTCGACTACCTCAAGTCCTCCGGCGAGCTGGATGACACCTTTGTTCTTTTCATGTCGGACAACGGGGCCGAAGGGGCCATGCTGGAAGCTCTTCCGGTAATATGACCCCCTCTTTCGTTAAACCGTGATTCCCAAAAGACTCTGCTAACTGCAGACTCTCTATGCCGTCACAGATGATGGGCGGACCCAAAACAATGGGTGGCATCATTCAAAAGTACTATGACAATCGTCTTGGAAATATCGGAGACAAGACTTCGTTCGTTTGGTACGGTGAGTCAAAGCAGACCATGTCTTCCATCAAATGCATCACATGGATTCTCTCCTGACCGGCAATCCGTTAGGGCCAAGATGGGCATGCGCCGCTACAGCCCCTTCGCGAGGATCTAAATGCATGATCACAGAAGGCGGAATCCGCTGTCCTTGTCTGGTCCGCTACCCCCCTTTCAGAGCCCAAGATGCCGCCATCACGCATGCATTTACCACGGTCATGGATATTTTACCCACGATCCTCGAGCTCGCTCAAGTCCCGCACCCAGGTACCAAATTTCGAGGTCGCGAGGTCGTGCTTCCGCGGGGGAAGTCATGGGTCTCGTATCTGAGCTCTGCATCTGGCCTCGCCACCGGTAGCGTCCATGGTGAAGAGACCCACGTCCACGGCTGGGAGTTGTTCGGCCAACGGGCTATACGAGAAGGAACCTGGAAAGCCGTCTGGATCAACAAGCCTCGCGGAAAGGACGACTGGGAACTTTACAACATTGCCGAAGATCCTGCAGAGCTGCACGACCTATCGGAATCAGAGCCCGAGGTGCTCAAGAGGCTGGTCGACCATTGGGAGGTGTACTTCGCCGAGACTGGCATGATCCAAACTCCGACGTTTGCGGTGACCAAAGCCTAGATGCGCTATCGCTAATGATGCTCCTGCATTCAATATAGTTGTGAAGGTGGCGGGGAGCGTCTTTTCCACTTCGACAGCCGTGCCGGGGCCAGCGGGTCTCCCGAGATCCGACGCCGACGCCGACGCCGACACCGACACCGACAGCCGGCGACCTGCCACTGGCTCTCCGTCCGCCCAGACGACACCTTCTGTACAATCCCAGTGAGTCCATAGTATTAGACACTCAGAAGGCTCGAAGAACGAGCCATGCTCCTTCCAGACCGTTATCTTTGAACACGAAATGTTACTCTCTATTCACTTTTCCTGCACCCTTTCCAGGGCCATTGACATTGATTGATTCTTCCGGATAGGCACACTCGCGCCACCCACCAGAGTTCCGCTCGTGCACCCTGGCACGGCCGCGCAGCTAGCACGCGCAGTGGAGAATCTGCCCCGTTTTCTTCGGCATCATGGAGGAGTCGCCCAGTGTCGTGAGGCCGACTAAGCGTACCTGCTCGATGTGCCGCGCACGCAAAGTTCGATGCGACGACAACGGCTACGACGGCGGTACCTGTGGTAACTGCGCGAGACTGAGACTCTTGTGTTCCTTTTCGGAGGACAGCCAAGCAATCACGGCCACAGAACAACCTCGCAGCTCTTTTCTCGACAGACGCAGGGTTTCCCGGGCGTGTGTCTATTGCCGCTCTCGGAAGACTCGATGCGATGGAGGAAAACCCAGTTGCGAGAGATGTCGCCGTCGGAGTCGTCCATGTATCTACCAGCCTAGTAGGCGATATGGACTAAGTTCGACTGATGCAGAGAATCCCCCTTCATCCCTGCAATTGGAATCTGGATCGTGCGTGGGCGCAGACACTGTGGTCAATGTGTCGGCTGAGGCACAGGGACCTATGCCCTCTCCCGGGAACGCAATTTCTCCCCAAGTTGATAGCGCAGCAGGACCTGATAGATTCAACGATGCATGCATCGATTTGTACGTCTCCCACGTGCTTTTGGCTGCCCTTTGGAATATCGATCGCTAAGTCCAACCCAGACAGCTTCCTTCGGAGGCCACCATGCTTCGTATATTCAACGCGTATTTCACCGACCTAAGCCCAAGCCCTGTCTACTCATTTCTCCACAAAGCAACGGTGATCCAGAGGTACCACGCAGGACTGATGGATCGGCCCTTGTTGTACGCGCTTGTCGGTATAACAACCTTGCTCTCCGACGTCGGTATGGGAATGGAAGGCTATGGCTCCAAGTGCATTGATCTGTGCCAGCAACTGATTCTGAGCGACCTTGACCAGCAGTCCGTCATCAACATTCAGGCCCTGGTATTGGTCATCAAGTACCGGATGATGTCTCGACAATTTGTGAGGGCATTCATGCTACTGTCCCTCGCTGCTCGAATGGCCTACGGCGTCCGCCTCAACTTCGAAAACCCGCGATTGTGCTTCCTGGCCCAAGAATCGCGGCGAAGGCTGATGTGGTCGTTGTTTCTGCTCGACGGGAGCCTTGCTTCGGGTCTCACAGACTTCCAGCTTTTTCGCCCTGGGTCTATTCACGTTCAACTTCCCTGCGACGAGCGACACTTCGAACTCAACCTGGCTCGGAAGACGGAAATGTTGCAGCCGCCCGAGGATGGATCGCCTCCTGATGACATCGGACTTCTGGCATTAAACATTCGCATCTCGTCGTTGCGATACAGGATTCTTCACTTTTTGAAAACATTGGCCATGTCGCAGACCCATGACGCCGAACGGATTCAACGGGAGGTGTACACGCTCCAGGCGGAACTTGACGCGTTCGTCGCGCGCCTACCGTCTTGCTTTGCCTATTCCCGGATCAACCTCCAGTTGTGTGCCTACAGCCCAAGACTGGCGCCCTTCATCATGATCCACATTCTGCGGCATCAGTGCCATTGTGACCTCTACCGCCTTTCGCTTGCAGGCCTCCACGAAGCTCTGCCACAGTCAGTGCTGGAGTGCATGTCACCCGCTTTTCTTTCATTATGTCGAGAAAAGTGTTTTCAACATGCAGAAGCCATGGTAGAAATTTACAATTCGGTCATGTCTCTGAAGACGGGTCTACCTTCAATGGATCTCGACTTTATCGTGTCAGTCTACCAATGCGCCAGGATCTTGTTCTACCTCTTCCGAACAAATGCGCTTCCGTCAGATATCGATGTTGAGCACATCACGAAGCAGGTAAATTCGTGTGCTAAAGCCGTGGCGGCACTAAGCCGTCCGACGGCTGCTGTTTTATCAATTGTAAGTTTACCCAAAGGACGTTGATACGGTTTATTGACTGACGTCCCCTTGAAGCAAAAGGACCTAGACACTCTTTTACAGCGCGGCTTCAGCAACAGGTCCTCTTCAGCAAGCCCCGAGCCCGATGAGGCAGGCCTCGAAAATAAATCCATGGCGGACGTTTCGCGTCGTGTGCTATCAAGACATAGCTACGCCAAAGAAGTGGGTCAAACTGATCACAGTGAGGCCTTGATCCTGCCACAAACCTCGGAAGCTCAGCGGAGGGAATTTCAGGGCAGCCAGAGTACCCCAAGCGAAACACATGTACCTGACAGTACTGGCGCCAATCTTGCACTGCCGAACGAGGCCCTTCAGCTACCTGCCCGAATTTCGGGCGTGGCCAACGACAGGGGTGTCCGGACTGACTTTGATGCTTTTCAAACTGATCTGGAAGGCTTTGGCTATGATCTACAATCGCCAGACCTGGGATTCTCACACGAACCTTGGGGTGACTGGGGTAACAGCCAGTTTATCTACCAAATGCTGGCGAATGATCAATGGTGATCGCTCTGCATCCTCTGACGGACAATTTCCACCCTCGTCGAATTGAAGTCACAGCTGTTAGATCACAATATGTTTTGGCTTGCCACGACACCTCCTGCAGGGGTTTTGTGCCAGCTTTGAAGGCTCCTTGATCGGGTGTGCGCCTTTCACTACCGACTCGTCCTAGCTAGCTGTCTGTTGAAGGGACTGTCATCCGAAAGGACGGGCTCGCTGCCGTCCTGCCGCAACAACGGAACGAGGACAGTTTGGTCTTTCTCTACGTTTCTGGACACGGCATCTTCGAAATGGCCAGCATCACCAGCTCTCAGTAGCAACCAGTGTATCAATACGGGTCTGTCTCTCTAATCTTCCGAGACTGTCATTGAGAGAGACATGAGTAAACCATCTCTAGGTATGACTGCAATCAGTTCGGATGTCTACCATCTCCGCAGCACTGGTGTATCACGAGGTGAATGCGAGAATTTGCGAATCACACTACACGTGGTATGCAAAGCGCCCGACAACATATCATCAATTGTACTTGTACAAGAACTATCGTCGTCACTTAGTGCATCCGCACTTCCGGCCTCGAGTATCGACCGTCCCAAATCTTGGCACGACCAGGCAGATCATTGAAGCTACCATGTACAAGTATACTCGTAGAAAGAGCGTCGATTAGTTAGTTCTTCGATTACCTCTCTGCCGTTCTGCCGCCACTGAGCTGTTGCACCACGTGCTCGACCCTCTGACACGCTGCGTGACAGGACATGTATCTTTCGTCAATCCCAGTCACGGAGCCCTTCAAACCGTTAGACTCCCGGCTATAGCCAGCTCGATGTCATATGTTCAGCGTAGTTGATGAGCAGGCCTCTCGGCGATCGTCGTCGACGTCTTATACATGTCAGAAATCGCGTATAAGGCGCCGTAGAGCTCTCGAGGACCATCCATCCCCTTTGTCACACACCACCCCGAGCCATTCCCATATAATTGAGTGAAGTTACCACGAGGCTGGCATATACGCGATGTTAGCGCCTACAAGACTAGAGCCCGAACGAGCGCCTCGCCGATACGTAAGGGAGTACGGCAGGAGGGGGCTAGAGCCGTAAGAGAGCAGAAGGGAGTGGAAGGGGAGCGCGAAAGAGAGGAAGGGAGTAGAAGAGAGTAGACGAGGGAGCAAAGCGGCGGGGGATGAGTCAGCCGAATGGGTGCGAAGGACGAGTGTTCGGGGATTATATATATATATATATTTAGGTAGATATCTTCGAAGCATATAATAGTAGTTGGTGTGCTTCATGCCTTTAATAGTGAAATGGCTGTCGCCTGGCAAAATGTTTGCTTGTTTTGCCGATGTTTTGCCGACGAGGCTGTGTCGCCAAGCACTAACTCAAACCTTAAAATAGTTGCTTCACGCAATTGGCTGAATGTCGATCTCCAACTTTTTTCCCGTGAAATTTCAGAAAAGCATCTCAACGGCCTCAGTCTTTTATGTCGCAGTCTTTGATATGTCGCTGTCGCCACAAAACCTGTTCCCGAGGGCGTTTCTATCCATGGTGTGGTTCTAAAGATGCAAACAATCGGCGACGATGGCTACCAAAATTCAGCAGAAAACAACCTTTGAGGCTGCCAAAACTATTGAGCCGATTTTCACAGGCGGCGATGTTTCGCACAATGCAAGCGGTTCCTTCATCGCGACCTGCGTTGACGAAGATGTTTTGATTGTCAATGTACAGACGGGCAAGGTGTTCTGTCGTATTGAGGGAGATGGAGAAGCTGTGACGAGTCTGTGTCTGGCTCCCGATTTGTACCATTTGGTGATCGCTTCGCGGTCGCTTTCGTTACGGATCTTCTCGCTCAAACCGCTCGAAGGATCAAACTCAATCACTGCCGAGCTCACACGCACGTTGAAGGCGCACGCCACTCCGGTTGTGTCATCGGTCATCGATGCCACGGGATCACTGCTCGCAACGGGCGGTGCCGAAGGAACGGTGAAGGTATGGGATCTCCGAGGAGGTTATGTCTCGCACACATTTCATGGCCACGGCGGTGTTGTCTCTGCTCTTCAATTCTTCCAATCAGAGTCACCAAGCCCATCAGAAATCAAGACGAGCCGCAAGCGTAAGAGCCGTGGAGAAGACCAAATGGAGGTCGATGATCATGCTCCGTCTCGATCCATCTACCTTGTGTCTGGAGGCGAAGATGGGAAAATCCGCATATGGAATTTAGCTACACGAAAATCTATCGCGACTCTTGACTCCCACGTCAGTGTCGTGCGAAGCCTGAAATATTCCAAAGAGCAACAGTTGCTCTTGTCGGCGAGCCGTGACCGGACAATAATTCTCTGGGACGGCCGGACGTGGGGGCAGCAAAGAGTTATTCCAGCCTTGGAAGTGCTGGAAACTGCCGGTTTTCTGCTGGAAGGTCGATTTTGCTACGCTGGAGGGGAACACGGAGCTGTTAGAATCTGGAACACCACCACAGGCCGCGAAGTCACTTCCAAGCAGAAACCCGGACTTGAGAATGACGCTATCACTGCCATTGTCCCAATAGTCGAGGATGACGCCCTTCTGTCTATCCATCAAGATCAAACCATGAGGTTGCAGGGCATTTCTGCTCTGCGCAGTCTCCAAACGTCTGAGTCGCTGGGGGCTTTACCGCTGCTTCGGACAATCTCTGGAAACTACGATGAAGTCATCGACATGGCCTGTGTCGGCCCTGACAGGACACTGTTGGCACTTGCCACCAACACGGAGAGTCTCAAACTGATCTCGATTCGAGAGAATGGTAAATCAACGAACTCTAAGTCTCTAGAAGGCATCGAGTCTTTCGGAAACGATGTTGCATTGCTTGAGGGCCATGAAGACATCATCATCTGCTTGGATGTCGATTGGTCAGGCCATTGGGTAGCGACTGGTGCGAAGGATAACACCGCAAGGTTGTGGCGATTAGACCCTGCTTCATCATCTTATGAATGCTTTGCAGTCTTCGCTGGACATGCAGAGTCCTTGGGGGCCATCGCCCTCCCCAGAAGCCCACCGACGGATGGCCCAGCCTTGAAGAATCCAGCATTACACCCGCCTGCATTCCTGTTGACGGGTTCGCAAGACAAGACCATCAAACGATGGGACACAGGGAGACTGAAGTACGACCAGGCAGCAACAGAACCACAAACCGGCACAAAAGCCCTGTTCACTCGAGTTGCGCACGACAAGGACATCAATGCAATGGATGTATCGCCCATCGCACCACTGTTTGCGTCAGCATCTCAAGATCGCACCATCAAGGTGTGGTCTTTGGAAGATGGCTCGGTGACGGCCGTCCTGCGCGGCCACAAGCGAGGCGTCTGGTCTGTCCGCTTCTCTCCGGCGGGAACTCCTCCACTTTCTCTGCCAGACGGAGGATCAAGTGGTGCGCGCGGACTGCTGGTGAGCGGCTCAGGCGACCGAACAGTCAAAGTATGGTCCCTTTCGACTTATACCTGTCTCCAAACGTTCGAGGGGCACAGCAATTCCGTGTTGAAGGTTGTTTGGATCCCACCCACTGATCCCAAAAGCAACGATGACGACGCTGAAGAAGATGCCCGTCCTTCTCAAACACAGTCAAACAATCCGCCTCTGGTCGCATCCGCGTCCTCTGACACGCTGGTCAAAATCTGGTCCCCATACTCGGCCGCCGACTCCGACCATCTCCTGACTACCCTCGACAACCACACCGACCGCGTGTGGGCCCTTGTCGCGCCAAACTCGTATCCGCATACATCGTCCTCTTCGAGCAAAAAGCAGCGCAAGTCGCAGCGTCAACCCTATCCCTACTCACTGATATCGGGCGCCGGCGACGCAACCTTAACATTCTGGCGCGACACCACCCTGCAAACCACATTACAGGCGTCTCAACGCGCAACCGAGCGGATCGAACAAGACCAACTCCTCCAGAACCACATCCTCGGCAAGAACTACCGTGAGGCCATCACCCTGTCTCTGGCGCTGGGCCACCCAGGTCGCCTGCTGCGTGTTTTTGAGGATGTCGTCAATTCCTCCGAGTCCCGGAAGGAAAGCGCCGAGAATGAACGTGACGATAACAGCACCGGGAGTAGCATAACGGGCTCGAAGGCGGTGGACGAGGTCCTCGCCTCCCTCGACCGGACGCAACTGTGGCAGTTACTGGAGCACGTGCGCGACTGGAACACCAATGCACGCACGGCCCCCGTCGCGCAGCGGATCCTCAACTGCCTGCTACGGTCGTACCCGAGAGACGTGTTCGTCGCGATGGCCCGGGACAAGAAGAAGCAGCTCGGCGCCGCCGCCGTCCTGAGCAGCGACGTCCGTGGACGAAAAGCCGGGAGAGGCGCTGGCGGCATGAAGGAGCTCTTGAGAGCCCTAGAGGTCTACACGGAAAGACATTACAAGAGGATGGAGGAGTTGGTCGACGAGAGCTACCTGATCGAGTACACGCTCCGGGAGATGGATGAGGTTGCTGGCGTCTCGGCCGCGGGTGGTGGTGCACTGAATGGGTCGCTACTCACCAACGGGCACGACGAGGTGCAGGGGAAGGGAATAGATGGAGATATTGTCATGGTATGATTCGAGAGGACCATGTAGTTGTTTGATTGTTCGTACGTTTGAGGGAAAAGGTCATTTACGGACAACTATTTTATGTCGGTTCGTCAACCTATGACTGGTTGCTCTTCCCTCCCATTTCCTTTCCGAAATCATCTGTTCCGATGGCGGCGATCGCTATGTCTTTCCCTGTACCTATCTCTGTCTTTATCTCTGTCCCTATCCCGGTCACGGTCACGGTCCCGGTCCCCATGACTTCGATGGGACGAACTGGAATCGTATCTATCTTCGTCTCGATGACGCTCCTGATGTTTGGCTCGCCGTCGACTATCGTGCTCATCTGGATCCTCCTTGTCTTGCCTTCGGTCCCGTGACCTGTCTTCATCACGTCTTGGTCGCACGCTTTCATAATTTCTGTCATCTCTGTCCCTATTCGAACGGGAATCTTCGCGCCCGTCTCGGCCTCGCCTGGAAGAGTTGGGGCGAGAGAATGAATTCATCTGCTCTCGGAAGTCGTCATCTCCATTTCTCTGCGAGTCCTTGTCTCGATGTCGATCCCGACCACTAATCTCCAGATTGCGATCTCTGCGCTGTTTCCAATCTTCCTCCTGTTTGGCATTCCGCGACTCTTTTAACCTTTTCTGGAACTCGTCCTCCGAGATGCGTTCACCGGTGGCCTTATTCTCTCGCATCAGAGGCGTGAAGAATCCCTCTCCTTTTGTATTCTTACGCATGTCAGCTTTACCCCATGCGCCTAATTCGATATCAGATCCAGGGGCTGCCTTTGCGCCAATTCCCAAGAAGCCTTCCTGTTTGCGGAGTTTCCGTGGATTGTTATCATTTTTCGAAGTCAGGTCAATAAGCTCTCCGTTGGCACGGCGTTTTTGGCCCATGCCTCTCAGCATAGCCATGCCAAACTCCTCTACGGGCATGGCGGCGTACTCTTCGAGGGTGCTTGAATCCGGCCTAGAAGCGACATCGTCCCTGAAATCTTGTGTCTCGTCTTGGGGTGAAAGCCGCATGTTTTGCTGTATTGATATGACAGCATTTGACCTCGGTTTGCCGGAACCATCGTCTAATAGTGCCTGCAAGGCTTCCTCATCCGCTGTGAGTTGCTTCGGCTGTTCAGCTGGATGTTGCTCCTGCGCCTGCTGATGGCCATTCGTCTGGTATCCTCTATCCTCCTCGTTCTTGCTTGCGAACTGGAGCCCACTAGCTGTGCTGACTTCGTCTCGCTCTACCATGACAGCGCCACCATTCTGCTGTTGTGCTTGGACTTCCGCAGGAAGTAAATTTTTTCGCCCATGTCTGCGCCAGTCGGCATTCCCGGCATTCGCTATCACCTTCACTTGTGAGTCCTGTAAGGGTTGACTTAGAATAGCACCATTTGACGAGAAGCCAGAGACTGACTCGTGTCTTGGCTCATCTTCATCTTCGTTGTCCGAGTCGTGATGGAGAGCGGTTCGCGAGGGCCGGCTCTTCGACGCCACGGAGGATTTGAGGGAAGTGGTTCCTACCACAGGGGAATCTGCGGCAGGTTTTGGCTTGCCAAAGCCGAAGGAGATTGGCTTCGACATCGCCGCAGGATTGAGGACGTAAAAACTTGGCCAACCTTCCTTCAGGCGACAACACCGCAGAAGTTCGAGGTCTGGGGAAGTGCCTCGGCAAACCTTCCTCATACCCTTGAACTGCCAAGACCTCTATATCAGGTTCCACAGGCTGCGGTGACGGCCAGGGCGATCCCGTCTCTCGACTTGCCCTTGTGCTTGTTTTGAAGGACGCGTGGGCAGGACTTTTCTTGCCAAACTGCATCTGACCAAAGTCGACTGGACACATTCAACTACCCTCCGCAGTTTGCCTCACCGGTCGCTCGTTCCACGCGCGTTCTGCTGATTCATGTTTCCCCACCTTCACAAAAGCTGTTGAGCGCCGCCGCTCAACTTTCAACGTCAACCCTTCTCGCGTGGCTTCAAACCAAGATGGCGGAGTCCGACGGATCCACCACTGCTGCGCTTCTCAAGCAAATGGAGGATATACGCAGTCTCTCGGTGTGCAAGATCTGCATGAGATCCCTCTACGAGCCGTTTATTCTCTCATGTGGTCACACGTACTGCTACACGTGCCTTACCAGCTGGTTTGGTGAAAAGCTCGTCAGGAAGGGCCAAGGCAACAAGAGAAACTGCCCAGACTGCAGGACCAAAATCAGAGTACAACCGTCTCCCAATTACCTCCTCCGAGATCTTGTCCACATGTTGATTAGCCGAGCCGACTTGCTACCTGAAGATGAGAGTGTACAGGACCACCAGCTAGCCAAGGAAGAAGAGGCGGCTTCCCTCGCAGCAGATCGGAAGGGACCTGGCATTTTCAAAGGCATTTTCGAGAAGAAAGAACAGCGCGCAGGCATTTGGGCTCGAGGTCTTAGAGATGAAGAAGACAATGTCGTCCGTTGCCCTGATTGTCACTGGGAACTCGAAAATGGTGAATGCGGACGCTGTGGCTTCCTTGAAGACATGTATAATTCGGCTAGCCCATTCGAGTCCGATGTCGGCACGGATATGTTATCTGCTTCGGACTACGATTCGGCGGATACCCAATACCTACGGCTCGTGCGTTCGAATCTAATGGATTATGATGATATCGAGAGCGAACTCCCGTCAAGTGAAATTGACGAGGAGGAAGACTATGGCGAGGATGATGACATGGATGGATTCATCGACGATGAAGCCGACGAGGATCACGATGACGCAAGTAGTCAGTCTACAATGACTATCTACAACCGACAATGGGCAGGAGATGCAAGACTTGCGAGTGCGCTCGATACTGCAAGTGAACAGTCTGCTGGTGATGATAATCATCACGGTGTGAGATATCCGGACGTTGTTCGGCGTGCAGAAAGTGGTCCTTGGGCAATGTCCGACGCTGAGACGAACTACGATGAAGTGACAGAGGCCTCTGACGACGAGCCCGCCGAGACACCACCAAATTGGCGAAGACCAAGAGCAGCGCGGATTGTCTTGAGTGACGACGATGATGATGAGGATGTGGAAGAAGAGGGACGGGATGTTGCTGATCAGGAACCTGAGGATGGAGATGATGGAGATGATGAAGATGAGGAAGACGAGCTTGACGAACAGTTTCCATCAGAACACTCGGAAACTGAGGCCAGTCAGGATCACTCCGAGTCGGAAGATTCGGATGTACGGCCACCCCAGCCATCGGTTCGACGGAGACAACACTTGCAGAGTCAGCGCGCACGACGAACCGGCGGCCATAGCCATCAACCCTACATGGTGGGAGACCAAAGACAAACTAGCCCAGTCCGGCAACACTTTCGCACACGTCCAAGAAGCAACATGCCTCAAAATCGCACCTCAGGACGACCGAACGGCTACCTGCAACCTTTCGGAAGACTGGGGCTTGGTCGGCGAATACCAGTCGGAGACATGATAACCCACCCTCTGTGACAAGATTTGAGTTTCGGTGGCCGGCGACGCGGTCTGAACAATCGATTCCAGCATGGCGTCTTGCAAGAAAAAGGGCTTTTTGTGTGGTTTTTGTGTGGGATGGTTAGAAATTCCGGGCGACCGCCGTTTCGTTGTCACAGGTATGGGAAACAGGCAGACGGGACTGGTATGTGAACCAGCGAGATGTGTATCCCATGAGTGGCCGGCGCATTTCGACAGTAGAACGTGCTACAATGCACTTTTCAATGCCGTTTGAATGAAAAGAACCCAATCTTCTGCGCTTCGAGCCGGTTGAATAAAAAATCCTTTCTACGCCGACGCTATGCACAAGGTAATAATCAATTGAGTTGCCCCTTTCATTCTCCCCTGTTGCACATTCAAGCAGCGAGAACCTGTTTGCTAGTGTCATACTCCATATCCACAATGCCGTCTTTCTTCACCACTTTCACCGTCATGCCCTTGAAGTCGATGGGTAGACGTCGCTGTAGTTCGTCCGTGCACATGCGCAGGATCTTCATGCCTTGTTCGAAGGAAATGTCTGGGTGGTGGTGTTTGTCGAGAATGGAGAGGCAGTAATACCTTGAATCACCTTTGTCAGTTCGATCGGTTCGCTCTCCATGATCCATGACATCAAGAATCGCTAAAGGGCAACTCACTGGGCATATCCGTGACACGCGTACGGCACCTTCACACTACTCGCAAGGTAATCCAACCAATAAAGACTTGGCTCTCTCGTGATCGGGTCGACACCCCCGAGTAACAAGTTCACCGTGTATGGTTTCCTGCTCCTCAAACTCCGCGCCAACTCTCCTCTCACAAAGCTGGCCACCGCGGAAGGACCTAGATCCGTCTCATTGCGCATTGAGTAGAGTGCAACATTCGCTTGGATGAATTCTGCGAACTGTACAGTGTCCCCCGCTTCGCCAGAGAAGGCCAGAAGGGTGTGTTTGTTGAGTTGGCGTGTTTTGTCGTCGCTAGACTTGAGGATCGTGGCGCCGCGCATGGCAGCTTTGGATGCGGCGATGATGGTGAAGTCCCGGCCGGTGAGACCGATGAGAACCTCCCTGAAGAAGTGTTGTTAGATACTTGGCTTGAATGCTGCCGGGGTGAACATGGCCTCACATTTTGATTGCAGAATTGAGGTGGTAAGAGTGGCAGTATGTAGCGACAGAGGACCTCGAATCAACACTCCTCAGAACCCTGTGTTTTCAGGGTGGTGCTCAGTATTAGTAGGCTGTTCTCGGTGACTCGATTGCGGACTGAAATTGGGAGTACGAGGTCAATTGCTCGAACACGCACGCGAAGCTCTGCCTTGAGGACACAAGGCTGGGCTTGTCGTCTCTCTTAGGAAGGTGCGGCGAATGAAATTTTCCGACAAGGCTGCGCTAGGAAACTGCAGATTTGCCCGCATCTCAAAAAAGTTTTTGGAGACAATATCTCGCTGCAATTGATTGCCAGCCTACTCTGGTGACAATCAAGTTGCGAAGACACCCCCAAATGTCTTCCTTCTTCACGCTTCCTGCATCTCAGCGGAAGCGAAAACGAGACAATCCTGTCGGGGGCAAAGCGAGGAAAAGGCGAGAAGTCGAAAATGCCGACCGAGTACCAGAGCAGCCAGACGACCAACCTCGTCGGAAAGGGAGAAACCCTCGAGATCGAGATCGACAGCGAGACGAGTCAATATCTGGGAGCGAGTCTGAAGACGAGATTCAACCAGAAAGTGATGTGGAAGAGTCAGAAGGGACTTCTGAAGAGGAAGAGACTGCCGCCGAACGACGAGTTAGGCTTGCACAACGATACCTGGACAACATTAGGCAAGAAATAGACGAAAATGGATTTGATGCCGAAGATCTTGACAAGGACTTGATCGCGAAACGGCTGAAAGAGGACGTTGACGAGGCAAAGGGTAGACAATATCGGCTGATTGCCCAGAATCTGGATTTTGCGAATGCTACTCACACGGCATTTCGTGCGGACACCGAATCAACAACTGGCGTGGCAGTTTGCCAACCTTACGTGTACACCGTGAGCAAGGACAAGACGCTGATCAAATGGCAACTTCAAGAACCGAGCACCTCAGATGGGCCAAAATCAAGAGCTGGAGTTCGACGACGGCCGAAACAATTGGCATTTGTTCGAGGCATTAAAATCAGGGCATTGGCGTCTCAGCAGCATGGCCATACCGCACGGATTCTCTCGGTCGCAGCCTCGCCAGACGGGAAATTCGTGGCTACGGGAGGAGCGGATAAGAAACTCATAATTTGGTCAGCAGAAGACCTGCGGCCGTTGAAGACATTCACTACGCACAGAGACGGAGTGACCGGACTCGCATTTGCACCAAACTCGGCTGGTGGAGGCGGCTTCGGCCAACAACTGTTCAGTGCAAGCATGGATCGCTCCTTGAAAACCTACAGCTTGGCTGGTGAGCATAGTCTTGCCTACGTGGAAACACTGTTCGGCCACCAAGACCATATTGTCGATGTCTCCGCCGTGTCTGTCGATCAGTGCGTGACAGTGGGCGCTCGAGATCGAAAGGCCATGTGGTGGAAGGTTGTGGATGAATCCCTCACTAAGTTTTTGGGCGACAGTTCCAGAAACGACAACTATCAGATTGGTAGTCTGGATTGCGTGGCTGCCTTACCACCACAGAACTTTGTGACTGGTTCTGACGCGGGCACCATCAGTCTCTGGAATATTCACAAAAAGAAGGCTGTTTTCACCATCCAGACCGCACATGGTGTTGAAGAGCCGCCGCCACTTGAAGAGGTGACCTCCGAAGCAGACCCGAAGGTCATCGAGGCATTGAAAAAGGATGATAAGCGACGACCAATACCCCGGGGTATCACTGCTTTGGCTGCTTTGCCTGGCACTGATGTGGTTTTCAGTGGGAGTTGGGATGGTTGGATTCGTGCATGGAAATTGAGTGATGACAAAAAAGCACTTTTACCTCTTGGGACCGTGGGGAAGGCCGAAGAGACGGCCGAGAAGCGAAATGGGGTGGTCAACGGGGAGTCAGACCATGGGCACGGGCAAGTGAACGGCGGCACCGACACGGCCGAGCATGGAGGGCCTGTATCAGTGCCTGCATCATCGGGCCCAGTGCGTGGCTTTATCAATTCTTTGGCGGTATTTGAGCGAAGAAGACTGATCACCAACGAATTCGGAGGCAAGAAGGAAGGTGACTGTCAGGGTCTGTGCATCGTGGCTGGAACTGGCAAGGAGATGAGACTGGGGCGGTGGAAGAAACTGCGTGAAGGGCGAAATGGCGCCATAGTGTTCGAAGTACCGGTGAGGTTGAAGTAGTCAGAATAAAGGCAAGAGCTCAGCTGTCGATAGCAGACACCTTCGGCCAGGTCAATCAATCCATAGTCGTCCTCGTAATAACCATTATCAAGTCTGAAAGGAGACGAGGTGCGGGTCCACGTGACTGTATCTTGGCACGGGCCACGCTACAAATTCTTCACGTCGACTTTCACATTTTGGTCTTTTTCTTTCTTCTCTCTTCAGATCAAAAAAAGCAACAGAGCCAGCCACGACCGTCGTTTCGTCCTATTCTACAGCGATGTGTTGCCATGAGCTCTTCGTAAGCTCGATGGCTCTGGAGAATAATCTCTTTTCCTTGTAGGAAGTTTCCTTCTCGTTGGGTCCTCTTCGGTGAGGGCGATGAGTTTGAAATGTCGACTTGATAGGAAACATCTTTCCCATATGACCCCTCCTCCAATTCCTGATCTGCCCTGACAGGGTAAGGTCGCCACTTGAATGATTTGATCGAATCCAGACTGCACAGTCAGGAGTGGCTCAAGCTGGACATTTCTGAGCTTTGAATGATTCCAGCCCCCTCCGCAGCTGCTCTTGGTGCTCGTAGCAACCAGAATCACATATCATGTGCAGGCCACAAGAATTTTGCAATTTCAGGCCTGAATTCTCGAGAAATGTCATGGAGCGTGCGCTACATTCCCTCCTTCTCTGCGAATGAGGTGATTTGTTGTTGGACCGGTTGTTTTGCATTCCAGAGACATCGTTATGTGGACCACACTGCCCTCGCCGCACGGTGATCCTGCTCAAGGTAAATATCATGCGCAATAGTACAACGTTCTCTTCTGGTTTCCTTTTCTCCTCGACAGCCTCGTTTCCTTTTCCGAGATTCATTACACTCGTTTGAAAGTGTCTTATTTGTTTCTCTCATCGTCACTCATTTGGAACATTGATTTTTCAACTTCTTGCCTTCGCTCGATCGTGGCACGCAGATTCTACAACCAACAAATCCATCCATCGCAAACTGCCCGAAATGAAGCGATCGACGCGCACCTACATGACGTTGGCGGCACTCCTGCTTGCCGCAGCCAACGCGCAGACAACCACAGTGGTCAATGACGCTGCGGACACTGCTGCGACTACCGTATACTATTCTGTCTGTCCAACTGCCTTGACCACCACCACGACCTTGTCCAGCACTATCACTTTCTGCCCGGGTCCCAACTGCAACGGCGGTGGTGCTGTGATCACGCCTCCTCCCACTGGCCCATCAGGCACTGAAATCCTTTCTTACACTACCACTCTTCCGAATGGGGACGTCGAGGAGATCCACGAGTACCTCACGATCTACCACCAGATTTGCAGCAGCGGCCAGTCAATTGGACAAGCCACTTACACCATCACAGAGGCCTGTCCTTGTGAAGCGACCAGGAACCCAACCTCCATTCCCGAAGGCTTCACTACTACCGTCATGTCTTGCGATGTTTGCCACAATGGCGGAGCCACCACCATGACTATCACTACACCATGCTCAACCGGTCCGTATGCCACTCAGACCCCTGTTATTGGTCCTACCGGCGGTGCCGCTGCTCAAGCACAAGCGGAAGCAAGTGCAGGAGCTAACGCGGAGGCTGGGGCTGGTGGCTCGGGAGGTGCCATTGCAAATGCTGCCGCCGGTGCAAGTGCCAACGCTGAGGCTTCCTCTGGCAACTCTGCGGCCGGTGCAAATTCTGCTTCAGGCGCCAACGCTGCTGCTGGTGCCGGTAATAACGGATCCGAAGCTGAAGCCAGTGCTGCCGCAAGCGCAGCTGCCAGTGCCGCCGCCACCGCGGAAGCTGGATCTGGTGGAATCAACAGTGGCACCATGTACAGCAATGGCACTGGCAGTAACAGCTCCATTTCACCTCCCATCACGCCTGTTGTCCCCGGCGGTGCCTCCGGCGCGGGCGCCAACAATGCTAAGTTTACAGGTTCTGCCGATAGATTGGGCTATACTGTTTCTGGAGTGTTCGCTGTTGTGATGGGATGTCTAGCGTTCGTGCTGTGATGCTGGTGAGGAGGAGGAACGACACACACTTGAAGGAGAGGGTGGCAAGATATCTCTGCTGGGTGCGTGGAGGGACTCTGTCGTGGGTTGAGGGGGGGGAAGCACGTCTCTTGTTTATCCGGGACATATTGCAATGTATGGACGGCGTCGCACTGAATACTGACCATTCAACGCGGCTGGGGTGGTTTTATGGGACGGGGGAGTGGGCATGGGCATACAGGGCATTCAAGAGTGGCTGTTGCGGTCGTGGTGGTCACACTCACACTGTGTATGTAGTGTGCAGCTGAAGAATGCAGTGCTTTTTGCTGTGAGGGTCGTCGAAGTCATTTGCCTCGAATCAATTAACATTTGCTTGAAAAAACAAATCCTCCCTGGATCTGCCGGATTGCCTCGTCGTCTCATGATGATGATACTCAAACACTGTATACACCAAGACCGAACAAAGTCTGAGCCCACACATGTTGCGCCGTCAGGGTACTGTTGCACACCTCTGCTTTGTTTCCCAGTGACACCGCAGAAAAAGGACCACTGAAATCAATACTTCTTGACCGCTCTTTCTTTTCTCTCTTTTTTGGCCACCAGAAGACCCATATATGCTGGCACTAACTTCGCAGTAGAAGCACTGAGCCATCTGGGAGATGACGGTTCTCAATCCAAGCTGTGACCGCCTGTGCGAACAGTTGCGGAAACTGCAGATGCCAAGTGTGAACGCCCCCGCGGATCATGGCCGCCTTGCTCTCGGGACATCCTTCTCTCAGCAGCTCGGCCATCCTGCGCGTCGCCTGCACGTCGTCGTGGACTTGACCGGCCACGGTCAAAGTTCGCACGCGCACCAGGGCCAGATCTCTCTCGGAGAATTCGGCGATGCTTCTGAACCCGTCCGTCAGGAGCTGTCTGCTGAAGTTGCTCTTCTCCTGCTCCCGCAACCCGTCGGGCTTGTGCACCCCGAGCCACCGACAGATCGCCCTGTCGACCCAGTTGTACTTGGAAATTGGGGCTTGGAGGCAGTACAAGGTGGTCGGGTGCTCGGCGAACCATTTCCGGTACCCAGCGAATGGGGCCGCGCCAGTGACGAACAGGCTTTCGACCACCAAGGGGTGTCGCTTCGCCAGCTCCAGAGCGACGAACCCGCCGACGGACGCGCCCACCACGTGGGCACGGCGATGTCGAGCCTGCTCTCGTATCACTTGAGCGACGTGGTTGGCGGCGTTCGCAAGTGTGAATGGCAGGATGTGAGATGACTCCGAGTGGCCTGGGAGGTCAACGGCGAGGACGTGATAGCCGTGAAGGCTCGAGTGTTCGAATACGTACGTGAACTCGTTGAGGTTGGAGCAAAGGCCATGCAAAAAGATGATGCTAGGACCGGCGTTGCGATTGAATGAAACGTAGAAGAGGGTCGTTTTAGAGTCGCTCGCCATGGTTCGATCAGTTGTCAAAACTGGATTTGCCTCCTGTTCGAGGCTGACCTTGGGCCTAGCTCAGAACTTAAGGTAGTGGTATCTGAGCCCGTTTGAGATCTATAGTAGTAGGCGTTGAGTAAAGTTGAGGTTGTCGTTGCAGTGGTAATAGGCGCCCGTGATTCCTGTGTACCAAATAGGTTGTAATTGCTGAGATTCACGAGCCAATAAATTTCGTACGAATAGACACTAGTACAATTTCGGGGTTCTCTCCAAGGCCGGCTAGTCCCCCTTGAGCGAAATTTGTGATGCCTTTTGTCGAGAGCACTTTGCACCCACCATCCGGACTGACCTAAGTCGAGGTCGAAGCCATCCGTCGTCCTACTTCCCACACACGCACACCCCAGTTCCCTCAGAGTTCTTGTAGTATACTATAGTACCAACAAGTTGTTGGCTTACAGAGAGGGCTTGTAAGAGACTGATAGGAGTAAGCAGAATATACTACATACCACTAGTACTCTAGTACCATCTATCTCTCTGTGTATAATGGGGTAACCTCACCATCGGGAAGCCCCCCTCCCAAACAGGACCCAAACGAAGTGACTGAGAGGGAGGGAACATTGTTACCTGACATGAATTCTGCATCAGAGGCGATTCAGGTCGGTCTAGGATTTACGAGTCTGATTTGGTCCGAGATGGTTCAGAACGCGCTATGACTCTCAGTCCGGTACTTACAAGCACCACGTCCTGGCGAAGAGATGCTTTGGGAGTGAGTATTGGCACAGAAGACATTCTTCAAAGATGCTACATAGTATGCTACAGCGATTGGGTACTTCTTTGCGCTCTTCCAACATGAAGAGTGCGCGAAGGTCAGGGTGCCAACTCCTACTTGATGGTTATCTGCCCCCCTACCTTTTCTTCATACGGCCTGATGTGTCTTGGCAGCTGAAGTCGCATGCGAAAAGCGTGCGGACTGCCTCTAGCCCTTGCTGCTGTAGCTTTGTCGCTGCGCCCAGCGTGTTGCTTTCCTCCAAACGACGGAAAGGGTGCCTTGCTTCGGTCGTCTGGGCGAAATGAAATATCTCACGCGAGAAAGGGAAAAAGACTTGATGAAATTCGAGACTGGTTCGGGACGCCGCTCGCATTGAGCCAGGGCAAGGGTGCTCACGGGCCGAAGAAGCTTCAAAGGCAGAACCCGACTGTCAATGACCCGGTACGAGAATGAATACTATAGTGGCCAACTGTACATGTTCGATACCGCATGCGTACAGCATCAACACCCCATCAGCGTATCGAGCACAAGCGAGCAGGGTTGTGACTGAAAGTTTCGAAGAATTCATGAAACATTCCGGACCCGTAAAGAACGTTAATCTTCTTAAAAGATTCGATTCTTCCTGAGGGCGCCAAGCGACTAGTTTTCTAGCGTTTCTCTAATAAATTAGTCGATCGATTCTCCTCAAGAGAGCCAGATTTTGACTGAGACTATATTCAATGACTCAGCGTTACCGTCTAGATTAATGCCTAACATAATCTACCACTGCTGAGTACCTAGTGCCTAGTGTCTAGCGCCAAGTGCCCTGAGTGCCCTGAGTGCCCTGAGCGCTCACAACCACTAGTTGATGTAACTGAGTCGGCCTTTATAGTAGATACTCTAGTTGTGAAGGTGTTAGATATGGTCGAGTTTACGCGTCGTAGTTATATTCGTATAGCGTGGTAAACTCGCGTTATATGAGAGAAATAAGGTGCTTTTAGCGCCTACGACTAGTTATGTTTCCCATACAAATTGCGAGCCGCTAGTATTTTAGCGTTCATTTTGAGCGCGTTAGGGGCCGCGAACGTTCGTCACATTGACAAAATTTCGGGTACCAATACGTTCATTCTTACGTCTGAGAATAGATTTCACGTATTTTACCAACCCTGCAAGCGAGTCGACGTCCCACCGCGGTCGATGCCAGTGACAATGGGCCGTTCAGATTGCCGGAAGTCGCCTACGGCAAAGGAATCTGGTCACAGCTCTCGCCTTGAAGTCCATAGGGTCGGTCTCTTCCTTTTGAATCATCGTCCCTGTAGAACTCGATAATAGCAACCCACTTGTGACTGGGTTGCTGGTGGTCCTCGGGGAGAGAAGTATTTTTAATCCCTCGATGTCTTGGGCGGATCCTTATACAGCATCGGTATTGAAAGGCTAGAGAGAAGGGCATAAGACCACTGCCCGGCGCCATCATGTAGAGAAGATGCCACGTACATTGTGTATATATGCGTATGTATTGTACGCACTATTTGTGGAAAGGAGAGCAGTCTGGTTTTTAAGGACCTTTTTTCTCATTGGAGAAGGCGATGGAGACAGCCCCCATCACCTCTCAGAGGGATTTGATTTGACTAGGCTAATAGCTATATAGAGATGGATGCACGAGGACTCTTGTCCACGGCTCAAAGAGCCCAGCCTTCCTCGGAAGGTCTGGGACAACTGCTCGAAGGCAGTGAGGTATAATAGTATGTGAGGTGTCGCAACAAAGGAGAATTCCGCTGGAGACAGCAGCGAAGTCGATGATAGTAGTGGATGACGTTGGGGGTATCTTCTCGCTCGGTCAACAATAGTAGTTCCAGAAAACAACAGACAAACCCGAAAGAAGAAAAAAACACCCTGAACTGGTGATCATGTCGTCATCCCTGACTTCAGTCAGATGATGTAGTAGTTGTAGGTCAAGAAGGTCAAATGCTCCGGTCGCTAAATGCAGAACAAAGGCTGGTGGTGATGATGATGATTGATGCTCCCAGGGCTGATGCAAGGTGGTATAGTTTGTATGTAGGTAGTAGTGCAACAAGTGGTGAATGATGGATGATTTTGAGAAAGGAGAATTGCCGCGAGGCAACATCTTGGTATGAGAGTCGTCAGTCATGAGGTATTCACAGAGAGTTTGATTTGGCAAAGGAAGGGGAGAATCGTAGTAGATATTCGGCCGAAGATTCAGATCCGGCAGGTATCGTTCTTCTTCATGGCTTTGGCCAGCATCAGCTTTCTCATCCACTCGATGCGCTCTTTGGAGCTGTCGACGGCAAAGTGGTGAGACTTCTGGCCTTTGTCGAAAATCCTCCTGTTTACCTTTTCGTTGTCCGGGATCAGGGAGAAGGCGAAAGTTTGGTCGCCCGCAGGGCTCCTGCCCTGACCGAGGAGGCTCTTCTTGAAGGCAGCGCTGAGCTTCGAACTCGAGGCTTGAGCATAGGCGTGCAGGGTGTACTCGTCCACGTCAATGTCCTCTAGAGCATTGGCGTTGGCGTAGTGGGTGTCGTGCATCGTTAACTTGTTGCCGACCAGCGTACAGTAGTTGTCTTGCCACTCGTGCCGGAGCATGCGGGTGGTCTTGCGCTTCCGCATCCAGCCTTGGTGGTGGGCGAGTTCAATCTCGGTCCGTCGGACGGAGGGGCGAGGCACAAGTGTATCGTTCTCCTTGACGGGAGCCACGGAGGGCGTGAAAGACTGCTGGCGATGGTGGCGCCGAGGGACAGGTTGAGTTGACATGCAGCGCTGGATAGGTTCGGGCGGGCTGATTGTCACGGCACCAGCGCCATATCGCATCTCAGGGGGCACGGATTGGGAGACGTCACGTTGGCAAGGATCCGCAGCCATGGCAGTAACGGGAATATCCGTTGCCGACATAGGGGTGTCGATACGGTAGATGTCAGCTGGGGACGCAACCCCGCCATAGTGGTATGGATCTCGCTGCAACTGAGCCTTGAGTTGAGCTTGGATCTGAGTGGGTTGTTGGAGGGCGGAGATGGGAGTCCTCGACGGAAGTTCGTCTTGAGCTTGTCCCACAGGGATCGTGAGCTTGGGGAGCCCCCGCAGGTGCTCGGCGAGGTGAGCGGACTTGACGGCAAATGAAGCGGAGGCGGCAGGAGGCGGCGACGGGTTACTCGAGTGCGATGGGCTGTGGACATGTTGGAAGTTGAGGAATTGTCGGACGCTCTCTTGCGGATCGCGGGGCTGGACGCCGCTTAGTGTCTCGGCGGTGATCTTCACAGAAGAGGGTCCAAGGACGTCCGACGAACCCACGACCGACGGCAAGGCTTCGGATCGGGCCTCAGACACAGGCCGGCGTGCGTCATCTTCCCATGCACGCTGCATACGAAGAATCCTCCGTTGTTGTTTCTGCCACTTGGGGCAGTCTTCGCCTTTGGAGCACTTGTGCTCTTTGGGGAGTACCTGTTCAATGCCAACAATGGAGACGGATTCTGCCGGGGTGACGACATCGGGCTGGCGAGCCCGTCTCCGGGACCGAGACCGATCGACGACGACGTGGCATTCTTCTGGGCGTGCAGCCCGTTGCACAGCTCTGGGACTTCTGGTGTTTCTCGAAGGCGTCCGTGAGAGGGGCGTTTCTAGGGAAATCATGCTGCTGTTGCGGAGTTGGTGGATGGAGCTCATGACTCTATGGCATTTTCCAAAGGAGCTGATGTCGAGTTCCTTGAGATCCTCGAATTGCAAGTCGATCAAGACACTGCCGGAGATGTCGTGGATGAGGAACTTTTCCACGACCGTCTGCTCGAAGCCCGCCTCGGCCATCCAGTCAGCCACTTGTCGAGGAGTCCATGTTCGAACCTGGGACTCGTCGAGTTCTGCGACTGCAGTGTTAAGAGCGTTGATGGGCTTTGCTGGGGTCTTGGGCTCGACAACCGGGGACATGTTGAGGAAGACGTCGTCGTCGGGATTCGTTAAGATCTCCGGAGTGCCTCTGAATAAGTGAGGCCCTTGGGGGCCCAGCACTGCCCGGTCATCGAAATGGAACTCGAAGCCGCCAAGGCCACCGCTATGAGGTGGGGTTGGGAGCTCATCCCGGCTGGACGATAGAGTCGATTCACTGTCATCATCTTGTGAGTCCCAAGGTTTTGGTAGTGAGCCGGATTCGTCGTCCTCGTTGTCAGTGTCAAAGATCTCGGTGGCTTCTGACAGAGGCCGAGGCGCCATTGTCCGTCGCCCGAGGAAGGAGAGGTCTGGGGTCTTTTGCAGCATCTCAACCGGCTGCAGCAGTTGAAGGGGTGAGTAGGATGTCGACCATTCCATGGTGCTACCTATGATGAACAGTCTTGTTTACACTTGAAGGTCAATCTTGGAAGATTGAATCATGGTGGAGATGGAAGCTCATGAAGGGGTTCAGGTATGTATGTATAGACGACCATTGTGGTGGACGTGGGCGGTTAGAAGCCTCGAGCAATGTGACGAGTGGAGATGCAAGGCCAGGATACTTGCAGAAATGGGTGCATGATATTGAATCGCTACTGCAGTGGTTATGCGTGCGATAGATGTGAAACGACACAAAGGCAGCCACTCAGCGAAAAGCAAACTGCTGTGGGCTGGCATAGGCTGGCGGTAAGAGGGAGATGGAGAGGAAAAGAAGTCTGTTCACCAATGGAGGGGCATCTATGAAAAGTACGCGCTGGAGCCGTCCCGGTCAGGGTCTGGCCGCCCCCACTATCCCGCAGTCCGGCCCGACCAATAGGCGGGCAAAAGAGCGTGATGAGGACGAGAAGGCGGGGGCCAAGCACGTCCTGCTGGTTGATTATCCTCCACCATGCAGCCAATCGGTGTAGTCCGTGGAATTTTTCCAAAAATACCCTTCCACTTGTAAATCCCCCACCTTCCCGCCTCTGGTATAGCCTTTCATAGTCTGTTCCCTGGAATAGCATCTGGCGCTTCTCACTCGCTGTAGCCCGAGCATCTCCCCTGGCTCAACCCGTTTTCCTACCGAAGATCCCCTAGGCTCTTCCCTTTTCGTGCCTTTTCCTCTGCGCGCCGGACCGCTAAATTCCCCTTTACCAGATGTCCCCCGTCTACACTTTACGAATTCCCAACCTCCTCACCATTTGGTCCCCCCTTTACCGGAATTGAATTTTGTGATTGGTCACTCGCTCCATGAAATACAACCTGCCTCTCCATCCTTCCTCAATAAACTTTCTCGAGTTGCGAGAGTTTTACCTGCTGATCTCTCGGCAAACGGTTGGAGCTAACGGTGCCCAAGCATCATCTTCTCCAAGAGAGTCACAGGGTAGCAGCAGACCAAAAATCGACCCAGTCTGCCCAGCACGTCGTACACTTTCCACAATGTATCAACTTGTACTCCGTGTCTCGTTTCTGGAAGAGGAGTTCTCAAAGCAGAGTATGTTCTACGGCCACGGCATTCATGATGGAAGTTTCGTCCGTCCAAGTCGATTCAGGGTTCGAAGACCCTTGGATCTAGGCCCTGGACACTTAACATCTGGACTGCCCAGTTGACTTTGTGTGCCTACCCCTCCTGTCCTCTAAGATCCTGGGTTGAACAGGGAGGGTCCGATAGGAAATCGGACTTTCCAGAGGAGGGATAGAACGCTCGTGACGGCCAATTCGGCCCTTTCCGCGATAAGAGGTCTTCCCATCAATGCAATGGCAGATTGGCTGGACTCTCAAAGTCAAACCAAGGCTGGCGTGGGGAGGATCCCACCCCGTGACACTTTAGGGAACTTCTCCCGCCACTTCTGCAGCTTCTCGTAGCTCGCGAAGGGAACGCTCTCGCCAAAGAGTCAATTATTGATCCCATAGCTCGAATGTGATATTCATTGCTTAGTGCAGCTGCAAACAACATTCTTTGAAAAAAATATTTAGCACTGTACTTACATGAGCGGCCACTATCCCTGGGCGAGAGTTCGCCTACCTCCCCGGGCGTCTGAGCACGTTGCGCTGGGTGGTGACGAAAATCTCCAAAGATTCCCTCGGGCACATGGAATTGGAGCGATTGACCCCCGTCTTCATGGCCAGGTATCGTTCCGCACATGGCAGCCACAACTTGGCAGCGGTGAGCCCACCGCTACTTGCCAACAGTATGGCACGAGGACACCGGGTGACCTGACCGTGGTACATTCTCCGTAGCACGACGTTACATGGTACTTGAGATGCACCTGGAGACTTCCAGGGCGGAAGACTTCCCTAAATGTCGTCACTGGGTCACCCGGCACCTGGCATGATCAAGCTTGCACTGTGCCTCCCGACTAGAGAGCGAACGCTTTCCGCGACAGATGTTCTGTATGAAGCTTAGCCAAAACTGCACGTTGGGCTCCAACGAGGGCAAAAAGAACCTCTAGAGGTGGTGGAGAGCATGGAGCCGAGCGTTCCCCTTCGGCGACTTGCAGCTTCGCCTGCATCGTCGTACGCGAAGACCGTTGCTTGCTATTCCTCTGGGCCAAGTTACCGAGGTGTGATAGTGGACCTGGATTTCGACGGGCGTGGGACGGATTTCGACCACTCTAGACCGACAACGACCTCCCACGTTTGTATTCTTGATAAGTGAAGGTAAGGCTTCTGGTCGCGCAAATAAGTTCGTAAAAGGGTCTGGAAGGTTTCGGGTAGTGTTGATGAGAGTTGGATGTTGTGCATGGAAGCCAGCGTTCTCCATGCTTTCCACGTGAATGGAGGGGTAAAGCCTTCTTGTGGTACTGAGGTAACACGGGAGCGAAGTCTTTGTGTGCGATCACGCAGTAAACAGTTCTGCGTCACGGACCAGGTTGTACCATTGCATACAAAGCATGGAAATCTCGAGGAAGCAAGAAAGACCACATGCATATGCGAGGCCGGAAGACCTTTCTAAATCTCTCTGTCCTGTGAGGCGTACGACGAGCCTCGCACAAACACAAAAATAATCTACATCATTTTTGATGGTTACCGACCAAACTCAACCTCCTTCGCTGCCCTCGGAATAGAAGCATGAACTCGAAAGGGGAAGTATCCAAGAACACCATGCTCTCCAGCCCTACTTCCGATAAGTTGCGTGCTTTCTATGAACGCAAACAATAAACGGTCGTTTCGAGCAAGCCCACGCAAAGAATGAGACGCATAAAAGTTCTAAAAATAAGACCACCATGACGAAGTATAGTGCCTGGTATGCAAAGCGAAAGAAGCGAGGGTAGATTTGAGGGGAAGAAGAGCACAAACGAGCCCAAGCTCGAATGGATAAACAGACTGCCAACAAGCGAGTCGAGCGATCGAGCAGAGTATTACTCCAAAAGCTGGTCCGAGCTCTGAAAGTCGCAAGAGCTTGCAGGAAGAAGTCGCTAGTGTCACCACCGACTTCCCTGCCCGGCCTCACATACAGCTCTTCTCTATGGGCCACTGGCCAGTTCCTGGTACGTATATCCCCACTATAGTCCCACTAATGATCCACTAATGATCCACTACCCTAGCTGATTGGGCTAATGCAAGTCTAATGCACGAGAGCTGTCTTGGCATCACGGTTGGCTCCCGTCGTTCCCGCGACCTTCAACACCCAGATTGAACTTCACCTCAGCAGGGAAGACTCCCATCCTTCAGCAAGGATAGCTCCAGCACTAGACCCCAGCCTTCAACCTTGGTTTGGCTTCTCTTACCCAATCACTGGTCCGTATCCCAGCTTTTCCTGCACACCATCGGCTCTTTTCTTGCTACCTTTCCTCACCTGACCAGCCCAGACTGCCCTCTGTCTACCCGGCTGACCCCCCTTCTCGAGCCCTTCAGTGTGTGCTTGGTTGCCCTGAAGATCAAGCCGATCCAGAGCCGATCAACGTGCTACCGAAACTCTGCGTGCACACCTTCGTATGGTGAAACGGCGTACGAAAGTCTGTGCAAACCTTCTCGAGGGCGTGGTACAAAGTCAACGTCACGGAGAAATAATAGGCAGTGCACGTGTTAAGAGAAGGTTTCCTTCTCCGGCCCAACGTCTCTACAGGCATGGGCAAAAGTGCTGTCGTATTGGGGTGCTTCCGGAGATATCTCCAGGTACTGTTTTGAAGAGGAGAGCGTTAGCACTGCATCTACCCGTGTGGTCCTCGACCGGCATGATGTGTGCAACTACTCGCTTGGGGTAAATTCTCCCCATTTTCTGTTTCTGCAGGAAACCAGCACCGCACCGCTGTTGTCCCAAGAAACTCAGCATGCCGATTCCATGGCCAGCTGCATAGCAGCGTCATTGCGGTAACCGTGTCCTTGGTTTTGAGAGTGACTTGTCGTGGTTCACCCCAGAGATTGGTACCTTGGGCGTACGGGCATCATTCGCCTTCTCCCAGCAGAATCCTGATGTATCTCGCCTGTGCAGTTCCGCATGACCCGTTGCGTGCGGGTCTGGGCCATGGCACGCATCAAACACCTGATGGCCCTTTCGCCTTTTTTTCCCGACTTGGTGGGCTATTGCTCTCAGTGGCTCGACTGTCTCTTCGGGGGTTCAATTGCCCGGCAAATGGCTTGTCTTGAGGCAGCTGGCTCTCCGATTACAGATTTGGACATCAAAAAAATGGGCCTTGACCAGGGAGGTGTGGACGAGCCAGGGTCTTGATGCTGGCCTAGACCCAGAGGCGCTAAGAGACTGGTTCATGGGGACTCGTCGAAGCTCTCATGGTCTAATCTTAGCTTCGAAGCGCCCTCCACCCCCCGACAGCCAATCACTACAGATAGCTCCCACACTTCATGCTGATTCCTCATGCTTGCTGCAGACTATCGAGCGACCGAATCAACCGAGTATTGTTGACACACCTCGACAATGACCCATTCGACCAACTCTTTCATTGTTCAATCAATGAGGTTCCCCTCCTCCGCCATCCCAACCACCAATGCTGGATGGGCGTCTCCAGGCGCAGACGCGATATTCATAGACACACCTCCTCCAACATGTACCGCCCCTCTCTCTCATTCGTCCTCCATGAAGAGAAGTTGTTTCTTACAACCGGTTCCTTCCTCGACCTGCTTGGAGCCTCATGTAATGCATGATTCCTCCCCCTCCTCGATCCAAATATAGCACTCTCCACCTTTTGCGAGTTCTTCAAGTCTCTCATATACACCATCCTCGGCCAATGTCGCCGTGACTTCCTCCAAGGCAGACCGTTGCCCTCGCTGTTGTCCCTCTACCTCGTCGACACCCCCCGTTAGACCCTGCGGATACTGCTGGACAGTGTTCGCGACCATTCCCTCGTAATAATCAACAACAGCGCGGTTCACCGGCTCTCATCCTGTCATTGCCGTCCTCAATATCTCCATCTAGTCGTTGTCTTTGTGTGCGCCGAAAGAAGAGTATACACCAAAACACCTGTCCCCAGCACTGTCAACAATGGCCTCTGGAAACGAGAAAAAGGCCGCTCCGACGACCAAGGACTCGCCCTCCACAAAATCCTCCAAGATGCATAGACGGTCGAGATCAGGTGAGCCCTTGTCGCAGACCGCAAAAAGTCCCATTTGAGTCATGATTGAATACTAATATGAACTTCAGGCTGCTTCACCTGTCGTCTGCGACGCAAGAAGTGTGACGAAGGGAAGCCGAAATGCAAGGCATGTAGACACTTGGGCCTTGACTGCGAATACAAGCGGCCCCACTGGTGGAGCAACAACGAGACAAGGAGGAAACAGAAAGAGCACATCAAGACCATCATCAAAAGAACGAAGTCAACCGAAAAGAATTCGAGTGCTCAAAGTCAATGTATATCATACCACAACCTTATGGAGCGCCTTCTTGGAAGACCTAGCTAACCCCATGCACAGATGCTCAGAACAATGCCGCACAATCTTTCTCGGAGGACTCGCAAGACGAATACGACACCGCCTTCGACCCCTCCTTCGCGACCACCCCAGGCCTTTTTGACCCGTATGGTCCCAACATCTACATGGCTCCCGACCCGTACGGGCAGGCGATCCCCTGGGAGGTGGATGTCAAGACGGAGCGCCACACTTATGTTAACGACGAACTCACTCGCCGCGACTCGTCGATATCAACCTTTAGCACCTTCTACCCACCACCTGCTCATGCGACTTTGCCGTCGTATACTGGAGATGACTGGGTACAGCAAGACATCTTTGAGAGCCGACAAAACTCTTGGACCGAGGGGGATTACGACTTCAATAACCTTGAGGTACCCCACATTGCGCATGAATTCGAGCCTCAATGCTCCCTGGTCCAACTCGAGGATTGCGACCAACCACTATTCGAACACTTGCTGCAAAACGTGCTGCCACTGCTGTTCCCCGTCCTCGAGGCCTACCAACACGGATCGGTCCGCTCAAATGTGATCCTGCCTTCGCTCGAAAACAATAAGGCATACCTACATTCCTGCCTTCTGGCGGCAGCCACTCACATGAAGGGCAACAGGCAATTCTTGAGCAATACCGCGGATGACGATGCGATGCGTCACAAACTTGCCTTCGTGACAATCGTGGTCGATGCCCTCAATAGTGATAGCCAGCATAGCGAGATGCTGGATGCTCTACTCGGCATGATTTCGATGCAAGGCTGTGTCGGCTCGGCTCTAGAGCTTGAGAAGGAGCTGATCCCTTGGCACCAGCACTTCCAGGCCGCCGCAGACATTGTCCAAAAGCTCAACCTCCCCCAGGACTTGGAGAGCAATGCCCCGGCAGGAGGTTACCCCCCGTTTAACATGAGTCTGACAGCATGGATTGACATCCTCGGCGCGACGATGCTCGGCAAGGCCCCACGATTTTCTCACACTTATCGCAACATGTTCTTCGCTGGCGCGTCGACGGGACTCGAGAGATTGATGGGCTGCAACGACTATGTCATGTACCTTCTGTCGGAAGTCGCGTGTCTCGACTCGCTCAAGGTCGAGGGTAAACTGGACGACTTCGGAATGTGTAGCCACATCACTTCGCTGGCGGGCACGCTAGATTCGATCGAGCCACAGGAACCTCTGCAACTTCCCTTCAACAAGGCCGGCGTCCTGCGACCGAAGCAGCTGACCAAGAACATCACCGCTATCTTCCGCAAGGCCGCCCGTGTCTATCTCTGTTCGCTGGTCCCGGAGTACAACCGCTACCAGACTGCGACCGTCAACCTGGTTTCGCAGATGGCCGACCTCCTCCAATTCATCCCTTCTGGTCCCACCGGCTTCGATCGATGCCTCGTCTGGCCCATGCTCATCTGCGGCGCGAACTCCATCCCGGCGTCTCCGTTTCGCCGAGTCCTCTCGGAACGGTGCGACCTGCTTGGCGAAGCCGCCGACCACGGATCCTTTGGGCGGATGGTGCGCCTGTTGCACGAGGTCTGGAGACGCAATGACGACATAGTGATTTCTGCCGGAGTCTGTGAAGCCACCCCCGTGACAGCTGGAAGCCCTGGAGGATCGATCTCGACGCCCATCGCCGCCGCCACGATAGCCACCGGAGCCGGAAACCTAGCAGGAGCCAACTCTTCTTCTTCGACAACGACAGCGACAACAGCAGTACCGAGGAACCAGAACGTCCACTGGCGGGACGTGATGCAGGAAAACAAATGGGACTTTCTTCTGATCTGAGCAGCCCCCGTTTTCTCCTTTTGCCCAAGTCCATTGACAGAGAGTATTCTGCGCAGCTCTTGATGGTGCAGAGGTCTCGCCCGGTCTTGATGGCCGGGCTCCTCTGCCGAGGTGCACATACATGCTCCTGGGCACGGAACGAAGGGGAAAGGGGCTGCTCATATCAAGAAGACGACATTCATTTCACCAAAAAAGATACCGACGTTAATTGTCCTTTATCAAGCGACAACTAATTTCTTCCACTCATTATTTTTACCGGCTGTCCCATCATCTTGGGCAGGGAAGAGACTCGAATCTCCCATCTAATCTTTTCTGGCAAAGGATTAATATTACACAACTCCCCATATTTCTGCATCCTGGTCTGGGCAAAATGGCCGACATCAAAAAGTTATTTTTGCATTTCCTCGGGCAATCAACAACGAACGAAAAAGATGTCAACGCGGCGTTTCCAAGAAGAAGAAGAAGAAGAAGAAGCAGAAGAAGAAGAAAGACTCCATTCATTTCTGACGGGTTCTCTGGCTCCGGTATGGACGGGTTACACAGGCTGCGGGCGGCGCAGGGCGCAGAGGTACCAGTAATCCCTTTTTTTCCGAAACCCCTTTTTACATGGCATGTTGTATGTACACGGAGGGGGAACAGGGCAGGAAAACAAGGCATCAGTACCTCTACAGACACACACACCAACAGCAGATCTAACGGCCAGCATACTACATCATTACCACACACATCACGCTCCACAGAACTCACGTTTTGCGGTGTCGTTGATGTTTTTTCCTCTATTCAGGACAGGCACGGAAGATGCCCACGCTCTCGGTCTCACAGAGGCACCCGCAGAGGGAGTAAGAGAAAAAGGGGTTCGAACACCTTCACCTCCTGAGGGAGAAGGAGGGCTGGGGTCTTTCTTTTATTATTAAAAAACTAACCATACTTACTACTTACTGGCTTATGATACCCCCCACCCGTTTCGTGGAGTTGCTGCTAAAGCCTCCACCGAATCTTATTTTCCGACGAGTCTCTTTTTCGCCGCTCCTGTTTTCTTCGAAGCTTTGGGTTTTGTTTTGCTTTGGGCTTTTTAACCCCGAAGGGGAGTTTTGGTGTTGTTCTAGGGAAAGGGGTGAGGCGCATGGTGGCATGGTGGCATGGTGGCAGGTTCTGGGGGGGGGGGAGGGGTTGGTATCCCAAAGCTGTTGAATACACGGGTGGAAGGAAAGTTGGGTGTGACGCGGAGACGCGGAGACGGCGCCCCTTGCCCGCTGTCCGGCTGGCATTGCAAAAAGGAGACGAGAAAGGGAAAGGACGGGCCAAGACACTACATCGCGAAGAGTCAAAGCCGAGAAGACTCAGATGCAATGTACAGACCTTCCATGCAAAATCCAGACCTGACGGAAAACTCCACCGGAGAAATGCGCTCATGCGAGACGCGTGTTGGAGATGCGATACCCCAGAGAGACACTCCAGGCACAGCAGACAGGGAGGCGGTGTGCGGTATCGATGCTCCGGGAACACCACAGGACGGCCCATCAGGAAAACGACCCCCGGAACCAAAGAGCCAACGACGTTGCTAGAGACGTGCAACGCAAAGCAGCCAAATCACGGGACTGAGAGCAGGGCAGGGCGTGATGTGACGTGAAGACGAGACGAGACAAGACAAGAAGGCGTACCATGGCGTTTTTGGTTTGCATGTGTGCGTATGGATGCATGTATGGGTGCATGCATTGATGGACAGATGGGAAGAATGGGATGTAGATAGACGAATATTGGATCACGTATGAAGACGCAGAGATGCCCCCCAAGAAGACGGAAAGACATGCTCACACATACAGGGGGAGAGAGAGACAGAGACAGAGATATTAAGCCCCCTAAAAAAGGTCAAACTTCCATGCATCTTTTTCTTCGAACCCCTTGTTCTCCCCATCAGAATGACCAAGGCGAATACCGGGGCTGTGTACTCGAGACTTGTAGGGCAACGCAAGCGAAGACCATGCGAGGGCTAGGCAAAATGCTATGGACGCTAGAGCTGCTGCTGGAGACAGAGGACATATCAAACAAAGGATGAGGACGTAGGGGCCCTTACAGAGACAGTTTGTCCGAGGATCCATTCCCGAAAGGCACACCTTTCCGTGTATAGAATAGTGGATCTGGTATCCGGAATATATATTCTCCGATGATAACCAATTATCAACGTAAGCTTGAGGGGTCCTGGAGGATGGCTTCGGTAGATTGAGCGCTCCAGTGTTCGCCCGGCCCCGGAGGGAGAGGGCGTGCGACATTCGAGCATGCTTTCATGCTTTCAAGGAAATCCCTGAGGAAGAGGGGCTATGCAAAGGTTAGACCAGGCTTCTACTGGGTGCGTCAGCTCTCGGCCTCGCTCGCTGGGAGGGTGTGCGCTCGCCTATCAAAAGAGTGAGGCTGGCGCCCCGAACCCTGTCTTGTCTGAATACGAGCGCCGTCCTGCATTTGGTTGTCCCTCTTCAGAAATTGCCCACTAAATCAGCAGTCATCCTGCGAAGTCTCCATCAGCGAGCTGGATGACCCGTCGCAAGTTCATGTTTGATCCCTCTTGGCCAACTCAATACATGTGGCGGGCCGATGTGCGCTTGTAGAAATCGAGCCACGTCTCCCACGTTTGATATGCTTTGGGCAGTTCGTGGGGGTGATTTATGCTGCCATGGAACATAGGTTGCGTGCCGTGTCCAGTATGTGGGGGTTTGACTTCGCCTCGTATGATGGTGATTCCTGACATCCTCGGTTCCCAGTCCCCCCAGTCACTGACAAGTCGTTCTGCCTAAGGGGCCCATCCAGTATCCTTCAAGGCCCCCTGGACTTGTTTTCCAATCAGACCAGCAAAAGGGGGGTCTGCAACGAAAGATACCTTGCGTCCAACTTTCGCTAGTCTTTGCTGCGTCACTCCAGGGTTTACGGGCTGATTGGACGACAGTCGGGAGAAGTCGGCTTGAGCACGCGCCTTTTCTGCATTCCGACTAAACTGGTCCGGGGTAGTATTTGGGATTCTGGGGCATATCCGGGGCTGAACAGGATACCCTTGACTCTGGAGGGCTCGCTCGACCCTGCTGTGGTCGACCACGAGCAGCGCCCGGCATGTTTCGTCAGGATCGGTGACACTCGATCGTGCTTGGGATTGCACAGCAGGAACACCGATCAGATGGTTGCACGGCTTAGAATGAAAAGCACATTGTCGGGAGCTAAACAGCGATGGAGCACTGGAGCTTCATTCACATCAGCAATCAGCCCAAAGGCGCAGCCGTCCCTGCTCCGCCTAGAGTTGACCCGCGTTCCAGGACTCTGACTGAGTCATATCGTGGACTACCGGCCAACGCCGGGGCCCCTGTAACAGCGTCATTCAAGATTCCTTTGCGCTGGCCTTGCGCGATGATACCTCGTAAAACATCTGCTTGACTCTCAGATGTAACATTTTGTCCTGCAGGGTGTCTACCCCGGCTGTCGCATGACTTCGAGCAAGCTTGTGTTCATGCAATGCCATTGTCTACCCCTGACGAATGAGGGCCGATGCAGTTGAAGCGATTTGCCAGCCTTGCTTTGCCCACTCAACACCCACCAGTTGCCCACCTTGCGTGGGGTGGCTTTCGACAGGTCACCGGGAAGGGTTCCTGTGCCCCTTTGCACCAAAATCTGGCCCTTTGTATGCCAGAAGGTTGCCCTCGCGCATGATGCAAGCCCCTCGAAGAGGAGGAGCGGGCTGCTGAAATGTTTATTGCGAGTAAGACGAAGCCTGTAGAACCCGGAAACACATAAATATCTGGGTAGGTGAGGAACGAGAGTTCCTGGTCTTGGAGAACGCCATATACTGTGCTTGACATGTAACACGCACACACCAGTGATATCCAGCTTTGGTACTTGACTCCCGCACCAGCTTTGCGCAGATCGACCCCTCTGTTCATCATCATGGCTCAAACAATTAGGCAAGCTCGAGACAGTAGACAGACTCACCGAGGACTAACATGATCCAGAGTCAACCAGATCAACCCGAAGACCTCCTTCTTTGGAAAGGCCCAAGAGATTGGCATGCTCAACGTGTTTCTCTACGGGGCCTCCAGCACCGTCATGGACTTCATTTTGCTCGGTCGCAGCTCTGGAGTACAGGCCGTCCTCAGAAGGATCCCAGCCAAGAAGACCACATTTGGCGAGAATATCGGGCGCTTCGACAACCCCGAAGATTCAATGGTCGCCCTCGTGAGATACATGGATGAGATCACAGATGCAAAGATAGTTCGGGAGGCGGAGGTATTCCGGATGACGCTGGTTGGTTGCGAGTAGTTGGAGACAACGAAGAGGAAGAAACTGAGTGGTGGGAGGAAGGACAGGACAGTAAAAGTTCACCGGTCTGCAGGGGGGCCCCAAGGAGGGAGGAAGAGATGGGTGGATGAAACTTGACTGCACGTTTAGGGCCGCATGCATCATAGAGGGCTAACATCTGCAAGGTACCTCAAAACAGATATAGTGGGTAGGAGCGGGTGGTGTCGGAGGTGCTTTCCATCCACTGACGAGGCTGAGCGAGGCTCCTCTTAACAAACCGGGCAACAACGGGGATGGGACTGTGGCTTCTTTTGTTGTTTCCCCTTTGGCGAAATGGGCTGGGATCAAAAGGATCGATGGAACTATCTACCTTCCGTCCAAGGCAACAATATCTAACGTCTATGACAAATCTTCCCGCAGTTCTAAATTTATCAGCTCTCGTCTTCTCCTGTAACATTGCCACGACGCCCAATCTATCGGATATTCGATGCGTTGTAATGCAATGTAAGACGCCACAAACCTTGCTCATGGGGCTCTCTTTCAATCTGTTCTCTTCCAAAAGTCCAGGATCTTGGCGACGATTTGGTCGCCTTTCGTGACCGGCACTTCGTGTCCTGCATCATAGACGTCAAATTCCACGTTGCCCGAGAGCACTTCCGTCGCATCCTCTTCGACCTCTTTCCGGATGATGATGGGATCATTGGCCCCCAAAACAATCAGCACCTTCTTCTGGGCGCCTTTCTCCTCATTGAGGCGGTTCAGGTGCTCTCCAAAGACTCGCCAACGGTCATGCTGATACCGCACCGGGCCGTAGCGAATGCTGGACATGAATGCGGCGACAAATTCCGGGTAGTTGTCTAATTGATATTGCACTGTCTTCTCGACTGTCACGTGTGGGCGGATCTTGGAAAGAAGGGCTTGGGAATTGGCTTCGAGGTTGATTTCGGCGGCCACCGCCTCTGTTGCGTCAACCGTATTATCCTTGTCTACTGGCTTCTTGAGTGGTGCAGCTAGTGGACTTCGCAGTCGCTTTCTGACCAAACGCTGCAGCAGAGACTCTGGGATCAGGCCTTCCGAATAGATGATGTGGCTGGACCTGCTGATATGATGTGGCCTCAAGATCCCCGCGGGTGCAAAAAGAATCAAAGTGTCGATTAAGTTGGGGAAGTAGGACGCAAACGTCGCCGCAATCCCGCCACCAAGAGAGTAGCCGATCAGAGAGAATTTTCCAGAGTCCTTGCCCGTCCATGATAGAGGAGACGAGGCCAGGACCAGAAGGATCTGAGTTGTGAACAGTCGGATGTCATGAACAAGGTCGGCAGGGTTGTCTGAGTAGCCTCGCCCAAAGAGATCGAAGAGCATGACACGACATCCATTGTCCACCAGGGCGTGGGCAACAGCCCCCAACGCAATCGCCGGAGTGCTGATGCCATGCACCAGGAGGACTTTTCGGCCGTCTTCCGGACCGAACTCGTACACTCTTATCGAGCCAAAAGGGGTATCGACGTCGCGTGCCCCGGGGAGCACATCTGGAGGATAGGGCAGCGCAGCAATCTCCTCTGGGGACAACTTCGGCAGCACCGTGACTCTGGGGGATCGCGCGATTGACGGCTTTTTCTTGTTCCAAAGCCCTCCGGCAACCACTCCGACTGAGAACAAGCAGGTACCGGCCAGCACCAGCCTCCAGTCGAGAGGCCCTAAGAGGGAAGACGACCTGAATGCCATCCGGGCGACGTGTGGCAGGTACTGGTTGGAAGTCAGACAGACAGACGGAGTTGTCCTCAAGAAGCTGAAAGGAAAATCTTCCATTGATTAATTAGTCCGGACGAAAGCGCGATCCTTTATCGAGCAAAACGTGCCCAATTGATGACGAATCAGAATTCTGCCTCGGCTCCGGCACGATGAGGCTGAATGGCCCGATTGGGCTAGCTCTTACAGTACCGAGTATATCCTCTCGAGCTGGGCTGAATAACTTCATCTATGCTAGTTCATTCAAGGAGTTAGGTCGTTATCTCATGTTCCAGCCCTACACAGGTAGAGCTCATCTTGATCCTAAGATGACATTACTTAAGATAGCCAACCGTTGAGACGTCAAGGCCAGTCACTATATTTCTGACCCATACCGAGCTCGGTACCATGGATACATGCTATTGCTTGTTCCAGCAAACAGCTATGAATATTGAGAGCAAAAGCATTCCTCCTTGGGCCTGTGAGTGCCATAACTTGGGTGCCATAACTTGGGGTATCACCACAAACTTTTTCCAAACGCCCTTTGCCCACACTTTTGGTTGACCCAATCCTCCCTTCATAGCAAGAAGTCCAGCGCCTTGCCTCCGGATTTATCCTTTCCCTTGTTCCTCTTCCTCTTCTTCCGCTTTGGCTTTGACTGACCATCCCCGTCGCTGCTTTCATCCACGTCAGACTCATCGACGTCGTCCTCCTCAGACGAGGACATGTCATGTTTGGTCGCAGCGGCCCGTCCACCACCCGGAAGGCCTTTAGCCTCCATCCATACTTTAACGGTTTGGCCTCCGCTTGTAATCATCCGCCCCTCGATGTCGAAACCAATGGCCACAACGCCGTCGATCTCGTCGTGTTTAGCGTCCATGTCGTTCAGGACCCCGTTTCGCCCGACTCTGATGAAGCGGACTCTGCCGTCCTCAAGCCCGGCAGCGACAAGCTTTTCGTTCATTTTTAGTTTCCCGCCTCCAAAGCCGAAAGGCACTTCAGCCAGGCTGTCCACGCCGAGACCACCTCGTTCGACGACGATTCTTTCGTCAAGATCACTCCACACACCCCTCTCCCACAAACTCACCACTCCGTCACTTTGGCCAACGAGGATTTTCTGTCCCACGCTGGTCCCTCCTTTCTTGAGGCCCTGGACCATGGCCAAACTCGTCAATTCGATCTCCTGGTCTTCACTTATGGCGACAGTGCCCTTCCGAACATCTGTCACTGCCAGCGTGGTGCCACCTACGCTGACCCACTGCTTGGGGAATCCACTTGTGCTGGCCTCGCTCGCGGGGAGCGGAACGAGGGAATTGATATGTTCCTCGCCATGAGGTGTCCATGTTTGACTGCACTTGGCCACAATTTCTTTTCCGCCCTCCCTCAGGTCTTGTAAATGTAATTTTCCAGAGTCAGTGCCCAGCAGCAGAGCTTGCGGTGACAGGGCGTGCAGGACCGTTGGCCCGTCCGCCTTTCTCGATCCCACACTTTGAGGTATTACAATTTTGCTGACAACCTTGCCGGTGTCCGTGTGAAAAGCTTTTACCAAACCGTCCGTCCCTGCGGAATAGCATATGTCCCCCTCGTGACTGAATGCAAGACATCGACATGATCCTTTGTGTCTCCTGGTAGTCCACAATGTATCGAGTGAGCCAAGCCCACTCTCGGAGAGACTGGCAGTGGAAGCTCTGCGCAGTGAAGGTACTATTGAGCCATTGACGGAGTTCGTAGGTTTCAGAGGCGGTGAAGCGCTGTCTTCAGAGGTATCTGCAATGACCTCGGAGTCAGAGGGTAGCTTGTAAGTGTGCACATGGCCTGAAGACAAGCCGATTGCGAACAGTGGTTGCGTAGGGTGGATGACCTGGGCAAAGATGTCGGATTGGACGGGGAGGGTGCAGATGGTGTCGAACATGATTTGAGGGAAGATCAAGGCATGGTCTGGAAGGGATTTCCTTGTGCTGGTGGTGCAACGATGCGAGCGATGAATCAACAAACAGCGTTTGAATTGGAGACTGAAAAGTTGGAGAGAGCTGTGTGGGCTTGGAAGGGAAAATCTTCCGGAGGACCGGCTTGGGCCATTGGAGGATTTTAGGGGCCTCTGGGAAGAGAAGCCTTAGGGCATGGGCTACCGAGAACTCTAATTAAACAGCGTGTAACCCTAGGCTTCCGGGCTCACGTACCCCATGTGGACGCCAATGACGCCTAACCATCTCGTGCCTGCTGTCAAACACCAATCAATCAGCACACAAGAACATTTCGATATAAAAGCAACCGCCTGAATAGCTAATTGTACAGCATTGCATTTCTTGCCAGGCTGATCGTCAAGGATATTCCAACATATGTACCATTTTATGGGCGTCCCATACCTTCACTATGCCAGCAGCAGATGTCACTCAAGATAACACCGACGCTCGAGTCGACGAAACAACCGCCCTCCTTGCTCCGTCCGCGGATCAACCCACCACTCCTGAAGATGGTGACCACGAGAACCAAGTCCCCAACGGCGCCAATGGCAAGGGAGAAGACAAGCCGTTGCCCAAGGACCAGATCTTCCTTCTCTGCTTTGCCCGCCTGATTGAACCCGTCGCTTTCTTCTGCATCTTCCCTTTCGTCAATCAGATGATATGGGAGACTGGGGAAGTGGCGGAGACGGACGTTGGATTTTACAGCGGATTGATCGTAGGTCACATTGCTTCCTGCATCACCCCTCCTGGTGACACCCATTGACCGTGGGCGTAGGAGTCATTGTTCTCATTGACGCAAATGGTGCTCATGATTCCCTGGGGCAAAGCCGCCGACCACTTTGGAAGAAAACCTGTCCTCGTCAGCTCGCTGGGTGGCGTGGCAATAGCAACTGCCACCTTCGGACTGAGCAAGACAATATGGCAGATGGTCTTGTTTCGATGCTTTGCAGGGATCTTTGCCGGCACAATTGTGTACGTCCATTGCCATCATCTCTAGAAGAGAGTGAGCGCATCTCGCTGACAAGGCGGTGCAGGACTATCCGCACAATGATCACCGAAAACAGCACGCACAAGACCCAGGCCAGAGCATTCAGCTTCTTCGCCTTCACGGGGAATCTGGGTATTTTCCTAGGTCCTTTGCTTGGTATGGTGTCCTCGTCGTAGGAAAGACCATCCCGGTCGCGGGAATGCTGACATCTCTACATAGGGGGCGCGCTCGCAAATCCAGCGAAGGTATACCCGTCTGTGTTTGGACATATCAAGTTCTTCCACGAATACCCCTATGCGCTACCTACGTTTGTGACTGGCTCGATCGGTGTGATTGCAACCATCACCAGCGCGATTGGTCTCAAAGAAGTGAGGATACCTATTCCATTTCCCCGGTATGGTGGAAACTGACCCAAGCCCTGTTTTGGCTCAGACACTTGTCCGCTCTCCGAAGAAGTCGTCCACTGGCTCCCAGAAAGAGATGTCCATACTCGCTCTCCTCCGCTCTCCTAATGTCCCGATCACCCTGTATATATACGCGCATATCATGCTCCTGGCCTTCTCCTACACGGCCATCGCGCCGGTCTTCTTCTTTACCCCGGTCCACCTCGGCGGCTTCGGGTTTTCCCCCTTCCTCATCTCGCTCTTCATGGGACTGGGTGGCCTCTCCCAGTCGCTGTGGCTCCTGATCGCGTTCCCCTGGCTCCAGGCCCGCTGGGGCACCAAGAGCGTTATGGTGCTCTGCGCGACCGCCTACCCGGTCTTCTTCGCCCTGTATCCCGTCTGCAACCTGCTGCTACGATACCACGTGACAGCGGCGTTCTGGACCGTCGCCCCCATTTCACTGGTGGTCGGAAGCGGCGTTTCCATGTCCTTCACCGCCATCCAGCTCGTCTTGAACGACGTCTCGCCCGGCCCGGAGGTACTCGGCACACTGAACGCCGTGGCGCTAACCCTGGTGAGCGGCATAAGGGCCTTCTCGCCAGCCCTATTTGCCAGCTTATTCGCCACTAGCGTACGGAGTCGTGTCCTCGGTGGACATGTGATTTGGATCTTGATGGTCGTGTTGGCGCTGGGGTTCACGCTCATCAGCCGCTGGATCCCCGAGCCCGGGAAAGGGGAGGGGACACCCAAGCCGGTCAATGCTCACGGAACAGGCAATGGAATCGCCAATGGAGCGGCGGAGGAGTGAGCGGTATGGATATAATTGAGGAGGAGCCAAACAGAGGCCTCAAGATCACCCGGGGTTCACGTGGATGAGGGTAGGCCCCGACGCATTGCGCTGGAGTTGTCCATTTGGCGCGAGGGAATAGACAAAACGGTACATTGCTACATGGAGATTGTTGAAGAGGCGTAAAGACATCTCAGCTGAGACAAAGTCACGAGTACAGTTTGAGTAGACAGCGAATAGATTTTTGGCGCTCGGAAAATTCCGAGGTGTGGAAAAAACTTGAATGAGTGCACACAGAGGCTGGGTTACAGTATGTGGCTCTATATCATCGTTCTCAGACAGCTGCTCTTCTGAACCGCAGCAGCGGATACCACAAATTTGTCACGGTCTATAGATCCGCCCTGGCCGGCTCCCCCGCCCATGCTCTTCTGATCAGCTCTCGAATAGGCCCCCTTTCTACCTTCCTTGGGTTGGGATATTGGTTGCTCACCGCAATGTCGGCGGCTTTGTCGATATCCTCCTCCTTCATGCCGTAGTCCTTCAAGGCGCGCTTCACTTGCAACTTCTCGAGCAGTATGTTCAGTCCGTTGATGGCATCGCCTTCGCTGCCGGGGAGAGAGTCTGCAAGCTGAGCCATCACAATGGGGATTTCAGGAGCGTTGTAGGAAAGGGCATGGGGAAGGACGATCGTGTGAGTTTCGGCGTGGGGGAGGTTGAATGAGCCGCCCAGCGTGTGGCACAGTTTATGGTGTAAGCCCATCGAAGTTGAGCCGAGACAGATGCCGCATAGCCATGCGCCATATTGAGCCATTTCGCGAGCGCGCTGGGACTGGGGGCTCTGAATGATCTCCGGAAGGGAGTGGGCGAGGGCCATGGTAGCCTCGCGGGCCAGGAGGCCGATGATCGGATTTGTGTTCGTCGCGTAGAGCGCTTCCACGGCGTGGGCAATGGCGTTTACACCTGACGTTGCACTGAGAGATGTGGGAAGGGTCATGGTGAGGTCGACATCATAGATGACCGTACCCGGAAGAATCTTGGGATCAGTCCGCGTGGTTTTGCGACCATCTTGTGTTTCGCCTAGGATAGGCGTCATCTCACTTCCGGCATAGGTGGTGGGAATGCATATGTGGTGTAGACCAGTACGAACTGAAATTGCTTTGCCCAGTCCCGTTGTTGAACCCCCTCCTATTGAGACCACACAGTCTGCGGATTTGGATTGAATGAAAGCCATGGCTTCTTCGGTGATATGCGAGGGAGTGTGCATGGTAGCGTTCGTATAGGTGCCGGCTGGCTCAATTGACGCGGCGGTGAGGATTTTAGCCAGGTCTTCCGCATGGCTGACTTGCTGAGGAGTAGAGAGGATGAGGGGTGATTTGAAGCCTAGACGTCTGATTTCATGCGGAAGCTGTTGGATACTGCCTTGCCCGAAGACCACGCGGGCCGGGTTGGCATTGTACGTGAAAGATCCCAGTGAGAGATGGTTCATTGTGGTTTTGGACACCGAAAGGCCGTAGGGTCGGATTATGCGCGAAGCTCGCATGAGAGTAGTGGAAAGAGAAGGGAAAATCCAGTAGATGGGAGCTGTGGTGAGTGTATTGTTTTAAGACCCCGCAGGCATTTGGTGTGATGAGCGTGACGGAATCAACCGTGGTTCATGGGCGTCGGAAAAGGGATTGTTGGTTCGAGAGCCCCATGGGGGGCTTTGCCGGCAGATGCACCCAAACTGCTGGGCTCTAAGTCCCCGCTAGTCGAATACCCCACCGCCTAAAAAAGCCCAGAGGGACGAGGAGAAATTCCGCCTCAGGGCATCTTCCGATGTTGCTTGACAGATGTTTCATAAAGCTGACAAACCCTCCCCCGGGACATGCTTCCGTCAGTACAGAATCGCCCGGAACAGGTATATCACCGTGGCGGCCGCCCAGCTCATCGCCAACCAACCCAAAGCTTGTAGCATTTGTTTCGTGGATCTGACGCCCTCATTGTACGTCGAGGCTAGAGGTACAGTTGCTCGGCTACGCCAGAAATTTGAAATGTGGTTGTATGCTAGGACAAGACCACCAGCATTGGCGGCACTCAGCAAGAATGGCATGGTGTTACGACCGGACGAGACGGCGACCACGAGGATTATCGACGAAACAAGGGAGGCCAGAGTCTGATCCATCACTATCAGTATCTGATACGACAGAGAGTGGATCTTCTAGATGCTTACAGCCAGAACACCACTGGTTTGTGTTGTTCTAGTTTTGTGAAGCTGCCGTGCAGCTGTGTTCGAATAGCGTGATGCGCTTTCAGTTTCTGGTTCCCACTGACGGAGGTTGTATATTGCCATGGCTGATAGTAACGCCAGGTAGACGCTGCCACAGGCTTGAACAGCATGGTATATTTCAAGGACGAAAGACATGATTGAATGGGGGCTAGTGAGATGGCAAAGATCGATGCGATGAGGGTTTTGTCGACGAGACCAAGAGAGGCGACCAGAGCTGCAAAAGACGCTTCCGTCATAGGGTGGCTGACTAAGCAGTCACTGATGCCAAGATCGTTTACAGGGAAGATCACGCTGGATATAGTCCATACTAGTTGAGCGGAGAAATCTCAAAGTAGTCTTTGACTGTGTCTGGTACCTGTTGACAGTCTTGTACTTCAGGATCTACAGCCCATGGTAAAGAATATGGCTTTAACGAGGTTGTCTACCCTGTTTCATCACCCCTAACGACCATTAAAGCGGCACCATCGCCACACCTCACAGAAAGCTAGCCTCGTTTCCTCGTCGAGGTTTTTCTCTTGCGCCCTCCCGGGTGACCACTGCCTTTATTACTCTTCCTACTGCTTGCCTCTAAGTTCTCTTTCGGTATCCTTGCGAGAGCAGCAGCAAAGCAACTCAGTTTGCCGTCCGCTATAATGACGGAAGAACTTTCGGCGCCGCCTGTGCTATCCACCCCAGACACACATATATTAGACGAGACTCTTCCGGGGGCTACGCGGCATCAGCCAGAAATCTTGTCCGATGAGCAAATCAAAACAAGGTATGAGATAACGAGAACGGTCGAAGAAATCAAGCAGCGAAGATGGAAGCGAGTGGCCCTGCAGTTTCCCGACCACATGCTTGCTCATTCTGCCAGAGTCTATCAACTTTTGGCTAGGGGTTTGCAAGAGCAAGCAAAGGCGACGATTGGAACGGGCACGAATGGCACAGGCTGTGGAGATCCGGGTTCGGAGGATCTTGATGTATCTGAGCTTTCTATCGAGGACACGAAGCCAATTATGCTAACCATACTGGGCGACACCTCGTACGGCTCCTGCTGTGTGGATGAGATCGCTGCTGAGCACGTCAACGCAGACGCAGTGGTCCACTATGGTAGGGCTTGCTTATCCCCAACTTCAAGATTGCCTGTATTACACATCTTCACTACGATGGACCTGGAGGCAACCCACGTGGTCAACGCTTTTCAAACGGCGTTTCCAGATCTCGGTGCGAAGGTGGTCCTAACAGCTGACGTCCCTTACGCTGCGCATGTACTGCCACTATCCCAGATGCTAAAAAATGTGGGCTACTCAAATCTGTTCGCTGCGTCAATTGTCCACGATCCGTCTTCATCGATTCCGAATCGGACCGTCCCCCCTCTAGTTATAGAAGATCCTTCGTCCTTATCAGAATGGAATCTGTTCCATATCTCCGACCCACCTACGTCCCTGCTGTTGACACTCCAGTCCCGTATGGCCAGCATACGGGTCTATCCTACCAACGAGCCGCACCACCTGTCGCATTCTACGACCGAGTCGTCGGCTCTGGAGACCTCTACGGCTCAACTCCTTCGCAGGCGTTACGGCCTGGTGACTTCTCTCACTACCGTCCCAGTCTGGGGTATCCTGGTCAACACGCTCTCTGTCAAGAACTACCTGTCGATTCTATCACACGTCCAATCGCTAATCTCTAGCGCGGGGAAAAAGTCATACCTCTTTGTTGTTGGGAAACTCAACCCTGCAAAACTGGCAAATTTCTCTGAGATTGGGGGGTGGGTGGTGATTGGATGCTGGGAGAGTTCTTTGGTCGACAGTAAAGAGTTTTACAGACCAATTATCACCCCATTCGAGTTGGAGATGGTTCTCCAGGGAGACCACCAGAGGGTGTGGACGGGCCAATGGCGAGGAGATTTTCAGGGCGTGTTAGAAGATGCAGAGAGACGAAATAAGAATGGAGACGATCAGGCTGGAGCGTCGAATGGATATACTGACATGGACGAGAACCGCGGAGGCGATGTTGACCTAGACTCGGAGTCAGAATCTGAGCCGCCCGAGTTTGACCTTCGGACGGGCAGATATGTCTCGCGTACACGGCCGATGCAGAGATCTCGACAGCCCGTTGCGTCGCTGTCCACACCGGACTCCAATTCCAGCGGTGCTTTGCGGTCTTCGACTGCATTGACCAAACGATCAAACGGCACCATGATCACCGTCGGCGGTGTTGCATCCCCGGCTGCTGAATACCTTGCGCAAAAGCGGTCTTGGCGCGGCTTGGGCAGCGATTTTGAGGTCAAATACGAGGAAGATGAAGTAGAGCCCGGTAGTGTGATTGAGGAAGGAAGGACAGGTGTTGCGAGAGGGTATACGGTTGGAGAAGATCTTGAGAGAAGTTGAAGTGTGTGTCCGCCTATTCGGGAACTAAGGCCATAACCCCTATGTTCAATTCAGCCTCTGTCCCAACATTGTCTTTTCTCCCCTAAGCCTCTACATGCCCCTCCACTCCCTCCATGCACTCTTTCTACTTTGACAAAGCTACCCATGCAGCAATGTAAAATATCCAAGGGCAGAGTCAGCATGCTCTCATCCGGGATGGGAGCTTTGATGGGATCTAATGCCCGATCTTTATGCTCACGTGTCGTCGTTACTCTTCTTCAGATCCGTGAAACAATTTGAAGTCATCCTTTCCACCTTACCCTGTCAATTTGCTGCTTACAGGGAGAATGCTATCTTACGTGTTGCTCGATCGAAATATCAACTTGCTGTTCAAGACAAGCTTTGCGTCATGGCGACCGGATATCACTTCCGGGGAATGGCCTCCACCTCATTTGGGAAACGATGCTCATACTGACGCGTTCGCGTGGTATCTTCGATGGGCTGACATCGGTCTCCAAAATGTGAGAGTTGCGTGGCAGTCACTGTGATCGACATGGCACTGATGTCAAGGGACTTGCAAGTTTCCCGCCAAATGGTTTCACTCAGGGTAGAGGTGAAAGGGTACTTAACTCCCTTCACCTTCTGCAATCGGTTAACTCTTTCCCATGGTAGAGAGTTACATGTTTCGGTAGGAGACTTGAGTGAAATATTATTCTGACTCCCACAATGGCAACGAAGGGTGTGGCCAGATTGTTCACCAACGCTACCAGGCCGACACCGTTACTGCCCCAAGCACCACGAACCCACCGCTTGTTGTCAACGAGCCCTGTTCAGAATCATGTGCAGACACTTCTCCAGGATAAAGAGAATGGATTTGGATTTATTCGACACAACCCCCGCACGCCTAAGCCTCGCACAAAGGGTGTGACTGAGATCCGAGGCCCCTACTACTCATCGTATGGAAAGCGTCACCTTCAGGACGTGTTGGAAACCATGGGGTACCACGTTGACGGACTCAAATTCGCTGGAGGCAGCTTCTCGATGATGCCCGAAGAGCGAGTCCGAGAGCTGATTGACCTAGCTCACGAACATGACGTGTATGTGAGTACAGGAGGGTGGATGGAACACATCTTGACTCAACCCGACTCCAATACCACGGTAGAGAAGTACTTGCGGAAGTGCAAGGACCTAGGATTCGACGTGATTGAGATCTCGTCAGGGTTCCTATCTTTCCCGCCAGACGACTGGTTGCGATTGGTGGACAAGGTGCACAGCATGGGAATGAAGGCGAAACCCGAGTTAGGCATCCAGTTCGGTGCGGGTGGTGATACAGCAGCAGAGGATCTCGAAGCCACCGGTACATCCGACCCCAGCAAGGTGATCAATCTCGGTAAGAAGTTCATCGAAGCCGGCGTTGAAAGGATGATGATTGAGAGCGAAGGGATCACCGAGAACGTCAAGAGCTGGCGGACGGACGTGATCCAGTCAATCTTGCGGGACCTACCTCAGGAGAAGGTCATGTTTGAGGCGGCGGATCCTCCAGTCTTCAACTGGTATGTCCGCGAATTTGGCATCGACGTCAACCTGTTTGTGGACCACTCGCAGATTGTGCAGTTAACCTGTCTGCGCTCGGGTATTTGGGGCATGGCCGACACATTTGGCAAGATTGTGAGCTACAGAGAATGAGTAATGAGGGGGGCAGTTGACAGGCACCCGCAGGAATGTACGAGATATGCAAGAGGTGTTGACGAATGCAACAGCACTGCGGTCCTCTGTACCGAATCAGTTTGTGCGACAAGATATGTACGGGGTACAAGTAGTAGCATAATGCAAATTGCGTTATTATCGGCAGTGCCTGATCGAGTGCTATCTCCGACTAGGATCATTCCCACCAGTCCTTCGACATCGCCTCGGGGACTCCAGCGGCCAAAGGATCTTGGGAGTCAGCCGCTAAAGAGAGCCTATTATTAAGTTTATCGACGCCCCTATGGTGGGTGCGTCTTGCCCCTTGTTTTGGTGCCTTGCCGCCCACAGGCACCAACCATTAAGCCAGTTAGGCTTGGTCAGTCAGCCACCACACTGCCCGTTTCTGGTGTGGCGGCCACGTACCTCGTACTCATTGTATTGTTCGTGATGGCTCCCTGTTCGTCCTTTTTCTTTCGAGGTACTGAAAAGGGTATTATGTTAACTTCCCCGTGCAACACCGCCCCCAAAACCAACATCAACCGGTCTGCAAAACGGATCAGCCGGATGGCACAGGAGCTCAGCACTTGGCCTTGCCCTTGGCTGAGAAAGTTGACTGGTCGTATTAGCCGTCAATCCTACGATCCGTGTGGCAGTGAAGTGCGCGACTTGGTCTGGATCCTTGACATCATGGGCCTGATTGCCTCCGAGACACGAACACACTCCAAACTTCCCGCCATGCAAAAATGTGGAAATGCTTCAGCTCGCCATTATTGCTCACTTCGAGTAGCATACTACTAATATTTCACTATTCATCCTTCCGAACCGGGTCGCGATACGGTATGATAATACTCAGACCATCACCATCCCCCCGGGTGACTGGCTCTGTGAAGGTGAAATAGGCTGCCTCTCCTGTCCTTCCCCCTTTCTATTTTCCCTGTCTGTGGTGTATCGCCTGCCACTTAAACGTGGACCATTCATCATTATGAAGTTTGCTTTGCTAGCTGTCATTGCCAGCACTGTAGCGGCCGGTGTGGATGGTGAGTACAATGGTTCGTTCGAGTCTTGTGTTCGAGGTCTAACAGTCGACACAGCAAATGCCATCCCTCTCGAAGATGCCTACGTTGACGCCTTAGTCACTGTCGAGAACCTGCGCCGGTCTCTGCCGAACTCTCCCAAAGGATACACTCCGACCTTTCAAGATTGCCCTCAAAATGCCCCTGTGGTCCGAAGTGCTGCTTCCCTCTCGCCGAACGAGACGCAGTGGTTGGAAAAGCGGAGGAATAACACAGTTGCGCCAATGCGTGATTTACTGAGTCGGCTGAACATCCAAGGCTTTGATGCGGCGCAATATATTGATCGTGTGGCCAACAATGTCTCTGCGCTACCTAATATCGGCATCGCCGTGTCGGGAGGCGGTTGGCGAGCACTCATGAACGGTGCCGGTGTTTTGAAGGCGTTCGATTCTCGCACCGTCGGTAACACTGACAAGGGCAAGCTCGGCGGTCTGCTCCAGTCTGCGACATATTTGTCGGGTTTGAGTGGAGGGTCATGGTTAGTCGGCTCCCTTTTCATGAACAATTTTACGACGGTCGGGGCATTACAGGCGGAAACGAGTGGCTCAGTTTGGGAATTTGGCAACAGTGTCATTGAGGGTCCTGAGAAAAGCGGACTCCAAATCTTCAACACGGCCGAATATTACGCCAACCTGGTGAGCGACGTCGAAGGAAAGTCAGATGCCGGGTTCGATACGTCTTTGACCGACCTTTGGGGCCGTGGGCTTTCGTACCAACTGATTAATGCCACTGAAGGTGGTTCGGCTTTTACCTGGTCCTCTATTGGCATTTCGGCACCCTTTTTGAATGCTGACAGCCCGTATCCTATTATCATCGCCGACTCACGTGCACCCGGGGAAATACTGATTCCGGGCAACACGACCATCTACGAGTTTAATCCCTATGAGATGGGCTCCTGGGATCCCACTTCCTTTGGCTTCGTGCCAATGAATCATTTGGGCACCAATTGGACAGCCGGCCGAGTACCGGCCCATGAAAAATGCGTGGTGGGCTTCGACAATGCTGGGTTCCTCATGGGAACTTCATCTACATTGTTCAACCAACTCATTCTGAATCTCAATTCATCAGGTGTCCCGGACTCTCTGCGGAATCTCGTTGCAACGATCCTGACGGATTTGGGTGACGACGACAATGACATTGCGGATTACACACCCAACCCGTTCTTCAAATATAACCCGCAAACCAATCCGGGTGCCAATTCTCCGCAGCTCACTCTGGTCGATGGCGGTGAAGATTTGCAAAACATCCCTCTTCACCCCCTGATCCAACCCGCCCGTCACGTCGACGTCATCTTTGCGGTCGACTCATCGGCCGACACCGACTTCAATTGGCCAAATGGAACCTCTATGGTGGCCACCTACGAACGGTCACTGAGCGCCATAGCCAACGGCACAATCTTCCCAAGTGTTCCCGACGTCAACACCTTCGTCAACTTGGGCCTCAACTCACGTCCAACTTTCTTTGGCTGCGATACGTCCAATTTCACTGGCGGCACCACCATTCCGCCTTTGGTCGTCTACATTCCGAACTCGCCGTACGTGACATTCAGTAACATCTCAACCTTCCAGCTGTCGACCAACGACACCCAACGGGATGCTATCATATTAAACGGGCTGAATGCTGCCACGATGGCCAACGGCACACGGGACGCAACCTGGCCCACCTGCGTGGCATGCGCAATCTTGAGCCGCAGTTTGGAACGCACAAACACCGACGTCCCTGCGGCGTGCACGAGCTGCTTCAGCCACTTCTGCTGGGACGGCTCGCTCAATTCGACGCAGCCCGTCGATTACGCGCCAGAGCCGGTTCTCCAGGAGGTGAACCTGCAGAGCGGAGGCTCTAAGCTCCTTCCTAGGTGGGCTATTGCCATAGCTGCAGCAGCGCTGGGCTATCATTCTCTATAATTTTTTCGGATTTTTACAAGCTCGGGGCGATGACCCTGCTCGGCACATATTGGAATTGAAGGATGGGACCAGCATCTTTTTTTGGGTAGGCGGTCCAGGTTCAGGATACATACAAAAGTGGTATTCACGAGGGGCATGATCCTGCATATGATGGGTCGGGTGCATAAAGCGATGTGGGCAGCGATTTGTTCGTGGATGATGATCCTTCGCCATATAATTCGGAGCAATCGAGGCTGAGAATCCAGCGTGGCAAAATCCTTGTTCTTTTGTGATAACACCGAGGCGCAAATTTGTACGAGGTGCACTTGGCACCCTGCTGGGTTCATGTGTGGCGACTTGGTGAGGAGCTAAACGAAATAGCATCATTGAAGGGCGCGTTGAGGTGACCGTGACCCAGAAATGGACAAGGCTGATGCTGTGTGGAGAGAAGCTCATGCCACCTGCGGCCCCTTCACGGTCCTCATCCTCACCTCTCACCATTCACCACCACCGCATCCCGCACAAGCTGCATCTCACCTTCACATGACCTGGCCTTCGTAATGCTGCTGATGTCGTTACCTAGCATTAATAATCTCCCTTTACGCTGCAGCTCTTTCTATCACTGTTCCCAAGGCAAGTATTACAGCCCCTCTGACCTCTGAGCGTGGGGAGGCAATGACATGGGAATACAGCCTTTTTGGAGTCGACAAGCCCCGGTCGTATCTCGGGCGATCCATCATCCCACGCCCATTCATCCCACGTACCGAAACATGAACCGATCAGCGTGACGATCCAGGGGGCAAAAGGCCCATCTGACTGGCAAATGATGCAGCCGAAATACAGAAGCGAGGCCCAATTACGCAGATTCGCGCCCTGGACCGAACTCATGTGGCAGTCCGGTCAACCCTCCGCTGCCCACCAAGCTCTGTGAGTGGTTCGGAAGGACCCAGGAGTAAAAAAACTTTTTGCTTTGATCCTCTGAGGACAAGATGCGCCTTGAATATGCTTCCATCATCAGTCTCGGAAACACATCGCGCTCCGCGGTGGGCAGTAGCCGCTGCCGTTATCCGGTCATTGACCTGGGCACACCTAGCACCATGGGCAAGAGGCGATGTCCCGTTGGAGCCAAAGGAGTCTCGAGCGAATGGGGGCTCTTTACACCCTCCACATACTGTACGCCGTGGTTTGTCATTGACCTCCCCCTCAGCGTACACCTCTGGACCCCCAACACCGCCGAGTCATAAGTCAGAGAGAGAGTCAAAACAATGAGGATGAATCGTTCAAGTCGTTCTTGATCCATATGAGACACACATGGGGGAAGTAATCGTCCAAGCATCCAGGCCCTTACCGCCACTGGGAGCCAGCGATAAGGTCGACAACATTGCAGACACCGACAGCCAAGTGTCGTCCGAAGCACCCGTTCCGATCTTAGAACCTGCTCCTCGTCACTCGAGCGCGAGTCCTCCCGATGCACACACTGAGGATGGCACCACATATGTTTACCTGACCTTTGACACTCACATCCCATTCGATGAGTTCTCGTCTGGCACGTCCTCAATACCTCCGCCAAATCTCAAAAAATATGAATCACCACTCACCTGGTCCGCCACGCATAAGACCATTATCTTGATATTGTCATGTGGCTGTACCTTTCTTGCTGCGTACAGTGCGGGTTCCTATTCGATTGCTGCGGGGCCTCAGCGCGAGAAATGGCACCTGTCTGGGGTCGCCTTCGAAACCGGTGTCACGACATGGGCGACAGGCTTCGCGGTGTCTCCAATGTTTCTTGCGCCATTTTCAGAAATCAATGGTCGGCGGCCTGTCTTCATTGGTTCCGCGGTCATGTTCCTGGCGGGACTGATTGCTTGTGCGACCACCCCGTCTTTCAGTGGCATGCTGGTGGCTCGATTCTTCGTCGGGGCCGGGGCCAGCACCTTTGCGACTATGGTTGGGGGTGTCATGTCTGACTTGTACCATGCTGAACATCGGAACACGCCAATGGCCATATACAGTGGCGCCGCACTCGCAGGCACTGGTATGGGGCCGCTCCTATCCGGTTTTATTGTTGGTCGCGCCAGCTTTCGCTGGGTCTATTATCACCAGATCATATCACTGGCGATCATGCTGGTCGTGGTGTATCTTTTCTTCAAGGAGACGCGCGGTTCAGTGCTGCTCAGCCGCCGGGCCAAGGTATTGAATGCGTACCTCGATGAGATCGAAAATGAGTCGGCCAACACGTCTGATGAGAAGCAAAGCGACCGAGTCCGCGTCCGTTACAGAGTTGCAGCGGATGAGAGTCGAACCTCGATTGGCCGCATGTTGTACCTGTCACTGACCATCCCTTTCAAGCTGCTCACCACAGAACCCGTCGTGTTCTTCTTTTCACTGTGGGTCGCCTTTGCCTGGGCCCTGCTGTACATGACATTCTCTGTTATCCCCTTGGTGTTTCAAACCCGCCACAATTTCAACGTCGAGCAGAGTGGAGGAGTCTTTGCTGCCATTTCCATTGGGTCCGTCCTGGCGACCGTGTTGTCGATATACCAGGAGAAGCTGGCAAAGAGGAGATGGCCCAAACTCAACAGCAGTCCGGAAGGAAGACTGTACTTCCCCTGTCTTGAGGGGGCGCTTCTGCCGATTGGCCTGTTCTGGTTCGGATGGACGACGTATTCCTCTATCCCTTGGATATCACCAGTCCTCGCCATTGGGTGTGCACAGATGGGTATCTTTGTCATTTACCTCGCGGTCTTCAACTATCTGGCCGACGTCTACCACCGTTACGCGTCGTCGGCACTGGCGGCCCAGAGCTTCATGCGAAATATCTTTGCGGCGGTCTTCCCGCTCTTCACGAACCAGATGTTCACCAATCTGGATTACCCACCCGCTGCCAGTCTGTTGGGAGGCATTGCCGCTCTGTTGACGTTGGTGCCCTGGGTGCTGCTCTTCAACGGTGAGAAGATTCGTGCGCGCAGTAGAATTGCGAGAGAGATCATGTCGACGCAAGGATCTTGAGAGACATTTCGAAGATGCGAATTTTTCAAAAGTGTTGAGCGTTGGTGTTCCACCATCAGAGATCGAGTATCAGCATGTTATCGCAAGCGTTGGATGTTGGAATTCAGCCGCAGCAGGAAACGAATTATGACATACAGGACAGTGTATTGTCCAACATCGCCATTCCAGCATATGGGTTATCACTGCCACGTTCAGCAGCACCCGAGGATCGAATTCTATGAGGGCGTTTATGTATGATGAATACTCAGAAAATTGGTAGTCTAGTCGATAATATAGGAAACACTCATAACCGAAAGCCGCCGACGAAGATCTTTGAGAAGAGGGGTAGAAGGCAATCTGCATCTTTTGTTTTATCCGCACAAGCAGCCTTACAGGGCAGTAGTATATGTGCCAGCGTATCGCTACTGAGGAAAGGGAGGAGGGAGGATGTGAGAATGCCGCATGCACGTACCCCAAAATGGGGGACGCGGTGTGTTCCATTCACCCACCCGACCGAACCGGACTTGTCTCTGTAACTCCTACGCAGTAGAGAGTGGGTATATACTAATTAATGAATTACCTGCCTACCCAAGTCTAGGCAAAGAAGGGTAGAACAAAACGGAGCAGAATGCTAATGCTAATGCTGGTAATACCAGAGAGGGTACGAGTGCCGCGCAGATAAGAGTTTAAGTTTCAGGGGCCGTCACCACCAGTCACTGCTGTTCAACTGAGTAATACGAGTCTCTATATACTATCATGTGTTCGAGGGCTGTCTCGGCGGGCTAGCCTGGACTGGGCTGGGCTGGGCTGGGCTGTGTGTGTATGGCGTACATACATAGGTCGATCGATGATGGAATATAGAGGGCATGCAGGACGAGGTATGAGGCACAAGAAAGACACTTCCTTCATCTGTCCCTTCCTGTCTTCCTCGCCACCTGGTTAGCTCTCGCGCTCGGGCGGCGACGACGTTTCCTGCAAGGAGAGATCGATTGGATATATTGGAACCTTGGACATAGAATTGGTTATCCCAGGGTTATTTCTAACCTTGCTTGCTTGCTTGCGCCGTGTTCAGTTTTGTTTCAAGAGTTCCTTCACGCTTTTATATTCCTGCTTTTCCCGTGCATGCATGCATCCATCTATTCCCGATCATATTTCCCATCTGTGTCCCTTGAAGGGAGGGGAGGATGGTGAATGGATGAGTGATATCCAGCTGAGAGCACACACCATCTCCCACCATATTTATCTGGTCCCCGCCAACCTCCGCTCCTGGACCTCCGTCAGGGCACGACTGCCGCTCAGGAATGCCGTGACGCCCAACACGCCGAGGACGGGGAGTGTCTGGAACAGATTCCAGCTCGTGTAGTACAGGAAGAAGACGAACTCAATCCCCGCGATCGAGGACACGAAGCAGGCGTGCGAGATCGGCGCGGCGGAGAAGGCCTTGGGCAGGGAGGACAGGTTGATTCCGAGGGCGAGCCACTATCGGGACAGGAAGGGGCGAAGAGGTTAGCACTGTTTCTTCTCGGGCGATATGGTGGTTGAGGTGGTGAGTGGTGGTGGAAGTAATGTGACAGAAAATGGGACAGGGGCTATAAAGGCGTGCGATAGAGAAGAGGGGACAGGGGACAAAGAGCAACGTACGGCACCTGCCAACAGCGGCAGGGTTCCCACCACAGCGGCCAAAAACACCAGACTGATGATCGCGGGCGGAGACCTTGGGTCAGAGCGGAAGATGTGGTGGATTTCTGAAAGTTTGCCGTATCGGAGGGGTTTCTCTGCGACGGGTATGGGAGTATTTGAATCTGTCTTGACTTGGAGGGTGAAGGCCGGGGAGTTGTAGCCTGGGGTGGTGCTGAAGGAGGCGATGATGATGGATGCGCTCAATCCCGATGTATTGTTCGTCGCGAGAGCGGAAGTGAGGAATTGGACCGGGAGATCTTTGTGTGTCTGTCCGTGCACCAAACTATTAGTCTTTTCTCATTCCCATTGACTAACTCTGGCGAGGACGCAGCAGGCCGGATGAGGCAGTCCTCGGTGCACAGCCTGTATGTGACTATTCCCGCCTTTGCTCTCCCTCTCTTTCCTGCTTTCATCCTCAGCACTGGATAGATCACACATACCAGTTCGACCTTCGCCTTGCCCGACTCCTTCACACTGAACGGATACGAAACGTCGAGTTTCCCTTCTTGGTCTTGGAGCAGCAGAAACGCCTGGTGCGGTCTTTTGGCACTTTTCCCTTCTTGCGTTGTGAGCGTGATCTTCAAAGTGTCGGAGCCACCGAGCAGGATGGGTTTGGGGAGCGGTTGAGAGGGGGTAAGTCTAACGAGTGGGAACGAGATAGCAGTCAGTTACTTGAGCTCTTCCACGTATATCGAAAGTTGTACATGAAATCATCAGTCGCAGAATAGGACGTACTTCTCTTTAATTCCTCCATCCTTCCCGGCTGCGGACCCTTTGCTGGTCACGCTGAGAGAGGCGTCGGTGAACGTCCACGTAGAGGCTGCTGCTGCTGATGATGATGAACCTAGTGTAGAGCAGAGGAGCAGAGCCTGGGGGAGAAATGAAAGTAGACGCATTATTGTGGCCGAGAAGATTGGCACGATGTTCGCAGTGGGATCACGGAAGTTTCAATGGGAACATGACACTCGAAATAATTAATGAGGAGACATATACGTAGCCTCAGCCTCGCCAGCTTCGCTCAGCCTTGCTTCTCCAAACTCCCAAGAGAAGAAGGTAAACCGAGTCCGAGCTCAGCCAAATCACGACAGAGTACGAGGTATTACACCCTCGTTCAAGCGCCGACTTTTCATGCAAATTCAACGGATCATACACGACCACCTGCAGCACGCCTCAATGGATAGAACCACTTCGCAACATGCTGCCCTTCCCAGCTTAGTACAGTCACAGCCTTATGCCACGCACGCTTCGGCCTTGGCACGCTCCACATGTTTCCGTCCCGAAGTATCCAGTATCCAAGACTGCCCGGTGTTGTATCCTTCCAGGGTTACAAAATGCGAACTCGCAAGGCTTTAGATCGTCTATCAATATCGATGTTGCCTGAGCGTCATCAGCACCCAGGGTCCCGTATGACTGCAATGGATTCTTGCATGATCTCCGAAAGATATAGAAGCATGCTTCGAGACATTGCTCTACAGCGGAACGACATCTGCATTTCCCATTTTCCAATATAAAGATTCTCATCTTGTGCTCTGCACCCAAAAGGCGTTTGCACCAACGTGTTTACCTCAGCATGACTGTCATGGCACAGCATCTCCAAGCCCGTGTGAACGAAGACAATGCAACCATGTCCCTTTCTTTACCTGCAGAGAACTACTTCAGAGAACCTACATCGTCAAGCATTTTATATTTACATATTGGGTTCATGATGTTGGCTTGGATAGGATCTCTTCCCCTCCGCAAGTAGCCCCCCTCCAACCAAGAACCAAACGCTGACATGTCCAGTTGCGTCGTTGGACATCGCCCGCTCGAGCCTTGCATATCCGGCCAGAATACTCCTTGTCGGGCTGCATGCCCTCGGAACCGTCTTTGGTCTAGCATACAACTCCAAAACACCCGACTTATATCGCAATAGCTCACATCATTCGCTTGCCTGGACGTTGTCCGCAGTTGCGATTCTGGAATCAATCCTAAGCATCACGAGAAGCTTGTCGCGGTCCCGCTCGATCAAAGCTACCTATGATACGAGTCACGAACGGCGGCCGCTTGTTTCGTCTTCCAGGCTGTTTCAAGAAACCGAGGAGTCCCGTGGTGATGACCAAATACACGCTATAGACCCATCCTGGAGTGCGAGCCGAACAAGTCGAATGAATTCCACGAGAACCGATTCCCACACTCGGTTCAACTTTGCTTTCCTTCCTTCTCGTGCCGCAATCGAAGGATGGTATACACGGCCCTTCTCCTGGTCCACAAGGATTTCAAAGGGGCGCTTCGTCCCTAATGCGACGTTCACATCTCGCTTTGTCGTCATGGTGATGATAATTCTAGCGTTTGTTTCTTTCTGCACTGGAATAGTTTCTATGGCTGGAATATTTGTGAGGAGTCTCCGTTTACCATACTTGGATATCCGTTAACAACGCTCAGCATGGAGATCGAATCTTCAATGGCTTAGCCCATTTTATCAAAGGGGGGGTTTTCTTCTTCGTCGGCGTCATCACTTTGCTCCGTTGCATTGGCTGCTTTTCTGGGCTTGGCTGGGCGTGGAATCTCAAATCCTCAACAGGATATCCGTCTCGGAAGTGGAGTTGCTCTGTCACCATGGAGGGTGTTGAATGCTTGCTAATCTTCATTTATGGAATCACCAATGTTTTCCTTGAACATGTCTCAGGTTGGGGGGAGGCGTGGACGGCACAGGATCTTGAACATGTCGCCATCACGCTCTTGTTCATGGGCGGTGGTTTGGTGCGTTTCGCTCGGTCTTTGATTGCTGCGCGAGATATTGACTGCGCCATAGTGCGGTATGATGGTCGAGTCCCGGGTATTGTCAACAAGGCAGGCGTCGGAAGCCTCTCTCACATTAGGCGAAAGCCGGACGTTGATACCCGGATACTCGCCCAACCCCGTACCAGCCATGATTATGTTTCTACTAGGCACAATACTCAGTGGCCACCATCAAAGCACAACGGAGTCTTCAATGATGCACAAATGGGTAACCTCTTCACACGTTTGTGCTTCGCCACGGTGACTAACACTTCGCAGATCGGTAATTTTCTCGCAGCAGCATCGATTACAAGGAGTCTCACGTACCTGGTGCTCTACATTGCACCAGCAAGATCTCTGCTACCGTCCCGGCCTCCATCTGAGCTTGTCACGTCTTTCTGTCTGATGTCGGGAGGTCTGATGCTCATGGCCAGTGTAAGGAGCCATGAAAAGACCTGCTGTGGTGACGGTCGGTGCTGACGAGGAATACAGAACAGTGACACGGTCGATGCGATGATTGAGAACGATCTGAACGCGATGCTCGTCGCCACGGTCATTATGAGCATAACGACTGTTCTGATGGCGTGGTGTTGTGTGCTGGTTGCTATACAGGAATGGGCACAGAGGAGGGAGGGAGTGACGAAAAACAGGAAAGACTTGGACTGAGTCTGAACATCCTTCAGCGTCACAAGGAGCATGTGGAAGAAGTTACGAGCATGGGCTCGAGCAAGGTGAAACTATTACCATAATTTTATACCTTTCAATGTTATTTAGAAAGTACCTGTTTGTACGATCAAGTGCATTGCATCCTCAACATTTGTGTCTCTTGCGTCCGGTGGTGATTCTGCGTGTCGGCACAGCGCAAAACCATCAACCTTTGAGGCACGGTCAAGAATGCGTCACGATTTCTTAACCGGTTCTGTCGGTACTGTCGTTCAGCCACCCGGGTGGATGTAGTGGAAAAGCCAACCACTCTTGTCCTTGGCAGCACAAGCAACGGTCGAACTGCTCCATAACTGCCTTGCCACGGCACAATCACTCGACATCGAAGAGCGCACTAGGTGGGAGAAAGCAGGGGCCGGAAGCATGTCTTTTCGTTCTTGAGTTCCTATTGCACATGCGAAATCGCCTTTCTTGATGAGAGTTCGTCGCCGGCTGGATGGTGTACAACAACAAAGTCCCTGAGAAGGACGGATCTATCATCATCCAGTTAAGTGGTCCCACGATTCCCTTCCGCTCCGATGTCAGTCGCGAAATATGTTTGCGGGCGACACCACCTTTGAGGCATGAGCTCAGAGGTTGCTACAATCCAGCGCTTCTCCCGTGTTGACCACTATGCCAGGTCTAAATATGACTCTCACAAGAAGCTCGCCGTAGTACATTTTCCGTAGATACCCATTCGGGGCCCGAAACAGGTCCAGCTTTCTGTACATCGCGTATGCTCCCATCATACCTTTCAAGCATTCGTTGATCTCTTGATGGGTGTAATCATTGAGTTCTGCAGGTATTCGTGAAAAATGATGATTTAAGGAGGTTCTCTCAGTCCACGTCGCTGCCATATAGCCCAGGCGCAGGACTCTGTCCTCTGAACAAGACAATTCGCAAACCCCAATTCGTTTGGTCTCCGGAATGTCGTGGCAGCTATCTACCACGAGCCCGTGCTCTTCAATATCTGCCATGATCATCGCTACATGCCCTCGGGCATAGTTGACGAGGCCGTCCTGGTACCCGAGTTGACTCTTCAATAAAGAAATGAAATCACGCCTGATTTGAGGGTCACGACAGAGCATAGCACACGTGAAAAATGTGCCGTTGACGAAGCGGTCGACATATACAACTGGGCGCCCTGCATGACGGGAGGCAATGACCTCTTTGCCGAGCCGACAAATTTCTGCGAACGTTCCAGCATATGCATCAACCCGAAGCTCGTCCGCCGCGAGGAGCTTAGCGTGAAATAAAAGGCGAGCAAGTAGTAGTCCGACCTTCACTTGCACTAGTTGTAGCTTCTCAGTAGCAGAGTTTGCGGGCAAGCTGCGGTAAAGCATGTCCCAATGGAACAGGATCGTAGAGAAGTGTTGACCTACATCACAAGCAAAAGAGCAGTCCGGATCAACGTAAGCCCCTAGAGTGATATTGCGCATTACTCGTGCAATGACTTCCATCATCATAGCCTTAAATGAAGACAATACCTGTTCACCATTTGTGAATGGACCGCTCGGAAAGTGTTGGACAAGTCTGATGTCTTCGCAGTTTGCGACTGTTTTCTCAAATAGAAAGGCAACGTCAGCGGCCCAGAGTTTATAGCCATGCTGCTGACCGATAGACATGAGTACACTGGACAGCTGCTCAAGACCGCCACCACTGTCCGTGCCATTGTCCAGCTGAAGCATCTTAAGACCAGAATCGATGGCCCGATCAGCAGCTTCGTTTTCCGCTCGGAGAAGATGGTAGGTCGCGACGAGAATCGAGGATGTTATCAGTGATTGCCGATTCGTTTCCCCAGACAATATGGTCCGAAGCGCTTTGTTGCATTGTGTCAAGGCAAAGTGGTCGAGCGGGACGGCCCGTGGCCTTTGCAAGAACTCATATGTTGCTGCGATGGCGACCACAAGATGTCGAATGCCGGGTTCGGATTCTACCAAACAAGGAACAATGCCTTTCCAGAATTCTCTGTGTCGTTGCACTGTAAGAATTTTATTGACTGCGACTTCTTGGAAGTACGAAGCACTGCGTCTTTCGTGGACGGTCCAGTCATGATTTCTCTGTATCGGATAGCTGGGCGTTAATGGCAACCAGGGAGAGGTGCAGGCGCAGTATCGGTGATCAGGATTGGCGTGGCCCAGCCCGGGATGTCTGCTCCCACGTGTAGCCTGAAAATTCTTAAGCTTGAAGACATGTTTGCGTCCGGTCGTAACGGCAGTGTTTACTCTGTACAATGTCGTTGTTGCTTGTTTCCGGCTCGCTGCTTTTTGGTGTCGGCTTACAGCTTGAGCCTGTGAGAAAATGTCAAGGCGCTCCTGACCTTCAGACTGTGACAAGGATTGGGATTGAGCACTCTTGGTAACCCATAATAATGTTGCCATTTCGCCTGCCGTCGACGCTTGACCAGGGCAGGATAACAGGCGAACGTAGCTAAGCGTTTGGAAGAGTCATTATTGTGAATTCAATCCAGCATATTCTGTATGTCAAATGTGATTCCAACCCTGGTTGGCGAGTGTAAAAGGTACAGAACATTGTTCGAGGGCCTGTTGCGATTGCCGTGATCCGGAAAAATGCAAGGCATTTAGGCAGGTGTCCGATCAAGGATGGACGAGTTGTACATTGCGTCGGCGTCAGCGCCAGCGCAATTAGTCAAAGGGTCATTGATTGAGCCGACCAGGGTGCGGTTATCACGTGTAGATCCTCTCCTACGCAGCCCGATGGTTACGTTTTGGTATTGACACGCATGTTTTTGGTATAAACAGGCACTTTTAGTCGCTGTTAGCCAACGCACTCAACAACCAATGCTATAACCTGTTGACCATTGCTGCCTGACAAGGCTGAGTCAGGTGCCTGTACCTCGTACATTGTACCGGATGGGAATATTGCTCTCTGATTAGCTGGGGTTTTAGCGTAAGGCTGAGGTCTTTGCAGTTACTATTTCTTTTGTCTGCCGATAACATGGCACAGAACAATAATCAAGCCATCTGTCAAGTATCCTACCGCCGTACGAGTTGATTCCAAACGGCCTTGAAGTCGCACCCCAGTTCAATAGTGCACGGACTGGGGCTTGCATCGTATTTGACTATAGGACGAACGACAATCACGAAAGCCTGTCGTTTGTGTGACGACATTGGGCTAAGCCTCGAAGTCGAATTCTTCGAATAACTATTCTGAACATGACCTTAACGAGCCATGATCAATATTTGGGACTCAATTGAACATCGTGGTACTAGGTCTCTTCTACGACCTGTTGATTCCGTAAGCACCGAACACGTTGGAAATTCCAACTCAGCCAACCACTAATGCTCAGGCATATGACGAATTCGGGGAAGCCAGCATAACTAGGACGGCCCTCACCCATAGCACTCCTGTGAAGGATTGACTTTCGAACTCTTGTGGCCGATTGCGTACAAGCCTGAGGACATGCATCGAAGGCCAGCGAATGGCATGGCAAAAACGATCCACCTCGCTATCTTCTGTAAGTTGATGGTCCTGTAAGTGCCTGCTTGATGGTGGTGTGTAAGGTAAAGCAGGTTCAGCACATATAAGGTCAAACAGAGCCAGAGCGCAAGCAATATAGCTGATCCAGAACTTTATCGCTTCTCGTCGGTGCTGATCTCGGTGGGCGACGGATGGTTATTGGATGACAGGAGCTTGATATTGCCGATGACCCATGAATTTTTAATTGTGCCATGAGGAGTCGGCGTCTTGTTTTCTTCATGCGTCCTGCTGTCGAATTCTCCTCAAGTAGGTGAAGACGGACCTCATGCAGGAAGCCTCCGAGGGCTAGAAGGTGAGGGAAGAGACGGGTCGATGCGAGAATAGCCAAGGCCATCTTTGGATGAGTAGCATCTCGGTTTGTAGAAAGTAGAGACATGATGTCCTCGGCGATTCGGACGGCGCAGGCCGCGCTCAGGGATATCCCAACACCCCAGCAGAGCCATGTTTAAAGACGAGGTACAACACAAATGGTTCAATGAGTAGATACAGAGTCAACTCGACAATGTAAAGGTCTGATGTGCCCGAGAGCGTTACGGTAATGAGCTCAAAAACCGGGATTGCACCAGAAAATCAAGATAGCTAGATGGCTTTTGTGGTGGCAGGCTGTCCGGTTACATGGTTCTCGGCCATGCTTTTGTAGCCATTTCCCAGACTCAGTCTCATATCAATCCCGACCCTGATCGAACGTTGGACGATTCACCTGTCAATTTCCGCTTTCGGATTCTTTGAGTTTCCTACCACTGGTGCAGAGCCTATATCTTCGTATTCGTATATCACTTCACACCATCTGACCTGTACCTGGGCTGCTGCTAGTAGAGTAAATCTAGTCTTCGTGTGAATATGCCACTCGCTCTGCTCTTAGGTAGACCCAATTTCGAACTCAAAGAGCCCTTGCTTGAAGGTTTTTGAGTGAATGTCCCATCTGATTCGGTTCGAAGTACGAGATGCCCTCCTCAACCCTGCAGTTTTTGCTGACTGAGACGATAATACATAAAATGGTGAAGCACACAGAGTGGATATATACTCGGTATAGCGGACTGCATGCAAGCTAGGATCCACTAACCACTACCTGTTCAGGAAATTTCAAAAAGCTTAAAAATGAGCTAGCTTAGGGCTCCCCCGGGGAGTGGAGTTGTCACGGCCTATACCAAGGATCCACCCTATTCACGTCTGGGATTGCGAGCAAGGCACCAGACAGTGTCCACTGGCGGTTCCGAAGCAGTCGATCATTTTCAGGAAGCCGACTGTTTTCTCTCACTGCATCTTCACTGAGTATCACGAATTTCTGTTGAATAGCACCATATGGGTTCGATCGCCAGAAGTGTGCTGCTGGAATCGGTCTCACATCTGAATACTTGCAACACCATCATGAGAGGAAAGAAGCTAAAAAAGCTGCCACAGCAGATGAAAACATCGAATCAGATGATGCAGCTACTGCGGGCCACAACACTCAGAAATCAGACACTGTACATGCGCAAGAGCGTTATTTGTCCATAGACGCAGTGCCAAGTACGTTGACGATGAAGAATAGTGGAAGCTCGATGAAGTGCAAGGCGAGCTGACAAAGATTGGTCTCGACACCAAAGAGATTGTGAAGCGATTCACAGAAGATCACCCTCCTACCAGTGCTTTTGAGGATGCAGGGCTCTCACTACCAGTGGTATTGCCTCAACGAAGACCTAAAGCACGAACTCGAGGCTTCATCAAAGCCTATACTCCTGAACTGCAGGACTGTGATATTGACTAAGAGATATTCCTGGAATTTGTTGAAACGTTTAATCACGCAACTTTAACCTCCCCCATGACTCGATGCCATCAATCTCGCATCGTTTGCTTTTGTTACGTTACCGACAGATATTTTCCAGGCCCTGTCGATCGCCATCGTGATTCTGTCGATATTGCGAAGAATATGCAGAGTTAACATAGGCACGAATACATACTTCGTCAGTCCAATGAGGACTTTTTTCGCCCTCGCGGCCTCTATGCTCTGGTCCCAACCCGGAACCCCGAATCCAGTGAAAGGGGCATTGACGTGGACTTGAATCAGATAATCATTGATAGTCTACAGCCGGCTGACGGGCTGTTGGAGAAGATCAAGAACATTTTCAGACCGTCTATGGGAAACAAAGTCGGGATTGTATTCTCTGAGACTGCGCCACTCATCTTCCCTGAGGTTGATAGTTTGGCCAACGATCGCTCCACTGGGCAAAAAACTTTTAGGAGAAGTCAAGAAGAATAAAGGTCTCATAGCTTACTACTTCGACTGAAGAGCTCGAGCCGATGATGCTGGAGTGAATCCTGGCAGTCAAGTTGAGAACGGGCCAAAGCTAGTCTTTGGATCGACATACGCACACCCTAACCACCCTTCCAACACTGCGTCATCTATTTCACTCGTCACAGATGGGAATCAGATCCGTCGCGTCGTCAGCGACTACCCGCTCAGCGTAGGGTGTTTGTTGGCAGCATCATATCCTCTGCGCACGTTGGTGGTGGTCGTGGACAACACCATCCAACACTGCCGCATTGGACGAAAGAACGTATAGTGCTCACAAGACACAATCTGGTGCTGGAAAGGGCTTAGCATAATCATTTAATGCTTGCCCGCTTGGGCCTGGGTTGATCAGATATGGTTCCCAACGATTATTTCAGCATGTAAATTCTCTTGGAGTGCGCATTGCCCGTGAAAACTGCTGACCGACACCATAGCATGTGTTGTAATCGCCCATCATCAATATGCCAAATGAAGATGAACTGGTCGCTGCCAATGGAATCCTAAAGCAGGCTGAAGTACCTTGAAAAGAGTTTGGGATTGCCTATCTTGGAGCTTGAGAAGTCCAAACGACTCTACTTTCCTCAGAGTCAGGTGCAGGCCATATAAATTTAGCCAGTGGCCACCGATACTACAAAGCTGAGTGGTGGTAATTGGACTTGTCAGATCGGTAATTGGAGAGTTCGGAGCTTTATCCTCGGAACCATTGAGTGACACAAAACTGCGGTAGAGACGAATCCGCATAGTGATAGTGCGGTGTGAATGCAGGTCGCATGGCGGTCAGGCATGCTTCCGTGGTTACACCCCGACATCCATTCTTTAGACACCGATAGATATATTTATCTTTTCGACGGCTGCGACCACTCGACCCATCAGCGTTACATCTTGCTCCCACGAAGCACAGCAACCAGGATTATAATAGACTGCGACGATACGGCAGGAAGCAAGCTCTGTATTAGGGTATTGCAATGATATGAGGAAGTGCACTTTTCCCTGCTATATGACATCCTCGCAAATCTTTCACGGTTGCACTTAGAGTAAGAACAAGTGTAGTCTTGTAAGATATTGCGCTTTGTTGGCTGACGCGCCTAAATTTGAATGTGGCTAAAGAACGAAGAATGACTATCAATTTGGGCATATCAGTGGCCACTACCTTCGTCCTAATCCCAACTCGTAACGCTCTTCCAATGACACCAACTACAGCAGTCTGGGCTTTTGTATCAATACCACACTAGTCAGTCAGGCATCCAATGCTGTCTAGAACGTGGCCGTTTTATCCTTGCGTCCTCATAGGCGACAGGGAAGAGTCGGAACTTGAGCAAAGCTAAGTAATAGCCTTCGGTACTCCATCTCAGTATTCCTTCATACTAACCTAGCACGGTAGTCATCGAAGGGGGCGCTCATCTCAAATGTTTGAGATCTAACGAGCAGAATATTGGCTCCATCCGTTTAATTGTTCCTTGTTCTGAACTCGTGCCCACCTCGGCAGTTCTCGAGCTGCCATTCTCCGGATGACCAAAAGTTTTGCTTCTCGAGAGTTTGTACCTTTCAGGTTGTCGTCCGCTGCACCACTTCGCCTGATTCGAGGATAGTACTGTGCCGTCCCGATGAGAAAACTTGACTACTACGTGTAGCGGTTGTCGGATATTGATCAACTCATTGATATATAAGACCGTTCTCGACTCTGGGGGTTTCTACATATCTCATGCCAATTCAAGTACCTTTCAAGATATATCACAGAAAGGAGAAAAATTTGCTTGCCCTACATTCTCAGAATGAGGATAGCGCTTACGATCCTGCCTCTGGCACCCCTGGCTCTGCAGTCTGTGAGTGCTGGCTGTGGCTTCATACTACATCATACTGAACTACCGTTAGACAGCTCAACTATACAACTATACTTACGATCCGACAAATGCCACCCTTTTCCAGCTATCATCTGACCCGTACTTGGCCTTCCTCGTGGAGGCTGTCCTGGCAACAACAATCGCAGAAGGTACCAGCTCTGGCGAGGTCTTACGTATCGCAACTCAGCTAGTTCCTGGCGACCTCAATGGCTCGTATGCGCCATACCACTGGTTCGCGGAGCAAATGACAACCCTGGCGGAAAGCATAGATCCAGAAGTCGACCCGGTTGGGGCTCGTGAAGCATCCTTTCATGCTGCGTCTTACAATCGCGCCAGCGTCGCACTTCTTGTAGGCAACGCGAGTGACCCCAGACTCTATGAGGCGTGGACGCCAATGCTGGAGCAGTTCGCCACGGCCATTGCCCTGCTCAAACCAGCTCCTGGTGTGCCTGTTACCATCAAAGCCCCCAACTCCAGCATTGGTGCTTTCGACATTCCAGCGTACTTCTTCAAGGCTTCTGCCAGCAATGAATCGTTGCCCACTGTCATTGTCGGCACTGGATACGATGAGCCCATGCAAGACATGTACCATTTATCGTGCTCCGAAATCCTCAAACGTGGCGTCAACTGTCTGTTGTACGAAGGCCCGGGACAAGCAACGCCTCGCCGGGCCGGTCTTGGCTTCATTCCAGATTGGTGGTCCGTCATAACTCCTATCGTCGACTATCTTCACACGAGAGTCGATGTCGATGTCGACAAAATTGTGCTTTTGGGGGACTCCTTCGGTGGCCTTCTTGCCCCACTTGCAGCTTCCAGGGAGCATCGCTTGTCGGCGATGGTGCTGCTCGATGGCCTTCCCAACTTCCGGCAAGTCTTGGAGGAGCAGTTTCCGGAGGATGTCCTCACTCTCTATGACTCGGGCAAAGAAGACGAGTTCAACGCTGCCGTGAACGAGGCTTTGGAAAGTGATGAGGCGCCTACATCATACAAGTTTGTCTGGATATACAGCCTTTGGTCCATGAAAACCGAGTCCCCATACGAAGCCTGGACGCGTCTTGGTGATTTCAGCTGGAACGCCACGACTGCGGGTGAGATCGGGAATCTTCCCGTATATGTTGCAAAAGGCCAGGTATGTTTACTCTCTCTTTTTTTGAGACGAAAGCGAGAACTGATTTACCTTGATTAGGATGATCTCTCCACTGGGAACGAGCCTGAATTAGCGAGACAGTATCTCGTCCAAGGGCGTCCAAATGGTGGCAATCTGACATACTATCATGAGTTCCTCACATCCTTAGGCGCCGGCGAGCACACATCGATTGGTGCGGAGGCGCAAGTCTATATCAGCGTCTTTACCTGGCTGAGTCAGGTCTGGGGTGGCTACAAGTTCACCAATCATTTATAAGTATACAATGTGCCTAGCCTGAAACCTGGTGACTATGAGGAATCGCAGTGTTTGACAGCGGAATGCGGACTGGCGGGCTGGGGTTCATTGCGATAGGCAGGACCGAAGTTGATCATCGGAATTGAGAGTTCCGTCAAAGAACGAATGGTGATCCAGTTCTATCAAGCCTTATCAGCCGCCTCACCCCTCTTCAAAACTGCCCTAACCCATTGTCTATGCTGCTATTCTCAAAATGCACTTGATGGCCTGGTGAACTTGGCATGAATTTACCATATCTTGGTCCGTCCAGCAAATATCTCTCGACCCTTCACGCCATGTTTGCTTCCGCATCCTGAACAACGTCACTGGGCAAGTCCCAGGGAAGTTGACATCTTCCTTAGTGGACTCCTTGTGGTTTCTCAGCAAGAGAAGATCATCTTCTTGCGCCGCAATGTGCCAGAGCCTGACGTGAAGAAGTTGTTGAGGTTTCTTCCGGGCTTCCCTAACATTTCTGACGAGCCTATTCGGTTCCTCACACGAGGTGAGTTTTGTTACCAGGCTCCGTCGATACGCACAACCATGCTCCACAATGGACTCAAGGAGCATGGGCCGATGACTCCAGATCATGGACTGGTTAAGTAAGGTCACATTTCCCCATGAAGCCAAGTTTGATAATTCTGAATATGCTCGCAAGACTTGCGCCAGTTGTGTCGATGGCTTCATCAAGCAAGACGTGACAGCGGCGTCGTACTATGGCAGTCTGCATGGCGAAGCAATCAAGATACTAGTGGACACATGTCTTAAGAAGGCCAGCGAGCCCTGGTGGGAAAATACAACATGGCACGGACTGCTCCAGCCTTCTACTGCGACAAGACCAACAAGGTACCACTGGGAGTGCCTGAGAACTTCATTGCCCAGGTAAAAAGAATACACCCGTCGGGCAGCTGGTTCAGCGAATCTCAACTCCACGTTTTGCAAGTTGCTGTGATGAAGAACTACTCGCCGGAACAGGCGATTTTTTGAGGCTCCTTCGCGAAATAACAGTTCTGGACGACAAATCAGATTTGCCCTCCGCTGTGAAATCAATACGCTCTGGCGTTGTCGAAAGAGACTGCCTACTTTGAATTGATACCGAGCAACATACTTTCCAGCCCGCTATCGCCTGGCGCAAGCACAATACGACAGAATGAGCCTTTAATTACAGCACCTATCAGGCTTATCTCAAAGTCACTCTCGATACACTCTCAGAGCACCCTACCATCACCTCTGGTGAAGCCTGGCGCCTCGGGTGGGCAGCCCAATCAAGGAGGGATTTAGGGGTTGTGCCGCCCACCAACTTAGCGGTCAGCGGTGCACCACTGAAGCCCCAGTGGCTCTGGCGTCCTGCCAAAATTCAGCCCCTACAGCCGGTGGGGCGAGGGCGAGCAAGGGCGGGGGTCGCGAGCAGTTCAACCACACCTTGGCATATTCGAAGGTGGAATGCCTGAAACCAGGGGAACTACATACCAATTACTCGATAAAGCTTCAAAAATTGCTGTCCGAATCTCCAACTATTCGTACTCGGGAGGTGGATCGAGGCACTCCGTTTCCGATTATCGTCCCCTAGTTGGTCGAAGACTCCACTTAGGGAAAAGATGGCAGACTGGAAGGCTTTTCACAGCGGAACGCTCCCTAGGCACCAGCATAAATTGCTTCCGGAAGATCCTGTCCTGTATACTTCACGCTCCGTCAGCATCACTACACCGTCGAAACTGGTCCAACGCTCATGTGAGCAAAGATCAAAGCCTGCATTGGGCTTTTCGTGTATCACCGCAATGGTGGGTGTGGCGGGAAAATCCAAGGGTTGCAACACCTGTAGGAAGCGAAAGATCCACGTAAGTATCGAGATCCGTGTTGCTGTCTCCTTTCAAACTTGTGGCATAAAGGCTAAAGTCGGTGGTAGTGTGATGGATGCAGGCCCTCCTGTGCTCGATGTACGAAGACTAATCGGATATGCGGAGGATATCAGCGTGAACGACATTTCAAGAATCTGAGCGCCTTGGATCGAGATTCCTTGTTGACTCGAACTCAGCCTTTGACTTCGCTGACAGACTTGCACACCATCAACACCCGCTCACCTGCCGACTTGACGCCCTGCAGCACCCCTGAAACGGACGACGGGGCAACATCCACAGACCAGAAGCTTCAAAGTCCCAGAGACAAGCCCAGTCTAGCGGAGCTGTTCGCGAACTTCCTCGACAATTACATCCCCCAGGAAGAAGCCAAACTTCAGAATGGGCACAAGGTCCCAGTTTCCTGGCTGCAAGCTATTGACCCCTCCCGAGTAAACGACGACTCCCTTGATCTCGCAATCCTGGCGTTGAGTCTGGTCTGCCTGGGTCGCAAATATGGCGATGAGAGGCTCCGGCATGAAGGCACAGCAAACTACGGCAGAGCGTTGCGCCGACTACAAGACATTCTCTCACACCACAGTCTGCTTTTCGAGGAGCAGACTCTTGCTAGCTGTATGGCACTGTCCACCTTTGAGGCAAGCGCCCCTTCCTCGGAGTACGTGTATAGGACTCTGGTTGACCGAGTAAGCAGCTACTCGAAGCGTCAGGGGAGAACACTGGCGGATGGGTCAGCCACGTGGAAGGTATTGCACGGTTAATTCAGCTTCGAGGTCCAGAGTTACATGTTGTTGGATTAAGCCATCGTCTCTTCTTGGGCTTCAGATCGACTAGTGTAAGTCGTGGATGTTCTACAGTTTGCCTGAGCAGCAGCTGCTCACACCTCGAGAGCAGATCGTCCTGGCCTTGGCCACCCGCAGATCGACCTACCTGGCACAACAGGACTGGCTGACGGTGCCGTGGAAGGAACACGCGAAGTCGGACTTTGACCAGCTGCTGGATATCATGGCTCAAATGGCCATCCTTCTCGAGGATGCGTCGCGGTTCAACGCCAGCACGACGTTCAACAACATCCCCCATGCACAGAGGATAGAACTTTTCCAACATGGGTGGGAATTTCATTCCCGACTTGAGGACTGGTACCAGGGATTCCTAAGAAAGCACCACCAAGCTGGACCACTCTATCACGAGCGGCCGTCGTCAGCACGTTTTCTTTCTCAATTTGCTGCTGCATCCGTCTTCCCGACGTCTCTCCACTTCCCGAAGTTCGAAATCGCACGGCTTCACCTCTCTTACTGGACCATCCTCCTCTTGCTCTACAGTTGCGTCCTAACCATCCCTCCGTCCTCGCCGTCTCTGGGTAGCGTAAATCCGACTTCTTTGAGCCGTATCGTCGGCGCCACATCTGTGGAAAATGTATTCGAAATTCCCAGACGAGCGCTGGAGCTGGCGAGAATGATCGCCCAGTCCATGGAGTATCTCCTCTCGGAAGATATGCACATTCTCGGACCGCAGAAGGTCTTTTTCGCCCTGCGTACGGCAATGCACGTCTTCACAAGTATGGGGCAAGGGGAGCAGGAGCACTGGTGCAAGGGGATCTTTGAGGAGCTCGACCGCCGCGGGTTTCCCTTTGGCAAGATATTGTGTCGGTGTGAATGGGATGATTTACCAGCGCTCTTGTCCGGAAAATTCACTGTCGCGGGACAAGATGTATCGTCCCAATTAAATTCAGGCACGCACGATGTTTGGAAAAACAAACCAATTTAGAATTGAACGAACATCTATCTATCAAACGCCGTCCGAGACCCTATTGGCGACCACTGATAACGGGAAAGGTATACAAACACCGAGGTAGCGAGGTCGCCGAGTTGTCGGTTCCATCGACGACGGACTGCCAGTTGGGACTTCCTCCATTACATTCCTGGGCATTGCGGATAGCCTCTGCGACATCGATCAACGACTCGAGCACGGCGGGATTCTCGGGCTTGGGGCTGTCGAAGCCTCCCCTACGAAACTCGGCGCACTGAGTGCCCAGGATGAACGGAACGCCCTTCATCGCCTTCCGGCACACGCCCCCTGGGTCGGCTGGGTCGTCTTCGTACTCCGTCGGATCGAGCACGATGTTCCACTCCATGCCAGCCATGGTGGAGCTGACGATCCAGTTCTTCAGATTCGTCTCCATGATGGCGGCGAGGTCCGTACGCGCGGGCACGGCATCCAGGAACGCGCCGCTCTGCGCCAGGCTGAACGCGAAATTGTCCTGGGCCTCGCTGCCCCCGGGCTGGCCGAACGCCGAGTTGGGCCCCGTCCCGAACACGATGTCGATCGACTCCTGCATGCGCCGCTGCGAGCTGTCGACGATCTCCTGTACCTGGCGTCGCAGCTGGTCCTTGGTGCGCTCCGCGAGGTCTCGGATCGCCTCGTTCGCCGCGATCGTGCGCACCACGTCCAACGACCCGCTCAGAGCCTTGTCATCGCCGGCCAGGGAGTAGATGCGGTCGAGGTTTTTGAACAGCTGGACACCGAGGGTAAAGGCCCTGCCGAAGGGAAGAATGCCCAGCACGAATCCCGCGATCGCCTCGAACACGGCTTCCAGAATGTTGCCTTGCTCCTCGGAGAGGCCGTCGACCACTTCATCGATGAAGTTGGAGTTCAAGATCGCCGATCCGGCGTCCTCGATGGCGAAGAAGTTGTTCGACACCGCCTGGTGGAAGCGGATGAAGTTCTCCACCACGAACCCGGCCTGGGGTGAGATGTACCCGCCGCACGCTTCGTTACCGACGTTGGGGATATCTTTGAAGGCGCAGTCCGTCCCGACGGCAGGGTTGACCCCGACGGGGTGTTTGCACAGGTCGGAACCGACGATGGAGCAATCAAACAGGAAAGACTCGCCGGGCAAGAGGTTCTGTCTGACGAAGTATCCCGGGAACCCGAGATCGGTAGACGTCCCGGCGCCGAACGTCAGGACAAAGCTAGACAAAAAATCGTCGATCCGGAACGCCGCCCAGTTCGACGTGGACAGGTCTGCCGCCCCGCACGCTTTGACCTGTTGGTCGGCAGGGTTGCAGAGCTCCTGGCGCGGGAAGAGTTGCTGGGCGCCGGTGTGGTTTTGGGCGGCGGCAAATGACAAGAGGAAGAGAGAACTGAGTACAGATGAAAGAAACATGGTTGGGAAAAACCCTGTAAGGGTATTGATAGTGTAGGGGAGACGTCTACTAGGGCAAAAAGAAACTCGAGTATCTGGCTGTCTGCCGCATGGACCTATTTATACAACTCTCCTGAGACAGATATCTTCCCCATCCGTACGCCTCAGGTAGGCCGCTCGCCTCAGCCGCCACGACATCTCAAAAGTCGAATATGAGCGGGCTTCCTGCCTGGGCGTTCCGGGCTTTCCCTTCATAACCACATGGTGATGGTTTTGTAATACACGTTGGCCCGAGAACATATAATATGTGCCAAAAAATAGCACAGTTCTCAATGCGGAAGTGCATTTGTTACGACTAGCCGATACAAGGCTGACTAGGGCCTTCGTTTCTCAGCCTCACTAGCCTCACAACCTTGGCTCCGGCTGTCGATTGGCCCAATGCAGCGCGAGTCGGATTTAGCAGGGGCAACCAAGACTTTGTCCGGCGTTTGGTAGAGACGCGCCATGGCGAATTTACTCAGCGACGACGGCTGGAGCTATTGACCGGGGAGCATATCGCACTATTCCGCAGCAGGGAAACAAAAGGGACCGATGAAAAGGGCACACAAGCCCCCTAGACTTGGCAGTCAGTCTGTAATGTATATATCAAACAGGTGCTGGGAACTAGCACCGTCATCACTAGCAGTCCGCCGACTTCGAGTGCTCCTCGTCTAAAAGCCCCTGACTATCTTACACCTACCTTCAAACACCATCTGGGCCATACCAGACTATCAGGATATCAATGGAACCGCTGCGAAGCCACAATACTCACGGCCAGTCCCACTTCGCCAGTGTGAGCACAAGTTACGATCAAGTACGCAATGCGAAGAAAACGGCCCTCGCTCGTCTGAACCGCCTGCGTGTGGTAGTCAGGCTCATCACACTCACCGTCGGAGCATCCATCGTAGGCGTCCTGGCTCATGCAGCGGTGGTCTGGTACACGACGCGGGACGACGTTCTCATGCAGCCGCACGGCATCCGCATGCGAGGCTGGCCGGCGCAGATGGATCTGGTTCCCACGTGGATCATGTTGGCGGTGGCGGTGATTGCCATTGTCGTGCAGATATTTGCGCTTCTCACATTGCTTCGAGGAGTACGTTGGCCTACCGCTTTCCTCTGCCTTTACTTCTGTCCGGGTACTCGCTGATATTGTCTGCCATTGGCTCCAGGGTTACCGTCTCCGCGAATCTGCCTGGCACACTGCAGGGTTATTCTTTACTTCCATGGTGGGGATCGCGATCTGGGTCGTCGCAGCGGTGTACTTCAAACTCCAAGACAACAAGAGGGAAAGGAACTGGACGCTCTGGTCCTGGTCGTGCTCGCATAAGGATCTGATCAATGGGAAGATGTCGTTCGCGGCCATGTGCGTCGAACTGGTATGTCCATTCACCACGCTAAGAAACGGGTTCTGAGTCCTCTATTGCTGACACTTGTCCCCAGAATTACTGTTTTTATATCGCGGTCGTGGTTGCTGCGTTGGAGGTGCTGAATTTGAGCTTGTTCGGATTCCAGTTGCGAAAGGCCAGGAGCCAAGGGGAATATACCACTATCGTGGCAGAGAAACGATGATGGTGGCGTGTCTTGTCACTCCTCCCAGTCTGACCATTACAAAGTCTCTCTGTATTCCTAGTGATTCGGAAGCTCAACCCCATCACCGTGTCTTTTGACAGATATTCGCTTCCAGTTACCCTCAGCCAGTGTACATGATTGGTCTTGTGATTCTATCTCTTCTCTGGAATGTTTCAGCGGTCAGGATCCTTGGCTTTTCCCTAGGTATCCTTTTGGTATATCAGCAAATCAGCATCTGATGGACGACCTCATGGGAATGTCGTAGAAACGTATAACCCAGACCCTCGAGGGCGTGAAATCGGTAGATCAAGTATGGGATTCGCGCTGGGAAGTCTTCCACTTGCTCTTGGACATGAACACGATGTCATTGTGTCCCGTAACCAGGGAGATATATAGAGCGCATTCTGATGGCTGTTGTCCGTCGCTTCCGCAGTTGCAACCCGTTCAATGAGAAGCCTCGTCGCACGGATATATCCCTCATAGACAACTTTTGGTAGAGGTGTATAGCCATCTTCTCTCTGTCTTATTTTCCATGTCAGCTCCCGACCTAGGAGAAATCTCATCAGCTCTTCTTTGCACGTGTTGTAGTCATCCACCCCTTCGACTGAACGGGATCAGTAGATGTAACACGCTGCATTCTATTGTTCCAGAGTTGATGATGTCGGACCATAGTGTAGGAGGAGCTGTATGATGTGTGGAGGTTGTACTGCCTCCATAGCGAGTTGAAGAGGCGTCTTTCCCTCCGCAGTTCTCGCCGTGACATTAGCACTTGCTTCGAGGAGGTATTCGACAATACCACGAGTATCAGAATAAGTGCTCGTGAATTCCAGGGTCGCGTGTAGGGCTGTCTTGAGCTCGACGTCAGCTACGTTCGGATCAGCCTTGAAGGCCAGAAGCGTCTGGGCAACACCCTTCTCCCTAGTGCAGCTGGCCGCGTGTGCGACAATGCCGTCCGGAGGAGTATCTGGAGAACCAACAAATAAGATGGCGTGCTTTTGGCGGGACTGCGAAATGAAGAAATCCAGCGCACCTTGTCGTAGTTCATGGCCAGTTCTGGCTTTTGTCGACGTAGGCTGTCGTATGTTTGATCCCGCTAGCCAGGGCCAGAAGTCTCTTGCCCGAAGACAAAACACTTTTTGCCTCCTCTAAGTCTTTGCATTTGCTGTGCGCTCCCATTTCGTTTTACTGACATTGAAGTTGAAGCTCTTCCTCGTCTTCGCATCATCGTGCAAATTCTCAGAGCATATCTGTACGTAAGATCTTGATACCGCCCATCCAGATAGTCCTTTGTGGGTGCCGCATCTTGCATTAGGCTCACCTCTTAATCGGCATCATTAGATCATGGTTTCCATTGTGAGTCAAGCTTTTCCGGAAGACAGTATCGACTGCTGCCAAGTTTGTGACTGGTGTGATCGTCTTATAAGAGGGTGGTTTTCCGCCATGGAAGCAGCCACGGCGCAAGCCACAGAGGGCCAACCAAGGCGTTGATGGCAGGGCTGTGTGGCAGCTTGGTGGTCACCTGTACTCAAGATGGTGATGCTGAGATGCTGAGCTGACTCTCTTTGAAGACGGGGATCAGGGCTAGACAGGGAGCGGACTCTCAGCTCAGCCTAGCAGCCTCACTAGCCCAACATACCGCCCTAGTGGAGAAAATGATCGTTGGTTAGGACGCCTCACTAACCCAGGGCTCTAGCGACATACTGTAGAACACCTAGTTAAATGCTCCTAGAGAGGGGATTCGACCGACTCTCATTCTCCACCACTATTCCTCTTGAAGGGTAGACCTGGGGATGGTCCACAGCCTTCAAGATCCTATATACGCGAACGTACATTAATGCCTCTGCCGACTGAACTCGCGGGTTAGTACTTTCAGCACCTGGTAGAGCCATCTGTGTCAACTGCCCCGGGCCTTAGGAAAAAGACACAGTGCTGAGAGTATTGGCAGCGATGACAAGAATAATAGTCCGGACTTCGTATGGACATGAGCGGAAGATGGTTTCCTTCCTCAGTGAAGGCCCCAGCGAAGACCTTAGTGGGCTCGTTCTCACGCGATTTTACGTTGACTGATGAACCAGGACAAAGGCTCTATCCTCCTTGCAGCCTCCGAGCGGGGTGCTGGTCAAGATAGCATAAATAGTTCAAGCTTCATTGAATGGAGGGGAATTATACGAGTATCTAACCCGCCGGTGGGAGAAGCTGCTGGGGAGGGAGAGAGCACTCCGAACGAGGCTTTTACTCCGGAATATGGAAAGAGCGACCTGTGAATCATTCTCCGGCTGGCCGAACGAAGTATCTTTCCATGTCCGAGGGAAAAACGTCCTTTCGGAGTCCCGAACGAGCCCTGTCTTCCTCTTCATCGTCGTGACTACAGCATCGCATGTATGACCCGAGGCTGAAGTCAAAAAGGCTCTATATCTGTAACTCCAAAAATCTCCGCCTCGCTTCAAAAGTCGGGGGGGAGGCAATGAGGGGGACCAAAAGCTTTGCTCCAAGAGTCCGGAAAATCAGGTCCGAGAAGAAATAGAACGTCTTGGTCCCTTCCCTAGACATGATAGGCTCGAGGCGGTCCTCGACACCAGCCCTTTGTCTCCATCAGCATTGCCATAGCCGATAAACCCCATAGACGCAACCTGAGGGGCCGAGGTCTCCGCATCTTTCGGATTGAGGTTCGTGGTACTATCGCTGGAGTTCCTACCATCTATCAAGTCATCTCCGCATTGGTCGTATCTTGTTTTTTTAAATTCAAATATCCCTCTCATCGTCTAGATATCATTCGCATTGCAGGTAGAGCAAGTAGACTAATATTTCAGGCGAGATCTGCGGCTGGATTACTTATATCGATCTCATCCTGGTAACGCCTAAGTCATCCCAAACCTACCAGCCATGCCGATAAAGCGAGATATTGGCCACACGACACCCGCGGCCAACGGTTCAGTCGAGCCGGCCGCGGAAGAAGTCGTCCAGAACGGAAACCATGTCAACGGCGACGGTGAGATACTGGATATGGTCATCGTGGGTGCCGGATTCGCGGGCATCTATTTGATGTATCAACTGAGGAAACGAGGCTTCAAGTCCAAAATCATCGAGGTATTTGTTTCCTTCCCCCAGCCATTATCCAACAGCTATATACTAATCTGGGGGACTCTCAAGGCCGGGTCCGATCTTGGAGGAATCTGGTATTGGAACAGGTACCCCGGCGCCCGGGTGGACAGTCAGTATCCGGTCTACGCGCTGTCCATACCCGAAGTGTATCGCGACTGGACTTGGTCGTCGCACTATCCCGACCACGCGGAGCTTCGCGAGTACTTCAAGCACGTCGAGGACTGCCTCAACATCAAGAAAGACTGCGTCTTCAACAGCAAAGTCACCGAGGCGACGTGGGACGATAAGACGTGCCTGTGGACGATCCGAACCGAGACCGGCCAGACGTTCCGCACCAAATACTGGACCGCGTGTACCGGGTTCGCAGCAAAGCGGTACTTCCCCGACTGGGAAGGCATGGAAGAATTCAAAGGCGAGATTCATCATTCCAGCTTCTGGCCCAAGGAAGGTGTCGACGTGAAAGGGAAGCGAGTGGCTGTGATTGGAACAGGTGCCACTGGCGTGCAAATCACCCAAGAGGTTCGTTCCCCGATGCCTTGAGAGTCCATTGACACACCCTGAAGTAGGAAGACACTCTGACCGAGTGGGCTGACATATATATCTTTATTTTTGTTATTAGTGGGCCAGAGAAATCGGAGAAGACGGTGACCTGAAAATGTTCCAGCGGACGCCAAACCTGGCGTGTCCCATGAACCAGGTGTACATGACCAAGGAAGAACAAGCCAAACTAGTCGACGGTCTGGCCGAGAGATTCGAGGAGCGAAACAACTATTACAACGGCTTTCTCTACCAGTGGCGCGACAATCTGACTTTCGATCACACCAAAGAGGAAAGAAAGGAGTTCTACGAGATGTTGTGGAAAATGGTGAGACCGCCCCAATCGACGCTTCCTATTCTTCCCTCCTCCACCAGTCCTGGCCTGGTCAAAATCTAAAGACTCACGCTGATTGATACTTGTCCGATTTTGTTTCTAGGGCGGTTTCCGTTTCCTCATGAACAACTACTACGACATGACCCGCTCGGATAAGCCGAACCAGGAGGCGTACGAATTCTGGCGGGATCGTGTACGAGAACGTGTTAAGGATCCGCGAAAGCAGGAGCTTCTTGCTCCATGGGAGCGTCCCCATCTGTTTGGTGGTAAACGCCTCTCCCTCGAGCAGGACTTTTATGATCATTTTAACAAGGTAAACATCTGACCACGTGCATGTTTAGACCCTGCTTTTGTTTCTTGTCTACGATCATGGTACTGACTTTTGTCTCCCCGGGTCTAGCCCAACGTCGACGTGATCGATGTTCGAAACAACCCCATTAAGCGATTCGTCGCCGACGGTGTCGTCCAGGAGGACGGTACATACCACAAACTCGACGTTATCGCGCTAGCGACGGGCTTTGATTCCATCACTGGTGGCCTGAAGGACATGAAGATCACCGGCGTTGATGGCGAGGTCCTGACCGACAAATGGGCCATGGGCACCTGGACCTATCTGGGCATTTCGACCGCCCACTTTCCCAATTTCTTCTTGTAAGTGGAACATGACAAGTGCAGGACCTAGTCCAATACCTGAACCCTTGCCTCCTTCCCCTTCCCCTCCCGTGAAACCAAGGTGATCAATATGTCTGATCTGGTCTGCCATGTTTTAGTACGTACGGTCCGCAAGCACCGACAGCCTTCTCGAACGGACCGTCATGCATCGAAATCCAAGGCGACTGGATCACCTCAGTTCTGGAAGATATGCGCGAAAAGGGACTCAAGAAGATTGACGCGGACCGCTCGGCCGAAGAGGAATGGCGAAAACTGGTGTTCGAACTAATCAACGACACGCCCCGTGGGAAAGTCGACTCCTGGTACAATGGGGCCAACATCCCGGGTAAGCCACGCGAGCACTTGAACTACGCTGGCGGCATCCCTCGGTACAAGAAGACGCTCGAACAAGTGAGGAGGGATGGATATAGCGGCTTCAGCCTGGCATGAACGAGCGTGGTTTCAGGAAACCAATTTGGTTGTTCTTCTACTTTTCCTTCTTAGGCTTGTCGCTGGCGAAAGTAAGACGGGTTGCCGCTTGTTGTATTGAAGATATTTTTTGCTCCCTGAGATCTGCTTTCCTTTAGATGCTGATCAGTTCGCAATCACATTCCAGATTTATGAACGACCAGCCTCAGGGACAGGGAATACATTCACATAATGTGAGGGCGGACGTACGATTGCTTTTGCTCAGTGCGTCTCCGGAGACAACCTTCCCTGTCCTGCCTGAAGATTAAGATATTGGACCCCTGTCCTCATTGTAAATCTGCTCTGCCTCCCGTACAGGCACCAAAGCAGCATCGCATTCACGTTGTTGTACATGATGGGTCAGTGTAGAGGAAAGTGACCCTCTTGTGAAACTGCAGATACTTACAGTACCATGCCTGCCATGCCCTGCCATGCCGAGACGTGTAGAACAGCGCTTGCGGCCAGTTGTACGGTCTTCTCAGCGAAGATAAGTTCTGAATATCGCCGGTGTCTATGAATGCCTCACACTCTAATTTGATGTGTTAATTCAGTCCTGCCAGTAAGATATGAAGAGGGCCCCCACTCCCTTCCCTCCCCGCCCATCCCCCGGGCGACAAACTGCAAGAAGGCTGCCTCGATCCGAAGGCATCAGAAGACCCCGAAAGTTAGAGGAACGGAGGAAGACGCATAGAAAGGCCTGAAAAGACGCTCACTCGGGGCGGAATGCTTCACAGAGATCCAAAAGCGCAACACTTCCACGCGGGCCTTTAACGGGAGAAGCAAAGGCTTCATCTCTTGCAGAGGACGTCCCTTCGTATCCGACGTCCGGACCACAGGAGCCGGACGGCTGGTAAGGCGAGAGGAATGGGTCTTGAATCATCTGTTCCTGGACGGGTGGAATGGGCATAGGCAAGTCCAAAGGGACACGGCAAAAGGGACTATGTTCCGGATCCTTGTTCCATTGATACAAGAAAACCTCTGCATTTATCAGACTTCGTGACTTGTTCTTTTTGTCCCTGGATTTCCCATGACAAAAGAGCCGACAGTCGTGGATTGACTCGGCCGATGCCCTGTTTGGGTACTACCGATCTAGGAAACTCTTCCACATCGCATCCTGTTCCGGCTACACCAACCATGCCAGGTCAAGATCAATGTGGGTCTACTTTATAAGGACGAAGTCGGCCTTTATTTCTCTATCCACACGTGTTCCTCAAGCTTTGGAGCCCTGAAGCAAAAACTCCATCACCACCTCTTCCATCAGGGCGGCGTCGTCGTCCTTGTCTGTCAAACGCAAGTATTCCCTGGTCTCCTCTATGGGCCAACCCGCCCCGACAATCTCACGGATACACGCGCCGTTCACCTCGCGATCGAACTCCGGATGCGCCTGCAGCGTCAGCACCCGACCGGGCACGTACATCCCCTGCATGCCGCAGAGGTCCGTGAATCCCACCTCCACACATTCAGGAGGCAACTGTGCACTCTGGGTGACGACGACCGTGTCCTGGTGCGAGAGCTGGAGCTGGATTCGCTCCGACGACGACGCGGCTCGGGCAGCAGCAGCAGACTTCAGCTGCCGGGGAAAGCAGCTGGCGAACTTTGGGTTGATGGTGATTTCGTACACCCCGAGTTCCCAGCCCCGTGGATTCTTCATGACGTGAAGTCCGCCGGTGTGTGCGAACAGAGATTGGTTGATGATTTGGTGGCCGAAACAGGTTCCGAAGATTTTTACCTTGGGGTGGTGCTGGTATGTATCTGCAAGGAGAAATACTGTGTCAGCCTTGATTCTGTTGTGAGGAATTTCATGAGCCGAGTAACGACTCAAGGAAGCGAGAACAAAGATGTCAACATGCAGAATAGGAGAAGCCTCCATCTCAAAAAGAGAAACAGCCTGATGAATTCTCCACTTGCTGACCGTGTGACAGGCCAGGTGAATCTCCACGACACAGGCTCAAAAATGTCCATTCACTGACCTTGCAAGAACCTTTGAAGATGCTTCACCCATTCGATATCCTCATACGCCCCCGCCGAGCTCCCCGTGACGACCAGGGCATCGAGCCCCTCCAAAGCCTCGGCGTCCGGCAGCTGGAAGGCTGTGGCGTTGTACGGCGTAGTTTTGACTTTGATCTGCTTTCTGAGTCCGGGCCACTGTTGTTCGTCATTGTAATCGTTGTTGTTACCATTCGAGAGCCGTTTCGCGCCACGATCGAAAAAGTTTTGGAAGATCTGGTCAAAGGGACCGCGCAGGCAGGAGACCACCGGCGGGAGGACCTCGCAGATTAAGATTGCGAGGTGTAGTGTGAGAGTCTCGGGGGAGGATGGGAGGGAATGCATGATTCTCCTCTCCGGGGATGGGTGGACTGGTGCCAGGGCCTGCAGTTGTCGCCTGGGCTGTACCTTTGTCCAAGGATTCTCGCAGGGGATATGGGCGGTTGGCGGCGAGGATTGTTGCCGTTGTCTGGTCGGATGCTCTATCTCTGGTGGTCCTTTTTGTCCAACTTCGACGCAGAGATCCGTTTAATTCTCATTAATCATGTATATATATCTCTTGGACAACAAAGCAATTCAGCGCGCCCTTGATAAGACATATCCACTCTGTTGCTCTGGACTTGGGGCGTTGGTACTCCATCCACCAATCATCGCCCAAGAACTCCCCTTCCTAAACGGGGTTACTTGGCCTCTTTCGGTCAGCCCGCTGACTCAAGACGGACAGACTGAGGCCAGGCCATGTGGAAGGTCTTGAGATACGCCCAACGTAGATGAAGCAGGGACATAGATCGTACCCTTCGATCATGTGCCACCATGAGGGGGCCGGTGGCCATGGAACACACGCTTTGAAGAGACCAAGTGGTAACAGGCGAAGGCAGGTATCCAAAAATGCCGAATTACGTCCGGCTAGAGGGAAGTTTGAAGTCTACCCTCGCGCCCACGAGGCTGAGACTGAAGGGGATGGAAGACCTTGTCCATAACTTACGGACAGCAGCTACTGGACATGCTTAAAAAGAAGAGGAGAGAAAGTTATTGTTTTTTCAAACGAGCACTCGATAATGTCGGGATCCATCCTTATATTTTCCACGTTCGAGCATCGGACTGCTTCTGATGGAACCAAGCTCAGTATCGCCCAACCGATCACAAAAGCTGGGGACCCTTGGGTGCGAATACCCCATTCCACCCTCTTGTGCCATCATCATGCTTTGATAGCATCATGGCTCTGGTCAGCAGACACCTTCACGCCATCATCGCTCTTCGCCGCGACCAGGCTTCTGGCACGGATACCGGGACCCCACAGCATCAGGACCGCAATGGGGATGAACCCACCTGCCGTGAAGAAGGCCATCATGCCGTACGCCCAATTGATGCCCACGGCGTCCGACCAGGGAAAGACGAAGAACGTGACGGCAATGCCGAACACGAGACGGTACAGATTGACCACCACGGCGACTTCGTTGGGGTGGTCGGTGAAGCATTCGACAAGATACGAAAGAACCACTGAAACGCCCGAGATGGAGGCGATGGCCGTCAGGAACACCGCGAAGGCAAGCACCATGAAGTGCAGGTGGTAGTACAGCGTCGCACCCACCAGGCCCAGCGAGACCGGGTACAGGAAGAGGCTTGGGAACCACAGCGCGTGAAGCCGGTATTCGGGCTTCCACATGCCGCCGCGGCGGGCACATATCTTCAGCGCCAGCCGGTCGTTGACGAGGTGGCAATACGCCTGGGAGGCGAAGACACCGATCCAGGATGTGAAGGAAACTGCCCAGAAGACCTTGTTAGATCCGTTGCACACAATGCGTACGGAGCTTGGGAATGGACACGGCGGATACATACAGTAAGCATTTTGATACGGGGTGAATCCATAGCCCCCTTCCTCGACCGGTGTCTGCAAGTACACGGATGTGTCGGTGGCTATGACCACAGCCCAGCTGAACATGGCAATGAGAAAGAGCCCAACCAGCATACCCACGGGTGAGACGCCGATGAGCACGGGCAGCACCGTGGTGAAGGCGAGTTGACGACCCGTTTGCGGGGGCGTTATCCTCTGTGTGCATCCGTAGATTGCGAGCTTGCGCTGAACGTAGTCCCGCGGGAGAAGCGGCTGCTGCGGATTGTCGCTCCTGGGATAGGCCGTTTCATCCAGCCACAGAACGCAGCATACGGCGAGGAACACTTCGAAGCCGACGTTGTACCAATACTGGACGGTCCAGCTGACGTTCTGCACAATGAACCCGGACAAGGTGCTCGTGGCAATGATACCGAGGAGATTCATTGATGTGTAAATGGAGAAGCATTTGCCCCGGTCGTGCAGGAAAAATGTCTCCAAGATGATGTTCGATCCCACTACAGAGCGCCACACGGGTAATGTTAGCGGGCAATGATCTGTGAAGATATCTTGACCTGACACGGAACTTGGAGCTCACCAGTAGTAGGAGCAGCACAAGCAATGGTCGCCAGCAGTCTGGATACGACAAAGGCGTCGTACTGGTTAGATTTGGTCATGCATGCGGACCAGATGTTCATGCATATCGTCAGGCAGATACTGATCACGATGCACCGACTGGTCCCGAAACGCTTCGCTAGAGGGTTCCAAATGAATGGTCCGACAGCCAGTCCGGCGATGGCAGAAGAAGCCTAAAACAATTGTGAGCTAACAGGCTGTTCCCCCGGAAAAAGGGACCATGAAGGAGATACGTACACTGTATGAGAGCTGGACTCCCGTCTTATGGTAGACCTCTCCCTGCACGAAGAAGCCCGAGTTGTTCGCCACGGCCTGGAGAGAGGTGGAGAAGGACACCAGTGAGACCAGGGCCAGGGTCACCACTTTCTTGGATGCTGGCCAGTTCTGTCGTGTTTGCAGTCAGTAGATCTCTCTTATTTCGCGATACCCGAGATGTTTTCTTTCTCACCAACGGGTCTTGAGGGTCATCGGTGGGCTGCGGCACCAACACCAACCCCTTCTTGTTTGTCTTAGGCAGATATGGCTCGGATACGAGACCGACGTCTCCCTCGCTGTGGGATACCATTGATTCGATCTTGTCCATGGCCACGAGAGGTGAGGAGAGTGGTGGATGATGGGGATATGGCTTTGATTTTTTGAGCGACCGAGAACAGTCCGTGGAAGAGCACGGCCCTTCTATATACCCCGGAACAGCCCTCCCACACAGATGGTGATCCGGGGAAGTACATCAAACCCGGGGTCGAATCGAGCCGGAATCCCTGAAGAATACGCCGGGGCGTGGTCCAGTGCTGTCCGCTCTTTCCCCCCTCTTTCCCACGGACATTCGGGCGGCGTATGGGCATGGCAGACCGAAAGTACCGTGGTGGGTGTGGGTATAACTCGGCGCCTCATCGAAAGAGAGGAATAGGCGAAAGACCGAACCTAATGAAGCGCCGAGTTCGACATGGTTTCCTCGAAAGACGACGGCTATGCCACAGCCTTGTAAGGACTTCAATGAGGCTAGACTGGGCTGAAAATTGTGGGACCTTGACAGATTCCGGGCACGGAGTTTCGCTTGATTCACTACTCGGACAAAGAGCGTCTTGGTATGTTTTGTGGCCTTGGCTCACAGCGCCAATAAAATAGGTCCATCAAGCTCTGTCTCAGTACCCCGAGGCCGGGAGCCAGATGTACCTCCGGTCTCTAGCTGCGGGCAGTATGTGCTGGGCGGGTTGCTGGAGTGGCTAGAAGCGAGGGTGAACATCAGAACAAGCAGACCTTGACTCGGTGACTACGGGGTTTCGGAGTTTCGCTAATGAGCAAATAGACAGTCAGCCAGCGTGCCTCCTTCGACGCGAGAACAGGATAATTTACAGGCTACGCGGATTGAACAAGTGAAGCAGAAGAAGAAACCCGCCCGAGCAGACAGAGCACACCGTCTCTTGGAATTTCTTGGTCGTTTCTTCCCCCAAGATTTACTGATTCTATACTGCCAAGGTCTCTACCCAGACCAATCTCCCCAGGTGGAAAATCGGCTGCAATGCACCATGGGTTCTTCTCGCTGGCCGACATCATTCAATAGGGAATGGACACAGCACTTCCTTCGCCGTCGTTTGCGTGGCAGCCGCGAAACTGAGATTCCAATATTCTGGACCCCAGGGAGACTCGCTCGATACTCGACGTTCTCTTTGGAGTCTCTCCGACCCAGCAAAGCATCGAATGGTTCGTGCAGGCGTTTACACACCAGCCCTCGCTCGTGGACACACGCAGACACGCCCAATCCTGACCCTCTCCCGCCACGTCCATCCCGCAAACGACTGGTGGTCGGCATAACGGGGGCCACGGGCGTGGTCTTCGCGGTACGGATCCTCCAGATTCTGCGTGCGCTCGAGGTCGAGACGCACTTGGTAGTGAGTAAATGGGCTCTAGCCACGATGAAATACGAGACGCCACTCTCGGAAATGGAGTTACGCGGCCTCGCGACGTACAACTACACGGCGAAGGACCTGTCGGCGTCGATCTCGAGTGGCTCCTTCCAGCACGACGGCATGCTCGTGGTGCCGTGCAGCATGAAGACGTTGGCGGCGATCCGCATCGGCTATTCGGACGACCTGATCTCGCGGGCGGCTGACGTCACCTTGAAAGAGAGCCGCAAGCTCCTTCTCGCCGTGCGTGAGACGCCCCTGAGCGACGTCCACCTCGACAATATGTTGTTTCTCCGGAGGGCTGGTGCCGTCATTTTTCCTCCGGTGCCCGCGTTCTATACCCGGCCAAAGAACCTGGAAGAGGTCATCGACCAGAGCGTCGGGAGGATGCTGGATGTATTCCATATTCGTACTGACGGCTTCGAACGGTGGACCGGGTTTCGGAAAGACTGATTTTGAGTCAAACCCCCGGATACGATAGTCGGGTGGGAAGCTTTTTCGCCGTGGTATTAGAACTGGTTTACTGCTCTTGTCGGATAATTGCTTTGCGGCGTAGGAAACAAAGCCTCATCCCTAGAAAAGATCCTGTAACCCTTCAGAGGTCAATAACAGGCCTAGGTCCATAGGGAATTCCACGTCCATGGCTTGACTAATGCTTCCGTTAGCCATAAGCGGATCTCTCACCAGGTAGAAAGCGTCTTCACTGACCTCCCCACCAATCCGTTCCAGTCAGGGGTCGACATCAACGGCGGAAGGACGTCCGACCGTGCTTCATCCAGCGCGCGCGTCTCATCCGGCACTGCTGCCACCACGGCAGACTCGTCCACAGCAGAATTGGGTGTCAAGAGTGTCTTCTCCAGGATTCTCGCCTTCGCCTTCTCAAAGAGCAGACACGCATACGTCGCACCCCAATAGGTACTCCTGAGTTTTGACAACGCCTCAACGCAGATCTCCAGCCGGGCGTGGCCGAGGCGTTTAGACAAGGAGCTCTGCGCCGACATCCACTCCAACAGATGGATCCCCATGGCCGATACAATGGTGCTCGTGCCCATCGGCTTCAAATAGTGTATCATTCCCAATTCGATGAGATCCTCGACCACCGAGGTGGCCCGGTCGGCGGCGGAGCGGCACTTCTGCCGTGCCTTCGTTTGGAACCACTCGCGGTCCTCGGGCGGGAAGTTGGAGGGCACCGCCCGAATATACCGCCGGTATAAGATGATCGTCGTGGCTCTGCCCCCAATGTCAGCTCATCTAGCACCCATGTCGTCCGCAACTTGGATGGAATACTCATGAAACAGCTGTAGATGGTGCCGGTAGAGCCGGAAATTCCAATCCGGCCGTTCCTCCATCGCATGTAGATCCTGACCGCACCGCCGAAGTTCGTCTTCACACATTTCCAACGAGGCTCGACCGGGGCGCGGCTTGTTGGGCGAATAGTGCACGGCGATGACTTTGCCGAGGACCACGGTCAACTTCACAAAATGGACCCAGCAGTGCGCGAGGAGATGGTAATCAGATGGGAAATACCTGTCTTTGAGGGCAAGAGGGATGTCGGCCCATTCGTGCGTGATGTCGTCCACAGTGGTCATCGGCACGTCGCAGTCATCCAGGTGAATCCGCATGGGACGACCGAGCGTCACGGACAACCAACGATCTCGCACGAAGCAACTCCACCAAAGTCGGCGGAACAAGCGACTATACCCAATGATCTTGCAGGAATCTGGCACGACCAGCTCCAGGGAACGGTGGAAGCCCAGGCCTTGACACATACTGATCGCCACGCCGGCCCAATGCCACGGTCCCGCGCGGTCTGTGGAGTCCGCGTACCAGAAGCTGAGGAGAATGGCGGACTGGATCAAGGTGATCTTGTCATCCTCGTATTCGATGTCCCACAAGGCCTGCCCATGACCAAAGTTAGCTGAGAATCCAACAAGCGATGGGCAAAGGGGATTCAGTGAGACCTTCGCTCGCTGGTACATTGCTCTCTTCAGTGCCTTCCGCGATGGGAAGCCCGCTGCATCCAGGGTCGATGGATCCGCAAAGTTCGCCGCCGCGAAAAAGATGCTATACATCAAGAGCACACCGGGTCTCTGCGGGTTCCCAGATACGTACTGGTCCAAGAACGACCTGGTGTCCAAGATCGGGGTAAGCGGCTGCACATGTTGGAAGTATGAGCGAAGTAACTGGTCGCAAATGTGGTCGGCTGGCAGGGACAACGCTCCCTTTCGCTCCAGATATTCGAGATCTTCGGGTGCCAGTACTCGGGGCGTGCTGTTATGAGGGATAAAGTAGATTTTGGGGCATGATGAGAAGTTGGACAAGCAGAGCTCAAAGGTGAAATGGCTGCCGTTTTGTGCGTCGCCTGCAAAGCAACCGTTATCAATGCAACCACAATAGTTCATGGAGTCTCTCACCGAAGTAGAACGGGATGGTGTTTTCCCCTAAGGACGTCTGTGTGTCCATCGCCGTGTCCAGGGCAACAGTGCCATAGCCCCCGTCGTGTTCGGTGTCTCGGTTGCTGGACTCATCCTGAAGACTGGCATCCGTCGGTGGCCGCGGAAGTCGGTAGCTTTCAGACTGGAACGAGTCGCTGGTGCTTCCATGGAGAGGTGCAAAACCATCGGGCTCTTCATTTTGGGCGAGCTGCAGAGTTCGGTGACCGGAAATCTCTGTGCTGGGCGCGGTGTGAGCTGTCCGTGCTAGGCCCGCTGTCTTCCTGCGTCTGAAGAACGTCAGTCCGTCCTGGCACCGTATCAGATGTTGGGAGCCGTCACGAGTACTTCTTTCGCGGCACAACTTCGCAGTTGAGACCACTGCGTATGCAGTTCCCACAGGGCAGACCCATGGTGGATGCGTTGCACTTGATCTTGCGTCGGTGGCAGCCCCGACATGCCCTGATGGAGTATTGCCCATGGGGGCTCACTCCTGCGGATGACATCCTGCTCTTTGATGTACGCCTGCCGTTGTAGTTGCAGCTCCCGTCGAGGGTTCTGAGACTGGGAATGCATTCAACCTAAAGCATGGTTGACTGCACAGAAGCGGGGGACATTCGGGCCAACAAACCGGCCCTCGGTCGAATACATATGAGAACTGGCTATGGCTAGACGTACAGCCCCAGCCTTCCCTTGAGCCAACACTCGGCTCTCCATACATAATTCAAGATTAAGGGGGATCTGGATTATGCAAGACTATGATATTGGTATTTCAAACAAACCGGCAAGAGTTTGGTTGGCACTAACTTTATGGAAGGGGGGAGCTTTAACTAATTCTTTACGGTACACCACCTCCCCCTCAAAAGCAGTCCTCTTATTCCACCCAGTTATCAATAACCTTCCTCTTCACGTCTTCAGGAAAGTTGTTGGCAAAGTCCGACAGGCTCGTGGGATCCCAGCCTGCCGGACGGAGACAATTGAGCGCCTCGATCGTGCCGGAGAATTTCCACGACGCATGTTCCGGGTCAGCGAGGAACCTTTTCAGCTGGTCTTCGATCTCGGGATAGAATGGGATGGCGGGATTGATTGGCTGGTCGTCCAACCTGATGCGGCCGGTGGCCGGATGACACCGCGTGTTCCACGCCCAGATCAGGTCCCGGTGGTTGGACAGTTCGATGTCATCGTCGCACACCAGGACGCGTGTGTACCGCTGCGTGCCGTGAATCGACTTGGCCGTCACGGCGATCTTGCGCACAAAGTCCTCCGCGGACAGGTCGACTTTCTGGTACCAGTCTCGAGGAACAGACACGGTGAGAAGCTGTTGCGCGGCTTCGGGCGGTGCCCAGGTCGACGTGACTGGCAATCCGTGGTCTCGCAGCGCCTCCAACACCATGGCTGAGGCCGACACCCCAGTGATGGTGTGGTCCTCATCCACCGGCTTCCCCGCAGACGTGACCGGTAACAGCGGGTTGTTGCGGTGAGTGATGGCGCTGACCTCATACACAGGCTTCTCTCGGATGCGGTCTGAGATGTATCCATGGAATTCGCCCATCGGCCCCTCCGGGGCACGACGTGTCAGCGAAACATGGCCCTCGACCACAATCTCCGCCTGCGCCGGCACTTCAAGTGCGACGGTCTTGCACCGGACCAGCTGGAGCGGCTCGTTGAAAAGGCAGCCCAGATATCCAGCCTCATCCACGCCGTCCGAAAGGGGCATTCCGCCGGCGAAGAGGGACGCGGGTTCCGCCCCTTGCACCAGCGCGAAAGGCATGGGTTTCCCGATCTTGCGCCACATCCCAAAGATCTTCCCGTTGTGCTGGTACGGGGCGATGACTCCTGTCAGGTGTTTCTCGTCAAGGATCATGGCACGGGCGATCGACCAGTTCGTCCATTTCCCATCGGGGCTGCGCACCACCCAGAACCCAAGGGTGTTGAAGAAACGGCCACCATCTCCAAAGTGTATCAACGGCGTGGGGAACTTGAGCAGATCCACCTCGTCACCCAGCAGTACATTTTCATGGACGGGACCGTCTTCGACGATGACCGGAGGAATGGGCGGCAGCTTCGTCGTCTTCGCCAGAATCTGCACGATTTCCGTGCCCGGCGTGGCGGGGTCCAGTCCCAGCGTCATGGCGATGCGTGCCATTCGGGCCTTGGGAAGGGAGCTGTAGGACAGGGGCGCTCCCACCACGCGGTATCCAGGGTGATCTCGTATGTTGCTGAAGACTGGGACGGGAGCGAAGTTTTCATGGCTACGTCGGATAATGGCACCAATCTCGAGGTGAGTGTCGACCTCTCGCGTGATCTCAGCGACGTCGCCCAGACTGGCCAGGGCGGCCAAGAAGTCTCGCAAACTGGCGTAGTGCTTCTTCTGAGGCAGCTCGGAGAGAGGAAGAGAGCCCATTTTCGAAGGCCTGATAGGTACAGTAATCCCCTGTGCAAAGGGAAGAGCGGCCAGCGCCTGAGTAGATATGGGAAGTATTAAGAAGTGGAGATCCACCCGAAGATGCGTTCTGATTGGCGGATGCCGTCGACTCGGAGCGGACTTTCGGTGTTTCGGCGCTGTAGCGAGATGCCGATTGGACACCCTGCTGCAACGGGCCTTGGCGAACGATATGCTTCAAGTGTTTGTCTCCTGACAGAGGCTGTGCATGTCCATCTTGACTGGGCTTGAGGTAGCCATCTCCCACTTACCCCGCCTCTGCTAATGCTGCTCAGATTCGTGTCAGGACGGGTCAAAGTGGGCCATGTTCTCCGCGCTATCTCCTCTTTTCTCGGCCCTGACAATGTCATGGTTGCTCGGATGGAAGCTGCGGTGTGATTTTCCGCTGGGTCCGTCAATTCTGGTACAGCCGGACGGGCTCCTTGGTGTCACAATGAGTTTTCTGCTGGTGCGAACACGTAGAGGTGGGGGGTCGGATAGGGTGGTGAGCAGCATCCCGATCTCGTAGTCTTATGAAGTGTGTTAATGGGAAAGCCCAGCAGATTGAGGCTCTTGGGTTGCCTCGGCGCCTGCATTGAGTATTGGGTCTTCCCGTACGCGAAGAGCGCGGTTCCCAATTGTCATGGCTCATCATGTCATTCGCTATCTCGAGAGCTGCGATGTGTTATACAATGACTAGTTTCAATACTAGTCCGACTGAGGTGCGAGTCCCTAGGCCGTACTATTACACAGATCTCAGGACAGATCAGGTCAGGTCAGCATGTCAAATGGCCCTCACCAGATCTCCAAGGAACTGTTCTCGCCAATTGAAAAAGATGCTGGCATGTGTCTCGTCCTCCACTCGAAGAACTGCCCGGTCACCCAGACGCTTGGCTACTGTTTCCCCGTGATTGAGAGGGACGTTGACATCCATTTTCCCGTACCACAGCTGCACCGGCAGGTCCGGGCGGATGTCCTCGATGCGAAAGCCAAGGGGCGAGCTTAGGATCTTCCCGTCCTGCAGACAACCATCGTACCCTTGTGCGAAGGCCGCGCGAGACGCCCGCATGAAGCGTCGGGCGTTGACTTCATTCGTCATGGCGTCAAAGTCTTTCCGCTCAGCCACCGACTTAGGGTTTGAGAATTCCTTCATGTGAAGCTGCAGGCGCTGCTCGTCACTGAGGTCCAAGCGTCCGCACGTTTGCGACTGCCAAAACCACCGATTAAGGATGCGCGGGCAATATCGATATCCAAACGCGAAGCCGAGCCAGTTCACCCACCGCGCGCCTTTCATGCCAATTTCATAGACGGGCCCGAGGCCGCATACGATCGAAACACATTTGAGCTTGTCGCGGGGTAGTGCGTAAGCACAGGCGAGGGCATACGGTCCACCGCCAGACACTCCCTGTGCCACCATTATCTTTAGTGCCGCTGTCTTCAGGAGGGATAAGAATTCAGGCTACACGTACCAGAACACCATATCTTTCCAGCTTGAGGTGATCTGCCAGGTGTTCTAGATCCTTTGGGTGGTCGAGCAGTGTCCTGCCGGGCTGAGGCGAGCTCAGCCCAGTTCCTGGCCTGTCGGCGCAAATGATGCGGGCCCCCAGTTTGAGGCCAACGTCGTGGAGATGGGCACCCTCGAGGCGGGATCCTGGATGACCATGCACGAAGAAGACTGCACGTCCTGTGGGAGAGCCGAACTGTGCATATCCAAGCTTCCGTCCGTCTGGCAGGAGAATGGTCTCCGAGTTGTCATTCTCCATCTGGTTCGTAATGCCTGTGTCGCGCTGGATGTTGGTTGTGTCACTTGCTGTCAAGATATCAGAGACTCCAGGAATATATATTCAGCTCAATATACTTGGATGAGCGATGGGAAGGGAGTAATATTAGACTTACATTTATCCAATAGGCCCCTAATCCTGATTAAGTTAGAGTTGGGCATCCCCAGCCAGAGCGAGAAGCTCCGACACCACCCGGGTATGAGTCACGAGGGGAAACATTCGGTGACACGAGTGACGTTAGGTGGCTATCCTTGGTTGTTTAATCACCAGGCGAGTGCTGCGTCTAAGCCCTGGGCCGTGTCTCTTAGGGACCTATCCCCTGTGGCTCCCGGATCCCACGTCTTCATCTCATATTCGCTCGTAAAAGCACAGAACAACTTGTTTTTTAGTCCAGGCTGGTCGTGACTCACCCCTGTCCTTCCACTTTGCACACAACTCCTTTTGTGGCTGTCCTTCGGTCGTAGCTTCCCAGATATCGATCTTCCGTCTCTCACAGGATTAATTGAGGCCCAGGTGTGACTGCGATGGGTTAGAAGCTCTGGCTTTATGATACTCACTGACCAAATAGACAATGCCTGTCCTGATTTTACACTTGAGACTCCTGGACAGCTCAAAACAGGGATCCACGGCTGTGTAGCAGATGGATTCTGCCATCTGGTCCATCCCGCGACCATCAGGCAGCAGGCATCTACCCCGACAGTATTACTATTCGCAATGTCACAATGCATTTGGGCGAAATCGATGGACACTTTTGGCTTTGTCGCAGACTGTCGGTAGATACACCTGTCAGACCCATCACCTACGGTCTGCGTAGTTCCCAACCGAACCAGTTACTCATGGCTCAGGGCCTGCTAGAGATAGAAGGTCGCCAATATCCTGCGTGCATGTTGACCACGGAAGAACGAGCATGCGTAAACCTAGTAGTGCCCAAGACGAAAGAACACCAGTGAGCCATGAGCACGCTCAGGAATGTAAAAATCAAGCCGTTTTGCGCTGTCAGGAGCGAATATGAGATGAAAATGTGGTATTCGGGAGCCTACTGTCCAAGGGCTTGGACACGGTATTATTCGCTTGGTGAGCCTGGGAAGGATGCAGAACAACTGTGTGGATGCTTACCCTACCTCTATCTACAGAGAGAGCAGCCGGCACTCGCCTATCTGAAGGCACGAGGGCGCTAAGCATGTCCCCTAGGCTTACCGGTCTGTGCCTGTCTTGGAGACGCCCATAAGCGAGGTGGGGAGAGGCGTGCATGGCGGGGCGGGGACAGTTGATGAAAACAGCTCAGACGCAAGCGTTTATTGAGGACCTTGAAAGAAGGAGGACTCGAGTGCTGCTCAATCAATTTGAATGTTTAGTATTTCGATTCTGTTATCTTCTGATATAGCATCTAACACAGACAATTCCCCTTGTAGCTGCTGTTGCCCGCCCCATATGAGATATCTCTCACACTCGAACTCATCATTCATCAGGCCGAACTCAAATCACAGAACAGTGGTGACAGGGGACAGAGGGAGGTAGAAATCTAGAAGTTCTTCTCGAGGTTGTTGACCTCGGTGTCGATGGCCCCATCGATCGCGCCGTCTAGGGCCGACGGGACGCCCTCGTTGTTCAGGAAATTGTTTACTTCTGTGCATCGAATACCAGTCAGCATCGAGTTGCATAAAATGGTTGGTCGAGCAGTCGGATGTAAGTCATAGATCATACCTTGATTGACATACGAGTCGCCGGCGTTCTGCTCGAAGCTCTTCATCATGCCGCCGCCACTGCTGCCGCCTCCTTGTTGCTGCTGGCTCTGTTGGCCCTGCTGCTGCTGGGACTGTTGGTCGTTGCCTTGGTTGTCATTGCCCCCTTGTTGGCTCTGGAGGAATTGCTCGCCTTCTTTGAGGAGGTTTTCCATCTTTGGCTTGGGAGTTGTTGAGTTGGTGAATTGAACGGTGGTGGTGGTAGAAGGATTGTTTGGTCGTGGTGCCTGGTCAGAGAAGATGCCAGGGGATGCTGGGCGAGGAGGAAATTCAATGATCTTTATAGCCCAACGGGACCTTCAGCTTGGTCCAGCATGCAGATGCTTTTCCTGTCCCGCATCCCTTGCGTTATCTCTGTGCTTCAATGCGCCCTGATTTCCTTGCCCGGTGACGTGGCTGCGTAGGGCCCCGCGTTCGCTGAGTGGTCAGGTTCCCCTGCAGATCGCATCACACAAGCACCCCAAGCTTCGCTTGTCCGAGGCTTAGCACTCCATATGGAGAGCATTATTGGTTGTCAATGTGGATCCCAGTTTGCTTTTTCACAGATAAGCATGGCATGGGTCTGGCTTGGCACGCGGTTTGAGCATGTCGATGCGAGTCACACAGCAGCACGCATCTTTTCACTATAGCATAGCCGACCAGCTGGAGAGAGACCCCTGTCCAGCTGAATGCCCGGAAAGGAATTACTTTCCACCATCCAATGATGCCGCGGCTCTACTTACCCGACACGAAGGATGGTGGAACACTGAGAGACACATTGAGAGGTGCTGTCTCGTTCCCGGTCGACATGACTCCGGCAGCGATGAAGGGTCTGGTATATATGGCTCTAACACGGGCACAGAAAGGGAGTGAAGGATCGAGAGTAATCTTGTTCTGCTCCGAACATCTGGATATAAGCTAGGGCAAGGCTGGACAAGACGGGGGAACCAAAAGTGTCCGAAGCCAGTTTGCTAGCTGCCGCTGATTCCTCGATACCGCGAATCAAACGGTTGATACTGGTTCCTGAATCGAGTCGAGATCTTGGGAGGAAAGTGCGGATGCTGGGTAGATCACCCGCTTCCATTTGTAGCTTCCGGAAGCACGATCGAAGAAAGACAAAGACAAATCTCGGATTCGCCCGATGCTCCAGGGCAGCCCGGAGAATTTTCCTCCCTTCTCAAACTTTGTCATCTGCAACCGGCTCGTGAAGGTAATGCGAGCGGTCATAGGTCATGTCGGCGCTGAGCTTGGACTCCTCGTTGATAAAGGGCACGAACTGCACGAGTCGGACGCCGAGCTTGGGCGCGACCTCGAGGCACTCTCCAGAGATGGTGTTGGCGCCCAGCAACGACTCGAACGCCTCGAGGAGTTTCTCCATGGGCACCAGCACCCCCAGCTTCTCGGCCTTGTCGTACACTGCCGCCGTCGAGATGCCCGTCCGGATTTTGTTCGGGCACACGGCGTTGAGCGTGATGTGCTCCTCGGCTAGGATCTTGCCGTACGAGCGGACGAGGCCCACGATAGCACTGATCGAGAGGAGGTCTTGTCAGCTTTTTCGGGGAATGGACACTCATGGGAAAGAAAATTGGTACTGCTTCCCTTCAGGAAAGTGGGGGAAGAACGTACTGCTTGGCCGCTGTATATATAGGCACGGTTTGGTGGATGTAGAATCCACAGACAGAGGCCACCGGCATGACTAGAATGGATTTAGTTTCAGCAAGGACCATCTCAAATATGTACGAGGTAGAAGGCTTACTTTTTCCCCGGAAGCCATATTTATTGGGCTTTTGGCGGCGGAAATGCTGAACTGCCAGGGAAATGGTGTAGATGACGGCGATGCAGTCGACTTCGAGCACACGCAGGTCCGGCTTCTCGTACCCTGTCGAGTTCGGCCGGTTGGGAAACGTACGGGTCTCGCCGATGCCGGCAATGGGGAAGACGTAGTCAATCCGCTTGAATTCGGCCTCGGCGGCTTCCCACGCGCTGCGTTGCGAGTCCCAGTCTGCAACGTCGGCCTGTACCGTCCAGACAGCCTTGCTGCCGTTCTTGTTCAGCTCATCGGCCACGGCTTGGGCGCCCTTTATGTCCCTGTCTGCCACATAGACTTTGATCCTGCCATTGATCACGATGAGCGGGTGGTCCACGACTCTGGTGGCAGCAGGAGACTGGATATAGAAAAGACGGTCCCACCCACCCTTTCTCCACGAGCATCTTGGTAACTGCTCGTCCGATGCCGCTGGCACCACCTACCACGCACATATCAGCCCAGATGCAACGTCGAAGGAGCCAATGTGGCGTCCATGCCTGTTAGGAAAGCTGTTTCCCCCTTGTACGACATATTGCCGACTCTTGAAGGTCTCAAGGGCTCCTATTGCTCCGTCGACTCTAGAGGGCGTATTGTTTACCTCTCCTGATTCTTGCTGGAATCTCCAAGCCCAGCCCCCCGACGAGAGCCAGCAGGCTGGACGACGGCTCCCATAATATGAGAAGCCTGAACACAGGTTGATTCCGTGGCTGCCAATAGCCGGATTCGTGCGGGGAGTGATACGTGGAGAGGGGTTGTGTCGAGCAGCAACCGAATCCGGGTGGCTACTTGGTCGACGTTGGGTTTTTGGGGTTGAGAGGAAACTTCCAATCCGTTTTCCGGAGAAAGAAGTTCATCTGGCGAACAACCGGACTTCTCCAACCCGAGGCCGCGCAGATCTGATCTCCGGTTATGATATGGCACCAGTATATTGCTGGTAGCTGTGGCCTCTGATCGCACCGATATCGATAACTTGACCTTCTACAGAACGTTATCCGGATTTTACTTTTTGAGCAGACCAGCCCATGGCAGACTATTCGCAATATCAGGGCCCGAACCCCGAGTGGGAGGAATTCGTTCGAGTGACTCCGATCCCGCCTGCTGGATTGGCACCGGGGCAAACGCCGACAGACCTCAGAAATGTAACGAACGCTCTGCGCGAGACGGTGTCCAAAACAGCTCTTCAGGCGTCAGGTAGGTATTCCCCAGCATTTTCCATGGCGGGAGGGCGAGCAGAGGCTTTCAGCACGTCGTGCATCTCATGCGACGTTCATTGTTGAATAAGGGGGGGCTCCTCGAGGACCGATCTATTATGCTGCCGACTTGCTCCATGAATGGCTAACACCCTCTTTTGCCCTTCATAGGCCTCCTGGACAAAGTGAGCTGGCACGACGTGGCCATTCCCACACGGGACAATTCTTCGGTCCCGGCGCGGGTCTACAAACCCAAGGGTATCAGTGAAACGACGACGACAGGACCACCTCTTCCCGTCTACCTCTTCTTCCACGGCGGCGGCTACCTGTTCGGCAGCCTGGACACGGAAGATGCCGCCTGCGCGAGAGTGATTGCCATGTCCCCGACGCCCGTCATGGTCGTGCACGTCAACTACCGCCACACGCCGGACTTCAAACACCCGACGCAGCACAACGACGCGTGGGACGCGGTTGTGTGGCTCGGACAGAACATCGCCTCCCTCGGCGGCGATCCCCAGAAGGTGGTCGTGGGCGGCATCTCTGCCGGGGGCGGCCTCGCCGCGGCGGTCGTTCTCCAAGCACAGCAACAAGAAGCTGTCAGTAACAACTTGAAAATCGTCGGCCAACTGCTCCTCATCCCGTGGATCATCCACCCGAAGGCTTACCCGTACGACCTGCTAGCCTCGAAAGAGCGGTCCAGCTTCGTGCAGAACGAGCACGCCCCGGTCCTCCCGCACTCGCAGATCAACCTGTTCATCGACGTCTTTGACGGGCCCGACACCGATCCCACGGACATCCTGCTCAACCCGCCGCTGGCCCCGGATGAGACGGTCAAGGGCATGCCCAAGTCGGTCGTCGTGGCGGCGGGCATGGACCCGTTGCGGGATGAAGCGCTCCTGTACGCGGACAAGCTGAAGAAGAATGGGTAAGTGGCTCTCCTTTTTTCGCATGTCGCTTGAGCTATGGTTATAAAGGCTGGGGTATATACTGGGAGAGAATACTGACGACTAACACCCGTCTCCAGGGTCCCGACGAAAGTACATGTCTTTCCTGGACTGCCTCATGGCTTCAGACGATTCGAGACCCTGAAGGCCAGTGCACGATGGGATGAAGTGATTGTCGAGGGCATCCAGTGGTGTCTTTCAGATGACGGCGAGAGCTCAACCAAGGTCGAACTATGACGAGCACAACCGGCTCGAGCATCACAGAGCTACAGAGACAAGGAAGCTGTCGGGAAATAGAACCCGGTCTGTGTTCTGCTTTCCCGAGCATATGGCGCCAATTCCGAGGGCGTCCAGAAACCTACTCGATGAGGACTTCGGACGTTGAAGGCACCATGACTCCCAGGTTTGACCTTAGGACTGCAGTTTGTGGCAAGCAGTAGACGTTCGACTCAGAAGTAGAGACCATAGAAGACTAAATAAAAAGAACAAGAACAGCTCGATCCTCCAGACGAGGCCGTCTGACATCCACTTGTGACATCGTCCACGAATTACTCATTCGAATATATGCGTACGCTAGTCCACATCACTCGGCCTCCTCCTTCAAGATCTTCTGAATCTTCACGAGTGCGCTGTCCTTGTTGCTGACCAAGTTCAACCTCGGGGGCCCCGGGTTATTGAAGACGGGGATGCTGCGCCAGGTGTCGACAGCCTCGTCAACCACCTCCAGCAGCGTGCCCGCGGGATACCGGTCGTTGGGGTTCTCGGCCAGCGCGACCATGGCGTCAGCAATCACGCTGGGATCGAGCATCTTGTCCTTGGTGGGGTCCACCCAGCCTTTGACGCCCGGGTCTTCCAGGAGTAGAGGCGTCGCGATGGCCCTAGACGAGGTGGGTTCCATGATCAGTCTCGGTAAAGTCATCGAGTATTCTTTTGACTGTGGCAGTTTCGAGGCATTTCCCACGGTCACCGGCATGTTCCAGCCCTGAGCTCTCCGATGGAAACGGGAAATACAGTGAAAGGCGCATATACGTACCCGGGAGCAACTCCGACGACGCGGACGCCGCTGAACTTCTCTGCAGCACCCATGCCCATGATGAAGCTGCCAACAGCGTGCTTCGAGGCCTGGTACAGGGGCGTAATGACGCTGACGGTTTCGGCCGCGACGCTGGCGATGCAGACCACGGTTCCCGTCTTCTTTGCACGCATCAGGTGCCGGATCGCCATTCGCGTCATCTTGATCGGGTGCACGATGTTGATGTCGAAGAGCTTGTAGTGGGAGGGCGAGTCAACGTCCCCCCAGAACCCGGACTCCGGCTATTAATGTTCAGTCGAGGTCAGCTATTGATGTGTCTTCCAGGCCTCAGAGCACCGCATGAGTAACATTTCCGCTCAAGGCAAAAAGGAGGGAAGTTGAGTGACACAGAGCGAGAAATAGATTAGTTGCTCGTCTCTCGTACATACGGGCTCATAGATTCCAGCCCCGGGACACACCAGGTCCGGCACGGCGCCAAACTCTTTCTTCGCAACCTCGAACGTCCTTTCCAGCTGAGCCCAGTCCGTGACATCTGTCGGCTGGAAGACAACCTTGGGGCCGCCTTTCTTTGCGGCGGAGTCGACGAACGCTTGTGCCTCGGGTCGCAGGCTGATATCTGCGATCACGACATTGCAGCCTTTCTCAAAAAGGGCCCGTGCAAAGGCCAAGTTGATGCCTGAAGCGGGCAGTCACATTGTAAGTGAGTGTGACCGGCAAATGGGCAAAGACTGAGAAACACTCAATATGGTATCTTCCTTACCGGAGCCTGCCCCCGTGACAATGGCCGAAGCACCCTGGAGGTTTAACCCAGGCATGTCAAACAAAATCAAGTGCAAGGTTTGAGAGAGATTATGCTGTAAGAGATAGAGAGAATCCCGTTATGGATTTACACGTAGTGCATTTGTCCGGTCTTGGGCGTTCGTCTCGACTGATACAGCATTCGATATATTGGGCAACAACTGCGGAGTGGCTCATCCGGAGATGCATCTTTCGGGCCTCGGCAAGGTGTCAACATGGTGGTTGGAGGTAAGCCTTCTTGGAGAGCAGTCGTATCTTGGTCGCGCTCAAAAGGGGTCGGTATGGATGGATATATCTGGCTTCCCCGCAGGATCCTGGAGTTCGAGGAGTGCATAAACCCCCCCATACATGCGTGGGAAACGCTCACCAATTGCCCGAAACGAGCCGATCAGGCTGCCTGAGACGCTGAGAAAACCGGCTTTAGAGCCTGGCATGGAAAGAACTGTCAAATGAGTGGGAAATGGGTCGGCTGGATCGAGATGGAGATCAATCAGCCTTGCTGTCAAGGGGAATTGCACAAAAGTACCAAGAGTAAGAAGCATCGACACTGGGGCAAAGGATTGACGCCGCCACGCCGAGCTCAATGGGCTGCGATGTGTTTGGTCTAGGGATCGATAAGAGCCCAACAGCCCGCTACACCCATCCAGGGATAGCCTCGCCAACATGAATGCCAGCTCTTCCTCCTCAGATTTCTCTTGATTTTTCTTTAATTGATGGACAAGTCGACCCGGTAAGCAACCATCGCCGGGACTGCTGTCATTCTACCCCAGGCAGTCGCTGTGGCCTTGCCCTCGTTCAGAAACTGGACATGGTGTTGTCTCAGGCTGGAACGAAGTGAGTCTTGGGAGTGGTGAACAGAACACCCCTGCAGGGTCCTCGCTTGACGGGTGTCGCTTACAAGCTGCTGGGCTGAAGGGGCACCTCGCGTAACTGTGCCAGGGACGGATTTGGCACAGCTGCCTCACACCTGAGACTGTCTTAGAACAGTCTGTCGAAGAACCTGGAGTGGATTAAGCCATGCACGGGCTCCCTACCTCACTCGCAAACCGATCTCCGCTCCTACGGGACCAATTCCGGTACGACAGGATCCTCGTAAGGAGTACCAATACGCCAGCATGGTTTTACTGGGCTACTTGCGGAACTTCCAGCCGTTTCGACTCGACGCCCTGGGTATCGTAACGCTCCTGGGTGCGGAACAGGTCAACCAACATGTGGGCAAGCTGGTCAGAAGCCGATGGCTGGAATACATGCCGCTCCTCGGAGCCTATGTCATTGCCAGTGACGAGTTCACGGACAAACAAGCTGGCTTTCAGCTATTCAACTTCACCGCGAACATATATACGCCCAGCCTGGCGGGATGGTTCAGCCGCTGGCTCGACGAACAGGATTTTGAGACGTCGGGGACGTGTGTGGAGTGGAGAGTCAATGCAAAGGCTCATTCCTTCGCTCTCGACATCTGGAAATCCCTGCTCGCTGGGGTCATCGTCCAGGGTGGATTCATCGTAATCACCGTTCTCATGGGAGACAGGTGGGGCTTCGCAAACGCCATGTCAATGGTGATATCCACCGTCGGAAGGGCGTATCTGGTAAATCGCAACACTACCTGGCTCGATGGTACCATTGTGGCAGGGATACGGAAAGCGCTCGGCGAACCTGAGTCTCTCGCATCCACCAAACGGCAGCCCAACGTGAACAGCACGGTTTTCGACAAGGAGAAACTCGAAAGGCTGCCAGAAGCAAAACTCATTGTGGTCTTGCCAGACGCCAGAGCCGCCGTGCTTTTCATCCCCGACTGCTTGGTGCGTGAGATCTTCGTCTACAACCCGAAACCACCAGGCACGATGGATGAGACCAAGAGAGTCGGGACGTGGCCCGTCCGCCAGAGAGACGAGAACAGGAGAAAACAGTCGAGCCAGCCGGACTTCCTGATCTATGAAATTGTGCGTTGGATCTGCTGGCTCGCGTTCGGCGCCCACGTTATCACCATCGGCATGTCGGATCTGGTCAGCCAGCTCATCACGGTGGTGATCATCGTGGTGCCCACCTTCCTGATCGTGCAGGGCTTCGGCTGCGACGACACGCATATTGGAACCCGGCTGCGGGCAGAGATAACGGACATTCCGCCGGAAGAGGTCAAAGCGAGGCGCGCCGATATGTACGCCTTTCTGGACCTCACCAAGGAAGAGGAAGGGTGTCTGGAGCAGTGGAACCTGGCGGCTAACCGGGCCAACAAAGAGTTCTGGAGCGATTATGAGAGGAAGAAGGACATATTTGGCCGGGTGCCGAACCTACGCGAGATCCGGAATTACGAAGATCGCCTCCGGGCGCTCCAAGCGGCTGGAGACGCTTTCCGGAAGGACCACGAAGCCAAAACACCTTCGCCGCAAGTGCGTCCGGCGTCTAGCACGACGTCGAAACACACATCTCTGGGCACAGCGTAGAGGGTCGGGTTGTCCCGCTACTGCCGTTGCATTAACAAATGGAGTCTGCTGCTTACTTTCAGACATCGATTGAGATCGAGGGGTCGCCCTTTGTTTACCTGCCCAACTTGGTGGTACAGATATTGGGCGAACTAGGTCAATGCAGCCTATCCGAATGGAGACGGTTTAAGATTGCAGCAATATTTCATACCCGTTGAGGACGGGAACGTTCATTATAAGCAATGTGCAGTTCCTTGATGTGCCCAGCGCCCAGAGGTTGAGGCCACTCACCTCAAGTCTGGATGACCTGGTATGAGCTCGAAGAAATCTACACTCATCAGAGGATATGACGCACAGGAGTACTGCTTTGCCACCCCTTCCCGGTCCTGCCAGAAACAAAATCTGGAGTACAACACCGAATACGTTCACCCGGCTGAGAAGATTTCTACCTTGTCGGGACGTTGAAGTCGAAGAACGACAATATGGTAGACTGAGGCTGACTTGGAGCTGGGCGGTCGTGTCTAAGTTGGAGTGAATGAGCCTGGACTCCTCAACGGAAGATGGCTTTGCATAGATGGCCCTATCTGGACAACGAAGCTATTTCAGATGACAGGTCATGATGAAAGGGATTTGGGAAGGGTATCTATTGGAAGAGTTGGGTTGGTTGAGAGGCTTGAGGGGCTTAGAGGCTGGAGTGCATCGCATGGGGAGATACAAGGCCTCTTCTCATCGTATAGTACTTGCCATTAGATTCCATGTGTATACCTGAAGAGAAAAGGCGAAGAAACATTGATGCGCTTTCAACGGGGTTGACAGATAGACAGGTATAGATGGGAGTCAAACAAACCAGGTTGAGGCACAGCGCCCACGACTGCTGTGGAGTGGAAGCATTATATAGCGACGAGTAGGCAGATTCAACCCAGCCCTTGCTGGTTCTGAGTAGTTAGGTGGATTTTCCTTGGTAGAACCGCTTCGTACCAGGACGTTTCTATTCTCTTGTGTCAAGGGGCCGCCATAGTAGGGTGTAGCAAGCATTTGCCTCGGTACAAAATTACCCCAAATTGATGTCGGCATTTGGAGCATATTATGTACGTTGGCGCACGGAGGAAGTAGTAATCATGGTTGCACATAACGTTACCTTAGCACGCTTAGCTTGCCATCAATAACCTCACTGGCCGCACCTGGGGCTGTTCTTCAGTGCTGCGAGGTGCCTCGTTGTATAGATCAGATAGCTAGACGCAAGATATACGACCAGGCTTTTCAGGGACACAGCAAGTTCCTGCGGTTAGAAGAGCTTCAGATATGGCTCCGAGCGAAGAATCGGCGTCCAAACAACTCGATTTCGAAACACATCTGGAGTTGAAGCAGACCGCGCCGGTAAGTAACAAAGCAGGGATTACGGGGTCCCCTGGGAAAATCTAACATCACCATCCATCAATCAGGATGTCTTCACAAACGCCCATGAGCCATGGGTGTTCCATGTCACACACACGTATCCCGGCCCGTTGATGATGGCCCAGGCGGCCGCGGCGGCGTGGAAGACGGTGCCGGACGGATTCATGCTGGACTCGCTGCAGACGCACTTCATGCTGGCACCGAGCCCAGCAAAGCCTTTGAAGTACCACGTGCAGCGGATCGGCAATGGCCGACGGTTCGCAGTGCGCATTGTGAACATCTCCCAGGACGACAAGATCTGCGTGACGATAACCACGAGTTTCGTCAACGATGCCGCGCCGTGGTCCGGGCGCGCCATGACGCATGCCGTGCCGATGAGGATTGACCGGCGCAGGCGGGAGATCACACTGGATGATTTCGAATTTGGGCGGACGGAGCGAGGGCCGTTTATGAAGTTCGAGAGGCTCCCGCACGTACACCAAGGTTGGTTGGTTCCCTTCCAGCAAGCCCGTGCGAAGGAAATATACTATGATACTCACATGCTTTTCTTATCTCCTTTTTCAGCTCCCAAAAGCCCCGCCACCACGATCGCCCCGACGCTCGCGCAGATCGCGCCGGCCATATCGTCGCCCCGGGGCACGGCGGCGCACGTTCTCGCCGTCGTCCACGTCTCCGACTACCACGTCATGGACTGTCCGCTGTCCATCCACGGCATCGCACACGGGTCGTGGGCAATCGGAGACCAGAGCAAGACACCGATTCCGTCTGCCATGAAGATCATGACCAGCCTGAACCACACGATACACTTTCACACCCACAACGGCTTCCGGGCCGACGAGGTGATGTACATCGAGGTCACGTCCCCATGGGCGAAGGACGGGCGAGCCATGATCAACTCGCGGATTTTCAGCAAGCAGGGCATGCTGATTGCCACTGTCGTACAGGAGGTATGTGGGCGATCGACTTTGAGTCCTGATCCTCGTCCGCAAGCTGACAACGGCGAACAGGCGTTTTATGTCTTCAAAGATGCCGGTGCGAAGCTCTGACGAGCAATCCCGCCACGAAGACCAAGTGCAAGGGAAAGGATAATGAGACACAGTCTAGAAGCATGATTTCTGCAGAGTTGGAACCACAGGGGCCCACGGCATACGAGAGAGAAAGGATGTAGATTGCCTGATGGTGCTCATAGAGAAAACATGGCGTGTCACGCGTTTAATACTTCACCGGACAAATTCGCCCAGCGGAGCATAGAATCAGCAGCGCTATTCCAATATCCAATCTCGAAAACTTCATCTCCAGGCCCGAGTATTGGCTGCAGATGGCACTGCCTTTCGAAACTCTATGGCCTAAAAGGTCTTACTCAGTCTGCGTCTGCGTTGGCAATTCCACCGCCATGCGGTAAATCGTATCAGGATTGCAGATGAAGTCAACCTGACGCACGAACTCCCTCTCGCCTCGAGTTGGAGACATGTCCGCCTCGCTCAACGTCATCGCCCTCATCTCAGGCGGCAAGGACTCGCTGTTCAGCATCCTGCACTGCCTCGACAACGGGCACAAGGTCGTGGCGCTCGCCAACCTCTACCCGGGAGCGAGATCATCTATGACCCATGGACAAGGAGGAGATGACGCCTCATCATCCTCCTCCCCCACCACCGGCCTTCGCCGAGAGGACGAATCTGATGAACCTGAGGGAGAGGATCTGAACAGCTTCATGTACCAGACGGTCGGGCACTCGGTTATCCCCCTCTACGCAGAGTGTCTCGGCATTCCGCTGTACCGGCGAGAAATCACAGGCTCGGCGGTGCAGATGGGCCGCTACTATGATGCCAGCGTGCTGGATTCGTCGCTGCTCGATGAGACAGAAGACTTGGTGCCCCTGTTGAGGGAAGCCATGCAGGCTCATCCCGAAGCCAACGCTCTCTGCTCCGGCGCCATCCTCTCGACCTATCAACGCACCAGGGTCGAGTCTGTGGCGGTGCGGCTCGGCTTGACGCCGCTGGCATACCTCTGGCAATATCCTGCTCTTCCTCCCCCCAGGGGACGGGGCGAGTCCCTGACCGGATTACTGGATGACATGAGCGTGGCGGGCTGTGATGCCCGAATCATCAAGATTGCCAGCGGCGGGATCAAGGAGAGTCTGCTGTGGGCCAACGTGGCAGACCCCCGAACCCAGCAGAGGCTCGTGAACGGTCTGCGCCCTTTCTTTCCCGACCACGAGTTTTGGCTCCGCGGAGCCGTTCTGGGAGAAGGTGGAGAGTACGAGACGCTGGCTGTCAACGGGCCGAGAAGGCTGTGGAAGAGAAGAATCGTCATCGCACCGGAAAATCAATCTACATTTACTGGGGAAGGCGGCGTGAGCTATCTCCGGCTGGCGAGACCCGGAACCGAGTCCAACCATGAAGACGCTTCTGAGGCTCGCGATGAATGTCTTCGACTTCCTCAGGCGTTTGATCCTCAATTTCAGACTGTTCTGAATATGGTCGAAACTCAAGAGACGCTGAATGCTGGCAGACACGCGGACAGGCTCGACGAAAAAGATCCCAGGTGGCCACAGCATGGTTTGAACTACTCCTTACGACCTGCCGACTGTCTGGCTTCGGGGCATCTGTCGATATGTAACATCACATGGTGCGACCCGAGCGGTGATGGACGTCCAAACAACGCTGCCGGTCAAATGCAAGGCATATGTGATCAATTGAAGTCCTTCCTCGAGTCCAAGTCAAGCTTTCTCAATCTGCCGACTGGGCTAACGCCTTCCAATATTGTCTCTACAACCTTGTTATTAAAAAACATGTCGAACTTCGGGGCGGTCAATCCGATATATGCCTCGCTTTTCCGCGCGGGTGAACCTAATCCTCCGGCACGCGTTACAGTGGCATGCTCGCTACCAGAGCATATTGAAGTGAGCTTGAGTGTATTACTCGACTTGGGGCCTCGTGAGCTACGACGCGGGCTGCACGTGCAGAGTCGCAGCTACTGGGCGCCAGCGAATATCGGACCATACAGTCAAGCCATCTGTGTGCCAGTGAACAAACAAAGTGAATCGCGGGTCAACGTCCATGATACAGGATTGGTGGAGGTGGTTCACATGGCTGGACAAATCCCTCTCGTTCCGCACACGATGGAGCTTTCGCACGCTGGATTTCCCGAGCAGGCAGTGCTGAGCCTGCAGCATATGTGGCGCGTTGGACAAGAGCGAGGTGTCGACATGTGGCCCTGGGGAATAGCATTCTTGGAAAGCTGCACGGATACTCCTGCCCGGACAAAGTATTCGTGCAGAATATGGCGACAGACTCACCTGACTGGGACTAGACTGACAAAGGTTGTTGCCGACGAGGAAGGTGACGAGGAGGACGGAGGGCTGGATGCGTGGGACTTGCAACATAACCGCGCTGCGACGTACCAGGCAGCCACTGCCCAGGTGACTGTGGGCCAACATCTTCATCTGCTCCCACACCCGGGTGTGTTGCTAGACGATAGCACCTCATTTACGTTTCTTCCGCCCTTTATCGCCGCAGAGGTTGTCTCCCTGCCTCGAAATGCACCGGTTGAATGGTGGAGCATGGGAATCACGAATTTACCCCGAAGGCCAGCATCAAGGCCGCGAGTCTCGGTGGTTCGCAGAGAACATGCCTGGGTGTCTCTCATCAAACTCACGGTCCTTCCGCCACATGGGAAAGCAGGCACAAACATTCACTTAGTCACGGTGCTGGTTCGTCGAGGTGCAGGGTCTGGGCTCAGTGCTGTGGATAGCGTACGCGTGGAGACCGAGGTCCTCGACCTGATTCAGGCGGACAATGGTCATGAAATGGCGGCAGCAGCAGAAGTGGTGCACGGCACCGCCTTCGTCGCGCTGCAAGATCAGGAAGGGTGGGCTCGAATAAGTGAAGGGCGCCTCTTCAAGGACTTGGCAGTCATCCCGTGCAACTCCTTGTTTGGAAGCTCTGGGATTGCTCCCTATGCCGGCCCTGGGAATGGTGATGAGTCGCTGTTGCTTGACGAAGACATCGAAGGAACAGCGGCATCCTGTTCTCCACTTGCTGTCGCAATGGTCATGCGCATCGACCAGAACTCGAGGTAGCCGAGATCAGGGCGGTTGCGCACTTTCTCAGCTGCATGCCCAATCGATCTTTGGACGGATGGATTTCCAAAAATACCATCTCGGCAGACAATGTGCGGCTGATTCTGCAAGCGACAGCAGAAGAAGCGCCTTTCAAAACACACATCCTTGGGCAGACGACTCGAATATATTGACTCACAGCAGACCCAACAGAGCCAATGTTTGTCTTTGTTCTGATATTACGCGCCGGGGCGTCTCGAGGCTGAAGTGCGTCCCCAGCGAATCACGTTCGAGTATGTTCCATCAGAGGTCAGCTGGAACTTTTGGTGCTGTGTCGAGCCGCCGGACAGGTACAAGCGCCGAGGCGTAGTGTGAGTCGTTCGACGGCGGCAATCGAGAGAGATGGTAAGGCTTTGTCTCCGTGTTCAGGAGATGATCTGGTCGTTGACGGGCGAGGGTTCGTTTCCAGACTGCGGTGATGGTTAGCTACTCCACATTCGCTCCTCAGAAGGCGATGGCTATGCGCCCATCCCCCGGTATGCGTCCAGTAGCCAGCATTCAGCCTTGAATGTATCCGCCTGGCAGACCGGTCGCCTCTTCAATGCCGCCTGGGAAGAGCACAGCCAGAATGATGGTAGTATCTCGGTTTCGGCAAAGGTACTGAGTTAACGCATAAAGGAGGATGCATGCGATGCATAACCTCCAAGAGGCAGGCCGAAAGCGCCACGGACCTGACAAATTCATCTGTGAGTAAATCAGTCAGTCAATGGGTCGTAGTAAGTTAGTATGTCCAGTCACCAGCGCCTGCGGCCCTGTGCGCAATCATTCGGCGTCAAAGGAGCCGCCCGCTGGCTCTGCTCACACCACGCATCGTGTGTTTGTGTCCGTCGTTTTCTTCCCCAAACGCCCAGTTCACTTGCCATGGCGTGCCATATGATCACTCACCGCGCCAGCCATGCATCTCCTCGCCTCCACACAGATCGAGCAATGCCTCACATGCACACGAAGCCAATCCGTCCCGCTCCACAGGATACAAGACCAACAAACGTAACGTAGCGCACGGAGCAGGCATTAAAACAGCAACATCTTCATCCTCCACCGCGCTGCATGCCACGACCCACGACGAAACCTACTCGTGCATATATGCGTGCATCCCTCCAAGACAGCCAGCCATCCAGGGCATCGACAAACCCAAAAAGCACGCGCGCGCGAGTGAGACAACAACAGGCACGATGACGATTCCGAATCGTCCGGCTGGTCGTGTTGGTGTGGGGTGGGGGTGAAGGGGAGGAGGAAAATTTTCTTAGCTGGCTGAGTAGGTAGCTGCAATAGGTGGCTAGCTGAGTACCTGACCCATGTAGGCAGATGGGCAAGATGGAGCGAGCGGGTTGAACGCAAAGAAAAGTCTATTGTCAGAAGGAAAGATATGGGAAAGTCCGAAGAGAGAGACACGAAAAACGCCGCTGATGGATAGACAGGGCGGGGAAAAGAGAGGAGCTGTTTCAAAAAAAAAAACCTGCATGAACCGCGGGTCATTGTTGCGTGTGTGGACAGGTGAGGGTGCTGAGAGAGGTCTGGGAGAGGAACTCAGAGTTAGAGACACACCGTCAAGATACCTGCCTCCAGCAATTCGCCGTCGTGAGTGGGTGAGCCAGCGCCATCCGAGTTTTTCCCTCTGTCTGATCTGGGGAAGTGGGAGCAGAAGCTTCTCTGGGTAGATGATGTCGGCCTGCCGGCTGTCAACCTTGGTAATTGATCGCCTGACTGATCAATCGACTGAGTGAGGCAACGAAACAACCGAAGTCATTGACTTTTACTCCGCACATGGCTGAGAGAGTTGAGAAGGTTGGCAGAAGGTTGGCTGGGTGGCTTCGGAGCAGTCGTAGGTACTCGGTACATACGTTGAAGCCTAGCGGGGCTTAAGCTGCACGCTGTACTCGGTACCTGCACTACCAACTACCCGTATCTTAGGGGCCCCTACGGTACAGTAGGTGGTGGTGCTCGTGCCTATCGACACCTATGGAATTACCCGCGCCTATACTGCGTAATGATCAGCCCTATTATACTTCTCTGACCTGCCCAGCCGACAACCATCCACCCAAAGAGAGAGCCACACAGTGTGTGTGTGTGGGTGGCTCACGAGTTGCTGGCGTGGCTGGGTAGTTACTCGGTAGTTATTCTCCGTACCCGTGCCCGTGGCCGTGCCTGTTCCCGGAGTTGAAGAGGGTGTGGAGGTTCCATCTCTTCAAGGTACCGAGTGACACGCACTCTTTACGTACTGTAGGTAGGTAGGTTTTCTCTCCTTCATGTCCCTCCCGCCATACTCCATACTCCGCATCTGGGTACACTACGGCCAGTGGTTGGCATCCTGAGTTATCTGCCCTGGATGCCGCGGCAGGTTAAATCGATAGGCTCACACGCTCCGCACAAAGTCTATTATTGTCATTCCGCGACGCGCCCACGTTTGTCTTTTTTTCGCGCTCAGTTCGCGCACCACGCGTTTTGCTCAGTGGTTCGATGATTGGTTCTTTCTCCATGCGTCTGTCTGGCCATCTCATAATATTACGACTGCAGTGCTTATCCTTTCTTGGTAGGTAGTAGCACCAGTACTGTAGGCAGAAGAGGTCCAACCTCGCTTGGGCGGCTGCAACTTGAGTTATCTATTATCTGAGTGTCATACTGCATGCATATCTGCCCAGCAAATATGTTGTATTGACAATTTATGCACACATCTTCCCGCATTGCGCAAATGCTCGCGTGAATGCAAGTATGCATCCCCGCCCCTTTCTGATTTTACAGGAATATGCCACAAATCGCTACGTCTTTCCTGCAGACATTGTACCGGAGATCCTCCCTCCGTCATCATCATCATCATCATTTTTCTCCTCTCCGCCGTCCTGCTCTTTCGCCCACGGTATTTTCCCTTACATGATCGCCTCTCTGCAACCCCTTGCACTAGCCTCGTTTCAAGTGAATGGGCACCAACCCCCTGGGCTTATGTGTGTAGGCAACTCCCCCCCAATGACAGATCCCTTCTTTCACATGTTTCCTCCTCGCATTGACGAGAATTTTTCACCTGTCCTTCCTCCTCCAACGAGAACGTACTGTACATAACTGGCTCACTCATCCACTTCGTATCCTCCCCGCCATGCCCTGCGGTACCTGCATATTCTCCAATCCCCACATTCCTCCTACAGAGATAGGTAGATACCTCATACGTGCCTAGTCGCGTTTCACCTCGCGAGCGGCGCATTGCCCTACCCTATCGACCTCCCTCGCTGCGCCTTTGCGTTTCGTTGCCATGATGCGCGCCTCTCCCCTCCCTTCCCTGCATTCCATTCCGTCTCCTTCGCTTCCCTTCCCTCCCTCACGGTGATATTCGTACGCGAAACCTAAGTTACTCGGGTCGTGATCCCCTCACCTCACCTCACCTTGCCGTGCATGCATGCATGGATGGCGTGCCCAGGTGGTTTCTCGTGATCCAATCGCATGGACCAGACACGTGCCTACACAGCACCACGCAAAGAAAAAAAAGGGGGGGAAGAAAGGGAGATGGGAGGGGAACCTTCGCATCGCATCGCGTGCTTGCATGCATGTGTTGTGTTGTTACCATGTCGGAATTTACCCGTAACGACCGCCCCTTCGATCCTCCCACGCTCAGGAGATCCTGTAACACCGAAGAGGAGGGGAGAGATGAGATGAGAGGAAAGGACAGCCAAGGCAGAGAGCATAGAAAACATGCCGTCAGGGAAATGAAAACAAAGCGGTAGTACAGCATTAGCACCAGGAAATACGTCCCTACGTACGCGGAACGTACATCAGTACTCAAAGATAGGTATTAGGTACTAGCCATGGGGATTTGTTTTGAATCTCAGAAAATTAATTACCTACCCATCATCCAGGCTCAGTAGGCACAAGACCCAGCTGCCCAGGTGTGGTCCAGGGGGGCAGGCCCCATGGTCCATGGATGCATTCTCCATCAACGCCTACCCACTGCCAGCCAGACCCTGAACTTAGAGAAAGTTCTCTCATTTTTCTGGCGTTATCTGCTATCGATAGGGTCGATAGGGTCGGGTCGCTGGACAGATAGACGGGTAGACAGATAGGCTGAAGCTGCAAGCACTTTGTAATTACGTTGTGCACACTTTTTTTTGGCATTGGGACACACATTCAGTAGTCTACACATACATCCATAATCATGATCTGACTTGAGGAGAAGTCAAAAGACCATGGTCATGGGTGGTATACGTACACACATACCTAGTTACGTAGCTTGTAGCCAAAGACGAAGGGACCCCTATCAGTGATCACAGCAGCAACACCTACGAGGTAGAGAAGAAAAAGGCCAAAATAATGTCAAGTGCTTTCAAATCCTAATAGTACAAATGGTTCGAGGTAGTCTGCGGGTACATACAGGACGCTCTGGAAAAAGAGGGCTGTCAATAATACTGCCATCGGGAGTCTGCGCTCATATCTCTCTCCTCTCTTCTCCATCTCCATCCTCACACAAGATAAATAAGGAAAAAGGATGGTGGTGAGAAATCCAAAAAGCAATAAAAAAATTTGATCTCAAGGAAAGAAAAGAATAAAAAATCGGGTCGTCGTCGACCTCCCAACTCCCTTTCCCTCTTCCCATCCCACACACAGCTCCGTCTCCTCCAACAAGTCCTCCTAAACCACCGCACAGCCATCCCACCTAGAAAAGGCCATAGAGTACAATGAAGTAGTCTGGAAAAGACAGTTGAAGATAGTTAAAAGGTTCTAAAGCACTTTTCTTCCCGTAGGCATACAGTTTCTTGAGCTCCTGCGCGTTGGTTTGTTTTTTCCCGTCTCGTCGACTCCGGTTTGGTGGCCCCTGTTGCGGTTGCGCTTTAGCGAGGGAATCCCTGAGAAATATTCCTGTATCGGTCCTGAATCACATCATAAGGATCATTGCGGTCGTGGTTGTTTTGTTGTGTTTGTGTTGTTATTTCGGGTTTTCATGTTGATTCTTGGGTCATTCGTGAGGTCACATCTGGTATATTTACAGGGATTCATCTCGCTTTCTCTTCTTGAGAGCACGCTTGCTTTCGCCGGAGGACGACGCCTCGGAGCCACTGCTGCTCGACGAGGTGGCCAACGCCGCTCGTTGCGCCGCCTCGTACAGAGCGTGGCCCATTTCCTCATCATATGGCTGATGAGGCTGGAGCTCACCGTTCTCGAGGACACCCATGACGATGGCACCGCTGCCGTGGGTGCGGGCATGCTGGGCCAGATTGTCCGAGCGCGAGAATTTCTTGCCACACTCGTTGCACTCGAATGGCTTGTCCTGGGTGTGCAGAGAGCGGTAGTGGCGCTTGAGGTGCTCCTGGCGACGGAAGCGACGTGAGCATAGGGTGCAGACAAATGTCTTGGAGGGGTCCTCGGTCAAGGACTGCTTTCGCCCGCGGCGGTTGGCAGGAGCTGTCAAGGGATTCGATCCATCAGCGTTGCTGGAGCCGGTGTTGTCCTCGTTGGCGTTGGACTGTTCCTGAGGAGTGGCATCAGAGGTACTTTGGCCATCTGCGTGGCTGTTGATGTGGGCATCGGACTGGGTGAAGTTTTGAAACTCCACATCACTGTCCGTGGAGCTGTTGCGCTTCATCTTGCGTTGAGTGTGGTTCTTCTTCTTGGAGGCACAGCACGAGCCCGAATCGGAGAAAGAAGAGGCTGGGGGGGAGAGCAGACCAGCGTGAGCGGCGTGGTCGTCCTCATCAAAGCTGCCGAAGCTGTGGACACTGAGGAAGTCCTCCTCTTCACCAACCGACAACTTCAGTCTCTTGTCACCGTTGTAGGCAATCTCGGGGTCGGTGAAGTTGACGAAGCTGAACTCGTCCTCCGAGTCGAACTCAGTGCAGAAAGAAGTGTCAAACGAAGGGTTCTCGACGAGACTGAAAGGATCGGCAGTTTCATGCTCGGGCGTGATGGGGAACGCTTGGTTGCCGAGAGCAAACTTGTGCTCGTCGTCTTCGGCGGACAAAGTAGGCAAGGGAGGGAACGTCCGGACGGGCGCAGACACGGCAGGCTCGAGTGAAGTCGAGGTCAAATCTCGTAGGTTGACAAACTCAGCTACGGGATAGGCCGAGGGAGAGACTTGAGATTGAGGTGAAGCAGGGGCCAAAGAAGGTGAAGGGCAGCTGCTGGCATTGATGGTGGAGTGAAAAGAGTCGGTGCCGTTGCTGGGCACGAGTGCGGCCTTGGCATCACCGGGATGCGGGAAAATGTGCACTTCTGCGCGACCTCGTTAATTGACTGTTTCAAAAACACATTTCTCTCACTTTGAAACCGGATAGTACTTACGTCCGCTTTCCGACCACTCGTCAAGATATGTCAGAGGCTGCATCTCCTCCTTGGAAGCTTCAATGGGCAAGTTGAAGTAGCCAGCGCTGTGCACGGGCGTCTGGTTCACACTGCTGGCGGGCGGGCTGCTGGCTGTGCTGGGGCAGGCCGAGAGACATGGAGTCGGAGGGGAAGAGTGCCGGCTCTCCAGAAAGTGTCCATGCTCCATATGGCCATTGCTGTCGAGCATCATCTTGGGCATAGCCATGGGCATGGCTAGCGTCAATGGTGGTGAGGCCCTGGGAGTCAGAACCTGCTGAGGCACATAGTGGGCGTGAGGGTGTCCTCGGGGAAAGTGAGCAGCATGCCCTTGCCAGTACTGCTGGACCAGATACTGTGGTGCTGCCGACTGCTGTTGCTGAGGATACCCAGTCATGGGGCTATAAGTTGGCTGCTCTGTCGGCATCGGAGTGAACACAGCGTTATGCCGTGCGTCCGAGTCTGGCCGGTATTGGTAGAATTGCATCGGTGGAGTTACCAATGCATAAGGTCCCTCCATTTCGAATGATATGTTGTTTCTGGGATCTGGAATACAAAAAACTTGTTTCCTGTCCTGTTTGGTATTTTTCTTTTTTTCTTTCGTTCCTTGGCTTTCTGTCACTGGCTGAAGCCTTGAAGCAAAATATCAGAAGTTGTTGATGGCACAATGGTCGAGTTGCTCGTAGTACAGGTTGGTACAAAGAAAATGGGTTTGTGTGTCCAATGAATGGCTGTGTCGTTTGGTCGTCTCTGGGAGATCCCTTTCTGTCTCTGGGTCACGAGCTTAAGCTGTACATGTAAAAGTTGCAGGATATGCTGGTAACCGTCAGGTCAAGTGTGTTGGCGTCTGGTCGATGGTGGGAGAAGACGTCTCTTGTCACAAAGGCAGGGCAAGGGATTAGAGGATATGATACAAGGTGATGTTGGTACAGGCTCTTGTTAAAGGAAGGACTGGATATTGTTCAATAGAGGTACACAGCTGAGTGTTGTACAGGTATATTGAACAAGGATCCGGAAAGGCCTGGTCAAAGGAGAGGATATAACAGAAGTAAAAGAAGGTGTAGATCGTGGGGGAGATAAATGAACGAATTGTCCTCGATATGAGGGAACGAGAGGAGAGGATAAGAGCTGGCTCGATGGATACCCCGAGGCGAGGGTTTCTTGAAGTCGGCGGCCACCAGGGCCTTGGGCCAGCACCTCGATCGAGTATAGTCTGATGGGCTGCAGGACCGGGCACTGGCGTTCGGGACCGTCGTGTTCGAACCCTGGTCAGTGACTTTGATGGAGGGTGGAGGTCATGGTCTCACCAACCCCCCAGTCCGTCTCAAAGACTATCACCCACTAAAATGGTTCCACTCGAGCCAGCCGCAGTCTTAGAGCAGCGACTTGGTTCCTGGATTTCGCCCGCCGTGGAGTGTGTGGTGTGTGCCTGGCAAACTCCAAGCTAGCTGGGCTGTGCTGAGCGCCGCGCCCGAAGAAGGACTATCACGCAGTATCCGTATGCATGGGAAATTGCACTTTGCTCAGCACACCTTTTTTCTTCCGAGGAGGGGAAGGCCCCATTGTCCATGACGCACAGTGACCTTCAGGGTGGCCATGGGAATAAGAGTTGTTCGAGACATTGCGACTATTGCCTCTGCAAGTCATCCTATGAAGAAAGGGAAATGACCAGAATGACGACCTTGACTGCGCCATTGGAGGACTCCGACACATCTATCACAAAGCAGCGCTTGACCTTGACCGGGCGAGTGGTGGAAAAGAGCGTACGAGAGCGTATACCATCTTGGCTGGATTGTCTACTCCGTTCGTATGGTCGACGACCCTCGGGGCACAGAAAGCATATCCAACACCAAATCCTGCTGGTGAAATCATTCCAACGTGACCTGAGTGAGATCATTCGCTTGCGACGTGTACCCGAAGACTGTCGAGGTAGGTGGTGGTGGGCAAATGACGTGCCTCGATGGGTTGTGTCTGACGGTTTGTTGTTCACCAAAATGTAGAATCGGGCTCGAATCAACGCCTCGAGTTCCAATGGGGACGTGTTTGGTGGTCTGCATATCGCCCGTACCGAAGAAACAGAGCGTGTGATGCTCCAGCCCGGTACGGTCCATGCATCATAACTGGGCGAGTCGCTGGGCACGTCAACGCCAATCATGAGCGCGATGTGGAAGAGCAGCTGGTGATAAGCTGCATCTTCGGGTCCCCTGGAGCGAATCGCTGGGCTGCTGGGCTGAAAGCTGACCTATTCTTGGATGGTGGCCTCGCCCAAAAAGCCCATCATCTTGCCTATAGCCAAACACCCATGGGAATCCTCAACATCGGTCAGCAATAGACAACTATTGAAGCCCGTTAAATCTCGTAAACGCCCACAGCTGGGATATTCGGTGTTCGTGCAGAATGGATTGGATGGTGGAAATTCGTAGCCGTCACTGCGCCCAGCGCGCCAGGCATGCACAGCGTCACCCTACCTACCCTACGGTGCTTCTCCTGTCCTTTCCCGGTTTGGGCGTTTAGCCTTTGGCCGGGATGGGAATCACAATCGGAAGGTGGTGGCAAGTGGCCTGTTCGGAAGAGCGTACAAAATCATAAGGTTGTCAAGGTTGTGCAGAAGGGCTTGCGTGTCTCAGACTCTGCGAGAGCCACACCCGTCCCGACATATGCAGGTACGACAAGACAACTCTCCAGTCTTGGGAGGTGAGTGGTGAGAGGTGCGTGTGTGCCTCCACCCCGTAGAGAGGCAAGCAGTTGTCTTTGACATGCCATGGTTTGCTTTACCGGATGGGTTTGCTGCTCACATTACCCGGCAGGCCAAATGATGAGAACACATGACGGCTTGATTGGCTTTCCTGGCGAGCAATTCACATGCAAAAATGCATTGGATCATCAGAGAAAACGAGAGCCATTCGCTACCCATAGCCAGCGACCCAGTCAAGCACTGATAAAGGGATGTTGCCTCTGAGAGAAAAGCCATCGCCTCTCAAGCACCACCTGGGCCCGGTATTCGCCTGCCGGACCAGACCACTTGCTTTTCCCCGCTGCACCCGCGAGTATAGACAGGTAATCGCGTGTTTCATCTCTTCCAGCTGCAGAGACGAAGCTTTGGTGGCCTTTTACCACCTACGGACCTACAGCTCCCGTCAGCACCCTCTGTCGTCGACCCGTACGGCGCATTGAGCGGACTGCTACCACCAGAACCACTACTACCACCCGCTCCCTGCTGGCTGTTCCGTTCCAATTCGTAGCTCAATTCCGTCTTCTGTTGCATCGAGTCATCGACGATCCACCTGCAGTATAGCTAGTGGCCATCCAACAGGTTATGACGACCCTGGGTACTCTAAAGTACGTAGTATGTAGTACTATGTGGTGGAGTCCAACAACCTAGGACGATGGCAAAGCTGATCCCAGGGTTTCAAGAGCCCGAAACAAAAGGCCTGGAAAGACGTGGAGCACTCAAGAATCAAGACTGGATGCTTCCACTCGGTGGGGTGACGTTTTTCGTTCTCTAGCGGACGCGTATCGATAGGCATTTCTTTAGTCAATGTCTGTCTGGGTCACGGCCCTGCGAGGTTGGGATCGGGAAGCCCGTGGAGAACAGAGTTGTTTCTTTTGGCTGGGGGAGGCATCGCTGACCACGGTGTCCATCAGCTGTCTTCGGGTACGCAGTAAACTGTACGGAGTACAACAACACGGACTGGCAGAAAGTCTCTGTACAAATATGGGGAGGCTTCTCGTCAGGAGAGGACTCTTTCTTGGTGTCTGCCGCTGGGGTCGTCGTCAGCCGACAGTGGGTGCAGGGTCTGGTCTTCCCTTTTGTTGTGTACTTCTTCTCCCTCTCCCTCTTGTTGTGTGCATACCTTCACTATCACAGAATTTCCAGTGGCAAAAGAATCAGTGTCACTTGTCACAGCTATCAGTCGCCATCCACATCACACCTTCCACTGACCTGAATTGAACACGGTCGCTCGAGCCGAAGGACACCTGGGATGTAAAAAGCGGCACTTCCACCAGTGCTCTAAGGAAACGGTCTCGACGGCTGGCCAATGGTGGATGTGCTCTACTCAAGCCATCGCTTGGGGGTTGAGGACAGCCAAAGGACTAGAGAAGGTAGATCCCAACGGTCTCTCCTCTCAGGAACCATCAACTTCCTTCAGGTACCCGAGCAAACCCACTTGCCCCAGGACCCAGTTTGGCCTGAGGCCTTTTCATACATCCGCGACGCGGGTACATCCACACATCCACCACTGTGGGCAGCTAGCTTTTGGCCCTTGCCCCTGCCTCAAGCCGACGGCCCCAGGCACCAAGCTGCAGGCGCCGTCCTTCGCGCGCGCGGTTCCTTCGATGGGTGGTGGTCCGCGTCATTGGTGGCTCTCCCATCTTGCACTGAATAGGTCTAGGGCCCTTCCAGAATGCTCTCTGCTGATTCGATTCCACTGAGGACCGCGGTCTTGGGCCACCAAGGTCCAAGGGTCTGAAGAAGAGCGTGGCAAGTCGACGCCTCTCTTTGCCCAACGAAGGCCGCCAGAAGCACTGCGAGACCCGCCCTCGAGAAGGGCCCTAATGCAGGAACATTCGGACTTTTCATGCACGATGTGCTCGACTTTTGTCGATGCCCAATTGCAGCTCTCGACTTCATGCAGGTACCAAGGCACCTTTTTGCCTCTCTGTCCATCAAGTGTCAGATCTCTCCTCTTCTGTTCGCCCGAAGACCTGCAGCCGCGTTTCAGATTCGAGGCGATACGGCAATGCCATGTGCTCATCACTCCTACGCTGCCGGCTCGATCCTTCTCCCAACACGTCCATGTTGTAACCTCCCATGCGAGACTGTTTCATGTTACCTGGTATAGCGATTTTTTCTTTTTTTTTTTTCCCCTGCACAGAGCTAGTTCTACCACGTTCTTGGTCGCTTCTAGGTAAGTTCGATTCGTTATCTGGACGCTAGGCCTGTTGGCTTGGATAATCCTCCAAATTTGGTGCTGGATGAACTCAGCGGCCCGTACGGCCGACCTAGAATTTTGGCCTCTCTCGGATACAGCATACCAGGGATCACTTGCAATTCCTCAGGCCAGAGGGGATTTCGCTTTGGACTGTGGGTGGCGGAAACCCTCATCAGACTTTGTGCGGAGGGAAGAGATAGTGCTTCCGGGGAAATTGGATATCCACTCCTCTATCTTCTTATCAATGATGGTGTCGGGGAAGGAGCAGTGAGCCTCCAGCTTAGTCTCGTTTAATGGTTTCCCAATCACCACCTTGCCATCTCTGGCCGCCTTTTTTCACCTGCCTGTAGAGTCCACGGGCCTGGTCTGTTCGGTGGCTGCCGTTGCGCATGAATGTGGCCTCTCTTCGCCGTGGTTCTGGCTGGTCTAAATTTCGCCTCTTCAACGCTTCCAGCCACCCTATGCCGGTTGCGGTCAAAAAAGGTCGGGACATTTGCTCTGGCCCTCTCTTCGGCTTTCACGTCAAGCCCGAAACGCAAGCTCACAAATCTTGCCTCGATCCATAGCACTGTCCAGCCGGGAGAGTCGGCCTGCGAGCAACACTTCTCCTGCCGTGGGTAAATACCGCTGGTATTCAGACTGTGGTAAGTTCTAAGATCATGAGACAGACAAGCGTTTGCCAACTGTTGGACACCTTTTCAGTGTCTATTCTTGCCGGACACAGTAGGTAGACAGTGCCGGGCTATTTCTCATACCATCCTGCTCGTCACGCACTTCGGGAGCCGAACAGCCACCAAAGTCCTTTTTGTCAAAAGGCCAAGGTGGGAAGTCCCAAGCAATGGGCCTTTCCCGTCCCTCCTGACTGGCGTTGATCGGGGAATTTCGTGACAAGTTCGTCCTAGAGCTCGTCGATCTGGCGACGCCACCTTTCGATTATCTTGAAGAATACTCGGTAGACATGGTGAACTTACAATCCAGCGTCCCAGGCCTGGAGAGACAGGGTCGAAATAATCGACCCTGGAACCATGTTCATGGGAGATCATCACTCTAGGTACGCGTAAGGTGGCCGAACTTGCTGCCGATAATAATAGAAAATGTGGTGAAAATGCTTGCATCGTGCAAGATGGACCCCATCAGAGGGCGTAAAAAACTCGCCAGAAAACGAGGCTGTGCAGAGAAGCAATCAAACATGGGCAGAGGTACCCTGCCTTGTCCACGTGCGTGCCGCAGTCTCCTGTGCTCGTCAAACTGTGATCTCGCTCACAATCCTTGAAACCAGCAGGGAGCATGATCGAGGAACCTTGAGCTTGGCTCCTCACCCTTTGGTGCATCATTACATGTCGATCCGATGACTCGAGCATTCCACCCTGCTACCAACTGCCGGACGCATGTTCGGAAGCTAAACATTGTTGATCGGATGCACCTGACGCGAACTGGGCCGGGATGTGGCTGTCGAAGACTTGTCCAGCTCATGGAGACTCCTCCCAGATCATGACGTCCTCGATGCCTCCAGGCTCACGATCAACAAAGAAGATGGCAGGGGTGATCACACCATGGTGCCACTTGCAGAGACGCGAACTCTGGGGTGACCGAAGCACAGTGAAAGACGAGGCTGGATCATTCTACGAGGTATATCTTCGGAATTACAGCCACCACCTGATGCATACCTTCACTCGAGCTTACCTGCGTGCCGTCCTCGCAAGCTCTAGCTTCCTCCCGCAAAATGCTTGTATTCAGGGACTACAAGATCGACGCGGCGGAGCTTTGCTGAAACACCTCAGGGTCCTCCTATAACTTACCCGCAAAAAGCGATGGGATTTCTTGATAACACATTCCCCATACCCGAACCCTTGGAGCAATGATCCGAGGTTTGGGTAGCAACGATGACGCACTGAAAATGATCGTCGATATCAAGGCCAAAAAGTGTCCGTGCAGGGTCCCCCTTTTCCCTCGGGCACGATGTTGAGCGTGTGGTTGGCGAGTGGATGAATGGCCAAGCCTCGACAGTGTGACGATGCGAAGTCTTGCAGTCATTTCAGGCGTCGTAGAGTCCGGATGCTAAATGCTGTTGTGAATACATTTGTGCCTTCTTCTTGGTCATAGTGGAACACCTTGTTCCGACGACCAGCGTGAAATGGCAGGAGGTCGGGCTGCACACTCGAGCCGCACACTCGAGCCACGACTTCACCCGAACAAATCTCGTGCCACAAACAGGTGATGAGCACGAACAGTCACCCGCACAGGGATTCAGAAACTTGTCATTAGGCTCAAGATCGCCCAGCCATAGCTCGAGGGAACGAACGCCCGAGCACTGCAAACAGATATCGTTGAGGCTTCGCTCAGCAAACACCGTTCTGTCCTGCAACTGTCGAGGCGGTCTCATCCCAACGAGAACCCCACTTGACAGACTGAGTAATATTACCTGCGAGGCTCTCCTATATCGTCGCAGAAAGAGGAATGAAAATGGAAGCGACCACCACAACCGGGGGGCTGGGGAGAAACATCATGGTTGGCTTCAGAATATCAGTCAATATTTGAGATCATGCTCACTTCCACCGTCCAGACGAGGTCCAGATGGAGTAGCAAACAATCATTCTCTTCCTATCAATAAATTTCTGTTGCAGTTCATCACAAGCCATGCTGAGTTCAAAACTCGACCAAGCCCAAGGCGAAAAATTCAACCCATTGTTGTCGCCAAGACATGATATTGCACTAGCCCAGAGAGGGCTAGACCCCACTCCACTAGCTGTGATCGCAAACTTCAAAGTCGAGATTTTCGTGCTTCTTCTCTTCTCTTTCTCTTTTTTCCCTATATCGTGCAGCGCTGCCACTATAAATCACCCCTGTGTTGCTTGGCCCATGTTCTACAATACTCCATAACGAGTCCAAGTGTCAGTGGCAGCTCAGAGCGAACCATAATTGCAATTACCGATCTCCTCGACGAGTTGGATGAAGAAACCCATTTTTGAGTGGCTGATGAGTTTGGGCTCGTTGAGTGTTCCTGCGCTTGTCTATGCGTGGGGTCGGACATACCATGCGTCCCGTAAGGAGGGTTGGTTGAGGACAACGAGATTGACTTGAGTCTCGTCCTTAAATCCCTGAGATATTGATCAATCTACGGTGGAGGACTGGCCACTACAGCAGGAGTGTATGGAGCGTGGCGGCAACAAAGTCATAGGCTACCAAACAAGACTTGGTCTTCATCTGCCTACAGATGGACGGAAACTTCGTCCAGCGTTCTATGCTCTTTTGTCTGCGACGTTGCTTGCCCCCAATGTATGATGCGTGCTTTTGTCTCTAGCCTTGATGCGGTCGTCTCTCATATCGCGTGCTCAAGAGTCTCTGAGCTCCATTGTCTTTCTGCACCTCAATCATCGTCTCCTGCAATCTTTTCGATTTTGCCGTCTCTCTTCGCTCCTGTTTCACCAATGACCCTGATGCGATCAATCCGGACCTTCTCGTTGTCGCCTTCACTCTGCACCACGAAGACAACCAGGCTGGACACATTCTGGAATTTGACAATGCGTAGTTCAATCTTAGCAGTCCCTGTCTTTGAATCCCAGTCTTTCTCCGATAGTGTGACCTCTTGTGCCGGTTGTGTATCTTCGGCCTCGTCAAAACCAAGGATGCGAGGTCTGTTGGTGTAGATCTTCACCTGCTTTGGCCGGCTCGGGGATTCATCGTCATCTGTGTTGTCGGGGAGGGATGTGAGGTGTAACGAGTGAATCTTCAGCGTCGACATGAAAGGGAGGTAGAGCATGAGTTGTTCGTCCGTGTCGCTTTCAACCCAATCTGACTTGGCCTCTGCTTGTCCTAAGGGTCGTTGTGCGTCAGGACACCTTCCGCACGCAGATGGAGGGGGCCAGCAAAAGGAGCTTACCTTTGGGCTTGGTGCCACTGATCAACGTTCTTGCGTTGCCATGCTCAGAGTCCCAGTTCAGCAGCTCCAAACCTAAGACATCAACCTGAGAAGTCACGTCGTCGTATCCTCTTGGTAGGTCTGCACCGAGCCACGTGTCGCCACTCGAGTTCCCATCATCCTCACCTGTCCCCATCTTGTCCGCCGCGCTCGCCAGCTCTTTCACCGCGTTGGACAGCGCCTCCCGGTCTGCGCCTTGAATGGTCCTGACCGGCCTCGCGTTCTTGAAGACCATGAATGTGGGCAGGGCTCGGATGCCATAGGATCGTGAAATGTCCTGCTGTTTGTCGGTGTCAATCTTTGCGAAGGTGATCTTGTTTGGTCGAGAGAGTTGCGCTGAAAGTTGCTCAAAGATGGGGGCGATTTGTCTGCATGGGCCGCACCAGTCGGCATAAAAGTCGGCCACGACAATCTGTGACGAGGAGAGCAGGGCTGAGAACTGGTCGGTTGACTCGATGTGGACTAAATTGGACATGGTGCTGGCTTTCTCTCTGAGGAGCGGGTTGTGTTGCGTTCTTGTTCGAGTATCAAAAGGCAGGCGTCACGGGCCACGAATTAGTCACGGTACCAGACTAATGCTTTATCGACGAGCTATCCCACAAGGGCAACCGTTCGAAATCAGCAGAATACGGAAACCGTGACTGGCTACCGGCAAGTTGGAGGAGGTCGTTATTGGGCCTTTGGGCTCACTAAGCTGCGGTGGCTGCTGGCTGCGTTGAGCTTCAGCCCCGCCGTCTTCAGCCCATCGCGGGCCGGGATTTCTTTTCACCGAATCACAACTGCGCCTTTTCTCCGCCTTGCATCAACTTCTCGATGCCTCTCTTCCCTCTTCTTTCATCCAATGTCCACCTCTCGATCCCGCCAGCCCGCTCACGGCCCAAGATGCCCTGGCTTCCTACCTACCTTCAGCCGCTCCAGGCCATTCAATAACCTACACAGTTATCTCACTTGCCTGGATTCGCTTGGTGCTGCAGTGTGACGCATTCGAGCCTCGAGCTGAATCGTCCGCGCATATACACTAGGTTGATCCAGCCTATAGTAGCCTGGTGTCCCTGTGCCTTGTGCCCTCGGTAGGGGCTTCAAGAATTTCGATGATGGTTCTATTCCAGGCGAGGCGGGCGAGAGTCCTTCTTGCTTAAAGACGTATCTCCTCCTCGTGGGAGGTTTCTGCTCCAAGGTCAGTCAGTCATCTTCCCTTTTCTCCTCTGCAGATGTCGACAACGCAATGGCCGCTGGACGCACCAATGTCTTCTTCGTGCCGTACAGGCCCAATTCCAGATCGCCAAAGCCGTCCTCGGGTGAACCTGCCATGTCCCAGCAGAAGCATGCTGCTCGCGAATACCATCGAAAGGCCAAGCTGGAACGTCTCGCTAAACTAAACGCCATACATAACCGCGATGCACGCAGCTCTAGTGAAGATCCTCCGCCTGATGTCCCTTCTCGACCGCCGCTGCACCGAAACCAGAGTTTCCCCAGTGACAGGGACCTCAACAGGACATTTGCCGTGTTTGATGTCGGGACGGGAATATTTGACCCCTTCAATGCCAGTGTTCCCAGCGGTGTCCCTTCGTATGCGCTTGAAATTCTAGACTATGGTAAGCCTGTGGCGTACACACCTTCTCCAATACGTTGTTCTGGAGAGTTTGGAGACGAGATCCGTCACTAAGCGTCATAGGCCGGTCCATTCTCGAATCTGGTATCGCACTTTGTCTAGCGCACTATCCAGTCTCACAGGAAGGCGTGAATGCCTCGCCCAGCCAATCGCTCGCAGCTACGCAGCAATGGAGAATACTCGGCTCCTCCAGAAGCGTCCTTTCAGAGGGGAGTATCAAGAATGCTGTGCTGGCATGTGCGATGCAGTCTCCCGCCGCATTTTGGTCAATCATATTTGCGTAAGCCGTACCCCTTGTCAGGCGACAACCTCTGTGATCTGTCCAGGCTTTTTTTGGACGCTAAATAGAGGGCAGAGGCGCAACCCACAATGCCTATCTCCAGGGCGAAGCAGACACCCCGAGTCGTAACCGAGCGCTACGCCTATCATACAAGACTCAAGCCATCAGGGAACTGAATCGGGAGATCCAAGAGCTGCAAGGCCCAGCTTCCGACGAGCTCCTTCTTGCCATTGTCACGCTGGCGGCTCACGGGTCCGGCGAGCAATTAAGGCCCCCCTCGCAAGAGGAGAGCCTGAGCGCATTGCAGTCGGTCCAGAGTTTTCAATACTACGCCCGCATGCAAAAGGAAGCGGCACATCTGAACGCGATCTGTCATCTGATTTATCAGAAAGGAGGTCTGCATACCGTGAAAATGCCCGGACTGGCAAATGCCCTGGCTTTGTATGTCTTTGCTTCCCAGACATCCCCTCGCGATTCACCGTGAGCTAACCCTAAAACCCCAAATAGGGCCGATATATTCTATGCTTTTCAAGATATGTGTGTGCCTGCATTCCCACTGCTGGCGCCAACAAGCCTGGTTATGTCGTCATGGCCTGAGACTCCCGCGGCTCTGGTCCCGTCTCTCCAGACCTTGGCAAGTGGTTTCGAAGATCTTGGGGATGTTATCGGCTTGGCTCCGTTGTTGCAAGTTATCCACTACGTTCGCCTGATCACGATTGGATTTGACGCATATCTATCTGGAAACCCTTCGGCGCCGTCTCTCAACCAAATAGTCTGGGCCAGAAACTTCATGACGCACGACCTGCTCTCCCTTCCCTCCAAGGGCTCTCTTTCTGCACAACGGCATGACAGCAGCACGTCGGACGTCATGACCCACAGCTCGCCACTCCACTCACTATACAACCTTGTCCGTCTCTCGACTATGGCATATACACTTCTGGTGCTCTTTCCCGTCCGCTGCACTGCAGATATTCATCAGAAACTGACGCGGGAGCTTATGCTCGCACTGGACGACTGCACGGTGTTGGAACTCTGGACCACGCATCCTCAACTGTTACTCTGGAGTACAGTCTTGGGGGGTTTGGTCGCCAAGGATACGAGCCTGAGGCCATGGTTCGCCGAGATGATCAGGCAAGCGAGGACAAAAATCCCAGATCTGGCACTCACAGACTCGAGGGGTCAAAGCAGGAGTCGGCATTCGAGTTATCATTCAACCCCGTCAAGCGAGGCCGGCACTCCGGGGGAGTCGGGCGCGTTGTGGGCGGCGGTAAGAGACATCTGTCGCCACTTCCTCTGGTTCGACGGCCCTGAATGTGACGGTCTGGGCCGAGCGTTCTGGGAGGAAGCGTGCGACAATACGCAGTTTCGCGCGATGAGCTAGCTGGGCGAGCTGGGCGAGCTGGGCATCTCTTCGGGCGGCCTGTTGTCAATTTTTGTCCCTCTCTGTTCCCGGGTTCAAGGTAGACTATGTACAAGGAAAAAAAGGTGACATAGCGCAATGGGGCATTCACGCAATGGATAATAAGTATCATGGGTTAGTTAGTCCAACATAAGCCACTTTTCTGCAAATACATAGACACACGACGAGTGCTTCGTTTCTTCTGCTTCGTCTCCTTTACAGTCGCAACTCGCGGTAGTGGTGGTGGCGGTGGTAACATCAACATGTGCTCTTGACACCGTGGGGGAGACGGAAGGGAGGGTTTCTATCGACGGAAAAGCCAGCAATCTTCTCATGTGTATATATATGTATATACAAATGTGTGTGAGTGTGAGTGTGTGTCTGTGTCTGTGTGGTGTTGCGCGATTGAGTAATTAATTAGAGTTGAAGTCCAAATACGTATAGCTATTAACTATTATAGTATATTCAAATGTATATGCAGTATACATGCAGCATACATTACATATAACTATGCATAGTTTTATATTCTCATTGCAGGACTGTCGACCTGTTTGTTTTATTGACTAATATTCCACAACCTACTTGGACTTGGTACTAACTACTACTGTATTAATAGTTCAACAGAACTTTTTGGGTTGAGCTTTGTGTGCAATCACTTCCCTCAACCCCTCGTGTGCAATTGATAATGACATAGTTACCCTCGTTTTGAATTTGTTGTTGTTATTGTTGTCCCCCTTTCCCTTTCCCTCCTAAGTATTTTCCCACGTACATACATATATGCAGATTTCCTACATGTATATATATGCTCCCTGAGTCGAGAGACATGCCCCGTCACAAACACAGTGAGAAACACTACAATAGAACAGAACAGGCAAGCAGGATAAGCAGGCCAGGAGAGAATCGCGGATTCTCACCACTAAACCCACTCAATCTCCTGGCTGGCTACCATTCAGGTGGTCCCTTTCCTTTTTTTGTCCCCCATTAATATGATTTCCCAGACTCGTTGTGTCGTGTGTGTGTGTGTGTGTGGTGCATCGTGCCGCTCCAAAAAATACAGAAACACACCAAAATCATACCTCCGTTTCCACACCGTTGCCGCCACGCCCGTCTTTATCCCTCTCGAAGACTCTCTCCACTCCTCCCTCCACCCGCTTGGCCTTTCCGACCATCCAGTCCACCGTCCTCGCTCCTCGCCACTGCATGACCCCCCGGTGCTTCCGGTGCAGCTCCCGGTGGTGGTCCTTGTAGTCCCTCACCTGCGCCCGCAACCCCCGTGAGCCGTCGCCGGGGTCATTATGTCCGTTGACGTCGAGGAGATTGGCGGCTGTGGCGCCCACCGCGCCGAGGGGCTTGGACACGAGGCGCGCAGGCCCGTTGAGCAGGTTCTTGGACGATGCGGACGTCGTGCCAGAGTCCGAGTCCGAGTCGGAGGAGTCGTCGTTGGTGTGAGTGCGCAGCTTGCGCCGAGATTTGTCCTTTTTGCCCGATGGCACGTCGCCGTTGTTGCCCTGAGCGTCGTCGTCCGTGCTATCGCTGTCCCCGTCCTCATCAATTTCTCCAGCCCCCTTGGATTCATCCTCGTATTGATCGACCTGTCCTTCGTCATTCGCCGTGTCCAACACCTCCATCACCTGCCTCAAATCCGCATTGCGAGCTTTGTTGGCATAACTCTTGTGGTATCCGCTGAGCCCTCTCCAGAACTTCACAGTGAGCTCAAGCTCGCCAATCGGTTGCTCGTTTTCTTCCAGCCCCGAATACCCGTAACTCGTGGTGGCGCGATGCATGGCCTCTTTGCTGCCCTTCCAAAGCTTTACAACGATGGTTGTCTCCTCGTCGTCTGGGATGTCTTTGAGCCAGAAGACGCCCAAAGCAGGGGTAGCGTCAGGGCCAAGGCGAGACTTGCGGAATTCAATAGTCAACGAGCTTGAATAGCGCTTGCGCACTGCAAGGAAAACGGATTCTTTGTCGCCTTTGGATCTCCATTCACAACCCTGATCCGAGTCGCTGGGGTGCATCTTAGCCTTCATCAGGTTGGTTCTCAGCTTGATTCGTTGCTGGGTGAATGATCCGTGCTCCGTCGTGTTCCCTCTTCCCCCTTTTGCTCTGACGGGGCATTTGACCTCCAGTGTTCCGACATTCCATCCGAGTAATTCTTTCGGCAACTTCAAGTCAAGACTGCGCCAAACCATGCTGATGCGGGCCCGACCGTACCCAATACCACCAACCAGCGGGTAGGTCTGCATCACTTGGCTCCTTTCCTCAAAGACCTTCTGTAAAGGGAGGTAGATTATGCCCAGCAGAGCATCATCTTCGCGCTCACGATCATCGCGAACGGAAATCATCACCTCCGCAGTCTTCCAGTTGGGGACGAATCGTTCGGTGCCAGCATTGAAAAATGGCTTCGCATTCTTCGGCTTGGTTCTCGTCCGGTAGATCTTCTGATGATTCAGAATAATGGTCGCGTAGCTACTGGGAAGGTCGTCATTTTGCTCGGCCTCGTCTTCGCGGTTATCGTTGCCGGTGTTTTTCTCTCGCTTCTGCAGAGACTCAACCTCCAGTCCGGTGATGTTGTGGATTTGGATGCTGAATATCCCGCTGACATAGTCATCCGGTGGGGGACTGGAGATGATCAAGGCGTCTTCGCGCTCCTTGAAATCCTCTTCTTTCTGCTGCTTGATTTCCTTGCTTTCGTCATGCGCCGTGGCCTCCCGCAACTTGCGCTCTGCCGTCTCGCCGACTTGCTTCCTCAGGTCCCCTATTGTGCGGACGTTGGGATCAGCAGTCTGTTTCGCAAGTTGCTCCTCTGTGATCTTGGTTTTGGTGAAGTAGCCCACACGCCATCGAAGGGTACCAGGCATCTTCTCTTCGGGCTCTTCACCCACAAAGCGATCTTCACGATCACACATCCTGTTCTTTGTCTTGGAGCTGTGCATGAGCTCGCGAAGGTCCACCTCAACGCGACCAAGGTCATCGTCTGCCGTATATCTGTCGGAATCCCAGAGCTGAAGTCGCAGCTTTTCGTCGGCGTTGAGCTCTTCAGGCGTGACCAGAATGTGCGACCACTCTGACCAATTCGGCGCTTGATCGTCGACAATGATCCTCGTCGAGGCAACAGGCTTGCCAAATTTGCCCCAAGACACGGTGACATATGCGTCGCTCGACCCTTTCATCGGACCGATGCCTCCATCCCCTTCCTTGAAACCCGAGGCAGACTCGATAAAGATCATGACGACTCCTCGAGTGACTGTGTCCTTTTTGAAATCGTCACCCACAAGCATGTCTTTGAGATCGAGCGTCAGACTCTTTGGCGCCACGTACTCAGCCAAAGCCGCGTCAATCGACGACTGAACAAACGACGAAATGAGCGGCACATCCATGAGGTTGAGTGCGTGCCGTGATAACGGCACACAGGACAGATCCGCCTGCGGTTGTCCCATGAAGGACAGAGTGCAGAGGCTGAAGAACGGAGGGTCAGGAGTGAGCTGGAGTCGAAGTCGCATTGTGCCAATAATCCCGCGCAGTTCCACCCAGACCGGGACGGCGATGCCTCCTGGCAGGTAGAATTTGAGGTAGATATGGGCGTTCTTTGCTTTTGCCTGCAAAGACTTGCCGGAAGATCGGGCTCGATAGGCGAATGCGAGCTCCATGTTGACAAAGTCGCCCTGTTCGGCCTCCATACCTTCTCGGATCGCTTGCTCATCCTCCTGCTTTTGCTGCTTGTTCTGGGCGCTGTCATCCGACGTGCTCTTGTCCTCGCCGCCGGCGCTATTCTCAATCTCTCCCTCATTGGACGCCGTCCGATCGTTATCCCCATCGTTTCCAGCTTTCTGAATTCGACCGTCCGCGCCGACAGATCGACTTGCCGCACCTGTGGGTAACCAATTGATTCCGAGAATGCGAAAGGCCTCACTCCCTTGGCCCAGATCGTCGACGCTCACCATTCGCACCACTTTTGGAAGAGATGCCTGCATGACGTCCTCCAACATATCTGAGATCGAAGTGAACAGATCCGGATTGACGAGGGGCCAAACGGCGGACAAGAGGTTGTTTAACCAAGCGACTGATTCTGGGATGGCATGTTCAGCCTGCGTGGTGTGAAGTTCCTCCTGACGTGCGGCATCCCAAATCTCATCTTTGCAGATGGCTTCCACCTTCTTCCCGAGCCAGTCCCTGACCACGAAGATCACGGCCGCCGCAATGACACCCGGGATGAAGATGGCAACCACGGCAGCAGAGAGTCTCGACCGCCAGGGTGAACCTTTATCGTAGAGGCTTACCCCAGATACTCGAGCGGCGACCTCCCCCAGCAATAGCAGCCCTACGGCGCTGATAAGGCCTATCGTGACTGCACGCTCATACGTCCTCGCCAGCTCATTCTTCAAGTCATCAAACTTCGGAGGTGGGAACAACTTTTGTATGCCGTCGAGGCTGTCCTGGGCCTCCTCGCGCTCCTTTTCGAGCTCTTGGCTCGATTTCCTGGCGCCGCTGACTCCTGTTTTGGTGCGGAAATCTGTCCCTGTCGAGGGGATATTCTGTTCGACAGCCTTGAGATCCTTGTGCGTCGAGTCTCGAATGATGATGGGCAGGTGAGTCACCGGATCTGTGACTTCTCGACCCCCATCACTGCGCTTCTTGTGTTTCATGTCCTTTCTCTTTTGGCGAGGGTCATGGTGACCCGCCACGGCCTCGGTAGCCGATTGACCTGGTTCGTCTGTCTTAATATCCCCTGCATCCCGGTCTTGTGGTTTTGGTTGTGGTTGTTGCTGACCCTGGTCCTCCTCCTTTTGATCCTGTTCTTCTCCTTGCTCATCTCTTCCACCTGGCTGTCCAGGAGGGTTCTGAATATTCCGATTTTGAGACCGGTAGGGGTCGTGCGTCGATCTGGGGCCTTCATCCTCGCCCTTTAAGATGCCTTTTGCGGCATGGTATGCTCTTTTGACGGTGGAATCGTCCGTCTCCTCATGCTGGGCCTGTTCAGCTTGTTGCTGCTGGTTGTTCAACTCGCTCCGCTCGGCCCTGTATTTCTGGATGGTAGGAATAGGATGGCGGGCAGAGTGTGGCGCCTGGTAGGTTCTCCGCTGAGACTCTGGGTCGAATTCGTCCGTCGAGGACATATTTGCCCATAAGAGAGACGCACAGGTAGGGAGGTCTTGTCGACGATAACTACATGGAATACAAAAGGACTTGGCCTACCTGAAGGTTGATGGGGCAAGGTGTATTGAGAACCAGTCTCAGTCACCAAGAAACCAAAACAATAGATATCTGTAAAATACTTCACATCATCTCACTCCACAAATGCTGCGAACGAACGAACGAACGAAACCATGATTCCAAGGCATTGGAGAAAAAGAGGTGAAACGAAGCCGGAGGAAGCACACAATGACGTCGCAACTCCACGCGGCAGACCAGCAACAAGACACTGAGTTCAGTAAGCGAACCCAAACAGCGCATCTGAAGGAGTCCCTCCACCATCTGAAATGGTTCAGGGCGACGGATGATCTGCCAGCAGAACCTGGCCCTATGCTTGTTCTGTCTTGCGGCCTGGCTGCAAGGTCAGCAACAGACGCAGCAGAACCGAGAAACAAGGAAGGACAATCCAGAGGCAGGTGAACGGGGAACGACAGAGGGAGGAGGATGATCGCCCGCCAGTGGGCTAGTGGGCTGAGTGGCGTTGCGGGGATCTGCATGCAGGATTCTCTCTCATCACCAACTGACTGGGCTATCACAGGGCGCTGCATCTCTGGGAAGAGAGGTTCTTGATGTCCAGCACAGGTGCAGGTCCCGTGAGATCAAGAACAGATACCCACTACGATGTCCTTCAACTCCCTCGCCGTCCCGAACAGCTCGATCGTCTGTCAAAGGACGACATCAAGGCCGCGTATCGGCGTGCATTACTCATACACCACCCAGACAAAGCTCCCAGCAGCACGAAGAACGCCTCCCTAAAGCCTCAGCAGAACAATGGCGCTTTGGCGCCGACGCCCATCTACTCCATCGATGAGATTATTGTTGCATACGAGGTCCTATCTGACCCTAAGCGACGCGCGGATTATGATCGCATCCTAGACCGCGCAGTCAGTTTTGGCGAGAAAGACAAGGGCGGAGAGAAAGGCACCCACATTGGAGTAGAGATCTATGACCTCGAAGACCTAAGATTCGACGAGTCTCAGGCGGTCTGGTCCAAGAGCTGCCGCTGTGGTGACGAACAAGGCTATACTGTGACCGAGTCTGATCTCGAGAAAGAGGCGCAGCAAGGGGAGATCTATGTCGGTTGTCGAGGATGTAGTCTCTTCATCAAGGTCTTGTTTGCTCTAGAAGAGGCATGACATGGATGGTCTTCTCAATCTCGCCTGGCACTCGCCCTTTCGTCTTCGTGCAGGGCGTTCATAGCCTCCCGAATATCCGCTGAGCGACCTTGCACAATGGCTTCAAACTCTTGCTTGATCCTTTCATGTGCCCTGCCGAGCTCTTGGACCGCTTGAATAATCCTTTTTTCAACATGTGCCTTTCTCTCAGTCAAGGCGAGCAGTCTGGTCAGAACGTCGTCTCGATATCGTCTCCTGAGGGCACGAAGCCAGGTCAATCGAAGGTACCCGTAACGAAACCCGCCCCCGAGAGGAGAAACAGGATGTCGAGCCAACTCACATATCTTCCTGGTGCCTCTCTGCCCTGTCATCCACCTGCGCCTCGAGCTCCCGAAACTGGATCTCAAACTCCTCCTCCAGACGTTGCTGTCTTTGCCCTTTGCGGAGACCGACCTGACGGCAGGGGAGTTAGTATTGGTTCAAGGCACCGGCGGAGTCTTTCGTGCGCAGGCCGGAAGATGCATACAATGGTATCGAGGAGGAAGAGGAAATGGAAAAGGGTAGTGACTTTCCTCTGCAGTGGAATGCTGCCTAAAAAAGTGCGTTGGGAGACAAGACAAACGAGCAGGCTTCAAAAAAGGCCCAGCAGCCGGGACCACGAACTCGAGAATGAAAACAAAAATTTCTCACATCGATGGTCATGCTCTTCCTCAGACTGTCCTCGTTCCTCCTCAGCTGATGACTCGTGCTGTCGATCTCCATCCTGGAGACTTCTTCTCCCTCACTGTCCTCGTCCCTGCTGAAATGAGCCGGTGCCGAGTGCCTCTTGGTGCGCTTCGAAGACATTGTGGTCGAGTGGTGATTGATGTGAGAGAACGATCAAGGGTGCGTTGAGGAGTGTTGTGGTGGTAGAATGAGAGATGGAGCAGCCAGGAGGCAGTGTGCACCCTGCCCAATTCGGCTCGAGTGGTTGGGTTGGTTGATGGCCTTGGGAGGTGACGAGTCGCAGAGAGAAGGTGTTGGAATGGGAATGGCACCGAGATGTCGTCGTGCAAGGATACAGCACGAGCATGGCAAAAGGGAGGCAACAGCCTATCGACAGAGTTCGTCAGATAGTGCTCAATGGCAAGACAATGCTACTGATTGATACCAAAGCGAGCGTCAATCCTTCTTATAAGTCAATTTTGTACACTGTCATTCACCCGAATGACCGCCGCTCTGTCTTTTTGACCCTTTTCGAGCTACTGGTAAAGATACACGATAAAAGATTCGTCACTCCATGGATAACGATTGCCCCCAGACGTAACATCGTGGGTTTTCCGTCCTGCAGCACATCATACTGCTCATCACAAGTCCGCCCTGCCCCTTGGACTTGATTCCCTCTAGCCCACAATTTCCAACTCACCTTGCCGGTCTTGTGCAAAAAGGTCTTTGTATCCATCCCAAAGCCTGATCAACTCTGCCACATACTCCTTGTGTACCTGATCCAGATATTTCTCATCGACATTATTATCCTTGGTCCCTTGTTGCACGATACGGATCGGTCTTCCCACTACAACATTGACCGCCCTCCTGTAGGGCAGTAATCCTACGTCGTAGTTGAATATGCCTCGCGCGTGGAAGAGTGGGATGGTGAACCCCATGAACTTTTTGACCAGCATTTGGAACTTGTGGATCCACGGGTGTTCGACGCTGTCAATTTGATCGTAAAGTTCATTTTCGCCAAAGGCGAGGACAGGGACAAGATCGGCACCAGTACGTATTGCGAGTTTGATGAATCCCTTTCTGCTTTTCAGGACCAGACGGAGCGAGTGAGGCTTTGCGTCGAGAGATTCGCGGGCACCACCGATGACAATTGTTACTGCCCGACCCATGCCCTCGCCATTCAATCCTCCTTTGCACAGGATGTTCTCGATGGACTCGCGCGATACTGAAGCTAGGCCCATGGCCAAGGCATAGTCGCGATAGAACGGAACTCGGAAATTTGTGTCAAGGGTCAACAGGGTATTCGTGATGCCCGGGTACAGATCGGAAAATCCCAAGGCCTCAGTGGCAAACGCAGCAAATGCGCCGTGGGAGATGATCCCGTGCGGATGGTATCCAAAAATGTATTTCCTTGTCGGCTCGAGCTCGACGGTGCGGTGCAAGCGAGCGGGGAAGTAGGATGCGAATAGCGACCAGAATTTCGAGCCGCGCATCCATTGTGATCTTCGTGAGAGGGTGCCGTTGGTGGCTTCTTCACTGATGATGAGAGTGTAGATGAGGTAGGGGATCAGGAGGGGCCAGGTAAGAGGGATGGCGCAGAGGAGGAAGAATAGGGAGAGGAACAGAGGGATGGTGGTGGTATGCCACAGGACGGCGAGGGTTTGAAGCCTCCGCTGCAGCGGCACGTTCAGAGGTGCCCACCGTATCCTAGAGAGAGACAGTTAGCCACAATTGCTGGAATCTGAGAAGGTGCGTACGCAGAAGTCTGCCAACCGGCACCAGCTCTTCGGCCACTTGCAAGCTCATCCTGCCGCTTGGGTGGTCGATTGCGTTTCTTCTCCCGTGGCGCGGTTATTCCATTGTGTTTAAGAGAATCTTCATAGCCGTCGCTGGGCTTGATGCTTGTCAAGATCTCTCCAGTATGATTCACATGCTTCTCGTAAAGGATTTTCTGATCGTCGAGTGGCTGTCGGCCGTTTTGGCCATGGACTGTCGGAGGTTGCGCTGAGCCATTCAGCGCAGAGTGTTCGTCTCCCTCAGATCCGAGCTGGCCATTTGCGCCATTCGTAACGGCAGCTGCGTAGGACTTCGGCGGCAGGTCGTGCTCGGCACGTTCTCCTGGCTGGGACGGCTCTGAGTTCAGGTGTCGGTGTCCCTCAACTGCGGTCGCAGCCATTTCGGTGTAGGCCGAGAGTGAATCGCTGTGAAGCGATTGAGCACGTTCACGAAACCAGGCAAAGTCCGAATGGCCTCGTTGAAGCATCAATCAACACATGTGCAGAGGTCCCAATCCACATGTAAGCACAAAGAGCGACCCCAGGAGCCTGCGGGAAGAAACAATGTGGGAGGACATAAAATACATAGTCAATGCAAACGCGGCCATGACATGATTGGGGCCCCAAGATAGGAGGCTAGGTCCGGGCGCTGGTGACGTCAATTGCCAACACTGACCGCACCATAAGACATTAATAAAACATAGCAAAAAGACATCAATGCATAAATATCCTGCACCCCAGGTATCGAGTATAGTATAGAGCCTATGCCCCAGACACCGCCACCCTTGTGTATGTACAGCTCTCTTCGAAGCCCCTCGTATCTGGAATTTCCAACACATCATAAAATAAGCCTGCTTGTTCTCTGGATCCTGACACCAAGCCATGGCGTTTTCACACCGGGCCTGGACCCATCAAACGACTCTTTTCTACAAGTCCTTCGCCGCAACGCCAAATTGCAGGTTGTCGTTGTCGAAAACAGCGAACACGGCCTTGAGGAAAATATCGCCATAGATAGACTGGCCGATACCCTCGTTGCTCTGAAGACCACCAAAGCATGCTGCAGCAGAGTATTTGTCATTACGCTGAGATCAAACATGTATTTGGAGGCAGTCAACTTACAGGAAGAACCGGCGGACACGGGAGAGAAGTTCATGAACGACCCTGGAATGACAGCGTGATAGCTGCCAATACCGACAGCGAAGTCGGGTAGATCAGCAGAACACGGGAAAGTATAACCGCCCTGGGAATTGTCGTACTGGGCGCCATCAACTTGGTCGTAGTAGTCGGAAACAATGTCATCATCCATGAGTAGGAGGGTAGTGCCGGTGTCAGCAATGGCGTCAATGCTCGCCGACTGGAATTTGCCATTGCCAACCTGGTAGCCTGTACCGGTGAATTCCCAGAAGCCCTGCGAATTGTCTACTGGTGTATAGGTGATGTCGCCCGTGTATTTGGTGCTGTCGATGAAGCCAAAGTCGTATGAGCCAGGGGCGCCCTTCTTCAGGTCCGCCGTGAAGACGTTTTGCTCCAGAACTCCTTGATTAATGGCAGTTTCAAAGAAGGTGGTTTGTTGCTTGGGTGTGACTGGACGAACGTTAGCAGCGAATATAAGAAGCTCCGCCTTCACTGACCGGTGTTGATGGAGCTGAACGCCAGGCCAAGCAGACCGTCGCTGTCAGTGTCTTGTTGGAACTGTGAACTGATCTGTTCGGCAAGTTCCACCGCTTGTCCAGTGACGGTGGTGCCACCCACGTTGACCGTGTCAGTGTAGACATTGCCACTCGCGCTCGATCCATCACCATAGGAGATCTTCCAGGTGGCTCCGCTGAGCTGCTTGGCCGTCGGCGACTTGGACGGATCGTAGATGCTGTGTCCAGAGCGCTCCGAGCTGGACAACTCGGACGAGAAGACCCACCTGGAGAAAATTAGCGATCACTACCACCAATACAAGGGGAATCCAGGGGAGTTCTGTTACAGATCTGAAGATCCGGTGTCGAAATCCAGGTTCAATGTTTCGCCCCCAATGCTGACAGGGCAAAGGTATTCGGCGTCGTACTGCTCCGGAGTGGCAGTGACCGAGCCAGCTTCGGCAGCAGCTTGGACATCGCTCGGCACGGCACTGTTGTATTTGAGGTAGGTCTTCTGCAACACCACAGGACCGGCCTGGAATGGTTTTGCAACACTTTGCACCAGGGTGAAACCCTTCTTGGTCTCGACCTGCGGGACAGGAATGGGCTTTGCAAGCGTCACGCTCGTCAAGGCGGAAGCCGCCAGCAAAACTGTAAAAGAAAGCATCTTCGAATAAAGTAAAAGAGAGACAAGGTTCAAATAGAAACGGGCAAATGAATGGACGTCTTGCTGGGCCGAAGAGAGAGACTGACTTGGTAGAGAGCAGTTCGAGATATGGGCTTGTCAACGAGAACTTATATGTCTGCAGGTGGAGTTCACAAAGTACACATACGCACGCAGCAAACATCACCAATCCACAGCGGATCCCATGCCAGTGCCTTACTCATGATAGATTCTGGCTAGAAAGTGAGATAGGCACATCACAATGGCACTCTGGAGCCAGCATACGAGGATCGTCGATATTGGAAGGACCATGGAGCGGACGTGCATCACGGAGGGAAGCACATTTCGAGAAGGTCGCAAAGGCACCCGAGGCCCAGATCCTGGAGAGCCGGCGTTGAACGCCGCCATGATTCGAGAAGACGGTCGAGCATATCAAGCACGGCATCGAAGCTTCGACGGACCCCAATCTGGCGAGGAAAGGCTGTCGAGAGGCACGATTGGCCTGCAAGTCATCACGGCAGGCTGTGGAAGGAGTCGATACTGTCTTAGCTTAGCGCCTTGGAGATTGAGAGCGAGGTTTGTGAAACATGAAGACACTCTCTGGAGCATGGGAGACGGCCAGTTTGAGCAGAAGCAAATCCTGTTCCTGGTGCAGAGCTTGTGGTGATGAAGCGAGTGAGGTCGATGGGACGTTTAAGATGAGGTTGGAAGAAGAAAGTGCCACGGCGGCCGCTAATTGGCTGTGCGTCCAGCTGCGCTAGCAGTGCATGCCCGACGCATTCTGCTCGACGGACACACGCTCCAGCAAACCATCCCCCGGAGTCCCTGGCCAAGCTGTTTCAACGCTCCTCCAACCTTCATTCCTATTCATTCTGCAGCAGTGCCGACTAGCCCTGCCTTGTTGCTGATCTCGCATCTCCATTCGTCCTTTGTCGAAATGAATGCCCGCCGGCAACGTTGCTAAGCAAACGCCCCCGAAAGTCCCGCTCCCTCCCCCCACGCAAAAGTCTACCAGAGCCTTCTTCCCTGGCGAACGTCCAATGATCTTTGTTCAATACGACCTGACACGGGCGGAAAGGGTCCCCTGTTAGTATGGGTGCAGATCAGAGCGGATGTGGCTCTCAATCTGGAAAGGCGACAAACATTCAACGCACCTCATGCCAGATGCGTGAGCCACTCTACGGTTCCTACCCTCGTCCAATGTACCAACGTACCTATCATGTCTAGCTTCCAGTGCATGTCGGGTACTTCTGAACCTCTCTGGGTCTCTTCTCAACAACTTACGAGGATACGGCTGTGGGTCGGTTGGTTTCTATAAGATTGCGTTCAGGAAATACAAGCAGAACAACCTCCTATGAAAAACAAAAAGCCCATCGGCTGCTGCCAAAATGCCACAGCTGAAGATGCTCGCTCGATCCTCTAAGCTTGGACGATGGGATGGCATGGCACGGCATGGCAAAAGAACAATCTTGAGCCGTAAACAGTGGCGAGTACTGCGTGGACGGAGCCAATGAGGTTCCGACGTGTACCGCACCAAGTCCTCCACACCGAGACGAGCTGGGATGTATTAAACTTTCATTTATGTTTTCTTTTCATCATAACCATGCCCAGGTGTAAACGTTGTATGATCGCCTTCACAATACGCCCTGGTAGGTCTTAAAAAATCACGTGAATGCACCATGCTTCGTGCTCCGTCATCACCAGGGCTCACCATGTCCACGGAAGAGGCGCCCTTCAGAGCAGAATGCCAGTTGCCTATGGAGATCGTCGCGGAGGTCGTGGAAGCGGTGGGTGGGTGCCAGGCCTGGTGATATCAGGGCGAGGGACTCCGGTCGCCAGTCCAGCTAACGTGGTAGCCGCGTCGCTCTCGGACCGGTTGAAGCCGGGCCGGCCGTCGTCGTGCCCTGGCTGACGTATTTGGAGAGGATTGGTGGCCACAGGTCGAGGTTGGTCCATGGCACGGCCGAGATGCGGAAGGGTAGTGGTGCCCATCCCGCCTGTTCGAGGAGGAAACGGTAAACTTCTTGCGCCCGGCCCTTGAGGAAATTCGGGGGGTCGTTCGTGGGACAATATTGGGGGAAGCTGAGTCGGGCTCAACTGTTCTCGGCCGGGGCTGGGGAGATGTATGGAAGCGTGGGAAGCCCTTGGGGTATCTTGGTACGCTCGAAAGTCCACGGGACGATTTCTCGACGACGACTCCTGCATTGTTGGCGACGGAAGAGTCGAGTGGTAGGGAAGGGGGGTCGGTCCGTGCGGGACACTCCCAAAAGGCGGCGGAGGAGGGATCGCTGCCGGCGGGGGCGGTGGCGGCGTTTGTTGTTGTGGTTGGTGTTGCTGTTGTTGCTGTACGAAATACGACAGTCTTGACCTTGCAAGGGGGTCAGGGGACCCTGTAGACTCCACTGACGAGGCACTCGGTGGCAGTGCCGGTAGAGGAGGCGTACCTGACCCGACACCCAACGATAGACCAGCTGCCCGCATCAGTGGCTCAGGTACTTCACTCCGGACGGTCGAGGATTCATCCGAGACCGAACTGTGACTGGAGAGTAAGCCCGGACGAAAGTACTCACGACTCTGCTGCACCAAGGGAGGAGTCCCGCTCCTAGACGAGGGCAGTTGTGGTCGTTGCATAGTCCCTGCCGAACCACTGGGATGTATTGTCCCACCAATAAATGGTGAAGATGCAGAGGAGCCCATTGAGCCCCCGCGGAAATGACCAGACGCCTGCGCCGTTCCTTCTGGGTTCGCCTCCAGCGACTTTGTAGAGATGATACTCCCACTGGATTCCTGCTCCAGCTTGGGCCGTTTGGCCTCGGACGACGGCCCATGCCTGGCTTTAAACTCTGAAAGATACGCCATATAGTCCTTGTACTCTTCGGTCTTGCGATACGCCGACAGCTGGACGTTGTATTTCTCTTTGGCGGCGCTTGCCTGGGCCTCGAAAGGCTCTTTGCCAGCAGGATCCAATTTTTGCCATCGGTCACCGACGAGCTTGGCTATTTGCGTAAAGGACAGGTTTTGGTCTTTGACCTCCTCCCTTACTTTGTTCGAAAAAATCACATAGGCGGAAGGGGGCCGTTCGGGAGCATTCTCGTCGGGTTTGGGATGTCGTCGGTATTTCCGCTTTGTCTCGGGAGGGGGGACCGACGGCCGTTCAGGTCCCGCGGGAGGACCCGCGACGGCATCAAACCCTCTGCTGCTTTCCGAGAGCCCTTCCTGAGCAGGAGAGCCAAAGAGACGTTCGTACGAGACGCCTCGATAGTCAGCGATGGCCCGCTGAAGCTTCTTTAACCAAAGTGTTAGTGGACATGTTCACCTAGAGTACCTTCGGGAACAGACTCACCCTGCGATGGCCGAGTTTGACATTGAGAGCGTCACTAGGACAGAGTAAGTATTCCCGGTCGCCGTGATGTGTATGTTTGACAAACTCACAAGTCACTCTCTTGAATATCTGTCAAAGTCTCCCAGGTGTCGAATCCTTCGCCGATGAAAGCGTCGAGGTACTGCTCAAGGCCAAGGCGCTCGAGATGGGGTGCGAGATCGGTCATTCAAGCACAGGTGGTATTTCATTGACACCAAGGTTGTTGCAGGGTTGGGGCGAGCGGGTGCTCAACCGACGAGGCAGTCAGTCAGGGCGATACGCCTCGCAAGCTGTACGATGAATCGCGGTACACGCTGACTCGTTTCTCATGTGGAATTTTCGTAGAAGGCAACGCAGATCTCAACCGTGACGGGTGTGGCAACCCGCTCGAACAGGATTGGGGCGATACTTCTCAATGATCGGATGAGTCTAGAATCAATGCGTTGGGCCAGATCTCCCGCCCACAAATATTTTGAATGGCGATTTGATGATGAACTTTTGATATCGGGCTGCAGTGCAATATGTTTGTGCGCAGCTGGGTGTTCCAATGCAGGACTCCAGATGCCGCTCGAGGAGGGACAGCTTCTCTCCGGACCTGGTTGACCGGAGAGATTGATGACCGAGACAATGATGGCAACGAGCAGGGTCAAAGTCATTCAGGGTCTCGAGTGATCAGCCTCAAATACCACACAGTCCCCGGTGGCATGTAGTGGGGTTGAGACACGAGAGATGGCCAGTTGCTAGACCCTGGTGACGGGAACCTGGGCTGTGAGGCTCTAACTCGGATCGAGCTCGGACTGACAAGGACCTCGAACGGGATATTCAGATCTTGGGACAGGGAAAAATGTGTTTCCGATGGCGGCAAGGTGGCACACCATACGTCTCCCAAGATGGCTTTCTGCTGAGATAGAAGGCGACGAACCGAGCGACCGAAATAGACTCACGAGAGAGAACCCCCGCCAATACCTATGAATATGATCTGACAAAGAAAAACGAGGCGACTGGCGCCGGTGTACGGATAGAAAGGAGAATAGGTGGGTAGAGGCCCGGCAAATCAATCTATAGGCTGTTCATCGATCTGGATAAGGAGTGATGTGTGGTGAAAAGAAGCCAAGTAAAAATTTCGCTGTGTGTGAGGCCGTGGAGCAACCGAGAATCAGATGATGCAACGAGGGAAGCGTCCGCGTGCTGTGCCGCCATTCGCCGACTAGCGATGCAGGAATAAGGACACCAAAGGGCAAAAAGAGCCGTGGTGGGAAGGGGATGATATTGGGGGGGCAAGCTGCTTGCGTTGTAAGGTTCGCGCAGCTCGCAGCCTCTTCCCCTTTAGCTCCGTACCCGTAACCGAGCTGTCAGAGCTCTCCAGGAGAGGGGGTGGATTATTGAGAGCGAAGGGTGGTGCTTTGGCTTTAGTTCTGTAGCCTCTTCGCCCGCCCACTCCCCGCCAACCAACAACAGCTCGACCAAGCGGTATTGTGGGGAGGCATTCGTCTACACGCACCAGTGGTACCTGCGTGGACCTCCGAATGGAAATGCCTGATGACAACATCGGGACGATGCGTCTGTATCATTCCTCGCGGGGGTCTGTCCCAAGGGCCATGGGCCGGGGGGAGCATATGCCCCCGATTCCTATCACTATAGAGATAAAATAGATATAAAGATGGGGGTGGTCTGTTGAGAGGATGGTGGTTCTTCCGGTGAAAAGCACCATTCGGTACACGGCGCCAGGACGTCGATTTGAGGTGCGGCGAATTCCTGAAAAAGCTGCTCTCAACACACCGCCTGAGAATGGTCAAGGTCATTGCTTGCTCCGAGTAGCGCTGGCCCTGGAGCAAAGTGCAGCAAGGGTCGACCGTTGTGATGGGGTGCAAGGCTCTTCGTCAATGCTAAGTCGGCTCTCACAGTCCATAACCCTGCGAACTTGGCGCCGATAAGGTCTACTGAAGATCGACAACCTGCACGGAAGCGGAGGCCTGGTGAACGTGACAGGAATGCAGCCGGTCGATCTGGCGTTCAGTTTAAGTTGGTACAGTAGGTGAGGGCAGGAGCTAGGAGTCTCAGCTCGTCCACGCCCATGAAAGGGTCCGTGGTACAGGAAAAGAATCCACGGATGTGCGAGCAGATGCAACCCAGATGTGGATGCAGGTTCGCGCACCAGGTGTCCAAGAAGACCGATTGTAGTCGAAAAGTGCGATCTGGGTACCAAGTGCCCCGAGGCGCCCCCAGGCGGCCCCCATCGGCAAGAACAGGGGGCAGAGGTGATGGTTAGGTGAGATGGTCCAGCAAATGCTCGATTCCGAGCGACAGCCTTGGTTGACCTAAGCCTAGCCTGGATCTGAGCCAAAGCTCCGGCGTATCCAGGGTCTCCACGTCCAAATCCCTTGTGGCGAAAATCTTGAATGGTTTTCGTTCGGATTTGCAACGGTGGATTGGTGTTGAACACAAGATTAAATTCCTGTTTTCGATGCGTCTTGGATCTGGGACTGACTGGTCAGCAGTCCCTTGGAGCCCTGGAGCCCTGGAGCCGCCCTTCGTCTGTTCCAGCGGCTGAGGGGTAGCCGGGTGCCATGCGCTTAGCCGGAAATTTCAATGTCGAGATTCAGTAATGATCGGTCGGATATCCGGTGCCGAAAACGAGAGCACCGACTACGGCTCGCAGGAAGTATACCATAAGGGCCTATACCACCCGGAGAAGGCGTCGACAGTCCCCACAAACGCTATATTTGCCCCCTTAACCCATTGTTCTGGTGATTCTCCCTTCCGTATGCGAGAGCCGCTGCCCTTCGTTCATAAAAGATGCTGATGTCAAACTGAGACCAAACACCGGCACTCGGCAGCGTCAATAAGCGCGGCATTATTTAGTTTGAAATCCGATACTGGTTGAACGGGATATACCGTGGAGACATGTCCCCTGATTGAGCATTCTTTTGACGTAACGAATCAGGGTCTTTGGAGTGAATAATATAAACTCTTTCAGGAAATACGGGCCATGAGATAATAGGGAAGCCTGATTCAGGCCAAATGCTTTGGTCGATTGGGGATTTGGTGGGTTCTTCGTAGTAGATCAGTGTCTAAACGGGTTACATCTCCCCGACAAAGTCCTTGGGGGTCCGCTCACCGGGACCTCGAAAACGAAGCAGCTCCATTTGAACCAACCGCGCCTCTTCTGGATTTCTTACCTCCTTGGTTCTGTCGAGAGTGAAGGTCGTGTTGAAAGAGCTGATCTCGGAAGCCCGAAGGGCTTTATTGGTAGGAGCTTCCAGCTGCAGGAATTCTTCCGAATAACATATTGGGGAAAATATGCTCTCGGTACCAGATCTGGAGACTAGTTGACCATGACAGAAGGAAGGTCAGTAGACACCGAGTAGGTAGAAAATAAGAAATAGATGCGTGGGGCCGAGTGGGTGACGTTCTTGGCGCCGTCTTGTTCGCCGCGTGGTTTGCATATGACGCTAAGCTCGATACAGCCACACCGAGCGTTATCGATAACAGCCTGCGCCGTCCTACACCTACTGTACACGACCGCACACCCTCCACAACCCGTCCCTTGGCCCGCTTTTTGCCCTCACCAGCCCTCGCTTCGCAGAACTCATTTCTTTCGCCCGACGCAGACCTGCTTCCATCGCCGTCTACAATCTTCCATGGCTCCTCCTCCTCCTCCTCCTGCTCCTCCTCCTGAGCTCTAGCCACCCTGCCGTGTCTGAGTCGTTTCGGGGAAGAATACGAGGTGGTCCTCAAGCGAGTCCTTCCTCAATCTGGTACACCAAGCGTCGGGGCTCTCACCGACAACCGGATTCATTTCGAGAGCAAACTCTGAACTTTGGCAAGCTTACTGTCTCAAACCCCGGTCTATCCGAGATGGCGCAACGGAAGTCGAACTCCCACAAAGTGGAGGAACAGGCTCAACCGGACGATGACCTGAACATTGACAACCCTCAGCTCCTGACTTCTGAGATGGCAAAGGTATGAGAACCGGTCGTCGAGCCGCTTGAGATTCCCGCTCAATTCCGCTGACTATCCGAATAATCTGTGCCGGAAAAAAGGCATTCCAGGAACTTGCACAGTATGCCCTACAATGGCCCGCATGAAATGTGCTTGCTGACCAGTTGTGCAGGGCGGAGACCACGGCTTCAGCTCTCGAGACCAAGCTCGACGGCATCCACAAACATCTCGATCAACTCCTGGCCAGCTTTGAGGAGCTTCCTCAGTCCAACCCGCAGAAACCCTCCTCAAGCCCCTCCAACTCGAAGTAAGCGTTTTAGCCGGCGTGCTTCTCCTTGTAAGACACGTGGGCCTATCCCAACTATCACATGTCCAGACGCGCGAGAGCCAATCGGGAACTAAGGTGAAGCCCGCGTCAACGCCCATCAACGCCAATGCAGGTCGCTTCAGTATCTCCATTTGGGTTTTCCACAATTCTCTCGACCCTCGATGATGGGTGTCCTGGACCTGGACCAGGGAATCGTGATCCCGACAGTGCTTCCCATCTCAGGGCTGTGGAAAAATGGGACCGAAATTGAACTTCCCATCTATCTTCTCGACAACTCCGACTTCGGTAATGACTCCGTCAATGAGCTCTGCGGGGGTCACATCAAAGGCAGGATTCCATACATCAATTCCAACTGCAGCGGTGCTCACCACCTCTGAACCCTCGTCCAGAAGTAACTTTCCGTCCGCTGTAACTCTGGGCCCCTTGATCCTCGTCACCTCTTCCGGTGCTCTTTCCTCGATGACAATGTCCTTGCCCGAAATCGTGTCTCGATCGATAGTTGTCCTGGGGGCGGCAACTAGGAACTTGATCCCGTGATGGCGGGCAAGCACGGCAAGAGAATGCGTTCCGATTTTGTTGGCGGTGTCGCCGTTTGCCGCAACTCGGTCAGCTCCAACGACGATGGCCGCCAGGCGATCTCCTTCCCTTGTCATCAGTGCACAAGCCATCGAGTCCGTTATGAGAGTGGCCGGGATCTCGTCGTGGACGAGTTCATATGCTGTCAGGCGCGACCCTTGGTTGTACGGCCGAGTCTCTGAGCAGTATGCCCGGGTGAGCATGTCAGCAGCCCTCAGAGATCTGATGACACCAAGCGCCGTGCCATACCCTGCAGTTGCCAGAGAGCTGTCCAGACGTTAGCTGCCCTGAAGTCTTGCTGGCATGGCTGCCTTTCTGCTCTTACCCAGTGTTGCAATGTGTTAGGATTGCAATCTCCTGACTTCTGTCTGCTTTCCTTTTCTTCCCTGCGGCAGTGTTCTCCTCAATCCAGCGCGCTCCATGGTTTCCGATAGCCTTGTTGTCGGACACATCGTCCACCAGCATCTGCTCTGCAGCAGCAACATAGGCTCGGGCAACAGATTCGGCAGATGCCCCAGGCTGCAGTGTGGCTTTCTTAGCCACAATCTTGAGCTTGCCAACCGCATCCCCCAGATTCACCGCCGTCGGCCTGCTCGTCTTGAGAAAGTCCAGTCGTTGACCGATGCTGTCCTTCACTTCGTCGGGAGAGGCGGGTAGTTTCCCGGATTTGATTTCGCCTCCCACCTCGACAGCCAGAGCCAGAGCAGCTACAATGGCAATAGCTGGCGCCCCCCGGACTTTCATCTGTTTGATGGCAGCATGGGCCTCTTCGCAATCTCTGATCGGAACATAGGACGTTCGATGTGGTAAGATGAGCTGATCGAGGATTTGCAATGAGGGGGGTGCGTTGGCCGAAGCCTGTTCATACTGAATCGCCTGCAGCACCATGACGGAGGAGGTCTAAAAAATGAGCGAAGACTTGCGAACTGTTGGGATACTGTCGCTAGGGAATTGGTTTCAGATTCTTATATACCGCCACCAACCTTTTTTTTCACCTGGCGGTATTACTGTATTGTATTACTGCGGGGTCACGATGATTCGTTGCCCCTCGCCGCGTTAAGCCCACGTGCCGCTGCTACAGGCAAATTGTCTGGAACGTTTTCCACACAGCCCAACGTTCCTTTCGGCAGTTTTCAATCTGCCCTCTATCACTCGACATTCAAGTATGAAAGGATCAGGAATCGCTGAGCCAGCCCAGAGCGGGTTCGCTCCAGCTGCAGCTTACGATGCCCACCGACCATCCTATCCTGAAGAAGCAGTCCAACGTCTCCTCGAAGCCTGCGAAGTTGCCGGTGTCAAGGGCGCAAAGATTGCAGATCTCGCCGCCGGCACGGGGAAATTCACCGAGATTCTGGCGAGAAGAACTGAGGAGTATGATATCGTTGCCATAGAGCCTCATGATGGCATGCGAGCGCAGCTGGAGCAGAAGAACCTTCCCCGGGTTCGGGTCTTGAAAGGCACTGCCGATAATATGCCAGGTGTAGCTGATGAGTCTCTTGCGTGTCTCATAGCATCACAGGTGAGTCCAGAGGGTGTTTGACAGGGCCGAATTTTTCTAATTCGCCCGTAGTCGTTCCATTGGTACGTATGTCTAAGCATCCCACAATGAATCATCCGATATTCTGATGGCTCTTCAAAGGTTTGCCAACATAGACGCGTTGAAAGAGATCGCCCGGACACTGCAGCCAGCAGGCGTGTTTGGAATGATCTGGAATATTGATGATTGTACGGTTGGTTCCCGCGATCGAGAAGGGCGGAAAGCTCACAAGCCACAATACAGACAATTCGCCCAAATCCTGGAAAATCCACCCTGGCTGGGAGCAAGCGATGCGCGACGTGATTTGGACGTTTGAAGACGGCTCACCACGCTTTCGACACGAGAAGTGGCGACAGGTATTTGAAGACCAAACTGCGAGTAACCCATTGAGCGTGAATTTCACCGATCCGTTGTTTGGGCTGCCCTTAGGTGAAGGGAGAGTTGGGTTCACCTCGTGGCTGCCGAAGGAAGATCTCTGGGGCAGACTGAGGACGTTGAGTCAGCTTGCGATATTGAAGGGTGAAGAACTGGAGAAAGTGAGGAATACGTTCGAGGAGAGTCTGAGGTCGGAAGGGACCGAAATCAATCAGGACGGCTTGGTGGCCGTCCATGGCAGAACTGTATTCTTCTGGACGAGCAAAATTCCTGCTGAGCCGCTGAAGCGCAGTGGCTAGCTTTGTCGGTACCAAACATGATGTTATCGACGATGCTTTCTGTCGTTCGCGGATGCCTTCTCAATGTCTCTTGAGGCTCTGTCTTGTATGGGCCAGCGTTCTTAATTCGGGTTTACTCCTCTTCCTGCCCATCATCACTCCCTTCTGCATAGTTAACGGCGGCCGGATTCCACGCCACCTTAGAGTATTGATCCAAGAGATGAACCAAGCCCTGAATGCCCCAGGTGCTGTATGATCCAGGGCGCTCTCTTCTCGGTCGTTGTCGGACTATGCACTTTGGATGGGCACAAGTGTGATTGTTCCCTTCTCTCCAAATCCCCGTACCCTCTCAGTCGCTGGAAATATAGAGCACTGCATCACCACACCACTGCGTCAGTAGATTCTCTTCAAAGACCTCTCTTCTGCACCCATTTCCTTCATCCACAAACTCCAACTCCCACCTTCTGCACCAGTAGTATTGAGCAGCGGGTAGAAGAACATACCGTTATTCCCTCGAACGAAAGCATCCCCATACTTGCGTCGCAGTTTCCCGTCCACGAATTCACTGCACTTCTCCAGGGCAATATTCATGTACCCGTCCACGCTCTGCAGCTCGCCCTTGTAGACCACGCCCGAGTTGAGCTTGACGGTCACGGGCACACCGATAATCGAGGACAGGAAGGAGGCCGGATCTTTGGGGTCCGAGCTTGAGGGTGCGCCAGCGGGCGAATTGTGGTTTTCCATCTTCGATGGGAATCGAGGGGGGTCGAACGAGGGAAAAGGTGAGAGAGAAAGGGAGACAGTGGTAGTAATCGAGATGATTGCACTGGTTGCAATGTCGGAGCGTCTCGCAATCAGGATGATATGGTGGGTTGGAAGGTCAATTGATCTGGATGGCAGGCGAGCGGCGCGGGAGAGTCCACGGCACAATTCCTTGGCGCATCGGGACCTGTCATCTACTTATGATACTTCTCAACTTCATTTATTACTCCGTACATCTCTGTTCGTCCATACCTACGCGCCTCTCAACCCCTTGCTCGAAGACACCGAGGCATCGAAGAACTCGAGAATTTGTCTCGGCTCTACAAAGTCAGTGCGAATAGCGGCCCTGATCAATTTCTCTCGCCATCTCTCCTCCGGAGTACTGTTCATCACCTCCGGGGACACGTACTGTGTGTATGCGTCGAGAATAAATATAACGTATCATCTCAGCATCTGCCTTACTCCTCACGGTGGCTTCTGGCCGTAGACAACGTATCTACCATGTGCTGGTTAGTAAGTGCACACCATCGACAAGCATCTCACTCACATTGGGAAATAGCTGTGAATCCTCTTGCTCCTCCATTCCTGTCGTACCTGCACCAGGAGCGCTTCCAGCTCTTCGACGGACCAGCCAAGGTGCTGAGTGTACACTCTGACACTCAGTCCGAATACGCCATCCAACAGGCCAACAAGCGTACACAGTCCTGATTGTCGCAGCATTGGGTCTTTGGCCCAGGGTCCAATTGGCATCTTGAAGGGTAAGATTTGGACATTGATGAAGCCTACCTCCCGCATCTGTTCCGCCATTTGGAGTGGGTAGCATCGACCTGTCATGCCACCTCGTTGGACACCTTGTTCCCAAAGATTTTGCCATCTTATCACTGCACTGTTTGCGGGGATGGTATTGTCGTCGGAAGTAATATCCAGGTCAAATTCCTGGCACTCCACCCACCCTCCTGGCCTCAAGGACGCGAACGCCTGTTCGAAGAATTTGGGCCAGTTCTTGATCGAAAACCCATTCATCTCGCGGCTGTGCACTAGGTCAAAACGCCCTGGCATGTCCCATGGCTCCTCCAGATCGAATACCTGGAATGAGAGGTTCGGGGCCACCCAGTTTGGCTGGATAGGAGACAAGTCTATGCCCAGCACCTGTGCTCCCGGATATGCGTCTGCCACATCCATGGCCCAGATACCAGTGCCTGTCCCCACGTCAAAGACCGACGTCGGGTGTTCTATGGGGGCATAGAAGAGTTTATCTCTCATCGCGTAGCGAAGGCTGTGGTAGTGGACTGGCCCTCAAATATCAGTAACCCTAACCTACCAGGTCGTCTCAAGGGAGGACTTACTGTCCATTCGGTCCCTTTCAGCCTCATCGTTCGGCATAACGTACTTTTTGTCAGCCTTGTATGAATGGTACGTCCTGCCATTTTCCTGCTCAAATGCGTAGATACTGGAAGTCACAGATGCTGTCGACAAGCTGCCTTCTTCGTATCCAGAGTCGGTGTCACTGAATGACTGCTCGATCGATTCTATCGGCAGGGCAGCAGGCACGGTAGCCGCTGCTCCCGACTCTGGGGGTGCCTGTCCGCTTCCAGGGTTGCTGTTGGAACCTGACATGGTGGACTATGTATTCAGGCAACCAACCCGTCAGGGAAACATGGTGAACTAGGGCAACGTATAGCAACGACGAAGCCTTCAGCACAGCCTTAACGGACGATCAATCGCCTTGACTTTCAAGTTCATGACATTTTTGTGGGATCAACTTGCTTCTCCCAGGCGCTCTATGACGAAACATAAGTATTTGAACTGCCGCCATTCCACGACGGGATTTCTTTGTCGGGTAGGTCGCGCCATGGGCCTCGAGGCCTCCCCCCAAGCAGCCTTTTTCTCAGCAGTGGCAGCGGCAGTGGGGGTTGTCGGTTGGATCCCTTCCACCCGTTGTCGGTCCGATTGGCAACTCTTGTATTCCTAGTGTCCTTAGGTATGGGTCGCCAAGTCACTTGCTGCGTAGGGACTGACAGGACTTAGGGAGCTTGGTGCTGGTGTTGCCGGAGCTCCCCGACTTAGTTGCTCTAGGCGTGGGTAGAGTGCCCTAGGTACATAAGTAGCGCCCGAAGAGCAACAACAGCGTGGCATTGCTCTACCCTCTTCCCTCTCACACTCTAGCGGGCGTCGTGGGCAGACAGAGAAGCCACGAGCATCTAGCGCCTGCATGTTCGAAAGCGACTATACTCCTGGCTCGATGCACAGGATCGTTTTTCCTCTGCTGGCCTGGCTGTTGTCGGCATCATCGACTATGCAAACGTCGCCCCTCATCTTGAACGATCTCTAGGAGTAATCCATCCGTGCAGCCCCGGGGTGTTAACAAGATCCTCTAGGAAACGTGGTCGACAGGGGCGAAGCACCAGTCCTAGTGAGCCCCCAGTCGCTTGTAAACGAAGACCATAGCTGCAACAGCTGCTTTAGGGCCACCAGGTGTCACTTCCTGGCGATCAACGAGAGTGCCTCGGAGCGCCCACTCCTGCAGCAGCACTGAAAGGGCGATCGATGGCACCCGTTCGCAGAAACGAGTGGCTCCCAGGATGAACCTTGCTGCCGATTCGGCTTTGTGCTCCATCCCACCTTGTGTACCTCGTATCGACCTCAGCTGTTGAACAATCTCAGCACTGATTGCCGTGCTCGTTAATGACTGGCCTATAACAGGTTCTGTGTCATTCTATGTATTGTTGACAAAATCCATCACTGCTCCCCCACGATTTATCTTTCAAAGCCAGTTTGTTGGTCGAGGGACCGGTCGTCATGTTGAGCTCATCAGTGGTTCAGAGCTCGGTTGCTCTAACACTCATCCCTCTCGTTGTCGTTGGTTGTGTGATCAGCTATCTCGTGGGGGTATATCGCAATTATCGAAAGCTTAGTCACTTCAAAGGTCCCCCTCTGGCTGCCTTCACCAGCCTGTGGCTCGCTTCCCAGGCGCTCAAAGCGCGCACGTATCTTGCCCAAAAAGAGGCTCTTAAACAATATGGTGAGAGTCAGCTCCGTCGGCCAAAAACAAACAATGACGTCGGGATTGACTTGTATGCTACAGGGTCACCAGCACGGATAGGTCCCAGGTTGCTGGTCACCGATGATCCGGAGCTTCTGAGACATATGAGTGCTCCTAGGTCCAAATGGACGCGGAGTTCGTGGTACGATGGCATGAAGCTGGACCCCAGAGTGAACAACATCTTCTCTGAGCGCGACGAACGGCGGCATGCAGATATGAGATCCAAAATGATTGGGGCAGTAAGTTCATCAGCGCTGGACCTGTACCCTGGACCCTGGGTGCTCCCTGGGGGCTTGATTTTGCTGACTGGTGAAGTATTCTGGGAAAGAGGTCGACACTTTGGAGTCCGATATCGACGAGAATCTTCAGAGATTGCTAGATTTGATCAGACGGGAGTACAACGGCAAGCCCCTTGACATGTCGCTTCTGGCATCCTTTTTCACCCTCGATGTGCTGAGCAAAATCGCATTTGGGGATGCCTTTGGCTTCCTCGAAGCCAATGAAGACCTCTACAACTTCAACAAGATTGCAAGTCAATTCTTCAAGGTGATAGAATTGATCGTCAACCACGAAACTCTACGCAGATTCATCCAAAGCAAGCCGATGCAGAAGCTCTTGGCCCCCAAAGGCACGGACGAATTTGGTCAAGGCCGCATTATTGGGATCGCGCAAAAGGCAGTCGCTGAACGATATCGCCCCGATGCAAAGGTCAAAAGAGATATGCTTGGGCACTTTATTGCAAAAGGGCTCAGTCAGACCCAGGCCGAGGCCGAGTCGCACCTGCAGATCATCGCCGGCTCCGATTCGACGTCATCGGCTCTGCGTATAACGATGATGATGTTGACCGGCAGCCCAGTGGCGTACCGGAAGCTCGTCGCCGAGATCGACCAAGCCGTCGCGGACGGCAAGATCTCCTATCCGATTGTCAGGTATAGTGAGGCTGCCGAGCTCGAGTATTTGTCGGCTTGCATCTGGGAGGGTATCAGACTGTTCCCACCTCTGTTTGGCCTTCAGAGCAAACTCGCTCCTCCCGAGGGCGAGACGATCAATGGGGTCTTCTACCCGCCGGGGACTGAAGTGGCCTTTTGCTGTGAAGGGGTTGGGCGGAGAACTGACATCTTCGGAGAGGACGCAGACTTGTATCGACCCGATAGATGGCTGCATCCCGATCCAGAAGTGAGGACCAAGTACTTGAGGACGGCGGAGCTGATGTTCGGGAGCGGACGATTCTCGTGTCTAGGCAAGAACATTGCCCTGATGGAGTTGCACAAGGCTTTCGTCGAGGTGAGCTGGTACTGATGTTTATGGTTTTTGCGTTGTTCTAACAGCTGCATCTAGCTGCTTCGCAACTTCGATTGGGCCCTCGTGGACCCAATCAAGGGTGCTTCGACCGTCGCCCATGGCATCTGGGTGCAGGAGAACATGATGCTGGTTGCGACGCCCCGCCAGATTCAATAACATGACGAGGTGGGCGGTGCAATGTAGCTTGTGTCGAAGGTCGTTTTTGGGTTTCTGAAGGCATCAACTGCAGCATGACGCGCGAACATTGTTGCCATGGCTAAACGTGATCAGGATGCGGTCAGCGCCCACGTTCTGACCAGAATTTGTCCAGTCAATACGCACCGCGCAAGAGACATGTCAGAGAGAAGCTTGCACAGATTTGGCTGGACATGAGAATGGGTTGACCCTTCCGCAGATCAGTTAGCTTCAACAGTCGTTTTCCAATGCTTTCTTCACAGACAGGTGTATTCGAAGTCTCTACTGGTTGTGACACCTCTCGAGAACTACCTCTGCAAACACCGAGCAGGGTCAACGTGTCACCGAGCCCATGCTGCTTCTTATGATACCTGATTCGACTCTCTTCATATTCGGCCCCCATTCTTCTTATTTTTCTTTCTTTTTACTTTTTTCAAAGACTCTACTCAGCTAAGGCGGCTCGTCTTCCCCACTGATTAATATGGTCTGTCAGCAGGACACCATACGCTACGGAAGCTGAACACTTTCTCACTCGCCCACAGTTGTGAAGGCCATTGCATCCGAGAGTTTCTACCTCTGTACTGGTACCCGCAGAAACGTTTGTATGAAGAATTTAGGGAGGAAAGCCATACTATTGTATCATTGCATACATACCCAGCTCCGGTCCACGTGCCAATCCACTAACAAGATTAAATGAAAGAGAGACAGACACCAACCAGACCAAGAACGAGAGTGAGAAAGAGAGAGAGAGATCACGAAAGACTGATGTGCACCGTCGCGCTTCAGTTGACCCGCGGCCACTTGCACACTCGCTCGCTCTAATATGCATGGACTTCCTGCCCATCGTCCTCCATTTCGTTGCCTCCATGGTACGCCGCGAGGGTGTCATGGTAGGGCTCTTCCTCACCTTCATCTGGCCACTCTTGGTGTCCTCCTTCCTCCCAGCTCCCCTCCCCTTCCTCCCCTTCCTCTCCTTCCTCTCCTTCTTCTTCTTCGTCTCCATACTCACCCACCAGCTGCGCGTGCTGGCCAACGGCGTTCTGGACGTCCTGGAGCGTTGGCCCGTGCACGGGCTGAACGGGCGCGGGCTGAACGGGCGCGGGCTCAGGGGCCATAGGGGGTGGGCCTGGCGGGTGATTCCCGGCATGCGCATGCTCCAGCCGAAGGCCGCGTCTGCCGGAATCGATATGCGCTGGGGTGGCGTGGTTGAAGCGCCTGCCGGAGGAGCAGCAGGAGGCATATGTGGAGCGGGAGCAGCAGGCGCGCGTTGGGCCGGAACAGCAGCAGGCGCATGTTGAACCGGAGCTGGCGGAAAGTGGCTAGGACCAACAGCTTGAACTGGATGTGATACCATCTGGACGTCGGGCGCGTGGAACGGATCTTCTTCGTCCTCCATGCCACCCAGCATACTCGGCGGTCGCTGAGGCTGCTTCTTGTTCTTTCTGAGGAAAGACATGCTGCTGGCTTACTGTGCTGCCCGGTTGTAGTAGTGTACTAGAGAGGAGGAGAACACACGAAATCCGAGTTGTTGATGGTCGCCCGGACAGTGAAACTTGTTGGGACAGACAGATAATAGATATGAATCCTTGAATCAAAGAGAAACGTGTATAGAGCGAAGAGATCTGATTGAAAGGAGAAGTTGACATGTCTCGAGAGAGCCGTAGGGCTGCCATCTTATAGTTGTGGATGATGGGTACGGTGATTGTTCTCCATGGGGACGGTTGCCCTGTGGCTGAGCTGAGCGTCTCTCGTCGTCGATACGGTACATGACTTTGTTCTCTGAATGAATCCGAGTCCAATCGTCGTTCATGCCCAGTCAGGTTCACGTAGGTTCTGGCCGCCTGCTGACGGCCATGAATTGTATGTGTGTGCTTACCCTCCACGGCCGGGCTCGTACCCAGAAAAGGCTGACCACTGGCCTACCGCCTACCAAATGCCGTACAGGGCGGGGGCCACTTGGACGAACTCACCGGGTGCCAGCCCATCCCGCTAAGCAAAATGTGAACCATAGAGGCGTAGAGTCCCCAATCTGGATAGCGCCGGGGGCATTATGACGGGTCCCAATGGAGTATCCCATTTCCCACTTGGTACCGAGGGGGAGGTAAGGCTCCCCACGGGTCCTCTATATCTCGTCGGTCCCCACCGCTCGAGATCTTATATACCGGGTCTTGCGTAGAATGTCGGTGGTGGCAGAGACTAAGGTGTCTGACACGGGGTGGTGCTTATTAACTAATTTGGACAAAGTATGAATGTATATATGGTCGAGTGCTGGATATGAAGGTTTGTCAGCCTCAGCCTCAGCCTCGACCTCGTCCCAATTCCGCCCTTTGAGATTGGAGGTGCCATGACGAGGACTGGCGGTAGTTCACCTGTGCGTTGCCATAAGGAACACGAGGCACTGATTATTCGTCGCTATTATGGAGAGATTATCTATAGTCAGTGCCAAGGGACCACGTGAGGTCTAGTAGCTGTCCCTCGTATTAATTACTCTATACCGAGGAGTTGTCTCTCTTTGTCTTGGCGGGCGCCGAGAAGCTGATCCAAAGGAGCCACCATCACGACCAAGACCACCACCACCACCACCACCAAACTGTCCAGATACGCAATTAGTTCCGTGCCCGTGCATGACAAGGGAGATACACCCGGTGTTTCTCACGGACTACGCTTTAATTAGCTGACAGGATCCGTTGAAACCGGGTGGGAAACGCGTCCCAGAGCTCGGTACACGCTCGCAATTCCTCGCCTTGCCACCAGGAGAGACTGATGGTATTTTCATTGGTTACAGCTTGGAAGACCCTTGACAGTCTGCGACCCAAAGGCCCGAAGACCCCATGTCATCCAAACCGCTCCCCACAGACCTCCCCATCCACACCTTTCGGTCCGCCCAAGAGTTCGAGGCTTTCCTCGACCGTGAGCATACCACCGCGCCAGGATGCTATGTTAAGCTCGCCAAGAAATCGGCTGGTGTGGCTTCGATCTCGGCCGCCGAGGCGGTCGAGGTCGCGCTGTGTTTTGGGTGGATTGATGGTCGAGCGAATGGTATCGACGAGAAATGGTGGTTGGCCCGATACACCCCACGCCGGGCCAAAAGCGTATGGTCCCGGAAGAACGTGAACACTGTGGCGAGGCTGGTCCAGGAAGGGAGAATGCGTCCGGCAGGCGTGGCTGCGGTTGATGCTGCCAAAGCAGATGGTCGTTGGGACCGTGCGTACGATGGCCCAGCGACGATGGCCTTGTCCGATGATCTTGCCGCTGCCCTCGCTGCCGTGCCGGTGGCCTCCTCATTCTTCGAAACCCTGAGCAAGCCAGACCGCTATGCCGTGCTCTGGCGCGTCCAGACGGCTTCTGCTCAAAATCGGCCGAAGCGGATCGAGGCAATCGTCCAGATGCTGGCGGGGGGAAATGTGCCCGGCCGAGCAGCAGAGCCCCAGACGCTGCCTAAGAACAAACAAAGGCAAGGCGTAAGGAAGACGGCCGCGAAGAAATCCACAACGAGGCAAAAGGCGGCATCGGAAGATGTACTCGTTACGCAGTCTCTCCCAACGACCGAACCTAGACAGCCTCGACGTACTGGACTACGGCCACGAAACTGATCCCCCAGCTGATTCCTTTGCCCAACATCAGCCTCTAAGCACTCCTACACTCTAACCTGCGTCCACTCCGGAAATTCCAAGTCTTCCCTCTTTATCGACATCATATTCCGATCCTCGATGTACTCCCTCAACGGTAGTTTGTCGAATTGGCTTCTGTTCCCGATGTACATGCCTCTCTTCTGGATCAAGCGTGCAAACTCCATGGTCCTTCGCACGAACTCGGCGTGATCGCCGGTCTGAAGATACTCCACCAGCATGAGGACGTCGAACGCAGCTTGACTTGTGCTGGCGACGGTGTGCGGCCTGAACCCGGCCAGTGCGTCCCCAATAAGCACAACTTTGCCGCCGTGGAAGTCATTGGTCGGGGTGATCACGTCGGTGATGCACTGCACAAAAGGGTTCTTCGTCTTTTCGACCATCTCGGACATCTGTGGTGGCAGTCGGTCTCGACCGCGTTGCTTGACCATCTCCCACGCCTCGGGCCGCATCATCCCAGGCGGAATGGTGAGTCGCCTCCTCTTGCCCTCCTTGTCGGTCATCAGCTTTTCGAGCTCCTCCTCGCCTTCGGGAAAATTCGTGTACCAGACAAAATTCAGCAGCCGTTTCCCTGGCTCCATTGCCCCGTTGATCCCGGGGATGGTGTACGTCAGATTTTGGATCCCCGGCGCGTGAAAGAAGGTGAACCTCTCCACGAACGCCTTCCTGGCTTCCTCGGACGCTTCATCCTCCGGTACCGTGCCTCTGATTACGCAATAGCCCGCATATTTTCTCTCAACCTCCGGGCAGAGGATCTTGCGCACCGTTGAGCTCGGCCCGTCCGCCCCGACGAGCATATCTCCTAAGACCGACTCTTTTCCGCCGTCGCTCTTGTCGAAAAACACCCTTATTTGATCACCTTCCTCCTGGAAACTCGTCACCGTACAGCCATACCTGTAGTCGATCTTGCCATCACCAGGCCGGGGTCCGGGCACATCGCAGTATCCACTTTGCTGATGGTCATAATTGGCCCGGAGCAGGTAATAGCACAAGTCCCAGCTCGTCATGGTCTGCTTCATGACCTCCTCATGGACAATCTTGCCCGACTGGTCGAGGTACATGCGCTTCTGAGACGTTACCGCGACGGGCCGCTTACATCGGTCATAACGATCGAACCAGGTCATGGTATCACCGCCCGCAACGAGGCCAGCTCCTTGATTCTCCAGCAGATTGGTCGGGTTACGTTCAAGGATTGTCGTGTCGTAGCCATGCTGCTTGAGCGCCACGCCCGTGAAGAGGCCGCCCAGGGAACCGCCCACGATGACGATGTGTTTGGGTCTGCGACGCGCGGGGCTGGACGTGCCATTGGCCTGTGACCCTGCCATTGTTATCCGTTGTCCACTATCAAAGCTGTGAAATGTGGTAAGAGAAGTAGGCATCAGAACGAATGCAAATTTGGCCTTGGACCATGGAAACTAGAGGGGATTACGCCTCCCTGCACTCCATCCGGATTCCCGTTGGAGAGAGCCCGTATTATCCTCAGGGGGAGATGCAGCCGACTTGGAGAACAGTGCTTATGGTTTGAGTTTCGATCGGCATGATCAGTGGTTCCCTATGGAGTTGTTTCTCGGTAGAAGGGCGTTCGACCGAAAACCCCGCATACGTTGAGGTCCCCCAACGACACCTAGTTCAGCCCTACGAGACCCAGGATGAAAGACGAGAGAGGCTGCCGCAAAACAGGGAGTATGAGGGCTTTGACGGATGATGCTGGGTAGTCTCAGCAATACAAAAAACCGAGTCGAGAATTACTTTTCTGATTTGTACTGTTTGTAGGCTCACTAAAATGGTCAATTCGCGAGATAGATGGAGGTGCGAACAATTTACTGCTTGGGGCTCCACCGCATACAGTTAAGCTTACGAAAAGCTTATTGTAGCCTTAAGCTATTACCCCGCAACTAGAACTAAAGCGGCCTGGTCAGGCGCGCACCTCTTTGAGCGATCAAGGGATCCGCTCACCAGTTTTCGCGTGAACAGACTCGATCATAGCGGCGTCTTGCTCACCAACCCCCCCCGACCACCTTCTAAGCAATGTCTAGCTCTAGCCCCCCCGCGAAACAGTCCCTCTTCACCAACACGCCATGGCTTCCACCGGAGGAGGCCGAATCCCCCTTGAGCCCCGTGGGCGGAAATATCTTCGGGCGCAATGTCGAGATCGAGGACATCTTTCGGGCAGAAAGGGCGCAGCGCGAGAGGAGGGCCGCGAAGGCCAAAGCCCGCCGCGAGGCCCAAGCGACTGGGCACCACAGCCAGTCGCCCGACGCGAAGAGACCCCGGAGCTCAGGACAGGAATCGAAGGGGGCGACTGAGCTGGACAGTGACGAGGTGGAGCACAACTTGAACAAGAAGAAGGCGGCGGTGAAGAAGGAGACCAAGGACAAGGGCAAAGCGCGAGACGATCAACCTGCGCCGAGCAGCACACCAACGAAACGGAAGTCCTCGAAGGATGTGGTGCACTCGTCCTCGAAAACCAAGTCGTCGTCTTCCCGGCGCAGATCGCATAGGAAGAGTCACCACCACAGGAAATCTCACGGTGGTGGGAAGTCCGAGGCCGTGTCCGGGGTCAGCGACGACGACGAGGTGATTATCGTCACGCCTACAAAGTCGAGCGAAGCAGGTCCGGACATCTCACAATTAGATGCCCTTCTGGCTGAAATTGAATCGGAAGAGGAGGATGATGAATACATCCGCTCGTTGAAGCAGAAGGCACGCGAAGAGGCTCAGCTGGAGCGGCAGCGCACTCAATCCGTTTCGAGACCGGGCATACCGTCTGCCGAAGAGCCTTCGACCACGACCCTTGAGAACACCGACCCACAGCATGACCATCGGCCATCTCCTCCCAACTTTGTCCCAGATCTTGGTGTGTCACACAGACAAGAAATCGATCACACGGTCAAGCTTCTGATCACTTCCGAGATCCCCAATACCAAGCCCCTCATCGTTACGCGCAAGGCGTCGCAGCCTCTGAAACAAGTCAAAGAGTATTGGTGCCAGAGAAACAATCTGGAGGAATCCGTTGCCAGGCAGGTCTTCTTCCTCTTCAGGGGGACGCCAGTGTTCGACACGACGACGACGCGTAATTTCATCCACTATGCAAGGAGAGATCAACAACGTTTCAAGGATCAGCAATCCCGGCAGCGACATTTGGGCGTGGACGTCGAGGACGAACATGGATCCACCCCCGGCAGCGCTCAGGATCCGGATGTAGTGTGTCTGACGCTCGAAGCCGTGACGCAGATTAAGGACCAAAAATTGCACGACCAAGAGCCTCATCCAATCGAGAAGGCAGCCGCCGACAGCGACAGAGAAGGCGAGATCATGATCCGTCTGGTAAACCGCGATATGCCGGAGGTGGTCCTCCAAGTGCAGCCGCACACGACCATGCGCGAGATCATGCGCGCGTACGCGAAGGAGAACCAATTGGACCGGGAGCGGCGGACGCCGTGGTTGATTTTCGACGGCATAAGGCTGGACGAAGACAAGACGGTCGAGCAAGTGGGGCTGGAACACGACGAGCAAGTCGACGTTAGCATCCGTTCAGCGAGCAATCAGTTTGACTGGCTGCTTAACCAAACAGAACGTTGAGCTGGAGCACAACACAAGGACAGAGATAGAGTCGAACATGGCACACCGTTCCGGGATCTCTCCACTGGAACGGCTGGCAACTGAGTAATGCGGAGGAGCTGGGGTTTGAACGAGAAACGAAAAAGAATCAACAGACAGAGTGAGCGAGAAAGAGATCACCCGGGCCCCGATGAGGAGTTGTCGAGGCGAGGCGAGGCTAAGATATACACCCCCAGATATCACGATCAATAATGCGAACCAGCAAGGTAGCGAGGGAGCCCAGCCCGGTCTAGCAGGGAGTGGGTGGCTCCGGCGGGCGCTGACGACGACGCCAACGACATAAGGAATGAAAGGAAAAAGCGTTTGAAAAGGCATTGGGCTTGGGCATTGGGGCTTGTTGGCCTGGTACAGTCAGGGGGTTTCTGCTGAATTGGTTTTCCTTGTTTCTCCACTGGGCTGGTCGGTGGTGGGTTGGCTGATGTCCTTTCGCTGTTCCAAGAGGATAGGGAGGGGGTCGCACACGCGCACACACACTCGGGCTGATTGATGTATATGGCTGGCAAGCTGGCAAGCAAGCAAACAAGAAAGGCAGGCAGGCAGGCAGGCCGGCCAGCAGCCACGTGCAGTAGGTTAGCTAGGCACAAGGGGGCCACAGGGCAAAGATCTTTTCCCAAAATGACAGACAGACAGAGCAGAGCAGAGCAGAGCAGAGCAGAGCAGAGCAGAGCAGAGCAGCGAGCAGCAAAGTGAGTAATATTCCTTTTTTCTTTCTTTTCATTTTCTTTTCCTTTCCTTTTCGATCACACTTTTGGGTGAGAGAGAGACACACACAGAGACGGAGACAGGGACAGGGACAGGGACAGGGACAGAGACAGACAGATTTCCACGTTTTTGTTTCTTCTTTCAACAGTAGCGCCGCCGTCGTAGGTAAGATGCCTATGCCTTTTTTTTTTCCTTCCTTCGTTGGGCATTGCTGGTCGCTGGGTGGGTTGCACAACCGACCATGCATCAGTCCCCCCAATCAATCAATATCATTCACTGTTCGCTTCGAACTTGAGAGGTCATGAGAAGAGAGGGGGGGAACAATCACGCACACACCCTCTCTCTCTTACATGTCTTCTTCACCCTCGTTTCGAAAAAAGCACTTCTTTCTCCCATCAAAACCCCCGTTGTCCGTCCCCGTGCAGCTCTATTCCACCCACTCGCTCGCTCAAATCCCCTTTACAAGTCTCTCTCGTCTCCGTCATCATCGCAGAGCATGCATATGTTGATGCCCCACTCCCCCCATAAGGGAAACCCGGGGTGGTGATAAGAAAGGTGGAGGTTTTGTTTGTTTAATGGGCACCAGTTCTTCTGGCCTCAGCGATGACGCGCTGCAACTCGTCGACCTTTCTCTTGGCACGGCCGAAAGTACCGAGCTATATTTTGATGGAGACCATATGTTAGCTTTCTGTGTGTGATATGATGATGATGAACCGGGACCTCCTCTGAGGGGTTTGTTCGCCCTTGAGCGTTCCCCACGCACAATAAACTCCATGTCCAACGCTCTGGCCGGGAGATCCGTAGCGCAAGTCTAGAACCCCAAAGCAAGAGCCAGAGTAGGAGTAGTAGTTTCGTGTGCATGACCAGGAGCAGGTATGTCGAAAAACAAGAGGAAAAAAATTCGTACCCGCTTCTTGGCCAACTTCCTCGCACGCTTGTCCTTGCTGTTCCTCAACAATTCGATCACGCGGCGCTCGTACGGTGCCAGGCCGGCGACTTCCTTGACGATTTCGCGGACGAAGGCGGTGCGTTTGCTGAGTGCGCCCTTGCGCCGGGAGACTCGGGGCTTGGTGTCGAGGGGTGTGACTTTCTAGAGAGGGAAAACAGAAATGGGCTTGTTAGTTTCTACCTTGACCTTGCGGACGGAGGCACGGTAGGGAAGGTGAAAAAATTCAGGAACGGATCCTCTCCGTCCAGTTCTTCGTCCTCCTCCTCGTCGCCATCTGTCGAAAACAACCGTGTACTACAATTTTTTCGAGTGGCCGAGGAGGAGGAGGTGGAGGAGGAGGAGGAGGGAAAATGAAGGGAAGGCAAGTTCGATGTTCGGGGAAAAAAAGGATACTCACATGGCCTTTGTTCAAGCCGACGATGATGCCGGTCTTCTCAGTGCGTTCCTTCGCCATCTTGAACGGTGTCCGGGAAGAAATTGGCGAGAGCAGTGAGGGTTCGTTCGTGGGTTTGTGCAAATTGGTCTGGTGTCCCGGCGCAGTCGTTGCAACTTTTCGCATTCGAAGAGGGCGGAAAGTTTGCCGAATTGTGGGCTCCGAATTAGGCATGGCGCTGTGAGGTCTTGGCATTTAAGGCTCTGCGATGTTCCTTTCAAGTTGGCGTCCACAGTACTCGAGGGACCAATGTGTCCGTCTATTTGGACTTGAATATATCTCTATGTCAATTCATAAGGTCCCATTGAAGGGGGCAAACCCAGATCTCTCAAATGACCGTTGTAAACAGTTACAGTTTCAACGCATGCATCACCAACCTCTTGTACCCTTCCAAGGCCTCCTCCATATCCCCAACTGTAAGACCTTCGTCCTTTCCATGTGCAACGAGAATACTCCCGGGCCCGTACAGATACTTCTTGACCCCTTCTCCAACGTCCAGATTCGGCACGTCCGTCCCGTAGTTCACCGTGATGGTCTCAAATCCCTCCACGTCCGCGTCCAGCGGCACGGGCCCGTAGCCTTGAGAGAACTGCAAATCCAGCAGTCCCTCCGGGTCGACCTTGCGCACCGCGTCCGTGACAATCTTCCGAACATCCGCGACGGTTCCCCCGGCGAGCCGGAAGGTCACGTCGGCCATGGCAAACTCGGGCACCACGTTGGCCGCCACGCCTCCCTGCATGAACCCGACGTTCACTGTAGATTTCCCGTACTTGTCGCTCCGGGGCAGTCCGCCCTCCTCCTCGGGCGTGTCGCCCAGTTTATCCAACACCACCAGCGCGGGCAAGATCATGCTATTGGCGCTCCTTCCGAGCCATGGATAGCCGCTGTGCGCCGCCTTGCCCCGGGCCCGCAGCGAGAGCATCTCAATCCCCTTGTGGCCCGTCGCTAATTTGCCCTCTGTCGGTTCGCCGAAGAGGATGGCCTTGTAGTTGTTGCGCGTGTGGTTGTAGACCTGCGACGAGGAGAAATGGCGCATGCCGTCGCCCCTCTTTTCCTCGCCCACCACGAACAGTAGCGCAATGTCCGAAGGGGACACAGTAGTGGACAGCAGGTCCAACGCCGTTTGGACTTGCACCGCCACGCAAGCCTTGTCGTCGACCGTCCCGCGGCCGGAAATGAGTATGTCCTTGCGCGAGAACGGTGTCGCAGGAAAGGAATCGATTCTCTTGGTAGGAAGAGACAACGAGTACGGGATATGTGGGGGGACCGTGTCAATGTGCGAGGTCAAGAGTACCTTTGGCTGGCTCCGACTTGCGTCAGACGTCGCAGGGACAGGGCCTTCATACTTTGAGACGTCCGGGTACGCATAGATATTGAATCTTTCCTTTGCATTGCTTGCCGACCCCACGGTCGGCGGCGGGACACTCTCTGTAAGCACCGTGAAATTGTGCGCCTCGAGAATCGAGACGAGCAGCTTCCCCACCGCGGCTTCGTTATCGGTTATCGATTCGACCTCGCAGATGGCACGATGCAGCGACAACAATGGTGATGCGGCTATCACGTCGGAGAGCTTTCCATGGCTGAGAGTGTGCTGCTGCTGCTGCTGTACCAGCTCTTCATTGGCCCCCACGGTGACGAAAGCATGGGAGAGCAGCGCATAGACTGGGAGCAATGCAATTGCAAAGCTTTGGACTAGCTTCATGATTGTCCACCACGTCGACAGCCAAAGTTATAAGTACAGGGGATGCATTGACGAGGTTAAAATGCTATGCTGGAGTGGACAATAGTTTGGAAACACAGCATGATAAGAGCTGGAGAGGATCTCCGTTGGACAAGCTCCACAACAGATCACCACCGTGCGGATCCCACTTGTAAGAAACAAGCCATGGGCTCTTGCTATTTCGACAATGTCTTTCTCCTTTGCACGAGATCAGACACGGAACTAATATGATTTTGAGGCACTATTCAGGCTCCGTTCGTTTGCTTTGCTTTCTTCTTTTCTCTCCTCCGCTCCCACACCATCAGGTAGCCCTCTCTGGTGAAAAGCGTCTCGGGCTCTGCACGTTCGACCCAGAGATCTTGGATCTCCAGCCATTCCGGGAGATCGGTGCGCTGAGTATACGCAACAGCCTTGTCGCGAAGTTGAACCTTCCAAGCCACCTTTTGACCCTCTGCACCAACGGCTTTGTTCGCAGCGTCGGCGGCATTCGTGTCTTCGCCGCCGGCACTAGCGATCGAGGTCGTGTCCAAGATGATATTCGCAACCATGTCGTAGAGGATCGGCTCACCGGGTGGGTGGATCGCCGGATTAGGTTCAACGTAGGGCGACATGTCTAGGCCCCGAGGCGAAGGAAACGTCACAATAGTTGGATTTCTCTCGGAAACGAATTTGTTGTGGCTGAACCGTTTGGTGTGAAACAAAAGGTAGGGCGGCAGCGGATGTAGAAGTCGATGTCGCAGTCGGTGAGCCGCTCTCTCCATCGCATTCAGCCCGTTATACTTCTGTAGGAGGTTGTTGAGTGGAACTTGGGGGATGATATTTTTCGATTCGATCGCATCTCGAAAGAGAGGCACAGGAGGGAGATCCAGCGTCAGGATGAGGAATGGGTGCATGTCCGTCTTGATGTTGGATGATTCCTCGAACCTGAGCCGATCACCCGTCGCATCAGATTTCGCGGTGATTTCTTGTGATTCCACCCGCAATTTTCCCTGGAAACACCTGTATATGGGAGACGAGAGCGGCTTGCGAGATCCTCCTAACGTGCTGTGTAGGTTGTTGAGGAGCCAGGCGAGCAAATCCACAGGGTCCGATTGCCGTGTCAAAGTAAATCGCTTGGACGAACGCAGGGCAATCTCTTGCAACAGTTCATGTGGCGAGACGTGAGATCGAAACGCTCTGGGGTTCCACAGTTTGCGGACCAGCGTGCTGAAGCGCACTGGCAACTGCGACGCCGTGTGAGGAAACTCGTGCAGCAGGAAGAAATCTCTCAAGGGCGAAATATGCGCCAATGCCTGCACCACCACATTGAGGTAGTCGTTCGCTTTAATGTTGTTCATTCCCATAAACCCGGGCCGGTATCTCTTGTGCGCAAGGTCGATTGACTCTTTCGGGTCCTTGTCCAGCCTTTTGACCTCCTCTTCCGTGTATTTGGGATCCACCACGTATTTGATATCGTCCAGGCTCTTATTGTGCACCTCATAGCCTTCGGGGAGGACATAGACTCTCTTGGTCTCCATGTTGATGAAGACATGATGATCGACCTCGAGGGCGTGGAGATATGCGTGTGACTTTGGACCTCGTCCTTGGAAGTATTTGCCACAAACCAGACAGGCATAGACATTGATGTTCGAGAGGGTAACGGAGCAGAGTTTCTCGAAGTCGAAATCGAGCAAGGCCCGGTTGATGGTGTCAAGGTAAAGATCATCGTAACCTTCTGTGGGAGCTTTTTGTCGCAGTGGCGCAGCTGGTAGCCGGTCACCCTCGACGTCTGATTCGACTTCTTCCTCCTCCTCTGACTGCTCCTCTAACAACCTCTCCGAAACACTTGCGCCATTTGTAGGCAGAGAGTTTGGGGCCTGGGACGTATCAAGACCACCGTGGGTGCGGGTCTCTTCCTCAAGTACATCTTCAATGCGCACTTTCTTGCTTGCTGGGGATGCCTGGGCAAACAAGCCCTCCAGGGGCTCTTCCGACTTTCGTTTCGACATTGTCAACGCGTAAAATGCAGAGCCTCGAGGCTTCGCCGTTCAAATGATCGGGAAAATTGTGACTGCGCGAGAATTCGATGCGGAGAAGCCTTCTGACAGCTGATTGGCCGCATCTCAGCCTTGCCGTCTTGTAAGATGAGACATAAAACAACGGAGAAGCGAACATGACCTCAGGAAATCGTTTCTTTTTGGTTCTCTGAAACGAACTTTTTGCATGACCGAACGGCCGGGTATCTATTTAATAACACTGCACAAAATACTTCCCACCTTTTCTACCAGGTCAATTCAGGAGACCTCATACTTTCCCCCAACCAAATCTCTCGCCCAGTTTCATTGTGACCCGTGTCCCGACACCCCATATCACAAGATTTACTATGCCTTGCATCCCAATCGTGAGGAAGAAATTACCCCAGAACTGCAAGCTTTGCCCCATAGAAATGCCCCGCAGTCTTAGCCCCGAGGTGAGCGGCCATACATCGCTAAGCAGTGAGGACGCCCCGGCCATTTGTAGACCAGCAGAATTCTGGGAGACGAAGCCTCGAGCCAGTGACCGTAAGAACATAATATCAAGCGGGAGCAGGACAATAGACTCGATGATTGAGGTAGTATAATGTGCGAATGCTTCGGCTGGGTGGTTTGAAAGGACAGTCACACGATAGAGACTCTCGTCTGCATTACGCGGATCTCTCGATTGCGTTTGGCGCCGTTGCAGCATCTCGTCTCCCATTGCTGGTACGTCTTGTTCTATGACTGTCGGGCGGCGCACGGGCCTGGGTGTTGTGTGCGGTAGACTCGCCGCGCGAGATATGCCGGGGATGGGGGAAATAGGAGACGGCGTCCGCGGTCGAGGAGAGACTTGGAATGGATTCGGAATGATATGAGGCTCCCGATTCGGAGTAGTCGGCACCGGACTAGCTGCTCGCAACTCTCCTGATTCTGCGTGATCAGCTAGGCCAGGCTCAAGAAGGGTTTCCAGCGGAACGGTAGGCTGGGCACTTTCTCTATCCACGGCCGGACTGCCTGAAATTGGGAGTGGGCCAACGGTGTCGCCCGTTTCTTCGTGCGAGCCGATCCCGACCAGGAGATCTTCATCATTGACATTATCTGCAACTTGATCCCCCCCTGCTTGGCGGTCTCCTTGCGGCATCTCAGGTTCAGCATCGGCTTGAGAATCGCTCGCAATGCCGGCGCCGGTGGCCTCTTCCGTCAAGAGTGAGAGGTCCTGTGGGTCTGGCGTTGATGTAGATGCCGAACTCGACGCCAAAAAGCTCACATCGTCCGCGAGCTCGAATATGTCAATCATCGAATGGTCCGGATCTAAATTGAAGTCGTGAAAGGCAGCACGGATAGCCATGACCCGAAGTGTTCTCGACGCTCGTCTGAGATCAAGCTCACGATTTTGTCGATAGAATACTCGGTAATGCATGGCGCTCCGTCCGAGCAACTCGATTTCAATATTCGGACTTAGCTCGACTGCCAGGGGAACCCTTTGTGTTTGAATTATCCGGACCCAAAACCATAACGAGGCTGGAATTATGGATTGGATAGTTTCTTTCAGGGACCGTGGGCCCACTTCACCCGATTCACCGAAAATCGCCTCTTCCAGTTCGAGAGATGCGTTCAGATTTCTGGCACTCTGTAGCGATATCCGATCCGGACGGTCGGGCTTAGCGACCATTTGACGGACTATCACGTAGACCTTTTTAAAGAGGTAGTTGCCAACCAGGTCTCTGATGAATGCCAACGCAAAGGGACTGGACATTGTGTTTCCTAGTAACGGGATCAAGGCTCCCCAAGACCATTTTGATACGCCCAGAGACATTTGAACGGGGGAATGGCTGCTGAATGGTATCATGGCAGACAAAGAGGGCGTTGGGTGGATGGGGATGAAGTAAAGCGATTGTAAGGCGGAATAGGCGTGGAATGGGTATTCGAAGGTAAACCATAGGATTTGCAGGCTACCTAGAGTTAGTGAGATCTCTCCAACGACACAGTATTGCTCACCTTGACCAGCGAATCAACCTGCCAATATTCGAGAGGCTGAAAAGCTTAGCCGGGTGCATTGACTTTGAAAGTCTTTCATCTTCTAGTATCGCGACCCTGAGTAGTTGACTGATCCTCGCAATTGTGCCAGGGAGCAAGCCAGCAAATAGGAAAGCACTCGGACCCATGATATTCCACTCAGAAAACAGCATCTGAGGAATTGGCAATCCCAAGTAGGACTTGAAGGTCTGCGCGTATCAGCTGCTGCAGAAGCATAAAAAAGGGCAGGTGCTCCTCCTCCTTACCAGAAGACGTCGGCGGAAGTTGACAATCCAGTGAGTGGCCACATTTTGAGTGATAGTCTCCACGATCTCGCAATAAGCACCAGTAGCATGTTCATCCAGGAGAAGTCGGTATCTCTGCATGTCATTCATGGACTGCCACCAGGACCGTTGCATTTGTGCTTTGCGAACAACGACACCGACTGTGGACAGAGCTTCATTTTGAGCCCGGAGCAGTCGCCTCCTCAACGTCTCAGAAGCAAGATTTCTTGGATGACCTCGATCGTCGAACTGCTGAATATAGTTATGGTCTGTTCGGCGTTGCACATTCGGTCCCAGGATAAACTCTCCATTCTCGTCTTCCAGTGGGGGACCAAATGGCGACCTTCCCTAAAATCAATTGTCAGTGACTCGATGTCGATGCAGCCGCTTGGTTTACGGGCACGAAAAGTGGTCCAAGTGTTTGATGAAGGAGTTCTTCATGGGGGCGGAGCTTGTATAGGAACAATATATCTCACCAAGGCGAGCCGCGCAATATGAGAATGTCGACCCATTCCTGATTGGTTCGAGAATGAACTAGGGCATCGGGATGGAATGCATCAGTCGTCAGTGGTCGTGGTCGTAGAGAGTGGGCGTTCAAACATCGTTTTCACCCTCGGGACTATGCAGGCGGCCCCGTCGAGGGCATCAGATCGTACATTTTCCACAGGAGGAGACCTTGAGCGTCAAGTCTGGCTCTGAATAGATATTTGTGGCTGATGATACTTCAGGAAGGAGGGTTGGCGGAAGGCTGAGCTGAGGATGAGGGCGCCAAGACGTGGTAATATGGCGCCAGATTTTCTCTCTTTTAGGACCAGTTTCCACGCTGCTCTATGCTGAACCCCCTTTTGGCTCGCAGAACAAGTCAACTTTCGAGGTCAAACTATTTGCATCAGATCGAGATTCATGGGGACATCTCCGGAGGCCGTTACGTTGAAACATGCATCTCGAGATTCACGGGTTCATAGAACACCTCTCTATCAACTAGCTATTGATTCAGAGGACGCTACTCCCAGAGTCATGGTGGTCCCATTCACGCGGAGAAGAGACAGTTTGCAGCGACCCAGCCACGCAAATCACGGGCAAGAGGGATAGTCTGATTCGATATACATTCGGCCCAGCCGCCTTCCACTCCATAGGATCGTTTTCCACGCCCCTGGCACCGAGTCGTATCCTCATATAATCAATACACGAAGCTTGTACGAGGTACTTCAGACCCCATGTGTAGAGTTTCGGCCAGGGGCACACACGGGGTCTTCATATCGCGAGATGAAGAGCTTCGTTGCAGGCTGCATGTCCACATTGGCTCACGACCTCTGCTTCTCCGAAGGACCCAATTTGTCAGCTTGGGTGTTCCTGAATGCTACAAAGATTGCAACACAAGGGGGTATGCTGAGTGAATGGGGTAAACCGACATTTACACCATGGAAAGTAGAGATGGATGCTGGCAGTAGGCAAGGCACCTCTCTCGGACACTATTCTTCCCATTCAATGGCCATGCTTGAGACCGTTTGCTTTCTGTCGCCCGGATAAGCCCTGTAGAAAAGTCTGACGCTGTCCATCTTCCTTCGCGGCACCAATTGCGTCGCAGCACCAGGACTAACGGCGTCGTTGCGGCGGAGCTGTGCAACTCCGATGCCTAGATTGGTCGGTCTTGGAGGATGGAGTATATGCATCGTGAGAGCGGTACGTTGTTTCGCTTATGGCAGGGCCATGGCTGAAGTGAAATGGTTGTTGATGTCTCTGGGCGTGGGAGTAACAACGTGCTATGCGCACATCTTCCTCGTTTGGACCAAGTGACATGCAATTACCCATGTCTTTAAGTTATTGGAGTCTGGTGCGTTGGGAGAGGAAGCTGCAGATAGAAGCCTAAGAGGTCTGTTGACGAGGAAAGACGGGATCACCTGATGAGGCGTAGAGCGAGGGCATTTGTCTGTCGATTTTCTGTGTAGTCGCAGTGAGCTATCGACAAGTTCTGCGCTCGAACGGCGACGAAGATAACTCCTTCTGTTATAGGCCTGGAGGAGAGGTAAGTCAATTGTAAGATTGCTCATGATGAGATGTTGGTAGGTCCTGTTACACGTCGGCGACGCTGTTCCACGAATATTTGTAGTGATGACATTCTTGTGTATCTGAGAAAGGAGGCGACAGCATCCAGGGCTTTGCTCACTGACACACGAGAAGGGTAAGCAAGGATGATTGATGGTGGCAATGATAGGGAAGCAACTGGCATGTCAGCCTTGCCAAGCCTACCGGCCGCAGCCTTGTCGCTTCTTCTCCCCGCAGTCTTCAAATTTTGGGTTCGTGATATCTGCCTTTTCTGCGCAGGACCAATTTCCCCTGTTACAATCTTCTTTCTTCCCCAGTAACAGCACCAGAAGAAGAGGAGACCAGGCAAAGACACCATGGCAGCATACAGCAATCCAACCCAGATCTTTGCCGACGACGTGCAAGAAGAAAAAGGCGAAAATGCGCGTCTCTCTGCCTTCGTTGGTGCGATCGCAGTTGGCGACCTCGTGAAGTCCACGCTTGGACCTAAGGGTATGGACAAGATTCTTCAATCGGCCTCAACGGGGCAGATAATGGTAACCAATGACGGTGCCACGATCCTCAAATCCATCGCCCTCGACAACGCCGCCGCAAAAGTCCTCGTCAATATCTCCAAAGTTCAAGACGATGAGGTGGGAGATGGCACAACTTCCGTCACCGTGCTGGCAGCAGAATTGCTACGAGAGGCAGAACAACTAGTCAGCCGTCACATCCATCCCCAAACCATCATTGAAGGCTACCGTCTAGCCACACAAGCCGCTTTGCAGGCACTTGAAAAGTCCGCCGTCGACAACTCGAAACACGCCGAGCAATTCCGAAAAGACCTCCTAGCCATCGCCCGCACAACCCTATCCTCAAAGGTCCTGTCTCAGGATCGTGATCAGTTCGCCAATTTGGCAGTCGACGCTGTCCTTCGACTAAAAGGGTCGATCGATCTGAACCACATCCAAATCATCAAGAAATCAGGAGGGAAACTGTCCGACTCTTACCTTGACGAGGGATTCATCCTCGACAAGCGTATCGGCGTGAACCAACCGAAGAGATTGGAAAATGCCAAAATACTCGTGGCGAATACTGCCATGGATACGGATAAAGTGAAAATTTGGGCAGCCCGCATGAAGGTCGGTTCAACAAAAGAACTGGCCGAGTTGGAAAAGGCTGAGCGAGAGAGAATGCGTTCCAAGGTTGAACGGATCAAGGCACATGGGATCAACTGCTTCATCAACAGACAACTGATCTATAACTGGCCGGAACAATTGTTTACGGAAGCAGGCATAATGTCCATCGAACATGCCGATTTCGACGGCGTGGAACGTCTCGCCTTGGTCACGGGGGGAGAGATCGCAAGCACTTTCGACCACCCCGAATCTGTTAAGCTCGGGCACTGCGACTTGATCGAGGAGATCATCATTGGCGAGGATACGCTGATCAAATTCTCCGGCGTGGCAGCTGGTCAGGCCTGTACCATCGTGCTCAGGGGTGCGACGGAACAACTGCTGGACGAGGCGGAGCGAAGTCTACATGACGCTCTTGCCGTATTGTCACAGACCATCAAAGAACCCCGCGTCGTCCTGGGCGGCGGCTGTTCTGAAATGGTCATGGCGAAGGCCGTGGACTTTCTGGCGCAGAAGATCCCCGGTAAAAAGCGCCTGGCAGTCGACTCATTCTCGACCGCCCTACGTCAACTTCCTACCATCCTTGCAGACAATGCTGGTCTCGACTCTTCTGCCCTGGTGTCCGAGTTGAGAAGCGAGGTTTATCGAGGTATGACGAGTTCCGGCTTGGATCTTCTGACTCCAGGGGGTGGCATCGCCGACATGCGCGAGCTGGGCGTGATCGAGAGTTACAAGTTGAAGAAAGCGGTGGTCGGGAGCGCGAGCGAGGCAGCGGAGCTGTTGTTGCGAGTAGATGATATCATTCGGGCAGCCCCCAGGAGGAGGGAGCGGATGTAAGGATGAGTTGATGCTGCAGATGGCAGATGACGAGGGCAACGGGGATGGACGCACGGGGGATCCCTCTCTCTGCTTCTGCAGCGTTACGCGTGAGTCTGGTTTATCGACCACCCTGCTTCCAAAGAGGAAATGAAGAATGAAAAGGCCTGCTGCCATGGCCATACGAAATCTGAGAAACAAACAGCCATATATGTTCGACGCCAGCTTTCGACAACAGTGCACCGATCGAGACCACACACCCTTCTTAGCCATGCTCGGCGGCCAAGCTACTCTTCCGTCCATCTATCTGTCTAGCCGCCTGCCTGCCTATCCGCTCGTCCCTATGCTCCTTTTTTACTCCGTCCTTGCATCGAAAGGGGACCGACCTGGGCCCCGCGAACCAATAGGCTGGCTGGTCGAGCTATTGGCTGGCTGGCTGGCTGGCTGGCTGGTTTGGATATCATATCGTCTTGCACCACACACCAACTCTGGTCAGATCATGTCGAGTCCACATGCCGTGCGTTGCAAGGGGCGGGCTGGCTGGCTGGCTGGGAACAAGCATGTATGTTGGGCTAAGCAGGCAGGCAGGCGAGCGAGGCGCGTGGGTCATGAATGTCTCAGACCGTCCGAGTACGCACCTGCGTGGACGCAAACTCATATACATACATACATACATACCGAGGCTGCTGGACGAAAGAGCTCGTGTTGAGTGACAGTGACTTGGTACGGCAAGGTGATGCCTTACTTGCTACGCCCGTGCCACGGCACATGTCACAAGGACTGACGACCTTCAAGGGGCGATTCGAACGAAAGGACCTTTCTTAGTCAGATAAACACGCCAGAAAAGAACAAAAAATAGAACAAGATGACGACAAGCATTGAATGATAAGACTTAGATTTCGTATTTTATGTCATTCATATATATCTTTCTCAAATTGACGTCCCCTCACTCAACAAACCACCTCTCCATCCGGAACCGCTCAACCAACCCGCGCTCCATGATAAGGCAGTGGCAGTTGATCAACAGGCTCGGGAACCTCTTTGCCCAGAATTCATAGTATCCCTTCGCACTACCGCCCAGCATCTGCTCTTTCACGTCCTGCGGCAAGTCATGGAAGTGGTTCTTCTTGTTGCGGATCACTCTCAACAGATCGATCATTTTGGAACCGCTGTATTTGCGCTGTTTGCCCATTTCTGTGAGGAAGGTCTTTGGAAGTGCGCGGAGCCAGTCCTTAGATGGTCCGATGACGTTGGGCGCAAGGGATTCTAGGGCAGCGAGCTCAGCAAGAGATTCCTTCTCCGCGGGTGTGCGTATCGCACTCTCGTCGAAGATGTTGTTGATCGAATTCTTCTCCCGCTCGTAGCAATCCGACACATCGCAGAGGAATTCCAGCTTATCGGCCACGTCCCAGAAATAGGGGTGACGAAGTATCTGGCTTGTGTCAGGACGCTCTTTGGGGTTGTGTTTGAGCATTTGCATGACAAGGTCATCGGCATCGAATTGGTAGTCGTACAGACGTAAATCTTCTGTGCTGAACTTGTTCTCCTTGATGTTCAGGTCCCGCCCGAGGCTGGTTCCTCCGACATCGAAGGGGTGACGACCCTGAGTCATGACATAATAGAAGACACATCCCAAGGAGAAGATATCTATTGCCTTGGTTGCACGACGGCCTGATGGACGATCAATGACAGTGCCTTCGCTAGAGTGGGTGGTGGATTTGGAAGTCGAAGTCGAGCTAGAATTCGGCGCAACAGCCGACCTGGAGCCGACGAGCAACTCTGGTGCTCTCCAGCCGGTAGTGCCGGCGGCTGTATGGTTCGCAGTTGGAGCGAAAGTTGATTCTGGGCCTTCCTCGAGAGGTTTGCATAAGCCAAAGTCGGAAATGACAAACTGCAGTTTCGGCATCCCGTTGGTAGGACGATTGCTTTTAACAGCCTTGACCAGGACGTTCTGAGGCTTGATATCTCGATGTACCAGCTTGAGAGAATGCAGGTGTTGGACGCCATCCGTAATTTGCCGTAGCGTGTCCTTGACATCAAACCCTTCGGGCAGCTTCACCAATTCGGGATATTGAAGGGGGCGCTCGATGAACTGATCCAAAGAAGTGGTAAAGCGCTCAAGCGCAATGTAGGTGAAGTGTTGCGACTCTTCCTTTCCGAAGTACCGGATGACGTGCGGGTTCTCGTCACTAGACAGCAGATGCTTGATCTCTTTGGCGGCCAGGCTATTTGAGGAGCGAATCAAGCGCTTGACCGCGACTTCTCTGCCGTCCAGTGAGCCAGGGAACACCGCTGTACCATTGCTTCCACGCCCGAGACATCGATCTTCCCTGGTGTCGATTCGGAGCTTGCCAACCTGGAGAAGACCGTCCTTGGTGGGAACCTCGGCCACGAGTTGTTCCTTCTCATCCATGACGTCCGGATCCATTGTCTTCTTGCCCTTTTTATTCCTCTTTCCGCCTCGCTTCCCTCTCTTGGCATGACGACGGCGAGGCTGTCCACCATTCTCCGCGTTTTCGTTAGAGTTGGACTCTTCCTTGTTCTTCTCGTCTTCTGATTCGCCCTCTGAACTCTCATCGTTCGGTTCGAACACTTTGACAGTCTTAGCAGGGCTGGCAACCGAGAGCGCTGCACTTTGAGCCCGGCTCCTGACGGGTGTTTTGACGACGTCCTCCAGTATCTCAGCAACAACTTCAGCGGTATCCTTGTCCCCTGTAATCTCAGCTACACGATCTTCTTGCTTGTCCGTCGTGGCTGGAACAGGTTCAGGAGCCACTGGAGTCCGGATCTTCTCGACCGCGACCTCCACGCCTGCCTTTCGAAGGAGGCGTTGCATCTTCAACATAATTGGGATCCTCATCTGCAGGCCGACCACAAACAAGATGATGCTGGCGCAGATAATATTGAAAACAGACAGCAAAGGATGGTTGATCACAGGGATCAAAGATGGCGGGATCTTGGCCTCCAATGCTGCCATTGCCTTCTCTGCCTCCTCCGCCAAATCCGTCACTGGGGGAGGGCCAGAAATCGTCAATCTAAGGGGAGTGAGGTTCGGTTCCGTAGAAAGCACGTGCACACCGACAATTTCTTCCAAGTTGCTGTCAAAATCCAACGGCTGACTGTCGTAGTTCCAGTTTGAGCTTGCGGGTGATGCGCCGCTGGTTACGCCGGGGTATGACAACTCGGACATCGCGAACCACACCCCGGACTCGGTTTTGTTCACGAAAACCCTCTCAGCTCGCTGCATTTCATTCCGCCAGATCTCGGGAGAGGAGAGGAGAGGAGAATCTGTCGGCCGTGCTAGTAAGACTAGCTTGGCAGATTCATCTCGATTGTCGAGGGGACGAACGACGTCAAACACTCGCGCTACCGGAGTGTCGAACATATGGGTGAATCTCGGAACCTTGCCAGAATCGGCGGCGCTGTCGATGCCGATGATTCGGCCGTTGTAGTAGCTTTGAATTTGGTAGTTGTCCAAGGGAGCGACATATTGGTCTTGTAGATCGCTATCCCCCTTGTTTGGAACCCATTCAGCGAACTTGATCGTGCAGAGGGGTTGGGTTGTAATCTTGTGGGATATCTCAATGGTGTACTCGACTCTTCCCAGGTTAATAGTTCCAATGGGATCGCACGCTGGGTCATCCAGTTCGAAACCACTCAGTCGCCGACAGCTGCGGCCCTGGTCGTCATTGGAGAAGCCCCGGTATTTGTCAAATTGTTGTAGAATGCGGCCAGTGGCTGCATCTACAACGTATGCAGTAGTCTCCTGAGAGGAGATAGTCACGAGTGGTGGGTCATCGACAAACTGCGGCGTTTCAGCTGCAAGGGATCTGACGGTGATACCCAATCGTTGGAGACCTATCCTGGGGTCTCGATGTTGAATGTAGAGGTTGCCATCTTTACTCGGCTCGACAATGAACATGTAGTCGTCCTCGTACTGAGAGCCGTCCACCTCCGGATCACTCCGGTTCAATTTGTGGTGGATGGTCTGGATCATGGGACTGTCCGGAATACCCAGTGACCACCTCTCGTTGCCGGTCTTCCTGTCACGGGCATGTATGGTGCCATCGATGGTGGCTAGTAGGACAATGTTCTCCACCTCCCAATCTTGCAGCAGCCGCGCTGAGGAAAGCGCAGAGAGTCCCTGGGACAAGGACTCGTCAGACTGTGCAAGAGGTGCTCTGACAGCACCACCACTCGAGGAGTCGTGGGCTGGAGCCAAGGCACGGAGCTTGTGGTTTTCGGGGTTTTCATCGGTGCTTCGAAATTTGACAGTAGTGATGTCGTTCTTGAGAAGCGGAATCTCTGCTGGACTGCGGCCAGCCGGAGCAGACGGTCGACTCGATGCTGAGCGCAGTCTCTGGGTCGAGGCCACCAATCGCGGAGGAGCATCGGACGGAGGGAGTGATTGAGGGTGAGCGGCAGCTATGAGGATGAGGAAAATGGCCCAAGTCAACATGGTCTTCGGTTTGGATCCTCCACGCCGGCCCTTGGGAGGCCGAAGCGGAGGTTTGGCCATGATCGAGGACAAGGGACTCCAGTGTTAAAGAGGACGGGCGGTGAATTGGATTTATATTGTGGACGACATGATATCTGATTGTCTGGTATGGGAGATGAAATTATAAGGAGAAACGAGGGCTGGCGGTGGTGCGAGTGAGTTTTAGAAAAGTGGGAGGTTTCGGTCAGCTTACGGATATCCAAGTTGGAACAACGAAAGGCGAAGATCCCAGCACTCGGTAGTGCTCGGTGGGCAGACAACCACCCGCATGGCTTGCGAGCAGCCCTTACTTGCCCTTATTGCCCTTGCGCCCAAAGTCATGCTCGGCACCCCCGGTGACCCCCCAATAGGCCCCAGTGAATGGCTGGTGAGGCCTAGAATGTCACCAGCCAATGCCCACTAATTAGCCCTCCGGTTCAATAACCGTCCGTGTCCAGCCCCGGACGCCCTCACCGGATCCTCCCCCTGACAGTGGCCAACGAACCATTGGATTCTCTGGCTTTCGCTCTGCGCCCCGTTCCACGGACGATCTAAGCCCGAAACAGTCTCCAGGGAGCCCATACGTGTGTTTCAGGCTGAAGCGATTCCCCATCAGAGGGTTGAACACAACGAATAGTTTACCAAACCCTTTGCTGCTTCTCCTGAAGACCGCATACGATTGACACTGACAGGTCGGTGAGGTGACGGGCCTTGCGATAGCTGGTGGGCTTTTAACATCAAAGATCATCCGACGGTCTGTTCTCCCCTTTACATGGCGGCGGTCACGGACTGTAGATCAACATTGAGTGTTCGGTAACCGACAAGCATTATCCCTCTCTTTGTACTTGGACAGTCCCAGAGCTCTGGCAAAGATTTCAGTCTCGATACAGTATTCTCATGCTCTGCTGCCATCCCAGACCAGCGGCTAAGAAAAGACAGTAACTACGGCTTCTCTATCGAGCCATTTTGTACAGTCATTGAATCCCAATCTCCCTCCCTTCCTCGGCACGGGACGTTGGCGGTGACACAGGAGGAGAGTGTAAGTGCGAGCACCCAAACCATTAATACATCGTATATCCTAGGGAAATAGCAAGACATTCAAGAAAAAAGAGTGCTGCATTGCGCTCGCTCAGAAAAAGACCACATATTCGCCCTTCTCGTTTCGTCTTATTCGCAACGCCCTCCACAGGTCCTGCTCCTCCTCCATCTTCATGGTGCTGCTTCGGACGTCGTTATGCTTATGCCATCGCTTGAGCATCTTGTGAATGGAATAGCCTTTGTCCGAGTCTAGTCCCGGTGCATTGGCCAGGAAACTGCGGCAAGCACGCTTGGTCTTTTCCTCTGCGCCGAACACGACCATTGCACCGTTGGTGCTTTTGCGTTTGCTTGCACCATTGCTGTGTTGCTGCATGGGATCAGAGTCCGTGTCAGAGGCTGAGTCGTCGTGCTTGTGGTACTCGATGGCTTTGAGTTTGCGAGTGGTGCCTTCACCCGGTGATCGCGAGGGCGACTCGTCGCTGTACCGGCGGCGTGAACGGTGCTCATGGCGAATATTGGCGGAAGAAGTACCATTGTGTCGGTGAACCTTGTGCTTCTTCCTCTCTCGCTTCTCGCCGTCTCGGATTCGAGACAGGCTGTTCCCCTGGTCCGACGAGCTGGCTCTCCTCCGCGTTTTGGTGTTGGCCATGTGGCTCTCGACCTGACCAGGAAGAAGTGCTCCACCCACCAACGAAAGCGCTTTAACTGCTCGACCTTTGATCGAGATGCCAAGGCCATTGGAATCTTCCTTGGTGTGTCGAGTGCGTTTCAACGGAGAGGTGGGGTCTTCCGCTTTCACACTTCGACGAGCTGAACGCTCCTTGTGGACAATCACGCGTTTGTCGTTGGGATCGGGAGACCGGCGGAACGGGTACGACTCGTCTTGAGACATCATTCGGCTGAGTCCACCCGTGAGCCCCGAGTGTATGATCACCGGCGTGTCCATCTTGACCGTGTCGGCCATCAAAGTGTCCCCTTCCAACTCGTGCACTTGATCGTCTGTGGGTCGTTTTCGTTTCTTCTCACTACCGCTGTTCGTCCGACTATGTGCGCGTGGTCTCTCTTTCTTGTCTAGTTTGGATTTCATCTCTTTCGCTGCCGGAGTCATAAATTCGAGCGACAGGGTACTGTTGTTCATGTCCAGCCCTCCTCGAGGCTTGACCGGTGCCGCGCCCCAAGTGAAGCCATTTTCTTCGTACTCTTTGCTATGCTGCTCCTCCTCGTCCGCGTTGTGATACCCATTCTGGCTGGACGGCCGGCTGCTGGAGAAGATGGACGGAGCAGTCTGCTTCATAGACATTTCTTCCTTGTCCTTTGTAAAACTTATCTGGGGTGTGCCTGTTTGGCTGCCTTCATCGACCATATAATCAAACACACTGTCACGATTTGAATCTGGCACGGCGGGAGGAGGAGTAGGGACGTGTGGAGGGGCATCCGTTTCCAGGTCGTCTTCAACGTATGCTTGACGAGGGACGAGAGCTTTTTCGTACTCTGGCTCGACGATGGAGACGGACTTTCTCTTCGCGGCCTTGGAAGGCTTCTCGCGATATAGGGCGCCCTGGTATTTCTGATCTTCCGTGATGCATGACTGTTTCCCGTCCGTCAGTACCAAAAGTCTCCTGTGTAGTCGGGCGCAGTGTATCGAAGGGTGTCCCCTGATGGAGGGAGAGTGCATCGGTGGGTTCACATACTGTATGTGCTCGATAACTTGTGCCTTGAAACGTCGTCATGCAGTCGATACAGGTAAACATAGCGCCCCGACATTGATTGCGGTGTGGATCGAGCTTCTTCTTGGTCAAGACGTCGCCACAGCCCTGTAGATGGGATTGTTAGAACCGCTAAGGGCGATGATCCGCGGCGCATGGTGCTGACCTCGCATTGAAAAGAAACCATCTTGCGTGTTCTTGCGTGAATGGTGAGGCAGTCCCCAAGTTCAGGGCCACGAGTCAATGAACAAAAAAGCCTGTGGAAAGGAGCGGGCCGGTTGGGCACCAACAGTCGAGGGTCGCACAAGAGCCAGCTCTCGAGCGGGAACGGGCGAAAGAGTGTAAAAGGGCGTCAAATAATGACAGGAGAGAATGTCGTCTGTGTCAGAGGGGTAGAGTATGCGTGAGGGCGTCGCAACAGGGCCAAAAGCAGGGTGTTCGCAGCACGCATTTCCCTCTTGTTGATAGCGGCCCCCTTCGCTTGGCACAATTTTTTATATTTGGAGCCAACATTCGTCACCTGAAGCAGGTCTAGTGGCCTCCCACCTTACCGCTTTACTGTTAGTCCCACGCCATTGCCCGCCCTCCCGACGCCTATCAGACGCCCCATGATGATTTAATCCAGGGGCACCCAAGCACTGGCAAGCCTAGTGAGCCCATGTTTGAGACCTCCCTCGTCCCCCCAACCGCGTCGCGCCTGACCACTCAGGTCCCGCGTAGGCGCGTTCAGTGGTCATCTGGTCTGACCTGCTGCAAAGCACCATGCAGGGCATGTCATGGAGCGCATGATGGTCCACGAACACCTGGGGGATCAAAACCTGATTGTTGTGCACCATCTATTCAAGAATTTTGCATTCCCATAACAAACACCTGAGGGCGTCGAAGGGGTCCTGTGGTAAACACGGGCTACGTCAACACGCAACATTCCCACTGCCAGTCCGTGCGCCCTCGTACCACCCGCCCTTCCCCCCCTTCACCAAGCAGCCAATGTGTGGCCGTTCCGCAGCGCCCGGCGCAGAAGCCTCCCTGGCCGTGACACCTGAAACCACTCTCTCACACGCCCATTCCTCTGATAACGATGCGGCAAAGGGAGCACAATCATTGCAAGCTTTCGTCCCCGCTTCCCCCCTTTGCGCCTCTGCGTTCGACCTGGTGATGTCCGCCAGCCTGCCGCTGACGATCGTGCATCACTCACTGCGGGTCTACTTGTTGGCGAACTGGTTGGCTGAGCGCGAGAAGAGTGAGTGGGCGGGCAGTGATCTCCTGTTCGTGGCATGTGTGTGCCATGACATCGGTGCCTCCCAAGCGCACAATGGCCCGCAGCGATTCGAGGTGGAGGGTGCCGATGCTGCCGCCAACCTCTTACGCAGGCATTCGAGGTCGGAAGCTGAGGCACACGAAGTCTGGACGGCGATCGCTTTACATACCTCGCCCGGCATAGCAGAACGCATTACACCATTGGCCAGGCTGGTGAGGTTGGGCGTTCTCATTGATTTCCGTCCGGCCATCAAGGCGCAGCTAGAAGCAGGGACGTATGCAGAAACCATCGAGGCCAAACTGCCCCGGCTGGAGATTGAGAAAGTCTTGGGGGACGCCGTCGTTCAACAAGCTGTTCAGAATCCCGCAAAGGCCCCCGCAGCTTCATGGCCAAACAACCTCTACAGGTCACACCTGGAGAACCCCGACTGGACGGGTGTCAATCGAGCATTTTGAAGAGCATTACAAATTCTAGATAAACTCTTGAATAGAAAGTGACGTTGGGGAAACGTCGGTTACAATCGTAGCCTCCTTCCAACGGCCCCAAAGCAGAGGCACGTGCAGAAGAGAATGCTAGCCAACCATGTATAGACACCAAACTTTTCAGACGCCATCGGTTGGTGAATCGCTGGAACGGGCACAAAATTGGGGTCCACCACCAACATAACCAAAGTGCCGATGGTGCTTACGGCTGCTGAGAAGGCGAAGCCGGGCAAGGACCGGTCGATAAGATACCACAGCACAGGGTTGGCCAGGGCTAACGTCAAGGCAACTTGCAGCGTCGATTGCCAGGGAATCCGTCGCTGACACAATCAGTTAAAATGTAAGAACGATTATGGGAGAAAGGCACAATGGCTTACCACTGCAAATGCGACCCCGACGAACACCCCCATGCTGCGAACGGCGGAGTACCACAATGGGCCCATTCCACTGTCTGAGGACGAGGCAGAACTGGCAGCTTCTGGTTGGAGCGTCGAACTCTTCGTCGACTTGGTCTGAGACGACATGGATCTCTGCCAGAAGGAATCGACTAGAGGGAGTGCATTCCCGAGCAGGATACCAAAGATTCCCCAAGAGACCTGATAGTACAAGGAGCTCCGGTCAATGTCAGGTACCGGCACGGGCGTTATACGTTGCGTCTTGTGGAGATGTGTGATGATAGTCCCATAGCCAATGCCACAGCCAAATAGTAGTGAGGTCTGCAAAAACAGAGGCACGAGGTAGCCGCGAAAGCCTTTCCTCTTCACTTTTAGTGTAGGTTTTGTGGCCTCTCCGTTCCAGCTCACTGGAACCCCGGTTGCTTGGTAGTTGTAGTCGTCGACACTCGGTCTTTTGCTGGGTGTCTGGGCGCCGGTGCCCCAAGGCGTGGAAGTTTCATCCCGCGTCCCTTCAGAGGTGAGAGGAGAGTAAATGCCCAGCAAAGTGGATGAAGTCAAGTTGAGGATTGATCGCGTGCGACTCGGGGGGAGGTCAGGCTTCTGGAGGTTAAGCAGTTCGGGGTTTGTAGCCTCAGCAGGTGAAGGGGGGTGAGATGAATCGGTCGACGCAGGTGTGAGCTCGAAGGTTCGTCGAGGGACCGGACGATAGACTTGAGGCATCTCCATAATGACGAGAGGAGGTCTTGTGCGTTGAACGCTAGTGGCACGAACAAGGAACACGAAATGAGGGTGAGTATAGGTGGCAGATCAACTTCAGTGTGACTCGTGCGACCGTCAATGCAAATGGGAAGAAGTCGAAGTATTATAATTCAATCATGATCATGAAGGGACAGATGTCAGCCTCAGAGTAGATCCAAGTAGATGGGGAGCGGAGTCGTCAGGTCCGCTGCTATGACAGCGCACATGGGCTGAGAGTGGTGGTAAGGGAAAAGGTTCTGTATTTTCTTCTTTTCACATGTCCATATGCAGGTCGATGTCGGGGATGTGCCCAAAAGGTCACGCAACGCTGCAACAAAAAACAACACCTTGCCGAAGTGGGTGAGTTGGGAGCTTAGGCATCCACTGAGGCCACTATTACTGGCCTCACACGCCTAACTACTGCTGGTGCTACTACGGCCGACCATGCGGAGCTGCGTCAAAGGCACTGAATGGTCCGCCGTGTAGATACTGCCGATCATGTGCAACATCAATTCACCCTCCCCCCCCTTCCTCGCCTGGCACTCCTGGGTAATAGGGTAAATGGCTGTTCATTCATTCCTAACATCTATAATTTGGGCTTCGCGGCTGCCGCTGACCGTGTCAGGATGATCTCATCCCAGTCCAGTGCCTTCTTGGTGGCCTGAAACGCTCTCAATCCAATGGCTGCTTCGCCGTCAGGGCGCATCATCTTGTCGAAGAGTTGCTTGATGCCCTTTGCCTGCTGTTCACTTCCGGCATGAAGCCAGCCCAGCCTGATCAACTCTTTGCACATGGTCGATGCCTCTGGCCCTGCCACCTTCAGGCGCGCAAGGTACTGATCCAACTCTGTCGCCAGCTGCCCAGGCTCCTCCACAACATTGGCGATCATGCCGAGGGAACGCAGTTCTTCCATTGAGATCGGACGAGCAGAGAGCATGGCCTCGCGGGTGAAGGCGAATCCGCATTCCCTGATCACATATTTCGAGATCGTTGCGGGACACAGCCCGAGTTTGGCCTCGCTCAGAGTAAACGTGGCAGGTTTTACCGCAATCCTGATGTCGCACGCAAAGGCGAGTCCGACGCCGCCACCAAATGCTGAACCATTGATACCCGCTATCGTCACTTGAGGCGCCTGATCAATTACCTCAAAAAGCCGTGTGAGGCGCTCATATTGTGCGTCGCTGACCTCACTCGATTGGGCGACCGGCGAGGTCCCCTTTCCAAGGTCCATGCCAGCGCAGAAGTACTTCCCTTCTCCAGTTATGACTATTCGTGAAATGGTGCGGTCGTCGCGTGTCCGACGAAACACGTCTGTCAGCTCGCTGATCATTGGCGTGGTCAGAGCATTGCCCTTCTTTGGCTGATTGAGAACCACCTTGAGGTTAACTCCAGATCGGTATAGTCTGATGCTTTCTGTTTCAGTGACCAACATCCAAGTGGATTCAGGGCCAGCTTGACTCTTTTGCTGTACTGGCTCTTTAGACTGAACGAGGGCGCGTTTGGCCAGCAGAGCAACTCCGGCGCGGCTCTCGTTTGGTTTCCTCAGTTGGTCAGATATCCAGCTCCCAACCTCCACCAACTTGGAGAGGTCAACCCCGGTCTCGACTCCAGCTTGCTGGAACAAGAACACCAGATCTTCCGTGGCAGCATTCCCCTTTGCCCCAGGCGCGAATGGACACCCTCCCAATCCCCCAACGCTGCTGTCGAAGACACGGAGACCGCACTGATAAGCCTGCCACACGTTGCTGACTGCCTGGCCATACGTGTCGTGGAAATGCCCCGCCAGCTGTGAGGGCGAAACTCCGTTATTCCCAAGGTACAGTAGCAAGCTTCTGACGTCGGCTGCTGTGCCGATGCCCAGTGTGTCGCCCAGACTGACTTCATAGCAGCCCATGTCCAGCAGTTCGTGGACAGCTTTGAGCACAGCTGCGTGCGGCGTAGGTCCGTCGAACGGATCAGCAAAGATGCACGAGATGTATCCTCTAACCGCCAGACCCGCCGCGGTCGCTTTCTCGGCCACCTGCCTCGCTCTTGCCAGGCCCTCGTCCACAGTCGCGTTGATGTTGGCTCTGCTAAAGCCCTCGGTGGCGCTCACAAACACCGCCACCTCGCGCACCGAGTTTTCCATGGCAATCTGCAGGCCCTTCAAGTTCGGGATCAAGACGGGAAGACGGAGGTTGCCATCGGGCAACAACGACTTGATGCTCTGGTCTGCGAGCACCTGTCGACAGTCGGCCAACTGTGGAATCGCACGCGGGGAGACCACGGAGGTGATCTCGATGGTGTCCAAGCCTGTGGCACGTAGACGGGCGATGAGCTCCAACTTGGTCGCCGTGGGGATTGCCGTCTTGACGTTCTGCAGTCCGTCGCGGGGTCCCACCTCGACGATGCGGACGTCCCTTCTCGCGGTCGTCGTACTCATGTTGCTGGCAGTGGCCATGCCTCGAGCCATGCTGCTTCCAAATGACGTATATTCACCGAGCGAACTAAGTGGTGCAGAGACAACCCTCCATCTCGCGGCGCGGTTGTTGGGGTAGTAATAATTACAGTAACGATCATATATCGAAATCGACCGTTTGCACTCCCGGGCAAGCGAGGACGGGCGACCACAGCGAGAAAAACACCCGCGCCAAAGATAAAGAAGAGGAAGACTCATCGGTTATTCACCCGTCCGTCACCTGCGGTAGGTACTCTTATCATGGCCCGCAAAGGCGAGTGAAATTCAACGATGGAAAATCGCGAGATCCGACCGTGATGACAAGCAAGCCGTGCTCTCTGTTCCTGACGTGCCTGAAGGTTCCGACCGAGCAAAGCCAGACCGGAGGTTTCAATTTCTTCCCTCCAAAAAATAACCTCGGAGCCTTGTTGCTACTAGCTAGTGTTGCTACCGCTCATCGGGGTTCCCCAGGCCCGGGTGGCGGAGTGGAGTATCCTACGCAGTGAATACCTGTAGGTACTCTGGAGTTGTGGGTGGGCACGGCATGCACAACGGCTCCAAACGGGCTCGAGCCCGTGCCAATCAACAGACGGATCGAGCCGTCCTTCAGGGACTCGGGAGAGGCGGCCGAGGCGCCCATCCCGACTCGCAACCTGCCACCAACTCAGCCAGCCCTGCAAGTTGTCTGACTTAATACGCCGTATTGCCCACCATCACGTTTACATGGGTATACGACATACGCCCTGCGTACCGCCGTGTAAAACAGAAGGGGTAGGTGGTGCGCCCTCCACAGTGCTAATGCGTCAGGTAAGACCGAGAACTGTACGAGTAAGCACAGCAATGCACGGAATAGCTATTTAATTAGCACACCTGGGTGAGTAGACTTTAGGTGGAACAATAGCGAACGTGGGAATTGTCAGACAAGACCTAATCCCGCCTGGGTTAACGGAGTAGGGACTCATTGGAGAGAAAGGGTGGTTCTGTACTCCTTTTGTAGATAGTCAGCACGAACAAGGATGGACCTCTTCCTGTATAGTCTATCGTTCTATTGACCCCTATACGCCCAACGCTGTTTGGTGTTCGCAACGACGACTCACAGCCTGGCTCTCACTGCTCCCACCTTCTCCACTCCTTTCTCTTCCATCCCTCTGCCCATTTGCACAAGCTTCTCCCCAACGTCGCGGAGGAGGTGCTTCATGATCTTGCCACTGCCCGTCTTAGGAAACTCGTTGCCCACGCCGTCATCCCCGATCCAGAACACATACTTGGGCGCTTTGTGGCTGCCCAGCGACTTGCGCACCCAGTTGTTGATTTCCTTCCAACTCGGCCGCATGAGCCGCGTTCTGTTCCCCTCCTTGAGGTCGAGGTCGAGGCAGCCAGGTCGGGGTTGTGCGCGGAGGAAAGCACCGACGACTTCTCCATACCGGGCATCTTTGATGGCAACACAGCTGGCCTCCGCGATGGAGGGATGTTCGGCGAGGCAACTTTCAATTTCGCTGGGGAAGATGTTCTCACCGCCTAGTCATGCCCTCAGAGGTCAGTAATGATCACGCCAGAGATGAAAATGTACAAGGCGACAAATTGGACGAGTGTTGAACTCTGGACTTACCGCGAATGATGATATCCTTGATCCGGCCAGTTACAGAACAGTAACCATCCTCGTCGATGACACATTCATCTCCAGTGTACATCCACAGAATACCATTTTCGTCCCTCTTCATGGCTTCAGCGGTCTTTGCTGGATTATTGTAGTACCCCTTCTGCAATGCGTATCCGCTTACGCAGAGCTCTCCTCGCACACCACGCGGTACTATCTTACCCGTGCGGTCGACAATCTTGGCCATCGTATGTGGTAGCACTCTCCCAACGGTCTTGGTTCGTCTTTCTTCCGTGTCATCAAACGTAGTCATGAACGTAACTGGACTAGTCTCGGTCATTCCATACGGGATGAGCATTCCCTTGATACCAAACTCTTGGTCTAATTGCTTCACCAATGCCGGCGGAACCGATGACCCTGCAACAAGGCCCGTCTTGACGGATGAGATTTTGTATTTCTTTACTTTGTTGGCTTCGATCTCGGCGATAAACATGGTTGGCACGCCGAGGAGTGCAGTACATTTCTCTTCGTTCAATGCATCGAGGACCAAATCAGGATCAAACTGATCGCAAGGGAACACAACTCTGCTGCCATGGGTGATTGACGCTAGGAAGCCCATCACAAGGCCGAAACAGTGGAACAGCGGTGGGGGACAACAAATGATGTCAGAGGAGTTCAAGTGCATGTTCGTTCCGACGAGACGAGCATTGTTGATTAGGTTCCTGGACACCTGGTTAGAACGATGAATTGATCTCAGCCGGACGGAAGTAGTGTTTACTTGTGAGTCAGCATCGCTGCTTTGGGAGCACCCGTGGTTCCTATTCGAGTCAGCTTGAGCTGTGAAATTGCGCAGGGAGATAATTTGACGTACCAGAAGTAAATTGGAGGTTCAGAACATCATTGCACCGGACACGGCTCTCTACTCGCTTCAGTGCTACCTGGTCGATGTTTCGTCCTTCCAAGACGAAAGACGAATAGGTGCATAGCCTCAAGGACTTATGCGCTGCATTGTCACCTGCAGACAGGGAAACGCACGGCAGAGTACTCAGTTCCCTTGCCACCGCTTCGATATGGGTGGATAGGTCTTTCAACCGGATTCTCGCAGCGATGAAGAGAAGTTTGCAAGCTGTAATTCGAGTCAGCCCAGCTTCTGAAAGACTCAAAGGAGGAAACTTGCAGGACACGCTCAACGCAGACACCATCTCTTTTGGAGTGTAAGTGTTGTTTAGGACGACGAAAGGGCAGCCTATTCTGGCAGCAGCGACGAACGTTTCGAGGTACTGATAGCAATTTCCGGCCATGATCGCAACGTTGTCTCCATGCCTCAACCCTCTCGCCAACATCGACTTTGCAATTGCTTCGCTTCGACTTGCGAGGTCATTGTACGAGAGCGTCTGATGTTGCCAGGGAAAGGAGGCTGCTTTGTGAGTTCCATATTGAGCAGCATGCCGATTCACAAGTTCTCCCAGAGTCTCTTCCCACAAAGGCGGCGTCCGCGGGCCTGAAACGAAAGAGGCAGTGGGCGACATTGCTGTTGGTGGTGCTGTCGAACGGGTTGCAGGTTCAATAGTTGACATTATGTACTTCGCAATGTATGTACTTTCCAGAGCCCCGGTCACAGTCCTGGTGATGTTGCTCCAGCCCAAGTATATGAGTGAGAACTGTCCCAAAACTGGTAACTAAGCACGGAACCATAAGACTCGAGCATAGTCAGCATCAAGGTATACATGTCTCCAGCGCTGTTGCGCCTCGCGGTAAATGTGGAGCCCGTTCCGCCATAGCGGCCCGCCTTGCAGAGTGGCCCTGGAAGTCCGCATCACCGTCGGCCGGGGCAGCCTCGGCCCAACCGTCTATGGCTATGTCCAGGGATTGCGCCGGTCGACATCGCAGACTTTCATATCACAGTGAAGTCCGAAGCTCATTTCATCAGGTTCACCTTCAGGTCAGCTTTCTTCTACTTCAAAACACCATTTCAACATGTCGCACGCTGGTTTCCCCGTGGTGGAGTCGCATCTCGATGTGACAAGGGAACCATATAAATCGAATCGAGAAGCATGGAAGCCGGTGATGGAGGAGTTCTCCCAAAATCTGAAGGGAGTAACGTCCGAAGGCAATCCTCAAACTATCAATAGGCATGAGAAGAGAGGGCAGTTGCTGGCAAGAGACAGGATATCCCTGCTGTTAGATCCCGACTCGTCATTTCTTGAACTGGGCTCTTTTACCGGGTTCGACTTGGAAGACTCCAGCCCCTGTGCGAGCCTCTTGGCCGGCATTGGAAGCATCAGCGGTCGCATCTGCCTCATACTTGCACACATCGCAACACAAAGTGGCGGCGCGTGGAACGAGTTGACGGTAATCAAACAAAACAGAGTGACAGAAATCGCCAACGAAAATGACCTACCGCTCGTTGCCCTGGTCCAGTCGGCAGGAGTCTTTCTTCCTCAGCAGTTTCGTGTTTTCCACAAAGGCGGCCAGATCTTTCGTGATCTCGCTATGCGAACCCAGAATGGACAGGCTTCCTGTGCGATTGTCTTCGGCTCGTCAACCGCAGGTGGCGCCTATCACCCGGGCCTCTCAGATTATACCATCTTCGTGGAAAATCAAGCGCAAGTGTTCCTCGCAGGGCCCCCTTTGGTCAAAATGGCCACCGGCGAAAATATTGGCGCTGAGGAGCTAGGAGGCGCGCGAGTTCACGGGACTGTTACCGGCCTCGCAGATCAGATTGCCTTTGACGAATTTGATGCGGTTCGGAAGGCTCGCGAATGGGTCAGCACGCTATCACCCCGGAATCAACCAGTGCAGCCTTTGCGCCCACCGCTTGCGCCGCGTTATCCGATTGAGGACATATTTTCCATAGTCAATCCTGACGTCCGGAAACCTTTCGATATGAGAGAGGTGGTCCTTCGGTTGGTTGACGAGTCCCGGTTGGCCGTGTTCAAGCCAGAGTATGGCAGCAATCTATTGACAGGATGGGCCTATATCATGGGTAAGTTCTGCATCGGACTTCCGACCGGAAACAAGTGCTAAAGTGGAACAGGGATGCGTCTGGGAATAATTGCAAACCAGACACCCATCATCAACCCAGACGAAGCGTCGAAAGGCACGCAGTTCATTCGCCTATGTAACCAACAAAACACCCCGATTGTCTTTCTTCACAATGTGACAGGGTTTATGGTCGGCTCGAAGGCTGAGCACGCCGGCATCATCAAGAAGGGCGCCCAGTTTGTATCCGCGGTGAGCTGTTCAAGAGTTCCACATATTTCCATCATCTTGGGAGCGTCATATGGAGCAGGCAATTATGCCATGTGTGGAAGAGCATATAAACCACGCTTTCTGTTTACCTGGCCAACTGGACGGTGCAGCGTTATGGGACCAGAGCAGCTGTCTGGAGTTATGGCCCAGGTCGAAGCCAACAGTGCCCGAAGCAAAGGAGTGGTTCTCAAGCCCGAGGAAGTGGAAGCCAGAGTGCAGCGGCTGCAGAAGGAGGTCCAGCGGGATAGCAGTGCGTACCGGACAAGCGCGTACATGCTTGATGATGGAGTGATTGATCCTCGAGATACTCGCGACGTGCTTGCAATGTGTCTAGAAATCGTGCAAACGCCGCCAGTGCAAGGGAGCGAGGGACACCGGGCGTTGGCAAGGATATGATGTGATGTGATCATGGCAATGAGAATGGAATGAAGAAAAAGTGGGTGGAGAGAAGTTGAAGAGCTGTCCATAACAATCATTTTGGTCTGACAGAGGGATTTCTCTGTCGATAGCCACACTACCACATTCATGGTGGGGCTTCTTTCTGTCAGACGCGCCGTTCCTTGTAACCGACAATATCTCAATATCTCAATATCTCACTTGCCTTGGTTTTACCTGCCACCTCCTTCTGCATCAGCCACTCTGGAGATGCCGCCTCTCTTTTAAAATCCAATTGTTGAGCGTCCACTATCTGCCAGCATTCATGGATGATAGGCGCGAAGCCAAAAGAGCACGCCAGGCGTGTCTCAACTGCAGGAGGTGAGTGGAAGGAAGCTGTGGTAATCCTGACGCGATCTTGGGGATAATGCTTTCGACATGGTATCTCGAGCATTGGTCAGCATGGGCTGACAATGATTGGCAGAAAGAAGACACGCTGCTCCGGGGAGAAGCCAGTGTGCGCATTCTGTGCCCGCCTCAACCAGCGCTGTACGTGGGATGGCGACGAAGAGGTCTCGCCTGACCGACTCACGGACACGGGCCGAGCTTCATTCTCCTCAGGCATAGCCGCACAAAACGCCAGTCTTGCTGCAAGAGTCGCTTTGCTGGAGTCTCGGCTGAGCTTTCTGGACGCGGACAGTGCTTTCAACCTATTCGCCTCCGTGTCACCGCAGCCAACCAGTAATCAGCCTGCGGACCAGCCTCCTGTGGTCGACGAGATCGCCCGCACAAATAGCGATTTCACCTCTCTTCCAGACCCCGCCATCTTTCGATCTCTCGTCCAGGTCTATTTCGATCGTTGTCACAACCAGCCTTATGCCTTCTTCCACGAAGAGATGTTTCGCCATGACTATGAATCTGGATCATTGCCAGAATATTTACTCTACGCCTTTGCTGCGGCTGCCTGTCGCTTCTCCGACCACGAGTTCTATCAACAGCGTCGTGCCGAAGCAATTGACACCTATGCCCAGGTCTCCTTTGGGCAGATCTTCGAACATTCGTTCTCAGACGCGGAGAGTTTAGAGCCATGGATGGTGGTGGCTCTAGCCATTTTAGCCGTTGTGGACTTCGCAGGTGAGTCCGGCCAGAGGTTTGTCTCTAGGCAGGCGAGGACTGACTCAGCATCGACTGCAGCTGGACGTCCGAAGATTGGCTGGGTGAAGTTGGCTCTGTCGTGTCGGTTCGCACATGCCCTGCGGCTCAACGAAGAGCCCGACTCACAGCTTCCTGTCCACGAACAAGAAGAGCGGCGTCGAATATTCTGGTCCGTTTATCTCCTCGATATCATAATGTCAGTCGGACCCAACCGGCCTCCTTCACTTCTCGATGAAGACTGCACCGTCCGTCTTCCGTGCCACGAAGGTCTTTTCAGGGATGGACTCGACGGTGGCCCTGTGCCAAATCTGACCACTGTTGTCGAAAACCCGTCAGGCTCCAACCATCAGAATCTGGATCCTTTTGCCATGACCGTAATCATGGCATCAGCATTAGGTCGGTTTATACGGTTCAGCTTGAAGCGCACCCTGAATACGACTCATGTCCTCTGGGACCCACGTTCCAAGTATTATGAGGTACATAGCATTTTGTTGTACTACGAAGCCCATTCGCTATGTGCCTTGAGCAGCATTTCAGAGGCGCTGAATCGACAACCTTCATTCATCGAATCTGCATCCCCGTCACAAGTCAGTCACATTGTCTACGCCCATGCCCTCTATCACCTCAACAATTGTCTTCTCAATCATCCATTCATATTATACCGCTTTTTCCAGGCCTATACAGCGCCTGTCCCTCTAAGTTTCGTGCAGGAAGCGCTACAAAGATGCCGAAAACACGCCACCAACCTCCTCGAGCTGCTAGCCGACCTGGAGTCGTATGGCCCTCTCAGCCATCCGAGCTTCTATGGGTATTGTGCAATGGCTGCAGGGGTGATACACAGCATATATGAAAAAAGCGATGACGCAGAAGTCGCACAGACTTCGAGGAAACACCTTCAGGCTGCGTTAAATTTTCTACAACGCGAACCAGTGCGATGGGGCCATGTGAACCACATGGTAAGTAATACAGATCTCCTACGTGTATCGAGCGCTTTGCATATCATCTTATCGTAATACCCGATGAACGTGTCCTACAAGGTAAACAGATTTAGGACTGTGTACTGATTTGTTTCAAGGGCACCCTCCTCCGGTCGTTCAAGCTGGATCCCGCGGTTGCAAGGGTTCTCACAAATCCCGTGAGCCTAGCACAGAAGGTGACTGTGCCACTCGGAAATATGCTATGGCAGCTCCTTGATTACGCTTGGTTACCCCGTAACATCCACCCTGGCGAGAATAAGTCGTCTGTGGCAGACCTATTGCCCGGAACAGGACACCTCCAGTCAAATATGACCGAGACTTTGGCTTCCAATGGCGCAAATCCCCCAGGAGGGCCGTTTAATGGAACTGGCGTACTGCCCCCAACGTACGCTCGTATGTTGGGAGAAGACATGGGCGATATATTGTCAGAAGCCATGGGTGACAACCGCTTGCAAGGGTTTGTGCGACCAATGTTTTCTGACAGACCTTCAGCTGCCCTTTGATGTTCCATGGGTCTTTCCGGACGGGACGCGCGTGTTCACTGCTTTCTTTGTGGAAGCTGGCTCAGGAAATGGAAGCACTTTCTGGTTGCCGAGTTCCTTGATGTGCGAAAAAAGAACGATCATACTCCAGCCCCCATATGTCAGAGTGACTTGGAGTCGAGAAAGATTGTTCAGAACAATTCAACTTTGATAACGACTACCCTGCCATTATCGTCGTTTCACTCCCGACTTTACTTCTTGATTCCACATGTCGGTGATCATTTGTCTTCACGGGTCCCTTCACCAGCTGCCGATGTCCCACCGCCATCTAGATTGTTCAACAACTCAAATCACAACTTGCTCGATAGACGAGCTAACCTTTGCAGTTCCTTTGTCTCCAGCTTGACAGCGAGGTCGCTCAATATCTCGTCGCTACCTCCACCCACCACCATGACCCGGACATCTCGACTGATCTGCTCGATCCTGGCACCCTTCCCAGTCCTGGAATAGCCCGCTCCGCCCATGATTTGCTGCGCGTCCCGGTTGACGCGCTCTAGGACCCTTCCAGCGCTGGTTTTCAAAGTGGCGATCATTCCTCCAATGTTAAGGTCTCCCCGAGATGCAGCCGGGTCACCCAGGCGACTTCGAGCCTTTCGCTTTCGCTCATGCTCCGTCAAGTACACGATTGACTCCAGGTACGCATATACCGGTTCAACATCACGAGCAAAGTCCGCAAACTTGGCCGAGATCACTTGGTTCGCAATCAGAGGCTTCCCGAAAGTTTCTCTTCTGAGTGCATGCGCATAGGCGTCTTCGATGCAGACGCGCGCCATGCGAAGAGATGTACATGCCAGCCAGAGTCTCTCGTGGTTGAAATTCGACATTATGATATCGAACCCACGGTTTTCTGCTCCCAGGAGATTCGACACCGGCACCTGAACATCGTCAAACTCGATATATGTCGAGCCGCTGGCATTGACACCCGAGTTTTCGATTTTGCTGCACTTCACACCGGGAGACTTGAGCGGTATTATCAGGGCAGATACTCCCCCGCGGCCTGGTCCACCTGTCCGGACCGCGGCGGTGCAGTAGTCGGCGAATATGGCGTTTGTAATCCATTTCTTCGCGCCGTTCACGAGAAACACATCGCCACGACGCTCGGCTGTCGTTGTGATACCCGCTACGTCAGACCCAGCTATGTCGAGTTAGAAACATGGCACAGAATCAAAAGAGGTTTCGGGGAGGCAATTACCATCTGGCTCGGTGACACCCAGACAAAATCGCGACTTGCCCGTTATTACGTCCGGCAAGAATTTCGCCTTCTGCTCCTCGCTTCCGAAATTTATGAGAGGCGGAGCGCCGATCGAATTCCCGCAACTCAACGCCCAGATCACGCCCAGGTAGCCACACCTGGCAACCTCGTCGATCACGATCAGATCGTGGAATCCATCCCACTCCTCCGGGTCGACATCTCCCGGCAGTCTTTGGCCCAGGGCCTTGATCTGCGCCACGGCCAGCGGGTATATCGAGACGGCCATGTATCCCAGCCGCGCGTGGTTGAGGATGACATCCTGGGGTACAGAGCCCTGTCGCTCCCAGTCCTCGCAGAACGGCGTGATGTGCGTCGAGACGTATTCGCGCGCTTCGGCCTGGAGCCGCCGGTGGCTCGCAGTGTAGTAGGGGCTCACGTCGCGCGAGAGCCAGGGCGGGTCGGCATAAGGTGCCAGGGAGACGGAGAGAGCCATTGTGGGAAGACGTCTAAGGTTCCAAAAAAGAAAAATCAAAGACGAAAGACCGAGAACAGAGAGATGCTTTTTCCCTTCTCTTCTGCTGTGTAGGTCGGTCCTGAAAAATGCTTTAGTATCAATGCCTCTTATTTCGCAGCAAATACTGTCTCGGCGTCTGTCGGACAGAGGTCCACCAAGTCTAGATTCTTTTATCCTCTCAATACCGATTTCAAGCCGAAAGACAGCCCAGCCTGGACAGACAGACACGGGGACCTCCATCTCTGCGGCCGACCCCTTTGAACCCACTCAGCCCAACCCCCCTGCAATGGGGGAGGGACATATTCGCCTCAGGAGCCGAGGCGGAACTGAGGGAGTACGACAGTGACTGGCTACCCACCCGCATCTTACGTATGAAGACGCACGCGCAGAGTGGTTGCTCACCCGCATGTCCACCTAGTATATCGGTCACACGGGTCACAATTTACATACGTTGTGCATGCTTATTCCGTCTTACAAGCCGAAGGAGCTTCTCTTCCCTTGCCTCGAACCTCGTACCTCGTCCTCCTTTCACGATCGAGGCTGATGCGACTACAATACGGATGAGGTGAGTGCCGGTTCGTAGAGCCTCGGTGGGGCACTAGGGCGCAGCGAACGCCCGATTCCGGGTCGGGAATGGCGTAGCGTGGCCTTGGCCGTGGGCGGGCCGGGTTGGGTTGGGTTAGGCGGGTACAAACACGGAGGGGCTTGATATAGTATGGAAGGATCGACAGCGATGGATGGATGGCACAATCCTCGGTAGCATTTGTCGTAGATGACTATGCTCGGGGCGACCCCGGAGAGTGCAGGGGGACGCTGGTGGTGGACAAGCCGACTTGACTTAGAGGGTGAGAGGAATAGAGAGACACGGGTTGTGGCTTGAATTTTGTATACTGTCCACTTGAGGGAAGAGAATGAGCTCTGGCACTCAGAGACGGCAGGGACTATCTATCTACATGCAGCAGCATCACCATATAGAGAATTCGACCGATGAAAATCCTCAAAGAAAATGAGAATTCTCTATAGTTATATACACTGTATCTATATACAGTAGTACTTGGCTAAAAACATACCACTCACTCACTCTATTCCACCCAGCACAACACGGCGCCATCATTCACGGCATCCCCATTCTTGACTCCGGTCATGAACTTGCCGTCCACGTTGATGCAGATGTTCGTCTCCATCTTCATACTCTCAATGACCATGACGACCTCGCCGGCCTTGACCTGGTCGCCGTTGGACCTGAGCACCGACAGGACTTTGCAGGGCATGGGGGATTTGATGACCTTGGAACTTGACGATGCCGAAACACCGCCACCGCCGCCGATCTGCCGAAGACTCTCCATGTAGTTGAGGACGCTGTAGCATTTGCATTCCATCCACGTACCCAGAGCGCGGAAGTGGCACAGGACGGTCTGATACGAGCCGGTAGAGGAAGCCAGGTTGGAGGGCGTGTCTGTGGCGATGTGGGCATGGATTATGGACTGGTTGATGGATATGGCTACTGATGCTGTTCGCCAGGCGTTGTCACCGGTGATGGTATGTGGTATGTCTCTCCACTTTGTAAATTCGACAGTGTATTGCGGGACTTTGGCGAGAGATGGATCTCGGAGCTTGTGGCTGATGGAGTGGTACCGCCGAGATATTTGGTACGCCTCAGAATTGCGGGTTGCGGTGTCTTTGGCACTACCGTCTTCTTCGGCCGGGATGGGGACTAATGTGACTTGGTATTTGGAGCGGGCACTGTCGTCGCGCGCATCGGTGGTCCAGGTTGTCAAGATCGGTGTTTGGGCGGATGACGGCTCTGAAGGGACAATGATAGTTGTGCTGCGATTGACGGGATCAAAGTATTGATTCCTGAAACCCCGAGAGACGTGCTTGAAAGGTCTCGCATCGGTCGACCGAGACGCTTCATCCCTCAACACGAGACCCGGAACAAGAGAAAGCATAGAGATCATATCTTGCGCAGATTCCGCGTGGGGATCCTGCAGCAGACTCTGCACATGTGTCGGGATCAGCGAGGTCGTGTATGCAGGATCACGAAAGCTGTTGTGTAAGAGGCAGGCTTGGAGGAAAAGTTGGTTGGTCTTCACTCCCGCGCATACAGTATTCGCCAACACCTTGACCATTTTCGAGATTGCCATGGCTCTTGTTGGTGCCCACACCACGATTTTGGCGATCATCGAATCGAAGTAGATGGAAATACTGGACCCGGTTTGCACAGAGGTCTCGTACCGTACGTCTCTAGACCCCAGATAGTGGTCTGACTCGCGCCACAGTCGAATTGTACCATTCTGAGGCATAAAATCGCTGCTTGGATCCTCCGCGCAGAGCCGGCACTCGATAGCATGGCCCTTCTGTGGGATGTCCTGTAGGATGGCAAGGCTGGCGAGTGATCCTCCGGCGGCCACAAAAAGTTGCAATGAAACAATATCAAGGCCTGTCACCTCTTCCGTGATGGGGTGCTCAACTTGCAGGCGGGTATTGACTTCGAGGAAATAGAAACTTCCATCTCTAACGTCCACGACAAATTCGACAGTACCGGCACCCTCGTACCCAATGAGCTCGCCTATTTGCACAGCAACTGCGCACATTCGCTGCCTTTGTTCGGGATTTAAGAACGGGGATGGTGTCTCTTCGATGATCTTCTGGTGCCGTCGCTGAACCGAGCACTCTCTCTCCCACAAGGAGAGCACTTTGCCATGGCTGTCACCAATGATCTGGACCTCGACATGTTTTGCTGCTTCGATGTACTTCTCGAGAATACAATCGCTCGATCCAAAAGAACGCTGAGCCTCCGACTGTGCACGAGCAAGCTCACCCGCAAGTTGCGAGCGCTCTCGCACGATCCGCATCCCGCGACCCCCGCCCCCAGCCGATGCTTTTAACATCACCGGGAACCCTACATTTTCTGCTGCGGATTCCAACTCTTGGACATTCTGGCTCGAGCCCGTGAATCCTGGAATGAGCGGAACACTCGGCGCATGTTTCCTCAGGTAGTCCTTTGAATTGCGCTTGTCGCCCAGTGTTGACATTGCTTGGGAACTTGGTCCAATAAAGATCAGCCCAGCTTGACGTACAGCGTCCGCAAAATCTTTGTTTTCGCTGAGGTAGCCATAACCTGGATGTATGGCATCAGCGCCCCTCGATCGCGCAACATCAACAAGAAGCTGGATGTTCAGGAATGGATTTCCTCCGGGCTGGTTGATGCTTCCCAGATTGACTGCTTCATCTGCCTCGCTAACGTGGCGCGAAGACGAGTCTTCTTGTGCATAGATGGCTACCGATGTCAGATCTAGTCTCCGACAAGTCGCGATGATTCGACATGCAATTTCGCCTCTATTCGCGATCAGCACCCTCTGAATCCGCCTTCTGCCATGGCTGCTTGGGGGTAACTGGGCGACGAAGAGAGGTAATCGTTGCGACGTTGCGGATGTTTGGTCTAAGTCCAGCTTATTACCGTGATACTGCCTCATTGTGATGGTTTATTTGGTGGCTGAAGTTCTGAAATGATTTGCTCCCTTGAGGCCTTGGGCTGCACCTTATGGTCGATATACGTAGGAGAAATAGTAGGGTCTTCAGGACCCCTGGATTCCCGGGCATGATCTCAAACTCCTCTTGGGCCGAACCACCTGCGCAATTCCGCCAGGTACCCTGCCGAGGCATGCGGTATACCGTTCCCTGGTGGGCGGAGAAGGCGGGCCGCGCGACGAGGGCCGGCTGATCTCACACCCTGCATGTTTGACTAAGCCGGGCTTCTTGAAAGCAGCAGAAACTTGGCGGAAATATTGGAAAGACCGGTCCCTCTGCCCGTCTGAAGAAAGATTGCAGCAGATCATGAAGAGTGAGAGGTAGTTGGAGTGGACAAACAGTCGATGTCGCTCGTCACCAAGTTCAACGCCCCTGCATTTCCCGCTCAAAATGCTTCACCGCATGAGCATCACGTGCTTGCCAAGCCCGCTAACCTCTTTGGGCGCATTATCGATCTCTAAGTTTCCAGACTCATTTTTGTGAAAGACTTCGTTGAAGGATAGGCCTTCATCTGTGAAATCCACAAAGCCATCTCTGTCAGAATCGTTTTCTGAACATTTTAATATCTCGGGCCCGCAGGCTACGGAAGTCGACCTTGCAGGGTGCCAAAACCTCAGATATCAAAACCATCGGGTTGCGAAGATGTCCCTCACCAGCGTCATCGACCCGGATAATGCCCCCAATTATGAGGACATGGAGAAGCAGTTCGCCGTGAGGGCAGTGCAGCAAATGACTGTCTATTGGGGGATACTCGAAAAGTTGCCTGGCTCAAAACTTCGCCTGACCCGGCTTGACGACGAAATCTTAGAGCACTTTAAGCGTGAATTTCCAGACTTCGACCCTGCTCAAGAGATTGATGAGGATGCCATGAAGAGCAAAGAGGGCAAAGAGAAGTGGCGCAATTTCGCCAAGGAGTACGAAAAAGGCGAGAAGAAAATTGAAGACTACAACTTCGGCACCATGTTGAGGAAGAGCCCCAAGACCGAGTACGGCGAAAAGGAAACGATTTTCGTAATTCGGGTACAATTCTACGCGATCGAGATAGCTAGGAACAGGGCTGGGCTGAACGACTGGATTTATGAAAACGCTCAGAAGCAGGAGAAGAAATCATAGAAGGGGGAAACAGGCACGCCAACCGCAAACTGGACAACCAGAGACATTGCCGGGACGTTTATAACAGCACGATACAACGCCAGAACTTTGCCCTTCAAGCGCACCGACTCCCGGAATATCTCAGAGCCGGGACCCCACGGGCATTCCTGCACATTCCGCAAGAACAATATCAAGGAGTGCCGTTGATGGGCTTGGCGTTCAACATTCAAATCGAGGAATGAACATTGTTTTCAATATTACTGACTTTGTTTGCGCAAGTTGCTGATTCTTGATCTCTTATCCCGCTGCAATCGGTTCCCGACATTGAAACTTTGGTCCATGTCGATCATGTCTCGTCACACTTCTACCTTCGCGACATGACCACTAGTGCACAATATGACCGTCAAATTGAGTCTAACCAAGCGTCACAGAAGCATGGCTTCTTCGGTCGTCCGAGGAGCATTTTCAACTTCACAACAAAAGCGCATCTGCCCGTTCTATTGCCGGCCCTCATCCTCTCAGCCGCTGCAGGATGTCTACAACCAGCAATGGCATTCTTTTTTGGACAATTCTTCGACACTTTCTCGGACTTTGCCGCAGGGAAAGCTGACGGCTCAATCTTCATGAATCGCTCTCTAGGCAGTCTGTATGCGCTCCTGGGAGTGGCAGGCGCCACGTTTCTCTTCAAGTGCATCCTTTTTAGCCTCTGGCTGGTATTCGGCGAGATGCAAGCAAGGAGCATTCGTGAGTTGCTCTTCCAGTCTCTGCTCGATCGTGAAATAGGCTGGTACGATGCACGAACAGCCGGAGTAGGGACGTACTTGACCAGGTTTCAGAGGTACGGCGTGCCGAACGTGATCGGCCCTTTCTCTAATGATATCAGACAGATCCGTGAACTGCAGCTAGGGACCTCTCAACCTTTGGGGTTCATCATCGTATGCATGGTTCAGGCATTGGCTGGACTTATCCTCGCTATGGTCACAAACTGGAAGTTGACTTTGGTTGTGCTCTCAGCTATACCTATCATTGCTGTTGGCAGCACCATCATTTCTCGACGTGTACAGGCAAACATCGACCACCAGGAAGAAAAGTTAACCATCGCAACCAGCTTGGCCAACAAGTGTGTCACAAACATTGTGACCGTGAAGTGTTTCAACACCCAAGGCCAAGAAGGAAATGACTACGCTTCCGCCGTCGGGGCAGCTGGCGTGTTCTCCTTGAAGCAGGCCTTTTCTACGGCGTTACAAACTGGGTTTGTGCGTTTTACTACGACCACAATGTTCGTACAGGGCAAGTTCCTCGCGCCTGACCATAGATCAAATCTCATAAATGTGTGCAGGGTTCTGGTATGGTGGTACGCAGGTCCATTCGGGTGCTACTACTGCCGGCAGGGTGATTACGACATTTTGGGCCTGTCTCATAGCCACGAAGGCGCTCGAGGACATGTTGCCGCATTGTATCATCATTCAGCGGAGCCATTCGTCAGCCCTGGCTTTGGAAGCAATGATGGATAAAGTCAATGACGGGCAGCGACAATTACGACACTTGGGTGGATTATCGCCGCGATTTTGCGAAGGGAACATCGAAATCCGGGCGGTATGTGTCCAATCTATTTCGCAAGTTAGTTCTCTAACTCTGAGAAGGTCTCCTTTGCTTACCCTTCGAGACCAACGTCCCTCGCTCTGGACCACTGCACATTCTATTTTCCTGCGGGGCACACCACATTCATCGTGGGCAAGAGCGGGTCTGGGAAGAGCACACTTAGTAGTATGCTGATGAGATTCTATCATCCCCATGCCGGAGCCATATTCATCGACGACAATGCTTTGGGAGACATTGACACAACTTGGCTCAGAAACAATATCACTCTTGTGCAGCAAGATTGTATGCTTTTCAATGACACGATTTTCAGAAACGTTGCTCTTGGGCAACGCGATGTCGATCGAGTTACAGAGGCTCGAGTAAATGAATGCCTTAGAATGGCAGCTTTGGACCAGACCGTGGGGCAACTTCCTGAAGGCATTCATACGAGAGTTGGTACAGGTGGCTCATCTCTCTCCGGAGGACAAAAGCAGCGGATTGCTATTGCACGTGCTTGTCTGAGAGACACACCGATAATGATACTGGACGAGGCAACAAGTGCTCTGGACAACTTGAACAAGACAACCGTCATGAAATCCATTCTAGAGTGGCGACGTGGAAAAACCACCATCATTATTACACATGATATGAGTCAGATACAAGAGAGCGATTTTGTGTACGTCATGGAAAGCGGTCGGGTCGTTCAGGAAGGTCGTCGTGGGAGCCTCACCGGTTTCAAAAGTGCCATGACTGATCAGGGAGCTCACGCAAAGCAGCTGACAATCGGACGAGTCAATAGTCCTAGCCAAGCCACATCACATCCTAGTCTGGCGGACTCACTAAAGTCGACCATTCCAAAATCGCCCCACAGAAGCGACTCGTTCGACTTCGAGACCGTAACAAGCCCACACAGCAACAACTTCGGAAATGTTGAGTACTCTCGAGATGGAGGGCTACTTGGACATCGGCTGAGGCAAGGTCTCTCTTCAAGTACTGGGGCTGCACTGAATCTTCTCAAACGACGATCGATGGCTCGTGCAAAAGTTATGTACAATCTGGATCAAAGAAAGACGACTCGACATGACCCAGCGATTCTGCCATCCATAACTCCCGCCAGCACCGGAGTCACTGTGCGCAAATCCACTTCCCTGCCAGCCACTCCGAAGACCCCGAGGACCTGGAACAAACCGTTGCCTATACCACCTCTGAGATTCACCGTTGAAAGCAGAAGTGCAGACCGCGATGTCATGAACACAACCCCTGGCGAAGCAGCGGAAGAAAAACGCCAACCAACCGCTTCAATCTTCACAGTATTGCTTACACTATGGCCCAGCCTCGATAATGCTAGGCGATCCAAACTGCTTCTTGGATTCCTGGCAACGCTGATTCATGCAGGAGCCACTCCAGCGTTCTCTTACTCCCTCGTGCAAGTTTTTGATACGTATTACTTGCCGACAGGCTACGAGAGGAAAACCTTGGTCTACTCGATGGTCGTCGTTGGAATCGCCATCGCCGATGGCCTAGCGTGTTTCTTCATGCAATATCTTCTCGATTCTGCAAGTCAATCATGGGTGGATGCGCTCAGAATCCAGGCAGTGCAACGCATTCTACGTCAACCTAAAGCCTGGTTCGACGAAGACCATAACAATCCTGCAGCTCTCGTAGCGTCACTTGATAAGAATGCGGAAGAGGTTAAGGACCTTGTGGAACGATTTGCGGCCCAGCTCCTCGTCGTTGCGGTTATGATGACTGTGGCCGTCATATGGTCGATGTTCTCCTGCTGGAAGATCACATTGGTCAGTCTTGCGGCCTCCCCGGCGCTCTATGTTCTGGCAAAGTGTTTTGCAATTGTCTCTGCTACGTGGGAATCACGAACGAGCTCAGCTAGTGACGGGGTCAATGAAGTATTCGCCGAATGTTTCGCAGACATCAAGACAGTTCGATCACTCACTCTGGAATCGTACTTTCACATGAAGTATCGCAACGCCACCCGTGAAGCCTTTTCCACAGGCGTTCAACGGGCTATTTTCAGCGGCTTCTTCTTCGGCCTCTCCGACTGCGCCATCGCCTTTTTCACGCCCATGATTCTCTGGTACGGCGCTCGCCTCGCGAAAGATTACGAATATCCGGTCAACTCTATATTTGCTGTATTCGGGCTCCTTTTATTTTGTACTGCCAATGCAACTGCAGTGCTCACGTACATACCTCAGACCGGCTCAGCAGCCGATACCGCCAGTCGCCTTATTCGGCTTGCCTTTATGCAGGTCAACTCTCACGAAGAAGTTGGGAAAGTTCAACTCGACAGAGACGACCCAACCACTCTTTCGGGCCCAATCCACTTCATCAATCTGACGTTCTTCTACCCGACCCGACCAGAGGTAGCGGCACTTCGCAGGCTGAATCTCACCATTCCCTCGGGGAGAACCACCGCGATAGTAGGGGCCTCGGGCTCGGGAAAATCGACCGTTGTGTCTCTCCTTCTGGGTCTCTACCCCCCCACGGCTGATCATCTCGCCCTGTCCCCTTCAAACCCCTGGGAAGGCCCGGCGTCTCTCACGCTGTCCGGCCGCGATATCCGATCACTGGACCTCTCGTCCCTCCGGTCCCTGATCGCCGCCGTCCCCCAGTTTCCTGTGCTCCTTCCGGCAACCGTGCGAGAGAACATCACATACGGCCTCCCCCCTGACTCCCCTTGGGCGTCTGCAACTCGCATCGAATCCGCTGCCCGCGGCGCCGAGATCCACGAATTCATCCAATCCCTCCCGCAGGGCTACGCCACCGTCGTCGGAGACGGCGGCCTCGGCGTTTCGGGCGGGCAAGCACAACGCATCGTCATATCGCGCGCGCTCCTCCGCGACCCCAAGGTCCTCATCCTCGACGAGGCGACCAGTGCCTTGGACCGGGAAAGCGCGGCGGCCATCCGTGAGAGTGTCGCGAGACTGGCTCGGGAGAAAAGAGGCAAGTTGACCGTCGTCGTGGTCACGCATGCGCGGGAGATGATGGAGATCGCGGATCATGTCGTGGTCATGGAGGAGGGGAGTGCGGTAGAACAGGGCTCTTTTCCGGAGTTGATGAGCAGGAGGAAGGGAGGGAAATTGTGGGCGCTACTGAATGCTGGAGATGATGACGCGAGTTAGACGGGCTTGATGCGTAAGTGGGCAGGGAGGCTAACCTTTCGATGGGAAGAGATATCTACAGTACTCTCGTCAGTCCGATAAGGATATTTGGACTGTTCGTTGCTACTCTCACTTTACAGTGCAGACGATCTTTTCAATGATTCAAAGTGGTCTCTGCCAACCCCCACGACGTGCCCAACTCCACCTCTATATCCTGAAGTGTAGGATTCTAACCGTCCTCCGGATTCCCAATCTATCATTCAACTCCCGCCACTCTGTTCTCCTCAATCCAAGTCCTCACCGCCGTCCAGTTCTTGCACGAGTGCAACGCGCTCTGGGACTCCCCGCTGCGATTGCCCACCGTCTTCTGATGTCCGACGTAGTGATGCGGGCTGTTCGGGGACGAAACCACACCGCCGTCACGCGTGGGTTCCGGCGTCGTGTCGGCGGCGCAGAGGAGGGCTTGTCGGACTATTTTGGGGGAAGGACGGCGTTAGTCAAATGCCACAGAGCAGAAGAAGGGTGTGAGGAGGGAGGAGTGGAGAGAGGAGATTGCTTACCGTGGTCAAGGCAGTGAAAGACTTGTGCTCTCTCATGGACGTGAGGGTGTTGTTCGTGGTCGTAGTCAATCAATATCTGGCGGATAAATGCCTGAGAACGCACAGCATTCGAGGTTAGCCCAATCAAATCCGATACAAACGGCACAGCCTCTTTCTAGCCGGGGTGATGTCGGTGTCGGTCGAGGGAGCCTACTTACCAGGCACTCCAATTGCCTCACGATAGCGACATCATATATCTCGGTATCCGAAATTGAGTGGCCATCTCCATCGACCGCAGCCGCACTCGACGGCAGTCCATACTTCCTCGGATAACGGACAGATATTCTTCCGTCTCCCTTCGGAAACATGCGCAGCCACGCGCGATCGCCTCGGGCCCCTTGGAGCTGGAATTCATATTGATCCGTAAACACTGAAGGGGCCTCGCCGAAGGGCGGCGCGAATGTCTTGGGTTTGAAATTGTTCACACGCCCAGTGCTGGTGGTCTTCCAGTCTGGGGACGGGAATGCGGGGAGGAGCTTCTGCCGATAGCTGAAGAGAGCCCACGAGAGGGCAGCCGCCAGAAGGAGGACGCTGAAGACAGTTTTCAAGCGGTGGCGCTTAGCGGTTGAGCCTTCTTCCGGTACAGGTTCCCCAGTGTATTCCCCACGAGGTGACTTGGGTGTCCGCGGAATGACGGGGGCGTCCTTCTCGCGGCGATGTGGTGAGCGGAACCGAAGAGGTGAAGGCATCTCGTTATCATAGAACGACCCTTAGGATCACCGCACACTGCAACAGCAAAGATATATGATGACAGTCAGCGAACCCTGGAGGTCGAGTTCGGTTTGGGAGCGACTGTGGCCTCCAGACACGGCGAGCAATGAAAATGTCAGACAAAGGAACAAAGAAAGGTGGGACAAGCAGCCCGTTGAGCCGGTTGAAAGCATCCATGGACAGGATTCCTTGCATCCTTACCACACAATAAAAGACTTATTGAGAGTAAACGGCAGGTTAGCTAGCATTCGGGGCATGGTGATGAGTTGGTTCGACGTTATTGCTGGGGACATCGAGAGTCAGCAGCGGAATCGCACCGACCACGAGGGTCGCAAGTTGTCGCGATTGTTTTGCCGCACAGCGCTCTTTCGAATAGTACTGAGAAGTCTAACCATGAGTAGGTGCGAATAGTCAAGGAGAAGAAGCATAACGAGTGCACATCTGGTAGACAATCGTTTCCAATTGGGGACGAAGGATAGGACCAATCATACCTGAGATGTGTGGGGCTATACCTATTTTAGACTTAGTGCCGGGATATTGACGAGGTTTATCCGAAGTACGTGTTTTTTCTTATTTTCACTCAAGGCGACGACGACATTATCGAACAACCCAACCAGCTAAGGGGCAGTCATGGCAGACACGCAGTCCCGCAAACGCCCCAGGTCAGCCGATGGCGCCAACTCCGACAGCGAGTCCTCCGACGATGACTTTGGGCCAGCCTTGCCATCTTCAGTCCCCCCGAAAAAGAAGCGGAAGCTCCCGTACGAATCTCTGTACGTGGACGCCTTACCGAAAGGGCTGAGGTACTCCAAGTCGTTGATGCACAAGGACCAGCTGCTTGCCGTGACGATAGCCCCGTCGCCCGCGGATTTCATCATCACCACCTCCATCGATGGCGTGGTCAAGTTCTGGAAGAAAATTGCAGTCGGGATCGAATTCGCCAAAGAGTATCGGGCACATGAAGGACGCATAGTGAGCTCCTCGGTCAGCGTTGATGGGGCCTTCTTCGCCACAGCCGGCGATGAAGAGGACAGCACCATCAAGATTTTCGATGTCATTACCTTCGATCTTCTGTCTATTTTGAATCTCGAGAGCCCAGCTTCTTGTATATGTTGGGTACATCGGAGGGGAGCTTCGCCAGTGTTAGCTGTCGCCAGAGGCAAAGAGATACAGATCTACGATGACCCCGGAAACTCACAGACGCCCGTGCAGACTTTGTCTTCCCTCCACAGAGCCCCGGTGGTTGCCATGGCGTACAATCCGGCCTTTGACTGCGTCGTGTCGGCTGACTCAACCGGCATGATCGAATATTGGCAACCAGGCGACAACTACGAAAAGCCCAACAGCGTGTTCAAGATGAAGTCAATGACCAATCTTTTCGACTTCAAAAAGGCAAAATCTGCGCCTTGCTGTATCACGATATCGCCCTCGGGCCACCAGTTTGCAACAATATCATTTCCAGATCGGAAGATTCGAGTCTTTGACTTTGCCTCCGGCAAGCTATATCGGTCATACGACGAATCGCTGGAGACCATAACCTCGATGCAACAAGCAGGGACTGCACTCCAGAAGCTCGATGAGGTTGAATTCGGACGAAGGATGGCAGTTGAGCGCGACCTCGACAATCCGACCGTCAGGTCGAGAATCAACATCGCTTTTGACGAATCAGGCCATTTCATCGCGTACGGGTCGCTCCTGGGTATCAAGGTGGTCAACACCCTCACTAATCGAGTGATGAAAGCGTATGGCAAGGACGAACCATTTCGAGCTCTGAACGTGGCTTTGTATCAGGGCGCTCCCCAGAAGAAGGAGGTGGTGACGGTGTCGATGGCCGCCAGTGCCAATCCCCTGCTCAACGAAGCCGAGGCCCGGGACCCTATGCTGTTTGCGACGGCTTATGGTAAAGTCCGGTTTTACATGTTCACAAACGACGAAGAGATTACCAAGGCGACTCGCGATGTGCAGAACGAGAAACCGCGAGTCATCTCCGGAAAGAAGAAGGAAGAGAAGAAAGCACAATCAGGCACATCTGCAGTCCTGCATACCACCTACGGCGACATCCATATCAGATTGTTTCCCGAGAAGGCTCCAAAGACCGTGGAGAACTTTGTCACCCATGCCAGGAATGGCTATTACAACAACACAATCTTCCACCGAGTGATCAGAAAATTCATGATCCAAGGCGGAGATCCACTGGGCGATGGCACCGGCGGTGAAAGCATCTGGGGAAAAGAATTCGAGGACGAATTTTCCGACCTCAAGCACGACAAGCCATATACCGTGAGTATGGCTAATGCTGGACCAAACACAAATGGGTCACAGTTCTTCATCACCACGGAGAAAACACCTTGGCTGGACAATAAGCACACGATTTTTGGACGGGCGTACAAAGGGTTGGACGTGATTCATCAGATTGAAAACACCAGAGTCCGAAAGGAGAAGCCAGAGGACGACATTAAGATAGTGAATATCTCCATCAGTTGAGGGCACTAGTGAACACAATGTGAATGCAGAGTGGATGGAGCGTGAAGTGAACCCCTTCCCGACCTTTATCAGATACGTAGCAGATGACCAGATGACCATCGCCGACCCCGTATCATTCATTATCTACTCAAATAGTAGGGACCCTGCCAGAAAGCCGTGAAGCCGGTCGCGTCTTCCCATCGCGCGATCGACGACGGCGCCTTCTCCGCATTTCCAGTCTCTCCTCACATCACGAAACATTTTATTTTTCCGCCGGTACATACTACTTGATCCCTTGGATGCGCTCAGGCAGGGCATTGCCTTCGCCATGGTCAAGTTACGCGTTGCCGCGAGGATCCTCTCAGAAGACGCCTACCTCCAAAGTCTGCAGGGATCCGCCAATTTACCCGTCAAAGGTGAGAAGCGGCTGGTCGTGGTGGTGCGCGAACCGTACAAATGGCAGATCGGAACTCTAGCTCTCGAGGTGCAGAGAGCGTACAAAAGCTGCTACCAAGTGTAAGTCCATTTCACTGCTGGATGTTGCCCGGCAGCTTCTGACTCAAGGAACAGCGAGCTCCCGACCATCAAATACCTCAAAGACAACGAAGACGACTGCGATCTGGACCCCCGAGCATACGTGTCGGACCTCCTCCTTGACGAAGGCAAAGCGCGTACCGATGCCTCAGACCAGCGCGTCACCATCAAGGTCATCCTCGAGCAAGGTCGGGGCCTGCGCGAAGGATCTGTCGCGATCGGTAGTCAATTGGACCATCCCGTATACCACATCCAACTAGAGGAGAGCTCGCGTCCACCCGTTCCCACATTTCCTGCTCTGCCTTCCTCGTTAGGCAAACGTGCGTTTCCTGCCAGTGATGAGCCCGCTTCGACGGCGACTGCGAGCAAGAGACCCAGACAAGTCGAGATACCATACACGCAGGAAGAGCATCCGACTCCCATCTCATCGATTGAACACGAGGACGTTCAAGGGTCACTTGAACTAGTGGAGGGCACACAGTTTACAAATCCAGACCAAGACTTGGGAGGGCGGCAGAAGCTCCTCCAGCCTAAACAAGAGTCTCCCGAACTGCGGAGGCTGCTGCAGAATGTCACTCCAGCGATTCTTGACGAGCTGGAAGAGTTGGCAGAGCGCCCTCCAATCTTTGGGTCCAAGAAGAGACAGAGGAATGGCTTGACCCGCCCTCGCGACTCTCGTGAATCGAATGGTCTCCTGCCATCGATCGATCCCGTCGGACGGCTGCAGAAACGCTCGCAAGGACCTATCACACCCCCTTCAGAGACGTCCAGAAGACTTTCAGGTTCTACGAGCCGCCAGATCCGCCGCTCGGAAGAGGCCGCCAATTCCACTGCGCAGCCGGCAACTGCATCAGCTAGCAAGTTTAAGAGACGGGACATATACGCCTACCCAGAGTCGGAAATCGATGATTCACAAATGTCCCCGCGGTCACGGCAAGCACAACTGAGCAATCGAGGGTCAAAGGGCAGATTGACACATATTGAGAGCCTGCAGTCTCCGCGGGAGCACGAGGAAGGCGACACCGGGTTCAGCATCAGTCAAGCCATCGATGCTTTGGATGTTGAGTCTATCTTGGGGGACAGCCACTCCATGATTCCGTCCGCGTCAGCACCTGAGCCTGTCTCTGGCAACATGAACATTGGTTCACCTGTCGACTTCGAAAACAGTATCTATGAAGACGCTGAGACGGGAGACGCTCAACCCTCGAGCGTGACAGATCCGAATATGTACAAAGAAACAGAAGGTAACGGTGCCGCAGATCCCGAGCAGATGGACGGGGAAGACAAAGAAAATGGACCGTTGGCCGCGACATCTACCCCGTCCCGCAAGGATGTTGCGAAGACTACGCATGCCAAAGATGCCACATCAGGAACGCAGGGCGATGGTTCCAGTGCCAAATCTAAGGGTTTGTCCAAGGATTTACAGGCTCACGAGAGTCGACCTGCAGCAAAGAGGGTTCGAAAACGCAAATCAGACGCCTTCAACGCGGATGGCAGCCAGCTAGGCCCTAACCAGAGGGCCGAGCACTCTGCTAAGGTTGAGGCAGACAAACCAGCGAAAAAGGCCCCCAAAACTAGCCAGAGAGTTAAGAAATCGCAGGGGACGCCCACTCTTGACAGTCCAGGGGAGCAGTTATCTCAGAATCTTCGGGAGTCGACAGCGAGCCAGCCACCCCTGGACATTGCGAACAAGAGGGTCGCAGGGGCACAACAGAAAACTGCGTTGGCAACACCAGCGAAAAAGAGTAAGGTACATAAGCCAGGGAAAGATTCCGAGGGGCCAGGGTCTGTGTTGTCACGCTCGACAACATCAAAGAAAGATGCCACATCCACGACGCCTTCGGAGCGGGTCCAGAACAAAAGGTCGCAAGAGAAGCCAGCAGTGGCGACGGCACGTCCAGGGATAGTTGCAACCGACTCTTCGCCCACCACCATTCTTCGTGCCTCGCAGCCAGACTATGGGAGTGCCAACTTACCTATGAAGACTCTGCCGAACTGGGGCTCTGAGATCGCTACTGCTGACAACCCGATGCCTTCAATATCTGTCACAGTGGATAGAGAAAGAAATGACAAACAGGCCGACTTAGAGGGAAACTCGTTCGCACATCCAGGGTTAACCCCCGAGGAGATCAAGATCATGGAAAGCCGCAAAGGCATGACGAAAGAACAGTATGAAGCAGAGAAGAGGCGGCGACAACTCGAGGCGAAAAAGAATGCCGAAGGTCAGAGGAAGCAAGAGGCCGCTGCGAAGAAGAAACCTAACACGGACAAGTCGTCGGCCGACAGAAATGCAGATCCACGGAGCTCCGACACCCCTGAACCGAAACGTACTGTCGCCTTGACGAAAAGCAAGACGCCTAAAAGGCCTTCCACTGGCGATAACTCACCGGCTGTGGCTCACACGACAACAGGAACAGACACAACCACGAGAGAAGAGCCGAAACACGGGACAAAACAGCCTGGCTCAGGGAAAGCAGACTCGGCACGGCGAGACTCCTCGAGCACGAACTTTTCCAAAGTGCAAATCGCAGAATCCAAAGTGGCGCCAAAGACGCCTGCCAAAACACCCGCAAAAAGCCCTTCTGTAAAATCGTCAGCGGTCGGTAAGACGCCCAAACAAAGTGGCCCCCCGCAATCGACAGAGAAAACCACGAGCTCTGTGACGAGGAGGTCTACACCAGCACCGAGCGCAAAGACCGACTCGAAGGTAGGAAAGACACCGGCCAAAACTCCTCAACCGCGAAAACCTACGCTAGAAACGGTTAAGCGCTTGGTCGATCTCCGTGAGGTAGTCCGCAGCGCGAACCAAGCAAACAAGGCTGCACCGAACAGCGTGCTCTCTCATGTAAACGCGGCGAAGCAAAAGCAGGGGCCGTCCGTGTTCAATGTCGATGATGACGAGGATGACGAGGAGAGCGACGAAAGCGAAGACGACGACGAAGAAGAAGAGGTCAAGGTCGTTGCAGGGACCCGCAAGACTGGTCCGGACGATAGCAAGAAGAAAATTGCCGATGATGAGCCCTCGACCTCGTCGGCGTCGTCAGAGGAAGTAGGAAAGAAAGCCACCAGCGGGAACAGAACGAGTCATACGAAGGGATTGCTGTTGGGTCGACCTGGTGCCAGGAAGCGGCATGAGAGCGAGGACGATGACGATGACGATAACAGTGACAGCAGGGAAGACAGTGGTGAGGATGACGAATTGTAGATTCGAATATGCTGAAGGCTTTGGGCTGGTGGAGCACTTGTGCCTGGCATCGCGAGCAGCGAGCATCTTGGTCGAGGAAATTTGCTGAACTCGAGACTGGAACTGGACAGCGTCTTGTTCGACGCGCACAGTCAGTCCCCTCCGGTGCGTAGTTGGAATATCATTATGGAAAGAAGCTTAGTTGAGTTAAGTTGAGTTGAGCTGAGCTGTGTACATATATATACAAAAATCGTCTTTTTTTCCCCCTTTTCTATCTTTACAGCCTATCCGTCCTCTCCCTTCTGCGTCTTCCTCCATCTATGTCGTGGAGACTCGGTTTCCCTTCCACTCCCCCCAGTTGTGGTGAACGAGAGAGAGAGAGAGAGTTGTGTTGGTCGATCTTACGGCACTACAAGTGACCCGCTACCGTAATATTCTGGTCCTCTTATGGATACCTACTGTATGAAGGTTTGGTGGTTTTCATATTTCTATTTCTATTTCTCTCTCTTTTTCTCTCTCTCTTGCTCGTTGCTGTTTCCCTAAATACATACATAAGGTACGTAATGAATGCGCCGTCGTCGTTACTCAATTCAATTTGAATTCGAATTCTAGCCACCGTCCACTTCCACTTGCATGAGAGACGCACGTCTTCACCCCCGGGGCCAGATGCCAGATGCCAGATGCCAGGTTCCCAGTCTCCAGTCCCAACCAAGTCCACGTGTCGATTTATTTCGATGCGATTCATTCGGCTCCCCGTTCCCGTTCCCGTCCCTCGAATTTCCTTCCATCGCTGGCCCCGCGTCCGGTTCAAGCAAGCAGGGAGGGAAAGGAAGGAAAGAAAGAAAGAGAGTAAAAACAGCATTCTCGAGCGAAGATTATATAGCCCTCGGTGGCCTTTGATGACACCTGGGTCGATCCTTTCCACCAGCAGTAGGACATCTGCAAGGGCTGGCTGGCTGGTATGGACCCGGACACTGACTGGCACTTTGGTGGAAGGGACCATGATAAAGGGAGGGGGTTTGTCGCTTTTATTCTTCGGAATATCTCTTCGTCACGCATCTTGTCTTTGTGTCACCTCTGTCATTTGCTTCCGATGCATTGTTGATGACGGATCGTTTCATCGTACAAGACATCATATCATGCCTGTGTGGCCCCGGCCAGAGGGGACGTGAGAAACACCAAAGACCCAGCCCTCTGCTTCTCGCAGGTGTGTCGTTCAGGTTCATCAATATCTGCGGTCGTTGTGCCGTTCCATCTCATTCGTATCAGAGCAACTGCCGTCCAACATGTCAAGCTTCAAATTTGTCCCGCCTGTACCCAAGCCTTGTTTGTGGCTGCAGTCTGATCCCGTTCCCCAGAGAGTGGGAGATGATTTCGTCTGTCCCTAGACCTGCCTCGTCTTTCCCCGTACTGAGCCCTTCTCGCACATCTCTCCGCCCTCACATGGTGGTAATCTCACCTTAGAGTCTCATCCTAAGAGGACTCCGGTTCGATGGTATTCCCTGCCACGATATTTGCCCATCCAATCAATCGCCAGTGCTTCTCGATTCTCCGACTCAGCGCAATCTTTTCCCCGATGGCCGTACAGGCTGGATTAGTCAAAGTCAGCTTGGCCGCATCAGCCTTCACGCCCATGACCTTGGCACCCGTCGCCGTCGACCCGATGTTCACCATCAGTACTTCGTTCTTTGCCAGCTTGGCCACCTTAGCTTGCTTGCCGTCCGCAGTCTTGACACCCAACAGACGCCGGAGCAAGAAGTAGTTAACCTCCAGTTCCATGTAGATTTCTGGAAGCTGACCCTTCAAACCCAGCACGTGGCCGACAAGACGGTCTGCTCTGCACAGTGTCGGGTCAACCCGTGTGCCCACACCGATGAGGCCTCCAGGCACGGCGAATTTGAGATCATTGTGTTCGGCGAACAAGCTCACCACGCGGGACATGATAGGGCGGCAGACAGTTTGGCCCGTCGCATCCTTCGTGATAATGCCTGGACGGATCTCAATTTCGTCGCCGAGTTTGAGGACGCCAGTGAGAATGGAACCACCCGCAACACCACCCTTGAGATCCTCAATCTCAGCACCGGGCTTGTTCACATCGAATGATCGAATGACAATCATGTGTGGCGCCGCGCTGAAGTTTCGCACAGGGACCGGGATTTTGGTGACAAGATACTCATTGATGGCGTCGATGTTGTATTTCAACTGTGCCGAGATCGGGATGATCGGGGACCCGTCCGCAACAGTACCTTTGATGAATTTCAGAATCGACTCGTAATGTGCTTGTGCGCCCTCTTCTCGCATCAGGTCGACCTTGTTCTGGAGAATGATGATGTGGTTGAGTTTCATGATCTCGATGGCGGCAAGATGTTCCGAGGTCTGTGGCTGGGGACAGCTTTCGTTTCCTGCTATCAGAAGCAATGCAGCGTCCATGACGGCGGCGCCTGATAACATGGTGCTCATGAGAATATCGTGCCCGGGGCAATCGACAAACGAAACGTGCCGGAGAAGTCGGTATGTGCCACCGCAGCCTTCTCTTTCACACGGAGGGTCGATCTCCTTTTCGGACTTGTAGGATTTGTAGCATGTCGGTCTGGGACACTCGGGATTGTCGCACTTGTAGATCTTGGCGTTGGCATAACCCAACTTGATGGTGATGTTTCGTTCTAATTCATTTTTAAATCGGACAGTCTGGACGCCCGAGATGGCTTTGACGACGGTCGACTTGCCGTGAGCCACATGGCCTATCGTGCCAATATTGATGGTGGCTTGCCGGCAAATGATTTCGGGCGATAGAGGAGTAAGTGTCGAGACATCGAGGTCTTTCGGATCGGGTTGTTCAGGCAGGACGGGGCGAGGAACTTGTGGTTCGGGGATCGCTGCAGTGGTGCTCTTTTTCAGGGCAGATTTGGGTGGCTGGTTGGTCTCCTCAATGTCGTCGACATCGTTCTCATCACCAGGAGGTGTGCCAGGCTGGGAAAACTCGTCGTCGGAGGGCAAGTCGCCGTTGGTAGCCATGATTGCGGTGGAGTGAGTAGTCTGTTGGGTCTCAGAATTTCTGTCAAAAAGGTGGCGCTGATGACTTGTCGACACAAAGCTGTGTTCAATTACGAAGATCTGAGGGAGTCTTCTAGTTTCTCAGGATAGATCTGGGAGGCGACTGGTGTGACTCAGTTGACACTGCGGGGTGACGACGAGGGCGAGAAATACACAACAAAATTCAGTTCCTGATGCCAAGAGTTGCACTCCGCTTTGGGACGAGGGTGACGCCGCCCTATGCTCTCTGGCACCCCCGGCACCTCAAGCATATCTTTCAATTCTCAAAAGATCTGGTAGACACCAAGCACGAAATACATACACGATCGTAGTGCCGACAATCTTTCAGGAATGCTTATTACAGAATGTCCCTGAAACCCTTCGAATTCGGTGCAGCCTGATAGATGCGCGACAGCCTTGCCATCCCATATCTAGCCGCTCTACGTAATGGCTTCACCCCCTTTACAATGGTAGGATGCCTGTCATCTCGAACGAGTTCTCGCTACGAGTAACGAGCTGCTGTATCGAGCACTGGCCAACTCCGACGGTCCAGTGCCTAACAGCCGAGCATATCATTGCATCTTCCTGCAATGGTATCATTGGCTATTGATGACACGACGAACGGGGAAAAGCCGGGGAGCACCGACTTGTCATTTGCCGAGCATCCAGACGACATAAGAGGTGTCTGAACAAACACCACCACCATCACCTCCTCCTCCTTCTCATTCTGCCCCTCCTCGTTCTTTGTTCTTATCATAGTGATATCCTTCTTGTTCTCCTGCCTGCCGACCTCTGACAGAGGCATCTTGCAATCCGGCTACTCTCCCAACTTTGATAAGCTTTCTTTACTGACCCCCTAAAAGGAGGTTCTTTTCTGACCCCTTGAACAATGGCTCAAGCTCAGACCGTGGCCATCATAACTGGCGCGAGCCAGGGCCTAGGTGCGGCGTCTGCGATCCGGCTCGCCCAGATATACTCAACCATCGTCCTGGTTGCCCGCAACGAGTCGCTGCTAGCAGAGGTCGCGGCGAAGGTGGAAGCCGCAGGGGCGAAGACCCTCACCATCCCAGCGGACCTCTCTGTGGCAGCGTCGGCGAAGGCCGTGGTGGCAGCCACGATCGACAAGTTTGGGCGCATCGATGCGCTCTTCAACAACGCCGGCTCCGTCAAGCCGATCGACCTGTTCAAATTGACCGACGAGCAGTGGGACGACGGGTTTAACCTGAAGCTGCACGGCGCGCGGCGCCTGACCCTCGAGGCGTGGCCGCACCTGAAGGCCGCTAAGGGCGCGGTGCTCTTCATGTCCGGCGTGGCGGCCGAGGCGCCCAAGGCAGGCAACGCGGCGGTTGCGGTGGTCAATTCCGCGGTCAATGCGCTGTCGAAGGCGTTTGCCGACCGCGGCCTCGAGGACGGCGTGCAAGTCAACACCATCCTGCCCGGGCCTGTCGAGACCGAGCGGCTGGTGACCATGGCCACGGAATTTGCTCGCCAAAAGGACATCCCCTTGGAGGAGGCCAAGGCGAACCTGCTCAAGTCCATGGGCATCCCCCGATTCGGCAAGCCTGAAGAAATCGCCGAGCTCGTCGCCTATTTACTGTCGCCGACCGCGCGCTGGATGACCGGCTCGGCAGTGAGGATCGATGGCGGTGTGGTGAAGGCGGTATGAAACGTCAGACATCTGCCAATCAGCACCTCTCCACCTTCTGTCCGCACTCTTTGGAAGTATTTTCTCTCCACATCACGTTCAAAGGTTCACGGCCTCGTCGTGGAAAGGATAATGAACCCCGGAACAGGTATGCTCTGCGTTACATAGCGAATAGAATGAGCTACCGTATTCTTCTCGGTCACGCCTTTTCTCCCTATTGGACGGAGGACATTGTCGATGTCTCTCGGGTTGTACTAGGTCCCTCTAAGGCATAGTAAACTGCGAATAAGGCATACCGAGAAACTAGGTGTTTTTATTGCACTACCATCGTGACAACTCTGAAAACCGTTGTGTATCATAGTGGTACATGTTCGCAGATATCACCATCGGCCCCCACACCGTCTTCGTCCCGTAACTATACCTGCCTGCCACGGGATATTGGAGTCTTCTGCTTCTTTCCTCGTCTGTGCCAGTACCATTACATATACCCCCAAGACTCCATCAAAGACCGAGCCGGGTCTGTTGATTGTCCAGGTCCCGGAACAGCGATTCCCACTGCAGATTGTTCGTCGGGTCCAAGTCCGCGTCAAAGTGTGGGAACCACAGGTCCGGGATAGGTGGACACCCGGACCCCAGGCCGGCTTCTATTTCCGTCCCGTTCTGAGGGGCTTCGGGCCCGATATAGCGTGGCGGCGTCGTGTCGATGGACCACGTGGACCGGTCGGAGAGCAGGGTCGTCATATCGGTGTTATGTGTTGCGTCGGATGCTCCGAAAAGATATGGGTCGCGCGTCGTGGTGGTAGTGGTCGGCGGTCTCATCGTAGGTGTTGCCGTTGCCGCTGTCGTTCTTTTGCCGCTCAGCGTCAGGCTTGCTGAATGGGTTGGGTGGTGGGAATGACCCTGTGTGTGAGGTTGAGACTGCGGGTGTATTTCTGGTCTCGGTCGGGGTTGAGTCGAGGCCATAAGAGGCACCTCGTCCGGCAGCCTTCTCGCCATTGAGGCATATAGCGCCGAATCACTCCTCATCCTCCACTCGTTGGTGATACGCTTGAGCGTAGCCAGGCCTTCCTTCACTTCCGGATCTCGCTCCTCTCCCGCCTCGAGGATCCGGTAACAATTGAGGATTTCCTGCTTGCGTTCCGTCGCCGCTTGTGGGTCGTCTCGTTGGCAGGCATAGTCCATGACCAACGTGGTGGTGGCGACGAAAACATGGTACATGACGAGCCACATGCGTCCGGAACTGACTTCTCTCATGGCTTTGTGGAGGTCGATCACAATGCGTGCCGACCGGAGACACACCATCCGGCTATAGCGGTACCGCGGCTCCTTGTAGGAGCGGGTCAGGAACGGACGATGGAGCAGCGAAAGCCGGATGTAGAGTCCAAACAACAGAAAGTTTCGCTGTCGTTCGAGATACGGGCGCGCGTTGTAGATCTCCTGGACGTACGGTCGACTTGCGTCCTCGTATCGGAAATACGGTGGCAGCGAGTCATAGACGTCGTTCAACTTCTTGTCAAACACCAAAATCTGCTCATAGTCGAGCTCGTCAACGTTCACCTTGGCTTTATTAGCCGTATCTATGAGCTCACGGATTACGGTGCTGACGCGGATCTTCGCGATGGTGAAAGTCATTTCGGTCGGCGAGCCGAGGACGGGTTCGTCGTAGTTCCCCTCAGCCGTGATATCTTTGTCGTCGACATTGCTCGGAAACTCGACGTTCATCTGATCGGGGTGTACGATGTACGTGCCTTGCTGAGGCCCGGTCATGAATGACAACATCCTAGCATTGTCAGTCAAAAAGCCTCCGGAAAAGGCTATTACACTGTGTTTCCTGGGGAGAGGTGTTCATATGTACCAGTCGCCCGCCACGATATTCCACCACACCCTTCGCTTGACCTCCAGATCGATCAGGTCCTGGGTACCCTTCCCACGAAGGGCTCGCTCACGAGGAGAGTCAACGAGATGAATTTGAAGCATGTGTGCCGCATTGACCAGCTGGGTTTGTTGGCTTCTGCGTCCGGTCGTGAGCGGAAATATCGGCAGAAAGTGCGTGAGAAGCATCTTTGCTTGGAGTGTTTCGAGCGTGGGGAAGCTCAGATGGTTGGACTCGACTAGGACATGCTGGATCAGGAGAATCCACTTCCGGCAACAACTCTTCGCATCATGTAATGTTGGTTCTGAAGGGGGTGAATCGGGCCAGAAATATGCCGCCACTGCAAATATTGCTGCAATGAGAGCTACCCGAACGCCCTCCGGTTTTATGCCCTCAGAGAGCTGATCGTATATGAGCTCTAGGTGGCGGGATGTGGTAGGGACATGAATGATGTGTTGGTCCCAGTTTATGTTGTCCACGTAGAATCCAAAGAGTCTTCTCGCGTTGGTGCGATTGGGCAAAATTTGAACCAGCTCTGCGACAGGTAATGGTTCGTACTGAGGTGCAGTGCCCAGGAGTAAGTATTCGTTCTACTTCCCGCGATAAATGAATCAGTGATTGATGTGCAGTCTCTACTGTAAACAATGATGAGAAGCTATACCGAGTTCACAAGCAATTCCTGAGCCTGAAGCCTGACCTCTGTGCCAGACGCAGGATGTTCAACGATCTCCTGGTCTTGCTGAAGGTCAGCCTCATGGTTTGTTTGGTCCTGCACTCGAACGGGATTTCGACCGTCTGAGGTAGACGATTCCCAGTCGCTTCGTCGAGTCGCACTGTCTTGACGGGGCGGCGCTTGATCTCCCCTTGCTAGCAGAGCTTGTTCGAGCCTCCGTACGCGCTCAGCAAGGTCATGCTCACTGCCCTCAGAACTTTAGCAAAGGCACACTCTCTAACGCCAGGGACAACACACCTGGAAGGCAGAGCACCACCGTCCGAGGGCGGTCTTTCGATCGTACTTTCTGGCTGCGTCGCTGTACGGAGGGAGCCTACTCGCAGTGTCAGACCAGAAGGGAGAAAGCGTGTTGAAAGCAGACTGTGCCCGCACCACCCTTGACGGGCTTGACTCGATTGCAATGAAATTGTACTGACCTTCGAGAGCTGAGACACACGGAATGTGTCTCGAGGAACAATTAGAGCAAGGCGTCAGTCGATCACATCTCAGCTTCTTGCTCCGACAAAACTGGCACGACACTGGATCTTGTCGACGAGAAGCTTTCGGTCTCTGATGACCAGAAGCCTCCCATGTCCTCTTCATCGCTGTGGCATTGGGCCGCTGAGGAGCGTGAATTTCATAGAATGAAGGCTTAAGTAAAAAATCTAGAAGAACACCCTGTGGAGGCGACCGACTGTGGCAGCAACCGTGCGACCATCACAACAGGGCCAAAGAGCGCGGGGTAGACCCTCTTTTACGCGAGACAGGAGGAAGTGTGGTAGGATTAGTGCGAGGGGCCCCAGTTACCCCATACATACTGGATACTGTGGTGGAGCCTCGGGTGCTGCTAACCCGATTGGGCAGTCCCGAAGTAGCCATGTGAGCCTTGTCATACTTGGACAGGTGAAGATGCTGTTTGGCTGCACTCCTCCTTCTCTTCTGTTCTTCTGCTGACCGACCTAGACCATCAGTGACAATCTCATCATAGACGATATCGCGGGTCCTCATTCACTAGCTTGGGCTATAAACTCGTAGGAGAGACGGCTTGAACCTAAATTTCGAGACCTCCGCGGACCTCCGCGGACGTGACAACAAAGCTCACCGAGGTGCCCCCCATTTGTTCACGTAGAACCCCTAGTACTTGAATTCAGTTGATCATACCTCGGACCTATAGCTTTCCCAGCAACTCGGCCCGAGTAGACGCAGGGTCCGTACATTGTCCCCTCAAGCGCAGCCCGTCCATTGATGCATCCTCCCGCCATCCCTGCTACTTCCCCCGCAGCGTAAAGTCCGGATATCGGCCTGTTCGACTGGTTGAGCACTCGGCACTCCAGATCCGTGCGCACGCCGCCAAAAGTCTTTTGCGCCATCGGGTATAGCTGGATAGCTGCAAGATTCTCTGTCAGAGGTACGAGACCAGCGAGAGGACGACCGAATCGGGAATCCTGCGATCGACCGGCAATGATATCGGCATTGAACGCATCAATGGCTTCGCGCGCATTGTCGACTGGTAGTCCAGTAGCCTGGCACAATTCACCAATATCCTTGGCCAGCCAGGCGTGTGCTGAATCGGCCCAGAAACTCTTCACCGCTGCGGGCGTGTGTCCAGCAAGAGGTGGTGGAAAGAATTCCGGATTGTTGATGATTTCTAGGTTGTCGATATCGGATTGCGGGAAAATCGCCCACAATGTCTGATCGGGCTGGGATAGCAAGGCTGGCGTTCCCGAGCGAGGTCCCTTGAGATGTTCGTTGTGGAATCGCCGCCCCTCGCTATTCAGCCAAATGTCCGTTCGAAAACCTCGCACTCCCAGCCCCCGCTTCCCTTCGGGGTCAGTCGGGTCTGGTGTACCGACCGGATACACCCAGATATGATCTAAGCAGACCAGATCGGCTCCAGCATCTCTGAAGAGCATGTCATGTCCCAGCCCTTTGGCCGCGACGGAGCCTCCACTGAGAACTCGTGAGACGCTTCGCAAGCAGGGAGCCCAATCCATCACTTTGGCCATGTTCCCCGAGAAGCCTCCTGTGGTTACAATGACATTTGCCGCAAGGAGCGTGTGCAGAGCACCATTGAATAGAACGTCGACCCCATTCACGGTCTCGTTCTCGACGATCAACCGTCTCACACAAGCACGAGTCTTGAAATTGACCCCGAGAGCCTTTGCCCGTTCGATCAACCTTGACATGATCGCCCGGCCCCAGCCCTCAGGGAGATGCCACCGTGGCACGCTGTTGCCTTCGGGCTGCATCAGCGTTGTCCAGCGCACGCCCATATTCTCCAGCCATTCGCACACGTCGACGCGGCTGTGTTCGAGGTATTTGCGTGCCCAGGCAATGTCTGCGGTCGGGCCTCCGAACGTGACCCAGTCGGAAAGTGCCAGCTCGACGGAATCTTGGACTTTCTGTTCCTGTTGGAGCGAGGTGCCAACAAAACAGCATGCTCCTCCACTGATTATGGAAGCTCCTCCCAGATTGCTTTGAGCCTCGAGAACGACCACCTCTGACCCTTGGACTGCTGCCTCGATGGCGGCCGAGACGCCAGCAACCCCGGATCCAACAACAATGACATCAATGGGCTTGCTCAAATCTTCAAGCATTGATCCCATCTCCAAATGGTCTATTTGGGGTCTCCTTAATTTCTGAAATTGTATCTCTTCTGCATAGTAATAGCTCTTCGTCTACACTACCATCTGGAAATTAGACTTCCAGGGACGACATTCCAGGGGACAACGCTGGATCTGTAGACGGGTTATTTTCCGCTCCCAACCTTCTATGGGAGATGTCGTGGGCCGTTGAGAAACACTAACTTCCTCCGCGGTAACCGGAGATATAGACTGATTTCTACAAGGACAAAAGATGGCGAATCGGAGCGCATCTTCCACGCCGTGCTTTTGCAACGGGTCCGCGGACGATACGTTAAAACGTCCGAAGCCATCAACCTCCAACTCAATCCCTTCCAAGATCCTCGGGACGAGATTCAACGCACTGCTCGGTCTCTTTGCCACCAACGTTTGGAGCTTGGAGAATGTATCTCTGGATGGGCGTGACGGGCGGGAGCTCCAATGCTGACCATGTGGGATTATGCCGGACGCGAACCACCCCATTACCTTGGATTGATTGCAATATGTTGACTCCGAACAACCCTTCACCAGGAAATAAAGGCCCTCCACCGTGAACATTCTTGGTATATCACAACAACTTTGAGTGTCTATTGACCGGCCAGTCTTACAAAAGAGAGAGAAAATGCCCGTCGAAGTCCCCTGGTCGCGGCTGATCCGGTTCGTCAGCGCCGAAGACGATGACATCCATTTTGGCGACGCAGTGGTTCCTTCAGCGGATTTTGACGTTGGAGACCCCAAGAATGCCCAGAGTCTGACCGCAAAGCTCATTGAGGGAAACCCATTGTCCCCCGACTGCAAAGTCACTGACAAAGTGGTAAAAGTAAAGAAGCTACTGGGGCCATTGACAAGAGACATGGTGCCGGCGTTGAGGTGCATTGGCGGGAATTACCGATCGCATCGTAAGACACAAACAGAAGAGAAGAGGCTTTGCCTTGCCTTGCCTTTTCCTTCGTCGCCTCCTTTATCCCTGTCCCATCCCCTTTCATAGGCCGCAGTGCGGGTATTGGCGCTGACCGACGTGGGCGTGACTGTCACAAAGTCAAGGAAATGAAGATGGAAATCCCCCGAAACCCGCTGCTCTTCGCCAAGTTCCCCAACGCCGTGGCTGGCTACGGCGACGACATCCCCATCCCGAAGCTGATCCAGGACGGGCAAGCCGACTACGAGGCCGAGCTGGCAATTGTGATTGGCAAAGAGGGCAAGGACATCAGGGTCGAAGACGCCATGGACTATGTCCTGGGCTACACGGCGGCGGACGACATGTCGGCGAGGTGAGTCTGGAAACACTCATTCCGATCTGTGCTGTGCTGACTGTGGACTACCCAGGAAATGGCAATCGGATCCTGACCTGGTGGGAACGTGGCCACCGCCGCAGATGACCTTTGCGAAGAGCTTCGACGGGTTTTGTCCCATGGGCCCGTGTATCGCTTCGACCAAGGTGATTGACGATATATTATTACTCTTCTCCCCTTGCGTCCTCCTCTCTCCCTGATCCTCGATCGTTTATAGAGCATCCCACGAGCATATCTAAGTGCCTTTCTTGTCTGACCATTGTCCCCACAGGTGATTCCCAACCCGCACGCACTGCCGCTCAAAACTTACGTGAACGGCGAGCTTCGCCAGAACGGCAACACCGACGACTTCGTCTTCAACGTGCCGCAGCTCATCGCCTTCTTGAGCCAAGGCAACACGCTCCAGGCGGGGAGCATCATCCTGACCGGGACATGTTCGGGGGTCGGGTTCGCCATGAAGCCACCGCAGCATTTGAAGACGGGAGACAGAATAGAGATCTCGTTCGGGCCGATTGGGACGTTGGTCCATGGCATCAAGTATGAGTGACAAAACTAGACTCGGGAAGAGATATTGAGGGTCAATGTCATGTCATCGTGAACTGCTATAGGGGGTCAAATCCAAGACATTTTAATGCCTTTCTTCGACCTTGACATCTCCCTTAAGGCAGAGGCCGTAAGTGCAAGCTCTAGGGGGCAGATTCTTCGTAACAGCTCCTCGAGCGGACCCTATCTAACAACTATGTGAGAGAGAGGTGAAAGACTTGATTCCTCAAACTCTCCCAGTGATGAAAATGCCCCGATATTTGCACGTAGGCCATCATCTCTAAATGGTATCAACTGGAATCGACAGTTTGAGCGGTTTAATTTTGTTCCTAGACGTCTAGAAATGTCCACTCTCGAGCCTACAATTGTCACCCATTTTGACTTACTAGTGTCTCCCCCGAATCTTCAATATCTTCTTCTGGTTATCCAATTCAAGGACCCCTGTAATCGTCCATTTCCTATTTCCGTCCCCAGATGCTTAAGCCCCCGCGAGCGTTATCTGTTCGCTTCAAAAGGCAATACGGGCCTAGTTCCTCTTGTATCGTCCCCAGATCTGGAGAGCCACGAGCGGAAGCATGGCGAAAGCAACAGTGACACCCGTGACGACACCGGCAGACCCCTTCAGACCAACGGAGTCGATCATGACGGGGTACCAGAAGGGACTTGCCTGTTTTCAGCAGGTCAGCTATCATGCTCGAGATGTGGTCAGGTCCAATGGAGGTGAACATACAAAGCCCCAGACCAGTTTGGTGAAATTGATCACGACACCCAACGAGGCGGATTCGTGGCGCGGCAAACTATCGGAACAATCTGTCGTCGGTCGGTGTCAGTGGTACATTATCCAGACCAGATGGTGGAAAATCACACTCACATGTAACGAGGACGGTGGCGACGATCTGGACTCCGAATGCTGCAATGCCCACGCCAATATCCGGTCTGATGTTCCAGTGGCCGGAAGCGTTGGCGATCTCGACGAAGAACACCACGATGCCGACAATGATCAACTGGATGCCCAGGTGAGACACCCAGAGCCTGTCCTCAGGGACGTTCCGCTTGGTTCGTCGGAGCTGACGGTTACGGAGCCAGTCACTGAACGGACCCCCGAGCTGTTCACCAAGGAGCGAACTGTCATCGCGAGAGCATCAGCATCAGTATCAGCACGAAGCTGGGGGACGCGGATTTCGACTCACCCAACAAGCAATGCGAAGTAGTTCAATCCAGCCTGCTGAGGGCCCAGATTGAAGAGTGGCTCGTACAAGGTGGACATTTCCACAAGGAGGAGCGTCAGGACGAAATTGTGAGCCACCGAGTACGCGATGTTCACCACCAGGATATTCCAGTGTCTCAAGAGCCAGAGTGGCTCAATGAATTCGAACATCCGGATCGGAGTCGGGTCGATCCGCCGGGCGAATCTCAGCCACCAACTCCGCTGCGGTGACGGGGAGTTGTTGACATTGGGCCGGTAGAGCGTCTCCGGACTGAAGAGGTAATAGAGGGCAAACAGCGTAAATTCCAACTTTGGTTACAGAAACTTGTTAGTTGTTGACTCCTTTGAGGATGAGCAGGGCTCGGGACATGTCGAACATACAATGGCGAATACTCGGTACACCCATCTCCAGCCCTGGGATTTGATGAGGAAGCCCATCAACGCGGGACCTACGGACGCGCTACAAGGACAGTCAGCATCAGAGGAATGGATCCGTGTCAGTGTTGATTGCTTCAGCTTACCCTGAGTTTGCAAAGAGCACCCAGATTCCCTGCGGACATCACCATCTTCAGCATCACCGCAAGCCTTATGAGAGGAACGTAGGAGTTACTGATTGGGACTGACCATTTTCTGGGCTCGTTGTTTGGCAAAGAACATCTCCACCACCACGCCCTGGGGAAACGTAATGCCCGGGGAAATGAAAAAGCCGACCAGAATGCGGTATACCATGTGGGACGCATAGCTGCCGCTCTGGGCACAGGCGATGTTGAACATGGACGCGCCCAGGGCAGAGACCAAGAAGGCTGGCAGGCGGCCCCATCGGTTGACAATGGGAATCCAGACCAGAGGAGCAACGGCGAGTGCAATCAACTGTTCGTTCACGTGTTAGAGACATTGTGTCTTAGCACTTATGGGGCACCAATGTCAAAGACAAACAAGATACTCACCTGGCTGGTTGCAATGTAAGTGGAAGCAGGGATGCTGACGTGGTAGAGCTCGGCCCATTGCACGCAGGCCGTCACGACTGAGCCAGCATTAGAGGTGCAGAATAAGCCATGAAAGGCCATGAGCATGAGATGGACATGTTTCTATAGGTCATCACTCGGTCAGCCAGAGCTGGTTTGTGGAAAAGTTCTCCGATGATGATCATGAACATACTCTCCACGACGGCAGATTCAAAGGGTCATTGGGGTCCGCCGAGGGCAGCGGATCCAGCTCACACGTCCCATGCCGTTCGATGAGATACTCCTCGTGGACCGCCGTTGTCGGAGCCTTGTGGGCTATCTCAGGATCAGCCTTGAACTCGGTGCTGATGCGTTGGGCGGCATCTTTGTCTGAAAGAGCCATCGTGAGCCTGGTCGGGAGACTGAATGGGTAAAGGATGGTTCTCAATTTCTGGAAAACTTTGCCACAAGAGAAGCAGGGCCTGTGTCGAGGAAAGGGAGGCAAACCGTCCTCGACATATATGGAATCAATACCAGCCAAGCTATTCACCAGCACCTCGCTTGTGTCAACACTTCCAGCTTGCTGAGCGGAATTGCTTCCTGGGGATTGCTTGAAGCTGGCGGGGCCCCGGACTGGGCGAAGGGGCTAGTCAAGAGATAGCCAGGAAGTTTGAAAGACGCCGTTGGTGCCCAGAGTTCCACAGCGGCCGACAGTAGCCGTGTATATCTCAGTGGAAAGAGAATATAGCTTCTAGGCCTGGGTCGATTCGTATGTCGGGGGTGTCCGTGGGAGATGGATGTCAAAGGAGGACCGGAGGACCAGACGAAGCCTACCTGCCTTGCAAATTGCCTGGCTTCCGCGGACCCCCGGAGGGATGGACTCTGGCTCCGGGCATGCTCCTCCGGTTGGTCTCCAGAGCGACGACACGTCTTCGGGATGGCCAACCATTGTCAGCCCGACTTTCAGACTTACCAGACGAGACCGAAAAGTTGATAATGGATGCCTCTGAAACCACATGCAGCTGGAGAACATAGGACATCGCCCAGAGACCGCTTTCAGCCATGGCCATCAAGTATCCCAACGTCGTCACGAACGTCCTCCCCAAACTCCCTGGCTCGCTTCCCTCAGGAAATGTCCCAAGAGACGTCAACCCTCTCGCGGTGGCGACAGCATGTGTGAAGTTCCTGGACAGGCTCCGGGCCGAGCACTTGACGCCAGATGCGCTGTGGCGCGACATGCTCGCCCTCACAGGCAGTTTGAGAACCATCTTCTCTGCGCAGGCAATTGAGGCCGCTTGGGCAGACACGACCACAGCATTGAAAGCAGGCAACTTTGCTCTGGTCGAAGACTCGGCGCGGGTGGTCCAGCTCGATCCCGAGACGTCTTGGGTTGAGGCACGCTTCACCTTCGACACCCACGGCGAACCGGCAACGTCGTGCTCAGGCTTTATATCCCTGGTGCACGATGCGGAGTCTGGCTGGAGGATCTGGGTTCTGCGAACGATCATCGAGCAATTGAGCGGGCATGGAGACGTCGATAAGGCGCCCACGCCTCAGAGCAGCCATCAACCCTCACCACCAGAACACAACGACTACGACTTCGACTGCCTCATTGTCGGCGGCGGCCAATCCGGACTCTCTACGGCCGGTCGGCTGCAGGCTCTAGGCGTGAAATACCTTGTCGTCGAAAAGCACCGGAGCGTGGGAGACAGCTGGATGACCCGGTACGATGCGGTGAAGCGTAAGTCTCGAACAAATTGCTGGGACTTCCGGGAGACAGAATCTAACATATATGCTGTCTTAGTACACAACACGAAGCACTATCGTACACATCCCCCTGCCCCGTTGCTTGAAGATATTCATTCACTCACTCCTCACCACAGTCCACCTCCCGTTCGAACGGACCTTCGACGAGACATACCCGTTATACCTGACCAAGTTCGACCTCGCGAGAGGATACCAGCAATGGGCATCCAAATACGGCATTGTGAGCAAGATACTCCGTCCCTTCTCCTGCCTCAATACAATTTGCAATATACACTGACTTTGCCAACGTCGAAACCGTGCAGAACATCTGGCTCTCGACGAAGATGCACTCCGGCTCATGGGACGCCGCACAGAACAGGTGGAAAATCAAGCTGCTGCGAAACGGCGGCGGCGAAGAGGTCGAGGTCACGGCGAGCCACATTATCTTCGCGGTGGGCGCGGGGGGTCAAGTGCCGTCCATGCCGCGCTACCCAGGTATAGTACGTGCTCGTTACACCCTTTAATAGGGGGGATCTCTTCTTGGAGAATTCGAAGATTGACTCTTTCACTGCAGGAAAATTACAAAGGCCATGTGATCCACTCGTCCGAGTATACATCGGCTGCAGCTTGGACAGGCAAAAGAGGGATCGTCGTGGGGACGGCGAACACAGGTGAGTATCTATTCCCGTGCAGTCCCATATATCTCTATGTGGAAGAGAGAGAGAGAGAGCTGATGATGTGGAAAAGCCCATGATATGGCCGAAGACATGCTCGCTCACGGTCTGTCCGTGACGATGATCCAACGCAGTCGAACTTGTAAGTCCCAATGTGTCTACTTTCTATCAAAAACCACCTTTTCACGAAGCTTCACTGACACGAGTATACAATACCCAGTCGTATTCCCTGCCGAGTACTTCAAATTCATCCAAGACAGTGAGTTTGTTCTCTCCAGAAACGTCCAACTACCTAGCATATATTTTACCGCCAGCATCGCATACTACAAAAGCTCGATCGACAGCAATGTAACTCATTAACTAATCAACTTGTTCAACAAAAGGGCTCTACAACGAGACGTTCGACATCGACCTAGCAGACCGGATACAGTTCTCCAACCCCCTGTCGGTGGCGCGCCAGATCGCCCAAAGGACGCTGCACCCCCTGGCGGCGGCCGAGCCCGAACGCTTCGACGCGCTGGAACGCGCAGGATTCAAGGTCGAGCGCTTTGGCGACATGCACCACCACCTCAACGAGCGGCAGGGAGGTCACTACGTCGACGTGGGCGCGTCGGCCAAGATTGCCAAGGGTCTGGTACGTCGACCATCCAGTCTCTCACTGACTTACTCTCTGTCTCTTCCACGTCCTGACTGCCCGAAAATAGATCAAGATCAAATCCGACGCCCTCCCAGTCTGTTACACGCAGGATGGCCTAAAGTTCAGCGACGGGAGCGAATTGCACGCCGACGTGATCGTCTACGCGACCGGCTTCGTGGGCAACATCCGACAGACCGTGTACGAGACGCTGGGCGCCGAGGTGGCCGACCAGGTCGAGGACTTCTGGGGCCTGAACCACGAAGGGGAGCTGTTGGGGGCGTTCAAGCCGTCGGGACGTGAGTACATGTCTACCTCATCACATTCCCCATGCCGTTATGGTCCCAAGCATCGTTCTTCTTCTCCTCCTTTCTGACACAAATCGACACGAACTGACCTTTTGCGGGTTGTTGCTTCAGATCCGAGACTGTGGTACATCGGCGGCGGGTGTGGTCACTCGCGACACTACTCACGCTTCGTCGCGCTGCAGGTCAAGGCTGCCGTCCTGGGCACGCCGTTGCCTATCTACAAGGACAGCATCTCGTGCTGATCCTCGCTGTGTTGTGTGGGAATTTGTGTGGCGGCCAGGGCCGGAGGGACCCGCGGGCTCAACCTCAAAGAGCTAAATCAACGTGGTCGAAAGGGCTCTCTGTGTCTAATGTATTGACGCTAGGTAGGATTGCGGTCCGCACTCGGAGGAAATTCGAATACACAGGGGCTTACATCTTCTTGTAAAACAGCAGAGTTGGTGGATAGTCGATAGAGTCACAATCGTTCCAATACATATACAAACAATTCATGAACGTGTGGAAATATCGGCTCGACGTAGGGTAGATAGAGGAACTGCCCTCAAGGACGGTGCTGGGAACCTCCTCGAGGATCCGGGTGTTGTCGGGCATGGGCCTTGCCAGATATTGTTGTATGTTGACCTTGCTGTTGTACCTATCAACGGGCCCATATAGTTCGAGATGTCTCGCGTTAACTAGCCGGGCTGGAGAGAAATCGAACGGTGCCTTTGTCCACTGTTTCAATGCTGTTCGTAGCCTTTGATTTCTAACTGCTATGAGCCTAATCAAAATACCATTATCAATTTTCATACAGCAGCCCAGCCTCCAGTCGCGCGGCGCCATACACGCCAGCCATCTCCCCGTCGTCCCCTTTCTGGCGCAACACGGCGTCGACGTAATGCTGAGCGACCTCGAGCGTGCGCAGGCGGACACTTGCTTCAGTAGCCAGGCGCTGGGCGTAGCCGGCGTCCTTCTTGGCCAGGAGGGCCGGGGCCTGGGGCTTCTCGTTGCGATGGTAGCTACCGTTCAGCATGGCCTCGGAGTACGCGGCGCACGGGCCCGGGAACAGCGTCTGGACGAAGCGGTGGAACTGCGCGGGTGCCAGCCCGGCCTTTTCGGCCAGGACGTGGCCCTCCGCCAGCGCGGTCACCACGTTCAGCGCGAACATGTTGCCGATGATCTTGAGCAGGGGACCCTCTCGGGCGGAGGACACGTCGATCGCATCTCTCGCAATGACGCCCTTGCACAGGGGCTTGATCTTGTCCAGGGCGTCGGGGGCGTCGCTCGCCAGCACGGCGACGATCTGTCCCGCCTCGGCCATTTTGGCGCTGCCAAACACCGGGCACGCGACGAAGCTGCCCCCAGCCGCGCGCACGGCGGCGGCCTCCTGTGTGCTTGTGTCCGGATGCACGGTGCTGCAGTTGACCACGACCTTGCCCGCGACGCCGGCCGCCAGGATCTGGTCCATCACCGCCCGGACCGCGTCGTCGTTGGGGACCGAGAAGAAGACGACGTCGGCCTGGGAGGTGGCGTCGGCGATGGACTGCGCGATGGTCGTGCGCTGCGGCCCGAGTCGTTCGTGGATGCCGCGTGTCCTCTCCTCCACGATGTCGTAGATCAAGAGAGGGTGTGACAGATTGGCCTTTTCTGCAATGTTCTTACACATCCCCTATGAAAGCGATGACGCTGAAAATTAGTGGACCCCAGTTGCATCGTGCCCACACACAGAGAGAGGGGAATGTGTTCTGCTCACCGAGCCCATGTTTCCCAGGCCAATCCAGGCCACGACCGTCGTCGACGCCATGCTTGACCGCCACGCGAGAGCGAGAGCGAGATATTATTGAACGGTCGGGAGGTTCTTGCTATGGCTCGACATACAGACAGGAAGATAACAGGCACAAGGGGGGTGATAAGTTGGCTGCCATAGGTGGTACACATACGCTGCCACACACGCCCTATTTTTGCACAGCCAACCAAGCCTCGCTGTTTTCTCCTTGCATGGCGTCGAGGGGACCTGATGCGACCACGGAGCGACCGACGCCAAAACAGTCTCAGCTCGCAGCCATGGTGTGCAGTGTAGCGAAGTTCTTTACCTTCGCGGACACTCCGCGGATGAGGTCGCAAGGAACCACTCCGGTGGAAAGACCGGGGATTCGTTCTGGCGGAGCGGAGACCATCCCATCCGGAACCAAAAGCTACCGAGAGCATTTTTCCATGGTTCTCGGGCCGTTAACGGAGTTGGAAAAGCCCAACTTTCGCTTATCTTCACCTGCAACGTCAACAGAGATGTCTCGTTCTATCAAAACTTTGTTCCGCCCCCGTCAGGCTGGTTCACGGAGCGAGAGCGAGAGTAGACACACGGCCTATGAATGAATGAGCCGTCGCTTTCCGTCCCGTACGCATGTCCCGTGGCAATGCAATAATGGCGCCTTTATATCACGGTGCTGATAGTTCCATCTCTTCGCCAAAACTGTGACTTGAAATCTGCTCGAGTGCTTGACACACACACAGGACCTCCCCTCGGCATCGTAGAAGGAAATCGGTGACCAAGTACTCACACTCACAGAGGAGGACGAAATCCCAAATCAGAGACCACAGCCAAAACATGACAGTCGACAATCGTCTGGAGCATCGGCTCGCCCTGATCACTGGTGCTTCTGGGGGGTTAGTCATTGAGCCCAACCAGCCTCCCTCTCTCGTCCACGTTTTTTATCTTCTCGTCGGAAGAATAGTTCAATGAGGATCTGATGTTTGGGACACAGGATCGGCTCGAGCTGTGCACGCGCTCTTTGGGCCCGCGGGATGGCTCTCGCCCTGACCTTCTCGACGGGGAAAGCCAGTCTGGACGAATTGACGCGGGAGCTGGAATCCCAGGACCTTCCTCCAGGAGCAGGAAGACGGCAGATCTCGGCGCACCAAGTCAACCTAGAGTCCACGGACGAAATCGACCGGCTCTTCGTCGAGATCCAGCACGTCCACGGCAAGCGGCCAGACGTCCTCGTCGCCAACGCCGGATACGCCAAGGTGATCCCCAACATCGCGGACGTGTCGCTGGAGGAGTTCGACCGGACCATCGCCGTCAACCTGCGAGCGACATTCCTGCTGGTCAAGTTGGCGCTGCCGGCGATGATGGAGCAGGGCTGGGGGCGCATCGTGTTTGTGTCGAGCATCGCCGCCGAAGGAGGGGGCATCAACGGGTGCCACTACGCCGCGTCCAAGGCCGGTATGAACGGCATGATGAGAAACCTTGCAACCAAGCACGCCAGACACGGCATCACGGTCAACAGCCTCGCGCCCGCCGTGATCGGGGGCACGGGCCTGATCCCGGATGAGAGCATGTTGAAAGGCACGCCCGGCGACGTCAAGAACATCCCCGTGGGCAGGTTAGGCACGCCGCAGGAATGTGCCAACGTGGTCGAGATGATTTGTACGACGGGATACCTGACGGGCCAGAATATTCTGCTCACGGGGGGCCTCAAGTAGAACAAAAAAAAAAGAATAGATCAAGTAACAGGCCCATGTCAGGACATGTCGGTACTTCTGGAATTGTAAGACGTCTTCCTTGATGATAGGACCAGACTGGGACTCCGGTGTCTAGTGATTATGTCGAGGCACAGCAAAGTGATCCGCTACTCTCTGATGGCTGACGGCACTCTCGAGGACCATGCCGTCACTCAACTGGCCGACCTCACGCCGAAAGATGTCCTGCCATGGGGTCTGGCTGGGCGCCGTCAGCTCCTCCATCTTGCCCGCCATCGTGGCTCTTCTGCTCCGGATCTCCTCGTCGGACAGCATCAGATCCACCCGCCGGGCCTCCAGATCGATGCGTAACGTGTCTCCCGTGCGCAGGATCGCCAGATTCCCTCCGACAGCCGCCTCCGGGGAGGCGTGTAAGATGGACGGAGAACCCGACGTTCCTGACTGCCTCCCGTCGCCAATGCATGGCAGGAACCGCACCCCGGATTGCAGCAGTCGTCCGGGGGCGTGCATGTTGACCACCTCCGGCGCGCCGGGGTAGCCAATCGGGCCAGCCCCGCGCATCACGAGCACCGTCCGATCATCCATGGAGCCGTCGTCGTCGTCGTCGTCCTCCAAGTGCTCGTTGTAGTCCTCAGGCCCATCGAACACGCGGGCGTGACATTCGAACGCGGCAAATGTGCCGGGCTGATGTGAGGGGTTCCGGAGAAATTTGGCCTCGAATTCCTCCGAGATGACCGACGTCTTCATGATAGCCGAGTCAAATAACGTGCCTTTCAGGTGGAGGAAGCCGGCGTTCTTCTTCAACGGATCGCCATAGGGTCGAATGGTCTTCCGATCCCAGGAGAATTTCCCCTTCACGATTTCTCCCACCGTGCGACCGGTACAACTCAATGCGTTTGCGTGGAGTTTTCCCGCGTCCAACAGTTCGGCCATAACTGCGGGAAGTCCCCCAGCGTGGTGATATTCCTCACACAACATCTCGCCGGCTGGTTGGACATTGACGAGAAGAGGGATAGGATACCCCACGCGGTCCCAGTCGTCCAGATCCAGAGTTATGCCCATATGTCGGGCAATAGCGATCAGGTGGATTGGGCAGTTGGAGCTCCCGCCGATCGCACTATTGACCACGATGGCATTTTCAAACGCCTCGCGCGTCATGATATCACTCGGCTTGCGGTTCGAATGGACCATTTCGACAATTTGCTGGCCTGTTTTGTACGCACACTGAAGTCTCTCGCGGTAGACTGCCGGGATGGCCGCTGACCCGGGCAACGCCATCCCCAGCGCCTCGGCCAGCGCGTTCATGGACGAAGCTGTACCCATCGTATTGCAATGTCCCGCGGATGGAGTTCTGAAGAAGCTCGTTAGCGAGGTTTCTCGCCGGTTGGACTGACAAGCTCACCCCGAAGTCACCATGTCGAAGAATTCCGCATCGTCGATGATGCCTTCTGCTTTCAGCTCTCTCGCCCGCCACAGAATGGTCCCAGTGCCAATGAGATCCGTATTCCTCCTCCCATTGAGCATTGGCCCGACATTCAGGCAGATGGCAGGAATATTCTAATGGGGGTAAACAGATGAGACTTGTATTTTTTGTCAGAAATGCTGGGAAACCCACCACTGTGGCAGCGGCCATTAAACAAGCCGGCGTGGTTTTATCACAGCCAGTCAACAAGACGACGCCGTCCAGAGGGTAGGAATGGAGAATCTCCACCAGCGCAAGATACGCGAGATTCCTATCCAGCGTCGCCGTCGGCCTTCTTGAGCTCTCTTGAATCGGGTGGGTCGGAAACTCGAGTGGGATCGCTCCAGCGGCGATGATGCCTTCACGCACCCTCTTGGCCGTCTGGACGTGATATCGATTGCAAGGCGACAAGTCAGATCCTGACTGGGCGATTCCAATGACGGGTTTCTTGGACATCAGCTCCTCGGTAGTCAACCCGAAGTTCAGATATCGGTCTGCATACAGAGTACTGAGGGCTGGCTCTCCGTCGTTGGAGAACCAGTTTTCGGAACGCAAAGGTCGAGATGAGGAGGCGGTCCTCCTAGTACACGCAAGGTCGGAAAGTTTCTGTACCAATTCTTCGTTTCGTTGCTTCAGTGACTTGATTTCTGTCCGGAAGTCTTCAATATCCGGTGTATCATTTTGCCCGGTGCAGGGCTGACTGCACTCATTCTGGCACGACTCGGTCATTTCCCCAGTATAGACAAGCTTGGCTCAAATGGTCAGTGTGCTGGTACAAGCACACATGCCCTGATTCCATGACCATGGCCTCGTGAGGAAGCTTTAAACCTCGAACAAAACCCGAACGGTTTTGGGCAGTCAACTGCCGGTAGGGAGCGCTGTCAGACGCCCAGGAAGATGGCTCAAATTCCGCACTTTGTATCACGGCCCCTGATCCATGGACCCCCGGATCTGGTTTCCATATGTGCGCCGAGGAGGTAGGGGTGACATTTCCGCTGCCTGAGAAAGCTAGCCCATGCCAGACGGGGGATGAAAGCTTCGATGATTCATTTAGCGCTGCGATATCGTTCAGTCTTGTCTGAAGGTTCAATTAGCGATGTGGACGGTCCGATGGCCGGGACCCTCAAGAACGGACGAGTAGACAGGTAGTTCACTTTTGGTAAATTGTGGGATAGCATAGCTCCGTTATGTACGAAAACATGGGTGAAGAAGCGTAGTTTCGGCACCGGGATAACAAAAGTCCTGGCGATGCTTTTTATATCGCGAGCACCACCATAAAGAAGCAACCTACAGTGGTTGAACCTATTCCACCACACATCCCACCAGCCATATAATACATAGGGATACGGTGCACTCCAGGCTCACCTACCCCTGAGACACAGTGTTCGAATCGCAAAAGTCTCTTCCTTCGGATTGTTGCCCGGGTTCGGTCTTTCGTTGAAGCGGACCACAGGCTTCACATTTGGAGGCCTTCAGGCAAGTATGTCTGGTGTGTGGGCAACGACTCAGACCGTTCCTCCGTTGGAACCACTCGGCGGCAGCGGGAGAGGCTCAATGCATGCTGGGTCCATATCCTGGATTCTTCATTGAACAGGTATAGGCATTCGCATGTACCCTAACACAGTTGACCGATCTGGACATGGCGCTGGAAGTCGCTGCTCACTGCTTTCCTCCACCAAATATCCTGTCGAACAACCCTCTTGACTCGGGCTTGCGCTGTAAACCTTCTAGAAACCGACTCTTCTCTTCGTCCGTCGCACGAGGCAGCCCGGCTCGCTTCCTCCGCCGGCCTTCTTCGGTCAGAAGTTTTTGAAGCTCCTTCTCGTCCTGGAATATACCTTCGCCGATGAGTTCTCGTCGTAGCCGCCCTTTGATGTCTTTCTTTGTTTCCTTTTTCTCCTGTTGGGTGATCTTGTGGCCCTTGCGCTCTCTTTTGAGCTGGCGTAATTCCGATGTGGTAGCTTGATTGACCAGGCCCTTCTTTTCCGCCCTGGACATTTGACTCCACTCCTTTACGGGTTGGTCGGGCTGTTCTGGGGCCACAGGGGCCTGGGCCGGCGTCCGCAATCGCCTGGAGGTGTGGAGAGATCGTGTCTGCTGTTGTACTTGCTTCTGAATCTGCTTCTTGGTCTGCTGTTGACCTTGTTCTCGGGCCCACTGTTGGGCCTCCTGCTGAGCCTCCTGCCGGGCCTGCTCCTGCGCCTCCTCGCGGTTTTGCTCAATTGTTGCGGCCGCAAAGCGTCGGCGCTCTTCTTCTTGATGAGCGACAATGCCGTCGTACTCGAGAGGATTAATTTTTTTCCACGTTCGCAGAAATTCCAGCGCATCGACCCGATCCGGTACGTACGTCGTCCCGTCGGGGCGATCTTCGGCTCTGCTTTTCGGTTCCATCTCCATCGTCACGAAGGGTGTAAGCTAGTTGGGCGGCCAACAATTAGTGACTGAATCTCGCAGGATGTTGCCGCCAGGAGCTTACTGGAAAGTCTTTCATCTCGGGCATGTTATAATGCACCGTCTTCCGCCAGTCAATCACATACCGACCGTATTCGGTGTGAGCACCCATTGCACCAGCTCGATTTCCCCGGTAGAATCCACGGCCAACCTGCTTAGTGGTGAAGCGCAGGCGGGCGCATAATTGAGGCGAAGGCTTGACCATGGCGACTGTCGGAGGGTCCTGGCGCCCTTTGCTTTCCCCAGGCTATAAGGTCATGGGCTCCCTGCAATGCTGAAGTGCAACGGAAGAGCAGAGGAGAAGAACGAGAATCCGAAAAACCAATTGTCGTTTTGGGACGAGTGTCATGCCGCCTTAACAGTCTCAACGGCGCGTGCGTTTTCGACTCCGTACATCGTGACCGCTCATTGGTCAATATTTTCCATTCCATTTGGACTTCATCCGCTCATATTATATTATTATTATTTCACCTATTTCAGTTTATGTTATATTCAACCTGACTGTTGTAGTTCACCAAGCTCATCTTTTGTATCAGCAACGTCCATCCACTCCTTTTTTCCTTCTCCTCTACTGACCATGTGAATGCCTCCCCCCGAAACCAACCCCCTCCACATCTACCGCGCTTGCCTGCGAGAATGCTCCTACCTGCCACTCCCACGATGTCGGGCCTACATGAGAAAGTTCGCCGTGGACGGTTTCCGTCGCTGGATACCCCGGGCACATCCTAGTGGTGGAGGCAGAAGTCGCAAACCCCACGGTGGCCGAGACGTGGCCCCTGAGAAAGTGACTCGATTGCTCCACCAGGCGAGGAAGCTGGCCTCGACGCTGCGCCATGCGAATCAAGGATATATTACTCCGCTGGAGAACATTCTGCGCATGACCTATGGAAGAAAGGGACCGAGGAAATATGAGCTTCTGGCAGACTTCCTACACCCCGTGTCCTCAGCCTCTGAAGGTGAAGTACGGCACTCAAAAGTCACGAACGCCCAAGATATCGCCGACGGGGGACAGCCGTTGGCAGGTGCTATCTCTCCCACTGGCTCTGATCCAGCCCTCGATGAAATACGGAGGGACGACGCAGACGAGCAATCCACCGGGATCAGCACAGGAGAGCACACATTATACCCGTCCTTACAGCCTACAGTCGCAAAAACGGGAGGCACTACCTCCGTGTCCGCCGCCCCCGCTGCCGCTCCTGTTCCTCCCGAGAAGCGAGATCCGCCTCGAGAAAAATGGAAACTCGAGCTTCCCCCACGCCTCCTCGCCCTGGTCACGTCTCAAGCCAGCGAACAAGTCTACTTCACGCGCGTTGGGGCGCATCTCAAAGCCAAGGCAAGATTCAACCCACCCAAGACAACCATATGGGGGCAACCGCTCCCCCAATCGCGGTACAAAAATCTGCGTGTAAAATGGTACAACCACAACATCAAGGCCGCGATGCCTCCGCTGCCGGAAGATGAGTACCGAGAGCTTCATGATCTTGTGAGCGGGCGGCGGGAGATGGAACCGTTTATCCCGCGCCGGACTCCGGCACAAATCTCGCCCGAGGACATGGCGCAAAGTGCACTCGACAGTTCATCCCGCCTGATATTGGAAGGTCCACGGCCGGGCCCCCGCCTCACGGATTGGCGCCACGGTCGTCCTCATGAGATCACGCCTCGACTTCTCCGGAGGTTACTCTCCCGCGTGATATTGAAACAGACCCCCTTTGTGAAGATTACGACTCCCGGTACCAAGGCAGCTGCGAACTCTGGATTAGTCTTTTACTGGGACGACGGTATGTCGCGGCTTGAGATGGAGAAAAGTGAGCAGAAGATGTCGGAATCCTTGAAAGAGAGGCAAGCGAGGCTTTTGTTTGGTTCCTGAGGAGAGATCTGAGAGACGGCACTTGCGCGACAGACAATGAGTAAGACGAATGGAGACAGTTGGACTGAAGGCAAGAGGGCTACTGATCAGCTTGCAGCAGCAAGACACTCGTCATACAGACCTCAACCTGTGCGTAACTCAGATCCTCGCATGAGTCCTGACGCAGTGCCGCTACTGTTTCCCAGCCCTACCTCTGGCCATTGCCATCTTTGACACACTTTGGTGTTGGCCGCCTCCGTGGTGCTCCCTTTCCAACCGCAGACCGCGGTCGAACTCTTTCCCATTGCAGCCCGATCTATGACGACGCACCTCCTAATAAAGCACTTAGTGCGATGTACCACGTGAGGGACGCTCCGCCGTCGATCCAACCCATGTCAAAATTAGGCTGAGTGAAGAAATTGTACGCTGCTGTGGGGTTAATGATCGCTAAATTCGCGTATACGATGCCTGAGGGTCGTTAGTATCGCACGCCGTTCGATAGTCCAAGTCCGGCTCACCTTTCCAGCCACCAGCAATGTCTGTAGCTTGTCGCACGGCGCCGTCTGCAAAATATGTGATCCATTCCTCTGTTACGAATTGCTCTGTCACGGACCAGTCAGTTTGTTGCGCGGCTTCGGTTGGTCGAAGCACTAACCTGTCCGAGTCAATGTCGAGAAAGGCATGAGAGGAATCATGTGGATGCTGCAAGTCTTCAGCAATGTGGCCAGCAGGAAATGAAGCAAACAGGGTGACATACCCTTGAACATAGCTCAGATCAGTGCCGAAGTAGGTGACATGGTCTGCCTTGTTCTCGAACAGAATGCCCGTGACCTTGTTGCCAATGAAACACGCAGGCTGGTTGGTATTGTCCGATGTCATTAGGAAATAGTTGTGCAGACTCCGTGCCAGAACAGCGAGCATCAGATTGCCACGGGCTTCCATCGAGGCATCGCCCACCGTCTTGCCCCACATTTTCAGCCCGTATGCAAACATAGCATCCTCAGAAGAAGATTCTTCATCCTTACCATCCCCAGATTCAAAAAGCCCTTTCGCCCAAGAATGTCCATGATACCAATCAAAAGATCGGAAGACCGGGAAATACTGATCCAGAGCGCTCGGATTGGAGACGTCGCGAACCAAGGCGTTCACATAGTCCTTGTTTTGATTGAGCCATGCGGGATCGAGATAACCGATGACAGCAGCGGCATGGAGGAAATAGCCATAGTGAAAATGGTGATCGTTGTAGTACGAGTTCCCAAAGTCTACACCGGGGTCGCCCGTTACATAACTTGCTGAGGAAACAAGGCCCTTCCAGTCGGTGTCGTAGATCAATGGATACTGTTGTTGGTTATTTGCGAAAACCTCGTAGCAGCTTTCAAGCTCAAGTAACGCAGCGTTTGCCAGATCTTGCTGATTTGCGAGATCATGCATGGTATAGACAAGCTGGGCGAATTTGCTCAGAGCTTTTCCGCTGTAATACATACTGTTGAGGTTTGTTTGGATTGACATATTCTGAGAGGCTTCAGTTGCAGAGACATTTTGTATGACGGAAAGCGCCGCAGGTGAGAGGGAACCCATGCCTTGGGAGCTCGTTGCGTGACATGGTCGCCAGGGCGCAAATCCCAGAGAGACTGGTAGGTTGCGCTCTTCTAATATCCAATAGTCGCCCACAACAGCTGTTGCGTTGCCCTTGGTTGTGGTGGCCAGCTCAACGGCCGTGATATTGCATTGGGTAAAGGAGTCAAAGGACTCACGGTGATGTGGCAGCGCAAACATGAGAAGAGTCGTGTTGCTTGAAAAAGCCCCGCCCTTGGACCAGGACAGACTGTACTGAGCAGTCGTGTTCTGTGCGAAGCCCGAGATATGCCCAGCTGTAGGATAGGCGCCGGCCGCATCATCATAGATAGACTCCAAACTACTATTAGAGAGCTTCGCAACTTGTATATCTCCGTACCAATTTGGCAAGCCTCGGAGTAACGTACTTGAGATGAGCTGGAAATTGGGGGTGAGTCCGTTGGCTGGAATGGCATATATCAGCCACAATTTGCCGTCCTCTAGAGTCACTCTGTATTTGAAAACACCCGGTTTCGGCTCGCCCGCTGCGGCAACACTGCGGAAAAAAACACTGCTTTGGATTGCTGGCTGCAGATCGACGTACTGCCCAGTGACAAATGCCATGCCCTGGACCACTGGCATGGTAAGCACTGACGGTGAGCCTGCTGACGGCTGAAGGTGGATATTTGCAGAGAACGCCAACAAGGAATCCGAGGTCAGAACTGTATTTGAACCAAGTTCGACGGCGGATAGGATCATCGACTGAATCCCGAGCCCATTAATGTAGTAGGAGGCCGGTGCACCAGGGATAGCAGTATTATTCGGCCCAAAATTCTTCTGACTGTCGTCAAGATGCGAAATCGCCATTCCCCAACTCAAGGCATTCCCGCTACCCTTGCTCCAAGATAGGGAGTATGGCATCACAAAGCTGGGAGAACCTTGGGAACCCAGCACGAAGTTTTCGTAGAATTTGTTTGTCTCGATAGGGCCGCCAATATCAACAATCCCAAGCCGCGGAACGGGATGCCCACCTCTTTGTTCGATATTGTTGGGAGGTTGCCCCAGTTCAACCGGCTGAAATATGTCCTGTCCAGAGCAACCCATGCTCACCAAGCAGGTCGAACTGGCCGTGGGGAAACTTGAGATGGAACCGAGAGCCGCTGTCAAGGTAGTGGCTACCGTCCCCGTCACGGTTGACGACGCAGCCAAAGTGGTCACGACGAGTGCCGTCCCAGTTGTGGTAAAGACCGTTGTGCCCGCTGATGATGTTGCTATGATTGACCCATCGGCGGTAATAGTGGTATTGAGCACCGTGACAGCGGTTATGACTGCAGTCGTCTCAACGGCCAGTGTTGCCACGGTCTGCGTAGTCGAGAGGCTTTCGAAAGTTGTCAATGGCAATGTGATGGTCTCGGTCACGGTGCTCTGTGCACTAATCACTGTTGAATTGCCAAAAGGAGCAGTGCCATTCAAAGGTTGCAATGTAGGCGATGCAACAGTCTGCACACTTGTGGGGAAAGGCAGTACAGGAGGATTTCCCTCGGTTTCGAGAGTCGTGATCAATGACTAAACCAATTAGCAATCTGAAGAAATGGAGGTAGAAAAGGCCACAAAACCCACTCCGGTTGTGTCTGGAAAGCTTTGGCTCGCAGAAGTCGTTGTTGGAACTTGGGAGGAAGGCAATGCAGTGATGGTGATGGTCTGGATACTTAGATGCGGATCGCCAAAGGTAATCGCAGACGAATAGTTTTGTGATTGGACGGCTGCGCCATAGGCGGCGAGTACATTGTGGGAATCGGAAGCGTCACCTAGAACGCTATGTCAACACCGTGAATATTCCTTGCCGAGCGAAAAAGAAGGAGACCTCGTATCGAAGGCGTGTATTGAGGTAATTTGCCAGTGGTAAGAGTTGCATCAGCACCTGGGATAATAGGAGGATGACGTTAGTTATCCGCCACTGTAGATATCTTAACCACCTTGATCGCGTTCAGGTTGTTCCAGGGATCTCGACGGACCGACAAATCGAAGAACAGGAAGGGCCGTAGCGAACAGCACCTGAACCATTGTCAGCAGATATGGACCATAGCTAGTGAGTATTACGATAGAGGAAAGAAAAATCGTATCCTGCTCAATGGGTATGCCAGTAAAGAACGAATTGTTGGATGCAGATGTGTTGTAAAAGAGCAAGGATCGTGTGCCTGTTGATCAATGAGTGTGCTCCTATACTTTTGATGTTCATAAATTATGGGATATAGCAGAATAACAGTAGCCCTGCTCTTCAACAAACAGGAGACAGGGCAGCTATAGGACAAGGCCAAGGGGAAGAGGGAACATGGCGAACAAAACACTTTTCCCCATCGAGACAGCACGTAGGGGAGCGGGAAACGGGGGTCCAACATACCAGGGCAAGATTCGTGGGATTTCGCGCGGACATGCACGGCGAAGTAGGCGATCTGTGCAGCTGCTTGGTCTTCAGGGCGAGACGAGACGGCTGCAGGGGGTTTTTTTTGCAGAGGAAATGAATACGAAAACGCGGCAAAAGAATAAATTATAGCTAGGAATGAGGGCTGAGAAGACGTATAGGTGGATCAGGGTTTAAGAAAGAGTAGGGAGATAGCATGGTCCAGGACGAAGTTGGGGGAGAGACACATGATGCCTTGACCTTTTGAGATGCCTTTCATCGTTACTTCCTGCATGGAAGCAAAGATCTGGGAGAGCTCTGTACGTAGATAGTTGCGGCAATATGGAAAGGGCGAGGGCAGCGACACCGACGGCAAGTGGTGCTGGGGTGTTGTTCCAAGTTGATGGAGAAAAAGGAGTCGTCTGTAGACGATGTTATAGATGCGATCACGTACCGGATGCCAAGATCAGTCACCGGGGGTTTCTCCGGGGATAAGCCGGTCAAGTCCGGCACAACAGTTCTAACATCTGCTCTGCAAACAAGGAGTTCGTCTTCTCTTGTGACTCGAGGCACTGACTCGACATGAGGTGGATTCTTCTTCTGGATTCCGCTTTCGTTGATGCTACTCGCAATGTATCTCGATGTCCCTATGCCAGAGGTCGTGCCATGGGCCGAATGATGCCCTGCTTGACCAACACGCGTGGCTTCGTGCTGTCCTGGAATGTTGTCTTTGTCGTCCATTCAGGCCCCAAAGGCAGGCGAAGCGACCGCTCATACTGTTGTCGTGACTCGAATGGATGGGGTAGCTCGCTGGCCAGATATTTGCCGTTCTTCTTGACACGCTTTTCGTTGATGATAACTTTTTCCAGTCTGGAGTCTTGTCGCTTGTCTTCCGCGACTCCCTTGACCATTGTCAAAAACCGTCCCTTGGCCCTGTTGTGAGCCTTCTTGCTGATACCTTCGCCTGTCCAACTCCCCCACCCCGGAAGGCCGTTGTCAATGACTTGATCTCCTTCCTCCTCCACGGTTTCTCTCTTTTCTTTTGCAAACTCCCGCCGAATGTCCTCCGAACCCGTGAAGATCGCATGTGCGAGTGCGACTCTATCATCTTGCTCATTCTCAGACTCAGATGGAACAGCATCATCTTCGAGGGCGCTTTGTGGCACCCTGATCAGCCGTTTATTTGACTCTCCACCGTCTTTGACACGGCCGGGTAGAGGATTCTTGCTTGGCAGGTCATCATTGAGGTGGGATTTTGCCCTCTGCTTCGCTGCGCCTGGGCCTTTCAACGACGATTTTGAGGTGATTTCCTTGTTTATGGGCGCAATAGCTATTGGTGCATCGCCACCTAACCCTTCCGTTTGGTCTCGAGGATCTGTATCTTCAGGCTCGGCCTCCGAATCGCGTTCCTCGAACTCGCTCTTGGAAACGTGAGTTTGAGGCTTCACAGGAAGATCTCTGTTGACCAGGCCAAACTTTTGACGTCCCGCTGAGTTGTCATGCTCGTAATCACCCTCCGCGACCGATTGCAAGTCATCACTGTGGAGACTGCGCCGTATGTTGCGGATCTCTTCCTCGTTGGCAGCTTTCCTCGCCGCTTCTGCTTTTCTCATGAATGCCATTGAGCCAAGCCTCGTCTCGAAGGTATCGACTTCGTTACGTTCGATGTCGTCCAGTTTAGTCTCTAGCTTTTGTCTCTCGTCTTCGGAACCAGAGAAGCCATCGAAATCGGAAGATTCTGAATCGGACCCGTCCGAGTCAGCAGTGGTCTTGCCCTCAATCCGCCTGCGGAGTTCTTCATCTCGCCTTGCCAGATCCGTTACTCCATGTCGGGTGTCCTCATCCCAGGCGGCTCTGCCTGTGGTTTTGACACTTTTTGGCCCATTTACTCTCCCTGTGACGCGCGCCCATCCGTTCCTCAGCACGCCGGCGCTCGTTCTTCTCCCTCTCTTCGTCTGAATCGATCAAGCCCTGCGCAGCCAGCAGACTTCGATTTTCTCGGATCAAATTCTCGCGTTCTTTTCGGTGGACACGACGATATGCCTTGCTTTTGATCTTCTTGAGGCGCCGAGCACGGATTTCTTCGCGAAACATCAGATCCCGTGTCCGCCGCAGCTCTGCTCTGCGGGCTTGCACTTCCGCCAGTGGCATTTTCTTCTCGTGCAGCTCCTCGAAGGCATGCTCTTGAGCTTCCTGGGACCTACTATTACTCGGCAGCATTCCACTTTCCATCATGATATTGTGGATCGTGGACTCCAGTGAAGTCATAGGCTCCGCACTAGAGGTCGGTCCAAGTTGCTTATTGCTCAGCATACCAGCTTCTGCAGCATCAACGAGGGGAAATGAAAGGTGTTCCGCACGGCGATTCTGCTTGACCGTTTCGATCCACTTGCTCAGTTCCTTTTTGGTCTCCTCATATGCCGCAGAACGATCAAGACGATCTTGCTGCCTTTTTGCCAGAGGAGGGGCAAGTCTGCCTGGAATGCCACCTCTATAGATTTCGTCAGCCTTGCTGGCGCTGCTCTGCAAGATTTTCAAAGCCCGTCTCTGGTTAGGGTCTTTGATATATTGTAAAACATCACTGGCTGAGATCTTCTCGGAGCTGAGACCGAACTGCGAAGGCTTATTGGGCAGCATTTGGGGGGTTCTTCGTTCGATGGCCGTCTGGCTCTTGTCGCCGCCTGCTAGCCCTTCGACAAAATTCTGGAGCCTTGAATGATCGCCTTCGTCCTCTGAGACGGACAATTCAGACATGGCTTCATCCTCCGCTTGAGAGAGTTCCTCATCTGATTCTTCGTCATCGTCGAGCTCTGACAGGGAACCTTCGTCGACATCATGATCGTCGTGTGTTGGCCGCATGGGTGTTTTTTGATGCCTTTTTGGGACTTCCTCTTGTTCCTGGTCATCCATATCCCAAGCCGTGGCTAAATCCACAGCCTCGTCCCCGAAGTCATCGTCTTGGTCGTCATCGGTGTTTCCGCTTTCTTCGCCAGCCTCAGCCTCTTCATCGAGGTCTACATCTGGGTTGACGGACGAAGCACTGCCGCGATGCTTGGGCTGCGAGGATGTTCTAGCGCTTCCACGAAATGTGAAGTCCGCAAATCGTTCTTCATCACTTGCGCCAAAGGCGTCTTCGCTGTCAATGTCGCTATCTTCATCCTCCTCATTTACGCCGAGATGCCATCGGTTGCCCTCGAGGTCCGAACCTTCCTCATCAACCTCATCTGTAGCGGCGGTGGTAAGCTTCCTCCTCTTCGACGACCGCTCGTCTATGTCTGACCTGCTGCGCGGGCCTTCAGACTCATCGTCGACCTGCCCAAGGCGGTGCTGTCGAATTTTAATCTCATCGGGATGTTCACGCTCCGCAATCTCGAGGGCGTTCAGTCTGCGGTTCTTGGAGGGTTTTTTCTTGGCGGCGATATTTGATCTGGGCCCGTGGAGTGGTCTACCGTGCGCCTGGCGAGGCATAGTGCTGCAGACGTTGAATAGTTGAATCTCCAAGATTGATGGCGTTCTAGGGTTGTGTGCAGGAAAATATGGTCCTGCGTACGGCGATAACAAATTTATTTCGGGGATAACAGCTCTTGGCGACCATCCGCTCGCAAGGCTGCAAGCTACAGAAGATCTCCGCCATCCATCACCGACGCGAGCCATTGTTGAGTCTTTCACTCCTTCATATTCCCCTCCATTCACGAGGGATAGAAATTGCGCTGAGAAACATCTCCTACAACCGTTGGAATGCTCCCCAATCAAGTACTAGACGATTGAAGCTATCTGAAGACTGTTGGGCCCAGTAGTCGAGGTCGTCCACTTGAGCTATCCCCTTTCCCTGAGTGCAGATAAAGCATATACCCCGCCGTTTGAGACGACGTGGCTCCAGGCTCCTGCCGAGGATCTCTCGGTCGAGCTATGCGAATGGTGCCATACGCATTTTGTCTGTTCGCATCCTGTGACCCTTGCGCACAGATGATGGCGTTCGACGACAGACTGACGACGGACACCTAGACCTTTGCTTCGACATAGAGCCTCGGCGTATCAGACAAAGGTACTCTGCCATATTCGTATCTTTCTACCGTCATGTGGTGGCCGTGTGCGGAATAGAGCAGGGTTCACAGCCAAGAGCCTAGACAAAGTGTCCGCTTCCGGCAAGGGCTTACCATGGTCAAAGCAAATACCTCAACAATGGTACGTCCCATTAATGTTCATTCCGGTGTCTTGCTTGTACCGGCTTCGCCAAGTGTATTTGTGACTGAACTCGACTGCGTTCATACATGGACGTTTGCGCCCATCGACCCACCCGTCTGCAGACAGGAAAATCGGGCCGCTAATCTGTTCAAAGATGGACGCGATACTGCATTGTCTCTCAATCAAAGAAGAGATGCTTGGGGAAATAATAGCGACCTGCTGCTTGCAGGAACTTGTTCCTGGCCTTTCCTCGGATCCGAGATTCTCTTTTTGCAACCTTTTCCTATATAGAGAGGCCACAAGCTCTTTGCAAGTCTGGCACCACCTTTAGGTTTCCCGCACTCTTTTCCTCCCCTGCTCGAAGCTACCACTTCTGATCTTTGCTCCGCATAGCTTTCACGATGATTGATTTTTTTGATGAAGACGGGTTCGAACCAGTCGAACACGACTATACCCATCCAGAACGCCACTGTGACAACATTGCCGACCACATCCTCACAGAATGGCGAGAAGCTGGGTACCAAGTTTTCCCCCCGGAGGAGGGCCCGATTGAGCTATGTTGGGCCTGTGGTTGGACGACGTACGACCAATACACCTCTGGCTATTCTCCACGGATCAAAATCGTGCATGCTCGCAATAACTCGGGTTTGTGGTCAATTGGATCCAAGTGGCTGATCAAGGATGAGCCAAACGACGAGTATCGCGGGAATGAGCATATAACTTGGAAATTTCTCAAAGAACAACCGGGTCTAGACATCCCTTTGGTGAAGGAGATGATCCCACTGAGCGACCCTCAGGAGACACTACAATTCACGCTCATCTCTCGGGCCCAGGGCAAGATGCTGTCCGCCATCTGGCCTAAGCTGTCTCCCGAACAAAAAGCCGGCTACCGAGATCAGATGGTGCATATACTCAAACAACTGCGACAGTTCACAGCGCCTTTCCCCCAAAAGGTCAATGGGGACAAACTTGATGATACTATCATGGGAATCTGCCACAGGCGCAGTTCGCCGACTTGTTTCAAGGTCGGACATACAGTGGACGAGTGGTTGGAGGACCTTTCAGAAACACTCCGCGCTGGGCTGGCTGACAGACTCAAAACCTCAGACGAAAAGGTCGTTGAAGAGAGACTTCAAAAGATAAAAGACAACTTTCCAAGCGGAGAGCCATATGTACTGACCCATGGGGATTTAGCCCTCAGAAATATCATGGTCAAGGATGACAAAATTGTCGCCATCCTCGACTGGGAGTCAGCTGGGTACTACCCTTGGTGGGCGGAGAAGTATGCGTGCAAAGCCTACGCTAGGATAGAAGACCAGCAGGATCTTTTTGAAGGCGTCTGGGAGAGGGTTGATCCGGAGTTAGGCGAAACCCCTGCCTGGAGAGCCGTGGTGCAGAAAGTGGCTGCGGTCAGAGAAGCCATGGTCCCTTTCGTCGTTAAACATGAACCACATGTGCAGCCACTATATCGTGCACCCTTCTGCAAATGCCGGCCCCACGGTCAGACGATTCGACCTGCAGCTCGCGGAGACAAGCCGGAGCACAAGTTGTGGGATTGGAGGAGTGGCCTGAAAAGGCCTTCCACCTGGGCAAGCAATTCCGAATTTATAATTATGGGTTGATGGTCGAAGACGGCGGGATGTAATCTGTGGTTTGGTGGGAAGAGGAAGATGATCTCGCGGCCTCTTCTCTCAGCCGCAAGGGCAAGGGGAGGGACTGTAGGAGTTTGAAAGCTTTGCAAACGTTTTGATTTGACTCGATACATTTTCGCAGAACACTGATCCTCTTTACCTGCTCTGGTTTCCCTGAGACCCTCATGCCCGGCAATCGTTATCTCCCTTCGCGCGTCTTGCATGTTTGAACATGTAAACCTGTTAGAAAGTCAATGCCGCATTCCACATCTCTCAATCCTTGGGTTGTAAAGTTCGTCATTGAAGAGAATATCCAGCTTGTCCCAGCCTTCAAAACATACGCCAGGCGAGAGAGCCTGCGGACCCAGGATTAGCAATGATGCAATCAAAATGGCTTCCCGAGATGATACATACCGGTTTTAGCGGTTACCTTATTGTCACTGGGCAAAGCTCGCCGTGCCGCCTCCAAGAACTCAGTCGCACCGGTAAAATTGTCCACCTGCATTGGCTGCGGGCCGTTTAGTGGCAGCTGCACTCGTGAGACGCATGCTAGGGTTTCTGTCTGTCCTTCGTTATCTGGATGAGGGCGCTTGATGACCATGGCTTTTTGTTCATCACCGCAGACGAAAATTGCCGCTCTGTTGAAATCTTTGAGGGATTCATATGCGATGTCGAACGTGGCTGACACGCGTCTGTTTGAGGGAAGAGTCTTGCTGCCAAAGGCAAAAAGAGCCCACTCTATTGCGTCGAGTTGGAGTGTCATCGTCGGCAAAGTCAAGGCATTGCACATTTCGCATGATGTTGCGGTATTCGTGTTGGCGTGAGCACAAAAAAGGCAGCGGTTTCGAATGAGTTGAGCCATTTTCATGTAAAGCTTTGAAATCGAGGTCCGGGGGGAAGGGTTCTGTTTCCAAGCAACGGCAAAGTCTTGAAGATGTTGAAGGAAAACTTATTAAGTGAAGAAATTGAGGGATACTTCAGGAGTTTCATCACTCGCTTCTTATATCTTTCTGGCTCTTTTCAAAGCCTGTCCTCAACATGGTGTCTTGTTGATCACCTTTAACCCTGCTTCCACGGTCCAAACAAGACCAGCAAACAATCGCTTTGTGAAAGTCATCAGGCAGTTGGAAGCAAATCTGGGAGGCTTCCTGCAGAGAAAATGGGGGCAGATAGACCCCGACGCTGACGCATCAGCATAATGAGTGCGGTCTGGGTGTCAGTAGCACGCCGGTATCCTTGACTGAGGATATTGGGCGACTTTGTTTCTCCTGCAAGGGCCCTCCCGCACAACCCTTCCGCGGAGAGTTTGCCCAGTTGCGCTCACTGACTCTTTGTACTGCAGCATACACGTGGGTTCTAGGCCATTCTCTGATGAATCCTGGTATAGACGGCCGCTGCACATTAGTTTTTGTTCGTTTTGCTTGCCTGTGGGAAAAACTCGGGCCAGAGTGTGATTGACAATGGAATGCATGCGGCTTGCCGGCAAATAAAGAAGTGGAAAGCAACAATAGCCACCGCATCAGCTGCGATACCTTGAAGACCAACCTGAAGGCTGTGGATGCAAGATTGCCTTGATACTGGTCCTGAATCGGGGTAGCGTAACGGCGAGGAATGGTGTAGCTGTGGTATGTGTGTATTTCAGCACGTGTCAGTGCTCCGGCCGTCCTAATCCGCTAATCTTTCTCCTTTCCACGAGGCAAACCAACCCTCGTCTCCGGCTTGTGAAACCTCTCTCCAGAGAGAGGTGGCACCTTCCACCAGGACCATCGCCCAAGTGCAATTCGCTCATCATAGACGAATGCGCCTATTGCTGGTCCTGCAGCCACGGTAGACTGAAAATTTCGCCAGCGGCGGCGGTCGTGAATACTCCTTCTTCAAAAGGCTCCATGATCAGGTCGTGCCAATAGTATCAGAGGGAGGGTGTGCAGTAGCGGTTTTCGGAGCTGGCATTGGCCTCGGGCTTGATTTGGCGGCAGACCTTGTTGTTGGGTTGCTCGATCTATCCTCGCAGAGATCAGGGGTACCCATTCTCAGCAGGGAAGAAGGGCTTGAGCGTATCATTTGGTATGCAGAGAGCTGTGCAGTGCGCAGGCATGCTGTGTGAACCGGTCTAAGAGGGCCATCTCTAGGCCAGCCCCTGACGAACAGTCAATTGTGTCTCTCCTCTCCACCAGGCATAGACTGGCTTACTTGGAAGTAACCTTGAAAACAATTCCAGTGAGCCCCTTATTGGTGGGAGGGTGCGAGGTACTTCGGAGCATGTCAGGAGAAGTGAAATGTCCAAGTCACTGTGAGTTTTTGGGCGGTGCGTGTAAAACGCGCTAAGGGCGACGCGACAAATCGAGGCCGAAGCAGCGGCCAATTCCCCCGCTCCACACACTATTACTTGCTACTTGCTGCCCCGAGACGTGATTCAATTTCAACTGCGCCCATTGTCCTGGCGCACAGAACTGACGACAGACAACCCGCGCAAGCAGCCTTGACGGCTTTGACCACAAGTTGCGACTGACAACTCACAGCCAGAGGCTATTCACTCGAAAATTCCCATCTAGGTCAACGCCGAGATACCGCCCTTCAACAATTCTCTCCGTGTGCTACACAATAGCCTCACCGATCTTGAATTTGAGAATTCAACCCGACACCGTTCCCATAGCTCTACTTCCTGTCTTGACCCCCCGGGGTCGCGCTTGACTGGGTTTAGATCTCTCTGGCGAGTTGGTCCATCGTACTGTCCAGTCGGAAGGAGAAAGACGTGAGAGGAAAGCTTCATGGTGAAAGGTCCCCTTTTATCACTAAGAAGGAAGAACAATCCCGGCAATAGGTTGGATAGCGCTGCGTGCGCCCCCGAAATGTCCTGACATAAGGTGCACATACTTCTTCTCGACCAAGTCACCGGGCTCGTTGATAATGATGGCATCGGGAGGCATCCATTCAGGTGTCTATGCGCAACCCCCTCCGCCTTTCCCTCAGCACGGCCATTCCACTTCCATGAACCCAACTTTTCCGCAACAACCTCCCCCCATGGCCGCTTTTGAGAGCCAGTCGATCGCTTCTACGCCAGCGCCCACCCCTCCCCCTCCCAGACCGGCGTCTCAGCACCAACCACAGCAAGCCTTATCGGCACAGCAACAGATGGTGTATAACATGAATGGAACAGCCTCCATGTCGAATGGAGGTATGATGGCGCCGCCCAACAGCTTTGGTGGCTACGCCGAGACAAATGCGTTCGCTCAACCTGACTATTATGCGAACGGGCTCAAGCCGCAAATATACACGGCCGTCTATTCCAACGTGTCTGTTTTCGAGATGGAAGTTAACGGTATAGCTGTCATGCGCCGCCGAGCCGACTCTTGGCTGAACGCCACCCAGATCCTCAAAGTGGCGGGAGTGGACAAGGGCAAGAGAACAAAGGTGCTCGAAAAGGAAATCACCGGCGAGCATGAAAAGGTCCAAGGGGGTTACGGGAAGTATCAGGGCACTTGGGTCAACTACCAGCGCGGTCGAGAGTTTTGCAGACAATACGGTGTCGAGCAGCTGCTCCTACCGCTGTTGGAGTACGACATCAATTCGGATGGGATGTCGGGTGTCTCTCAAGGCATCGAGACCCCCACAAAGGAGCAGGCCATGGCAGCCCAGAGAAAGAGAATGTATGGTGGTGACGGCCGACTGGCTGGGCAGCCGACCGGAGGTACTTTTTTCAAAAGTATGTCCAGCACCGCGGCGAATGCTATTCATGCCTTGAATCGAACGAGGCTCGACTCGCCAAATATGGAAGGGCGACGCTCCATCGGACCCAGAAAGCAGTCTCAATCGTTTGGTTACAGCCAGGAGGTTGTGTACGCCAGCCAGCAGAGTATGCCCAGCATGACCAGTCAAGACAGCTTCGGCACAAATGGTGGGATCATAAGCCAGGGTGCGAGCTTCGTCGATTTCCCCACGACTGATGCGCAAGAACCGCCGCGCAAACGCGTTCGACCTTCGCCGCAGTCGTCGTTCCTTTATGATGGTGCAATAGACCTCGGCATGCAAGACGGCGCCCCTACCGAGCCGAATGTCTCATTCCTTTCTCAATCTGGCCAGGCTTTTATGTCTGCGGATCCGCTGCCCTATGGGATGGAACCACTCCCTCATCCGTCGGGCCCCTTGGAGGAGCAAAAGAAGGAACTTCTACTCGACCTCTTCATCGACCCGTCACGGACCGATTTTGACGACCATCCCGCTTTTCTGCGCTTGAGCGGCGATGAGTATGAAGTGCCCATCGATGGCTCGTCTAACACGGCGTTGCACTGGGCGGCCACGTTGGGTCGCATCGCTCTCGTTCGAAAGTTGCTCGAGAAGGGATTTAACATGAGGCGAGCAAACAGTGGTGGTGAGACAGCATTGATCGCCGCATGTCAAGCAAGAAACAATCTCGACCAAAATTCCTTTCCTGCTCTGTTGGAGCTTCTCGGTCCCAGCATCGAGGTCAGAGATGGACGTGGGCGAACCATGCTCCACCACATCGCCGTCGCCTCTGCGATCAAGGGGAGAGCGGCGGTCGGAAAGTACTACCTCGAGTCTCTGCTTGAGTACGTGATTCGACAAGGGACTTCATCAAGATCAAGCACCCAGTTTGATACCATGGGCGGACTGAACAGCAGCCTGAACCAGACAAATAATCCTATGACCCTGGCTAGATTTATGTCGGAGATTGTCAATGCTCAAGACAAAACAGGAGATACCGCTTTGAATTTGGCCGCAAGAACAAGCACGACTACCATCATTGATCAGTTGGTCGAGGTCGGCGCAGATCCGCACATCAGCAACCGCGGCGGCTTGTCTCCAGCAGATTTCGGGGTGGGCGGCGGACCGGTCAACAATCGCATGTTCGATCAAACATTTGCAGCGTTCGATCAACCGTCAGTGGCGAACGGATCAACCCAGAAGTCTTTTGAAGAGGCTCAAGAAGGATTCATGGCCTGTAAGTGATGCCGTCCCACGGATATTCTGTCGATGCTAATGACTGCAGCAATACGCGAAGTCCTGTCTCAGTCCGAGGCCGACTTTGCCGCCGAGATGAAAGAAAGAAAGGAAATCCTGGACAAGACCAACGCAGCATTGAAGGAGTCCGGTACTTCGCTAGCAGAGGAACGGCGGCGACTGGAAGAGAATCGAGCCAAAGTCCGAGAAAAGGACGAACTCGAGCAGAAAATCAGCAACTTACGTCGAGCGGCGGCCAAACTTCGCGCCGAGTTGAGCGAATCGAACCCGCTCAACACGATACAAGACAACGTCACGGTGGGAGAAGCAGACCGAGGTCTCGACCTCGAGGGACAACTGCCCTTGGTGGCACAGTTCTTCCCTGATGGCGAGATAGATGCTGGGCTCATGACATTGAACCAGGAGCAACTCCACCTCTTGGGAAGCTTGGAAAGAGCAGAGGTGGTGTCTGGACGTGTCCAGGTGTATCAGCGACACAACCAACAACTGGAGCAGATGGCCAAGGTACTCAAAGCCCACAGTGTGGAGCTGGAAGCGCGGTACAAGAAGATTGTGAGCCTGTGTACTGGCGCGGATGAAGATAAGGTTGATAGCTTGCTGGATGGTCTCGTGCAGGCAGTGATCAGTGAACAGAAGGAGATGAGCAACAATTCGCAGCTAGGACGAGTTCGGGACTTTTTGAGGATGGTTCAAGGGTCCGGGAACTAGGTCATGTGCCCGGCACCAACGTGATTGACGAGAGATCATTGGGGCACAAGGCGACGAGAAGTGTCATTATCGAGTCAAGCATGGGGGTGCGTGTGTTTTCCACTTGGCACGCGGCCATCAAAGTGCTCATCTTATTAACATTGCACTTGATCTGTGTGGCCAATTATGTGAATGCTTTTGCACATAATCTGTCGTGGCCCGGGGGGAAAGGCAGCTGGGCAACAAATGTTGATTCGACGGAAGGATACGCTGCAATGTCTACTAGCCAGCCAATGTTAGGATATCACGAGTATTACTGCGTCCCAGCAAGGGGCGCAAACCGAGGAGGGCACATGAAACCAAACAGGCAGCCTCGTTGACAATAATAACAACAATAACAAAGTTCCTTTACTGTATATGTACGAGGCACAATGCCAGCCTCTCGTCCGCGCGGTTAATCAAGAATAAATTTGGGTTGCAATGAACCTGTCCGTTCCCGGTTTCTGTTTGCCATTGTGGCAATGGTTGGACGAGAGCCACCGAAAGGTCGGGCCTCGAAACAGGTTGGGACGGGCACGGACGGGGGACGTTGGACGAGAGGGAAAAATTCCAGACGTGGGCAGCGAATGGATAAAAGGGGGTCGGTTTAGGGACGAGCGAGAGTGACCAATGGATAAGAGCTCAGCCGATGGGCGTCGTTGTTTCAAAGATGGCCGATTCTCAGACGATAGGCGGGGACGCCTCCTTTCCCCTCCGCCCCGCCCAGGCCCCGCCCGGCACGCCTCCTGCCCAATGATCCCCTGCCCCTGTCTCCGGTTGGCTGCAAGCCATTGTGTCGAATTTGCTGGGATCACCCGCCCCCTTCTCCTGGGCCACCGACACCACCGACATCAGTGGCATTTGGAGACGACGAGTGCTACGACCGAGGAGTATGTCCATAGTACCTCGTAGTGGATGGGCTTGCTCCGCCTGGAGCTCTCTTGAGTCTTGGCTAGGAGTACCTAGAAGTACCGAACCCCTCCTCCCCTGGCCTCGCCAAGTATAGCAGTCTGTGCAGCGATTCGCTCTCCCTTGACACCATGCGACCTCTGTTGCAACATCCCACTTTCGCGTTTCGTGCTGCGCCGTCGATCTGCTTGCGTTGTTTCATACCAGCCTCCACTTCTTCTTTCCTCGACCTGTTCTAACTCGTGTGCTATCCCCTCGATGGGCGAACCGCGAACCGACGTCCACACGGACCAGGTCCCCATCTCAACCCACCGACCATGTGTCAACCCTCCTTGGCCGAGGAGTTTCCGCTACAGTAAATGTTTTATATTGATCCTGGGCCCTTACTCCTCCTCCCTGGCCGTTGTTACACTCCTCAGACCACTCGTTTTGCACAGGCCCAGCAACAACTCTCCTTTTTGCTCCTGCCTCTGTCTCTTTTTTCTTTTCCCTTACATGCTCGTGGGCAGGTTCCTCTCCCATTTTCTGTGAGCACTCCTCATTCTTTTTTTCTTTCTTCCTGGCAGTCGCTGGCCGTGCCTACATTCATTTTTCAGCAAGCTGTGCTTGGTCTCCATCACCGGTCTCGACGACCACTTGTTTTTGAAGAGATACTCAAACGATCACTACCACCCCCAAACAACAAACAGCAATATCGCAACACCCAATCATGCATTTGACAACCGTCGTTGCCTCGGCATTGTTGCTCTTGGCCGAAGCCGACATGATCTCGGCCAAAGCCATTGTGCATCTGCCCAACGCCATCCGAAGGAGAAGTGCCTGGGACGAAGGGATGATGGGGAGAGAGGGCGATCGAATTCTCCGCCGGGAACCGCAATCCTCAACCGGGCCCCTTTCGGTGGCGGCCCCAACGGGAGCGTTGAACGAAACTATTGCGGCGGCTTGCGTCAGCAGTCTCCAGTCACTCACCTCGGTCGAAAACGCCGCGGGCCTCGCCGCGTGCTACAACATCATGCAATACGACAGCAAGCAAGGCGCCTTCGAGGCCGATCTCCGGCTGTACCAGATGTTCCAACCGACGGGCAACTTCCAGAATGTGCCCATCAACGACATCATGATCAGTTTGACCTACCCCACCAGCACCACGTTCCAGTCGTTGACCAAGCGGCGGAAGCGAGATGTGGAGGCGCGACAGAGCAGCAACAGCAGCATGGTCGAAGTGCAACAGTACACCCTCTTCGGCACGATTGAGAAGAACCTCGATGTCGCCAAACTGAACGACACCCAAGTCATGTCGCTGATGCTGCCGGACATCAAACTGAACGCGGCCACCAACTCCCAGACGCCCATTATGGCCAACGTCAGTGCCGCCGACGGCGCCTGGTTCGTGGTTGGGGCCTTCAAGGACGAATTCAAAAACGGCCTTGTCAGCCCGTCCGTCGCCGCCGCCGCCATCACCGCGGCGGTGCCTTTCGTCCTGCCCGGTACGAAGCTGGGCATTTTCCCCACGGGGCTGATCGTGACCTGCTCCTGGACATTCCTGTTCCTGCTGGCGTATGGGCTGGGCACCATCGGTCGCATTCAATATAGAAGTGTGTATAGAAAGAGAAAGGCGGCTCGCGCCGGTCGAACGGGCAAGAGGATATAGACAAAAGAAAAGAAAGCCTTTGTTGAGAAAGATTGTCGGATCCGATTGTCTTTTTTTTATAGCTTTTTCGGCCACCGACCGAGAGGGAGGAGAAGGAGTGATACTTCCCTCCTTCATGCGTGAGATACCCTCAATTTTTGAACTGTGGACGATATGATTCACAAATGGAATTTTGTACCACCAACAACCGCAAGCAGTCAGTGCAGAATCAAGGTCGGGAAGGGGGAAATGGACGAAGAGAGACGAATGAAGTTTTGTATACGAAATGAAATGAAATGAAATGAAACGAAGCGAAAGTGAAGTGACTTGAGCACGTGACCACGTCAACAGAAACTTCTTCCACTAATAACTCTATTACTATTATTATTTTACTGTTGAATTTTCCCCCGCTGCTTTGTCCTTCCTTGTAGGCGACGAGAACGACAACGACGACGAGGACGAGGTCGTCATCCCACATCCCACGCTTACTTATTCGCCACAATGCTCCGTTCTTTTTTTGTGTTGATTCTATCTTTCACGGTCACCAGACTATGAATGTAACAGAGCCTCTTTCGGGGAGCGCTCGTTTCTGTTCCCGGCAGGTTTGTGCGGTGCAGTCGCATCTTTTTTCCTGTGAACCCTCCCAAAAGCAAAATTTACATTGCCATCAGACCTGATTTCGAACTGGGTGATATTCTGGTGGGGGTCTTCACCCACGAAATTGAGGCTCTTCTCCCCTGGCCGCGCGCTACCACCGCGAAGCCCTGGTGAATTAGTGGTAGGCATGGAGCACCTCTACCCCTACCCCAAGATGGGAACGTCCTTCCTCGAAATCCTGCAGGACTCGTTGACTCGCAAGCTGCTGGGGTTTGAGGCCGTCCACGCCGAACCGATACCATTCATCAGTGGAGTCACATCGCGGCTGAAGTTCTTGCTGAACGATGCCATGCAACAGCTGTCGTTCCTCAAGATTGGTTATACGGCGCTCGAGGCGTTCTTGCAGGCAAACTGTACGGGGCCACCCCTGGACTTCAACGCCGACGAGGTCATCTTTCCAGAGATATACCGAAACCAGGGTCTCGAGGCCCTGAGACAGGCACTGTTTGAGGACCTTTCCGTCGATGGCTCTCGCCCGTATCCATTGACGCCGCACCTGGAGCTCTTCTGGCTCGCCAAAGTCATTCTGTCCAATCCGACACTGGCGGAAGCTGGGTTCAATGGCCGGAGGGCACGCTTGCGGGTCAACTTCTGGCACCAGAAACTCCTGTTGGAGGAGTCCCCTTCCCTCCGTGATACCATCTATGCCGACGCCGACGTTCTCGAGCACCAACTTACTTCTCGCTTGGCATTTGGCGGAGCAGGTGCCGAAGAACACTTCGTCGGCTTCCTCATCGAGCGAGCCGTAATTCGGACACACTACGGCGATGATGCGCTGGCGAGGGCGGACCTGGCCAAGGCTGCCACGACGCGTCAGTTTCAATTTGTGCTGACGGGCGCGTTGGGCAAAAGGACGAAGTTCCAGGACCGAGATATCAGCCAACTGGTCGTCCTGGCGAAGAGCCGAGATCGAGAACCAGAACCTTACAGCAGTCGCAAAGGGAGTCGGGTCGAGGGCGCAAAATCTAGCGAGGCCATGGTGGAACCTGCCCGTGATGAAGCTGTTGCGACGCCGAAAGCCACGGCGACAAAGCCTGAGAGCCTTCTGCTTAACGACGACACCCTTCTCGAGCACATCCAGTTCCAATCTCCGACCCCAGAAGCACCCGTATCAGAAGACACAATGACACACGTTGCGTCCCCCAATTCGGACATCCCACCACAACTCGCATCTCTCGATCCGGCAAATCAGCCGCTCCTCTTCCCCATCGACAGTATCATCCTGCTTGCCACCGCGAGCAGTATCACCAACACCTCTCCGGACGACGGGCTGGTGAGGGAAGAGACCTTGCCTTACGCGACGCGAGTCCTGGACGGAGGTTCATCCAACTGGCAGGTATACACCCAAGCCCTGCTGGTCCGGAGTAGAATCGAGGGTTATCGAGCCCGTACCGCTGAGCGAGGCCTGCTGCAGCTGCAGGCCCTGGTTGATCAGGTAATTGTCGAAACGACACCGGAACCTACATCGTCAGCATCAGATGTGAAGGACCCAACGACATCCACCACAGAACCAGCAGGCCCGTCGACAACAGGTGCAACCACATTCCTGCCCAAGGCAACCCCCTCTGAGTCCGCCTCCGTCGCCGAACGTCTCAAATACGTATACCAGCTTTCGCCACCGCTGCGGTGGGAGCTCGAAGCCGAGCTTGCGCAGCGCTGGACTCAGATGGGCGGCCTCAAAACCGCGCTGGACATCTACACCCGTCTGCAGATGTACGCGGAAGTGGCGCTATGTCTCGCAGCAACGAACCAAGAAGCCAAGGCTGTCGAGTTGCTCAAGGACTTGCTGTTTGGAGAATCGCAGGCTGCAGATAGTACGGACAGACAGCTTCGCTCACCTCCACCTGCGGACACCCCCCGCCTTCTTTGTATACTAGGCGACATCACCGATCAGCCCTCCTACTATTCCCTGGCCTGGACCGTCTCCTCCAACCGATACGCCCGCGCACAGCGGTCGCTCGGCCGGTACCACACCAAGAAGCGCGACTTCCCGCGCGCCGCAGAAGCATACACCCTCGCGCTGAGGATTTCTCGCCTGGACCGAGCGAGCTGGTTCGCGCTGGGCTGTCTGCAGCTGGAGCAGGAGGAGTGGATGTCCGCTGTCGAGAGCTTTACTCGCTGCGTACAGTTGGACGACCGGGATGCGGAGAGCTGGTCGAATCTGGCCGTGGCGTTGCTGAGGCTCGACAAACCCGTGGAGGGGACCGTGGATGTGCGCCCAGAACCAGATCGCGAGGCCGCTATTACAGCCACGACCAGCGCTGCCGAGACGGTCGACGGTGACGAAACAACAACACCTCCCACGCAGAAAACCGACCCGTACCGGCACCTGCGGGACGCGCTGCGGGCGCTGCGGCGCGCGGCGACCTTGAAAAGAGACGACGCCCGCATCTGGGACAACTACCTCACGGTCGCGGCGAGCATCCCGCCGTCGGCGAATACGCCGTGGGGGGAAGTCATCCAGGCCATGCAGCGCGTGGTGGAGCTGCGACGCCAGCGAGAAGGCGAGAAGTGCATTGATCTGAAGATCTTGGCCGTCCTCACCGACTACGTCACGGGGACCTGGACGTATCCCTCGAGAGAAGAGGAGAAGGACGGGGATGGAGAAGACGACGACCTGCAGGACGAAGACTTTGCCGCCACCGCCACCGCGGCGCAGGACGGGCAGAGCGGGAAGGACGAGGGGATACCAACACCGACACCGACGACGACGACGACGACGACGACGACGACGACCGCAACGCAAGGCGGGAAACTGCCCTACATCCCCCGCGCGTTCCTGGCCCTCATCGACCGACAAATCAGCCCGCTGGCGACGTCATCGGCACCGCTGTGGACGCTTTTATCCCGGGTCGCGCAGTGGCGGCGCCGGCCTCACGCGGCGCTGCAGTGGAGCGAGAAGTCGTGGCGCGCGGTGCTGGAGCCGGGGTCGTCGGCGGCGGTGTCGTCCGGCGAGGACACGACTTTCGACCACGTGGCCCCCGAGCGCTGGCGCCAGGTCGTCGACAAGACCGTGTGGATGATGGCGCGGTACCGCGAGCTGGGACCGCTGCCGCGCGAGCGCACCGGCGGGCCCGTCGAGGCCAAGTGGCGCTTCAAGGCCCGGAGCGCGGCGCGGAGGGTCCTCGGCCGCGCGAAGGCCTGGGAGGAACGAGGGGACGAGGACTGGGCGAGGCTGAAGGCCGCGGCGCGCGAGGTGGATGCCGACGCCGCTGCCGGTGCTGCGTGAGGGCGGCGGTCATGAAAAACTGGGAGACAGATGGGTGGATGGATGGATGGGCTGTTTCGGTACATACATCGGTCAAGAGTCTTCTTGGGAAAACACGGATAATACATGATATCCATGTCCCGATCCATCTGTGGCCGAGAGGAGACGTGGGAATGAATAAGTGACAACGCATACATTTGAGAGACGAGGAGAGAAGGCGAAGAAGAAAAATGGAGAGAAAAGAAGAAGAAGAAAAAACCCACGGTTTGCAATACGGTCACGTCAAGTCAAGTCAAGTCAAGTCAAGTCAACCGGTCACCGCTGTGGACGACTCACTCACTCATTCACTCAGCAGAAAACCAGCAGGCCAGCAAATAAAATCCATCAATCTACCACCACCACCGTCACTACCACCAGCAAAGCAAAGAAACAAGCCAGCCAGCCAGCCAGCCAGAGCGACTCGACGACCCCCGCCCCAGCCCGGGCGAGCCTAGTGAGCCTCTCTCTGATATTCGGGGTCTTTTGGACCTGCCCTGTCCAATCACTGTGGTAGGGGAGGTGGGAGAGAGAGAGACAGAGGAAGAAGACACACAAGGAGGAACTAAAGCTCTGATGCATCAAAACCCGATGCGTTATGACATATTGATTCGTGATTCTAACTCAACCTTGCGCCGCCCTGGCCCTCGGACACCATCATGGTTTTGGCGAGTTCCCAGGTTTCGCCACTGGAGATAGCAACACCAGCGGCATACATTGAAGTACTGGAGTATTGGGGCAAAACGCCCATCTTCAGGAGCCCCTGGATCGGTTTCCCACTCCGTGCACATTATGCGTGCACTTTGAGCGTGCTTCCAACTCACCATCAACCGAGTATTTGGACCAGAATCCTGCAAGTATACCCTTGGATCCCCCCTGGATCCCAGAGTCCGTACGTCTGGTCGTGAAGGCACCCCATTTTGAATCAAGTGTACACACTCTGCGAAATATCACCATGATTAGTCAATGTTGCCATTGTTAGGCCTACTGGGGTCGTGATGATAGACCACTCACCTCGGTGTAAGAATTCACCTGCATATTTCGCTCAGCCATCTCCTCCTCGCACAGGAAATCCAAGGGCATCCAGACGAGATGTCCCCTGATCTTGTCCATTTCTTTCCTGACCAGCTCAGCTGGCATATGGGGGTCGTGCAAGTGGCCCTGTTTGATCGTCTTGCGGGGTGCAAAGTCATCGTAGTCCTTCCACGTCTTGATATGGTTATCGGGATCGGCGCGGAACAGGTACCGGTAGATGTCCGTGTTCGTCGTGGCTTGGGTCGTCCATTTTTCCCACAAAGCATCGGACAAGGGGTCGGCGACGAACTCCCACTCTTCGCCCGAGTACTCGTCGTTCATGCAGACGGTGGGCGGTTGAGCGTTTGGGTCATTCGAGGCGTCAACAGACTGCGCCTCGATCAGACCCAGGTGTTCACGCCAGATGTGGCGGCGGAGGGTGGCAGCGTGGAAGCCTGCTTGATAGGGCTTGCCGTCCATGGTCGATTCGAGGACTTTGGTATCGGTCATGACGATCGAAAGTTCCGAGTCGTGCGCACCCAACATGGAGCGATCGTTGATGTTACTCGACCCGCATATCACCGTCTTGTCGTCTACAATCAGCAGTTTGGCGTGGATATAGAGTTCTTCTTGCACGAAGTTCTCCTTTTCAGCCTCCGGCTCGCCTTCCCACACTTCTTCACTGACGAGCCCGCCACGAGCCATGGCGTCTTCGGCAATAGATTCGGCGGAAGTGACGGGGTCTTTAACGTCGAGTTTCTTGCGTGCGGCCTCGAATCGACGCTTCCGGTCGACGATGGCGTGTTGTTCATCTTCGCTGGTCTGGGCGCCCGTCCCACGAGAGTCTTTCTCGCCCTTTTCGCCTTCGTAACCGTGGATGCCACTGCCCATGATCTCCTCTGCTTCGGCGCGCTGGAGCTGTTGATAGGAAACTCCAGACTCTTTCTCCTGCTGGATGAGTGATGGGGTCCTATCAATGCGGTCGTAAGCGCGCAGGTTGAAAACAAAGATGTACTTGGTGGGGTCCACCCCAGCGGCTTTGAGCTGGCCATAGATCGAGTGTTCACCTCGATTGATGCTCTTGTACTGGTAATCCATGATGGCCCGCGTGCCATTGGCGGCATCGCTGCGAAGATCGCCCGCAAAGCCTGGGATGGCAGGGATGAGGATGATGACCCTGAACTTGCGATCTTCCTTGGCAGCACGGACACAGGCGTTGACTATGGCTCGGCCGATCTGGTTGTGGATTGGCGCCTGATGCTCGCCGGTGGCCGTGATGAAGAACTGGTTTTCAATGTAGACATAGTGCTGGGCACTCTCAATCACTTCTGCATAGGCAGTTTGGATACTGTGATCGAGGAGGATACCACTGCTCCAGTCGTCGCTGCTACGAACCACCTGCGCATGGACCGTGCCGGCGTTCTGAAGTCCTTTGCCCTCGAGAGGGCTGAGGGGATGTTCGATATACTTCCCCACGGGATGTTTTGGTCTCTGGATTGCGATGAGGTCTTCATCTGGATTAGAGCCATCTGCCCTCGACCGAGTCGTCATACACAGATAGTCGACACCCTCGTCGCGCTTGTATTTGTCTCGTTTGATAAAGTTCCATCTCAGCACGAAATGTTCGGCAATATCTAATACAGATTCGCCAATCACCGCCATTGCGACATCATGCCACGGCATCCGTCCGTACTCGGTCTTGTTCAGTTCGTTATTCGACCAATCCTCCACTGTTTGGAAGTCCATGATTCTAGACGGATCCTTAATCAGCCTGGTCCTTTTTTTTTGAATGTGTCGCGCTTTACCTGTTATTATTGAAGTCTTGTCCCGGGAAGATTTCATTGACCACTCCCGAAGGGTGGACATCCGCCAGGAGGTGCTGACGGACGTCCCACCTCCCATAGCAAAGATCTAGGCCTCCGATGAATGCGAGGTGATAGTCAATAACAATGAACTTCTCATGATGCGCCCAGTAGAATGTCATGTCACCAAGGTTCTCGAAGACGTTGTGGTCTGGGTGGCGCAGGACGTGGATGTTGCCGTGGCCAGGGCTGCCCGGAGGACAAAGTGCTCGTAAGGCATGCTTGGTATGCGCGGAATTACAGGTCAAGGCTTGCTGGACTTCTTTGTAGACGATCACGTAGACTTGCACCCCACGTTCGGCAGCACGCTTGATAATTTGATCTAGACGCCATTCCTGGTTGAAAAAGGGAGGGCGGCGCAAGAATAGTTCGGGCGAGAGCCACCAGTCGGCAATGTAGATGGTCTCTTTGGCATTTTCGAGGCCCACCGAAACGGCCCAGAAATAGTCACGGCCGTCGACATACCACTTGATGCGGTTGTTGTCGCGCTCGGGGAAGAAGGACTCGAAACGATGCGACTCGCAGATGCCTGTTCTCTTGCGGTCCGTCGCTTGTTCATGCGCCTCGTCGTGGCGATGGTTCCGGTTGACCAGGTTCTTGAGCTTGCCAATCTTGTGCTTCAAGTGGATCGCCTCGACTTTGGCATCGTGCAGCTTGGAATCTGAAAGGGGGAATAATCATCTACCTGTCCGAGGGATGGAGGGATTGATGAGGCTGACCTTTGAGCTTTTCGCGAAGAGCTTGCATCCTGGTCGATTTGCTTTGCTCCGGCTCTCGCTTACCTACCACCCGCAGCAGAAATGTAATCTTAGCGTGTCCAGGCGCGATCCACGGCGGTACGAGTGTGTTGGTGTAATGCGCAGTGCGCGTGTGTGCTCAAGAATGCAACGATTCTCTGGTCAACAGAGCCGAAGCGAAGCAGAGGAATAATATGGGAGTGAATGAAAGACAAACGAACAGAACTCGTAACGATAAGATGTGGGAATATACTTTGTGGACTCCGTTGACCTTGGTCAAACCCATGCAAAGTGGTGGGCGCATCCTGTCGCAGTGTCAAGTAATTGTCAAGTAAGAGGGTCAGATGTTCAGCTCGCAAGTGGCAGAACCAACACACTACGTCATTCGCGGGCTTGGCTTCTCCCGCCGTGTGTTGCTTCTCCTAATAATCCTCCCCTCAGCAACAACCAAAAGCCCCCCCTCCCCGGGCCCCTCCCCCCCAGGCATCCATCAACTAGCTCGCTAGGTATGCCGCCATCCGTGTCAGTGCTGGCCCCCGCCTATTAGGTTTCGATTCAGCTCTCGAGTGCTGCCCCAAGCATTCAGCCGACCGAAGAATGTCACCCACGCAATAGGGTAATGTTGCAAATAGAATCCATTCATCTACATCCACCCAAATGACCCGTCAAATTCCCAGACCACGTCTTCCTGATATCCAAGCCGAATCTCCTCGAAACTCGGCACAATGCCTCTGTCGTAGTATTGCACCAGTGTGTCCATATCTTCTTCGTCCATCGCATTGAATTCTTCGGTAGTCCATTTGTCACAGACCTCGCTCATCCACCCCATTCTCTTGCTGATGTCACGCGTAGTTTTGCCAGGGGCAATTTTTCGGAGCATTCTCCTCAGTTGCCCAACCTTCTTGATACTGTCTCCTGTGCCGGTGGGCAGCATCTCGCCAATCTGTCGCCGGATAGCCGCTGCCATCCTGGGTCCATTTCCGTTGGTAGAGACCATGATCTGGAGGGGACCATCCCGGTGGACGCTGCCAAAGTAGAAGTCGCATTCGGGCGGCACGTCGGCAATGTTGGCGGGCACTTTCAATTTCTTGCAGTACTTCCATATGCGCGTGGATGCCTCCGGATCATCGATGGCACTGAGGACCATGGCGACATTCTTTTCCGGCTCGAGATCGAGAGGGAGGAATACTCGGTCGACATGTTTGACCTGCCCTTGGTCTACGCGATACGCCACCTCTTCATTTAGGCCCGCACGCGGACAAACGACCGTCACTTTGGCGTCAGCATTGAGCAGATTGACGATTCGGCCGGCCGCGACCTAGACCGCAACGCGTCAGTCAGTGTTGTGTTGTTTTCACAAGAGGGCGTCTCAGTCAAAAACAAACCTCACCACCACCGATCACGAGCACTTCCTTGCCTTTGATCTGCCATGCGAGAATCAGGGAGCCTCCGCCCTGGATCTCTGGAAATTTAGAAGGCATGATGAGCGCATAGTGATATGGTCAAGCAATGCCATGGAGTCAGCCGTGACCGTGAAAGGGATGTTGTGGTCGGCTGACTTCATAACGGATGATGTGGAATGCCACGAGGCGGATAAGAAAAGGGCCGCTCCCAAAAAAAGTTTATTGGTATGTCTGACAGTGGTTCAGAGGGCATCTTTGACGCGTCTGAGGAGGCCTTTGGCATGGTCTGACAGCACTCATTCAGCTGCTCTGCTGTGTTGTCACGTGCTCTTCCTCAAGAGCTTTGTGATTGGTCGAATGGCTCTGCACCGTTCAGAAAAAAGTCACTTCCACCTCCCACGGCTGCTTCGTCCTGGCTGTTCCATGTTCTTGTGTAACCTTCCGAACAATGAAAGATCCATGAATGAAACTTACCTGGAGGCCATGACATCGTGTTAAGTCGAGAGACAGAGGCTACACTACTTGTTGCTGGAGTTGTTGGGCTCTTCCTATCCTCTTTGTTTTGCTTCAACCTCGAGCACCTCTTCACCTCGGCCAACATGCGTGGCGTCCAAGTCTTCTCCGGCAGATCTCACCCTGCCCTCGTCGAGTCTATCTGTGAGCGACTGGGGTCTTCACCAGCCAAATGCGAACTGGGCAACTTCGCCAACGGGGAAATCAGCGTCCAGATAGGCGTCTCTGTTAGAAACGAAGATGTCTTCATCGTGCAGAGTGGCAGCCCTCGCATCAACGACAGTGTGATGGAGATGCTCATCATGATTGCTGCATGCAAGGGTGGCTCGGCCAAGTCCATCACGGCTGTGATTCCTTACTTCCCTTACTCCCGCCAATCCAAGAAGAAGAGTCACCGAGGTGCAGTCACGGCAAAGATGCTTGCTAATCTCATGGTGGTGGCCGGCGTGGACCATATCATCACGGTCGACCTGCATGCCTCACAGATGCAAGGGTTCTTCGGGAAGCCCGTCGACAACCTATTCGCGGAACCGATCATTGCCCGGTGGATCAAAGCCAACGTCCCCCGCTGGGGCGAAGCAGTCGTGGTGAGCAAAAATGTGGGTGGTACGAAGCGAGTCACTTCCCTGGCCGATGCCCTCAAGCTCAGCTTCGCTCTCGTGTCCACCGACAAGGATCGTTCACGGCATTCACACCACCACAACAACCTAGCGGACAGCATGGTTTTTTTTGATGCCATTGAGCCACAGTCCATGCGTTATCGCGACCACCTTCTGGATGTTGATGAGGCCGACGATGCCGACAACGAATCCGAAAGGTCACACCACCGCACTTTTCCTTTGCGTGCCAGGGGTCCCACGCTAAATGGTGTCAGCCGCCCTGGCATTGGCAGGCCCAAGGCAGTGACGATAGCAGCGAGCCCCTTGGTCCAGGCGGCGAGAGTGGAAACGCCTTCTCCTCCTGCTTCGCCCAATCCCTCGTCCCGCCTCGAGCCGATTCCCAGCGCACGCCGACCCTCTGAATACGAAGCTAGTGAAGCGCAGAATGATCAGCGGGCAAGAGATGTGGTCGTGGGCCGGCTGATCCAAGGCCACTTGGTGGACGACGACCGTCCCTCTTCAGCAATGTCTAGCATGTCTGCTTCCCTGGCGAACCTTGCTGGCGAGCGACCTCTCCAAGACGGAACAGATAACCCCACCAATGATCCTATGACTTCGTCCTTTGTATCCAATGCATCGTCCTTTCAACCGGAACATGCGCTCGGAGGAACCTTCGACGCGGCCGCAACGTCGGATGAAGAAGAGGAGGGTATCAAGAATCCTGACCTTGAACACACCATCACCCTCGTAGGAAACGTCAAGGACCGGACTGTCCTCCTTATGGACGACATTATTGATCGGTCTGGTTCGTGGATTGCGGCGGCGGAAACCTGTGTCAAGATCGGCCATGCCAGAAAAGTTTATTGCATCGCAATCCATGGACTGTTTGGCGAGAGCTCCTTGGAGGAGTTAGAAGCATGCGACTACATTGACTATATCGTCGTGACAAATACCTTTCCCGTGCCGCCTGAGCGGATCCGTGCTTCGAAGAAGCTCATCATGATCGATCTCTCCAATCTCCTCGCGGAGGCCATCCGACGCAATCACCACGGAGGTAAGTGCAAACTCCCGATATGGACCATCCGCAGCTGACTCGATCATGTCGCAGAGGATATGTCGACGCTGTTCCAGTTGAATGCGTGAGAATGACCAGCTCTCTCAGCCCTGGTCTCCAGTCAAACTTCCTTGTCAGATTACGCCTATCATGCGCTCGACCAAGCGTCGTGAACCCTCGAATTGTCTTATTCATAGAATGGCACGACCAATCACTTATCAGCTTCGCGGCCTACAAGTGCTTCAAAGTACGTAATTCAGACCTTCAATGCTACTACCCCTGTAACACAGGAAACAAAAGTTCCGCTACTCATGAGCTCACGGATCTGCCGCCATGGCGCACCCCAGGAGCTCGAAATCTTAGCGGCCCGTGCCAGACGTTGCCAACGCCATGATGGTGTCAAGTCCCGGCCGGTGGGCAAGGGCATGTGCTGTTGTGTTACAACAATTTTTCGGATTTTTCTAAGCCACTTTCGTATCCAGCACGGGCATAGGGCGCCGGTATTGTTTTTCGGTCTCTCCAATCAGTGCCGGCATTGAACTTACCCAAGAGTTTTCTTTCGACGACACGGGATCAACCCGACAGAATAGTCCGTCCCTGCCTCCAATGCTGGGAACATGTGCTCATGGGGATGCATGACGGCTCTAACCCGTCTTTTGTTTTTCCTTCGCCCGCCAATAGGAGGACTCTCTCCATGAACACCGCTTGGAACTCGGTGTTTTACCATGAAGGATTATTAGAAGGCATTATCCTTTTTCATTTCACTCACTCCAGCGGACTGTCGTGTAGAGCTTGGAGGGTGGGGAGCTGAACCAGAAGACCGTGCAAGCCAGATCGAGACGAAATGCATCTCTTCTGTCCACTGAGGATCACAGCACGCGTTGCGTTGCAGCTGCGGGGCTTGTCTAGGGGAGCAGCTAGCACAATCTTCAAGAGCGAGTCGTCAGCCAGGACCAACTGTTTAGCAGATGCGCGGATCCGGTCTTGGGGGGCTGTGGGGGAGTTGTGTGGGCGACCTCTGTGAAATCTGTCGCTGGAAAGTCTTGGGAGGGGGATCTTGCGGGCTGGCAATCTCTCGGGTAAAAAAGGATCGACACTACGCCTCGTTAAAGGACGATCGGACTACACCGCGAGAACCACTGGGCTGGTGTCGCTAGGCCATTGCCCCGGGACTTGTGGCTTGCACTTCGGTTCGCGCTTCACCATTGCGTGCGTAGCTTGGTCCATACGATGACAGCGCCGCTGTGGGGGTCACCCGGCTATCTATCCTCTGGCGCTTTACTGAGGCCTTGTCTTGAAGAGTCTGGAAAAGCCACCAGGTTGCATTGATACTGAAGCACCGACTATCGAACTTTGCATGGGCCTGGGCTTTGGTCCGACGCCCTGCTCGGCCCACAAACCCTCCCATGCTCAATCCACACCGGTTCGACCATGGCATGGCTCTTTTCAGCCTGTCGTTGCCTTCCAAAGCCTGGTCAACCAGGGACGACTATGTCATCTAGCACCCTCTCTAAATCCAGGAAAACTCTAATTTTGGTTCACGACTGGGGAAAGGGGTTAAGTCGTCGACGCACGATACTCATGAGGTTCCATACCAGCTGGTATGGGCAGGTGAGGGACTCTCTCGAGAGGCAGCTCGGGCTGAGGTTTTTAGGCTAACGGGGGGAATGTGTTCCCGTTGAGCTATGAGAGAGACTTAAAACTTTCTTTTGGATGGGTTAGGTGCAATGCCAACTTACCGACCCAGCGTCGATTCGCTCAGTCGCTCACCAAAGCGTGAGCCTGGGTCGCTGGAGCCATCCCGTTAAGGGTAGTCAGAAACGCTGGTGAACGGGTTCTTTCTTGTCAGAGGATTTCCACGCGGAAAATGTGATTTTCTCCTTCTCTGGCCCATCTCTGCAAAACCGACAGCCACAATCGCTCCTGACGTTCTCGACGCCAAGTGATGGAAGCATCGTGTGTGCTTGATCTGTTTGTCCATCACGGTCCGTTCGCGCCCAGCTGATGCACCGAAGCTTGTTGAATCACCATGCTGTTCTCCCCCGGGCCTTACCTGTATGAACGACAAACGGCTGCTATAAGTATCGCTCGATCTCTTCCTCTCGCTGACCATTGGTCTAACCATTTACCCCAAAGAAGCCCTGACGACGAACACCCTATCCATCCATTGATTGCGTCTAAAAATAAGATACGAAAAGATCAAGCGAAGATGAAGACCAACACTGGCGTGAGTCCTGACTTTTGTTGCACAGCGCTGCTGGACTGTGGGATATCGCTGACTCTCGAGGCATGCATCTGTAGCCGGCCAACACTAGGTTGAACTTCCGATACACTTATCCGCAATGCCCTGGGCATGAATATGTCAAGATCTCATCTCCGAGGGATTCTTCTATAGTTTGGCATTGTCAGAAATGCACGCAGGCCCACTCGACAATCCATCAGTGCCGGCTCTGTGGCCACAATCTGTGCCCGAGCTGCGCCAACTACAGCAGCCAACGTACCGGTGTCATGGTGCCTTCTAGCAGTCGCACTCATGGTCGGTGAGGGAAAGCAAGAAGAAGACATATCAAGTCGATGGTTGCGGATCGGCGACGACTGCGGTGCACCACCATTGATGGCCACAGACTTGAACATGTCTTGTTGGGGTGCTTGTGAGATTACCTCTCGTTCCACAATCTCCCTACTGTCTCGATCGATCGATCGATCGATCGGGCCAATTGGGCTTGGTGGTGGACCTTTTTTCTTCGGGACCACTATTTCGGGGACTTGAATACAGTTGCTGGCACACCGTGCAGGCAGGTTGACTTCAAAGACACAAATGAGAGCTGCGTGCTGCCTGTGGGTTGCTGGGGAGGCACTGCGTGCGAGCGAGAGCTCTGACAGACAACATTGTGAGCGGTTCAGCTCAGGCTCAGATCATTCAGGTCATGGGAAGTGAAAACTGATGCTTCAGAGGGGATTCCGTGGGGGAAGCACGAACACAACGACATGCTTGAGTCAATGGTATTGTCATGACCCCAAGGGACGACGGTCTCGTCGTCCTTTGTAGTGCCGATTGGCAGTTATCTGAACCGCTTCTTGTAATACATAAATATCTGCTGGCCCTGCAGCCACTTGACAGCCTTGGACGACCTTATCCAAGGTCCGGAATACCGGGAATACCGGTCTCCATCAACCATCTGTGAAGTATGCTTTCTGACACACAATCGTTGCAAGGCAAGCAAGTCTCTGCAAAGGCTCGGACAGAACAATCGAGCCATGAAAGTTCACACAGTGGGTTGTGTGGCAGGGATACCTCTCCTTGTCGACGGGCAAGCGATCAAGAACCTGAGAGAAACACATAAAACACAAGGGGCACGCAAACGTCAAGCAACAGCGCGAGCATGCTCATCCCGCTGCTTTGAAAGGGCTAAAACGGGCGATGGAAACAACTCCTTCCCCCCTGGAGGGGTCATGATTCTCTTCTTCCGGTTGACCTTTGCTTCTGATGTTCTCCTCTCCGATCCCCCCCCTACTGCTGTCTTCTCCCGTTCAACTGTTGCTCCCTCCACCCCAGGCAGTCTCGATATCAGACCAGACAGCCCAGAAAGAGTGCAAGAAGTGCAGAACGGCGGTCAGTGGGTGCTCACGCGGAACCGACCTTGTTCCCTCACCTCCTTTCTTCGAGTGCGTGCGCCATGGCTGGCTTGCTGGCTGGCTTGCTGGCTTGCTTCCTTACCTGCATATTCCTCTTCTTCTCCGCGGGCGAAAGGTCAAAGACAGAGAGGCGAGAAGGGAGAGACGAGGACGCCCAGGAGAAGAGAAAGCAAATGGGCGTAAGGGGTAGTGCGGCGTCGATCATCTGCTCGCTGCTGACCTGGGTACGCCGCGTTGGGACAACTTTCCACAACGGGGGCATATGCACATGCACATACCTACACGTCCAGATAACCCCCTGCCAGTGACGCCCTCTGGTGCCGTGTGTGGGTGACACAGAGCCGCGAGAAACTCGGAGCAACCAGGCCGCCGGGTCTCTAGAGGCTGCTGATATGAGAATGGTTAGCCCCAGATGCCACACTCCTGCCTCCCGCCTCCGGCATCAAGCAAGGGGGAAGCGTGAGCGTTGATTGGTGAGAGACAGGGGAGGTGGAAGATGATTCCGCCTCCTTCTCTCTCTCTCTCTGTGGCTGTCTCTCCTTCGAGGCTGGGTGAGGTTCCACTGGCATGTCGCAGATGCGGACAGTTAATAGGCGAATTGACTTTGGAATATGAGGCGCATCTCCGGGATCCCCGAGATGCCTGCAGATTGTGTGAGGCGCCACCACCCACCATCAAACGGTAATGGTGTAAGTATGGGTGGATGGGTGGATGGGTGGGTAGGTAAGTTGCCGGTGAAGAGGAGATCAAACGAAGAAGACAACGGAAGAGGAGAGGGAGGAGAGAAAGGCGTTCTTGGAAACGTCGAAGATCGCCAAGGGACGGACAGAAGAACCAAGAGCACGAGACAAATGGCAGGGATGTATGTCATGACTTTGTGTACCCTGAGCCGAGTATACAGCTTGTGCAGGTTAAGAAGCTAATAGTACTTACTGGGAGGTACCTGATTTGCTATGCGTATTTTAGCTTAGTTTGACGGTGATGTGGGTTGCATGAAGTTCGCTCGCATCTCGTATCGAGTACATACACAGCATGCATGCATATGCTCTTGTGGCACACACAGACAAACACAAACACTGCTGCGTCGTGGGGATTTGTTACGAGTCGTGTCGACCGTGTCGTCATACAGTACATTACTTGCTGCCCTAGGTACGTTATGGCAGCCAGAGGAGAGAGACAGACAGGGAGAGAGATCGACCTCCCTTATGGACCACGCCTGCATATGCAGCATGGCCGACTATCCCATCCCATCCCATCCATTTGGAATGAGTGGAAGATGAACTTTGCACCCCATAAGTTTTCCTCCTCCCCCATCATGTAGATACCTAGATACTGCGTAGTAGAGTTCGGACGGTAGGTACTTCCGCGCTGCAAAAGTCCGGATCGAGGAAGACGTGGCTGAACGTGGACTGAGATGAGAATAAACGAATCTCCACTCTAACTAGCTCGTATCCTTCTTGCCACGGTCCTCCTCCTCCTCTCTCCCGGACGCGTCAGCGTTACGATCGTTGTTACGGTGTTAGAAGTCACGAGCATTCGTCCTGCTCTCGCTCGCCACTTAACTCACGACTACTATCCCGTGTGTTGCAGCGGTGCCTTGGACAGCTGAATATGGGTCCCCCAGACTAGCGAGCGAGCGATCGAGCGACGGGGTCATCGATCTGCAAAAGTGGTTGGGTTGGGGCCATCGAGCTAATGGGGAGCGAGGGATGATGCCCAGCAAAACTAACGACAAACGAATACATACTACTCCGTAGCTGGTAGTCACTCCATCATCGCGGATTTGCAAAGGTCCGAAACTCTTCGGAGTGCCCTAGGACGAGAACAGGCAAGGGTGGAAAACCAATCGACAACAACACCGGTGACTGACTTGCCCGATGATATGAATGACCCTATGTTCAACGGATTAGGGAAAAAAAAGAACAGGTCCCAGTGGGGGGAGAACAAACTGGTGCCCCCGGCCCTGTCGGGATCGGGTTCAGGATCATGGTTCCTCTCGAGCGGCACGGGATGCAAACTGTGATGGGATTTCTGGAACATAATACCTGTGCCCGGCGGATTGATTGGCTGGTGGTGGTATTGGGCCATCACCACCGTCACCATCCCATTACCGCCGTGCCGCCCTCATGGCCCATCCACGACCTCGTCACGACTAACTAACTATCGTGGGACCGAACGGAGGGAGTACACTACACCGATGCCGGGTGATGAGCAGTTTCCCTCTTAGTCCGGCCCCTTGGCCGTCGGAGAGCCCCCTTCCGTCGTGGAATACCTCTGCAGCATCGGGGTCCAATCTAGTTCAGCCCACAAACGAGGACGGCACATGGCCATGGCAAACAGTCCGACGGGACAAAAGGAGAGGAGGATAAGCAGCGTCCCAATCCGGGCACACGAGAGCTCATCCATCCATCGGTTTGTTGTCCTCTCTCGGATCGATCCTAGTCATATGAAGGTGTCCCCGGCATCCGATATTGAGCTCAACCCCTTCTTTGTAGCTCGATGTCGTTGTAACAGCCTCAAGCAGCCTCGTCAGGTAGACCTTGGAACAGGCTTCGGCCATCCATTTGGGCGGGGCGTGGCACAGGTAAGCTCGCATGCAGTACGAAATTTAGTAATAACGCAATAGACAAGTGCCAGATGGTATCTGCCAGAAGATCCAAACAATCTGCTTTCAAAGCCGTGGGCGTTTGAAAAGGGAAAGGAAAGAAAAGGAGTGAAATGCAGCTGCAAAATCCACAGCCGGACCCGACCAGCCGATCGTTCATATGGGTACCATTTCTATACAATAATCACCGTGCTCAGCCAAAATGATCCAGGCTTTTGGACGCTCCCAACGGACAAGACATTGCCAGCCGCCAACCAAGACCGTTCGTCCAACCCGTCATCATGAGAAATCTCGCCCCTCAAGTACGATCGGCGCAGCCAGAGTCCAGCTGTAGATACCATAGCATAGCCATGCACTGATGATCTTGATCCAACTTGCCCAGTATGTTCGTCCCACCGGTGTAAAGTCGCTCGCAGCCTCCGGGTCCATTTTCTGCGTCAAAAGTGTCGCCACCCAGCACGTCGCCATGAGGAAGATGATGTGGAACAAGCTGTAGTTGTATTGCGTCCCTTGGCGTTCGTCGTCCTTGGAGCTGACGTCGGTCGCATCTTCATCGTCAGAGTCCTCATCCAATGCGGAGGCCGGGAGCGCTCCACTTTCCACCGCCGCTCTCATGATCTCGCGACGGGATGCGGGCTGCTGAGACACCAGCCCGTGTTCGTTCTCGTCTTGGGTGAGCTGGGCATATCGATTCTTTCCAGTGTTGGACCCCATAGCGAAGCCCTGTGTAGCGGCTCGAGTGGTGGTGTAAGCAATGGTGAGCATCGTGACAATCGCACCCAACACGACAGTAGTCGTCCGAGCGCCTCGGGCCCGGATGAGAGGATTGCAGTGTTTGTCATCAGGCTCCATGGCGACCGCCGAGAATGTGAGGTAGGTGCAGTAGACTGCCACCATCGCCGATTGCGCCAGACCTGCCTTCGGATTGGCGTCTTGAATAGTCGGCTGAACGCTAAGGAAGGTGACGAAAAAGAGGAGGATCAAGTTGATGGTGATGGCGGCAATGTTCATGCTGCAGCCACTGCTGGCGAAGAAGATGTACATGACGATGGTCATGGCGAACGCAGCCAAATACATGCCCAAGCTCGACCCCATAAGTAGAACTTGCCACAGCCGGTAGTTCGGGCCATCGCCTTCGTCAATCTTGTCCTGGCAGAGTTCAGCCCATGTGTGCGCGAGGTCGACCAGGAGGATAAGACCCAGCAGCACAAAGAGCATAGCCCCGACATATGCGACATAATTGCCCCAGAAGAGGAAGAAGCCTTCCGGAATGAGAAAGGAGATGACGATAAAGCCGATCCAAACCAACAGTTTCGGGCCCCAGAAGCCATTCTGTAAACCTGCTCGAGTGTCTTTGGTGCTTCGAACTCCAATGAGCAGAATGGAAAGAATCAAGTGGAACATGCCCAAGGCGAAATTGATGCGCTGGACTGCAAAATAGCCGTAACATTCCGACGAGCCGCACTTAAAGGTCATGTAATTGAGGGTGAGATGTTCCAGCTTCTTGATAGCCCAAGGTGTGAGCATTATCCAGGCTAAAATGCTGTTGACCAGCAGAATCATGGCATATGCAATTCTTGTGGCAATTGATGACCGGAATTTGGACATGCCGCAAGGCCCACAGAGCATAGAACATGACGCTGCGCCGCAGCACGAGGCCGCCACCGACCACAACGTCGCTGCAGAAGGAAGGACCAGGGCTGGGATAGCGAGGACGGCGCCCATGTTGGAGAGTGAAGAGGGGTCGTGAAGGTGCCGTGCTTCAAGAGGTGGGCAATGTGTTTTCGGCGGCGGATATCGAGGGGGTAGGAGTTGGTGTGATCAAGCAGCGAGAAAGCCAGCGAGATGCTCCCTATCGTTACTCGGTTACATACAATACGATGCTGTATTGATCGGCGGTAGATGTTGGTGGAAGAGATGGGGGAGAGCGATGAAGCGCAGGCGCCAACTACTACTGAGGGAGTGAGGTCAGAGCCGGCCGGGAAAGCGGCACCTCCAATGGCAGGTCAGCCGAGTGACGCGAGTGACCCATTCTTCCCATTGGTTGACGCTTTGACGTTCTGGGACTGCGGCGTCGGGTCTATTGCCGATTGACGACTTTCTGGCGTCCCAACGTCGGCCTTCTTTTATCTGTGCTCCCTGCGCCCTCACCTCTCTTCCCTCACATCTCACCTTCCAGGATTCTGGAGAGTCTGAGATACCTTTGTATCGATCATGACGGGCTGATCATTGTGGTCTCCCGCCAGAGCTTCCCCAAGATGATCCGCACATCAGACCACAAGAAAGCCCGGATCATCACCGTGGTTGCGTGTACTGTCACTGCATTGGCTTGCGGTTCCAATGTGCGCAGGCTCCCTCCTCCCCCACCATGAGACCACGACTGACCACTTTGCTAGTATGGCTACTCCATCTGGGGTCCCAGTTTCGCGTCTCGCCTCAAGTTGACGGCCACGGACAGCAATCTTATCGTACGCAAATGCCCCCCACACAAACATGTTCTAAGAGAGGGAACGTTGACTGATCCTCTGGGATGACGCAGGGAACCGTGGGCAACTTAGGGATGTATGCATTTGGCATCCCCTCCGGTATGATGGTCGATGCCAAAGGGCCACGATGGGGAGTCGCTTTGGGCATTGTACTGTTCGCTGCCGGTTACTATCCAATTGCCAAAGGTGCGGCTCCCGGAGTTCTCCGTGTCCGAATGCGGCGTCGAGAGACATAGCTGACGGCCTTCTAGCATACGATGCTGGCCCCGGACACTACAGCGTGGCACTGATCTGTTTGTTCTCGTTCTTCACCGGCGCGGGAAGCTGCTCGGCCTTTACTGCATCCATCAAAGCAGGTAATGCACAACCCCCGGGATTTGTCGATGCTCTGGGTTTTTTTAGCTGACCCTGAGAAGCTGCCTTAAACTATCCCGAGTCTCGAGGATCTGCAACAGCATTCCCGCTCGCGGCGTTCGGGCTGAGCGCTTTGTTCTTCGCTGCTATCGCACAGTTACTGCCTGGCGGGACATATAACTTTCTCATCCTTCTTGCTACGGGGACGGTTCTACTTCCTTTGCTTTGCTTTCCCTTCATGCGTGTTATACTTCCTCACAACTACCATCACCTCCCTCAGCATGAACGACAAGTCCTGCACCGGACGAGATCTTCAGGGAGTCGCCATCTTCCTTCTCTGGACGAACCAGGTGCGCCCCACACACGAAGCTCCAAGGCCCAGTCTTCAGTTGGCGGTGTCGACCAGCCCCATGACCACGAAGCCAGCAATGGGGACGAGGAATCTTCCTTGCTCTCCAAAACTTCCAGTCAAGAACAAGACGCCGAAGACCTTGAAAGTTCAAAGCACATCGAGTCTGACAGGATTCATGAATCTCCGCATCTAGACATCCGAGGCTTCGCTCTCTTGCCCCATGCAGAGTTTTGGCAATTGTTCCTAATGCTTGGGCTGATGACGGGTATCGGTCTTATGACGATCAAGTAAGTCAGTCCTTGGGTTCCCTCATCGACCATGGCTAGAAAGGAGAGCTGTGCTGATATATCGCCTTTCCAGCAATATCGGCAACGACGCCCAAGCGCTTTGGAAGCACTATGACCCCTCCACTTCTGTGTCCTTCATTGAAAGTCGCCAGGCGATGCACGTTTCCATTCTTTCCTTCTGCAGCTTCAGCGGCCGCCTCCTCTCAGGCATCGGCTCCGATATTCTTGTGGCAAAACTGAACAGGTCCCGGTTTTGGTGCCTGTTTGCGTCCGCGCTGACGTTTTGTCTGGCACAAGTGGTGGCCACGGCCGTGTCTGATCCCCATTATCTCATGTTCGTGTCCGGCTTCACAGGTCTGGCTTATGGGATGCTGTTTGGGGTGTACCCGAGCCTTGTCGCACATTGCTTCGGTGTCCATGGGCTCTCGCAAAATTGGGGAACCATGACCCTGGCGCCTGTTATCTCTGGCAACGTCTTCAACATTCTATACGGGAAGATCTACGACGCCCATTCGGTCCGGAATGAAGATGAGGGACATATGGAGTGTCTCGTCGGGAAGGAATGTTATAAATCGGCATACTGGGTGACTTTTGGTGCCTCAGTGCTTGGTGTGCTGTGCTGTTTGTGGAGCATCTGGCACGAGAACGAAGTTCACAAGGCCAAAGGGAAAGAGGGCAAGGTCAGCAGAAGATCGGACCATGAAAGAGTGGCCTGACCAATTCCCCGGGCAGAGGCTTTCTATTTACGTTGCATGTTTCCTCTATAAGACATTTCTATAGACCACGCTATTCGCTTCCCGCCCAAGCTGCCTCCTCAGGTGCTGGGGATGTGTGGCTCGTACCTTTCCGCACAGATATTGGCATGGATATAGAGACGGAACGGATGACATTTGGATTACAGAATCTAGTACGAGCAATGGAAAGGGTTTTTTCTACAGGGCATTGTATTCCAGTGTCCTATTATTTCGTAAGTAGGGAGACGTTCTTTCATATGGATGGATATATGTAGAACTCATGTGGTTCGACACATATCTGCGTTGACTGCAGTAGTTTTGTGTCTATCTCCTACCTCCTATCTACCTACTTACATATGTACCAAGCGTGACGCACTCAGAGGGTTCTTCAGGCATGGATGAAAACCCCAGGCAAATAAAAGGTACGAGGAAAGAAAAGGGCTCGGGCCGTCTCATCCAGTCATTTTATTTCAGGTCCTCCCTGCCCATGATAACCCTGTCCCCGCTCCTGTTCTCTGTACCCTGTACTGGGTACACACCGCAAACACCACGCCCATATCATACCCTGCAGGGTACGCACGTAAGTGAGAGAGTGAGTGAGTGAGTTTGTAGGAATGTATGTGTGTGTATGTATTTCGAAGACCGACCGTGGTCCCGAAACCCCAATCCTTCCCTCAGGAAGCCTGGTTTTTTCGCCCGGTTGTCCAGCGACGGCCTGTCAGCCTCGTAGGCCCCCTATCGCGAAGTCTCCCATTCAGTCAATTGATCCCGCCTGCCTCCTTGAACCATGAATGAATTATTAGCCCTCCCATTGACCTTGAATGAAGAAATCAGACCCCCAAGTGACAGTGAACTAGAGTTGGTGTGAAAGGGGGAGAGAGAAGCTCGAGCACAACACATAACGGATGAAGCTAGTAATAACAATGGTGAATGGGAATTTACTAATGTGAGCAGGTAATGCCATCACTTTCCCCCCTCCCCGGGGTCGAACGCCCTGATGTGACCATGTTGTACCGAAAGAGCCCTTCCCGTGATATCCGTTGCCACAGTATTAACCCGCCTGAACCCCTGCCCTAGTAGACCGTTTCCGACAATCCTTTTTCAACCGCAACATTGTCTTAGCAATGGCTATTCCCTTGTCCCCATTCCTCCGGCTGAAAACTCCCAAGCGAATGCAATGAATGATTTTGCTCCATGTTCTGCGTTGACTCATCTCGTCACGTCGAAGGCTCATGCCTTGTCTGGCTCGACGGTGACCCTTGCCACCTCGGCGGCCGCCGTGGCCTCCTCTTGAGCCACTCTCACTGGTACATTATTGACCGGCGGATTGCTGACCAGATTCGAGGGTATTGCGGGCGTATTTGCAGGGGAGGCAGTCAGTTCACTAATCTGCTTCTCCAGTTCGCGAATACGCATTCTCAGCATCTGGTTTTCGCGAGTCAAGTTGGCTGTCTCGGCCTGGTAGAAGGCGGTTTCGTCGCGGAAGCTGTTTCTGCGTGCCGTGCTGGGCGATTCGAGAGGTGACGGGGGCCATTCACCACTGGCAGTATTACCAATGTTTAACTCCTGGCCAGGCAGTGGTCTCAAGGCTGGCGAACGGCTTGCGCTCGAAGGTCCACGCGAGATCCGTCTTGTCAGTGGAGGGACCGTGGGGACTGCAGGGTGTACCGATGGAAAGGTGATGGAGCGTTCGGAGGCAGGTGTTTCATCGTCGACCACTGCGGTGCTGTTACCTGCCAGAGCCGAGTTGGGCTGAGAGGAGTGTCGAGAGTGATGACCATTCTGGCCTTGACTGTTTCGGAGAGCGTCCAGTTGTAGCTGCTGCTCTCGGATCATCTGCAACATTCGGTTCACTTGTGCCTCTTGCTCCTGTTCCAGCTCATTATGGATTTCTCCGAGACTGGGTTGACGCTGGTGGTGCGGGTCACCCGTGGCAATGGCAGACCTGCCACCGATGGTGGGCGGACTCGCTGAGGCATAGCTATGACCGAACCCAGTTCTCGGATCGCTGCTGGACAGTTCGCCCGGGCTGGGAATGGTCGGGTCATTGAGGTTGAGGTTGATGGCAACTTGCGAGCGACGGCGATCACTAGGCATCCGACCCAAGCGTGGAGATCCTCTGTTACTCAAAGAAGACCTTCTAGATTCGTTGGCGGCATTAGTGACGGCGGTGGCAGCGAGAGATATCGAGGAACTTCGAGGAGAGGGGGTTTGTTGGCGGTTGGGAGGGATGTTCGTGGTCTGCATGGAGCGGGGCTGCATGGGCGAGGACGACGTCGATCTGGAGGGAGGAAGAGAGTTTAGGTCTGGAGGAGCCATCTCAACACAAGAGAGAAAACTCCAAGGCAGCAAAGGAATGGAACGATATTAGTATGTCGAAAGGATGTCCTTGTGCGATGCGAGCGATTACGCGGGTGGTGGTCATACCACGCAGTGCAAGACGATCATGTAAATAGTTAAGGAAATGGGGGGGGGATGGGATGGCGAGCAGCTGACTGGACGAGATGCTTGGCGGGAGGGCAGACGCAGTACATGGTACCTCCTGTAGAGCCAACGTCCCAGGTGCATTTGCCCCCCGGAAATACTCTAGACTGGCAGTGCTGGGGTTAGCTACGGGAGGATAAAATGCTCAAAGACAGACTGAGTTGTTTAAGCAGATATGACGACGGTGGGGGAAAGGTACCGAGTACAGCCAGCTTAGAAGGGGGGCGAGACTGCGTCACAGGGTCTGAAAAACAGAGGCCTGGAATGGAATGCCTGGCTGGTAATAGGCCTCACTAGCCTCACTAGCCCTTTGGGGCGCCAGAGAGGCCCCCGGAAGAGTACCTACTGAAGTACTCCGTAGAGCAGCCCGAGCAGCACGAGCAGCTGCTCCACCTCTCTGTCATACTGTACGTCACTCGGCCATGCCTCTTTTGGTGGCTCGCTCCAGGCTCCAGGCAGCAGGACTGGGAATTGGAAGACCTGTGTGTGTGTCTGTCGCCGTGACTTACTCCCTCTTCTCTCGAAATTAACGCGTCCAAGTCAAACAACAACTCCCGAGTCAGAACCACCACGACGAAGGAACTCAGACGAGAACAGCATCGACACCCCACGTCCAATCACATCCTCCATCCCCAAATTGGTGAGCGTGGCCAGCCACTAACACCAGATCGGGAGCTGGTTGTTTAGGTTGTTTAGGTTGTTTACATACTTGGGGGAGTGTGAGGGTCGCATCACCGTCGCTCTCCCCCCAGCCACTTGGATTTCTACCCGCTTTTGTGCTGGCTGCCCGTCCAACGTCCGCCATCCTCCCCCCCCAGCCTCCTCCATCATCGCACGTCCTCACACCCATCCACTGATCTCGCCGTCGCATTCCTTACCACTGCAAACATCTCTCACACGCACTTGCATCGCGCAACCCACGACAACTCGAAAGTGCACTTGGTCCACACTGTGCGTCGGCGGCCATCATGTCCGGTCTACCATATCTCCAGAAACTGCGCAAGAGCGAGCTCACCGGGTTCGCCGAGACCAGCAATTTGCCCGAGTACGTTCTTCCCCCCTCGTGTCTGGGTCCAACGCGTCATTTTCCGAGTCGCATAACCTGGCGCATGCTTGCTGACTTGTATGCGACCGCAGCTACGCTCATTTGAAGAAAGCCGAGCTCGAAGTCGCCCTCGACGAACACTTGCGCTCCAATTCGACCACCTACGGCAAGGATCCTTCGTTGAGTGAATACTACAAGCGCCTGGCGAGCAGCTCGAGATCGCCTACCAAGAGGACGACGGGTGAGAAGGTCGTGGACCTTATCAAAACCGACGATGACGCTCCTGCGCCCGCAAAGAAACCGCGACGGAAGACAACCTCAACCACTCAAGAAACGTATGTATCGCGTCTCCGGCCGTTTGCTTTGCGCCGTCGCTGATGACAGTTCCACAACAGGGAGGACACACAACCAACGGTCAATGCGCTGATCAAAACCCCAGCCAAAGAGGTGGCCCGTCGGACCTCGATCCTCGCCTCACAGATTCCCATACCGCCCTCGCCGGCGGTCGTCACTGATGCCATTGATCACCAGACGCGTCGCATTCGGACCTCCATCTCCCATGCTTACGAGCAAACCCAGGTCCATGAGTTTGCCGATGCCGCGCGCGATATTCTATCGTCACCTATGACGGTCATTGTGCTCGCCATCCTTCTCGAGGCGTACGGCCTCCGGGCCCAAATCTTGCCCAACAAGCTGTTGACCGACATCCCCGCGATCCCGTACATCAAGTCGACCAAGACGCCCATCGTGGTGCCAGATCTTTTCCTGTTACTGGACTCCAAATTCTGGTCGCCCTTCTCGCTGTGGGCGTTGACCTCGCTGATTCTGCCGGCTACCATCTCGTACTTCATCAACCTGCCGCTGAAAACCCATCCCAGTCACAGCTATTCGACGCGCCAAGCTGCACTCAAGGCGAATGCGCAAATGCAATTCGATCCCTTCATTTTCAGTCTCGCCAAGGGCTTGGTCGTGTACCTGGTGTATGCCTATCACTACTCGCCGGGTGGAATCTACAACAACTACACCATCGCCACCGTCAACGAGAGCATTCCCGGCGGCTACTTTGCCGTGCTGGTCAGTTCAGGTCTGGGAGCGGCAGTGAGCTTGTATGAAGCTGTGTTGAAGAAGTAGGCAGCCCTGGAGGCGATAAGAACGGACAGAAACACTTGGGTTCTGCCGGGGGGGTGGGAGGGAGGGTGGGGGTCTGCATATGTACAGTTGCTTCGGGCTGGGGGGTTAATTCGGTCAATTTGGGAACACGGGATGATACGAGTTACGATTCTTGTTGGTTGACCATTGACGGCGCTGGGGATTCCTGTTGGCTTATATACCTTCGCATGGCCATCTCCATGAGTTGAGTCTACCCATGGCGACGTCTATGGGCCGGTGCATGTCAGATGCGTGCACCGGGTCGGAAAGGTTCATGTCCTTATTTAGATACAAATCCAGCCGTCCAATATCAAACGTGTGTTTACGACACCCAGTGTAGCACGAGATGCACTCTCAGGCCTGCCCCTCGGCAAATACACCAAGATATGTGTCTCGTGTCTCGTAGGTGGCTGCCCCGCAGAGCCTGCAACATGGCGCTGTGACGGCAATACAATACCAGCACGATGACCACGGTGCCAAAATAATCTTCGTTCCAGCTTCGGCCGTGTCTTTTGCCGTCTGTGCGATTCAGAACCTTAGACAGCCCCCTACGACTCGGCTTAGAACCAACGGGAAGGACATAGATCCTAAGCCTGCAAATAGAGCAGAGACCTACGAAGAGAAACGACACCTTTACTAAGGCATAGGCCGCTCCCATGGATCCTGGTACGGTCATCTCGGCGCTGGAGATCGTGGGCGCGGTGGTAAAGCGTCTCATCGAAGCTGGCCAGACCATGCACGACGCTCCCGAGGGTCTGGCTCGCGTGATCAACGAGACCGAAAAGCTCCGGGCGCTGCTAGACCGGCTGTTGATCTTCCAGAGGGCGCTTCCCCAGGAGCAGCGAGATGTCCTCGACAAACAAGTGAGCACGGCGGATTGGAGAGATCTGCTCAAGGATCTCGACGACCTCACGTCTGGCAGGAAGCCCGGCGGCACCAAGGACCGGGCCGGAGGAGGAGAAGGAGGAGGGGTTGAGAAGATGAAGCTTGCCGACCGGTGGTGGTGGCTCCGGAAGAAAGATGTCATCGAAGACAAGGTGAGGAAGCTGCACGAACAGACGGAATGGATATCGAAGCGGCTCGTCAAGTAAGGAGGAGGCCACCTCTTCCCCGTCGTCGAGTTGTCGGGAACAGGAAGAAAACTGACGGGCGTCTCCAGTGAGTACCTGTTTGAACACCACCAACAACTCTCGCACAGCTCCGAACAAGTCTCCAAGATCCTGGAACTGGTCGTGTCCATGACCCTGAAGTTGGATACAGACAGGCATGCAAAGGCGCGATTCGACGACAACGGCGTCTACTCGCCCTACAAAGCCGAGGGCATTGCTTGGTACGGGCAGTTCCGTTGCAAGCCGGGACAGGATCTCACGATGCCCTACTTCCGAGACCGACACCTGCTGGCGGACCGGGCTTGGGCTGGCAACTGGCACGGCGTCACCGAACTGCTGCGGAAAGCCCACAAAGAGTACAGGCAGAATTGGATCAACTGCACCCCAATATGTAAGTGTTGGATCTACACGTTCCACACATTTCTCATCCTGGGCTCGGATTGACTATCTTCCTAGACAAAGCGACCGACAAACGCACCATCACCAGTGGATTTCGGCCCCTCCACCAAGCCGCCTGGCACGGTGACAAGTCGGCTGTGGAGTCTCTGTTGAAAGAGGGAGCCTGGCGTGAGTGGCGAGTCGTTCTCCGTGGGTGTGTTGTCGGTACCAGCTAAGCTCTATGCCCAGGTCTCGTGAGGACCGCGCGAGCGACGAAAGACTCGAGCGAACACAGTACACCGTTGGACATTGCCCGTGACCACGGATGGAAGGACCTCTACGAGACACTCAGTCCCGTGATCAGACGGACCGTCAACCACAAAACGCTGCAGACGCTGCAGACACGACTCCACGACTTGATCAGAGACACCTTTGGCGCCCATCCGGACGCGCATCTCGACTGCTTCCTGCTTCCTGAGCTGGAGATCCTGACAGAGTTCGAGCGGTCGCGGATCTGGTTCCCCCTGAACCCAGAGCTGCTGGACACCCGGGAGGGGCTCGCCGTGCACGTCATCCTGGAACGCAATGAGCTGGTGGCCGTCATGCGGTGGGATCGAACCAAGAGGAAGAACTATCGGATCTCCGTGTCGGGCATCCAGGAAATCCAGCAAGCGGTTGTTCTTCACTGAGGGAGGGTGGTGATGATACGTAGGATATAGATTATTTGACGGACGGGAAACGGGTGCCGGGTTGAGCTTTGAGGTCGTGTTGTATTGAGTGGACTCTTTTCGGGGGGGGAGTAAGTGATGATTACCTGGTATGGATATTGCGATATAGATTGGACATGAACGTCGAGGACGGAGGGAGCACTGTTCACTGCAACAACAACCTGTGCATGTGATGGTGGAGACCCGGTTTTGGCGGTTCGGACAGATCCATCGAGTTGATCGCACCATTGCAATAATAAATCTCACCTTTTCTTTTGTCCAAGGTCATCCGCCGCAGTGACCGGGGGCTTTTGGTGTCCACTGGTCCACGGTTAGTCACCACTCTTTCTCATCTCAATTCTTGGAAGATTCGTGGGTGGGACAAGCGGCAGTTGACGAGCCCACGCAGTGCTGGTGCATGTGCTTCGTTTATCAGCTATATCTCTCCGGTTTGGAGTGATACAGCTGCCCACTTTGAGTCCACATCTGATCCATTGGACTTCTGATGTTGGGCTGTGCCGGTCGCCCTGTCCCCAAAGACGAACTCTCCTGCGAGCGAGCATGCCCGTCTCAGAGACATGCTCACTCCCAGGATTTGTGTGAGCAAGCAGTGAGTGACGGCGTCCCGCAGGTCTCGGCAATGCGTGGCCTACGCCATGATGCCTATCGATGGCAAGTGTTCAATGACGGCCATGCTCGTGTTTCCTGGGGCATTCTTGTTCCTGAATCTGTGGAAAAGGGCGAAATTAGCGAGCGGCCTTTCTTGTCAATTGATCTCCTGTCCACTTCATAGCAAGCGGGCGTCGTTGCGACGAGGACTCGTTGGTGAGAGAGCCGGCGCTCGCCGACTGTGATGGACGTTCTGTCTGAGAACTAAATGCTAGCCTCAAAGCGTAGAATCCGTAACGCCGCTTTTGAACGGCCCTCCCATTCGATTGGACGAGCTGACGACTGTGAAGGTAAAGGACCAATTACAGAGACCACATGCTTCCCCACTTACATGAATCCAAGTCGAGCAACGACCGGATACCCCAGGGCGGCATCACCCTCGTCCCGATCCGGGGTGCTCTTGGAAACCTTGCAAAAGGCTGCGAGATATTATTTATATACGACGAAGACACACAGCTTCGTCTCGGTTTGCACCAAATGTCCCACTGACGAAACTCCCTTGTGTCGTCTACCCACTCCCCAGGTGACTAGATACACCTTATTGTGATATTGATATAATACCACGAGCAATCTGGGCACTTTGGATGGGCTGATCACCATTCGCTGGCATCCAAGGTACATCACGCACGAAACCAAAACCAAAAAAAATAGAGAAGATGCCAGCCCCCGACAACATCTACCAGAACGATGTGGACTTTACGACGCTGGCGCTGCAATATCCCGACTTTGCAAAAAGGTGAGGTCCAGATCCCAACGTATAACGAGATGGAACGGAGAAGGATTTCGTCTCCACTGTGTTACTTACACACACACATACATACACACACACTCTCTCTCTTCCCACCGCCGTCGTCAGGCAGTCAAACCCTTTGAAAACGAAAGAACAAGAGTACTGATTACCCAGCTAACGACAATGCTCTCGATTTCCAGACTCAAACCCAACCGCCAACTCGACTTCTCCGATCCCGAGAGCGTCAGGTATGACAGAATATGTCTTGATCGCTCAAAGCCATCCATACTTTACCCAGCTCCCCTTGGGTCGACGCCCATTGAGCGCTTTATCTTCCCCTCCCCTCTAACTCTGGCGATGCCTATCCAGACAATTGACCAAATGCCTTCTCCATCGAGACTTTGACCTCACCGTCGACCTGCCCGAAGATAGGCTGTGTCCGCCTGTACGTCGGTGTTGTCCCCTTTTTCTTTCGAGGCAAGCAGGACCTCACAGTACCCCTGTTGATCCCCCATGTACATTTACAACCAACCTCTTGACGATATTGATATTATGAACGTCTCATTGACGCCGGTCAAAACTATCCAGGTGCCGAACCGGTTCAATTACATCCTCTTCATCCAGCGCCTGCTGGACAGCACCTCCCCCTCCTTCCACCAAGGGTTCGATCCCGACAGGCAGGTGATTGGCCTTGATATGTACGTGTGTGTTTCTTCCCCGTTCTCCGCTCTATTCTGCCCCTTCGATCCCCCTTCGATTAAATGTTTTCCCTGCGAGTTAAAAGAGTTCGCTCTCGATTTCTACGTTCCGAGCTTGGAAACAGGAGGGGCTGTCTTTTCCTTCTGTTGATCCATGCTAACCCTTTCCCGATGTGCGTCGTGGACCAAAAAGTGGCACGGGCGCGTCTGCCATCTACCCGCTCCTTGCCTGCCGACAGCGCCCTCAATGGCGCTTCCTGGCGACCGAGATCGACGAGAAGAACCGCGAGTACGCGCAGAGAAATATCCTCGCCAACGCATTACAGTCGCGCATCAGATTGATCGACACGGATGAGAAAGGAGACCGGTTGATCCCGACGGATCAGCTTGAGAGATTTGATCGGTACGTGGGGACCCATTCAGCCCAAAATTCCTTCCATCATCTAGAGCAGACAGAAGCGAGGAGAGAGACAAGTATCTAGTCGTCTGAATTTCTTTTTTTGGCTAAGACTCGATGATATTTGGCTCTCCCCCGTTCCAGGATCGACATCCTCATCACCAACCCACCATTCTATCCCTCAACGCAATCCCTCGACGAATCCGCACGGCAAAAATCCCGTCCCCCGAATTCCAGCTGCACCGGCGCCGCGGTGGAGATGATCACACCGGGCGGGGAGGTGGGCTTCGTCGCCAAACTCGTCGACGAGTCGCGCCGGCCCGCGAACCGGAGCAAGATCCAGTGGTTCAGCGCCATGCTGGGTAAGCTGTCGAGCGTGGGCGCGGTGGTGGAGCGGCTCCGGGAGCAGCGGTGCGGGAACTTCGCGGTGGCCGAGTTCGTGCAAGGCCAGCGCACGCGGCGGTGGTGCGTCGCCTGGAGCTGGATGGGCTACAGACCGGCTAACGACGTGGCGCGGTCGCTCGGCGGCGGCAGCGGCGTCGAGAAGAAGCTGTTGCCCGCGATCACGGAGGTGGAGTTTGAAGCGGCCGTGCGCGACGCCGGTGTGGAAGGCGTGCTAGATATGATCGCATCGGAGATCATCCAGGGCCTGGACGGTGTGCGCTGGAAGGGGGACCGCGCCAGGGGCGTCGGCATGTTCATGTCCCGGGACGGCGACGTGTGGAGCCGCAAGGCGAGGAGGAGGAAAATGGCCGTCGGGCGTGAACCTGCTGCTGGACGCAATCGCGCGTCTCACGCGAAGGAGACGGGCGGAGGAAACAAACGAGATACAGACACGGATATGAAAGACGACGACGACGGCACCAACTCCAACTTGTCGTCAGACGACGAACCCGAACCAGCCCTCGTCGTCCGGATCTCCATCACGCCCTCTCCCTCTCCCTCTCCCTCTTCTTCCACCACAACGACGACCGGCACGGCACCGACGGCGCGGATCCACATGCGCCATCTCCAGGGCCCGGACCCGGTCCTCTTCGAGAGTTTCTGCGGCTGGCTGAAGCGGAAGATTGTGGCGGCGGCGATGTCATCACTACCATGACCACGATCATGGTCGTTATCCTTCTCCTCGTTGGTTGCCGTGGATGTTGATGTCGTTGTCGACGTGACTTCTCCACTCAGCTTTTTTTGCTTTTTACCCTTTTTTCCCCCACGGATGAATGGGAAAGGTAGGGAAAAGCGAAGAGCGAAGGAGGAAAGCGAGAAAGAAGGGGGCAAAAGAAGTATGAAAGAAAGGGGGCAATGACCTTGGCTCGATACGGGCCACCTGCTGAGTTTTGGGCGCTTGCTTGGTTTGCTTGGTGATTGATTGGGATGGCAAGGCAAGCAAACCGGCACTCAGGAAATCAAAACAAACGAGTTGAGTTGACGAGGCGACTGGGCCGCTGTCGGACAAGTCCATGAAGTCGATGAATGATGAGGCACCGAGAGAACAACACAGCAATCCACAGACAGCATCGGACCAGGACCAGTTTGATTGCTTGCTTGTTTGGTTCAGCCACAGATCATCCCTCTGCCCGCCTGCCGTCAATCCAGCTCGATAGGCCATGGTTTGTGAGCGCCATGCTATGTAAGATCAGTACATACTCACCTCCAATATTTTCCTGCCTTTGATACACACAGATGTGGGAGAGGGAAGGGAAGCGACTCCGTTTGTCTGCTGGCGCGGACAGCCTGGGGTTGTCTGGCATGCACACAGAAATGCCGGAAAGGGCATCTTGACCACACAAGTCTAAACAAAAAACATCTCGGAAATAAAGGAAGCTGGCCCAGGCACAACAAGCATGAATATATTATATCTGCCTGCTCCTGCTCCTGCTCCCTTCTATCCCATTCCCTCTCTTTTACGCAGTGCCCGTCCTACTCACTCGGCTCTCCCTCCTGCCGCCGCCGCCGTGTGAGAATTCGAATCCTCGGCTCGATTGGCCGGGACTGGTGGGCGCACCGCCCACGCTGCCATTCCGCGTCGAGCTCATACTGCCATCTCGTCCCCTCATAAGTACTAGTTCAGGCATGCCAAACTTGACTTCCCCCACGCGGCGGTACATGCCCCACAGTGCGTTGCGCAGATCGGAGCCGACGTCTTTCTCCAGCAGGCCCACGGCAAGAGGGTAGAAGGTGTCGAGGTGCTTCTCGAAGCTCTCCTTGGGAAAGTTCGTGTAGCCCTCAAGGACGTCAATGACAACCGGCCTCCATGCGACGATGTTTCGTTGTTGGGTTTCCTCGTCGAGGAGAATGAAGGAGCGGATGATGTCGGCGCACAAACTGGAGACGCCATGGAATTAGCAACAACTTTCACGGAGAGAACACAGATACTTACGGAATTAGGGCGCCTTCTGTTTGATCACGACTTGACCTCCGCTCCTCCCCTTCGTCATGATACATCCTGAGCAAGATGCTCACGTATGTATTCGCTGATCCGGATTCTTGCTTCAACAGGTTCGGTGGTTGTCGCATGAATCCTTGTCGCCAAAGGGCCATGCGGAGCTCTTTGTCGCCGTTAAACTTCTTGGCGAACTGATACGACTTCTTCAGGAGTGCCATCAGGCGGAGCAGCTCGGACGAGGGGATTTGCGCATAGACCGAGTCGTTGGAGAAGAGTTCTGCCACGGTCTCGATCATGAGCAGCTGAAGAACGCAGTTGGTGATGATCTTGTTGAAAAAGCGTCGGCGTGCGGCCGTCACCACCGGCGCAGGTGCTTGCATGTCTGAATGTGGACGATAGTCCTCCAACTCCTGAGTGCTCTGGGTTGGAGGGATTTCTCCAATAGCGGCGGCCGAGCTTGCTTGTGATTCCAACGAAGGGGTTGCGCCGTGGAAGGACGCTGGTGCCCCGTTTGTTGTTGGAGTCTCGACAATCGCGGTTCCAGAGATAGATAGACCATCGGATCCATCGTGGCCTGGGGAAGGTCGAGCATCCGACATGGTTGCCGCGGCCGAGAACAGTTCGTACGCTGTCGTCCTGTTGAAGAGCTCCACGAATGCCGTGACAATCCTGGACCAGTGCTCCGGAGAGAATTTGGTGACGTTCTGGAGGATCAGCTGCTGGAGACAGTTGCTCCCGATGCGGGCTATAGTGTCATTTTCTTGACAAATGCACAAGGTGAGAAGATCCAAGAAGCGGTCAAGCATATGTTCCAGCGAATCAAAGTAATGTGTGAAGAGCGTGATCATGTTTCGGAGGGCTTGGATCATTGTCGTCGACAACCACACGGACAGTTCCTCGTGGTTGGGAGCCTTGGACATCTCCGACTTGCTTTGCAAGACGACGAATATCGGGTACAGCAATTGGCGCCAAAGGACATCCCAGAACTCGGTGGGGAAATCACCACCATATCTGATCAAAGTTTCAAAAAGATAGGTGAGAGCTCGGGACCGGACTTCCAGATCCTCCCCCGTCATCAACACATCCTGGTAGGCGATCAGCACCGGGTACCAGAACTGCTCCTCTTCCGTCTGCGAAGTGGGTTGCTTGACGCCGGCCACCACGCCAGAGCCTTCGGACTCGAGAACCTTGCCGTGACGTCTTGAAAGCGGGCATTCTGGCGTCTTCAGCATCTTTGGCACCGTGGACTTGAGCAGCTCGATCGCCTGCAGGGATTTCTTCTGGAACTTGAGGTTCTTGGAGAACTCGGTCAGACAGACAATGAGGTCTGGAAACGAGCCTTGAGAGATGACCACGCCAAACCGAGTATTGTAGATCTGGTTGGTATAGTCAAAGGCGATGTTGACGATTGCTTCATACTGTTCTCGGGCAGCGACGGAAAAGACACCGAACATGGTTTTCCACCCCGACCTGATATTGTCCCCACGGGCTTGGATCATCTGGATTAGACATCTCAAGACCATGTCCTTTACGGTGACAACGGTGCTGTTCGCCATCACATGCTCAAACGGCTTCAAAAAGTCTTTTTGGAATTTAAATCCGGGCAACTCTTCAATTTCCATAAACCTCATCGAGAGCTGGCGAAGCGAATCCAGGGCAAAGAACACTACGGCGGTGTTGTTATGACAGCCGACCTGGTTGAAGTGCTCGCCGAGCACCTCCCAGATTCGAGTCCATTCTATCCTGACTCTCGTCATGTTGTAGTAGCTGATCTCCACGAGTTTTTGTAGACTGTACATCCGCGGAGATTCGCTGTTCCCGGAGGATTGGATCTCTTGCCAACTGACGTCGCTCAGGGCCTGGACAAAGTCGACAATCGCCTCAGACGAGAGCTTGGCCGTATTGGTGAATATCCTGTCCACTCCGCGGACCATATCTGTAGACTTGGTCTCATCTGCAACCTCTGGCCGAAAGCTGTGTGCAGATCTCGGCCTCGGTCTTTTGGAAGCTTGCATCGACCGGCGGCTCCTGGTCCCGTCCCTCGGGGTGCTGGGTGTGGAAATGTTGGCCCTTGTAACATCTGGTATTACCCCTTCATCGATTCCAGTCGAAAGAAGCTGTAATCTGTCGAGCTGGCTGATGCACATCAGAACCTCCCGCCAGGAGGATTTCAAGACATCTCCTTCTGTCAGAGCAACCTCAATGAGCACCTTCAACGCCTCCAAGTTCTTGGCCATCATTTCCTTGAGATTGCCCAGGTTCGTGAATTTGGCAAGCGCCGTGACAAATGCTACTCTGGGTGTCTCCAAGTCAAACCTGCAGGCTATTCGAATAGCCAACCTCAAGCCCTCCAGGCACTGCCTGATTAGGTCGAGGTTTTGCGCGTCCTGCATTTGACTGGAGAATGCCGAAAGGAATGACATCCACGTCACATTGAACATAGGGCCAACATGCTTGATCGAGGTCGCCGGGATGAATCGTGACAGTGCCTCTCTGACGGCGGAACGCTTCTGTGCCCTGATGAGACTTCGATATAACTGTTCCGTCTTGTTTGCCATTTCCTCGGACGCCTGGGTGTATTTCTCCTTTTGCAGATCTCTGCCGACGTTGGCAAGGGCTTGTCCAGCCCTGGAGGCGAAGCCGGCACTCGTAACAGTAGCGATCCCCAATTCGGCAGCATGTTCCCGCTCAGAGGCTAGGACAATTTCATTATTGGAGATTTCCTCGAAGATGCCGCTTAAATACTCTGAGGGCAAATCTTGGCCGTCATTGATCCCCCTGTTGTTCTTGATGAAATCCTCCACCGTCATGCGAGCACCTTTTAGCTTGGAACTGTGTTGATCAGTATTCAGCATGATGACCGAATATGCCAGTACATAAGCGGTGTCGGCATTGGCGAATGCATTTGGATTGCCACTGAGATATCGCTCGGCGAATTTGAGCATGAACCGATCGATCTTCTGCGCTTCCCCGGGCAGGCGGAAACTCTGAAGGAACTGCCTCAGGGCGTCAACAAAACGTCTCTTGCTAAAGTCCATCATGTCCACAAAAGCATGCATAATGGCAACGTTCTTCTCGTCGCCTTCGCCGAGATATTCTCCGAGCATGGCTTTGTCCAGTCTGTCATTTGCATATAAAAACTTGGCAATATCCTGGGGGCTTTCACTGCGAATGAAGCCATCGGCCAAGAGAGCCTTGATCCCGCGTTTGGGCTTGAAATTAAATTGTCGGATAGCCTCGTTCAGAGCGAATTTCCGCATTCTCACTTTCTCAACTTCGGTCGGATCATCTTCCGCCACAGGCGTGGAGATCCCTGATTCACTCCCTAAGCCTGGAGCGCGAGGCGACGGGGGTGGCTTTTCGCTGAAGTCGAGTGACTCCCTGGAGTCGTCATATGACCCTCTTGACGCGGGATATCGAGATCCATTGACCTGTTCGGGGCTTCCTTGGCTGGACCAATTATCCAGCGAATGAAGAATTTCAACAAGACAACGCAATGATTGCTGCTTCAGAGAATACTCAACGGGGATCGGTGGAGGGGGGGGCGGGTGCTGACTCAAGCTTGCTGTCGACAGCCCAGGAAGTAGTGCGCCTCGTGAATGCCATTCAGAGACAGGGGTCGTCGGTTTTGTCTGTTGTTCTTGGTATTGGTGTTGCTGAACAGCAGTGACTGCGACGGGTGTGCTGCAGATCCGAGATAAGTGTTCAATGATTTCTTGGTACATGTTGTCCAGCGCCGTTCGGTCGCAGTCGTAGTTGAGGTAGATCTCGACCAGAGCACGAGGATCGCCCGAAAGTCTCTCCAAAACATCCATGAACATTTGTTTCTGGAAAAGTGGTGCGTTTCGCCGTTCCAAAACAGCAAGATAGACTTCTTTTAGGAAAACCTCAAGTTCCTTTTTCAGCAGAACGCGCATATGTTTCAGCGAAAGCCAGAATATCTCGCAACATACTTCATAAACCCGCGGGACCGAACTCGCGGCATTCCTAGAAAGACTGAGGCACAAATGAGGTTTGGCAACTTGCAAGAATGGTGTAGGTTCAGCATTGTTGCCACTCTTAATATTCGAGAATGAAGATGTGAAAACCGTGGTATAGTTGTTGATGACATGGTAAATCAAATGCAGGGACAAGAGCTTGGAACGCATGTTTTGACTCCGAAGATCCTGCTGCTGATCATAACTCAAGACTTTTTGACTCAATTTACATAGCGAACGGAACACCAAGAAAGCATCTTTGATGTAGACATCGTCTTCGTCCTCCGGGGACAGTTCCGCCTCGTCTCGTTCTTCTTGCAAGCTGGACCGAGAAACCGGTGCGGAGCTAGTTCGCGTATTCTTGCGCTCCCGCCTGACGCGGGTGACTGTTGTAGGAGCACTGTCTGCGACAATTGCGTCGTCGAGGTTCTTGTTATTTTCGAAGCTTTGCAAAGTTAGTTTCTCCTGGCCAGAAGCCAAACCGTCCGTGAGCTGGGGAGGAGTCTCGTGGTCTGGTGTGTCCACATGTCCGTTCATGCCGTTCACACCTGCGTGGCCGAGTATAGGTGTCTCCGCCGTCAACCCTTCGTCGGTTTTCGCTTCGTTGGACTCTCTCAGGCGTGCCTCCTTCATGTCTAACCGGACTCTGACCCTTTCGAAGACCGTGGCAATCATCTGAAGCAATGATCCCTGGGCAACTTGCTGATTTTGGCTCGATTTGGAATATATGAAGATGTTGTAGATTTGGCGGACGGCTTTCAAAAGGCCCGCGCCATGCACGACGATCTTGTCATCAAGGACAGCCGCGAGCAATGACTTGATGATTTGTTGCTGAATTTCCACCGCAGTGGCTTCATTTTCGAAGCAGTCGCAGATGGCCTCAATCGCCCTTTCAATGAGAGGTGGAGTGTCCGCTGAGCCGCCTTGGTTAGTTGCAACCACTGGAAATGCAAAGTATGAATAGCTGATCAACTTTCCAATACAATCCAGCGCCGTCACCTGCAGAGGGATGGTGAACGATTTGGTTGCCATTTGCAATGGGCGAAATATGATTTCTGGATTGACTGCCTGTTCCGTGTTCTTGATGTTCGACAAAGCAGCCTGGACAGCATCTGCAAATTCCTTGTTCCTGCGAACTTCCTTGGCTGCTCCAATGGTTTCTAGAGCACTGACAACGAAGACGGTAGAGGTAACTTGCAAAGGGCGTGTTGGTGTCGTTGTAGGCCTTCGTTCTGGCATATCTGACTGAACCTCCGACGCAGCTGCAGCTGGCATCTCTCTGGGCTCAGGATCATCCTTGTCCAGGTGCGGGCGCTCTTCCACCCTCGTCGAATTGTTATCCCCAGCATCCGTTGGCGCATTCTCGACACCACCGGATCGCGGAGCGTCTGCCATCTCTTCCCCAGGTTCGGCACCCTTCACAGAGTCCTGCTGAGAGTCCATCACCACTGAGATATCGTCTTCGGAGACAACCTCGCCCGCATCCTCCTCCGGTGATCCATCTTCCGCATCCGCATCCTCGATAGTTATTGTCACTCCATGACTTGATGGGTCACTGTGGCCGATGTCGTCGGTGGATGCCACTTCATGTCCGGGCACAGGAGCCTCAGACTCGTCTTCTGAGAGAGGCTCTGATTGTAAGTCGTGGTCTGGGTTGGCATCGATCTGCGGCGGCTCACTCTCGACGCCAGACATTTGGCCGGGCGCGGAAAGGAGGATTACGGGGCAGATGGAGGATTCAAGATCACCTGAGGTCGGTAGGGAATGTCGGACACATTGCAATCGTTGAGTCGGCGCAGGTATTAGGGAGTGAGGAGTCGCGAATTCGATCTGTCCAGATGTTCGTTTCCGTGCTGCCAGGAATTATCAGTGCCTGCTCACATCTGTCAAATGCCTGCGGAGAGTCAGGGTGTAATAGCGTACACCACCCAGGGTCCGCCCCTTGGGGGACAGGGTGTTCTGCGTTTAGGTAGAGAGACCAATGCCGCAGCTTACGTGGTTGCAACGGACGGGCACTCGATGCCTAAGTGAAGAGATCGAGCTGGAGCTTTTTGCTCTCCGGAGCTCCAATCGTTGGGCTCACTAGGCCTTACCAGCCTAAGGAGCGCCCCCCAAAAAAGCTGTCGCCCGCCTTGTCTCTCCCTGCCATTTCGGAAACCGGAGTGGAGTTGACTCTGTGCTCAACCCATTTTCTTAGCTGTCACCAACACTCCAACAATCCCTTATATCTCGCAACCTTCATTGCCAGAGGGACTGTCATCTACCCGGGTTCTCCTCTGTCCTTTTTCCTTTCGTTGTCGCTCCTTTGCCCTCATTGAGCCCCCAAGACTGCGGCCCGTATACCTCCTTTTCGCCGCTCCTGGTGCTTCCCAATGGCGACCTCAACGCTGCTGTCCCGGTCAGGGTCACGCATCCTGCTTCAATCCTCCGCGAGCTCAAGACTTAGCAGAAATGTGTTGCAAAGACTACAAAAGTCAGCAGTGTACAAACTACGCCCCGAAGAAGCGCACCCATATGCTAACCCATGTGTACAGGCCCCAATCTTTGCCCTGCCTCTCAGTGCTTAGCCGTTACTATGCCTCGAAATGTGCGCCTCGATCCTACAACTCTCCCGGCGCAGCGTGGACATGACTGACAAGGTATCCCACAGCATTCCCACCTCACACTGTGATCAGTATGCCCGCACTCTCACCCACCATGTCCGCCGGCAACATTGGCGCATGGCAGAAGAAGGTTGGAGACACATTGGCTCCTGGAGATGTCCTGGTGGAGATTGAAACGGACAAAGCTCAAATGGATTTTGAGTTTCAAGAGGAAGGCGTGCTCGCCAAAATCCTGAAAGAAACAGGCGAGAAGGATGTCCCAGTCGGAAACGTAAGTCCACTGAAATCCCAACCGCGCTCCGTACGTACTAACCCAGCATCAGCCGATTGCAGTCATGGTCGAAGAAGGCACAGATGTCTCAGCCTTCGAATCCTTTACTCTCGAAGACGCCGGTGGTGAGAAGGCACCTCCACAGGAGAAGCCGGCAGAAGAAACATCCGAAGCTTCGGAGAAGCCAGATTCAGGGTCAGGCACTGCACCTCCTGCTGGAGGCAAAGAATCTAAGCCGGAAGCTGTCGAAGCTGACACCACAGGCGAGAGGCTTCAGCCAGTGCTAGACAGGGAGCCTGTCATCAGCCCTGCTGTCAAGAAGCTGGCTCTTGAAAAGGGTGTCCCAATCAAGTCGGTCAAGGGCACTGGTCCAGGAGGACGGATCACCCTTTCCGACATTGAGAAGTATAAACCTGCGGCGGGAGCTGCACCCGGTGCTGCCACCGCCGGCCCATCTTATGAGGACATTCCCGCAAGCTCGATGCGCAAGACCATTGCTACGCGACTCCGCGAATCTATGAACCAGAATCCCCACTACTTTGTCTCGACGACGCTCTCGGTAACAAAGTTACTCAAGCTAAGAGAAGCACTGAATGCCGCATCTGACGGCAAGTACAAACTGTCAGTCAACGATTTCCTGATCAAAGCCTGCGCAATCGCCTGCAAGAAAGTGCCTGCTGTGAACTCCAGTTGGAGAGAAGATGGTGGCCAGGCGATCATTCGTCAACACAACACAGTGGATGTGAGCGTCGCCGTCGCCACGCCTATTGGCTTGATGACTCCTATTGTCAAGAATGCTGACAGCATCGGTCTCTCTGCTATTTCAAACTCCGTCAAGGACCTCGGAAAGCGAGCCCGAGATGGCAAGCTTAAGCCAGAAGAGTACCAAGGCGGCACATTTACAATCAGTAACATGGGCATGAACCACGCGGTGGAAAGATTCACCGCGGTGATCAACCCGCCACAGGCCGCAATTCTCGCCGTTGGCACCACTCGCAAGGTTGCCGTCCCGGTCGAGACTGAAGAAGGCACGGTTACTGAATGGGATGATCAAATCATTGTGACTGGCAGCTTCGACCACAAAGTGGTGGACGGGGCTGTGGGAGCCGAATGGATCAAGGAATTGAAGAAGGTGGTGGAGAACCCCCTGGAGATGATGCTGTGAGAGTGCTTGTCGGGTTTGGCTGGATTTAGCGAGGCGGATGCAGGAATGGCGTGTACAAAATTCTTCTCGCTTACTTCTTGGGCAAAAGTTGCGCCTGCATTTGCCTTGTCCTTCAATGCTACTTAATTGAGCTTCGGTCAATGCGGTGAATGCCTTTTGTCATAATGAGTAGGGTCCGGAGATATAGCCTTGCATGGAAAACGACTGGAGGGTCTTCTTTGTCCTCGCCATCCTGACCAGGTTATCGAGAATGTGTACATCGTAGTCAAGGTAGCAGGATGGTACCGACGCGAGTACATGGTATGGCATTCTTGTTGAACCTTGATCTAGATTTTGAACTCCCCAATAACTACCCAATACGGTTGAAGTTTTTGCTCTGCACGGCTGTCCAATCGGAGGAATCAACGTTCATCGGCCGAGCAAGGCTCGCCAAGTCCCGATCAAGGCCGAAGTTGAGACCGCCAAACTTTTTGGTGAGAGTGAGTGCGTTGCGGCGAAGAAACCCGCTTCCTCTTCTTGATCACTCAGCTTGGGTTCCAATAGAACAATTCCTTTCACCTGAGACAGTGTATAACGGGCTACAGAGCCCTCCATGAGCCTAACTTCACGCCTATCGAACTGGTTCTTTTCAGACAGCTCTGTCGGAAATACTGCCATCGAGGCCCAGCGCAATGCCTACTCGGAACCGGACTTTGATCTCGACGGCGCACGACAGAATAAGCGGCTGCGAACAATGGAGAGATTGGAGAAGGAGGAAGCCGATCTGGAGCTGAAGAGACCCCCCTACACCCACGTATGTTCTGCAAATACCCAAACGCAACTTAGCTTTGGCTGATCTAGAATGACAGTCGATGCTTGCCGGTGGAATAGGCGGCACGAGCGGCGATATTCTCATGCATTCACTGGACACCGTGAAGACAAGACAACAAGGAGATCCTCATTTCCCACCGAAATATACCTCATTGTCCGATTCCTACGTCAAGATATTCCGGCAAGAGGGGGTGAGAAGAGGGCTGTATGGAGGCTTTACAGCGGCCATGTTGGGGTCTTTCCCCGGCACGGTTATATTTTTTGGGTCATATGAATACTGCAAGCGACATATGCTAGATCGTGGGATTAATCCATCCATATCATATCTCGCAAGTGGTAAGCACACCCCTCTTCGCCTGCCTCGTTGCGCACGTGCTAATGTGCCACCCTAGGTTTTCTCGCCGACCTTGCGGCATCCATTGTGTACGTTCCATCCGAGGTGCTGAAGACTCGATTGCAGCTGCAAGGTCGCTATAACAACCCTTTTTTCAATTCTGGATACAACTACAAGTCAACGTGGGATGCAGCCCGGACAATCGCTAGGAGAGAAGGGTTTGGAGCGTTGTATTCCGGATACAAAGCCACCATCGTCCGGGACCTTCCGTTCTCAGCACTGCAGTTTGCATTTTACGAGGAAGAACGCAGATTTGCTCAGAGTTTCATGGATACTCAAGACATTGGACTCAGCCTGGAAATCTTCACTGCAGCCTCGGCGGGTGGCGCGGCAGGAGTCATAACCTGCCCACTTGATGTTGTGAAAACGAGGACTCAAACTCAGATCAATCCCAACGGCGCGAAAAACAGCCAGACTTCACATCTGGAGAAGACAGTCAAGAGCAGCCAGAAATCGTGCGCCAACAAGCAGACGCAGACAAGATTGATCCATTCGGGACCTCGAACGGTGCCTCATTCTACTCCCACACTCGACACCTCGTCTGTGATAGAAGGGCTGCGCATGATCTACAAAACCGAGGGTGTTGCGGGCATGTTTCGTGGGGTAGGACCCAGATTTGTTTGGACGAGTGTACAGAGCGGAACGATGCTTGTCCTGTACCAGTACTTATTGAAGCAAATGGAGCGGTTTCAGTCTCAAGAAGGAGCAGGAGTGATCTGAATAGGTCTTTGTACAGATCATTTGTGATTATACAGGCCATGATTGATTGGCCGAAGAGAGGGATGGATGGATGGACGGATTGAAGATCTGGCATTTGCAGGCGTTTGAGATAACGTGCCACAGCCACTGTACAAGGCTCGGATGGCCAGGAATACCCCCCCTTTGAAGGAATAGAAAAGCGGCTGGAAGATAGATTGTACACTAACAAAGTCATATTTCAACTCTGTGGCATGAACGTGCACAAGTAAATACCTCGTATGTCTTGGGGTAAAATAATACTGTGAACAGCCTAACTTAACCCGTCCGGAACAATAATAGTCCCCGGATAGTGTCACCAAAGTGTACCACAGAGAAGTTGGGGGTGTCATGCTTTGGTTATGGCCTGTATGCAGGCCTTCAACGCTGGTGACACCAGACCCAAGCCGGGGAAGATCCAGGGGTAGGGACAAGCAGCAGGGCTAGCCACCAATGGGCGCTCCCAGCGTAGGGACTGGGCTGCTAAATGTTCCGGGGCCCTTGTTGCTGATCTCCAATCAAACTCGCGCCAGGCTCCTTCCGTGGGCAGCTTGGCAAGCTTCTCCACTACGGCCACTGCAGCCACTGGTGCTCCAGTGCTCAAGCCTCGAACAGTACGAGAGGCCATGGCAGTCGTGTCTCCTTTTTTCCCACTTGACCTTGTCCCCTGGTTCACGGTTTCCACCTGGAATTGATTGAGAGGCCACACTCGCTGCAGTCCAACTTCACACGACGTTTCTATCTCTTCTTTCTCGTGCACCCATCCTTTTGGCTTCTTTTTTCTTATTCTTGCGCATCAAATTCACTTTCTTACGCTCGCTTGGAACCCTCCACGGACATTGTGATAGCGACCTGCCATTGATCAGGTAAGTTTAGCATTATTTTTTTTATACACCCCGAATTCTTCGCGGCGCTCGATTCCCCTGGGCGCAGGCAACCCACTGTGATTCCCTCCATCCAAGTTCCCTCATACAAGCTGCGATCATTCTGACTTTTTATCCTGGGCGCGTGCTGACAGAACATCACTTGCAGTTCTCTTTGTTCAGTTGTGCTCCGTGTCCCCTGCACAAACCACGTCGTCTGACCAAACATGGGTGAGCATTCGTCACCGTCCTGATCCTTTCACATATTCGCACAAATCTTGCACCAGCACCCTCTTTTCTCTGTACCACAGCGCGTCTTCCGTTCCATGTGCCCCTGCTACAATCCGAGGATAAAGCGTGATGGAAATGGACGTCAAGAGCAGTCTTGGTCCAAGCGCGGCCCTCAACATTCCTGGACATGAACCCCAAGAAGATGGAGAAGGCCAACCCCTTGACACTCAACGTGCACCTGATGATATGCAGCCGTCCAGCATGACTGACTTGAATCAAAATCCAGCTGCCGTTGCAAATGGCGTCCGGTCGTCCCCGTCTCCCAACATCCCCAACGGAAAACCTGCGTCCCCTTTCGTGAAGGAGAGCAATCCAATGGGTGCCAATGCTGCCCAGACCGTCAGCTCCAAAGACCCGAAGGCTGCGGCTGCAGCAGCAAATGATATGCGAAACGTGGTCAGAAGAAAGTTGACAGGCTATGTCGGGTTTGCAAACTTGCCCAATCAATGGCACCGTAAGAGTGTGAGGAAAGGCTTCAATTTCAACGTAATGGTTGTGGGTAAGTATAATGGGTATCTCATGCACATACTTCCTATACTCACAATCTGCAGGCGAGTCCGGACTGGGAAAATCCACCTTGGTCAACACTTTGTTCAATACTTCTCTTTACCCTCCACGCGAACGTAAAGGACCCAGCTTGGACATCATCCCAAAGACCGTCTCTATTCAGTCTATCAGCGCCGATATCGAAGAAAATGGGGTCCGTCTGCGTTTGACAGTGGTTGACACCCCTGGCTTTGGAGATTTCGTCAACAACGATGACTCGTGGAGACCGATTGTGGAGAACATTGAGCAGCGATTTGATGCATATCTCGAGGCCGAGAACAAGGTTAATCGCATGAACATTGTGGACAACAGAGTCCATGCCTGCGTCTACTTCATCCAACCCACCGGCCACTCACTGAAGCCTCTGGACATTGAAGTCATGCGTCGCCTGCATACCAAAGTCAACCTCATTCCCGTCATCGCCAAAGCCGATACGCTGACCGATGAGGAAGTCGCAGCGTTCAAGCAAAGAGTAAGTGGCCATCATCCGAGATCGAGGCCTGCCCACTGACCCACACAGATCCTCGCCGATATCCAACACCACTCCATCCAAATCTTCGAAGGCCCGCGCTACGAACTCGATGACGAGGAGACCATCGCCGAGAACCAGGAGATCATGTCGAAAGTGCCTTTTGCCGTCGTCGGTGCCAACTATGAGGTTACCAACCCCGAAGGCCGCAAAGTGCGCGGTCGACGCTACCCCTGGGGTATAATTGAGGTGGACAACGAAGAACATTGTGACTTTGTCAAGTTGCGACAGATGTTGATCCGAACACATATGGAAGAACTCAAGGAGCACACTAACAATGCGCTCTACGAGAACTACCGGTCGGATAAACTCATTCAGATGGGTGTCTCTCAGGATCCTAGTGTGTTCAAAGAGGTCAACCCTGCAGTGAAACAGGAAGAGGAGAGAACGCTCCACGAGCAGAAGCTTGCCAAGATGGAAGCCGAAATGAAGATGGTGTTCCAGCAGAAGGTACAGGAGAAGGAGAGCAAACTCCAACAGAGCGAAGAGGAGTTGTTCGCCCGCCACCGCGAAATGAAGGAACAACTGGAACGACAACGAGCGGAGCTCGAGGAGAAGAAGGTTCGGATCGAGCAGGGCCGGCCGATTGAGAAAGAAGGCAAGCGGAAGGGCTTCTCGCTTCGATAGACGTCGCCAGCGAAGTGCCGGTCATCTCATCCAGCTTCTGCTTCCTTCCCTGGCGTTTTCAGTTCCACTCAGCGACGAACACGATGATGGCGATATCCTCTATTCCGACCAACCTTCTTTCTTTTTTTCGAGAACGAACTTGTTTGATATTGTTCTCCAGCAAGCAACAGACTGGGGCTGTTGTGGCGTTCTAATCAAGACATTGCAGACATGATGTGCCGGTGAGAAAGAAGCTGGAAGGGGGGATGGGAGGGAGAGTGCGTGTGGGAGAGATGAGACAACGTCCTGGATTGTGCTTAATACACTGGCTCCATCACAGCACAGCATCCAGGACCCAAGATGGACAGAAAATCCCGAATTTGGTTGGGCCGGGACAGGGAATTACGGGCCCTGGACCTGCCTGACGGTCATGTATATTTCCTTAGCACCTTCGTGTCTTGTTTGGGAACGGGGAGATAGTTGAGCGGGAGGGAGGGCAGTGGGTTTCTTCGCCAGCTGGGACGACTTTCTCCAATTTCATTCTTTCCCTTTTCCGAATGGCGAGCTCCCTCTGTACTTATGTAGTTGTCACTAGCTCTAACAAAAAAGTGTTGATTTGAGGACGATGGCAGAGTTTGGGGTATACAACCAGATGTGAGAGAGTGCCTGTATACATAGGACGAGGCATGGCAGAGCTTAGTAGTGGTAGGGCAAGGATGGATGGATTGCCGATGTCACCTGTAGCTGCGAAGTGGTGTGTGTGGCGCTTGCAGCTGGCGAGGATTCGGGGCTTGACATCATCTGCAAAACCCACACAACCGAAAAGCGCCCAGAGAAGCCACCTCTGCTCCTCTGCTACTCTGTACACATCAAGGCTACATCCTCGCCAACTTCTTGCTCTGTCCATTGACTCTTCTCCAGACCACAGCCACCTCCTCCCACCGGTGTCGGCCTCCTACCTCGAATCTTTTCCCCTTATCCAGCTCCTCCTCGCATTCCTCCCTCTCTGTACCTCGGATCCTCTGTGCGACGAAGATCACGCACGAGCGCTGCACTCCCCAGAGCTTGACCGCCCCTCTATCAGCTGGGAATTTGAGTTTGCAAGACTGAAGAACATGGCACCCCCACCTCCTGCTACTGCTCCCTTGGGTGAGCGCCTGGCACAGGTCGCTACAACACTTCAATTGTGAGATAACCTGAAGCTTCACTTTCTGAAGGGCGGAAAAGAGTCTGGAATTCCTTTGCTAACACGGGCTTGTCCAGTGCTTGGTTCTGCGGCCACTTTACCCTCCTCTTGTCGGTTTTCCGATATGGCCTCTCGTACCTCACGTTCAACTATTACTCCAGATGGGCCCAGTTCACATATCGCCTGGCTTTCATCTCGGCCGTGGCCACCTACGGTATTGTTGTTTTCAAGGCTTATCGTGCTCGCGTGAAGAAGCCTGGCGCTACGATTGCCTCGACGGGCTACCTCTTGCTGTCGGATGAAAATGTCCAATATCTGCGTGAGTTCGGTTCTCAGGACCAGTCGATCATCCAAGGCTCTAACGTAACGGGCAGTCATCAGTTTGGTCTGGCTGTACGCGAGACAGGTGCCATTGGCCCTGCTGCCCTTCACTGTCTACTCGGTCTTCCACGTTGCGACCTACACGCGCACCATCATTATTCCCACCTTCCAGACGCCCAAAGCCGCTCCTGCAAGCACCCCTGCTTCACCAAGCGCTTCCAAGCCTCCTCAGTCTCCTCTCGCAAATTCCATTGGTCGGTTTGTCAAAGAATACTACGACAGCTCCATGATGTTGGTTGCATTCCTTGAGATTTTCCTCTGGCTCCGCTTGTTGCTGTCCGCATTGACGTTCAGCAAGGGCTCCTGGATCCTGCTGAGCATATACACCGTATTCTTGAGGGCCCGATACTCCCAAAGCCAATTTGTGCAGGGAGCTTTCGCCCAGATGGGCGCCAGAATCGACCAGCAAGTCCAAAATCCCAATGTCCCTCCTGCATTTCGACAAGCTTGGGAAACCATCAAAGGGCTTCTGCGCCAGACAGTCGAGGCCACCGATCTGCGCAAGTACATGGGAGCCCAGACCCCTCAAAAGAAGCCTCAATAGAGCAGATTCCTCGACGCGCCAAGTCGATTTCGCTCACTTTGATAACATAGGTACGGGGAGGCAGAGAACCAGGGGGCAATTTATCGTCCCTTGGCATTGCAGAAACATTGAAGTTGTGGGTGGGGCGGCGCGCCTACGTCGGAATTTTCGAGCACGTTGAGACTGACTCGGGGCCCTTTGTCAAATTGGTCAGTGGGCTCTGCAAAGGAACGATAGAAGATCTGAGGGATCAACCTCCGCCGCAGTGGGAGCCGGGATAGGATTGGGATGGCATGCGAGGAGGTGTGCATGATGCGGGAGATGTGTGATGCAGGCGAGGAAATGTGCAGCAGTGCCTAAGCGACAAGTCCAAAACGACCTGTCCCAGGGAGTTGCTCAGGATTCCCCGCGGCTGGCTTTACTGCACAGCACAATGGATGATTAAAGGAGTAACTGTTTTCGCCGATTCTTGTTCTTTCCTGGGCTCTGATTGAAAGGCATCCATATGTAGCTAGGCTAGATACAGACAGGCGTGAGGCGTATGATGCGTATGAGCTGGCAACCATTGTCGCTTTGTCCCTCGCTCTATGTTGTCTGGTGACTCGGGTGGTTGCTTTCAGGATTGCTCTTCCCCATACCCGAGAACCAGGAACCACATGACTGGCCCTTGGAATACTTCCTCAGTCTTTCGGTCTGCCCTTGGTTCGTTCTCTTCGCTCGACGCGCAGGACGAAGAGAATCAAGCTTACTACTAGTACTACTATAGGTGGCCCATGAGCATTCGAAATACGGAGAGTATGTGTGGTGATGGTGATGGCAAAGAAGGGAGGGACTCACCTCCCTCGCTGCCCGCTTGTGGTCATGCAAGCTTCTGTGTGACGAGACGAATGCGAAGACGAGGTACAGGAGAACCCAAGCAGGGGGCCCCGACCAGAGAAAGATCAGTCCCGCCGAGAGGGGTCGGTAATAACATACATACATACTATTATCTCTCGAGTTTTCATTTTCTGTCTTGAGCCCTTTCTCTGTCCTAAGTTAGTACATACAGGCATTTTATAATCATCCATGCTGGACCCTGTTGGATGAGGTAACTCGGTACCTATGGACATATACTGTATGATTGGGCTAGTGAGGCTAATCACCACTATATGTGGGTGTGTATGTCGCCGGGTCGTCGGAGAAGATTCCCCGAGCAGGTTGGTTCTCGGTATATATCTCGGACTTTCTACTCCGAGTAGTATGTATGTGTGTATGTTTGTCCTCGCTACATATGTATGTATTAATATCATTATTGATATTGTTGTATTGTTAGTTGTAAGGCTCTATCTACCTTCCCCGGCCCCTCCCCCCAAAAAACAAACTTGCAAATAATGGGACCCTATTAATTAATTAATGGCGAGCCTTGTAAACGGCACTGCAGGAACGAGTAGCTCGACCAAAAAGAAAGAAAGGACGAAAGGCTCAAATTCATTCTTTTTTTTTAACATTGTTTTGAATACGAACAAGCCCCGTCAGCATCGGCAGCATCGCCAACAACGGTTCTTTGCCACTACGTATTGATTTCGCGGGTGCAGAGACAGATACTCTGCTGCCATCAACAGGCACACCCCCTCACAGATACAGGTTTCAGAGTAAACGAAGCTCCCTGTAGGACCTAATGATGTGGATATCTTCCTCAATCCAGTCGCCCACCAGTCGTCGTCGTCGTCGTCTTCTACTTCTTCCTTTTACACACCTTTTTCTGCGTTGTAAACCACGTTTGTTTTGCACGTCCCGTCCACTCACCCACATAGGTACAGGTTTGCATATCACCAACTAACTACAGGTTGAAATCCACCACGCCTCGCCCCGCCGCTTCACCCTTTCGGATCCGTTCCACCGCTTCGGGGAGCCGGTCGATGGGATAGACCGTGTGGTCGCCCGAGATCTTGCCGGCCGCGGCGTATTGCAGGGTCGTGGCAATGTCGGCGCGACTGCCCACGATCGACCCGCGCACCGTCAGGCCTTGGGTGATGAACTTGGTCGGCGGAGCTCCGATGGTGAGCTCCTTGTTGTGCGCTGTTTATGAATTTTGCGGGTTTAGCTCTCGTTTCTTCGAAGAAGACGCGAAAGGGGAGATGGGGGCCCATGGAGGAGGAAGAACAAGTAGAAACTCACGGAGCCCTATACACGTCACAACAGCACCGGCACGTGTGCCCGTGTACGGGATGGCGGATGGGTAGGAATTGCCAGCCGTGACGAATACGCCGTGTGCGCCGACCCCGTCCGCGATCTTGACGGCCTCAGCGATCGGATCGTCGACACGCCTGAAGTCGACAAACGCCTTCGCGCCGCGACGCAGGGCGAGCTTCTCCTTCTCGTCGCCCGTGTCCACCACGATCGGCCGCAGCCCCATCGCCGCCGCCAACTGCACGCCTTGGATGCCCACGCCGCCCCCGCCGCCGAGGAAAACCGCCCAGTTGTTCGGCTTGAGCGCCGCCAGACGCAAGGCACGATACATGGTCCCCGCGGAGCACATGATGGGCGCCGCGGCGTAGTCGTCCACGCCGTCGGGGATTCGTTGCGTGTAATGCGCCGGGGACGTGACGTATCTATGTTAGCGAGAGAGAGAGATCAGCAGGTCTTTTGACGCCACAGCTTCCGAGATGCGAGTAGATATACTGTTGATACGTCCTATTGAGCACGATCGTCATCGTCATCGTCGTCAGCATTGCCTTCATCTTTGAGCACAGGCTGAGGCAAGGGTGGGTACACTCGCCCTGTCTTATGAAGACCACAGAGCACCGACTTGCGGCAATACGCCTCCTTGTCGTCCAGGCAGAGGTCGCAGTCGCCACAGACGGACCATCGCGGCTTCATGCCGGCGCGGTCGCCCACCTTCCAGTTCTTCACGTCCGCGCCGACTTTGACCACCACGCCGGCGCCCTCGTGGCCCGGAGACCGCACGCCGAACGTGGACATGGGCGGCGCGCCCAGGTCGCCCATGGCGAAATGAACGTCGGAAAAGCAGATGCCCGTCACGTTGAGCTTGATCAAGACTTCGTCGGGCCCTGAGGAGAGCCATGATTAGGATTGATTTTGTGTTGTATTTCACCGTGTTTGCGAGACATCTGACCTACCTGGCTCCGGGACCGGCACCATCTGCACCTCGATGTGGAAATTGGGGCCTTCATTGACCACGACGCCGGCCTTGCACTCTTTCGGTATCGCAAAGGTGATCTCGTTGTGGTCCGCGGCGTCGTTGACGTCGGGCCGAAATAGATACGACATTGTGGTGGTGGTGGTGGTAACGATGATGACCACGACAATGTAGAGCAGAGTTGAGTAGAGTAGAATAGTTTAGTACAGTATAGTATAGAAAAATAGAAAGCAAGCCAAACCCCCTTCCTGGATCTGCCCGTGGGTACTGAGTAGATGTGTATGTATGTAAGTAGGTATGTGTGTATAATGTATATGTATATATCAATCAAATCAAACCCTCTCTCTTCAGCAGCAATGACTAGGAGAGGGGTTGTTGTTGTCACTCACTGCTCTCTACCCGAGGCTGATGAGATTTCTGGTTACATATAAGTGAGTGAGTGAGAAACCCGGTATATATATACACAAGCTTTTTTCCTGGAATTGATTCTCCGAAGAAGGGGGCAATTCGCCATATGGCATACCTACCGGTGTGGGGGGTGAACTCTCTCTCTCTCTCTCTCTCTCTCTCTCACACACACACACACACACAAACACACAGTACCGAGGTGGCAGAACCGATAATCCATCCAACTGAACGAGGCGAAATGGATGGGCGGGAGAGAGCGAGGGATTGATTCTAGTTGCTACCACCACCACCACCACCACCTTCAACGGTATACAGCCTCTTGCTATATAATTCGATAGCAACACTGTGCAGTGCGCTGCTGCAACACAAGCCCCAAGCAAGTTTTAAGCCAAATAGAACGGTTGTTGGGTAACCAAGTACACAAATATACGCAATACTTCAACCAGCCACCGTAGTTGTTGATCCTCTCCCCTACCGACCCGCCCATCCAACTAATCAGCAAACCACCTAGCTACCCAGCTACCCAGCGAGACCGTGATCTCTCTCGTTGTCTGCAAACGCATGGATAATGAATAATGAATAATGCATACTCATTCGGCCCACACAGCGCAGACTAGTCCGGAATCCCGCGAAACACCCGCCGTCTCTGGACGTTACAATCGGTGAGAAGAAGACACAAACGGGAAAAGAGCGGTCCATCCCAATGAAGATCCCCCCGCCAGGTCTTCGCGAGATGCATAAGGAAGAGGGGCTTGACAGAGGCTCCATTCAGTCTTCATCCTCTGGTTCCTCGTCCTCGTCCCCGTCCTCGTCGTCGGGCAAATCCACCTCAGCCTCGGGGTCTCGGTCGTCGTCGTCATCATCATCTTCATCCTCGGAGTCGTCTTCGTCATCCAGAACTGCGTCCTCATCGTTGGGATCATCGCCGTCTTCCTCTTCTTCCTCTTCTTCGCTCTCTTCATCCTCCGTGGCCACTGATGCTCCTTGTTCGTCGTCGTCCTCCTCATCAACGCTCGAGGAAGAGGATCGGTCCTCTTCCTCATCCTCCTCCTCCTCCCCTTCTTCTTCATCGCCTAGTTTACCTTCCATATGTGCTGCATCCTCATCTTCCTCTCCAGGCGCATCGTCCTCATCGCCGTTCGTGACTGACACGTCTGACGCCGGTACTGTCATTGTCGAAAGCCCACTTCTCCGCCCGCTTCGCCTGACAGGAGTCCCGGGTACCTTCGGAGATACGCTGCCGGTGCTGGCGACACTGCTGCCATTGGCAGAAAGCGTAGGCCCCGACAAACTCAACCCTGCATTATTGCTGTTATTGGCGTTTCTCGGCGAGCTCCTCACTGCGACTATGGAAGCTCCAGCGGTGGACGCAGCAAATTCTCCTTTGCCGAAGCCCTTCGTCTGTGAGGTGCTTGGCGATCCAAAGGCGGCAGCAGCGCTGCGTTTCTTCGTGCTCCTCTGTCGCAGCATTGATGGTGGGATTGGCGGATCGATTTGGAAACGTGTAGGCGGGATCGAATGTTGGCGGAAAGCAAGGGCATAGCCTGAGAGTAGAGGTTCTTGTTCCTTACCAGCCTCCTTTGGCTGGTCTTTCTCTCCTGCTCCGGGACGATCTTCGCTGCCGCCGCTCTCCTCCTCTCCATTCTCGCCTTGAGCATGAGGAGTGCCATTGACAATCCCATTGACCTTGATATCTGGACGAGCAGTACCCAGTGGCAGGGCACCAGCGGCGCTCAGCGGCGCCGTCGGAGGTGGCCCGGGTGCCACATGGCCCTGCGCATCGACGAGGGCGGGGTCCTTGACATCCATATCCTCTTCCTGCAACCCGACCGATTCTGGCCGCGACATTGCTCTTGTGGACTTTGATTTTGACCGTGTGGAAAGACGTTCTGTATCCACTTCAGTCTCTGGCAAGTCACCACCACCCACAGACTTGGCGGCAGTTGACATCACCACCTCACTGTCCACATCCCCCTCCCGGCCCAATTCTACGTCTTCCTCGTCTCCATCTTCCTCATCCCTGGGCGCCAGAGCTTGCAGAGGCTGTCCGTCTAATGTGGCCTGATCACTGCGGCCCATAATATAGGGCGTCCACATCAGACTGCTTGGCTTCAACTTTCGATGTTTTTTGGCCTCATAGTCATCGACGAATTTCTGGTACAGCTTCCTGTCATACCTCACTGCGTAGGTTTTGGTCACTGGGTCCTTGATGAACGCGTACAGGCGCTCGAGGGAATGGATCACGTCGTCAGCTGTCATGCCAGTTCGAGCCATGAGGGTCTTGGTGGAGAACGGTTTGAGGCCCAGATCGAGCAGATGACGCGAGATGGTGAGGTCCCAGTACGAGCGGTAGGCGGTTAGGCCCATATCCGAGAGAGGCTTTTCTGGAGATCCCTCCTTTCCCTCTATTCTGGTGAGAAGGTAGGAGAAGTCGATGAGGAAGGTTGCATAACCCTTGCGCTGATGGATGGGCATCACCAGGATGCAACTAACGTTGTTCTGACTTGCTGGCCGCTTCTCCTTGCTGAAATACCCTACGAAATGATACCCCAGTTCATCGTACTCAGTTAAGATGTAGAACAAAAAGGGTTCCACATCATAGTACAGCGTCTTTGAACCCAGGAACATCTTGGCCATAAGACAGAGACACTGGCAATACTCCGTCTTCTTCCTTCCGTCAACTTCCCAGACTGAGACCGTGCCATCACGATATATCTCGTCTCCAGGCGGGTGTTTCGCTGGACACTTCAGCTTGTGCCTGTATGCCACGAATTCCGAGGGTAGGTATTTCAAGCAGAATTCACAGATAAACAACCGGGTTTCGTGTGAATATTCTTCCGGGTACGGGGCGGCGTAGAAGGTGTCGATGACATGTTTCCCAAATTGGATGCATTTGATCTTGCTTGGGGGCCCCGACACTGTGGACCGGCTGGGTTTCGTGGTCGAGGTCGAGGTCGAGGCTGCTGTAGCGTCCCCTGCTCCGCCGTTGATCTCCGCCTCGGCTGCTGCTGATGCTCGGCGACGTTCTTCCTCCGCTTCTTTTCTTGCGATCTCGAAAATTTCGCGGTCTCGGAGTTGAGGCAGTGAACGGCTTGTATCTGCATCCACTTCGGAAAGGATGCCGCCGTACGGTTTGGCGTTGAGTTCAGCTTCTCGGTCGGTAAACGCTGAGGGGAAAATCAGGTGTTGTGTTGGCAGAGCAGGGAACTTGGGAACAGGAGGTTGGTAGACCGCTGCCGGGGGCGGTATTTTGGGAGGCTTCTTAGGCTGAGTCCGTCTTTCTCTTCTCCGGCCGGGTCGAGGGGGTTTGCTCAAAATTGCCTCAATCTTGTCTTGTTCTAAACGAAAAGCCAGGATGAACTTGTGAGGGGGCGGCTTGTTGAACGGTCGATGTTGCAGTATCCGCGCGGTAGGTTTTGTGATTTTCATTTGGCTCGATCTTCTCGTCGAGTGCGCAATGGCTGCCTTCTTCTCTGTCAACTCTTTGGTTGTCGCAGCCGCTGCTAATGCTCGGTCTGTTGCTTTCCGTCGTCTCTTCTCGACGGGGGGAGGTTCCTGAGTCGGTGATTTCCTCTTCCTCAGAGCGCGCCCTCCGTCGTCACCATCCCCAATCACCGGTTGGGCAAAGATTGAATGCGAATACGGCTTTTGTAAGCCGCGCGTCACAGGCAACAAGTCCCTAACAAGCCTGGGCGCCGAATTCTTGGATCGTGTGCTTCGGGCTTTTGGTGACACTGATGGCGCCGTTTTGTCGCCAGCACACTGCGGACATTGCCATGGGGAAGCCTCGCCTGTCTGTAGTGAGCCGCGCTCTCGAGCGCATTTCCGATGTGCGTGGTTGTCGCAGGCAGGGCATCTCAACCCCGACTCGCCGTCGTCGCTGTCGGCGGCTACAGTCTGGTTACAAAACACACAGTTTTGTTTCGAGTCGATGGCCTCGCTCGTGTTGTCTTCTTCACTGGACTCTGCTTCTGACTGCAATTCCGACTCCGCACCCGATTCGGATGCAGAATCGGAGCCCGATGCTGAGGCAGATGATTCACCTTCGTCCTGGCTGCTTTCTGAGCTGACTTCGCTGTCACCCTGGCTCTTTGTCCCCTCTTGGGGGTTTTCTTCCCCGTCGTCTCCGTCTACAGCCTGTTTGTCTTCGTCTGTAACTTCCTCTTCATCGCCCTCATCGTCAGCTGCCTGCTCGCTTTCGGCGTCGGCGTCAACCATAGAGACATCTTCTTTCGCCTCCGTTTGCGGAGCAGACGTGGAGGCGGCATCGGCATCGGCTTCAACCTTGGCTTCATTGTCGCTGAGGCTTTCCTCCGCCGATCTTTGTAGCTGTTCACCCAGGGCGCTGTCTTCCGAGTTGGGATCATGGACGTTAACTAGCTCTGCCGCTGCTCTCCTCTTTCGGTCCTCGTTTGAAGCATTTTGCTCGCCTTCTGACACCTCTCCGTTCTCGCCACTGGTATGTCTGGGAGACCGGTCTGCTGAAAACCGCGCTGGTGACTGTTCATCATCGGACGTCTCTTCATATGCGCTGGTCGGTTCGTCCAGCTCTACAGAGGTTAGGGGCGACATGGACGCAGTCAAGGATTGTAATATGTAGTGCGGTGCTTGCGTCTGTCGTCTGTCGGGATAATGACCATCACGCGGGAGATGTATTGTTCTTCTTCTTGTCGTCGCCAACGCCACGTCCGACTCTTTACATTCACGCCACTGAAACCACAACGCGACACAGCATTTTTGATCTCCCAGCCACAATCGGCACTTGGGCGCAAACAGAGGTTGTGAGAATGGAGGGGCGGGCTGGTCGCTGAATATTTGTTCGACGCGTGAGGATGAGCTCAACACCGTAGGGGCCTTTGATCCGTCGGCTTGATCGGGGTTCGAGATAGCTGCTACACGTCAAACGGACGCTTTCAATAGTGTTATCATAATTTGAGGCTCGTGCTGGACGCTGGAGAGACGCGCTGCGATGGGCGAGCGCATCCAACCCTCATCGACATGGTCTGTAAAGCAGCGCCCAATCATGTCCGAATAAGGTAAGGCGCCTCTCGACACCTCTTTGACCTGCGCTCGACATCCAGCTCACCAGCTGTCCGCAATAACCCTCACGACAAGGAATAAAGACACCCCGTGTACTCGCACACGCCAGGGACAGCTCTCGTTTGTGACGCTTGCAACCGCAAACTCCGCACCTCTCTTTCTCGCGCCTGGCAACTGGCAATCTACCTTTTCGCAGTCGATGGTATAGCTCGTAGCCATGGGGGTTCCTTTCGAAGCTCTTCTGCCATATGCGATCATGGTTGGCATGTTCGGTGTTACAGTACCGCATCCCCTTTCAATGAACAAAAGATCTTCCCAAACTGAGCCGTCCATTAGGGTGCTGGCCTCGCCTCGATCAAGTACTACGCAAACGACTTCAAGCAGCCAAGGAGACAACTAGACGTGTGGGACAGGCAAAGTGGGTGCAGAAAAGAAAGAAGCTCACCGACATATTACTCACTGTTGCAGTGATGGAAAGAGATCACCGATTGACCGGGAAAATAAGAGGACAGTCGGACGCTGTGGTGGCTCCCGTTGGCTTCGAAGGTTCGTCAATATTCGGTGCCCATCATACTGGATGAATGCTAACGAAAATATACAGTGAATAGCAGGTGGAAGGTTGGTCAAGCAATGGCACGAAGCTTGACTGATATCACTGACCCCTGCTCTAGGCCGAACCTCGCATTACTTAAGACTTCGGGACAGTCGTCCATATTGAGTCCACCTGGAACCAGACATTGTACATATTCCGCCTATCGGGCAATGCGGATACGCACGACAAAACTCAAGTTCTTTGCCATTAGTTGCTCGCTTCCGGCGCACTATGTGAAATCAGTTGGGGCAATCGGGCAGCGATATATGCACAACCTCTTCATGAAGCAACCCACACAGAGGCATTTCTTGGATGTCTTTGGGTCATCTGCAGATCGTATCTGGCGTTCTGCGGCTCGGGAATACATACGAGTTTCAGCTGCGGTTCAACATATCACGCTGGACTGACTGTCGCTGTCGCTGTCGCTGTAGTTGCAGCCACATTTGAGCTGGAGACCTGAACTCCGAATTCGGAGCGGGCAAACACCGACGTGTGCCATTCCGTCAAATAAAGACACCACCCTCTCTCTCTCTTTCTTCCCCGATGTATTGATCGTGTCGGAGTGTACTCATCCTCACATATCGAGAATATCCTTTGGTCGTTACAGCAAGCAGCCCAGTGTAGCATCTTCCATTTTCTCCGCCAAAGATCATTCGTATCAGTCCTCCATCATGACGACTGGGCCTACCGACCTCCAAGAAAAGCTACGCCGCCTCCATGAATATTCCCCCTGTGATGTAGGTACGGTAGCTGTGTAATCTTGTCAGTCAATCTGATAGGACAAGGTATCGGATGCGCTTCTGAAGCTGCAGAAAACAAAGCCAGGAGAGGTTCCGAGGGCAGGCCATCTCGCTGATATTTGTGTGCTACCTCCTGGAAGGTCTCATGGCAGGCCCTGTTAGTTGACCAGAACCAGTGCCTATTGCCCTACTACCATCAAACGGAGACCCTGGAGAGACTCTACAAAAAGTAATCGCACCGGCATGTACCCTGAAGCTGGTGTCGAAGACTGCCACGCCAGATTCAGATCCTCCAGTCGAAAATGCCATCCCCAAAGGGAGTCACTGGGTAGACCTGACAGAACCTGGAACCATTGTTGTCATTGATCAGCCACAAGGCCAGAAATGTGCGGCGGTGGGAGGCATCATGGCACAGAGGATGAAGATTAGAGGGGTGGCCGGTTGCGTCGTCGGCGGCCGTGTCAGAGATTTGGCAGAGCTGAAGGATGCTCAGTTGCCGGTGGGTGATCCCTTTGGACATTCGTGTCAACGGCCTTTCTCTTCTCTTGCAGCCTGAGGATGTTCCCCTCCCTCCCTGAGCCTTGCTGATCGGTCAGATATTTGCCCTGGGCAAATCCACGGTTGGGATAGGGGCTGAGGCAACAGCATATGCTCGCAACGTCCGCGTATCCATAAGCGGCGTCGATGTTTCCCCGGTAAGTAACGAGATGTTCCATCGGCCAAAATCAATTCTTCCTGCCTTTATTGACTCGATGATGTCAGGGCGACATCGTGTTCTGTGATCCACTGGAAGGGGTGGTGGTTATCCCTCAGGACCTGCTCGACGAAACCCTGTCACTGATGCCGAAGCTTGTTGCCTCTGATGACAAGGTCAAAGAGGCCGTGCTGGGAGGCATGACCGTGGGAGAAGCATTCAGAACTTTCCGCGAGTGAGAATGAACTTCCTCTGCTGGACTGGACCAGTTGTCACTCGCGAGAATAATAAAACAATAACAACATTCACTGGTCGTCTCCTGAAAACTGCCCAAAGCAAACCATCCAGAACGGAACCAGGGGCGCAAAGTAGACCACCAATTTTGATTGATTGATGAAGTTGTTTCTTTGTTTTGTTTTGGTTTTTGGCAGACCCCAGGAGTCATGAAGCCCACCTCCGACTAGCAAAATGGCGTGATCTCAATCGTCGACTCGAATGAGCAGAACTTGTCTCTGTTTACGTGGAGAGATCAGAACAACAAACCAAGAAGGAGTAAAAATATGCAGGAACCCCTACCGCACGAGCGAAGATAAACCCCCATCTACTACTACTACTCCCTTGCCGGGTTTTTTGAGACCTCTTCACCTTCTCACCCCAGTCTCTAAGAGCAAATCTCTTTGCGACATCTCTAGTAAAGGCAGGTATGGATGCGGCTAGGCCTGGCCTTTCAGCATCTGAAGAAGGCGAAAACGAGATGTCTGACTGTAACGTGGTTCAAGGGTCTGGACAAAGAATGCACCAAGTTACACGACAAGGAACAATTTGCGGCTTCTGGCATCGACTCCCCTTGGCCTTTCTTTGTGACATAAATAGGCAAACAGCGTGCAGTCCTAACATGTTCCTGACCTCAGGCTCCATTCTCTCGTCTCCAAACCTGTGGTTCATTTTCCATTCTCTATCTCGCGCCCATCTTGTCAATCGTCGCCAATACCCAGAACTTTTCCAATTGGGAAATGGAAATGGAAATGGAGACCAGCACTCTCGCTGACATCTCGGCCAGGAGGGATTCAGATCAGCAGCAGAACTCCCCATCTACCAGGCCGCGACGCTCGTCAGAAGCATGTGAACAGGATCTGCATTCTTCACGTCCTGAAAATGATCAACCTAACGCGGTCTCGCATGTCAAAATTGCACGCAGAAGGTCCATCATTCGCCGGAGGTCATCAAGGTCCTTGAGGGCTCGCGCCAAAACCCGAGCTGCGTTTTTCAGAAGACAGTCTGTATCCGCAAGTCGAAACTGTGTTTCCGAGGTGGTCAACGTTGGTTCTCAACAAGGACTTCTCGCGACTCCCCGGTGGTCCATCTTCGAACGCTTCTTCAACAATCTCCGAGGCGGTGCCGTTTCATGCTTTGAGCTTCTGAGTAGGCTTCTCAATGTTCCTATCGCCGCCGCTACGAATCTTGCAACGAGCGCATACCTGGGACCGATAATTCTATGCCTGTTCATCCTTGCAATTTGTCTCAAAACCGGCCTGATTGTCCATCTCCTGGTGACCTCTTTCAAGGACGGCTACACCAATGGAAGTAGCTTGGCTCACAAGGTCTATTTGTCGACAATTTCGGCGACAGCAGCCGGGTACAACCGTCTTGCTAGCGTCCAGAGCTTCGCAGTGGATTCAGGAAATCGCTTCGTGAGCGCGCTCGGTGCAACAGGCTCAGCTGCCCAAGGTATCCTATGCCTTAGTCCTGCGGGTGCGAAGACGGTCAGCTGGCTAGGTTATCCGTGCGAGCTTCCGGAAGGCTCGAGCGAGAACTTTTTTGACACCCTCAACATGACTACTATCGAAGTCGGACACTGGGTCAACATCTCTGGCCTCGTTTTACCCCATTCAAACTACCTGAGCATGGCAAACATAGCGGTTGGTAAGTACTCACTCGTGGTCAGACACAGCCGCGTGGACTTCCCCGACAAGCATGCGCTTGCCAATAGCATGGACATATATAGCGAATTATTGCTTGAGGGGGGCCATCACATTTTCACAACCGTTCTCCAAACCGAGAGCACCGTCATGCTCATGCATTTGCACCTCCAGGAGGCAGAGAGAGAGCTAGAGCGCATTTCCCGTTTGTCTCCGATTTGGTCATGGCGCCGGACAAGTCGATTCCAGGTCATGTTTACGAACCTAATTCGCCTCGTGGATCTTCGAATTCTCGATCTGATAAGTGAAATCCAAGCGTGCGTTAAGGTCCTTGAAAAAGCCGAGAAGGAAGGAAACCAGTATTTGGACCTTGTTCGATCAGCGGAGAACTATATTGAGAAGAAAATCGAAGAAAAGGGCTACGTGTACAACCTTCTCCATCCCGATAATATCCTGGTACGAACAAAGAGCTTCATTCCACAGCTTCACATGCCAATTCCAGAAGTGCTGGAACACCTTCGAAGCGCGAAAATCAATCTGATACGGCACCGGCAACATGTGACTATTTCGGAGAAGGACCTGCTATTTCTGCGAACCGACTATCCAGGGACGTCAGGAGTGAATATCATTCTGGCACGGTTAAAGATGTTCGCGGAGCAGTTGTCAAGTTCGGTAGCCCAGAGCAAATTTCAACGAGAGGCCCAGGAACGGCGGGAAGAAGCAGAGAGAAAGGAGGGCTATTACCGTCTCCCCCATGCAAATAACGGCTATGTTACCGCGAGTTGAACGACAGGCGGCGACAAAACTGGAGGGAAGCGACATGTCCAATCGTTTTTATCTCCCGCAAGAGCGCAGCAGCGTGGGTGGGCTGAAGGGAAACACGTCGGCACCACATTCGACAGACACACACAGCGCAGCATGTGTCCTGGGCGGTAGACCGGTGCCTTTGTTTCGCAAGTCCATTCGCTTTGTTGATGTTGGTTCTGTTGGTTTGTTGTTGGTTTGTTGTATTTGCAGGCGCCAGGTGTGGTGGACGGCACCCAGACGGGAATAAAGATATGCCACTTGTTCTATCGTCCGCCCCGGGGGGAAGGGGGGATTTTGGCACAAGATAGATGTAAACCACGCTGCTGTCGTCGCAAGACTCTAATCTACACCTGTGGTTTCTTTCTTCGAGATCCTATAATAGAGAAGAGGGTGCTATTTATCCTGGTTGAGTACAGTCCCGTACCTTGCCCTACCTTGCCGATGCTGGCCGCGAGAGAGAGAGAGAGATTGTAATACACACACACATTCCCACCCAATAAAGCGACTTGACCTCGTTCCCTATACCCCGGGTCTTAGAGTCTTGTGGGGATCGAGATCTATACAACCTACAAGGGAAAAGGCCATATTACTGGAGGAGGGCAGGGGAGGGGAGGATAGCTGCCTTGTCCGGCTGGGAGAGGGATCTCACGCGTGAGAGCGAGAGAGCGAGAGAACGAGAGAGTGAGAATGGAAGGCACACAGTACGAGGGACGGACGCCAAAGCATGGGACGGGCGGCAAAGTTCCCCCAGCCAAGCTGACCTGACTGACGGACAGCGAGCACCTCTACACCTCTACATACATTACTGCCACTTCACTTCCATGGTTGAAGGCAATGCCCTAACGCAGCCTGGTGCTGTTGGCTACGACATAGGTGGTCGAAAAAATACAGTTCTACGAAAAAGGTTCAGTCCGTTCCCTCGAAATCCCCCGGCCACGCTGTCACCCGCTCCTGGGTCTTAATCCTCCGTCTTGAACGCGGTGACCCGGCTCTTGACGACTTCTTCATCCTCCTCGATATCCAGCTCTCGCAACTCGCCAGTGCCGACGTTGTAGATGAGGGCGTGGACTTGGAGGCCGCGTTCGTCCATGGCGTCCAGGACGATGGGGTTGGTGAGGAGCACTTTGACGCCCGCCCGGACGTTCAATTCCACCATTTTCAAGCCCCGCGCGGTTTCGTCTAAGCTGTTCAAGAGGGACAGGTTCTCTTGGCGAATGGCTCGCAGAGGCATGAGCCAGGTGTCGATTAGGCCGAGTTTCTTGTTGCCCAAGGCGGCCGCGATACCCCCGCACGAGGTGTGGCCGCAGATGATGATGTGCTTGACCTTCAGGTATTGGACGGCATATTGAATGACCGAGAGGGAGTTGATGTCGGTGTTGACCAGGATGTTGGCAATGTTGCGGTGGCAAAATATTTCGCCGGGCTTCAGACCCAGGATGGTGGTCTCGGGGCAGCGCGAGTCGGCACACCCAATCCAGAGAATCTGAGGTGACTGGCCTTTGGCCATCTGCTCAAAGAGCTCCGGGTCGGTTTCAGCCAGAGAGCGTCGCCATAAGCTATTGTTGTTGAAGGCTTTGTGGTAGGCGTCGCTGTTCGTGTCTGTTACTATGGGATTTGGTCGTCAGCGGCTGTTTCTCGGTGTTCAAAATGATACACGGTGACGTATGGGGAGGATATTGCACGTGACGTCGGGTTCGACGGGAAGAAAGTGTTGAGGATGGGCAGATTGATTGCAAGGCCATGACACGGCGAGGCACAGCCCTTTTCGCTCCTGAGAGAGGAGAGAGGTAATAAAATTGTGCCTTGTGGGCATATTAGAGGCCTCAAACCCCGAGTCTGTTCTTTGTGATGGGAGGCCGTTGACATGCTCTTCACGCCTCGAGCAGGTGGAACCGGGAGCAGGAGGATACCCACCTGTAGGCATGGTGCTTGGATTTTCCTCGTCTTCGTCTTCTTCAAGGTCAAACGGGTTTTTGTGGGAGTGCGTCGAACAATATCGTCGAACAGATGCAGAGAAAGAAGATGGCCGGCAAGACGCGGAGGGAAGAAGGGGGATTAAGAATGCAGGCGGTGGTGGTGGTTGTATTGGTGATAGTGATGGAGACGGGGCGGGAGATGGTGGGAAAGCAGCAGACGAGAAACCGGCGACGGATCTACGCTGCAGGTGGAAATCTCGGAAGTTCTTTTTCGGTCCTGGGCGTGTCCGTGGCTGGGCATAGTCCCACGCCTGCAGGAGTCGCGGTTGCTGATTGGAAACGAAATTGGGAGAGATGGTGAGACGTCGCAGTGGGAGAGACGCTGGAGGACGGCTTTTCAGGACCATGGCGAGGAGGAGCGTGACAACAGCAGCTCAGGGGACGGAGGACTGGGTGCCCTTGGGGGTGCCATGGGAGATTTTTCTGAGTAGATGGGGGATTTTTCAACTTGAGATCTTCGGTTCCCATTGCGGTGGATAAAGATGGATTGGGGTGGGAGAGATTGATTGATTGGTGGCTGATGCTGAAGATGGACGCAGGTAGATGGTGGTTGATGAGATTTTGCACCAAGCGTGGGGAGTCCAGATACGACTAAACTCGGGGGGCCACCGGGGGCTTGCGAAGGTCAATCTACAACTAGGTAGGCATCGGGGGTTGTTGAACTTGTTGAGCTGCCTAAAAACGGGCCCTAAGTTGAATGGGGCTTAACTAACCCAACTACTGGCTGGGCGTGAGCGCCCACATTGACACCCACTACCCGGTACACGGCGCCCACAGGCTCCCCCGGAACCAAACACGCCAAACAGGAGCCAGGCTAAAACCAAATCAATACCTCATCCCTGGTCACCACTCAATGCTTTTGTTCGACTATCATCACCCCTTCCATCCAGGTATGTACATAGCTACCTAGTCAGGATGAAACGCCGTTGACCTTGTCAGAACCATCCTCGACACCATTGTTGTCGATGATCCCCCACCACTTGTCCCAGAGGCCCTTCGTCACCAGAGTCTTCTCGTCCATCGGCGTGGTCTCCTGCAAATACTCGCACACTGCGTTGTCTGCATCTCCCTCGGCGTCAAAGTACATGATACCTGGGACGCTTACTGGGCTGAAGGCTAGTTGCCAGGTTCGATATGTCGGCGGCAGCGATTTGTTGGGTTGGATGATATTCCGATCTAAACAGGCAATTTCAGGTCGAGAAGCCTTGTTCCGTTTCTTCGCCGCCTCTCCCCCGGCCATGTTGAATGTCCCGTTGACAAAAGAGATCTGCTGTTTAGTCCACACACGGGGCATGCGCTTCTTCTCGTATAGCTCGATGGCTGTGGGAAGGCTAATGGTCCCTCGAACCACTTCGGCGACGACGGTCCCCAGGAACACCCCGTCTTCCATGGCAGTGGCGGCACCTTGAGCCTAGGAATGCTCCATCAGCAACTGCGCCCTCAACGGATGATAGGTACATACCATGTGATTTTGCATGCAGTGAGCGGCGTCCCCGAGGAGGACCACGTTCTTGTGCTCGTTGGACCACGACTTCATGGGTGGCAGTACTAGTAACGGCCAGATCTGGGTACTCTTGAGAAGCCCCAGGACTTTGCGCGCAAATGGACTCCAATCCTTGTACAGGTCGCGGAACTCTCCAAGGTCCATCTCCTCAGCCTTTGTGACGACGCGGTCCATCTGGAACATGGCCACCACGTTCAGTTCTCGGCCCGCCGAGAGGGGATAGAGGAGGATATAGCCTCGTGGCCCGATCCAAGCGTCGGCCGTATTTCGCAGCCACATTCGCGCCTCGGGCACTTGGGCAAAAACCTCTTCGTAAGAAAGAACTCCACGGAAAGCCGCAACGGTGGACGCAGCTGTGGGGACCGCTTCTGGAAACAAATTCTGACGGATGGTCGACCTGATGCCATCAGACCCGATGAGCAGGTCAAAGGTATGCTCAACACCATGGACTGTCGTGACTTTGACTCCTTCCTCGGAGGACTGGAGAGATTGGACGCGGGATCCGACGATCAGGTCGACACCGTTCCGTCGAGCACACTCGGTCAGCCCTGCGTGGAGGTGGTCTCTACGGACGACCCTACAACAGAGACTGTTAGTACGTGGGCAACCCAAACAACATGCCGGAGAGGACAGACGAACCAGTGCGGGAACCCGGTGAGCTTGCGGCCTTCCTTCGGATCGAAGCGAGCCAGCAACTCGTCGTCCAACCCCCAAGTGTTGATTTCATCCACGGCAACCAAATCGTCGCCGATGATCTTGTCCACGTCCCACCGAATGAGAATCCGGGACACGTTGGAGAACATCTGGATGCCCGCTCCAATCTCACCCAACTCCCGCGCCGCCTCGAGCAGTGTCACTTTGGCTCCTGCTCGGGCACATGCAATTGCTGCGGTCAAGCCTCCCATGCCGCCTCCGCAGACCCCGACGCGTAGTTTGTTTGATACCATCTTGGGTGACGGTGTAAACGAACTGGTTGATGAAAAGGATTGCTTGTTTGCGAACACTTTTCTCGAAGAAATGGTCGCCTCAGGTGATTTAGTATAGAGCTCGTCTTCCCCCGGACTGTGAAAGCCAGGAAGTCGAATGCGGATAGCAACCAATCAAGTTACAGATGACCCTATGTGGAGAGAGTATAGCATATCAGAGTCTCCTCCATCAAGGACTGAGAAAAGGGGAGATTTATCAAACCTAGTCGAGTTTCAACCTTCCTGCACTGACTCTTTGCCGGGCGTTGTTCAGGGAAGACGCGAACAGAATGAGGCATGGGATGGTCTGCAAGGGGCACCTGTTTTATATATACCCACGCCTCGATGAGTGGCCTCTTGGTCTCAAGCCACCGAGAAATACTTCAGACCCGTTCAATGAGCCCGGCCCGACCGACCCATTTTGCTCTCCCCTCTTCTCAGAACGTATTCTCGCTGGACACTAAGCAACATCCGCTGATGGTGGTGGTGACACGACGATCCCCCCAAGGGTGGGAACAACCGCCTTATAGCCGCGGCTGGTGTGCAAGACACCCACGATCGAATGAATCATGGGAGTCGGCTAGAAGGAGGACTTTGGGAGAGGGCGGGGGATCGTCATCAAAGCCTCACTAGCCCCTGCCATGGTATATTTGGGGTGGCTTTGGATTCTGCCGAGGCCCAAGAAGACATAAGCTGCAAGCAAGCAAGCAAGCAAGCAGTGAGTGGTCTGAGTGACGAGGTCTGGAGCATGAGCGAGTTACCGAGAAGTTGTCAATGAACCTTAACTACCTCTATGCATACACAGGACAGTATGTAGGAGGAGCTAGTGAAAGCACAGGGTCCCAATGCGTGGGTGGGATGTCTAATATTGATTATTACAGTAAATACATAATATTCCATACGCGGATGGAGACATGGACCCGGAGCAGAGACCCGTCACTCGCTCGCTCACTACCTTGTACATGTCTGCGTGCGAGGTATGTATATACAGCGGATACAGACAATACAAGGGAATCCGCGCCTGGATACCAAGGATACTGTTGCCTCCACACGTCCCACGTCGGTAGGCAGACCTATGTACACACGGAATAGTTCTTTGCGAGATGCCTAGGTCCGGCACACACACACACATATACATACCTGCCTATGTATATAACCTTGACAGGGCTCGTGCGAGCAGATGTGTATGGATGGGTATCGGGGAGTCATGGGCTATCAAGCTGCCACATTTTGCACACCACCCTTTACGTGCTCCTCTCAAACCAGCTCCTCAAACCCTCTCATGATGCCCTCCGCCCCGAACAAGATGTCAAAATCCGCGGCCATGCTCGCTGGGAAACACTCTGCCCATGTGCCCAGATGATCCTCCTGCCCCGAGGAGAAGGACTCGACGGCATGGAAGGGACTGGTGGTGCTGGGCCCACCACGGGCCTCGACGCCTCTCTCATAAATCCTCGGGGTATTTTCAAAATTGGCCGTATTGGTGGAGGTAGAGGTTGCTGCCAGGTTCGGAAATGTATTGGAGCAGGAACCTGTCGGCAAGGTGGAAGCTGTCGATGCCGGTGCCGGTGCCGGCGCCGACCCGGCATCCAGCAGCGGTCTTTGGGACGGTGCCACCTTTTCAAACGCTGCTGTATAGTATGCGAAGATGAACCTAGCGGCCAGGTACTTCTCCTGTAACTGCTGCACTACCAGCATGGCGAGGTCGAGGTTCTGGCTCGCTAGGTGCCATTTCATGCCCGTCGATAGGCATTTTGCCACGAAGAGAATCGCGACGACAGAGATGAGCATCGTTACACTGATAGGGTGGCAGCATCGTCAGCATTCGTCTTCTTTTTGTTCTTGACATAGAGAATGTTACAGGAGGTCGTCAATATCGCCAACCCATTGAGAGGCAGATCCACGAGGTTAGATGAGAAAGCGGCGGAGGAAGAGAAAGAAAGTTGTGTTGCCTTGCCTTTCAGGAGGTAGGAACCGGACGAGCTCGAGCTCACTGAGCTTTCGGAAGCCGTCTGTCGCTGCGAATGCCGACAGCTGGCATCCTTCCCACGCGATCCGTGCGCGGATGTCGCTTTCAGGCCGGGTGGGGAGTAAGCCGTCTTGGAAGACGAAGGGTTTGTACATGGTGACCACCGTGACACTGGACACAGGGACAAGATGAAGAAGGCAGTGAGCTTTCCGTGGTGCCAGATCAGAGGAGGCAGGATGGGGATGGGGGAGAGAGATACAAGGGACCACACTCACTGATGGAGGATCTGGATGTAGTATTTGTGCAACGTCATGGCGATGGGCTCATTCAAAGCGGTAAGCGGCGTGTCGACTCGACACCGTGGGTCGAGAGCCACTTGCCAGCGAGCGAGTTTGTCTTCCAGGAGCTCGACCGCACTCCAGGAAATCGGCTCTTGCCGTGGTCTGTATACAGAGGCAAGCACTTCGCCCAAAATCTGGCTCAATTTGACAATCTCCAGAAATATGGGGGCGTAGCTGTTGCACTTGGCCACAATGGCCGCGCTTTCCTCATTCAGGTTTGAGTGGGACGACGACGTAGGGGAGTCGGCCGCGGTGTGCACCAGGTCTTCAAGTGTAAGCTCCTTCACGTCACAGTCTTTGGCGTTGATGCGGAATGCCCGTCCCATCCCCAACGCGATGCATCGGTCCCGGTAGTAGCAACACCACCAGATCCGTCTCCACAGGCTGCGCTGCAACGGAGGCACGTCCGAGCTGCCTGGATCACGGTGGAGGCCGACGCTCTGGCTCAGGCTGATTGCTACGCCGACCCAGTGCCAGCTGTCGGTCCGGTCGTGAGCTTGTCCCAACCAGTAGCCGAGCAACAGGACTGACTGGATCAAGCATATCTTATCAGTTTCGTATTCGAAGTCGTACAGGGCCTGCCAGTAGCAGATCAGCTCCAGTGCCTTAGCCATGGGACAGGATACTCAATCACCTTGGCCCTCTCGTAGAATTTTCTCTTCATATGCATCAGCGACGGCCAGCCTGACCTTTTCAACCCGTCTGTCGAGATAAACTAAAGACCTTGAACTGAGGACGTGTTGATGTATAATACACAGGTTAGGGTAGGTGCTTACGTTGCTTGCAGCAAGAAACATGCTCTGAAGCAAGAGCGGGCTGAGGCTCTGAACACCGCCCGCCTCGTACCGACGACGAAAATCATAAGGGTCAACAATCGGCAGGATCGGGTAGACATAGTCGAAAAACAAGCCCAGGAGCTCGTCCCTCAAGTCATCCGACTCGGTGGAAAAAGCCCCCTTGGCTTGTAGGCACGCGTATTCTTCTGGTGATAGCTGACGCCTCTTTGGTGGAGGAACCAGGTAATGAGCCTTGGAGGCGATGCTCTTGTCTCTGGCGACATGGAAAATGAATCGAAGCGATTGAAGCTCGCCTGAAACTTGCTGCTCAGCTGTTCTCACTCGTGCGAAGCATGGCCAGTTGCAAACCTACCAACGTACAGGGGGACCTTAGCGCCGCTCGTCTGAACAGCATCGACAATGTTCCTATAGGCTTCCACGTTGGCCTTGGACTCATATTCGTCTCGTGATGGAGGTTCTGAGGGCAGACAGATCGGGCGGTTCGAGTCCGTGAGATCCGTGGTAGCCGTGGGGGGGTTTAGAGCATCCGCAGATGGCCCAGCTGAAGATAATGAAGCCGGCGTGACTGCACGGACGTGGGTGTTACTTTTCAGCTTTCGTCGCTTGTGTTTACCTCTGGCAGAGACGTGCAAAGCACATTCAGTCTGGTCTTGCTGGCAGTTGGAGCAGGGCTGGCCAACAAGGACCACGTTGCAGCGGACTTTTCGAGCATGGCACGCGGTGCAAGCGATCGGAGCGCGTCGCTTCTTGCCAGGTCGGCCGTCGGATGTGATTGCAGTAGACATCCGAGAACGTCGTCAGTCTGGGGAAGCTGGGCAAATTGTCAACAAGGCCGTGTCTAGCATGCGGGGAATGGCGACAAATACCGGGGAGACATTCTCGGTTATATGGCTAGGAGGCCGCTTAGATGACCCTCAAGCGCCGTACCCTGAGCCGAGGATATAGCAAGGCAAGGCCAGCAAGGGGCGTGGATGAAGCGGAGTTTGCCCGTCAGAGTCAGCAGAGCAGAGTTGAGGCAATTAGGTGGCAGTTGTGTAATAGAGAGGCAGTCGACGCAGACATAAGCGCAGGACGGTGATGTAAGCGCCCCGCGCTCTACCAAGTCCTGTATGTATGTACTGTACTGTATTTACTGTACTTGCTGTACATACTGTACCTCGTAATTAATACACCACCCATCCTTCTCCACCGACATCGGCGGTCGACAACATATACATAAAACTCGCAATTCCCTCAAGGCCATTACAATGACGAATCCCATATCCCGCGTGACGAGGAGCGACACCGAGAGCAACACCCTCCTGCGAGTATGAGCGCTGTCTGCAGGTCTCGTTGGTCGCAAGCCACGACTTCAATACACGAACTGTACAGACCACTTCGAATCACACACCGCCCGCAACAGCTCGTCAAGCTGCTTCAACATCCCGGTCGTCGATCGTTTCATATGTCAGGAGTCGCGATGGAGAAGAAAGACTGGAGCGCAGCCCAATATCTGAAGTTTGAAGCCGAGCGAACTCGACCGGCCAGGGACCTCCTTGCCCAGGTGCCCCTGACGAACCCCAATCGGGTCGTCGACCTGGGTTGTGGGCCTGGTAATTCGACAGAGGTGCTCTGGAAGCAATTCCCCCAGGCTCACGTCGTCGGTCTCGACTCGTCCCCCGACATGGTTGAAAAGGCCCGAAAGAGACTGCCTGATCTCGAATTTATCTTAGGCGACGTGAGTTCATTCAAGCAGGCGGAATCCGCCGACTTGCTTTACTCCAATGCCGTGTATCAGTGGCTTCCGCACGACAAGCGAATCCCAACATTCATCGACCTGATCAAAACCCTGAAGCCCGGCGGCGTCTTCGCCTTCCAAGTACCGGACAACTTTTCAGAGCCCTCCCATGTTGCCATGCGCGAGGTCGCCGACCATGGTCCGTGGTCTGACACTCTCAGGCGCCTCCAGCCAGCTCGCAAACCATTTCAGTCACCTCAAGAGCTCTACGATCATTTGAAACCCTTTTGTTCAGATATCAACATCTGGCATACGCAATACTACCACATCCTGCAAGACCACAATGCCATCGTAGAGTGGGTGAAAGGAACCGGTCTGAGACCTTACGTGGATCCTCTATCGGCCCCCGACAGAGAAGCCTTCCTCGCTGGATATTTCAAACGAATAGAGGAAACGTATCCCCTCCTTGTCGACGGCAAGGTGTGCTTGCGCTATCCGCGCCTGTTCGTGGTGGCTATTCGAGCTTGATTTCTGTTCCTCTCAGTCCACAAGTTCCGTTTGCCTGGCGGCCTTCCTCCAGGATCGGGTTCCGATTGAACGACGGGCAATCACATCTCAATTTCCTTGCACGGCGTGACCAGCAACCGAATGAATTCCTTGGAGCAGATGCAACAGCCCTCGAGTTCACGCAATCCCCGGTCTTCGTTCTCGGACTTGTCGCACCCTGAGATGGTGACGGTCGATCTGATATGTATTGGTGCACGGATCCTTAGGAGTTGAGCATTTCCAACCCACATGGTCCTCGGCGGCAGTGGCGGCGGCGGCGGCGGCGGCAAGTCTATTGGTCGTCGGGTGCCGTCTTGTGTCACATGTCATGACAAGACTCGCCCACAGATTTCGAGGGGTGGCCACCGACTCGGATGCAGTGTTTTTGGAGCGCTGGGATCACTCTCCCCTCGCTATGCCTGTCGACAGATTTCGTTCGTTTCTATAGGCACGATGTTGTGGACGGCGGAGAAGCCCAGATCGGCTGAAGAAAGGCTGGCCGGGCTCAAAGATATTATAAGAAGATCGTCCTCGACACAAGTCTCCTACTTGAAGCATTGACCAGGGAGGCTGTGACGTCCCACAGGATTTTGTGCGACCCCCAGCGCAACTAGATATGGCACTTGTCTTGTTTGGGAGTGTGGTAGGTGTCAGGGAACGATCGCAGAACTTTATGGGTAAAGTTGGTCAGTCTGTGTGACCATACTCTCACAACCCCATGGAAATGGCGCAGTGACACAAGACGGCTCAAACATATGGATTGCAATGATCGTGGAAGGACAAATGCGAAAGTGTGTATTCTTGGCTGGTCAGAAGGTATGCGTATTGCAGGTACCACGAGCAATGGGAAAATCTGAGAATGGCCTGAATACCGAAAGATGTGCCCGACCAGAACGTGACTGTCCGATTTCTCTTTTCGGTGTTCTTTTCCCCTTTCTTCTTTATCTTCTTCGAGAAGCTGATTTCGGCTGCGGTTGACCCAGCACGCCTGCATCTCTGGTCCTCATAGTTTGGCGGCCATCCATGAAGCTTTGCTTTTGTGGCTCGTCGCACACGAGCAGATGCCCGGCGTGGGCACGCTCCTGGCAATGCCGAACTGAGATCCCACGTGTGCTGTCAAAGTATGACTAGCCGATTTCTCGTGGAGGCAAAATGCAGGTATTCCACGTACCAAGATCAAGCTCGCTCACGCTGCTGAGTTGGATGGCTTCTTTCGGGCCCAACTCGAAGCTCACCGTCGGTGATGGCGATCCCGGTGGGCGGCCTCGTTTGTGGTAGAGTTTCCCGCAGAGATGAAAGAGGTCAGTTTGGTCTTGACCACGGCCCTGGAGGCTCGAGGCCAATGACAGGCCAATTTCTCCGTCGGCGTGGGTTCCTGATGCCATGGCAGCAAGTAGCGGCGCCACTCGACGAGGTGTTTATGGGAGAGAAAGGGAGGTGCTGCGGGAGGGAGGGAGAAAGGGAGACGGTTTAGAAATGGCAGGGCTTGGGAAAAACGCTTCCAGAGAAGAAGTCAAAGGATTTGCATCCCTAATGACCTTTGCTCCGAGAGGTTGTTTTCGACGTGATCTGTCGGCCCTTTTTGTATCTGATGGCCGAGAAGAGGGCCTTGCCTTTTTCTTTCCCACAGCTACAATGTCCGACCAAGCTCGCAGGCGCCAGATCGTTCGAGTAGAGGATCTCTCCCCAGTCCTCCTCGGCACCAGGCCTTGTTGTCGGTACATATGACGCAAGTAGTAGACGTGAGGGAGATCGGATGTCTGCAGAGCAAGCGCTAGGCGTCGTAATTTTTTGTTCATTTGTTCCCGTGGTTTCACGCAAGTCCAGTTTTCTCCCAGTCTCTCCGCCCGATAGGTCGCGGTGCGCCTATGGCAGGTCGTTTTGCTCTGGAGCGGCCTTCCGTCTCGACTCGCCGGTGATCACTGGTGGTGACAAGTCATCACTGCGTTGAGGACGACGTAGATGCACAAGGTACAGTACAGTGCCTGTGACGATTTCTTCCTCGACTTGATCATGAGTGCTTGATCGTTGCTTGGTGACCATGTCGGGAAGGACATGTAATAGCCCCTCGGAGCAAGTGCAGCCTCCATCGAGCTCTATTCCTTTCTTTTGTACCGGTGCTTTGGCTGTTTCTTTGGCTCGATCTTTTGCTCTTTTTTGGCTGTGTCCTAGCTATTCTAAAGACCCCCCTTTTTTTGGGTCCACTTTGAACGTTAATGTTAATTCATCATAGTGATGGCACACTCGAGACTCATTATTCTCGTCTTCTCCAGGCTCAACTTTGTCGAAGTGGGACTTCCATCTCTCCACGAGATTGTATCGAGAAAGAGGCTTCGAACGAGAATAAACTGGCAGTACTCGGGCGTCTCATCGTGGAGCTCCTCCTCGAGTGCGACTGCATCCTAGAACATGTGCTTGTAGGCCTTGAAAAAGTGGGAGCTGTCGGGTTTAAGACCTTTTCTGGTACAGGGCGGGTTGAAGGGCTGGATTTCTGACGCCATCCTCCCTTTTTTCCCCTGCTCCCTGGCATCGAAGGAAGAGCTCTTTTGCAATACGTCACTGTTTAGTGTAGCGCTCAGCACTGGTCAGGATCTCGAGTACTACCTTCGCAGCAGCTTAGAAGACCTTCACCCATCGTGAAAGACACGGGTCCCTTTTCACGCTCTGGAAAGCTCATTCCCACCCTTTACCCCTTTGTCCAGCTCATGCAAGACATAGCGACTTCCGAAATAAGATAATATCAATATCAAACAATCGTGCATTCCATGCTTGAAAGGAGGAAACCAAAGCAACAGAGACATTATTTTGCGTTGATCCCAGTTCGTTTGAGAGTTGGCTTCCACAAACCGAGACCTAGCAAAAAGCGCCAGAGAAGCCATCATTCTGATCCCGAGTCAGTGGCCATCACAAGAAGCGCACTTGGTGCTCTGCCCTGGCCAGAAGCCAATGAGAAAGCACAGCTCTAGTGGTACAGGGGATGTTTTGACGGGCAAATTGCTTTGTTTTCCATGGGCCAAAAATGCTGGAGGTCTCAACTGGCGCACCCAGCATTTCAGGGTCAAACGTCCTTGTGTGAGAAAATGCAGCTAAGATACTTGTGTTTGCCGCTTGTCGTAGATGAGAGAAAGAAAATGTTAGGTTTCAAGGAAGTTGAAAGATGCAAGGGCCCCTGAGCCAGCCAGGCAGTAAGGATCATCGCAAGGCTGCGAGCAAAAGGGACGTCGAGAAAGAAGACGCTCGTTTAAAGCGGCGAGCAGTTTCTATGTCCCACTAGGTAGCGCCGAGGCGCCTCACACATATCCATCACGCTATACTTGCGCCGCTTTAAGACGATCGCTTCCTGCCCGGCCTTTGGTATTATCAGGGATTCAGGTGGCCTTTCATCAGTAGCTAAGTCAGGTCACGTTGAACTCCTGGGAGAAAAACCGGGCAATTCACCTCCCGGAGGCAGTTGCTCACAGGACACTCGTCCAGGCCGTGCGCAACCACCTGTTTCTTATTCTTTACAGACTGTTCCATTCACTCTCCTTCCCAGTGTTTTGAGAGGGCTGCCTAGGGTTAGAGGCACTGGATATAAATCACAAGCCAGGACCGCAGAGCCTTGAATGGACTGATTGCGCTCTTCATTCCCAAACCAAACATCCTCCTCATCCAAAAGGGTTTATGCCAAGGCGATGAAGCCTGTTGTCGTCGAAGAGATATCGCTTGAGTGTCGCTCCATCCAAGTTGGCGTGGTTCTTTTTACGAATGGAAGATAAAAGCTTGATGAGATCGGTGTCATTCTCTTGTAGACGCTCCAAGAAGTCTATCACTTCTATTAAATGCTCAGGATTACACTCGTCCATACCAAGGGACGTGTTTTCGATCACTTTCTCGGGCGATTGGATCATCATAATGTTCCCGAGCGGCTGCAGAGTCAAACTTCGTCCATCCAAAACCATACATATCTCGGGAGAGCCGTACTGGTCTCTCGGATCGTTCTAGGTCAACGAGAAATGCAAGCCATGAAAGGCCTTGATCGTACTTGAGATCAAGGTAGCCCGCATAGAATAGAATCATCGGAAATTCTTTGCTGGCAGGGTGTTGGTTCAGATCATCCATCCGGTGATAGTCGACGTGGTAAATCGCAGGACAGTTGGGCGAATCGCGGAGATTCCAGATCTTAGATCAATACTCAAGTAGCCAGCCATGGCGCTATGAATGTCAAACTTTGGGGTGGTGCAGTCCTCTTCACCTGTTGCATCTACTCCATGTGCTGTGCCTCAGTACCGAATGGAGATATCCCTGGGATCGATGCCCGGTGCGGTGCCGGAATCTCGATGTTTGGGATTTTGTATAGGTGGCAGAGATGTTGAAAGAGAAAAGACTATCCGAGTAGGGCGGAGGCGACAAATACATAGAGGTGCTGGAGGGTATGGCCTCAGCCTCTGGCCCATGTTGAATCAATGCCCTTGGAATCTCTCTGCCATCAGCCAAGTTGACATTGACCGTTGTCACTGCAAGAGGGTGCATATTTCCTAAGGCCATTTTCAGCCCCCTTCATTCCAGGAAATGGCCAGAACCTCCACATCTTCCGTTGGGTCAGATTTCTGCTCCTGACTCTGTCCAGAGGGTGACGCTTAACATTCATATTGCCCAACGGGTGAACAAAACCAATTCTGCACCATCAGCGGGAGGCCGTGGTGGAGTGATCCAGACAATAAGGAAGATGCTGGCTGCCCACAGCCATGCTCCGTAAGTCTTAATCCCTGACGCCTTGGAGGTAGGGGTGCTGGGACACACTGGCTCAAGTATTAGCACTTTACCAAAACTGAGAGCGGACGGAAATTTGTGTCACTAATTTCAGGTTTTTGAAATCTTCGTAAGTATTATGCTCTAATTATTCGGCGTTCAAGCGTAAAGCGTGAAAGACGGCATGCTCTGTGTCATTAAGTTGCATTCCATTTCTTTGAGCCTCTCGGTAGCCCCGGAAGTAAGAATCCATCGCTCAGGGCGGAAGGAGTAAGGGTCTGTCGCCACCAGCGCGAAGAGCTTGGGATCATGGTTGGAGTGGCAGACGGTGGTTCGCCAGTCAGCACGTAAAAGCGGATCGACTGGGGGGGACAAGGCGCAACCCAACTTGGACCCCAATAGGGGACGGAGTAATCATATATTATATCATTCAGCACCCTGGCTGCCCGGAAAAGGGGCCTAGGAGCATCGTTGTGAAATTCTGGGGTTAGAAAGCCGTTACTGTTCGCGGCCTGCAGCAGATCTTGACTGATCCGCACATCAAGTGTGGAGGAGCCTGTTGTCCCAAGATCTCCATCAGATGCATTGCCCAAAGGCCCTCTAGCCAGCAAGCAAGAGGCTTGTCATGCTCAAGCTTATGCAACACATGGCTGCTATCTCCAAAGGAAAGCTGACAGCATTCTCGCTATCCAAAGGTTTCGTGAGGACACGGTCATACACCGTCTGACCAGAACCGTAGCAGAACACCATTCTTACAAACATATTGGGCTCGAACCCACAGCAGGAAACCCCAAGCAAGCTACCTGCACTTCTTTTCACGAGTGAACGCCAATCCAGCGCCGACCAGACCGACAAGTGGCTGAGAACCAGTTCGTCTTTCAGAAATGACATTGATTCAACCCGCTCGCTATGGTAGTATATAACCTTCCGTCACACCTCTGTCACTGAACTGGAGATACCTCACTCAGAGGTTCATGTTCCGGTTGTCTGACATTTACTGGACATTTTACCCGCATTTTACCTATTAACTCAACGGATTGAAAGTCACCTATCACATACAAAGTCAGTCATGTCTCACTGAAGGCTCTCGTCTGTGCTCACATTGCCGCCGTCGCGGGTGAAGTTGCCAGCAAAACACCAGTTCAGGTATCCTCTGCCAAAAAAACGTCAGTCTGGCGGGGAGGCTTTTTGGGTCGTGTCAATTGAGCACTCACCCGTCCCCCTGCAACACAAACGGGCCTGAATCGAAGACATAGCAAGAATACGTCAAAACCGAACCGCTGTTGGGACACGTGCATTCTCGAATGGTCATTGTGCTGTTGACGAGCTTGGATGCGTCGTGCTTGGTGAAGACGCACATGACGTTCTTCCCGGGGTTCTTGGACGACATGTCTCCGATTTGAACTTGTGTCCAAGAGCTTCGAAAATCCTTGTCTGCGCCCGAGTTGAAGATTGCGCCGAAAATTGCGATGCCCACTTGGACTGCGCCCTCAGCTAGATCAGCCACTGCTTGTGCCATTTTTCCTCTTCTTTCTTGGTGACGGAACGCAATATGGAAGTGTTTATTTTTTCGTAAGTGCCAGAAGAAGGGTTGGTGTCGTATATCGTATATGACTCTGAGGCGCTGATGACGATTTCAGAAATCCCGTATCCATCTGAGTCGCAGGAGGTCGATCCGGTCAATATATCGAGAGGGAGACCCCCATGAACTATCCTGGTTGCCGTCATAAAGGTCTAGATGTCGAGACGCTCCCCACCTGACAGAGATCTATCTTTATCTACTATAGTGCCTAACAGCCGCCAGCGGCTGGCGAAGCATTCACTCCCCTTGCCCCATGGACAAGGGGGCTATTCCGAATCCCAAAGGTACCATCTTTAGGGAGGAAATCCCGATCGGGGTATGCTCTCTGCACAACGGACTGAATCCTGAACGCTTTTAGGGGAAAAGGGCGAGTCATAAGCTGACTGTATTACCTCGAGAACCACCAGCTGATCGGAGTTAATATGAAGGTGCTAAAGAGTAAGCCGCCTCCTTAACCATGCGTGTACAAGCGTCTTTCCCACACCGCCCCTCAATGGCTGTGCGATGGGACTGCCATTGGTGGCCTGGAATACAAGTCACGGCCCCCACAGGGCTGTTCTATACCGCCAATAGGTTTCGGGTGGGGTCAGCAGATTATCGTCAGGAATAGTACTTCAGGCTCCTCTAGGATCTGGCACAGGTCGGGTGGGCTTGTGGCGGGGGTTTCTGCTGCCTCGATCCGACCTTTATCAGACGGTGATGACACAGCCCATGCTTGTAGTCATTTTTAGGTTTGGGGACGAGACATCGACAGTCATATGGCTCTACAGACATATAAGAACGGACCACCCGCATATCAGAAGCGTTTGATTTGCCATCCAGCGGTCACTTATTGTCGTCCAAGACATCAAATCGCGTTTTCTATCCGCATACCGAAGAAGGACACCAGACATCCATCATAAATCATTATCATGAACGGCCACGACGAGTACGGCCATGATGGCGGTGAAGAACACGACGGATACGACTACCAAGAAGGGCAAGGCGAAGACGACGGCCAGGGCATGGCTGGCCACCTGGGAATGGGCCTCGAAGGGCAAGAAGGACAGGACCCCGACGTGGCACACCTGACGCACCTGGTGGTCAAACTGATCATGGAGCCGCAACCGGGCCCGTCGCACGTCCCCAAGCCGCAGCACGCACACTCGAGATTCGCGCAGGACCCTCATCACGCTGAAGCGATGATGCTGCTAGACAAGATTGCTTGTGAGTATCTCTATCCCCCCCCCCCCCCTTACAGCTTCTGTATTTGGCTGGAGATCCCTTTTTCGTTTCTCTGCTCCCCTTCTCGATATTTTTGGCTGACGAGACCCGATGATAGCCGAACCGATCCACGAGGCCCACCTAGAAAGCATGATCCACGTTGGGCTTTTGCTGCTCGCTCGGCTGGCGAAGAAAGTCGGCATGACGGCCGGCCATGACGCTCAAAGTATGGGCATGGGCATGGGCATGGGTATGGGTGCGGGCGCGGGCGCGGGCGCGGGCATGGGCGCCGACCCAAGCCAGATGGGCCATGGCGGCATGGGAGCCCACGGTGGGGAGGAAGGCGAAGGCGAAGGGGAGGAAGGTGAAGGAGAAGAAGGCTGCTAGGCTCTCCAGTAAGGGGACCAGAACGGGGATCCCTGTAACTTGTCACTTTGGAGCAGGAATCGCCCGATATCACCGGCACGGAACCAAATTCTTCTAGAGCGGGGTGGTAAACAATTCAGCATTGCGGTTCCTTGTGGTTTAGCCCGAGTTTATGTCTTCTGATGTATATCGTCACTCAAATAGTTGTTCCCACGGGTGCTTGTCTACAGAAAGGGAATTCAAAATTGCTTGCACAGAGAGCGCACGCGCGCGCGTGTGTGTTTGTGTGCATGCTTGTGCATCTCTCCAGAAATCTCCTGAGGAGACACACACGCCTATGCCAGTCTACTAACAGTGCCTAATGCTCCTCCAACCATCGGCGGGAGACATTTCAGATCTCTCTGTCCAGAAACGGAAGGAAACGAGGCCCCGTGCCGGTCGGGACTCCTTGCAGGCCCGCTTGAGCTACGATCCGGTCAGTCGGAGGGCCCGTGGCGAGGAGGAGCTGAGGAAATGCGGCTGAGCGCGCAGGGGGTTGATTGATGTGTGTGTATGCGAGAGAGAGAGATGGAACCAATGCCACAGCTGGACGGGCGTTCTATAACGAGGCGCGGTGAGACTGATCGTTCTGTCCTTTCTGTGTGGGAGTCGCGGCGCAGCCGAGACGCAAGTAATCTTAATCATAGCCTATCTAGGTATGTAAGTTGTGTATACCGCTCTTACTTCGTTCGTACTGGCACAGGTCCACACATATAAGCGGCCCCTAGCCGAGAGAGGTTTGGTTTGGGGGCGAGCCCACAGAAGGCTTGGTGCGAAGCTTGACGAGGCTTATAGTGATAGCTGGCCCACTGCAACGGTGAGATTGGGTGACGATGATGATGCTTGATTGCTGACACCACGATGGTCGAGCATTTCTCTTGCTCCTTCAGCCATGGGACCCCCTGTGATCTGACAGGAATCCTTCGTCTGCGGGCCACCGATTAATGTCCAGCCACGAGGATTGTCGCTTTTGCGGCCGCGGCAGCGGGTCGAGCGCTGACCCGCGGCAAAAGAACGCGCCGAGCAAGGTCTTGCCTCTGATTTCGTCCATGGGGGGAGAAGACAGAGAGAGCAGGTGGCATTCCAAGAAAGAAGAGACATACACCAGGTCGCTGACGGGGGAGAATAAAAACATTAAGAAAGGCTGTCGTTTCGATGAAAGGCATATAGACATCCCCAGCCCAGGGGTACACCGCACTCCAGAGGTAAAGGGTGAACGCTGTGTGCTTGGAAAAGGTTGAATATTGGCCTTACCAATGTATAATGCTGGAAGACCCCAGTACTACCACTGCTGGGTGGAGAAATAGCTCGAGCGAGTCACCCCAGAAGTAAACTGGGGTCAAAATAAACAAAGAGTGTCCCGGCTCATCGAACACTGAGCCCGGCCGACCCGTGCCACAAAGCAAGGCATTAGTCTCACATCTGGGCGGGAGTCGCTGTTGTAGCTGTTGTACCGTTCCCGCAGACAAGTTCGCAGCATCCTAACACAGAACAAATGGGCGTACCCAGGGGTTGACCCATACGTATATCCTCCATTCGCATCCAGAAGCGACTTTGCGCCTTACCACGGCGGCCCCAAACCTGGCAGTCCCAGATCTTGTTGCTTCACGCCATCTGGGTCTCATGGCCTGGTAAATCAGATATGCCAGAATCGACACCGTCCTTGCCACTGCGGCAATGATTGGCGGCATTGACAAGCCCCGGCAGCGTGGGCGCTGGCTCTTGGTGTCATTGTCGAGTGACCATTGCTCCGAGCACAAATTTGCTGCACCTGATCTATGCTGACTTACTCGCATCCTACACTCCTTTATACCATAGCCATTTGCCTAGATGGGACAGATGACAGACACGCCTTTTTCATCCAGCAGCCTTGGACGAAGAACCTCCCCTGTAATCAGTATCTTGTTCATTAGAACTGATGCGCTCCAGATCGGTGTCGGGATCGCAATCGGATTTCGTGTCCAGCTCTGTCGGCGCCTGACTGTGTAGAACTGTATCCGGAGTTTCCATGGCTTGGTTCAGGCTCATACCTGCCAGACGTTGATATTCCTTGTCCTCTCTCAACATGTCCTGCACGGCCTCTTCTTCCAGGCGATCTAACTCCGCTCTTTGAGTGGCGATGTCTCTTAATTTCGACGTGACGTTCGACTCGAGAAGGTCTTTGTACCGCTTCAACTCGCCAAGTGTGAGTTGAGTATCGAGGCGAAGGCGGCTAAGCTGCCGGGTACAAGAGTCATGTTGAAGGAGTCGAGCTAGGGCCTCTGCATCCACCATGAACTGCTCGAGGCGATTTGCACTGACCCGCAGTCTGTGTACGGCAGTGTGCCGGAGCTGGGTAATGGAATCGAGCACTTGTTCCAATGGTTTCCCAAGTGCCTCTAGGTCTCCCTGCAAAAAATTATCTTTATGAAGGAGGAGGACTCGTGGCCACCTATTCAGCTCCGCAGACTCTGGACAGTCCCATCCCTCCCGCTCCACAGCCTCTTTTATCGCTCGCATCCCAAATTCGTGACATGCCCGTTCCAGAATGCCCTGTACTTTGACGAGCAATTGGTGCTGTGTCTGGAAAGGCAGGTAAACAGGATACAGTGAAGGGACATTAGCGACCGGGTAACAGGAAGGGCGCTTGCCAGAGGGTCCAGGCAACTCGTGAGGTACTGTAACGGATATTAGCAGTGAAGTCTAGACGCGAGGCCCAGACGTACCAGAGTCTAGAGGAGCATTCTGGGCTGGAAGAAGATCTTGGCTTTGTGGGATGGTGTCGTTGGATCTCTCGCCCTCTGTCAGTATTCTGATGGCGTTGGCTTCGCTCCTTGCAGCTTCTGCTTCTGAGGCTGAACGTTCGGCGGTTTGGGCTGGTGAGACTTGGAACACCTCTGGAAATCGAATTTTTGCTTTCAGTGTCGATTCGAAGATCTGCTGCTCAAGGAGAGATCGCGCCACATTGCACACGTTGTCGATGTTATGCTCTCTTATGAGATCTCTCACGTCACTTCTTTTCTGCACCTTCTGGACGAGTTCGCGGACCTTCTTCGGTCTGCGCACCTGCGCATCGGCACCTTTAAAGGTGTTTCTTAGAGCAAGGTAGACCACTCTTTCGTCGGGAGGGTTCGTCATGGTGGAAGTCCGCAGGTTCGGCGAGGCTAGGTAGGAGACGGTCCAAGGAGTGATGGTGGTATTGACATGGGATGTGAGACATGCTCTGCCCAGGCAGACACGGTCCTTGATTCATGATCTGTGATTGGATCAGCTCGAGCTCGAGCTTCACCAAATAAGAGTCTCCGCCAATGTATCTCCATTGGGGATTGGGAGGGGGCGGAAAATACGTGTTTCCACGGACCAAATTAGAAGTTGAACGCGGTGTTGTTGCAAGTGTTGAGGGGTCTTCGTGAGAGCTGTAAAGTCTCCCCGCGTTTGGGCGGCCACTAACCCGGCTAGCCCCACTGCAATTCTCCTTCCAAGAGGAGCCGCCTTGGCCCATTGGCCGGGAAGACATGTGCTTTTGTTAATTCTTCGCCCGTCAAGAAGTAAAAAGGGATTGGGCTCTTTGGGGTTTTTTTGGCTGGCAAGACAAGTTGGGGCAATACCTGGTCTCCAGAATGTGATTGGATGGATCCCTTTGCTGCTGGCCGGATTTGGCAATTTTCTTGCGATTGGCTCTTGCTTGGGAGGCACATGTAACTCATACCACTATATCCACTGCTTGTCGTCATCGTGATCAGGAGGCTGCCATTGGATTCAAAGGCGATGGAACACATGAAACCTAGATGGCAGACACTCGGCTGCTGTATGAGCTTACTCACTTTGACACTGCAGCCCAAGAGCAAGTCCGCACTTGCCAGAACCATCAATACTAGCACTGGTGCTGTTCACAGTTCCCGCAACCTGGTCGACAAATCTATTTCATTATTCTCCCAAGGACTCTCGGATCATCCCGTTGTTATAGAGATCCATTAATATTTCCGGCTATTACTCTTCAAGAAGCACACAGAGGAATCCGGTTGTCCCTATCGTCCTAGACCCCCTGGTTAAACCGTGATCCAAGGGCCATCCAGTACATCTATGGCCATGATACTTTGGCCTCGGTGTCTGGAGCCAGATGTCTTCAAGCCGAGACGCTGGCTCAGGGAGTTCTGAGAAGGGCCAACAGCCGTTTTTCATCGCTTCCTGCACAGGCGCAAAAGGTTGTATTGGGAGGAATATCAGCGACCCAGGACAGAGTGTCCTGGTCTCTGCAGGTGCAGTATCCAAATCATCAGCTTGTGCGAGCACAAGTGTGAAGGAGAGTGAAGAATATATATTATATTTTTATTTATTGCAACAAACCGAGAACCAAAGAGGTTTAAAATTCCCCGGCCGCCAAGAGATCATACATAATAGTACTAGCGCAGTCTCGTCACAGTTTCTGGTGCGGAGAAGATGGAGTTTGTGGGCTGCATTGTTTTCCACCGCTGCATTAATTTTTTGTTAGCACACCATATAGACCAGCCGACTCATTCCTGGCAGAAGGGACAGCCAGAGATACAACCATGGACACAAACATGGGAGATGCGGGGACGCACGTGTTGATCCCAGCCTCAAATGTCCCAGACCAGGCACAAACAAAAGCAGGAAAACTGTACGTCTTTTGCCGTTGCCTCCCACAGCGCAACCTCAATAGTTCACCTGCACTGACACTTGTTCACGCCAGACCGACGACCGTGGAGAAACCTACTCCGTACATATATGAGCTCGGCTATCTGACAGCAATCGACCCAAACCCTCTCCCCGCCACTTCACACCTGCTCTCTCAGTCCCTCGCCGAGCGGAATGAGGGGCTCCGACACATCGCCCGCGACGGCGCCCAGTCGCTCCTCAACACCCTACTCACGACCTGCCCGATTCAGTCGACGCCGGAGGGTCTCTTCATGACCTTGCCGGTGCCGCAACATTACCTCCCGCGATGGAAGCCGCTGCCGAAGCCGAAGCCGCCGACGAAGTGGGAACTGTTCGCCCGCAAGAAAGGCATCGGCAAATTCGGGGGCAATCTGAAAGGCGGGGCCGCGCAGGAGGAGAGGCGGAAAAACCTGATCTACGACGAAGAGAGCGGCGAGTGGGTCAAGAAATGGGGGTACCGGGGACGGAACAAGAAGGACGAATCAGAGTGGTTGGTCGAGTTGGACGACGACGCCGTGAGGAAGGAGAAAGCTGGTGGTGACAGTGGCGAGGGCAGGACCGTCAGAGGGGAAGGGAGGAGGGAGAGAAAGGAGCGGATCAAGAGGCAAGAAAGGCGGCAGAGGAACAATGAGCGGAGAGGTAGAAAAGGTGGAAGCATGGGATGAGCGTGTACAGTAACACGAACATTGACGGATGCCCAGATGCGATATGACTTGGTATGGGAATTCCACGCCTGGCCGCCTCGGGACTGCGTCCATTGTCCAGCAAGCCAGCTAAAGAATAGCTGCACCAACCGGCTTCTGAAACGGCAGAAAGCGGTGCTTCTCCCGGTCCTCAGCCTGCGGCAGAGATACATGCTTGCAGTACTGGGGATCTCGATATAGTCGAGTCGACCAAGTGGACCGAGGCAAGACGATCTCACACGGCTCTGTGCTCGCTGAAGGAAATATGTTTGCAAAAGGTCAGCTGCATGCCGGCGTGGGCAGGAACTTGTTGCGCAGATGGTGAAAGGATATTCGAAATGATGGGCTTTGAAAAAATCCGATGGTAGACATCATCGGAAGCCGCCCTCTGCGTTCGACTCGAGGGCCTCACAAATCTATGGTCTTAAATGTCACTTCGTCTCCTCCTATTCAACCCCACCGGCGCTGCCCGCCACGTCCAGTCCCAAATCTTACATCCGCCTAGTCATACAAGCAGAGCTTGGCTCTGCACCGTTCTCTTGCGTAGTCTCTGGCTGGTTTATACCATTCCCCTCATGAATCTTCATCATTGTTTCGAGGCGAAAGCCACAAGAAAGCCACAGCGCAATGCAACCACAAAAAAAAAGCAATGCTAAGTAGAAATCAAGTAGATAGATAATACAAGATATGTCCTAGAGCCGTCCAATGCCAAACAATCGTCGTAGGTAGGCGTATCCAAGAAGGGCATCAAAATGAAAAGGGACATGCTTTGGTCCATAACGCGTCACCACACAAACAAGAATGCTCGGGTGAAAGCTCACCAGGTCAACAACAGGTATCCCCAGGCATCACATTCTAATGGGAGAGAGCCCTGTCAGCTCTGGCAATTTTTGATCAAGCGACATTTTGGGGGGCTCTGGCGTCACCATTCGGGGTACAGCGGGCACCGACTGGCTAGGCGTATGTGCACTGTTGGATCTGTCCCTGGCACTTCCACCCTGAGACAGGCTCCGCTGCTTTGTCCTGGGAGCCGTTGACTTGCGATGTGCCGCGGCATCTGCGGTTCGAGGAGGGACGGGCTGCTGCGCAGATGCCTGCTGAGAATTTGATGGTGGCGGCTGACACGGCGGTTGTTGCTGTTGCTGACTGCTGCCGCTGGAAGAGATGGCTCTCTCATCGATCGCCAGGTCCTCGCTTTCGTTGATCGAGCCTTCCCGCTGGTACCGATATTCTTCTTCCAGGTACTCCTTTTCAGTCCAGCAGCCTTGCCAGCAATTCTTCCAATCCATGACGAGAAATTGAAAGCAAAAGGCATCGATCTTCAGGCAAGGCTGAAAGCAGATGCACAAATTTCGATAGTCCATTTTGTTCCTCTCAGCATAGCTGTTGAGTAGACTGAGGTGGCATGTGATGGCGAATAGCAGGTAGTAGTTGAATGGCGGCAAACGCGATAGTTCGTCTTTCAACAATTGAGGCGCTGAAGTGGCCCCGGCGCACTGGGTAGCAATCTTGTTTTGGATCGCTTTGGGAAGGATCTCGTCAGGCAACTCTCGCAACCAGGATTTAAACATTGAGCCGATGGTGTTGATATCATACAGTTCGGGTTCGTCAAAGAGGTTGATATCGTACTCGGTGTCAAAGCGCCGCTGCCAGTGTTTCACATCTCTGTTGCTGCCAGGGATCCGATACAGGCCTTCTTCTTCGGCGCCATTCATATTGAGGTAACTGGACAAATGATTAGTACAAGCAATAGAAGACGGAGAGAAATCAACATACTCAATGCAACGCCATGGCAAGGCCGGCATCCAGAATTCGGTCTTATCCTTGGATGACTCCAGACGTCGTGCTATCCTGGTTTTCCGGGTTTGCTTAACAAGTGGCAGGTTGATTGTTGTGCATACGTAATTGTCATCCGTGACCATCAGAGTTTCGCGTTCATTACTGCTCCCACTCCGTGTGATCTTGCCAAAAAAGCCCTTCCCAGCCTTGCCGATGCGGTCTCCCATGCCTTTGCCAGTCTGCCCAAGGTTCGATAAGATTTGAAGCGTTGTCCCATCTCGGAAGGAATGGGACACAGGTATACCCGCCGTCGGCCGATCTCTCTTCATTGACTGCGAGTCGTCGCGGGTCTGTCGATCTACTGAGCGATTTCGCACGGTTGCACCACTCTCAAGGCCAAATGCCCTCTCTCGGTGGTCGAACTTGATGGGTGCAGTCCTTGGAGATGTCTCAATGTGGTCATTGCCGGAATTAGAGGTGTCCAGCTGCAGATGACTTGGCGGCGGGTGCTTCTGTTTGGGTGCTGTTTCCTCCAGTTTCACGGTCTTGGTCCTTGCGAGAATGCCGCCAAACTTGGATTTCGTCTTTTTGGTCGCCGGTGGTGGCTCTAGAGCGGGCTGGAAAGGGATTGATTCCGCCGAAGCTGGGAGCTCAATCTCATTGCTGGGACTATTGCTTGATGCAACCTTCGGCAACTCTGGGGTTGATTCTTGCTTTTTAACCGAATGTAGGGACCTCTCTTTTGAACTAGCCCGGCTCCTTGTGTTTGGTTTCTCTCCGTTCTCTGGAATGCTAGTCTCCGAAGCATGCAGTCTGTGGGAGGATTTCGAAGCCATTAGGTTGGAAAAGAAACCCTTGGAGGGATCTCGGGCATGTTTTGGTGACTGAGGAGCTGGTGAGGGAGGCAATTCGGGCATTGCTGTTATACGCGGAGACCTGGGTCCTGTACGCGAGCCATCGTTTCCATCGTCTTGAGATACAGACACTTGATGCGACATGAAAGAGGGTGGAGGGCCCTGCAAATATGGGGAGGTCGGGGCCGATCGTGGAGTGTGAGGAGAGCCCGTCGAGCGAGGGCTCAGTGTCGCAGGGGACAGACCATTAATATCGTCATTGTTGTCGGGAGCCAAGTTGAGATGGGGCAGAGTCGGCGCTTTTGGCATATCTGCAGCTCCCTAGAATGTCATTCACAGGGCCCACTGCAAGTAACCGGCCGTGTTTTTGAAGTTGGACAAAGCAGCAGCTGGCGCCAGATCACCGGGACCTGCTATGTTCTCCGTCGGATATGTTGCCTCTCCGTACCACCTCTTCTGCAATGACAGATAGCCCTCTGAAGGTTATGGAAGGGCCTTGACAAGACACACTAGATGAATCGACGTGCAAGCGTGAAAGACGTGGTATCGCGCAGAGGCTGCTAGTTTTGACAAGGCGGTTCGCGCGATCGATGAAATGCCACGTACTCTAATTGATTGCTGTGGGCTTGGAGCCAGGTGTCGGCAAACAATTTGTGTTTTGCGGACCCGGGATGTCAAGTATTCTGCCCGCTATCCAACAAATATTTCGTAACAGAGGGCTGGTCGTTGATTTGTAGAATTCCAATGGTAGTTGGGAAAGAGATGCTGGGTGCAGGAAGACTCTGCAGCCGCGTTCAAGGGTTTGGCTCAACTGGGGGACACGCTCCTCATCGGACAGCTCTTCATTGCCAGACGTGCTCGTGTGACGGACGGGCTGACTGCCAATATCGCTGGGTGGCCTGCGTTGAGGGCGGCTAACAAAGGAGGACGTCGAGGAGGATCCAAGGAGCGACGGCAGTGAAGGATCAAGATGAGCACAGGACAAAACTAAAGGACTAGAAAGCACGAAGACCAAGCCCCCAAAGAAGTTCGACCAACAGGCTATAGGCGTATAAGAGTGTAGAGTTGGTACGGTTTAAGGAGGTATGGTGGTCTGGCGGTTGTGTGGGATGGATGATGGTGGTGTGCAGACAAAAAAGCAAGGGCCGACGAACGCACGACACGACACGACTGGACTGGTGCCAATGGTGGGTGGAGGACAGACGGAACCAAGCGGTGAGAGGGAATGAGGGGACCGGGCTTGTAGGCTTAGAGCACGACTGAGGGGCCAGGAACAGGAATCGGAGGTCAAGGGGGGTGGAAGGCCCTGCCTGACTGCCTGGTTTTCTTTTTTTTTTTCCTTCTCTCTTGAGGTTGGAGGTGTCGCAGCAGGCGAAATAGCTAGTGACTGCCTAGTAATCTAATAATCTGCTTGGGGAGTGTTTGGTGCTGGTGTTGGTGCTGGTGTTGGTCAACGGGCTATTACTACATAGGCTGCATGGTTTGGTCCATGGATGGGCACAGAAAGGTCGACGACACTGCCAACACCACCAAGATCCCGCGCCGCCCTGCACCACCGTTGTCAGAAGGATTCGTCAACCCTCTGCATGACCATCTTCTAGCGCGGCAGGTAATGATTTTCGCGGTTGCCCTGCTCCTGCATGCTTGTTTTTTGCACTTGGTGTACCGAGTAGAATTGAATTAGTTAGCTAGCGTCTGCATAACGCAAGCATGTGTGTGGGGGGATGAGCAGCTGATGCCCAAGCTTCATCCTCTCACACGGAGTTTACGGGACACGATGGGGACAGATGGCGACTTCAAACACGGCGTCAGGTGGTGGTGAAGCAGGCACTCGCCTGGGGCGCCATGTTTTGGCAGCTTTGGCGCCGATAAACTGAGGTTCGGTGCCCACCATCTGGGTTTCACCGGCGAAGTTACTTGCAGGTGGGCCCTGTTAGAGGATCCCACTAGTGAGGTCCTGATGGCCTAGCCCTTCAAAGTGGAAGCCCCCTTGAGTTGCCCCTCACAGGCACCCGACAGTGGCCAGGGGCACAGAGACATGCAGGCGGCTGGAGCCGGGGGGCACCCCAAGTCAATTAGGTAAAGCCCGGAAGCTAAGTGTGCAGGAACAAAGAGGAAATCCGACAACAGGGCTTGCAATGTGTGAGATCTAGTCTAACTGCGAATCAACACGAAGAGAAGAGGGCGAAAAATGACCTCAGCAGAAAGCAAGGAATTTGCTCGTCTTCTGCTTGTTCGTTGGTGGCCTCTGGTATCTAGGATTGTGTGAAGTCACTCGCAATCATTCTGTGAGCTGTTAACACACACGGGTGCTTCGCCCAAGGCAAGGTACGAGATACCTCGTACAGCCAGCGACACGGTCAATAATGGTACCTGAGATGAAAAGTTTACGCCTGGCAACGCCAAGCAGATCAGCAGTTGAAGCGCAGGCTGCATGCGCCCTCCCCTAATAATAATCCTATTGAAACCCCTTGCTACTTCATCATCTGTCGCGATCACCAACAACTAATTCAACCATCTCGTTCAGGCTTTGCCCCATTCTCCACCTCCACAACAACAATATCCTTTTGGTCCGCTCCCGAAAAATGTCACTCGTTGCAGGACCTGGGGTAGGAGGAGCACACTCAGTCTTGCCAACAGACCTCTGCCTGGTGGTGGAAAAGCATGTCAAATACATCCAACTCCTGGACACTGTGCGTTCATGTGAGTGCTTTACACTGCACAAGATGTTGATACTGTGTGCCAGCGAAAAGATGAGCTCGACTACTGGTTGACCGAACATCTCAGATTGAATGGGGTATACTGGGGTCTGACTGCACTTCATCTCCTGGGCCACCCTGATGCTTTACCTCGTGATGAAACCTTGCAGTTCGTCTTCGCCTGTCAAAATCCGGATGGGGGTTTTGGCGCTGCTCCTGGCCATGATTCCCATATGTTGTACACCGTCAGCGCGGTGCAGATACTTGCCACAATCAATGCGCTGGACGAGCTGGAAGAACCGGAAAGAGGAGGAAAGGAACGGACAGCAAAATGTAAGCCACGTCGCAACCTAAAACCTCGGGATTGGAATTGCTGATAGCCCCTTCGCAGATATTGCAAACCTTCAGAACTCCGACACGGGTACTTTTGCCGGAGACGAGTGGGGTGAGACAGACACGCGCTTCCTATACTGTGCCTTTAACGCCCTGTCCATCCTAGACATGATGCACCTCGTGGATGTGGACAAGGCTGTCGCCCACATTGGGGCCTGTGCAAATTTTGATGGAGGGTTCGGCCGCTCGCCAGGCGCCGAGTCGCATTCCGGCCAGATCTTCACTTGCCTTGGGGCGTTGACCATTGCTCGCCGTCTGGATATTGTGGACCAGGATCGGCTTGCGGCCTGGTTAAGTGAAAGACAACTTCCCAATGGGGGGCTGAACGGCCGTCCGGAAAAACTTGAAGATGTCTGCTATAGCTGGTGGGTTCTGAGCAGCATTGCAATGTTGGGGAAACTGCACTGGATCGATGCTACAGAATTGACTCAGTTTATTCTGAGATGTCAAGACGTCGACCATGGGGGGTTTGCAGACAGACCTGGCGATATGGTGGATGTGTTCCATACAGTGTTCGGCCTGGCAGGATTGAGCTTGCTGGGCTGTCCGGGCCTCGTCGAGGTCGACCCCGTCTAGTAAGTCCTCAGAGAGAGCTTTCTCCTATACCAGATCCATTGACCTCTTTCAGCTGTATGCCGCGGGCAGTCACCAAGGCCCTGCCATATTGGCAAAAATGACAACCACAATGTCGCTCAGGACATGCCTCTTGCAATCTAATAACCCACTTGAGTTGGCACTTGAAAGATGGGATACAAGGCAAGAGAAGAGCAAAGGTTCACCACGGCCTATATCCGCTTCATCACTCTACTGTCCTTGCTCTAGAGGAAGGATAGACCTGGTGGCACAATATTAGGGTATTCTTATCATCAGGGTCGCCATGCAGATGGAAATTCCTGTCAGGTTGTTATCCTCCAAGTATCGCCGCCAGCTTGCCAAGATGCTCGCTACTGTAGTTGGAGGCTCCTGCCTTTCTGACGAGGCGATGAAATGGTGGGTGGCTGGTTGGAGTTTCCTCTTTCCAAGATGTGCTGCATGAACTTCACCCTGTCTCTTTCCTCGTCCTCCTCCTCCTCCTCCTCCTCCCCTCTCTGTTCAATGCACCTTACACGTCTTGCTTCTTCACGCCTCCACCACTCCCTTGCTGGGTAACTCCTCTCCAAGCAACGTGCTCCCTTCTCCTTCTTGCTCCTCTGTTCAGTCTCTTTGAAGTTCAGGAAGAAGATTCCTTTCCCCGCATTTCGTGCGTTTCTCGAGGCTTGTGCAAGTTTGTTCCTGTCGCTTTATATTAGCTGCACGGCTTCCCTGAGTTCCTCCTCGCTCGTCCCCCAATAGCCACATGCTCCATCATGGCCGTGGCCTTGCTGAATTGCAGCATCTGCCCAGGCCAGCCCTCTTTCAGTGACACCTCCCACCTACTCACTCACATCAGTTCCAAAGGACACCTATCCGAGTTTCACAAACTCCAGGTACGGAGCTACCAGGATATTGCCGCCGGGGTGGAACTGGCCACGTACAGCCACTGGTATCAGCAGCATGATATCGACCGACTGCTCTCGGAGAGAATGCAAATGAAGGAGAATAAACAAGCTAAAAAGAGGAGAGTTTCTGTTGCTGCACGGAACGCTTGCGGACCACAGCCAGGATTCTTTGACAATGCACAGTTAAATCCACCTCTACCTCCAAGACGTCAAGGGAGACCAAAAAATCAGGCTCAAACCCAGACCCAGACTCAGAACCAACCCCAGAGGAGAAGCACTCGAGGTAAACAAGCAAGACGAGCGGTCGATGATACGGATTCGGATTTCAGCCCGGTCAAACCTTCCAGGCAGGTTCCTGCCCAGCAAATGTGTTCACGCAGCCACTAACCAAGTACACCAGACGCAAGGCAAGTCGACCTCAAGCCTACTCTCCTGTCAAGCGGTCTCTGTCCCCTGACGATCCCTTCCGCGATGACTGTCCACTTGAAGACGATCGGCCAGGTCGGATTCTCGCCACACCAGAGCATATGAAGCTGAAGGGAACCGTTTGGCCAGGTATGGACCTCTTCGATGCCGCCACACAGGAGATGCAGCAGAAAAGAAATCAGAAGAAGGATGCCTCCGTCTTGAGACGTATGGAGAAACTTGCTGCCTTGGTTGAGCCCACCGAGGTCGTGTATTCGCCTCGCGGCACCAATATCCTGAAAGCGAGACACATTGATGACCTTGAGGATGAAAGCAGTTTGGTGGAAGGAGAGACTCCCATTCCAAAAGCCAAACAACCTCTTCGACCCCGCAAGCGAAGACCACTCGCAGAGAAAGACGCTAATGCTCCTCGCTTGGTGAAACGCAAGGTCAAAACCGGTGTCCCAAAGAGATATGCTGATCTCCCGTTCGCTCAGGGCCTACCTCCCCTTCCATACCTGCCCAGTTCATCCACTGGTGAATCTTATGGGTTAGGTTCTCGCTATCTCCCGACGGAAGATGATGAGGAGGATGTCAAACCGCCCGTTCAGGCATTCGCGTCTCGCAAACGGCCACCTCCGTTCGAGGTCTTCGCCGACGGAAGCCCAACCTATCATGGAAGCATGTCAAGGAACGGAAATCGAAACCCTCTTCAACCTGGACCTCGAGGCTACGCTAATGCCGCCTTCCAGCAATTGCCCAAGGTTTCCACATCCTGGCTTCAACCACAGTATCAATCGGCTCTACAATTGACTGACCCTTATACATCCTACCGACCTGTAGTCCAAGAGTATCAGGCATTCTATGAAACACAATTTGAACATGAGAATATGCTCCCGTTGGCTGCCTCTTCAGTCGGCTTCCGCGGAGGTGCAAACCCTCTGGCTTGGAAATCTCCCATCCGACCGCCGACCGACTCTGGACTCCCTCCATCCGACTCTCCTCTTGGCAATTTCTTTTCCCTGTTTCCGGGCGGATCACCAGGCGAAGACCCCTTTGTGACGACCAAGAATCCTCTGGCAGCGGCGTTGCCACACTTGGAAAGCGAGCAACAACATGTTCTGGCCAAGGAGAAGTCGATGCCACTGGCAAGCGCGGGGGCTTCAAATGGCACCGAAGTCTAGCGAAAAGCAAATAGGACCATCTTTCCCCAGGGTACGCAACAGCCTGCCGCAAAATCCACAGAAAATGATCTTGGTCTTCTTTTGGTGCCACCAACTCAGTCAGCGAAGCAGAATATATGCGGCATAGGTACCACGAAATGGCCCACACTCTCTTGGAAGCTCTACCGAATCTCGCGTATCAATTGCTTTGGGGCACAAACTATGTCAATGGGAGTTCAGAAGATGGTGGCACAGGAGATAGGGGACCTATGAGATATTGGACGGCAAGACTCTTGACGGTGCATGAGTTTCCTATGTGCAGCGGCAGTATGGATTTCCAGTGAGTCTGCAGCCGCTGGGGGTACTTTTTTAGATACACAATGTCAGCTAAGTCAATTTTATACTGCACTAATGGAACATGGCTTTATTGACAGTGCTGCGGTCCTATCGAACCTGTATATTCCTTGATATGGGGACACAGCTTCTGTTATCAAGGATGTCCGAGTGTGCTCCAACCAGGGATGCCACATTGTCCAAGACTTTTCCGTCCAGCGTCATGCATGCTCTACTGATTTTTTGCCGGCTCCCTCTCCTGTAGCCTTCTCCTAATCTCGGTACTGCTTATTTTCGTCTCGAAGCTCTTCTTTTGCTCCTCCTTCCCTCCCGCATCCTCGGCTAGTTCTCCGTCATCGTCCAACCCAACACCCGAGTCTAAGACATCGACCTCGAAAACTTCCAGCGCTTTCCAGCCTTTTTCTTTCCTTTTGTCGTTGACGGCTTTCCCACCACTGCGCGTCTCGGCGGAAATCACCAGTGCCGTAATGTCAGGGTCTGTGATAGTTGGCCCGAACGGGTCGGAGATTTGGGTATAATTTATCGTTATGTCAGCCCTGTTGTCGCTTGCACTTATACCTGGGGTGTTGGGGAACTGGTATTTGACACGGACAACTTTGCCATTTGGGCCGGGTTCGTCGATATAATCGGCAGTTGAGGGAGCGTCGGTGACTGTGGCTGGGTTCGTACTTGACTTGCGAGGGTAGAATGCCAGAATGGAGTCGATGAACTGGGCAGTACGTCGTTGTCGGACATCCCAATGTTCGACTAGAGAGCCGTACTTTTTGTTGACGAGCAGCTCGTCTCCAGTGATACCCACGGTAATCAATCGAGATTCTTGTGCGGTGGGTTTAGAGGATTGAGCTGGCTCAGCGGTCAGGATTGTGGCAGTCAGGAGGAGTTTGTGTCCAATGTGCAAGTGGTCAAATGTACCCCCTACAGCGACAGAACGGTGGATTATAAGTGGTCCATCCTCGATGTTCGATTCTGCGGGATCTCGGGAGGAATTCTCAGGATGAACGATCGCAGGGCCACTCTGGAGGCGGTGAATGGGGGGCAGTGGCGGAGGGCTGGATTTGGAGTTCCATATTCTGATCAATTGCTGGAGGGAAGCCTCCTGGGTCTCGCCTTCAACAGAGTAAAGAGCCGTATAGGATCGGTCGGAGAGAGCAAATGTCTTGATGTCGACTATTGGTCCGGCGAGATATTGCTTGCCGACGATGTTCTGAGGGAGATCGTCCAGCCGAGCTTCTAAGATGAAGATCCTCACATCGATCCCGCCAGGGAAGTCGAGATCGACCTCTTTTTGAGCGGCGACGGAGCAAATAAGGCTGTACGTCTTCTTCAAGAGGTTTTGGACGAGGGGAAATATGGAGGCGCGTGAAGTTTTAGTGCTTAGGGGGTAAGAAGGAGACAAGACCAGACCGATGTCCAGACGAGAGATGGAGTCTTTGTCGGTAGGGACGAGCTTAGGGAGTAGAGACTCAAATGTGACCTTGTATGCCGACCTGAATGAAGATGGCGGAGAAGAAGATGCCAGGGCAGGCAGGAGAAGGAGAGAGATGCCCTGCGCCATGGTTCAAAGACCCAGAGGACTGAAAGAGGAGAGAAAAGACAGTGATGACAAGAGATTGTTCTGTGCAAGATGTCTTCTTCTTCGTCTTATAGCATCATCTCCATTCCCTGGTCAACTTCAGGGATATACCGAGGTGAGTTCATCACTTGAGGTTGTCTCCCATCCAATAAGCTATCCAGACAGTCACCAGCCGGTCCCCCTCTCCTCTCTCCCCTCCCCCCTCCGCCGCCTAAGCCCTTCCCGCCCCTCCAGGCGCTTAAGCGGCTGACAAGGGGGCAGGCAGCCCCGAACCAAGCCCGGGCTCGGACAAAGACACGCTGCCGCCCTTACGCCCGTCGTATGGACTGACTCTCACCGTGTGCACACGCAGAAACACAAATTCGGTCCGCATGTGCTGATAGCCTTTCTTCGCTGTTCCCCCCTAACTATTATTATTATGCCATTCCACTTCCCTCACTTCCCTCACCACCAGCACCACGTCTCCGACCCTCAGTTCACCCACGACAACTACTACAGCGCCGTCAATGCCATCTACTCTGCTGGCCAGACTGTGACCTCTGCTGGTGCCCCCAACCCTCACTACGTGGAAAACCACCCCAATCCGCCCACCACGGCTCCCGAATCCAGATCCTACCTCCCCCAGTCCCAGCCAAACACCAATGGCAATGGTACCGTGATCCCATACCGCCCCGGTCCTCCTCCGTCCGCGTATACGAGTGTGCAAGAGGCCCAGCCTGGCCAATACCAGCCAGGGCTGAGGCGGTCTCTGACGATCGGTCGCCAACAGGCCGACGAGCTGCATTTGAATCAGCAGGGAACGGCGATGAGCGACGTCCACCACTATGGTGCACCGCCAGCTTATACAGGAGAAGGACTATCTATCAAAATCGAGCCCTCCACGCCTCAACACCCCAGCAGCGTCGCCAGTCAGTCTGTCCCGGGCACACTGCAACCAGGTCTTGCGACCAGACCTGCGACTCTAGCGGCCAGCAACACCGCCCCAAGTCTACCTACTTTACCTCAGATATCCACTCAGATGCAGCAGCAGCAGCAGCAACAACAACAACAACATCAACAACATCAACAACAACAACAACAACAACCACAGCCTCCTCTTTCCGCAAGACCAACAACGCTCAACCACACTCACTCATACTCACGGTCCAGCCCCGGCGCCATGGACCAACCCAAATACAAGCCTTTCTCGGATACTCCTGATCAGAGCAAATATCCGTCCGGCGCAAACTCATACGTCCCACAGACTCCACAAGGGCCACCCTCATATTCTCCTCTCGGCCTGGCGGACATCAGAACGAGGACAGACCCGACTTTCGCAGATATACCTTTCAGTCCGGGAGTGGCTCAGGAGAACGACATTGTACAGTATCCCCAGAATAGCAATTATACCGCGCCTTGGCCCATTTATGCGGTTGATTGGTGTAAATGGCCTCCGCGGTCCAGCAACGGTTCGGCGGGTAAAGTAGCCATTGGCAGCTATCTGGAAGACAATCACAATTATGTGAGTGTTGGCCATAGCTGGACAAATCGACAGAGATCGGGAATATGAAGCTGACATCGTGTGGGCAGATTCAAATATTGGACACTCAAAGATCGCAAATAGACCCAGACAACCCGCACGGTGAGCGAGGGTTGGAGTTTATCAAAACCGCGGAAGCTACACATGCGTATCCCGTGACAAGGATATTATGGGAACCACCTTCATCGAATAAGCAGACGACCGATCTATTAGCAACCTCCGGCGACCATCTTCGACTGTGGTCGCTGCCGAATGACCAACACGCGTATCAGTCGAACTCAGTCACACGCTCATCGACCAACACGACCCCTCCACTACAAAAGTTGTCACCCCTTGCCTTACTTTCCAACTCGAAATCACCCGAACACACTGCCCCCATCACGTCGCTGGATTGGAACGTGGTCCAGCCCTCGCTGATTATCACCTCGTCAATCGACACGACCTGCACCATCTGGGACATCCCCACGCTTACGGCCAAGACACAGCTCATTGCGCACGACAAAGAAGTCTACGATGTGCGTTTTTGCGCCAACAGCGTGGATGTGTTTGTTTCGTGTGGTGCGGATGGAAGTGTGAGGATGTTCGATCTCAGAAGTCTCGAACACAGCACCATTATCTATGAGCCGTCAGAGAAGCAGCAGCAGCAGGAGAAGAACTGTAGGTTTTGATCGTTGAATAACCTGTGCCTTGGTCACGCTAACATCCGCAAAGCACAGCTTGCCGACGCTCTCTCTGCTTCGCCGACTCGGGCCTCTGGTTCCGGCGGGATATCAACGCTGCCTTTCCCACCTCCTTTACTTCGCATCGCGGCTTCTCCCCATGACGCTCACCTACTCGCCACATTTAGCCAAGACTCCAACATTATACGTGTTCTGGACGTTCGACAACCCGGCCAGGCTTTACTTGAATTGAAAGGACACGCGGCCGCCGTCAACTGCATCGACTGGAGTAATTCACAGCGCGGTGTACTGGCTTCCGGCGCTGACGACTGCTGTGTGCTGCTCTGGGACCTGATGGGCTCGAGTGCGTCGACTGGACAAAACGTCGTGCCAGGCGGGGTAACGAACAATACTAGCGGGGGACAGGGACAAGAAAGAGGCCCTTCGGCCGTCTGGGAATGTAAGTATGAGGTGAGCAATCTGAGTTGGGCTCCGACGGCGGGAACACTAGGGGTCTGCGGTGGTAAAGGATTTTGGGGCGTGCAGTTATGATGAATGATTTCCCTTCTTCATGAGGCTATATGCGAAATCGGGGGGTTCTTGGAAGCATACACATGGACGGATACGCGTCTCAGAAGGGAACGAGCCGAGGATATCATGTGCTGGGATGTGGAGGAGACGGGACATGATGAGATGGTTCAGCTACAGATTTACAGGTATTAGGAGAGGACGACTATGCCGCCCATTTGAGTGAAATGCGACGAGAAAGTCCCAGTGCGGACCAAAGGACGATCGACGTGTTGAAGTCTAAATTGAAAAGTGGTGTTTTTTTGTTTTGTTTTGAAAAAGACTCCCAAGACCAACTTTTCGAAACGGAACTTGCATGATAGCGATCGCGATATAGAGAGAGGGGGGGGGAGAGAGAGACGTGGTCCCTCGTGAGTGTTGTGCTCGAACCAGATATGAGCTTCGCAAGGGGCGAGGTCCTGGTGTCCATCTATCCCTTGATGGACGCGACATTCATAGATGTATAGTAAGTAGGTACCTACCTACCTACCTATCTACCTACCTGCTTTTACCTAAGGCTTCCATGGAGGACGGGATGAGGATATAGCTAGGCGGACATTATATTGGGTGGCATGGACAAGGTGACGGAGGTGAGGTGAGAACACTCGCTCTTTTTCTCTCTTATGTCTGTCTACCTACCTATCTATATTTCTATCTATCTACCGCTTTCTTCGTCGCTGTGTCTTCCCCTCTCCAACTAATCCCACCCGTTCCCAGGTTGAAAACAAAAGAAAGGTAGGGAACGAGGACGTACGTGTGTGTGCAAGTGTGTGTGTGTGTGCTGCATGCACTGTTACTTATTGCAAAAGGTGGTTGGTGTCTCTGAGACTCGGTTATTTCGTTTTTTTCCCTCTTCCTTTTCTCTTGCTCTATACATTTGTCTAGATCGTATGCAAAATGCCAAACCAGCCCATCCATCCGTCTATGCATCCTGCGTCCATGCAATGAAGAAACAAGCAATTGAGCAAACAGACAGACAGAAAGACAAACAGACAACAAGCCGCCCTTAATGTGCCATTCTCTTCGACATCCAAGTCAATGTATGGGAATAGCTAATGTCACATGAAGCAAGGGGCTTTGGCGAGCCTTTTGCTCTCTCTGTCACTCTCCCCCTCTCAATTCGCCTTTATCTTGCCGTTGGCCACGGCCCCGTTCCCTTCCCCTTTCAAACCACTACCTCCCGAGATACTAGCTCGCCTCCGCCGCTCCGACTTGGAATTGACGTAGACGGCTCTCTCGATCGCCTTGAGGACCTCGTCTATCAAGATGACCGGGGCCGAGATCCACAGCACGGCCATCCACTCATCCCACCCCAGAGCCTCAATGGAGAAGACGCCCTGTAAAATGGGTGTATAGAGGATGCCAAAGTGTAGAATCATCGAGAGACAAATCGCGTAGATCAGTTTCATGTTCTTCCAGAGCGGAAGCTGCAGCAAGCTTTCCGAGGAGCTGAGGGCGTTCATTGCGTTGAACATCTCGATCACAACCAAAATGGAGAGGGAGACAGTCGAGGCCGTGCGTGTCGGGATCGATGAGGCAGAAAAAATGTCGCAGTTGACGTTCTCGAAGAGAGGGTTTGTTGGCGAGCATTTATGGAAGCTCCGGAGCTGCGTGAAGCTGATTTGCGGACCGGAAGGATAGAGCATAAACCACCACACATAGCCAAAGACAGTGGCGGCGCCCACATACGTGCCAATAACCATGTATCGGAAGAACAGCCACCCCGAGACGAGGGGCTCATCGCGTTTTCGCGGGGTTCGACGCATCACATCGTGGTCAGCCGGATTGAAAGAGAGGGCCGTGGCCGGAAGACCGTCCGTGACCAGATTCACCCAGAGAAGTTGAACGGGGATCAATGCTTCCGGTAAGCCCAGGGCTGCGGTCAGGAATATCGAGACCACTTCTCCAATGTTAGACGAGATAAGATACCGGATGAACTGCTGGGTGTTGCTGTAGATGGTGCGGCCTTCCTCAATGGCGATTTCGATCGTGGCAAAGTTATCATCCGCCAGCACCATGTCGGCGGCCAATTTAGCGACATCGGTGCCGGAGCCCATGGCCACTCCAATGTCAGACTTCTTCAATGCTGGGGCGTCATTCACGCCGTCGCCTGTCATGGCCACCACCTCGCCGGCTTCCTGCAAGAGATCAACAAGTTTCGACTTGTGACTGGGCTCGACGCGCGAGAATAGAGATGCTGTCTTCGCAGCTTCGAGCTTTTCGCTCTCCGTGAGGGAGTCGAACTGCCGGCCGGTGAAGCTTTTGCCGATCAAATCTTCGTCTTGCTGGAATACGCCAATCTGCTTGCAGATTGTCTCGGCAGTATTCTGGTTGTCACCCGTTATGACAATCACGCGAATCCCAGCTTCTCTGCACTTCATAATCGACTTGGCCACTTCTGGGCGAGGCGGGTCGAGCATGCCGACGAGCCCGATCAAGGTCATGTTCTGTTCCAGCTCAGCATACGCCCGGTTGCTCTTCGCAGTGTGCAGGAGCTTGTTGCCGCTGACGTTTTCCACGCTAGCCAGCGCCAGCACGCGAAGGCCACGTCGTCCATATGCAACGAGCTCCTGAGCGAGCAGGGCCTGGTGCCGCTTGTTGATGGGAGCTTTCGTGCCGTTTGTCCCTAAGATGACGTGAGAGCAGCGCTCGATGATTGATTCAGGGGCACCCTTGACAAGAAGCTTTTGGGCCTGACCACTTCCAGCTAGGACCGACATGCTTTTCCGGTCTCTCGAAAACTCATACATCGCCTGTAGAGGAAGTTTGTCCTCGTAGTACCTGCTGGCGAAGTTGACTCGCTCAGAGCTGGACAGACTGGCCCGAGTTTCGTTCAGAGCCACATTGTCGGTGCCAATCTTCTCAACCAAGACGCGGAGAGCTCCCTCGGTAGGTTCTCCGATGCTTGCATAGGTGTCGTTCTTTGTGTCATATGACAGATGGGCCTCGTTGCAGAGCGCCAGGACTTCTGACATTTGCTTTATGGTGTCTGAGCTTGCTGCGGGATTCTCGAGCTTCTTGCCATTACGGATGAGGTCTCCGGCCGGGGCAAAGGTGGTGCCTGTGACCTCGATTTCCTCCAACTCATCACCAGATTCGCTGAGATGGACAATCTTCTCAACACTCATCTGGTTGGTCGTGAGAGTGCCGGTTTTGTCGGAGCATATCACACTGCAGCTACCGAGGGTCTCGACTGAAGGTAAACTCCGAACAATAGCGTTCTTGGCCGCCATTCTCCTCGTCCCCAAGGCAAGACATGTTGTGATGACCACGGCGAGACCTTCTGGAATTGCGGCAACTCCCAATGACACGGCGATTTTCAGATAGTAAATGGCCCCCTTGGCCCAGCTTCCGCCGTGCGAGGGATCATTGAAATGCTGGATGTTAATCAACCACACCAGGATACAGATTACTGTGATGACTTTGGCCAGAGTGTCACCAAAATCGTTCAGTTTCTCTTTGAGTGGCGTGGGTTCCGAAATTTGCGAAGTGATGCTCTCGTGGATGTCGCCAATCGCGGTAGAACTACCCGTAAGAACGACGATTGCGGTAGCGTGTCCAGTCACAACTGTTGTACCAGAGAAGAGCATGTTGACCTGATCTTGTTTGACAGCCTGCACATCGTCTATGGCTTTGCACTCCTTGCTCACACTCTCACTCTCGCCCGTCAAAATTGCCTGGTCGACTGCGAAGCTGTTGCTTTGGATGGACAACAGTCGACAGTCTGCCGGTATCCGATCTCCAATGGCGATAGTAACAATGTCTCCTGGCACAAGTTCATCTGCCTTGATCTTCTGGACGTATCCATCCCGAATCACCTTCGCTTCGTTTGCGGAATACTCTTGCAAGGCTGCAATGGCCTTTTCGGCGCTGCTCTCTTGCGTCACACCGACGATTGCATTCAGGATGAGGATTGTCAAGATCTAGACACAGATTAGTTTTGGCCAACTCCTGGGTGATTCTTTCAACTTACCACCACAGGGTCGACAAACGCAGTCCAGTCATCCGACTCTTCAAACAGGGCCAGGACAAAAGATATAGCCGCTGAGCCTAGCAGTATGAGGACCAACTGGTCTTTGAATTGTTCGAGAACGAGTTGCCATAAGGGTGTAGGAGGGTCTTCCGGGAGAGCTGTTGGACTTTGTTAGCTTTCAACGCTGGACCTTTGTGGCGGTTAGCAATTGCGCTCACAGTTGCTTCCATATCGTTTTCTGGACTCCGCGACTTGCGCAGACGACAGCCCGGCTGCTTCAGTAACGTGGAAGTGACTCAGCACCTCTGACGTTGAGCGCACGTATGCTTGCTCCATGTCGCAATGGTTCGGAGATTGAACGACTATGAGAGATAAAAAGAAACGAGGTTGCTGTGAAACTTCCTAGGAAGATCCATGCATCACCAAACCGTCTAAACAAACCTCACTAGACACTGCAAATAACAAAGAGGGGTCGCATCTATTTATCAAGTCTATGGCGAAAAGAGCGACTTTGGCAGTGACTTCGATAGAAATCGATGCCCCACGTGGTGAACTGGACACGGTGGACACAGTCAACAGTTCAACCATCGAAAATTCCAGACGCGCGGAAAAAATGCGCCGCCTAAGGCGAAAATACGAGCCTGTTTGGAGGCGTTTTGGGGTACAAAGCCCAAGGAATCAGTAGCGCCTGCAGAGCTCATTCAGAGTGGTTGTTCGACAACTCAATTTGTCCTATGTACTCAGTACAACACAACGGGTAGGAACTACTTGAAATAGGCGAAGTTGCTGTGCCGACGACTTGCAAGGCCCGCAGGGACTACGGAGTGCGGACAACGAGCATGTTTATGTTTATAGGGAGGGAAGTCAAGCACGTGAAAGTCAGAACTCTGGATGAGGCACTCGGCGAGTCGGGTTAGAGTAGTAGAAAGCACAGCAGCTGTTTTTGGGTGCCTCTATCCCTCTGTGGGCTCTTTGATGCGGTTAAGAGGTAGGAGAGGCACAGAGTGGTGAATCCTGAAACCCTTGGTGACAGGTTTCAGGCGCTGGCGTCAAACAAAATCAGTTGTTTGTCACCTCCCAGTGGTAGGCCTCACTTAGCCCTTTGGCTGGGCTCCCAGAGTGGTTAGCGCCAGCAAGTGCCTGGGTGACTTAGTGATGCTCTAGTCCTTTAAGCATCAAACTGCCTTATGAGCCATCACTCACAAACCATCAATCTGCAACCCCAGGCCCCGTTTCCCATCACCAGATATTCAACTCGTCCTTCGATTTTCATCCCCCATCTCCCAATCCCTTTTCTCGACCACATCCGCATAACCTTTCGACAACTTCCTCGTCTTGTCATCCACCCTTGCGACTCTTTACCATGGCTACCGACGTAAGTGCTGCATCCCCCCGCCTCCAAGTCAGTCTCAGCTGGTCGTCACTGTCCAACCCGAGTCTTCCCAATCTTGTCATTGATAAGACATTGTGCTGACTTGAATGCGATTTGCAGCGCGAAAGGTATCATTGCCTCGTGTCCCTCTCGAGTCATCGATTCACTGACGCCTTTCCAGTAAAACATTCCTTGCGAGGCTCTGTGAGCAGGCTGAGCGCTACGATGAAATGGTCAACTACATGAAAGAGGTGGCCAACGTACGTCTAAAAACCCTTTGGACATGTCATTGTGGACTACCTAGGCTGACTCATGCTAGATGGGCGGCGAGTTGTCTGTCGACGAGAGAAATCTCCTCTCCGTTGCCTACAAGAACGTCGTCGGAACCAGGCGTGCCTCCTGGCGCATCATTTCTTCCATTGAGCAAAAGGAGGAATCCAAAGGGTCTGACAAACACGTTGCCACCATTCGCGAATACCGCCAAAAGATCGAGAGCGAACTTGAGAAGGTCTGCCAGGATGTTCTCGACGTCCTCGACAAAGCCCTCATTCCCAAGGCCGAATCTGGAGAGTCCAAGGTCTTCTATCACAAGATGTACGTCATCTCCTGGCTCAGAAAATGCTCGAGGCGCCACTAACGTGGTGAACAGGAAGGGAGACTACCACCGATACCTGGCTGAATTCGCTTCCGGGGAGAAGCGCAAGGTTGCGGCCACTGCTGCTCATGAGGCCTATAAGGTATGACAGTTGCCCTCCAGAAAATCCCAAACATCACTGACCCCCCGGCTTGCAGAACGCTACCGATGTAGCACAGACCGAACTCACCCCAACCCACCCCATCCGTCTCGGCCTTGCCCTCAACTTCAGCGTCTTCTACTACGAAATCCTCAACTCCCCCGACCGTGCCTGCCACCTTGCCAAGCAAGCCTTCGATGATGCCATTGCCGAGCTCGACTCGCTGTCCGAGGAGTCGTACCGCGACAGTACGCTTATCATGCAGTTGCTCCGAGACAACCTGACGCTGTGGACATCGTCCGATGGTGGTGAAGGTGAAGCTGGCCCAACAGGCGAACCAGCAACCAAGGAGGAGAAGCCCGCTGACACCGGTGCCGCTGCCGACCCGACACCAAAGACAGAGGATGCTCCAGCGTCCTAGAGGGATTGCCAACAGGCAACTGTGCATGCTTTCCCGCCTTTTGGTGACTCTAGCTTACAACAACTTTCTACGATTTTCGGGCAGGGTTATTGCTCAAAATGGCAGCACTCGCACCGGCCTCTTTGTGATGAGCTCGGATTCTAGGTATTGCGCTGAAGGCGTGTGCAGTGATTTGTTCAAATGGGCCCAGATACAGGCACACAGAGAGAGAACTACCAAGACTCCCAGATCCGGGCAGACTACTACCCCAAACTATTCCCCCCAACCATGTCGAATGCAATCCCCAGGCAATACTGATTTCTTCGTTTTATTGTCTCCTACGATACCACATAGCTTTTAGCTCAGGTGGATTGATGAATGGAGTTAGCAAGCGCGTCGCGGAAAGGTCCAGAATCACACTTTGACATCTGCAACCCGTTGTCTTTGGTCGGTTTTTTCCGTCTCATCTCTTTCTAGCTCTCAATCTTTGATACCGGTCCTGTCTGCCTTCTGCGCCGCGTACTGGTTTCACGCTCGGGCAGACATGTGACCCTGACCTCATATTCCTTGGCAGCACGATTAAATCCACACAAGCCTGCATTATGTATTCACTCTTTGATGCGGTGATGCCGCGCAAAAGTCATGACCTCATCTCAGTGTCCTGCCCTTGCAGACTCAACGTGATGACGGCTCAATCCAGATCGTACTAGGAACAGAACAAGCCTGACTTGACGCTTGCTTTCAGATCTCGGGCCCCAACCACTCCGTTTCGTCATGTGTCAATAGCTATCGTTACCACAATGTTCTTCCACCTTCAGCTTTGGAGATGGTATGGTAGTAAAGCCTCCTCGACGAAGTGAGAGGTCTTCAACCTATTGGAGACTTGGTGACAACACCTTTGCAGACACTCTGCTCTCGATTATCTTACTGGCGAAGCTATTTTCCTGAATACTGGAGTATTGTCTCAGCACAACTAGACGTCATTGAACGAGCTCTCGTCCTCCTTCCCACCGAATTCCAAGTGAACAAAAACAACATGTCTCTTGGCCGCCGCATGGTCGTTGGCGGCCTGGCCGTTGGCGCAGCATTGTATTTCTGGCCGCAAGCCTCGCCCGGAGTCCCTGGTACCCCCGTCGCCACCTTCAAAACCCCCAGCGTGCAGAACATAGAGAAAGCTTATGCGAATGGCGGTGCCACCTCCACACATACCAAGGCGTACGGTGGCACAATTCAGGGACAGAAAGAAGATGCACCGATGAGAGAGGGCTCGGCCACAAGTAACCCCAAGGGGTTCCAGCGAGAAGGGTTTGGAAACGACCAGCGGCCGAATGAACCCATGCTGCCTGGGAAATGGTGGAACAAGACAATGTATGGAAGTGAGAAGGGCAAATGAGAGAGTCAGATTGTCACTTTAATTGGATCGAACATGATTTTACGGAGTTAAACCCACAAAAGGGACAAGAGATCAAAAGCAGGGCAATGCATATCCAACAGGACAACATTCATCCATTGACGGCATTTGGTCGACACTGCGTATTGTCGTACATATTAATATTCGTCCCATGGCCAGCCCGAAATCAGGTCAAGGCCGACAGAATTTCTTATAACGAATTCTTCACTAGGTCCGACCTGAACTCGGTTGATAAGATGGCTTCAACTTCCAGATCAGATCAAGCTGGCAGCAAGGTTGTTGAGGGCAGAAGGGCTCGCTAGACTTCATTACAGTTCAAACGCAGGTTGCAGGGGAATTTTTGGCATCGCCGCTTTTAACCACCGCACCTTGGTCTCACCCCCCTGCAACTTCTGGCCCAAATTTGGTGGTCAATACAGCCGCTTTTAGAGGCGTTCCTGCCTCGACACGAGTAATAATAAACAACAGTGAACGCGCATGCCATCCTTGTTAGTTTTCTCCCCCTCTACAATTTCGTGAACAACAACAAACTCCCTCGCCACCACTGTCACCACTACAGCCGCGGCGACGATGGCTGACCAAACCCTTCTCGGTCCGCAGCCAGATTTCAATCTCATTGGTGATGAGAACAAAAAGGCACAAAATCTACCAGCAATCACCAACGGTCGAGAAATTCTAATCGAGCTTCGAGCCATACGTCAAGAACTCACAGCCACTCGTCGAGACATTCTGAGTATGATGTCTATGTCGTGTATATCACTCTTCTTTATTCTTATATTACTTTCCTAATTCTATAGTAATCATAATAATACAGCTCGAGTTCAGAATGCCCACGCGACAACTCCAACGGACGTTCTTTTGCCATTCCTTAACCCCTCCAATGGTGCCGCTATTCCTGAATTCCCTGCTACATCACAAGCACTGGGGGAAATGGACGGACGGCAAATAAATGCTGTCTTACAACAACTAGATATTCGACCTCCTCATCGTGCTGCTTTAACAGTGAAGAAGGAAATGTTGAGAACTCATATCGGCTTGAAGACGGTTGCCGTTATGCCTGCATGAGGAAGAGGAGACGCTTGAGATTGAAAGTCGAATACAAGTGTTCAAAGAGCACGAATCAAATTATACTAACAGATCACGAATCACGATTAATGAGTACCAATATCATGCGCTAAAGCAGCAGCTGATTTCCCTGCAATAATTTTACACTGTCTGGGCATTGACGGTTGGCGAGGTTGTCCAATCGGAAAAAAACGAAAATTTGGAGCCTTAATGCACGGTAGATACTGTAACAGTAGGTAACTTTGTCAAAAAAGTCTTGGATCTGATTGGTCCGAAGAGTATTTCCATCTAATTGGTTTTCTTTGCAACGTCACGTGACATTAGACTTTTCGCTTAGTCATATTTTGCCTAGTCTACTAATGTCTAACCTATAGAGTCTACCACTACGGGCGCTTGGAGTCAACCACTAGAGTCCCTAGAGTTCACCTCCACCGGCGCCTAGAGTCCATCATTAGAGCATCTAGGGCCTAGGCAGTTAGGTTAACTAGTGTTTTCGCGCTCTCACGACAGGTTGCCTTGGGGTAGCCATCATCACCCTACTACGGTATTTTTGCTTAGGTCCAGACCCAAGGCGGGGAGCTGCCGCTTGCATTCATCTCTGTGGCTTGCGCCGCGCAATCTTCGGCTGCGGTCCATCTCCAGAGTCATGTTCCCTTCGACCATAACTGCCTTGGGCATCTAACCGACGACGATTGAAGCGTCAAACTCGTGGCATGAGTTATATATGCTATTGACCATGAGCCTTGCATCGAGATAACCTCGGCGAGGCCCGCTTTCCACCATCTCATCTGCTCCACCAACGCCAGCGTCCTTAGCTTAACAATGGCTCTGGGGATTCTTGAGCCAAGTGTCGAGCATGTCCCGGGGACGGTGTATGTCTATGAGACAGAACAGCGACTTGCTGAGCTTTTGGAGAATGCCCAGCATCTGAAGAAGGACAAGACGGGCCGGGTCATTCTCGTCCCTCAACCCTCAGATGATCCAAATGATCCTTTGGTTCGCGGTTCTCTCGCAAAGCACTCGGTGAACAGCAAAACTAACTGACGTCGTAGAATTGGCCCATCTGGCAACGCGATCTCATTCTTGGAATCCTCTGCTTTGTGTCCTGCCTTGCCACAACAGCCTCTCCTCTCCTTGCCGCCGATTCAACGACTCTCGCAATCGTCTTCAAGCGAACCTTTCAAGATGCTGCCCTTCTCACGGCCTACCATCTCTGCGGTGTTTGCGTGGCGGGATGGTTATTCGTTGCATCCGCAAGAGTCTGGGGTAAGAGACACCTGTTTCTCCTAGGAGCCTTGCTCATGGTCGCGAGTTCTGCCTGGGGCGGTTCTACACATATCGGTCACGATTATGCTAGTCTATTGTGGAGTCGCGTCTTCCAAGGCGTCGCATTGGCACCTTTCGAGGCACTGGTCAATGCTTGTGTCGGCGATCTATACTATGTCCATGAGCGTGGAGTTCGAATGGCGATCACAAACACATGTCTTTTTGGAGGAGCTTTTCTGACACCAGTCTTCGTGGGCATGATCACTGCTCACATGGGCTGGCAATGGAGTGTAAGTTTTTGTCGCCCTCGTCATTGCGTTGTCACGGATAGTCTTGTGCCCTCAAGCAAACCGCAGTCGTCCGGACATGTTAATCCTTGCATGGATGTTGTGCTAACCTAACATTACACAGTTCTTCTTCCTTTCGATCTTCATGGCTTTGGGATTCTTCCTCCTATTTTTCTTCGTGCCTGAGACGGCTTATCGACGAGCACATTCTCTCAACCTTGATCTTCTTGCAGAAGAGGACTCGTCGAAAGAGACAATTGGAAGACCTGAGATGGCAACTGCAAAAGATGCGGAGGGAAAGCCTCTCCACTCTTCTACAGTCGTGGAAACGTCGCACCCAAAGCATTCCTACTGGCAACGACTGATGCCGTTCAACGGTCGAAAAACCGAGGAGTCCTTCTTGAAGCTACTCTTGCGCCCATTTCCGCTGTTCCTGCATCCTGCAGTCCTCTGGGCCTGCTTGATGCAAGGTGTGATCATCGGCTGGACTGTCATGGTCGGAGTTATACTCTCTCTGATCTTCCTGGGCCCGCCTCTCTTCTTTAACGAAGAGAGGGCCGGCAAGATGTACACCAGCGCGTTCATCGGCAGCATCATTGGGCTGCTCGGCGCCGGTCTGTACAGCGAGCTCACTACGCGATTCATGATCAAACTCAATAAGGGCAGATACGAACCCGAGTTTCGTATACTCCTTGTCATCCCGACGCTCATGTTCTCTTGCATCGGTCTCTACGGGTTCGGCATCACAGCGAACGATGTGGCCCGCTATGGCTGGATCGTCCCCGAGGTATTCCTCGCATTCATTATCATCAGCATGGTCATGGGCTCCATCGCCTCGGCTCAGTACCTCCTGGACGCCCATCGCGACATCGCAGTCGAGGCGTTCACGAACCTGATTATTTTCAAGAATATCTTCTCCTTCATCCTGGCATACCATGCCTTCAATTGGGTATTTGCGATCCGCATCAACCATTTATTTATTATATTTGGGAGCATCGAGATTGCCATCTGTGTGCTGAGTGTTCCCATGTATATCTTTGGCAAGAAGAACCGGGAGTTTTTCCACCGGCACGATCTCTTGAAGATAACGAAGCTCCGATAATATGATGGTGTTTTCCATATAGAACGTATAGTCAAACTTATATCACTCAGCCGCGTGTCCAGCCCGCAAGGATTTTCCTTATGTCAGAGAAAGGGATGAAAATCTCCGCCTCCACTTTTCGCTAACACGGGCCTTGTCCTCGTAGAAGTCAGGGGCATTTCCCTCCTGAGATGTGGCTGTTCCGAAAGCGGGAGAGAAGACATCACTGGCTGACAAGTCCAGAGCGGCCTCTCCCTGTTCCTTTGCCACGCACCCAGCCAAGGTCAGGCGAGAATCGGACTCTCACTGGATGATGATATCATGCAATTCCCAATGGCGCGAATCACTCTGAACCGCGTCACTATCATTTGAAACGAACTTGGTTCGCGTGGCGTTGAGTTCCGCCCGCTTTCGGAAATTAAGAGGTTGGTGCTCGGTTCGAGCGGCGTCGATCTCAGGAGAAACACGACTTCACCACAATTTTCTTTGACGGACCGCCGAATTTTGAACCAGACTGTCGACCGGTTGTCCAGAAAATCGATTTGTGCGACCGAAGGATATGGACAGTGATTGCTACTGTTGAGAGACTTCGAGACCGAAACGTCAACATCGAGATGCCGGGGGGTAGAAGCGGGAAACGGCACCACAATCATCGCACCGCAACGTTGCAACAATGTCAGAATTGACGCCCAGCACGCTCTGCACCGCGTGCCAGTCCATCTTTGGGCCAGACACGCAGAAATCGGAGGAAACAGGCGAGATCCCGCATCATGGCTTGGAAGAACTCGCATCCCGGGCTAGCAACTGTCATCTGTGTTTGACCGTGTTCATGTCCATCGACCCTGACGCCTATAAAAACTTCCGGAATAGTGGGCTGGCAGTCGACTCCGTTGGGTTCGCCTGGATATCGCCCATTGCCAGGGACCAAGCAAGGCTCAAATTCCGATACGTGAAGCCTACCAAGTCGGAGGCGGACAAGGAGAACCGGGGACCGACTCCGAGCAGTAGCGGCTCGAAGGCGAGCATGTCATTGAATTGGGACGATGCGGCGGGCTTGGTGGTCGAATTGATTCTGATGCATCCAAGATGTAGGTGCTCGATATTCGTCCTTAGGAACCCTCGATAAAGGATGCTAACTTGCTGTTGTCTCAGTTGCCGTTGAACCCGGAGTGCGAACCATCGACCCGCGGTCTGTGAGCACAGCGTCGGTAGAAAGTCTCGATCTCGCCAAACAGTGGATTCAAGACTGTACCTTCAACCACATGAAATGTTCCGTGACTTCTGCCGCCGACACGACGTGGAAACCGACACATCTGCTGGACGTTTCGATCCGAGGTCCTAAGGGCGCTCGCGGGGTGAAACTTGTGGACGGCATGTTCGTGGATCCTTTGAGCGAGTACGTCACGCTCAGCCATTGCTGGGGTAAATCCAAGACGATCCGTTTGCACAAAGGGACGCTCGCCGCGTTAAGGCAGGGTGTCAGTGTGGCGAACCTACCAAAGACATTCGCCGAAGCCGCTCTCGTGACAGACCGCCTGGGCTTCCGATACCTTTGGATCGATGCGCTGTGTATCCGACACGATAGCGAAACAGACGTGTTGGCGGAGGTGTCACAGATGCACCGTGTCTATTCAGAAGCGACACTCAACATCGCCGCCACATCCTCGAGGGACGATGCGAGCGGATTGATCTACAGTCGCAATGTTTCAGCACTGCAGCCCTGCATCGTCTCCGTCCCCTTTGGTCTGGGCATCGACGAAGGGATGTACAAAATACTACGCTCCACGTTATGGCACGACCTGGTCGACTCGTCCCCTCTGAACAAGCGAGCGTGGGCTTTTCAAGAACGCTGCCTCGCGAAACGAACATTGCACTTTACTCGCAATGAACTCTTTTGGGAATGCCAACAGATGTGTTGTTCAGAAGTGTTTCCGAAGGGTCTTCCCGCCACAATGGGCCCGCCTTCGTCTCGGGAGAGTGTGGAGTTCTTCAGCAAGAAGGTCCATCACCAGCGGCATGGGAATTGGCATCAGCTGGTGAAGATGTATTCCCCCAAGAAATTGACGTACTCGAGCGACAAGCTCTTGGCCATCGAAGGGCTCGCGAAACAGTACATGGCAAAGAACCGATTACACGCCGACGACTACCTCGTCGGCCTATGGAAGCCGCAGCTACCACATGCGCTCCTCTGGCGAGTCGAGGGCGGGAGGCGGCCGACGAAATATAGAGCCCCAACGTGGACCTGGGCGTCGATCGACGGCGAAGTCAGATACCCCGAACCGGCATCTTCGGCGCGAGAGACTTGTATTGAGATCATTGAGCTTGACATGAAATACAACCCGCCCGGCGACAACTTCGGCTTCGTGACCGGCGGCAGAATGAAGGTGCGCGGATTCATGGCGAGAGGGCTATTGAAACGAACGCGTGACTACTGGGGCGCGACGCCCTGCGTGATCCAATGTACCAAAGCCCAGGTTGAACTTGAGAAAGCGGCATTCGACGATCGGCTGCCGAAACTCTCCGACGCTGGCAGTGGAATGCTCTGTGAGATGCTCGAGATCTACCTCTTACCGGTCATCGACGTGGTGGATCGGGTGGAGGGATTGCTCCTCTGCGCGACGATGAAAAAGGGCGAGTTCCGGAGGATTGGAGCCTTTGACGTGAGTCGTTATGACCAGGCCAACTGGGACCGGTTCCGCAGCGTCATGAAAGGCGAGGCGGAGATGAACAATTACGTGGAGAGGCTGGACCACATGAACGGGTATTGGTTTGCAAGTGACTATACTTATACGATTAATATCATCTGAAGACCTCAGGAGAGGGGCGGATGTGTGGTTTGTGGATGGTGGAGTTACAGGGATTGGGGGAAGGGGGAAAAAGCACAGCGATGTCTCGAAGAAGAGCGATGTATATATGTCCTGATGTGATGGAATTTCCGGAGAGCAAGCACGATACGGGATAAGAACGTGGATGGGTACATTGGACGATTGATGGTGTCGGTATTTATGGGGAGGATGTACCTAGGGATTGATTTGCTTTGTTCCGTTCCGAATTGCACAGACAGTGTGCGAAGGCGAAAGGCTGTACAGGTCAAGCTATGTGTGTGCATGTGTGTGTGTGTGTGGAATGAGTGTATCGAGACGGTGGTCATAATGTTTGAAATGTAACGAAGTAATAGTGATATGAGGAGGGCTTGGTATTCTATCGTGGTACATACGTGATGCTCCTCCATCCCCTACCCCGGCCGTTACTCGATCGATCTATATTGCACCAATGGCAAAGGCCTGGAAACCCCGTGTTCTGGATCTCCCTTTCCAATCCAAGCCTCCAGGGTGACATATGTAACGACGGTGATGATGGAAGAGGCGCGATAGACCAGAATTAACTGATAGAGATTCTTCGAACACTTCCCTTTTTGGAGACAGACAGTTGCGCACGTTCGCCAGGCCATTTTCCCCCGACCCCAAACCCTGGTCCAGATCGATCCGAGACTAGAGAAAGCAGGGCAATACCATTAATATTATGTATTACTGCAGTACCGGGTAGAGAAGAGCCATGCGTCCGTGCGACTGGCATATTTCTATGACTATTTCTCTCTTCTCCCGTTCATTCCCTTCTGTTTCTTCCCATCCTTTCAGATCCGTCCGCCATTCGTTATCATCATCTGATCTCTGATCTGCCCGCTTCCTGTTGCTGTCTCATCTATTACCTTATCAACAGCTTCCTTCAACCCCAGTTATTTGCCACCGCGGGGAAAGCTACACCATGCTTCGTCAGCTCTGCAGCATCCTGACCGCCTCCACCCTGCTGGTGGGTATCGTCTCTGCACAGCAGGCCCCGACTCTCCCCAGCTGTACGTGTGTCTCTTCCCGAGAAACAATGATGCGCGAAGGGCACACCCATCCGGCCGTGCAAAGAGCGCACCGTGTTGAATGCTTGTTTGTTGACTGACCATTGGATCTGCAGGTGCCACCAGCTGCGTAAGCAGTCTCCTCCCCGCCAGCTGCAACGGCAATCCAACATGTTAGTTCCCCCTCTGCTCCCCCCCTTCTGACGGACTGGTCACGTCGTCGACGCTGCAACGGACAAGGAGAAGGAGAAGGAAGAGAGAAAAAAAAGTGAAAAGTAAAGACTCAGTGGCTCACACAAGCCGTCCGTCGAACAAATAGGCATTTGTAACACCAGTTCTTTCCTCGATGGCATCGCCTGCTGCGTCTTCAAGGCCTGTGATCCCGCAGATCAAACGGCTGCCCTAGACTACGCGCACAGCATTTGTGACCCCGTCGGTGCTTCTTCGCTTTTGGTACGTTTATTGCATTTCCTTTCCTTTCCTTTCCAATTATACACTCGGTTGTCTTTCACATACGAGGCCCGCTGCCCATCCATGCTGGTAATGTGTCTGACTGAATTCTCCCGTTTCTCTACAGCCCGCGTCGGCAACCTGCACGTCGACCTCGAGCAGCAGCGCAACCTCGTCGGCTGCTGGATCTGGCTCTGGCTCCGGTAGCGGATCGACCACCACCACCATCAACTCCAGCGTGGCCTCCTCCGCCTCGGTCGCCGCCTCCAGTGCCAGCGCCAGCATTTCCTCCGCGCTCAGCAGCGCTTCTGAGTCCGCCAAGTCCGCTGCCTCCAGCGCCAGTGCGTCCCTCTCGTCCGCAACAGGCAGTGTTAGCCAAGTTGCCTCGTCGACGTCGGCGTCGGCGAGCCCCACGGGTGCCGGCAATCAGTTGGCGATCGGGCTTGGTGCTGTCGGGGCTGGCATGTTGGGTCTGGCGGCCGTGTTGTAGGTGAGGATCCCGAATGTGATGTGAGTGGCGCATGCTGGCTGGAGAAAGAGGGTGGAATCAAAAGATGGATGGAAATATTCCCACGATATAATGCGGCCAGATGCGAAAGGTAATCTGCTTTTTATCTACCATAATTGATACAGGAGAATCTACAAGCATTTCATTAGCATGACCACCACGCAGGTGGGAGAGAAACTTGTTCTTTGTCTCTCGGGGGCTGTACAGGCTTAATCTATGTTTTCGTGCCCTCATTCATTACACCTCTCATCTCTCGACGGTGTCTCATTCATCGTCGTCTTCAGCCTCCCTGCGCATGGCCACAAACTTGGCAACATCCCGTCCTTCGTCCTTCAGAACCGTCCACAAGTATCCCCAGAACAGCATATCCGCCAGCCCGACCGTAAAGACCACCCGGTTCGCCAACAGATTCAGTCCCGACAGCAGCGACGTCCCGCTTTCAGCAGAACCTGTGGAAGACTGCGGCTCGGGGGAAGAGTGGGAGTGGAACATGTAGATCCAAAACACCAGAGTGGACGAAGCCAGGACGTGTAATGCCGAGAGTGTGAGCCAGCGGGACTGGGCGGTCAGCAGGGTGTGCAGCTCTTCGGCGTAGCGCGAGGACGACTTTGCGGCGGAGGAGAAACCGTGGCGGGCGGCGCTGCTCGAGGACGACGACGATGCAGCAGCAGCAGCGGTTGGCCGCGTCCCCTTGATCATGGACAAATCCCCAGCGAAGAAGAACTGCGTGGCGGCGTACACCAACACCACCAACCCCAACAGCGCGAAGAGTTCCCTCTCAGCCGGTCCTTCTCCCTGTGCCTGTGCCAGCCCCGATCCCGCCATCAGGCCCCTTTTCAAATTCGTGCTGCTGCTGCTGCTGCCGCCGCCGCCCGCTGCTCCGTGACGGGACATCATTTCCGGCGCGTAGCCCGCAGGCCGCACGCTCATGCTCTCCCCCAGCAGCCATATCGGGCTTGACGACAGGAGTTGGGTGGGCGCGGTCAGGAGGTAGTAGGCGCAGGAGAGGAGGGCCAGGGAGTAGGTGCGCAGGAGGAGCTTGGAGGACAGGAAGGGCATTGTTTTTTTCGCCCTCGATTTCTAGGAGAGGTGGGTAAGGTCGTTCGGGTCAAGGTAGTTGATGACAAACAGCAATGGTTGAGTTCAATTGTCCATGTGGTGGTGGTTTGTTTGGCATACGGAGTAACAGTAATACATAATAGTGGTTCGGGGAAGATGTGTATGTGTATGATACCGTGTGTGTGTATGTGTGCGAAGTTGGAGATTCGGCTGCGGAGATTCCATCTTCCGTCCAGCTGTGGCTTCTTTGCTGTTCTTCTCCTTCAACACCTACTTACTGTACGAGGTACTTCTTATGAGCCACATTGACATGGGTCTGCTTCTTCGTGTCAGCAAGTCGCGTCCAAAAGCAGATAGTCCTATACGCGGCCATGTGAGCAGCTCTTGTGTTCCCCACATCTCCCCTAAGGGCGCAGCACCTCACAGCACAATCCAGCACACCATCTACTATAAGAGCTCGAGCCGGACTGGACCACTTGTCTCTTTCCGCCACGATGGTCGCAGCAGTTGCCAGACAGAGTTATTGCCCCTTTGCACGCGCTGGGGGCAGACCCAAGAATGCCTCCCACCCCAATGGTCCGCGGCAACTTTCTTGTTTCGGGCGTGAGCCAGGGCTATGACTAAAGGAACCACCACACAATTCGATCACGACACTCATAGCCGACCCACTGGGGGCTGTGAACATGTGGTGCCTTCCCCGCTATGTAGACCGGCCCTAAACACCATGTACTCAAGTGTCGCAGCAAGTCTGGCTGTTCGACTCGACGGCCTCGAGCAAAGCTTGTTGCTTCATTGACGGACATCTACCGAGGTTAATATACGCTCCCTTTGGTAAGCTGACCACAGTCTTTCGCGGTAGAAAAAGAGATATATAGATCTGAGAGGCCGGGTCGGAACATTTGCAATCCTTCCGTTGATCCTAATCCTGTTGATTGTAGTGGCTTCGACGTTGCTCCCCACGTTTCTAGATCCTCAGACATACTTTATCACTTGAACCTTGAACCGCACGGCCAGCCCTGTCGCCATGCAGCCATACACAAATACCGGAGCAGTCAACTGTGACGTCGATATTGACGCGAGCAGTGTCAAGGGCAAGACTGCCATCATTACTGGCGGTATGCTTGAGGTGACAGAGACTCTACACTGAGAATTTTGCTCATGTGCTTGCTTAGGAGCCAACGGCATCGGTGAAGCATATGTTCGTGCTTTGACGGGCGCCGGGTATGACCGAGTCCTTTACCACTCCAAGGGGCGTGAGTTTGATGGAAATGCAGTGCTTTTGTCGTGATTGCCGATCTCGACGAAGAAGAAGGCGCGAGGCTGGAGAAAGAATTGGGCAGGTCAGCACACAAAGCCACCCCTCTCGTTCTGTCGATAATCCGATTGACCAACCGTCCACAGTGCGGTCAAATTCGTCAAGTGCAATGTCACCGTCTGGGCTGATCAGCTGGCCGTCTTCAAGACGGCACTTTCGTCTTCGCCCTCCGGCAGAGTGGACTATGTCTTTGCAAATGCTGGCATCAGCGGAGCTGATTCGGTCTTCTTCAACAATAGTGGGTAAAAATGGTGAATGGGTCAAATACCAGCTGACCACTTGTCCAGTCGAAGCCGAGGAACCTGAGGAGCCAAAACTGAACATCCTCAATGTGAATCTCAACGGAGTCATGTACACGGTCAAGTTGGCACTGCATTACTTTCGCCGACAGAATGCCGCGAATAAGGGTGCTCCCCTTGATCAAGTGCTCATCCTGCAAGGCAGTCTGGCAGGCTATCTCGACTTACCGGGGGCTGTCCAATACATTGCGTCGAAATTTGGCCTTCGCGGGATGATGAGGTCCCTTCGCCGGACGGAGTACCAACACAACATTCGCGTGGCATATATTGGTCCTTGGTATGTAACTCTGTGTGGTCGAGTTGCATCCATACTGACTGGGCCGATCCAGGTTTGTCGAAACCAAGATTTTGAGCAAGGCCGCCATCGAGCATCTGAAGAAGTCGAACACCGAGTTTGCCAAGGTCGAAGACGCTGGCCAGTGCGCGTTGAGAATCGTGTCCGATGCCACCATCAATGGTAATCAACCGGAAAGCTCCTCGGAATAGAGTACTGACAGACCGGTCTAGGTCGAGCATTCGCAATCCTTCCCCGAATTTGGGCGCCTCGTGGATATGTGGATATCGATTACGACGACTATCCTGAGGGCACGTTGTTGGAGCAGCTCCAGAGCTCAGCCAGTGGAAGCGACCATCGCTCTCGTGTAAGTCATATGCCGTTTCCAAGAATCTCGAAGAGAAAGTCTGATGTCACTGTTTTCCAGCTCGATCCTGACAAGCAGAAAACGAAAACTCAATGGTCAGCGTCGGCGACAAATTGAGCAACCATGCGAGCTGGGCGAGCTGAAGGATCACCCGAGGATTTATACCATCTACACACCGAGGTGTGCCATAGCTCCAATCAAAAGCGAAAGTGACATCCTCGTTTGTTGCAAAAAAGTATAATGTCGGCCTCTTCCAACCCTCTCACCATTATATGTGACCCGTATTGGGGATAGTTCAGCGGGTGACGTGCAGCTCTGATGGTGTCATTCGGCGCCAAAGGGTGTCCGGGCCGGATAACGGTCTTTCCGCCTTGACCACCGTTCATACAAAGGCTTTGTTCTGGATGAGCCGTAGGGAACAAGAGTGTGAGTTGCTCGCAGGTTGGTTAGCAGCTCGCAAGGCTGTGGATCCTCTGCTGCTGGTGGGGCGAGCGATTGAACACTGTGATTGGGCTGAATATAAATAGCCATCCACCAATAGAAGCGCCGAGCCCACACCTGTACAGGGCAATATCATCTCCACTATCTTGCCACTAACCTCCACATCTGGGCGCTTAGACGCTGTCGACGTGGTCTATTCGCCCACAACCCCCCTGCGTCCGATCTGTCTCATCTTTTCCCGTCGTCCAATCCTCGTTCGCTTCGTAACGCTCGCAGAGCCAACGACCCCAATGGCGGCCAGCTACCCGTGACGTCCTTCTTCGCCTGGGGAACAGGGAACACTGGACTGGCGGGTCCCTTGCATTTGGCACGCCTGTATCTGGTTTCGCTAACCTCGAGGGGCGTTCGGATGGGCTTGACGACGAACGCATCAGGCGACAAGAGGAAAAGTCAAGTCCCAGGTCTAGAGCCTCTCCTTTCTATTATTGTTGTGGTTATGGTTGTTGTTGTACCACACACACACACGCATCAAAGCCTGCAGCCGCTCCTTTTTGGGACAAGCACCATTCACCCAAAATGCAAAAATAACCACCCGTGAGTACGAGGGACTTGGTCGTTGCCCTGCCCTTATTTCTACTGCCCGGTGTCCCTCTTGTAACACACACATTCTCTCTCCCTCTTTCCTCACCCACGAGCTACTTTGAGTTTCATCAGGTGTCATAATCTCGAAGGGATAATCCCCAAAAGAGGAGAAGGGTTTGTCCTGTTGTCGTTTTCTCTTGTGTGTGGGTTTCATATTTTTCGGGATAGGCGCCTGGTGCGGCCGTCCATTGCAACAGTATCAGACAAAGACGGTTCCAGGGCCAACGATACCCAGTGCATTCGGCTCAGCGGCTTTCCTTTTGATACAGGCGTTTGCTCCTGCACCGCCCCAAGGTCACAGTCGAACATCGACCCTCTCGACCCTCTCACATTCTTTCTGTTGTTACGATCAATCGACATGGCTGGGGTGCTCGAGGGATTGATCTCATCCCGGCGCCGACCGTCCCGGTCTCGGTCAGAGTCGGCGAAGCAACTCCACGCTCGATGGGGCGACGTGGCTATCACGGCTCCCAACAGCGGATGGATCCAGCATTACCTCGATGACGACCTGAACAACGTCACCTACCAGGCCCACGGCAGCCCGGACTCGCAGAAGACCCTCGTCAACAATTCCCCCGACCTGAGCTTCAAGGACGAGATCGACAAGGTCAGCGTCGAGGCCCTTCGACAGGGCACGCCGCCGCTCATCCAGAAGGATCGGAGTGCAATCACCATCACCATCCCCTTACCATGGAGCCGGAAGTCCCATCGAAGATCATCCTCGGCGAGCAGCCAACACTACCAACAACAGCAACAACAACCACAAGCCCAGGCGGCTCCGGCAACGTCGGAGAAGGTGGTCACAGCGGAATCACGACCTACCCGCCCGACGATCATCAGCAACATTGACCAAGTCATCGTGGCGGAATCCAGACCAGCCAGCGACACCTTCCGGGCAGACTCGCCCATCGTCCACACTCAGTCACCGGTCTACGACGACGTCAGCACGTTCTTCACGCGGGCCGTCTTCCCCGAGAAACACCCTGGCCCCACGCGGCTGCCACAGATTCAGACCTCGGTGCCGCCCAACAAGAGCCAGCCGGCGTCGGCCGTCTCCATCCTGAGCCCCGTGGCCGAGAAGTACAACGGGCTCTCGGAGAGCAACAACGCCACCCCGATGGACAACACCCCCATCGCCCGGCACATCGAGTCTGCCCTTCTTCCTCTTGGCGGTGATGGGCAGGTCGACATGGCGGAGTTGGTGGGCCGGTTGGAAACCCACTCCACCGGCACGACACCGCCAATTGCACCGTCCTCTCACACACCCGGTGCGGATGAGGGCCCTGACACGGGGGTCGAGAGACCAGACTCTCGCAGCACCGCCAAGATCCCGTCCCGGCCGTCCTCACGAGGCCCCGGCATCGGCGAAGTGGCTTACATGCGAGCGTCGTCCCGGGGAGCCACAGAGAACAGTGGCGGGCGACGGTCTGCTTCGCGAGAACCTGCTGAGCGGCGTGCTGGCTCGGTGGAACCGCTACGACAGAGGGCGCTGTCGAGGGAACCCGTCCGCCGACGAGCAGATTCGCCCCTGCGAGGCGCGAGCGGCCACTCTTTCTCCCACGCGTCGACTGGTCGCCGCAACGCGTCGTGTGACCCCCTTCCCGGCCGCTCTATCTCTCGAGATGCGTCTCGATCACGCGCGGAGTCTCCTCCGGCTGTCAGCCGTCGCGCTCTGTCCCGCGAGCCCGCGGTCCGGCGTGCGGATTCCCCAGAGCCCAAAACCCGCCGAGCGCTGTCTCGTGGACTGGGCGTTCGCGGGCCTGCCACCTCACCCGAGGGCTCCTCTGCCCGCGTCTTCTCCGACGATCGACCGGTCCGCCCTCGCGCCGAGTCTCCCGGCCCCAGCAGCACCCGGCGAGCACACTCCCGAGACTCGTCTGTCCGCCGCGACGCATCCCCACCGGGCTTCCGCCGTCGAGCCATCTCTCGCGAGCCATACACGCGGCGTCGCGTCTCGACCGACTTGTCTCAGCGGGCCGTGTCCGTCGACCCCATCGTGCGGCACACCAGCCCTCGAACGGACGTCATCTCGCGCCATGCCAGCCCTCGCGACGACGACATCTTTGCGCGCCATGCCAGCCCCCGAGAAGACATCACCTCGCGGCGCGCCACGCCGGTCATCGGATCTGCGGCGGACAAGGGGAGGGACAAGGACAGAGACAGAGACAGGGACTGGGACCGTGATCGAACCGACCCAGACAGCGCGACGGAGTCGATGTCTCCAGCCGCAGAAGACCCGCTGACGCCGGACGAGGCGACCGACATCGAGACCGAGACGGACGAGATGTACTTCGAGTCGCGCAAGGGCTGGAACGGCGCCGCGGTGACGGGCAGCGCCAGCCGCGGCTTCTACGGGGACGTCGTCCAGGACTACAAGCTGATCGCGCGGGACGTCGAGGCCGAGATGGCGGCGGCAGCGTCCGAGCCACAGGCCTCTTCCGGTTCGGCGGCCATGAACATCGTCCACCTGATCAAGAAGGAGAAGGAGCGCGAGTACCACAAGCTGAAAAGCGAGCCCGCGAAGGGGGAGCAGAAGATGTACCAGGGCCCGGACCTGGTACCGCCCCAGGAGGAACTCTGGGGATGATGATGATGATGATGATGGGAGGACGTCGTCTGTCACCACTCACTACACCGTCTGTTACCACTATGGCTGTCTATATGATGACACCACAAATATGTGGCCGGAGGACAATTTTTCCAAAGAAGACCACAAGAACAGAACAATCACGAAGATTGCCGGACTCCAGAAAGTACTCTACAGGCAGAACGATCGCCTGTCGACCTACCTACCTATTCGAAACAACACGAAAGGAACCAACATCGAGACTGCCAGACTTTGAGGAACGGGGGCGTTTATAGCAGGCGGGCGAAGGGCCAGGGTCGAAGAGATCAGGACGGGAGGCGGACATGCCAAAGGTTGCAGAACCAGAGCCAGAACCCGAACACGACTGCCTGGGCTTGAGCCTTTTTTTTTCCTTTCGTTTGTTCCTATGGATGGATGGATTGGGGAAGGAGAGGTTTCCGAGCAAGGAAGGGAAGAATGATTCAAACCCGACGAACGGGTATCTCATATCTATGGGCTGGCTCAGACAGACAGACAGGATCGAATCGGACGGGGCGGCGCCAACATCCATCGTCGTCATCATTCATCATTCTTCGACGACGACGACGACGACGAGAAGCAACCACGATCGGTGGAAGTGACGGTTATGTACAGTGTCCGTTCGGTTCAGTCTAGTCGACAGTTGGCTTCTTTTTTTCATTCACTCTCTCTCATCCACACTCTAACTCGCCCATTACACGTATTTACATCCATCCATCCATTGAGCAGATAGATCTGTTTACGGATGTATTAGGATTTATAACCTCTACACAAGGCAACCCACCCACCGCATGGAACCATGGAACGGGCACGGCACGGCACGACACGACACGAATCTTCTATGTATCTATCTAGATTTATTTCTAGTTTTTATATTCTCTTGGTTCCATAGTTACCCAAGGAAGGGTCGAAGGATTGATGGAAGGCCTTTGTTTTTCCCATAATATTTCCTCCTACAGTGTCAAAATTTCTTCGACAAAGTCTTTACACGTCAGTAGTTAGCCAGACATCCAGCCATCCATCCGTATGGGACGGCTATACCCAGGCTCCTGAGGAGTCCGAAATGTCTGTCTATCCGATCTCGCTTAGTTATTCACGTCAGAGCCATAGACTTTTTTCTTTTCCCTTCGACGAGGAGGAGCCATCCCTATCCAATCCAGATTTATTATACACTTTCTGGTCCCGATGTCTCTCTGTTGAATACGTTGAGCAGTCGCGTTCCTTGAGCCCTACAATCTCTCTCTCTCTCTCTCTTCCCTCCACAGATTCATGCATTCCGCGCGTTTCCTCTTTCCCAATTGAGACGTACGTTCGGAGTTTTGTTCTGCATCGTCCCTGGCCATCACCTCCATCACCGAAGACATGACACTTTTTCTCTCGTTCAGAAATACTTGACCAACATCGACATTGTCACTCTCGTCGTCCTGGTCGTCGTCGTCCTCGCTAATTCCCGTTCCATCCTCGTATTCTCCCTCATATTCTTCGTCTTCATCCTCCAACCGGCGACGCCACAGTCCCAAGCCCAAGAATCCCAGCTCCACCATCCGCTTGACCAGTTCCTCGTCCTCCGAAATCTGGCGCCGCCGTGCACAAGTCTTGGCTTCTCGTTCCCGTCGCTCGACCACCTCCCGTCCCAAGTAGTACACACGGGCCGTCCTGACCGCCGACCGGCCTATGCCCGTGAGAGCGCGCCAGCACGCGAGCCGCACCGAGCGACCGGGAGAAGAAGGAGGCGAGGCCGGGGGAAGCGGCAGCATGACGCGGTCGGGGCCATTCGTAACGAAGAAGTAGTATGCCTCAGGCGTGACGAACTCGCAGTCGTCCCAGGCGCCAAACATGTCCGGGTACCAGTAGTGCCAGCAGTTCGGGTTCGTGTAGTGCCGGCAGCAGTGGTACAGCCATGTCTCGCACCGCCAGGCAGGGTCGGCGCGGTAGTGGCACGGGATGTTGTCCTGGTTGATGCGGGACCAGAGTTGTGAGAGCATTTTTGTTGGGTATCGTTGGAGAGGAGTTGTGGTGGGCGAGGAAGAGGAAGAGGAGGAGTATTAGTAGTTGGCAGCGAAGGGCAAGGATGATGTAGAGATTGGTGTTGGAGATGTGATAGTGAAAGGTGTAGTTGTAAGAAGAGGTGGGTGTGTGTGTGTGTGTGTGTGTGTGTGCTGCTTGAGCAACTCTCTTGCTATTCATGGCCAAGGTAGACAATATATAGATAGATAGACCTGTGCGTGAGGGCGTGAAAGGGGGGAACAGCAGAAGTGAAACCGTCGAGGCAAATTGTTTCGAAATACTCATTGAGGCTATTGAGTCGTCCGGGAGCAGAATCCTTTCTCATTGACACATCCCAGACACGGACGGGGACATCGTTCAGAGACACCGTGTGTAAACAAAGCCTGCCAACAAAAGCCTCCCCTGTGGTGTCCAGTGATGAGACACGGCGCGTGGGGCCAGACATCTATTTCATCGGGCAATGCCCCTTCACGGGTGCATAGTACCCGCGATACACATACTCACGTATGCAGACAGAAAGTACTGATCAGGTCTCAAACCGCCCGCTCCATGAGACAAACCCAGCCAGCCGCATTAAACAGGTGTGGAACAGTGCTGATTTTAATACAATGCTCACCAAGCAACCGGCTCTGCCGCCACACAAACCTTCTATCATACAATTCCGGGTCCGTTGGTACAAAATCAAGCATGGGAAAGGAGAAACTCGGGCCCTGGCTCGTCGTCCTCGCTTTCAGATGTAGTCGTCCGATCTGGAGGCTTTGGTCGAACGCTCGTCATTGGCACGGGTGGTGAGTTTGGGACGTAGTCCATCCCTCCCCCAAGAGCATCGAGATCAGAAGCCGAGGGAGCCCGCGGCCGTGACCGTCTGGGAGCGCCGAAAGAATCGTCCTCTTCCTTCTGCTTGCCCTTGTCGAGAGGGTTGCCGAATTGACGTAACGTATCTTCCAGGCTCTGGTTGCTGCTTTCGCCTGGACTTCCTGTTCTGCTGGCCACAAGCATGTCATCCCTGACCAGATCCGGGGGTTGATTCTGACTCTGTGCCTCGTCCTTGTCCTCGTGGTCTGCACGCCGATTCCGATCCTCAAATCCATTGATACTGTCACCATCGCTCAACCAACCATTGGTTGTCGTGGATGATGCGTTGGTGGTGCGCTCAAGCAGGTCCCGTGCCTGCTGAAAAGCCGCGAGCTCAGCACCGATGGCGCAGGTGAGGAGATTCCAGTTCCTGGATTCGGCAACTTCAAGATCCTCCTCTAGCGATGCAATCAACGTGGAGAGTCTTGTCAGAACCAGATGAATGGATATATCTTCAGCAGCTGCCGCTGGCGCACCTTCAAGACCATCTACTCCGTTCACAGCCGGCCATTGGAGATGCGACTGAGAAAGCTCACGCGTCTGCGTCTTCAATTCCTTCTCAAACTCGCCGATGCGCCTCACAACATCACGCCAAAGTCTTGATCCCTCTTCCAGGGCACTCCTCTCACTCTCCGCACTCGCCTTTCTTTGGGCCAACATCTCCACTTCGCTCGTCCACTGCTCCTGCGCCATTTGCAGCGTCCGCCTCTCTGGCTTCAAGGCGTACATTCCCGGATCTTGTCCGGAAGTCAGACTCTGGTGAATGGGCGGTCGGCGCAGGAACGACTTGACCTGGTTCTCGCTCAGAGCCAACGATTCCATGTAAGAGCTCAACTCCGAGTCCCGTGAGCTCTCATTCTCGCGGAGCTGGTTCACCAGGACTCTGTGCTTCGACCTGAGTTCCAGCAACGCCGTCTCCAAGTGTTGAATCTCCAGCTCCACAGCTTGGATTTCAGAACGCAACCCGACAGGCCCAACCTCCGTTTTGATCTTGTGTATCTCATCCTCGAGGAGCTTTCTTCGGTTCCCCAGGTCAGAAGCCTGTTTCAGGGCATTATCTCGGGCCACAATCTCTCGGTCGATCACGGACAACTCCCACTCGCGGAGAGCTGCGAATTCCTTCATGGACTTCTCTAACCCACGTCGAGCGCCTCGGAGCGTGATCTTCTTGGGCTTTGGTTGGCGGATTGGTATGGTTCGTGGGCCCGTTTCTGCTCCTGGTTTTGTAGACGTCGAGAGAACAGACGGAGTCGGCGTGGGACTTCCCACGGAAGACGAGTCGTCCACCTCCGCCGTCGCAATATTACCAGCGCTGAGCCCTTCTGACTGCGCATCGAGGAGGCTCTGAAAAGTGCGTTCGAGGGATTTGGCTGCTCTCTCCACGGGGAGGAAGGGGTCATTGTGGCGCACCAAGGACGAGCTTAGTTTCTGGGGTCCTTGCGACGTCGGGGAGATCGACGCATTTCGTCGGCGGTCGGGCGATGAGGAGGGAGTTGCTGCATCTCGTAGGAGAATGCGAGGACGGGTCACCTCAGACCGTGAGGACGAGACTGAGACGTCATCTTCATACTGAGGAAGTGAGCTTGTACTTCCTGGCGGGTGCGGAAAGATGCGTTCAATGAAGGACTTCCTCATGGTTCGACAAGGGAGAGATCCGCAGTCGCAAGAGACGAGGGGAGCTGGAGAGACACTGTCGTTATTGCTTTACAGCATTGCACATAACGGAGGGAAAGAAGTCTTCGGCATTCAGGCAGACACACAATGGTCTTCTGTTTGCACAACCACGACAGCGACAGCGTGACACGATCATGTGTGCAAGGACCGACACCCAGAATTCCAGGAACCAAGTCACCGGTCGCGCGGCGATCTGCCGAAGTTGACCCATTCGGCCATCTGGTTGTGATTCTGATTCACCGCCACGACAGCGAGGGCTGTTGCCTACCTACCTACCTGTGACCGGGTTACTCATATAGTAGTGCCAGGTACAGACACAAAAGAATAGCACAGTTCACGCTCACAATTCAACTCCGACTATTCAGGTGAGCAGGCATACATTTTCGAGGATCTTTGTAAATTTAGTATATACAGCTTGGACATGTGCTCGGTGAGGATTCATCATAACCTCGTTTCTCCGAGTGCTTGATCCAGGCTTGCCGTCTCATTCAGCCGCTCCTCCCTCGCTTCCAGCATATCGCAGAGAGCTTTTCCATACCCAGATATTCAAGCTAGGGTACGTCAGTGATAGCTGCATAAGAGGTTTGTCTCCTGAAATGGTCACGTAGTGTGTTACAAGACCAACGCGCTCTGTCCCGCCCAGTCAGCCTGCAAGCGTGCTTGTGGTGACATCTTCGGTGGCAGGTGCTCATAGGTAAGTCCTTCCTCTTCGTCTTCTAGACAATTTTGGGATGGAAACAGTCACAGCAGTGACCGTGGTTCGTACTCTGGTGTTTTTTATACATAGTCGGTGTGGCTCGAAGAGGAGCGATTCAAGAAACAGTCGAGATCTGAGGCAACGGTACTTTGAAACAAAGAGGAGCGATCTCCACTCTTCTCTCGGCACAATCTGAGTGCCTCCAATGCGACTTCGAACTCTGCAAGGGCGTCTCGGGGATCTGGTGTCGACAATCCGCCCTAACCAGGCAGGATGGGCGCACTGAGGCATCGTCCGACAAAGGCGACATGTTTTCTGCGATGAAAGGCCACATAGCACAAATATGTTGGGTAGTTTTACATGAGAAGGCGCCAGGCACCCAAAATAAGTGCTGCTGTACCTGTGCAGACGCCCCTGTCATGCCAGTCAGTATCAATTTTCGACAGCCTTGGGATGAAGCCTGATACTTACATGAGCCACTGGAGGGTCGAGAACTTGACAGCTTCGACTCGTTCGCGGAGACTGGCCACCTCCTGTTCAATTCGAGCTTCCGTCTCCTTGATGCGCATCTCTTGTCCGTTGGCCTCTTCTCGTATCCTGCCCTTTTCCAGGTTCAGATCCAGGCGAACACTGGCCTGCGTCCGACTGATCTCATCCCGTAGTCTCGAGTTCAACTTCGCCAGGTCACTGGTTAGACGATCGTGGCTAGATCGTGTTAGTTGTGCTTCGGTGCTGTCTGCATTGGAGAGTTCGCTCCGCAGTTTGGCGAAGTCGACCTTTTGCGTATACGTGCTTCTCTCCGCGTCCTCCTTCAGGACCATAGTTCGAGTGAGATTCTGAATCGACTCTTCTATTACGTCGTTTAGGACGCGCATCATCGCCACTGCCTGCTCTTCTGTAAACCCTTCATCTTTCAGTCTTTGCACGAATCTCAGCGTGTCGAAGTGGTGAGCCTTGTAGTGCACCGGTGTCGTCGAGAACGCTCGACGGGCTGGTTTAAACGCGGCTGCGTAGACTCCATTATGCCGGATGGGAGCTGAGTTTGCGGGGAGTGACTGAACATAGGTCCGGGGTCGCTTCCGTGATGGGGAAGAAGCATTCCTCACGGCCAGACTCTGAGCAGTACTGGTTTGTAACGCCCTAGGTTTCGACACAGACTTGAAGGACGGGGCCTTCAGCGCTTGGGTCACACCAGGTCGTTTAGAGACGGCATGGGGCGCTGCCTGGATGCGGGAGGCAGAGGTCCAACTCAGGCGCAAGAATCGTGGGAGTTCAGTCACAGGCTTCGAACCCGCCATGGAGGGCATGAAGATTGGCAGTCCCCAGCTGGTGGGCCGTGGGTGTCAAGACAGTTTATCTCGGACCAAAAAAAGCCTTGGTGAAGGATAGAAAGACGTTGTCGACATATGCCTTGGGCAAGAGGGGGCAAGAGGCATTGCAGCTGACGGGATTTTGTATGGCAATGTGATGAGAGGCAGCCTGGCGCGGGAAATGTTCAGCCAATCATATGCTGTCTGATTCGGGAGAATTCGCGCGATAGAAAACCGCCAACTGCCCTCAGTCTATCGTCTATCCTGCGTGCATGTTCTTTGCCTGTTCTTTGCCTTCGTATATGGTCCCGAGTCTACCCTCGTTGACTGCGGTAAGGTCCAGGAGAGATATTACACCCTCTGAAGAATATAGTCCATTGAGCCTGCCTTTGCACGCCGAGTTGAGCATGATAGCCTTAGACACGACCTAAACAAAGAAAGCACCCTCGTTCATTCACTCAACTCCGCAAGTTCTGAGAATTCCATGAATACACTTGACAGTCGAAGTGATGTACAGCCTGCGTAGGAGACTCAACTGGACCTTGAGCACACTGTAGAAGCATCTCCAGTTGCCCCTGCTATTAAGGACTGACCTGCCAGTCTGGAGCTTATTGATTTCAGCAGTTGGGTCTGGCAACGAAGCCCTCCTCGCGTATTCAATTTTTGAGGTTACTGCCTCAGGATCAACGCCACGTCTTTGTTGCGTTTCTGCTGTGACCAAGAATGGCTAAAGACCATAGTATGGTGTCTGATATGTGCCTCCTGTTCACCTCTCCCTCCTCGGTCTTAGATTAGGATGACATGTGGACATTAACCTCCTCAGTGACTCGAATCGACGCTGCTGTTCGGCTCTGTTGAGTGCATTCACAGACACAGATTCGCCCATCGAACCCAGACCAAAAGCGAGCCAACATTCCGTGCCCTGCGCAATCTAGCAAGTTCACTCCCTTGTCAGTTTCCGTGTACCTTTCTCGGAACAAACAATGGGCCAGGGTTGATTTCTCCACCGTACGCAACCTCCCACATTCCAGCTGCTTCAAGGCCGTACTTCAGGTTGGAAGTCGCCGAGTGTCTATGGGGCAGGCATGCCCGGTCAACGAACGAGGTACGCCATCACAATGGAGCAACCCAAGCTCATCACAGCTCCCTCTGGCTCGCCTTCACCACATCCGAGTCGGCAACTTTCTCGTCCAGCTCGACAATCTTGCCATTTGCCGGGGATGACTTGGAACTCTTCCATCCCAAAGCAGCCAGTCTCTCCGCCAGAATGGGATGACTGTAGTGATAGCTCGCATACATCCAGTCAGCGTCCATCGTACTCAAATTCTGCACTTGCAACTTGATCAGACTCCTTGCTAGCTCCTTCTTGTACCCGAGATTGGTGGCGAATGCATCGGCTTCAAATTCGAATTTTCGGGAGAGCACGTTCATCAAGAGCTTCACCACGGCGTCCATGGGAGCCAGGGCGTCCGAGAACAAGATGAAGCCGATAATGATGGGGTGCGAGTTGTGAAAGCCAAAAGAGGAGTACAGGGAGTGGTTGTCTATGAAGATGCTGAAGAGTGCGAAGATATAGAACATGTGAAACTTCAAACTGGTCAGCATAGAGCTTGGGGAGGAATCGTCACTCTTACCTGGGCGATTGCGAACAGTTTTGTGGTATGCGACAGACTCCAATGTCCTAGCTCATGACCCAGTACCGCCACCACTTCCTGGGGTTCGCTCTTTTCGATCAAAGTGTCGTAGATGACAATGTGTTTCTTCCACGGGAGCCCGAAGAAGTACGCATTGCTATGCGCACTGCGTTTGCTGCCATCGATAACGTATAGCGATTTCAGGGGGAATTTGAGCCTTTGTGCCAAAGCCTCCACTCCAGACTTAAGTTCTCCAGGTTCGAGAGGGGAGAGCTTGTTAAACAGAGGCAGGATGAAGATCGGATAAATGGTGATGGCAAAGAGTTGCACAACGATTCCAAAGAGCCAGAGATAGTAGAAGAACCGTGTGCCCGTCACTTGGATGATCTTGAGAAACGCACTCAGCAACGGCGTTCCCAACGCCACCATCAACGCCTGGCTCTTGAGCATATCCGTGATCCACAGCTTGACGGTTTGCTTGTTGAACCCGAATTTCTCTTCCAGAACGAAGGTGCCATAGTAGGAAGGAGGAAGCGCCAGGACCTGGGAAATGAGACTGAAGGTGAAGAAGAAGAGCACCGAGTGGGAAATCTCGCCGGAGAATCGACTGGGAAAGTAACGGGCCAGCCAGAGACCCGTCAGTGACCAGAGCTTAGGTAAGACATCGTATTGAATGAAGAGGACGTTTTGGATCTGGGAGTAGAGGCCGGAGACGAAGCCGAACTTGGCCTTTGCACGACCATACGCCTGGCGACAACAGTCAGTGAGCTGTGCTACATGAGCTGCATCAGCCACGAATGCGCACGTACTTGACTTTGGTCGAAGACATCCTGAGAGATTTCGTCTTCCAGCGTCTTCGGCGGCTTCTTCTTTTGTAGCACTTTATACTGCCTCAAGGAGAGGAGACCTTCGAGCACATACTGACCCAGGGAGAATCCCAGAATCAACTTCTTCCACGGGAAGCCGGGGCGGTCAAGAAACGCCGCAAGACGCTGTAGATAACACAACGGTCAGTGAGGGGAAGAGTATGATATGGGGGAGGGAGTCAGGGGGATTGGAAAGACGAACACGAGGGAAGTCGCCGAGACTTTGCAGGAGAGAAGCCATGGTCCTCCTACGGTTTAGTCCGGGGTAATGAGAGACGAATGCATGAAATGCGATTCGATGTTATATCGAATGCGAGTTGGCATGCAGGCCGCAGGACCATGTGTCTTCAGCGCGGCCGTCGTTGGCTCGGCTGAATCGGGAAAGTGCGGCGAGCGTTCGACGCAAATCACGACGTTCAATGAGGCTGCGTGCAGAAACTACCCTCATACAGAGTGCTCTTTGACTGTAGCAACTCGACCTCCACGGCCCAAACCAACTCCCTATCGCCCTTGCAGACCTCTGGCCGTGGCCATCATGTGCCGACTTTGTGGCCGCGTGGTCAAATGCATCTTTGACAGTATGCCTTCGAGGGTGAAGATTCACCGTGTGCCGAGTCGACGGTAAGCTCAATAGGACCCGGGCATCCTCTCTCTGGCAGAGCACTGACTGGCAGTCTTGAAGAGCGTTTACTACGATCAGGCGGATACCCGTCCGGCCAGCGTCAAGCTTCTCCGGAGCCACTTACACGGCGGGCTCAACATCTCTAATCACCCGTGCATTCAGCAATCTTTCGCTTCGCACCCCAAGTGTGTCGACTCTAAGACCAACTACTACATCGCCGTTACTAGCTCCGTCATCGTTCTCATCACCCCTACAGTCGCAGCTGTCGAGGATGTCATGCCGTTCTTTCTCTACGACACCAACACTGCTCGGTTATCGGAGGAGAATGGATACATACAGTCCCTCAAGACGAGTCCAGAAACGGCGACACGGCTATCTCACGCGGCTAAAATCAAAGGGTGGCCAGGAGGTTCTTAAGCGGCGGAAGCTGAAGAGGAGGAATGATCTGACTTGGTGAAACTCCCAGTTCTGTATGCAGAAGTCGTATAGACGAGCATGTTCTGGGGCGACAAGAACCAGAATGGGAGGCATGCGGAAGGAGAGAGGGAGAGATTCCAATGATGGGTTGTCCTGGACATTAGCAGCTTGCAACGGACGTTTTCTGCTTGATTTGGAGTTTGGTCTGCTGCTCCGCTCATGTACCTGTTGATCAGTATGTATATAAGGCAGCGAAGTGAAAACCATGCTGGGAGAGCTCCACAAGCAACCGCTCAACTCATGGACTATGGAGTATGGGTCCTGGGCGCAAACCCTTATACTACGCCCATATATGGACAGTCTATTCTATGTCAGATTCTATGTTCATGCCTCAGCTCCCCTTTCGGCCGGCGTGCTTCCGCCCTTTAAATGCACGAAACTGCTTGCCTCAAACTTGGGCTCCTCTGCAACCTCGACCAATTTGCTTGCCTCAGTCTGCATTGGCGACAATCCCCACCGGTCAAACATATCCTTGTCCTGCTCCCATCCGTTGCAATCTGTTGTCAACATCTTCTCGCCCGTAAAGATCGCGTTCGCACCAGCCATGAAACACAACATCTGCTCGCTCTCAGGCATGCTGACCCTTCCGGCTGCAATACGAATAATGGTTCTCGGCATAACCAGCCGCGCAGTGGCAATGCAACGGACCATGTCTTCCAACTTGACTGGTTCTTGGCCGAACATGGGCGTTCCTTTGATGGGGACAAGTTTGTTCACAGGGAAAGACTCAGGGTGTTCTGGCAGAGTGGCGAGAGTGTAGATCAAGCCAACATGGTCAGTTGCAGGCGTCTCTCCGAGACCGAGGATGCCACCACTGCAGACGTGGATGCCCGCTTCCCGCACATTCTCAAGTGTTTGTAACCGTTCGTCGTAGGACCGTGTGGTGATGACGTTGGGATAATGTTCTCGCGAGGTGTCCAGGTTATGGTTGTATGCCGTCAAGCCGGCCTCTTTCAATTCCCGAGCTTGTTGCTTGTCAAGCATGCCCAGGGTGACGCAGGCCTCCATACCCAATGCTCGGACACCTTTGACCATTTCCACGATATTCTTCAATCCCCGCGTCCGGCCACGCATGTCGCGCCAGGCTGCACCCATACAGAATCTGTTGGAACCATTCGCCTTGGCAATTTTTGCGGCCTCAATGACGGAATCCACCGTGGAGAGTTTGGTAGCTTGGAGGTTTGTCTTGTAGCGGGATGACTGGGCGCAGTATGAGCAGTCTTCCGTGCATCCACCAGTCTTTATATTCATGAGGGTACATAGTTGGACGGCCGAGGGTTTGTGGAATCGACGGTGGACAGTGCCCTACAAAAGTTCTTAGCATTGCCATTCTTGACAGGCGGTGAGGTCGGTGCATTTACTGCAGCGAAGGCCAGTTCCATCAGAGGAATCTGGTGAATCTGAGAAATTTCTTCTTTGGTCCAGTTGGTACGCGGCCCGGTGGCATTGACAGCTTGCTCGAACACCGACTGCCCTCGAGGCTGTGGTGGGGGAACACTTTGATTGAGGCTGGCAGCGACTCGAGGAACATCGTGCACAATGCTGTAGAAGCGGACGGAGGCAGCTTTCCTCGTAGCTTTGCGAGCCACGCATCGACTCATTGTTGCCAGCTCCATCCTGGGGTGAATGAAGCTGGAAAAGAAGTTGGAGCGTTTCTGTCGGGTTGTTGAGGAGGGTCAATAGCAAACTCGCCCGAAGTAGGAGCGATTGAGAACGGGCTGATTGGTGGTGGGGGAGGGGGCGTCGTCGGTGGAATTGGTTCGGTTCGGGATTCAACAACCCCTAAAGGGCCCGCTTCAGCCCTGCCCGATCCCGTCCTTCGGAGATGAGTGCGAGGTATCGAGTAAACAGCGTCGAAATATTGCCCATCTCCTAGTATTAGTGGCGGGATTGGATCCAGATTGATCTTTCCTTTCCTACTCCAAACGAAAAGGCATCAGCAAGCAACGTATGAATGACGCCAGCTACAAGACCAACGGTCTGGTAGAGACGTAGATAAACTGTAGATAATACAATGAAGAGGGCCCATGTTCTGGAAGGGCTCAAAGAATCGAGCATCCTTTTTCTTTTTGGATCAACTGAGTGATATCTGGTCTACAACCTGATTATGGCCGCACATCTCTCCAAGGCAGTGGCCAAGCGCTTGCCCTTCCTCACGGCAGGTCCTCATCTGAATATCAAGTGATACGAAGCCGACTTGGAGAAGAAGATTGAGTGAATGGAGGGGGCTGCCTTGTTCCTCAACAAAGTCGTACTCGTAGCATACCTCCGTCATTTCACAAATTCAAGGGTAGTCAATTGGGCTTCGGCTGGACTGAGAACAATATTGAGAAAACAGCATCTCCATTGGGAACACATCCAAAAAAGAGTCCAGTTTGTTTTCACGGTCAGGTTGTTTGCTGTGGCAAAGCTGTGAGAACCCTTCAGCTCACCTATTTTTCAGAAGGTGCTGACAGTGGTTTCCAAAGTTGTAATGCTGCTACTCCCGCAGTGCTTCTGTGTCTTCGTGGCTTGCCATAGGGAACGTACTGTAATCCGTCTCATCAACTGCCAGCCGCGGACTCCCTAGGCAGTTTAGCTTTCATTGGTCAACATACCCCTCCTAGGCATGTGGACGCCTGATAGTGTGCTTGAATCGGAGCCTTACTATCTGATTGCGCCCTGAACTGTTCAGGCAAGGACCGTGGTCGGCGAGGCCTTGATCTTGCTGATAGGCTCTTTAGAGCGTTCTTTCTTTGACCAAAGGAGAGGCAGCCGTGCAAGGATCTCTTCTTCGGACTGTCTCCGTGTTCGGCACAAATAGAGGAACAGCTCGTTCGTGCAGCTTGGTGCTTCGCTGAATGTCAATTCGCAGGGTTCACATTAGATACTTCTGTCAAAATCTTCGAAAGTAGATCACACTTGCCGACAGTTGGCGACATCTGAGCTTGCTTGCTTGGCTCGTTCTCCAGGCGGTGCCTGGGCCATGTCTCAAGGACAAGGGATCTGGAGTCGAATGAGATTCGGTACTCGAGGAATAAATTGCTTGAATGCTGTCAAACTTCCCCAAGGCGGCTCGACTTATTGCCGTGCACGTATGTCCTAACTCTGCCCGGAAAGAGTAAGAATACTCCTTTCTCCGAGGCCAACAAACCCAGCCTCGTCACATGTAAGCGCCAGCAGGCCTCATTCTGCCGTGAAAGTCACAAAGGAGTATCCAATCAGGGAGTCCAAGGGTATCGCCCCGTGAGATATCATACTGACGTCGTCGAACCCGTGGAGTTGTATTAGCTTGCAATGTATGCAGCAGCTTGATAACGGCGCTTGCGGAGATGCAAAGGCTGAAAGAGATATTGCCGCTGAAAGAGGTACCAATTTCCTTGGAAATGTCGCGTTGAACATCGTCAGACTGTAATCAGCCTTGATCTGGGGCCGCCTGGTCCGGTCTGACCAACAAGCAGAAAGAGCAAAACGTAAGGATGTCCACGTGTAATGCCGAGCGGGCGGCTAAGAATCCTTACTCCTTGCGCCGAAAGAACTGAATCAACCTCAACTGAAAGTGTCACGGATCATGAATGGATTCGCTCGGCATCCGTGAGCATGTTGGAGCGAAAGGAAAGGTCTAGACCGTCAGAGACCGAGAGCCTAATCAGGCACCCTTCCTGATGGATTTGACTGCGCGATGATGTCGTCTCCGGTATAGACTTTCCGGGGTCAGCCGTTGGAGGTTCGCTGACGTAAAGGCAGCGAGGCGGGTTTTGTATAACCTTCACAACATGGCTTGGAGAGGCATACCAATGACATACCTCGATGGGACTTCAGAATCTCTGCATGATATCCACATGTTGGCATCTGCAAGTCATGGGCTCAGCTCTCCACATCTAGAGCGCTGCGCTCCACGCGAGGGCTGTTCGAGTAGGTGGCAGATATCCATGGCGATTGGTTCAGTTCCAACGCCGCTCCTCCCGAGACCAGGGTAACGAACTCATGGTTCATCGGGCCAGCCGAGTGGGTGTCGGTGACAAGTGTTGAGGAAGTCCACCCGGCCTCGTACCCCAATGGAACGAGTATGATGACATCTTCCTTCAACCGAAACGCACAAATCAAGATTTTTTGATGTTCAGTTCTTGAACTCCATCACAGATCTGGAGCGGCTCCTCCACGAAAAGAGAACCCTTCTCCAGCCAGGCAGCAGGCTGATTGGACGAAAGGATCATGACCATCTGAGACAAGTGCAACTTGCTTCAACGCGCAATAATCAGATTGGAGCCATTGGATCCCAAGAATATTGCGCGCGCTCGAGTACGAAGCCGTCGAGGGGGAACGGGACTGAAGAATTTTGTTTGTCCAGTCAGTGAGTGGACAAGGCATGGCGCCCAATCGAGGTCAAAAACATGATCATCCTTGGGAGATGCCGCGCGCTCAAGGCTCCCAAAGCTGACCAGTCAGCCTTCTTGTGTACATTGCAGCTGGAACGAATCATAAACATGACCGAAAGGGTAGAGCAGCCAGCGAGCGCAGCAACAGTCCCGAGCAACTGGGACGGCCAGGTGGTCAGCGGCTTGCCAGGGTGATAGATAAAAACGACGCTCCGTGCAACAGCTCTGGTTCTCCTTCCATCTTTACTCACTCGGTTGTCGACATCTCCATTCCCCAGCTCGCGGACGGCGTCTCCGAACTGGCTCAGCCTGCAGCACCACCATCGAAAACAAACTTCTCTCACCGGAGTACGGCAAGCCCCCAGACCATCTGGACCTTCAGCTTGATCCTATCAAGGCACAGCCCAGCCAGCTGACCGCAACGCCGACCACTAGAATCACGGACACGAGCGCACACAAGAGAGGAAACGAGATTCAGCATCCAGCTGGGTCGGCTGCAGTCTTGCTTGCAAGTCACAGCTACAGGGACCTTCGTCGAATCAGCATACGTCGTCGAAAAGAGAGGAGGGTACGGCGAGAGCCAATCAACGGCCCCTGACACGCTTCCACTGGCTCCGCCTCCCTTTGTTGTTCCGGAGGCTCCACCGGCACCGGATCCACTTTTTGCCGCCCGGCGGCAACAGGCCCCTTCCCTCGCTGTTTTAACGAGCGCCCATATCCAACTTTCTACCCACTGACGGGCTTCCCATCTCTTTCCCTTCGCTCAGCATTCAACCTGTCTCTATCCAACCATTCCATCTCTTTGCGACGGCCCACCTGGAGTCGGGTCAATCGTAACTTTGTCATCGGGCGCCTCAGTCATCCACTCTCCTTGCAAACACCCCAACCCTCGCACACCCCCCCCGCGCGCCAGTCCCTCTCACCGGATATCCTTCTGTTACGCGCCAACGAGCACCTCCAGTCGAAGCTCCCCTGCTACCATCCCACCGACGACAGAACTACTGCACCTGGCACACAATCCGGTGACAGAGCTGGTCTCATCCTGGTCAAGATTTGTGTACCAGTGCAAAGAGGAGTTGGCGCTGCTGTGCACGCTTGCTACACTCCCAGAAATAGATTGCACTTTTCTCCCTGTGGCCTGCCCTGCCTGTCCCGTCCACCTCTCTCCCTCCCTTTTCTTCCTCACGGCACGATCCTCTCCTCCCTTCGCTGGTGTCCGTCAGGCCCTCGACCATCAGCTGCCTTTTCGTTGCATCTCAACATCAATCAGCAAGGCCCTTCCCAGACCGACCGACTCTCTCGTTGTCGACGTCAAGATGCCCGCAGTGACCAGGCCAGTCCTCCCTCCCCTCCAGACCCCCAAGAACGCCTCGTTCCCCTCCGAGATCGTCGCAACCCCGATATCATGCGTGTCGGCCGTCATCAAGCAAGAGAATGCGAATCTAAGCACTCCTATTACACCTCCAGTGGCCTACACCGAGTTCCTCAAGGCTTTGACTCCTGTCCTGGCTAGTCCTCCCGTGAGCAGCGGACTTCAGAGATCATTGTCGGATGAATCGACATGCACACGACACTCTTTGATCTCCAATGCATCCACGTCCTCTAGTCTATCCTCCGGCAGAAGCGAAAGCCACAAGTCACCGTCCAGTTCCGTCCCACCAACACCGCACGCTCGTCGGACTCCCACTCACTTGAGGCGGCTGCGGATACCACATTCGCCAGCGTTCTCTCCAGCTACCTCGGGACCCTCTCCGCGGACTGCTATGAGTGGGATGAGCACTGGCGGCATCTACTCTCCGTTCTCGCCGGCAGACTGGAACTGCGAGAGTGCAACTCGCCGATATTTCGAAGCGCCCAGGAGCGCGTGCTCGAAGTCTGTCAATGTTCGATCCGTTGTGACGAGGACGGTGACGTATAAGCGTTCGCCGCCCCTCGACCCAGCGCCCAAAGGCAAGAAACGCAAAACCAGCCCAGCGGAGATGCCGCCGCCGGCGGTGTCGAAAGACTTTGCCGGCATCAAAGCGGCTGATTTTCCGTCTACACTGATCGAGCCACCAACACCTGTCACGAGTTCGCCTACTGCGTCGGCCAACCTCAGTCCACCAGTGGTCACTCCTCCTCCGACTGCAGTTATATGAGGGATCATCCACATCGCCACGAGATGAGGGCACTTTTAATGTGATTTTCGCAGATGATGCCCACTCTCTGTTCCACTGTGAAAATGGAACGTCATGGGATTTACGACATAATTTACTATTGGATTTTATTTACAAGTGATACCACACTACATGTTTCTGCGAAGGAGCTCGGCGTCAAGAAACAGCAACCAACGACCCGAATTGAAAACTGAAGCACGCATTTGACATCTTCAAACATTGCATGAAAGGGATATGGCTGGCTATTTTGGATTATTTAACGAGATGTCTTCGATTCGGGAGGGTGGCCATGGGGCAGATACTGTGAAAAGCACTGAAGATTTTGGAGGTGCACCCATTTTTTGACTCCGCAGCCGGATCCTGCGGTCAGAGCAGGGCAAACGGGTTCCCAGATGGTGCAGATTCTGAACGGAATCCGAGCAAGACCATGTCCTTTCCCGCACACTTGGAAAGCAAGACGCAGAACCAACCAATAAATGAAACTATGTTGAAAAAGTTTACAAGACCGACGCCCGTGTTGTCAGCCAGTGCGCGTCCTGTATCACGGCCCTCTGGTCCTGTGGCTGCAGAATAGGCTTCAAGAAAAACGTGGCAGGAGGATCTCCAGCCGCCAGTCAGGACCAGGAGCGCGCAATATGAGTGGACCACGACTGCTGCTCGATCACCGATCCACTTGGGCGGTATGTCAGCGGGAGGTATTCGATTCGTGGAGGGTGGTTGCCCGATTACGCAGGTAGAGGCTCAGAGAGCTCTGTACGAACATACTATGTATAACATCCGTGGATTCCCACGGTCAGCCAGAAAGACCATTTCCATATCCCCATTGGCAGGATAGCCGCGTGCCTCAATCGATAGTTCTGCCAGTCCAGTCGGGGCGCGTGAGCACCGGGCTTTTTAGCTTCTGTACTTCTGTGAGTAGAGTACCCCCCCTGGGCAAGGAATTCAGAGTTCAGAGTGAGCAAGACAATTCGAATCCTCATATGCCGAAGGTCTCGAGGTGCACCGGGTTCTCAGGGGGCAAGCCAACCGTGTAGGAGTGCGATGGTTCAAAGGTTTATGCCGCCTTGGGACTTTGGTTTGACGCAGGGGCTGTTGACAGGAGTACCGTGCCCGCAGATGTCACAGCGGAATGGTACAGTAGTCGAAGCGACGGGGCACCGGGTCGAAGTAGTCGAGATTCTTGCCTCTCTCCTGAAATCTTGAGGAAGGGTGAGAGGGAGAGGGGCGTAAAAGCAGCGAGAAAGGGGCTGACTGATTATTTGCGGCGCTGACATCACCCCCTCTCCGTCCTGGGTGCTTCCCTCCCTCCTTTTTTCCTTCTGTCTCGCCTGAAAGCCCAAAATTGCCAACGCACTGGTCTCGGGATCAACGAGCCTAACGACCACCCATTGCCAGACACCGACGCCCCTTCTAGCGTGCTTCGAGCCGGCGTCGATTGGATGGTGAGACACGGGAGGAGGGCGGACGCCCCGCTGTACCGCAACGCTGGAACTGCGCTAGGAGCAGGAGAATTATTGATTGGCCATAAGGGAGAGCGTGGAGCGATCTCTAGCTGTCTGGGTCCGGCGCCTACTCGAACACCCGTGGCCAGTCGTTTGGAATGAGGGCTGGAGCCTGTTTTGTAGAGTACGCCGGTTGGGGTGCTGGCGTGCCACGATTGGCTGAGCTGAGAGAAGGAACTTGACGTTATTTTTAGTTTTGGTGCCCTTACTACAGGATGCACCGCAACCAATGGATCCTCCTCTGTGTGGGACAGAGCCTCAGTTGGGCTTTGGAGAGAAAGGGGGCCGGGCGCTTAACTCGTTCTTTCCCACTTCCCCCCATTGATGACTCTCTGTAATTGATTATTGTTTTGTGCCCGTTATTGCGCACGCCCCTTCATCTACGGCGTGGGCAAGTACCGGGACAGGGACAGGGACCTGAGGACGCACAAGCTCAACCTGCGCACTCCGTACAGTAGGCAAGTACCGAGATCAAGAACAAGAACGAGCACGAGCTCTCCCCAGCATCTCTAGCAGTAGAAGCAGTAGCAGCAGTAGTAGCAGCTAGTCACAGTGCAACGCCCTGAAATTAATGTCAGCCCTAACAAGAACAAGAAGAAGAAGAAGAGCGAGTAAGGAACTCATGATGATGATCATAGGCTTTCCCCCCTCCAACCGTGCCCCTTCCAATGGTCTCTTTCTCCCTCTCCTCTCCTCTCCTCTCTTGGGTCTGGCTGTGCCAGATGCATCTGCATGTACGAGTGCGAATGAATATGGATGGATGGATGGAAGGGTGTGCCGCATTGGGCGACCACCAATTACGACTCCTGTTTCTGACTTCTACTACTACGACTAAATACTACAACTACTACCACTCACTATTCCTTGTAACTACCCACCTACGCAGCGCTGAGTATGCAGCTCTCGTACCCCCCTCCCCCCGGCGGCCTCCGGCTCGTTTCTTCTTCCTTCTTGTGTTTCCCCTTTCCAGCACCCTGCGAATGCTAAGGGTGAGAGGGGTGTTGTTGGGGGTATTATTTACGGATGTGTTACATGCATGCGCATGCATGTAGTCAAATGGGGCATTTTGGAGGGTGACCAATCTCGACGCAACTTCCACACCCTCACCTATGTTCTGGGCATTAATCTATCTGCGGTCTAGGGTGGCTGTCCTCTCTCGTGCCCAGCTGCCAGATCGGCCGAACTATCGATATTCTGCATGCGAAGCACAATCCCCCTCTCTTCTCCCCCCCTTCCCTCCAACACTCTCCGATGCATATCAAAAGTCGGTTGAAGCGCGCTTACACGACCATGACCACCCGAAAAGGTTGGCCAGCAGGGTTCTCAGCCAGCTTCGCATATCGCAAATACCGCTTCAGGCCTGGCCTCAATGTACGTGTGTGTTTTTAGCTGTGCATTTCGGCGAGCCATGCCCATTAATAGCTCGCAGCCCCCTCTGGGGGTGCCCGAATGACCCGATTCCCCAACCGACGCTCGTGGGTAGTTAGATATGTAGGTAGGGACGTAGCGAGGTAGGTACACCTGGTGACCTGGGAGGCTCGAGTCGACCAGCGCAGCCCGATGCCGAGATCTTCGCGTACTAGAATCCACTATTTTGCATTCCCCGACCTGGCTCCCCGCCGCTGTGATGAACTTGCGGAAAGTGCAACAGAGTGTGACCACCGGGACATAGTATGCATGAGCAACATTTCTTTTCCCGAGCCGCGCCTTGGAAGGTTGTTTTATCCGGTTTTGGCGGTGGTGACGTCGAGGACGGCTGTCGCTCCGGCTTGAGACTGCACAGCCAACACAGGCAGAGAGCGAAGTACATAGCTTGTCGGCAATGGCCACAACACCTTTTCCATAGGCACAGGCACCGCCTTCTGCCGTGATTGGCGCGAAAGAGGCCCTCTTTCCACAGAGGCGGAGGCTGTGATGTACGTCTTCAATGGACTGATTGACGGCCTTATGGACGATATGTCTGTCGAATGTTCTTTATCTGGGACTTGAGAATAGTCCTTCCTCAATATCGTGCGCTGGCCCCTGTGGTGACTGATGGTTGCATTGAGGAAGAACCTCGACAGCCGCTTGAAAGTGAGAAGAGCAAGTTTGGCCTGTGATCTTCTCATCGGTTTGAATCAGTCACAAGTACACTTTACACCCCCTCTAACCAATGCTCCACTCGTTCAAGTCTCTTGAATGACCATTTCCACTGCTGTGTATCACTGAAAAATGCGCAGATCTTTCGGTACAGCCGCTGCATAATAATCTTCGTAGACAAACACTGGTCTTTCGTTTTCCTCTGCCTTAAAATTAAGGAGCCTTGACTTTCACACCTCGAGATACTCCGTGAATGTCAGTAAAGGCCGCTGTCTCTCCCGACAATGGATGTCGTCCTGCTCATAATCGTGGTTGAAGACGTCGAATACATTGTATCCGCACTCCTCCAGAGTTTCCTCCCACTCTAACCTGAAGCCAGACTTTATTGCAACGTCTGAGACGCTCTCTCCGCGATCATTGACCGCACAGACATTTGCGCCAGCAGTAACAAAGAGCACGAGAATGTCTTTCAACTCTCCATGGTGTGTACTGGTGACAAGGTTCTCGTCCATCAAGCGATGGTGATCGCGTCTAGCCCTTTTCAGAACCCTATGGAGGTAGGTTTCTGAATGTTCGTCGCGGAAGCACGGATCAGCCCCTCTTGAAATCAAGAACGCGATTTTGGAGGGTATTTCGAAGGCATACATCTCGTCGAGGCGTGTTACCAAAATTTCCAAGAGGTGGCGCGATGAGTTCATTACCGATTTGAAGGTCTTAAAAGACTCAGCGTTGTCGAAGACTGCCCGAAACATTTGGTAACTCGGAGTCAGCGTTCACTCTGAGCTCTGTGCCATGCGTAAGAATTTCGCTTGACCCACCAGTGAGCACAATGCAAAGGATTTTTTCGTATTACCAACAAAGGAGGCATCGAACTCGGCCCCGGCTTGCGCCATAACCTTTATAGCCTCATATAAGCCATGATTCCAGTTCGAAGAGTAGTGAGCTGCGGGAAAACAGGCCTGCATAGCTACAGTCACACTATCGACATGTCGTTCTCAAAGCGAATTTCGGAGAGAACACAGGGACAAAAGGAGCCAGGTGAACAAAAAGCTTTCCGATTCGCGAAGAGTTTTGTCATGGCATTTACAGAGCCGTGAGTTGCGACGTCGAATACTTCGCAGTCATTTTCTCTGATTGCTTTGAAAGACAAGCTCGTCCGTTTCAAAATGCTTCCTCCGAGGCAACGCAGCTGCTCGCACTGAAATGTGACGCGAGTCTTCTGCGCAAGATTTGCTCCTGGTAGAAGCGACACCTTGGCCAGAAGCTGGCTTTCAGAGGCATTCCCAGAGCGGTCACGATCAACCGGATTGGATTCAGGCATTTTGAGAAGTAGATCAATACGCCCTAGTGATGTGGTCACCGTCGCAAATTTTGTGCTGACTGACTCCGATTTCGAGGGACATTGTCCTCAAAGCCGTGTGGGAAATTTCCACTTGGTCCTACGCCACATTAGTGACTCGGCTGACCACCTGGATATTTGAGGGTCACGGGCATATGGTGGACTAACCATGAGGATTCGCAAGCACCAGGCTCTGGGTCAGCTGAAAACCACTTCGTACCCGTTCAAAGTCATCTTGGTCCAATCCCGGTGAAAGCAACCACGAAGAGGAGAGGGTCGTTTCTATCAATGTTTTCATGGAATCCAGGATCCGAACTAAATCTTTGATGGTCGACTTCAGCAAGGTTGACGACACTTGAGTCATGGATCTCTCGCTCAGTTGGAGTAGACGCAGGAAGCTGGCTGCAAACGAGTCGTTTATCCCCAGTAGTGAGCACGTGGCTTGTTGCATTGAAGTTTTGAGTCTGGTATTCTCGTTTCTCGAGACCCTCCTATTAAGAGCGTCCACGTTCACTTGGAGCTCCTTCATACCTGCACAAAGCTCGATCAATATATCTTGTTCCTGTTGTGATAGGCGCGATGTTTGAGCTATGTTTCCCCGCAGATCATCGAGTGTCGAGCGAATACCTGAAAATGCTGAAAGTGTGACTTGCCGATGCTGCTCGGCGTCGAGAACATGCTGCGATAGAACCTGCTGAATGCCACGGATATTTCAGCCTTCTTCTTCTTGGGTCAGTGTCATTCGATCCGCAGTTGTGCTTTGAAGACGGAGGTCCATGTGCATTGATGGCAGTAATGTTGTGGACGACTGGACGTCGTTTAGCTGCGAAGAAACTCAACCAAACTGTAGCATTGCGGCATCTTCTAGTAGTGCAATACGTCCATTCGAGTTCAGGCGACTTTCGTTCCTACCGCATGGATTAGAGCCTGTCATTTAACTCGTTCGGCTTGCAGTCATACATCCCAATTCTGGTCAGGAGGGCGGAGAAATGTTGGTTATACTGCAAGACTTGATTCCACAAGACGTCAATGTCACGGTCATGGTTTCGTCTCTCCAGGGCTTTTCTCAGTTTCGATCGGAAACCTTTTTCTGCAGGACGTCGGAGTTGCTCCAACTATTGCTGGATTTTAAATAGATCCTGTGTGCATTTCTCAACCAATGCGTTGCGATCTTCAAATAGTCTCCTATCAAGGTCGCCATGTTCCTTGAGGCGTGCCTCGTCGCGACTCTTCACAAAAGTAGTGAGACGTTCGAGTTCCGATACAGCAGACGCCAAGTTTGACAGGGCTGGTGGGCATTCGCCATAGTTCCGTCTCAGTTCTCTGATGACCTTGGAGACCTCAATTGCCGTAGACAAGAGAGTCAGCAGGGATGCAGCGAATCCTACAGGCTTCCATATTGACTTTGATCGCTGAAAGAAAACACGTATGGCTGCAATATGAGAGAGAGAGAAAGAGAAAAGAGGGGCAAAGAAGAAAGAACATTGGATCAAGCTGACACGACAAATTGCACTTGACCTATCTCAGCCTCCGTGTCTTTTTACCGTTAAGGAGCGCGGGCAGCCCAAGGGTATGCCGTGTGCCACGCCCATTTGCACAGCCTTGCACTTTGCTCCGTGGAACTTTCCCATTGGTGGTTGAAGCGAATCACGATCAGAAACTCCTTACCATGCAGGCACTCCAAGGCATAGGCAAGGCTCACCGCATCCAGTCCAGATACAAGCCGTAGTCACCACCTATCTCAAAGGAACGTCGCAGGGGAGTACCGACTCGCCGAGTAGTACAGTAGGAGGGAGTCCGCGCGGATCTCGGACAAACACACCTTCCGGCTTGGCATCCTTATCGTTATCGCCCGCCCCGGTTTGTCGAGAACAGCAAATGCAACATCATCCTGCAGCAGATTCGATCGTCGAGCATTTCCTGTGCCACCTGTGCGCTCGATTCCTAAGCCCGCCGCCGCTGCTCTCCGTTTGACAATCTCAGCATAAAATTGGGGCCAATCCGCACTGTGAAAGCGCGACTATTCAGATTTTCTACCTTTGGAACCGCTGCGACAACTCAGCTCCAAACACATCCATCCTCACGCACGTTCCGCCGCGAAGTGCCTCCAGGAGTGGTGGCTGGCTGTCCCAATTTACGAACTGTATCCCAATCTCAAGTCCTCCTTCGCCCTCATCTACCGTGCGAGTGGTCCGAGTCTGCGACCGTCAGTTCAATCGAGATGCCTTCAGTCTCGTTTGCGACTTTCCTCATCATCTGCCGTAAGAATGACCTGCTGTCCGGGTGCAGATCCCCTCTGAGTGTGCTGACAATGTTCGTGGTGTAGCTGTCTCCTTCTTCCTGGGCATCCTCTTCTCTCTCTTCCCTTACGACTACCCGCTTCTGTGGTCCTCGCTACCCACACCACCCTCTCACTTTGACGCCATCGAAGCACACCTCAAACTACTCCACAATGCGCCGAATCTCATTGTGCGCATCCTACACATGATGCTCGGTGTGGGCATCTTGGGTCTTGTGATTAAACTCTATAAGCCCAGCGAGTCGAACCTGCTCTTCGACGGTGGCAGTTTGGTGCTGTACATGGTCGCCGTGGTCGTGTATATCGCCAACATCGTCAAGGGATTGAGGATCGTGAATGACGGCACCTACGGAATGGGCATGGAGAAATTGACGCAGGATGAGCTCGACGAGGTGAATTCGCGTGGTTACGATGTCAACACGGGAGACAGCGTGCTCGGGCGCGAGGACAACCTGAAGGTCTTGGCTGCCAGCAATACCATTTTGGCGCTGGTGCTTGTCGGCGTGCTGGTGTTACAGGTCGGCCAATGGTACGCGGACAGGGCGGATGAAAATGCTCTGAGAGAGTTTGAGGCCAAGGAGAAGGCGGAGCGCGAGAAGAAAGAGAACGAAGCTTCCTCCCCCACGGTAAAACGACAGAGTAGTGGGAGGGAGGGGAAGAAGACCAGGTGAAAAGGAGTGAGTGTGTTGGTATGAGCTGCCTGGACTCTGTATGTGCGTGAGTATGGGGAACGATGTTCCGCCTGTCCATGGGCGCTGTGACATTCTTGTAAACTTTTGCTGCGACTGCCTGGATATTTCTGTGAGTCAGTCAAAGTGCTTTCGGGGGGAATGTGAGCTCAAAAAGCGATGGTCAGTCAGTCACAATGTCAATAAATTGTCATTCCCATTGGTTCCGCGTCGTATCCCGCCATTACGAGAGGTTGGAGGAGGAGGAGGGAACCTCCTGTTGCATTTCTAGATGTGCATGCGCTCCTACAACATATACAGATGGCCTTGTTTGAACAACCGGTTCGTGGCGAGGGGGGGACAACGAGGGATGAGAATCCTCGAATCCTCGAGAGCAAACGCCCCTAGCCTCGTCCGTTCTTCGATCTCCTTCCAGGCCCGTATCTGCCAGCAAGACCTAGCTAGGGTTTCCCCTTGTTGGACCTTGTCGTTTGTCTCAAACTGATTTTACCGTCTCTACTGGTTCTTCTGCTTCTTCTTCTTCTTTTGTTCCCTCTCCCGTTGTCTCTCCCTCTTTTCGTCCTTCCGCCGCATCTTCTTCAATTTCCTCCGCTCGTCTTTATCTTTACTCACTACCTGAGCGCCGTTCATCGTCGATCTCTGGGCCGTGGCGGGGACGGGGACGGTGTCGGTGTCGGTGTTGGCCGCTTTCTTTTTCTTCGTCTTCTGCTCTCCCCCTGCTCCGTCTGCATCTTGGTCACCGCCTCGTTGCTTGCGTTTTCTTATTGTTGTTGTCTGGCGCTGGGCCTCGGATGCGTCGGAATCGTCGTCGAGTTCGTCTGTAGCTTCTCGTTCCTCCCATTCCCGTTCGTCGTCGTCTTCGTCGTCGCCCTCGAAATCAAGGGCGTCTTCGCCCCCGGCCGCGTCGTCGTCGTTCAACTCGGTCTGGGCCAGCGCATAGGTCTCGGCGTCTTGCCAATCGTCGTCCCCGCGAGCTTGACCCGGCGTCTCGGCTTCGACGTCAGCGCCTACTTGCGGGTCCTCGACGCCTTCCGCATTGACCGAGTAGACGATCTTGCGTTTCTGTTTCTTGACCGTGTTGGTTTGCTCATCTTCGTTCAGGGCGCGTTTCTGGCTGCCCTGCTTCCGCGGCATCTGTCCCTCGTCTGAGCCTTCAAGCTCTCCATTCGAGGTATTCTCGCCCTCTCCGTTCACTCTCTCTCCTAGCCCAAGGCTTCCACCGATACGTTTGCCCTCTATCCCGCTCAAAATCCTCTTCAAATGAGTGAGCGTCAAATTGGGCGTCGATCCGCTGGACAGAGCCTGCGGTCCGCGCTCCGTCAGTGTGCTGTCCGGTCTGTATGCGGCGTCATTTTCTGCTCGGTCAAGGAAGGCGGAGAGAAAGGTGTGCGCTTGGAAATGGGTGAGGCGGGTGGTGGAATGGTGCACGGAGGTAGGTAGAGGCACCAGGCCTGCTGAGGAGGCCATGGTTGTGACCGAACGTATTAGATGCTATTGTGTCCCAGGCAGGCGATGAGCTTCGCAGAGCTGAAAGCTAGAGCTGAATATAAGGCTTCAGATGGATATCCAACTCATGCCCGAGGCAAGGGACTGGGGAATAGAATAATTGGTGTTGTACAAGGAGAATTCGGCCAGAACGAGTTCAGGTTCGAAGAGAAAATGGGAGAAAAGATTCTCAGATAAGATTAGATTAGATTAGACTAGATTGGGGCGGCTCCACTTGTATACTCCGGACTTCCTCATCCGCTTCTCCAAATCTGGCTGTCTGTCTCCGTGGACCGAGGCTGTTTTCTTCATTGAACAAGTAGACTTTCTATGATTCAGTAATCGTGCTTCTTCGAGACAAGTTTCTAACGGATACCATGGAATAAAAGGCCTTTGCTTGTCCCAGTCCCGTCGCCAAACCTCCATTCGCTGTCAACGGTTTATTCTCTACACCTTCGTCCGCTGTGTCTATCCAGGCCGCACGAAGTTGGGTTTGTCTGAAAGATGCCTCTCGCGACAATCCACCTGCTCTCGCTCTCTCCTTCAACCACGCTCCCTGATTTCCTCGAGGCGGTCAAATCCTCGTCTCTCAAACCCCTGGTCATCTCGAAGGTGATCCGCTGGATCATCACGCCCACCAAGATCGACGCAGAGCCCCTCCTCCACCCGAAAAAGCCGTGGGATGTCCTCCTCATCGTGCTGGGCACTGACCCCCTCCCCCCGTCGGTGCGGGAGAAGATCGTCGGTCACTGGTCCTGCGCGACGGGGATTCCCAGCCGCTTGACGAACGACTTCGCCACCAGGAACGACAGACTCCTGCACCCGCCGGCGTCGGAGGTGCCCGCTCTGACCGGCTCGTTGAACAAGCCACTCCTGGGCGAGTCGTCGCAGACCCTCGAACTCAGCACGGACCTGCAGTCCTGGATCCGGCAGTTCTCGGGCACCACCGCAGGCCAGTCGCCCCTGTCGATGCTCAACCTGCTGGCGTTCAAGCCGGACATGAAGCCGTCGTACCTCAAGTACGGCGCCGCGTTCGCCGAGTCCATCGGCGCCCGCCGCGGCGGCATCGCCAAGCTGGTCGGCAACATCACGCAGCAGACGCCGCCGGAGCAGTCGGGCGGCAAGTGGGACGAGTTCGCTCTGGCGAGCTATCCCTCGATCATGCACTTCGCCGACATGCTGGCCTCGCAGGACTATCAGGCCGTCAACTTGAAGTACCGCGTCCCGGCGTTGGAGGACACGTTCATCCTGTGCACGAGCGAGATCGAGATTGAGGGTGTTGCCCGGGGCCAGGGGAAGCTGGGGATTGGGAAGAGAGCCATGGGTGGGAAGTTGTGAAATTGTAAGATCGGAAGAGCCACGAATGATGGTTTGAAGATCAGGCCCCAACGAGAATGGAGGTGTGTCTTCTGGGGTGAGTTCTGTGAGACCAAACCAGGGCATCCGCGATGAGACATACATATATCATATCGACTTGAGAGACGAAAAATCTGGAGAACGTAACCGAAGGAAGGGCTCTCTGCATAGCTCGAATCTTATAATTTTGATATCAGATTCTTCGACGTTCATCGTTCGTCGGTCGTGCCACTGTTTCTTCTAATTTTGCATGCGCTTGAATCTGCTCAACACCTCAGCGACCATCCAAGCTTCCTGACACCGCCGTCAAAGGTCAATAAGCTTTTGAAGCACCCACGGGGTTCAGATTTCCCGCCAGTTTGCCCTGTGCAGCATTTAATGCTAGAGCTGTTGCTATGTCCGCACACATAGATTGAAAGGTTCGTCTCGCCAGTCAACGGCCCGTTTTGGTTGGGGTATTCTTGGAACACCTCACCGGTGGAGTCCCCTGTTTCCTGTATTGCGACATTCCCGCACTGTTGTACCGTCTGCCATCTGAAGCTTCTGCTCAGTGAGAAACAACAGTTGTCTCAGTGACATATTCGAGTAAAGTAATGTGCTCGACTGAACCCCGTGCCGGTGGTAATTGGGATCAACATCAGGCGTTGGAAGGGCTGCGGAGCACCGTGATCTTCCCGTCTGATTTCATGCCTTGGACTCGTCGCCCTGAATGCGGATGAGCGGTTGATGCAAGCTCATGCCACTATTTCTCCGAGGAAGCCCTAGTTCAATCTTGTCCTTGGAGTCAAGTAACTATGCAGAGCTCAAACCGTTGTTGAAGTTCGGATATCCGTGCCTTCTCTGCTTGAAGTCGAGACATGTGTATTGCAGTACAAAGACTGCGGCTCTCTCATCTCCTCTCCTCCATCGTTCAAACATTGGCCACAACACCCTTCGCCACCAGCTGGTCCAGCACTCCTGGTTTCAGTCTCATCTGTCTCTCTATCTCTTGGGGAGACTTGCCCAACTCATCTCTCAGTGTCAATGCCTCTTTGATATCTTTTACGCTCAACAACGTCCTGCCTCCAAAGTTCGGTCGGCCTTGGGTTTCGAGGTCGGACTCCCATTGAGCCGCTGTTCTTTTTCTGGCCTGCACGAGCATCATGGCCGGATTGTTCGCGTCAGAGGGGAAGATGTTCTGGCCGGAATGCATAGGCTGGCTCGAGGTTGGGAAGGTGTCTTCGTCGGGTTTCCGCTCCGTCACAGGTCTGGCTGCCCCGACCCGGCGCAACGCAGAGCCAAATTGTGGATCTCGGGCATCAAGCTCGACGTGTTCCGACTTTTCACCTGCGGGAGGAGCAACAGCTGGACTGGGACGGACTTCAGCTGCGGGCGTGGGTTTGACTGCTGCATCGGAGGCTGAGGATGAGGGTGAGGGTGCGGAGTTGACAATGGACGACGTCGAGGGGTATTGACGGCGAGCGGCAGCTCCTCCAGCGCGGCCAGCGACCTTGGAAGCTGAGGAGCCCATCTGTACCGACGAAGACTCAGGGAATCAATTGCAAGAATTATGTATCTGCGTTAACAATGACTTTACCTTCTTGAAATGGACGTCTCGACGAGTCTCCACTGCAATTATTATTTAATTAATATTAATATGTATCGCAATGCTGAATGCGTCATAGCCCAGTCGACATTCGACCAACCAATTGAAACTCACATCACGAGCATCTTTTTCCATCTCGCGGTCAATGCGGGCGAGACACCAAGTCACAAGTCTGGATGCGTTTTCCTCTTTGGCTGAATTTCTCTTCTCTGTCTCTCTCAGCCATAGACGGTGACATAACACTGCATCTCTTGTCCTTAGACTGAGCCAACAGGACCTCCAAGACTCTGTTGCTTTCTCTTCCTTATAAACACTGCCCCCCCCCCCCCCACCGCCTCTTCAGTCATGGAACGCAAACACAAGCCCACCTCTATCCCCGTCTCTCCCCAAATGGCCCAGCCCATTGTCGACCTCTCGGACAATGTGCTCACGGCGCGGCTACCCAGCGGCGACTCCGTGACCGTCTACCTCTACGGGGCGACCGTGACGTCCTGGAAGACGTCCAACGGCGCCGAACAACTCTTCCTCTCTTCGGCCGCTGCCCTGGACGGTTCAAAGCCCATCCGCGGCGGCATCCCACTCGTCTTCCCCGTTTTTGGGCCTCCTCCGAAATCCCACGCCACGGGCCAGCTGCCTCAACATGGGTTTGCGAGGAACAGCTACTGGGAGTTTCTGGGCAAGAGCAGCAGCGAGTCTCTGGGACGTAAGGCGGACGACAGTGTCAAGTTGGACTTTGGGTTGAGTTCGTCCATGCTCGACGAGAGTGTGCGAAAGAAGTGGCCGTACGAGTTTGGCCTGGTCTACAGCGTGACCCTGGGCAAGGGCAAGCTGGAGTGCCAGATGCACGTGCAGAACAAGGGCGACCAGTCATTTGAGTTCCAGTGCTTGTTCCACACGTACCTGGCCGTCAAGGCAAGTGATCGCGGCAAGGTCGAGAGCACATTCATTTAGACTAACTGTCGCACACAGGATATCCACAAAACTGCCGTCCGAGGCCTCCAGTCCTCGCCGTACGTCGACAAAGTCCGGTCCGCGCAGACCTTCACGGAAGAGTCCTCCTCACTCTCCTTCACCGGCGAGACCGACCGCGTCTACACGCCTCCCACGGATCCCAAGGCCAACAACACGCTTGTGCCGTTGATCGTGACAGAGAACGGCCAGGACAGCTTCGTGGTCACTCGGGACGCGCTGCCGGACGTGACGGTGTGGAACGGGTGGGAAGACAAGATCAAGGGCATGGGCGACTTCGAGCCCAAGGACGGGTGGACGAGGTACCTCTGCATCGAGCCGGGCACCGTGAGCTCGTGGACGAAGCTCGAGGCGGGTGACGCGTGGGAGGGCGCCTGCTCGTATGAGAGCAAGCTCTGAGGGAGTGGGTACTCTTACGGGAGGTGGAGAGAGAGACAGAGAGAGAGAGCGGGCGAGCGGGGGGGTTGTTGAAATGATCAAATGAGCAAACCAGCTCCGGAGAAGAAAACATGGCATGGCATGGCATGACGTGAAGATTAAAAAAAAAGGGACGCAATACGACGACGAAGCATAGCAAGCACCCCAGGGTCATGAGCATGAGCATGAGCATGAGTATGCTCGCACTTAGTAGCAGCAGCAGCAGAAGAAGAATCAGCCTCTCCTCCTCCTCCTCCTCCTCCTCCTCCTCCTTATGCAGGTATGCAGGTATGCAGGTATGCAGGTATGCAGGTATGCAGGTATGCAGGTATGCAGGTATGCAGGTATGCAGGTATGCAGGTATGCAGGTATGCAGGTATGTAGGTAGGTACGGAGGGAGGTCGGTAGGGGGAGGTAGCTAGTGGTGTGGTGCGGTGCGGTGTGGTGTGGCGCAGAATAGAATTTTCTTTCTTTCCCCGTTGAAGGAAAGGCACGCAAACGTACATACGTATTCGGCCGTTGTCATTGTCATTGTCGTTGTCATTGTTGTGGTCGTGGTAGCGGTCGTGGATAACTTCACTCACTTACTCACCCAGTAAGTCAGTAAGTAAACAAGTAAATGCGTAAATGGAATGGGTCTGCTCTGCTCTGCTCCGCCCTCGTCGTGACGTGACGTGAGGAGACGAGCCCATAGCGGGCTCCTGGAGCTACAGGTACGTGACGTTAGGTAGGTAGGCCATGAGCCGTGATGAGATATGAGATATGAGATATGAGATATACCCTGCGAGAGAGACATGGGATACACGCTACGAGAGAGACATGGGATATACGCTACGAGACACGAGAGATATAAGATATGCCCCATGAGAAATGAGATTTGTAGGTATGTATGTATGTACTGAGGGAGCAGAGAAGGTCTGTCGGTTGAAAATCATGGCCACAATGCGCTATGTATTTACCGTAGATACATACATAGATCCCTCTGTATTCCTGTTCCCCTTGGGGGGAAGGGGGGTTCCATTCCCTTCCCACTCATTCACCATCGGCTTTCTCCCTCCCTCCACTCATTCCCAATCCATGCCGAACAAGGAAGTCATTTATTTCGCGTCTTTTCATAGGGGTTGCTGTTTGTGGGCATTGGGATGGACATGGAGTATGAATATGCATATGGGGCAGATTATCTGGAAAGGACTCGAACAGGGAGGCCGGTTTTCGTTCCGTGTGCGATGTCGATGTTCATGCCCCCGAGGTTGGAGGCTCGCAACGAGCACGAGAAAACATGTCCCGTCCACCCAGGCGTCGGAAAGCGTGTCCTGTCCCCTTTGATCATTCACGTTGGTTCAGATATGTCGTCTCATCTGACCTTCCAAGTCATCCGTATCCATTCTTGTCTCGGTCCGGCGCTTCTGAAAGTTTTCCATTTTTATTCGCGATCGTTATGCTGTCCGGGCACTGAGGCTGCCGTCGTCGAAGCCAGATCATCTGACCCCGGTCCCTTGGCTCGGGCATCGCGGACTTTCTGCAAGTACGCCTGGTGTTCACGGTCTGTTCCGGGTGGATGGATGGATGTTAGCAAATTCCCTGTACCGAGTGCAGTTTCTGGAGGAGGGGGGAGAGTTCAGGCTGTACAACGGACAGGGACAGGGCAGGGAGGGACAGGACAAGTCTTAGATCTTGAAGCTAAAGCCTTCAAGCACACACACGGCCTCAATAGATAGAGCAGATGGACGAAAGGACGCATAGATCAATGAATACTTACACCTCTCCCACAAGAAGTAACTGCTCACAATGGCAAAGGGCAGCGCCACGACAAAGGTCGTGTAGCGCGTCGACGCCTTGCGGTACCGGGGGTCCTTCTTGAGCTGTTCGAGCGGCAGATCGGACAGTTTTGGTGCGCCTCCGGGGGGCCCTTCGGACGGGACGGTGGGTGGCCGCGGGGGCATCGAGGGTCTGGATCCCGCCGAAGAGGATGACCGGGCAGCCAGGGCAATCGTGGTCGACATGGGCAGCGCTTTGGTCGACGAGAACGGACGCACTTGGTGCTGGGGTCCTTGGGCGGAGCCGAGGGGAGAGGACAGCAGCGACGAGGGCGGCACATGGGCTTGCTGTGCGCTGAGAGCTGATGCGAGTGTCTGTGTCGAGAATGGATGGGCCGGTTCGCTGGTCAAGGCCGGCGGGTTGTGGCTTGGGGTGTCCGATGCTGTCCGTGGTGCCGGTGCCGTGCTCACTGCTCCTCTGACCGGAGGAGGCATTGTTGAGGACGGCTCATACGCCGGCGGCACGGGAATGGCGTCTATTGCCAAAGGGATCTGTGATGTTTGTGTTGGTGGTGTTTGCAGCTGTGTCTCGGATTCAGCGTGCGGCAGGGATAGCTGCTGCGACAACACAGCTTCTTCTTTCTGCCTGATGAGCTGGAGGATATCCCACTGCAGCTGGTCCGACTGCTTTGAGAATGCTTTGGCGTGGCCCAGAATGGTGGAGATGGAGAGTCGAGGATCGTCAATATCAGCTGCTGCCGGCGTTGTCGTTGTCGTTGTCGTTGTTCGTGGCTGGGAGATTTTCTGAGCCGAGCGAGAGACCTCCGTGTTCTTCGCTACAGATTTTGCTGCCTTTGTCTTCCTCTCCGTCTTTACAAGGGCAGATACGTCGTGCTCGTGCTGGGTGGCGAGGGACGTTGTTGTTGTTGTTGTTGTTGGTGCTGTTGTTGTTGTGGGACGAGGAGACTTGCGAGACTTTGTCGCGTCTGGAGTCTTGCTGGCGACGGCTACTGCTGATGCTGATGATGCTGCTGGTGCTGGTGCTGCTGCTTTCCTCTTGACCACTCCGGATGCTTTGGGCTTCTTCTCTCCATCATCCACCACCACCACCGCCTCCTCCAATTCCTCAACAATAATCTGTTTGGCAGCTTTGCCCGACCTGGTCGTTGACGCCACAGACACCCCCGAAGCTGATGACGCTGGCCTGCCTCGTGACTTCGGGGCCGCAACAAGGTCGCCATCTGTCTCGACGTGTTGTTGATTCTTGGGCGGGCGACCCCGTTTCTTCGTCGTCACCACCACCTCGGCCATTCCTTGCTGTGCTGTGCTGTGCTCTGCTCTGCTCTGCTCTGCTTTGTTCCTATCCCTGGTATCACACCAGCCACAGGAATCTTCCAGAAGAGGAGCGCATACGTCCTGATGACAAGGACTCGGTACTGTCCAGGATATTAACACGCCCAGGACGCGCTCCCCAAGACGCGCTATGAGTGGGGGCGCGCCCGCGAGGTTGCCTCAGGGGTTACTACCCTAGGCCGCCAATAACTCCAAGACCAAACGTCGGGCGTGGCAGAATACTGGGTACTCGGTACACATATCTGTATGTAATGGAAGAAACGTCTCTCGCTCAGTGTCGGGGCTCAGTCACCCTCCATCTGCATATGGTGCTATCTCAGTGTGTGCATGTCTCGGAGACAATGTCTGATGGACTAAAAACCAAAGGTTGATTGATTGATTGATATAGTCTAATAGCCCAGTGGGCTTTTTCCAATACCTGTAAACTCCTCAATAGGTGATTATCTGCCTATGAATGCTTTCATGTCCCTGTCGAACAAAGAACCCGAGAGAAAGAAAAAGAAAGGGAATGATATGCTTGTGTACATGATCTGTTCGAAATCAGCAGCCATCAGCACTTGATGCCGTCCATCGCTATGCTCCCATGTCAGTGATACCCAGCAACCTGCTCAATGTACGTGGCGACTGTCGAGCCCAATGCATTCCGCCCGCGTTCAAGGCTGTCCGTGCCCGTGTCCATGTCCGTGTCCGTTCAGTTTGTGACCCTCTTGCTCCTTTCGGTGCCGTCGCTTCTGTTTCTCACCATCCTCGCGCTCCTGGTGTTCTTCAAACTCCTTCGTCGATTTCCCAGTGTTCGCATGCCCCTCTGTCGCCCTCTTGGCTTCGGCCGCGGCCCCTCCCGGCCCCTTCATGTTGATGATGGTTCCTGGTCCAGGAGACTCCCCTCGCAATCCCCTCGGATCCACTCTGAACCGCGAACTTTTGGGCCGGAGTGATGACGAAGTTCGATATATTCCACAAGGCTTCGCTGGCGTGCTTTCCTCAACACTGCCTGGGGTGGGGGGCGTAGGGTTGGAGGTGACACGTTCTTGGGCTGCGTCGCCCTCTCCATTGACGACAGCGGGTGGCGTGAGACCGGCCTTGAGCCAATTGCGGCCACTGGCAACTCTTCGTGCCTGATGCGATGCTTGAGGCGGCAAGAGCACTCCAAACCCAGTGGATCGAAGGCGACTGTGTGGTTCTGAGTGTCCATTCGCGCGGGCAATTCCATTCTGTGGCCGACTCGCAATCTGACGATATAGTGTTGGCTGGCGTGCTTGTTGTTCTCGGTCTTCAGCCTCCCTGACCATCGCCTGAATTTCGTCAAATGTCATATTAAAACTCCACGATAACCTGCGCGCCGTTGCCATCTGGCGGATTTCGGTCAGAGCCGTGTGGTCATCGCGAAGGCGCTCCTCATATGTCGGTATCGTGGCTATGGACGGGGTTCTGGAGTACAGTGTGTTGTTGCGACTCGGTTCGTCACAGAATGGTCCATGGGTCTCTGCATGCCGGTGGGAATCCTCCGTCCTCATGCCATTTGTTGCTGGGGTGCCGTTGAGTGGTATCTGGTCCGCGCTCTGACTCGGAGATCCGGTGTACAGCTGTGAGAGCTGTTGCGAATCAGATGCACGGAGGATCGTGTTGACCGGCACAGACAACAGCTCAGCGTCGGGCGTTCTCTCCGTGGTCAAATCAATGGAATCGTAGTTTGTGCCTTCAGAGACAGGGTTCGGCATCAATGCTCGTTCGAGCTCCACTGGATCTGTGCCGCCAGGCTTGGGCTGCTCGAATTGGGCACACTGGCACCACACCTGCGTGTACATACGCCAGTCATACACGCTGCCTGGAATAGTCTCTTCATTCTCGTCTTCCGCATTGGGCATCTCCCGGGCAATTCGTGCAAAGGCAAGTAGTCGGGACGACGTTGAGAGGCACAACAGATTGCATGAACCGGGTATGTCAACAGGAGCAGCATGAGGCTGTGTCGTGCTTCCTTTGGTATTGACAGCGCTGGGGTGGGATCTCCGTTTCGATTTCCCTTTGGACCCAGGAGACTTGTTCTCCTGCCGTGGCTTTGGCGGCCCAAACACTTCGGCCAGTCGCTTGGACTTCAAGACAATCACCTTGGATTTCTTGGGGGATGGAACTGCGGGTGACGGAGGCTTCTCCGCCTCAGCAGCAGCATCATCCGCTTCACTGTTATTCGCGGAGATAGAGTACCGGAGCTTTGATGGGATTCGAGCAGCCGAGTAGGAGAGTCTCGCGGATTTGCGGGGAGGAGCAGCGTCTGGGACATCCTCGGTGGCGGGACGCTTCTGAGCGGTTCCAGAATCGGATAATAGCTTTGCAGTGGGTTTCCGTTCTCTCCGAGAGGTTCTTCGAGAAGGCGTCTCAGGAACATCGTGTGGTGCCTCTTCTCCTCCCACTTGAGGCGGAGGAGAAGACGGGGGTTTGGCTGGTTTGGGATCTGCTGTCGGTGGATTTGACGGTACCTCGAGAGTCGGGTACGCTGCCTCAGGTGCGTCCTTGGGCAGAGTAGATGTCGTTGAAGGTGCCTTGAGGGGAGATAGGTCAAAATTTGGTGGCGTGTGCTCAATTATAATAGTATCCAACAACGGCGGCGGCGAGGCGTACCGTCTGGAACCCAGAGCTTGAGCTTTGGCCGTCGGTTTGCGAACGCGACTAGACGCTCGTCGGTCACGAAGATCGATCACTTTGGGTTGAAAGCGACGACCGGTCGAAGACGGGCTGTGCTTGTTGCTGGTGGTGGCTTTGGGCTTCATGGTGGCTGATGACACGGGGTTGGTGTTGGTGGCCAGGGTGTCAGCGTGATCACCCGGGTCGCTCACCGACGTGGCACCGCCAGCAGACGTGCTGGTGTCAAGGCTTGACTGGGTGGGACTGGGAGTGGCCGAGTCAGTGAGAGAAGCAGAAGTAGACGCTCTGGAGCGAGTTTGACGCTGGGTGGTGGTGAGTCGAAGGGAAGGAAGCGTCGGAAGCTGGGCGAGTTTGCTCAGGACCATGGCCGTTTGACCACCCGAGGCCACGGCGGGGGCAGGCAGAGGCGACGAAGCAGACGTGGCTGCTTGTCGACGAGAACGAGATGGGGGATGGGCGCTGAAGGAGCCCGAAGCAGGGCAACGTTGGTGTCGAGGGAGAAGGTGAAGGTCCTCGTCGCGAAGGACAGGGACGAGAAGGACGAGAAGGTGGCTCAAATCTTGGTGTGGGTTCCTTCCCAAACAGGCTTAGTGTCGAATGTTGTCGTGTCCGGGCCACGCCTGTTGGTGTTGGGGCTGCAAGCGCCTGGCCTCGTCGTGAGGCAGAAAGAAGAAGAAGAAGAAGAGATAGAGGGAGAGAGCAAGGAGTATCGTATCGTATCGTATCGTGGGAGCTGACAAGGAGAAAAGGGCAACCGATCGTCTCGCCGGCATCACAGACAGAATCTCCGAAATCCCAGGCCCAACCCACTGATTTCCAAGCCGACGTTGCTATGGATTCATTCACCTGGTCAAGAAGACACATCGATATTACAATCAATGTGCTACTATTCTTTATTGACGGTCTGGTCCTTCTCATCACCCGCTTCGACGGGCCGTGTTGCTATTGTGTGCACGGCCTCACCAGTGAATCCTCACTCCCTATTCAATGGCACACGCCTTCATCAATAGGAGCTGCCACACCCTGACCACTGGTGTATTCATCTATGTAGTTGACTATTATCCCATCTATGTAACTCACAAGCTCAACACCACCGGTCCCTTCTGCCCCTTCAGCTCCCCTCTCACATCCTCCAGTCTCCTCCTCTGCGTGCCGTCTTCCTTGAAATTCCCCTCGTCCAACCAGTCCTCAAACCCCTGCTTCACCCCTCCCTCCTGGAACCAGTCGTCGTCGACCATGGCAAACCAGCACGTGTCCCTCGACCGTCCCTTGTAGACCATGTGCTTTCGGAAGATGCCCTCAAACGTGAACCCAAACCGGATCGCCGCTCTCTTCGACGGGCCGTTGAGATTGTCGCACTTCCACTCGTAGCGGCGGTAATGCAGCGTCTCAAACACGTACCGGGCGACCAGGTACATGGTCTCGGTGGCGGCCTGGGTCCGCTGCAGCCGCGGAGAGAAGAGGATGTTGCCGACCTCCACGACGCGGTGGCGGGCGTCGATGCGCATCAGGCTCAGCCAGCCGATGGGTTTGGCGGTTTTCTTCTCTACGACGGCGAAGAACATCGGGTCCTCCGACTGAGACTTGGCCGTCACCGCTTCTTCGAACTCTGGGGAGTCATAGGGGTTGTCGAAGAGGTAGGTCCACAGCCGAAGGTTGTTGTCGCCTTTCACAATGTCGTAGAGGTCGTGGGCGTGAGAGTGTTTCAATGGCTCAACCACCACTGTGGTACCGGTCAAAGTGACACGGGATGGCGGGAGACCGGGAGCACAAGAAGGGACTGGAGGGCCGATCTCCTGGTGCATGTCTGCTGCTTTGTATCATCGCCGTAAGCACCTGCACGAGAGGACCATCGATAGAATGGGCGCTAATACCTGCTGACCTGGTCGCATTGGGACTGGCCGAATTCATTCTCCTGACCTGCAGACTGCAAACTGAGGCGTCGAAAGCAGATTTCTGGTTGTACTTCCTCTGGGAGGCTTTTTTCGACGTATGCGGCAGTACGGCGTTGTTCTGCACGACTTTGAGGCTCACTAGGCTGTGTGAGCTCGCCCCCGGTGACGCCTGGACTGCCTAATCCGCCTCTAAGAATTGAAAGGAAAGAGCACTGTCGGTTTCAATTGCGGCGGACACAGGTGGAACACGCCTCCTGCTACAGGTCTCAGTAGAGGTGGAACGCAGCGTTTGCCCTCCCTAGTTAGACAGTTCGGTAGGGAGGAAACAGAGCCTACCGGCTTTTGGTGGAACTTTAGATTAGGCGATTATGTGCCTTCGAGGGCCGATCCGTCGTTACGGCGTCAGCCAAGGCGAGTGGTTTCATCGTCATGCCCATACTATCACAGCATCTAGGACTCAAGTCTGGCATGGCTGGGAATTGGAATTGAATCGAGGTCTGTTTGCTGAACACACACCCTACAGATTATTGTCGATGGTATGTATATCTAACGACGTCTGCCTGTGATGCCCTACTCAATCTTCGAACAACTACTGACATCTACGTGGACTTCAGATTGAAGATCTGTTCAACTGTCGAAGCGGGTTGAAGCACGATTGATCGTCGCTAAGACCGAGCGAAGGTCAAGCAATATCACTCTTTACCTTGAGTACCTTAAGAGCACGGCTTGTGCATCAAGAGGGCCACAGAGCTTGGAGCGCTCATCGAAGTCTGCCAAAATCAGTAAAACACAACTGCACACATGACATCTTCAAGCATGTCACCGGCGGGCACCCCATTTTAATCTGTGCTGTTGATAACGGTGCGTAGCTCACCGGTACATATATATCAAGCACTTGGATTGAGCATCAACCATGTAGGTGTATGCGTTGCTGTTGTTGACGGTGCGTAGCTCACCGCAGACCCAGCGGACCCGATGAGGACGGCTGGAACTGACTAACGTGGACTATCTGACAAGATCTGCTGTTTTTGTGGCGGTGGAAAAGCTCACCGTAGGTTCCAACGTACCAATATGTAGGCACGCACGTCGTTTGCTGAAAGGAGTAGAGTGTGAGTTGACGGGTTTACTTCTGATAACAGCGTTGAGGTGCCACCAGTTGATATACCCGACCTCAGGGATTCCAACAAAGGAGGGAGTGCTGTTGTTAACGGGGCTGAAGCATCCCCGATGGGGTCACATGTGTTGCGGCGTTGGACGAAAAGAGGTGTGCGGGTGTTTCCCAGACTCTGCTCGGTGTCTTGCTGTTGAAGCATCTTGTCGCTCCTTGATGCTCTTGCAGTTGTGGCTTTTCGGTTGAACAGGTCGCACGACGAATCTGCGCAGGTCGAATTTTATCGTTGTCGCATCAGGACGACAGACACCGAACAATCGAGGGCCAGGCCCTGTACCTTAAAGCGTAGGTTCTTCTTTCTTGAGACCAGTAATTGTCTCCTTGTGTTCTTTCGACAGCTTTGTCTTCACAACAAACAAGCTCGCAAGAACACCGAAAGCGCCCAGAACCGTGAACATGATGAACATGTTTCTGATGCTCCAAGCGAACGCTTCCTTGACTGCAAGTTCTTGGGCGGGCGGAAGGGTGTGTGCCACCATGACGTTGGCGCCTGCGTTTTTGCCCGACAGTTGTTCCAAGACCGACGGCGGCAAGCCGATTTGTTGTAATGATGAGCGCCGAAGATCCATGCTCTGCTGAAACACGATGCCGCCTATAATGACGCCCAACGACAGTGCCAGGCTTCTAATGAAGGCTTGTGTCGACGTCGCAGTGCCAACATCGTCCTGGTGAACACCTTGTTGAATTGCGATGAGGGGAGGCTCAAATAGCAATCCCGAACCAACACCTTCGACGATCTCAAATCCGATGATGGTGCCCGTCGAGGTGTGCGCATTCATTAAGACGAAGAGTCCGGTTCCCAGGGTCATCAGGATAGTTCCAACCCACATGGACGGTCGGTACTGGCCTGTACGATGTATAATCACGCCATTGATGACTCCGGTGCCTGCCGTGGCGACGATAAGCGGAACGAGAAGCACCCCTGATCGAAGAGGTGAAGCTTCTTGGACACTTTGGAAATATAAGGGCAAGTAATATTCGGCGGCAATAAAGACCTGTGTCGAGTTTCAGCACAAGTTTTGATACGTGGGCCATTGCAAGCTCCTTACCATTCCATGACAGAAAGTCACCAGCATAGTTGCAATGTTCCTCGTTCCGAAAAGGGACAGCGGGATCACAGGGTACTTCGCCAGCTTTTTTTCGCTGTAGATGAAGACAAGGACCATCAGGGCGCCGAATACAATGAGGCAGATGACTTTGGCTGAGCCCCAAGGGTACACAGATCCACCTAGGTCAAGTCCCAAGAGCAGCATCACCGTTACACCAACAATTGAGACGCAGCCGAACCAATCAATGGCTTTGACACCATCTAGGACTGGTGTTCGAGGGTTGTGGACGTTGAGAAATGGCAACAGCAGAAGGAAAGCTGTACCAGCGATGGGTAAGTTGCAGTAAAAGCACCATCGCCAGCTGGCCTTTTGGGCAAAGGCACCTCCCAAGAGAGGACCCACGGCTCCGCTGAGAGCCCAGATTCCTTCACACAGGCCGAGCCACAAGCTCCTCTCGCGGACACTGAAGAGATCGGAGATACCGACATTGACCATGCAGATGAGACCACCTCCGGCGGCACCCTGGATGCTGCGGCCCACAATAAGCATCTGCATGTCGACGGCGGCTGCACATACGACAGAACTGGCGAAGAAGACCACCACAGCGACGAGGAAGATGGGCTTGCGACCCCAGATGTCGGAGAATTTGACCCAGATGGGAGCAGCTGCAGCATTGGCTATGAGATAGGCACCGCCAATCCAGATGTACCCGGCTGCCGAATGAAGCTCGGCGGTGATTTTGGGAACGGCAGTAGCGACAATGGTGGCGTCAAGGGCAGCCACGAACAGTGACAGGTAGAGAGCAATCAGAATCATGGTGAGGCGAAATTTACTGCGAGGCTGCACCTGCTCAGTCGGCTCGGCCAGTTCAGAGAGAGGTTCGATAGGTACATCGTCGATTGACAGATTTTGCATTCGCTGGGCTGGACCGATGATGTCGACCTCTTGGACTTCCTTTGTGTCCATGAGGGGCGTCTGTTCCCAAGCGGGATCGTCTGCCTACTTGCTTGCCAGATATATACCACGACAAGAGAAAGAATTGGGTCAGAATTGGTACAAGTTGTGAGGGCTAATGGAGGGCGGCGAGAAGTTGGAAAAACTAAGTAGGGGGTGTCGGGGTTCCCAAGAGCCTAGCAGAACGGGAGCATAGAGGGAGTGGGTTTCGGCCTCTATAAGTATATGTATACCCGGGGCAACCCTACTAGAGTCGATCTAGCTAAGTCGATCAAAGGGCGGTGGGAATCCAAGTCTTAGGACTACTGAACATCAGGGTGAGGTCTGTAGGAGCGGAACCATCATCCTTGTGAGTTGAGCCGAAGTCCGCACCCAATGTTGGAGTACGAGTTAACTTCTCGTAATCTGAAAACCTTTGTGGTGCCTTTGTGCGTTTGGAGGCAAATAACAATCCGTCATGGATCGACGGGTGTGGAGACGGACTGTTGCCGCTGCCTGGCTCATCCTTCGAGATGCGGCTGGTGGCGGGAATGGTCACCCATTATGGATATATAAGCTATACATGTACTGGGTGAAACGAATCGCCATATCCATCAACGGCAGGATCAGGCGTCAGAGAGCCCAGCTTCCATCATTCGATCTGGGAGCTCCGTCATATGAGAATAGGTAGATTGATTCTACAAATTCTGCGTAGCATGGATAGAGTTTCTTGACGGCTCCGGAGAAAACAAAACACAATCACAAGAGGATAGACATAGCCCTAGGGGTTGGTAAGGGGCATACTGAGACAACACTCAAGGCCTTGAAATATGAGCGTCTCCGTGAGGTTGTGCAAGTGTTATGATTGAACAGAGAGTACTTGGGGAGGCACTCTCATCAAACCCTCATCGTTTTATCGCTGCAGCCTTGAATCTGCTGACTCTCCGCCCGTTCTCATCTTCCAAAGGGGTTATCTCACCGTCTTCACTGTTGCCTAGAAACCCACCATCTTGAGAGTGTATGCGTTTCATCCTGTGTTGTTGGTATTCCATTGCGATCTCCCGCCGGTGGTCCTCCACAGAAAAGTCATTCGGGGCAGGAGCTTTTGGTACTTTGGGAGACGGGCGCTCTACCAGTTGCGCAGAGACTATTGTGGACGAAGGGTGAGGGGAGGAGTCTTCGTCTGTGATACTGTCCGTAGGAAATGTCATTGGAGAAGCGATCTTGGGCGTCTGTGGTAGCGATCCCCGGGCGGCCTTGAACCTCGACTGTTTGGCGGCCTTCGGAGCTGGAGGTGCCGGGGCAGCAAGCTCTTGTTCGTCTTCAGTCACTCGCTCGATGACCGAATCTTTGATAGGGCGCAATTTTGGTTTTTGGGTGTTGTTTAGGGGTGGTTGGCCAGGCATAAGAGTTTCGCTTGCAGCAGGCTTCTCAGGAGCAATATCCAGGTCTGTGGAGAATGCCACCTTCTTCTTGTGACGCTTCTCTTTGATGGAGTTGTCGACTTCAGCAGACTTGCTCAAGGCAGGCTTCAAATTGCCCTTCTTAGATCTATCGTGTCTTGCAATAGCTGCCTTCCGGGCAGCTTCAGCTGCTGGTGGCCGTTCCGCATGCTGGACTTGCTCAATTGTTGCTTCAATTTCTGGTTGAGGGCCAATGTTCTTCAGCCCCAGCTTCTCCTGCAGCTCCTCCATTTTCTTCTGATAGCCACGTGGCAAAGACAGAGGATGTTTGCTCTTGCCGGACTCATCTTCCGACTCGTCTTCCTCGAGATCTTCGTCCAGATCCATCTCGGAGTCAAAGGTCAAGTCGTCTTCATTTTCGTCGTAAGACAGGTCTGAAGCATTTTCTTCCAGCTCAAGTTCGGCTACAATCGCCCCGACTTCGTCCAAGCCCCGCGAGTATTCGAGCATTTCTCGGCGTAACTGAGCCTCAGCCTCCGTGTCGGTCGGATTTGTCGGGAAGATGTCTGTTGGAGGTTTCGCCTCGTGAGCTGTACCAGTCATTGGTCTGTTGTTGGGATAACTCTTCTCCTCGCCGTCTTCCTCATGGTACGACGCGGGCACCTCCACATCTATTGGTGGAGGCTTGGCTTTTGTGATGGTACCGTTCGTCTCCTGCAGATCTTGCACGCCTGCCCTCTTCAATACGTCTATTAGCTGCGGAGCATCCGCTCCTGGCGTCTCTACTTTGCTGGATATGACCCGTCCAGAATCATCGAGCTCCTCAGTAATTTCGGCTAGAGGAAGGCCAGCCTCATCTCGATGATCAGGCTCCTCTGCAAGAAGCAGAGCATTTCGTTTCTTTTCTGCGTCAGAGAGCTGCTTCCGTATTGTCTCAATATTCCGGATGACATAGTCTATACGCTTTGATAACAAATCCACAAGCTGAGGCGGTTGGCGAGGTCGGGAGTTTCTATCCCTTAGCAGTTCCTGCAGCTCTTTTTCGTCGATCACCTCTGGCTTAAAATCTCTTGCTGCTTCAAGGCATTCATCGGCAGAGGCATTCTCAGAGACGCCCAGGAATTCTTCTTTAAGTCCCTCGTAGTCGATCTCAAGAGTCTGCCAGTGTCGCAGTGATTTGCGGAGTTTCGCAATGTTATTCTCGAGCTCGACCCGCTGCAATTCAACGCGGGCGAGTGCAGAGTCATCCATCGCCCTCGCCGGTCAACATAAACCGAAGATTGAGAAGAGAAGGTAAAGTGAAAGGAAAGGTGTGAGTTTTTGGGAGAAAAATATTGGAGAGAAAGAAGCCTCGCCGCCTGGTACTTGGGAAGCGCCACCCGAGGAGACCGATTTGTCATTACAAATCGTTGCCCGGTGCCGTGGTCATTTCACTTCTTGCTCCCACTTGATGCCCGTGATCTCTCCTCACTTCCATGATCATTACTCTCGAGCCGGCAGCTTTGTATCTTTCGAGATGACACATCTTGCAGCGTTGACAGATATCGGGGATTTTGAACGTCGAACAGGTTGAAGGTGACCGCCTTCGATGAAGGGAAAGCATCATGGACGACGATGAATTGACCCGTAGGACTTCCGCATAGACGAGACAGGGAAACATGCTGACATATATCACTCAGCTCCAAACAAGTGCCCTGTCTGCGGCAGTGATCCTCGGACACATCCAGGACTTCGCTTCAAGATCAATACGAAATGCTATCATCGAATCTGCGAAGGTTGCGTGGACCGGAACTTCTCCAGCGGCAAAGCCGAATGTCCGGTTGGAGGGTGCCATGTCAGTCTCTGGAAACGAGAGTGGCGGACCCAAACATTTGAAGATTTGAAGATCGAACGCGAGGTGGAGATTCGGAAAAAGGTGAATAAAATGTAGGTCATTGTCATCCCTCTTCGTACATTTCGACCTGACATCAATCAGCCTTGATCGACGGGAGGAAGAATTTGAGTCGAAACGTGATTACGACGACTTTCTGGAGCTCCGAGAAGAAATTATAATGAACCTGGTCCTGCGAACGGATGTGGCAGCAACAAATCGCAAACTGAAGGAGTATGCCATCGCAAACGGTCTCAAAGTGGATGCAAACGAAACGACCGAAGCGGGGTCCAAACCCTTGAAGAAGAAGGACGTTGATCCAACTATCGCAGATCCAAGTGGTCTGATCAAGGGTCTGAAGAAAAGAGTCATTCCAGTGGCTGTGGCTCCATACGACCCCTTTATGGGAATGTCACGCAATAGAGATTATTACGAAGTCAAAGAGAGCTACATTGCTCGTGCGAGGGGGAAGCCTGCGGAGGCCATGCTGGCGGCAGGTTACGACTTTGGGCAATACATGGATGAGTGTCTTCTCCGGGCATTCGCGGGACTGGGGGTTTTCATTCAGGATGAGATGGCGGCGAAGGACAACACAGCCGTTCCTGTGCCAGGCACCACAGAGGTCAAGAGCACAGACGACGTGTTTTGAACAGCCAGGAAGAAGGGGTTTCGATAGACGCAGCAATCTCGGGGAAGAATCTCAGCCCATCATCTACATATAATACTTTGGAGGTATAGGACATTTGCTCGAATGAACTCGACAGTCCCTTTGAATGCTTCTGTCCTCTGAGTTGTGGCATATGACAGTCAACGCTGGTGACGCCGCGGTCACTCTGCCAAGACGCTAGTCCCAAAGCGTCGATTTCGCGAAAACTGTTGCCCTCCGTGGTGGAAATCTTGGCATTGGCGGTTGTGTAGCAGAAGCCACCATCTGGCACTGTGGCTTTCAGCAATCGCAATATCTGTAGTCCTGGTTGACCTGGGACAGTCTGTGTCGGCATTAGTGTTTCCTCGTCTGTTCTACTTCTCCTGTGCCTCTTTGTTTCCTCCAATTCAGACCTCTGCCAAACACCGCCACCAATGCCCGCACCCACAAACACCCTTCTGATCGAAGGGACGTTCACCGAACTTGCAGAAGAACTCGCCCAGTACATCGATACACTCGCCAAATCAGAAGAAGGCGCCGGAGTCCGAGCAGAGATTGAACCACTCCTCAGCACCCTCAGAGAGTCCGAGCAGTCGCAAGAGTCAGTCGATGAGGCCGCAGTCCAGAACCAGAAAAATGAAGTGTTGAAAAAGATCGTGACCAAAGCATCAGTGCTCAACAGCGCCCCTGAGAGAGGTACGACAGCCTACAGAAGTCACGGTGTGTGCTGAGGTGAAATACTGACATCGGTTGCGCAGAATTCTCAGCAGCATACAATCTCCTCATCAGCCTTTCTTCCCAATCCTCCATCGCCGACGGCCTGTTTTCCAGAATATGCACGTATCTGTCCGAGCAACCCGTTACCTCCTCCCCCACCTACGGTAGCAGCCTCGCCCTGCAATCCCTCACGACGATATTCAACGTTCTGACTCCTACGAGTGAATCCCGCTACCATGTCTTTCTTGCCATCCTCAAAGTCATGCGCCAGATGTCGTCCACTCAGGCTTTCGAGGCGCTCATCCCTCAACTCGAGACGAACATCCCTAATTGGCTGTCCGCCTGGGAACTCGACGACGAAGACGCTCGCAATCTCTACGTCGGGGTTGCCGATGTGGCCTCCGCCATCGGAAACGAAGACCTCCATTACACATATCTCCTGTCTGCCCTGCAGACAATTCCTCCTGAATCGGCGTCCGAAACGGAGAGTGCAGAACTCGCACGACGTGCGGTGCGCGTGGCTCTGACAAACCCCTCAATTACGGACTTTACGCCCTTGACCACAAGCGACGCTGTTGTTGCTTTGCGGCGCTCCGATGGCAACCTCTTTGACCTTTTAGAGATCTTCTCCTCGGATGACTATTCGTCATACGCTGACTTCCTTGAAACGAACAATCTGGCAGACTTGGGCGTCCCCGACTCTGCAGCTGAGACGCTGAGCCACAAGATCCGCCTCCTGACACTGGCTACGATTGCTGCATCCTCAACCACCCGCTCTGTCCCTTACAGTACCATTGCATCGGCTCTCCAGATCCCTTCTGAAGACGTGGAGATGTGGGTCATCGACACCATCCGGGCTGGTCTTGTCGAGGGCAAACTCTCACAACTGAAGCAGGAGTTCTTGGTCCAGAGAGCCACCTACCGCGTGTTCGGGGAGAAGCAGTGGGCCGAGATCCAGGGGCGCCTGATGGTTTGGCGACGAAGTCTGGAGAGTGTGTTGAATGTCGTCCGGGCCGAAAGGGAGAAGTTCTTGAGAGAAGGGCCGACGACCAACGGAGACACGGGCGTCAACGGCTACGGAGATGGAGAGGGTCAGAGAACTGGAGGGGAACGTCAGCAGCAGAGAAGACAGGGCGGCGGTGGGGGTGGCCGCGGACCGCGTCGCGACAGGGGCGATCAGCAGCAGCAACAGCAAGGGCCTCGAGAGATTGAGGTGGGAGGGGGAGATTAGGAGTCTTCTCGCCGCCCAGGGCGATCGGTGGTGAGAGTCGATGCCTTCTTGGATGCTCTGTTGCAGCGTCTCGAGGCCAACAGAGCGACTTGAGTGAGAGAGAAGAGTCTCGAGAGAGGGAGAGAGTGTGCGTGTGTGGAAATGAACGGAACACGCATCGAACCAAAACCTGCCTCAGAGTGAGGGAGGCTTTGACATGGACCTTACCCAAGAAACTTGATGTACTTGATATGCGCAACGCATAAAATAGCTTTGAATTAGAAACACTGCTCTGACTTGATCGAGCATTCCTTAAATCTGCTATCATCATTGCTCTCCGCAAATAATATCTCATGTTGCTAACAGGGTCGACGCTGGGTCCGTCCTCAGTCTGCAGATTCTCCTCTACAAGAACCCCCCAGCCTGAGAGACGGGGCTTGTCGCACAGTCATTTCCATTGCCATCCCAGCGTAATGTATGACATCGTAACAGACAGAACATAAGCTGAGCACCACGAACCCCCCAGTAGTGACACGCGGCTTCGATGGCCGTCCCTGATTGAATCCACTACAAAATTTCAAGTACCAAATTGATAGAAGACGAATCTCTTTATACAAAATATGCAATGAGAGGGAGAGCTCCATTGATTCATGTCTGCATGCTCTGTGGCGCCTGTCGGGGGCTGCCCTGTTGCCCAGGTCCATTGCCATTAACATTGCTCTGGCTCGAGCTCCGCTGGTCTCTCGGGGTAGCGCTGCGACTCATCTGCCCCTGGTTTCCGTGTTGGCTCACTGGCCGGGCCATATTCATTACCGGCGAGTTTGCCATCCCATTTGGCAGGCCGGCCATCTGCTGCATCTGCATCGCTTGCAAATTTCGGGCCGCGTGTTGCTGAGCTTGCTGCTGCATTCTGATGCGCTGGTTATACTGTTGTAATTGCTCGTTGGTCATCATGTTTGGATGACCCATTTGTGCGGCAGCCGCAGCCGCAGCAGCGGCGGCGGACGCATTGTTCCCAGCATTCACAGCGCCGAGAGCAGCATTCAACGCCGCCTGATTGTGAGCCTGAGGTCGTTTCTGATTCTGCCCTGCAGCTGCTGCCGTCGCTTGGTGTTGATATGTTTGGAGCTGCTGCGACGCAAGCCTTTGTACCTCCTCATCGGTCAAGTTGGGGTGATGCTCTCGGACTTTATTAGCGATCTGGGTCAGAATAGGAACATGTCCACTGGACAAAGCCTGGCCGGAATTAGCGGTATTGGGGCGGGGTGAGCTTCCATTCATATGGCCAGAAGGCGATGCGTTCCCATTCGCGGTAGCAGCGGCCATTGCAGCCCTGTAAGCAGCGTTACTCATGCCTTGGCCATTTGCCAGTGCAGCATTAGGGTTGTTCGGAGAAGAATGAGGACCATTCTGAGCTTGAGCATTTCGCAGAAGCTGTTCTTGTTGGGCTCTGGTTGCTTCCTGGAGCATTCGCATCTGCTGTGGCGACGTTATCCCACCTCGGGCGGCGAGTTGTGCTTGCATCTGTGCCTGCATCTGTGGCGTTATTTTGGGAGCCATCATACCCGGAGGTAGCTGCATATTCCCTTGCATCGCGGCCATCATAGTCGGATGACGAGGATGACCATTGGGTATTTGGATGTTACCATTTGGCAATGCTGGCATGCCGGCGGAGGACGGAGCACGCATAACGGGTCCAACAGCAGGCATGCCGTTTGGCAATATATTGGGTTGACCATTTGGAACACGTTGTTGCTGCGCCGTGGCACGTTGGTGTGCGATAAGTTGCTGCCGATATATCTCCTGACGTTCTGCGAGTTTCTGATCTCGTTCAAATTTGAGCTGCGAGAACTCTGCTGGGGTCTTTAAGGGGGGTTTGGGGATGTTTGTGTCGTTGACTTTGCGCAAGGCGGCGAGATCGGCTTGATGTTGTTGTTTCTGAAGAGCCGTCTCTCGCTTTTTGGCCAGCTTCCGCATGACATCAAGCATAGCCAGATGTCGTTGGGTCCTTTTCCGTTCGACTCTAACGGGCTGTGTTGTCCTCTTGCGTGTCGAGATCTGAATATTGGCACCGGCTCTTCTTTGAGCCTCCTCAATCTGAGCAGCCACGTGTCTTCCTGCTGCCTCGATTCTGCCAGAATACGTCTTGAAGTAGGCGGTCTTTGACATATCCGCAGGTAGGCCCTCCAACCCGATCCACCTTTCAAAGCATTCCCAAGGCGTCCGTCTATCAGCACCCGACACATACAAGCTTGGGGGAGTAAGGCAGCTGGAGATAAGGGACCAATTGTAGGAATAATCCTTGACAAGCTTTTTGAGTTCGTCGTCTTCTGCAGGTGTCCACTGCGACGACGACCGCGTCTCGAAGAAGGCTTGTGTAGGCATTGGATGCTCGGACGGGGGGCGGAAAGAATGGCCAGGGTGGATCCTGTCTCGAATGGCTTTATTCTCAGGCATGAACAGTGCAACCGTGGTGTCTTCCGGTGGAAGCGGCTCTGACTTCTTCTTCGGCGAAGGCTCAGGCTCGTAGTCGTATCGGCTGCGTTTCATTGGAGGCTTGTACTCTTTCACGAATAGCTTCTCGGTAGCCCACCTTGAAACAGGCACGATGTCTGTCTTCCACTTCGCATCGAGCCGTTCTCCCAAGCTAGAAGTGGAACTATCTAGCTCCACGACGGAAGGCTCGTAGAGTGGTAACTCGTTCAACAGCTTGTCCAGGGCAGGTGTTTTGTCAACGGCAAAATTGAATTCAGAAGCGCCCAGTGAGAATATTGCAGCCGGAGCATTGGACATTTGCACTTCTCGAGGGTCTGCGATATCATCACTCGCGGAATCGTCTTCATTAGAAGGCACCAATTCGGGAGTGGGGTGTGACGAAAGAGTTGGTCCAGGACCATTTTCCATGGCCACATCTTGAGAATTGGCTGGGTCGGGTAGAAGTCTTGGTGATTGAACGCGCACCTGTAGACGTCTTCTTTCTTCAGCAGAGCTTGCGACCCACTCTGCACAGCATTCTGCAAGTCCTCTTGCAGCTGCCAGTTTCCATTTTCGCTCTTCTCTGAAGTCGGTACGCATCCACTTCATATGATCAAGCAAGAAGTCCCAATGGGTGGTGGGTCTCGGTGCTTCGTCAGCACGTCTGTATTGCCTCAGAGGCCAGCGTTGCCTCTCCTGCAGTTGGTAGAGCCGTTTCAGTATCCTGCACTCCGCCGATAGTTCATACTCTATGAGATGATCCGAAGTGGATAGCGTCTTGTGGGCATTTTGAATGAGGTAAGATATTGTGCTTTGCCGTGACATGGAATGTGCCTTGTTCTCAAACAAAGTGTAGAGGTAGTCTCTCTCACCAGGCCCTGTGCGCTGGGCGTTGCCATCACCAATGCGTGTCAACTCGAGACTCTCCTCGTCAACCGTAGATTTCTGCGGCTTGGCAAAGACCACTGTAGACAACCTACTGCGTTCCTTGTCGCGGCGGTCGCGGTCCGTCGCTCGGCCCTGAGGAGTCGCGCCACCAAAGGCATCGCGGATGGATGCTGATGATGGAGAGTCAGCCGGTGGGGTTGAGGTCTTTGGCGTCTCTCCAAGGATTTCAGAGACCGATTTCTTCTGCAACACACCAGAGGAGATCCTGGTTGCGCGTTTCGGCGGCTCTTGAGATGATGGCGTCGTGGGCACATTCTTTTTTGGAGTCGTACCTGTTATCGGAGCTGGACTCTCAACAAATCCACCCCCCGGCCGTGCTTTGAAATATGAGTCAGTCTCTGCTTGTGTGTCTATCCGCATCGTGGGTCGCTGGATTTGTGATGGATTGGGTGGCTCGATAGCGAGCGTGCTATGACTGTCAGAAGCTGAAGCCGTGTATCTCACGTTGACCGTCCCGGTCATCTCGACATCATCAGAGGCAGCATGACCCTTACTGGCGCTTGGCTGGACGGTCGCTCCTGGTGAGGGGAGCGATTGCACCAAAGCAGCAGTGGCAGCATCTGAAGGCTTTCCCTCGAGGGCGATATCGGTTGTATTAAGCGGAATATCGACACCGGGGCTCGTTCCTGGAGAGCCGGCAGTTGGCGCTGGGGTGTGGGATGAGTCCGGCCCATTTGTAGAGGCTGGCGAGGACTGCGGTTCGGCCGCTGCTAAGTCTGGAACTGGAAGAGGGGGACTTCGGCTTGGTTGGCGGTCGGTGGTGACAGATGGACGTAACTCCGTAGTATCATCTGACAGAACGGGAATGTCTTTTGACGCGCCGGCAGGTCCAGGCTCAGCACCTGTTGATTGCCCAACTGATGGTCCATTTGCAGACTGGGGTACTGGAGAGCTCAGTTCAATGTCGGCGTTGGAAAGACCAGAGAACGTGGTGGCCTTGCCGTTGAGCGCGTCAACCACCGTTGTAGTCGTTCCCTGACGACCCTCCTCGCTCCCCGCGCCAGTTACAACTGCGCCGCCTTCATTGCCCTTGTTTTCATCAACTAACGTCTGCGCAGGCGCCGTTTGTCCTGGATGTTTCTGTTTCGGCGCAGGTTTGACACCCGGAGACGAGGGCGAAGTGACATTTGGTACGTCTAACGTTTGCTGGACAGCGACAGGGGGCGACTGAGTTGCTGTACGAGCTTGGGCGGAATCATGTTTTCGAGGTGGAAGAGTTATATGGATAATGGGTGGGAGTGTGGTTTCGTCAAAGCGACGCCCTCTGCGGAAGAATGAGCACAACTAAACCAAGCAGGCCTCATAATCCATGAAATTTGCAATCATGGTAGATAGAAGGCAGCGACAGGGGGTCCGTACTTTTCTAGGTCATTCGCATCATGAAAGGCCTGTAGTTTCTGCTTGTAGGTCGGGTCTTCGACCGAGACAACGATAGAGAAGAGTTCGCTTAATTTGCGCTTTCTTGACAGCACCAGGCTCCTATAATTCATGATATTTCGTCAGTATATTGCGTAAGGGATGATGAGGGTGTTTGAGGGCTGTAGAGAGTATTACTTACTGTGCTTGAGACCTCTTCGAGCGCAAGTGCTCGACGGGCATCTCATCGGCATCGGCGAGGTCGATGAGAAGGACGAGAAACCATCCGAATCAATTGCTGAAAATTCTCCAGAATGCAGAAACAGATGTGCGGAGATGGCCAAAGAGCCCAGAATGAATTATTTGGGCGGGTTATGATGATTTGAGCCTCTTGAAGTTGGTCGACTGGTAGAGGATGTGGCCTCTGGATTTGGTGTTCTGTGCAGAGTTGGAGGCACAGGGCGTAGCAATTTGTTAGGCTTCCTCAGGCGGGGGGGAGTGCACGGAGGGAGGAGAAAGCAGCCTATTCCACCTCCTAGGATTGATTCTCTTTCAGGCAGGGGGGGTTCGGCGAGAGGGGGAGACCACCCATCACCACCCATTTCCACCACCGCCAATTTTCTCTTAGATTTTGGGGGCCACTAGGCGCAGCTGTTTGCTAACACCACGCTAGTAAAATTTCCCCTTCCCTTTCACATTGTTGGTCTTTGTTATCGCACAGCAGATTTACAGACCCGAGTATAATGCGATATTGGAGTCTAGATCTTATTGTCTTACCGTGGATATCTTTGCTAGAGGGATCTTCACAGTCCTGAGACACCCAAACTTGTGCTGTGTTCTTGTGTAGTGTTGCTCAAGCCACAGCCGTCTCCCACGTCCTGGACTTCTCCGATTTTGCGAATTATTTCACTTAAAAGTCCCTCCTATGGCCAAAAGAAAACGAGAAAACGGCACCAGTGCCGCCAGCACTTCCAACGGAACAATCAACTCTACAAGTGACACGGACACTGCGACCAAGGTCAACAAAACCAACGGTCATGTGGATGTCAAGACCACTTCATCCGTCATCCAAATTGTTGTCGGCTCGTATGAGCGGGTTCTGCATGGTATTACCGCATCGATCTCGCACCTGTCGTCACCAGAGGTTCCCCCGTCCGTGCAGTTTGCGGACACCTTCCTATTCAATGCACATGCATCCGCGATCAAATGTATCGCACTATCACCCTTGCCGGAACCCGATTCTTCTGAAAGCCAGGGCGTATATCTGGCTACCGGCGGCTCAGATGAAAAGGTCAATGTCTTCAGCCTTTCAGCCTCGCCAGTCGCCGACACGGAGAGACTGCCGCCCATGCCCTCTCTGGGTAAGAACGCGATCTCAGAAAACCCGAGGAATAGAGAGCTCGGCACTCTCCTTCACCACTCCTCACACATCACGGCCTTGCACTTTCCCACGCGATCAAAACTGCTCTCCGGGTCAGAAGACAACACCATCGCCATTACCCGTCTGAGGGACTTAACGGTGGTATCAACAATCAAAGCACCACGACCCAAGGCCCAAGGCCAGCCCAGCGGAGACACCGCACCACCAGGCGCCACACCTGCGGGAATCAATGACTTCTCTGTACACTCCAGCATGAAGCTCATGTTGAGCGTCGGTCGAGGCGAGAGATGTATGAGGCTGTGGAACCTGGTGACTGGAAAGAAAGCCGGGGTTCTCAACTTCGGCCGCGAGATCTTGCAGAGTGTGCGCGAAGGCAAGTATAGCAGTGGCGAGGGCAGACGAATCCGGTGGAATCCCAACGGCAGTGAATTTGCCGTTGCGTTCGAGCGTGGAGTGGTTGTGTTCGGGGAAGACTCGAAACCCAAATGCAGGGCTCTACCAGAACCCCTTACCAAGCTACATCAGATTTGCTATCATACTATCCTTTCGGACTCAGGCGAGGAGGCGCCCATTACACTTCTTGCTCTCTCGACAGAAGATGGTCGGATACTCGTTTATGACACAGACGCAATCTCATCGCATTCGTCCAATGGGACAAACAACAATGACACGACCACTACAGCATCCATTCCGGACGCCGCTCTTGTCGCAACAGTGGGCGGGAAAACTGCAGGGATCACGACGCGTATCAAGGACTTTGAGCTTCTCTTCCTGCCCCCTAATGCCCACGGCCAAAAAGACATTGCCGTCGTTACAGCGAGCAGTGATGGGACGATCCGTATCATACTCCTGTTAATGTCTGAGGTTTTGGCCATCTTGAAGAGCAAGAGACCGGTTCAGACCGGAACAATTATCGGGACGTACGAGACTGGCAACAGGATCACCTGCCTGAAGGCCTTCGTCATGTTGCCTCCTGCGGAGTTTGATGATGAGGATGAACTCGGAGAGGACGAGGAATTCCTAGGGTTCGATGGGCAAGGAGATAGCGAGCAGAGTGATAGCAGTAGCGAAGAAGATTGATAATGAAGTAAGTGGTTAGGAGAATCATCGAGCCAATTGTTGTAGAAAAACATCTTGTCTCCAGCCAATGTATTCCTGATCGCTCTCGTAAGAACAGTATATTTCGTGCAAACGCATGCAAGTTGGTCTGCAGGATCGAGGAAAAAGTTAAATGCAGGCTGGGAAGTGAGGGGTGGCTCATTTCGAAGGATGTATTCCCATCTTTGCTAACCCTTTCACCACATTCTCATAGACGTCTTTGACCATGCCAACCGACGAGACTCGAACGACTCTGCCCTCCTTTTCGAACATGTCCACAACCGGCATACTCGTTTCGACGAACGTCCGGAATCTCTTGACTATGCTCTCTTCATTGTCGTCTGCCCGCCCACTCGTCTTTCCCCTGTTCAATAAGCGTTCTCTCATGACCTCCTCGGGGCAGTCGAGAAACAGTGTGCATTTCGAGGGACAGACAGACTCTTCGAAAAAGATAGCTTGGTCCATTTTCCGAGGAAACCCATCGATCAAGAATTTCCCGGTCCCATCGTTCCCCAGTTTTGAGCGCATAGCATTTTCAAGGAGCTTGACCGTGATCTCCATTGGAACAATTAGGCCGTCTTTGATGTAATCTTTAATCAATTGGCCATATTGACTGCCCTCAGTATTCTGCTCTTCTCGCAGCAAATCGCCTGCAGAGAGATGTACGAAACCGTAATCGCGGACTAGATTGGCGGACTGTGTACCCTTGCCAGATCCAGGACCTCCGAGTACATAGACCACGGTGACCTTCTGCGGATCAAATGCTGGGGAGGTGTTGACTGAGGCAAGTGGCGCTTCCGGTTGCGCAAGAGGGGAAGTCCCAGACGTAGGATCTATAGCAGGCGTTGCCATTGGAAAGTAGCTCTTCGGTCACTACCGCTCGGTGTGTGCTTTCCGTCGGGACTCGCTGGAGACGTTCGTCTGAGACTCTGTTCGCTTTTTGACCAACAGAACGTAGGAACCGCTGCTAGCAAGGAATAAGATGAGGAAGGGGAAGAATCGTAGTCTGTCGCCTTGGCCGCCTGGTCGATGTTTGCTCACGGGGCTTGGTGTTGAGGCGGGTTTGACGGTGGATGTGGGTGGTGGTGGCGTCGCTGAATAGTAACGGACGCAGGGTATTAAATATCGGACACCAAAAGGCGGCGACAATAGATGTCTGGTCAGGGAAGTATTCAGTGTACGTGAGATCATTCCTTAGGGATGAATGTGGTGGACAAAGGAGGATCTGGAGCTGGGAGCGACGCTGCAGTGAACGAAGGTTCAGAGCTCAGGGAAAATAGTTAATCGTGAAGACCTGGGTAATGACGAAAGCGCGTTTGGGTGGTCAAGCATGGGCATGCGCCATGTGCAGCAGCTCACAATTAGGCGTTGCCACGTGATAAAGGCGCCCCTAAGGTTACACGCCGGCAGGCACCCTGCCGTTTGACGAATCAACAACTGGCCCAAGCCACCAGCTCGGACCTTTCTGCTTCTGGCTTGCGACTCCAGAAGATCCGCTCACTTTCTCAAAAGGTGTCTCTACTTTCCAGGAGCTCATCAACAATTGAATCAATTGCCCTTCAGTTTCCTTCTTCCACCCTCCACGCCACATTTCTCGTGGTCTTGTTCCCATCCTCATCCCTCTAACCTCTTCTTTCTACACTCCTTTGAGTTCGTGGATTTTGCAATCACTTTGTCGGCCATCCAGCGAGCGATCAATTACTTCCCCCAAAAGTGCATGAGGCCGCAAGGAGGCCGGTCGCAATCATGGCGCTTCCCATTCGGTTCACTGAACTGGTTCAGGTCTGTTGTTAGCATTTGAAACTGGTGCTAATCCCTGGCTGACTTCTCATAGTTGACGAATCTTGACATCGCGGTAAGGGCACGCTCCTTGAGTCGTAGGCGCAGTTCGACCTGAGTGCCGGCATATGCGCGACCTGATCGATCATTTCTCCTTCCTCACATGTAGAACATCTACTGACATATCTTCTCACCTTCCAGCCAACCTCTATATCCTTCAATACCTGTGTGAGTATATGCCCCAATCTTTCCACTCAAGCCGGTGCTGACATGTCTTCCTAGACACTAGAATCCGATCACTATGTCTGCGTACGGCAGAAAGTTAATGAGCAGGACAAACCTCAAGTCATAATTGTAAATCTCAAGAACAACAATGAAGTCATCAAACGCGCCATCAGCGCCGACAGCGCCATCATGCACTTCAACCGCGAGATCCTTGCCCTCAAAGCGCAGGGCAGAACAATCCAAGTCTTCGACCTCGCGGCCAAGGCCAAGCTGAAATCTACAATCATGAACGAGGATGTTGTTTTCTGGAAGTGGTACAGCGAAAGAAGCCTGGGATTGGTTACCGATACCTCCGTCTACCACTGGGACGTGTTCGACCCTACCCAGTCTGCTCCCGTGAAAATGTTCGAGCGAAATGCCAACCTGAGTGGATGCCAGATCATCAACTATCGCGTCAACGATGATGAACAATGGATGGTGATAGTTGGTATTTCACAAAGAGAGGGACGAGTTGCCGGTACAATGCAGCTGTACTCGCGTAATCGTGGGATCTCGCAACCTATCGAGGGTCATGCTGCTGCCTTTGGCACCTTCCATGCAGAGGGCAATCCTGCCCCTTACAAACTTTTCACCTTCGCGGTCCGAAATGCTGCTGGCCAAGGCAAGCTCCATGTTGTGGAGATCGATCACAACGAGAACAACGCGCGATGGGTGAAGAAGGCAGTCGATGTCTACTTCCCCGACGAGGCTGTCAACGACTTCCCTGTTGCCATGCAAATCTCCGAGAAGTACAGCATCATATACATGGTCACCAAGTACGGCTTCATTCATTTGTACGATCTTGAAACAGCCACGTGCATCTTCATGAATCGTATTTCGAGTGAGACAATCTTCATCACAACGCCCGACTCTGAATCCGCCGGCATTGTTGGAATCAACCGAAAAGGTCAGGTTCTCTCGGTTAGCGTTGACGAGAACACAATCATCCCATATCTGCTCCAGAACCCTGCCAATGCGGGCCTGGCTGTGAAGCTAGCCGCGAGAGCTGGCTTGCCAGGTGCCGACAACCTTTACCAGCAGCAATTCGAAACTCTCTTTGCCCAGGGCAACTACTCGGAAGCTGCCGAAGTTGCGGCGAACTCTCCACGTGGGTTTTTGAGGACGCCGGAGACGATCAATCGGTTCAAGAGTGCGCCTCAGCAAGCCGGGCAGCTTTCTGTCATTTTGCAGTACTTTGGCAAACTCCTCGACAAAGGCAAGCTGAACAAGTACGAGAGCGTAGAACTGATAAAGCCGGTTCTTGCACAAAACCGTAAGAACCTCCTCGACAAGTGGATGAGTGAGGGAAAATTAGAGTCCTCAGAAGAGCTTGGTGATATCGTCCGACTGCACGATCTTGAACTTGCTCTGAGGATCTATCGCGAGTCTAATGTTCCGCCAAAGGTTGTTGCAGCGTTGGCAGAAACCGGCCGATTCGAGGAGATCCTTCCCTATGCACGTGAGGTCGGATACCAACCAGACTTCACCAGCTTGTTGCAACACATCGTTCGTGCAAACCCGGAGAAAGGTGCCGAGTTTGCTACTCAACTCGCCAATAACGAGGCTGGCCCGCTGGTCGATATCGACAGAGTTGTTGACATTTTCATGTCCCAGAATATGGTTCAGCAAGCGACCGCGTTCCTGCTCGACGCTCTAAAAGAGAACCGTCCCGAACAAGGCCACTTGCAGACTCGACTATTGGAAATGAATCTCCTCAACGCCCCACAGGTTGCAGATGCTATCCTTGGCAACGAGATGTTCTCCTACTATGACAAACCCAGAATTGCCCGACTTTGCGAACAGGCAGGTCTGTTGCAACGCGCCCTTGAAAATACAGACGACCCAGCTTCCATCAAGCGAATAATTGTCCAAACCGATAAGCTCAATCCTGAATGGCTTCAACAATATTTCGGCCGCATGTCAGTCGAACAGTCGCTGGACTGCATGGATGAGATGCTCAAGGCCAACATTCGACAAAACTTGGCGGCCGTGATCCAAATTGCTACCAAGTTCTCCGACCTTCTCGGAGCGAGCCGCTTGATTGCATTGTTCGAAAAGCACCGCACTGCCGAAGGTCTCTACTACTATCTCGGCAGCATCGTCAATCTGAGCGACGACGGAGAAGTAGTGTACAAGTACCTCGAGGCCGCCGTTACTATGGGCCAATTCCAGGAAGTCGAAAGAATATGCCGGGAGAACAATCATTACAATCCGGAACGTGTAAAGAATTATCTCATCGAGGCTCGGTTAGCTGAGCAGCTTCCCCTGATTATCGTCTGCGATCGGTTCAACTTCGTCAAGGATCTGGTCAACTACCTTTACCGGAATCAGCAATACAAGTCCATCGAAGTGTATGTTCAACGAGTCAATCCCGCACGGACCCCGGCAGTTGTCGGAGCATTGCTTGCCCTTGATTGTGAAGAATCGGTCATCAAGAGCTTGTTGTCATCGGTCGACCCTTCGGCTGTCCCCATCGACGAGTTAGTCAGCGAAGTCGAGACTCAGAATCGTCTGAAGATTTTGCTGCCTTTCCTTGAATCCACATTGGCAGCGGGCATTCAGCAACCAGCTCTTTATAACGCCCTGGCGAAAATCTACATAGGTCAGTTGCCACTTTTACTTTCTTCAACACCCTTTGCCGATATTTGGTCCACGGAGTTCCGCCCTCGACAGGCACAGGCATCCGGAGAAGCATGTCTCCAAGGCCAAAGTGGCCAGCTCAGCTGCTTTGGCGCCGTAAACCTCCTTCGTTTCGTGTCTCATTGGTGGTACCTTTGCTAACACGTTGAATAGACAGCAACAATAACCCTGAGAAGTTCCTCAAGGAAAATGACCTGTACGACACTCTGACAGTCGGTAAATACTGCGAGAAGCGGGATCCCAACTTGGCATATATTGCGTACCGCAAGGGCCAGAATGACATTGAGCTCATCAACATCACCAACGAGAACTCGATGTTCCGAGCTCAAGCGCGTTATCTTCTAGAGCGCGCCGATCCTGAGATATGGGGTTTCGTTCTGGCGCAAAATAACGCCCATCGGAGATCCCTCATCGACCAGGTCATCGCCACGGCCGTGCCGGAGAGCTCAGAACCTGACAAGGTATCTGTTGCAGTGAAAGCTTTCTTGGACGCCGACCTGCCTGCTGAACTCATCGAACTGCTCGAAAAGATCATTCTCGAGCCTTCGCCTTTCAGCGAGAACAGCAGTCTACAGAACTTGCTGATGCTCACAGCTGCGAAGGCGGACAAGGGTCGCCTTATGGACTACATTCAGCGCCTGAATGAATTCAACACTGAAGAAATAGCCAATATGTGTATCCAGCAAGGTCTTTACGAGGAAGCTCTAGAGATATACGTGAAGACGAACGACCACATCTCGGCTGCTAATGTTCTTGTCGATCACATCGTTAGTATCGACCGCGCTCAAGAATATGCAGAGAAGGTGGATCTGCCTGAGGTCTGGAGCAAGGTTGCCAAAGCCGAACTGGACGGCTTGAGAGTCAGCGATGCCATCGAGTCGTACATTAAAGCTCAAGATCCTAGCAACTACAACGAGGTCATTGAGACCGCTACTCATGCCGGCAAGGATGAAGATCTCGTCAAATTCCTGAAAATGGCCAGGAAGACGATGCGCGAACCAGCAATCGATACTGCCCTCGCCTTTTGCTATGCTCGTCTCGATCAACTGTCCGAACTCGAAGACTTCTTGCGTACTGCTAACGTGGCCGATGTGGAAGCATCTGGAGACAAAGCTTATGAAGAAGGCTACCACCAAGCTGCCAAAATCTTCTTCACCAGTGTTTCCAACTGGGCCAAACTTGCCACTACTCTTGTACACTTGGGTGAATACCAAAACGCTGTTGATTGTGCTCGACGTGCAAACAGTGTAAAGGTATGGAAGCAAGTGAACGAAGCATGCGTCGCCAAGAAGGAATTCCGCCTTGCCCAGATCTGTGGCCTCAACCTCATTGTTCACGCCGAAGAACTGCAGGATCTTGTCAAACAATACGAGCGCGAAGGTTACTTTGAGGAACTCATTTCCTTATTGGAAGCCGGCCTTGGCCTGGAACGGGCACATATGGGCATGTTCACCGAGCTGGGCATCGCCCTATCGAAGTATCATCCGGATCGAGTGATGGAACATCTCAAGCTCTTCTGGTCTCGCATCAATATCCCCAAGATGATTCGAGCCTGCGAAGAGGCGCATCTTTGGCCTGAGCTGATCTTCTTGTACTGCCATTATGACGAGTGGGACAACGCTGCATTGGCCATGATGGAGCGTGCTGCTGATGCCTGGGAGCATCACTCCTTCAAGGACATCATTGTGAAAGTGGCCAACTTGGAAATCTACTATCGCGCTCTGAACCATTACCTACAGGAGCAGCCGCTCTTGTTGACCGATTTGTTGCAAGCCCTGACACCGCGCATCGACGTCAACCGGGTGGTGCGTATGTTTGAGAAGTCGGATAACATCCCCATCATCAAACCCTTCTTGCTCAATGTACAAGGCCAGAACAAGCGCGTCGTCAACAACGCCATCCATGATCTCCTCATCGAAGAAGAGGATTACAAGACTTTGAAAGACTCGGTGGAGAACTACGACAACTATGACGCGGTGGAACTTGCACAGCGCCTCGAGAAGCACGACTTGGTGTTCTTCCGACAAATCGCGGCGCAAATCTACCGCAAGAACAAACGATGGGAGAAGTCAATTGCACTGTCCAAACAAGACAAGCTGTTCCGCGACGCGATCGAGACAGCAGCGATTTCTGGCAAGCCTGAAGTTGTAGAAGACCTTCTGAGATACGTAAGTTGAACTACTTCCGGATGAGAACGCATTATACTGACGTTGTCCTAGTTTGTCGACATTGGCAGCCGCGAGTGTTACGTGGGCATGCTCTATGCCTGCTACGATCTGATTCCGCTTCACACAGTGATGGAGATCTCCTGGCGGCATGGACTTAACGATTTCACCATGCCCTTCATGATTAGCTACATGAGCCAGCAAGCCGCCACCATTGAGCAGTTGCGAAAGGACAATGAAGAACGGAAGGCCCGCGAAGCCAGTCAACAAAAGACCGACGACAATACCCCGATCATCGGGAGTCGTCTCATGCTGACGCAAGGGCCCGCGGCCGTTGCACCGCAACCCACGGGGTATGGTCACACTAATGGCATCACGCCTCAACCAACCGGGTTCCCTCGGGCATTCTAGCGACGCAGCCTTGTGAATTGGAACGGCGAAAGTTGACAAAGGTCCGGGAACAGCCGGGTCAGATGAGTGCGATGAAGGGGGCACCCGAGGTCAGGGAGAAATCGGGACTCGACAAGAGCCCTGTATGGAATTCAGCACGGAGACGAGTTCCTAAAGGAGAGAAAAAGACAGACTTAAAAATAATGTGTGAGTTTGCCGGAGAAAGGTTACTGTAACGTCTTTTCCGAGGCTATGGTTCTCTATGTTGTATGATGTAGCTAGTGAGGTAGAGTGTCGCTCGGGGCTGCTTTCCTACTCTCCGGAAATCGGAAAGCGGTGCGAATACTGTTGCCGGAGATTGATCCTGGGGAGAGGGAAAAAGGAATGGGATTCTGTTTGATCATGGGCAGGAGAAGATAAGCGAGCAACAATGACTAAGTCCATTCCTGTCCTTGGTGTCCTCATTTCTCTCGACTTTATCTGCAGTGGAATTTGGCAATGTGGGGAGAGTGAGGCTCGTGTGGGCTGTTCAGCAAAGCCTTATCTGCGATGCTCGATCTCAAGGTGTTCGTGACGTGATGCCGTGACGACCCGCCTTTCAAGACACAGACCGAAGACACCACTGGATTTGTGACCGGTCATAGCTTTACCAAGGGACTGGGTAGACGAGGGAAAGATGTCCGACGATGCCTTGGTTCAGCGGATGGCCAGAAAATGACCGAGATGGTGAGTGACTCTTTGCCATCACCACCCCACACGATCGCCCACATCAACAAGCTGGGATCTGGTTGAATAATGGCCGCCTAGGGGGCGGCGGGCAGTGTCAGCTAGCCTAGCTAGCCTGAAGACGCCCCCGGCTCCCGGTGCCCGTAGCCCGTTGCCCGTATCGGCCAGCATCGGTTGTCTTGGGACCCGAAACTACACCGTGGCTTCCCTCCCCGCCCCTCCATCAACCAGGGAATCCGAGGCTCTTCGGGGAGGCATAAAGCTCTCCCCTTCTTGCTTCTTGCTGCCCCGCCCGAGCTCGAACAAGTAAAATTTCCGGCTTAGAGTCAGCTGGCACCGAGAAGAAAAAGAAGAACAAGAAGAAAGGAAGGAAGCTGCTGGTGCTTCTGCTGCAGCTTGAGTCACTCCTCCCTGTCCCCCACTGCCAATTCTTCCAACCATCCCGCAATTCTTCCAATCATCCCACCAATCCCTCCAACTGCTTATCTACCCACCACCATCTCTACTGGGTTGCCAAACCAGAGCTCTTCGATCCTCATTCACTGGTCGAACCTAACCATATCTTTCCCTCCTGGGCATCGACGTAACAATTATTGTTTTACTCCCGTCATCCGGCTCCACGCCGCTTCATTCAACAAAAAAACAACATCCCTCCTAGAGCTACCTACCCCAGCTTCCCTGCATTGACTATTTGAAACCCCCCTCCCTTCCTGAGATTTTTCGACCACAGGCTTCTCCTCCACTCTCTTGTTGTCCCTTTCGAGCTCCAAGGAGCTCCATTGCCAGCAGCGGCCTTTGCCAGCAGCTAGGCTTCAACCTCCAGCCCTTCACCATGGCGACCACTGGCACCGACGCAGACCACGAAGATGGTCAATCCCACCACCTTGAGCACTCGGTCCACCAGCGGCTGAGGGCCAACTCGTCCATCATGCAGCTCAAGAAGATTCTGGTGGCCAACCGAGGCGAGATTCCTATCAGAATCTTTCGAACTGCTCACGAACTCTCCCTCCAGACCGTGGCTGTCTATAGCTACGAGGACAGACTGGGCATGCACAGACAAAAGGCGGACGAAGCATACATGATAGGCAAGCGGGGACAGTACACTCCCGTGGGTGCCTACCTGGCCGGAGAGGAGATTATCAAGATCGCTCTTGCCCACGGCGTTCAGATGATTCACCCAGGCTATGGTTTCTTGTCCGAGAACTCCGAGTTTGCTCGAAAGGTCGAGGAGGCTGGCATTATCTTCGTCGGCCCTTCTTACCAAGTCATTGAAGCCCTTGGCGACAAAGTCTCGGCTCGGAGGCTGGCCATGAAATGTGACGTACCCTGCGTCCCCGGAACCGAAGGCCCAGTCGCCAAATATGAAGAGGTCAAAGCATTTACCGACAAGTATGGCTTCCCAATCATCATCAAAGCCGCTTTTGGTGGTGGCGGCCGTGGCATGAGAGTCGTCAGAGACCAGGAAAGCCTCAAGGATTCGTTTGAGCGAGCTACCTCTGAGGCCAAATCTGCCTTCGGCAACGGTACAGTTTTTGTCGAGCGCTTTTTGGACAAGCCCAAGCACATTGAAGTCCAACTGCTCGGCGACAACCACGGGAATGTTGTTCATTTGTACGAGCGAGACTGCAGCGTCCAAAGACGGCACCAAAAGGTCGTGGAACTGGCTCCGGCCAAAGATCTTCCGTCCGAGGTCCGGGACGCCATTCTCAACGACGCCGTCAAACTGGCCAAATCCGTCAACTATCGCAATGCAGGCACTGCAGAGTTCTTGGTAGATCAGCAAAACAGATATTACTTCATCGAAATCAACCCCAGAATCCAAGTCGAACACACCATCACCGAAGAGATCACGGGCATTGATATCGTCGCTGCTCAGATCCAAATCGCTGCTGGTGCATCCCTCGAGCAGCTGGGCTTGACTCAAGACCGTATTTCAACCCGCGGCTTCGCCATCCAGTGCCGTATCACCACCGAAGACCCTTCCCATGGGTTCTCTCCGGATACTGGCAAAATCGAAGTCTACCGATCGGCCGGAGGCAACGGCGTTCGTCTCGACGGTGGCAATGGATTTGCTGGAGCGATTATCACTCCTCACTACGATTCCATGTTGGTCAAATGCACTTGCCACGGTTCCACCTACGAGATCGTTCGCCGAAAAATGCTGCGAGCACTGGTCGAATTCCGGATTCGCGGCGTGAAGACCAACATCCCCTTCCTGGCCTCGCTATTGACTCACCCTACGTTCGTTGAAGGCACGTGCTGGACCACCTTCATTGACGACACTCCCGAGCTGTTCAAACTTATCGGCAGCCAGAATCGGGCTCAGAAGCTCCTTCAGTATCTCGGCGATCTTGCGGTCAATGGGAGCAGCATCAAGGGCCAGATTGGGGAGTCAAAATTCAAGGGCGACATCATCATGCCCACGCTCCTTGACGAGCAAGGCAAAGAGATCAACGTGGAAGAGCCATGCACAAAGGGGTGGAAATCCATCATCGACAAAGACGGACCTGACGCGTTTGCCAAGGCAGTTCGAGCGAACAAGGGATGTCTCCTCATGGACACTACCTGGCGTGACGCTCACCAATCTCTGTTGGCCACACGAGTTCGCACCGTTGACCTGTGCAACATTGCCAAACACACCAGCCATGCTCTCAACAACGCGTGGGCATTGGAGTGCTGGGGTGGAGCCACGTTCGACGTTGCCATGCGATTCTTGTATGAGGACCCATGGGACCGACTGCGCAAAATGAGAAAGCTGGTGCCCAATATCCCATTCCAGATGTTGCTCCGTGGAGCCAACGGTGTTGCCTACAAGTCGCTCCCTGACAACGCTATTTATCATTTCTGCAAGCAGGCCAAGAAGAACGGCATGGATATCTTCAGAGTGTTTGACGCTCTCAACGACATTGACCAACTGGAGGTGGGCATGAGAGCTGTACAAGAAGCTGGTGGTGTTGTGGAAGCCGCTATCTGCTACTCAGGTGACAGTACGAGTCCCCCATCTCGCCCATTGTGATTCAATACTGACCAATTTGATAGTGCTCGTAAGTTTATCCGTGCTTCTATCCCACTCTTTATCCTTCTTTCCATCTGTCGTATGTGGCATCTACGACCATCGACGTCGTTGAATTCCGCCTGGTGTATCATTCTTATACTCAGGAGACAACGACAAAGTCGCAGCTTGGAGCTCTTAGGCGCTCATCTTCTACAGGAAGATGTACTGCGCCGCCAACGACTTGAGTCCCTAAACATCCTGACGTGTCCCTTGACTGTCCTTTTCTGCTCTTACTGCACTTGCATCCTTTTGGCTGGGGTGACTTCGGTATTGACTAACTTTCTCCATAGAACCCCAAGAAAAAGTACAACTTGGATTATTATATGTCCTTGGTGGAGAAGATTGTCAAGATTGGAACCCACATTCTCGGAATCAAAGACATGGCGGGTGTTCTGAAGCCCAAAGCCGCTCGTCTTCTTGTCGGGACCATTCGCAAGAAATACCCTGACCTTCCGATCCATGTCCATACTCACGATTCGGCCGGCACTGGAGTTGCAACGTACGTTGCTTGCGCGGAAGCTGGCGCTGACGCCGTCGACACGGCGTCGGATTCTATGTCAGGCATGACGTCTCAGCCAAGTGTTGGAGCGCTTCTTGCGTCTCTTGAAGGCACGGACTACGACCCGGGACTCAATGGGCGCAATGTGCGAGCACTGGACCAATATTGGTCCCAGCTGAGACTGCTCTACTCTCCGTTCGAAGCTGGATTAACTGGGCCCGACCCCGAAGTGTACGAACATGAGATTCCTGGGGGACAACTCACGAACTTGATTTTCCAAGCCTCCCAACTTGGGTTGGGCGCACAATGGCTGGAGACGAAGAAGGCTTACGAACAGGCAAATGATCTCCTGGGAGACATTGTCAAAGTCACTCCCACCTCGAAGGTGGTGGGTGACTTGGCGCAGTTCATGGTGTCCAATAAGCTGGACTATGAAGGCGTCAAAGCCAAAGCCAAGGAGTTGGATTTCCCAGAATCCGTGCTGGAATTCTTCGAGGGATACATGGGTCAACCATACGGTGGATTCCCCGAGCCCCTGCGCAGCGACGTCCTCCGCGGTCGACGAAAGATGGACAAGAGACCCGGGCTGTATCTCGAGCCTGTTGATTTTGCTAAGGTCAAGAAGGAGCTCAAGGAGAAGTTCAACACGACTGCTGAGACGGATATCGCCAGCTACGTGATGTACCCCAAGGTGTTCGAAGACTATCGCAAGTTTGTGGACAAATACGGCGATCTGTCGGTGCTCCCGACCAAATACTTCCTGAACAAGCCAGAGATTGGCGAAGAGTTCCACGTGGAGCTTGAAAAGGGCAAGGTTCTGATCATGAAGCTACTGGCTGTCGGACCATTGTCGGAAGCTACCGGCCAACGTGAGGTGTTCTACGAGGTGAATGGCGAAGTTCGACAGGTGACGATCGACGACAACAAGGCTGCGGTGGAGAACACGAGCCGGCCCAAGGCTGATCCTGGCGACAGCAGCCAGGTGGGCGCTCCCATGTCAGGGGTGGTGGTGGAGGTTCGAGCCAAGGAAGGACACGACATCAAGAAGGGCGACCCGATCGCTGTGCTGAGCGCCATGAAGATGGAAATGGTTATCAGCGCTCCACATTCTGGCAAGGTTGGGGAAATCCTGGTCAAAGAAGGGGATTCGGTTGCTGGGTCGGATTTGATCTGCAAGATTGCAAAGGCGTGAAATGGCTTGTGATGGGGACTAAATTGCACAGGGGGATTGCCCATGGGGCTTATGATACGGGAGAAGGGAGGATCAGACTGGACAGTATCCCTCCTGGTCGCCTCAGACGAAGGCTGAATTGGGCCGTATTATTATTATGATTCCCTAGTTGCCTATGAATTGAGGAGGTATACTGATACCGATACCGGTAAGGTTTTGGTCTTTTGTGAGATGTGAGAGAGCATGTGAAAGAGCTGCACCAACCAGACGTATTCCTTTGGTCTTGGTCTGATGCCTGGCAGTCGGGTCTTTTTGCCCTCTCGTAGCTCTGTCGCAATAGGTTTGTACCATGACCTCAAGCGGCCACGACAGGGCTCCGGGCCTCGACGGGTGCTGACCATGTTCAGGTTGAATCCACTCGGCTGCATGATTGTGCGCGGGGTACAATCCTCCACCAAGGCCCCCAGATTGCAATTCCAGTGCTTCTATTGGGAGATATAGCATGGCTAGTGAGGCTACTAGGCTAGCTTGGCCACCAGGATGGCTCTTTGAACAACATGCTGCCCCAGGAGACCTAGTGCCCTAGCACTGCGTCTCTGAACGAGTGACCTCTTGTTTCTATTTGTTCTCTCTGGGGGAAAAGGGGAGGGGAGGGTGCCCGCCAAAGCTAGGAACATGGCACGCGAGTCGGGCGAGGGTCCCTGCTTTACCACCGCTCAGGTGGTTCGATCGGCCGAGACACAGCTGCTGGCTGGCTGGTTGGCCGAGCTGGATCCGGGTAGAGCTCTTTTCTTGATGATAGACGAGGGGTAATAACGATGAATAAGGGACGTCAAAGAAGAAGAGTCACGCGTTGGGTAAAGTACATACACACATTCTTCCTTACATACATACATATATGGGCTCGTGCCCTCCTCGACCCCTCCTCCCCTCCCTCCCTGCTTGGGACTGTTGGCAATCTCGGCTTCATCTTCATATTCTCATGCACAGCTGCCATATCACGATTCCCTCCTACATCTCGACCAGCATCACATCATCACAAGAAGCCTTTAGGGCCACCGTCTGAGTGACATTCCCATCTGCTCGGCAACATCATCACCATCCTCGTACATCACCAGCTTGCGCAGAGTTTCCGCCTTTTTTGGAACCTTCATCATCCATCCATCCTCGCGCCCGTCGTCTACGTCACCATATCCATCTTTCAAACCCATCCCACGCGGCAGCATCGTCACCATTAACATTGTTACAAAGCAAACAAACATACCAGTGATTGACACAAGTAGATAAATACTGTGCCTTGTGTCTCCATTTTCTCAGACAAAAAGTCCGGCGCGAAATTTTATCTTTCCTACCTACGACATCCCGTCTTCTTTCCCTCTCATCGAGCCTTTCTCTTGGACGAGGTATTATTCTACAGTACGTCCAGCCCTTCCCTTGACCCGGAACCACACGACATCGACATCGACAACCCGAAGAAACCATGTTCTTCAAGCAGTACAACTACAAGCCGCGCAGCAACAGCCAGTCCTCGCAGGGCTCCGCTGCCGGCAGCCCGCCCAAGGACGACACCAAGGCCACCACCACTACAGGTCCGGCCGCCAGCGCTGCCATTGCAGGGCGAAGACGGGTGAGTCGAATTGAGTCGAGTTGAGTTGGAGTTGTGATTTCCCATTATTGTTTTATTGTCATCATGACCCGACTTACCCGTCCACCCATTCACTATAAGTACTTGGGACCCTTGAATTGGATCCCGATTATGCATTGAATTGAGTTGAATTGAACTGAACTGAATTGAACTGAAAACTGACACCTGACCTCCCCTCCCTCTTCCCCTCCAAAGTCTTCCGCGTCGGCCGAAAAGTTCGCCGGCCTCACGGGCCAGAAGCGCGCCAGCCAGGACGACCGCAAGGCCAGCTGGAACGACCAGAAGCCCGGCCAGCCCGGCATCCTGGGCGGCATGTGGCAGAACTTCACCAAGGGGTCTTAGAGCGCTAAGAGCTCTGTCTCTGTTTTGAGGTTGGGAGTCGTGGGAAGTCATGGGGGTAACGGTGGGAGTAGTGGTGGTGGTGGCCGGGAGAGATTGATGCTGTTCAACATGGTGGTTTCGAGTGTCAGGAAAAGAGGAGACACGAGAGAGAGAGAGAGAGAGAGAGAGAGCATGTGGCTGTGTGGTATGTCAGGTTACATCACGTACCTACCTACGTAAGGAGGGAAGGAAGGGTGCTTGATTAAGCAAACATTGAGCAAAACTGGTTACCTATCTACTGCTGTGCGATTTGACGACGGGACGGATGAGTTTGATTGCTAAGTGTATCTGGGAAGGCCAACCAGAGGAATGAAGGGGGGAGGGAGGGAAACCCAGGTTCTCTTCTCAAAATGCGAAAGGAGGGAGGGAGGAATAAAATGAAAAAACCAACCAACAATGACAGGTGATGGATGGAGCACGAAGCCAGCTATGTAGTCATGTAGTCTGTTACATATCTTATCTGTACGAGGTATTTATTATATATACCCCCCTCCCCCTCTCCGACCGACTCTATGCCAAACCCGTGACTCACTTGCGACACATGGAAAAGTGGACAAGGGCCTGAGTCTCCCTGCTGACGGACTGGCTGACTGACTGGCTGGCCATATTATGTATGGGCTACGTACATATGTACTTCCACGAGGGCAGGGTGGAATGGGAGGGAGCAAGGGAGTGCAGAACGGGAAGAGGAATAAAAAAAAAGAGAAGAGAAGATTAATGAAAAGGGGAAACAAGCAAGCAAACGACAAAGCAAAGTAAGCAGCAAGGAATATCTATCTATCTATCTATCTACTCGCATGCTAGGTATATATATATTTTCTATCCTGCACGTTTTGTCTGTATGTACAAGTCGACACAATTCGTACTGTACTTACTACTTTTTAATTCCCGTCCATGACAAAGACTGGATCGTCCAGGACTGAGTGCATACCATATATATATACTGTGTCGTGTGTATGCAGAACCTGCTGTACGTGCATGCATGGGCGAAAAACAGTATCCTTGGTCCAGCAGAAGAAGAAGAAGAAGCAGAAGAAGCAGAAGAAGAAGGGAACGATTTGGTAAGAAAAAAAAAGGCCCGAAACGAATTTCTTTTGTACCTCTTTCTCCCGTTCGTTCCCAATCGAATCCAAGGCCAGTGCGCTGCCGGAAGAGAAAGATAGCTAGCTCAGCGTGTACCAACAAGTTTGTAATTCGAAACAACCGGGCCTCCCCAGAAGGGAGCAAATGTCCCTTTCCCTTGGTCGTCCCGGTGACCAAGAACACGGGCCTCAATTTGCGTACCGAGTACCAACGGCGCATGAGGCAAGATCCTGTTCCTCCACTCCCCGCGTTCACACTGCCCGGCTCACTCACGACACCGTCTTCTTCACCTCCTCCACGGCGCCCTGGACCTTGTCCTTTGTCTGGCTGGCAATGGAGTCAACCGTGCCTTCAAGTTCCGCCTTGGCCTTCTCGGCGCGGATCTTCTCCCAGCGTTCTTTACCGGAGCCACTATACAGTGGCAAACACACGTGGGTTAATTTATATGTTCCATACACATTCTCTTCTGACACATGGGGATATAGAGAGGGGTTGTACTTACTACCAGTAATCATACCACCGGTAACCCTGCGTAAGCTGCGCGTTGAAGTTCACAAAGTGGCACGCGAACAGCAAGTAGTTCTTGGGCGTTACAGCAAGGGCATATCGCATGAAGGTCCCTGAGTATACCGTGAGGGCGGCTGTGAATTGTCCCGAGATGCTGTAGGTAAAGACAGCATTAGTCTCCTCTCTTCCATTGTCTTCGGAGATTCTGAAAGCGGGGGTAGAGGAAGGAAAGTAGGCTGAGGCATCAGAAGGGAGCAGACAAGAACGGTGTGTCCCCGAGTTTCTGTGCCTGCAGATGCCAATGGAAGTTACCGATGGAAGGGACAGGGGATTGAACGTACATCTCAGGATCCTTCTGTGTATCCAACACGGCGGCAATGGGGATACCGAAATTCGAAGCTGGTCCCCAGAAATCTGTTCGACACCTCAGTCAGCACCACATACCTCAGACTTGATATGCTTGCGTTGTGCGCCTGCTTCGTCTTGTTTCCATCTTCTTTCTGCGCGTCTCAACACTTTTCCCCCGGCCGCAAAAGCATTGATGCGCCGACAGGGGGGAACAGGATATTGATTGGTCTTTCGCGAAGAATAATGTGTGCTGCTTTGGAAAAAGGACACGCCGGGGGGTCAACGTACGTGTCGAGCAAAAATAATCGAGGACCTTGTTGGAGCGAATCCGCGCGTTGATGGCTTTGATGGTCGCGGCCATGGCTGTGGCACTCACACACACACTTCTTTTTTTCCTTGCTCCCCGTTTCTATGGCTTCCTCTTGAGATCCTGCACGAAACACCCGAAGAGAACGACTGGCGCAAGGACAAAGGGAGAGCAGACAGGAGGATCGAGGCCGATGCAGGGTATGGAAGAGAAGGAGGAGGAAGAGGGAGAGGTGACGATGGTGGTGGTTGGTTGAGTCAGAGGGAGAGAGAGCTGCGATCTCGGGCTTCGGGGTAGTTCAAGTTCGGGGTGAACAAGGAGTCAATCAATGGATAAGAATAATAATAATCGATCGGCCTTTAGCAGAATCTCCGCAACTATGTCACGTGGACCGCCCTCCCATGGACAAACGTTCAGCCGAACTCCAACCACGGGTATAGTATTCCCAGAGCACAGGAACAGAGTACGAGATACCGAGTAGACGGTAGAGTATTCTCGTAGCAACAGGAAAAAGATATTTATTTGCATTGCATGGTGAACTCGTCATCATCTCCAAGCTAATCTCAATACGCCATACGATAATCTCACTATCTTGTATCCGCATTCTCCTTGCTCACTGCCTAGCATCCTGCCCCTTGAGCCATCACTTGAGCCTGGAAACGAATTTGGAAGCAGAGGTCATCCAAAGCCCGTAAGTCCACATCTCCAGGCTCAGCTGATTTGAGCCGGTCCAGGACATCTTGCAACATAGAATTGATGCTGGGGCGAGCGCCTCCTGTTTTGGCGCCCTCATCAGAGTCTACTGCCTCATCGGCACCTGAGTTTGGCTGATCATCCCCCACTACTGCATCTTCGCTGCTCAACGCCGAAGTCAATGCCACACTTTCTCGTGAGTTCACTTCCTCGGGGCGCAAAGCTCCGGGCACGATAACCTCGATCGTGCCATGGCGATCAACCGGCGAGTGAGAAGCTGAACTGACAATCTCTGTTCTCCGCCGTTGTCGGCCTCTCCGACGTTTAGGAGCACTCGTCGCCTCACTGGCCGTCGATCGAGTTGTATGCGCCAGTTCCTCGGCGGCCATCGCTTCAACCGCCCTCGGCGGAGCAATCGGGATACAGTCCAGCATTTCTAGTGGCTCAGCGTACGAGGAGCTGTTCGTGGCGTTTGATTGAGAGGATGTCTCTGTGGAAGGTTCTGACCTTTTCCGCTTTCTCGAGGTGAATTTGAGGCTGCTAGACTTGCGCTTGCGGCCTCGTCGCACATGAGGATTGGGCTGGCTGTTGTGTTCCTGCTCCTCCCCAAGAGTATGCGACCCCCCATCCCCGACCACCTGACTAAGGTGTTGGTCAAGGTCATGGGATAATTGTGAGGCACTCAATATGTCGATCTCGTCGCTGTCACTTCTTGTGCCTGCAGTCGTCACCGGCACATTTGTGGTTGTCGAAAGATGCCTTGGATCCTCACTTCTTTGGTCTGGCATGTGGACACCCCTCTGTGCGTTCATGGGCTCCCGTTCAACCTCCGCGGGAAATGGTCCGTTCAATTCTTCGGTTGGTGAAAGGTCATTTGCCTGGACTGCAATCTGCTTGCACGCGGCCTGCGGCGGCACAATGGCAAGCACAATTCGATCTTGTCTATCCTCGGCAACCGCTTGTGGTGGAGAAGATGTAATCTCCCCTCTATCACGATGACCTGGAATAGACGGTGGTGACGAAGGTACATCGATCTCCGCTATCCGATCCGCAACGTGCCGTGCTCGAGGGGTTGGAGATGCTGGCATTTCAGGCTCTTGTTGATCATGACCTGCCGGCAGAGTGGGCGTTGACGGCTGCTGTGGCAGAGCAGCTGCTTTACGTGCAATCCCACAGTTGCTGACACTGTGGGTTCTGCTATGTGGTCGGGGACTAGATCGAAGATCGGGAAACACAACGGCAGGTTCAGATCGTTGTTTATCCCGAACTTCTTTTTGGTGTTCTGTCAGGCACTGCGAGTCTGAATCAGGTTCACTTCCAGGGGACGAATCAATCTGTATATCCTGAATCTGAGAGTCATCATATCTCGGCCTGGTTCGTAAACTTCGTCTTTTGGGACTCGGGAAAACCGGCTCGTGTCGTCTGGCTGCACCATCCCCGGAGTGCTGGGTTCCTAGTTCTGGGGAGGGCGAAGCTCCGCGTAAGTGCTTGCTGGGACTTGATGATGTTTGCCGGGAGGTAGGAGTATTCGCATCCTCGGCTGCAGACGGCAATGTGGTGTCGTGTGTGATCAATTCTTTAGATGGTAGGAGATCACCAGGGATATGGACGTCAATGCCGGCATTTCGTAACCTGAGCAAGGCTTCGGAGAGTCGTGGGCCAAAAGTGACTGAATCTAGTTGGCTGAAGCGCATATTCCACGCTGTGACGGCCTCATCCTGCACAAAAGTGTTGGGACTTTCGAATGGAGCAGCAAACACGGCATCAAATTCTTCGATGATTCCAGTGGGATATCGGAAAAGGATGTTCACAATGCAGGTGACGATCTCCGAATAGCACCCGTCTGGAGCAGCCTCGCTCTCACGCTCCTCATATTTGAGCAACACGGAAAGTGTCGGCTGAAGCAATCTCATTAGGCGGACGCCGTATTCTTGAGACATAGTCTCAAAATTCTGATCCAGCTCCCTAATCCCGGACATTACCAACGACTTTTGATCGTCAAATTGTTCTGACTTGAAATCTCGAAGGAGCCGGGCGTTGAGGATGTCAAGAAGTTCCTCGCAGTGACACAACAATGATCGGATTTCGCTTCTCAACTCCTCGGATTGGACGCGACTGTGGCAGTCCTCTTCATTCCTCGTCAGTTCTCGCATAACAGAGTCCAGTGTATCATGGATGACAAGCATCTTCTTGATTTCGCAATTGGTCTCGATTCCAGTCTTGATCAGATCATTCCCAAGTTCGGTGACAGCGGCAAGCGTCAAATGTCGCACCTGAGCAACACTGACTCCATGGATGCCGTCTACTCGGTCTGCAGGCCCATGTTCTGAACAGGCCTCAAAAAGAGATGCCAAGCAGCTGATCACATTTGTCATGGCATCGACCGTTTCAGGTGAAGGTTTGATTTCTTTGCTGCTGGCCTCTCGCAAGGCTTTCAAAAAGTGTGACCAGGCAATGGCAATAAAAGCTCTGTCAGATTGACCCGAGGCGCCCCAGGAGCTGTATCGCATCAATACTTCAAACATGTCGAGAATCGCTTTGGACTTTGCCCGAATCCATTTGCAGTCAATCGTGGGGAGTTCCTCTGGCTCAACTCGTGTGTTTTCGAGGGCTCGCTTCTCGTTCCAGAGCTTCGGGCTCTTTCTGGAGTTCCAGAACAGGGCCATGAAAATGCGACTTGCGATGTCGGCATTGGCACTGCTTTTCTCAAAAAAAGAGCTCTTCATTACCTTGACAATGTATTCATTCCAGACTCGTGTGTATTGCTTGTGCGTGGCCGCTGGTCTAAAGGCGTAATAGAGTAAGGTGCAATAGCTGGAAACAGCGGTTGGGCGGGTGCCCTTGGTTGACTGTTCGGCAGACTGACGCTCCATTTGAGCGGTAAGGGGCTTTGCCAGTAATGCCAACAGAGTGTCGGATGTTTGGTGGGGTTGGATGATGTGAATGAACCGATCCCAGGCCATGTAGGCCTGTTGTTTGATGGTAGGTTCGCTGCAGTTGAAGCACGTCTGGATCACTTTCAACCAATCCATAAACTGTGGCCATTTGTCAAAACGGGGCCAAGGGCCGCTGGGATCGCGGTCCTCAACGCCGTTGCTGAGCATGAGGATGATAGTCCATATTTGTGGAACCTGGATCCCTTCTGCTTTGACCGTGATCATCTTCTCCAGCTTGCGACACATAGCAGAGCTGAGCGTCTTTCCGGGTGCAAGCTCTTCGCCGAGAATAGACTTGATCGTGGTTGAAATGGAAGAAGATCCCGTAAAAACCGAGCATGCTTTCAGCCCCATAGCGATCGCCTTCGTCCTCACGTCTTTGAGCGCATTGGTCATGCCCGTCAACAACTCCTCGACCCATAGATTGGCCCTGGCTTTCATCGTAGGCCTGGCCTGATCGAGGAGCTTCTGGTAAACCAGTAGCCTTTCCGAGATCACGCCATTGCCTTTCACGTGCTCGGTTAGAGCCTTAAGCGCCTCCAGCAGGCGCGTAACACGGTGGCTATTGACAAGGATTGGACGGAAATTCTGGGTTGCTAGAAGGTGGAGGTAGTGAATGATGACACCCTTGGGCGCAGTCTGTTCGGCGATGACCTGGATCGATCGATCGAGGACGAAAATACGATACTCGTCCGTTAACAAAGAGGAAAAGTCGCGATTCCAGACCAAAATGACAAGCACCTTCAAGGCTTGAGTCACCAGGTTCGTATCCGCAATGGGCGGCTCATCGGGATTTGGTTGTTTCTGCAGGTCGCGTCTGATGTATTTCGTAATTGTGCTGATCCTGGCTTTCAGCACATCCTCCTCGGGTATATCATCATACTCCCGGATGACCGAAGAAAGGGTCTGGTATGCGTCTATCGAGACCGATCTGTCATCAAGCGCCAGTTGTTGCACGATGCTCTCCATCATTTCGCCCATTGTGCGTTTGGCATCTTGTGACCCGTCCACAGCTTGGGCAGTGTGTCCGTCGGCGACGCAGGGTTTGAGGATGGACTTCAGGGTTGATTGAGGGGCTGTAGAAGGAGGTAATCGTTTCGTAGCACCGGAGGGCGGTTGGCTTGCGGAGGAAGGCGGTTGGGCGTGTGTATCAATAGAGAACCCCACGCGTTTTCGAGTTGCGGCGTTCGATGAGCCTGGAAACGATGCAGGCGAGTCTGGAGTACTCGTACGGTCGGCTGATGCGTTTGGAAAAAAGACTTTGCGGCGTGAAGACGTAGAGGGTGGACTCAAAGGAAGAACATCAGGAATGGACATGTTGGCAACGAGCCAGCACGACATGCGAGGACACTGGAGTCAACAAAACAAACAACGTCAAGGTACTAAAGACCGCCTGCAGTCATCCATAGTGCAAACATTGGTAGCTAGTCTCAAGGGAGATGTTAAGAAGCATTGGAAGCCCGGGAAGATAAAGAGTTGAGGAGCGCCGTGAACACGCCAGTCTCTCCCAGCCTTCGCGGGACGCGTCGACACGCGGATCTCGTGTTTTAATGGAGGCTGCTGATTGGTGGCCTTGCCCAGCCTCGCCAGCACGAGCTTACCTAACTGGGCTAGCTCCATTCATGCCACTTAAGCCGCCATTCCTGGCGATGGAAGATTGTCGACACTTCCACGGCATCAACGGTACTGCTATATCATCTGTCACCACCACAACGGCCGTGGAACGGCCATTCATGAACAAACATAGCAGTCAGTCCCTTTTGGTTTGTGCTGGACATGTACCATGGCAAATCAGACCCAACAGAGTGAGGCCAGAGCCTTGCTTGCACTACTGGCGAAGGACTTGGACGTCAAATCCCTCGACCCGAAACGACTCGAAGAGACCTTGGTCCAGCTGAAAGTCTTGGGGCGCAATGTCGATAATGTAGCCAGAATCTACAACGACGAGGGTATCAGGACGCTGGGGAGCTATGCATTTGGCAACTTCCCCCATTCGGTCCGCCAGGAAGCCCTGAGATGCATAGCAAATGCACTTCTCTTGATCCCTGCCACTCGCAAGGCCTCACTCGATCTCAAGCTCGACAAGAAAGCAACAGATGCATTACACGACGCAAACCACGATGACGAATTTCTCCTATCGAGGATACTGTTCCTGCTGACTTACGACCCTGACATTGACATGAAGTCCTTGATAGCGGATCACAATCTGGCGGATGTCATTGTGAAGCATCTTTCGCGTCACGCAGATGAGGTGGAGAAGTCGTCGCCGAAGAACACGGTTAGCCAGGGCAATATGGCACTGATGGAAACCCTCAAACTTCTTTTCAATGCCACGAGTATCAAGACCGATGAAGGTCACAAGTTTCAACCCGCTGTCATCCAGCTCTTCCGCCTCCTTATTTGCTCAGATATCCCGTCGCCAGCACTCCAGCCGCCGATAAGCTTGGTCATAAACGCTTTGGCCAACCTGGACATTGACCCCGAGATGGCAAAGGCCAGCGAGATGCAAGCTGCCACGGACAAGCTGATGACGGTCCTGGAAAAGACCATTCAACAGCACTCGTCGACAGAACTAGACACAGTTGCGATTCCACTATTGACCGTCCTGAGAAACATTAACGAAGCTGCAGATCCCCGCCTCCGTGAGAAGATGAAGGCACGGCTCTTGCCCGACGACATGGAAAGGGACCAACCCTTAGGAAAATCATCCTCATTCGCATCGCAGCTTCTGCGCCTGACTACGTCTTCGGGGATGTTGAACTTGTCAGAAGCCATCTCTGGGCTTATGTTTGAGCTTTCCGACAAGGACGCCAATCAATATGTTAAGAATGTGGGATACGGCTATGCTGCAGGATATTTGATGACCCACAAGATCCCTATCCCGGAAAGTGCGAAGAAGTCACATATTCCGGGCGAGTCTTCCAACGAAGTCCCCATCAACCCCATCACCGGACAAAGGCTCGACAAGGAGCAACCAATTGAACTGCCTGAAATGACACGGGAAGAAAAGGAACGGGAAGCCGAAAGAATGTTTGTATTGTTTGAGCGACTCAAAAACACCGGGGTGGTGAATGTCAAGAACCCGGTGGAGGTAGCACACGATGAAGGCAGGTTTGAGGAGCTCAGCGATTCGGATTCAGAGTGATGGGCCTGTTTGCTCTAGAACTCGTAGTTGTCTGCTGTCTTCTTTGCGTTGAGCACAGGGGACAACGTCAATGATCGATCCTCCAGCCATGTGCTCTACCCTGCACAATCGTACTCCGTACTTGTTCGTACATCACCTCACCACGCCCGCCTGTTGTCGCTGGCGCCACTCGGATAAGGATGTCAGCGGGGGCTGCCCACCCGGAAAGCGGGCCTCACCCGGTTAAAGAGTGGCCCGTTCCTGCATAAACTCACAATTAGTGGCCCCCTTGGTGCCCTTAAGTGCCTTAAACGATAAGCTTAACTGGCTGGATCCCTGGCTGCGCTGGCAAAAATTATCCTCACCCAAAACAGTGCTGCTCTCCCCCCGTCTTCTTCATCACCTCACCTTCCCGCCCTCGACCACCTCCACCACACACCCTTCTTTGCAGGAGGGGTTGCGCTCTCGAGCGCCCTTGGTCACCTTTCTTATCACTGGCAATGGTCCATCGTGTCGAGTTAGCGATGAATGGCACTCCCAAAGTCAACGGGGTCAACGGGGCCAACGGCCACTCGAAGAATGGCCTGCTGGGACGATCCCTCTCATCCCGCAAGTCGTCGTCCCCAATGGCTCCCGCTTTCATGACTTCGGCCCCAGGGAAAGTCATTGTCTTTGGAGAGCACGCCGTTGTCCACGGCAAAGCGGCAATGGCTGCCGCCGTCTCCCTTCGATCCTACCTCCTCGTCACGGCGCTGTCGAAATCGCATCGGACAATCCAGCTCGTGTTCCCAGATATCGGGCTCGACCACACCTGGAACATCGACGACTTGCCTTGGCATGTTTTCACGAAGACGACGAGGAAACCTCGATACTACGACATGGTGACGTCGCTGGACCCCGAGCTGGTTGCTGCCATGAAGCCGCATATCGAAACGGTGTCCACCCATCTGAGTGCAGACAAGAGAAGGATCCATCAAAATGCTGCCTCTGCATTCTTGTATCTATTTTTGTGTCTTCAGACGCCTGCTGCGCAGGCCTGTATTTATACCCTGCGGTCTACGCTACCGGTTAGCGCAGGCCTGGGGTCGAGCGCCAGCATTTGCGTTTGCATCAGCGCTGCCCTCCTCAAACAGATCCATGTCTTGTCCGGACCACATCACGACCAACCGGAGGACGAAATCCAGATGCAACTTGAGAGGATAAACAAATGGGCCTTTGTGGGAGAATTATGCATTCATGGCAATCCCAGCGGAGTGGACAATACGGTCGCCACACATGGAAGGGCCGTGTTGTTCAAGAGACTGGACTATTCGAAGCCCCCAAGCGCCACGCCACTGAAAGATTTCCCCGAACTTCCTTTGATGTTGGTCAACACGAAACAGCCCCGCACGACCGCGGCGGAGGTCGCCAAGGTGGCCGCGCTCAAGAAGAAATACCCGGCTGTGACCGAGGCGACTTTGGACAGCATTGACCGAGTCACCATGTCAGCACACGCTCTTATCACCTCGGACGACTTCGATCCAGCGTCCGAGCAAAACATCGAGCATCTGGGTGACTTGTTCCGCATCAACCACGGCCTGCTGGTGTCGCTCGGAGTCTCCCATCCCAAATTGGAACACATTCGGGAGTTGGTGGACTACGCCGACATTGGCTGGACCAAGCTCACAGGTGCCGGGGGCGGTGGATGTGCCATCACGTTACTCAAGCGAGGCGTCGACCCAGATGCGATTGTCGACCTGAAGCGAAAGTTTGAGGCTGCAGGGTTTGAGGAATACACGACGACGCTGGGGGGCAATGGCGTCGGCATGCTCTACCCGGCAGTCTTGCATAACGGCACAGAAGAAGAAGGAGGCGACGAAATTGACCAACAGAAGTTCCTCAACGCCGACGGTGAAGAGGGAATTGAGGCCCTGGTGGGTGTTGGCCTTGATGAAAGACGGCCCGAGTGGAAGTTCTGGAGGTAGTGGCCCCTCCCCCAGCGGACCCGTTCCTTGGTGTTTTATTAGCGAAGGCGCAACGCATCAAAGATCAGGTGGAAGGGCGCTCTAATTTAATGAGGGAGCAAAAGTTCTCGCGCTTTATGTATTATCACTGTGTCGACGACGAGATTCCAGCATGCAAAGAGACGATGTTTTGATTGTGTATTGATAATCACGTGCAGCGCGGCCGGAACAATTCCCCCCGGTTTCTCCGACGCCGCCCGCATCTTCGTATTATTTGTTATTAATATTTCTCTTCATTCCAAGGGAGACTGAATACCCTGATGTGAGTGTGCCTGTCTCTGCCTGTCCCTTCGAGCTCGCTGTCAGATCCGTCTGGTAAAAACGACTGCGTGACATGGGTGCGAGGCCACCGCATATTTGACCGGGCCACCTGATCTCACCCCGACCAGCGTGTATGAGGGTTCCTCGTCGCTTGCACATGCCCCTCCCCCTTCGCTGACGCCTTTCTTCCAAGCAACAATCCCCGCACAAAACATGGCTGAGAGTACTTCGAGCACGATACCCAGACGTCCCAAGACCAAGTCCAAGGAGCCGTTCTACGCCGTGTCGCCCCGATGGAAAGACGTCGTGCCCATCCCCCTCATTGACGGCCCACCCCGACCACCACCCGGCAGCGGCCAAAGGGACGATGATCCCGGCCCCGCGCTTGCCACCATCGCCTACTCGGTGCGGTACAGCGAGGCCATGTCGTACCTGCGGGCCGTGATGGCGATGAACGAGCTTAGCCGGCGCGCGCTCGACCTGACCGAGGACATCATCGGCATGAACCCGGCCCACTACACTGTGTGGCTGTACCGCGCCAAGATCCTCAAGGCGCTGTGGAAGAAGGAGGGCGTGAGCGTCGAGGACGGCGTCGGGGCCGAGTTGGACTGGTTGGAGGGCGTCAGCGAGCGGAATTTGAAGAACTATCAGATCTGGTGAGTCTTGTATTAAAAACAAATCCCCTTCCCTCCCCCCTCCCCCTTTCTAAAGGGACGAGGAAGAGGAAGGATGGTTATTTCCTTTCCATCGCTGGTGGTGATACTAGTACAAACACATGGATGTCATGTTTTCATGACCGACCTAAGACAGCCTCTGACTTCTCTTCTTCGCCACACACGCACAGGCACCACCGCCAACAGCTGATGTCCCTCCTGCCGCGGCTGCCGGCCACCGAAGCCGACTTCATCACGCACATGCTCTCGTTCGACGCCAAGAACTACCACGTGTGGACGTACCGGCAGTGGCTGTGCCGGCGGTTCGCGGACCCGCTGCTGACGACGGACCAGGAGCTGCGCGCCGTGGACGCGCTGATCCGCGACGACGTGCGCAACAACTCGGCCTGGAACCACCGCTACTTTGTGTGCTTCGGGGCCGAGGAGCTGGCAGCCATGGAACCGAAGGCGGCGACGACGGTGGGAGGGGGTCGGGGTCAGGAGGAGGAGAAGGAGGAGGAGGCAGGTCAAGGCCACCACCACGGCGGCGGGCGGCGGCCGAATGTGATCCGCAAAGACGTCCTCGCCGGCGGCACGCTGCTGCCGGTGGTCGACGAGGACGTGGTCGAGCGCGAGATCAACTACGCCAAGGACCACATCGCGTGGGCGCCGCAGAACCCGTCGCCGTGGAACTACCTGCGCGGGGTGCTCCGGCGCGCCGGCATCCCCGTCACCGACCTGCAAGTCTTCTGCGAGGGCTTCGTCGGCGGCGGCAAAGACGCGGACCTCATGGGCGACGGCGTCACCAGCAGCCACGCCATCGACTGGTTGGCCGACATCTATCGCCTGGACGGCAAGGTCGAGCGCAGCCGGGCCTGTCTCGAGGCCCTGGCCGCCAAGTGGGATCCCATCCGCAGGAAGTACTGGGATTGGAGGGCCAAGCAGCTGGTTGGTTGAGTTGAGTCGAGATAAATCGACAGTCGACACACGCGGGAACAAAGGAAGATGCTGAAGAAAAGGGGCCGGGGAACGGTGATGGAATTGGGTCGATGAAACGCGAGCAAAGCTTTCTCACAAAGAACCGTCGTGGAGTCTTCTGCCATTATTATCTATTGTCTCAGCTCTAGGCGATACAATCAACGCCTCAAAATAGGGTCGAAGGTGTTTTGAAGGACCAACAGGTCAATCAATCAATGCATGCTGATGATGATGCTCGAATCAAAGCCACTTAAGAGCAGGTCTCTTTGTTTTCCCGCTTTCTGACATCTTCTTACATCTTCTCATCCTTATCATGTATAATGACCCTGATCCCTTGACTGTCCAGCTTCACTCCGGCCGTGAAGAGATCCCTCGTGGGCGTGGCGTCGCTGTCGTCCGTCTGGTACATTTCCAAATTATACCTCATCACCACGGCGGCCACGGACATGTACAGCTGAGCGTACGCCAAGTGCATGCCGATGCAGTTGCGGGAACCCTTGCCGAACGCCACAATATACTTGTCCAGCCGGCTGGTGGTCTTCCCCTCGGTGAGGGCGTTGTCATCGAGCCACCGCTCGGGATCGAATTTCCGGGGTTGCGGGAAGATGTTCTCGTCGATGAGGACCAGGTGGGGTGTCATGGCCACGGGCGTGCCGGCGGGGATGGTCCACTCTTTGTACTGGATGGACTTGTCGTAGATGCGTGGCAGACGAGACAGCATTCCACCGGCCATGCGCACGCCCTCTTTGATGACCGCGGTCAAGTACGGCATCTTTTCGAGCGACGTCCAAGGCGCCACGGGATCACCGGGCGGGATCTCGACCTTGGCCAGCTCCGCGCGCATCTTGGCCAGCACGTCCGGGTTCTTCATGATGTGGTACGTGGTGATGGTGATAGCCCAGGCGGTGGTCTCCGAGCCCGCCGTGGCAATCAAGACGCCCTCGTCAATCAGTCGTTCATCGCTCAATTCCTCCTCGGGGAGGTCGCTCGACAGAATCTGCGCGAAGATGGTGTCCTTGCGCCTCTTCTCGGTCTTGATGGCCTGCATGGTCTCCGGGTCGGATTTGATCTTCTTCACTTGGACCCCGACACGCTGCATCCAGGATTTCATGAATCCGACCGGTGGGACGAGCTTGATGGCCACGGACAAGGGCATGGAGCGAACGATGGCGCCGATCAAGGGGAACGAACGCACAATGGCCGCCGAGGCGCGTCCGCCGGTGTTGACCAGCTTCCAGGTCATGGCCCATTCCGGATTATGGATGTAGTCGTACGTCCAGCCGTAGGAACACTGCGTGAGGACATCGGTGGTCAGGGCCAGATACACAGACTCCAGGTCAAGCACCTCCCGACTCCCCTTGATCCTGTCCAGTCGTTCGCACATGACGGCCAACTTCTCTTGGATGACGGGCATGTTCGCAACGATGCTGGCCTTGGAGAAGAAGGGGTTCAACGCCCCTCGTCGCTTGCGGTGGATCTCGTGCTCAACGGTCATACCTCCAGCCGTGGGCACGGCAAAGCCTCGCGTCCACCACGCCCACTTGTCCAGTTTCAAACCGTACAAGGTGTCGAAGAAGTCCGGGTCGTGAATGTGCACGTCGTCCGGGTTGGTGCGAATGACCGGGCCGTACTTTTCGTGCATTTCCTTGATCCTCCACACGTACTGATGGCCCTTGAAGACGTCGTAGTACGTCTCATACCAGTATGAGGCGACGGCCAGTTTGGAGCCCGGGAACCGCCGAAGAGGGTGGAAGTTGATCCTGTAGACTGCCAGGACGAGGTCATAGCCGACCTTGGCCAGGATCAGGTAGCCCAGCAGAGCCAGCCATGTCGTGGCCAGGCCGAAGCTGAGGTCTTGTGGCGACACCATCGTGGGAGCTGGGTTTTGAGTGTGGGTTTCAGGGAGAGAGATGACCTGCTCCCAGTGCTCGAAGACGAGTTTCTCTCTGAACCCAGCACTGGGAGAGGGCGGTCTGCTCATGTATTCATGGCCCTGCGGACTTGGGGTCCAAAAGAAAAGGGGTTGAAAGGGCCGGGGGGCGCAGGCGCCGTCAATCGGCAGTCGGCAGTGGGCACCCAAAGATAAGCCGTCATTACAACATATTTTCGGTATCGTCCCAAGTGGTCCCTGGTGTGGATTGCCCAGACCTCCGCTTGCAAAATACACAAAAATACCTGACATTTGCAAGACGTAGGGGTCACTATGGCGTTCGCAATACCCGTTGGCCATGCATATCATATGTAAGACGATCCACGGTCGACGGGTTGCGGACACCGGAGCAAACACCGGCAGGCGAGTTTCAACAGCCTGCCCAGCTACCGGAAAAGGAAAGGAGGAGATTGACAATACGCTAGATGTAAGACCTGATCGGCGGAGATTCACGAGATTTGGTCTCAGTGTGAATAGTTCAACTGATTGTGTAGTATTCATGCATGTCTATGGTGTTTTTAGGGGGCGGGGTATCCATCATGAGTCGAGATCTTCTGCTCCTGAAGCATCTCCTTCGACGTGTCGGTCGTGCTGCGTCGTCGTCACATGGCGTTGAGGCCATCATCGGTGTCCCCTATCGAGTTCTCCTCCCTCCCACTGTTTCTCACAGGTAGGTTGAAGGTGTGCGTTCAGTGATGAAACAGTCTCGTGCTCTGCTCAATGAAAGTTATCCCCAGATTTTCCGCCGTGTCAAATACAGCGCCATCGTTTTGCGAGCCAGTTGGGGCAGCAATGTATTTCACGCCGCTTCGAGCAGCCCGGTATACGTTATCCACGAAGGGGAACTGGTTCTTATTAGTGAAGAATATAATGATGGGGAAAACAGCACTCACAAAGGCATCACTTGAGACCGCGACCTCGCCGAGTTTGTCTAACCACTCCCGTCGCTCTTCAGGGGAGAAGGGCTTCGGCACGCACCCTTCAGCAAAATTGCTTTCATAATCCTTCGTCTCGAACTCGCTCTGTGGTGGTACCTGGCCGGAACACAGCATGTCAATCGCATTGGATTTTTCCGACCGCTTGACACCTTTGGCCCACTCGATCGACAGCGTGCGTTCGTGGAATCGCATCCACCAGTTGTCGGCCTTGTCGCCTGCGAGCCGTGTGCAGTGAATGCGACTCTGCTGTCCGGCGCCGAGACCAATGACTTGTCCGTTCAATGCGTAACAGACAGAGTTCGACTGGGTGTATTTCACCGCGATGGTCGCGACTGTCAGGTCGCGCAGCGCCGAGCTCGACAGTTTCGGAGAATGTTTCGGCCGGATAATGGAGTTAAATGTCTCAAAGGGCGAGATTTTGACGTCGTTCCGTCCCTGTGTTAATTGGACACCGTACACAGTGCGTGTTTCTTGTGCAGGAGGCTCGTAACTCTCGTCCATTTGGAGTACCAGATATTTTCCTCCCTTCTTCTTCTTGAGGATCTCGAGGGCTGCCGGCTCATAGTCTGGGGCAATGACGCCGTCGGAAACTTCTCGAGAGATGATCTTCGCCGTGGGGACGTCGCATTTGTCGGATAGAGCAATCACGTCGCCAAAGCTCGACATTCGATCCGCTCCCCGCGCGCGAGCGTATGCTTGCGCCAAACCCGAGCTCTCGATCCCGTCGATGTCGTCGACCATGTAGACCCGTCGCTCCTTTTCATTCAACGGTACCGCGATAGCGGCGCCTGCAGGAGAGACATGCTTGAAACTTGCAGCAGCTGGTAGTCCTAGCGCTTGCTTGAGCTCGTTCACCAGGGGCCAGGCATTTAGACAATCGAGAAGATTGATGTAACCAGGCGAGCCACCCAAAACTTTGAAGGGCAATTTCCCACTGCGCACGAATGCAGCGGCAGGCTTCTGGTGGGGGTTCGCGCCATATCGAAGGGAGATCTGTTGCACCCCATTCCCGGCATATTGTTTGCGAAAAAAGTCCGCGATGGCGGCATCGTAATCGGCGGTATGTTCGAAAGCTTTCAGAGCATATCTCTGGCGACTCTCCTCCGGGATGTCGCCTTTCTCCAGCTCCTTCAGAAAGTGGTGATAATCTTCGGGATCACTGAGAATGGTTACCCGAGCGTGGTTCTTGGCTGCTGCTCTGATGAGAGTGACTCCTCCAATGTCGATTTCTTCCACGGCCTCAGGAATGGTCACGTTGATCTTAGCAACAGTGTCCTTGAATGGGTACAGGTTGCAGACGACGTAGTCGACTTTATTGATGTTCTGGTCCGCGAGATCTTTCTCGTCCGAGGCGAGATCTCTAGCCAAGATTCCTGCGTGAACGGCTGGATGAAGGGTCTTGACGCGACCAGAGAGCATTTCGGGGGCCTTTGTGATAGCAGAGACATCTCTAAAGAGCATTAGCAGATCTGGAGTGTTTGGAACAGGCAGGAAATCCCGCACTCGACATCAAAACCAGCCTCTCGGATCATTCTCGCCGTCCCACCAGAGGCGAGAAGGCGAACATTCTGCTTGATCAATCCTTTCGCGAGATCAAGTAGGCCAGTTTTGTCGTAGACCGACAGAATGGCTAACGGCGTTAGAACGGGGTGTGAACAGTGGGGAGCCCACGTGGCGAAGGTGACATGCCTATCTTCTGGGAAGCCATCGTATTGAATACCACTCGGTGCTGGGGGTTTCGAGATTTTGGACGGGAGACTGCCTGCGTCGGTGGATGAATCGTCTACAGAGCAATCCACATTGGGTGATGGTGTGGGAGTAAGTTCTTCAGGAGTTATTGCCAAAAGAACTTCAGACCGATAACTTTGTTCCTCCAATTCCCGAAAATGCAAAACATGCGATCGGAAGCAGACAAGAAATTTCAATATTGCACCTGATGGTCTACATGCTCGACGTAGTGCCAAGCTCTACGGGGGAGTAGTTTGGGGCTCGACACAGCAAGAGTCATCTCCACATCTCGACATCTCGGCAGCACGACGACATGCCCTGCACCGCCGAGCCGCCTTTGACGGCGATGGCGTTTGTGTCAGGGAGCGAGCGCGTGAAGAAAATGAGCGTCCTCCTGAGCGTATATAACCCATCTGAACAAGCTCGGGCCAATGTGCTCAGAGAAACACAATGGTGTCGAAACAGACGACGTAAAAGTTTGCAGGGATCAAAGACATAAGGATATGGTCCGAGAATGGCCTGGTCAATGTACAGCTCAACGAAAGCAACATGATAGCAGACCAGGGGCCACCTGTTTCCCCTTATGCCCTTCGTACTCGGAGGCGGACCGAGCAACCAGCGCTGTAGGAACCCGGACCCGGCGGAAGATTTTTCCGAATTCGGCTCTGTCCATCCGCTTTGTGCGAGATAATATGGTGACACAGACGTCCATAACGAGAACCCCAAGAATACATGTCCTTTCTATACTCTATACCGGGAGTGGAAAGAACATATACCTGCCCACTTAGCGAGCTATGTAGGACTATGCTCCGACAATCAGTGATACTCCGCAAACCCGTGCCCTTACCCTCTACATCGCTCACCATAACAGGGGACTACACCTCCTCTTGAGGGTGCACAGCCAGCTGCAATCTGCACGACGAGAAGAGCAATGATGTGGAATGTCCTTGTGTTCGGACGTGTTTGTCGATCTCAAGATAACAACACCAGGAGAGTTGCGGCTCGAGCTCCACCTTCCGGGAAGCCGTTTTCCCAGTGCCACCTTCACTTCCACCTCACCTCAGTGCCACCTGTAATGCCAGCTCGCTATTGTCGTTAGTGATTCAGACATGTCACTGTCACTTACCAGCTACCTTCTGCCAGGCGCCATTCACGTCCTGCTTCAGACTCGTTCAACTTACCAGATCATGTGACTCACCCGTCGGCTGACTGCCTGGTTGATTCAAACTCAATATCACTGAAGCTCATTCACTTTTTCTGCGTTACTGCCAGGTCTTCTCATACGAACCCCTTTTCAGAACCGACTTTGGTTCTCTTCCCTAGTCCTCATTTCCAAAGGTTCTCTTACTGCTTCTCGTGCTCAAATATCTCTCTTCCGCGCAGTTTAGGGCCTGGTTCACAGCATTTCCTGTATCATCCCCCCACCCGTCGCATGCTGGTGGTGCAAAGTATAATAAAGAATCACAATGTCTTCATCGAAGCGTAATCGCACGCTTCCTTACCGCAATCGGCAGCATGTCCTTCGTTCGATCCCCCAGCACCAAGGCCCATCTGCTCCTCGGCCGCAGGCAGAGAGGCGTCATCCACTGCCTGGACCGACCGCCGAAGCCCCCAGGGCTGCGCGGCCCCGATTCGCGAAACCGTTCCCCTTCTTCAAGCTACCTGGTGAAATCAGGAACCGGATCTATGATCTGATCGTACCCGAAGCTCGAGTCATGATCTCGGCAAATCATCCCCAGAAGGAACTTGAGTTGATGAGGCAAAGAGAACCCTCCAAGAAACACAAACCACCACCTCACCGTCTACTTGGCCGGTTCACCGGAAACCCAACCGAGGCTGCCCTTCTTTGGAGCTGTCGTCAGATGAACCAGGAGGCCGTCAAGTTCATCTATTCCCGAACCACGTTCTGCTTCGACCGGATCGTTGTATTGCGCAATTTCCTCAAGACTATTCCTCAACCAGCTCGTGAGAACATCCGGGCCTTGGAGATCACCCACGTCGGGTACGCGGAACCCCAATGGATGGCGGACCGCCGGTGGAAATTGAGACACGATGCGAAATGGGCAATGGCTTTACGACAGATCCAGGATCAGGTGACTGCACTGCGACACCTGACCCTTGATGTCACATTCTTTGACTGGCCGTGCCGACTTGATGTCTCTGAGAAATGGGCTCGTCCTTTTCTTGAACTCGCCGGGGATGGCCTACATCGCGTGGACTTCACCTTGAATCACGAGCGGTTCCATCCGGTCAAGGTGGCCGCGACGGCCAAAGAGTTGCAGAATAGGATGATGAGTGCAGACGGGAGAAAGGCGAGACGACGAGATGAGAGGCTCAAGGCGGAGATGGAGAGGAAGCGGTTGGAGGAATCCAAACGTAAAGCGACCAAGGTCTTGAGGATCAACTTTTCGCCGGGCGGAAATTCTTCCAAGGTGAATATGGCCAACAAGAAAGTGGTGAAGAGCAAAGGACTGGAGCAATATGCGGTGGCACAACCTCCCGTGGCATACTGTTGAACGTGGTATGACTTGGCGCTGGGGGTGGGCGAGAGACCGATCTGTTGAAGGCGTTGAGGGCGTTGCGATCCACCGGTGCTCAGACTATGGGAGCGGGGGAAGATAATCGGGAAAGCTATGATCAAACAGCATTATTGAAGGCAGTTGTGGCACAAGGCGGCTCGAGCAAGCCACGAGTGGAGTTCAGAGTAACGTGATGACCTTTCATGGAGGCCAGGGGACAGGTGAGCACTGTTCACAGGGAAGACAAAAAGAGCAACACAATGCAGTGCTCATGATATGCCTAGGAACGGATGGAGCATCACGGTCAATCACAGATTAGTATTATGGGGACATCAAAGGATAGCGATGGGCAGGAGCAGTACCGAGTCGATACATACATAGCTCCAGTGCAGTGCTCTAAACATAGAAATTTCTAAGGATGAAGATCATCACCACTCGGCGGCTGCAGGTGGCAGCTTGAGCGGACGAAGAATGAAAATAAAAATAGTCAATGGGCCGAATGACCTGATGGGCGCCGAGGAGAGGATCCCCACTGCAGCTTGACCGGCCTAGAACCTGCCGCAGCCTGCAGCCTAGTGAGCCTGCAGCCCAGAACCCAGGGCCCCAGTTACTGGCAACCCCCGCCATTACTTATTAATATGCCACCCGGGTGCTTTATGGAGGCCCCTAAGCATTCTAACGTACTGGGTAATCAAGGTCCTGCGTCGTGTGGGTGGTGGCTAGTGAGGCTACCTATTAGTACGGTATGTGTGGACTTACAGTACTCGGTACATGCATCCGCTACCCGATCTTAACGAATAATATTAGCAACCCACTGGCACCAATGCAGCCGGTGCAGCACATCACTTGATCCCCCAGTACTAAGTGGCCGACAATGTGATGGCCCAGTTCTCTCACTGCTCATTCGCCACGACTCGGCGCTTCCTCAACGCCTCAGGTCCAATCAGCCCGGTATTGTTCGCCTTCATCACCGTCGATGCCCCTCCTGGCTGCATTCTCAGTGCCTCTCGGCTCCTCATCCATCCCAATCCATCCCATCGTCCTCTGCCTGTCGTTCTCCCAGCTTCCTCAAGCGCCCAACTCAATCCCCCTCTCCCCATCTCGGAAAAGAAATGTCAAAGTCAGTCACCTTATAGGAAACAAGAATAGGTAAACCTCCCCCCAGACGCTCCAGAAGCTTCATTTACTACTCAAAGCCGGCCTCGTCCACGTCCTGGTTGCTCTTCCTCCACCCTCTCCTCCCTTCTCACCTTCACCTCATCCTCCAGCCTCGATCCTTCGCCCTTTATATTCCCTTTTTCCACAGCTCGCGCAGGCTTCGCTGAGTCGTTGTGTCTTTTCTTTGCTTCTTGGCCCGTTGCCCCTCCCAAGCACCGCCCTGCATTGCCCGCCTTACCGCAACTCCCCCAGAGGAGGAGAATTAAAGAAAACCAAGAGACCGGTTGACCGACCTCAAAGCGCCAATTGCGACCACGCTTGTTCCACCCTGGATTTCCCTGGCAGTCTTTGGAGCCTCTCTGCAGACTACTCCCTTGTCCACTGCACCAGTTGAACAAGTCACACCCAGGCCCCCGCGAAGCGCCTCGGGTCGTCCAACCTAATACTCGACCTGTTCGCCCATCAGCCTCTTGTGTCCTTCTCACACCCTTCCCTCAACCATCTCACCACCTCACCACCTTTCTGTCTTTTTCTTTGCTTGCCCTAGATCTGAGCTGGTTCTCGACAATATAACAAAACCGACATTATCGAACCACACTCCCTCCGGTGGTCGAAAGCATAACGCCCTCCCGCTTGCTATATCAGTTCCCGTCTCACGTCAGCATCGGCCAAACTGCCCGTCAAACAGCAGCAAGGCCTGCTCCGATCAACTGCCACCTGCGCCCTGGGGAATCCCTGTCCTACGCTACCCAAGACTGGGCTGAATTTATCGCCTCTCCGATAAAGAACTGGTTCCCTTCCCCTCTCCACCATGTCTCCGTCAAACTTCGAGCCTGTGTCTCCCATCGACCTCACTGTCGACTCCCAAGCCCGCTCCCACCGCACTGGACGTTTTGCCAACGACCCAGATCTGGACGAAAAGTCAGATATCAAAGCGACCACTCGCTCGATCCGAACCAATTCCACGGCCTCTTCACGTTCGTCCATCGGTGGCGGCAACAAACGCGCGAGGCGGGCTCGCTTTGCCGAAGCGACGTCTGTCTTCTCGCCCGCCTCCGGTCCTGGTGAGAGTCAGTCACCCTTCGCCGATCCTCCTGCCAGCGGCAAGATGGAGAACGGCTTCGGCAGCTCTGCAGCTGCCAAACCATCCGACGTGGGATTCGGCTACATCGCAGACAACCAGCCCGTCGAGCAGACGGTCTATATCCGAGCTGATCCCAATGGCTCCGCTGGACAGCCCCTCAAATCCGCCTTGAAGACACCGGGGACCGCATCCAGAATGTTGAACCCTCTCTCGCCCACGTTCCGAGAAGAACAGCTCCTCGAGAAGGAGGAAATGAAGACCGAGCTTCAACAGGCGAAAGATCTGGTAAGGCTGCTCCCGCTGCTCCCCTCACGATCGCTCGCTTGCTAACCGATCACGTAGAAAGTCAAAACCCGCGTGCGCATGGCCAAAATGGTGCTCCGAGGCGTCAACTTCTCTTGCTCCCTCATCGTTCTCGCCATGCTTTCGACCGTGTTGACCATTTTCCACGCCACCAAATCCCTCCCGGCGCGAAACAACCTGCCGCCGTGGGCCGCCGGCCAAAAGACTTGGCCGCAGATCGTCGTGTTGTCCATTGCTTGTGTTTCCCTCCTCTTCTCCGTCATTGTTATTCTGGCGTACTGCCGCGGTGGACACAAGCGTGCGGAGAAGGTCGCGGTGTATTACACCATGTTTGCGGTCGGGTGGTTCATGTTCAGCACTGTCATGTGGCTTGTCGGCGCGGGCATCTTGCATGGGAGCAAAGCCAGCGGCAACGGTCAGGATCTGTGGGGCTGGTCCTGCAAGGACAACAAACGCCGCCAACTCTTCCAAGACGACATCCATTACGCCCTGGTGTGTCGCCTGCAGGATTGGTCCTTGATCTGCTGCATCATTGAGGTCGTGGTCGAGGTGATCGTCATCGCCATCTACGGCATTGTCTTCTACAGATTCTGGAGCAAGAACCGACTCAGGAAATCCATGGACGCGCGCGATCGCGCCCGCACCGATCTTTACCTCGCCCAGTTGCGGACACAGTCTGCCCCGAACACACCGGGCTTTGCACAGACGCCCAGGACTCCTGGATTCCCTTCTGCCTTGAAGAGCCCGCGAGACATGTACGCGGCCGCAGAGCAAGGCACCTCGCCAGTACAATTTGCCTCGCCCCACAGCAATACCACTGCATCACCCTTCAAACTCCAAGCACCACCCATCCGGTTAACGAGAGCCACTCCCACCTCCACTGCGACGGAGGGCATCAGCTCGCCGAGACTATACTCATCGTCACCGCCTCCTCAACCGCCCATGTCCCCTCCGCCGGAAGATCGGATACACGAACACATGGCCGCGGCGCCCGGCGAACAACAGTACGAAGCCGTCCCTATTCCCGGGGCGAACTACGTGCCGCCCAGTCACAACCAAGGGCAGCCCGGGCAGGCGTATTAAAACCGAAAAATAGAAAACCAAGATGAGATGTGGATCGCGTTAATTGTACACAACCTAATACAGTGGGGGGTGCCTGGAGCAGGATGTATGCGGGATGAAATATCATGAGCGTTCTTTTGCAATTTACCTCCAAGCCTTACAGGCCAGGCCTTTTAGGGCTATATCAGAAGGGAATCAAGGATGAGGAAAGCAAAGGTGTAAGGGCAGGACCAACCACAACCACCACCAAAGACTTTGTCTATCAAGTCTCAACCATTTTCTTTTCTCTTTTCCTTTTTTTATATATATCAAGAAATTCGTCCACCTCATTCTTTTTTTTTGGGCGGGGGCGGGGGTTCATGGACATCTGATGTATGTAGTGTATGTAGTGTATGTACGTACCTACTATGCTCAATTGACCGAGAGATACTGTACCTAACTAACTAGCTTACCTGCCTGCCTTCCTGCCTGACCTACCACCCTCTCTCTGATGATCGAGGTTCCAAATCCCATCTAAGAAATAAAAGAGGAATCTATTGCTTCTCCCTTATTTACCCCTTTCCTGCACGTCCATAGTATCATGGGCTCGTATCCCTCCTCTCCCTCCTAACCCCTTCTTACCCCCTTCTTGACCCTTCGCTCGCTCTTATTATCCGTGTCTATTCTTAAATCTTCTTACCGTGGCCGTGGTTTATCTGTCACACTCGTGTTACCTAGACGCGGCCCGCCGGAAAGTGCGATTTCTTTTCAAATGGGCATTTGGCTGTGACAGTTCGCACGACGAGTTAGCGAGTAAGCGAGTGAGTGAGTGAGTGAATTAGATCCACTTGGGGGTAATTATATCGAATCCGGACCGGGATTCTTGGGTCTCAAGAAAGAAAGAAGGACAGAGGGTCGGTCTATCTTATCACCGTTTGGGAAGGGAGGGGGAGAAGGGGCGCGGTTTGGAGGGGCTGGCTGGCTGGGTACTGAGAGTGTGGGTGGAAGGAACACGACAGGATTTTGCAGGGGCTGTATGTGTATATGTATGTGTATGTGTACACGGGAGCGGAATCGATGGAAATAGTGAATGGTCGAACAAGTTTGACCGCACTTGATATTACGCACCTCCAGCTGGCCATGCTGGCTTGTTCCCAATTCCTATCCCAATCCCAGGTCCTGTGCCGCGGCCTCGTGGCGGTTGCGGCGGTCATATTGACGAGAAGATGCGCCTCCGTCGTGGTTGTTACACCCCGGTCGATGCGTTTGACATTTTCGTAGAAGACGTTATTGCTCTTGCTCGTCATCCCTAAAAACAAACCGAAAAGAAAGAAAAACCAACACCTCACATCAGCCCGCCGTACGGATCATCCTGCCTCTCATAGAATGCGCGCCTCATACCTTCACCGGATGCCCATCGCTGCCGCGGCGCGTACGACGTCGGCGACGGCGAGACACGGAAACCCAGGAACTTGTGTGCCTTGCCCGGCCCGTCGCTCGGGCTGGTCAACGACGACGACGACGACCGAGGCTTCGAGGAGTGGTGGTGGTGGAAAAGGGATTTCGTGCTGGAACGCCTCCGCTCTGCGTCTGCTGCTGCAACTCCCCTCGTGGGCGAGACGGATGGAGGAGAGGGCGTCTGCGAGGGCGTGTAAGGTGGCGTTACGTGTTGTGTCCGATGTCCAAACATGGCTTTGACCTGTTCCATGTTCCGCATGTGGCTCGCGTAGTCCAGCTCTAGCACTTCCGGCTCCCGCTGGAGCCCTTGGTCGACCTGGAGAAGGTACTCTTTAGCGCTCTCTCCGGCAAACGCCAGCACACCCTCCGCATCGAAGTTCTGAGCTGGCTCGAGGATGCCCGACCCCACCAACATATCAAGTGCAGCAAGGAGCCAATCCTCTTCGGGCCCATAGGTTGGAGTTCGGTAGAGCAAGGTCGAGACTCTAGAGGCGAGTTTGGTGACAGGTAGATGATGCGTACTCAGCAGGATCCGGAGAGCCAGGCGGAATGGTTGGTTGGGAATGTCCGAGCTGATGTCTGTCGTCGTCTCCTGGGGAGTCTCTGCGGCAACGTCTGCTTCTGGTGATGGTTTCGACTGCTCGGCGGCAGCCGCTCTGACCGGGATCGGGACAGGGAACGCCTGCTGGCGAAGTTGGTGACGGTGCATGTCATAAAGCACCGTTTCGAGCGGAGGAGGGGTATTACTGCCCGACTTCGACAGAAGCCGGGAGCTGGAGAAGAGAGACTTGGCTTTGGGCCTGGGTGCAGACGGGTCCTGCTGCCGCTGCTGCTGTTGGGCTTCGGTGATTGGTGTGAGCAGGATTGCCCAGTGAATGGCACTGACTCCTTGGTCGGCTGACCGCGATGGCAAGAAGCCTAATACTGTGATCTGCGACATTTTGCTTGTCCTGTTGTCGATGTCCTCAGAAAATGAGAAAAGCCACCTTTATCGCGCTTGACAAAGTTGATCTCAGGTTCTCGTTCAATATGCAAAAGTGCCCTGAAAAGGTAAAAGAACAAAAACCCCAAAATCCCACAATGGGGAAAGAAAACCACAATCCACGCAAGGGAATGAACCCAGGCTTCTTATTCCCCAGATCTCGAAAAATTGATTATAAAATGTTGTAGTCGGATAGCTCTGTGGGCGAATCCGGGGCTACAATCCTGCCGAAATGGGACTGCTGATGCTGATGACTGTAAGGCTGATGCCCCTGACAACAGTGGTAAGGATGAGTGATCTGAGGTTGATCGGTGAGAATCACTGATACGGCCGGATGAGAGATATAACCTCCTTCGATATCAGGTCTCGATGGAGTAATGGGTGTTGCCTTTAAATAAGCTGGAGTCTCGGATACAGACCGATACCTCGTTCGTGTCTGAGACTTGGTTTATTTGTTGATATCGTCTTTGGTCGTATAGAACGCCTGACTATTTGGAGGCCTGCGCGCCTAACTTAGGTCAGAACCTGTACGGATTCGACTAATGTACAGGGACCCGAAGAGCAGCGAAAGCCTAGCCGCTGCCCAATTGGACCTTTCTCGTATGCTTAGTGGCTGTAGGGTAAGTTGAAGCCAGGTGAGGGCCCCGGCTAGTGTAGCAGTGACAAGTAATCAAAACAGATGGAGATGAGAATCAGATGGGACAATTGATTCGTCAAACGAGGATAGAATAAAATGGCTTGGGAATAACCGGATGTGGAAGCTGGAAGAGTGATGCCAGGCGTAGGGGAAGGTCACCAGAAGAGCTGCTCTTGATATAAGGACATCACGGTCTCGCTGTTTTATCATTACCTGCTGGCCGGTTTTACTCCGAAGTCCAGAGTCCTGTGCACTGCAGCCATGTGATGGCCATCAAATCACGCATGTTGTCCTTTTTTTTCTGGATTTCCATGGAGCACTGTGATTTTCGAGAGTCGAGAGGATTCGCATCCATGCGTTAATCATTGCGGCACTTTGTCCGGGGATGATCATTTTGGCCTCCATTGGCAGCGGCATGATTGGTCGAAGGCCCTTGCACATGTGTTCCGATGACTTCCATCCAATCTCACGACGCCTTTCGCTGAGTCACGCCGATGCCCGAGACTTTTCCGCGGAAAGCTGAGTGGCGCCCGAAGCCTCGCCGGCGACCTATGGACGAGATTAGTGGTCGACGGTAAACAGACCGTACCCTTTTTTCCTCCATTGGCATACGTAGGGCGTGCATACGGGATGGGCAACCCTGACCGAGATCAGAACACTAGGACTAACTTGCTCGTCCTGTACTTCTGTTTTGAGAGACGACGTCAAAGGCGCAGCCCACATAGCAATCTCGAGGTCACCTCACGACCCGACGGCGAGGGTCTTCACCCTGCAAGAAGAGTCATGACGCTATTTCTTCGTCGATGCCATTCGATCACGTCGTAAGTGCTGTTGGAGCACAATCACATAACCACATATCTGCGAGAGGTGGATTGAACCATATCCGAGAATTGCTGGGATGGTGTCTCCGTGATGGTGATGGCAAGTGTGAGTCTATATTCGACTGAGGGGTAAGGGGAGAAGGCAATAAGATGGATTAAAAGGTGGCCAACACTGCAAAATAGGCAAAAGAACACGGCAGACATTTATTTAGTCTGAGCAGGGGCGGTCTGGTACAAGACCTCACTCTGCCACGGGAACCTGCATCATCATGTAGAGCAAACGGAGGAAACGCAGTACCAAAGCTTGGGTACAAGGGTATCATTTGGAATCTTGTTGGGTCTTGTCATATCGGAGTGTCGGGTGTTGTACAACGAGGGTGATAACTGAAGTGTTATTACACGAAAACGATGGCTCTTTCGAACATTCATCTGCACAGCTGACAACGTACACCCCCCACACTGCCTTGTCCTAACGCCCAGCTGTGAATGGTGACCTCCTCCTCCTCATCAGAGAGAACTCGCTCTTTGCCATACTTTGAATCCCTTGCGAGAGGCGTTCCGCAGCGAACTGGTTCAGAGGCTCAAACACCTCTGCTCACATCGTCGGGGGATAGTTTCCTCCCCGCTTCCTGTTAAAAGCACGCTGATCTTTTAGCCACCGTCGATAGCCGGCCACACTTCCCACTTTCTCGCCGTAGAAATCAGGCACTGGATTGTTGGTGCTCGCACCAGTTGGGTTGACTCTGTGTTTTTTGATCCGCTCAAAAAATTCTCGCTCTTTTTTGTTGAACTCTGGCAGACGGCTCCGATGCAACAGTCTCCAAAGGGTGTTTCCAAAAGCAGGGCCAATCAGCCAGCCAAAGAAGGTGGCTCCAAATGTTGCAATCCCGATACCAATGACAGGATCGGTGGGAATGACTTTGGTGATATTATCAGCAAGGGCTGGGATTTCGGAAAATGCGACCAATGCTCCGGTTGTCGAAGCAAAAGATGTAATGATCGAGGAAGTGAGGGCGTAGCGGCGCCGTACAGTTCGTAGGCGGAAGAAGGTGTTCCAATCTAGGGCAGTGGGAGAGGAGGCGGACGGCGGTGTTGTGGAGGTTGTGGAGGCGGAAGCTGTCGATGCATTTCTCGACCGACACAGAGAGGGAGTGAAGAATGAGGAAGGCGTCGAGCTTGAGGAGGGCGGATTCGCAGCCAGAGGTGTGAATTTCGATGCTGAGACTCGGTGACGGCTCTGCGCAACGAGAGTTGCCGACGATATTTCGCGTCGTGAGGTCGGCAACGCCTTTTTCGTCGGGGCTATGAGCGGACGAGTCTGGATCAGCTGTAGACCCAACCTCGCAGCCCTGGTGGACATTCTGAATCGGATTCCAGCTGGTTGCTGATGGTAGAGAATTGAACAAAAGTTTTTGGACCCAACAGGTGACGGTAGGGAGCCCTGATGTCTCAGTCCAGTTTATCAGATCGAAAACCAGAAACAGACTGGTCAAGATCCAGGCCGTTTACCAGAAATGACCAATAGAAACCGCTGGCCGGCTGCTGTTCACCAATCGAGGATGAATTTATGAGAGCACACAGCCGCTTTGCGATTATTTGGAGTCGTAGCTGATCTGAGACGGAGCGCAGCTTCGGTGGTGTGGTCGAATCCCTTTGTGCCGAACACGTGCCGAAGAGAGAGCCCGCCCCAAAGTCCCTCACTAAAGTGCCCAGTGCCTTTGCTCGGGCGCCACGGGCACCCCTCTAGCTAGCACTTCACTGTTCAGGCCATGCTCGTCGCATCGGAGGGTGCCCAGTGCCAGTGCCTAGTACCCGGTACCCAGTGCCAAAGTCAGCATAAACTGGTTGGTCGTTTTTGTGGCCCGTGCACTCTGCAGGAAGATGTTCTCAGTTCAGCTCGGGTAATAATGGACCCCTCAGGAAGTCTTCGAGGCAGCTTCTACGACCAGTGGTCTAGCCCTCGACCTTTTTCGGAAGCTCACGCCCGGCACCCGGCTCACCCTTGTGCGCCATTGCACTATCCACCCCGGGCAAAAAAGAGACTGGCGAGAGGCCTTGTCGAGCCTATCTGTTGCCTTTTCCTCGCCCATAGCCCTCGCCTGCACCGCCTGGGAAAGGCTCAACACTGCTCCTCTTTTGGTTAACCTTCCACAGTCCGACAGACCTATCAGTGTCAATTCCATCCCCTTTCTTATCCTAGAGTCCCATTGAGTTGGAGATTGTATGGTTATGGCACACCCTGTGCAGTATTCTCCCCGCCTATGCCGCTTTCGCACCTGAAGCCCGTGCCAGCATCTCGCCTGTCTTTTAAGTGAGTGTGTGTGCCGCGTCGGCGCTTTTCGAGTTCAACTAGTCCTCTCGATTCTTTCCACAAAACTTATCAACCTCTCGTCGGGATTGACTCTGAGATGACCCCTTCATCCCACGCCAGACCCGATTCCATCTCCACTCAGACGCTGATGTCGCTGTCCCACGACCTTCACCGGTGACAAGTCTCCGCCGACGCCATGCCGCGCCCAAAGAGACCCGACCAGGATGGGAAAGAGGTCAAGAAGCGGTCCAGGAATGGTTGCTGGTTGGTCTAGACATCTTCCAAGTGGCGAGCTCAATAACTTATCTTCCCTTCCGCAGGCCTTGCAAGTCGAGGAAGGTCAAATGGTAAGTGGTCCTTTTCCGCTCCGCATGTGAACTGGCTGGGTAGATGCTGACAATGTGCTTTTCAGCGGGGAGGAGAAGCCGACCTGCGCCAACTGCCAGCGACAAGGCGAAACATGCGATTACAGTATTCGACTGAACTGGGATGGTCGGAACAAAAAGAAAGAGGAAGGGAACGGAAAGCCTGGCGCGCAGATTCTGTCGTTTGGCACTCCTCAACCCTCGAATGGATACACCAACGGCAGTCTCGACCAGAGCCCCAACATCAACGACCAGATCCTAGCCCCTCCAGTCACCATCCAAGTACCTGACTACGCAGTCGACCAGCCTTCGGTGGACGCTGGATTGCCTTCGATCAACCCTTTCTCCAACAATCTCTCTGTCCCGGCGACGACCGACTTCAATCCTGCGATCCTTCCACCTCCGCCGATACTGAGAACGCCCCAGTGGGGTGACAGCGCCAATGTGAACCCTCCCTCTGTCCCCGACCCTACCCTCATCCCGCCCTCTGTACGACATCCGCTGTCTCTGCCACCCTATCCTTCTCCGTCAGAATCCGGCTTTGGCAGTCCGAACCTCGGCAACGGAATGAACAATTTTAACGGTTATTCTATGCAGATGCCTCCGCCGATGCACACGTCTAATCCAATGACATACCAAGAATCCGCCAATTCGCCCTACAACCCGAACAAGAGGATGAAATTGAGTCCGAGAACAGACAGTTTCGGGAGGACTGCGCCCAGCTATCAACGAGCAGGATCTTATGGTCCCAACGATACTGAAGAGGTCGGCCCGCGTGTCCAGTTCAACCCGCACACACCCACTTTCTTTCCCTCCTACCTTAGCAATCCCTTGACACCGGCGACCTCGGCCACCTCTCAGACACAAGACAACGAGGACAGACGGATCTCCGTAAGCTCGCTGCTCTCTGAAGACCCGGAGCCGGAGGATCGCCGAGATTCCAGGCAAGATGATCAGAACGGGACATTCGACGAACAGATTCCGCGACGGGGCTCTTTACACCAGCGGATGATATCGTACTCGGAAACGGAGACTTACGGCCAAGATCGTGGTAATGTCGATCTTGACGTTCCCCGGAACAACGATACCATGGCCATCTCTGGAATGTCACCATCGGAACACAGCGACTTCGAGTCTTGGTTGAATGACACAGATTTAGGTGTCCCGGAGTTTGGCTTCGGTCTGGTCAGTCGAGAGACGGTATTTGCCAGCGGAGGATACTATGCCGCGCCGGTGCCCATCAAGATCCCTCGGAAGCTGGAGCCATTGCCCCGTGCTCTGTCGGAGAATCCGATGAACCTTCTATACTTCCATCACTTCCTTAACCACACGGCCAGAATTCTTGTTCCTCACGATTGTCCCGAAAACCCATTCAAAACGATACTACCAAAGAGTATGTCTGCAAGATCCTCCTCTACTTCATAACTGGGATTCCTGTTCTGACCTTAAATAGTGGCCGTCGAAAATCAGAACCTGCTGAACCTGCTGCTAGCGTACTCGGCGTGCCACCGAGCCCGGCTTTTGAATCACCCGGAACCTGCGAACCGCATAGCGCACTGGGTCCGGGATGTGTTCCCTTCCCTGCGGCAGACTCTAGATAACGTGTCGAATACCGAGGTATCGAACGCGAATCTGGCGACGGCGATCATGCTTGCGTCGCTGGAAATCATCTCACCTTCCAGTTTTGGGGTGTCGATCCCATGGCAAAATCATCTCAGCATTGCTCGGAGCATTATCCGCGCTCGCACCGGTCCGCACTCCATTTCACGCAAAGACCCTGTCATGTACTTCTTGACGAGATGGCTGGCGTATCTCGACGTGATGGGTTCGCTTTCGGGGAGGCGTAATGAGGAGCCCCTCTATGCGGGCAACTACTGGTCCAGCTCGCACGAGGACAGCACCTCGGCCAAAGAGTTGTCGTTGACCGATGACGATGGCGATGATGAAGACGACTATACGATCGACTGTCTCCTCGGATTCACAACCAGATGTGTGCAAATCCTAGCCCAGGTGGCTCTTTTGGCGAGAGAATGTGAAACGGCAGGCCGAATTGACCCGGACACAGGACAGATCAACGAAGACTGGAAGCCTTCCATGGACATGCTCAAGAGGGCAGAGAAACTGCGTCAGGATCTCGAACGAGCTCGCAACCATGAGCAGATCCAGTGCGCTCACCACAGTCCCCAGATCACCAAAGCATCCCTCTGCGGAACGCACGGCACGCGTCGCAATTCGGCTTATGCCGAGATGTCGGAAAAGGACGTTGAAGAATCTCTGGCGACAAATTCGGCCTTTCACTGGGCTGGGCTGGTCCATCTCTTGCGACGGATCCATAACCTCCCGCGTGGGGACCAGGAGGTGCAGATGGCCGTCCACGAAATTGTCAAGGTCCTCCAGCAGATCCGAGCCGGCGGAAGTGCCGAAGCATGTTTGCTCTTCCCCATGTTCACCGCGGGAGTTGAAGCAGAAGACGCCTTGGATCGTGCTGAAGTATTGAGTCGAATCAAAGGCGCCGAGGGACTTGGAATGTGTCAAGTCAGTCGGGCCCGTCGGATCATGGAAGAAGTGTGGAGGACCGGGCTCAGTTGGGAATGCCTGGTAACTGGCGAGTTCTTTGGCTGAAAACCTGTCTCTCTACCCTTGATATGAAAGAAGAGAGTTGAAGAAGTGTGTATCTTTGCGGGGAGGAAAGGGGACCGATCGGTTCGATGTCTCCCTCGTGATGTTTATGGAATACTGTTTGTTGTTTCTTTTCTTTAGCGTGGGAGTTGCGGGCGTCGTCCAAATACCCAGACTGCCATTACATATATGGGTACATATTTATAGGTATCAATGGGGGGGCAATTCGAAGCAATCTTTGGATATTGTCTTACGAGCTGGACTTGCCCAGTTAAAGGTACATAGCGATAGCTCTGCGAAGCACTGGAGATACTTCGGTTCTATTGCAAGGCCTCACTAGCCTCACGAGGCTCGGAAATAAAATGCCACCAATTTACGTCAGCTGGGATCTTCCATCTTTGATCTTCCATCTCACTTCGTCACCGTCGTCGTTCTTCAGCATCACTTCTCTCTTCTTTTCTTCCCCTCTGTCGCTTTGAAGGTGTTATAGGCCGATCGGACGCATTGAGTACACACCGGGGGACACCCTCACTTACTGGTAGCTCATTCTCTTTGACCTGATTCTATTCCTTTGAATTTTCGGCTTTAGCTGAGGAGCTAGTCATCCCCGGTCGTCCACTTTGTTGAGCTCTTTCTCTCTCACATAAAATATGGCCTCTGAATCACCGTCGGAGACACTTGGTATGGACAAACTCATCCAACGCCACCCGCTGCAAAAGCTCCAGTCGCCCTCGCGAGGCGTCTCAGCCCTCCTTCACTCAGCCGGTCTTGCCAGCTTCGCCTACAGCTTCCACTGGCTGAGCACGCACCCCAACCACATCAACAGCGCGTACGGGTGGCACTTCCAGTACCTGACCATCATCGGGCTGACGCTCGCCACCGTCACCTTCGTGCTGGGCCTGCTGGCCGACCTGACGCTGTCCCGGCGGCTGTTCGCCGCGAAGAACGTGCTGAGCATGTGCTCGGCGCCGATGGAGGTGCTGGTCAGCACGCTGTACTGGGGCCTGCGCGCGATCGACCCGCAGCTGGTGGTGCCCAAGGAGCTGGAGCTGCCGCTCCCGACGGACGTCAGCTTCCACGCCACGCCGTCGGCCCTGCTGCTCGTCGACCTGCTGCTCTTCAGCCCGCCGTGGACCATCACCGCCGTGCCCGCCGTCGTGCTCAGCACCGCCATCGCCTTCCTCTACTGGTTCTGGATCGAGCTGTGCTACTCCTACAACGGCTTCTACCCGTACCCGCTCTTCGCCCTGCTGGACCAGACCCAGCGCGTCGCCCTGTTCGGCCTGAGCGCCGTCGTCATGGCGGGGAACACGGTCGTCTTGAAGCGCATCTATGCGCTGCTCAATGGGTCGCAGAAGGCCGGGACGGAGAAGCCGGGCAGGTTGAAGAATTAATTTTAGATCTGGGGGTACGAAAGGAAAGGACGGGGCAGAAGGGAAGAAAGAAAGTGGCGAGAAATGCATTTCTCAGGCGAAGGACAGGGAAAATTCTGATTTTGAATTTCTTGTGGGGTTTGCCTTGGTGCGGGCTCTGATATAAGTCTGCGAAAGGAAAGAAGGGGATTAGACGCACGCCCCTTCTCCTCTCCTCTCCCCTGTATGGTGGACTTCTGGCGTGTTCTGGAAGGGGGGCAAGGAAAGGGGGGGCTCCGGCGAGGTGGTAACGGGATTGGCATGTTGGAGTGCAATCAATTCATCTGGGTGTTTGCTTGGTTTGTTGGCTAGTCTTCAGCGATGGTTGACAGAAGGAGGAGTTCTACAGGCGGTGTGTCTGTGCTGCTCCCCGTCATCACGCTTCTGGATAAGTGAGCGTCTAACAGACACGGCTATCTATCCCCTTTGGGCTGTGAGCTGTGAGACAAGTCTCTCTGCATAGGTGCCTGTGGGATCGTATCAGGGGTCGGTGGGCTTCTCTCAAACAAGGAAACATGGATCTAGTGTCTCGCGCAACACTGAAATATGTATATTCACAGACAATCACTTGCCCGGATACTCCAGTACCAGTACCGTCTCACTGAATCTCCGAATACGCATTCAGCGCCAACTGACCGCCCAAGTGGGCGTAGAGCACATTGCTTCCTGCCGCAATCTCGCCCTTCCTGATCATGTCAATCATGCCTGCGAGACTCTTGCCCTCGTACACGGGATCCGTGATGAACGCTTCTGTCCTGGCCCCGAACCGGATCGCCTCGAGGGTTGCTTCGTCGGCTAACCCGTACGTGCCCGCGTGGTACCGCGTGTCGAGAATGATGTCGCTCACGGCGATGTCTGATTCGTTCAGCCCGATCTTGGAGGCGGTCTGTCGAGCAATCCGCAAGACTTGGTCGAATGTCTCCTTGGGCTTTGCGCTGGCGTCGATGCCGATGATCTTTCTCTTCTTCTCGTCAGGCCGTGGATGGAGGCTTTCAAGGAGTTTGAAGCCGGCCACCATGCCCGCGAACGTGGAGCCGGTGACGGCACAGACGATGATCGTGTCGAAGAACTGACCCAGCTGCTCTTCTTGGGCGTGCACCTCGAAGGCCCACCGGGCGAAACCGAGACCGCCCAGAGGATGATCTGAGGCTCCGGCGGGGATATACTAATATCGAAGACCAGAAGTCAGTATCCACGGCTGGAACATGGACAGAGGGAGGGCAGTAGGAGCTCGACGTCAATCGCTGCCCGTGGGATGCACTTATGATCCGAGCCAAGTCATCGGCATCCGACACCGACTTGCAACGAGCAGAGAGAGAGGGGGAGATAAAACTTACATAAGGTTTCCCTCCCTGGGCAATGACTTCCTCCTCCAAACCTTTCAGTGTCTGCTTGTGCTCAATGCCAAACCCTGACTGATCAAGCCTCACATCTGCGCTCATAAGTCTCGACAACTGGATGTTTCCCACCTTATCATACCCAACGTCCTCGTGATCCACCCATTTCTCTTGCACAAGCTTGCACTTCAACCCCAACTTGGCGGCAGCGGCAGCAACCTGACGAGTATGATTCGACTGGTATCCACCGATGGAGACCAATGTGTCGCATTTCTGGGAGAGAGCGTCGGGGACCAGATACTCGAGTTTGCGGGTCTTGTTGCCACCAAATGCGAGGGCCGAGTTGAGGTCTTCTCGCTTAGCATACACACCGACCTTGCCCCCTAGGGCAGCGGTTATGTTTGGAAGAGCATGGATGGGGGATGGTCCTAGAGTGAGGGGGTATCGGGGGATGGAGCCAAAGGTTTCGGGAAGGGGAATGTCTTCCGTCTTCAAGCTGGTTGCTGCCATGTCGGGGTCGATCTGTGCGTTCTCCTGCTCAGTGTCCTATGCCCAAATTACGGTCACTGAAGATGACACTCGTATTGGGGGGTTGAGTGCATTTTGTAGACGAAGAAATATCGCCTGAGGTTCGCTACGGCCAATAGCAATGTCATTTCACCGACGGACAATGGACTTGGCACCTCAATGCAGTTCGAATGGCGAGGGGGTGTTGTCCGTTGTCTTCTCAAAGCCGGAGCAAGGCTATTGAAATCGCGGTCACGGCGTGTTGTTCGGTATGGCAGCTGGGGACAGTCGGGAGACTCGGGGGTTGATTAGTCCAGGGCCCTGACGCCGAGGGCGCGTTCTGCTGATATGTGTTTCATTCCTGTTCTTTTATAAGGTGTATCTCGTGAGATGCAGGCCAATCAAGCTCTTCTAGTCAACCACTATCAATAGTCCTCGATGGATGGCTGGAAAAGTTGAAGAGGGATAACCTTCAACGCTCTTGAACCGAGTTTAATCAGGGTCTGACGAAAGTCGTCTCAATGTGTTGATCTTTCTTGGGACCGAGCACTTCATGGAGGGTCGTCCAGGAGAACAGAGAAAACGGCGAAGTCGCATCAGGGCGTTTCATCGTGAACGAGTACGAGCTGGTGTAAAAATCCTCCACGCAGAGATGGCCTCCTGTACCGTTGAGGACCAGCCTCAGTTCCGACTGCGCATCTGGGTCGTGGTCGAGAGGAAGGTCTATCTTGTGGAAGAGATAGTCAATGGTCTCGGTGCCTGGCTTGGTAAACCAGATGCTGATGGTGTAGGCATTCTCAGCCCTTGACAGACGCCAGATGTATTTCCTCGAGAAGGTGAAGGTGGGCACACTGGCCAAATTGTTGCCAACGGCCTTCATCATCTCAAAGTCGCCTTGCTCATGGTACAGGAGCTCTGCATCGGCAATGTTAAGTTTCCCATCGGCGTCGAGCACAGGTGACGGAGAAGGGGTTTTTGTGAATGTCGCCGTGCCTGAGCAGCGCCCCGATGGTTCCGAAGGGTTGCCGCTTTGTAACTTACGGTGGAGCAGCCAGGTGCCGGCGAGGTCTTGGAAGAGATGTGTGAGGAGAGTGGAGGAGGATGAGATGGCTTTTGACATGATGGGCAGATGATGGTTTGGACGGCACGGTTGAAGCCAGGCATGAAGCCGTGCGTCGTGGGTCGTGGTGGACGTGAGTTTGTGTACAGAACATGGAGTGTGTGAGTGTGTACCTGAGGTGCGTCCCCACCTTCTCCCAGCCATGTCTATTACTCAGTACGAGCCGGTACTCAGTAGCCGAGGCGGCCCCCCCTTCTCCCCCCCGAAAGTGGCCAAGGCCGGCTCTCTATTGCCCCCTAGGCGCAGCCCGCCTAAACTCTGCTTGCAGCGTGCAGAGAGGTCCGCCCGCAAATGAGCTCATCTGCCCCTAGGAGGCCTAGATGGCCTATCCTGCGTCCCTCTACGGAACCCCGGTGAACCCCCAAGCACTGATTTGACAGCTGCCAGCTGCCCCGGTGGAGAGCTCGCCGTCGACTGGCCAATTGTCGCTGGCTCTACCTGTCACTTTATGCATCGCAATCCCCTCCACCAACCGTCCCATCCCGTCCTCCCTTTTTCGCTCCGCGCGAACCTGCGTTATGCATGTTGCCTCGATCCTACTCTGCTCTTTTTACCGGCTCGTTCATTTGCCTTTCTGGAACCGGAAATGCCCATTGAATAAAATGCCTATCAGATCCCCGCCTACTATGCTAGCATGTCCCTTTAAGTTCCTGATTCCACTCCCTTGCCATTCGCCTTGTTTCTGCTCTCTGCTGTTGCCCGCCTCCGAGTTAGCAGCATCGCACTCGTTTGAATTGCTGGTAGATGCGGCGACTCACCATGTCCGCCGTTTGCTTTTCCTAGTCGTCATCACCGGCCCTCTACTTCAACAGTCCGACCCATGTTCGCTCCCTTCGACGACCGTCAATGCGCACGCGAATTCGCCTCTACCAGCACCCTGTGAACTCGACCAAAGTGTGCGCGACACAGGTCAATCGTGTTCAGAATGCGCTCCCTCTTGAAGTCCTCTCCTCTCCTCCTAGGCCTCTTGCGATTCGTGTCGGCTCAGAACATTGTTCCCACGTCGCCCTCCGACCAATTCCCTAGCTGCGCTGTCAATTGTGCGGTGCTACTGCAGGCGCAGACGGCTTGTGTGCCCCCAGCCCAGCCAGCCACAAATCAGATCACATACGAGAATTGCTTCTGTCAGAGCAGCTTCCTGCAAGCATTGTACAGCACTCCTGACGCCATCTGCACCGCCGAATGCACGAGCGAGTCTGACAGAGCACTGCTGCAAACATGGTTCACGGGCTTCTGTCAAAAGGTTGGTAGCGGTATCGACCCATTAGAGACCACGACCTCCACTTTCCAACCAAGCTCGACAACAGTGGTGACCATCACAAGTTACTCTACACCTCCTCCGACAGCTACAAACACAGGGACGGGCAGCGCGTCGGCGCCTGCTCCTCCTTCACACCAGTCATGGTAGGTCCGTTATGGGAGATTCTTCACTGAGATGTTGACAAAATTTACAGGATCGATGGTCATTGGCGTTGGATCCTCATGCTCGGAATTCTCGTCGTGGGGTTTGCGTTTCTTATCTGGCTCGCCATCTGGTTCAAGCGGCGACAACAGAGGAAGATCGAAGAGAGGAGAGCGGTGACTTCGGGGTTCCCAAGGGACGATGAGCACAGAGGAGGAGCTCGTGCAGCAACTCCGGATATTTGGGGTCCGCATCAGGTAGGTCCAAACGTGGCGAGTATTTGGTGCAGCAACGATGCTGATCTGTTGGCCAAGCATATGCACTATACAAAAGGTTGGGAATACCACAATGATCCGGCCATAATGGGAGGTGGCGGCCTCGCAGCTTCCTCCAACAAGCACGACAGAAGATCAAAGAGGATATCTTCTCAACGAAAACACCGGGATCTCCCTGAGATGACAGAGACTAGTGGCGGCAGACCACCCACATCACGGCAGCACTCGTCTTCTAAAGGCAAACATAGGGCGACAGACGAAATCCGGCCAGTAGAGCCCGAAACCAGCCACGCAGATAGAAGCCGGAGCAGGAGCGCAAAGGGAAGAGACCTGGACAGTGATCCAGAGAGAAACCAAGTCGATTCAGAACACCAAAGACGCCTCCGCGAGGTTAGAGGAATACGACGAAAGAAGAATGCCGACTAGATGTGAGATTATGGCGGGAAAAAATGTGATGGTGATATTGACGAAGCATGAGGCGCACGTTCTGGCTGACCTATGTGCATGTACGAAGCAGCAATCAAGTTAGCTTGGTTTTCGAGCAGGGTGTTTGAATTTTTTTTTCCACCTGGGAACTGGATCTTGCTGTGATATGAAGACTTGGGTACTGGTTGACGATGGACTTATAGAACGACGGCTCTACGTCTGTATGTGGCCAAGAAGACGAAGAATGTTAATACCTGAGATGCTGCCCCCTTACAGCAGACAACCCTCTAGAGGCGATCACCAGGTAAAGATGATACAAGATTGCGATGTCCATAGTCCTAATACCGTGGATGCAAGTTCGAGTAATGCTCGGCCCTCTGCATAGCTCCCATTCCGGACAATATGAAGGCCGCCTCCACAAATATACTCGATTCGGCTAGTGTCAACAGACCAAGCAATCAATCCTTGTCAAGTCGCCTCCTAGTCGACGGTCCGTCTCCAGATCTTCATCCGTGATTTGGCCCCGGCATATCTGTTGTGTTTCCCTGAGGTAAGAATAGAGACAAACTCGCAAGGCAATATACCCTTTTGCGTCCAAACATTAATTTCCGGGGGTGGCGCCGTTTAACTGTATTGAACTTTGTCCAAAGCTTCCCTAGGCCTCTACCCGCTTCATCTGCACTTCACCTCCATCTGCACCAAACATCACCGCTCCATTTAACCTTCCACAGGATCTCTCGAAGAAAATGTTGTGATCGGCGAGCATACCGGGATCTGGGCTTGGCTCTGAAAACCCAACGCAACGATCTAACGACCATTATCGATTGTCTCCTGGGGAAACCTTTTCCGCTGCTTGCAATGCTTTCGCCCTCAGTCAACCATTGTCTCGGCTATTGAAACTCTGCATTGACTTCAACCCGTGAAGCACTGGTGGCTTGGTCTGTGCGAGAGATGGGAAACCGACCGCTGTGGGAGAGCCTCGTCTGGCGCGGCCGAGGTTGGGGATGTGCGGTTTTCCCGCATCGAGTACACGAGCTGTCGAAGATGCCATTGCTTGGTTGCCGTGGACGAAGGACTGTAAGTTCCCCTGATAGGATGTGCAGGTCTGTTGACTGCTCTGGCGGTTCACAACACGAGTGCTTCAGGAGGTAGGTTGCCTTTTGGTTCGTCGCCCTGCAGGCCTATATAATGCTCGACGGGACGCTCGATCAGAAAGACATACCAGCGCCTGCAGCTCCTGTATCAGTTCGTCTCTCTTACACGTCGTCCTGCATCGTCCTTGGAAATGCCGTCATCTTCAGTCTTCAGCTTTGCCCTTCTGGCGCTGTCACTTGACATTACGAATGCTTATACCAGCAGTTCGTGGTCGAGCGATATGATGACGTCTCCCACACTATCCCTCGATCCATCACCGACCTCTTGGTCAACATCATGCTCGACGTCCTGGTCGACCTCTTGGTCCAACTCATGGACCACCTCGTGGACCACGACGACTTCGACCAGCACCACTACGACCACTTCCACGACCAGCACCAGCAGCAGCAGTTCCGCCGCACTCGCCGCGGCCACGCCCACCAGCGACTGCATCAACAACGAAAGCTACCAGGCCGACAACTACTGCGGCTGCTCGTACTCGATGACGTGCGGCACCCACCCCATCTACGACGATAGCACCATCCTGCTGGGCATCTACTCGCTGGGTTCTCTCACCGACAACCACATGGACTACTGCTCGGAGCAGTGCGACGTCGACTACCTCTGCCTGAGCGTCGTCGTCAATGTCGAGGAGCAGCGATGCTACATGTACAACGAGCTTCCGATCGGCGGCACCGCCGACACCAACTACGACCTCGCCGTGCGGGTCAACAATGGGCCGGGGTCCTGCGTCAATGACCAAGTCGGCGTCTGTCTCGCCAACATCCCGACTCGGAAATGGTAGAAGACGGCGTTGGCTGTCGGCTCGACCGGGAAGGAAAAGAGGAAATATAGCTGTTCTATTTTTCTTGGAATAATACATTTCCTTTGTGGGTTGGAATGGTTGGTTGGGCTTTGGTGTGGTGGGAGTATTAAACGAGAAGGGAGTTGTCGTTGGGGGTTTGCACAGGTGTTGTCGGGCTGGGTGGGTGGGCTCATTGTCATGTTGTATCTGCATCTCCTGCCATTTAAAATGGACTAATCTATTGCTACGTAAAATATATATTACGTGGCACTTTTTATTCTCTATTTCCGCCGGCTGGCTGCGTAGATGAGTACATTTCCAACTCACCAGACGTGTGCCGCTCATATACCAGCGAACCAAGTGTTCGCAGGAGCAAGGCCGTGCTGCACTAGATCCCTTGCCCATCAGATCTAATTCATTGAGTGGTGTAGCCATGTCAACGAGCTCGAGGCGAAGCTACGTCGCTAGATCCCGGACGACGACGCCCACCGAAAGCGGCTGGATGAGGTGGCCCGCCCCTCTCTACGAGATATGGTAAGGGGAAAGTGTACAGTAAGAAGAAACTTCGGGTACAAGATCTCTTAACTATTCGCTTTCACCAGCAGTGGTAAACTGGACGCATTTTATATCTTTTAGAGAAAAGACCAAAGACACGCGCCTAAAGTCTTGATTTTAATATCATCTCTGTGGTTGTTTATAGTGTGTATCAAGGTGTGTTATCGCCTGCAGGATTGAACACAGTCAGAAATGCTCCACATGACAACCAACCCCCATACCAAGATTCTGTGGTCGAGGGGACTCACCTCCTGGAAAGCATCGTAGCCGAAGAGATAGGGCTGGAACTTTGCGTCGCCCCAGCGATTCGGGTTGTCACTCGTAGCCACAGACCAGGAGTCTTCCAGACTGGCCTGGCGCATGTCCTGGTCTCGTCTCTCCTGCTCCGGCCCATCGGGGATATGCCACATCTCACCCAGCTCGCGCGCCTCTCGTTGGATGCGATAGCAGCGGTCTCTCCGAATGTCCTGAAAATGTCCCATCAGGACAGGAAGGTCCGTGCGGTCAGCAGCTCTGTCCACACACTCGGCCAGGGCGGCGGCGTCCTCGAGCGCCATGGCAGCCCCCTGGGCGAGATGCGGCACCATTGCGTGGCTGGCGTCGCCGATCACGACCAGCCTGCCGGATGTCGACACCCACGTCGGCGACTCCTCGATCTCGGCGAGCTGCCACTTGAGCGGCTCCGGGACCAGGTCGATCAGCTGGCGCACGAGGGGGTCCCAGTCGCCGAATCGAGTCTGCAGTTCGCTCAGCGGCACCACTTTCGCCACCAGCCCCACGGACGGCGTGCTGGAGTCGCACAGCACAAAGTTGTACATGGTGCTGTTGCTGATCGGGTACGCGACGACGTGCGCTTGGGGTCCGACCCAGTAGATTGCGTTGGCATGGTCAATGAGCGGCTCCAGGTCCGGGTTGCTTCGTAACGACGCCGCCGGAATCAGCGTACGATACACGCAGCTAGGCGAGAAGCGGATGTTGACGTCCTGGCCGTTCAAGACGGCTTTGCGCGCGTGCGATTTGAGCCCTGTCGAGTAAATGAGAAACTATCATCAAGAAAAGAGACGACACCTTACCGTCCGCTCCGATGATCAAATCCGCCGTCAACTTCGTGCCATCCCCAAGGATGACGGATGGCTCGGCCTCGTTGATGATGGAAACGAACGTGTCCAGGATGATTTTGACTCCGGCCTTATATGCTCTATCGAGAAGGACCTTGTGGAGATCCGCGCGATGAATTACCAAATACGGCTCTCCATATCGTTGTTGGACGTCCGGCAGCAAGGGCATCTGGACAATCGTGCTGCCATCTTTCCACCGTTTCAAATAGATCGACTTGGGCCAGCAGGAGAGACTCGCAATCTATTTCCCACCACCGGATTAGGCGATGCATTTCCCGCATCCTTCGAGAAGGGTGACAAATACTCGCCTCGTCGTGGACTCCCAGTCTTTTCAACACGTGCATCGAATTTGGAGGAAGCTGGATCCCAGCACCCACGGCCGAGAGCTGATGTCAATCGATTAGCCAGAGTGGGTGACCAGCATGGCCTGGCACAGAAACAACCTTTGGGGCACCTTCGAGGACGGTGACATGGTTGCCTTTTTCTGCAAGAGTAGTTGACGCTGCAAGTCCTGCGATCCCAGCTCCGATGATGATGATGTCGAATGTTCGTTTTCCCATAGTGGAGAGATATCTCGAAGATTCGCTTCGAGGTAGACGTCTCCTGTGTTCGTCGATATGTCATCGAATATGCCCGTGTTAACAATAATCGATGTTAGCAGAACTGTCCGCGCTCCTGTTACGCCACTCAGGCCAGACTCTTCTCCACAAAGCTGTCTTGGAGACTGATTCGGGGCTCGTGGGGCGCAACTCTGGTTCATCCTCCTTGACCGCCACTCGGGAGTCTGCCCCGAGATCGAACTTAGATCAATCGGGTCAAAGATAGAGTCAAGAGCTGCCTGTGCGTATAAATATATGGCAGGGCAGAGGTGCAGCAGACAGTCATCAGGAGAGACAACCCTGCTTTGCAAGATCTCCGAACGAGCAACTAACTGACCATAGTATCCGTTGAGTTGGGTCCCGCCGAGCGGGAGAATCGCGGTGGCGTGGACGTCAAGAATGGTAAGACCATGGCTGGCTATCACCCATCTATCCATCTCCACATCGATGCCAGTCGTGTTTGCTGATTGCATCCAAGAATTCAGCCTTCCCTCAGACTCCGACAGTAAGTTTCCAGACACTGGACCGCCTCTGCCCATCTAGTATGACCGCAACGGCAACCAATCCCCGGGATCCCAAGCCTTCTACCGGACGCCCATGACCCTTGAACTTTGCGACTCGGCAGAAACGGAGTCTCACGTCCGTGCTGTCGTATTGGTTATTCATCGGGACTTTGAACTTGATCATTGTGGTATGTGTGAAGGAAGGTGAATGTTGGGAGAGTGAGACTGGCAGTGACTCTGCAGGGGCCCTTTTTCTTCGACTTTGCCGATGACTTCTATGTGAGCTTCTCTGCGCTCTCGGACACTATCAACGGCCCTTCACTGGCCTACGGTTCCGGAGTAGTGTCATGTACATCAAGATGGTATTGCTGGTCGCGTACTAACCACCAATTCCAAGTGCCTGTTCTGGGTTCCCTTGGTCAATGTATTCGGTATCAGGGTTTCGTTTTTAATCGCCACGCTGGGAGCCGCCACGTTCTCGATCTGGGCAGCTGTCACATCCAGATTTGGAGGATTCGTCGCCACACGCGTGCTGTCGTCTTTTTTCTTCTCCTCGCCCGAAACCCTGGGCCCGCAGATCGTCGCTGCGGCCGCCCTCCTGGACTTGACACAGTTTAGCTATCGTCTTAGATGCCACAGCGTCCAAGGCAGACGACTGTGTTTAGTGCAGTTCAGGCCAATGCATCGGATGATGGGTCCGTCGCTGGGAAAGAGGGTGGGGAGGATTTCCTCGACCTTTTTGAGCTCGCCAGAGCTGGAGGAAAGATCAAATGGACTGGAGCATTTGGGGACAGAGGCGAACATTGACGTGGATTCCAATTCCTGCAGCAGCTCGTCCGCACCATTGATCTCTGTTTCTCCAAAGTAGACATTGGAATCGTCGCCTCGGAAGCGAATGAAGTCGTGAAAATGTCATCTGGACAAGAGTTTTGCAGACGGTCGTAGTCTCAACAGGATGTATGAGGCATAGTCTTGTAAAAGGCTAGTTGTGGCGGCCTTGTTATACCCAGACACGGCTCAGTGCTATCACCCAATAAATGCCGATAACCTCATCGGCCGGGCGACTCTTGATCGGACTCCATTCCGGAGAGGTCTGCTCAATGGTGTTTAGTGAGTGTACCGAAGTCTCGGGATGGGCTCCCGTGTTGCTTGACCCCACAAGTATCAAAGTTATGTGTTGCCGGAAACGTTACCCGCTGAGATGGCGGCAAGTAGGCAAGCAAATGCGAAATTGATGTGCAGCTGAGAAGTTTTTGTAGCCGGGAGAAGAGTATAATGTGGCTTCTATAGATATATCGTTTCCCCAGAAGACACCCAGCAGCACCCAGAGTGAAGATCTAGGCGACACAACTGTACGAATTCTATATTCTGTCACTTCAATCATGGTTTCCGCAATTGCTTTCGTCGCCCCCAAGCCGGGAGCGCCATTCGAGTGTCGATCTGTGGAACTTGACGAAGTAAGGCCACATGAAGTCTTGGTTGATATCAAAGCCACAGGTATCTGCCACACCGACATTGCAGTCCAACAGGGGAAACTTCCAATGCGGTTGCCCGGCATTCTTGGCCACGAAGGTACTGTCGACGTCGTCCACGGAAGACACAAATGCTGAAGTATTGCAAAGGGGCAGGTGTGGTCCGTATGGTCGGGTCAGAAGTGAAGGACGTCCAGCCAGGCGACCACGTTGTTCTGTCGTATAACTCTTGCGGCACCTGCAGAAGCTGTAAAGGCGAAAAGCCATACCAGTGCGACAATGCTGAGAGCATGAACTTTGGTGGCTCGCGGCCGGATGGATCTCAAACCGTCACCTCAGACTCGGAAACAATACGCACCTGTTTCTTTGGCCAATCGTCTTTTTGCAGCCCCGCGATTGTCCAGGAAGCGTCGTGCGTGAAGGTAGACAAGAGCCTTCCGCTGAAAGTCATCTGTGCACTTGGCTGCGGGTTCCAGACGGGAACTGGGGCAGTATATAACGTGGTGGACCCTCAGCAAAGGAATATCCGGCACATTGCGATCTTTGGGGTTGGGGCAGTCGGCTGTGCTGCTATCATGGCAGCATCTCATCTGGCGACATCATCCAGCGCGGCACCCGCTTTCGAAATCATCGCAATAGATATCAATGATTCACGTTTAGAACTTGCGAAAGAGCTTGGCGCGACCAGAGTCATCAACTCAAGACAGGGAACCGCTCGAGAGGCCATTATGGAGATCACCAATAACGAGGGCCTCGACGCCGCCGTCGATTGTACTGGCGTGCTTGCTGTCATCAACGAGATGATAGCCTTGGTTGGGCCGGGAGGCATAGCAGTGTCGGTCGGCGGTCCACCACCAGGAATCAAAGCTTCTGTGGATGTCTTTGGCATGATCATCAAAAGTAAGACTTACAGTGGATGCCATCAAGGGAATGCCTTTTCAAAGACTGTACGTGTCGTCGAGCCCTTCCTTTCCCAGTTGCTTTGTCCTGACTTCTGCAATACAGTATATCCCCTGGCTTGCCGACTTATACGCAAGGGGCCAATTTCCTCTGCAAAAGCTGCAAAAAACGTACAGGGCTGAGGAGATCAACCAGGCGTGCCAGGATATGCTTGACGGCAAAGTCCTAAAACCAGTTCTTCTCTGGGATTAATGGTCCCACCTTGAGAGACGAGAAAAGTAGGTGCCAGGACGAAGGTACTTGATGTTTCCTCCCTATGCTTGGCATCGGATCTGTATAGCTGTCGCCCCAGTTGTATACGAGGTGTATACGAGTTAATTCTTACCATAGCTGGAGATGTCCAAGATTCCAAGACACAAGACGCCAATCGGGTGGAAGAAGTGATACTTTGTCGTTCCGTGCAGAGAAATTATAAGCGGTTTACTGCCTTGGCATGAACAGCTAGGCTGTGGCTTTGTGCCTGAGTTTCTCTTTACCGAGTACATACAAGTTACAGATATGCATGGCACCATCAATGCCCCTCCTCACACTGACTTGTTCGTGGTACAAAACGTGGAAGCTCGTCCGGCATCATGCTTGAAACCAGTTGCCGGCCAGTGCCGAACCTTCCGAAGGAAACGCTGCCGACTTATCGTGTGAGGGATTACTGTCTATGGGATCAAGTTGCCCCTCCACAATGCAACCTGGCAGAAGCTCTAACCTGCCTGTCGGGGGATAGATCGACCATGTCGACATCCCACAACCTGGTTGAGATCCTGGTCAAGCCAATCACACCACTTGAGCGTCACTGATACTGGTGACTATTCCTTCCTCCCAGTCCCAAAGAGTTCCTGGCAAGCTCGTGCATACTTCCGCAGAGCTCCTGGACTCCGTACTCGGTGCTGTAATCAACGTGAGTGGCCCTTGACGTAACGTACCACCATGCATCCGTGCGTAGCACGACATCGACTGTGGCAAGCTCCAAGGTAACCTTCTCGAGCTGCTTGGTTGAGCGTCAATGTTCAAGCTCACCTCTCCCCAGCTTGTCCCTCTGTCTGTTTGATCTGCTCTTGCTGCGTTGGAGTCCATAAATTCATGATGAGGTCCTTCAAAAGCATGCTCCTGGCCCTCACAGCCGGCATCGGCATCGTTGCGGCTCAAGTTGGCCCTCTGGGCACGGATGGAAGGCCAACAACCTATACCGCAAACTACTTCGACCAGCCCATCGATCATTTCCAGACCAGCTCTCGGTATGCGCCCAACACAAATGCCACTTTCAAGCAAAGGTACTATTTCGACGACACGTACTACAAGCCGGGAGGCCCGGTCTTCCTCTACATCAGTGGCGAGACCAGCGGACCATCACGCTTTTCGAATCTTCAGACCGGGATCATCCAGATCTTGATGAATGCGACGGGCGGATTAGGTGTCATCCTTGAGAACAGATACTATGGTGAAAGCTATCCGTTTCCGAATTCTACAACTGACAATCTGCGATTCCTCACCACCGAGCAGACTATTGCCGACAATGCGTATTTCGCTCAACATGCTACATTCCCTAACGTCACCGGTGGGAACAACCTCACGGCTCCAGGCCACCCGTGGATCTTGTATGGGGGCAGTCTCGCCGGTGCACAGACAGCCTTTTCTCTCGTAGCGTATGAAGGACTTCTTTGGGGAGGCATTGCTGCTTCGGGCGTGATCCACGCCGTTCTGGGATATCCTGAATGGTATGATCCCATACAGGAGAATGGGCCCCAGGATTGCATCTCCCGAATCAACAACATCATCGATAAAATGGACTACCTAATCCAACAGAATAACACGAAAGCTATTCAGCAGTTGAAGGATATCTTTGGACTCGGAACTTTGAGTGATCTCAGAGATTTCGCAATGACTGTAAGTGAAGCCCCTGCTTTTCCGTCGGGACCACCACTCAATCCCTCAGATTGCATTCCCCTTGGGCGGACCGATGAATTACCCTACCAACACCTGGCAAGAGCTCAACTGGTATCCAGCCTATGACAGCCCAGACTTCTTCTTGTTTTGCAACAACATCACCAACATGGACGCCCCAGCAAGCATCACCTCAGTGGACACGCAGTTGGCGAACTACACCAATGGCTCGGCCTGGACTGGACTGGGAGCGTATGCGAACTATGTCAAAGAAGTGATTGTCTCGACCTGTGACAGTCCAGACCTGATTGACACGACTGAATGCTTCTCCACTCAAAACGGTAGGCTCAGAGACCGAAGTCTTTCTTCTTGAGCAACGACTGACGTTCGAGCAGCAACTTTCTACGCCGATCCGACCAATTCAGCTTCTCGCTCCTATCTCTACAGTACATGTATAGAGCAAGGCGCCTACCAACTCCCGCAGCCGTACGGGAAACCGTCTCTTCTCTCCCGGGTCATTGGCCTCGACTACACCCAGCAATGGTGCACGTGGGCATTCCCGCCGGGTCCACTGTCGCCTCAAGCTGTGCCGGCTCCGGACGGCCCCAACCTGACGTGGTACAACCATTACGGCGACTTCAATCTCTCGGCGCCGAGACTGGCGCTGATCGACGGTGGAAGCGACGTGTGGCGGGACGTATGCTACCACGGCCGCAACGCCAGCACGCGGTACGGGGCGAACCAGATGCTCATCACCGGCGGCGGCCACCACTGGGACAGCTCGGGGATCCTGAACATCAGCGCGGAGCCGGACTTCATCAAAGCGGCGCATGAATGGGAGCTGAGGCAAGTGACGGGCTGGTTGGATGAGTGGGATGCGACGCATGAGAAGAAGGTCAGAAAGAGGGACGAGCTGTAACGGAAATCTCGAGAGGAGGGGAGGGGGGGGGGTTTCTAGATCGCTATCCTAGGTCTAATTAATCCTGATCCACGACTTTGTCCCATCCACCCATCCCCTGAGCATGCGTCGCCACATATGCTGGTTTTGCACAACAACATGGATTAATAGTGGTATTGTCGCTGCAGATTTGTGTGGTGGTGTTTACGGAGGGACGTTTGCACAGCCTCATCAACAGCGATCGAACACGATGTGATGATGTGGCTTGGCAGCATCTGCGCCTCCGACTTCACTTCCATCCCAGTAATATTTCGAGCACCTCGATTTATCCATGGATAGATATAATCCGATATAGAGCCAAGATTTGGAGGACATACACATATACATGTATACTCCCTGTATCTCCCCACAAATACTGAATTGGCGCCCCCTAGGACCGTGGGACTATTAGGCAGGCCGGAATCCCATTTTTCACCGACCATGACCATGTCTCTTCCACGACCACCACACTGTTCCTTCACTATCCCCAGCATCCACGACGACGTCGAGCTCGACTGCCGGATCTACTACCCGCGACGCCCGGAGAGGAGCTCGGGCTCGCGCGTGTTTGGGCGAGGGTTCGCCGTCTTTGCGCACCCCTACGCGCCGCTGGGCGGGTGCTATGATGACCCCGTGGTCGCGCTCGCTGGGGGCGTCCTGCTCCAAGGCGGCTATTTTCTGACGACGTTCAACTTCAGGTACGCGGAGCGGAGCGGACCTGCTGTTACGCCGCTGCCCATCCACATATGTATATTCTCGCGCTCCTGAACTGACGTGGTGGTGACTTAGAGGCGCTTCCGGATCGGCGGGGAGGACGTCGTGGACCGGCAAGCCAGAGCTGGCCGACTACGTGTCGGTCTACGGGTTCATGGTGTGCTACATCGACGCCATTTTCCGACGGCTGCCTGGCGAAAATGACGCCCCTCCGGCTAACAAACCACCGGTTTTGATTCTGGGAGGGTATTCGTACGGGGCGATGATCGCGTCTCATCTGCCGGCGGTGGACCTCGTCATTGATCTGTTCCGCTCGCCAGCGCCTGGTTCGGCAGAGAGCGAGATCAGACGCCGAGCGACGGACCTGGCGCAATACGCACGAGCCTACCTGGACATGCATTCGGGGTCGCCGACGCTGACGACGCCGCGGGTTCGTGGCAGCAGTGCCGCAGTAGGAGAACCGGGCAAGAAGCACAGTCCCGGTGTCATCATGGGGGGCTACGAGTCGGACGCCGCCAGTCGACGACGAGTCAGTCGAGAAAACTCGGGGAGAAGCGTGGACGGGGAGAGGATCAGGCAGAGCTTGGACAGGATTCGCCGTAAGATCATCTCCCAGCCCAGCAGCCCGAGTGCACAGGCAACGAAGGATGCAGCTGTGGAGTCTGCCCTGGTACAGCCAGAGGTCGCCTATGTCATCGTATCCCCCATATTGTCCATGGCGGCCGGGTTCACGACGATGTTCTCAAAGTTGAGATTTACTCGGAAGGACCGCGAGATTCCCTCTTCTTCTCCAAAAAGAGAGTTCCACGAGCTGATGGTGCGTCCGTGTTGTTGCTGCTACGGGACACGCGACGGCTTCACCTCTGCGGCCAAGTTGGAACGGTGGGCTCAAGATCTACAATCGCAGCCGGGCTCGCGGTTGGTCACGGTCAGTGCAGACACGGGCCACTTCTGGCATGAAGCAGAGGGCATCGTTCGACTTCGCCAAGGTCTCGCGGAATTCCTGGAGATCGTGGCACAACTCGGTCTCCCTTCAGACCAGGTCGGGTCCGGGGAGACCGTCGAAACCCCCACAAGTACCCCGAGACCGCGGCCAAGAGCCCCCGAAGTCACAGCTGCCGACCTTGCAGCAGGATGAGGAGAACCATATCAATGGGAACGGACGGTGCGCCCGAGTAATCTCGAAATTCTCCTGGTGACGTCGGAGGGGCTCAGTCGAGAGAAGTTCGGCCTCCAATCAAAGACGGCCGCTTGGAGTCTAGATCCTTGGAACTTCTCTTTTTCCTATTATCAAGTGGCAGACAAAGATGGCCCGAACTAAGCGCCCGTGCGGCAGTTGGGGAAAAGCCGGCAGATTGTTGCGAGACGCATGTGCAGTCGGTGGACGGTGCAGTTTGGAAGCACATGCTCGTTCGCATCTTTTCTCAGGTGGTCGTGCGGTTCGGTTGCAGCCGATCGTGCAGCACTAGCCAGCCTCATGCCGTGCATCTGGTGCGTGAGGGGGGCCACTGGACACCAGACCGCTGTTTGAGCTTGGACACTGGCCGGAAGGGGACATGGTGGCGGTGACGGCTAGAATCGAGAGGACCGAGAACGGCAGGGGACGCGTGCCAGGTGCCAACGCAGGGACTGCTGTGCTCGTCAGGAACCCCAAAAGCATCCAAGACAAAGATGCGGGAATTTGCATGTGATCGCGATCGTGCTTGGTGCCTTGCAACTTGCAACTGGGATCAATGCTAGTTTCTCTCACATAGCCTTCTCATTCGACGAGGGTGACAGGGGGTACATCACGCGCACAACTTGACAAACAAAAAAGAAGCATGACACCTCAGCGAGCTGAAGGATGAGGGCGTGACCAGCTGTTTCTCCAGGTCATTTGATCTTCCCCAGGAAGTTGAAGTTGACGAGAATGTGGGAAAATTGAGGATGACGGGGAGAAAAAAGGTGGGAGAGTCACGGATCATGAGATGGGGTTGAAGTATGTAATTTCACTTTCGATGGATGAGTAAATCTCCCTCGTACGATACGCTCGCTGTACCGAGTAATGTACATACTGGGTGCATACATATTACCTCTCCATACAGTTTTAGCAGTTAGTACCTGGACAGCATCCGCGAGTTTCCATCCTCGCCTGCGGTTGTCGATGTCATGGTTCGCCCCACCGACCAACCACCACTGCCATCTCCCTCTCTCTCGTGGACCGTGAACCGTGGATAGTTTGTATCTAGAGTACCTGACGGAGTATTGATGCCACGACTCCGTTCTTTGTCCCCTGTGCCATCGTGTCATTCGCTTTCTCGCATTTTTCTGTGGATTGTCGCTGTCGTCTGGCTCCCTGAGTCCTGACCTCACTCGGCTACCGACATTTCTTTCGGTCTTCTGCCGGGGCCTGAAATCGCAATCCATCGTATCATCTGCCACCTCTTGAATCTTGAGCCCTGTTGTTGGGCTCCTCTCGTAAATGCCTTGTTTTGGCCGTCTCTTCAGCCCGCCCGCTCCCCAATATGGAAGTGGCCACACGCCTCCATCCTGGATGACACAGCCCTCCCTCTGATTCCATCGAGTAGGACCGACCATTCCGCCTGCTGGCCTGTCATCGCCGTCGTTTGCTTTTTACCCGAATTCACTCACCTAGACTGCAGACTGCATTCATATTTCCTCCTTCGAGCTCTGACCTAGCAACGCCCCTCGGTGGTCAAATGGCCACGATCTCACCACCGTCGACATGGCCATCCTCCTCTCCGTCGTCCCTACACGCACTCCGATCTTCTGGTCATGTGTCGGCCTGTACGCCGACGCGGTCAAGCTGCTCTCGCCGAGCAAGAGGCTGCAGAGATTGGCCGAAGAGATAGCCAGGTACAGCCGAAGACCTCCCGAGACACATGAACAAGCCCTGTTGAGACGGATGAACGAAGCCGACAGTTTGGCCGAGTACGAGACCTGCACGATCGACCTGGACAATCTGCAAGGGCACGAGGTGTGGAAGAAAGAGAAAGAGTCCATTGAGCCCGGCTACAACCCCGACGTGATCGAGAGCCAAGTCATCCGATTCAAGAAGGCCGTGGCCGACCAGGACCTGAATGCCATGCAGCACCTGCTGAGAACGGGGCTCAGTCGTGACCTGGGTGGCATGAACATGTTGCGGCTCTACAAGCATTCTTGGTTCGGCACCAAGTCCCTGATAGACGACTACATCAACACCGTTTTAGAAACCATCGAGACCTTTACCGAGACCAGCATTCACAGTGACATCCCCACGGCAGAAATACGACAACACCAGCAATCGTTAGAAGACGCGTTAAAGTTCTTTGGGCGTTCGGCACTGACTCTCTCGGGCGGAGCGCTGTTGGGCATGAAGCATATTGGCGTCGTCAAGACGCTCTGGGAAGCAGAGTTATTACCTGAGATCATCTCCGGCGCCTCAGCAGGGAGCATTGTGGCCGGCATTGTGGGCAGCAGCAATGATGAGCGCATGGCGGAAGTGCTCGATCATTTCCCATTCTCTGACCTGGCCGTCTTTGATCCTCCGGGGACTGGCAGGGTGGGCTGGCTGGTCCAACGCATTCGCACTTTTCTGCGAACCGGGGCCTTCTTTGAAATGGACAACTTGAAGCGAGTCATGAAGTCATGGCTGGGCGACATTACCTTTCGAGAAGCACGCTACAAGACGGGACGAATCCTCAACATCTGTGTGTCCAGCGCGGGCAACGCCGAGCCACGACTCTTGAACTTCGTGACTGCTCCCGACGTTTTCATCTGGTCTGCCGTCTGTGCCTCTTGTGCCGTGCCCAATGTCTTCCCACCTGCCAACATCTACGAGAAAGACCCCATCACCAAGGAGGAAAAGCTGTGGATGCAAAATGCTCAGCAGACGTTTGTGGATGGGTCTCTGGACCACGACATCCCCATGAGGAAACTTTCCGAGATGTTCAACGTCAATTTCTTCATTGTCTCACAAGTCAACCCACATGTCCGGGTCTTTCTGGATCAAGAGGAGATCTTTCGCGGCAAACAACCCAGAGCGTCTGTCCCCGGTCGGAATCCTCTTCAAGCAGCCAAGGAGTTGCTCCGGGAGGAGATCATACATCGCGCCCAGCAACTCTCAGATCTGGGTTTCCCTCAGGGGTTTTACAGATGGGCGTCCCTCTTCAACCAACAATATACCGGGGACATCAACGTCTTGCCAGAGATCAAACCAACAGAGTACCTCAACATGATGATGAATCCTACCCCGGAGTTTATGATAGAAGCGACAGTGGCTGGAGAACGTGCGACGTGGCCTCGCATGTGCCGCATCAAGAACTGTGTTGCGATCGAGCTGGCTCTGATCCAGGCCATCCACACTCTGCGGGATAGAGTGAATTTTGGGCCCGAGGCCCGAGCCGCTCGCGAGCAGAGAAGATCCAGTAGCAAAGGCCGGCCAGGCCGTGGTCGTTCAGCTCGCCCGTCTTTCTTGCGAAGGCGCAGCCTCAGCATCGACTCGCCCACGAGCAATGACAACGCACTGGCGCTGCCACAGCCTCTGAAAGTCCGGCGTAATGTGAGCCTGGGGAACATCTCGGTGAGACCAAATTTCTCCATCACGACGCCGCGCACGACGCCATATTTGTCTCCTCAGGTGGGCGTCGATCCGGATCTTTTGGTGGAAGGTCTAGGCATGACACGCACAAACTCCAACACACTTGATGAATCCGGAACAGATGGTCATCCTGTGGAAATATCAAACATTAGCAGGCGAAGAGCCCCCTTTTAGAGAGCAAACACGTCCCACATGGGCACGGCTAGATGGTGGATGGTGGGTGGTGGATGGCGTCAAATCGACGATGTATTTTTGCGACCATGATACCCCCTTGGTGTTGTATGCTTGAAGGACCTGTAGGATTAGAGACGAAGCATAGCATAGCATAAGAAATCAATCATGTGAAACCCCAGGCCCAACCTTGCATTCAACAGTGTGTAACAATTGTGCAGGAGAAACGGATGGGTGGTTGTCATTGCTGGGAGCATTGCGGAGATTCACCCAGGAACAGTCAAGAGTTGTTGGAAGGTGGCATTGGCATGCGGCCAGTCGCGCGCCGCAGACAGGCCAGAAATCCTGACCTCCCTCTTCCATACCCGCTGGCACTGCACACATCCTGCGCCAGCGACAAACGACGAGTCCACCCATGGACAACTGATTAATTGATGGCCAAATCCACGCGCTGTTACACAGCTTCACGCCAGAAGCAATATTGGGAGCAGTCATGGATCTGAAGTCGATGCTAAACGATTCTTCGACACAGCGACACCACCACCACCATCCACCTCAACCGCACCCTCCGCCGCGACTTCACACACCACAGTCATCCTACGAACACACCCCGTCGTACGAGTCCCATCCTCCCCTCGAGCGCCCTCCATTGCCATCGTCGGCCTCTTCGTATCATCAGCCGCAGCCGCAGCCGCCGCCCTCAAATGAATACCGCACCTCTGCCAACGGCTCCTATTTTGCTGTCCAGTCACCACAACAACAACCACAACATTCGGCCTCTGCCTCGGGGTCGACGCCAGGTGCAACCGGGCAATCTTTTTATGCGCAGAGTCCCGGACCGCATGGACAGATACACACGCCGCGTGAAGGCATTCCACCTTCACATCCGTATCACTCTCCCTTTGTTCCTTCACCGTCACCGTCTGGGCCTTACCCTCCGACTCCAGGATCTGCCAACCACTATCAGACCGTTACGCCTTCCTCTGCCACCACGTATCATCACTCCAGCGCACATCCTTCCTTGAATGCCCCGTCTCCCACTATGAGAGACGACTACATTTCTGCGAACGGGCTTGCCCATGCACAGCAGAGACACGTTTCACCCCAGGCGCAGTTCCACGCTCCACCGGTCACCCCCCTCGGTCCGCCCGTTGCCTACCCTCGCCCATCGCCTCACCCCCATCGTCCGACGTCCCATGGCCACGAGAGTGTGAGAAGATCGTCTGTCGGCTCGGTTGGTTCAGTGCAGAGCAGGGAATATAACCAGGCTTATCCGCAAGCGGAACATTCGAGACGCGCCAGTGGGAGCATACAAAGGACTTATTCTGGGGACCTGCGGGAGCGCGAACGGAGCATCGAGAGCGTCAGCCCCAAGACAATTCCCAAGCCTGCCCCGGGTCGTCAGCAGAGTGTTGGGCGTTACCAGGAGCTCATGGCCGACCCCAACGCGCATCCGAACCGGGCGGCCATCCCACATGCCCAATTTCACACCACCCCGGATCGGAATGTCGAGAATCACAGTCATGAGACGACGCCCAAGTCCTTTTCCGCGTCTACCGAGCCCCGACCCGCACCACCATATCAAGATTCTTCCCGCCCAAGTCCTGGACCAGGTGCGCCGAACCATTACAACTCAACGCCTCAGCCGACACATTCATCTCTGCCCGCGACACAGAGTCCTCCAGTGCCTCCCCAACCTCAGCCTTCGTTGAAGCGCACTGCGAGTCATTTGTCGGATGTGGCGGCGACGCCATTGCCCCCCAAGAAGAGACCACGGCGAGAAGAGATCCCCATCTGGGCCCGGAGCGCACGTCATAACTTGCCTTTGACATTTGGTCCGCCGGCAAATTGGAGTCCACCACGGCAGGCCGTCACACCCAAGACCCCTGGAACGCCCAAATACGACGTCGTCCCCGCGAAGAAGGAATCCGTGGCTTCACAGGCTGTCAACGGGCAATTTCGTCGCACAGTAACACCGTCAAGCGAGCCTCTATGGGAGCCTTCGGTCACTGGTGAAATAGCATATGATGAACTTGCCCACCATGTCTGTGAGTGGATCTATGATACTATCGGCAACGCGGGGGACCTCGCCGGCGGAGCCTTTTTTGAGATTGAAGCCAAAATTGGCATGATCTCTGACGAGCAGGCGGGCTTTCGGCTGCATCTGCCTGTGCAGACGGAGACGGTGTTCGACAGAGAAAATTTTAGGGGAAGGACGAGCTTCAAGAGTTCGATGAATGTGGTGCGTATTTCTATTCTTATTTTCCTGCACTGTCCGTAACTAACGGTGAACCAAGGCTCAGCACATGGCCATGAACAAAATGCTCAACGAGCTCGTCTTCGAGTCATACCGCGCGTCCGAGGGGACCGGGGAGCCACCGAGGGTTGATTACGTTCATCCTTACGAGTACGATGAATTCTACGAACTGACAGACGAGGGATTGAAAAACCTGCCATCATCGATAGTTAAATGGATGAAGACTCGACACACACCACGAGTGCGGCGCACGATCGACGAGAAAACGAACACCGTCAAGGCACAGATCATCAAAACCCGGATTGCCGATCTGGAAGTGTACAACCCTGAGTATGATTTCGACTACCGTATCTCGATTTCGATTGAAAGTCCCTGGGATGGAGATCCGAATTGGCTGACTGAAGTGAACGAAGGCGGTCGCGACAGAAAGAAGGACAGGATGAGCTATAGGTACTCGGCTTACCAGATCGACCTGACTCAAGTCACCTATCCCGACTCCGCTGTGAAAGAGCACGAGTTGGAGGTGGAGATTAACATGGATCAGGTCCGCATTGAGCTGGCCGGTGTCGATGCGCAGCGACCTAACAACTATGTGAAACTAGTGAAAGGTTTCATTGATAACGTTAGGGTCTTGTGTCGGAAAGGGACTCTTCCAAGACCGCCCAAGTCAGGGTAGGGAGGGGGTCAAAACAGTCCAAGCTGGCTCCATGCTCCGGAGGATTCTGAGAGTTGACATGAGAAACATGGTGGTTTCCTTCTCCTTTTGATACCCTTGTAATACCAAGTACACAATTCCTATGTAGTTGCCTTGCTGCCATGAATGGTTTCCTCCTGGTATGTCCTGAGGCTAGGTAGTCGGAGGCAGCCAGTGGCGCCCAATCCTAATTGCTAGGCCTATCTAGGATAAAAAGTGTTATGCTTGAGCCTTTCAAGAGCTGCTTTGGCCTCACACGCACTGTCATCTTCCTACGTAGGACCAGCCTGCCTTGGTCTCACGTGATGTACTCAAACTCTTTGCGTGGGACTGTTTCCACGGAATGCACGTGATCTGGAAGTGACTAAGCGCAATACAAGCTCAGCCAAACTCCAGGCTGCAGAAGGGTGATGCAAACTGCGCAGACACGTCAATTGCATCTGCGCGAATCCTTTTCCCTGCCCTTTGCTCTCGCTCAACATCCACCCATCGTCGTCTGATCTCTCTTTTATCTCCTGCTCCTGTACACTAGACTTTCTTCTCCCTGACCCGTCTTCACTCCTTCGATTCCTCCACTCCGCGTTCCCGTTGTGTTGCGGACCTTTACCCCTTCGCCCTCGCCAAATCAACAGTTGTCCGGACACCACATCTTGTCTCTGTCTGGGCTCAGCAACAAGTCCTTCCACAAACATGGTTGGCTTGGTGTCTGCTGCTGGTCTCGTCGGCTTCCTGTCAGAGCCTGATCCGGAGCTGAGAAGCTTTGCTCTCAAGCAGCTCGACAGCCAGGTTGATCTGTTATGGACCGAGCTCGCCGACTCCGTGGGCCAGATGTATGTCGGCGATCTACAATCTCCCTTGTTCATCAGTGTGAGAGAAAAGCTAATCTTGCGGTTTTTAGCGAGGAACTGTACGAGGATGATTCCTTTCCGGAGCGCGAGCTCGCCGCTATCGTCGCATCCAAAGTGTATTACCACCTGCAAGAATATAACGAGTCCATGGCTTTTGCCCTCGGCGCCGGAAAGTACTTCAGACTGGACGACCCTGGTGAATTTGAAGATACCATAATCTCCAAGTGTGTAGACACCTTCATCGCTCTGTCCGCCAGTCGAGATCCGACCCTCGCGGCCGCCAACGCTGCCAGCCAGCCCCAACTTGACACGGCGTTCAGTCAAGGAGGAGACGGCGCCGCCAGCATGTCCGCCAGCTTAACATCCCCCGTCACGCCATTCTCCCAGTCCGTCCTTCCGTCCAAGTCCCTCTTGTCCAGGCAGAACACGATAACTTTCGATCCCACTCAGGCCGGCGTCGAGCTCGGCGAGATCGGCTCACCTGAGCGGATTATCCAAGAGCGCGGTCTTCAGAAACCTCTTACTCGTGTTATCGAGTCTCTGTTCGAGAAATGCTTCCGAGAAAAGAGATACCGGCAGGTCGTGGGGATTGCTTTGGAAGGACGCAACCTGGACATTTTGCGGCGCGTAATCAAACGAGCGGCTGAGGACGAGCGAAAAGAAAACGGCGAAGCCACCAAGAAGGGCGAAGAGCTTATGGAATACGTGCTGGATATTTGTATGAGCGTGGTCCAAGAACGAGGCCTGCGGAATGAGATCCTCAAGGTCATCTTGGAACTGCTCAACGAAATTCCCTCACCCGACTACTTCGCCATCGCAAAATGTGTGGTCTACCTCGACCAGCACTCTATGGCATCCAACATCCTGAGACAATTGATCGAAAAGGGCGACGCTCGCTCTCTCGCCGTGGCATACCAGATCTCCTTTGATCTCTACGACAACAGCACACAGGAATTCCTCCGAAAGGTCCGAGAAGAACTCGCCGAAATGCTTCCCAAGGAAGAGCCAGCAGAGCCCCGAGATGGTGACAAGATGGAAACCGATACGCAGGCCCGCACGGAAGAGCAGTTGCAACAAGAACTGCAAAGTTCTGCCGGTGCACCCGCTCCCCCTGAAGAGCCGAAGCTGTCGAAACCCGAGCAGCGAGAAGCAGTCAAGAACATCCGAAATATCTTGGATGGCCTCACATCAATACATCTGAACATCGAATTCCTGCACAAATCGAATAGGGTCGATCTGTCGATACTGAATAAAATCAAAGATAGCCTCGAAGCCCGCTATTCCATTTATCACACCGCCGTCACTCTCTGTGCTGGATTGATGCATGCCAAAACTGCAAACGACACCTTTTTCCGCAACAACTTGGAGTGGCTGGGCAAGGCCACCAACTGGTCAAAGTTTACCGCCACGGCAGTCTTTGGTGTTATCCACCAAGGCAATATCAACCAAGCGTTTCGTTTGCTGAGCCCATACCTGCCCAAGCCTCCTGGAAGCACCGCCGCTCACGATTCCCCATACAGCCAAGGTGGTTCGCTGTATGCTTATGGACTGTTATGTGCCAATCACAAAGGAGATGCGGTCAACTTTATCCGAGCGAAGTTCAAGGAGGCCTCTGAGGAGATTGTGCAACATGGTGGCGCTCTCGGTCTCGGTGTTGCAGGCATGGCTTCCGGCGACGAAAGCATCTTCGAGGATCTGCGAAATGTGTTGTGGGCCGATTCTGCCATCAATGGCGAGGCTGTAGGTTTGGCCATGGGCCTCGTCATGCTGGGCTCGGGCAATACCAAAGTCTTGTCAGATATGATTCAGCACGCTCACGACACCCAACACGAGAAAATTGTGCGAGGTCTCGCCGTCGGCATGGCGTTGATCATGTACGGCCGGCAAGAAGGCGCCGATGAGCTCATTCAGGGCCTGCTCAACGACACCGATCCGACCATGAGATACGGTGGCATCTTGACCATTGCCATGGCCTACGTCGGCACAGGTAGCAACAAGGCTGTTCGAAAACTGCTCCATGTGGCTGTCAGCGATGTCAGCGACGATGTTCGACGAATCGCCGTCCTCAGCTTGGGCTTCATTCTGTTCCGGAAGTACAGCAGTGTGCCTCGAATGGTGGAGCTGCTCGCCGAGTCCTACAACCCTCACGTCCGGTACGGCGCTGCCATGGCACTGGGTATCTCGTGTGCAGGCACAGGTCTTGCGGAAGCTATTGACTTGCTTGAGCCGATGCTGAAGGATCCAACTGACTTCGTACGACAGGGGGCCCTCATCGCCCTCGCCATGGTTTTGATCCAGCAGAATGACGCACTTAACCCCAAGGTTGGCAGCATCCGCAAAGCGATGCTCAAGATTGTTGGCGACCGACATGAGGACGCAATGTGCAAGTTTGGCTGTGCGATCGCCATGGGCATTCTCGATGCCGGTGGGCGAAACTGCACCATCAGCCTCCAAACTCAAACGGGTAACTTGAACATGATGGGAATTGTTGGCGCCGTGGTCTTCACCCAGTATTGGTACTGGTTTCCATTGGCACATTTCTTCTCGCTGTCGTTGACGCCAACTGCGGTCATTGCCGTGGATCAAAACTTGAAAGCTCCAGTCTTCAACTTTCACTGCAACACCAGACCCAGCCTCTTCGACTACCCTCCCGAACAACAATCCAAAACTGATGAGGCGCCTGAGAAGGTCAAAACGGCCGTGCTGAGTACCACAGCACAAGCCAAGAGACGAGCGGCGAGGAAGGAAAGACGACAACGAAGGGATAGCATGGATGTCGATACAGTGACGCCCGTAACGCCCAAGATTGAGAAAGGGGACAAGATGGATACTGATGAGGTTGGGGCGACTTCCGCCGTTAAGAATGAGGCTGAAGGCAAAGAAAAAGACAAATCCAAGGAAGACGCGGACAAAAAGGAGCCTGAGACTCATGGTGAGGGGAAGAAGAAAGCAGAAAAGGAGAAGATTGGCTATGATATCGGCAACATGTCCCGGGTGTTGCCCGCACAGTTGAAATACCTGACCTTCCCGGATCAGCGATATCAGCCTGTCAAGCGGCCCACCGGGGGTGTGATGGTTGTGCTTGATACCGAGCCGGAGAAGGACAAAGAAGTGATTCTCTTGAAGGTCAGCCAAGTTGAACCTCCCATCACGAGACAGCCAGGGCGTACTCTCGGTGAAGGGGTCCAGCTTCCCCAGACGCCAGCTGGCCAGAGGACGGGACAGGAGGCCGCAGCAGCGTCGAGTGTGGGTGCTGGTGCTGCGGCGGCGGCAGGTGTGTTGACAGCAATCGATGAGGATGAAGAGGGTGTGGAGGATGCACCTCTACCGGCGCCGTTTGACTATGAGACTGATTGGGAGGACGAACAATAAGGAGTCGAGTCGTTGTCGATAGAGGGAGGGGTTGTGCTGTAATTTCAACCATCCAGGAATTAGGGACCAACCAGGTTGGAGCTCCTTTATTTTTTTCTTCTTCCATTATCCTCGGAGCTCGAAGACAAAAGGGACAGAAAGGGACAGAAAGGGCAAACTCGTCTTGTCTTATATGCGTTGCACCAACACAACTTCAGCTACAGCGGTAGGAAGTGGTGAACAGCAAAGCACCAACAACAACAGCATCCTCCAGGGAAAGGGGGCTGTGTGTGTGTGTGTGTGTGAGAGAGAGAGAGAGAGAGAGAGCACTTAAGTATGTATTCGTCACAGAGAGATGTACCGAGTAATTACCTCGTATTCATCCTGCTTTTGTCGCTGTACCACAACAATCGTAAATCGCAAATCGCAAAAGAAGAAAAACTACCCACCGATCGGTACCAATACCAACACCAGTACCAATGGTCACCGATGAGAGTTACAAGTAGTTCATATTTCCCCTTCCCTTCCCTTCCCTTTCCTTCTTGTAGCAGTAGCAGTAGCAGGAGCGATAGCAGGAGCACGATACTCTACTCTACTCTACGTGTCCTTGTCCCTGGACTCGGTACCTTGCCTGTCCCAACGGACAATAGAACCTCACGCGCATTGATCATACTGGACTGGACTGGACTGGACTGTATTGTAGTATAGAATACATGGAGAAAAAGGCAGGGGAGGGACGGGGGCACAACGTTGAGCAGAGAAGGAACTAACTTCTGGGGCATATAGACACACACAAATATGTATATTTACTGCCCAGCCCAGCCCAGCCCAGTGGTGTATGTATCCGAACATCTATGTGCTCGGTAGGTCGATATCCGATGCTCCTGCCTCCCGACGCCCGAAGCGAGAAGAGTAATAAATATGTGGGGGAGGGGAGGGGAGGCGAGCCAACTGTGAGTGCTTTTGATACAGAGATGTATGTATGTATGTATGTACAGACAGACAGACAGACAGTAACTAACTAGGTGAGTAGGTAGGCAGGCTTCATGAGGGCGACATGCGTGTGGTATCTGTGTAGTATATATGCGAACAAGGCGTGGTGCGTGGTGCGGAGGGCGAAGTGGTGAGTGGGTGTCTGTGTGTGTGTGGTTGGTAAGAAGATTGTAAAAGGAGGCCAGACCAGAGGCGTGAGCGTGAGCGTGAGCATGAGCATGAGCATGAGGGGAGAGAGCCAGGAGAGAGAGGCGCGCAGTGTCCCTGTCCGAATGGTGGCGGTCACCGGGTGAGCTCCGGATGAGGTTCGATTGAGTCGATATACATACATGGTTGTTCCTACTCGTGAACCTCGTCGTGTTGGTCGGGCTTTTGTTTGAGGGACGATGGATGAGGGTTTCCCATGATCGGTCATTGTTGATTCTCGGTCCCTCGCTTCCTGAGAAGGTCAAAGAATACCGCAGTTCTTGTTTCCTGCCTGTCCTGGTTCTCGTTGATGCTTGTCCAAGCTCAGAGTGTTCTCTTCCTTCCTTCCACAACCATGTCAAGTTCGAGGTCGAACGCCTGCAACTCCGATGAGCATGCCATGTTCCCCAGGATCCCCTCCTCCGGCCATCCGCCGCGATGTTGAACATGTGTGCTCAAAGACCCGGGTGAGAATGATGGCTGGGTGCCTTTGAATTTGGCAAAGGCACAGTTGCTTCCCTTGGCATATGGGAGAAAGAGCTCTCTGGTCTGGATATTTCCGCGCCGCCCTCGTCCCAGCAAGCTATTGTGTCCATCTCCAGCGCCCATCTCTTCCTTCCCATAATCCACACCTTTTGGTTTTTCCTCCTTGGTTACCGCACTCGACAGACCAACATCCCCCCAATCTTCCGCTCCACACACTCTCGTGCCTCCAGAATCCCCACGTCCGTACTGACATACATGCACTCCCCGGGCCGCGTCATTCCCTTGACATAGCCACTCTTCTGGCCCAGTACGAGCCTCCGCAAGCCCGCCACGTCCATCCATATCCGCCTTGTCGGCTTCGAGACAAGCTCCATCTTCTCGATCACCGGTTCGGAGTTCCAGTATTTCAGGCCGAGCCAGAGGCGACGCGAGGCCACGTTGTGCCGCGTGACGGGTTCGATCGGGTGTGCCGGATCAGACGAGGAAGGATGTGAGAGCAGGTTGTGTGCCGGGGGTGGCGTGGGACCGCCGCGCACGACGGTCGACAGGAAACCCGAGTTTTGGAGGGCGAGCATCAGTTTCAGGTGGAATTTGGTGTCTGGGATCGATGTCAGACCGAGTCGTGCGCGCGAGGCGTTCTGCATGTGAGAGCAGGTGTTTGCAAGGTGGACAAGGGACATTTTTGGGAGGCAGGGGTTGCTGTTGTGCTGCAGATCTGTAGAGGAAAATCGGGAGGAGGATGTTCTGTAGATTGAGAAGACAAATGAGGGCGGTGCTCGGTCCGTCAGCCCAGGTGTGCTCGCTGCTGTTGACTGTGTCACAGTAATACGGTTGTCGTCCTCTTAGAACTAAAAGCAAGAACGCTGAAGACAAAAGGAGCGTAGGAGAGGATGAAATGTCCGACGACAAAGTGCAGTCAGTTGCGGAAGCCAATGTCGACTTCTGGAAAAACTGCTGGCCGCTCACGCCGAATCCGGTTAACATCGATGCCGCCCTACTGTTAGCCCTATTAGCTTTGCGCGAGTCATGCTCTCAATCAAGCCAATCAAAAAGCGGCGTCGGATATTCATTCCCACAAGGCTGGCTGGGCTGGGGGTAAACAGAGACCTCACACTCCAGCTGGTAGGGGCACAACACCTGTATACCTCATGTATTCATCTATACGATGGCGTTAAAGCTTGGTGGAGCTTCTTGCCGCATTCTTGGAAATGGTGGCTTGGGAGTCGTTGTCCTCCACCACAATGCTGCCCTCTGCGATCGAGACGACAACGAGGATGCGATAATCGAGCGAGAAAAAGAGGTCTACCGCCGTCTTGACAGATAAAATGGAGCAGTCCCATGCCTCGACCTCTCCGGACCCGGTATCAATATGGTCTGGATGGAGAATGGGAACCAACATGACTACCTTGAACAACATAGCGGTTGTGTGTAGACATCGCTCCAGCTGTCGTGGCTCCGTCAACTTACCCGGACCTCACTGCCATCCACGAGCGGTACGTGATCGCGGCCGATATCACTGCTCGAAACATCCTCGTGGCCAAAGGCGCGTCCGTCGTCAAGTTCTCCGACTTGATCGAATCGACGCTCCTGGACCGCGACTGCGACATGCAGCAGGCCGATGACAACGGCTACTCCATGTACACGGACATCGGTCAAAAGTGCGACTTCGACCTCTTCAAGGATGTCCCATCAGGTCCAGCTGGTGCAGTTTGGCCGAGACGGGAGCATCTTCCCACCACACGGGATATTTGGCTCGGATCGATCATCGAGAAGTGCTCGTCGAAAGGTGCCTTCCAGACCAGTGAGGAACTGTCAGCGGTTCTGGATTCAGCTACTTTCTGACCACAAAGGAGGCTTCCTTCGAACTTGCCAGGTCCAAGTCAGATTGAGAACTCGCAGCAACCTTCTGGTTCACCAATCTGCCCACTAAATCTATCGTCGAGAATGGAATATAGATGGATCTTGTTTATCATATCACAAAAAAAAAGCACGACAACTCCTCCTACAGAATGTCTCAGATATGGCCATCTTCACGCTACAATAGAAAAGAAAGCAATTTCAGCAAACACCACACGCTATACAAAGTGCGTTCCCTCGCCGTCAGCATATGTTTCCGCACCTATCTCTGCCGTAGCAGGCCGGGTGACGAAAACCAAAGGCTCAAGCAGCTCCTTCAGCAAGAAGCGATTGCAAAAGCCCGCTTGAGGCGGCAAAATTTCCGGCATGATTGGCATCCTATCGTCTCGCGCGTCCATTTCCCGCGCAACCGTCGGATATTCCCGGCCGCAGACGATGCCTTTGAAAATGTCGGACATTTTGACGATTCGCGGAGGCCAGAGTGGGGTTGATGGCTTCAGTTCGAGTTCCTTCAGTAGGGCGCACAACAGCCTCATACCGGCAGAGTGGACGATGCTGTAGCCATCTCCCATCAAGAGGGTGATGCATTCTTCCACCAAACCAAAGTGGGTTTGGTATTCGGGGTCTGACGGCGATCGACGTTGAAACATGTCCAAACACAAGATGATTGCGGCCACCACGCAGAATGCCTTGTCCACCCAGATGAGGGGACCGTCCTTGTCGTCCGTTTGTTTTGCTTCGTTCAGTATTGTTTTGGCCGCAGCAACGCACGTCACGCGGGTGATGGAGTAAGCCGGGTTGGTGAAGCTGTGCCGAATGAATTGTCGATGGATCATGATGATCTTGTGGGCAAAGCAGACGGTCAAGCTGCGGCGGGCCCAGGGTACCCACTCGGGCCAGGCCGGGTCGATGGGTTCGACGACATGGAAATACCGGGGCATGCCTTGGGTGGCCAGCGTGCGCATCCTTTGGTCAAAGTCCAAAACATGTTCGTATTTGGTGAAGGGCGTCGTCGCCCGCAGCATGGCCTCGTGGTGGGCGACCATGAGTTTGGCAATCTCAAACAGATAATTGCCATAACTGATGTACGTCGGAAACGTCGCCGGGATGGGATCCATGGTCAAATGGCTGCGACTGGACGGTTTGGTGGTGGTGAAATGCAACGGGTTGATGCAGTGGCTTTCGGTGAACGGCAACGACATCCAATCCTGGATGCATAGGTGCGACCATAGTCTCCGACCTACCTCGATGCGCAACAAGGCATGTCGTTTCTCTTCGGACGTTGTCGGCAAAATCTGCTCCAATGTCGGATTGCGGCAGAGCTGGTCCAACCCTAAACTTTGGGCGATCTTGAGGGCACTCCCTAACAGGACCGACAGTTCGGAAGGCCGCTCGTTGCAATGGGCGGACATGGTGAGCGTTGTGATGGCGTGTAACGAATAGACACTGTGGTTGCTGGTATATTTGGCCTGATTTAAACATGTAATGGTCGCTTGATACCACTGGCTTTTCAGCGTGATCGCCTCCATTCTGGAGAAGCCCCATTGCTCACGTTGGAGCGACGTTGCACACGTTAAGCTGCCGGCCATGATAGCGAACAGCAAAGCTAGCCATTGAAGGTCCAATCCTTTGATCACAAGCGAGTCGGATGGTTCCTGTGAGCTCAAAAGGCTGTGTAGCTCCCACCGTAATGTTGGGCCGTGATAACATCCGTGGTACCAGAGCAGGGACAATTCGTGGTAGTCGACCAGTTTCCAGATGATGTCGATATCAGGAAGAAGCATTTGGAGGAATGCCTCCTGAGCGTCGGCCGCCGAGCTGAACCCGATTTTTGCCGTCGAAACCCATTGACTTTGGGAGGTGGCATGTTCCCTATCTTGAGAAGCAACAGGCCATCGTAAGGTTTTGGGTCTATATGGCCGGAAGGAATACTGCAGACGAGGTGAACCGTTCGCTCCGTCCCAACCTGTCCAACCGATGCCCGCACGGTCTGGTTCCGATTCTGGTTCCGGTTCTCGCTCTGCCGCAGCCGTTTCTATGCCTTCGAGGGGAGCAGAATCGGGTTCGTCAGTCACGGAAGATGGAGGAAGGGCGGAAGCATGTCCTGTGCTCCTCCGCTTCTTATAAGCCCGTGATCGTGCTCGTGGGTAAACCCGATGGACGGATGGATCGTACTTGTCGTCGGGCCACTGACGAGTGCACCGGTCAGGCTCGCCTCGTTTGACGCAGCGTTCACAGGGCAGCTGCCGGTCGCATTTCTGCCGGCGCAGCGAGCATGCCGTGCAGGTGTATCTTGGACGTGGCGGCATTTCGTAACAAGGGCCAATGAGAACAGTTCAACTATGAGGAGGGACAAGTGAGGTTGATTGCTGCGCTGTGCGAAACGTAACGTACAAGATGAAAAGCGGAGCAAGCAAGAAATAAAGATATTATTGTAGGTGGAAGACAAGTAGGTGGGTGGGTGCGTTTAGGGGGTTTTGGGGGGGATTCGGTGGGGGAGGACACCGAGCCGTGGGTCGGTCGTCGCCTAGAGGATACCTGGAGACAAGCAGTATGCAGCCTGGTGAGCCTCACTCGTCAAGGGGGGTTCCTTAACAGTAGATCCTAGGCTCGCCTATCTACCGAGATATGTACAGTATGTAGATCCTGTACGAAATGAAGCCGTGCGCAATCAGACACTCACCATTGGGTGCCAAGCTCTAACGGGCCCCAACCATACTATTTATTACCTACTATTCTCGTACGATCCGAGAAAATCCTCAATTTGCACACCGTTTATTGTTGATTCAGAGACCAAGTGCCAGGCTGCTATGGCCAAATGACCACGACATTGTACAGATGCAAGGATGGCATGGAGGCTTCTCAAGTGAACAAGTCATACACAAGTGATGACTGTCCTCCCAGGCTGGCTGAATCTAGGTCATTGCATTCTGTTGCTTTTTGCTCTTTTGATCAACCGATATACAGTTCATCGATATTTCCTTTCTGGCGTCAACCTGGCTATGCTCGACTTCTCCTGGATCTGTCTGACCGCTTTCCGTGCGGCTTCCTTGATCTGACTTTCATCTGCCACGGCGAGTCGGCCGTCGTCCACCAGGACCTGCCCATCAACCACTACGGTCTGAACATTGGCTCCCGTGCAAGAGTAGACGACGGTGGTCAAAGGATCAACCCCGCCACCCAGGATCTGGTCCCGGTCAAAGGGACAACACTGTAGGCCCGATGGGTCGAGCACGACAAGGTCTGCCTTTTTGCCCACCTCCAGACTTCCCACTTCCTTTTCCAAACCCAACGCTCTGGCTCCGTCGATGGTGGCCATCCGGATCACTTGCTCCGCATCCATGAGCGAGGCATCATTCCGGCTGCCTCGCTGGATCAGGGCCGCCGTTCTCATCTCCTGGATCATGTCGTATGTGTTGGCACAGGGTGCCCCGTCGGTGCCCAGGCTGACGTTAATCCCGGCAGCAAGCAACTCTGGCACGGGGGCAATGCCCGATGCAAGCTTGCAGTTGCTGCTGGGGTTGTGAGCGACCGACACCGAGGGACGGCACATATGGCCATCGTCTCGCGAGGATTGGCCGTGTTGTTGATGTCGCCGCAAAATTGGCAAGTCCCTTTCCAGATCCAAATTCACCATGTGCGCCAGTACGGTCTTCCGGCTCTCGCCCTCGCCGCCGATCATGTTGGTGCGTTCGCAGAACTCGACCGGGGAACAGTGGTAGCTGTCGCGATAAATCCCAAGATCTGCTGGTGCTTCTGCACAGTGCATGGTCAGCGAAATGTCGTGTCGCGCACAGGCGTCCCCAATGGCCTTGTGGGAGCTTTCATCTGAGCCTCTGGGGGTGCTGGCAGCCATCCAGACGCGGATCCGTCCGCCATAGGACCCGTCGTATCTGTCGTGTGCGACCAAGGCGCTTTCGATGGACATGCCAGAGAGGTCTTTGTCGCGTGCATCTACCAGCATGCCAGGTGTTCCCACCTTGACGAGTTTGGCCTAACACTGTTAATTCAGAGCCGTAGGGTTTTCAAGATATCGTAGAGGATGGCGTACCAAACAACCCCTTATACCCATCTCCTCCACGGCACGAACCACATTGTCGAACCCACTCCGGTGGGTCAACATGGCTTCCAAAAAACAGGTCGTGCCACTCTTCAACATTTCAGCGATGGTCAATCTGGCGGCCACGTAGCCATCCTCCCCTTCATAGTTGGCCTCAAGAGGCCAGATGGCATCGCACAGCCAGGAATGCAACGACACGTTCTCGGCCAGCCCTCGCAGCAGGGACTGAGTCAGGTGAGCATGGGTATTGATCAAACCAGGTAGGACAATGCGCCCCGAGACGTCGACGATCTTGACCTCGGGAGGGACTCGACTCAGTAACTCTGCACTTTTGTCGATAGCCACGATCCGCTCAGCGTTAACCCACACCGCACCATCCAGCCATATGGTATTTTGAGGGTCGACGGTGATGATGGTAGCGTGAATGAACAACGTCGATCTGGTCTTCATCTTCGGATTGAACAGGGAGGGACCTTTCAACCAGACAGTGGACGCTTCATGCATATTTTATATCGTTGGTGGGTCCCGGGATATGTCGCAGCTCTCCTCACCATTTTGCACAAGTCATCGTACAGAGGAGATTCGTTTGAAGCGATTGCGATCTAGAACTTTCAGCAAGAATCCTAGTGCGTACCACCCACTAGTCGCCAAAGACGAATCGGACTCTCGTCGCACCAGAGGTACAAACAAGGCTCGAGATGGCGATCGAACTGTTGGTTATCGCTGGCTAGGTCTCGTACGAAAACCGGGCTCCTTTATCGAATTCGTATCAGGGTCGCGCCCCACACGATATGCTCCGTATCTATCAATCTGGAACGACATCTCCCCGGCTCCAGAACAGTGTATATCATCTCATCCAACAGCTCGGTACGAAAGCTCTGTGAAAGATGCTGAACATCATTATCAATCAATTGATCTATCTGCCTCTGTCGGAGCATATAAGGGACGGTGGAAGCCACGGCACGAATCCCAACTTACAGGACGTTTCTCAAATCTCTGGAGTCTCTACCGAGTGTTTAGTTCACAAAAGCACACATCCTACAATTGCGCCGCCCACAAGACTGAGATGGACCTTGCGACCAAGACCATGAAGGAAGAGACGACTACGGCTTATGGTTTCGCGGACTCTTCGGTCTCATCATCGTACGAGGCTCCGTCTGCGGCCGATGGCGATGTCGCTCGTGGAGAAACGATTTCGAAGCTCGATTTGCGCCGGAGAGCAGGTCGAATCTGGTCATACTTGTGCACCACAGAAGCGTGGTTCGGCAACTACGACTACTTGTACCTGGTCACGCCCAACATCCCGCCTTTCAACCGCAAATACAAAGACAAGTCCATCCCGTTCTACGGCCTGAATGACGAGGTGCCCATATTCCTGACCATCCTGCTCGGCCTGCAGCACGCCCTGACCCTGATCGGGTCCATCGTGACGCCTCCACTGGCCGTCGCGGCAGGCGCCTTCAATTTGCCGACCAACCAGGTCTCGTACCTCGTTTCGGTGGCATTCATCACCACGGGAATCGCGACGGCGCTGCAGGTGACTCGGATCCATGTCCGGGGCACTCCCTTTTTCATTGGGACAGGTCTCTTGTCTGTCGTGTCCAATACGTTCGACATCATCGCCGTCGCCTTCACCTACACGGGCATGCGATATAAGAACGGCACCTGCCCGGTGGCCGCGGACGGCACTCAGCTTCCCTGTCCCGACGCGTACGGCGCCCTTCTCGGGTCGATGCTCGTGACTGTGTGGATCCAGATCCTGATGTCCATGATCCCGCCGCGCTTTCTGAACAGGATCTTCCCCAAAGTCGTCACGGGGTCGCTGCTGCTGCTAGTCGGCGTGTACCTGATCAACAGCGGCATGCAGAATTGGGCCGGGTCCTCCAACTGCAACAACGGCACCGGTTTCTACGCGCTGTGTCCAAACATCTCCAGTCCGAAGCCGCTGCCGTGGGCGGACCCGAAGCTCATTGGCCTCGGCTTCAGTGTCTTTGTGAGCATCGTGGTGGTGGAGCAGTTTGGCTCGCCCATGATGAAGTCGGCCGCAGTGCTGATCGGCTTGATCGTGGGCTGCATCGTCTCCGGCGCCACGGGCTACTGGTCGAGCGAGAACATTGACAACGCTCCTGTCGTCACTTTTCTTTGGGTTCACACCTTCAAGCTGTCGGTGGACGGGGCCTTGATCCTGCCCTTACTCATCATGTTCATCTGTGAAGGTGTCAGCTGCATGCCCGACATCCTGGCCACGGCCGAAATCTCCGGCGTCGACGTCGAAGGCAGCGAATTCAACAGCCGCATCCAAGGCGGCATTCTGTGCGATGGCCTCGGTAGCCTCATGAGTACCTTGGGCACGGGTCTTCCTATGGTTTCCCAAGCCGGTAACAACGGCACCATCGTGCTAACCGGTTGTGCTGTGAGTTTTATTCTCCTTCTTCCACCAAAGTTTAATGAGTGTGGATTCTTTCTTTGCGTGATTGTTGACTAACGAATCTTTCCCACAAAGTCTCGACGAGCAGGCTGGGCGGCTTCCGTCTTCCTGATCCTCATGGGCTTCTTCGGCAAATTCGGCGCCGTCTTCAGCGCCATGCCGCCCTCCGTGCTCGGGGGCATGCAGGTCTTCCTGTACGGCACCATCGCCGTAGCCGGAATTCGCGTTCTGGGCATGGTCCCGTTCACCCGACGCAACCGCTTCATCTTGACCGTCGCGCTCGGCATCGGGTTCGTCGACATCGTCACGCCCACCTGGTTCGACCAGATTTTGAACTACAGCGGCTCCAACGTCCACCTCCAGGGCTTCGAGCAGGGCCTCAACCTGATCGTCGAGACGCCGTTCATCATTGCCGCGGTGATTGGCGTTTTCCTGAACCTCGTTCTGCCCAATGACAAGAGTGCCATGGACGCCAGGATGAACCTCAACACGACGAATTCGAAGGGGGAAGTCATCGCTCTGCCGCAGGTGGAGGGGAGGGGTGAATAAAGCTGGTAGGAGACCTATATCTAGTATTATTGATGCTGTTCTGTCTGTTCTGTAATGCTATCGCGAACTCGAGGTGCTGCTATGTTGTGTACAAACTTCCGTAAGCTGGAAAATGGATGTCATCGACCGGGCATAGCAGTTCATAAATGTTCTCGATACATTGAACTCGCTGGTCAATAGTCATCTCGGGCCATACAGAGTGCAGCGAAACGCCAGGAGAATGCTCCATTATAATATACTCGCTTCCGATCTCGTTGGTTTGATCACCATCCCAGTCGTAATTGGTTGGTACGGGTATTCTTGAATGCTTTCTCACTGCAAGTGGCATAGTCAGATCAGAGGTATTGCATTGGTAGAATTCAATGCTACTAACAAAATTCAATCGTGGCAAGCTTCGATTTGTGGTTAGGTGACGAGGTCCTGCATTGGCAAAGGGTATTTTTGCGATGACCACTCTGTCGTTATTTGTTGTGAAAATGAAAGCCCGACTGAAGCCGCCTCCCTCCTTTTCGAAAGTCGAGATGGAATCGGCGCCAGGACAGGACTGGACCACGCGTCGGCAGAGCGCGTCAAAGTTAAAAAAGAAATGTGAGGGGCTTCTTGGTGTGCTGCATCGTTGCGTAGCTATCTACCTCTAGAGTATCGAAATGGGTCGGAGTCTTCATCACTCTTGACACTTTTGATACAAAAACTTGATGTAGGCACTGTACTTGCCTTTGGGGGCCATGGTTGAGAAGTGTGACTAGATCGGGGTAGAGAAAGGTACCCAAAGTTCCTTTTGACGAAAGGCGAATGGTGATCAAGACATTGAAGCACTCTCAAAGCACAAGACATAGGTCTCATCTAGCAGTATGGTAAGCTGAAGACATTGGACACGTCCGTTGACGGGGATGTCTGATTACTCCGTACACGGGACAATAGCACAGCTTAGCCTGGTTGATGGGATTTTTTTGGAGCCATAACGGCGAAATCTCAGCATACCTTTTGTCCATCTCATCGGTACCGGTTTCCCTTACGTCCGCCAGCCTTCTAATCTCAGCAAGCCGGCGAGGCAGGTGGTGGTAATAAGGGCCAGATCAAGCTGCGAAAAGCGGCAAGTTGGCCGAGCGAGCCAACGTAGGTTTGCGGCACCCAGCACGCTAATAAAGTACGCTAAGGAACTAGCGTGTAGCTATCATAGAAAAGTAGTGTAGATAGCTGGCTTAATATAAAAACGCTAATAAGCTTATCTTTTAGCGCCTCTTGAAAGAATCGAAATATTAGTGAAAAAGAGGTCGCGAATGTTATATGAAGTCTTGGAAACTTTCAGTAACAACCCTGATTCTGACTCAGAAGCCTCTGCACCTCGTTGCGTTCAACCCACAATCCTCAACCTCGCCTAGAAAATGCATGTCCGACCTGCCCATGCGACCGATCTTGCAGACCTGGCTACCATCGCTAGAGACGCCATGTATTATGACGAGCTGACCGTGGTCCTAGCCCCTCATCGTCACCGACATCCAGAATGTCTCCGCCAGGGGATTCTCAGACGTTTAAAGAAGCGCTTCTACGATGGACACGTCGTCCTTGCTGCTGTGTCGGATGAGAATGACATTTGGTGGGACGGCGTAGAGAGGGTGGTCGGCCATCTATCGGCCAGCTCTACTAAGCAGAAGAAAATGGACACAGAGACGGAGAAGAAACCATGGCTGCCATTTTCCTGGAACGGTATCCGAGACATTTCTCCCCTCGAAAATCCTTTGGCTGACGACAGGTTCAGAGCTGGAGCTCCGACTCCTACGTCTGGAGGACCTCTTCGCATGGTACACTCACGCCGATCAATCACTCTCGCGAAAAGCATGGGCACAGTTCGTAAACGGTCCCCATGACACTCGACCTTTTGCAAACATCAAAGAATATTGGCACGTAGACCACGTATCCGTCGACCCGGCCTATCAAAGGAAAGGCATCGGATCTGCAATGATCAAGTGGCTGCAGAACATTGCGGCCGAGGACAATTTACCCATCATTCTTGTGGCAAGCCACCAAGGTCGACCGATGTACCAAAAGTCAGGTTTTGTGGACCGTGGCCCTTCGGTGATGGGACTTGGTCTAGTCAACGAAGCAATGGCATGGTTCCCGCCGGCCATGTCCACCTCGCATTCAGCTGGCGAGACCGAGGATGGTTGCCCCTGAGCGTGCGCCTCTAGTTGAAATGGGTTGTAACTGCGCGTGAGCCAGGTTGACTCTCCTTTTGACCTGTGCAGCAGCCCTCAGAAATATGTTTTCTCCACCTCTCACGATACGGCAAGTTGTAAAAATTACACCTGTTCGACCCTGGAACTTGAAAATTTCTATGGATGCGGTATTACCATGTAAGCCGCCGAAGTCCTGGTTTTCAAACCTGCTGGAGATTGACATGACATTTGTCATGATCGACAACCAACGTTTTCTCGTGTTCGACTCGCGAATGTACTTCAGCTCGCACCATGCATGGCATCGCGTCACCTCTTCGGCGTGGCATAATATCCAGAAAAAGTCCGTCAGTTAGCCCCGTCCCAGTTACTATGGTATGAATGATGGATCTTGACCCAGTACTGTGAGAAAGGCAGATTGGTGATCGGGCTTCTGCAGGATTCGATCGCTGCCCAGTCACCGTGGAATTAGAGTGCAGAGCTGACTCTATGGTCATAGCGCACCAACGCGAGGAATTTGACTCTACCAAAACAAAGCTTGACCGGATACGGCATGTTTGGTTTGTGGTATACTTCCTCCTTTTTCTGGTTCAGCGTATACTCGCACGGGCCGCTCTCATTGTGGGTCCAGAACCGTGGCACCACCGCAAACAGCCAGCGGTCGTGCTTCACACATCGAAAACGCCCAGTGTGTCAAAAGAGGCTCCGCTGAAACCAACCATGCAGTCGAGATCGTGATTTCGCCTTCCGCCAGAAAGTCCTTAAGGCCACTCAACTCGAGAGGACATTCTTTTACAGGTGTCGAGCTTCTAGTCTGATAAGGCCGTCTCTACCTGACTATTAGACCATGGTTCACAATCTAGAATACGACATGGCTAGCTCAACAAACCCCAATGAATCACGACATCCAAGCAAATCCTTCGACCCGACAGTTGAGCGGGTACAAAGCAGCCACATAACGCCTCCGGCATCCTCTGAAAACTCGAGATCTATTGGCATCTGTGCGACTGGCGCAGACACAGCGATCTGTGCTACACATTTTGGAATCGAGCTTGAATTTGTTCTAGCTTTCAAGGAGGATCTCTTGAAATCTGTCATATCGGAATACGATCTAGACGCTACTATCATTAAAAAGCTTACAGCCTATGAACATCGCTCTCTTATCGAACACGATGTTAACCCAAATCCTGCCTACGATTGTCGATGGAGGTACCCGTCGTGGGCACTACATGTCCCGGAGACGGACATGGCGTGCACATCCAAGCTCCACAAGGGCATGTTTTTCAACAGAATAGACAATAGAAAGCAATGGGTGCGACGATATGTTGCGGAACCCCTTCTCATTGCTCGAAACTGCTTTGACAGACAAGGCCTACACTCCAGCGTTGTGGGATGGCTCGAACCCGATCCCCACTGTCGAGATTCTCATGAGGCCGCAAAGATTCCTCTGACGAAACACCATCACGCCGACGAAGGAGCTGTACTTCGAAAGAGTCTGATCGACTACACAGAATGGACTATGACAAATGATCATACGGTTGTTGGAGCGCTTCGAAGTCAGCTCCGAGAACACTTGCTTACTCAGGGAGTGGCGGAGGATGATGTTCCGAAGTGGGATAGCTATGGAATAGAGTTGATATCGCCAGTTTTTGAACTGGCGAGACAGACGGAAGCTTTTTCACAAGTTGGAAAATATTTACGAGCTCTCGTCTCAAAGGAAACTTCGACTCTCGAATCTATCTGGGCTGGTGCGCATGTGCACATTGGATTCAATTTTTCGAAACCGGAAGATATACCTATATTGTTGCTTCAGCACTTGGCATATATCCTCATCCTCCACGAAGATCTCCTGTCGAGATGCCACCCTCGAAGTCGCTGTGGCATCCGACTTTCGAAGCCGACTTCCGAAGAAGTGGAAGTCGAAGACGAATACGCAGATGAAGAGTTCGACCCCCACGGTCCCTACGAACCACCGCCCGAGCCAACCGACGAAGAGTTAGAGGCGGAGAACGAACGAGTGGTTCTCGCTTTCGAGGCCCAGTACACTGGAGCCGATAATGTCAGCTCCAACGCGCGGTTTCTAAGAAAGCAACTATCACAGCGAGCCATACAACCCTCAACCAAAAGGATCAGGGACGCCATCTTCAATCCCGACGACAACATCTTTGACCTGGTGGCTTTATTACAACATAGCGATGCACATGGCAATCCACATCGGGGATATATGTACAATTTTGCGAATCTGGTCAATTTAGCACGTAATAAAACGAGTTGGAAGCAGATCAAGCCGACAGTCGAATTTCGGCAGCACGCGTGCACGTTGGATGCCCCTGAGTTGAGTAGATGGGTGACGCTTTTGGAAAGAATTGTACGTGTGGCGGAAAAGAATGCATATGGGACAACAGACCGCCATCCTCCAAATCCAATCGGAGGGGACCAACGGAGCTCGTTCGCAGAAAAGGAAGGCAACAAATATTCTCTGAACTCGACGACAAACACCCAATGGCCCTGCAGGAGCATGAGTGAGTTCTGTGGGAGATTTTTGAGCATGAGCTCGGAGGATGGTGAATATTGGCAACAGAGGTTTGAGAGATACAAGGATGACAGGCCGGAAGAAGTTGATGAGAAACGAGAGAACAGCACGTATCATGACATATGACTGGTGACTTTGTGGATGATATGGGGGATACTTATTGTGACGACTGGAGGACGAACACTATGGGCAATCGCTTGTTGTTTGGAAAGGGTGTGTGGCGACGGGCCATTTGGTGGGAATTTTCACGAGACAGACAATATGGTGTGGGAAAACTTACGTGACTTGGATAGCCTCGCTCGATATCCTGATGTATCAAACACCCTCGTTAGATGCTCTGTTGAATGGAAGACCTTTGGACAGCCCAGCATCTGTTGTCGCGGAGAGGTATTACATGTACCTCGTCGATTGCTTAGCCCTATTGATGTTAGTCTTGTCCGGCCGAATTCCGCCGGGTGAAGCGGCATGGAAAACATGGCAAAAAAAAAGTGACTCGCTCTTGCACGCCATTTGTCGCCGTCGTTGCGTCTTGCCTTCGTCATCTCTACAAGCTTTCTTCCCTCACGTTTCTTGTTTTGTTATGAGTTGATGCTGCATCCTCACTTGCTCACTCCATATCTTGTTGCTGACTATTGCTCTGCCAACTTATCTCTTAGCCTTTTTGTACCACGTTACCCAGATTGGCGAGTCTGTGTGCTCCACATGATAACCTCCGAAGTTGACCCCAACGAATGCCCTCACCGCCGTTGAGCATTCCTGACGACCCAGGCAGGCAAGATGTAGAGGGCACCAGTACCCGCTTTTCAGATGTGTCGTTGGCGCTCGACGGCGCCACTTCGAGCACAGAGTATTTTGAGAAACTCGACGGCAAGAATGTCACGAAACACCCAGTCAGACCGAGCCTGGGCCCCGGTATCTCCTCGCGGGCCCGTCGGCCTTCGTTCATAGACGAAGAGGAAGACCCCATAGCGACCGAGGCCAATGCTGACGGACAGCCTGACAAGTCGGACAAAGAAGCACCGGTGACATGGATGTCCTTGCCTAAGAAGGGACAATTGGCCGTTCTGACCTTTGCTCGACTCTCCGAGCCTCTGACGGAACGGTCTCTTGCGGCATACTTGTTCTACCAGCTTCGGTCCTTTGATCCAAGCCTTCCGGATAGCACGATTGCCAGTCAGGGTGGGATGCTTACCGCCTCCTTTGCCGCCGCTCAGTTCGTAACAGCAGTCTGGTGGGGACGAGCGGCGGATACGCCCTGGATCGGTCGCAAAAGAGTCTTGCTGGTGGGTTTGTTCGGGACCTGTATCAGTTGCATTGGAGTCGGCTTCTCGAAGTCCTTTGCCCAAGCACTGTTCTTCCGAGCATGTGCTGGCTGTCTCAATGGAAACGTGGGCGTCATGAGAACCATGATCAGCGAAATTATCAAAGAGAAAAAGTAGTCTTTCCGCCTTCGACTTCCCACCATGACTGTATGATCTAACTAGCCCAACAGATACCAGTCGAGGGCATTCCTTCTGTTGCCCATGTGCTTCAACATTGGTAAGTCATGAGAGCACGCTCTATATTGGCGTCGAACTGACCGACTCACAGGTGTGGTCATTGGCCCTATCCTCGGTGGCTTCCTGGCAGACCCGATAACCTCGTTCCCTTCTGTCTTCGGCCCAGGCTCTTTGATAGGCGGGAAGGATGGAGTTGGCTGGATGACCTCCTTCCCCTACGCTCTCCCAAACGTGGTGAGCTCAATGTTCATTCTGGCATCTGCTCTGCTCCTCGTGCTGGGTTTGGACGAAACCCACGTGGCATTGAAGGACCGACCGGACTACGGGCGAAGGTTGGGCAAGTATCTGGCCCGGACTCTTTTCCGCCGGGGCAAGCAGGAATACGAATACTCTGAAATTGGCAACCAGGTTGAGTTGCAGGATATCGACGACGACGATCAAGACCGAGATCCCGAGTCATCAAGGACTCCGGCCACAACACCCACGAACACCAAACCCGCTTCATGGAAACCAAATTTATCATTCCGACAGATCTTCACTAAGAACGTCATCCTCACTCTGCTTAACCACTACTTCCTTGCAATGCATGTGTCGGCGTTCAACGCTCTGGTATTCCTGTTTCTCCCGGCACCCCGGTCCACCAACGCCCATGCGAGATTACCATTCCTCTTCACCGGCGGCCTCGGCCTCAGCTCCGACCGTGTCGGGCTCGCCACCGCCATCATCGGCATCATCGGCTTTCCGCTCCAGATTCTGCTCTATCCGTCCCTCAACTCGAAACTAGGCACCTTGCCGAGTTACAGGTGGTTTCTTCCCTTCTCCGTCCTCGCATACGCCACGATGCCGTATTTGGCCTTGCTCCCTAATAAAGCATACCTGGTTTGGCCTACACTTACCGTGGTCTTGGCCTTCCAAGTCATCGCCCGCACATTTGCCCTCCCCGGCTCCACGATTCTTATCAACAACTGTACGCCGCATCCGAGCGTGCTAGGCACCATCCACGGCTTTGCGCAGAGCGTCTCTTCGGGAGCCCGAACCCTGGGACCGACCCTCGGAGGATGGGGGTTGGGGCTGGGACTCGGGGGAAACTGCGTCGGTGCCGTGTGGTGGGTGATGGCGAGCATCGCCGTCATGAACTGGTCGTTGCTCTGGGTCATTACCGAAGGGGACGCGGGAGCTGCCGCGGCGGCGGCGATGGGTGGTTGAAGTTGGGTTCAATATCTACGCGGTATATTGAGATTTTTGGATCTTGACAAGAGACCTATCATTCACGTATGTATGTCCATAGGGTGAGCAAGTCGTTTGGTCTGGTCTCGATCATGTTTCATTGGTTGGGAGTGGAAGGCGACGAGACCACTGGGGGTGTTTGTACAGGTAGTCCTCGTCATTTGACTCCCTTGACTCACTCGATGCTTGTAGGGAAAGGCGAAAGGAGCAGTGATGAGTTCAGTAAATGATTGATTGAATGATTGATTGATTGCGTTGGATTGAATTGGATTGGGTATCAGGATACCTCACATTCCCAGGACTTCAGGTGATCTATTAGTTAGACTACGAGAAAGAACGAAACGCGGTCAATGAAACGAAACGAAATGAGATGAGATGCAACAGTCTTTTCTTTCCTTCACGGTATATACTTACTCAACTACCTACCATCTATCCATCTAGTCCGGAGGAGTTAGTTAGTTAGTTCTTTTTCATTGTTCCTCGTTCGTCGTTCTCTCTCAATCATACATTCATTCATGACTCCAATAATTAGTCGACGCTATTTTGCATCCGAAGTCTCGATTTCCCAGCCAGCCCGTCGTAGTAGTAGTAGTAGCAGTGGGCGGACCAAGTACGTACGGGAGTGATGGGTGGTTAGGTGAGTGAGTGAGCGAGTGAGTTAGTTATTAGCAGGGGAGTGAGTGAGTGACCCTGATGATGATAGTAAATGATAATAATCTCTCTCCCTCTCCCTCTCCCTCCCTCTCCCTCCTTCTCGCCCCTCTGATCCAACCAACCAACGTGCCAACCATCTAATCCTGATAAAGGGCCATTAATCTGTACAAAGCAGGCACCTCCATGTGTTGTGTAAGTACGTAGTCATGTAGTCGTGTAGTCAGTCGTAGTCAGACGGACACGTCAGTCACCACGGACACGAACAATACGCTTTCAGAATCCCAGTCAGCCATGCACGCCCACGTCTAATCACGAGCCAACAGGTTGCTGCAATTGCCCAGTCTCGTGTGGCGAAGAGGATCAGGACACCGGCACGCAGACCTCTCCCCCTCTCTCGGCATCTGGGTCGTAAAGGTGGGGACTCCAAACTGACGAAATCAAATTTATCGGTGGAAGTTGAACCAGGTCGAATCCAGGTAGTCAAAGTCGCTTGCCGAGATGCGCTTGTCCAGAGGAGCACCGTCTTGCGCACCTCCGTCGACAGGAGGCGGGACGGCTCCGCTCATCTCAGCGTCACCAGCGACTGCAGCGTCCACGGCTGCGCGTTGGAGACGCGGCGACTGGTCGGGATACAGTTTCCCGCCCGGGTGGAGCGCCTCATACTGCGATTGCGGTTGCGCGGCGGGGTACTGGTCGTCATCGAACCCATAAGTCGTGTAAGGCGACCGTTGGAGCACCTGGGGGTCGTGCGCCGTCACGTCTGGAGCAGCTTTCCACTCGGGGGCGCTGGCGGGGGGATAGTCCCACGACCCAGCGTAGCGGTGCTGCGCGTTCTGGTCCAATTCCGGCTCTGCCCAGGCGTCGCTCGTGTTGGTAGGCGCATACACGGCGTCCATGTCGGGGAATTCAAAATGCGACGACTGCTGATTCGTCGTCCCTTTGTCAGCTTGTCGATTCTCTTGTGCTGATAGCGGTGTTGACGTCGACCTGCCGGTTTCTTGCAATTCGTCCCCCTGTACCTCGACCTCGCGATCCCTGATTTTCCGCATCAGCTGCAGAAACTGGCTGTTCTGGAACTTTTCGCTGTTGTCGTGTGATACGCTTGTGAGAAGCTGCCCGGCGGTGCGGGCTAGTTCATCAGCGTCCCGCGTGTCTTGATCTGCCGTACGGTCTGCCTTCTCGCGGTAATGAATGGCGTCGCTGCCTATCCGCACAGTCTCCGTTTCGTCGGGTCGGTGTATATCCGTCTCGGAGATCATGGCATCCGGGTCCGAAGCAACTTGTAATGCGCGTTGTTGGTCCATCTCTTGAGCGTGGGCGAACGCGTCCGCGAAGGCGGCTTCGAAATCCACGTCGGAAATTTGGACCTTTTGCTCCATAGACATCATCGCCGTCTGCGGCATTTGCGGCTGTTGCTGCAGACCCCCAGAGTATGACTGGTACATGGGCTGGGAGTAGTCCATCATCGACGACTGTTGAAACATGCCGGCATTGGTCAACTGTGGGACATCCCGTACTGCCTGCTTCCCCTGCGAAACCGGTGTGCCTGACCCCGACCTCTGTCGCATGAATTCATGTTGCCATCCGCCAAAGGTTGTGGACTTGATCAGCGGCGCTTCGGTGCGAAACTGTCCTGCGGGCAAAGGCTGCGGTTGGGATATAGAGAGCCGTTGGAAATCGGCGGCCCACCCTGCTGGAGCAGATGGGGCATGGTTCTGAGGATGGAACAGCTCGGGTTGCTGGAACTGGAACGGGTGCGGTGCAGAGGTCTCGAAGGCGTGGAAGTCTGCGTCTAGGGCGCCGGCTCGAGGGTCGGCGGTGCGGAAGCCCTACCAAAGTCACAGGTCAACGGCCGATAGCAGACAAGAAGGGCCTGGTCGACTCACCTGTCCAGGCGACTGTCTGTTTCCGACAAGACGGTCTTGCTGCAGCGTTCGATCGGCCTGTGTATGTTTTTGCAACGTCTGTAGCGGGTTCGAAGGCCCGCAGAGAGCATCCGCCATCGTTGCCAGGCGGGGTGGTGGTGTGGTCAAGGAGTGAGACCAGTTCGCCTTGTGCAGGGCATGTCTAAATAAAAACGGATAAGGAAGGCAGGATAAAAGTCGGGATTTTATCGCTCTCGGCCGCAGTTCGAGCCTTTGACGACGTAGGTAATAAGTACGGTGGTAGTAGTTGTTTGGCTGATGAGCAATTCCAAGAATCGCCATCGAGGATTTTGAAAGCCGAGGTTCGAGGGGAAACCGATGCTGCGGAAAATCGTTTAGCCGTGGGTATGGACAAGACAGGCAGGTTGCCCGATCTGGCCTGATGAGGAAGGACTCCCGAAGACTATTCTGTACCGAGTACTATTATCTGATAGCATTGTGCCTCCCAAATACTGTATAATAACACTAGAAATCCTGTTCCCGTCCCAATATATCACGCTGTTCACCTATACATGTATTGTCGCAGGACCAATTCAGACAAGCCAAATACCCGATCTCTGACCCAAATCACAGTATCCACAACCATGCGCCAGCAATGCCCATGGCAAGTCGCACAATCAACTCTCTCGCACTCCCGCGCACTTCATCTCGAGCTGCGGCGGAATTGGCTGCAGCACTAGCACTTGCACTTGCACTTGCGCTGGAAGCAGCCGAAGTTGAAGAGACCGTGCTCGTCCCGGCCGATGTTGCGACAGAAGTCCCCGTAACCGTGCTGGTAGCGCTTGAAGTAGAGGATGTTGTACTGGTAGTGTCGTTCACAACCCGGAACCAGTTGGCCGCAATAGGTTGTCCTAGACCGGCAGCCTCAGCAAAACCCGACATGTTGAAAGGATATCTCGCATTCACGTCGGCGGGTGGACTGAAAGAGAGATATGCCTGTGGTACGGTGAAGCCTTCTGGTTGAGGGTAAAGCAGCAGTGTGTATCTATGCGGTCCATCTCCAGCGGGCGGTGAGGGAGTCACATAGTCGGCGCCAACCGCCGTTGTGGAATTTTGTGCATGAGGCTGAACCGATAATGCATGGTTGATGCCGACAAGGTTGGGCTGGAAGAAGTGGAGCAGTTGCACTCGCGGACCGTTTCCTGTATTGACGTCCTCATCCACCATGAAGAGTATATAGGTGGCTTCTTGTGTAGCGTTCTCTGGCCCATACACGGTCGGGCCATCGAGTACGTCTGCATATATCAGCAACGGATATCATGTCTAGTCTGGGAAACGTCCGTACCATCTCTGGGCAGCAGGATACCGGGTGGGCTAACGCTTGTCGAACTATTGAGGAAGTCGACGCGCAGGTTGCTGTTGACCTGGACAGGGAAGTTTGGGGCAGATTGAGCACTGACAAGTGCAGCCAAGGTAGGCACAGCAAAAACCGAGAAGTATTTCATATTGAACAGGGATTCTGGGTGTGGCAGACTCTCAAGAAAAGTGCGATTTGAGCTGTTCACCGACACGATCCAGGACCATACCTTCGGCTTAAGTACTCATCTCCTGTGGGCCGTCATTGTGTCGGCCAAGGAACCCAGCATTGAGCCGGGTGGGTGATTCGTTTCTGCCCTGGGCTCGATCTAAAGTCGTCCAGCACCGACAAGTAGTGTATTCAGGAGGACGTCAATCATCTAGTCAGGTGCGTGAAACCGTTTGTGTTGCTGACAAAAAAGTCCTGTGAATGAGGCAGATTCCGAATATGGGAACACGGCCCCCATCCTCCACAGAGCTAGTCCGAAGAACAACCTCAATGGGGAAGCTCTGCACGAGATAACCTCGTTAGTCAGTTGGCGGGTCATCTCAACAATCATTCGCTTGTCGCAGCCTTGACCAAGCCAGGTGGTGGGCCTTGAAAGGGGCCGAAATTGCCAGTGTTACTCAAGGCAGGTCGAATTCTTACCCCTGATCGCCCAGGAGCCAAAGAAACGCTCGAAAGACATGCATTCGTCAATCCATGGCTATCCTTTGTATCGCCCCCAAGCAGCTTCTTGCAATTGTGGGTGAATGGGTATGCTCGAGTGACGGTCTCTTATTACCTCTTTTCCAACGGGACCACATTGCACAGTAAAGCCACCGAAGTGTTGCGTTACTGATCTCGCTTTGGACCCTCGGGGCGAGTCGAGCACAGCCCAATGCTTAGAAATTGAGCACAGGTAAGGCACTACTCTTACTGGAATGCCGCCCCAACGATTTTCGATGGCAGGTCGTCAACGCCCTCCTGCACCGCCCTGGAACGCGTCCAAAAGGTCCGGCAATTGAGCAAACAATATCGAAAACGAATAGACCTCGGCGGGGAATTGTCTGAAGGATGTCTTCGTTTTGTTTCTTTGAATGTCTCCCCCTACACTCTTTCTTGGCCAAGGAACCTTGTCAACTAGACCTTCACGAGAATGGGGAGTCCTCCGAAGCTTAAGCAGGGCGGTCATGTGGTGGAATAGATCATCTCGACCCTGAGCATTGATCTGATCAATCAAATAAGGATTTGGGACGTATCCAAAGTCGGCTGGCCCCTTGAGAACAAGGCGAACAGCAAAGTGGCATCCGACTGAAGTCCTTGGGCCTGTCCTTTAGCTTTCATGACTTGAAACTTCTTCACCCAGGGCCAGTTGCAAAGTGTCCGGCTCGAAGTTCTTCTTCTGTCCTCCTTCGCCAGGAGTCAGATACTCTCGTCCAGTCGACGTCGCCAAGGCGTCCGAGGGCGCGACAACCGTCACAATCAACGTAGTCGCTCAGGGTACAAGAAGCATGGCACGCGGGGCAGATGTCGTGGACGTGCTTGTGCCAGCTCGCGTTGTGGAAGTTCCACCCGGTCTTCTGGACCCAGAAGTTGCTGATTTCGCAGCCCATGATGGTGTCCCAATACTCCTCGCGCCGAGGTCTATTGGTGAGGCAGTGGTTGCATAAGCGCAAGTCACTGGGCATCCATGGCTTCAATTGAGTCATGAGCTCCGGGACATCAAAGACGGTCCGGGGGAGGAAGCCTGCATATTTTGGCGACGTGGGCGAGAGGGACAGCTGGACGTCTCGAGCCACAATCGCCATCCGTTTACAGGACAGCGCCAGGGCAACCTGAGAGGGGGCGTGCCCCAGACTTTCGTAGATAACGAGAAGAATCTCATAAGGCATCGTCAAGAGAACAGATGGCCCTTTGTACTGTGAGTCCAAATTGTCGAGGATCTGCCGACGTCAGATTCTCTGCCACAGGACGTAATGGAGACCCCTACTGTACCTCCTCGGGAATGATGAACCTGCACGAGAGTTTTCTTTCGAAGTCACGACTCTTTGCTTTGCATTTGAGTGGCCTCCGGGGCTCTAGACTTATCTCCTTTGGCTTCAGCCCCGTGCCAGCGGGAAATCCGGTCCATAGAGCCATAGGAGTAGTCCTTCTCTCGACGATCGAGAGAGCTCAGAAGAAATAGGAAGCAGACTGAATACCATGACAGGTTGAGTGAGTGCGGGACACCACTGTAATGAGCTTCTCTCTTTATCCTTATGCATGAGCTGCAAGCTCTTGGGCCTAGATCTTCGAACAGCAGACGAGGTCGGTGAAGACGTGTTGTAGATAAGCGATGAGCTCAGCTGCTATACCTATTATATTCTAGTGACTGTTAGACCCGGCAGGATCCGCCTTCGCGTGTTTGCTCATCTCGCTTTCCCACTTCCTCAAATCTCAATTACGATTTTCCCATTTGTTCTACCTTCCCAGATGTCCTTCAGTCCCTCAGTCGCCTTGGCTAAAGGTAGGACTTTCCCAATGTACGGCTTGATCCCGGCCGTGGTCACAAAATCTAGCAGGTTGACGAATTCGTCGCGCGTCCCCGTGTAGACCCCTGTCAAAGTGATCTGGTTTGCCAGAAGATGCAACAAGTCGATCGTGACATTTGGCGAAGCGCCCTCTGAATGAATTCCGCACGACACGATCGTCCCTCCTGGTTTGACAGAGGCTAGAGAGTGTGAAATTGTCGATGCCCCCGAAGTGTCGAACACAGCATCCACGAGATACGGCAACTTTGCGCCAGGCTCGAAAGTCTTTTGTGCACCAAGCGAGATTGCGAGGTCGCGTTTCGCTTTTGTTCGGCCTGTTGTCCATACACGAAAACCAGCGGCAGAACCCATCTGGATGAGCGCCGTCGTCACACCTGCATATCGCAATACGTCAGCTACCACCACGCAGGATATCGCCTAGTAAATCCATATCGCTGGGTTGGGTGCTTACCACCGGATGATCCTTGTACCAGCATGGTCTGTCCGGCTCTGAGGCGTGACTGGGTGAACAACATGCGGTAAGCTGTCAGCCAGGCGATCCCCATAACGCTGGCAGACTTCGCATCCAGCCCTTTTGGCCTGGGCACAGCATTTCTTTTGGGAATCATGGCATACTCAGCCAGGTTCCCTTGGACAAGTTCGCCGAAGACATGCCTTTTAGGATCGATGGTCTCATTCCCTTTCCATTCAGGATCACCCATGTTTGGATAGATGGCAACCTCAGTTCCATCGTCAAGGACCCCGGCCCCTTCATTACCCAAGATCATTGGGTAGCGGACCTCATGCATGAGCAGCCCTCGCAACGTGAAAATGTCGTGGAAATTCAGTCCCACCGCCTGCATCTTCACCCGGACCCACCCTTCCTTCGGCTCTGGGAGATGCCTTTGGCCCACCCGGACTGATGACAATGGGTCCTGAGGGCTCGCCACTGAGGCATAGACTGCCCGCATTGTCGGTTTCTCAGGATCCACATCGCCCATATCAAGGTGTGTGATCTTGCCGTCCTTGACCGTGGCCACAAGAAACAAGTCGAAAGGTTCGTGGATGCCGAATTCCTTGCCAAAGTCTCCCTCCATCATGATGTGGGTGCGCGTCTTGTCGTCATTTTGAACCGCCCGTTCGAGTATGTTGACTCTTGCCTGGTGACCTATGATTCCATGCTCGCACAGCATGGTAATCGAATCTCCAGTAAAACTCTTTCCATCGTCGATGACCTCAGCATCCGGTGCAAAGGCACTCAACATGAGTTCGAGATTTGCCGTGTTGATGCCCTGCAGAAACCGATCAACGGGGCTGTGAGGAGAAGCCATCGTGGAAGCGGTTGAATTTACGAAGCTGTTTGGCATCTGCGAGCTGGAGGAGACGAGGACAGTATATATCCTGGAGACGAGGCACGATATTGATGTCTGTGCTCATTGGCTCCCTGCCAGTTGAGGTATAGGGTGATAGGCGCGAAGCATAAGCCAATAATCAATGGCAGGGGACATTATGTAAAGTCATGGCTGGCTGATAGCACGTGACCTCAGCCATTTCGTCCGCATAAGCCAGTATCGGGTTGGCAAGTGGTTGCGTTGAAAAATCAGCCAGGCAATACCTATTACCTGTGTGACATGGCGTGATCCACATGTCAAACCTCGTGTACGGTTCAATCCAATGTTATCCAGAGCCATTGGGGTTTTTAGGACGGACGTTTCTCAAAACATCCAGTTGTCAGAGCACGAGCTCAACCAAAGCGATGCGGGAAGTCAAACTTCTGCTGGAGAGTATCACTTTGTAACCAAGAAAGCAGCTCATTGTAAGTTTGATGATTGTAAGGGGGCAAGTCTGGGCGGTCGACTTTGAGTTCGCTAGAATCAGATCGGTATTGATTGTGAGATTCCGTGTAACTTGTTTGACTGGTCTCGCTGTTCGGAGAGAGTATGATTGAAGAGTTAGATGGCAGGCCATGGGGACGTTCGCGCACATTCTCAGTTCGGGAGACCGCCCTCAACAGATCGACGTTGCGTAGTTTGGCCGTCAACGAGTTGAAGTCGGTGAGAACCCCCGCACAATCGGCTGCGTACTCTTTGTTGCTGCTGTGGTCCATATCGAGGATGGAAATGACGAAACCCACATCTTCATAGTCCTGTGCCTCGCCGTGGCCCAGAAGCTGGTAAAGCTGCAACGCGAGAGCAGCGTTGAACAGGTAATGCACGCTAGAAGCCGACAGCCTTGCAGGTCGTTGCAGGTTCAAAAGTCGATGCCACAGACGGACATTTGTTCTCGCAGCATCAGCACACAGATCGAGTTCAGTCTTGTGCGTTATCTCATGACCTGTTGTGCGGCCGTTCAAAAGCATGTCTGCTGTGACTCGCTTGACGTTGATGAACAGTAAAGGTCGGACAGTCAGAATGATAAGCTACGACGTCAGCCGAATGGTCCCTGGGCGTTTCAATCACCTCACCTGATTGTGCGCCATGTGCAGTTCCCCAACAGCTCGGTCCCGGCTCAAGTTTTCCTCTGTACCTATCACTGTGACAGAGAGATTTTCGGACCAGGATGACAATAGTCTCAGAGACTTTTGAATGCACAAGGTTGTCATCAGGGGTTCCTCGCTCTGCCGTGCAACATCATACACATTCGAGACTATGTAGTTTGAGACTCTGGCAAGCTCAATATGAGCACGAAGACCATCTGGAGGAGGCAGGCCACTTTCATTGGTCAGCCCATCGCGTACACAGCTTGACGAAACTAGATGTACCTTGAGTCGCGCGGCAGGTCTAACTTGATCGCGTCGTCGGAAATGAGAGCCGGTCTGCCCATCAAACAACTCAGCCAACTGGGACTTGTCAGTCAGTCTGAAGGCCAACGATCGAGCTCCGGACTTACCGGTCCAGGACATAAACAGTCCAAAACAGTCGTTTGCCTTGTTCGTCGACCATCCAGGCTCGGTGGACTCCGTGGACGATAAGAATATGCATTGCGATGCTGACGTAGATGTATGCAGCATCACGACGATTACTATTGAGCAGGTAGAACCCTAGAAGAGCCAGGACGGTTGCATCGTTGATGACTGAGTGGTCAAGGGGATTTCCCAGCAGGCCTTTTGCTCTCGCGAAGAAGGTCTGTCCAAATCCAGTTTCCCAAGGCGGTGCGCACTTTGAATTGAACTGGCAAGCAACGGCAAACGCGGCATTGGCGGTCACGACATTGGGACTGGCTTCAATGGACCTCACACCGTCGACATAACCTCGATATTCGTCCAGAGCAGCTCGGGCATTGATCCAATAATAGATGCCACCAGAAGCGAAAGTCCCTTCACCATCCTGGGCGGAGTGTTGAAATTCCGAGAGCATCGTGGCAGCTTGTTCCTTTGTCGCCGATATGTGAGGGTCGACCGTAGAAGTTAGCAGAGGCCTGCTATCGTGGGTTTGGTATTTCCCTAGTGCTGAGATGAAAGCCGTCGCATCCGGATTCGGGGCGCCCGCCCAAGCAGCTCCAAACGCCTGTGGGAAGACCGTCGCCATGTATTCTCGCAGGTGATTGAGAAAAGTGGCTCCTGAAGATTCACCGAGATAGCGCATTGTGCCATCTGGATCTTGAAGGATTCGCCCTTCGCGAAGATGTTGGGTGTCTTCGGCGATATCTCGACTCAAATGTTGGCCACGTGATCCGTCAGGCGAACTGTGCTTTGCTTGGATATGTTGCATCAACTTGTCCCTCTCACGTTGCGAAGGGATGGCTTCTGCGAGTGCCTGTTCCAGCAACGCACACCTGGCTTTGAGCGCGTCGTGCTCCCGACGTGGGATCGAGACGGTCTGCACGACTTCAGGATACAAACACTCGCGCGAAGACTTGCGGCATCGTTCGCATGGCTGGCCGCCGGAGCATTTGGCGCGTTTGACATTGCAATTATTGCATCTTGATTCGAGAAGCGGAGAGTAAGTTCCAGGCAGGCAAGCAAGCAATGCAAGAGGCAGGGGGGGAGATCCTACGCTTGTGCCACTCTCTTCCGTAGCTCCGGTGCAATTCTATTCCGCCTCGGGTTGACTGGCAGGCGATCCATGATCCATAGCACACAGCCACCTGAACTCACCTTCGACTTCCCTGCATGCGATGATTAGAAGGTGAGAGAAAAACGACGAGGCTTGGTGGTGCCAACTATGTACTGAAGAAAGAAAAGCTGCAGCTACGAAGCGACGCCCTCGACGATATATGTGTTTGTGGAGAAGGTTTGCCGAGCTCTTTGATTTCCTCGCTGCTTTGTCTGTGTATCCAGTATTGAGCACTCCATATCTACCCATTCATCCTGTATGCCTTGAACCTGGACACTCTCCTCGAGGTAAGGGCTAGAGGTACCTCTCTCTGACTCCCGGCTGGAGCAACCCGCTCCCAATCATCGACCCCGGCCAGCTAAACCAGGCCTTACTCGTACACTCTCCGGACTCACCTTTTACTGCTTCTGAAAACGTCCCATCCCAGAACATCACACCACAGATCTTCTTCCATGCGACAGCTTCTTCCTGGGTATTGCCAGTCATCTGAGCATACTTCCACTGCTGGAAGTAGCCCAGTGTCCACGGTCCGGGCGTATGAACGCTCCCTAGACCTCCAAAGGGCCCATCTCCATAGTATCCTCCCTCATTCGCATCCGTGAAGGCAAATTCCATAGTGCTGTGCCAAGCTTGTTTCTCGTTGCTGGTCCTGATGAAGCCCCACAAGGGAGCAAAGAGGGTTGGCAGGTCATTGGCATCGTGGTAAAATGTCCGGTGACCAAACCCATCCACGAGGTACGAGAAAGTGGACGAACCTCGCATTGGATCAAAACATAGGAAGTGCTTCAATGTTGCAGTACGCACATCTTCGGCGAAGGCTGCCATTCGCTTCCCCAACGGAGAACCCGTCACCTGCGTCATCACTTTCGCAAGCCTAGACAACGCATGCCATAGCAAGACGTGACTCGAGAAGTGGAACGGATATTCCACTAGATCATCGCCTGGAGTTTCATCGGTCGGGAAGAGTCCCGTGGACGGGTCTTTCTTCGATTCGATGAGGTCCAAGACTTGAGCCACAGCGTCCGACTTCAAGATTTCCTCCACAAACGTCTGCTCCCCTGGAAAGGTCTCCCAGAAGTCACAGATCTCCAGTAGCGGATAGCACTGTTGGTCTAGCTGGAAAACGGCCCCATCTTTGGGCCGACCTGTCGTCAGATATGATCGATGCCAGAATTTATGGGGTCGTTGTGCATATCGGAAAATCCAGGTCAGATGGCCCTTCACTGTGGCCTTGATCACTTCAGAGTAAGCCGCACAAGTGGCCCCCTCTGATAATCTACCTAGGTTCCGATATACCTGGATTAAGAATTGAATCTGCCAACTTTTTGGAGTCAGCGGCAACCCATAAAAGACTTCTTGATGCTTACTAGTTGTCTCTCATCCAACCGAGCGGTAAAGCAACGTGATCTGTGAGGAGGCAAACGGCATCCTGAGAAGGCGACAACGGGACCGCGCAATTACCGAGGATGTACTCAAGATTCCGGCGGACGATCAATTTGCTGGTCGTCTCTTGGTCTCGCCAGAGCAGCGGCAGTCCAACTGCAGGTGAGGTGTCCGGACGGCGAGACGTCTGAGAACTTATTGCCGGTCGCAAGTTGAACTTTGCTGTCAGTGTCCATGATGCCCGTGGCGGGATTTCCAGTGTCTGAGAATATGCTCCTTTTACGGGGCAGTCCACAAATGTCTTCTCTTGGATAGCCTCGTGCATGTCGACCGGCTGACCGTTGCTTTCCATATGTCCTTGAAGTTGTGCACCAAGGGGGGCGTTGGTGATCAAAAACCCCCGGCCACCATCGGCGAAGCTGAATTTATTCTCTGACTTGGGGATGGGAATCGGTCCCCCTTCAGTGAGTTGTCCATACTGATTCAGCGTTAGCGTTGAAGAGCTGGAGGGCTTCTGTTATATCGACATATTTCGACACGATAGACTTACCGATGCCCGGTTGACACTGATACCACAATCCATTGTGTACTTCAACTGGGAAGTTGAGTTGCAAGAAGACCTCACCTCGGAATATTGAATGACCTCTCCATCCTCAGTGACGCGCAAAGATGTCGTAATCGAAAGGCCGTCAGCTGTACAGAAAGATATTGTTGCTCGTCCCAACCCATCTAGGGTTATCTGGGCGTCTTGGGACTCGACATCAAAACGCAATCCAAAGCCTGGCTTGCCCGTCTTGATGGACCTCAGCATTCGGGCTCGGTACTCCCGTACATACGGAGTGTCCCTGAACCTGGTTCCATCGAACTGCTCATAGGGCTCGGCGAGAACAATGCCATGCTTCGGATGGAATGTGCTTATTTGCAGGATCTGTCGTCTTTGTCAGCGTCCCGTCCTTTTGACACCGCCAAAGCGATTAATACCGTTCCCTGAAAGTCAGTCGACACCGAAACACCATTAAAACCTATGTCGAGAGTCTTTAACCGCTTCGCGGTATCCCCGTGGTCAAATGCCATCGTGGTCAACCTCTATTTCGCCAGAAGACTCCGTGTCAGGAACTTGAATCGGCTCTGATCCTCCGGCAGCCGGAACCCCTTGATATTTATGGAGGGGATGTTGCAGAATAGAGCGTCTCTGAACTATTCCTATCGTGGGACATATGCCGTCCCTTAACATGCACAATGACGGGTACTCTACCCGCGTGTTCAACGAAGCTGACTTGGCTTTCTCATTTCGCCACGCGCTCCAAGCACACTACAACCCCCGCACTGAAACCTTGTCGAAACGAGATGGCTGATCGTGTCCGGGGTTCCTGGATGTTTCCCTCGCCCACCAGCACGGCGAGACGGCTTTTGACATCACCCTCCCCATCCTGGCCCCTCCACGTTTTGATCGTCGCTAGGAAATAAGGTGCATACACGCGGCTACTGTACCCGTACACGGAACTTCACCATCATGCCTACGAGCGTGTTATAAAAGCTGGGTTGCTGGCTTGAGGTGAGGCGCGGGGGGGATGACTTCTCTTGAGTGTATCCGAAAGGTGTCAGATCATAGTCCTAGGCGGTCCGTGGTTTTGAACACATCTCCCTTGTCGACCCTGATGTCTGAAAAGCAACATTTGGACCATGTTGAAGCTGGTTGGTCTCCCGTCGAGACGGACTCTAGGGCGGGTGCCAATGTGCCTGCTGGCCATATCCCTGTGACGAGTGAAGAGAAAGCATTGAGTAAGGCGTTGAACCGAAAGTTCGATAGGGCGCTTCTTCCATTTCTAGCTTTCCTATACCTTTTCAATGGCCTCGATCGGGGCAACGTGGGAAATGCTGAAACACAAGGTGAGTCGATCTCGCCTACAGTCGCGGCGCACTCCTTCTCAACCTGTCATTTTAGGCTTCACCAAGGACATTGGGGCCCAGCCAGACGATCTCAACCTGGCGGTGAGCTTGTTCTTTATCACTTTTGTCCTGTTCCAACCTCCTTCCGCTGCGGTGGGAAGATACCTTGGAGCGAAGAACTGGGTGCCTATCATCATGGTCTGCTGGGGCATCCTCACCATTTGCCAGGCTTTTATTAAAGGACGAGGTTTGGAGGAGCGATCTGTTGCCGCCGAGAAAAAATGTTGACTTGTTTCCAGCCACCCTGATTGCTACGCGACTGCTCATTGGTGCTTTTGTAAGTCTTCCTTGTTTTGCCCTGGACTGGTGCTGGAAACTCCAAGAGTGGTCTTTCTAGAGAGTGCTAACGACGGCGCAGGAGGCAGGCTTCTATCCTTGCTGTAAGTCTCTCCCGTTCAACTGGAGATCCTGTCAGCACAGAAGCGGTACCCCGAGCATGTATAGATGATGTTTCTTGAACCCTGACTTTACACGTTACACCAGGTGTTTTCTACTTGTCGACTTTCTATACACGATTCGACCTGGCTGTTCGCGTTGCCGTGTTTTACGCTCAATATGCTGTCGCAGGCGCGTTCTCTGGCTGCATTGGTGAGTCGATGGCACCGCTGTTAACAAATGGCGAGGACGCTGACGAGCTACAGCGTACGGCATTTTCCATATCAAAACTGGTTCGCTCAAAAACTGGCAATACTTGTTTATCATTGAGGGCGGATTCACTTGCCTGATCGCGATCATTGCCTGGTTCTGGTTGCCTCTGGGGCCGGGGAGTGCATGGTTTCTGAAAGAGAAGGATCGAGCATACGCGGTAGAGCGTATCCGTCTCGACAATGCGATGTATGCGCAGCACACCTATGGCGATAGTGGACTCGAGAAAGAGAGGTTGACGAGACGTGATGTATTGGAAACAGCATATGATTGGAAGCTTTGGTACGTCCTGGTGTTCAACATACTTGCGAGTGTTCCCGGTCAAGCGTTCTCTGTGTTTCTGCCCCTTGTCGTTGCCGGGCTGGGATATTCCTCCATCGAGGCGAACTTGGTAAGTGGCCCATGCCCTGCACGTGCAAGACACTAATGTGAGCAGATGTCTGTGCCGCCGTATGTATGTGGAGCAGTTGGGCTGTACATCTTCGCCATCAGTTCTGATCGAAGGTAAGGGATTCCGCCGCTATGTGTCTAACGACCTGCCAACGCCAGTACTTTTAGGAAGGAACGTGGTTATCACATCTTTGTTAGTCTGGTCATCGCACTCGTCGGGCTCATCATCACTGTGACGGTCCAAGGAAACGGCGGCAAGTACGCTGGCCTGTGCATCTTGTTGTTTGGCAGTTATGTTTCCGCACCGTTGACCGTGGCCTGGCTGAGCGGGAACACTCCGGGTAAGTTTATACGCTCCCAAGGCTCTTGAGAAATTCTTGCTAATGCTCGAGGCCCACAGAACCGGGCAAGAGAGCCCTCGTCTTGGGCGTGAATGGGTTTGGAAATCTGTCTGGAGTCATCGGCTCCCAACTCTTCCGTGCATCATATGCGCCAAAATACCTGATGTAAGCGCATTTTGTGGCACAGCGCAGCATGCTGCCCTTGAAGGTTAAGGGTTGGACGGGCTTGCTGACCTTTGAGCAGACCCTTTTATGTGACCCTGGGATTCATCGCGGTCGCGTTGGCGGGCTACCTCGCATACCGGTTCACGTTGGCCGCGGTCAATCGGCGACGACAAGCCAAGTTGGCTTCCATGAGTCCCGAAGAGCTCGAAGACGAGAGAACTAACCCTCGGAGATATGCCGACAAGAAGTATACTTTTATTTACGGTCTGTGAAGGCGTGTCTCTCTCCCTCGTTGGCAGGTAATTCAATCGCTGGGGCCGTGGTCAAAATATGCATCGTGTTGTCTATCATGTTGCAACCCTTCACTGCATCTATCAATATTAGCGTGGACTGTACTTCGCTTTGGCCTGGCCTGCTTGCTGAAACGCGAGCGCCAGAGTTCTACATATGTAGTCTTTCCAATGTCAGCAACGGGATGTATGTATGGGTGATTGATGGCGTCACGTACGTCCGCACAACACAACTAACTAACTCCCCATGGTGCTTCCTTGGTTGTTACTTATCGTGTCCTCCCTGTCCTTGAGTTCGACATCCTCTTCCCCTTTCCCAAGGAAAGAAATCATTATGCCAGTCGATCATCATGTCTACAAGATATTGCAATATTGGCCATATTGACAGATCCTGCTTTGCCAAGTCCTAGCGAGCATTCTTCAACAAGGCCGCGACGAAGGGTCCGTGCCCGTGCCCGCGCCGGCTGAGGATGAGCTGCTGGCCAAGATCCACGTTGTGGGAGACGAGGAAAGAAGAAAAAAGTAAAGGCCCCTTCTCTTCCCTTCCCTTTCTTTTCCTTGCTTGCTGGCTCTGTCTATCCATCTCGAAAGGGGGTGGGGGTGGGGGACATGGGAGTTTCCGTTCGTCAAGAGCGTCAAGAAGATGGATGGATGGATGGGCACGCTGGCGGCCTCCAACTGAGTTGATAGGTTGGTTGGCAGGTAAACAGTCTGTTATGGTGACCTCACGTAGTCTCAATATGGCCCGGAAGCCGCCTTTATTTCGTTACAGGTTTACCATGGTAGGTCAGTAAGAAAGAGAGCAAGAGAGCAAGCAAGCTGCCTGAAGGACCAGCCCGCCCTTTCCTCCCGTTTCGCAGCATTATCGAGGAGGGACGCACACATACACCCGCGCATCGTCTCGTCTCGTCTTGTCTTCCCTGGCGGCACTGTGAGTGTGAGTGGGTGAGTGAATAGGTGGCGAAGAGTGCGCAGGTGGTGGACTCGGTGATCGATTTATTTTCGGAGTGCCGGAGACGTTCAAGACGGCCATCGAGAGGGGTAAAGTTCGAACGGAACTCCTCAGCATCTTGTCCTCCCGAGCAGCAGTAGCAGCAAGCAGCAGTCACTCATCTACCCATCTCCAGTCCGCATGGCCGGAACCGTCGTGCTCGTGGGCCTGCTCCAGCGCGAACTGACCCTGCCGTCGGCCGTTGCGACCCGCAAAAAACTCTATATCCTGTGCGTGTACGGCGGCAGCATGATCGCCGACCTCGTGGCGTGTATTGGGCTTGATTTCCCATGCTGTCACATCACGCCCCAAGGTGGAGACGGGGAGCATAGCCGATGTGCCCGGGATTCTGAAGGATTTGGACACTGGAATAATTAAGAGCAGGATCGCCCTCGTTCCGGAGAAGGGTATGTAAATATTGAGTGGAAATCAGGGAAGGATAGTAGGATGAAAAAAACGGGAGATCTGAAACCTCGTGGTCGGTCCCCCGGACCGCAAACAAAAATGCCAAACCACTCGGGAATCAACCATAAAAAGGAAACGTGCGCTGGTTCAAGTCAAGGGGATATGAAAAGACAGAAATATCATTTGAGTCCCGTCACGCTTGCTAATGTCACAAAACTCACCAGGAAACACAAGAGCCATATTACAATGGTGCCAACTCAAATCCATCTCTGTTTTACTTCGCCCTCACCCAAAATTCTTCTCAATCTTCTTTATCCACTTGCCCACCCCCTTCTCAATCTTCTCTGTGTGTGACGGCTTATGCTGGGAGCCTGAGCTCTTTGACGGTTTGTGGTGGTGTGAATGGTGCTCCGCCTCGGTCGGCCGATAGACTTGAGAGTGGATGTCATAGGCGCCGGCAGCAGGCTGTGCTTGCTGTGCCTGTGCATAGTTGTAGGTCGAGTACCCTCCAAGAGGCGGAGCTGGACCGGGGGCGGGGGGTGGAGGTGGAGCTTGGCCAGCGGCGAGGTAGTCTGGGTACTGAGGCTGTACATGCTGCAGCGGTTTATGGGGTTGGCCGTTGATCGACTGGTAGAACTGCGTGCCTGGTGTTTGCACATTTTGTTGGCCAAAAATATGCGCATTTGGATCTTGCCCCTGAGGCACATACGACTGAGCAGCTACCGAAGGGTGACGACTAGTGTCGGAACCGGTCGTACTGGTGGGCGGCGGCCCAAAACTGGTTGCTACTGATGTCCGTGGAGAGGTCTGGATTGGAGGTGAAGCCGCGTGCGGCCCAAATGACGGTGGCACCGTCGCCGCTGCTTGAGGTCCAAACGATGGCACAGGCGAGACCGTGGCATGTGGTGCAAATGATGGTTGCGGTGCGGCGCCGTAGGGTCCGTACGCGCCAGGCTGAGCCGTGCGAGCGCCGGCAAATGGTTGAGGGCGCTGCTGAGGGGCGTAGGGGATGTCATGTCTTGCTGCCGCAGCAAGCCCCGTCCCGTCAACGGCGTCGATCGGAGGAGGGGTGTCCTCTCTGTGGGCGATCGGTTCTGGTGCCGCTGGCGCCGCCGGGTTGTACGCGAGGGGAGTGTAGTCTGTGGCCGGTTTCGAGTCTTTCACGGACGATCTTCCACCCATGCTGGCAGTGACTGAGTTTGGCGAGGTTGATGTCGCCGGACCGCCTGGGGAAGCGCGAGAGACAGCTGGAGGCGGGGGAACAGTGGGCAGCTGGACAGGATGGCTATGCTGGGCCGCTGGAGAATCATGGTGCAGCTCCTTGTATGCTGGATCTGAAATGGCCACATGTTCCAGGTTTTGAACCACCGGGCTGACCATGTCATGGTGATCCGGTTCCTCGTGCACATCATCATCAATGTCCAACTGGCGGGGTAATAGTAACCTCTTGAAAATGTCCAAGACCAACTTGGAATCGTCCTGATTCCAGAAATAGGCGTCGATCGTGTGGATTCGGTATTTGGACGTGCCGGGATCTCGAGGATCCGAACTGGCGAGACGCCATTCGTCTGGATCTCTCCCTGAACGGGGCGACGACGGGGAAGCGGCCGGCGCATCGAGTGCGTCGACGACGAATGTCACTCGTGTCGGAAATCGGTGAGAGTTGATCACCTTGGCACCGTCAAGAAAGCCATGGAAGGCTGTCTGTTCCGCTGTGCCAGGATTGATCGCGGCCTCGATGCGACTCGTCTGTCTCGTGGAGTTGTAGTAGAGGTAGAAGTAGCAGGCTTTATCGAAGCGATGGAGAGCCGGCCGCGGCGAGGGCGCCGTGAAGTAGGAGTGGAGGTCGACATAACTAAGGAGCGCAATCAGAGTCAGAGGTCATCACAGACATCGAATGACACCTTACTTACACAGTGGCTAGAGTCTCCTCGCCTGGAAATGGAGGCATGGTGAATGATGCGCAGCCAGACGGTCACGGTTAGTCAACGTGTTGTCCAATGAAGCAGGACAACAGGGAGGTGTCTAGGAGTTTCAAACATCACCTGGGCGAAGAGTGTAGTGCAGACTCAATTGTTCTACCAAGTCACCTTCATCAGGTCTGCAGGCGGGCGGCTATTGCGACGTGATTCATGGCTGAGATGAAAGTGGGTGGGAGTTGTGACCAGTCAGTGTGGCTGAGCTGGGGATAGTCAGCCACAGATGACGTCGACAAGTATTCGAAACAAAGAAGGTCTAATAGAGCACACCCATATTAAGCCTTTTCTTGTCGCCAGTACTCGGTACATACAGTTCCCCCAGCTTATCCACGCATGGCTATCACCACCGACAACCAGCCGTCTGCATAGCAGCCCCATCGGGCCAGCTCCTCCAGCTGGGCACTCATAGGAACGGGTGCACCATGCAGAAGCGGTGTGGCTAGGATGGGCGTCCTCCGAGATGGAAACAGGCCGGGCACAAGCTGATGCAAGGCCGTGCCCAGCGTTTGAGGTTGTCCTACCGGGACTCCTCGCGCTGCGGTAGGTAAAGTCTGGTTTCCGGCTGCCGCGACGGTGGGCGATATGTGTGACTGCAGCACTTTGATTTGAGCTCTACTCGGGTCTTGGTCCGGTGCAGACGGCAAGTACAGGCGTAGCGGGATATGTCTCATCTGGCCTGGTGCTGGCACCAGAGAGCCATGAATCCTAGCAAAGGTCGGCAAATCGTTGTCCTGGGTCGAGGTCCACAGAGCCTTGCTCTCCTGAGCCGACAAGGTCATGATGGGTTTCCCGGTGCCAGATCTCAAAAAGTCCGCCTCCTTGACCGAGTTGATGAAGGAGTCATGCAGCACGACGGGGCTGGCATCTGGCAGCATCGGCTTGTCTGGGTCGGCCGTAAAATGTAGCGTTAGCTTGAAGGGTAGAGGGTCGGCAGACGAAGGATCCGGTCGGGCATCTTGAGTCGACACCACGTAGACATCGTAGAGCAGCCCCAGCGGCAGATGCCATTTCAAGGGAACACGGTCAAATGTGAAATACCCAGTGTAGGGTGATATTGTCTCGGGATCGGCGATCAACGACGGCGAAAAGAAAGCGTGAAGGCGCGGCAGAAGGAGTGGAAGATACGACAAGCGAGGAAAAGCAATCTGCAAGCATATTGGAGTTAGTTACAGCCTTCGGGACGGCCGAGTGCACAGTTCAAGGGCTCTCACCAGGTAGGGGTCGGCGCCGTCAAAGGTACGACATTCTGAAGCGGCTAGTCGAATCTCCAGAGGCAGTCGAGCTTGCCAGATGGTACGCTGGAGGGACTGTACAGCCTCGTCCTGGGCCATTGATTCGAGATGGTGCGGTGTAAGTGGGATGGTTTCGGATGATGTCGCTAGCCTGAGTGCCACATGCAGGAGGAATTGGCGAGCGGAGAGGGAGGGAGTTGGACAGGGATTCGCTCTTGAAACAGGCCGCGATGGATCGGCCGGCAGTTAATGAGACGGAAGCCCGGATCAGAGTGGTTATCTATCCACTTTCCGAACCAGGCAGATTTGATGTCGCTGGACCAGGTGCTGGTGTCTTTTGTTCCGGTGGTGATGTTGGAATTAAGCGAGCGAGACAATGCAGCACGGGGCGCTTCTGACTCCTTTGTGCTGCGAATTTGCGCGAACCAATATCAGCAGAACTCTAAGGGAAAAAAAAGAAACAAATCAAAAGGGTATGATGGGGGCCACGAGGTTGTTGGGTTTGTGCCTGGGCCAGGTTTCAGGTCGCGATAGGGCTGACCGGAGAATCGCAGGGACATCAGTGCAGCCTAGTGAGCCCACAACGACGATAATAGAAAAGGCACCCTTCCTGACTGCAACTAAACAGAAATATTGTGCCTCTACGGAGTAGTGTCGAGGGAGGTTGCCGTCACTCAATTAATTGTGATATGGGATCCCAAATGAAGATGGTGGCTGGCAAGCTTCCACCATTCTCGACCTCTTGGCTATACCGGGAGAGGCATACGGATGGAAGACGGAGTGATTACGAGGTAATCCAACCGCGCGGCTGATTTGGGCACGACGGAAGTTCCCCTGCAGAAACCCCAGAGACTGGAACAACCCGATAAATAGTCTACTTTGGCTCTGTTTGGGTACGTAACACAGCAGCGCGGAACAGGAACACAGTGGAGCTCTCTGCTTCCTTTTCTTCTTCTCGGCCTTCGGGACAATCCATGAGGTATACCAGGGACCACCATAGTTAGAATTGTGTTCAGACTCTGCAATATTATTGTCAACAGAGGGGGGCATTGTACATAAAGAGGAGAACGTGTCAACGGTCACGGCAGCACTCGGAGACCAGTTTGCCGTCGGGTTAGTTTTAATTTAGGGCTGACGATACCTCTGCGTCTTTGCTCAGAAATTGGCCGGTATCCGTCACTGTGTCCGGCTGCTGCATGGTGTGCACACAGACTCGAGGCCTTCCGTTGGGGTCGCTTCCGGCCGTGTACTTTGTATAGAAGAAGCCACCGATCACGCAAAATCGAACGTGTCATATTTGTGAAGAGGGGTTTGGCATTCCCAGCGGCTCCAGAAGGCTGCATTTGACCAAGGCGGGATTTGTACCCAATGGGCAGCTCTTCCAATTTGCGGGGGCCCTGCGTGGCATCAGCGGCCAGCCTCACCCATAGGCTGGCCCGAGTTGTTGGCGTTCGTCTCCGTTGTTTCTTTTTCTCGTAGGCGTGTTGCAACGCAGCGCAGCAGTCTGCGGCAGAGCTCTTTCTGGTGGCTTTCGCTCGTCTACTGTCAGAGAGAAGAAGTGATCGCCATTCGCTGGCTATGCATGGATTAGAGAGCAAAGGACCGATGGGGCACCCCTTTCAAGAACGCCGGCGAGGCAGTGCTGGAGGAAAGGAGAGAGAGGATCGTCGTGTCGTGTGTGCGCCTTGGAGTGAATGCTACGCATGTTTCTTTTTCTGAGCTCCTTTTTGTTTCCCCCTTCTTTGTTTGCATGGATCAACAGATGGTCTATCAAGGCTCGAAATGATGATAGTTGATGGGGGCGTGACGGGTTACCACAGATGGAGAACGGGAAGACTAAGGATGGTGGAATGTGGAGGTATGCCAGACAGTTTTTCCAGGCGTGAAGAAGTGGAGGTCTGGACTCAGCTTTCACCGGGAACTGATTCAGCGCCTCTCGGTGTCCGCTGTAGCCCTCCCCTGGGTTCCCCGTACCAATGACAATTTTACTTTTAAGGGGTTTAACTAAAACTAGGCTCGTGCCCTGTTCGCGCCGTGGTGGGCCAGGGAAGAAAACCACTGAAAGTCTACCGGCGGTAACCCCTAGAGCCCATTCGAGCCCTAGAGCGGGCGGAGTTCGCTAAACCCCCAAGCCTCGGAGACGTCTTCCACATCGCTGCCCATCAAGTCTGGGTAGTGGTGTTAGCAGCAGGAATGAAATTTCTGACCCCCTCTCCCTCTTTCTCTGGTGGTCTTACCCTGGCCTGTCATCTGATTCCTCCCCGGCACCCGTAAACTTGCACGCATACTGTCCGTTCCCTTCCGGTATCGTCTCGTTCTTTGGTGTGGAAACGTCACCCTCCTGCCCTGTTCAGCTTTTGTTCCCGCCCAACTAGTTCATCCCTTTCCACCTGGGCCATGGGACAAGCCGTCCCTTCCGAATCCATCGCCGATCCCCCCGAAGGAATCAAACTCCCTGTGGGTGCCCTGGGCTGGCCACGCGAGAAACCGTGCTGAGCTCTGTGCACCCAGTGGTGACGTCGAGAAGGAGTGCTTTTCTTCGCTAAAGAACGGTCTATTTTCCGCTCAGATCAGATCGACAAGCTGAGTGCTATTGGCGGGGGAGCAATGTCACGGTGGACTCGGGGGCGCCGTCCCTCCTCCCATTGATAGAGCCCGCGTTGAAGCTAACATGCACAGGAGCGCCGTCCTTTTCACTCTGTCGACGAGGACACAGTCCATAGCTCGAAAGCCCTGCATGAGCCTAAATTCAAACACCTAAAAAGGGCGGGGCCATCTTCCACTCTAAAGCTATCGAAAGGTTACGTTGAAGCCACGAGCCTGGGGAAAGAGTTGGAACTTGCGCCCTAGTACGAGTCAAAATGAGCCGCGCTGAAAGGCTAACGAAGAGCATGTGCAGGGACCTCCAGGCTTGAATCACGACTTGGAGCTGCCATGCAACCCTGCCAGCCTGGTACACCCTTGCCGGCCGCGGAGACCCTTCCTCGCATGAAAACGACCCCCAGTGGCCCCTCGGGTGCTGCTGGGAGCTTTATGGATGGCTGGCGCCATCGGGCTAGCATGGCTAAAACGAACCACCGCAGCTCCAAGGTTTGCCGGGCCTAGAAGCCAAACTCCATCAGCAGTGCCCATCTCCGAATTTCAATGGCGATCCAGAAGGACGGGTGCGTCTGGCACAAGAACACAACCCTCTGGCAGCCAGGCCATGGGCTGCCACCCTCCCCCCTTGGTCTTTTCGGGACCTGGCTCGGCTTGGCCACCCAATGGCCATCGGATTTCATTATGGGCGATTTGGGACGTTGCCCACGGCTCAGAGGTAGTCTGGCACCAAAAGAGAGGCACCCCCCCCAGACTTGCGCGCACCTGTTGACCTATCGAACCCATCGCACACATCGACCCCCTGGCCCTGACCCTGGCCCATCCCTCCCCAGAGAAAAGCACAGGTATGCCCATGAGCCTGGAATCCGTTGAACCTGTCCCCGTCCTCTCAGCTCGAAAATCTCCAATCCTACATGTACGACTACGGCCCGGCATTGAAGTTTCGTGGTCCTCTGTCCAAAAAAGCGAAGGGTATCCCATCCCGCGTGTGTTCAAAACCACTTCGACCCTGTTCATTCCACCTGAACCCTGTCTTCTCGAACCGAGTTCCTGTTTCTCTCGCGTCAACTATCAGACCAGGACGCGCCGATCAGGCAGAGAGCTTTTGCCTTCTTGACTGTACTTGATCGCTTCATCCAGCTCGGACAATTTCTTCGTGTTGACCTGCTCTTTCAGTTATTCGCCGGAGCAATATAGGTGTCCCACAGCTCCACCAACACGTTCTCGACCCCCCAACGATATTCGTCCCTCAGCTCATTTATAACTGCTGTATACCTCGCCCCGCCGACGGAGGACAACCTCGCATATTTTCTTGCTGCTGAACGACAAGGTAGACTCCCCCCAGACGCTTCTCACTCTCTCAGGCGCAACACTTGACAACCGGTGGCCCTGTCGTTCTCGTCAGCTTTGGGCGGTTCCACAAAACTCGACATCGGATTGCCTTCCACCCGACCCATCCGTCACTTGTCACTCCCGCTCCACAATCGAAACGTCCTGCTCCCAGGTCGCAAGGTGAATAATTCACGGCCACTTGCGTCCGAGCGTTGAATGGTTGCGAAGATTCGAAAAGGTGCTCGTGTCAGCTCATTCATCCCCGGACCCTCGCGACAGATTGTCAAATCACCTAAAACATCGGGTCCCTCTTAAGTGTCGGTAGGGCTGACAGGCATATCACCGTGTGCTGCAAAGTGCCCCCCCTGACCTCCAACTGCCTTAGCTTTGACGTGCCTTATTTCTGTGGTTGCTTTTGAACCCTATCATACGTCAGCCTGATGCCAGTGCCTTATATCGGTCGACTTCTCGCTCGTTACTTGGAGTGTCAACAAAATCCGACCACCAAGCTATATGAGTCGATCTTGAGCCGACGAAACCATGATCCCATGGGCCGCCTTTAACACGAGGTAACTTCCCTCTTTCCTCCGTTCAACGTCACTCATTGATGCTCACCAGCTTCAGCGCACACGAACCTGACTGGCGGGTCGAACTGAACGAGGAAAACATCTACTACTATGTCGAGCACGGTCCAACCCAACATAGACGGGCTTTAGACTCACCCATGCTGGGACTGGCACACGAGCGGCAATTTGCCATTTCTCAACTCGGGATCAAGAGTGTCGGTTTCGAACACCAACACATTACTTTGATGCAGGATGCCCTTGAGCAGCTCAATCATCACTTCGCCACCCACTCCACGCATGAATCCTGTCGCCCGACCTCGCCTCACGGAGAGAATCTGCCAGATTTCCGGCAATCGGCGCACCATTACCAGCCCTTGCCGCCGCTTGATATCACCGACGAGCTTGATTCCGAACCATCGACCCCTTCGCCCGTGACGGAGCTGGAACGAATTTCACGGTCACCGTTAGATCTAAAGGAGCTTATGAATCCCGTGCCACTGACGCCCGCAAGTCTGAAGAGGAAATTATCCGACGATCTGCTGCCAAGGATCCTTGCCGACGATGATGAGGTCGAACGAAGAACGGACGACGACGGCGACGATGATTCCCTTCTTCGGCCCCATTCTCTCAGATATCCCCGAGCAGGCCATATACTCGGCAAAGGAGAAGCCACTCGGACACGCCGGGGCGTGAGAATGCGGAGAGCGCGATCTTGTCAGAGACGTCGTTCGTTGCGAGAGGCACGAGAGACGGAGCAGTTCGAGAAAGAGGGCCATCTGCTTCTCAACTTGGCGCAGAGCCCGAGGACGATAGGATACTCGCCTTGGGCGAACGAAACAAACTACCAGACAACCGCATGACGTCGGCGATGTCGATATACACTCACGAACCCCACGCAGCATCGAGGTCATTGACTTGCCTCGACGAGCCCTCTTCTTGGCTCTACGGCGCGTATCATCTTTTGAAGCCTTGATCATCCTAGTCAGACGTTGTTTCGAATGCACGAACTCCCACCCTCTCAGCGGGACCAACAGCACCGCGGATCGCCGACCCTTGGCCGAAAAAGGTTGTCACAGTGGAGTTGATTTGTTTTGGTTGCTTGCATCGTGCGTTCAGCATGCCTGGTTTTCGTATTGCCGGCGTTGAATACCAGTAAATACCGTTCATGGTCTGACCGCCAAAATGTCTTGCATGGAGTTAGAACCAAAAGGATTGTGTGCTGCGGGTTCCGGGAACTGAGACGTTTTTTTTAGCGACGGCGCTGGAAGGACCTTCCCATTCAACCATCTCCTTTTTTATTGTTTGTTAGGGGGATAATGGAAAACCTCGGGTTATTTTGACGAGCTATGGAAAGAGTCAAACATGTGCACGGCGGGGGATCGTGGAAAGAGGCTGAGCGAAGGAAGGATGAGAGAGAGGAGGCCCGTCGGTCAACTCAAGGTCCACCGAAGCCAGTTTGGGGGAACGTCTGTGTGTGTGTGTTGTGCAAATATACCCCGCTATACCTATATACATATCGAGCATGGAGTCTCGCCGCTCAATGAAGAGATGGATGATGATGACACTGTTTTCGAGATGGGCGGCCGCCGCCAATTTCCTGACCGTGCCTCCATCTCCGCAGTCACAGAGGAGTAATTACTCATGGTCACGCACAGATGCTCGACGGCCAAGTTCCGACCCGCACGACATCTGATCTTGGGCAACATCGGCTTTCCAGGGTGGGTTTCCCCAGGCCGATTTCCCTATAAGGCAGGAACCCTAGGGGGAAGAGGCAAGCGACGGTGAATGGGAAAGACACTGAATCAGCCCTGAGTGTTAGGGATAAGCGAGGATTTCCAACGTCATGGCAAGGGTGGATGTTCATCTCCGGAGCCGCCGTCCCGTCACACTAGGGAAACCGGGGCGGACCTGATTCCTTTTCTGTAGGGAGTAATATGGCATAGTGTGTGGGCGACCGAGTTCACAGTGCTTACTGTTCGTTTCGAAGGGAGATCGACCGGGCCCACGCCGACAGTTTAGGGAGCGTGGCAGCCAGGGCCGTTTCGAGCCCCTATGGCTGATGAGAGTGAGGGGGTGAGGGAGGGAGTGAGTGGTTCACTGATTTTCCAGTACTCGTCGCACGTATCGAAACTCAGGAACAACCCAATCGGATATCCGTGGCCGCCGGCCTGGTTGACAGCCCAACGCCTCGTCTCGCCGGCGTTGCGAACGAGCTTACAGCTAGGTATCCGTACCTGAGACGGAGATGGAGATGGAGATGGAACAACCGAGAACGAGACGTTACCCGTCGGTTAGAAGGACTTGTCACATAACGAACAGGGAGGCAGTACACGTGGGGGACCGGCGAGTCCTTACTACTACTTATGTCGCACCGCCTCATTGTGTTAATGATAAAATTGGACAATAATATCCAAACACCAATAACATGATCATTTATCGTTATCATCACATCCACTCCTCACTCACTCAAAACTACCTACGGACACCGTTTCAACGAGCCGGACCGGACGAGCAAGCGAGCGAGCGAGGTTCCACGCTGTTGTTCCTGTGATTGGGCGGTTTTGCTAAGGCAGGCAGCCCCTAACTAATCCCGATGATGGTGGTGGTGGTGATGATGATGAATCGCCGTCGTCGTCGTAAGTTGGTTCCTACGCATCAGGAAGGAAGAACAGTCAGTCGGTCGGTCGGGTCGGTCTTTGTACCTAGAAACTAAGCCTTTCAGGACTGGGATCCGAGGGTGTGAGTAGGGGAGAATGCAAGAGAAATTACAAACCACCCCTGTTCTATCACACAAGGGATCAAGGTACCAAGTACATAAATACATACTTACTACCACTACTACTGCTGCTGCTGCTGCTGCTGCTGCTACCACTCGGCCTAGGTACTGTACCGAGTACCTCGTACTCATGCGTATTACCTACAGTACCAAGGCTGAGTACATGCAACTCTTTTCAGCAGGGCAATTTTTGATGGGGAGAGGGGGAGAGGGCAGGCTACCGACCCCTGGTTTTTTCTTTCGACCGTTGTTTCCCCCAACCCCCCTCTCCCCTCTTCGGCTTCTAACACTGATCAGGCAGGCTGTGGCTAGTGAAGCTGAGGCTGTGGTTGTGGTTGTGGCTCCATACCTTGGGTAGGCATGTACTCGGTACTGTAATCACTCGGTACATTCGGTAGGGCTATGCAGTAGTCCAGTAGTAATGTTAGTACTGGTGAGACGCCGCAAGGAATCGTTCCTAGTGCCGTTCGAAAAGCGAAAAGCGAAAAGCGAATAATCACACCCAACAACAACAACTTCTGCGTGTATGTACGGAGTAGATAGGTGGGTAGGTAGGTACCTACAAAAAGTAAGCGAGTACAGTGAGTACAGTACGAGGTAAGCACGGTAAGGACTTGGAACTTGGTTGTCACAGATACTTAGTACGTACTGTAGATATGTTGCTGCCTTGCTTACCCACTCACTCACTCAGTCACTCACTGTGCCCGTGGTTGTCGTCGGTTACGATAATACCAGGCGGGCGGGCAGGCAGATAGACCTATCTACTTGCTTCGTCGAACGAGTAAAAAAACCAGAGACAGACTCTGTACTTGGTACAGACCCTCAGCAACATGAGTCCCCTCCCAAGGTACGCCCACGCCCTACAGGGCATCGCAAAAGAACCTCTTCCCCTCGTCTCTCTCTCTCTCACCAATCCCGATTCGGTATCTCGTGCGGCGGCCGTGACTGGTTGGAAGATCGGATTCCAGCATTGTTTGATTTTTCGAAGATGACTGTCGATCGGTTTTCACGATATTTAATTTCCTGAAGCGGTGGTGGGCACGTGGGCGAACTGAAGAAACGACCAAACGACCAAACGACCGAGCCGCGGCGGCGAGTTGCCGTTCGTTCGTCCAATAAACGAGCCCAGCCAACCCACGGATGATTAGTATTTCTTGTTCAAGCAGCGGTAGTATTCGAAAATCCTGGCACACAGGAATGAGTGAATGCTATGAGGACCATGATATCTTGATTTATCCGGAGAAAGAAGGCGGCCTAGCTCTTGCGGCAGTCCCTGGTAGTATCGTTCAACGGTCGCGACTACTGAGATAAGGTAACCGAGCTCGCTGGTTAGTGCGCACAGTACGAGAACCAACAGAGCGAGAGAGAGAGAGAGAGAGAGAGAGACAGGTTTGGCCACGACCCGCCCCACGAAACGAATAGCCGTGGTTTAGCCAACCTACCGTAGATACCTTGATATTGGCCCCCTTTATTCCCAGTACATGCATAAACGAACAAACAAACAAACAAACAAACAAATAGACGGTGATCTGGGCTCGGAAACCAGTCCATATCTGACACGCATCGGATAAGATGTAGTGTGATGACGGGGAAACTAGGAGAAACCCCCCTCCGACTTCGAGTCCCTCCTTCTCCTGTGAGGAATGAGTAACAAAGCGGCGGCGGCAGCAGTAGCATTACTCTCTACATCTACTGGCGTGATAGTGACGCCGAGACCCCAGTGGGCATGGAAATTGACCAGAGTGCGCCGTGAAGTGCCCAAGGAGGTCCGTAGTGGACTATCATCATCTATCCTCCACATGTGCGTGTGGGTGGGTAGATGGGTGGGTGGGCATGCGTGCGTGCGTGCATGATTGCGAACTTCTGCAAAAGGACATTCATTCACCACCCTTGGGAGCTGGGATAGGTTTTGTTACCGCTCGTATGCGTCGAACCCATCTTGGATAATAATGAATGGACATCCAGCCGGTTTCTTCGAACCGCGTGCAAAGTTCATTGGTAATCATTCATTCATTCATTCATCCATCCATCCATCCATCCATCCATCCCCGTCAGGATCGGTATGGAGCACACGGCGGGTACATCGCCAGCCAGCCAGCCAGCCAGCCGACGACGGCACTCACTCAAGGGCGCCGCCTCCACCACCGCCACGACGCCGACCGTGTGTGATATGGCGATAATGCTGCACCGGTGCCAGGGGGACGTGCGGAAAATGCAAGTCCGCCTCGGCAAACGCGCCATCCCACCCAGCCAGATACCTGGTAATAGTGTTAGTAGTCATCAAGGATGACTGCCATGCCATGCCACGCCCTGAAGGGCCCCTCCTGGCTAGCTAGTGGTTCGAAGTTCTGCGCTACCCCTGTTAGAGCCAAACGGGTTTAAACGGCGGCGGCGCCCGCTCTCTGGTCCCAAGCAAGGGCTGCTGCATGCATGTACGGTATGCATCTCAACGCATGGGGAATAGAGCACGTCGCGTGCAGGTCACGCGCAACTATGTCCCCTCCCCGATAAGGACGTGAGAACGAGGGAGGGAGGTTACGGAGGAGGAATGGGCAATGCACACCACGACCTCTTTCTTTCCCCCTCCCTCGTATCTGTGCCGAGTAGATGATACAGGAAAACTTGAGGAGGAAATGGAAGCATGGAGAGAGGGGAGGGAGCATCTCGTTCTTGGACCTCGTACTTTCTCTCCCCAGCAGCGTCTTGTTGTTTCTCGTCCGGACGTCTTCCTCTTCCTCCTCTCCCTGTTTCTCTCACCGGTGATGATAATGGTGCGAGCCAGGTGGGCAATGGTGTAGCCATCCAGCTTCGGTCCAGCCGGGGGTGCCACAGGGGGTGGTGATTGCGATTGTTTCTTCCCTATCCTATCCTACCCTATCCCATGTCATGTCATTCACGTCAGGTCACCAACGTTGTGCAACTCAGGGCCCCCTTCCCCCGTGTCAGTTGTCACAGGAAGAGAGCGCCAAAGGGTGTGATGCTCTTTTGCCTTGCACCATGACTATTACCGCCTCTTCCTCCTTGAACACACGGAACATAGGAATGGGCTCCGTGGACATCGCAATGTCGCGTTCCTCGATTCATTCCATGCAGTGGGCGCAGCGAGCGGACCGACGAGGGCCCGACAGGAGGGACGGGGAAATAACAACTAACTGATGTTCCTACCTTGAAGATAGTAAGCTCCGCGGCTGGCTGGGCTGGGCGACTGGGAGACAGCAGCTCTTCCAAGCTTCATGTCAGCCAGTAGGGGGCACACTGAAACATATCAAGTACATGTATGCAGTATTGGATATTGCTGCACGACGATCCAATGCCCATCTCCCCGGGCCTTGGACAAGCTGTTTTGTTCAAGTGATATACCTTTGTGCACTGTACCCGGGGTGTATGTACAGTATGTGCTTTATTGTAGATACCCGGGTAGTTACAGTAGGCACGTAGGTACAGTATCTACTTGAGATATGATAAGTTATACTGCGTAGTATTGAGTACTGTACCTCAAAGAAGCCTGCCAGCCTGACCGACAGACACATTGGCTCTCGAACTAACCAATTGAAAACCCTCCTTCCCCTCCCCGCAATGCTTATCAGTCTGCCCCCGCCGCTCCCGTTACCCCCCAAGCACCGCCTAAGAGTACCAGCACCAATTAGACACCCACCTGAGGAGCAACAAGCTTCCTCTTAGGCAGGTTGCGTTGCCCTTAACGAAGGTGCTGCTCGCCCGAGAGTGCGCCTAGAAATCTGGGGTACCTACCTAAGGACATGTACCTAGTAGCGACCCAGAATTCCCGGACCCAGACGAAAGGTCTTGTAAGAACACATCCTCTTAAGTGTCTGGTTCTTCATTACACCTGGGCGCTGTCTCTGGTAAGAACAAGAAGAATAAGGCGAGCAAGCAAGCTGTTGTAACCCAACTCAACCCGCCTCTTGCGAATAAAAAATCCCCATCCGCGCCATGTTGGCCTGGAACGTCATCGCCGGATGCAGTGCATCTCTACTTCCCCCGCAAGATATATCTCCCTGTCCTCATTGGTTCTCGCCGTCCTGTTCCATGTCTGGGGGAAAATGGAAATGTCCCTTATCTCTGGTTCGGTCCATCGTGCGCGGCCTCTTGAGGGGGAGACAGGGCGCAATCAGGACCTTCTTTCGGGGTCTTTTACTTAACAGGCGTGCTGTGCTGTGCTGTGCTGTGCTGTGCTGTGCTGTGCTGTGCTGTGGATTTCGTCACTCTTGCCTCTTCGTCTGTAAGAAGTTGATGCGCTTCGTCCAGATTTGAAGAAACGCCGCTTGCTGTGGTGTCATTGATATACCTCGTCAACTGCAACCATCGTCACAGATTAAGAGCCACGACCATGACCATGACAGCAGCTCAGTCTAAAGACCGATACGTCCATTTCGGACGCGGCGGCGCAGGTCCTACCACCCCTTCCCCTCCCTGCCCTGCCCTGCCTCTCTCTCTTCCTTTCTTCTTCTTTTTCGTCTTCGTCTTCGTCAGCACCACGAAACAACACTAACAAACGCAACAAGGCAACATCGCCCCCTCGACAACCCAACAAATTCGCCGTCCCTCTTGGTTCGCCGACTCTCAATCGCCGTCCACGAGCACGGGCCACGGAGGATCCCACGCAGGGAGACGTTTCTCGACGGGAATCGGTGGGTCAGGAAACATATCTTTCGCAAGTAGAGTCCAAGACAGATCGGAGGTCGATGAGGAGATGACACGGCTGTTATACGACAGGCAAGCGCCTGGAATTGTGCTGGTCGAAGGCGGCTATCACACAGGACGAGGTACATCTCTCTCCCATATATCGCACCTCGACGTTGGTGGCGTGTCCATCCGACGAGCAGAGGGCTAATGAAACGCAAACAGGTGGCGCCGCAAATAAATACACCAACACTGACCTGGAAGACCAGGAGGCGCGACTGAATAACGAGCACATGCGACGGCAGAGTCTCGCAAGTGTGAGTCAGCGAAGACAAAGTCTGGCCAGTTTCATGCCGTCGAGTGGCGAGACCAGTCGTAGGGGCAGCATCGCTTCCTTGAGGGATTACTTCATGAAGAGGAGGGCGAGCAAGGCCTGACCTCGGGTTTTGGCTTTCAGATTTGTATCTGGCACACGAATATCCGGATGAGAAATCAGATTGCACGTCGTGAGACACGCTTCAAGTCCGTTTCAACGACATCATGTAATAATTGGAGGGTCAAAGCAATCCCCCGTCTGCCACGGAAGCATTGAGCCTAGCCGATCACCACCTTCTCATGATGAGTGCCATCGCCGCCCAAGGTCATACTCGCAGATGTTCATTTGATCTCAGCCCAGTTCCTGGGGGCGGGTGTAGGGCCCCCAAATAGCAACAACCCGTCGAGCAAAGGATCTGAGTGGTGGGTTGAGGCACCTCAGACAGAACCTGTGGTCTGTCTCGATAGCAAGGACCAGCGACCGTGGTGCATAATCACTGCCACATCGCTCAAAGTCGCGATCTTCTGCTACCTGGTGGCCACATGCTCTCCGCGGGGTACTTTTGCCTCTGACGGAAGTGTCTCCACGTGCTCCAGTCTAGCGATCTCCAAGTCGAGGTCTGGATCCTGAGAATCGGGCTTGCTTGCAGTGTTGGGCCGTCGTCGTTGAGACGCCCTGGTCACATCCGTGTAGACCTTCGTGAGATCCACAAACTCGGAGATATCGGCCGCTCCGTTCAGAGCAGATGAGCTCCGCTTCTCATCTGGCGCAAACGGAAGCGACGAATTCCTTCCCTCAACAAAATCAACCAATTTCCCGAGAATGGCGAATTCGAGCTTGAGTTTGATCGAGTAAAAGGCCGGTTTGGTGATCGTTTCGAGGATGTAGAGTGAGGCGCATTCCAACCCGAGCAGCCCCAGATCTAGCGTGATGATCAAGACGTTGATGGCCAACAGTTGATACATCAGTCTCTTGGTATTCGTTTGCACCGAAGAGCGGAGGATGCGAATGGCCTCGATGATATAGATCGACGACAGAATAACTTCTTGAAGAAAGAAGCCACACATCTGGACCTTCTCCATGACGTTGTAGCCGTCCACGAACGCCTGGGTGTGCGGATCAATGTTTGATCCGATCGTCAGGACCGTCGTCGGTATGTGCAAAACAATCGCGTCGACAATGATCATCCACTTCGTCCACCGGAGAATCTTGTCCCGCCTGTCTCCCGTCAACAAGAGGTGGAGTCTTGAGTACAGGACCACTGCTTGGCCCGTAATCATGGGATACCAGCCAATGCTCAGGAGCAGCAGAGAGAACCATTTTTGGCTCGTGAGAATCGAAAAGTATTTGAAAAGAAATCCAATTGAGTACGGCACAATGCCAATGCTGGAAACGAGCAAGCTCCAGAAGTACAGGCCCTTGAACTTTTTGAAGGTCCCAAAGATGAGAACTTGCAGCTCGATAGCGTTGTACAGCGACAGGCCGAGGAAGAACGCGATCATGACCTTGATCGTGAGGCTGTCGCCAGTGTATCCACCAGTAATGCCTTCGGCTGCGGACGAAAAAGAGCTCGACGACGCGCTGGAATTGGACGCCATTCTCGCAGCAAAGTCTTCAATCCCGGGCAAACACTGCCTCGAGTTTTCCACCCCATAGAGATCGGAAATTCGTTCAGTGTGAGCGAGTTTGTTATCCAACCGTCACTGATCCATCCAAGGGCACAGCTTCGACGCAGTCTGCAAGGATTCTGCTGACGAAGACGGTTGGATGCTTGAATCCTCATTCTGAGAGAGGAAACCAACAATGCCTGAAAACTGCGACGAACGGCCAACTCCAATGTCGATCATGCTGGGCCCCGCGAAGGCTTTTCGGGCGGAAATTCCTTTGGGGAACGGTGAGTGCACGCTTGCTTATTGGATCGTTTGACTGCCGGTTGTCGAACTCAACGTCGCTTGGCTTGTGCCGCCGATGCGTGGCGAGCCCATGGAATTGACCATCGATCGAGGCGCCCTACGTCATTCTCCAGAGCTTCCTGATGGTTGCCCGATACAAGCTTCGGCCGTCACCACCGTTAGCTGTTGACTGGTAGAGGTCCAGTCTGCTGGATTTGCGGATCTGTCGATCGGCAATGTGCAGGAGGTTTGTGGGAGTGGGACATCTTGACTATGCGGCACCCTGTAGATGTCTGATCCTCGATATGTGCAAGACTGTTCACTATTTTGATGTTTGGTGTCAAGGTAAAATATATATATTCTATAAAAGAGATGACAAGGGTGGCGATCGTAGGGGTCTTCTTCCTCTCTTCTACACATGTTTCCGTCATGTTATGTGCACTTCCACCCTGTTATGTGCATGCGAATTGGGCTGCGTCTGAGATAGCCGGTGTTAGTCAGGGTCGCGTCGTCACCTCGAATAATCGTGGCCTTGGTTGCTGCCTTTGCCTTTCAGATCGGTGCGTGACCTGCTGAAGCTGACACTTCTTTTGACGGTGCTTGTTCTCCCTATTCACAATTGCGCCCGTCTCCATCGTCCGCAATGCATAAAAATGACGCTCTAGTGATGAGACCTCCCATCGGTCATCCCACTTCCGTTTTTTTACCGGCCTACCTCAAGCTGTGTGTGCATCTCAAGGCGCAAGATAGTTGCTAGTCGTCCGGTCGGTGGCTCGTCCAGGGAAATGCCTCGGATAGATCTTCTTCCTCTTGCTGCGGAGATCGGGAAACCGTAAGCCCAGTGCCTCAAGGTGCATATCGGTTCTGCCCAAGAGCATCGCCCTCGACTGGACCGTAGACTGTGATATGATGGTATATCTTTCGAGGTCATCGTCAGAGACGTTGATGACCAACCAGCGCGTTGTATCAGCCGAGTCCTGGACGCCTCGTTCTGTTTCCACTGTTCTGTCCGTTGTTGCTCCTACTCTGTACAATCTGCGTTTCTTGCTGCAGCACCTCGAGCCAATCGTTCGTCATAACCGGATGTTGCCAGACTGGATCTCTATCACCGTCTCTTCCTGCGACGGACAAAGATGCCACCGGGCTTGAACTCCTGTCCGAGTACGCAGGCAAGCTGGACCGAGTCCACACGCGCTCGAGACTTTCTCGCCCACTCCGGTGCGTTGTTTCGCCGGTTCGTGCCGTAGTCAGGTCCGTCAGTCGGGTCGAGGGTATCGAGACAACGGAAGAGCGAGGCGACGCTGGCGGGGGCGGAGCCTCGTCTTCTTCCACGGTTACTTGGAAGGCCACAGGAATAGATTTCTCGTCTGTGGCCGTCAAAGGATATTGTGCTATCTCGTCATATCGTGGAGGAGGGTTGTCGTGGTGGTAGCTCTCTGGCTGCACAATGGGACATCTCCAGCGGTCGGGCTGGGCATTGGTAATGGCGATGATGCGGGCATGGCGGGTTTGTGCCTCAAGTTTGCCTGGACGGTTGCTGGAGGTGCAGCAGGACAACAAAGACGCAAGAATCGCCATGGACCCGTTCGTTTGTATTTAAACGACGACTCAAACTGTTGCACTGACAGAACCTGACATTGACGACATGGCAGAGGAGTCTGGCGCAGGTGATTGAATTGTCGTAAGCCTCAGCAGGCATCAGGGTGTCAGCCAAGGCAACCAGGCTTTGAAATGACGAACAAATGTGAGACAAGTTGACACAGCCACAACCACCACCACAACCACTTCCACCACTGCTTTCTTCACACCAACCGAGCAGCGTATTACCGTTATGAGTACGAGGAATCACCTTTGAATTATCACATTGTCTACGAATACGAGATCCTAGGAGTAGCATGCTAGATTAGGACTGGAATTTAGTCCACAGTAGCGGTCGCATCGTTCGGCCTCCCACAGCACTATTCTGCCCCAATAAGTCGTTCTCAGCATGTCAAGGTACTGCTGGATCTGGATTCAAAGCTTTGCATCCAAGATCTAGTACGGTGCTGGAGAAGCACATGCTGATGTAGACTCTTATCGTAGACGGGAAAACGTTTACTCGCTCTAGCGATCTTGGTTGTGGTGTATTCTGGCCTTGAACTATATGCGAGCCGTCACTTCACGCAGCCTCGTGATGCTTGGCCATGACAGTCTCTTTAGTCTCGACCTCGCCCCCGTTTGGTGGTGACCCAGTAATATCGACCCCAACTGCCATGAGGCGTTCGTCAAGAGCGCGCCGGCGCTCCTCGTCCAGATGTGAGAGGTCAACGGCAACCTCGTCCCCAAATTTTGCAGCAATCTCCTCAAGCGAGAGCCCATTGGTTTCTGGCAGACGCCACAAGAATGGAAGGCAGGCCGCGGGAACGATGATAAAGACGAGGTAGTACCTACGATTGGTTAGCACAGTCACAGCAAAGGCGTTGCAGAGGATAATAGCAAGGATTAGACACTTACTTCCAGCCAATGTCGGCAAATGCGGTTGGTGCGACCTCGGTGTAGAGCAATGTCGATGCAAAAAGGCCTGCAATCGAGGTGCCTAGTCCGTGGGCTCGTACGCCGGTTGGGAAGATTTCGCTGCAGTACACGTAGCTGCTGGCGTCCTGGCTGCCTCCATAGAACGTCACGAACAGAAACAAGAACAAGACACCCACGGCGTTGCCGCCCTTGTTTGGCGTTCCCGCATAAGTCGCCACCATAGCAGTCTCGACGATCATCATGCAAATGCAGCCAGTCAGCCCAAAGGTGATGATGGGAATGCGGCCAAGTCGGTCGAGGAGCATGGCATTGATCCAGTTCATAAATGCAGCCCACGATGTATATATAGCATAAAGGAGCAGAGGAAGCCAGCCGTACAGGCCGAGATTGTTGTACAGGAGGACTTGGTAGTTGTTGATGACTAAGACGCCGGTGCTCTGGGCTGCGCATCTGTTGGGCGCGTTAGCAGGAATCCACACTTGATGACCGACGAATTCGAGACGTACTGCACCAGCAGGCCTGAGTATATTCGCTTGCGATACGAAGCGCGCTTGAGCATGCCCCAGATTCCGTGAACACCAGTTGCGTTCTCCAGCTCGATCTGCTTGGAGATCTGGTAGAATTCCTCTTTGGCTGCGAGACCTGCCGGATCATCTGGTCGAGAGTGAAGTTTTTGGAGAATTTCGAGCGCCTGCCTCTCTTTGCTCTTTGAAATGAGCCAACGAGGAGATTCGGGCAACCAAGGCGAGCCGGAGAGGAGGATCAGAGGCGCTACAACCTGCAGACTGAGGCATAGTCGCCACTGCACTTCTGGCGCTGCAAAATAGCAGCCCAGACCGGTGAATGCGGCGGATCCCTGAAGATCCCAAGTCAGATCAAACCACATAGGAATGGGTGGCAGTTGCAAGGGACTCACGTAGCCGCAGACAATCAGAACCCCATGTGAGCCTTGTCCAAAAGTCAGCACGACATCGAAGCAGAGAGGGACTTGGAAAAGGCTGGTTACCCGTCATTCGACCTCGTTGCTTTGCAGGTGACAACTCCGACTACTCCCCACGTCAGCAGGTTGCGCCTCGAAAATCACCCATCGACTGACCATGTACGCAGGCACGGTGACTTGCATCATCCCGACACCCACACCATTCAGAAAGCGTCCGACCAGAAACATGGCAATGTGAACCGCACCCCCTTGGATCGCGGCCGAGATAACGCAGAGGGCACAGACTATCTGAATGGACCTGCAACGCCCGAGTCTGTTGAGTATCCAGTTGACAATGAGAGCACCAATGATGCCTCCCCCAGCGAATAGACCATTGGCAGCTAGTTCTCATTGTCAGACATCTGCAGTCCCCGTGAACCCGTTCGCTTCTTACCGCCAATGATATCGTTTCCTTGCTTAGCATTCGGTCCAGTCAGAGAAATATTAAAATAGGCCCAGAATGCGGGCAAGCCAAAGACGGAACCGATAATGGATGAATTGTATCCATACGTAAATGACCCTAAGGCACTGAAGAAGACCACAGAAAAGTTGTACGTGTTCGCCTTGGCGGAGTGCGAGGCGTCTGCCGCGTTCCCAGTGCCACGCTTGAACAAGCCCATGATGAAGGACGATGGGAGGCTCGAGTGGTGACTACAGACACAAAGGGTGGAGATCAAAGAAAGGTGCAATTGAACTCGTAGGGCCGATCAGGGGTTTATATTCCCTCTGCATTGTCCACCATGCAGCAGCCACGAGGTGAAAGTGGATTCTCCTTGGAGTCGACCAAGGCCAGGCACTTGGAGACGATCCTCGCGGAAATCATTTCGCGACATTTCTCTGTCGGTAATTGTGTTGGAGAACACGGTGCACTGGCGGTGAGAATCCGTGAGCCATGGCGTACAGCCTGGTCACTTCGCGGTTTCAGGACCGCCGGCCAAGACATGATGTCGTGATAAGCAAGGAGACACGGGAGACACGAGTTTGTGGGGGAATTCCCCCCTAGGGACTTGGGGAATGGTGTTGGAGACCCGGAGCTCCCCACGTCGGCGATGCGCCGTGCGCCATTGAATTAGTTTAAAACTAGAACTCCGATCGATACCTGAGAAAGAATCATGGCCAATGCCGATTCAACTTCACTTAACCTCGGGTATCCTGGAGCTTAGGGTACCGGTGCTGAACGTCCACTGCTGAAGGTTGACGCGGCCACGCGAGAGAACTTACTGGATGTGGTGTCGTGGAGGTCAGTCGTGAGCGTCCTCTTGTCTTGGAGACATGCTCGGTACTTCCTATTGTGGGTGATCCGGTTCTCTTCTGTACAAACCCTCTCCTGATATCGATTCACCTTTGCTCAAGTCGATGGTCCGTCCGTGGTAGCGGCCCACCTGCCCATGATAGAAGACGTCGAGAGGATCGGGGTGCCCACAGTAGCTGAACAGGGCGGGGCGTAGGCGTAACACTAGAGAGGGAATTTCGTAGCCCACAGCGTCGGTTCCGCAGCTCGGCTGTAATATGCATCGTAGAGGGGGGATAGAAGCACCTCAAAGGCAGATTTCGAGGTGGAGGAGAAGGGGCTGTCACCCTTGTAGCCTGGGGAAAGTGGACCGCCCGGGTTCCCAGAAATGGTATACGCCGATCAATGCCCATTGGGGTCATGGAGAGGACGCATATAATACTCGTTATACACAATGGGATTGCACGAAAACGGGGCTGTGATGCCAACGTGGTGAGAGTAGAAGAGAAGGTGAATGAAAGGTGGGAGGAAGGTAAGAAGAGGTTGAAGAGCTGAGGTTCAGTGGTGAGTGATGATAAAGCAGCGCATTACCATTTTCGTAGCGCTATTATTGCCAAGTAAATCCCGCCCTGTCAATCGAGAAGCTTCCTGCAATCAACTGTCACGGCTAGTATCACTCTGTACTGCTCGTGTATTGCGAGCTCAGCCGTCCATGAGATTGGCATGGTCTCTTGGATACATGGTTGGAGCGGGTGAAGGAAGAACCTTGGTCATAGATCCGCCTTATGCGTCTGAGCTGTCTGATGCTGAGTCCTGCACCTTCTCGAAGTACAGATTGGAACTGGAAAGACAGCCTCCCAGGTGGACCCAACGGTTCCTCAGCCAGCTATTGTTGTTTTGATGGCACTTCGAACTTATCGAATTGCGACAACGTCGGGGTGGACCACGTACGATCCTGCGGAAGCTGATCGCTTGGTTCACATAAATTGTAGAGTCGGGACTCTTCTCAGACGCTTCTGCATCAGATTTGGCAGGAGGAATAGTCACGTCGTGATTGTTTCCATCATAGCCATGCGGATATCGGCCACAGGCACCGGCGTCTCGTTTAGTCGGAGGCTGGTGGGAGATTTTGCCGTACACCTGTGCGAGCAGTCTCAAAGAATTTTGATGATGATAGTGTCTCGATATCTGGTGCTTATGGTCGAGTCTGTACCCGTATGAGCAGCAACATACCACTTTCATGGTTGAGTCACACTTGCGCAAGAGGTGTCTGGAGCTAAGCCATAGAGGTAGCAGATCGAAACCTAGCTCATGCCCTGAAGACGCCGAAGGGTCTGTAATTGTGGCCTAGCGGACAGATACACAAGTAGCTGGCAAGCCCTTACTCGAATGGATCTGCAACTGGCAGAATAATGTCGAGCTTACCCACAACCACGAATGAGCCTTCGGTAGGGGTTGTCCTGGCACCGGCCCGGACCACGTGGCTTGGTGTCTGTCGTCAAAGAGTTGAAATCCTTGCAATCTCAACGTGAATTGCGAGCGTCTAGCCCACCGGCGCGGGGAAGAGTATCACCATGCTTTACAGTTCTTTCTGCAGCGCTTCCCCCAGAGGCTTGAGCCCGTCGATCATTACCTCCAATTTCTCGTCCATCTTCTTCAACTCGTCTTTTTTCCTGGTGTTCTCCTTCACCAGGGCATCCTTGATCTTGACCAGCTCTAATCTCTGCTGCTCCATTTTCTCCCGCTCCTGCCTCTCATATTCGATCCTCAACGGCATTAGCTCCTGTTCTGGCAAATCTGCCTGATCCGGGAACATGGCGATGTATTCATCCAAGGGATGGAGTGGCAGGTGCATATAGAGATGGTCGTACGCCTCGCAAGTTCCAATCTCGCCAAGTAGGTGTCTCTGTTCGTAGTACAAATTCTGCAGCTGTAATAGCAGCCGATCAACCTCTTGCCGTGCCTCTGCTGTCTCCTGCTTGGTTGTCCGCGCTCCGAAGGCCGCCTGTCGATGTTGGCCTCGCAGCTTGGCCAGGTACGCGTTCAGAATCTTGTGTTGTTGTGCTAGCTCCAGCTTTTGCTCAAGTGTGGGGGTTGAGGTCGTTGCGTGTTCTTCCAGCCATTTCAAAACAGAAAGTGTCTGTGCCAGAGTCGCGTGGGACGTTTGGAGAAGCGGGCGCAGGGCCGAGTCTGTTATGAGATCGTCAATGGCCATTTTGGCAACTGCGGTCAGTTATTTGCTAGATGAAACAGAAGAGATCGTGCAAAGGAGACTATGTAAAAGTAAAGCGCAGTTGAAGTTATCACGGATGTTGTGCTAGGTGAATTGCCCAGCCAATCGGAGTGGAAATCTCACCGCACTGCAAGGGTTGAATATTTTTTGACAACGACCGCAACACAATCTCTTCCCACTCATCAACCCCAAAGAATGGCTCCGGACAGAGGAATCGAAGAGGCGACCGCCTTGCTCAATCTTGGAACCCAACATGATGAGCTTGTGACCGAGAAGAAAACTGCAACAGAGACAATTCCGCCTCACTTGTCGCACGACCCTGCCACCAATACGAAACAATCAGACCCGTTTCAATTTGGACAGCGATTTCTGTCAGAAGATGATGATGTCTTCGCCTACAACGCATGGGATCACGTAGAGCCAGATACGGCACATCACGAATACTGCGAGACCCAATATGCGGCGCAGCGTGCTTCTCCTGTCTCCGACTTCGACAGGACGCGCTTTAACGAACATCCCGAGAAATGGTGGGACCTGTTCTACAAGCAAAAGACAAGTACATTTTTCAAGGACCGAAAGTGGCTTATTCAAGAGTTTCCTGTGCTAAGCGAGGTCACGAGGCCCGACGCCGGTAAGAAGGTAGTCCTCGAAATCGGTGCAGGAGCTGGAAACACGGCGTTCCCAATCTTGAGATTGAATGAGAATCCAGAGCTGAAGCTGTTTGCGGTAGACTTCAGCAAAAAGGCGGTTGAAACAATGAGAAATGCACAGGATTACGCGGAGTCGAAGGGTGTTATGACAGCCGAAGTCTGGGACGTGGCCGGAGAAACCCTGCCACCCAATGTCGATGAAGGGAGCGTGGACATTGTGATCATGATCTTTATCTTCTCGGCACTGAATCCGAAGCAGTGGCAACAGGCTCTGCTAAATATTCAGCGAGTCCTCAAACCGGGTGGGGAAGTATTGTTCCGAGATTACGGCCGAGGGGATCTCGCACAAGTACGCTTCAAGGCCGGGCGATGGATGGAAGATAATTTCTATGTTCGTGGAGACGGCACCAGAGTATACTTCTTCGAAAAGGAAGAACTGGAAACGATCTGGAGAGGGGCATTCGACATCTGCAATCTGGATGTGGATCGCCGGCTGATCGTCAACCGACAACGGCGTATCAAAATGTACCGGTGCTGGATCCAAGGGCGGTTTCGAAAGAAGAATTATAGTGACACCACAGCATGTGCAGCGTTTAACGCTAGTCTGGAACCGCCACCTCACAGAAACAGATAGGGGACATATGATACACAGTAAGGCCAAGTCGTCGGTCGACCAATCCGCAATATGAATGAGTCGGCGTGACTGGAGGATTGCAGTGGAAAAGGCAGCCGGGGAGGAACCATGTCGCACCGGTGCCAAACAACGAGGCACATGCTCAGGAACGGAATGTATCGGTTCAAACCAAAAGTCAGCCAGTGTACATTCAGAACGGCAGCGGATGGGAGAGCACAACCACCAATTGGCCAAGGACGAGCATTACATGTGAAGATTTGCATTGCGGTGAGGAACTCAGAGCTCGGAAATTAGAAGACATACGTCAAACTGGTCATTTGAATGGAACCCGAGATGACTTCAGTGGCTTTCCAGCGAACGGACCCTAAAAATACTTCCGCATGGGATCAAATGACCAGATCCGTCATCCTGCGCCTCGCCTTTTCCGCAGCTCTTCCTCACTGTTGCCACCCTCTCAACCTTCTCTCACCAATCCCCACCTCGACATCGGCATGATATCTAAATAGTCATAGTGTTCATTCTTTCCCTTTCAGCGTCAGTCGTTACCGTCCTCTACCTTGTTCCTCTTGATCAGATTGTTTCCTCTCTTCCTACATCACTGCTATTGGCGCAAGCGACACGTTCCCTACGCGACTTAACTACTGGCCGTTGGACGCCGAAGACGCCTCATATTAAGCCTTTTTCCTTCTCCTTGTCCCCATCGCTCTCCGCCGTCTCCCCAAGCTGCCGAATGACGCCGACCTCAAGAAAATGTCGTGTGCAACACAAACAGTCACCCTCGAATCCGCTTCTTCCAGCCGTCAATCCAGTCCTGTGAGAGACGATGAACGCACCCGGCTCTTACCCCGAGGCCGCCGCCATTCTTACAACACTCTTCCTCGAAGACGGCAGTCGAGCATCTGCAACGCCGATGCGATTTTTGTACGGGTCGATCTGTTCTTGAGTGAGCTGAAGAGTAGGCTTGACAGGCTGGAAAAATACCGGCAAGACAGTCTTCTACACTTTGATGCTCAATTGGAGCGAGCATACCAAGTTCTGAGCGACGTACGAGACTCATGCGCACCTACTCTTTCCGGTGAACTGCTGTGGGGTGCAGCGAGACACCGGGCTCTCATCCTGGTGGATACTCTGGAGACCCGGTACAACGACATCATGCCGTCAAGGGAAACTCTAGAGCACAAAGCACAAGAAGGCATGCGTGTGATGGACTCCTTTCTTGTGGAGCTGGAGTCACGGATGCTTGAGAGGAAGAAACAGTTAATTGATTCAGGATGGAGGAAAGTTGACGACTCGCTCAATGCTACCCGAGAGATGCTAGAAGACGGCCTCGACAAAGCGCTGCGGGCGAGAGACTTGCTCGCCGAATCCGTCTCTCACGCTCTGACTCGTGCTGCGGAGACAAGGTTGATTCATTACGAAGATCTACCCACGCCCTGGAGGAACAACCCGCATATTCTCAAGGGCTACCGGTTCAACAAGACACAGCTCGAATGCCTCTCCACCATGTTTCACGCACACAACGAGATGGTGAATATTTGGTCCCACACCATCGGCTTGCTAATTGTTCTGACTGTCGCTTTTTACTACTATCCGTCCTCATCGACATTTCCCCTCTCAACCAAGATGGATGTCCTGATAGCCGCCTGTTTCTTCGCCGCCGCCTGCAAGTGCATGATCTGTTCCACAATGTGGCACACCATGAACAGCATTTCGGACAAACGATTGTTCGATAGATTCGCCTGCGTGGACTATACTGGCATTTCCCTTTTGGTGGCAGCAAGCATCCTCAGCACCGAGTGGACAGCTTTTTACTGTGAACCCATCTCGAGGGCGGTCTATATGACTTTGACGACGGCCCTGGGAATAGCCGGCGCGATTCTGCCGTGGCGGGAGAGTTTTAATCGAGCCGATATGGCTTGGTTCCGCGTGACATTCTTCGTGACCTTTGTCGTGGTGGGCTTTGCACCGGTTCTGCAACTGAACTATACGCGAGGAGCGGCTTGGACCTTCTACTTCTACGCACCCGTTGCGAAAAGCATCATGGTCTACTTCACGGGAGCTCTCATCTATGCGAGTCAAGTGCCTGAAAAGTGGTGGCCTGGGTCATTCGATTACATTGGCTGCAGCCACAACATCTGGCATGTTGCCGTGGTCCTAGGCATTATCTTTCATTATTTTGCTATGTTAGACTTCTTCCAGGGAGCATTCACCAGGGCGAGCGATGGGTGTTGCTTGGGTTGATACTTTGACACTACTTGGCGCCTGAAGCATAGCGCGGCCGTTGTCAGCAATGCATTGGCCCTGGACTGGCTTGCAATTTGGGTTGGTGTTGGGCCCGTTGAACTTGGATGCATATATGGAGTACAGAGAGAAATGTCTGTGTATCTAAGTCAACAGAATAGCATGCGTGGGAATAGTGTATCTAGGCATGATCTCAGCATGCCTCCGATATGGAGTCAGGTCTGTGAGTTGGCGTGAACATTCCGGATGCGAAGTTGAAGCCTCACTAGTCCCAAGTCCAGGCTCGATTCGACCTCCAAAGCCGAATACGACGATCTCCTTGTTGGGAACTCTACGGCTTGGAGTCAAGTCGGAATGAGGTCGAGTCTGACGCCTGGCGTTGGAGAAACTTCTGCTGGGGAAGTAATATCAATCCATTTGTATATCCTGTCAGACTACTTTATTTTCTCTTATGTACGATGTGGGCGGAAGGAAACACCACTGTCCCAGGTTAACGCGGCAGCCTAATTTCGAGACGGGCAGATATCGTATTGAGCCCTCCTCCTCTTCTTGTTCTCTCGAAACTCGCTCGGAGCGACGCATCGACACCGTGGGCGCCAACCTGCCAAACGAGCGGGTTTGACCATGGCACGGAACCTACCCATTGGCCCAGGGCAGCCCAGGAGCTCGAATCAACAAAAGATGATGCAGTCTGTGTTCAGGGTCAGTTCTGGATCTCCTTCGAGGCATGTCAAGTCGTCTATGTCAGAGAAGAAAATCCATACGAGGAGGTCCCACAAGAAGTCGCGACAGGGTTGCAAGAACTGCAAACAGCGACGAATCAAGGTAGTTCTCATTCACGAACTTTCTTCCACAAAGACCCTGAGGCAGGTCTAATGCATTGGAACTAGTGTGATGAGAACCGAGAAGGCGGATGTCTCAACTGTCAAGGCCATGGGATTTCCTGTGACTACAGCAAAGGAACGCAGCTGCATGGCAAAACATATGTCATTTTGCCCAGAGAGCAGAGACATAGTCCTGCCACATCTTCCTGCTCGAGTGACAACGGGTCGTGCATTCGGGTAACAGCCAACAAGCAAGACTCCAGCTCGAAGTATTTCGCTTCCCTAAGACTGGTTCGCAATCCGTCCACTCCTATCACGCTCGAAGGCCCGAGCCAGATGACCCCCGTGGTACATACGTTGAACCATTTCGGCACGATCACATACACCTCCATGGGATCTGATATGGGGCAAAAGATCATCCGGGCCACTGCTTTCCAACTGGCTCTCGAAAAGCCCTACCTCATGCATGCGATCAATGGCGTGTCGGCCGCACACCTCTGCCATCTTCTTCCCGCTTCTCGACACCCAGTCCAACATAACCAGAGTCAGCTTGCCAACCTGTTCCACTTTCAGAGAGCCTTGCAGCTTTTTCGTGATGAGTTGTCCGCCGGCGTCACAAAGGATAACATGAATGCAATGCTGTCAACTGTGATGCTTATCTGCGTCCATCAATTTATGCTCACCCAACCCGAACCGGATCCTGGGAAGAGTTTCGTGTACACACCGGTAGAGCATCGGCGGGAGTATCTGAGATGGTTAACGATACAGCATGGGTTCAACGCTCTGTATGCCGAATTGGGTGAAGTCATCTGGGGATCGGTCTGGCACCCGGTTCTCATGGATTCGGAATTCAAGGACCTTGCGTCCGCGGTGATGACAGCAGAAGCAGGCGATGAAACCCACGCCTTGTTTATTGACCTGTGCGACATCACTGCGGCATCGTCGACCGACAACAACCCTTACTACGAAGCGCTGGAGTATCTCCTCTTCCTACGGCAACTGAAACCCGGGATGAATACGTTCAACAAGCTGGTCACGTTCGTCGCGTCGGTTGCAGGCGACTTCCTTCAATTGCTGCTCCGCAGGGAGAAGCGAGCACTGTTGATCCTGGCACATTGGTTGGCATTGATGATTGGTGTAGAGCAGTGGTGGTGCAGTGTGAGATGTGAAAACGAATGCATCGCCATCACTACATTCCTGATGCATGATCAAGATGCAAGGGTTCGAGCCTTGCTGCGGTTTCCAGCGGAGACCGTGGGAATGGATCCGACTACGCTCGAGCCACTTGACAGATGAAGTTTCTACTACCTATAGAGCAGTCGCCGGGGAGAAATGAGGCTCAGAAACCGCAAGATTGCTTACCTCGTAGGATGGCCCGAGTATTTCTAAGTTACCTAGGTACATAGGCACGCGGCGAGGGCGGTTATTCGATGGCTCGACGTCATTCGAAAGGCTTAACTAGGGGTTCTTAGGGGGCAGAGGCGCCCCGAGGCTGGTGAGGTCTAGGCGGTGGGCCGCCCCTTGACCAAGGGGCCCCCAACGCCTCCTCGTCACGTGGGGGGCAGCCGACGTTCCAGCCTGACCTGCGCCCTTCTCTAATCAGCGCTCGCCTCGTCTTCTCACTTCAACGCCCGATTCGACTTCAACCTGTTCTGATCATCTTATTGCAAATCAATGTCGCGGGCATGATGGTGCATGGAATATACTGCACATCTTTCCCTCAAGCACGTTGACCGTGTTTTATCTTGTTCCATCGAAGAACGAAAATAATGTGTTCGGAGAGTCATCGCTACTCTCAGCACCATTAACCCATTGCTCACGATGGCCGTTACAGCAGAACCACTACAGTCCCCCTCGACAGTACTTGGGTCTGTCCGAAAGACCATCTCATCATTCGAACTCCTGATCACTTGCAACCCCCCCATCCTCGAATCACTCCTCTCTCAACTGCCGACTGAGACCATCTTCAGGCTCTACCAGACCTCTTCTTACCTACGAGACTTCTTTTCGAGATCTCCCACCTCCTGGCGATATATCTCATGGCGTCTGAATCAACCCGCGGTCACGGCCACGGCCGGCGTCGTCGCCAACGTCATTGGAACTGGACCCAGGCAATCGAGCAACTACGCCCTTGATCAAATCATCCTTACAGTCATAAACCCATTCAGCACGAGACTCGTCAGCCTAGAGCTAGACAATACTGCCGTTAGTGGGACAACCTTGACATCCACCGTGTTGATCTTGAGGAGAGAGACTCTTCGCCATGTGTCGGTGCGTGGGTGCAAGAACGTCTCTTTAAAATATCACATCAACCCTTGGTTACAAATGCATGCGTTAGCTCGCGAGTCTCCAGATGCCAGAGGCCCCCCCGGGTTCGAAACATTGGCTTTGAAGAGTCTATACACCTATCGATGCCGCCATCATAGGAGAAGGCCGTATCTGCCCAGTAGTCTCGCACGCAAAGAGAGCGATAGTGAACCTACTCATGAACTGGTCTTGACATGTCACAAACTGGGTATCTGGACGGATACAGCCTGGTGTACCACACCTGGAGCCAGGTGCTATCGTCGGAGAGGATATGTGAAACTGCGCATGCCCCAGGATCCCAGGGAGGTCTGGGTGGTCTACGATCGCTTGTGGAGAAGTCGAAACTGGCTGGGTCCGGTTGACCAGACCAAAAACCCTGTTTTGAATAAGAAGCGAAAACGCGACTGCAGGAGTTGGGAAGTTGACGAGGAAGGCATGAACGGTGAAGCTATTGGTACAGGCCCCGAGGGCAAGTCAACGCCGGCGCATCTACGAGAGTCTCATCGAAAATTTGTCGAAAACATCACTTGCCACAACTGTTCGGCGGAGATCCTGGAGCGGTGTGAACAGTGCTCGGTCATGATGCACTGTGTCGGGTGTAGAAAGACACTATGTGCCAGTTGCGCCTTTGACCGACCTTACTTGCGAAACAAAAATGCTCCGGAGGAAGAGAGAAACAAATTCTGGTGGGCTCCCGGATGTGCCGTCTCGCCTTGTTCCATGCAGGATCAGGATCTGCCTCCCGATGGAGCTGTCAACGGCAACCAAAACCTGAACACAAACACTCTTCCCAGCATCAAGTTCAAATGGTGCTGTACAGAGCCAGTGTTCTCAGGTGGCGGTGGCATTACCTTCATGAACAGTGCGAATCGAGACAGTGATCGTATCCGTGCGGCACCGCTCCCAACTGGACAGGGATGGGATGACCCCGAGTTCTTAAATGATCCTCCCCATCTTGCTAAATATACAGCAGATGCTACAGCTAAAGATGGTCCCGCAGGCCGTTGGACGTCCATCAATGTTTTATTTCACACTGCTACATATGTGAGCGGCGGAGACCATCCCGCCTCGTCGGTGCCCCGGGTTTTGTGCGACGAGTGCTATGCCTCCGAAAGCTGGAAGGTCAAATGCAAGGCTTGTTCGACGCCGATTTGTATCAAGCATGATATTGGCGAGCGTGCCCGAGCTAGGCTTTGCGGCTACAAAGAACTGACCATCGAAAAGCAAGAGTATAAGTCGCGACAGAAGGCTACGAAGTTGCTGGCCACCTTGATGCGACACCGAAGAGAGAAGGAAATGGCAGCAGAACAAGAGGAGAACGCTGAGGTTGGGATGACCGTCAGCACACCAAAAGCTGGGAGAAGTGCCCTCAAGTCGGGTCCGCCCTTCACTCCGCTCTCCTCCTTGTCAGTAGCAGGTACCTCAGCCCAAGAAGCTTCCGTCGACGCTGAGTTTGGAAGTGTTTCGAGATCGCTGCGAACCCCACTGGCAGAAGTTGATCGACTCCAGCGTCCCTTGTCACCAGCTTCAAACAGCACCGGACCCCCGTCTCGATCCACGTCCCCCTCGCCGTCCGCACATTCACTACCCGCGACGCCCAAGGCGAGCCGCCGAGGGCCCCCTCAAATCGACCCAAGCCCTAGTTGGCAAGGGTGTCAAACAGTTTTCTGCCCGGCGTCACGTTCCGCTCCCGGCGACCACAGGCGACGGTGTACAGCGGTCATCAAGCCTTGCATGGAATGCAAAGTTTACGTTTGTGGTGACTGTGCAAACAACTTCGAACCTCCGTGTCCTTGTAAGGGGTGTCGGCCTCCACAGACAGAAGGGGACAGCTCCGTATCTACAAACCTCCCGCCGAACACCGCGTCGACCGAAACACCTCCGTTTTACTGCCCCAACTGCCGGTTGGAGAGAATGCTTACAGGAAAATGCAGACTGAAGGCGCCTCTCTTTGTGGCTGCCCGTGCATGGCGTGGCAAGAAGCAGAAGAAGCGGAAGGACAAGATACGTAAACCTCTCGAAGCCCGACGGACGAGCCTTGGATCAGGAGGAAATCCCTCCAGTACAGAAGAGGCGATTGATGGGCTAGTGGAATTTTTCACGAGCCTAAACACTCAGTATCCTGGTGCGAGCCATGACCAAACCGAAGCGAGCGGACCGTCGCGGTCGGACAATGGGGGCCAAATAGAGGGCGGTAGCAACCGGCAGGAGATCCAAGAGTTGGAAGACATGGGCGCCCTGGCTCGAGATTTGATCCGCCGAATCCAGCGGTTGAGAGAACAATTTCCCCCTGGGTCTTTGGCCGCTCTGGCGCTGCCAGATATCCGATTGGAAGACGAGGCAGAGGTTGCTGTCAGGATCGCACGCACAGCGAGCGACGCCGCCCAAGTGACGACGTACCCACCGCTGCTACTCCAGATGGCAGCACACCTAGCTGATCCTCACGCTCACACTGCACCCATCACGCTGGCTCCGATCCCTTTGCCGCCGATCGAGAACGGCAATGTCAATAGCCCTCAAACCACACTCGGACAGGCTGGGCACCAGACCCAAGGTGTGCTTGAGAACGGAGTCGTCCCTGCTGGACCAGCGGAAGTGCGCGAAGAGGCAGAAGTAGAGGATGAAGATGATGGAAATCTCGAGGAGAGGGATTCAAGCACAGAATAATGACGTCAGGCGAACAAGGTTGCATAGCGGAGAGAAAAGCATTACACGATGCTAGGATTACTTGGCTTGATACGTTACAACAGGGGCCAAAAGGATGGAGTTTAGATTGGGCACAATGGATGGACAGGAGTCGAACTGGACCTGGTTTTGAGGACCTGCTATTTCTCCTGTTTGATGGCAATGATACGAAATGACTTTCACCAATTCTTCAAGCTCGGTTTTCCAGTCTCCAGCTTCTCCCAACCCGCAACCGAGACGAGCAGCTAGTAACGAGGCAATGTGGAGGACCTCAGGTGAGCATCAAACATCAGGCACACAGGAAATCAAGGGAGAGAACCTCCAGCCGCCCAGTGGCACCCATGTGCCTCCCGTTCGTAACCAACTTTCCCTCATTGTACGTTATGGCGGACTCCAAGATCGTCCTCGACAATGTTTCGAGTCTAACACGTCCAAATACTGGTTCACTAAGCGCAAAACGTTTGGTTCTGAGACGTGGTTGGTAGGAAGCTCGAACCAGCTTCAGGCTCAAACCTTGGACGGTAGTCGAAGTCCTTTTCGTCCTCCCTCTATAGGTCCTCTGCTGAGGATCTTTGGCTTCTGGTCAACGCCATAAAGGCCCAACGCAGAACGCTCATCTTCACGAAACTCCATAACACCTTGATCTTGACTTGCACACCTCTTGCAGGCCCTTGCCCACTACTCCATATCACCATCGAGGTAGCGAAGAAGACAAACCTTCATCCAGAATCACCAACCTCATGAGCCTCACCATGGCCATTAAATCCTTTCTTATGGGCAGCTTGCTATCCATTGCAGCTCTCTGTGTCCATGCCAACCCAATCCCCGAAGGAAATCCAAGAGCAACAATGGCATCCCTTGTCACCCGAGTGGCACCAGCATCAGCACCAACCGGACTGTCTTTTATCGCAAGGTCGATCTTAAACAGCCCGACTGACAATAACAACGTGACGGCTGAATCCAATTCCCCTATTGCAAAGCCGGAACACACATGCGTTCGCGAGGCTCTTGTTGCATTGGCGAACTGGCGCCAGCACTGCGACGGGCCCGGCATCCCGCCCACCAAGTGTTGGACACGGGCCCCGAATATTGAACGCTGCTGCGGCAAATGGGTCGACACCAACGACGAAAAGTACAAGGACTATCCCCCAGTCCGCACCAGCAAGGAGGTTCAAATCGGGAAGACGGCGTGGGAGTGGCGATGGAATCCCAAGACGGCCAAGAAGGGCCACCGCCGTGAGATTGTTTTACAGAGTGTGGACGAGTACAACACTGGCAAGACGGAGTGCAAGCGCTGGCGGCCCGAGAGTGAAGGTGTCTTCTTCGCCTACATGCAGCATCTGAGGGAGTATGGGATCTTCGATGCAGACAACACCGGCAAGGTCATCGACAGCAAATCGGCTAGATACAACCCTGAGGGTGGAGGGTACTACGACGACGGCCAACAGAAATACCCGTCCTTGGGAGACGGGCCGCCAATAGGATGGTAGACGGTGTATCAAAGGGTCGCATGATGGAGGCACCCAGGAGGGTATTAGGTAGTTGCTTACAGCTAGCTATTCCGTCTATATGCTCTAGTTACTATACCATACCAAAATATAGATGGTCACTTTCCCCACGATATTCTTGTCCGGGCCAGACTCTCTTTCTCGCACCACGCACCCACGTCGATCTTTGGGTTTTCTCCTTCTCGCACGACAAGCCGTCCGTGCCGCCTTTCGCAGCATAGACTGACGACAAAATGACCACATTGCGGGCCCGTCCCTCTCTGGAGATGCTCAACCTCGTGGCTACGGGAAGCCGGCTCCACCGGCCCGGACGGCTCGATGTTTTCGCACGAGGTGCGACTCGATATGCGGTCGTCACATGAAAGCAATCAATGCTTCCGAGGAGCTGAGCTGAGCTCAGGCTCTTCATAAGAGAAAGCCATGAAGTCGGTCGCTCACCGTGGCGGCCGTTTCTTGGTGGACTGTCACCTCGACGACTTCATCGACACGGCAAGGCTCCTTTAGCAACATCTTTATACGGAGCTTGCTGGCGAGGCATGAACCATTTCATAGCTCTGCGCCTCAGAAGCATACCTCGCAAGCGACATGTGAAACGGCCACGGTCTCCGCAGCCTGAGAGCGTCCCACAATGTCGCTGTCAATATCAATATCCAACGACGACGGAAAACCCTGCTTCCTCCCTGGCTCGCCCGTGCTGGGAGTCGTCAAGCTTGTTACCTACGATGACCAACCCATTGGCGAGCTATCCATCACTTTCCGGGGGCGTGCTTCCGTCCTCTTGATCCATTCATATGGCGACATGACGACGTCACGGAAGGACTACCAGTCGGTCGGCTATCTCTTCTCACAGCATCTCAACCTGTACCGAGGAAAATACACGCATCGGAAGGGCAGTTACATGTGGCCGTTCGCCTTCTGCATCCCTCTCGCTGCCGCACCTCGAGCGGTAGCCCCCAACTCGACGGATTTCTTTCATGCAGAGCATCCGTGGAAGAATGATCGTCCTCTGGGATCGCACCCACTGCCCCCAAGTATGAGCCACGGGGGTCGCTTTCACTGCTCCATCAACTATACACTGGAGGCGACGCTGGCCCAGCCGGCCCGGACGCCCCTCTCCTCAAGCAAGACGTTGACCGCCAGCAAAGAAGTGAGAGTCCAGCCATTGCCCAGTCAGGTAGATTGGGACAGCGAAGGCGACTGGCCATATTCCAACTATCGGCACAGGCTACAGTACATAATGAAGGATGTGTCGGAAAGCCCCTCTCCACGGGGGCTTTTATCTCATGTCAGCCATGGTTTCTGGGGCAAAAAATCGGACGATCGCAAAAGACTCGAAATATGCATTTCAGTTCGGGTCCCCAAACGGGTCCTCCTGACGGAACAGCCTCTCTCTCTGATTGTATCAGCGTCTGCCTGCTCAATCACAAAGGGCTCTCAGCCTGAGAATGTGTCATTGGGCAATCAGCTCACGATCACACAGTTCAAGATGTCATTTTGGCAACATACGCATGTCCGTGCAGGTCGACATCACGCCTCCTCGACCCGACGCGTCTTCGTTCGGAAATCATCTTCGCATTTGGTCGTCTCCGAGACCCCGTCGCTAGGCTCGTGGCAGGAGGGACAATCCGAGGCTCAATCTGGCAGCTCAGTCACCGCCACAAGCCTGTCAGACATGGTAGACCTGTCTCTCCCGACTGCAATCCTGACCCCAGACTTTTCGACCTACAACATCGCCCGATCCCACTCGCTGGAGATGACATTCAAAATGCAGTACCTGAACAAGAAGTTCAAGTTCTGCCCAGGGAACATCCCGATCAGACTCCTTCCGGCAAAATGTGTCCCCCAGGAGGGCCCAACACTGGACACACAACTCACGAATGTGTCGGTCAGCGAGAGTGACCTGCGAGAGGGATGGATGGTGTTTTCGCCAGGGGAGAATTTGAGCACCGACGACGATGTGGCCAATATCTTATTAGAAGAGCCGCCTCCACAATACAGAGCCTGATGATGGTGTTGTCGCTCGGATGACGGACGTGGTTCACTCCTGAGCCTGGTAGCGGTTGCTGGGAGGCGTTCTTGCTCGAGAACAGGTGTCTATCTACTGCCTTCACTAAGGGCAATATTTACTTAATGAGAAGCTATGTCTCATGCCCAGCCAGCACATACGCGGGCCCCGCATCCATTTCGATCACGTATAGGTCTTTTTTCTCTCTAAAGATTGTTCGCTCTACCTACACTACCGTGAGGAGGCCACAACACACGAGCCAGGCCAGTTGACCAATTTACCAACCAACCACAAATCCACCCCTTGACTTCCGGCATCATGACCGGAGAAACCCAGACCCAGACCCAGATACAGTGGTATCATGATGACTGAAGGGAAGATTTTCCTGTGCCCGAGAAGACGGCTAAGCCTCGCATCTCGAGGAACAACGACCCGGGGTAATGCTGTGATGGTCAGGCCAGGGGCAACCACGGCCCGGGCGGCTGATGGAGGGTGCAGTTGGTGGCTTACTTGTGACATTAACGGATGCATATGGGAATGGAGCATTTCCCATGCAGAGAGTCACCCGACGTTATTTCACAGGTCGGCTGCTTCTTCTTCTTCGAGGAGTCATGCAAGGCATGGCAAGACCAAGGCGTGAGTGTTTTTTTCTAGTATAAATAGATGCTTGGTGCCCTGGTACAATCGTAGGTCTTGTAGATTGACAGAAAGTTATATATCTATCTTGCTTACTTATCAACATTTGACAATATACTTCTGGGAAGAAGGGAAATAAAACGAACCCCTGGCAATCATGCTGGATAGGCTGTTCCACAATAACAAGTCGGAAAGCAAAGTAAGTAATATTTAAAGCAGGCAGGAAAGAAGAGAAAATATTGGACAGCAATACCCTGATTGCAGTTCCTCTTCGCTTGTTTCTTCATTTGCTCAAACCAGAGCTACACGCTCCTATTCCAAGACACACACCTCGAACTGACTGACTGACGAACCACCCAGAAACACGGACCTGCTGAAGAAATCGCAACCAGTCCGGCGGATCTGACACTACCAGCACCAGCAGCTGCTGCTGCTGCTTCCCCCCGTTCTGCTGCTACTGCTACAGCTTCTACTGTGGACACCAACGGGGATCGTATAGAGCCTGCTCCGCCAGATGCAGCGCAACAAGATGCTACCGTGACAACACAGCCTCCGCGACGGCGCAGGTCTTCTGTCCTCAACACCCTGCTGCGTCGACGCTCTGCCGCGACTGATCAGGGCCATAACGTGAAGGATGGTGCGGAAGGGGACGCCAACAAGGTCAATCACAGTCCCAGTCCCAATCCCAATCTCGGTCCGCCCGAACAAGATGTCGTCGTCACGGCGGGAGAGGAGCCCAAGCATAGGTTCTGGCATGGCATTACGGGCACGGGCGAGGGAAAGGAGAAGGCCACTACTACCCAGTGAGAGAGGCTCAGAGGTGGTAGGGCTCGAGGGAAGATACTTGATGGGCTTTTCTTAGGAGTGCTGCGGGAAGTCCTTCATGTACCTACGTACCTGTAATCTGGGATGCGGTCGTGTTGACTGAAGGGAAGGGAAAGAAGTGAGCCGAGACAGGAGAGACTGCTGCACACGCCTATAGTAGGTCGGGAGTCAGTAATACGTATGCAATCATAATTTCTGCTCTGATCTTGGATCTTGGATCTTGGATGCAGTACAATGTTGAGATTTCCGTTTCCTGGGTCATCTGTCGTTGTCGTCTCATGACTCATTTCGCAGACGACGGCGACAATCTTGTTGTTGTCGACCTCTCTTCCTTTTTTCCCCCATGCAGATCCCCTATCCTCGAATATATCTATCCATATATTTGTACATACATACATACATACACACACACGCAACACAAACTCACAAATCATCCAACTCCGCGGCGGTGGCATTGTCGAAGAAGGGGTTATACTGCGCATTGACGAACTGCGACGACCAGATGACCGGCTCCGATAGGTTCAGCGGCATCCGCGATGCGCCCGTGTGTTGGTCGAACAACGTCAGCGTCGTCATGTCCATCGTGTCCATCGACATCGGATACCACTGCGACGACGACAGCGGCGGCGACGAGGGCGAGGGCGGCGCTGGGGCCACGTTCGGGATGCTGTTGTTGCCGCTCACTGCCTGGGCCCCAGCGGGCATCACGCTGGTGGGCATTTCTCCGGGGAAGTATGATGGACGACCTGTTTTGACGACCACGTGGAGAGAGTTAATATCAATCAATAAATCTCCACGGTACGGGTAGGTATGTGTCCACAACCAGGAATGACAGTGACGTACCCTGAGGATTGAGCCGCGTCTCCTTGAGCCCCTGCATCATCTTCTCAGCCAGACGGGCGGCGTTGGAGTTGGTGCTCAGCTCGCGAAACACGGTGAGACAGACGTCGGCGTCCTCGTCGACGGCGAGCCAGTCGATGTCCTCGACCTCGACCTCGGCCTCGTCGCCCCCGCCGCTGCCCACAATGCAGAGGCTCGCGACCAGCAGGATCGACGTGGCGCAGATCAGGCACGAGATCATCTGCCACCAGGGAAAGTCGTAGATCAGCTGGCGCTTGTCCGCCACGTTGTGCAGCAGCCGCGCCGTGTGCTGCGCCGCCACCACGCACCGCTTCTTCGACTGCACGATCCGCGCCCGCTCCGCCTGGTAGAACGCAAGCGGGTCCGGGCACGAGCGCAGGAACCGCGACGGCGACAGCAGTGGGCGGTGGATCAAGGCTTGCAGGTTGTAGAACTTGATGGCCAGCATGTTCCTCTATCGGACCAGGCCATTAATGAGTCTATTAGTCCTCCACCTCCCTGGATGTCGGACAGAAAACTCACCTGTCGTTTCAGTTTCGTCGACTTTTGGAAAATGTGGGCGAGGTCAAACCGCAGCGCACGCGGCAGACTCGCCCGCCACTGCTGCAGGTCCTGGTCCAGACTCTGGACGGTCGAGAGCGCCAGCGCCGCGTTTTCGGTCCGGTTGGGCCCATAGAGCAGAGAGAAGACGCGGCCGATGATGCCCGAGAACTGGATCATGGCCACGAAGTACTCACCGTCGGCGCACTCCTGATCCTTGGGGGAGAGGTTCCGCCGGGATTCGGCGGTGCCGTTCGATATCGAAATATCCGAGGCCTTGGACGGGTATGCGACCTTGAAGTCCTCGTCGTGGATCGCCGGAGGTCGTCCGAGTTGCAGCGAGAGTAACCGGTCGAGGACGTAGAGAGAGTACCACAGCCGCCGGCGGTTCTCGACCATCGACACTCGTTCCAGGCTATCCGATGTCGGTCGCTTCACGTCCTCCGTGTGGAGTCCAATACTCTGAGAGCTTCTGACGGCTTTGCCCAGAGTTGTCCACGCCCTTATATGTGATGGGACGGTGAGTATATATACCGGCAGTTCCTGCAGCGTCAAACTCACCGATCGGTCTGACAGGTCGCCAGTAGGTAGAAGCACTGCGCTAGAAGGGCCGCAATGTAGTCCATGCCCTGTTCTTTTTCGTTGGATTGTGAAATAGAGACAGCCTGATCGAACCACAGGTGGTGGTGATGAATCCTGGCCCCTCGCTCACACGTATCGGCAAATGTTTCATAGCACGCCCCAATGGCGAAGATGGTCACTGTGACGCTGGTGAGTTCAGTCCCCCATACAGACATATTGGGGATGTGGTGTGACACCTACGAAGCACAGATAGCCAGGGTCCACGGAAGCTCTGCAGGGAATCGGAGCCCCAGAACGCCTCGTACTTCTGCCGGAAGACAGGCTCCCAGATGAACGGGTAGGCCAAGTGGATAGTAGAGAAGTAGATCTCCAGAAATTTGTCCGCCACAGCCCGGGGTGGCAGAGATTCGGCGGCACTGTCGACACAGGCCGTGCGCAGGGCTCCGTCTTGCTCGTAACTGTCCAGCTGGACCGTTGACGTGTCACCTTCAGACGGTTCGGCCTCGGGGCGCAGGGTGAGCGCCTGTTTCATCGTGTTGAAGAAGGCGATGTCGCTGGCCTCACCCAGGAAACGGCGTGACAGGGCAGAAGCCGCGTCTTGCTCCGGTGACGCCTGACTAGAAGTCGACTGAGTGGTGGTGGCCGGGTTGGTTGGTTCGGGCGACAAGGACGGAAGTTGGATGGCTGACACGCCCAAGTCGATGGCCTTGCGATCGTCCTCCGGGAGACTATTGCGCAGGCCCTGGATGAGGAAATCGTATCGCCGAACGGCTTGCCTCAACTTCTGGATCTCGTCGTTGGCCGACAGCAGGCTCAGCTGCGTCTGGCGGGTCTCGGACTGTCGCCGTCGCGTCGAAGGGACGTTCCAGCGACAGGAATATCCATAGCCCGCGCACCGTCCGCAGACGGGGTGTTGGCCATCGCACTACGCAATGCCGAAAATTAGATCTCCTTGTGTTTCTGTTGCTTAGGTACCAAACACCAGCAGCATAAACAGAGCGCTGTGAAAACAAAGCTGGGATCTCCCACCTTGGACTTGAGGACTCGACAACTGTCACAGGCGCGGGTGACACGTCTTCGTTTCAGTCCCTCCTTGTTGTTCTGTTTGATCACGTCGGCCATGAGGATGCTATCGGCTTGAGATGTGTCTGATCAGCCGCGTGGTAACAAAGAAGGCTGTCAAATGGGAACAACCACGATTCCCGGCCTCGTGCTAGAATTTGCTGTAAAAGGGCCGATGATATAATGGCAGCGTCTGACCATCACATAGACGTCCAGTTGAGTTGCACCTCTTGCTGCCATTGCAGTCCCATGTCTTCATCGTGTCGTGTTCCCAACTTGCCGGTTGATCCGTCGTAGCCGCCAGTTCCGCCAGTTCCGGGCATTCGTGGGGAAAAAGGACTTTGGTAAGAGTGAAACCCCAAGAGCAAGATATTATGGCCAACCACTGAATAGAAACCGGGGATGTTTCGTCCGGGTCCTTCAGGTTGCTCGCATCAATCTGGATTTCGATTTCGTGGAGCCTGAAAAGCTCCACGCTTTGATTACTCATTCTAACACAGTCACCTGGTGGGTGCCTGGTGACGCGTGCTCTTTCGTTCTCAAGGAGTCGATTATCCTGATGAGGCTCACCTATCAGGAGTCCTCAAATGGTCTCCCTGACCAGGCAGAACACTCAGCCAAGGTGCGGTCATCCTTCTCCACAACTACTGGAAACTGGAGGGTACGCTGCCCTGTCGCAGAGCAGCAAAGGAACATCTCCAATAAGAGTAACTCGGCTCACGAGAGATTCGTGGAGGCTTACCACTTAACCACCTCAGATACTGAGTATAAGCCCAGTCAAGGGTCAGCGACGGCGGTGGGACACATCAGGATGAGAGGATTGCTGCAACAATCTGCAATAATGCAATAGCCCGATGGGGGGCTATGTGTCAGAACCATATCCAGATACCTGGACTGTGGAGTCCTCGTTTGGGATGACACGCCCATTCAACCGTGTCTGCGATGTTATATATACGCGCAGTTGTGCCATTGAGGGCTGTCCACATTCAAGACTACATCGAGAAATCCTTTCCTGCAAAGGATCTTCCTCGTTGAAATCCAATTTTGGTCCGTCGAGATGGCTATCAAAGACTCATTCCTGGCCAACGGCACGGATCACGTCGTCCAAGGTACGATGAACTACTACCTGGATCCCTCAAAAGGTGGGTTCACAGACTTCTACCCACAGACGGCTGGATATTTTCGGCGGAAATACGATCCCCACCCTGTCCAAGTCGCGGATATACGAGGCATCGAGAAAGAATTCAGCCTCGACAAGCATGGCTTTGCGGTGGTGCAGCACGAGAGTGAAGAGAAGGATTTCACCGACGATGAGCAGGTCAAGAACCGTATCTTTGCTGAAGTTGCCAAACTGTTGCAGGGAGTGTATGACATCTCAGTCCGCATGTTGGGTGGATGGCTGACGGAGCACACACAGGACCGGCGCCACTCAAGTCCGCCCATACTCCCACCTAGTCCGTCGCGAACGGTGGGAAGCTGCCCAGAGCGCCTTGGAGGGGAAGGAAGACCACGAAGTCGTCCGCAAGAAGGTTCCGGCGCGCTTCGTCCACGTCGATCACTCCTACGACGGCGCCGAGCAGATCCTCCGCGACAACATGCCGGATGAAGAGGAGCGCGACCGACTCACCAAGACACGATGGGCCATCATCAATGTCTGGCGTCCGTAAGTGCAACCGACCACCCACGCCCTATGTCATTGAAAATTGTGAGAGAAAGGAGAAAGCGGAATTGACTTGCTCAAACAGCATCCGCGAGGTCACGCGCGATCCTCTGGCTGTCTGCGACGCACGTTCGGTGGAAGAGTCGGACCTCGTCGGCGTGAGCGCGCACACGCTGGCCCCGCAGACGGGCTCGTGCGAAAGCGTCTCAACGGGGCGACACTTTGAGACCTGGTCCGTCAAGGTGAACCCCGCGCACCGCTGGTACTACAAGAGCCACATGACGCCACAGGACGTGCTGCTGCTCAAGATCTTCGACTCGAAAAAGGATGGCCGCGCCCGTCGGGTGCCGCACTCGTCGTTTTACTCGGACGAGGATTACGGCGACTCGAGGAACAGCGTCGAGGTCCGGTGCCTGGTCTTTTGGGAGAATGAAAGTCGCGAATAAATGACCGGGAAATTTGCGTTCGGGTCAAAAAGAGGTGGCGCCGTGCAGGTTGAGTGAGCGAGTGAGGGCAACCGAGACAGCGACTGCCTCCTAATATAATTCTACTCATCACCCACACAATGCGTGCGAGATGGGAAGGAATGAGCTACGAGAGGACATGCAGTATTAATGGAGAGACTAGACTATAGAAGGGCAGCAAGTCACAGAAAGCACATTATTTGAAAGAAATGAGAGACAAAGGAAAAAAAAGTCCTAGCTGACAAACACAGAGATTGATCAACCAGGCTCCATTGACAAAATTATGCTATCGACTATCGAAGAGAAAAAAGCTGTGTGCGCAAAAAAACCATGTCGAGGTTTTTTTCCTTCCCTGTTTTTCATAGGACCATCTCCGTCGTTACCACGTTGGCGCTAGTAATAGTAGTAGTAATTGTCCAACTTTGCCAGGTAGAAGCCAATAGGAAAACTAGAAAGCCATTCCCAGAGGGAATTTACAACGCAGCAGCGAGACCCACGAGGGCAAGGACACCGAGCTCGACCTTGGGAAGCGAGGCGGCGCCGGTGTACTTGGCCGGGGCGACGGGCGCGCCGCTGCTGCTGTAAGGAGCATAGCCCCAGCTGGTCGAGGCAGCAGCCACGGGGGTGCTGGTGGTGCTGACGGCGGCAACGGGGGTGACGGTCGTGGAGGACCAGTCGGCCCAGGTGACAGCGGAGCACGAGGGAACAATGGTGATGGTGCTGGTGGCACAGCCGGTGCTCCAGCCGCTGGTCGAGCAGGTGACAGAAGTGCTGGTGGTCGGGCCGCAGGTGGTGGTAGTGCTGATGGAGACGGGCTTGCTGGTTGTGGTGGTCGTGGCGCTCCAGTCGGCCCATGGGTCGGTCGTGGTCGTCGTCGTGGTGGTCCAGTCTTCCCATCCGCTGCAGAGCTTCGTGTCCCAGAGGGTCAGGGTGCTGGTGGTGCAGGACTCCTTCTTGTGGCTGGTAGCGCACGAGACAGAGGTGGTGATGGTGGAAGTGCAGGTAGCAGGCTTGGTGGTGGTCGTGGTGGTGGTAGAAGTCGTGGTCGACCAGTCCTCCCACTCAGCCGCGCAGGCAGAGTCGGTGGGATAGATGGTAACGGGCTTGGTGACGCACGAGTCGGACTTGCCACCAACACCGCAGGACACGGTCGAGGTGGTGGTGACTGGGCAGTAGGGGGTGGTCGCCGGCTTCGTGGTGGTCGTGGTCGTGGTGGTGGTGCTCCAGTCGGCCCATGGGTCGGTCGTGGTGGTGGTCGTCGTGGTCGACGAGGTCCAGTCCAACCATGGGGAGGAGATGGCAGAGCCAAAGGCAGAGCCGACAAGGGTGGCAACGACAGCAGTCTTCATCTTGAGAACTTCGGTTGAAACGAGTGACGGAAGTTGGTTTTGGTAGTTGGAGCAAAGAGCAAAGGCAAGAAACGAATGACTGAGGTGAACTTGACGCGCTTGGAGAAAAGAAAAAAGAAGAATCCGTCGAGGGGGGTTCGCAAGATATAGACAGTACTCGAAAGCCTCAAGGCACAGTATGGCCCAAAAGGGGCGGCTGGAGTATCCAGATGGCTGTGGGGAGGCGTGCAGCCGCAGCGCCATTCAGCTTTCCCGTCCAGCAAAAAGTTCCCATGGCAATTTCACCAGGGAAGTTGGAGTCGGCTATTCCAGCAGCCAGAAGGCACCACTTCTTCGTTAGAGGATGGGGACCAGTAAACTTTGACTCACAGAAACAAATCGACTTCAGCCATAGGAGAAATCAGCCTTGGAACCGGAGATGGTCGTGGATCAGTTGCGAGTGGACCGGACGGGGGGGGCCAGACTCTCATCGAGGGCTCAGCGCGGTATGCTCTGTGAAAGAAGCGGTGGAACGTCATTGGTCTTCTTGCTTGGGGAAAACCGACTTGATTTCCAGGAAGACGAGGTGATTGCATAGTGGAAAAGCAAGCCATAGCTGATTTGCCCGTTGTGGACACACTGGTGGATACAATAACAACCGGTATGCTGTCTACAACCGCCCGTGAACTTGGCATGGACAGTGCTGCCCATGAAGAAGCCCCAGGTCTCCGGTTTCTGTTCCTTTTTCCACACCGGCAATCTCTATCCAGGGGGAAACCTCAATCACACTGTTTGGATTGGGCATCATTGAGCACGTTCCCCTGCAACCGTGGGGAAACGAGAGACCCAAGTGGAGAGGCGAAGCAAAGCCGTTGTGTCGAAGCGGAACAAAGGCCAGTAGGGCGGAAGGGCCAAAAGCAAGAAAAATTGAGAAGCAGATTAGTAGAGATGAGAGCCTGTCCACAGGTCGGGGAGGCGTTGCATTGCCAAGAGGACTACTCTCCGCCACGAGGCGGACGCAGCCTATACGCGACGATCCCGAAATGAAGCTCAATTTGGCGGCCGTATCGATAGTGGATTTAAGGTTGTGCGCTAGTCTGAGCTATATAAAGGGGGCCAATGGGAGTGGCGAAACGGGGAAGTTAGACGCGCTAACTGTAATTGGGGGCCGCTTCACACCAAGCAGGTTTCCAGATTCGGTGCTCTTGGCTCATTGTGCTTTTTCTCTACCCCCTGGACAACATCATTCCATGTGGCCACCGCTGATCTGCCTGCTCATACTGTACCACGCGAGACTGCAGCCGTCACGCCAGCCCAACAGTCCGGAGTATAACCTGGCAACGCTTTTCCCAACGCTCTTTCATTTGGGGGTAACCGCCCGAGCGGGGATGGTTCACCGCCTGAATAGCAGGTCAACACAGGGGGTATGGGATGCCTCCTCGTATTCGTGTCAACTCATTTCCATGAGATTTTCCTACCTGCACAGATTCACCCAGCACAACCAACTACTGCAACGGATCACAACGATGTCCAGGCATGACACTCGCTGGCCCGTCACGGACGTGATTGCTGCTCTCTCTTCCGCGGTAGAGCTTCCGTTGTTCAGCAGTATTAGCAGAGCCGGTTCCATGTTCACTCCAAACTCTCTTTCCTCATCATGCTTCTATTTACCTCAACATGCAAGCCTCTCTTATCTCTGTGCCCACCAGCGGCTCAGCAGCCCAGCATGTCAGGAGGGATGCATCTTGCCTGTGCCACAACGCGAACGGAGGATGACTCTGCAGTCCGCGCCAGGCCGATTATCGTTGACGCCGTGGGAGAGACTCACATCTGTCTGCCTGTGGCGCATGGCTAGACTGATGACGCGATTTTGAGGCTGCGCGCGGTCTTTGTCCGCCCAACGCCTTGTCATTTCCCCCTGAAGCCCTCACAGGGAAGGAAATCTCTTGATACCATTATTTCTCCGTTCTTGCTTTGTTGACCGCCGCCGTACTATGGCTAGGGAACTAACATCTACTCGGTACAAGCAGTCGGACCATTTGATCGGGCTTAGGTTACTCCTGGTCTACTATTTAGACGGGAGGCGTTTTCGAAAGTCCGTTGAAGCGCGTCGACCGCTCCGTACTCTCCGTCGGCCTCGATCTTACTGGCATCCACTGATTCTTGATCTTGGAGAGCTGATGCAGCCACGGCGCAGTCTCCAGGTCTCTCAGATTTACGAGAGAAACTACTTCCTTTATGCTTGACAACAAGACGTTGCACTCATGCTGTAGTGGAAAGAGACCTCTGAAGTTGTTATACTCGGAGCCGATTTCGTATCGAGGAACGCTTGCCAAGTGGATGCACCAAACCCGTTTCCTCCTATCCCCCAGCGCCGTGTTCTGTCACCAGTGATGGTCACATTGACGCGGAGTCGACTTATGGCGGGCCTCATTTCAAGTGCAGGGGATTCAGGAGATGAGCGAAGAAGGATAAGGAGAGCATTTCTAGGGAGGCAATGCCTGAATACACGAACATCATGCTCCAGGAATCGTGCCGACTGTCACCAGTTGGACGCAGACACAAGCCCTACCTTCTGCCATTAACCTCCAGTGTGATGTGCACTTTCCACCTCAAACGGTACTGGTCTCTTCGAGACCCAGATTCTAGTTGTCTGCACAGGTGATTGACACGAAGGGCGGAACCATCAATGTCACACTGTGATGCATCTCTCGCGCTTTCGACTGTCTTGTCACTTCAATACGCTGAAGCTGACGTTCCGCAGACAGCCTTCGCTAGGTCCGCCGTTTTCTCCAGGTCTGTCACTCCTGCAACGCGACGATCACGCAGTTCTGCTTTGTGCTGCCGTCTACAGATATAAAAACTGCATCGTCTTTCATCCATGTCAGTCCAAAATCAGAGAATCCTCTTTGAGAAACCCTAGCCGTCTGAGAAATCCTGGCTGGGATCACACGATATATAGAATGACTCACGGCTATGTACCCAAACGTCATTCTTAGTGCCATGTTGCTCACAGAACTAGAGGGTGCATACGTCCTTCTCTCAAAACACGTCTTCACCAGTTGGCAGCATTGGCTCCAAGCTGTCAAATCAACGCTCTGCGATGGCAAGCCCCATGGAAGATAACGTATCTCCTAAGATGTGAAGTTGTAATCGCCTTATGACTTCCTGGTCTGCAGCGGCATCGTCAACCCATTCTTTCAACGTCTTGGACTTGCGCGGGCATATACATGGACCTCGTCATAGTTAAAATTTTGCATGGGAGAGGACGCACAGAAGTTCAGAGTTCAATTCTGGTTCCAACACATCTGGAACGGTGAAGACACGAGCGAGAGCTAGACGCGAGTGTCCGACGTCGACGTCGCAGACAAACTCGACCTAAACGACTCATGCTTGAGGAATCTTCCGGGGAGTGCCAGGTCAAACAAGCCCATCCTGCCCAAAGCCAATCTGTCTTGCACAGATATACAAGATCACCAGGGATTGGAGCAAATACTTCCCCCAGTCATTCCGAAAAGAGCAGCCCGGCCAGATTCGATGGGGCATGGCGATGACCAAGAACGTTCACCGCGCGTTTGTCGTGCTGTGATATGCAATCCAATGCTACACCAACTCTACGTCCCCCAGCTTAGGCAAGAAGATCCGGTCGTGAAGGAAAAGGTGGAATCCGACACCCCCTTGGAATTTAACTGACGCACGATGTTGACGCGGCCGTAGTGTCGACGTCGACTGTTCCTCTGAACTTCGATTCTGTTCGTGATCTACATACAACACGGATACTCAAATCGTCAGCAGTCAGTTTCACTCCTTCTCCCGTTTCTGCCTCTGTCTTTTGTCATCACGCCCGACTAATTCATGTTCAGTACCGACATCCACCACATTACATCCATCTATGCAGGATTGCAGTTCAGTGCCGGAGTCTCCCTTCAGTGCTCTGGCAGTGAGACTCTGGTAGCTCTCCTGGCCCTCAGCATCTCCTTGTCGATCAGAGCACCATGGAGCCCACACTAAAACCCGATTGAAGAGGTCCATTACCTTAATCAGATAGCCTGATTGGTCAGTGCTGCTCAGCACAAGCCAGGACGACCGAACGGAGGGTCTTCTTTTCCTTTTACTAGACAGGCACCCAGACAGACAATCATACCCACGCGATCTCATGCTTCTATCATGTCAACCCTTCCCCAGGTAGAGAACCGGCGCTGGTTCAATTCTTTCTACTCTCATTCACCGGTGGCTTCGCCGGGATCGACGATGGTGGCGGCCATCCGCGTTACGCCCGTCGGCACCTTCCAGAAGTGGAGTAGCGGCTATCGGCACGATAAGAAGTCGGCATCTGAGCCGACAGTGGTGACATTTTGAGATTTGACGTTTGACCGCATCGTGAGACGCTTCCAATCTCTTCCTATTGCGCATTTTCCATTGTATCATCATCGTCCATTGGATGGCCCACGTCGAATCGAGTAGACCGCCTCCATTTTGATAACATCCGTTCTCAAAGCATGATCAGCGGAACTGGAGTCGCCAGTTGCTGTCACCAAACTTGGCGTTCGTCGCGTTCACTATTTCTACTCCAGATCTGCCAATGATGGGTAACAACTCGCGCCACTCAAGTCGTCGACGGCCCTCGTCCGTGCACCGCGAAGATCTAGAGGAAACAGCCCCACATCTGCTTGATCGCACGGGCTCGCAGGAATTCAGTGTTGTCGAGAGTGTGGCCGTCCAGGAAGTTTTGACCGGGGATGAGACGCCGGATGTGGCACCGGCTACATGGCCGCAGTCGGTGAGATATCTGGTCTTGATTTGTGCTTTCCTGACCAGCCTGAGCTTCGGCGTCACTCAAGTGCCGCTGCTATACGTCTTCAGGCTCATGACTTGTGATGCGTACTACGAAGATCATCCTTCTGGAGTTGTGCACGGCGTTGAGCGGTCGTCCACGACGGGAATATGGACATCGGTTCTGTCCGCAGCACTGGTACCCTCGGTCTACTCGGCCAGTCCAGACACTGGAAACGGGTCCGATCGATGTTCCATTCATCCAATCGAAAGCGCAACGGCCCTGTCAGTGTCGTTGCTGGGTGCCAGCACCCTCGTTTTCGGCACATTGAACCTGTTCCTGACCGGCAGCTTGATCAAGCGCATCGGGGTCAAGCCGACGTTGATGACCCAGGTGTTCTTTCCCGCCCTCCGGTTACTGATACAAAATGTGGGTGTCGAGGTCTGGGGCACTGCAGGAATCATTATCATTCAGTGCTCGCAGATCGTCACCATCGTCGGGGGACCCAGTGGATATATGCTAGCACTGAACACCTTTGTTACCGACGTTGTGGAGCATGAGGGCCGGACGGCGGCTCTGGGCAGACTGACCGGAAGCATGATGTTTGGCTCTGCCCTGGGTTTTTTGTTGGGTGGTGTTGTCGCCGAGGCCTTCGATATCAAGGCCCCCTTCCGTTTAACCTTGATGCTCTTTTTGACTTCCTGTGCCTATGTGTTCATCTTCCTGCCACATATCCCGCCACAGCCAAAAGAAGTGGACCCGGATTCAACCAAGGCCAAAAAGACAAAGACGACTTCGACCTTCACCAAGTTCTTCGGTCCTTTGATGGTGTTTGCACCCCGGAAGTTTGTCACAAGGGAGGGCATTGTCAGAACAGAGTATGGGGCATTCTTGCTGGCGTGGGGAGTCTTTCTGGGAATACTAGCTACAGGTGAGGATTTTGGCTGCGGTGAAGTTATCGCCAGCTAACATAGTATACAAGGCTATCTGCCCACGCTGCTACAACTTTATTCCACCGACGTCTTCAATTTCGGGACACAGCAGAACGGTGGACTCATTTTCATGTACTCTATGCTGAGGGGCGTCTTCTTGACATTTGCGTTTCCAAAGTTCATCGCTGTTGGGAGGAAGTGGATGCTGAAGAGAGAGAAGCAGCACAGGGCAGATACAGGAGAACCCACACCATCGGAGCGCGCACCGCTATTGGCAGAATCCCGAGATCAAGCAGACGCCAACAACGTGCACAATTCCAAGGACAAAGAACCCCTCACGGAGCAAACGTTTGCTTTTGATTTGACGTACACGAGATTTTCGCTGCTTGCCGACGGGCTTCTAACACTGCTTTGCTCGTTCGTCCGCCAAGGCTGGCAAATGTATCTTGTTGCAGTCATTCTGCCGTTTGCCGCCGGGACTGGGTCCGCAGCGAAAGGGACAGTCCTTCAGATGGTGGGAAGCTCTGTCTCCAGCAGCGAGCGAACAGATGCCCTGGCCGGGGTGTCTCTGGTCGAAAACATGGCTCGGCTGGCGACGACATTTGTCTTTGGTGTTATCTTTGCGGCGTTTGCGAGCATTGGAAGAACGGAGCTCGTTTTCACCTGCAACGCGGTAAGTGCTCCTGCTGCACCGGAATTATTCTGGGTGACGCTGCTGACACCGCTTCCCAGGCGGTTGCACTGATCGGGTTCGGAGTCCTGCTGTTTGCTCGTTTTCCACCAGAGGGGAGTCGCAGGCTTGACCAAAAGGACGAAGACGAGAATGCTGCATTATAAAACATAAGATCGCAAGAAACGCTATCTTCATTGACCTCATGCAGTGGAAGTCATTTCGATTGACAAGCCACTTCTCGGCCGACTTCATTTCCAAATAACAGTGAACGGTACAGCACAGCATTCGGCTCAAAGTCACCAGCAGTGTTGTTTGGTCTCACCGAACTCCAAATCACTGCGATGGTGCTCACTTCCTATACCTTTCCAACCTCTTCGCGCTTGACTATCCTTCACCAACTCGCGGTGTAACTCTCAGCCCTCCGTATCCGTCCCTCGAAAAGCTAACTCAATTGTGATCCTGTGCCATATATTAATATAGTTCCTTCATGCTCTTCATGAAGACGTACACATACGTCGACGGCCTACTCGCCTTCGCGAACGAATACCCCTCTGCCCGACGGCACCTACGGGCTGCCGTTGCTGGTCGACCGACTCTGCCTCGTCTAAGACTGGCACTGTTGGATCACGCTGGGGACAGAGGGGTGATTAAGCGAGCTGTGGGTGGTGATGATGATGATGATGGTGGTGGTGGTGGTGCGGCGGCGGCGGGTGTGTTGGTCATCACCGGTGTGGTGGTGGTGTTGTTGGTGGTGTTGGTGGTGTTGGTGGAAATGGAAAATCACGCCAAAGAAGACTAAGACTCACGGCTCTGTCTCTCTACGACCAACAACGAAGGGCGGCGTCGAACCACGGATGAGGGTGGATGGTTGGTTGGGTGGAAAAGTTGTGCTCTATTGAATATATAAACGGACGGAAGTTGCTTATATTGAGGACAATTGAATTGAATCACTTTAATCCAGCATTTGTATGTGCTCTCCAGATGCTACTCGTGTCTCCTCTCCCTCCCCTTCTCTCTTCCCCTTCTCAATTCTCATGCAAGAACATCCTGAACCAGCCCACGGCGGCGTTCTTAGCCCGGGCCATGGCCTCCCTCTCCCCGAGCACCTTGGGGTCTCCTCGCACCAGACACCCATGCTCCATGCCCGGCAGGTGGAGGTAGTCGAAGTAGACGCCCGCATTGGGAAGTGTCTGGAAGGTATGCATCTTCAGCTCGGCCGTGTATACCGGGTCGTGTTCGGGCGCCAACATCTGCACGGGCACGGCGACCTCGTCGATGTCCCTCTTGGTGAGGAGGCTCGGGTGGCCAATCGAGACACAGTCCACCAGCCGGTGCTGATTGTGCTGCTTCGCGCCCAGGCGCAGACACGCCCAGCCGCCGTAGCAGAACCCGACGGCGCCGACATTCTTGTGGCGCTCGCGCAGCAGGCGTGCGGCGTCGAAGATCTCGGGCTCGCGAATCTCGCGCGTGTTGCGGCCCAGGAATCCCGCAAAGTCCACCTCGTGGAACCGTCCCGCCAGGATCGGCTCGAAGGGCAGCGCCTCTCCCCCGAAGAAGTCCGGCACGTACACGGTGGCGTCGGCCTCGTGGGCGTAGTGGTCCGCCAGCAGCCGTGCGTTGGGGAACGTCCATCCCAGTGCGTCGTGGATGAAGAGGATCGCTGGCTTGTCGTGGTTGTCGCCGCCGGCCACGTAGCAATCGATGGCGCCGAGCTTGTCGACCCGTCCGCTGGGTGTGCCTTCCCACGCGAAGCTCTTCAGGCAGCACGACGTTGACATGGCCATTTTGGTTTCCTAGGTGGGAGAAGTCCACTCAAATGTGTATCTCACAGAGTGTTGTTTGTACTGGAGGAATGTAGGAGAGGAGCAGCAGAGATAGGTTCTCTATCCGGGGAAAAGGGGGGGATGCCTGCCTCCCTGTCCATTCTTCACCTTGAGAACGAAAACATCCCGTTCCCGAATTCGTCTCTTGCCCAGAGCCTGTGAGTCATAGGACCCTCATAGAGGATGAATGTGATTGGAAAAGTGGGAGGTAGGGGTGCTTCGGTTATCAATAACGAACAACCCGTGGGGGCGGATATCATGAAGGATAATACGAGTTCTGTATGCAGCTATGAATTCGACTCCCGCTCAGCCTCGGGTCTCCCAGCGCCAAGTAGGACACTACTGACGCATATCATCCAGCTAAGCACCAAGCACCAAGCCTTTTGCTCGTCTTGAATGATGCTATTTTCCCCCGACTTGTGCCCATGTGGACCGAAACATCCATCAGGGTCGGAATATCCCCCATCCATCCCCAGATTCGTTGGCTGCGACCGTTTTTGTTTGCTGATTTGCTTGCATTCACCCTCGGGCCCGAAGCTTCTCAGTAAATGCAAATCCCCAGCTCGTTAGCATCCATATCTAGGCCTTCTGATGTCGTCGCACCGGCTGACCTTGCTTCGTTCTGCACCGAGTATCGAGTACTGCGTATCACTCCCCTCTGGTCGGAGGATATGTTCACTGGGCCGTGGGTTCCCCACAGAGAATCCAGCACCTCGTCAAGTCTCTCCATGATGGCCTCCCTCACGATCTTCTTGGTGAAATCCTTGGTGAAATCCTTGGTGTATTTCTGGAGATCCGTGAGTTCCGATGCGAGAGGCCGGGGCTTTGCGCGCACCGGGACTTGGACCTTTGGACCTCGCTTCAGGCGATTTTTCTTAGTCAGTACTGAAACGATCATCTCTGCACCGTGATCGTCCCAGACCAAGAACCATCCAAGTTCACACGCTCCAAGTTGGCCCCACCAAGCACTGGAATGGTTAGGCAGAATCTCGCCCAAATCAACGTAAATCGAAGTCCAGCATTTCCTCTTCTCGAGAATATCAGATGTCGTGATCTCAGTGGAAGTCCAGGCGTCCAGAAAAACCTTGAGCTCGGCCAGCAGCGCTGTATCGTCGATGACACTGGCAGGGGCGCATGTGAAGTCTCTCAAGAAAGTAAACCAACCACTCAAGTCCTGATTCTCTGCATCATCTTCTTGTGAGGCATTGGCTTGAATGCAACCGCTTGCACTAACCGAATCCCCGTCGTCATGAAGAGCCTGGCCCTCCTTTTGGGTTGGCCATCTGTAGAAGCGCGGTGCGACAATGCATTCAAAGACTGACCAATCTTGGCGGGATTCAAACGCCAAATGACTGAGTTTTCTGCGTGCTCCTCTGTCCTCGTACATGGCCGCATCTGTGGCGTACAGCACAATCGTGCTCATCGCCACCATGGCTTCCCACCGTGGCCCTACGTAAGAAGAAAAGGTCCAGGCCTTTCTCGACACGATGTTACTCCCGATGCCGCATTTCCCGCCAAAGCAAGTCAGCCACGACCACTTTGTTTGAGGCCGTAAAGGATAATTAGGCCGTGAAGGAGATCCATCATACGCCCATACGAATTCGTCGCCTCTTCTTCCCATGAACAGTGCGGCTTCATTTATATCCGTGTCTTTCTTCCTCAGGATTATGACTGGGCCTGGATACCTGTAAAACTATTAGTAAGTTGTTCTCGGGGTGATGGAGTCGACGACTTACCCTGCTACTTCGTCTCTCCATCCTTTCCCGGGCTCGCGCAGCTCGACGGTGCTGGCATCATACTCAAGTCTCGGTGGGGTAGGGATCATGCCCGCCGACACCCAGTCGCTCAACTTCACTCGAGGCCGTTTTCGCTTCGGCATACTGGATGGAGTACAGTTCTGGTAGATGTGGCTGCAGTCAGAACGTCTAGTACTTGTGATGAGTAGAAGTGAGAGGAAAAAGATAAGGATTGCGAGTGTCTGGAAGGTAGACGACGAGCCCGAAGTGCCTGTGATGAGCAGGAGGCTGAGTCAAAAGTGATGAATCACCAGTGATTAGTGGTATAAGCAGACGAAGCGTGCGAGGAGCACATGTCATTCACAGTGATTCCATTGTCGGTAAGGCCAGTCTCAATTGACCGTGAGTGGACCTGTAGGTCCAGGATGTAGAAAAAGGTATGCAAATGTTATCGGAAACTCAAGTCGGAGCTGTCGCTGTACGAGTTGGATAGAAGTGTTATTAGTAAGGTAGGTAGGTGTCTTGAACTCTCCCCAAGTGACTGACCACTGCTACATGAGTCGCAGTTCACTTCGCTAGGTTGTCTCTCCCGTTGTTAGATCTCTGGTATTCTGTATGATATGGTGACTCTGGTCTGAATTCTCCACAGCCAACGATGGACCTGGCCTCCGAAAATGGATCCGTGTTTCCAGAAGAGTAAACCACGGTACATAGGTGTGGCCCCGGCGCCGGCCGGCCACTGCTTGTAGTTTGTCCATTATCACCGAAGTGGGCAGATCCAACTCGATCCGTAAGGCCGTTACAGCCGCCAGCTCCTCTGACAGATAGCTAGTGGACAATGTTCGCGAATAACCGTATTGGTATAACCTTGGGTTATAGTGGCTCCATATCTATTGAGAAATGTTAACTTTGTCCGATATAGCACTCCCCCTCGTCACTATCGAGCCCTATACTTACGCGATAATCTTGTTCAAGGCCGTGCTATTGATTTTTGATCTCGATTCGTAGGGTCCATTCTCACGCGGTTACAGCTTTCTCATGCAGAACCTCACATCTTGACGTGCATGGTGATCATGAATAGCTGTACGACTGCATGGCGTACCTCCCAATGTCCCACCCTCGCTGCGACTTGCCAAGCTGCTGCATACAGTCTTCCAGCCATGCGGCTTGTGGGGAGCCAACCTCCTGGCGAAACACAATGAGTGCCATGCGAATAGCGATGGCCATCTGAACGCCATGTGTCCAGGAACCCGATGGCATCAAATACAACGGGATTGTCCGACAGATGTCAAGAGCCGCCTTTCGGGCTTGGTACACTAGAGAGGCACTGGATATTCTGGAGAGTCCGTCGTTGGCGTCTCCGCCCAATTCGTTTTCGCAAAGATTTGGTAGTCGGGTTGGGTCCCCTTCGATGGTGGCCTTCGGGCTTGTGGAAAGGGCAATCCGGGTTTTCCGGAGCGTTTTCCAAAGTTCCAGAAGGATAATCACCGTGGCGTTGTACACGATGAAGGTGTAACCTGAGTCGGCGATATCCTCGAAGACTAATTTGGATGTAAAGCCAAATCTTTGCTGCTCCCCCTGCGACAGAGGGACCTCTTCAGCTTGAGGTTTGGCCTCACGCTCCCACTGAATGTGCCAGTTTCGCATACGTTCGAGAAGGTCCGCAAAATCTGCCTCGAGGCTGAGGTTCAGTTCTGCCTGTGCGCACGCATCCGCTGTTTTCAGGTAACGGACGAACTTCACATACAAGCCAGGAAGCTCAGAGGCGAGGTCGACCAGATACCCTACTGGACTCTTTGGCGTTTGAGAGACTGCCCAGGGAAGAGTCTTCCACTCTTCGGAGGCGAGACAGGTTGGACAACGGGCCGCGACGGCCGCGAGGATCATGGAATATCGATCGGTCTGAAAGGCCCACATGGTGTATGGCTGTTCGAAGATCTCGAAGCCCTGGATTCGGAAGTATTCAGTCATGCCCAACATATGCTGAATCCACGCAGTGCCGCTTGTTGCTGTGAGATACTTGGTGTTCAGTCAGCTCCTGGGGCTAGTTGGAAGAACAACGAGAACACCTACTTCGCACATTGTGAGGATTGCTATTGACAGGACAGTCTGGCCCGCCGACGATCGGGTAGGTCGAGAAAGTTGATCGTTCAGCTCCCGGAGCGATCGTACATAGAGGTCCATTCCCTCCCGTTGTGCCTGTTTGACGTTGACCCTGCGGCCGAAGAATGACGCGGCAAATGATTTCATGCATCGCCGAGGAAGGCAGTCATCCATACGAAGAGCCTGGAAGCCTGGCCAACGGTCGTCGAGGAAAACATTCCCATCCTGTAGTTCTTGATTCATGAAAGAAAAATATAGGTCATCCCCCAGAATGCTCAGGCTCGTCTTCGGTCCTGGCAGTCGTAGTGAGGCATCTTTTCGAGGCTGGCCTATTTTTCGCCGACGAAATGCTGGATTGTCGTCGATGAATGCCAGTTCTTTTGGGTAACCTGTGCATTCAAGCTCGCTTCTTTGGCATCGGACGCATTTCGGCTTGGTCTCGTCTGGGATTGGTCAGGACGCGTCAACGAAAACGAACAACAGCCAGCGCTGACGGCCAGCTTACCACACTTGAGACGTCTTCGGCGACAGGTAAAGCATGCTTTTGACCTCCTACAGACGATCGTTAGCAAGATGGTCGTGATTCAGACAGTTGTTGAAAGAGCACGGTTGACCCACCCACCACGGCCAACCATCGTTACTGATTTATGCAGGGGAGGACACCGAGGAGCAGGCGGTGGCGAGGTTCGCTCTCCAAGAAAATTAACTGGCAGATCTTTTAGAGACCTCCAAGATCGGATTCATGGGAGATATTGTCGACTTTGTCCTTGTCCTCGGGCGTCGATCTCCGCACACGCATTGCTGTAGCGTTGTTTGCCTGAATACAAAGTGATGATCTATGTAGCCTAGAGGAGGAAAGTAGACTCAACGGGAAGGCAAGACGGGGAGAAGTGCATGGATTGAGACAGCTGAGAAACAGCCATGACGGCATAGACGAGTCGATGAGGCTGAGTCTTTGGTGTCTGTTGGTGGCTCAGACTTGATAAAGAGACTTCGATGAAGCTGCTGGTGGATCGGCAACTTCGCAAACGAACCAATCGAAAATATGACCGTTTTGGGAAGCGGGCCCGTTAATCCTTATTGGCTGCACGGTGCTGAACCTCGCCGGCGCCCAACCAGCGCATCTCCCTTCTTACAAGGCCCTCACTTCTTCAGCCGTCGTCGTCATTGGTGAAACACGGTGGTACTGACCTGAGTATTCAACTCGCTCGTTCAGGCCTTGCCCTCAATCAGCAAGAAATCAGCCTCGCCGCCTGACTCTATTCCCGTTGAGGAGGATTTCTCGATTGGCCTCTACCAGGTAATATACTGCATGGGCTTCCTGTGGCGGTCCAGCCATGACGAACCCAGCATCAGAATGTACAGGCCTCCCCCAGCGAGGGTATATAAGAGCCATGAAGACTATGTCCTTGAGTCTTGATCGGACACAATCTTCAGACACTCCACACAAGAACAACAACAACACCACCCCTTAATCATCATGGCAATCCTGCGCTTGACTCCCCTTGCTGCCGTCCTGGCACTATCTGGCGTGGTACACTCTATTCCCGTACCAGAGCCGCTCCTCTCCGAACTGGCCGACCCTTCCTATGGTCCAATTCCGGGCCAGTCCTCGTTGTACAGCACATACAACGGCACAGCACCACCGTTCCCCGGCAACATCACCGGTGCCATCGTCAACACTACCTCCGGACCCCCTGGCGCTGACGACCTCCTCTTCCAGAACCTGCTGTCTGCGGAGTGGGTCATCTTCTCCTTCTACCAACAAGGAGTCGAGCTATTCAACAGCACTGCGTTCGTCGAAGCCGGCTTCCCCAACACCACCTACGAGCGTATTCAGCAGATCCGTGACAACGAAGCCGGTCACCTGCGTATCTTTCAGGATCAGATCTCCACCAACTCGGTGAAGCCGGGGCCATGTCAATACGTGTTCCCCTTCGACGACCCAGTCAGCTACATTGCGCTTCAGACCATCATTGAGGTCTCCAGCATGGCTTTCCTCACCGGTCTCGAGCTGCAGGCCACGCTCACGTTGTCCAAGGCAGCTCTGGTCGCCATCGCCGCGACGGAATCGCGCCACAATACCTGGTCGCTCATCGACAACTTCAAATCCAATCCCTTCGCCGGCCCGGCAGACACCGTGTACCCCTACGCGAACCAGATCCTCGATTTTACCAATGAGTGGATCGTCAACGGCTCCTGCCCGGCCGAGAACCCAATCTACCCGTCACCGCGCCAGAATCTGCCCCAAATATCGCTCGCGGAGAACACAACGTCGATTGCACCGGGTTCGACCGTCGTGTTCAACTTCTCCCAACCCGACAACCAGCCCCGGTTCACCTCGGGCAGGGACTACTACGCCGTCTTCTTCCACGGTGTCTACAACATCTCGGTCCCTTTCAACACCACGGACTACTCGGCGGTAATCCCAGCACAGATCGACCCGGTGGGAGTCATCATTGCTGTCGTGGCCGACGAGGAAGGCGCGCCCACCAAAGAGAATGTCCTGGCTGGGACGTTGATTATGCTTGAGAGTCCTGCCACGCTCGCCGCGTTAGATATCTGAAACTGGCAGAACATCAATACTGTCGGCTTATTGGATATTTCTAGGAGCAGATACGGTGTCAGGTCGAGGACAGGGGGGTTTCGCACAGATCTCCAGCACACGCAGGTTATGTGGTTTCGTTGTTCTTCTCATATTTGTACTGTAATGATATAACTGGCTCAGTCAATCTCATTTCCCTCCGCATCTCAATCCGTCCGTCACATCAACATCTCAAACCACTACAGATTTAATTCAACATGCATTCAACATTCAATGTTCGTCCTCAAAATCCTCAAAGTCCTTCCTTGCCGCCTCCGCAAGCTGCGGGTCCGTGAGCACGCGTAGCGCCAGCATCGACATGCCCTTGGCGCACTGGATCGCCGCGCGATGCGCCTCATCCGTCGCCGCGTGGCCCGCGAAGCCCGGGTGGTGCATCGACACGCCTGGCTCCGTAGGAATGGGGAAGGCACCGTGGAAGCTGGGCACTTCGAACGAGACGTTTCCTGTGTGTGTCGTGTGGAACACTTTGGTTAGTGGATGGTTGAGAGGAAGAGGAAGAGGAAGGCGATAATGGTAGTGATGATGAACGTGAATTGGCAGGTAGGGGGCTTGCTTGCTTGATTGAGCCCCTTATTTTCACTTACCCATGTCCGTCGACGCCGTGTATGACTCGTCGTTCTTGACCATGATCTTCTCCCCGATCGTCGCCATGTCCTCGACGTATTGCTTGCACAGGGGCAGATTGACCCGCAGGTTCTTGTACGTTGGGGCGCTTTTTGGAGTGGAGGTCAGCCAGATCAGCCAGATCAGCATACAAAGAAATAAAGGAACTCCTTGCCAATAGCAGACCAATTACACCATCACAGCACTTTCTTTTTTTCCCGAGAAAGGGAGAGGGAGGGGCAAAATGGCTATAGTCAGACTCACCGAATATATTTGATCTCACAGCCTGTGGCGGCCGCCGCGGCCTCGCAGCACTTGTGGACCTTGTCGAGCAGCTTGTCGGCCCCGTCCATACTGGGGGCGCGCACGTACCAGTTCATGCGCGTATAGGCAGGTATGACATTTGGAACGGTCCCTCCATCCTCGACGACACCGTGGACGCGCTCATCGGGCCGCATGCGCTGGCGCAGCAGCGAGACATTGTTGTAGGCTGCAACGGCGGCGTCCAGTGCATTGACCCCGTTCCACGGCTCGCCCGCCGCATGCGCCTGGCGGCCGCGGTATTCGACCCGGAACTTGTGCGACGCGATGAACTTCAGCCCCGCGAGCCCCGTGTACCCGCCCCGGAACTGGTGGCCCGTCACCGGGTGCGCCATGATCGCGGCGGCGACGCCGTGGTCGTCCCGAAACGCCCCCGCGTCGATCAGCTTGCACTTACCCCCACCGCCCTCCTCGGCCGGTGTGCCCAGCAGACGTAGTCGTCCGGGGATGCCCGAGGCCTTGAGAGCGGCTGCGGCGCCGAGGAAGGCGGCGATGGACGACGTGGCGATCAGATTGTGGCCGCACGCGTGGCCGATGCCGGGCAGGGCATCGTACTCGGCGCAGAAGATCACCAGGGGACCCCCGCTGCCGACCTCGCTGGTGAAGGACGTTTCGAGGCCGTAGGCCTTGTCCGTGACGGTGAAACCCTCGGTTTTCAGAAACTCAGAAATGGTCTTGACAGCGAAGAATTCCTGGTACGCCAGTTCTGGGTGCTCGTGGATGGTTTGGTTGAGCTCCCTCAGCTGCGGCTCCGCGGCGTCGATAGCGTTGAGCGCCACCTTCAAGGACTGTGCCACCTTGGCGTCTCCCGGCCCAGCCATAGCGAAGGAGGACGGGGGTGGTTGTTGTTGTTGTTGGGTCGAGGAATTCCAACTATTAACCCTACTTTTCGCGAAAGGAAGAAGATTGAGGGGAAGAAACAGGGAACTGGGGTTGGAGTCCTTTTTCCCTCTTCTTCCTTTTATAGGCCAATCGCCATTACAATCAAGGATTAGAAGGAAGACAAAACTTCAAGAAGAAAGTTGCCGAGAGAAGGGCAAGAAGGACAAGTGAGACAAGAGAACACAATCAGCCGCACGATGCCAGCTGAGGAAGAAACTCTAAGGTCGGAGGGTTTCACGAAATCAGCAGACGGTGGGCACCACCTCCAGTGAAATGTCTCTTCTTGTCCAGCTATGTATATATAACCCAGTCGACGTCGGACGGGAAGTTATTGACCTACCAGAGAATGCTGTGCCGTCACCAATAAGCTGTCAGCCTCGCTATTGAGAGAGCAAGCCAGGAACAGGTGAGAGGATATCTTTCCCGGATTCCAGGGCTAGACCGCGATCGGCTGGCGACTCAAGTCGAAGCTTAGTTTCAGTCTAACCATCCAAAACGAGCAATTGGCGTTCGCTCCAAGAGTTATTATCTTGTACTATTGAGAGCCAGGGTATCGCCATCTCCAAGACAAGATAACTCCACGTCCAGAGAGGTCCCTCCAGCGGTCGCCGAGGATAGGGAATTTGTCAGACAAAGTCAATTTTCGTCCGGAAAGCTGACCGGCGATAGCCTCGGATGGGATCTTGATAGTTTTGAGTGCGGGGTACAGAGACCTGTGAAAGGGAGGAAGATGTACGTACGAAGACAATTCGAAGGCTGCCACGTTGGATGTTGTGGAACGTCTAATGTTTGGGTGACCACAGTCCAACGCTCAACCAACGGTCACAGATCCGACAGAGCCGTCATAAGGGCGCGAGATAACCTCCAACAAGCGACGCAGTCAGGATGGCTCCACCATATCTTCTCTGGGTCAACTCACGACCGGTACTGGTGGACGAGAAACAGTGGGAAAAATGGTATATCGAAGAACATGTTCGTATCGTGTGGCCGTCTCTCTTCGGCTTCACCGTACTCATCAATTGCAGGTCCCGGACTTGGTGAACAGCAAGACCGCCGTGCGCGCAGCCATGTTTCGCGAGAGTTTCGACTTCACCCTTGCACCAAAAGAGACGAGCCCGCGCAAGTACTTGGTCTTGTACCAATCAGAATTTGAAGAGCCGCTGAGTTCCAAAGAGTACTTGGAAGGCGTGCGACACTCCAGTGTGATGTGGCCTGACAATAAGCCGACACAGGAGGTGGGAGATTTCAACGCGAGGAACTATAAGCTGATCCAGGAGTACGACCCCGACGGAAAGGGGAACAGTGAGTATCTAGGACCATGGCCATGTGGAAAAGACCGCCTGTTGCTGATACCAGTCTTGTAAAGCGGCCCCTCCGTTCTGCGTGACCGTCGAGATGGACCCCATCGACGAACCCGACTTTGACAAGTGGTACCGCGAAGAGCATCTCGACATGCTGCACAAGTTACCTGGGTATCGACGATCGACCAGGTATGTCATTGGCCCGAAGCTGCCGATCACCAAAGGCGAACCTCCAAAATATCTGGCCGTCCATGAGACGGATGATTTGCGAGGATTCATCGGGAAGGAGGCAGATGCTGCCAACGACACGCCTTGGACGATAAAGCATATCAAGGACAGCAAGTCATTCATCGTGAGAGGCTGGGAGTTGATTTATTCGCAAGGCTTTTGAACATACGTGACCGCAGTGGGGAAGACGAGTAGTAGTCGGGTTGGAAGCTCACGTCCAGGTAATATGCTTATGACGCGGACGCCATGATGGATTCCATCCAGGGCCATATGCTCTCATTTGCAGGTGGGTAGCCCATGTGCAGCATCTTGTCGTAGAACCGAGCTTCTTTGGGGCGGCCGTAGTTCATGAGGAGGATATTGTCCTCGATGGGAACCAGTCCATCGTGTGTCCCGTTGATGAGGAGCAGTCTGCAGCTGGGTCCATTGACGATGCCATTTTCAACCAGACTGAAGTCCTTTTGCGCCTTTTCCTTCATCTCTTCCCAGTCCCGGTATCCGTATTTGGCCACATATGCCTCGCTGAGAACAAAGGGGTATTCGTGGTCGTCGACGTGTTCAAGCCACTCTCGACTCAGGAACAGATGGCAACCGGCACCTTGGGCCACCACTCCAGCAAGCCTCGAGTGGTGAGTGTGCGCTAGTCGAATGGCGCAGTATCCTCCAGCAGAAAGACCCCAAGCCATGCATTTTCGCATGTTGAAGGCCGGCTGCTTGTCCATCCACTCAAGGATCGAAGTGAACAGTCGTTCATGAGACTTCGGATCACGACGAGCCGCAGGGCAATCAGCTGTCCCGGGGATTTCGGTGATCACACAGCCCCAGCCGCGATCGAGAAACTCGTCTGTTCGCTGTGACGGCGCTGTCAGCCTGAGCCGTGATATGGTGCGTCTCCTGTGCTGATTGACCTACCTCTGTGTTGTCCGGTCGATGTCCGTCCAGTCCCGTTATCAGCAGCACCACCGGACATCTCTTCTCACTGCTCGCTCCACGGGGAAGCCTCACAAACAACGGCACTTCGCTGCCGTCTTCGCCTTCAGCTGCAGTGTGCGGGATCTTGACCTCTTTCATGGGAGTGTCCCACAGGCTTGCACCCCGTAAATACACTTGTTTCTGAAGCTCAAACGCCTTTCTCTTCAACCCAGAGCCAGCCTCGAGGGAAGGAAATCGAGATATCCGATAGACGCAGGCGGCGCGCTTGAACAGGGCGGCAGCTTTGGCGCGGTCGGAGGCTTGGGCTGACATGGCTGCATCAGTGAGTTTTTCGGCCGTGGGCAGAAAATACTCTGTGTACATATCCGTATAGGCATCGTTCACGTTATCTCGGATAAGGTTCTCGAAGATGGGTTGGAAGTCTTCGAGCTTGCCGTCGTGAAAAGGATACACCCCCAAACTGCAGGGAAACTTCCATTTGGTTTCCCACAGAGCCTTGACCCCATCCAGATGAGGGTATCTCTCGTAGAACTTGTCGCCGAGGATCCAGTTGACCATTTTGCTGGACTCCAGGAGAAGGTTGTTGAGTAGATAGGCAAGAGAAGAAGAACATTGACGAGACGGTGAGGGAAGCGTGGTTTGGGTATTGGCGTCCGCCAATTGATCGATCGCCCGAACCCCCGCGGCGCCAACTGGGTCGGGGTATCCCTACTTCATATCATCTTATTATTATCGTGTGCCTTGTATACATAGTCTACATTACCAGGAGGACCTCTTCAACCATATCCAGCTCTTTCTCGCATCCCTGTCAGATTGAAAATGCCTCAAGCCTCACAACTTGGCCCCTTGGCTTATCTCGACTGCTTCGCGATATGCAGCTTCAGTTCGTTATATATAAGCTGGCCGTCTATCCTCTCGGCAGTATCAAGCACAGTGCGACCGTGATGATCTTTGAGCAGCAAGTCGGCACCATTTTCTAACAAAAGGCGAATCATGTCGTAGTTCTGCGAATGCGTCGCATGGTGCAATCCAGTGGATCCAAACACGTCGGCGGCGTTGACATCTGCTCCACAGTCCAGCAGAAACTGGACCTGTGATATCCTCCTCTGCTCCGCTGCCCAGATGAGATAGGTTTTGTTGTATCCCGAGATTGGGCTCCTGGCTCGGGCAAATTCCAGGCCAGGATCACACTCCTTGCGATACTTGAGGAGGAGGCGACATATTTTTACACCAGTCTCCCAGGTCTTGTCGTCTGTGTAGTCAAACGCCGTCATGGCTTTGAGGGAGGCATCGCATGCTTCGTTGCCGATGTCATTGCGATTGGGCAGTTGGCTCTTGTCCATGTAGTTGACCAATTTCTCTGCCAGTACCATATCCGCCGCGGCGACACAGTAGTCCCATAGAGTGCTTCCGTCTGGATCTTTGTCTTCCAACTTGCTCCCCTGTGCCAACAGTTCAAGAACCCGCTCGTAATTTCGGGACCATGCCGCGTGGTGTAGATCTGGAATATCTTCCAGTTTGAAAATAGCTTCAACAGGTACACCAGCTTGTTCGGCACAGAAAAAGCCCTTTTCTCGGATAATTTGGAGGGCAGATTTTCCTGCTTTGTTGCGCACTTCCATGTCCGCCCCCCTTTGTAGGAGAAGGACGATCAACTCTTCACGTCCGCCGAGAGCAGCCATGTGTAAAGGAGTGTTACCTGTCATGAGTGATTGCATGTTGATGTTGGCGCCCCTATCTAGAAGCAGTCTGACCCTCTCAACAGCGTCTAGAAACACGTGCGCATTGAATACGGCAAAGTGAAGACTGGTCATAAATGTTTCAGGATACACGGGTGACTTCCCCGGGAAATCAACTTTCGCACCATGATCGAGGAAGAACCGAGTCATTTTGGTATTCATGCTCGCGGCAAGATGCAACGGAGAAGTTCCGTATGTCGGGTCAAATGTGTCCACACCGAGTCCGTGGTTGAGGAAGATACGGGCTGCATCAGCTTGCTGGCACTGAGTCGCCAGCATGAGGGAGTTGGTATCGTTGAGATAATGATGCTTGACTTTAGCTGCGATATCTGCGCCATGCGCCAGAAGGACGTCAATACACCCGGTTTCACCAAGCTGTGCTGCTCGGTGTAGGGGCGTCTCCCCGAAGTTGTTGGTCATGTCTTTCTGGTAGCCTTTGTGGTCCAACAGGAAGCTGAGTGTCTTGCTCAACCCGTAACCCGCAGCGGCATGCACCGGGGAGTCTCTTCTCTCAATTGAGTGTTTGTTCCAGTCTGTCCACGGATTGGCATACTCGCAGCCCCATGCACTCTGTCGGTGTGTTGCCACCACCTCGTCTGCACTATGACGATGAGAACTTTCTAGGAAATTGACAATCTGTTCTCGAAAGGCACCTTCAAGATTGCCTTGAATGGCATGCTTCGGCCAATTCCGGGCTGCATAGTTGTAAAATGGAAACTCCCTAGCTCTCGCATCAGCCTGTATTTGGTGAATACGCAGATTCGAGAAGCTTGACAGAGACATGTAAGCTAAACAAGCCCTCAGAATAATTTCATGACCGGCCGGGAGTTGGGCGGATTGGACTTGCTTAAGATAAGCATTGGCAGTTTCGTGCAGCAGTTTGAGAGACCGGGTTGGGACATTGTCGATCTTGTCAATCTCAGGAATCACAAGACCGTGACAGACAGATATCAATTCTTCTTCAGGGGTCTGGAGGTCATTGTCGAGTGTATCGTCTCCGGGCTGAACCAAAAGTCCTTGCTGCAAAGCTTCGACGCTTAGCGGATCTATGGCATGAGACAGCCAAGCTAAAATCTTGAAGGCCTTTTCCCGTTGGGCGGGGGCCTGCATCTCAATCTGTTTAAGGCTGAAGTCGTAGCACCCATTATAATCAGGTGGTAAGGACTTTAGAGCTACCTCGATATCTCCAACATTCTTGATGTTCTCAAGGACGTTCAGGACCAGTTGAGCTTTCAAAAACCTGCTCAAGACTTAGCCACGATACAGTAGATTGAAAGTGCGAAAGGCTCCTACATCTTCTCATTCGCTTGACTTAAAGTTTTGATCAGCAGGTCAGAGAGCGAAGCATTTCGGTCAATATGTCCGCTCAGGTTAACGCTCGACTCTAGCCTGCTCTTGACAAAAAGGATCACGTCTTCTTTTTGAGGTTGTATCTCAAGAGTGCTTGCATCGTGGAAGATTTTTCTCATTGCCGCGTATGGTCTTGAGGTCACGAGAAGACGAATGGGTGGCCGAAGTCGTCGCAACTCATCAATGAAGCGCTCGCAGAGTTCTCGTTTTGGCAGCTCATCCAGAGCGTCGATTATGACGGTTGTTCGGCGACATTTCCGAAGCTCGTCTTGCAGCCAGATTCGATATTGTACCAAGGTCGGCTTCGCTTCTCGCCAACTGACACCCAGGGACTTCATCATCGATTGTGAAATCTCACCACGCTGTTGGAGTAGCTGAGCAAGGATGTTTGAGAGCAGATTCTCGATAGTCAGGTTGCTGTGCTCGCGATAATCGGCGTATATCCAGGCAAGCACCTCGTCCTCCTTCTTTGATTCTGCCAAATGTTTGATGATGATTGATGTGAGAATCGTCTTGCCTACACCTGGCTCTCCGTGGCACCACAGTAGCCCCGACTCCCGCGTGACCCACGATATGAATGATGGATGTCGAAGGATCCATTGTCCAGTGCCTTCCTGGGCCCGTTGAAGGATGCTTTCTTGTTTGACCCAGAAATTGAACCTTGACAACCAGGCTACCATATCCGACTGTTTCCCAGCGTAAATCATCTCAGTAATTTGATGGGCGTCCACAACTTCAATCACCCTCAGCTCATTTTGTATACTTTGAGGAGGGACCACCATCAGCAAGTCCTTCATGTATGCTGCCGCCGTTGCCGCCGCGTAAGGCTGCCAGACTTTGTTCTTATGCGAATCCGCATAGTCACAGATGCCTCGTATAACAAGGCACGGAAATGTGTCCATCAGTCCCGCAGATAATTCCATCTTTTCGTAACTTCTCGCGCTCGTGGGCGTCTTTAACCACGGAATTTCCAGATCCAATTGTGCCGTAGTGAATGACAGGCCGGAAATTTGGTCGAGGCTGGCGTCTCACGAGCTTAGAACGGTCACATTATTTGCATGAACTCGCACTTCGATGCGGATACGTTGGCTTGAATAACAGGTCCCGTTGCGCGCCCGGATACCTACAATCTGAGATTTCGTCGCTGATTTTTGACAAATGCTCATCCATTTGAACCTGCCGCAGAGAATATTCGGCCTTCAGGCTTTCCACCGCCGTCAGCAAGACAGGAGGAGGCTTGTTCAACGACCCTGTCCGATGGAATCCGCCATATTGAGTGGATTTTCCCATGTCGTATTGTATGACACCACCATTTGTAGCTGTGGGCGTGCTCACGACAATGTCGCCGAGTCGAATATCTAATTTGCCTTCCCGGTCCGGTATCCCTCCTCCTATGCCCACGAGTAAGCCAAACCTCAGCGACGGAAAGTCGTTCATCAACTGCGTGGCGACGTTGGTGGCTCGGTTGGTCCCGATTTCTGGTAATGTAGTGATCACCACGTTATGTTGCCCGATTCGCCCAAGTGTGTAGCAGTTCTGCGCACGTTTCGTTGGAAGGGGAGGGTGCCTCTCGTCCAACATTGCTAGGACCGGAGCTTGCTCTTTGCCCATTGGACAAATACACGCAACAAAATAGTCATTGTAAGAAAGCGAACGGAACGGCATATTTGGCAGCTTTGGCGATTGTGGTATCCTACTCGGCTCCTGCAGTTCAATATTCAAGTTGAAACAGCGCAGATTGGGAACTCGTTGTCTCAGCCGAACGTGCCATTTATCTTGTCTTCAGCCGCGCTGCGATTAGGCTGGTGAGGCTGGTGAAGCTAAGAAGACAGGCTGTGGTTGGGTACGAAGCGACGGACGCCGTCTCGTACTTATCATTTGGTCGACGCCACAGCTGGAAGCTTGGTCGTCTAGATGTTGGAAAACGCCTTATGATAGTCAAGTGCCACGTGCCTTCGTCATTTTGCGGCTAACCTGTGAAGGTGAAAACGCCGGGCAGTATGAGGAAGATCCCCGTGACGGAGTGCTTGTCCTTCGACTGCACCTGGCCTCAGCCCAGGCGCAGCTTCGCTTGGATCCGTAAGAGTAGTATACACACTTTCGACATGGCCAGGAATCACAGCTCAAGTAGTTCATCAGTGCCAACATGTTCTAGAATTCCAGATCCAAGAATCTTCCCAATAAACGCCAACTGTGCCCCAAACCACTGTTTGTGCTCTACATCCAGGCTTCCAATACATGAAGCAATGCTGAGAGGCCAGGCAGTAAGGCTTGCTAGGTACGGGTTGATCTCAGCATCTGTGCTGAGTGTGATCACTGTTTGATTTTCGCCCACATTTGTGGCATGGAATCTTCCAAGTACAAATGGTACACCCGAGGACACATCACTGGCCGTAGCCACGATGCGTGAGCGACACTGCTCCACTTGCTGGCTGCAAGCAGAGTCGTCCGACCACGACTGGACGATCTCAAGGATCTTCAGCCACGCTTGATTGAGCAGCAACTTTGTAGCGGAGTAGTTTAGCCACAGAGCGGCAGACACAGTACTGGGATAATTGTAGACCTCGGGGGAGAAGAAGTCCCGGGTGGAGCCAGATAAGGTCGTGGGTATAAGATGCCGGCACGGATACCAGGAGGTTGGAACTTGAGATGCCCAATTCAGCAATGCGTTGTCCAATCTCTCTGCTTCATTCTGCAGTTTCTGGGCCGTTTGAAACAGCCCAGGGCCGATAGTTTCCAGCTGGAGATTATGGTATTGGAAGACCCTGAGTTGATTACGCAGGTTCGCAATTTGTACCACGATGCGGTCGTACTCGAGATCTCGTCCACACTCGCCAAAAAAGCGGCCATCTTCAAGCCATGCTGGCACTGCCAGGAATCGCAGAAGAGCAGATCGAATTATGCCCCGCCGAGAATATTTGATAGTAGAAGTTGCCGGCTGCTTCTCTCCTGGATCGCGGTGTTTCCAAATTTGCAAGATCGCGGTTGCACCATCATGATGCAAGTAGCTGCTGAAGAGAGAACTGGACAGGAAATCCCCGACGCCGTGCGCCGAGTCTTCATAGCGGCCCATGAGAAAGACGGTCAGCAAGGCAGCATCGATGTTTGTTTCGACCAGACTGGACAACGTCAGGTGTGCGTGCCGCAGTAGCTTGTCGTACTGTTCGCAGGCTTCGGCCGCGGCCATTGGATGTCGCTGTGTCCGCGAAAAGAGCACGAGAGCCATGGACGAGATAGCCAAATCAAGGATTGGAAGCGTTATTTCCGAAATCCGTTCAACAATGCAGTCTGCAACGCTTCCCGGAGGGTGCTGCACATGAGTTGGCATTCGTAAGTAGTAGTTCAGATAGTAGACGACAGCACGGGTTCGCAGGTCTGGATGAAGCGCTGGAGTCAGGCTTGAGCGAGGCCCCCTCGGTCGCTTTGTTTCACCGCTGGCATAGCGGTTTTCTATGTGAATCAGGAAGTCCGACCTTGAAGGAGTTGCTCTGATGCATATTCGACGAGACTTGACACATCTCTGACATGTTGGGCGTGTCTCGTCGCACTATGAAAGGAACAAGTGTCAGCTTCCAGCCCAATAATATCGCAACGGGGTTTTCTTGCCTTGATGCGCCGTATTTTGCAGGTACGACAACCACCACTAGGATTCTTCATGAGGTAGTGAAACAAAGCAACCGACCTTTGATCGCCTTGGTACAAGACTCCGACAAGAGTGATCCTTTCATAGATATGCTCCAGGAGAAGACTGGAAGGACATTCGGTACTCTGTACCACACATGTATCTAGGCAGCCGCTTAAGTCCATCAACCATCTTGGTTGACGAATAGGAGAGCGAATCGTGCATGCCGGTGGAGTCGCGATTGGGCTTAAGTCCGGAGCCTAAAACACGTTCAATCTGTCCCAGTTTGACCCACAACGGTCGGGTCGACAGCTGTTGTGAAGTGAACGCATCATTCTTATTACAGAAAATGATAGTGTTTGGTGGCAAGCATTCCAACCCAATGGCTTCAGGTGTCTTGGAAGTCAAGAAGTCCCTGTGACAGATATCATGGTGGTCTCTGCTAAAGGGTGATATGAGCCGCGTGTCTGCATCTAAAGAGCAGGGGGCTTCTGCTGAAATTGTTCTCTAGAGGTGCTATCAATATTGAGGCGTGAAGATGGTTTCGTCCCTATATTTTTTCAAAAATGGGATGGGCAGCGAGCCAGCTGTGCCTCTCTGCTGAGTCACGGACTTGTCTGTCACCTCAGCCGCTGCGGGCCGGACGATAAACCTCGACACGATGATGACATGTTTCGTTCTCCATTTCTGGAACGCTTCGATGGCGCCCTGGAAGGCACAGCGCAGGCTGTTGTCTTCCGGATGTCGCTCAATGATGTCTCGCAACGAAGGCATAAGTTCAACTGCCTCGAGGAAGTCCCTGTGCTTCTTTGGCATATAGGCCCTCATCTCAAGCAACATTCTGGATTCGTGGCGAACCCCAAACATGCGGTCGAGAAGCTGGAAAAGAGAGCTCTGTCCTGCACTGCCCCCAGCGCATTTGATGAGAACTCGAGATCCATCGCTTCGTTCGAGCGCAACGCCATTCGGTAGTCCTTTTTCTTCTGCACCCGCGCTACCTCCGAGCATCGGGCGTATCTGTTGAAAAAAGAGCATCGGCTCACAATTTCGGTGTAAGACAGACAAGGTTTCCCCCATGGCAGTCAGTGTTGTTGCACAAACATCGAAGACCGACACCAAGTCTAGTATTTCGCCATTCTGGACTGCGGCTATTGTATCGAGCATCAGCTTGAGGAGTTTGGCCCCCTGAACCTCGACCATTACTGGCACTAGATTGAACGCGTCCTCGTCCCTCGTGTGTGTAAAGGAAGCAAATGACCTGATAACCTGAAAATTGGCCAGAGCCTGCGACGGGTGTAAGCATGTATCTTGATCTGTTTGCACCCAGTTCCATAGACAGAGTCCAGCATAAGCGAGAACTGGTTTCATTCCGAGATAGTGGCAGACATCGAGAAAGGGCTCGGCGAGACTAGCGGGAATGACTTCTGATGGCTTGCTTTTGTCCTGCCAGATGAAGGCTTGGGTCAAGTAGCCCAGGACAACGTATGCCCGCTGCCAGTGCGCATGGGTCGTCAGATGGTCAGTGGTGAGGATTTCGAGATCGTTGACTCGCGTCTGGAGGGTCTTCGCCTGAAGCAGACGTGGCAGGTCAGAGATGAGCTCGCACCAAGGTGCATAGTATCCTGGCAGCTCTGTCGGCTTCGGAGCCACGAAGCCCAGTACGGAATCAACATCGTAGTCTTGAGGATCTGGTAGTGACGGGAGGAAAGCCATTGGTTTGAGACCGGGAGGCAGCGTCAAAAGTCAAGAAAATCCAAACCTTGGGACACTGCTTTGTGAGCTTTATGAGCTGCTCGAAGTCTTTTCATCGCAGTTCTTGCTTGACGACTCGTATCTAGCTCGTATTGCTACTATTGCCACGCCCTTCTCATGACAATCTAAAGTTTGGCATGCTTTGATTGGTCAAGTCTCGAGGCTTTACCCTTACGCAGCACCACCGGGCGGCTCCAGCATCAAGCGCCATGAACGGAAGTGCGAGAGCGGGAAAACTCAACGTGGGAGCAAGGGAAGATCGTCCATATGTCAGTTATCTGGCCCCATATATGAATTATCAGAGCGGGCGTGGAGTGTGGGTGGAAGCAAGATAGTGATCGAAGCTGGAGAACTTCTCGCGTAGCGCAGCCAAGATCTGGCGTCACGTGTTAGCGTGTGATCCTTTCGGGACAGTCGCGGGCGATGCCTCTAGATCCTTGTCTCCTTGACAGTTAAACCAACCAATTTTCCTTACTTCAGCTGCAACTATTCAACATGATGGTCAATTCTTATTGATCAACCTTTACCTCTAATCTGCAGCGCTGACCTCTGCGACAAAATGACTTCACGGGAGCCATCTGCGGCACCCTCAGAGGGCGACACCATCGACGATCAGATGGATGACACGAAGCCTGACCTTACAGAACTTGATCAAGAGCAGGTCGAAACTATGGAAGATCCCCCTCCTGAGCCTACCCCTACGAGCGGTCGTCGAGCGCCTCGACACAAAGGCACATCCGCCAAAAAATCAAAAGCTCGGAAAGGTGCAATCTGGATCCATGAACAACCTCACGAGGGCACTGAAGATGAGGGTAGCGTGGCTTCTGCACCTCTTTCACGCACCAAAAAGTCAGAGGCCACTCCTGAGTCGGAGCCGAGAACAATCGGAACTGCGGTGGGCACGAGGAGACAGGCTAATGGCACTGTTGGCTCGGTCTACTCTGGAAGCAAGGTCAGACACATCAAGAAGCCCGATGGCACACCCCTGTGGCGCAAGGAGATCCAGTACGAATTTTTGCGGATTGTGATCGAGGACACGAAGCCAGTGTTCACGCGAGTCAGTGACGGCAAACCCGATTGTTTTTTCTCCGACATATATGTTGACTGCATGGCACGAAGTTCCAAGACCAGTAAGATCCTCAAGGACAGGCTTCAGGTTGACCGACAAGCTGCACATAATATGGCCATGATCTGTCTTCTTGTCAACGTGGGCCGCATGAACACGACACTGAACTTTTTCCCGGAGATGAGAGCGCAGCTGAGAACCTACCATTCCATTCCATCTTTGCAAGCGTACAAAAGTCAAAGGGACTACAAGTCATTACAGGACGCTCCAAGGTTGAAAAGTATCCTCAAGGGCGCAAGTGAGGACACGGATGAACCTCGTACATTGACGGCCATCAAAGCTAAACCAATCCCGAGGACGAATCCAGTCAATCTGATATTCGTCCTCTCGCAGTTTGCGCCCAAGATTAGTGAAATGCACTTTACCGATAAAGTTGATTTCTTTGACCTTGCCATGCGACCAACCATCTCATCTGGGACCCGGGCCAGAGCATTTTTGTGGCTCATGTGGTGGTATCTCGAATCCAACTTCACGAAGGAAGACGCACTGCGGAATCCATACGGTCCTGGAGAGTATAAAGAAGACCAAGATCCGAATGATCCCGATGCGATACCACTCCTGGTACCGAAATTGACAACCATCACGGAAGAAGAAGGTGATGCTGAGAATGTCGACCCGCCGGAGGAAGTTGCCTTTGCAGAAAAAATGACACAGGAACGGCGGAGGATCATGCTGGAGAATGCAAATGAACCGCCATTGGTCATGGCTGACCCAGGAAACCCGGACCATAAAGCCCTGAAACGTCTCAAGAAAAACGCCGCATACGGGGACGATGACTCCCTTATCTCTGATGCGGATTCACGGGCAAGTCCCGGTGTAGGACGCTCCCCAGCGCCAGAATCTCTTGGCCACCATGGACACGTTATGAGCAGCGCTCTGGGGGGTCAAGCCGACAGCTTGGATGACGATTGGGAGGCAGTCGACCCGCACCCTGGACGAGGACGGTACAAGCGTGTCAGGGGAAAGAACACGCCAACCCGAAGCAGGGGGGGTGCTAGGCAGAGTGATGGGCCAAGGAGCTTGCTCAAATCAGGTCGCAATGCTAGTACTCCGGACACGATGGAGCGGTACCGAGGGACGCCTCAACCTGGACACCCTGGTATTGGTAACCATCCAGTCATCGGTCAGTTTGATACACACCGAGGCAAGAACGAGACTGACGTGATAGGGGGCCGACCTGAGCCAGCAGCTGGTGGCACCAGCACCAAGGCCAGGGCCAGGACGGGGTACCAGCGCGAACTAGAGGAGCACAGACAGCGTCGGGTCGAGTGGGCCCTCCGGAGACGTCGTAGGCAGGCCCATCAAGAAGCACGGCAGTTGAGGGAAGGGTGCAGATGGCTCCTCCAAGCAGCCAGACGAGTCAGCGAGCTTCCTCCGACGTATGACAGTGAAGAGGAAGAAGAGACAGGCGGCAGTGGCTTCGCCGGTGTGCTTGGCCGCAGATGGTATGGCGACGAACCCGAGCCAGGACAGATTCCTGTTGGGTACGAACCCGATGATCACGGCGAGGAAGCGGAAACATGGACCAAGGTTCTGAGGAAGACAGGGAGGCGCCTGGAAGTCTGGGGTGGAGACCGTGATCTGGCGGTTTACCATGCCCGATTCCAACGCCACCAGGCCGTCGAAGACAATCTCACGGCAGCCCGCTCTCGACCACTCACAAATGGCACACGCAAGAAGCGACGCAAGCGTGAGTCTCCGGCACACCGGCCTCTTCCTGAAATGGGAAGGTCTGCGCAGACTACCCGAACTGGAGGGAGAGATCTCAACGACGAAATCACCCAAGATCTGCTTGCCGAGCGAAGCGACGATGATATGGACGATGACGATTCCCATGCCGATGCAGAGGGCGAGGGCGAGGGCGAGGAGAGTGACATGGATATGGACTGATCGGCCTTTCTGGCAGCCCATCTTCTGACGACTCTCTTCTGCGGCTTCTGCGGAAGCGTCATGTAAGACCTGGGAGTGTTTCTGGCCTCCAAACTCGTCTCAGGACTTTTGGCTGTCGCCTGTAAATTGCGCTTATGCGGCTGAAAGCGACGTTCTTCGGATGACGACGCGATGTAGCAGAAAGCTATTGAACTCGAGAAGCTGTAGCGAACGTACTTTGGGATCTTCGCTCAACATTGCCGCCCCTCGGCCGTAAACGGACGTGGTAAACAGCTATTCCGGGGGCTGAGTTTAGTTCCTCTGCTCGCCTGGTTCTCTTGAAAGGTTCAGCGTGGCAAAAACGAGTCGTTCGGAACCGTCAAAGTCCGGATAGACAGGCAACAACAATGTTCTTCGTCCTCCATGATCTACCATAATATGGAATTCAGCACCACGGACGATCTCTGCTCCGTTCTACGATGGCAAATCTCACTTTTTCTTGAAGTAGTGATTATGAATCCCGTGTAGCACAGAGAATGTGCAAAGAATGTCCTTGGTTGGCTCAAGACCAAAAGGAGGCTATGCCCAGCCCTACGTCGGCATTACTAATTCAACTTCAAAGGTCGACGAGGGTAACACTCGCCATCGACTCTGCAATCGAGGAAAATCTATTTGCATCTTTGAAGGCCTCGAATGCTGCGTCGATTACTGATTATCGTGTTGTTCTGGTCTTGTTCGGCTGAATAAACTCTCATGAGCGTGTACAAGTCGACCGCTGGTATGACCAGTGCGAAAGGACCCAAGGGGAACAACCACCAAACGAGCCAGTCTTGCGAAGAAAACTTCGAAAGCAATTTCAGGATGCGACTCTATGGCTAAGAACGCCGGATGAGGTTGGTAGACTGTGGTTTGATTATTACGCACAGTCCAATGTGAAGCTACCGTCAGAGTCAGAGCAGTCGCTAAGATACGCTCTTGCCGACCATCACCACCAACAGCATGGTTACACCCAAGTTTGTGCTTTTGATCTGTGGACACCAAAGTTCCACGGGACATGAAACTGCAAGTTGCTGAGTCTCCAACCAGCCGCTCATCACACGGGTGCCAATCGCCGTCGATTCACCTCCTTGCTGTTCTCGCCTAAGGCTTCAACCCCAAGGACAGTCCTCACAGAAGAGCGACAACGATCTCGCCACCCCCTAACGACTCATATGATGCCTAATCGCCGGGGCACCAATAAGTAAAGCGAGAGGGTCGATGGCCCCAGACCGGCTTCGGTGCCAGTCAATTACGAATGCGAGGATAAGCTGGTGTCCGGCACTGTGGAGTTGAAGCATGCTTGAATGCTAAGCCTGCAGACGACTATGGCCATGCTGCTGCAGCTCAGAGTCACTCCACGCTGATCTTACATTGCCCGAGACAGATTTGACCCCGTGTCCACAAGACTTGCTTGTCATGATCGCTCCAGGTTGCTCAGGGACTAGGCCATGGACGTGCTGCTACACGGATATTTCCTGACGATGAATCTTCAGCAAGTTTACATTCTATTCCAAACGTAGGCAAGAGATGTTCCATTGCCCAGGATGATCGTTCCCCATGGGTGTCTCGAGCATGCGCGGCGGCCACCTTCCATGCTAATCCTAGACAGGGCGTGCGGTCATGGTTCTCACTAGCGTCGGGTCGTGACAGACGCAGGGCGTGTGGTGCCTGTGAATTCGATTGACACGGGCTGAGCACGACATTTCACGACGCAATGATCCCTGGCGTTATCTCCTCGGTCCAACCAATGCCTCTTGCCGCCTCACAGCTTTGCATTTCACAACAAAGCTGCACCGTGTCGAGACGAACTGCCTATGGGCAGATGACTTTCGGCCTGCGCACGATGACAGCTATGCCTCGCCGGGGGTGGAACAGGCGGCAACACCGCAAACGTATTCCAACCTTGTCGAACGTATTCTAGGATACACACCCTGGCACCGCCGGTCCTGTGAAGTGGAACTTTTGCAGACAGGGTCTTGGTTCTTCCTTTCCACACTGGCACCTGCTCAGCAACAAGCGGGATTGGGACGAGGCAGGCATTCTAATCACCTTTCCGCTCCTACTTGGGAGCAATTCATTGGCTTCAATCCGACATACTTGATCTCTCACTCTGTCTGGATAGAGAACAGAGAGCAGTCTCCACGAGTTTTGTTGACAAGTCAATTCACACTCAATTCCCGCATCATTAGTACCAACATCACAACGTTTGTAACCATTTCTCTTCGTTCACCACAAACGAAGGAAAGAACCCCTATTGCTGTGCTCACAATGGCTGCCACGTGACATTGATTTTGTTCTTTGTATAAAAAGGGAGGCACCCAAGAGGCGGTCGGCACTTTGCTGACTTATCCTAAGCGACTGGCTGACTCATTCAGGAGAAGCACCTTCTCGAAAACCCCGAGCAATCACAAGCACGAACCATCTCGCAATACGTCCGAGTACGAGGTATCATTGAGCAGATTTCCCGAGTGGTGCGAGGGGAAAGTCATGATATCATCGCGCCAAATGAAGACGGCATGGGGTTTGCGAGTTGCGATTGCCTTGAAGACGTGTCGATCTAACCCTCTCGTTGTCCCGTATCGTTTGAAGATTCCATGGAAAATGCGTATGCGGCTTTCATTTCGTGTTCGGCGATCAGTCGTGGAAAATCCCTGCTCTTCAGGAGCCAGACGCCGGTGATCATGTCAGGCACACCTACATATTTTAGTCGTTTTCAAACGGCCCTTTTTTGCGTTAGAATCAGGGACGACTCCCCTCACTGACCCTGGGTGCCGCGTTTCGTCTGCGAATATATGTCCGTTGCGTACTGGTAGCAGAAGAAATTGCAGCACGCTGCTTCTGGCCTGACCGCCACCTTTGATTCGACGTGTTGTGATAGGGCCGAAGACCCACAGCTTTGCACTAATCTATAGCCAGACCAATGAAGTACTACCTGGTGGAGCCTATCCGTACATTGAGCCCCACGTTAAGCGACGTACTGGGGTTCTCATCCTTGCATATCAACAAGGGACAATGGAGCTACCCTCCACCACGATGATTGTCCAGAGCCAGCCAAGCTCCAGAACGGCCCTCTCTGTAATGCACTTCCCTCCCTCCCTCCATCCCTCCCCGGGTTATCACCGGCTTCTGGCTAAAGTTCGAGGAACGGGAAAATAATTCTGGGACAGGACGCCTGATCCAATAGGTGGCCTCCGTTGACCGTTTGAATTTGTAGCCCTTGCCCAATCCATATGCTGGTGAGAGAGTCCGAAGCACTCCAGATAAGCACTCCCCCCTCTCAGCCCTGGAAGTCTGCAACCATTAAGCAGAGGAAGGCCACCGTTTACTCTGTATACGGCGGACGACCCATCCACGTGGCTCCACTCCACCCAATCTCGACCTTTGGCCCCAAAGGTTTCAAAGGCGCGAATGCCTCTCAGTGGGCAGCTCCGGTGAGAAAGCATGCCTCTTGCCTTGCAGGAGGGGTGAGGAGTGTTTGTAGAGGCTATAAGCTCTTACTTCACGGGTCACTGCTGCATGTCTTAGTTAATCAGTTTGTCACAAGAAGTAGGGTCGCATTTCAACGTCCCCTGGGAAAGATACGTTTTCGAACCTCATCATATCCCATTTCCTTTTCGAGATAGCCTGTCCGTTGCCGTCTGCCTTCCTATGGAGACGCCTGCCATCTAAGCATAGGAGGCTGAGGCAACAAGGCCTGAGACCCAAGCTACACGAGATTATCACCATCCTTTTCGTTTATTTTTTTCTCTCTCTCTTTACTGGTGTGTTGATCTGATCTTCTCAGATCTGGCAGCGGAACCTTTCAAATTGCTTCATCTCCTTCGTCACAAGGTTTCTCGAGATAAACTCCAGACAGGGCTCGGTGCTTGTGCGCGTGCGGGCATCGTTAACGCGCGTCACAATATATCGTGGTGGTTGTGTATATATTCTTGATCCTTCCAAACTACTTCCGCTGCTAACACTGATCAGCTCACAGTGGCCTGTCCACGACCATGAGAGACAAAACAGCTAGTTCACGGGCGCAAGCTCCTCGTGGTGCTCCCAACATGGAGAACTTCATATCCGTCTTTCATGCTAGCAGTCCAGATACGCCCCAAACTCCGTCACAGCCCCAAGCGCAATCACACCAGCCCTCGCAACGGCCGGCAAGCAATTCATATTTCTACGTACCCGGACAGTACTGGGAGTCTTTGGACTACTACGACATGGCCATGGACATATGCACCGACTTTTCTGATGTAAGGTGGATTGCAGAATCGAGCCTACAACCAGGGCCCGTTCCTGACGCAGCTCACAGCTCGGTCAAATAACTCCTTCGTTTGCGTCGAACAACAGATCCTTCAACCTCGCAGACGACCTTACGCCGCTTGACTCTCCCCTCGATTTCGCACCAGAGTCTTTCGGCAGTCCTGGGGACTCTTTGCAGCTGGCGCGGACCAACTCGGGTGCCCAAGGGAGCCTGGATGCAGAGGCGGAGTGTTCGGGGCAGGGACGATGTAACAGCCAGCAGCTTCCTTGCAAGATCTGTGAAATGAAGAAGGAGGTCAGTATCGATGGTTGTCAGTAGTGTGGAAACTACTCGCACTCCCAGTCCACGTTCCTCCCTGTGTTCTCAACGAGGCTCATTCGGCTAAGCCAGCTCATTGTGCAGAGGCGGAAAGAACAGAACCGAAAAGCGCAACGAAACCACCGTCTGCGCAGCGAGGCAAAGCTGGATCAGCTGAGGGCAAAGGTCAAATCGCAATCCGATGAGATTGTGATGCTCAGAGACTTCAACCAATCGCTCCTGAAGCATATTGAAACGCTTGAGAGCAAGGACAAGGATGGTGGGACGACCGACGCGGATCCAGAGGCGGAAGAAGAAAACATCCTTCAACGGCAACCGTCGCTTCCTGATTGATTGTCTTGCGATTGGTCGCGAGTACGACACAACACGGTGGACACGGCAGGCTACCGCGTTGCAGCCTGAGGCTGAATCAGGCAGCGTAGCTGACGAAGACAGCTCTTCGTTCCAGCTCATCTCAGGGCAATAGTTCACGAATTGACATGACATAGAATTCTGCCTGGAAACACCGAGTGGCAAAATCTCTGGTAAATGGAATTGAATGGGTTAAAGGCCATGCTTATGGATCAAGGGGCGCAGCTCGCTGTCCCCGAGAAATCGGAGCTAGTGGACAGCCCCCTGCTTAGTCACCCACTCCCACCCACGTGACCCCTTATCGATAACGCGAAGGGCCGAACTCGTCATTTCGCGCTTTGCCGCAGTTGTTCTCGAGTTGCCGTTTTCACTTTGTTGCCTCTTTCATCCTTCACGCTGCAGCCTTCATTCATCCTCCACTTTCGTTTTTGTTTTGGCGTCGTTTCATTTTCGTTCTTCGTGTACTTGACAATGGAGACGCTCGACGGGCCAGCTCCAAAGAGACGCAAGATTACCCCGGAGCTCGACTCGCCGTCTATTTGCCCCGCTGCCCCGTTTTCTGAGTACATTGTAGTCGCTCACACGCGCCTGAGAGCCTCTGAGGCCGACCCCGACCTTTTCCTCGAGTCTCGCGGTGATGCTGCGCTGGAAGTTACGCTGCAGGAGGTGATAAAGTCGAAGAGATGCCACAAGATTCGATTCTCCGTCGGGCGAAGCAGAAGTAGCAAGCACATCTCGACCGACCGTCTGTCACCTCGTGATTTGCAGATCCTGGAAGATGCTCAAAAGTTGGATTCGGCGGCGAGATACAAACCTCCTGCGGCGCTGCCCCTCGCCTGTGCGTATGCCGTGGTGCAACGTGTGGCTCATGAGGTCAGCCTACAACTTTGCATTCTGTGGGAAAATAATGCTGGATGCCGAGATAAAGTCGATCCGATCCTACTTGATATGCTAGGACGTTATCTGCCGCATGCAGAGCCCATCGTGCCTACGTTTGAATCCTGGAACCCACGCGAGTTCTATGACAATGTTCATGTTCCCGAGAAAACAGAGGCCAACTCCGCAGACCTGGACATCCCGCATCTCGAGTCAAAATTGTACCCGTTTCAGAGACGTGCTGTCCGATGGCTTCTCTCCCGAGAAGGTATGGGTGTGCAACAAAACGGAGAACTCGAGTCACTCGCCGAGGCCCCCAGGAGTCAGCTTCCGAGGGGATTTCGAAAGGTTGAGACACCGTGCAATGGAACTTGCTATGTCAATCCTGCACTGGGGGTTGCAACAACAAATCTGTCTGCGGTCAAAGAGTATTTCGCGTCGGTATCGGGTGGGATACTAGCGGATGAGATGGGTTTGGGGAAGACGTTAGAAATTATTGCGCTCATCTGCATGCATTCAAGAACCTCCTGGACACCTCAGCTCCCAGGTTTGAAACCGGCCGCTGCCACCCTGATCATCACACCCCCATCAATTCTTGAGCAGTGGAAGGATGAACTCCAACAACACGCTCCGGCGCTAAGTGTTTTCCATTATCAAGGGGTTAACAGCTACAGGAAATCTGGAGAACACCTCATCGAACACCTTCTCAGCCAAGACGTGGTGCTGACAACATACACTGTCATAGCAAGGGAAGTGCACTATGTGGCAGAGAAACCGGATCGGAACCTGCGCCACAAACGTGAGGAACCGCCGAAAAGCCCGTTGACTCAGATCTCGTGGTGGCGTGTCTGCCTAGACGAGGCTCAGATGGTTGAAAGTGGTGTATCCTCGGCAGCTACCGTAGCCTGCCTGATTCCGCGTAGCAACGCTTGGGCAGTCACGGGTACTCCGCTTCGGAAAGGACATCGAGACTTGTTCGGCCTCCTGCTCTTCCTCCGCTATGAGCCATGGAGCCGGTCACCGCGGCTGTGGGACTATCTCATTAGCTACCATCGCCCTCAGTTTCGAGCAATGCTCGGAGAGATTGCCATGAGACATTCGAAGGAATATGTGCGTGAGGACCTGCGACTACCACCCCAAAGCCGACACACCATCACGATCCCCTTTACCGCTATCGAGGAACAACATTACGCCGAGCTCTTTCAGGAATTCTGTGAAGAGTGCGGCCTCGATCGGACTGGTGCTCCTTTGGAGGACGACTGGGACCCAGACTCCCCTCCGATGGTGGAGAAGATGCGGACTTGGCTTACTCGTCTACGGCAGACGTGCCTTCATCCTGAAGTCGGAGGTCGTAATAGACGTGCGTTGGGTCGAAACGCAAATGGTCCTCTCCGGACGGTCGAGCAAGTGCTTGATGTGATGATCGACCAACACGAAAGCCAGCTGCGTACCGCACAGCGGAATCGACTGATTGCGCAGATCCGGAGAGGGCAGTTGAAAGAGAATGCGAAAGATACTGCTGAGGCTCTTCGGATCTGGAAAGGGGCCTATGACGAATCTGCCGAAATTGTAAGGGAGTGCCGAAAGCAATACGACGACGAGCGACAGTCCACAGATGCCAAGAAGGAGTTACAGGACGACGAAGAGTCGAACCCACGACTCACCACGTTGAAGGCGCGATTGCGATCTGCTTGGGAAGTGCAGCATATTGCCATTTTCTTCATGGCGAATGCGTACTTTCAACTCAAATCCGCACACCTTCCAGAAAGTGAAGAATATCAGCAGTTGGAGAAAAAAGAGACGGCGGCATACGAAGAAGCAAAGTCAATCCGTGGAGAACTGCTGAGAGAGGCCACTGGTCATGTGAACAAGATGATAACCGCAGTCAGGACTAACTTAGCCAGTGGGGTGACACAGATTCCAACAATGACGGAACCTTCGGGTTATGGCGGGATTGAAAGTAGGAAGATCTTTGAGAAACTTCACCACTACTGCCAGGCGATGAATGTGCAAGCCGAGCAGTTCCATGAGCTGCGGCAGAAGATGGCGGACTTCTTGAGCCAAGCTCTTATTGACGAGGACGAAGGCATCGAACTCCAAGGTGATGAGTATGAGAGCTCAACCAAGCATCAAGATGAGATGTACGCATACATGGAAGCTCTGCGAGCCCTATTTGCGGACCGCTCCGAAGCCATCAATGGTCAAGAAAACCTGCTCATTAAGCAGGAAATGAAGCAATTCCTTCGGGTTGCCAAGGAAGGAGAGGGTCCTGCGCCTGCCTTGATGCTCCAATTGCTTGCTGAACGTGAGGAAAAGCGTGTGAAAGTCAGTACCCTGGGTTGTCTCCGCGGTATCCTGGCCGAAATCAGACAGATGGCGTCGTCTTTGCAATGGCACGAAGGGAACAACCAGACCCGTGCAGGTCAAGAGCTGGCGATCCTGGAGCGCGTCTTGCAACACGTTCAACAGCTTAACGCGGCACAGACGAAAGCTCTCACCAATCTCGAGCAAGAGGTGAACCATTTCCGCGATACGATGAACAGTCGACTCGAATATTACCGCGCGCTTCAGAAGATTTCTGACACGGTCGCACCATATCAGGAGGAGAATGTGGGAAATCCCCTCTCTGAAGAAGACTACGGAGAGTTTGAGGACGAGGAAGCCAAACTCCAGCAGAAGATTACCGCTGGTTCTGCCAAGCTTCGATATTTGATGCACATGAAGACAGAGTCGACGTCCGCAGGCCCTAGAATCTGTGTTATTTGCACCGATAGCTTTGAGGTGGGCGCCATGACCAATTGTGGTCATCTAACATGCAAAAACTGTTTGATGCTCTGGGTCAGTCAGCACCACAATTGCCCTGTATGCAAAACCAGGCTCCTTCTCAACAGCTTCCACGACATTACGTACAAACCCGCCGAGATAGCCGTGCAGGCAGAGTCTCCTTCCAACTCTGCCTCGCCATCCACATCTTCAAGCACAGACCATCATCATAACCAGTCGATCTACTCGGATATCAGCACGACGATGTTGAACCAAATCAAGAACATTGATATCCGGGGTCCCAGTTTTGGCAGCAAGATTGATTTCCTCTGTCGCCACCTTCTATGGCTCCGCGAATACGACCCGGGCTCAAAGTCCATCATCTTCTCGCAATATCGCGAATTTATCGACGTGCTGGCCCGGGCATTCTCAACCTATAAAATTTCATCGGCTCGTATCGACGTGAAGAACGGGACTGAAAAGTTCAAATCTGATCCAGCCATCGAGTGTTTTCTGCTTCATGCGAAGGCACATTCCGCGGGCTTGAATCTTGTAGTTGCAAGCCATGTCTTTCTCTGCGAACCACTCATTAACACGGCCATCGAACTGCAAGCCATTGCGCGAGTCCACCGTATCGGACAGCATCGACCGACAACGGTGTGGATGTATCTCATCGCCGACACGGTCGAGGAATCCATTTACGATATCAGTGTGACGCGGCGGCTGGCGCACATGAAAAGTAACAATAACAATGGCGGAAGCGGCACTGCCGCATCTTCAGTCTCTCAGTCAGGCAAGAATACTCCTCGCATCATAAACACTCTCCAAGAAAATGCAATCGATGCTGCCAATTCCATGGAATTGCAAGCTGCAGACCTCAGTCGCTTACTTGCTGCAGGCAAGTCGGGCGGGGAAATGGTCGATAAGGAAGATTTGTGGTCGTGTTTGTTCGGACGCGCCAGACGACGTGACGAGATGGCCCTGGGCGCATTGGCTGAAAGTCAGCCGGCAAACGCCGAAGTGGCGAGGTTTTTGAGGGCGGAGGCCGCAGAAAGGAGGGCCGAGCCAAGTTAAGAGGTCAAGGTGAGAGAGGGTTCATATGGCATCACTCTTTGATCGGTTCCAATACGGACATCCACAGGCATCGCGGACTACAGATGAGACTTGCAGGTGACACTGCCAAGGGTGGACAAAGCATCTGCGTAGAACTGATGCCCTCACTCCTCCATCAAGGTTAGGTTTATCGTGATCATCATCCAGCCATTGAGCTGTTTGGGCATGCTGGGTCATTCGGAGGCTGTCGCGCGTCTTGCCCTCCAGCGGATATGGGAGTGGCTCCAAGTAAAGGTGTATCTGAAGTTTTTCGTTGTTGAAAGAGAGGGGAGCCTCAGTACCCATCGCCGCATGGGAGATTTGATAAGTTTTCCTGTTCTCTCACTGCTGGCCGGGCACGAAGCCTCTCTCAGAATCTGTAGTCCTGAATATACGGGCTCGAAACGAGTCTTTAGACAACAGTCGTACGTTCCAGAATATTATCGTGCTCTGTCCAGACGGCCGGCTCCCCTCGACCCAGGCCACGAGAAGGGAAAAATCGGACAGGTTACACTTTGACTGCTGCATACATACCTAGAGGACATATATCCTCCGAAGTGTCTCTATCCCGCGCGCGAGACGGGCAACACATTAGCAGACTTCCTATTCAGCCTCCGCTTATAGACCTGAAAGAGACCACTATTACACTTTGATATTGACCCAAGCGGGAAAAGACAAGACTGTGATCATCATCATCAAGTCATCTCTCCATGCAGAGGAGATGGGTATGGATCTATTTAGATCCAAGCTTGATTAACGAGTCTACAGTATTTCCACGGATCGAATCGGATCCCCATTCGAGGTCTTAAGAGTCAAGAAAGCTTTCTTGCTCCAATTCCCTCGGATTTCTACCTCAGATCAATTCCAGTGTAGTTCGATGGACTCGTCGTGATCATATGGCATGTCCAAGCTAAGCTCACTGAGTCCTCCTGAGGAGTAAGTAAGTGGCGAGAGCCTCGCTGGCTGACAGGGTGGCTGCTCGCTCGCTGGCTTCAAAGACCCCTCCCATGTGTGCTCGCTCCGCGTCCACAGGTCAGCGTCATGTTCCACGCTCAATGTTCACCGTTGGTCGAGTATTTCTCTTTCTTGCTCCTGTCGCCGCGTTCGTCGTCAACCAGCCATGGTCTCCTCCTGTTCCTGTCGCTTTGATGCCGAAATATGGACCTCGCGAAGCAAGCATCTCACCGCGGTATAAAGTCGCCGTGAGCCCCTTCTTCCTGAACCGTCAATCATCGACACCAGAAGATGAACGGGCCCCGCTCACGCTTCTTGTGCCGAGTCGCACCCCTCGCCGTCTCGGGTCCCGAATTCCCATTCTCATCTTCGTTGTTCTGCCCTGTTGCGCCGCTTCCTGTGTCGGCGTCCAGGTCCATGGGATCTGTATCTGCGTTCGCATGATCGTCATCGTCATCCTCCTCGTCCAACACCCCCAAGCTATCGCTCCACTCGAGACTATCCCCATCGCCCAACATGGATAGGCGCCACCAGCGCCCCATCATAATTCCACCAGGGATCACAACACCTTCATAAGCGTAGGCGTACTCGATGTGTGTCCAGTCCAGATACTCGCTGATTCGAAACTTCTCTTCCATCTCCTCGACCGCGTCCTTGTCGAGCTGGGAGCCATCACGCCACAGAGGGTTTGAGAGAAGTTTGGCTCGGAGATACTCATCGAGTCGGGCGTAGAATTCGGCAGGGTCGAGGGTTCCTGTGTCGTTATTCTGAAATATCTGCGTCGTCAGCGCAGTAGTGAAGGTGTCGCCGTACTCCTCCTCAGCATGTTCGAGGACCTGGATGAGGTATCGTTTTGTGGGTTTATAGAGGATCATCACAATACGGTTAAACCCTGGGATACTGTTCGAGTCATTTGGCTGTGGCTGGGCGGGTATGGAGTGAATGACCCCTCGAAGGCGAAGAGCCAAGTAGTTGTGGTACTTGCATAGTCGTGGCTCGGTAGGTATTGTAAGTGTAGCTTGTGACACTTGATCAGTTTCTCGTCTAGGATTTCTAGATGATAATTGGATAAATGTCGCGATACCCCGAATGAAAACTCGCTGGGAAGACTCGGGAATTGTCTTTTGGAATGCTGGGATGCTTTCAAAGATAGGTGGCCAGAAGCCATCAACACTGTTGTCTCTCGAGATTGCAAAATCGAGTTTCTAGAGCCGCGATTAGTGCGCTTTCATAGAGCCGATCCTGGCCTCACCAGCCCTCTCACTTACCAGTGGATCAACCTCCTGCCAGTCTTCGGCCAGGCTTTGTGCTTCTTCCAACACTTGTCGCTTCTTAGGCCAATTGCCAGCCAACGTAGAGTAGTGCCCGTACCATTCGGTGGGAATATGTAGTAATGAATCTTCCGTGAGCGGCCTGTCCCAGTGTTTCGGAGTGATCCCATGGCGCATTAACTCCTTTGCCATTTTCGCATAAGTATTCTCTGCAATGTCCGTTGAACTTGCTCCTCCAACTGTCTCGATGAGGTGGCGGTGCCAGAAGTTGCGGACATGAAGAAGGGTATAAGTGTCAAGCTCCTGGATCGGCTTGCGACTCATGACCGAGGGTTTGTCTGCCACTGTGCGATATAAAAGAGAGGAGGAGTTACCCCAATTGTACACAATGGCTAGATCATAGTTTGTTCTCGAGGACCTCACAGCATAGGCCATCCGAGATGCCGGCGATAAAAGAAGAAAAGATAACCCGAGTTGAAGCGTTTCAAAAAGTGAGTGTCGTTGGCCGTATCGCTCGCTACGGCTTGGGAAGAAAGGGCACGACAGAAACACTCGTATCCATGGTGAATTCTCAGATGCGAATGCTGCAAGATTGAGAGATGTCGAAGTCGATCGCGCAGGAAGGCACTTTGGCGGTTGATTGTAGGTCTCTCCGTCCGAATATTAGCTACGTGGCATTGTATATCCTTCTCATCGGACTTACCCAAGACCATATCCCTCAAAGTTTCGAGCTGAATCTGTAATCTCTTGTCATTTGGGTCGGTAAAGCCCACGAAATGCTTCAGCACGAATTTCCGTAGCTGGTACGCGGACGCAAATTCTGTCATGTCTTTGATGAGTGGCCAATCGAAAATAGATTCGAATCGCTGACGCCAGATTGCCGATTGAGAAGTATTCAAAGACTGAGAGAAGGTCTTGCATGTGCACATCAAATTCAAGAGATCCCGATCATTGGATAGGAAGGATACGATCTTGTTGAGAATCTGCTAGACGGTTAGAGGTAGAGTCAACTCAAGTCATTCAGAACTGACTTCAGTCGGTACACCTTCGAAGTTACTGAGGGGGTGAGGAGATACTCTGACCGACAGACACCAGCCCTCCTCGAGATCGAAGGGATCAGTAATTGTGCAGTCGGAAAGGCATGAACGAAGTTTCTGCCCCCTTGCAAGGTCCATATCGTCAAGATCGGTGGGTGGATCAGAGAGTACGGTGTCGTTATGGAGAGGGAGTCAAAGGTTCCGCCGAGGAACATCAAGGTTGACCGAATAAACCTCTCCAACACTAGCAGCCACAACACAGTGACGGGAGCTGCTGACAGCTGAGTAGGGGAGGGAGGAGATGCCAACAAACTAGGGATGAGGGCATGAAGTTAGGGTGAGAGAGGAAAGTGAAAGTGAATATCTGCGGGAGGTGTTCAGTGTCACATGTTTTCTATTTTAGGGCTCTTGAAAATTCATGTTACTCCTCATATCATTAGGGCATTCAGGATGCTAACGCTCAAAAGCACCGCAACAGGTAACAGGAAGGACGGCTTGTTGAAGACAGCAGCTGATGAACTTGAGGTGGGAGAAGGCGATCCCGATGTAGTAGAGGGCGTGGCATTGCCTTCTGAGACCTTTGAAACAAGATAGACCTCGCCAGAGGCATCCGAGGACACGAAGATTCGACCGCGATCGTCGATCGCCATGCCCACGGGTCGGAAACAGTCGTCTGGGCACTTCGAGTTGTCTGCGTTGGCGAAGATATCGCGAGCAGCCGTGGTACTCTGAAGATCATCGACAGGCTCGCCATCCTTGTGGAATGCCACAACACTCAGTTTATATCCAGTGGGCATGTCTCTGTCCCAACTTCCGTGGAAAGTGATCCAAGCTTCTGTGCCACTGTTGTTGAATTTGATATCGAGAGGAGCCATGTGAGCCTGGAAGACCAAGCGTGCGGGTAATTGCTCCGCACAGTAAGCATCGGTTCGATTCTCGTTGTTGGAGTCAGCACTGGCGTCTATGGCAAACTGACTGCCAACCGTCAAGTTGCTGTTGTCGGGAAGGTCTTGAACACCCCACGCTGAGAAGCACCATGGATATCCAAAGTTGCCACCTTGAGGAGCGTACTTGGTTCCATTCAGATATCCCAGAAAGTTCATTTCTTCGGCAGGGTTATCCTGGTGTACGTCCACGCCCATTCGAGTGATTTGATCAGCAGAATTTTCGACCGAGTAAAGCCCTCCTGAAACAGGGTGCTCCGCGATTCCTACATCGTTCCTCAACCCCCAGCCCAAACGGAGCCCAGCTGTGTCAAAATTGTAGGGAGTGCCGGTCTGATTGGTCAAGTTGAATGCTTTGATCTGAGAGTGCCCGGAGCTCAAACTTGCTGCAGCAAAATCGATGTTGGAGGTGCTTCCTCTGGTCACCACAAGTAGGCCAGGGGCCTTCTTGGAGAGCAATAAGGTTCGAGTGGTGTGGTCTGTGCCAGCCATATTGTTGACGAGTATGGTGCGATTTGACACGGTTCTTGACGACTGAGAGTATTGCCAGGAAAACACCTGGTCCGACGAAGAGGCATAGAGAGTCTTCCCATCGCTGGACAGCTCTATGCCATGGTTCAGCTACCGTGTGTCAGCTCCCTTCGACCACCATGCAGGACCGAATGCTCTTACATCTAATGCCGACGTTACGTCCTCTGTCGATGTCACTGTGATACAACCTGCATTGTCTTCATTCAAGGTATGTGCCGATATGACTCCTCTTCCTTGCTCGACAACTAGCAAATTACCAGCGTTGTCGAGGAGAATCCCACGCGGTTTGGACAGTCCGGTCGCAACGACTTGCATACGATAGCCAGAGGCAAGCGAGACTTGGATCGAGCCTGATGGCGCAGGACCACACGTTGACGAGGATTGCCCGACGGCGAAGGGAACGGCGAACAGCATCACCGCTGCCGCGAAGAATGTCTTCATGATCTTCAATGTGGATGGCGAGGTAAAGATAGATAACACTGTGGATAGGCCGTCAAACAAGAATTCAAGGAGTGTGTAGAGGAGTGGGAAAGGAAGAGACTCCTCCCGAGAAATGCTGCGAGAACAGGATCCATGATAACGGCGCAGGTCCTGCCTTGGACCTATATGCAGGAAGGAGCTTGTCGCCAGGTTCTGTTGCGCAGGATGTCGATGATCTCATTGCTGCGTCTTGGCGCCTGGTGACGCCCGGAAGGTGGGCGCCATTGACGTGTCGGGAATCAATGCCGACGCATCCCGAATGACCTCCTATTTCATCCACCCCCTTCATGCTCTGATAGCCTACCACAAACTAAATGACTATCAGCCCCGTACATCAATAGAGGAGCATCACAGGGCTTGATGTCGTTCAAGTGCAAATTCCGTGTCACAACACTACTCTTGAACTGGCTACCACGGGCCTCTAGGTATACAAAGCCACAGAGACGCGTCACGAGGAAGACTGTTGATATAGATCTATTCGCGGAATTCACCCGGTTTGTGTTTCATCGCCGTTTCTATGTCTCTCGTATTGTGCGCATGTCCTTTAATGTGCTTGAACAACTCCGGCCTCATTCGCTTGCGCACTGATCTTTTTCTTGTAGGCGTTGATGTCTCCGGGGAACTTCTCGACAGTGCCCTTGTCACAAACCCACAGACTGGTGCAGACATTTTGAAGCATCGTCACGTCGTGACTGACCATCAGGACACCCCCCTGGAACTGTTGCAACGCCACAGAAAGAGCGTCCATTGCCTCAATGTCCAGGTGATTCGACGGTTCGTCCAGCACCAGGATATGAGGGTTGGTCAGAGACAAACAAGCAAATGCAACACGGGACTTTTGGCCCCCGGACAGCAGTTCGAGTTTCTGTAATCCCGTCATGCCTGTGATACCAAATGCTCCCAGATGTCGCCGGTACTCTTCGTCCGTCTTGCCAGGGTATGTCTTCTGCATGAACCCAACCGCAGATGTATTCATGTCCAAGGCGTCGACATGGTGTTGTGCGAAATATCCGATGCGAAGACGGGGATTCTGCGATATCAGTCCAGTAGTGGGCTGCAACTGTCCGATCAACAACTTCAGGACAGTGGTTTTGCCAGCTCCGTTGGGGCCCACGATGCCAATTCTGGAGTCGAGTTGAACGTCCAAATCCACGCCACGGAGCAGCGGATTTTCCTTGGTATAGCCGAATGATACATTCGTCATTTGAATGATTGGTGGCGAAAGCTTCTCCACGTCTGGGAACCGGAAATGGACCGTATATTCCGCTTCGGGAGGCTCCAGAACAGGCATCCTTTCAAGCTTCTTGATACGAGACTGCGCCTCGGATGACTTCGCAGCGTTGTAGCGGAATTTGTCGATGAAGGCTTGCAGATGTGCCCGCTGCGCCATTTGATTCTCGTATTCGCGCTTGGCGTTCTTTCTCCGTTCCTCCTTGGTAGCATAGAAAGAATCGAAGTTGGCCCCCTTGTAGTAGTCCAGTCTCTCTGAATGCTGATGGATGATATCGGTGGCTACTTCGTTCAGGAATGCACGGTCGTGTGAGACCACCAAAACGGTGCTGGGGTATGTCTGCAGATAATTTGACAGGAACGTGATCGATGGGACGTCCAACATGTTGGAAGGTTCGTCGAGCAGCAATAAATCTGGCTCGCAGAACAGTGCTCGGGCAAGAGCCAGCCTCATCCGCCAACCGCCTGAGAATGTCTTGGTTGCGAACTGTTGTCGTTCCGGCGAAAACCCTAGACCTGCAAGAATGCTAGCGGCTCGAGATTCGGCCTTGTCAGATTCCATCTCGGCCAATTTGGCCTGGATGTCACCCAAGGTAGTGTCCAGGCCATCTTTTTCTTTGTCTAGACGCCCGGCATCCTTTGAGGTGTCGGCCATCTTCGACCGCTCGGCCTCGAGAGCTGCGAGTTGCTTGGTGATCTTTTCCTGCTCAGCGAGCAGGTGTTTCCGCCAGACATCAGCGTCAAGCACGGCCTGAAGAGCAGGAGTATCATCTCCGGTGATCTCCTGCTCGACGTGAAGGATAGATATGTGGGTCGGAATGGCGACTTCACGCCTGCTCAGGGCGCGCAGAAGCGTGGATTTACCAATACCGTTCTGACCGACCAGGCCATACCTCCGTCCGTACGCCAACGTCAAGGACGTGTCGGTCAAGATACGTTTTCCCGAAATCGACACATCGATCCCATCCACCTTGATGTCTTTGCTTTTAGATTGAGCATCAGCACCAAGTTGGAGAGGGTTCACCGCCATGAAGAACTCTTCATATGACTGAGCCGGATCTGGTTGGTTCAGCAATCTTGAGGCCTCGTACTCGACATTCTTCATGACCTTCTTGTCCTGCTTGGCTCGAATCTTCCGCTCGGCCTTTTCAAGTTTCTTCCTGTCGACCTTTGATTCTACTTTGCGGGTATTGGTGGCCTCGAGATCTACGCCTGCACTCGTCAGGCCTAACGTAGATGAAATGTTTCTCTGCGAGCTGACTTGAATGGTCTGCTCGAGCTTTTTGGCCATGAACGGCATCTGCCGTCGCTCGGGGTCAACGCCATTTGCCTCGCTCAGCCTGGCAATGAATCTCTCGACCAGGTTCCGAATGGCAGCTTCATTCTGCTCAGAAAAGTTTCCTGACGCAGACACAAGTAGAGAGGTCACTGTATCAAGAGCTTCAGCGAGTGGAGACTGGGCAGAGGGATCATCTTCTGAGAAATAGAGTTTGGACGCATGATTGAGATAGCCCTGGGAGCCTGGTCAGTGACACAAAATGAGTGCAACAAGGCTGGAATTCGTGTTCCACGACTCACAACGGAGTATTCCGAGAGCACATGGTCGATATTGGGGATCTGAGCCTGAATCTCAGCTTCCATAATGGCAAGGATCGCCGACAAGAAAGGCCGAAGCTTTTACAATAATAGCAGGGCCGATAGCGTCGATAAGGGCAACCGGGAGGCGGGTTGTTTGCGTAATTTCAGGTGCACACTGACGGCGGTCTCAAAGACAGCCCGCGAAAGACGTCAGCTGAAGGTGTGTGACTGGTTGTTTCGGGTATGGGAGCAAGGACCAGTTCCAAAAGCTGAATGCGGAGCGGACAGGAAAGAAAAGGCAGTTCGTGGTGTGGTTGAGGCGTAGCTAAAATTGCAAGGGATTGAAGGGAGGCGATAGGCGGGTCTTTGTGGCGTTGGCGGAACCCTTTGTCACGTCTCTCTCTCCGCACTGTTTCTGGTCGCCTTCTTGAGGGCCTTAAAACAAGCCGGAATCTTGGGAACACGAAACCAGGTCAAATGCCGGATGGATTGCGAGACTAGGCAATGCCAGGGTGTTGCTGCAGACTCCTCAGGATGGACCTTGGGGCCTTGAAGGACGATGGAGCTTCTCCAAAAGTCTCAGCTTGGACCGAAAGAGCAAAAGGACGATCGCTACGTGAGGTGTAACAAAATTTCAACGTGGTGCTCCGTGTCAACTGTGAACAAGCAGAAAACTGTTAAATCCGAAATTTCCACTACCTTGGCAGCCTATACCAAATACAGCTTAGTCTCAGCTCCCCATCTCTACCCACGCGTTTGAGCGCAGTCTGGAAACCTGTACGAAGCACCTCTCTCTTCTTCTTTCACGACAACATCCTCACTGAACTTTCCCGTGAATGGGCTGCCATATACCGGCCAGACCTCTGTCTGAAGAGAGCTACGCTTCATGCTTGTCTCGTGTCCGCCGTGGAGATAGTTTTTGGGTTTGGAAAGAGCGGGGAACCTTCAAGCGCCTAGCGAGAACCCCGAAAGCAAGACGGCACCTACTATGCCCCACGAGCCCGGAAAAGACGCCCAACAAAGGCCATTGGCACTCACACTGCAACAGGGAATGCCTCGCTAAAATCACCAGCGTCTTGCAGTAGCCAGTAGCGCGGATGACCGGCATCAATTGCTACATTACGGTACGGCTGCTGGCATCCTCTGGGCAAGTTTTACTACCTGTGACAAAAGAGAAGCAACAAGGTTCGACGGCCGAGCAGGTACGGAGCCCGCAGTGCCATTATCCGCAGGCAACGATGGCATTCCAAAAGATTCGAGGCATAAAAGGACATGTGCATCCATCGAGATCAATATTTGGCCGTCAGTTCTATTTTCAGCGCTTCTATACCCCTCCGTGGACCCTGCCATTTACCGAAAGATCAAGTTGCTCTTCCTTGAAGCTGATGGGTTCAGAAACAACGTTCCGCAATATGCTGGATCCCTAGTTAGAGAGAAATTTTCCAGCAGAGGTCCCTCCAGTGTCGGACTTTCTACACATGGTCCCGTTTATGCATGAAACGACTGCCGCTGTGGGGGAGTTTCTGCCCTGTTCGGACCTGGGCTTCCAGATCATCGACGCATGGACCGTCCGTCATTCCACCTCTTATTCCTCCTTGCAAAGTCTGATGTCAAGCGGACCTTTGGAGCATTGGCTTGTTGATGCCCCGCAACTTATCAGCGCTTGCATAAGGTTGATTGCCTACCTGCAGTTGGGGGCAAGCTACCGTATCGCTATTATGTACAGCATGTGACGCTTTTATCGACACAGACGTCAACATTGCATTCATCAGCTAGTGCCGAGTCGGGGAGCAAGTCGTTCTTCAGACCCCGCTGGCCCAGTATTGTAATCTTGGGAGCGGCTGGGTATCCCTAATAGAAAGTTCTGAGGCGGAAAAGATCTCAACCAGACACTCTCGGACCGCCTCTACCTAACGTGAACGGTCAATCAGCGGCCCCCTTCTTTCAGAAACACATCCCTTCTCTCTTCACCCTCAGCACTGAATGGCATTGTCTGACAAGTGTCACGTCATCCGAGGCTGATGTGTGACAACTGTAAAGCGCTTCAGGATCCCACCAGTCCGCTAAAAAAACACGGGTTTTGCAGGGAAGAGCCAGCGGGCTAGCTTCACCAATTGTGTGTCATCACAACTGAATTGAGCTAGGCTCACTGGCACGCGACGCGAGATCTGACTTTGGGCGTATCAACACCCGCATCTCGTCATCTTGGATCCTAGCCTATCATGACGCCGAATGGTTCCCTGTTGTGAGGAACCAGCTAGCGGACCTCCACCCGGACGAGTCAGGGTCCCCTGTTGACTCGTAAACGAGAGGCAGGCCCTTCCATGTCGTTTGGGGACCACTCGGCTGTCTAGATTCTCTGACGAGCTCCTTCTCGACTCCGCCCTGGCCGCGCGATCGGCCTTACGCAACCGAACAACAAACAAACGACGTTCCCGTTCGGGGTTTGCAAACTTGTTTTTCGATTTGGTTTCTGAGCAGACTGTTGGCTTAGCCGCATGTGCCATGCGAGCGGTGACTGCTTGAGTTCAGCAATAGTAGTTGTCCAATGCGTGGCTAGCGAGTCATCCGGGATGGCATATCAAGCCCACTCCATCCACCTGGATACTTTGTCGTCCGATTGACCAGCCATTTACGTACATCCTGGTCTTGGGCTTCCAGCTTTACCATCGCGTTTCATGCTCTGCAAGGTCGCTAACGCAGCTGACCCATGCCTACTCGCTCGGTTTGGCCTCTTTCCCACACACGCACGCGTCCCGCTGGTGGCCCTTTTCAGCTTCTCAAAGCTTGCTTTCTTGACCGATACCCAGCCTTTTTACGTCTTCTGCTACATGCATGGAGACACAAAGTCGGCTGGGCGCACTAACAATGTTGCACTCAAGCTGCTCATTGTTTTGCCAGCTCCCAACTGAGTTTTCCTAAACTACAAGAGCCCTCCAGGGATCAATGGACTAGGATGACGGCTGTTACTTCAACGGGTCGCCTTTCCGCCGAAAAGGGCAGTTCAATGAACTTACGAGGTCAGAGAATTACAGGGTCCTGTCCCATCCCGTGGCCGTTGCTGGATCAGGGATGCGCGGTTCGCTGGGAATAACCTGGTCATTCAAGTAGAGTTCTACGCCGGCAAATGCGATCGTCAGAAACCAGAGCGCTCTTTTGTGCCAACATCACAGCCAGTATTGTGACATGACCGGACTCTATTTCCATCGCTCTTGTTGCGAGGTTTCCATTTCAAACGCTCAACGGCCTCGTCCCGTGCCTTGGGGTTCATCTATTCCAGCGTTGCTGTTGGCTGGGTTCGAGAAGAAAGCCATCAATGCCGCTGTCAACCCAACACGTCTGCAAAAGGAGAAGATTTTGCGCCCGACTGCTGCCATGTTGATGCCGGCTTCCACAACGCCCATCCCATCGAGACTGTTGAAAGTAGACAATTGTAGCACCACGTCTTGTTGAGCAGTGGCTGAGCAACAATACCGCCTTCATAATGTAGCAATGTGGTTACAACGCCTGTAGCTGACCGCAGAATGATTTGTGTGCAAAAGAATGCAGGAGTGGTATGGTCGTACGGACAGTCCAGCAATGGAATTCGCTCTAGGCCGTGAATTTGACGCACCGGGAGCGCCCAGGGCCGTTTAGACGCCGTGAGTGGATGTTGCCCAGTGCTTTTGCTTGCGCTCCAGACTTCCCTTCACGGTCCCGGCTGGGATTCCCCCTCTGCGAAAAACATCGGCTTCTTGAGGCCCTCATGACAGGATCACCAGAACGGCGGACATCGGAGTGGCTTGCCCTCGACAGGCGCAGCTTGAACGCACCCCTCCCTACTCAAGACCCCGCCAGGTCACCACGGCTGCCGATATATTGCAAGCAAAGGTTGCGGAAAACGTGTCTGACGGTTATGATTGATACTTCAATACGGGACAGACTCAATTCGAAGGCTGGCTTTTTCATTTGCAAGTGACTGCATCGCTGCCCCATCGGGCTGATGGGCCACTGAGAGATCAACAAGCTAGTTAAAAACCAAACCCACACGGGCCAAGACCACCGCACCAGCCTTACCCATGGGCCCTGCCGGTTGTTACCCATAAACGCCAGTGAACGCCCTCGCACGCCTGGAAAGTCCTTGCACGCCCCTCCACCCGCTAAAACTGGCTTACCAGCTGAGATTCCTCAAATCCTCCTCTCCTTCAATCGCACCTCGTCCCTTCACACCTCCCACCACGCCTCATTCTTCGTCCCTCTAGTCTCTTTTCTTTTGTGCTTTTGTTCGTGTCTTGCGTCTCCTGTGTCTAAGCTATTGCTCCTGCAACGTCTTAATCAACCGGTATCAGCCTCCCTTTGCATCCTGGCCCGGCCCATTCCAAACCAGTCGCGTGTGTCCTCGCCAATTTCCTGGCCCGCGTATATCGGAGACCCATATCCCTTGCGTCTACACGTTCTTCTAGAAACAGCCAACCAATCCACGAACGCTCTTCCACCCAGAACTGCCTTCGTCCTTCTCCTCCTACTGCTGATGGTCAACCCGCCATGAGGACGGTTCACTCCAGCGGCCTCCAGAGCGTCTGGGTTGTGGTGCCTCGAGGGCAATGGGCCTCTCAAGCATGATGGAGTCCAGACAAGAGCACGTTGCCACGGTAGGCAGACCCTATGATACAACATATCCCATACCGCTCACGCTTGCTGACCCCTTCATACAGCTCTGTGCTGTCGGCACACTTGGCGTTGCCGCTGCAGGACTGGCACTGGGTACGTCCGAAGGGGATTCATACTTGATTAAGCCGGGCAAGAGGAAGGCTCCCGGCTCCCATGCAGTCATCCACTCTCCAATTCCTCCTGAACAACAACATCCCACGCGTCCTCATACCTCCCAGCCTACTACTTCCCTCCCAGCATTGTCTGAGAGGCTGGAACGTCGACTGTCTACGTCTATCCTGAGGAGGAAGACTGTCCGGGTCCCTACCCCTTCCGCAGCAACAGAAAGTACAGGCACAGACTCTCGGGAGAGCTCGATTAGCAGACATGGGATATTAAGACCCTGGACATCTGAGAGAGAGGCGTCCGCAGACGGGAGGGAACAGAAACCTCCGGGTACTTGGTTGAGACGAATCTCGAGTCTGTCTCGTCATAATCGAGGCAGCCCTACCTCATCTTCCTCAAGACTGGATGATTCCCCGAACCCATCACGTCCTTCTATCAACGACCTTGACCAGCCCAATAAGCTTGTCAAGCGGTCGTCCTCAAAGCAAATGCTTACCAGTGACGGAGCAACTCCGGCCCTTTTGAGACGTCCAGCTACGAGCCACCAAAGATCGGCAACGCTTTCTGGAATACCGTACACCAGACCTCTGACGACGCAATCTACATGTCTCGAGTCCCCAGGTTATATTACTAACGAGCCCACCTGGCGACCTTTCTTCGAGCCGAGCCAGTCGAGGAAAAGGCATTCGTCTGGGATAGCCCGAGAAGCCGGTGCTCGGACTGTTTCAACATCTCAAGGTTGCCCTCCTACCCTTCTTCTGGGAGGAACCGTAGAACCTCGAGATTTAACAGACATGGATGATCGAATGTCACAGCCGTTCGACGCCCAGGCGCCCCCACCAATCCGGCGGCATAAGATCCGCCGGACGTTTGGGTCTGTGCGAAAAGACATTCCAGCACGCCACTTCACCGACCCAATCGTCAGGCTCAACAAAGATGAAGCCTACGGCAGCATTGTTCCCTCAGCTGCTTTCTCCAATCTGTCGCCAATGTCGAATGTTTCCACTTTTGAAGTTGACTTGCCTCACGGTACCCCAGTCTTCACTTCGAGCCCTCCATCCTATGGCCCCCCTCAAAACCGTTTTACTATAACCAAACGTATTTCCGTCGCTCCTTCGGATCCAACCACAGCCAGCTCGGACAATGATACACGAGTGTTTACTGATGACGACTCAATGGACTTCCAAAGCGACACTGCATACGACTCACTGGCTACTCGAGCAACAGCCAGCAGCCATTCAGGTTTCCGTCAACCGAAAATAGAAACCATTTTTGATGAGAGCTCGGTTCACCAGCCGGCAGCGGAGTCATCCGCCCTTGAGGATTTAATGCAACGGGCCACGTTAGATGATGCAAGGTCCATCCGACGGGAGTCGAGCTATGGGCAATCTGCCAGCATCGGCATCGGCATCAGTGGGCTTGAAGAAGCCAACGGCGAAATACAAAATCTCAGTCCAGACCAAGCAACCACTCCAGTCAAAAGCCCCATAGTAGATGTGGACGATTTCGTTTTAACGCCTGTTCCGAAAAGACAATATCGTCAAGCTATCGTATTGAGCTCTTCTCCTTCGACGCAGCTCTTTCCACCACCTCGGGACGTGGAACCGGAACTTCCCCCTATGATGGATGTCGATGATGAAGACGACATCGACTGGTCTCCCAAATCTGCAAATGATACAAACCGGACGACAGTGATGGAGATGCCGTCAAGTCCAATCCAAACTCGATTCGAGCAGTTGTCGGAAGATGATTTTGATGAACAACAATCGACAAAGAAATCTTCCATTTTCGACTGGTCGGAATACTCAAAATTCGGCAGTGACCAGTCAAATGGAATCAGCCCTCGACCACAAACCGTGCACGGTAAGCAGGGGAGTCATGTTGGCAGGAGCCGGCCTTCTGGACGGAAAGGCAACGCAGCCATGCACCTTCGCAGTCAGAGCGTCCCAGTCGTCAACCGTGACAGTGTCGCGGAAACCGACACACCATCGTCGGCCACTAAGTTTGGTACGTGGGCTCTGGGCAGCAAGCCTGTCAGCGAAGAATGGAGCGATGACTTTGAGTTTGATGACGGTGATGTGGTTGAGGAAGCCCCGGGAACGGCAGAGGAGAGCAAAGCCACGAACCGGGAGTCGATCCGGAGCGTCAAGGTTCCACAATCTATCATGGATCGGCAGCAAAGCGTCCATGTACAATTTGGCCAAGTTCGAGACTTCATGCTGCTAGTTGAAGAGCTGAAGAGACTGCGCCTTCGCGGTGCCACCCTAGGGCTGCTGGAAAGCCATTCGCGACAGCTGTGGGAGGATGCAGGAAGCATCATTGATTTGGCCACAGTGAATGAGGATGATGATGCTCTCCCGCGGGCACCTTCACCGGTGTCATCAGATATATTTGGAGACGAAACTCCTCCACCCAAACGGACTTTCGAGGAGGAAGAGGGACGGATAGCGAGCCGGAGATCCATCTCGAGCCCAGCCACACCTCCGCATGGGCGCCCACGCGGCGAAAGCGTCCAGGCGAAGAATTTTCTGCAGGCTATCCACCAGAATAGAAGAGAAGTCGAAACCTCACCTGCCGCAGGATCTCTTCGTGGTCGTGGCCGTGATCGTGATAAGCTTCCCTTTGACACGCAGGACTTGAGGGACCTGGTGGTGAGGGCAGGCGTGATCACGAGGGCACTGAAAGAGATTGTGCGGAAAGCAGAAGGCGTGTCGCTGAGCCCCGAACGGCCAGCGCAGAAGTTCCAGGAGCCGGTATTCCGGCAGATATTTGAACCACCAAACTCGTCACCCAGTCCAGAATCGAGGAAGCCCGGCCTCCCGAAGAGCAGAAGCGCAAACAGCTACCTCGACACACTGGACGCATCGGGAGATTGCGAGATTCAACAGCCATTGAAATTCACCACGGTTGTGGAAGCTAACTGAAGTTAGGAAACGAAATCAGGTTTCCTAAGTTTCCTTGTGCAGCATTTGTACAGTACGACGGCACGGCGTTTATGATCAAGCTCGGTCTATTGGATTGGATGCATGGAAACGGCGCATATGTCGTTATCAGCATTCGGGTTGGGGCATTGGAAACCAAAAAAGCAAAAGTAGGACGGGCCACGGCAAAGGACAAGAGCAAGACCGAGGGTTTTTGTAATAACTGGAAGGAGGGGAACGTGCACTGCACGAACTTGGGCATTGACATTGTGATGGATACGCATTGTTGACGGCTTGTTTTTTCTTCTCACGATTCTCATGGTGGAGTTTGACTTATCACAGCGATCTCCTATGCAAAAGTCCTGTGGGGAGTCAGCTGGCCCATATTCCAGTTCTCCGTTTCCATGCACAAAGCATTGAATGCAACCAGAAAAAAAGCAAAACAAAGACACGAACAGCAAAGAGGCAACGAGCAAAGCAATGATGGTTAGTAGTGGGTCGTTTGTTTAGGTCTTGGGATGGCCGAATTGGACAACTTTGCTTGTTCGTCAGCGTATATCATCTTCCATTGTAAGGTAGCATCCTTGGGGGCCACACAATAGGGAGTAAAACGAGCGTGGACAGCTGTATATCACTCTACGAAGTAAACTCCGTAATTATATTCCTAGGCGAAAGGGGGAAGTCGAGGGTCGGTGCCGTAATAGTGAATAGTGCCGAGATTTCACTCTCCAACTTTGGAGCTCCAAAAGGCTTGGCATGGCAGAAGGTCTCAACCTCAACCCTCACCCACCACAAGGACCTCGATCGCGTTCCAGCTCCCCCATTGAACCCACATCCATCTTCCGCTCCAGTCTCTCTGCTCTCGTTGACGTTGAGAGACACCGAGACGATACCCGGAGCAGCTCTATCACTGTCGGACTGACCTCTCCCACGATTGCCGTGTCCTGCTGCGACCTCTCGGCACCTCTCTCCTCGACCACGCCAGCTCTCAGCCTGCGACTACATCACTCAACGACCTAAGGGAAACATGTTGCATCGCTTACCCTCCCGCCTGGCGCGCCCCTCGGCGTCGCTTCTGTCCTCCACCGCCTCCTCGTCGTCCCGCTTCGCCCTCACCCGCCCCTCGATCCGCACTGCGACCACCGCTCATAATGAGCACCGCGGGCAAGACGCCCACGCCGGCCACCACGGAGACGCACATGGCCACGACGACCACTTCGATCCTCCGGGAGGGTGGCTGTGGGGCCAAAGACCGGGCGAGAAATACGAAAAGGAAGGATGGGAGGGCCTCGCCTGGGTGTTCGTGGCGAGCTGGATCGTGGCGGTCGCTGCCTATACTATGAAGGAGGACACTTCGTATGTTTTGCCCTTTCCAAGAATGCTGAATTCTTCGGTTTTGCCCTCTATCTTTTCTTCTATCTTGGACATGGAAGCGGTCCAGAGTGAAGGAGTGCGGAATGAAGATTGGCAGTTCGCAGGTCCGAGGACAAGAAGCTCTTTTGTCTCTGTTCCTCCTTTCTCGCTCATTATTTGCACATAATTCTCTCTTCATCACAATGGAGAATCCGACCTGCTGACGTGGCCGTTCCAGGATACAAACCTGGGCTCTGGAAGAGGCGCGACGAAGACTGGAAAAAGAAGGGTTCTATGACGACAAATAAACCAGCGGGCCTAGAGCTCCTGCTTTTGTTGCTGAATTGTGGGATCGTTCAGTCATGAATGGGTTTACGTCGCGCTTGGAAGGCTTGTCCAAATCCGCGATCATGGCGTTTTATGGAGTCCTTTTGCCTTTCACGGAGAGATGTGGCTCGATAGAAGCAGGCCGGCCTCTCCTCGCAGCCCAAGCAAGCTTGGCTTCAGGTCATCAAATGAGCAAACGGATGGGAGAGGGAAGGGAAGAGGGGAGCAAGAAGCAGCATCAAAGTTGCAGGCTTTGAGGGTGGCTCGTTGACATGTTGTGGCCTGCTCTAGATACCTACTCTCAACATGCTTCTTGCATGGACTCTACTATGGCTAGAACTCCTTATCTCTGTCGGAGGATCTTGAACTTTGATGGGCCACCCTAGAAGGGGCGGGCAAGAAGGGAACAGTTGAGACTTTAGACCAAAACATATACTGCAAATTGCCATGACTGTACAAATGATCAGGATGTAATACTACTATTAAGTGGTGACCCCGGACCGCGAAAGGACTTGTGGATTGCAGCAAAACAGACCAGAACGGAGCGCCAGTGGTATTATTATTAAATATTATTATTACCAATTGATTTGGCCTCCCGTATTGGGCCGACATGGAAGCTGCGCACATTAATTAATGCCTCCTCCGGTGAATGTACATAGCTCACTCATTAGCATTGACCATTGACTGACCTTTCCTGTACGTGACTGACTGATGTGGCTCTCGAGCTATTACTTGAGACACGGTAAGTCAAGACGTCGAGCAGCGATTGTCAATGGTGGGTGATGATGATCATGATAACAACAACATCAACAATAATGATCTATCCTTCAATATATATAGTTATGTCGTTTGCTTTTTTCGTTCCTCCTTCTACCTCTCCGAAACCCACCACTATTTCGTGATAAAGAGTAATTAATATCTCCTTCCTTGGGCTGGGCATGGATCGTTCCTCACGTGGCTCGCCAATCATTGTAACCGCTATAGCATTGATTCTACCCATGCTCTCTATTCTTTTTGTGGGCATTCTATCAAGAAGGGGGCATGTTGAGTAGTGGTGGTGGAAACGGTGCTGTTCATCCAAATAGCGTTCCTTTGCCCCATTCATAGATACGTAGCTTCATTCATTCTATATATCTCATGTGATATGATTTTCCCCTGTCCGCAGCTGTGATCATTATATGCAACATGTGTCCTCTTCCACGTAACCATGTGTTGTTGGCCTGGGGTGTCTATTTCCTTGACATTCAGAGCGTTTCCTCGAACGAATCCATGATACCATGCTGTTGCACGCTTTTGTCATTGTACAAATGGAAGCGGAGTATGGTTCCTTGCATGTAAGCCATGTCCGTACAGAATTCTAGTCGTTTCAGAATATATGTCGATAATGTGTGAGTGTCGCTGGCAAAACACCCCCTATAGTGTTCAGATGCTAGGTGAGAAAGAATAAACAATGGAGTGGTGTCCGCGTCCGCCAGAAAGGCTGCAGGTCGTCCTGTACACCTTAAAAGCACTGGCGATGCATGGTTCAACAATTTGATGCTGAACTGCTGATTTTGAGCTTGGTGGGTGGGAAAACAGTTGTCGACTTGTTCGTTCCATTTGCGGATTGTAATTTTCTTCTCCGCCAGTTCCAGTTCCTTCCCTCCCCAAGGTCATGATAAGGTCCTCGGTCACTTGAGAAAGACGTCGACGCCGACCTCGTTGCTCCATCCGGGCTCCAGTTCCATCTCCTCCCAGGCCGAGGCCACGTCGATCTCGAGAACACCACTTCCTTTAGGTCCATGTTCTGCATTAAATCCAATGACATGTTGTGGCACAGCTTTTCCTTGGATGATGACCATAATATCTTCCACTTTGCGCTGCTGAAACTGGACGTCTGAAATCCAGATGCCGAGTATGCCGAAGGCCTTCAATTGAACATGTATCTTGAGTCGTTGAGGAACAGATTCAGAACCTACTTCAGTATGGTTGAAGCTCGATTCCACAATCGCACATGCGCCGGTGAATTTACCAAGGAGACCCAGCACAGCGATGTCAACTTCCAAGTTCGAGACTGGGAGGTGGAATGTGTGCACAGGGAGGGACGTCCAAACATCGTACCCTCGTGGCGGGAGCGTGCATTGAAGCAAGCTATCTGCTCGGATCGGATCGGATGGGTGGATTGGAGATGTGATACGTTTCGACATATGCGAGCGGACAATCCACTTCCGACTTGAAACTTGGGTTGCTCCGTCCGTCGAGGCCGGTGCATTAACGCCAGGAAATTTTGTGATTGGCATGATGAAGCTGATCTCTGATTCAGCGATATTAAACACCCCAAGCATCCCCGACCCAACATCTGACTTCCCATCGTAGACGCCAATCTTTAGAACCCCTTTCTCGTCGTACTTGTCATAGACGCCCATGGTCTTGCCAACACAACTGGGACGCAGGATGACGGTCTGCCCTCTCGGATTCAGAGCTATCATCTGATGGATCAAGTCCACGTCGTGCTCTCCGGGGGTATCCGTAATATAGATAGGTCCACCGGACACACAACGTGCCGCAGCGTGGAATCCGCTGTACGGGTGACTTGATTGGAACATGTCCCAGTCAGGAAGTATGTTTAGGTGTTGGGTGAACAACGCGTTGTGCGCATTGACGAAGACGTGCCAGGCATGAGAAGTCGGAACATCAGGAAAGAAATCATCACTGTTGCGGAGGAGAATTCTCGGCGTCGTCGTGGGCAGGAAGCTGTGGAAGAGGATTTGTGGAATCATCGACATGCACGAGATGGCCTTTCCAGAGAGATGGCGTAGATGTGCCTGCGTCCACGCGGATTGATAGGTATTGGTAAATGACCGCCGGTCAGACGTGTTCGCCAGGAGATCAAGCGAAAATTGGACATCAGTCTTGACGCCAGTCACGCCCGCATTCGACAGGAAGCGGTAGAAGTCGTCGTACATTCTATGGATATCGTCCGGGTGGATAGTGAGCTTTCGTCCAGCCATGGGTGTTCCATCACGGAATGTGACCTCGAGTGTTTTGTACTTCTTCGCAATATCGCCCTCTGGGGAGATGCCGCCCCAGTACCCCATCAAGGCGTGCCAAACAGCAACGTCACGTATCTTGGGGTGAGCCTCTTTGATCTTGTCTATTGAAGCCTTAAGTCCGTCAGGGAACCCCAGAGGGTTGGCTTCGAAATCTTTCCACCCACGATGGAATTGGTTCGTGGCTCCTTGTGTGCCGTCAAGAGACTGCCAATTGTCGTCAATGATCAAGGTCGAGATATAAATCTGATGTTTTGCGAGTGAATCCAACCCTGCCATGATCTTCTCGGCATTGAGGTCTTGCCCGAGAGAATTCCATGTGCAGTAAGCCAGGCTGTCATACCAACTTGCCAACCACTGTGGATTGAGCGTGGGTAGATCGGACGAGGGCTTGCCGTGGTTGATCAAAACGGTGTCCGAGTCAAGGGATTCCGACCTGATGCTCTTCGGTAGCTGCTCTAGACGTTCGAGGTTTTGCTGGTAGGCCGCGGACTGTCGGACCAGCTTTCGCATCTCGTACATAACGGCAGCATTTGCGATTTCGAACTTCCAAGCCGAAGCAGCCAAGACCTTGAACTTGCGATCCCGCGCAGAGTCGTTTCTGGCCTGAACCACAATCTCGCCTTCGTGCGTTGACCCGAACTGAGTGAGGACGTCGTCAATTCCGTTAATGGCCAGGACCACAACATGTAGGCCATCAGATCTGAGAAAAGATAGTAATATTGCTGGTTCCGATAACTGCAGCTGATGCTCGCCATGTCGAGGGGCAAACCACGGCTCCCATATCCGTACCAACGCAAACCATCGACAAAGTTGAGTCACTCTGCCCAGAACAAGCGATTCGACTTTGGCATTTCCTTGACTTGCGGAAGGGATCGGGTGAGCTGATTCGATAGTGTAGAGACGTGCTTCTGGCGCATCGCTTGGAGTCTTCCTGAGGGTCCAGCCTTCACAGACTTCAACTGGTGATGCGCCCAGGAAATTGGGGTCGACGGGGGGTTGGAGGACAAGTTCACCATCGCGGATACCAAAGTTGTGATAGACCCAGGACCATTCCGAATTGGGGTCTACTCGATAGCGGACGGTGAAGGGGACTCTCCGACCCTTGTAAGTTTTGTCGGTCGATATAAACGGGCTTTCGAGGTCTCCAGAAAAGGTGTAGCGGTAATTATCTGTTCGAGTATCGTCATACAGAACCGCAGGCGTGGTGTCGACTAAAGTGAGGTCGAGTGCATGCCATGGAGCCTTGGTCCCAGAGTAGCTTGCGTGATCGTACCATATCGAGACCTCCCACGGCCTCTCCGGCAAAGATTTCGAGGACTCAAGGACGACTGTAAAGTTGAACTACAGGGAACGTCAATGGGACAAATCGGAAGTGGAGGGACGAATGTGTCAATGAGACGTCATTGTCACACAGCGGATCATGCGACCGTTGAACAATGGCCGTAAGCGCTCCTACAGTGCGAAACGGCCATGCGAGATGGACAGGGAACTTACTTTGTCTCTTGTGGGAGGAACGACCGTGACTTGGGCCAGTGGAGGATAGGTTGCCAATTTGGCGAAAAGGGCCATTTGTGCAGGACGATAGAACTTTATCTGGGTCGGCTTCGGAGGGGGAGGAGAGGCGTGGGAGGGAGAGGAAGGGGGAATGGCGAGATTTGAGAGCGACCTGTGAAGACAAGATGCATAGCAGGACTCGGAAATGATAATCCAGTGTGTCCCAGTGGCGTCTTGGGAGATACAGCGACGAAGAAGCGGCTATGGTCGAGGGGAAAGCGATACAGGGTCGGGGGTTCCAACTGTGATGACCTTGTCGGAAATGGTAGCACCAGAAGAGGGACCAATGATGGCGTAAGCCGTGGATAGCGAGCCGGGTACCCAGAAGTGCGCCACAGAGCTTGATGGGACCCAGAGTTCGGTGCCAAACCGTTGTGGTTGGTTAGACGAGGGGGGCGATACAAGACCCAGCAAGGGGCCGGTGGTGGTCGTCGAAGGTGGTGATGAACTCCCCAGAAAGTCCCATCCCACTATTCAAACGCACCATGACATATTCTCGCAGCTTCTTTTCACGGCTGTCAATTCCGTCCCACAGTGTCGGCAGGGGTATTTGTTTCCTGAGCAGATGGAGCTGGGGATGGGAGAGGGAGGGCCTTTGATTCGAGTCTGAGCGTTGGGGGGTGGATCGTGGATCGTGGGTCGTGGAGTTCTCTCTCCGAAGTGGTCCCTGAGAGGTCTAGAAATTTCTGTTTGTCCTGGGGCGAAGGAAAGGACGTTGGCAGGGTTGTTGAGTTGTTGAGTAAAGATGGTCCAAGATTTTGGAAGATGAACAGCGACTTTTGGGGGAGTCTGTGGGGGTCACGTGTCGTCAGACGCTGCACATGCTGTGGAATCTGTTGGTACGGAGCACACAGCGCCCCAGGTACCTAATTCACCAGTCCTTGTATATCCCTACAGGTACACCCTTGATAAGTGCATTGGGACAAAAGTCAAACCAGCGTTCGCTTCTGTCGTGGTCTGATCTTAGTGACTGCTCTGAATCCATCGCCCCAGCAGGCTCCGGTCGGGTAGCAGTACATGTGCCGTTCTAGCCTGAGAGGACTCGGTTCTACTGTAGCTATCGGAGTGCTTGTACCGGATATCGCCCTATCGAATCAAACTGACTGATGACGACCCGTCCCCCGGTCATCTCGTCTACTAACCCGACGCCTCAGATTCCGTATACATCCATCAATTCGTCGTCTTCAGATGCTGAATCACTGCCAAGATCCACGCCGCTGTCCACGAACCCAGTCTCGGCGCCTTCAGCGCCCACATGGCTAGGTTCGCGTGGTAGGTGGTGTACCAGATATTCCACCGGTGCCCGTCGCTTTTCGCTCATCACTTCCTTCATGTGTTCCTGCACGACCGGCAGTATCTTTGCTGCTTTGGCGATGGTCTCTATCGTGCGGTGATTCAAGGCCTTGATGCTCATGGTCACTGGCTGATAGTACTCTTGCTCCGCTTGCCATTTGCCCTCGACTTCGACTTTTTCAGCAGCGGGTTCACCGCCAGCCATGATCTGCGCACCTTTGCGTTCCACAAGGAACGAACAAATCATCTCCAATCCTCCCGGACGGATTTCCAAGACCGCATATTCTGGAAAGAGCCATCTGTCTGGACAGGCAGACTGAGTTCCAGATGGTACGCTTGTAATCTCCATTACAATGTGCTTGATGAAGGCATCTGGTCGAGCTGGTGGAGGCTGCGGCAGAGAATGATACCCAAAGTAATTTCCCATTGGGCCTCCACGTCCAGGTGGTGGAGGCGCATGTGGAAACGTGTGCATCACTCCAGGTAATGCCCCTGGTCCCGGTGGTGGACCTGCTGGGGGAAGACCAGGAGGAGCAGGGTTCGGATGCTGACGTGGCGGCGGTTGTGGAGGAGTTAACGTCGACGATCGTCCGGAGACTGCCACATGAGAAGGAATCGGTGGATTCGATGGTGGTCCTGGCGGAATGGGACTCGGGACGGCGGGTTTAGACTCGAGAGGCGACTTTGTCGACGTTTCCGCAACTGGTGGCTTTGCAAGTGGCTGCTGGCTTGGTGGCCGCGGTTCGCTTTTCGCAAGGCGCTCGACTTCCTGTCGCCTGATCACTTCATTAAATTCGTCGATATGTGCTTGGAACTCTTTTAACTGCTCATTTGACGCCCTCGAGGTTGCCACAATCTTCATCAATTCCTTCAATTGAGGATCAGATGCTGCCCGCGCGGCCAACATCTGGATGACTGGATCTGTCGTGCTTCCCCTTGCCCCTGGCGGTGGGTTGGGCTTCGACTCCGGACGCGGGGTCAGAGACTGTTCGGGGTGGGATACGACAGGGGGATTTTTCGAGGCAAGCGCGGCGAGACTGGGCTCTGAATCATTTTCGTGTTTGATCTGGATCTGAGGAGGTCCGCCCTGCGAGGGAGACGGAGCTGCTGAGGGCGGGGCATCTTTAATTGGTGCAGGAGGGTGGGAAGTCTGGGGTGCAGCTGGTGTCGCAGGTGATGGTGATACAGACGGTGGTGGGTGCATCGGTTGAGCATGATGGTATGGACTGACAGGGGGATGAGTGGCATATGAGGTCGGCGGCGGCGGCGGCGGCTGAGCAGCCACGTTCTTTATGGTGTGTTGATTTGGATGGCGTTGGTACTGTGGAGGCGCTGTTTGATCACGAACCGTGTAGAAAATCACATCAAAGGTATGAGGTTCGATTGTCATAGTGGCGGCACCAAGCCTTTGCATCGATTTGGCATCGGGGTTGTTGGGAGGAGCTTCGATAATGCCTTTTCTCTTTACGGGCTTGACCCAGTACTTTTCAAAGATGCCATGGTATAGCCACTGCATACGAGAGCGGTGGAGAGACGCAGCAAGGACTGCGCTCTCCGCTATTGACTGGTATTCACGCACGGGCAGGTCCGACGGTTGTTTCTGTTTGGTCGTAGGTAGCGGCTGGTTGGCGACAAGACGCGTCGGCAAGACATCTTCGCCCACAGAAATCGACGGCGAAGAACGCGAGGCCGAGACAGGAGTTTGAACTCGGACAAGACTAGCCCGTTTCTTGTATGGACGCTTCTGGCGAGGCTCTGAGGAGACAGCGGAGGCTTGCCTACGGACAGCAGGAGTGGAAGCGGACGCAGGTGTAGCAGGATGCGCCGGTGAGGATGCTTTTCGCTTCGATGCAGGATCTCGTCTGTCGCGGGCTGGAAGGACCCGTTTCTGAGGCGTTGTCTCGGCCATGATCGCGTCGAGGACGGCCAGGAGCTGGATAAGTCCTGTTACAAGCCTCGATGGTCACACAATGAGGGTAATGTTAAGAGGTGAATATCGGAGGTGATGTTGGATAATTTCGCCGCAATGCGGCAACACTGCGACTTTCTCTGGAAGGTTGGCCGGATCCTCCTCCTCATCATCATCATCACACCGCGAGGCACAGTTATTGATATGTAAGTGTGTCTATCATCTACTTACTCGGTTGACCACAGCAGGGTTTGTCTTCTTGTACATATCCAGAATCTGCATTTCTTACGATGGACCTGTGAATTTGCCCTGCCTTGTACCAAGGCTTTCTTGTTCCCGGTGAACAGCAACCGGCAGCCGACACCTGGGCTTGGTATTGTGATGGCTTTCGACAAGTTCTTCCATAAAGCCTTCTGGGCTCTGGCTGGATGTGGATTGATCTATGCATTGGCTTTGGGTTCTTTGACGTTCCCGGTTGTCCAGCGCAATGCCACATACGTCCACAATATCAATCCCACTTACTTCCAAGATCTGAACAATACTGAGCAGTTTGGCTTCCTCCACCATCAAATCCAGCCCTTTACAGTTGTCACTCCAGACAATGTGACTCTATTTGCCTGGCACATTCTGCCGACCCATCTGTACTACAAGCATGAGGAAGCCTTGACCAAGCAAACAGACTTTGGCCTGAAGCCTTTTGAGATTGCTTCCAAAAGCATCGGCCTTCAACTCCTTCTCAATGACCCTAAAGCCAAGATCATAGTAGCTTTCCATGGAAACGCTGGCCATCTCGCCTCCAATTACCGTCCTTCCGCATATCAGCAGATCCTAGGTGTGTCGACTCCAGAGAAACCTGTCCATGTTATCGCTTTCGACTACCGCGGATTCGGTCTGAGCACTGGTAGTCCCACAGAGCAGGGTGTGATTGAAGACGCAGTATCTTTGTTGTCGGCTCTCACCGGAGAGTCCAACGACGGCAAGCGTCGACGCAACGAAGGACACCAGTATGTGGACCCGGCCCAGGTAGTCTTGGTGGGACAGTCCATGGGCACGTTTATTTCAACAGCGTTTTATCACGAGTGGGTGGCAAAACTCGGCAGAGCACCATTCAAAGGTTTGGTGCTAATCGCCAGCTTCACTTCATTGCCCAACTTGCTCGAGACTTACTCGTTCAAGGGCCTTACTCCTCCAATTCTGTCCCCCTTGATGGCATATCCTCGACTGCAAGAATGGTTGCGCTCCCAAATTCAAGACAAATGGGACGCGAGCTCTAGGTTGGTGGAATTGGCAAAGACGCCGGAGATCCAACTCAACCTTGTTATGCTACATGCTCGCAACGACTACGAAATCCCGTGGCGAGAGGGGTGGGCCAACTGGGATTTTTTGTTAGAGGCTGCAACTGATGGGAAGGTCGATTTCCCTCGCAACTTTGATCGAGAAGAATGGAAGAGTGTAGATGGCAGAAAACATCTGCGCTGGGAAAGAGTTCGGCATGGAGGACATAACAGAATCCAAACAAGCGAACAGGTCCGACTGGCGATATTGCGGCTGATAGAAGGCGAATAGACGAGCTGTTAGAAGAGATGGAAGCTCAAGCCCGGGAGTCCAGCCTGGTGAGCCTGAGGTGGCCGTGCTGCTGACAGGGGTTAAGCGGGCGGAGGATGTTGAGCTGCCCTGGAGATCTTCTTGTTGACGCCCACAAGGGGTCCACGGTCAGATTCAGGATTTGGATGACGCGAGATACGAGGTCCTTTGGCCTGTTCTCTTCTCCCTTGAGCGGCATTGAATGTGACAGCCTGATATTGGTGTGAAGAGGAATGGGAGGCATGGACTTGGAAGCGTTTGTGTTGTGACCACATAGAGATCTTTGGTGTAACAAAGAGACATTGTAATTTGCCTCGCAGTTCAATATAGAGCACAAAACCACCCAGTACTTTACTGGCTACCTCGTACTGATATTTGGGCTGCTAACAATTAAATCCTCAAATTCCATTGTCTGCAACTAGACCCCCTGGGCAGTCGGCCGCTCAGCCGATACCCACCCTGCCACCTCCCGTCACGCCTACCACTGTTACAGGAATGGCACGGACTGGGGGGCTTGGATGATGGCACCACTGCTGGCTGAGACTATTGACTGAGTTTTGAGGGGGAATTGCTACATCCAGTTAAATGACTTTTGAGACGGTTGTTCTAGCCAAGTGGCCGGCCACCATCCAGAATCTTTTGCCGACTCGGCGATCCGCTATTGCGGCCTCTCTGTACCAAGCAAGAGCACTCACTCACTCACTCAGTGCACTCCTTCGTCCGCAGTCCCAACATTCACCCATCAGGCACCAAGCTAACCACGACTTTGCCTGGGCCATTGCCGCCTCGCTCTTTGGATGGTGTTGCGGCTGCAATGATCCCGTCGCCTCCTGCGCGCAGGAAGCTGCGATAGTCCCTCCAGTGCGCCTGCGCTCTATGGGCAGGTGACTGAATGTCGACTTCTACACCTCCGAATGGCCGAGCTGCCAGCGACCATGTCGAAGCCGGACCTGAGCTTCCGGATCCTGCTCACCTGTCGCTGCCTACTTTCCACTCCGTCCGCGACTCTTCCAACGAACGAGAGGGTCGAGGTGCAAGGACAGAGTCGAGTGCTTCAGGTTCTGCCGGTCGTCGAAGTAGGAGTCGCAACCCCGACTCTCAGTCTTCCCGATTGTTAGAACACCTTTCCTTTGTTGGCAGCAATACTCGAAGCGACGGAGACTCCAAGAGCAAAGAGAAGGAGAAGGAGAAGGAAAAGGAAAAGACAAAGGAGAACGATGCTCCCCTACACAACGTCTCTCGACGTTCTGGTGGCTTTCTTCTCGAGCCCGTCTCAAACTCCAAGCGGCTGTCTCGCGGGTCGCCCGCCCCTCCTGCTCGAAAAGATTCTGAAGGGATACGGAACAGCGGTGACTCTGAGTTGACGCTTGTGAAGAGAAGACACAAACCAAATGGCCACTCCAGCTCATCGTTCAAAAGTTCTCCGTTGGCGAGCGAGGTCAAACAGGATTCCGCCACACATGGCTATCCCAGCTCGGATCAGCTTGTTCCTGGCACCGACGTTCGACGGTCGCTGTCTTCCTCGCACAATGGCTCTCAGTTTGCGGGCGTTCCGGCATCGACTTCACGTCACGTCGAAATGCAGACAACGCCCGGTGCCAAGGTCGGCTTTGATAATGATCCTGCACATATCGTCAATATGGCTTTGAGTCTAAGTGAAGGTCGACGGCGTCTCGCTTCGGGAAGGAGATATGTCTCGACCGAACAGGGAGAGCGCCGCGTCGTTTCCACGGCTTCAACCGTAAATCCAAGCAACACCGTCCGGAGACGAAGCATCGCCCCCTTTCTGGCGACAAATCGCAAGTCATCGCAGAGTGGCTCTCCTAAACGTAACGCTTCGACTAAACACCGGGACTCGAACGGACCAACGACGCCTCCGTCTGTCGACGTAGCTACTACTGCAGACGCCCTCAATCTTGACGTCGATCCTGTTTTCGTGGCTCAACTCTCGCCGGCGACCGCAGCCCGGGTCGAGAAAGCAAAGGTTTATTTTGAACTCGCCCACGAGCATCGACGCCTGCTCCCGCATCTTCCCCCAATACGAAAGCCGGGTACTCAGGTTCGATCTACAGGGCCAGAAGCAATGCAAAAGGCATACAACCCTTTACAATATGTCCGAAATCGTAAGCTCCGCATCTGGGAAAAGACACCGATCAATAGCGAGGCAGAGGGATGGTATGATGTTCAGAAGGTCAGAGCATGGGTTGATGCCGTGTCTTTAAGCCACCCAGAAACCCAGCATGATCCTCTGGAGTGTGTCCGTTTACCTCCACTAGACCTGCGGAGTGCGGATAATGATCACGAAGATACAGACGACTCGCCAGATGAGCCAAAGAGCGCAGTGCTACCCCGAGTGCCAGACCAACTTCATCCCAAGCCCACCCGTCCACGATCTGACTGGGTCACTCATCCAGCTGACATGATAGCTGATGCATATTGGTTGGAACAAGGCTTGAACAAGACCAAGATCCAAGACCGAGACAACAATCTGATTTATCCACCACATACTCATTTCACATTCTCGGGTTGGCGCAACCAAACACCTGTCAATATCCCAAGCGGGTTGCAGCAAGCCTCTCCAGTTCCCGAAGCCCATGATGACTCATTCGAAGAAACCCCTTCATCAGCTCTGCCTGAACTGCCGACATTTAAGTCGGCTCATCATGCACAGAAGACTAGGCGCCATAGCCGCCGCAGAGATATCATCAGAGACTCTGTTCACGGCAAGAGTGGCAGCAGCTCCAGGGAACGCTCTCGAATACGCAAGAAGCTGTTTCACGACAGCAGCGATTCAGACTATTCAGCCTCGATGTCTTCCGACGGTCCAGGGATTGAACGTGGTCGTAGACGAATTCGGCGGAAGCGGCACGAAAGCCCTGTCCACAATAGTCTAGAGCAGCGCGGGAGTCATTCGCAGTCAAAACAGCCACCACAGGCGCTTGGGCACGGTCACGGCGACTCTAGCCAAGGTTCCTCTGCCCCGACGTCGAAAAGAGCCTCAATAGATCACACCGGACTCAATAAACTCTTCCGAGTGGACAGTTTGAAGAAGGCTACGCCCCTAACTCGATCACGAAATAGGCAGGATTCCTCTCGGCCTCAATCTGTTCAGATCCCCGTTCGATCAAGCCTTGAACATGAACATCAGCCTCGCGCATCTACAGAATATGATACTACTACCGCCCCTAATTCACCCAACGGAGTTGAATGGCCTAGTATCGCCATCAACCTTTCTCCGCCTCCGAGTAGACCGAGTTCGCCATCCAAGAAACCGTTGTCCACTATCTTGCATCCCTTTCACCGCAAATCTCACAAGGGTCAGAACCAGGTTAGCACAACGGACTTCGCACATGTTCCACCAGTGCACTCCGTCCACGAACATGAAAAGGACCAACACTTTGGCAGCCCGGATTCTCGTGGTCAGAGTCCCATGTCCAGGGACCTCAGTTCGCTGACCAAAAATCAGACGAACTCGACAGAGGTCGACGACATGGCTCCACAATCATCCATTGAACACAGACACAGTACGGCGAGCAAAGCCAGTACGCGGTCAACTACCAATGCGGGAAATGACCATTCAAGGATCCGCGCGATCTTCAAAGGGGGTCGCATTGCAGAAATTGTCGGAAATGAAGTTTCTCGCGTTGGAGACTTCATCTGGAAGCGTGACATCCCGATGATATATAAACACAGAGGCTCGGCTTCCGAAGGCAGCATTCGATCTTACGAGGGGTCAGATTCAGAGAAGGAGCAGCAGCAGCATCGCCACCACCACCAACACCATCAGCAGCAGCAGCAGCCGCAGCAACAAAACGGGACCATTCTTAAAACCCCTCCACAACCTGCACGCTCAAGGTCTTCCACCATCTCAAGTACCAAAAGCGACCAGGTCTCGCCTGTTGTCACGAAGACAAGTAACTTGGGAAATGACCGGCCCAGATATAACAATCCTAACCTGCCTAGCTTCACCTCCCCTTTTCAAAAAGATCGCGAACGTCAAGAGAAAAAGGAAGGGTTTCTGGCTCCAGATGATGCTGTTATACGGGGTGATTCCACGGATCACATCTCTCGTCTTGCTGCTCAACATCGCTCGGCCTCACATTCGCCACGACTTGCTGCGCTACCCAAGCTTGATACAGGAGCGCCCACTACGCCTAACGAGGTGAGCCGGCAGAAGAGTTACGGATTCGGCGCAGCGCTGGACCTCAGCAGATCGCGAGATGCATCCGATCAACTGAACTCTGTCATCGGTCCCGTAACTGGATTGAGCGGTCTCCGCACTGCCAAATCTACCGGCGATCTTTCGAAGATGGGCGGGTCAGAACTGGGTCAAGAAGATGGCGAACCTGCAGACGTGACATGGCGCGATATTGAACGTGCTCAGGTCCTCCTCTATACTTCAACTGTCAAGGCCCGAGAAATTGGACGTCGGGCAGAAGACTCAAGCGAGGAAATGCCACCATTTCTTCTGGAGAGCCTTACCCCGGAGAGCAAAGCCTTACATTCCGCGAATCCTTTGCGTGTCAAGAAACGGGAACGACATATTATTGCAGCACAGAACATCATGAAGACACTGGAAGGCCATTCCTCGACTTTCAATAAGAAACTACATTCATTCACCACGTCGCTCATACCTGCTCTACACAGCCAACTCCAGATCCTCGAAGATCAGGTAGAAAACAACATGACTCCGCAAGTACGATTAACAACGGATTCAGCTGGTGAGCTGAGCATGAAACTATCCACTACTAGTACACTTGCCGTCAAGGAACTCAACGACTCCATCGAAGTCGCCTTTCGCAGGAAGCGGAGGGGTCCGATCAGGTTGTTTCGCAAACTGTGGTTTGCGGGCATCGAATGGACCGTTGTTGGGTTACTTTGGCTCATCTGGGCTGTTGTTTCGGTGGTTAGATTTGCTTTGGGCATAGGTAGGTGTGTGATCAAGGGAGTGAGATGGTTGCTTTGGATCGATTGATCGGCTGGAATCTCGGAGGCCAGCCACGTCGAAATGCGCAGCCAATACCCCCTTTGGGGGCGCAAGTGGGTTTGCTGTTGATGAACTGACGAGAAGTCCGAGATGCGAGACATAAGAGCCTCCGCGCTGGTCTTTTCGTTGGATAATGTTTCCATTTCGTTGAAAATAGCGAGGCGTTGCGGGACCGGTTGCATCGTCTTTGTCTTGGTCGTGGCATCGAGAGATCTATCGGCGTCTTTGGGCTCACACAGAGACATGACTCATGAACACCATATCAATTACTTGTTAGACACTGGGACTATTTTCCTTTTCTTAGCTCTCACATGAGACAGCATTCTTCAAATTGTACATGGTTTAATCGACGGAATCGGCGGAAGCGAAAAGGAATACCATGGGCGTTTTATAGTGATTCATATTGAAACATTACAAGAGAGCCCATTCAGCTCGTTCCGTTCTTGTTTTTCCCTGAGATCCACGCGCTGAATCAATATCTCGTGAGAAGGAGAAAAGGAGAGAAGAGGTGGAGAAATGTACGTAGATAGGTATAAGAGTGCACCTCGCAAGATCCTCGTGAGTCCTTTTCTGCAATCTGATATCCAATGCTTGGCGAACGAACATCTCATTGAAAAGTGAGGCGCAAAGATTTCTCCAGGAGGTTATGCCATTGTAGATGGAAGACCTTCCTTCTACGCAACGACAACGACAACAACGACAACAACAACAGGAACGACAGGAATAGGGCCATTGCATGTCCATTCCTTGTAGCTGCGAAATACATATGTATACACAAACACGCCTCTGACTACTCGGTACTCAAGTCCTTTCTTTTCGGCCGGTCGCTCTCGCCTTTCCATGCCCTGTAAGGGACCCCTCAGGGTTCTGTCTATCATCCTTACAAGGACGTCCAATAATCAAATGATTATCCAACCCTCAAGCACTGCAACCGGGCTTCCGTCTCGATGACATCTAGCGCTTGTCTCACTTCAAGCACCTTCCTCACATCTCCCAACCAATCCCGGCTCAACACCTTCGCCCACCCTGTGAGAGAGTTCATCTCCCTCGCGGCGCCATCGAGGTCGCCTTCTTCTAACAACGTCTCTGTTCGTGTGAGGATACTCTCCACGTCGTTGCCCGTGGGTTGTCCGTGCTTTTTGAAAAGCACATTCGACAGGACTAATGAGGCGGCGTGCGACGCGATACCCGCGTTCTCCGGGAGGAGTGATGCTTTCCTGACTTCGTGCGCAACGCGACGGAAGCGGTCGATCAATTGCGGCTGAGAGGGGATGCCTTTCTGATATGAGGCGGGGTTGATGGACGCGATAGCTGCATCGACAATAGGATCACCGTCGGCGCAGAGTTTGAGAGCGGCCAGTTCGCGTACAAACGCGCGAGGTTTCGCATCCGAAGCAGCGCTTGCGTCAAGGGCCGAACGGACAGCATCCACGGCGACCTGCAGCTTCTGGGTTGCAAGGTTGGAATCGATGACGCCGTTCCAATTCGATGTGAGTTCCGTCAAATTGTCGATGTTGGTGCTAAGATCAGACAGCTTGCTTAATCTTCCTTGTCGCTCGGACTCCACCAGATCTTTGATTTGGGCCACGAAATCACGCTTCAGTTGGATTGCTTGCTCCGCGAGTTCATTCTTGAGTCGCTGCTCCGCGAGCTCGGTGCTCCGTTGGACCTCGGTCTTCACCTTCTCTTCGTATAGCTGAGCGAGACGGGCTCGTTCCGTCTCGAACTCTTCCCGATAGCGAGCGTCATCCTCTGCCTGTGCCGTCTCGATCCTCTTCAGGAGTTGTTTGGCTCCTTCCTCGAACTCTCTATGTGCTTGTGCAATTCGCTCCTCAGCCGCCTTGCGTTCTGCGTCACGCAGCGTTGTGATCTTGCTGGCGACCTGTTCGAGTGATTCTTTAGCCTTGGCCATAGGTGCAGAGTACTTGTTGGCAGCATCGGGAGAATCGGAGTTCACGACCGTGATAAGGTCATTGATGATTTTGACCAGTTCTTGTACCACGGGCTCTTCGGCGTTGGGCACTGTGACTGGAGAGATGTGTGTCACTGGTGGGATAGCAGGCGGTCGTGAATCACTCGTCGATGAACTGGAAGACGCTGCCGGACCTGGGTCATGGGATGGCGTAGCAGAAGCATCTTGCACAGCTGGTGGAGACGCGGACTCTGTCGGTTTCCCTTCTTGTTTTGCTGCTGCGCCCTTCTTTGCTGTATCTACCGAGACACTTCTCTCCTTCGGTGTTGCACCGTGAGGATCTTGTTTAGCATCTGCAGCATCCTTTGGTGTCACCGCCGGATTAGCATCCAAGGCACTCATGTGCTTGCCCTTTTGTGTGACATCGCTCCCCTTTTGTTCCGGTTCCTCGACAGGTCGCCATGAGAGCCCAGACTTCTGCGGAATCGTGGTTACCTTGGCGTCATCCGGCCTTGCGTCAGATCGAGGAGGCCTTGTGACGTTATGTCTTGCATGCGGAAATCTCTTCTGAAAAGACTTCTCTTCGAAGTATAGGACTGCATCCTCTCCAAAGGGGATGAATTCGGTGAAAAAATCGTGGAAGTTGTCGTTTCTCAATGCGTAGAAGACAGCCCCTCCGTATGACAGGGCGCTCAAGGTGATCAGGTAGAGCAGCAGGCGAAATCGAGAAAATCTCTTCCGGGGAGTTGGTGGCTTTTGGGGAGCAGGCGGCGGAGGTGGAGGAGGCTCGGCTGGACTTACAGACGAAGGAGTCGTAGGAGGAGCTGTCTGAGTCTTTCCGGGGCTCGGGGGTGCGAGCGGGACATTCTGGGGAGGAATGGTAGAGCTCGAAGGTGAAGAGGGCGTAGGAGAGGTCGTGCTGGCTGTTTGCGGAGCTGGACTTCCAGGCCCTCCGGGGCCCAAGGGAACTTCTGTCTTGACCGGAGCGGCGCTAGATTGACTGCCTGGCAAGAACGCCGGATCCGAGCTCAGGATTGAATCTTTCCTGTCTGCAAATGCCCTCCTCTATGAAACTGATGTAAGTCGCGCGAGCTCTCATAATTATCTTCGATGACTTCCAGACATACCTGAGACAAAGCAGTTTGGGCAAGTAATTGCCGGCGCACAGAGGCGCCAACAGGCCTTGCTAAACGCAGCATTCTCGACTGCGCCGCCCTGTCCGGGCCCTTTTCAAAAACGAGTGTAGAATACAAAGTTGGTGGTTGTGAAGTTTTATTGCGAAGCTCCAATTGATCTCCAAGCTCGGGTGCCGCCGCTTTTACAAATAAGGATGACAGCGAGGCACGTGACCGGCTTAGAATGCAAAGCCCCTTGATTGCAGCCTTGTGTCCTTGTATTTGATATTGACGAATGGACCGGACCTCTCATCCAAGCCTCTACCTTCTCATTTTATTTTGTTCTGTATTCTAGGGCCACAACACCGCGCTAACAGGACAACAGTAATAAGCTATCAAGGCAGTGTTGGGCCTGTAGCCTCATCTTTTGCCGGCCTTTTCAAGCTTCCTCCGCTTTTTTCGCAGTTTCTCAGCCTCTTCATCCCGTTTGTTGTTGGAGTATTGCATCTTCTCGTACAGCTTGCGCTTCTTATTACTCATCATCATCTTTTGACGTTCAATCTCCTCGTCTTTTCTTGAACGTTCGGTCTGCCGTGCCTTGATGGCCTTGGCCTTGTGGTCTGCACCATTTGAGATCGACTTGACAGGTCGTCCGGCTGCTTCCGCCTCAAGTTCTTTCTGGTGTTGAGCGTCCTCATCCAGGTCAGACTCTTCGGAAACAGCATCGTCGAAGCCACCGAAAGTATCTGCCTCGTCTTCATCTTGCTCTTCCGACTCATCATCTGAGAGCGCGACATCCATGTCACGTGCATCTACTTCATCAGCATCGTCGTCGTCCTCTTCCTCCGCCTCTTGGGCCTGAACAGGATGTTGAGTCGTCTCTTCTTGCACATCGTCATCTTGACTCTCGCCAGCACTGGCTGCATCAGCCTCGCCTTCGGGCTCTTGCTCCTCTAACGTCGCCCTTGGATCATATTGACCTCCGATGGGCTTGACCCATGGGCTCAAGTGAGGAGGCAGTGTTTCCCCAGGCGCGTACAGGTCAGTGCGCAGTAACTTACCCTCGTTGATGCAATCCCAGATCCATTGTGGTTGGATATATATTCTGCCAGGCATGATATACCCGGGCTTGACAGTCTGAAGGCTTTGGTCTTTCGAGCCTCCCCGATCCTGGACCGAGAGAAGTGGCTGCGACGGTGCAGGCCTGTCCACGATTTGATGGGTGATCCTGGGATCTCTTTCATCGTGAGTAAATGCACCTTCGCCCAGAACGGCATCCCACCCCACCCGTTTGCAGCCAAATGCTCTCAGCAAGAACTCGATGGGATGACGAGGGGCTTCGCGGGAAATAAAAAATGTGAAGTCTGAGAATAAGTGCGCTGCTTGATCACCGGTCAGGTCAGGTTGTGGGAGGGTATCACCTTCTGGTGCTGCGGGAGTAAAGGTGTCAATGGCATCGGTTTGTGCTTGCTCTTCGGCTGGCTCATCTTGCTTGTCGTCTTCTTGAGCAGGAGTTTCTTGGGCAATCTTGTCTATTTGAGCCTGCACCGCCTCTGTATTCTCAGTTTGGGCATGACCGTTGCTCAAAAGCTTTTGTTGGTCTTGTTGATCAATTCCCCCAACAATCCCACGCCCCTCAAGGGTGAAGGCCGCTAGCTCGGCTCCTCGCTCGTCCGACACCACGTCGAATTTGGGTGGGTACACGAGGCCAATAGAAGTGTAGAGCCTGTAGTTGACGAAACCTAGAAGTGTGCAATAGAATTCCACAAAGGTGCCCATGATCCTGTAATCCACATCTTGTGTTACACGCTGCACAAATTTGTAGGGCACCAGCCACATTATATCCTGGCCCTGAATTGTTGCTTGGTAGTAGATGCCTTTGATAGACAAGAAGGACTTTCGCAGAGAGTTGGTTGCAATCAGATAATGTTCGAATTCGTGACAGAGGCGTTGACAGCGCGAAATGACCTTGGCGGGCACTTCGGTGGTCGACGGAAGGTTTGCGAACAGAGACAATAGCGACAGCGCATCGTCCAGGTCTCGAAGAGCATCAACAAACGTCGGGTACCGTTCTCGCACAATGTGATCCAGTTTTATTTTGGGCATGCCATGCTTCTGCAGCCGTACCGCATCTTGCACTTCATTGCGACCGAGAGATCTCGCAATCTTCTTCTCAAGGGCTTTTTGTTCACGAAACTTGGCTAGTAATGGTTCGTGTAGGAGGTACTGGATGTCTTTGGTGTAGTAGAAGGTGGTCGAGTGGGTAGCGGATTTGCTTGCTTTCTTGATATTTCGGGGTTCGCGAGGGTAGATGCCCTTGAAAATACTGAGCCGTCGAAAATCGGGAAGGGAGATCTGCAGTTTGCGCACAGCTTGTGTTCTAGTGATATAGTTCTTCGCTTGGCCGGACTGGCCTTTCTTCTTTTGCTTCGCCATCTTGAAGTTCTGTCAGAAGGGCAATTGGTGTCGGCGCAGGTGCAAAATGCAGAGATTGAGAGACTTTGAAGGCGCACGAGGAAAAAAGTTCAAGATGTGGAGATGCAGAGCCGCGGTTTTGCCGAGATCCACATCCTAGCTGCGGCCAGTTTGTAACTAACTTCACATCAGCCTCGACCTCCTTTTCCTACTCTGACGCGCCAACAAGCCAACAGGTCAATGTGGTCGACGAGAGCGTGCATATTATAACAACAATGGTAATATCGCTGGACCGCAAGACGGTCGCGATATATGCCGGCGCGATCGTGCTGCGTCTTGTCATCTTCCTCGCCTTTCCTGATATTCCCGATCTCCTGACCACAAGGGTGGAAATATCGACACCGATTTCGAGCTTCCAGAGACTTCAAGAAGGCCTCTTTCTCTATCAACATGGATTGTCACCGTATGATGGTGGTGTATTCCACCAAGCTCCGCTGTTACTGGTCATCTTCGAGATACTGCCGCCCACGCTGGTCTTCGTTGGGCTCGATGTCCTGAATGCAGCATCCTTACAAATCATCGCAGACGAACTACGCATTCCCACATCTCGCTTTCAACCCTTGGACGGGTCCTTGATTGCCGCATCTTATCTCTTCAATCCATTCACCATCTTGTCGTGTCTTGGGAGGAGCACCAGCATCTTTACCAATGCCGCCATCATCCAAGCTGTCTTGAACGGTCAGTCGGGAAATGCAATTCGGGCGATGTTTGCCCTTGCGACTGGAACCTATCTGTCAATGTATCCGGCTTTGCTTCTTCCACCTACCCTGCTCATGATCTATAAGAGCAGTCAGTCCAAGTCTCCCACCACTCCTATCATTTCGTATGCCGCAGGACTTGCTGCCCTCCTAGCTACGACGCCGATCTTGACCAGCGAGTTCTGGGACTTCCTGGCCTCATGCTACGGCGTTCAACTAACGGTTCCCGACCTTACACCGAACGTTGGGTTGTGGTGGTACTTCTTCATCGAGATATTCGATTCCTTCCGGGACTTTTTCATTGGCGTCTTCTGGTTGCACTTGGTGGGATACGTAGGAGGCATGACTCTTCGACTTCAGAACCAACCGCTTTTTGTCATCACCAGCCTTCTGGGCCTATTTGCGATCTTCAAGCCCTACCCGAGTATCACAGATGTCTCGCTGTATCTTGGATTTCTCCCAATGTACCAACATGTGCTTCCATGTGAGTATATTCCGATAAGCCCGACATGTCTTGCTGACAATGGCAGTAACTCGATACACTTTTATAGCAGCATCGGTGCTGCTTTATTCGACCCTGTTGGGACCTGCCTTCCACTACTTGTGGATCTACGCGGGCTCTGGCAATGCCAACTTCTTCTATGCAATTACGCTGGTCTGGAGTTTGGGATTGACCATTCTTGTTGGAGACACCTTGTTCGCTGTGATGCGTGATGAATGGGAGATGGAGAGACCCGAAATGAAGGGCAAAAGCGTACGCCAGATATGAAAAGCTATCGATGGGATTATCGTTTCACTTGCTTCGAGAGAATAATGTAACTCGGTTCTTTGACGGTACCATTTCTCATCTTGCGTGGTTCTGGAGAAAAACTGTCTTCCTCATAACCCAGTTGACCATACCATGTGACAGCTCGTTTGTTTGCTCTAAAAACAGTCAACATGATTTTCGTGATGCCGACGTTCTGGCCAATGACTTCGACGATATTCATCAATTTTTTGCCCAGTCCCTTGCCCTGCCATTGAGGGGTAAAATGAATTTCGTAGATGTAGAGGACTTCGTAACCGTCCTCGTAGGTGATCATAAAAGAGATGAAGCCGGCAAGCTGCGAGGTACCATGAAATAGAATGATGTATTTCATGTCTGGCGACTTCATCTCCCTCCTCTTCTTGGAGTTTGACCACTTCTTTTCCGAGTTTTGGTAGTCCCGAGCACTGGTCTCCTCGATCAGCTTTAGGCATGCATCCAACCATTGACTGGGCAAATTTGCAGAGTCCACCGGAAGTCTTGACAACTCCACACCGAGGCAAGAGATTCCCAATTCGGTCAACGATTCCTGTGGTGCATACTTCGCGAAAAAGTCGGCCCCTGAAAGGGCGTTCACTGTTTCGACCAGTTTCCCCTCCGCAATTGCCCGGTGTTGAGACTTATTGTTCGACATCTGCGGCTCATGGTGCTGCGTGTCTCCCATATTGGGTGTTGTTGCCAGTGGTGCTGATTCGTAAACAACCCTGGCTCGATGTTGGTGGTGGGTTCAGACACGTTCTCCGAAGAAATATCGTAACGTTAGAATGCTACTTGGTGCGCCGTATCTGATGCGGTGGCTTCGCAGGCGCAGACGCGAAGGAACCTCGCTGTCGCATCTCTATGCTCCACCGTACCACTATGACATCACGCGGATCTCCGCAATACACACATTTTCGCCTGTCGAGCTTCAATTCCATGAAGTAATTGTGATATACGGATTCGAGCCAGTGAAAAAACCTTCAACTCCTGCCCGAAGCGGATGCCCTTGTTGAGATTCTCGATGCCACTGCGCCCATACTATTGGCCATGACTTAATTGAGGAGGTCAAGGAGGATCACACGACGAATACTAGCAGATTCTCCTCTACCTTCGCTGCTCGACAGCGCTCTTCCTCTTACCATGGCTTCCTTATATATACGCTCCCTCCTGTCCTCTTCGCGACCTCGTCTGCCTTCAACCTTCACTAGAACAACCCATCCTTCATATCGAATAGTATCTGTTGCCAAAATGCACTCCGCTCCCAAACTCAAAGACCCCTCCCTCCTCATCTCCCAAGCCTACATCAACGGCAAATTTATCGACGCTGCGTCCTCCGAGACCTTTGATGTCATTGATCCTGGTACTGGCAAGAAGATTGGGTCATGCGCAGAGCTTAACAAGGAGGATACCAACAAAGCCATCGCCGCAGCGTCAGATGCTTTCGCTTCCTTTCGCAAGACTCTCCCTCGGGAGAGAGCGACTATGCTGAGAAAGTGGTATGACCTGATGATGGAGAATGCTGATGATTTGGCTACACTGATAACCTGGGAGAATGGCAAACCCTTCAACGACGCCAAGGGCGAAGTGGTCTACGCCGCCAACTTCTTCCAATGGTTTAGCGAAGAGGCGCCTCGGATTTATGGCGATACCATCGGAGCCACTGTTCCGGGCAATAGAATTATGACTTGGAAACAGCCCGTCGGTGTCTGTGGTCTCATCACACCTTGGAACTTCCCTGCCGCGATGATCACGCGAAAGATCGGTCCTGCCCTCGCTGCTGGGTGTACGGTTGTCGCGAAAACGCCAGGCGAAACGCCGTTCACGGCCAACGCCATCGCCGAGTTGTCCCGTCGAGCAGGTGTCCCTCCAGGCGTTGTTAACATCGTTACCGCTATGAAAAACACGGCTGAAGTCGGCATGGTTCTCACCACCGACCCGCGTGTCAAAAAGGTCTCTTTTACAGGATCCACGAACGTGGGCAAGCTTCTCATGAAACAGTCCTCGTCCACACTGAAAAAGCTGTCATTCGAACTCGGCGGTAATGCCCCCTTTATCGTCTTCGACGATGTTCCCGACCTGGACGCCGCAGTGGCGGGAGCGATCGCGTGTAAATTCCGGTCCTCAGGCCAGACATGCGTGTGCGCGAACCGGATTTACGTGCAAGAAGGCATCTACGACGCCTTTGCTCAGAAATTCACCGAAAAAGTCAAAAATTTTAAAGTCGGTTATGGTTTCGACGACGGCGTGACCCACGGCCCTGTGATCCACGATCGGGCAGTCGCCAAAGTGGAATCGCATGTGCAAGACGCAACGAAGAAGGGTGGGAAAGTTCTCTGCGGCGGGAACAAACTGACCGATTTGGGATCCCACTTTTATGCCCCGACAGTTATTGCGGGTGCAACCAACGAAATGGCCATCGCCCATGAAGAGACGTTCGGCCCTGTAGCCGGGCTGTTTCCATTCAAGACAGAAAAGGAGGTTATCGCGCTGGCTAATGATACCGAGGTGGGATTGGCGGGATATTTCTACTCTCGCGACATTGGACGCGTTTACCGTGTTGCTGAAGCGTTGGAGGTGGGCATGATTGGCGTCAACACAGGGTTGATCTCCGATGGTGCCTCGCCTTTCGGTGGTGTGAAACAGAGCGGGTTTGGACGGGAAGGCAGCAAGTACGGTGTTGACGAGTATGTTGTCATCAAGAGCGTGACCGTCGGAGGTATCAGCAATGATTTGCAGGAGTGAAGGGAGGATGATAACTTGATGCTGCCAGATACCCAAATGGGCGCCTCATTCGGCTTGTACAACAGCAAAAAGAGGAGGCGAAACGGGAAGGATACCGGGATTTCATCCTAATCCACAGCTGCGAAAGGGGATGGCTGTTGATGCAAAAGTCCTTTCTCGAACTTGTAGAAAAGTGCCCTTGTAGCCATCCACTCTCCCGCTCTTGACATACAACGGTATATGCCGCGAATACGGTATAATCCATAGCTCTGTATTCCTCTGGATCTCCGCCTGACCCAGAAGCAACGGAAAGCTAGCAAGCATATGGGTCGAGACCAGGGAGGGCGGGTACCATAACGCTCCGTCGGAAAGGGACACAGGGCTAATAAGAAGAGGGTATGGTTCGCCATTAGGTAGCAGGCTGTCTTCACTTCCCAAGGGGCTCTATCTATCATTAGATATGGCGGTGTACATATACTCATCCACTAAATATCAGCTGGCTTTGGTCTGACGGTTGCCTGATTGCAGTTAACCACCTGGTGTTGGACTGTGCTTTTTGGTTCTGAGATCTGCTCGCTGAATATTTCCACAACCCCACCTCCCTCCCCCTCCACTCTCATAAAGGCTGTCCAAAGCTAGCAACACAACGCTGTCAGGATCGATGGCATTGTACCATATGTGAAAAAAATTATGCCGTGATTGTTTCTTGCTATATATGATATCACGGAGAGGCAATGCATTTAAATGACCCCCAAACGGCAGCTACTGTGCAGTGTATGGTCCCATAAGAACTCACATTTTCCTTTTGCAGGGATGAGAACCTGGCCTCAGTCACTGGGGCTATTTACGACAACGCTGGTTCTTTTCGACGGGTTTGTATATATCATGGCCACAGATCCGGTCGATGTGAACAGCCTCAACAGGCAGTGAATTGATGAAATTGCAGTACGAAGGACTGTCTCAAGAGTGAAAGCTTCTGTGCGCGGCCGATATCCCAAGTGGCATTGCTGCCAAGAGATATGATCCCTAATAGGACTAGCGTCCTAAGGGATGCAGGTTGGTCCGTAACAGTGAAGAGAATTGTGTATATATTACAGCTATTACAAGGAATCTTTGTGACATTCTTAAGGACACATCCCTCACCAGCAGGGGGGATGATGAGGCGGTGATGGCTCCTTACATGTGTCGGGAGAGAATATCTAATGGCTCCCTCTGTGCCTTCGAAAGTACGCCATCAGAAGGGCAGGCCTCATGCTGTGTCGAACGATCAATTTAACGCAGCATTGTCATCTATCTCAGAACCAAGTAATTTCTGGGAGCAGTTGCGTTGGTCATCGACTTGGGTGCCTTCCTTGTTGTCAATCCGGACACGTACGCGCCCGATAATGCTGTCACTCTCCCAACCTTCCTCTGTCGAGGCAGTGACTTCTACCCTTGAGAATCTTGCTTTCAAATTCCCTTCACTCTTCTAACGATTCTGTCATTTCTCACATCACTCAACCTCAAAGACTCCTTGACCTCGCTCCGTCGACTTCATCACATCTCTATTTTGCTCATGTCAACCTCTCTCTGTGCTTCCCTCCAGCGATACGCTTCCTTCATTGAGCCTCATCCTTTCTCCTGGTTAGATTATCTAGCACATTATTCATCTAACACGGCTCTTCAACTCTCCACCTAATTTGAGCACTGTCACTGCAACGTCAGCATCTGCTCTTCAACTCTCCACCTAATCTGAGCACTGTCACTGCAACGTCAGCATCTGCTATAAGTCGTGAGATCAATTGGCAGACGAAACTGAGTCAAATTCAGTTCCACCGACTATCCCTGAATCCTGCTGACTTGCATCGCTTTCCATTTCTGTTGGGATCCTGTCAGATACCCACCTCTCTCTCAAAGACCCTATACCTGAACCACGTTCCAGTCCAAGTCAAACCGGAGTCAAAATGTCGCCTCCACCAGATGAAGCATCCTCTGGAGGCTCCACGGCCGTGACGCACACCCAGCTTGAATATCCTCCTTATCGGGAACCATCGTACGAAGTGGCCGTTGTCCAAAGCACCAACATTGCCAAAATGATTGTTTCCATATTGGAACGCTCCCCACGAGATCCTCAATCCCGCCTGCTTGCAGAGGCCAAGCGATATGCAGAGTACCAGATGCCGCACGAGCGACTCATTGGCTTTATTGGGAATTCTGGCGCCGGGAAAAGCAGTACTCTCAACTCTCTTTTCGATCAGGATGGCCTTGCCAGGACTGGTGCATGCGGCTCTGCAGTGACCGCTTTCGCCACTGAATTTCGGTTTCGTCAACCAGGGCAGGGTGCCCCCTTCACATTGGACAGCACGTTGATGGTCGGACACGAGCTGGGACAATATATGGGCGATCTCCTGAGTGACTTCCGGCGCGCTTCATCGTTCGACAAAACAGAATCCGAGGAGAGCAATGAGAAAATCTATGAGAATGGTAAAGCAGCAAGTGACACCTTTGAGGCAATCCTCGGAGGAATGGACAATTTCGATAAAGAGCGGCTCAACTGCGAAGACTTAGGCGACGCCAAAAGCTATTTGAGGGAATTGTGCAGCGAATTGCAGTTTCCCGACAACATGAATCGAGAGGGCAGGTGGGTGGAAGAATCACAAGATGTAGACGGATGCGAAGATTACCAAGCACTACTCCAGGACCGTGGTCTCTGGCCCCTGGTGAAAAGTCTTTCCATCTTCGCCGATATTGCCATGCTTAGGCATGGGCTCACATCCGTTGACCTACCAGGATTTAATGATACTAACCTCGCCAGGATCAGGGCCGCAAGAAAGGCTCAGTCAAAATGCGATGATACTTGTATCATTGCGGAGATGTCTCGAGTTTGCGACGTACCCATCGTTCCACAACAATTGGAACTGCTCAGGGCCAAGGCGGAGGCCCAGAAGTCTACGACACCTGCCATAATCATATGTACCAAGTCGGCCGCAGATCTGGAAAGAAATCGGACTGTGCAGAAACTGGTCAACCCACTCAAGCTCGAGTTTGCCAAAATCCAGGTGAGAAAAGCCAGAAAGGGAGACGAGACAGCGAAGAAAAGTGCGGCGGCCGGAATGCAGGCTCTTTTCATCACTGCTCGGAATGAGAAGGTGACGAAAGATTTGCAGAAAAAATACGGCACATACGTGAAGGGTGGGGTCAAAGTATTCTGCGTTGATAACCCCATGTATTGGGATGCCACGACAGACGAAGAACGAGAGCTGAGTGGCATTCCGGCTCTCCGACAATACCTAGCGGATCTCCCGGCAGAGTCCTTATTTAAAGCAACAGATCTTTTTCTGGCTAAAAAGATTCCTGCACTTGTCTCATCCTACGGTAATTGGGTGGACAGCTGCAGAATCGACCTTGAGCTTGAAGACCGTCCACAGCTTCCCGAAGCACGTAAGCTGCGGCAGTGTCTGGGCACACTCCGGGATTGGGCAACTAAGATGTTTGGGGTCTTCGAAGAATGTTTCGACACGCCATTGAGAGAATCCTCGGAATTGATCAGCGCAGCCTGTCTCAAAGTCTCCCAGGACTGGGAAAAATGGCCCTCTGGCTCAGTAAACTTGTGCTTCAGGAATGATGGAATCTCTACGGGAGGGATAATGGGCTCCAGGAATTGGAACAACGAACTGGGTCTAATCTTCAACGAGCTGGTTATGGGACAAAGCTGGCACCACTTTGAAGTCGCAACTGATTCGCTTCTAAACGAATTCGGGAACATCATTGCATTCTTTGAGGTGTACGCAAAGCAATGTTCTGATTTACAGGCCCCTGCCAATTTCCAGAACTCACTTACCGCAAGGCTGGACGTTTTGAAAAGCACGTTTGAAACAGAAAAAAAACGATATCTCTCTGTCGTGGGAAAGATAAGATTCCATGCAAATGGAGGGCACCAGGACTCTTATATTATGGATTGTATGCTTGACACGTATCAGGACGCTCGAAGAGTTTCAGGTACTGTCTCTTCCCAAACTCTTCCGATTACTGAGAACTAACCACGGATAGGTTCCGGCTCAGTGAGGAAACGCCTTACGATTCTGCAAAGCCGGGTCGGTAGTGGGCAATTTGTCGATGCTTTCAGGACTCACCTCTTCGACGAGTTTCGAGGCGCCGTCGACAATGTGTTAGGCAAGCTCAAGATAGCATTGGAAAGAGAAATCGAGGCCGTCGAATCTGATCTGGAAGCTATTCAGCCCTCAATCGAAAATCAGAAGTTGTTCAAGGTCGATCCAGATTACGGAGAAGTGTGCGAGTTTGTTCTGACGAAAGTGATCAAGCAGCTAGAGGAGGTGGATGACTTGGCTGAAACTGCACGAGCAATGGCTAGGGAGCGCTATGGCTGAGGATCGCACATCGAGACTCGAGAGAGGGGTGCTACCAGAGGCAGGGCGTTCGATACATATTCCGCCCAGTCACTGAGCTTTACTATCAAACTCATTGTCACCCAGAGCTGTGGAATATGAGCTATGATGAAATGGAAATCTGACAACGCGTCGAGCAGGCTGTTGCATTTGGCTCAGAGGATGAAGCTACTTTAGTGCAAGAAGCGAGCTTGCTCAGTCGCCAAGTACTTAGAAAGACCCAAGTGAGGTTCACAATGAAAAAATGCACCAACTTGTTTTATATTCTGCGTTGCTGTTCCATTTTACGTAGTCAGCACCGAACACTCAGCACCTATCTTGACTCCCGACAACGGTATGAGTTCCTTTCCCGACCAGCCCACTCCAGCCCGTTAATATCCTGGTCGACCAGAACCCTTCGTCAGGAAAAGAGGTCCTCAGTGGAAACGTATGCGACTTGAAGTCAATTCCACGTGGAAATCGTGAACATGGTCGGTGCGAGCGCAGAGCACGTACGAAGCCATCACTGGCAAGGAGTAAGTCACCCAGTCAGTAGTGGACTGCAGAAAATTGAGCAGAGTCTCGTGTTCTCCTGGATTTTGTTTTCCTTTCCAATCCATCATAGCGATTCCCTTGCTCACATGATCGTTCGACTGGGAGATGTACATAGTAGCCGCAGTCTTCATTACGCCTTCAGCTCTCCGGATCCTCTCTATGAGATACGGCAACGCCTCTTTGACTCGCTCGCACGCGTTTATGTTTTATGTCGAGAGTAATCCTGCCCTGCAAGCTTCATCATACCTCGTCATATTCTATTCACCCCCTTTTTACATCCGAAAATTGCAGCGAGGCATTTTTCAATATCTCCACCATGGACTTGTTGTTCTTTCTGATCGCGTACTGCAATGGAGACTCGCTGTTGACACTGGGTGTGGTCGGATTGGCACCTTTCCCGAGCAACATCGTCGCAATAGACACGTCACCTCTGTACACAGCGCGATAGAGTGGCGTCTCTCCGTTGGGATTGACGTCGTCGTCAGGACTTGCTCCGTGTCCAAGTAGTAGCGAGACCAGCTGGGTGTTTCCCAGATGAACCGCTCGATATAGACATGGTTCTCCTGTGGGACTTGTACCCCTGGGATCAGCCCCATAGCAGAGGAGCAGCGCACTGGTCGATGCATCGCCCCTGTAAACTGCCCGATACAGGGCCGGCTCACCGCTGTGGTTCTGCACATTCGCTTTGGCACCGTGAGCCAGCAGAAGTGAGGTGATTGTCGCGTTACCATTGTTGACTGCCCGATAGATGATTGGATCTGCAGCGGTGTTGACGACATTGACCTCCGCGCCAGCGCTCAGCAACAGGCCGATGATGAAGTGGTCGGAGCGTGACACCGCTTGAGAAAGGGGACTGTCTCCAGATTTGTTCGCGATGTTGACGTCCACCCCGCGGTCGAGTAGCTGGCTCACCAGCGTGCTGTTCCCGTGGGAGACGGCGAGATTGAGCGCCGTCTCTCCCTTAGCAGGGCGTTTGTTGGTGTCGGCGCCGTGCTTCAGCAGGAGTTCGATGATGGAGCTGTGACCTTTCGAAATGGCTGTGTAGACCGGGGTCTCGCCTTTGCTGTTTTCGGCATCGATGTCGACGTCCTCTCTCGCGAGCAGGAGAGCGACGATGGACGAGTGGCCCTGGCTGACGGCCACCGACAAAGGGGTCTCTCCTTTTCGATTTTTCGCTTTGGGGTTCGCTCCGTATTCGAGGAGGGTTTTGACCAGGTTTGTGCTGCCCACCGCTACAAAACGGCTGAGTGGCGTGTCTCCGTCTCTATTCCTCTGGTTCGGATCGACGCCCGCTTTCAATAACAGTTCTACGATGGAAGAATCACGCCTGTTAATTGCGAGATCCAGCATCGTGTCCTTCCCAATGGGTCTTGCGTGAGGATTGGAACCTGCCTCCAGGAGCGATGTGACGTTCTTTGTTTGCCCGCGGGAGACAGCGAGGTAGAGAGGGGTTTCCCCTGCTGAAGTCACTTCTTCAAGACCCTGCGTTGATCTCTCAATCAGCATCTTGAGAATGGTCGAACGGTCGTTCATTACCGCCATGTGTAGGGGGCTATTAGCCCCTGGCGGTCGAGCCTCGGGATCGGCATTGTTTTCTAGCAATAGTTTGACAACCGACTTGTCTCCTTGAGAGACTGCCCGGTAGAGGGCAGTCTCGCCTTTCTTGTTTCGTGCTTCGATGGACTGTGAACCGTGCTCGAGGAGAAGGCGGACTTCGGACTCTCTACCTCTGGCAACTGCTTTGAGAAGTGGAGTGTCCTCTCCTCCCCATTGCGAGGAGTCTTCGAGAAACAGAAGGATGACTTTCAAGCCTCGAGGTCCAAAAAAACCGGCGTTCCACTGTTCGACGACGGCTTCAATTCGAAACCTCCGCAGACGTGAAGGGTCTGCGGGAGGAGGAAGGCCCCCCGGCGTGGATCGCTTGGTGGGTGGAAGAGACAGCCTGTCCACCAATTCTGTGAGCTCTTCAGGCCTTGATTTTGCGTTGTCGACCGTCCTGCTGGATGAAAAATGTCGTCTTGTGGCCGTCGGGCTTGGCCTTGTTGTTTGGTTGGATCCGGACGAACCCGCCCGGTACACTGGAGGAAACAGGTGATTCACGAATGTCGTCCAGTCATATTCGTCGACCTCGCGCAGCTGGAACAGGGAGTTACGCGACGGGTATGGTGTTGTCTCTGGGCCAGTATCCGGATTGACCACAATAGTATGGACGAAGAAGTCATGGGGTCGTGGATGGCTGGGTGGACGAAGTTCAAAGTACGGCGTTGCCGAGATGAATCCCGAATGCTCAATTGCCTGACGGCGAATATTACGCAGGTCAGATTCTCGTGATGATGGGATGGTGGTGCCATGCACGCTGTGTGGCTGCGAATTGATGGGGGCAGTCAATTCGTAGACTGGGGCTGCGGTTAGTCTGACATCCGGACTGGGATCATGGACGTGATATGGTGGCGGTTCTTCATTCATTGTCGTGTCAATAAAAAGATGTTGCTGGTTCTTTGCAGAGGACCCTGGGCGAAGGTTCTTGAGATTAGCATTGAATGCCAGAGATAATATATCACATATACCAAAGCTGAACACAGCCGGGCTCAGGCCAGGCACCGATAATAATTCTAGCCGACGTCTAGGCAGCACCATTCCACCCCGAAAGTCGATCTAGAGTTTCGCCCCCAAACTAAGCGAGCGCCACAAAGGAGCAAGCTTTCGTATCTCTGTCATCGGGAACCACATCTTTTGAGCAAGTCAGCCTCTGGGAGGTGCCTGGCCACTGTGAATACCCGCCAGGTTCTGTCGAAGACTGGGATCTCACAATTGACTGGACGAACAAGACCAGGATTGGCCTTTCTGAATCCGAGGCGACGGAGACAGAAGCATTTCCGAGATTGCGCAGAATTCAGCCGATGAATTGCCCTCCGAAACGACTCTTGATGTGTTCCTAGATAATGGTTTTGGATCCCATGATGATGGCGATTTTCTTTGAAGCACCTGATTGTTGTTACATCCAATTAATGATATCTTTAGAGCTCAAGAATCAATTATGGCTATGACTGTATCGGTGCCCGCATCGTAACGTCTACGAGATGGAGCTAGGGCATGGAACGTACATCATGATGCCGTAGATCGTGATGCCGCTGAATGAAGGTTCGTGAGCAGATTGAGAAAGACTATTGTGATAATCTCGTATGTTCAGAAAGTCCTTCTACTGGGAATCATGCCTACAGCTATACAGATTGGCTTTCGAATGCATCTCGACCCCTAGAGCTCGGGCGCAATAAGATCAACCCTTATGGTGGCTTCTCTGTGGCTGAAATTGCTTTTCCTTCGCAGGGCCACCGGTGTAATCCCCGGCAGAACACTTGGTCATTCAGAAAACTCGCTCTCCGTCGATATTCTCGGAGTGTCCGCGGGCTGACCGGGGTGAGGGGCATACAAATAGACTGTCTGTCACGGCTCACATTACATTACTGCAATGGTCATCCACAGAGTATTATGAGGTGGGAAAGTGGCAGATATAGTCGATTCAGGGTCAGACGCGACCCTGAATCGACATCAACGGGCTAGAAAGATCAATCTGCCTAGATGACGTTCAACCGGGTTATATCGAACGAAATTCCAATGTATTTCATATATGGCTGACTATCTACATACCAGGGAGTCCGCGTCTTCCTAATGGGAAAAGAGAGGCTGTCCAACACTTAATTCGGCAAAAATGTGGCCCTTAATAGAGTGATAGTGACAAATGCAACTGAGCTGCCTCAAGTCATTCCCACTTGCTGGCTCTCAGCTTGAAGTCTGGCACTGAGCTCGGCCTTTAAGACGTGTATCTGCAATAGGATTTCCGCCTCGTAGCTTCCTCAGAAATCGGAGCTATCTTATCTTTCACTGACTTCTCAGGGTTTCGGAGCTTGTTGTGTCTCTTCCGGTGCTATTTTGCTTTGCTCACCTTTGATCCACTTGCGCCACAGCGGCCAAGCCTTCAATGACTGTACTTTTCTACTAAGCCTTCCTTGTACACTCTGAACATATTTGTGAGAGCAGTGTCTCCTTGTTTGCCTCTTCCGAACGATCTCAGCCCTGGGAAGTAACTACGGCAAGATGAATCTCTCATGTTGTCTCACCCAAGGCCGACACTGTAAGTGTAGGCTAGATTCTGGCTTCCTGATGAAATGGACTCCTGGAATGGCCAGTGAGGACTGCCTGGTATCTTCTGATGGGAAAATTGCCGAAGACACCTCTCGTTGTTGCGGTCTGGAATGGTCGGTCATTCTGTCTTTCAAAATGATCGCGGTGGAGGCTCTATTTGTCAGCTTTGAGAGCATACGCAAGAGGACATGCAGTCACACTGCCGCCTGACTGAACCCTTGCCCTCAAGGAGTGCTACCAAGGGCTGTACCTGTGCTATAGACTTGCAAGAAATGATGCAGGGCTGCTTGCTCCAAACGTGCTAACCTATTTGGGCTAGTACCATCCTTACACTAACCGCTCATGGAGTGCCGCGCGGTGGCTGCCGATCCGGAAACAACACCTGCGAGGTATACTCGAGCAGCGCAGGCCCAGATGCGTGTAGTGGCGGTAGATGGCTTCGGGGACATTGCTAGACCACCGTTAAGCAGGCCCGAAAGTTGAGAAAAGTGTCCCTTTTCGGGCCTGAACCTGATTTGTCGAGGCGTGAGATCCCATCATTCAGCATACGAGATACCCGGTTTCCTCGCTCAGCCAGTTCAGCCTCCTTTTTCCAGACATCCAGAACAGTTAGTTGGCTGAACACGAGCAGCACCCAGTCTTGACAGCCCACGAGGCGTGACAACCGGAGTGGAAACGTGCCTGAATCAGGCTCCCCGTAGTATTGAGCGTCGAGAAGATGTGGATGACACTCGAGCACATGAGGCGGCTGCTCCAGGGCCGTGCTAACAATGATATCGGTGAAGACCAAGAGACCGGTGAAGAAGTGAAATCCAGCCTGCTCGAGGCTCCACAGGTAGCCGCTGCCAGGGTCGAGGCCGAAGTGGAGCGTTGAAGTGGCAAGGTTATTGAAAACAAAGCGACGAGCAGCTTAGCTTCAGGCACTGTCGTGCTGCTGCTCTGCCATATTTCTTCAAAGAGTGCGGGAGTCGGCGAAAGCTGCAAATTCCAGTTGGCGGACCTGCCCAAGGCCACCTCGAAAATCAAGAACTAAGTCATGCTCTCCATCACCCGTGGTCTGTCAATGAGCTTCGATTGGGGCCGACGAAGCCTGAGCTCGTGGATGTCGTTCTGGGATCATTAAGCACATATCCGTCTGCCTGCTAATTTTCTCCCAGAGCTGCCTCTTGCACGCTCCGCGTCGGCCTGAGTATGCATCGATCAACGTGAATATGAAGAAATACGCAATCAGGCTCATTGCGGAATGAAATGCAAGCCTGCTGCGTCTCAGAAGCGCCAGCATCTAGTTACGCCCGGTCTCATGAAGGTGTGGATGATAGAATGAGAACAGATGGGGGGTGCACGTAGTCCATGTACTTGGCCAAGCAGTCGATGTGGAAGTCCCCGCCGCGTGCCATCATGGGGATACGGTCGTCGATTTGCTCGTATTCGTCTAGAGATCCAAGCACAGACACCAGCGGACAACGGCAGCGGAACACGACCCTAACAAACCTATAGCTAGCGCCGTCTACGTGGCTAATATACCACACAATGCTCGGTGATATATTCAGCCGTATGCTTAGAACTAACACTCTGACCGGACTGAGCGGAGTTCAAACTGTCGATCAGCTGCTAGACGACAATTGTTCCGTGTCAGAGCATAGAAGCACTGACTTCCTGCCTAAGCTCTAGACCAGGTGGCAATAGAACTCAATGCCAGCGGTACGGTTCGTCGATCGTACGGCCAGGCCACGACGTCATACCTTCACAATATGTCGCCCAGTACCTCGAGAGCCGCCTCGTACAGTGCGGACCAAGTGTCGCCGGGTTTTAAGTTTCTTCAACCTGACCAGGATTAACTAGAGGTCGCTGCGAAATAGTCAAAATCGTGCAAATGGAGGGTCAAGCAACATGACGCCCCAGACGCGAATTTGGTTGGCACGATGGCCATCGATATGTGACATACATTGTCATTTGCTTTGACCGAAGTGTCGCGTCCGACGAAGTCTATGAGGCACTTGCGTGCAGTTATCTACCCGCTTTGAGTTCTTTGAAGGGGGTCGCCTGTATATAAGGAGAGCGACAGAATGATGGAGTAAAAGATAACTTGCTAGCCTTTATGATCAAAATGATCTTGCTTGCATTTCAAGCTGTCAATATTCCCCTGATTTGTTACTGGTGTCCGCCGATATGTTCATCCTGGGAAGAGAAGACCCGAGTACGGATCCCATCACCTAGCTGGTTGCAGCCGACGCTGCGGGCTCGCTACCAGGACGAACATCCTCCAAATGAATCTCAGCATATCTCTTTGGAGCCATCTCACCCTCAATCCCGGTCTTGTCAATATCAACCGGGATCTCTGTCTTTGCGAAAAAGAAATCAATCTCTTCCAAAGACTTCAACTTGGTCTCGGGATACAGGAAGAAAACAATTGCCGCAATGACCGCATTGAAAATGCAGAGAATGATGTAGAATCGGTAGCTAATGTTTGTGAGGGCGATAGGGGTGACTTCGACGATCATAAACTGGAACATCCAGTAGAAGAAGACGGCAATCCCCATTCCCTTCTCGCGGATCTTCAGAGGCATCAGCTCTGCCGGATAGAGCCACGTAATGGGAAACCACGAGGTGATGTTGATGGCGTAGTACAAGAAGAGGAAGGCTAGCGTCACGATACCGTAGGTCGAGCTGCCTCCTTTAGGAGCCGTGGCAAAGAGTGCTGCGATGATGGCAAAGCAGATGCATTGGCCCACGCTGCCGATCCAAAGGAACGGGCGTCGACCGACCTTGTCGACCCACAAGACGGGAGGAATGCAGAAGACCACGCAGACCACGCCGAAGAGACCGCTGACCCAGAGCGCGGTCGAATGGGACGCATGGATAAAGGTGGTCACTAAAGTCGGGACGTAGTATGTGACGCTGTTGATCCCGTTCAGCTGGTGCATGACCATGATGCCGGTGCCGAAACAAATACGCTTGAAGTTCTGGGTTGGGCCGTTGACGAAGATACCGGTGAAGAAGCCACCTTCCGTGCCTTCAAGCTGTCTGGCCTCGGAGATCTCGAGGAGTTGCTGCCTGACGCGCGGATGGTCTCGAGTGGCACCGTGGCCCTCCAAACGTAAGATGACCTGCAGGGCCTCTTCAGGGCGATCATTCTTGAATAGCCAGTGGGGAGACTCCGGGAGCATGGCGACCAGCACGCCGATAATGGCAATGAAAACAATCTGAAGCGCCAAAGGGAAGACAAAGGCGGTGCGGGAGGTGTCGTTGTGGAAGCCATAGTTCGTGTAGAAGGCAATGACCAGTCCACATCCCCCCAGCATGAGTTCAAGGCACATGAACATGCCACGGATCCTAGGCGGCGTCGTCTCTGCCTGCCACAAGCCAACAGTCGAGGTCAAGACGCCCACACCCACACCGGTGACAATGCGGCCAACCAGGAGCTGGGAGAGCTTTTCGGAAGTGCATTGAATGACGACCCCAACGGCGGCAATGGCGCTGCCACTGAGGATGCTCTTCCGGCGGCCTAGCTGTCCTCCGAAGAAGAAGGCTAGGATTGACCCTCCTGCGCAGCCGACATTGTAAAGGGAGGAGACGGTTCCAAGGATATCAGATCCAGGGTGATGGTACTGTTCCAAGAACCACGGCAGAACGATGATTCCTCCAAAGACGGCGTTGTCATAACCAAACTATGATGGAAAGGCTTATTAGCCTTTGATCGCAGAGCAAGTCTACCAATTTAATTTCATTGGTATCCCAAGTCTTACCAGGATGAATCCCGATGAGGCAGCCACGGTGATGAGCAGAAGCAAAGGCTTGCCCTCGATTTTGCCAAGTGGATTCCACATTGTCACTCCACACTGCCGACCCTTTCGTTGTACTGGACGAAATTGAAGTCGAACAGGGAACTGGGAACTCGAGAGTGGCCTGAGATGGTCGAGTTGCTGTATATACAATATGAATATCACAAGAGCATGGGATGGCGCAGGAAGGGGACCGTGTGCCGGGTCAGGAATGCTGCGGCTTCTTATATTAAGTGGCCATCTGACTGTGTGAGGTGCGAGCCGCGACCCAGCCGGAGACTAGAAGTAGGCTGGGCGTGATAATGGCCTGGAGGACTCGGCACAGCGACCACGAGGCCCTAATGGTGGCGCGGATGGTGCTCTTTGCGGGGTCCCCAGAGCGGGATGGCAACCTACGCAGCCTAGGATCCGGGCCCTCACACCACCTGGACTTACCTGGGACCACCTACTAGGGGGTCCCAGGTAAAGTGTCCAGGGAGCCTTAACCGCCCACAGATATCCGGGGCCCCCTTTTTCTCCGGCTGGCTTCCCCTCGGGTAACCCTAGCCCCGGATTACAGGCCACTACGCCGCCCTGGCACCTATTCCGGCGCCTGGTTGCCGTTACTATCGAAGGGCACCCAGGACGCAGCGGTGCTATGATTGTGCAGCTATTGCTACAGCTATAACTTCTGGAGAAAAATAAAAAAAAATCAACGCGTTTCTTCAGCTTTCTTGTACGGAATGCATTCAGTATGAATCTGCAAGTAACACCTATCCTCCAGCTGTTGACTATGAGCCACCAAGGAGAAGGACGATAATATCGTGTAACCTGTGCGGTCTCATAAATTCCCCCCGCAAAGTTACCCGGGTCGAGTCAAGTCATTCTGATGCTCAACTCCCCATGTTGTCCTCTTTTTTACGTGGAATGACAGCCGACCACGCCGGGTTCGATCCGTCAGTCGATGGGCGCGGATACCTTGACTAGGTACCCTGGAGTGCGTGTCACGAATTTGGCATAGGCGCACTGGCCCGAAGAGAGTCCAAACCTCTTTGGATGCAGTCCTCAGGACTTATCTGAGATGGATTGTGTGTCGCATAGGGTGTCGTGGTTTGATGACCTAGCGGTAGCTAGCAGAAGCCCAAATTTGGCGAACAGGGACGACTGACAAGGGAATGAACTTGAAGAATGAGATGGGAGATGAGCCGGCTTCCCACAGAGTTGATATAGACAGGTCTTGACAACGTCCCATGTCGATGTGAGTCAATAACTATCCGCAGTTCGGCCTTGTCAGCGACGATGATCCGTACACAAACCATGTGGAATCAGGGTACAGGGGTGCAGCGCCCTACTGCACAAAGCTCAATTCCTCGTCCTTGGTGGGTTACACCGGGACAAGAGCCTGCCCCAATAAGTTCTCCATGCAAGGAACGTGGCCGATGGGGACGCAGGAACACAACCCGCACGCGACTCAGGATTTAGGGTTCACCTTCCGACGACAGCGTATCCACTTTCTCGGCTACACGGCGAACCTCCGCCACTTACGATGAAGAAGCCGAACCTCATTTATCGGATGGATGTTTTCCTCTGCAACCCAGAAGAGTGCTGACTTGGCCTGGACATACCTCCATCTCTGTTATCGCCGATCCTCTAAGGCCTCGAGCATACCTATGAAGAAGTAAAGACTGACAACTCCGCAGGAAACGTGGAGGCGTTTACTGCCGTTCGCTCTGCAGTCGGAAGAAAGGGGCTAGGCATGTCTATCTGTGCCGTCTCTTGCTTTGGACGACGGCCAGACCGCTAAATCCGGGGTCTCTCACGCATATGCATCGAAACGAGCAGAGAGAATATGGAAAGCGCAATTCGTACATTGACATATTTCAGATAGAACACTATCACCTCGACTTTTATGGCTACAGTGATGTCAAAAGCAAGTTCCAATTTCAGTACCGTAGCTCCCTTTCCTAAACATGTCCTATAGCGTCCATCAGGTCAATGACACGTTGACAGCCTTCTGCTGGGTGAAAGCGATGAGCTCATCAAAGCACTCCTCTCTACCCAGGCCCGAGTTCTTTTGTCCTCCGAACGGCATGTTCAGATAGTGCTTCGCAACGTTGTTCACCCAAACATAGCCCGTCTCAAACCGATTGACTGCTCTCTGTGCCGTCTTCAGGTCGCGAGTGTACACGGCCCCCGTGAGACCATAGTTGGTGCTGTTGACGATCTTCCACACGTCCTCCTCGTCCGTCCACTTGAAGATGCTTTGGATCGGACCAAACACCTCCTCCTTGGCGACCCGCATTTCGGGTGTGACGTCGGCGAAGATTGTCGGCTCAAAGAAATTGCCCTCTTTCATCGACTCCGGCTGCTTGCCACCGAGGACAAGCCGAGCGCCTTCAGCGACGGCATCCTTGCAGAAGCCTTTGACCCGTTCCAGCGCGGCGGCCGAAATCAGTGGGCCCATGGTGGTCTTTTCGTCCGTCGGGTCGCCAGGAACAAAGGACTTCTTGACTCTCTCGACTACCTGTTCTAGCACTTTGTCGTGGACGGACTCGTGGAGGAAAACACGCGAGGTGGAGCCACAAGACTGGCCTGCCCACAGATAGTTCATTCCCCGAGTGATGCCGTCGACAAGCTTGTCGATATCTGCATCCGGGTAGGCAACAAGGGCGTTCTTGCCGCCGAGTTCGAAAAGTAGAGGCTTCAGTGTGCCCGAGGCACTCTTGTAAATAGCCTTGCCGGTCGGTACGCTGCCAATAAGAGTGATCATTTTGACCAAGGGATGTGTGGATAAAGTAACTCCACTGTCAAGACCACCATTGACAATAGAGACCACGCCAGGTGGGAAAACGCCGTGGAGCAGTTCAGCCAGATACAGAGCAGAGAGGGGTGCTTGTTCGGCAGGCTTCATAATGACTGTGTTTCCTGCCGCCAGCGGAGCGGCCATCTTCTGCGCACAGAACATGATGGGATGATTGTACGCCACAATCCTCGCCACCACACCCAGTGGCTCGCGCAAGGTATAATGGAACCCTTCGGTCCCCATGGGCACAGTTTCACCCTTGACCATGGGAATCAGCCCGGCAAAATAGTCCAGAGCGTCGGCGGCGGTGATGGCATCTGGGATCATCTCTTTGAAAGGGTTTCCCGTGTTGATGGAGTCGATCAAGGCGAGTTGCCTTGCATGTGCTCGCACGATCGATGCAGCTTTCTGTAGGTATTCTCTTCTCTTTTCCGGGTGAGTATCACGCCATGCAGGAAAGGCTTCATGCGCAGCTTTGATGGCTGCTTCGGTGTCGGCGGTGGTGGCCTGTGCGACCTTGGTGATGGCCTTGCCAGTGGCTGGATTGAATGTTTCGACATAGTTCTTGGGTGACTCAGGCGCTTGGAACTTTCCCGCGTAGTAAAGGTCCCGCTGCTTGGGCAGCACTTTGGCTAGGTGTTCTGGGAGATCGACCATTGTGTGAAGACGCTTCTGTTGCTGCAAGACTCGATAAGTGCCTGGACGTCGAAGAGGTCTTTTCCAGACCGGCGAGTATTTGAACATTGATGGTGATATTTGCATCTCTGCGGCTCGAAGCTTTTGGCTGGTAGCTGGACGTGTTGGAGACTTTTACTTTGTGCAATGAGGAGACCTGCTCAGACGGTCTCTGTTCCGCGGGCGATAACCCGTCGTGATGATCCATGCATGCAACCCTTTACCCCGCATTTGAAGCATTGATGGATCCCTAGGGGCTACTCTGTCTGCTCGGTACTTGTGTTCAGCGAGTGCTCGTAGCAGGATTATGGCGGGATTGTGATGGTGGAGGTGGCGGGGATGATCAAGTATGGAGTGGCGAGGCGCTATAGTCCAATAGACCCCACAGGCAGGGCAACCGGGAAAGGAAACTTTCCTCTATGTGATGTCTCTCGTTCCCGGACTCCAAGTTGAGGAAATATTGAGACTAGTCGTATCAAGCCAGCCTCGCCCCGCCTCCGGGACATAAGCCGGGAACCAATTATAAGCTCTCCCTTTCCGCTTTAAATGTGGGCCCCATCCGGCTCGACTCTGCTCTCGCGCTGGATGAATCCCGTCAGTGCGTCCGGCGAGAGTTCCCATGGCAGCATTCAGAGTCTCGCGCCAGCTAGACTGGCGGAGATCTTCGTCGGAGGCAGAGAATCGTACATAAAACGTCCAAATATCTACATTGTTGTCTTAGTTCGAGTACTTTCTTTCAATAGATCTCGAACACTTACTCTCCTATCACTTGCATCTCGAAACCGGACGAAAGACATTGGTGAAAATGGGAGACCCTGGTCCAGAGAAAGTTACCAACGGTGACCACACCGTGAGCAGCACGAATGGCACGAACGGCGTTGTGACCAAGAGAAAACGCCCGATTGCTATTGACGAACCAGTTGGTCTCAACGAGAAGACCCATGCTATCGGATGGGGTAGCGATGCCATCGCTGAACAGATTGCACGGTTGGACATTCCGTACATCGCGCTCTCCCCAGGATCCAGTTATCGAGGACTTCACGACAGTTTGGTCAACTACAATGGCAACACCCCACAGATGATTGTCTGTTTGCACGAAGAACATACGGTGGCAGTAGCCCATGGGTATTCCAAAGTCACCGAGAAGCCAATGCTGGCCGCGGTGCACGCAAATGTCGGGCTACAGCACGCTTCGATGGCCATCTACAATGCCTTCTGCGACAGAGTCCCTGTCGTGATTCTAGGAGCCACTGGACCTCTAGACTCGGAGAGAAAAAGGCCGTGGATCGATTGGATTCACACCTGTACAGATCAAGCAGCCATTGTCCGACCGAGTCTCAAGTTCGATGAACAGCCGTACTCAGTCAATGCCGCCACCAAGGCTTTGGCTCGGTGCTATCAAGTGTCGGCCACCAAACCCTGCGCGCCCAGCTATCTATGTCTCGACGTTTGTTTACAAGAAGACAAATTCGACGCCTCCAAGGCGGAATTTCCAGACCTTGAACGCATGAAGCCACTCCCACCACAAGCACCCGCTCCAGACGTGGTAGATGAAGTGGTTGCGCTATTGGCTGAGTCTAAGCGACCGCTCTTGATGTTCGGCCGAGTTAACCGCTCGCAAAAATCGTGGGACGAGCGTGTTGAGCTCGCTGAGACAGTCGGCGCTTATGCTATGACCGACCTTAAACAAGGAGCAGCCTTTCCATCGCGCCACCCTCTACACCCAGCCGCCCCTGCCGTTTTCACAACTCCTCAAAACATTGAGTTGATTAACGCGGCGGACTTGCTGATCTCGTTCGACTGGGTAGATCTTGCCGGCACCCTGAAAGCAGCAGGGACGCCGTTGACGAACACCAAAGTGGTACATATATCTATGGATTCGATACTTTACAACGGCTGGTGCAAGGATCACTTCGCCGTCCCTCCTACGGATGTTCCAGTGTTCGCCGACCCGGATAGGACACTGAGCGCTTTACTCGCTGGCATTAAATCTGCCAAGATCCAACCGAAGGCCTGGAGCGATGTCGAAGCCACGAAGAGATTACCACCACCGAGTATGCCTGACGTCCCGGAGGATAAGATCCTCATGGGCCATCTTGCTTCTAACCTCTTTGAGGCACTCGGCAACGCAAACCAGGAATACTGCCTGATTCGATTGCCCTATGGATGGCGAGGCTACGACCTCAACGCGACTGGGCCCTTGTCTTTCCTTGGATTGGACGGCGGTGCCGGCATCGGATCAGGGCCAGGCCAGACAGTTGGCTCGGCATTGGCCTTGAAAGACTCTGGGAGACTTGCCGTATCGATCCTCGGTGATGGCGACTTCCTCATGGGAGGCAACGCCCTCTGGACGGCTGCTCACTGCCGCCTTCCATGCCTTATCCTAGTCGCCAACAACCGCAGCTTCTACAACGACGAAGTCCACCAAGAGCGCGTTGCCCGAGCTCGCGATCGGCCGTGGCAGAACAAGGGCATCGGCCAACAGATCACGGATCCCACCCCTGATCTCAACACATTTGCCAAGTCGTTGGGTTTGACTGTGCCTGGCCCATGTGTGACCGACCGCAAAGATTTGCCAGGAATGATGGCCAAGGCTGTCAAGTTGGCCCAAGAAGGACATTCCGTCGTTATAGATATTGCAATCCTCCCTGATGGTTATAGTAGTGCTCTGGAGAAGGCAAGATGAGATCTGACTGCGTTCTCGTTCGCAGCAGAGTGAGATTAAATCTTTTTAAAGAGAAAGGGGAAGGGGTCCCGGCGGATCATCATGGCTCCATGCAGCTGAGCAGATATACTATCATCTAAATAAGGAACACGCGACAGTTATTTACAAGTTAAAATATGTTCTGTGTGAATGGAGTTGTTTCATGGGTGACCTCCATGCATGACATACGTGAAGTCTAGTATTACATCTTCGCGGAGCGGACTTATATTCGAAGCGATCCATCGAAGCGATCCAAGAAAATTTGAGACTTTGTTAAAACCAAGAGACATGGCAGGGCGCAAAGCCAGAGAGGGCTATCTCACCCTCTTAGGTGGAACTTGGGGAATCAGGAACATCGCTCGATAGGCAGGATAGTCGCTTCCGGTGCAACGCTGGTGGCTCCATTCCGTAAAAAAGCTTTTAAGACAGCCACAGAGGTGTCTAAATGGCAGTCTGGCTTCTTGGTAATGCCCGCAATCGAGGAAACCACGAGGCTCTTCTCAGCCTGGCCCGCAACCGAGTCCCTGACAAACGTTTTTAGCACCCCAGCTCCGATGGATTTACGGAAATGGAATCCCTTTTGCCTTATTGTCAGAGTTTGTCCCTCGCGGGCGCCCTAAGTTTTCTACAACAGTGAATAGTGGCCTTGAGCTGTGGTTCACGATCGGGCTGCCCTTCAACTGAACAGCGGGTCTCAACAGGTCGGGTATGTTCGAAGCTCTTTCGTAACCACGGAAGCCGTTATATCTGCTAGTTTCATTTCACCAGAATTGACTGAAGCAGACCAATTTCCTGGCCAGACTGGTAACACAAGTTTTGATTTTCGAAAAAGATCGAGCTTGCGATCGTGCTCCTGGGCCTGCCATGACGAGTTGTGGCAAAGGAGACAGAGTCCTTATCCAGCTTCAACTATGTTGCCTTGAGTAGCATCAGGATTTCACTCTACCATCTCATCAACGAATTTTCACAACGGCGGTTACAACTATTTGGTTTACCTGAAGGACGCTAAACTTAACGTTGATCCAACGATTTGGAGAAAATCTTATCTGGAGTTATCTTGCTATCGTGTGCACAGGTTGGTTGCAGCCTGGAAATTGCGGTGAGCTGTTGTCTTCGTCCGTTCTAAAGGCCGACACTGCTGTTCGCATAACATCCCTCTGGGAGGCTAATCCAGCCCTCTGGGAGCCCTCGGTTATATCCCCACCGACACACAGCAGAAACTGGGCATACAGTGCGGGGAGGGCTGGGCTATATCACCATTGGTTGCCTATACTGAACTCCACCGTGTCCCTTGCTGCAAGGAAGAGCAACTTCGCTTCTATTTCTCTTCCAAGGTGAAATCGCACATGTTTATCCCCATGGCTCGGCTTGTAGAAAAACGAGACAAGCCAGGTGATTCATTTCTGGTGTTCCGTCTCTGGCCTAATAAGGTTGCATTGCCACTAGGAACTTGCCCCGGTATTGAAGACGCTACTGCGGCATTTCGCCCGAACCGAGACGGCTCTTTAGCCGTCGTTCTCCTCAGTTGTTCCGCGGATCATCTCTCACCTACACAGTAATGGAGAACATGCAGAGCACGAATGTTGCTGGTGGGAGAGACAGTCAGGGCGCCCTGTCGCCGGAAACGGTCGACAACAACGTCTACCCGCAGCGTAGACAGTCATCGTGGGATGGTGCTCACACAGCACGAAAGAGGGTGCGTCTGGCTTGTGAAGCCTGTCGACTACGCAAGAGCCGCTGTGATGGCTCCAAACCACCTTGCAGTGGATGTCGAGATCGTCGGACGGAGTGTTTCTACGTGCCATGGAGAGCTCGCGCAAGTGTTGCCAAAGAGTGAGTATTGCCCTGCTGAGAGTGGACGGAAGAATAGATGAGATGCTTTTCGAGCCGCGCAACCCAATTCTTGTCCAAATTCAAGACAATGATGGCTAACCAGTGTCTGTGCATAAAAGATATATTGAACAACTCGAGGGCAGAAATCGCGACCTGGAAAGAAATTTACAGTCATTCCTTGGTGGCCAGAATCCCTCACAAGATGTGAGCCAGAGTAAGGTCGACGCGACGGGCGAACCTCTCTCTGCAGCATCAGTCAATCAACCGGTCTTTCCCGATCGTGGCCCTCCCATTTCGCAAAGAGGTCGCGAAGAAAACCATCCTGTCCAGAACTCGATTCCGTCTCAGCCTGTGGGAAGTAGTGATCCTGGCACTGCAGCAGCAGCGGGTGTGTTGGAAGTAGCTTCCTCGCGTGCTGTTGTTGAAGCTGCCAATACTGCTGGAACCGATTCCACGTTGCCGAGTCAACTTGCTCATGACACACTCGAAGAGAACCCGCCCAGTGGGTGGGTCGAAAACGACGACAGCGGAAACGTGAGCGATGAAGTCAAGGATGAACGAGATATAGGCGAGTCCGGGTCGACCACACATCCAGGATATTTCGGCGAGTCATCTATGGTCGCCTTCATGTCGACAGTCCGATCCAATGAGTCGGGAAACCGTGCGTCGCCGTCGGTTCGGTCGTACAGACCATCAGATGGCAGTCCGCCCGTCTCCTCGGTACAAAGACTGGCGAGGTATGTCAGTGGACGAGAACTGGACGACTGTTTGGCACTTCCCCAGCGATATGTTGCTGATCGTCTGGTTAATGCATACTTCACCTATATCGACACCATCCTCCCCTTTATCCACGAACCCAGCTTCAGGGCCAAGTACGATCGCACTTGGCAGCCTTACGCGGAGAATGCTGGATCAGAAGATGTGCGAGACCTATCGTGGCTTGCTTTGCTCAACTTGGTATTTGCTTTCGGCAGCGAATATGCTGACAGCAGCCAGCGTGGCCCTGGCTGCCTGTCCAGCTCGCGATTCTTCAAACGCTCAACAACGATACTCTTCTCCCAAGTCTTCCATTCCGCTAATCTGGAAACCATTCAGACCCTTCTTCTGACAAGCCACTATCTACAAGGGACAAACAACCTCAATAAATGCTGGAGTGTAGTAGGCCTTTGTATCCGCCTGGCGCACGGTATGGGTCTCCATCTAGACCCATCCCGGTGGCATATCAGCCATGTCGAGCAAGAATTTCGCCGGCGGCTGTGGTGGGGTTGCTATGTGGTTGATTGCATGTTGAGTCTACGCTATGGCCGACCGCCATCAGATTTGGACAAAACATCGGACGTGCGGCTTCCAGAGCTCATCGACGGAGAGTACCTGCGAGATAACGCAGCGGAATCTCGCCAGCCCGAAGGGCGGCCAGCCCGCTGCCACAGTCTACTGGTCGACATCAGCCTTTCGCGCAATATTGCAGCCATCGTACGGGAGCTCTATCTTGAATGCTACCCAAGCAATGGCACACATATTGTGAACAATGGTGGCGATGACTCGAGCAAACTTCGATCTGATGGAAGATTTCTCTCGACCGTCGTTCGCTTGGACTGTGGCCTGGTAGACTGGCATCAGAATCTACCAGCTCATCTACGGCCGGATGCTAACAACGCCGACTGGAAGCTCCAAAGACAAGCCAACATTCTATACACCAAGTACGTCACGATCCGAGTAATGCTGCATCGAAAATCATTCGTGGCCTTCCGACACAACCCACCCGAAGAGCACTTCCAGCAAGCTCTGATCATCTCGAGTGTCCGTCAATGTATGAATAATGCTCGTGAGCTGATCAATTTCCTTGACGGCTTGCAGAAAAGCAAAACGGTCAATATGTGGTGGACCGATGCGCAGTGTGAGTGGAGATTCCTACACTGTTTTCCCTCTCTTTTTGGGAGATTCTGTACTGACATTGGATGCAGACCTTTACATGTCCGTCGCCGCCCTTGTCGGCTGCCGAGCCATGGAAAGCGAGAGACGGATTGCTATCTGTGGCTCCGACAACCCTGACGCCGAGGATAAAAGCATCAAACTTGGCATCAGTCTCCTCCGCGAGATCGGTAGGAGGAGCTCCATGATCCACCGGTACGCTGAGAATCTGCAACAGCTCTTCGAAGATACAGTTGCACAAGAGGGTTATCGGATAAGCGTGTCACGAGGCTCCCAGGACGCGGAGGGCGCATCTACAGCTGCGACCCGTGCTGCCGGTAATGTTCTTTCCCGCCAACAACCGCCGAATTCCCACAGAAATCAAGGCGCCCAGGGCACACTCAATGGGTCCCGTTCGTTTTATAACGGTCACTCCAACGACGCAGTCGACGCTGGAAGTAGTGCGCCGCCTTCTGGAGCTCCTCATCCCCTGCCTGAGATGCCACTTCAGGGGGATCTGTTCTTTATGGAAGGTCTCGACGGGTTTGGTGACCAGCCAATGGGATCTCTTGGTGTTGAGTATTCAGCCATGGGCCAACCGTACCCAACGTCGGATATTTTTGCTGGTGGCGGCTTCAGCACCCTGGACATGGATTACGACACCTTTCGCATGGGCTGACAGATTGGTTGACTAGTCCGCTATGGAAAGAACCATTTGCGCGTCAACTCTCTTCCCCGAATCAACATCGTGGAAAATTGTCTGGGGGGTGGGTTTCGGGAGTATTGATAAAGAACGGTATCACAGGCCATAAACTTCTGGCTTTGGCCTGTATCTAAGACTCTATGTAGATCTGTCAGATGTAAAACTATAGTTCTTGGAGCTTAATGCATTGTTTCCCTTACAGAAGAACTTATTCTTTGCAATAACAGAACATCCGACAAGCTCAAAAGTCTTCAGGTGGCTTGGGTCTTCTATAAAACTCTCTACACAACCGACTTCACATTCCGTAGCCAGCTGGATGAGAAAGTTGGACACACCATACATCATCAACTCCTGTGACACGCGCCCCATCCGATCGGCGGTATTCTTTTCCGATCAGAGAGGATTCTGCCGCCATTTGGGACTAAATTCTCACAAAGTCAACATTCTCGTGTACCATAATCAAGATACCTACTAGGAAGCCCATACGTTAGCTACTAACGAAGCTTCAGCGAGTCTATCTATAGCACGAAGATACCGACACCTCAAAAACTACGTATTTGGGTGATACTAAGCTCGTTACAGTAGCCTATGGCACGGCTTTGACTCTTGGGAACTTCGCTCTGTCGCCGCTTGAGCCCGACACTGAAGGCCTGTAATCTGTGGTTAACTGATGGCAAAATAGTCCACAGCTATCCTTGTAGCATCTCCATATTGAGCCACTACTGTAAGCAAAATTTCCGAGTCGCCTGTGGCTCTTGATACTGGTACTACGACGGTCTGAGTATATTCTAACCCTGCCAAAGTAGAACAGAATATGTATTTGCAGCTATGGAATCTGCCTCAACTATCCATTCACGGACGAGTGCACCATACTTCCAGTATGAGGGTCAGTCAGACACCAAGCCATTCTCTCCAATGTCCTTATACCTAACACCGCCAGCGTTGACATCGCCACACGCTAAGGCGCGACTTTGTCTCCCAGCAAAGGACGACATGGTCTAAATGACTCCAACAACATAGCAAATTGTCCAGCCCATTGAGTGGCGGTCAAAGTCAACTTTTTTCCGATTCGGGCAGTAGAGCACGCGACCACCTCAGCGCTTCCAAGTGGCGAAACAATAACCTGCATAGCACTAGAGACAGAAAACTAATACCAGCCCGCAGCTTTGGGTCCGTCACAATTGGCAACCTAAATCAGAAGAAGGGGTCCTGAGAGTTCTAAAGACCAAAAGTTAGAAAGATGGGCGCGTGGCGTGGTCCCCCCAGGCTAAAATACCATGTGCGTTATACTGTACCGACGCATTGTTGAGACCAAAAGTGTAATACATCTAAGAGTTGTGGCAAAGGTGCGCGTGGTGGGACAGTACGAGAACCTATCGCCCGTTTCACCGGAATGGCACTGAAAGGTCGTTAGACATTTTGAGATGGCGAACTCGACAGTCTATTGCCTATGACCCGCCGTCTCCGTCGAAAGCAAGAACCGAGCATGGACGACCCCCTGTACGATTTCCCGTGTCACAAGGCCGTTGAAACTCTTATCGAAGCTCTCTTTGCCAAACTCCGCGGCCAAATAATGCCCTGAACGAACTGCCGTGCGCAGAGATGTTTGTGCCTCTGAAAGGAAGTCAACATCCCCGCCAATCATTGTGGCAGCGAAGATTGAGACTTCTTGTCGGACGGCACCGTCCCGATGTCCCGTATGCCCGATCCTTAGCCTCACTGGCAGGATCCCTTACCATAATATTCAGTCGTTGTCTGCTGAAGGCGCCGAAGAGTATGCACACAAATCTATTTTACGTGAGATTCAATTGATGGAGTTGGGCTGGAACAACTAGATGGTGAAGCCCTGTCCCTCCGACCTGCACACCCCAACTTCGTCTTCAACGATCACAAGTAGGTAGCAATCGGACACTTGCCGCTAGGCGGGTTTGACGTACCGAGATGTGATCGCCAAGTGCCATGAACAGATAGCAAAACTTTGTAATTCCGCCCATAGCCCGTCTTGATCGACCCTCCCATTACCTAATTCTGGAGTGAGGCAACTTCTGCACGGTATCACGCGGTAATGTTTCTAGTGAGCCTCCCCAGCTCTTAGCGCCAGCAGCCCTGGCACAAATGGTAGGTTGGGTTGATGGGTCTCAACCCGCCTTTGCAGGCACAACCAACAGGCACTGCAGTCTCCTAGCTTCGAGGCGCCCCAAAGCCAGCAATCCAGGGCGCTCCAAGCACGCGAATCTGGCACCGACTGCCGGCCTTCAGAAATTTATTTTGGGCGACAGACGGGGCGCAACAGATGCCCGTCCCACACGTTCACAAACCTCATCAAAAGGCATCGTAACTGCTATCGTGGCAGGGGGTTGTCGAATGGGTGTAAATTCGAACTGTCAATCCAGACTGAGTCCTATCGCATTACCCCGCAAGCCTCCTAGCGACAATTTGCCTCTCATCTTTGGCTTGCCAAGTTCAATGCCGGTAGAAAAATAGCGGGAATCTTAATGGGGGGGCCTGCCGTCGACGTCAGCTCAGAGATTCTGCTCCAAGGTGAGTTCTCTGTGTGGCAAGATGCGAACTCCTCTGCTCCTTTTCCCTGGATAGCCTCTGCGCTTCGGAACTCGTTCCATCCCCATTTCTGCCTTGTTACCTGCAGCAGCCGGTACACGCAGTCCCAGCTTTCAGTGACTCGAGCTTTGTGAAAGTCCTCGTTGCAGGCCGAAACGGGATCCGCAGGACGAGAGGAGGTGAACAGGCCAGTGAGCACCTTCCAGCCAAGCCACGCCATTTGTGATAGGCCATACCAATTCTTCAGGATACCCGTTGGTTCTGAGATGGAGAGGGAGGAGCTGTAGGAGGGCTGCTAGGAGCACATGGACAAGATCTTAGATTCGACAAGGATGCTGTTCTTCCCGTGGTAGTGTCAGTAGACAACTGACTTGCAGACGGAATTCCATCGGCTAAAGGGGCCTGAACATTGATGGATTGGGGGTTGATTCATTTTAGTTTCTTCCAAATGCGAGTCTTTGCTGCAGCTGCATTCTGCGCCAAGCCCGCTAGCAAGCAGCCTGCACCCAACGCCGACCAGTCACTGCTCAATCGTCATTCATTACCCTGAATCCTCAGTGTCACCGCAGGAGACGACCTTTCCCTCCGCTGCGTCCTCAGCCAAAATTAGTTCACTTACCTATCCTGACGACCTAGACCCCTCATGCCTTGCCCCTGGAGCCATCAGTCCTTGTGGGCACCGGACTGCTGGTCATGATCAAGATCGATCACCTCGAACCCTGGATGCCTCAAAGTCACTCCTACGGACCTCTCAGTGGGCTCCAACTATCTCCAACTGCTCTCAGTCCAGTCGACATGCAGTAGTGATAACCAGACGGTCGCTGGGAATGTCACCAGGGTGCGACAGACACTGGTTGTGGCAGGTTGTATACTGCAGTCGAAGCCCTATCCCAATTCAGCTCGCCAGATTGGCAGGGCTCATTTTCGGTCACAATAGTTAGGGCACTGCAAGAGAAGCTCGGAAAGGGGTCCCGCAAACCTTAAGCACAACGGACCATCCATGTTTCTGGGCGAACACTAAGGCTTAGCGAGCGCTGGGGTGTCCGTGAGTTTCTTTTGGTGTCACAGCTGGATAGACCGGACAGGCCGCTCCAATCCTTGCATTGAAGATACCTCTGTCTGCTCGTTCTGCATAGCTCACCAGAGCCTTGCCTCCAATAGCCTCGAAGCCCACAACTACCACAGGAATCTTCCATCATTCATCTGCATAGCGTGAAGCTGTCGTTGGCGCCACCATCGGGATGTTCAGCTTGCTGGAGGAGACAGACGTCACAATCCCAGCGAGGACTCTTATTTCATGTCGTCGCCACCTGGGGGCTCTATCTACCTCTTGTATGCTACTCCTCATAGCTCACCGTATTAATTGAGCGTTCATTACGGCCAGAAACAGAGATCGTTTGCATGCAGAGTATCTGTCGTGATCGAATGATCCCAGCTACAGATTCGGGAAACTTTTACAACGTTGTGCACCCCGGATTTGACCTAGCAATATGTGCCACTTTGAAAGGACTGACTTCCAATGCGGAGACTTTCGTTGGGGAAATATGAGATTCCGTTGCGCACGACAGCAACGCATTGGAGAGAGATGCCCTGCCACTCTCCTTGACCACACAAATCTTGTTAAAAAGAACAACGAATCCTGTACGATATGCAAACAGATCGCGGTCAAGTCAAGAAGGCTGAAGAGAGAAGAAGAGAAGATCAAGAGATGGCAGTCTGAGGGCAACCAATACCCGCAAATCATGATCAAAGCACTGGAGATTGCAGAACAGCTTCGACGAGACATTGTTGAGTTGCAAAGTAGGCGGACGTCAGTTCGGTTGAGCCCCAAAGAAGGCCGCGGCACCTCTTTCCGTGGAGTACGCCTCCCGGTTATCCAGCTATAGGGGTCTCTCTAGAAGTCAATGTCACCAAGGACAACTTTTGCCAGACCTTAGGCTGTCGTCGGTGTGAGACTCATTGGCGATCAGGCGACCTCTGAGCTAGGACAAGGTGTGAGACAATGATTTCCAGACTGTACAGGGCATGAGCGAAAGATCAACAAGATGTCCGATGTGGCAACCGTTGGACTGCAGGTCTCGACGAAAGATACGTTGTTATGTGGAATGTTGTAACGGAACGATCAAGCGACAAACAACCAAGTTGGAAACACAGTCAAGCTCTTCGAATACCACCGGTCGATAGTGCTGACAAGTGGCCTTGTTGGGGGGCATGTGACGGGGAATTCGGAGCACCCAGGGATGATATTGAAAATTATTTGTTGAGCTATTGGAACACGTTGCTGGTATAATAGGCGTTCGTCTTCCTACTTTGCCATTGAAAAGATTATTGTTGTGATGGGTTTTTTTTGGGGTCCTTGTCTTCTCATCTGCTGGGACAGAGTGCTGGAACAGTTGAATCAATTCATGATAATTCCGCAGGAGAACTTGAAGCGCTTTTAAGATTCGACTCCGGCATTGACTGACTCGTGAGGCACGTTTTGACCGTCGACGTTCTCGGAAATGGCTTAGGCTTTCGGCGGCATTATGTCGCGATAGTTGCCCTGGTTCACATGGAACTAAGCTGACGACAACCCGCATTTGTAGACAAGTGCAACACTCTCCTTCCTTCTGGCTCCTGATCGTCAGCCGTGCAAGTCCAGCAGGCATCGAATGCTGCTCTCGGTGCGGGTGTTGCGAGAAGTCGAAACCAATTTGGATTGTGACACGACCAGGCTAGGATTTCAGACCGGAAAGCGCAGTTGAGAAGCATTACCACGTCATTGCTTGAAAAGAATCCTCCACGTGCCCACCATCGGCAGCATTGCCTGGTAGTGTAGATATATAACCTGGTGAGAGTACAGCGAAGGCAGTGCCAGTGCACACGGAGTACTTGTCACCCGGGGGCATGAGCTTTCGTCACAAGCTAGGTAGGCAGTCAACATCGAACAGTCCACTTCTAATCTGTTGGCTGGTCTAGCAGTTGTCTGTTGTCTTAGACCTTGATAGTAAATGGATCCCGGACCTCGTCGCTTAGGTCAACCATGACGTTCTTGAGCCGCGTATATTCCAACAGCGCTTCCGTGCCACGCTCCTTGCCATATCCGCTCTGCCCGTATCCGCCGAAAGGGGCCATGGCGGCACCTGCGCGGTAGGTGTTGATCCAGATTTGACCTGCCTTAAGTTGACTAGCCATCTTGTGGGCACGTCTGAGATTCATCGTCCATATGCCGGCGGCGAGACCAAAGATGGTGCCATTTGCAATCTTGAGCGCCTCCTCATCGGAATCAAAGGGGATTACAGCAAGGACGGGACCGAAGATTTCTTTTTGAGCGAGGTCGCTGTCCGAGTCGACACCCCCAAAGACCGTAGGAGCGACGAAAAGCCCTCCAATCTTTTTGCTTGCTTCTCTTCCTCCAGCCAGCAACTTGGCTCCATCCTTCTCGGCTTTTTCAATGTGCCGATGTATTGATTCCCATTGTGCGGCATGTGCAGCCGGTCCAATGTCCGTGTTCATGTCCTGCGGATCGCCGAATCTGATCGTTTTGATCCTCTCCAATATGCCCTGGACCACAGTATCGTACACTGAGCGATGAACAAGTAGACGTGAACCCGCGATACACGTCTGACCCGATGCAGCAAAAATGCCCGCAACACTTCCCGGGATAGCCCGGTCCAGCTCAGCATCATCCAAGATGATGTTAGCCGATTTTCCTCCGAGTTCGAGTGTCACAGGAACAATATTTTGTGCGCCTTGCTGAGCGACTATGCGCCCAATATCGACGCTGCCTGTAAAGCTTATGCGGCCAATAGCGGGATTCGTCACCAGTGCTCTGCCCACTTCTGCCTTGCCGACCACGACATTGAATACACCGGGCGGGAATCCTGCCTTCTCCACAAGCTTTGCAAAGCAAAGCGTACTCACTGATGTATATTCTGAAGGCTTGACAACACACGTGTTTCCTGCTGCCAAGCACGGGGCCAATTTGTTGGCAAGAATAGCAATGGGACTGTTCCACGGAGTGATCAAAGCGCAGACGCCATAAGGCTCGCGCATGGTATAGTCGAAAATCTGTGGGTTGTCCATTGGCTTCACCTCGCCGGTTAACTTGTCAGCCATTCCAGCAAAGAATCGGTAGTTTCTGGCTGAAAAGAACATCTGGCTCTTTGTCTCGCGTCGAATCTTGCCATTGTCGGACGTCTCGATCACGGACATTTCCTCGGCTTCCTCCTCAATCAGATCGGCCAGCTTGTTCAGTAACTTGGCCCTCTGGCCCCCAGGGACTTTGCCCCAGCTTTCGAAGGCCACCTCAGCGGCGCGAACTGCGGCCTGCACATCTTGGACAGATGCCTGTGCTACCTTCGCCCATGGCTCATTGGTGTACGGATTGATGGTGTTCTCACTTGGCAGGCCGCCAGGGCATTCTTTGCCGTTGATGTAGAGCTGATATTCCCGGACCATCCTTACTGTAGTCTAGTAGATCGGTGCAGTTGGAACGATAAATCTCAGGCTATATGAGGCGCCTTCAGAAAATCTAACAGCGGTGGTGCTAGATGGTCTACTTGTATCCCGTCGATATTGACCACGGACGTCAACACTCCGCAGGAACAACTAAGTACCGAGGTCGTCGACGCAACGAATCTCCAAGCGGAGCGCATTCTCCTCAGAGGACGGAGGGTGGTTGTCCGGTGAGGGGAACGGAACTGATGATTTACTCCAGGAGCTGGTAAGTGTTTGATGCCTTGAGTGCACTGTGTTGGCGCAATACATATTCATTAGGTACCAGAATGCCAGATGCGGTGCGAAGTAGCCCTGAGGCGAGAGTCGAGAGTCGAAATGAAATGAAAGGTTGGCCGTAATGCTGCCTTGGGTAACAAGGAAGTTTGGCGCCCGGGTACTTATTACCCGCGGGTAGGGGCTAGCGAGGCTAGCGAGGCTCAGTAGGCTACTAGGCTATTGAGCTTAACTAGACCATCAGAAACTTAGGCTGTGTAAAGTCGAGCTTCGGATTGGGATAGAAGTCTAGGATCACAAAATCGGCCGAGGCGCTCCTCTTACCCTTCACGAGAACCTCTGATTTGGGAGTCGTCATTGATGACCTCGAAAAATCTGCCGTTTTAGGGCCTGTGCTGCCCAAGACAGCTGCTTGGCTCAAACCGAGGTCTTGTAAGAGCTGGAAATACCATGAGCTTGCGAGCAGAGTAAAATTTGACCTTGGCTCACGCCTGGACTACATGCTCTCCGTGCATTCTGGTGGTGACCCGAGGAGCCTGGCGCTCTCATGACTGACAAGCAAAGCTCGCCGTTAGATGGGCATTGACATTCGCTCTGGGTGAGACACTTCTGCTACTCGCAATATCTACAGAGCTACTGTATGTCCTCCAGCTGCCTGTCCCGCCGTGCGTCTCTTCTCCAGATGCCTCCATCTTCACTTACTCTCAAAACATCTAATGAAGCCCGTGATACATTTCTGCAGAGCGGACACTTGTCGACGGTTGAAATAGTGGCATCGGATCCTGCACTCTGATCAATGTGAGGAGCGGATTCAACAATACATATTCTTATTGGAAGTGCTGGTGAGATTCTCGTTCACCAAAAAAAATCCGTTAGCTTTTCTCAACAAGCTCAAACACATTGGCCAAGACCGATATCTCCCCCATTGCGGGCTTCCGAAGTGATATTTGAGGCCTTGTCTTCACTGGTCCATCAGATCTGCTCTCCTTGCACTCTGCGAGGCTGGATCTGGAGGGGGTTTTTACAATGGGCGAGAATCGATGCGTCTTATTCAGCTCGTCCATCAACTCACCACAAGTTTGACTACTGTCGACCCGGAAGTTGATGATTTCTATTTTGGCAACACCCATCGAGATGATCAAGACAAGTCAAGATCTGAGTACTTCCTCGCAGCAACCTCGTCACACCTCTTCCTGTAACCCGGAGCAGGTCCCATATATCGTGCAATGGTCCTCTTCTGCTTATGAGCAAGATTCTTGTTGATTCCTGTCATCCAAGAGTCGACCTCATTCGTCAGAAGGCCCACGGAGCATTGGTGGACGTGCTCGGTCCACTCTTCTACACCTCTTTCAGTGGCTTCGATTCGCGTAATATTGTTTTCTCGGCAATAACGTATGCAGTCAGCGATCCAACCGACCGCAAATTCAATGCTTCGAGGTATATTGCCAAACATCTGATGAGGTCCCATGACCATCATCATGTTAGGAAAACCATGAACGAACAGACCCAGCTGCGTACGAGGGCCCTCGCTCCAGACGTCGTTCAGTTTCGTGTTGTCAACCCCCTGAAAGTCGACGGCCGTGAAACATCCCGTCACAGCGTCAAATCCAGTGGCGTATATCAGGATATCGAGCTCGAATTCTTCGCTGCGCGTCTTCACCCCTTTCTCTGTCACCCGCTCGATTGGATCCTCTCGGAGGTCGACCAGCCGGACATTATCTTGGTTATACGCTTCGAAATAATTAGTCTCCATCGGTATCCGCCGTGTTCCCCAGCCATGGTCTTTGGGAATGAGCTTCTCTGCCGTCACGGGGTCTTTAACCCTTTCTCGAATTTTGTTTGCAAAGAATTCGCTGCAAATAGCATTTGCCTCCCGGTCATATGCAATGTCCGGAAAATTGCTGACCCATTTGGCAAACCCTGGTCGCGAATATATGTCTTCCCAGTGTGCTAGTCTGTCTGCCTCGGATACTTCGGTCGACTTCCTTGGCTCCGCTGGGTGTAGAAAGCAGGTGGCTGACTCTTTACACTTTTTGAAAATCTCAGGATATTGCTTGCGGATTTCGTCCATCTCTGCTGGGGTGATTTTGGCGTTACGGAGTGGAGCGGACCAATTCGCTGTTCGTTGAAATACCGTCAAATGACCCACGGTTTTTACAATCTCTTGGATGATTTGTATACCTGTGGCTCCTGTACCTATTATCCCCACCCGTTTGCCTTGGAGATTTACTGGTTTTCGAGGCCAACGGGCGGTGTGGAAGGCTTCTCCCTTGAAGTCACCGACGCCGGGAATGTTAGGGAGGGTGGGCTTATTCAAGATGCCCATTGCAGTGATCAGGAATCTCGAGGTGTATCGGTTACCCTTATCATCCGTCAGTTCCCATGATCGGCTGCTGTCGTGGTAATGGGCTGATTTGATTTCGGTGTTGAACTGCATATCTCGTCGCAGGTCGAATTTGTCCGTCACGAATTGAATATACCGCAACGTCTCGGGTTGAGGGGCGAAATGCTCTGTCCAGCTCCATTCTTCGAGCACCTCCTGTGAGAAGGAGTAACTGTAAGAATAACTTTCAGAATCGAAGCGTGCACCAGGATATCGATTCCTGCGGACATCGTTAACCTCTACCCTCTCCCTGACTTTCATCCGGTAATACGAACCAATACCACGTCCCTCCCTCACCTGTACCAGCCTCGAGGACTCTGGTTTTCAACCCCAGCTCCCGCATTCGGTACAGGGAGTATATCCCACTCAGCCCGGCGCCTATGATCAGCACGTCGAAGTCGAGTTCTGTGGCCATGTTGGAAGAGTCCAGTTCACCCATGTTGATCCGGTTGATCGTTTTCGATGTTGCACCCGATGGTTGAGGGAATCAGTGCACTGGCGATGAAGAGGACGGCAAGGGTCATGATTGTTGCCATATTAATACCGCACTTCTCCGCGCACAAGATACACCTGCCGAGGCTCTCTATTCTCCATAGCGTGTTTTGGTGGTGCGGAGTGAGGAGAGTCCAGCGATAAGATATGCGCGGAGTCGTCAGGAGATGTCAAGATATCGTGCACATGATCAGTCGACTGGTGCTATGAGAGAAATTCTTCTTGAGGCAACTTCATGATTCAATATTTGTTGAAATTCTGAGGTTCAGGGTCGTACCGGTAATCGGGCACCCACCTACTCAGTTCCCACTCACATGTTGAGAATTGTCTGTCGAATTTGTAGGCGTCTGGCCGGACGCCTTCTTAAACAATGCTTCCGACATAGGATATGGCATTTACAGCTCCAAGATGGCAGAAGGATCTGCGTTCTCGATAACCTCGTAACCATTTGTATAGTGTTGTCCGATCCTGTCACAGAGATGGAGATTCCGAACATCCTAGGTGTGCCTGCAGCCTATGACGACTTCAATAGAAGGAGAAGAAAATGAAATCCTCGATATGCAGCTCCTTTCGGCCTCTTCTATTAATATGTACTTTGGCCAAGCAAGCTACGGGGTTCTCGCATGGCGCTGACAGACCTTGCTGCGCGTGTCTCTCGTTTCTGAGTGTACGGATAAGCCTCTGTCATAAGAGGAGAATATGTAAGAAGGTTTGCTCCAAAGAATGGCTACAAGTGGCTACTGTCAATAATTTGGACGAAGGTGACTCTTGTGGCTGGCCTTCAGAGAGGGGAAGGATTGATGTTTTTCATCACCGGCCAGGGCCAACGCCACCTTATCACCAACTTCGAATTGACTCTCTGTCAGGGAGACAAGGACAAGAAAAAGATGTCCCAAGAACAAGGAGGTCGATAGATAGGGTGAGAGCAATGCACGAAGACGGCGGTCCCGTCCCCACGAATGACTCGAATCACTTCGAGCCTCCCCGACGCTTGTAAACTCTGAAGAAGCAAACCATTGAGCCTCGAGAAACCAGTGGGCGGAAACCTCCCGCATCGAGGAGGTAGCACTGGAGAAACCCCTCTGATAGCTCAAACTGAGCCCACTTTCTATCACCTTATCTCGTCTGCTGTCTGATAAACGGTGGATTTTGCCAGAAGAGAGATATTAGATAATGTACTCTTCCATACCACCCATCCAACTGATGACCTAGCACTTAGACGGAATTCCCAGTCGTTGTTATGTAAATCCATTGGCCGGCCGCGACACTTCCTTGGAGTTCACGACTGACTCGACGACAAAAGTACTAGCGGAGATAGTCCGGCTTCGTGGCGCTGTACAAACTTTAAGCCAGAAACCAGAACTTTGGGCGAGACGGTTATCATTCATCGCCGTATTCGTACTTGAAATCGCCTCTCTCTGGAAAGGATGGTCTCGGCGAACTCACTAACGCTTTCGCTCGGATGTTATGAATTCGTTTAACCTCGGATCACACTCTCTCGCATCCAGCATAGTGGCCACCGTGGCTGCCATGAGCGCTTCGTCAGGCGACTTGAACATCAGCGACCACTGGAAGGGCGGCCTACAGTACTAGCTCCAGGTCTGGGCCCGTCTGGAGCGATGTGGACTGGAAGCTGAAACCTGGGGCTCCATCGTGGGGGTTCACAGCTGTTGGTTAGGTCCCTAAGGCACGCCCCGGAGTCAGGACTTCCGCCACAGAAGCGAACACCACCTTTAGTCACTGTTGGGGGTGTAATTGCGGGTTCTCAGAATGGGGAACGGAAAGCGGGCTTTCTGGGAGGTTCAAATTTCAGGACGGGTGAGTCCATTGTTTTGAGTGGTATATACACATGATTGACCAAGAATTGTCTTACACCGGGACGCGCATTGGGGACTGGGGATCTGGCTAGGCTTCCTTTTCAGCGACCGGGGTCACCACTTCAGAGCCCTCAACATGCGCTGCCTCGTGTTTAGTAGTACCGGCTGGCACCCCTGCTTCTGTCGCTACCTTGTGGAGTGTTTCTTCGCCACCTCCCTCAACCGTGTTGCCAGTGTGTACATCCACAACCAGGTCGTGCGTGCGATGATCGATATGGATATCCTCTGAGTAGACCATCACCTCCTCAGTATCACCAAAGACAGCTGCTATTTCCTCCAGAGGCACTCCCTTGGTCTCGGGGAGCAGGAGGAAGGCGGCGATGCCACCGAGGCCTGAGATGATGATGAAGACGAGGAAGAACTTCCAGCCAATGTTCGCGAATGCCGTCGCCGTCACTTGGAGGTAGACGAGATCGGTCAGGGCAACGGCAGCAATAGACATTGCCACACCCTTGGCCCGGAGATGGTTCGGGAAGATTTCGCTGTAGAAGACAACGCCCGCAACATCAATGCCGCATCCGTAGAACAAGAGGAATATGTAGAACATAGCGACACCTGCCCGCAGCGCGGGAAGATTGGGCGTTGCGGGAATCGGGCTAGCGAACGTGGCAATGATAGCCGCCTCTATGATCAGACAAGCACAACAACCGAACACGCCCGTTAGCATGAGAACACGGCGGCCCACCCGGTCCATGATTACCGCACCTGTGGCAAGCGATTAGTTTTGAATGTGGCTTGATTGACTTCCACGTTGCTCTTACCGAGAAGATTGGCAGGTGTGCCCATCGTGATCCATCCGCACTGGAGCTTCAATTGATCCAGAGTGTCGTATCCAAGAGCAGCGTACAGGGTAGGACCATAGTTGTTGATAACCAGGACAGCGGTAGACTGTCCGATGAAAGCAAAGCCACAAGCCAAGATCGTGCGCTTCCGGTATGACTTTTTGAAGAACATGGCACGGTACGTAGGGGTGAGGGTTCGATCGAACTCTGCCTGTTTCTGCATCTGGTAGAACTCGCCGCGAGCATATTCCTGGTCTGGGTCGCCGGGCACTTGGTGCAGATCCATGACGATCTTGCGGGCCTCTTCGACTCGGCCTTTCATCAACAGATATCGTGGAGACTCTGGTGCCCATAGAATGACAAGCAGCTGGAGAGCCGGGAAAATGAGCGCCAGACCAAGAGGTCCTCGCCATTGCGCGTCTGGGTCATTCTGAACGTAGTAGAAAGCCAGGCCCATGTATGAGGCAAGCGAATAGCCTATGGTAATGCCCATACCGTTCATGCCGACAAAGAACCCTCGTAGCTTAGGTGGTGCCAGTTCGGCCGTATAGACAGGTGCTAGAGAGCAGTGAGCGTGGCACGCACCCAGCCGGGAATGGTTTTGGACAACGTACTCAGCGCGAGGAATCCCCATGATCCAGCCCCGGCGATCAAGCGGAATATAATGAACATGGTCGTGTTGACAGATCCAGTCAGACCGGCGCCGCCGATGAGACTCATGATCGCGCAAAAAACCGTTCCTGCCTTACGTCCCCATTTGTCCATGATGAAACTTCCGATGATGATGCCCAGGAAGGCTCCGGCCTGTAAGTGTCAGCGAAGCCATGCTTGAAGATATCGCGAGCTTCTCACCTGGAAGACGCCAGACATGGCACCGATCAGGGAGTTGGCGTCGTGAGCCAACTCTCCGGTCTCTGCGTCGATGAGCTTCATATAGGTCAGGAACGACGGCTGGGCAAGAGTGACGCCAATGATCGAGGCAGGGTATCCAAACGCCAGCTGGCCAAAGCCAGCGATGGCGAAACAGATCAAGAAGTTCCTCCAGTTCCATTGCCGGTCCTGTCCAAACCCCTTGCCAGCCCGAACTTCCCTGGCATAAGTTGTGTTGCGGATCGCCATTGTTGTGATGGTTGGGAAACAGCCAAGCAGAACTGTGACGTGAAATCAAAGGGATACCAAAGGATATTTGGATGATTTCAACCCCGCTTGAACCATTACCTCGGGCCTTGGTTTAGTCTAGTGCTAGCCGAAAGATTGTCGAAATCGAGCCGATGCAAAGTGTTACTTGTACCTGCCCACGCCTGCTCATTATCAGTAAACCGAAACGCATGACCTGGGGAAGGTGGATCTCATACCCCGGAAAATTTCCGGGGTATGTTAGCGCCCCCACGGCGATTGCGGGGCTCCCACCAAAACTACCATGTGCTTAGTGCCCACCCCCTATCTTGGGAAGATCTAGGCGATGTCTTAGAAGGTCCCATTGTGCGCAGTATCCATGACAATCCCAAACAAGCTCCAAGAAGCTTCCCCAAGAAACTTGGATTCGTGACTTATGGCAACAACAAATCAGTGGATGAAATTATCTTCCTTATCTTCAAACTCCGCGTATGGTCCGGGAGATTACGCAGCACGCCACCAAAGATGATATGGTGTCCTAGCAAGCCGCATGGCAAATCAGGGTCATCGTCTGAACACTGTGGCTGCCTGTTTTGCTGAGGTCGCGAGGTCCTCGATATAGTTTTGGGCAAGAACTTCCGAGCCAAGGGGTTCGTTTTTCGCCACCAACGACACGGTAATATGATATATAATCTAATAGTGTTCAAGGTCGGCATGTGAATCGCTGGTGGTGATCACCGGGAATCTCAGGAATTAGGTTAGCAGGCTTCCTTTGCCGGCCTGGTGCTTACAGGTGCTCGGATTCCACAACCTGCAGAAAGTCTGATTGAGGAGATTTCAGTCTGCCTGCAGGACGCAGTAATGCTTTATTGGCCTCACCTTTGAACCAGCTAAGAGTAGCGTATTACTCGGGACTGATGGAGGCTATAAAAAATCTGAACAGAACTCACTGCCTCAGTTGTGTCTCCGTTCACTCAGGACACATGCCGCTGATTTCTCCAGAATTGACGACGAGTCATTTGAGGAGGCCCCAGAAACTGATGAACAAACACCACTAGGCTTCTTCTGGGCAAAATATACCGAGATCAACAGTAGCAACATACGTCTTCAGCGGTTGCCAGCGAGAGCTTAAGCACTGAAAATTGTCATCACGATCCCTGATACGGCGGAACAGAGCATTTTGCGATTCCTGGGAGAAAGTTTACTCCAAAGTTGGAGTGGGCTTCATTGATGCTTTTATCCAAACGGTCCAAGAGGAATGAAAACTCCAAGACGAATCTTGGAGACGGTGCCTTTAGTCGAGTTTCTCATCTTCTAGCGACAAGGACAGCATAGATCTTTAGTTTAATAGGGCAAGCCATATTTTCTAGCCCCTGCTTCGCTCGGTGTCTAGGCCAAAGACGTTTTCTCCTTCCTCGGTCATTTTTCTCGTCATCTCTGGGCTCTCTCATGGGTGAGCTCCGAAGAAGTCGCCTAGCCGACGCGTTTGAAAGGGATGTCTTCATAGATATCTTAGGTCTAGCAGCAGATAGGGCCGCTCATGGATACCCAGGGTAACCGGTCGGCGGCTAGAAGGTCGTAGGGACACCAATGTCCGAAAACGTAGGCGTTTGGCTCTGGGGCTGAGTTGGGAAGAGCCGTGTCCCAGTTTGTTTGCGTTACGTGAGCTGTTCAAGCGTCCACGCGTTGGCAGTCGCTTCCTCTGGAGAAGCTGTGGCAGAGGGGAGGCGGATTTCTGCATTGTGGTTGGCACCCACTGACTCCTGGACGCACTGTCCCGTTCTCCTTTGTCACTACGCCTTGCTGATATTTTTGACGGTGTTCCTCAGGTCTCCGCATCTCTATACCTTAATCAAGTGCCTTTTGATCCGATCCACCGAGCTGTTTATGAGATTGAACGCTCGACCCTGACTTGCTGGAGGGTTCGGCGCTATTCTGTCGCGGATTTCGCATGGACTTCAACGATCATCGTAGTAGAGACCTCGATGCAGAAAGTATCTCTCTGTCCCGGCCTACACCTCCGACGACCCGCAGTCAAGGGATAACAGACTGTGCTCAATCCATTGGAGGCGTAGTAGATGGGTTGCGTGAGACTTTCGCTTATGATCGGATATCTTCGATTGGACACGGCCGCGCTTTGGCTAAGGCTCTGAGTTGTGGTGGGTTGACTCGCACTCAGCTTGAATCTGGCTCGGAGTTCAAGGATTGCCTTTGCCATCTCTTGAAGAGACTTCAAAGAATGGAACGAGAGTGCTGAGGTCAGTGCTATCACTGGAATAAACCAAATGAGGATAGAATCTCGTGCCGAGAAGCATCAGCACAAGAACCACACCGTACCTCGATGAAACAAGGGGCGAATAGCGCAGTATAATCGGTGTTGTTTATGAATACACAAGAGGAGAGCGGCGATCTCATTTCTCAATTGACGCTGAAGTCCGCCTGCGTTTTGTCACTAGACTGTGATGGCTTTCAGTTTATTGCCCCTGATGAACCTCTCTCATCAGTGTCGAAGTCCTGAACCTTATTTTTGGCATCATTCCAGCTCTTGGAAGATGGCAGCGGCTCAGCCGTGTCTCCACGATTGCCGAGTCGAGGCCATTCATCCTTTCAGCGCCAGCGACTTTCTCTTAGACGGACTGGACTCGATCTTTGGAGTGGGCCTCGGTGGTTTACCTGTAGGTAAAGCGAGTGGGCAGGGATCTGCGACGAGGACACTCTTCGGTGCGGGAATCCAAGCGTGTGGAGTGAAGCAGTTGCGTTGACTCACAGAGCTTTTATACTTCAACATAGATAGATATTCACGCCGGTACCCATAGCTTCGGATACCCATGTGCCGTCTTGGAGCAGAAATTATTCCCCCTGTTGATTCAAACTGCGCGAGATCTGCGGTGTTCGACTTATGCGCTTGTCTTTCGGTGCAGTAAATCATCAGTCGCTCTGAATATTGTAGCTCCATTATCCGCGCAGTTGCCCTAAAGTTATCAGGGAGATTTTCGAAAGCCGAACTCAGTCGAAAATAACCCGACTCCGAGTGGATGTGCCTTCGTTCGGCATTGCGCGTCCAACTCAGGCAGCTCTGAGTGAGCTTCTATGAGTTGCTGTGCAAAGTAGACATATATCAGTTTGAGGATCAAAACTCAGGCACGCTCCTTTTCTCTCTGCTCTTCCTTTTTAAGCTTGCCAAGGGATCGCTACCTTTTGTGAGAACATTGAGCAGGAAACAAAGGAAACCGCCATCCATCCTCTCTCCCACAGCAGGTAGAACACTCCTCGGATTCAGTGGTGTTTCGCGAGCTGATTGCAGCCATTTCATCGTGCCAAGGGCTGCAAGGCTCATGTTTCCTCCTGCTTGCCTTGGTGAACAGTGAAGTGGTAGGCAAGTGAAGGAGAGGTTGTGGAAAGATTGGACAACTATGGCAAACCTGCCAAGGCGGAATGGGCTGTGGTCTCACAACAATACCGAGGCTCAATGTAGTCGATGGGCTGTGAGACGGTTATCCGGTATCTTGAGAAGTACTGTCCTCTTCCCATCGCTTTTTATTTCTTGTTTGTTATTCAAGAACGTGCTGGGCGAAGTCTGAGTCTCTGGCAGGGCTTCGAGTTGTCCTTATATCTGCCCTAGCTTTACAGCAATGCGTACCTAGGAATAGAGGGAATTGCTGGTGTCTCGGCAACAGTCGGGATCACTTCTCTGAACAACTTCGACTCGAGACTGGAACACGCTTGAAAAAGATACATTCGGCATCATGATATCTGAAATTCACCCCGACTTTGACATCCCCTGGTGCAAGAGCCTTCTAAGCTCCGATATCTCTATTGTCGAAGTACCTTTTCAGCACCCATCACGCAACGACATTCCCCTGAACAAAGATGTCTCCAACAGTATGTTCAGAAAGACCCTCTATACGGCCGACGCCATCCGCGCCCAGATCAATTTCAAACGACATACGGCTGAACCAGACGCCATTACTCCGTGGGAATTCTGCTATCTCATGTCTGTGGGCTCTGGAATCGACGGCAAGTCAGGTCGCGCGCACGGAGGATTCAACGCATTGATCTTAGATCAGATAACAGGCACTGTGGCGTCAATGGTGTCGGGGAGCTTTGCACCCGCAACAGCCACCATGACAGTGGACTATAAAGCACCGATTGATACACCCTCTGTGGTGCTCTGCCGCTCGTGGGCGGTCGAGCGACAGGGAAGGAAAACATGGGTTAAGGCCAGGATCGAGGATGGTCAGGGTAAACTCCTTGCAGGCGCGAAGTCTCTATTTATTGATCCGAGACCGCAGAAAATATAGAACCCCCACGGGCCATTTAGAATTTAGAATCACCATAGCCTTTCCTCGAAAACATCTGGGGACGGAAAACACTCCTCAGGCCGACAGGGACATGTCTTGGGATGGATATAGAGAGCATTTCATGTCCTGATCATCCGTAAATGGCGGTAGTTCTATACGCGTATATGTTTGTTTGATCTTCACAAGCTCGCCCTCGATAAGGCGAGAAGGCGAGAAGGATATCGCACCAAACACGATGCGTGTCATTTAACCAGTCAGACGGCGATAATTTCTCTCGTTAGGTAAGCCGACCGGTGCCGGCCACCTGGGTGCCGGCCGTTGCGAAGATTGACGTGTATCCTGCGGCGCAGTCATCACTCACAACATGGCTGTCCGCCTGGTTGGCTTGAAAACAATTGTGCAGTCTACTTCATCCAGCGGTGCTCTCTTTACTTCAAGAGTATCACGACTTTTGTTTGTATTACACAACCGTTCTCACCAGTGAATTCATTGATACCGTCTCCCAATGTGCGACACTTAAGTCTTCCAGGGACAAACCTCGATTGATCCTCGTTTCCTTATACCTGCTCTCAATTCGAGACTGCCGTCTCGATTCCCGATTACTCGATGGTCAAGAACATGAAAAGAAAACAACGAGAAATTCAAAAGGATATGAGATAGCAAGACAGCGCGAGACTCGGAATATCAAGTCGGCAAGGTCACCAATACAAAGCATGCCAAACGTCGAGGTGTCAAGTGCTCTTTCCTTGCTCAAGTTGGATGCATATCTTGTCCTGCGTTCGCCTTGACACCTCAACTCCGATATTTCTTGTCCAATATGCTCCTGCACGGTAGCAAAGCATAACCACGGAAGCGAATGGCTACATCCAGGTGTCTACTGCTACCCAGTTCAACAGCCCAGTTCGACGTTTTCAACGGCTCCTTATCAGTTCACTGCACTACGGTCCCATCCAAGCACAAGAACAAAATGCCATCATGTTGCCACTCTAAGCTCGCCTCGACTGTGACAATACTTCTCGTCAATGGCGGCGATAACACGGTCTTACGAACAAGTTAAAAGTCGTCCCAGAGTATTGGCGGTAATGCTGGTTCCTCATAAAGACCTACAGAAGCGTGTTCCAAACCAGGGGGGGGGGGGGGGGGGAGAAGTCTCGCAGAAGTCTCGGCGTTCGACGCAACTCTAGTTCCTTCTCAGCGGACCGAGATATCACCAAGCGACTTCCTTTTTCCCACAGCGACTATTTCACAGGAACTCTCGATTGGCTTGCAGGATGTACTGGTATGCCCTCCGGAAGAATATGCTATGTCGACTACATGGTGAACCCGTTCCACTTCCTCGGAGGTCTCGGCCTTTTAGTGCACCATTTGTGGATGCCATATTCTCGACCCTACCAGTGATTCTTGTTCCTCTGCATGTTCAAAGCTCTGTTGAGCTCACGGGATTGATCAGCAATCGCCGGCCTTTTGGCCAACGCCGTGCGATCAAAACATAAGATCTTTCGGATTGTCTGGGACCCGACGAAGACTCACAGTGCAGTCACAATCCCAGACGCTCTTATGCCTAACGAGTCTTCAGTTCGAGATGCGAAGAATGGGGTAACTCATTCAATAAAGTATCTAAGACGGTATAAGTTCGACTCCTTCGTTCTTATCTTTAGCGTAATTGACTGGGGTGATGTGACGGTCGACGTGATCTGTGGCGAACTTCCTTGAGAGCACCAAGAACTTTGGTCTTCATCTGTACTATGGCACTCTTCGATCGGTGGGGTCGTATCTCATGGTAAGGCCTGGCGGAGCTTCCACTAGAGACTCCAAGTTTACAGAAGCAGGACTATCATCCTTCTCCAATACAGTCTCTCGAAAAGCGACATTCTTCGTCGAGCAGACATCAGGTGCCAGCAGCTCATCATTACCATTTTTTTGACAGCTCAACTACCTGGGCTATAAAGCGATTGCACGATCAGCGGTCACACCTGCAATTTAGTAGGACTTGCTTAGCCTTGGTCGCGATAAAGCTGGGACGTTATAGTCAACGGGTTCCCGCCATCCCAGGGAAGATTACATTTGCGAAATCAATGCCCATGGGGTCTTAGACAGGGAGTGGTCGCTCTCAGTGTCCCAAGTTTGAGGCAAACAAGCAGCCAAACCACGGTGAAAAGCAGGCGATTCTGCAACTAAAGATATTTCTGCCTTGTTTTCATCCAGCGCATGGTTACTGCGGCAGATCAACTGGATCTATAGCCTCATCCAGTCTGTTTTGCCGGCATACACTTTTTGAGCAAGGATTTATCGTCTATTGCTGGCCTTATGTAATATGCAACTGACTCTCGAACAGTGATCCGACTTCTACCATGTTTCTCATGCTCCTAGAAGAAATTTTCGCAAATAGCCCAAGTATACATACCGCGCTGAGTACATGAAAGAACTGGATCGAGGGAAATCTCCGAAGCTCGAATATTGATCACCACTTATGTGAACAAGTGCCGGCGTGTTCGAATTGTCACGATTTTCGATCACGGTAGACTGACCGGCACAAAGCGATCTTCGGCAGTTGAATAAGAACATCTCCGGGCTCAAGCCATAACGGAATGCTCTCTGAGACAAGAAAATTCTGGCTATCGCATAAGCCATAGACAAAGGGAAACAATAAGCAACGCCCCGAACTCATCAAACAGTTCGGCCACATCCTCGAGATTTCGAGAGGTCAGACTATCTCATTTATGTTGACCGCAACAGGGGTTGGCTGTGTACACTTCTCCCAGATGTGTCCATGAACAAGGTGAGCTTTCGATTAAATGTGAGTGAAAATGTGAGTCCAGCTACCCATAAGCGAATCGTTGAGATAAATATAACTATGTACGATGATACTGAGGTACAACTTAGATGGTATACACACCATATTTATGTATTCCATCTTGCTTGCTCATGGCATTTCATATCAAAATAATGTCGCAAAGAACTATTGCCGGCATGCTGTTCAACAACTTCCTTTTTTCTCGGGCATGTTATTGGACGGCAGACGGGACCGGGACGGGGACCGGACTACAAGAACGAATTGGCACATGCTACTGACAACCTCAACTCGATAATTACCTTCCAGTGCCAACAGTCAAGGCACCTTACTGCCTTCGTCTTACCCACCACCAACAAAGCAGCCTGGAAAATAAGGCTGTGCTACCTCTACTTTATCGTGCTGTGTGCATGACTTCTGAAGCGACGAAGAAGTTCCGTCCCAGCGTCAACAAAGGAGACCACATCCTACAGAATGGCAATTCTAGAATGCACCCAGCACGAGAACCATACCATGGACATGCTGCAACGGGATTTGCCGCAGAGCTTCAGCCCCTACTGACCCTGAAATGCAAACCGCCATTGTGAGTGCCTTGATATAGGTTAAGTCGTGTCCGAGGTTATCCGGTGAATGGCCTACGGCAAATCTGAAGCGAGCACAGTTATGACCTTTCGCGCGGGCCACTGATCCTGTTGGTCATGCACGGATTGAGCTATGAGGCATGTGAAGAGCCGAAGAAACCGACGAGTGTTGATCAAATACCTCATCTTTTGCCATTTCCATCCCAAACGGTCTGCCAATCATTGTCGACAGCTTCATGGTCCATGCTAGGCGACCCAAGTAGAGTTCCTGTTGATATCCACAGGAGCAGCTGTGATGGAGCAGCTGAGCTTGCTGGCCCACCAGCACCCCAGAGGGATTCCGGGCCGTGTTCAGCTTGCTCGACGGGGGATATGATGCAGCTATAACATGACTATATTGCGCTTCTTTAGAATTCACGAGGGCCAAGTAAGGGAAAAAACTCCCCCATATACTCTCTACCTGTGAAAAACAATACCTGATTCCTCACTTCCGCATGAAAGAGAAGCAGAATTTGCCAAGCCAAAGCAGATGATCCATGCGAGGCCAAGGCTGCTACTCCTCTTGAGTGATATTCCGCCACCTCCGCCTTGCATTAGTGAATCATAACAGAGAGCGGGGTATGTACGGAGTGTGAGTGGATGCTTTGGGCTGTGGAGGGGTGCCACCAACTCAGCTCTGGAGGCTGTGATGATCGCCTTTTTGGCACGGATAAGAAGACGGGCCAACCAACCACCAAGGGGTTGGGCGTTGTGGAGGCAGTCCGATCGGCGAGTGCCGGATCTTCCTAATGCTCAGCAGGAACAATCCTTCGCTTAAAACGAAGAGTCGATATTACGATCTGATTGGATTCTCTTCGATGCAAGCCAGCAGCTAGCTGATAATCAAAGATTCACGAACCCACTGTTGCAACATGTTAGGCATGAGGAAGAGAATATGCACGCCCGTTTCGTCCGCGACTGTTGCGCAATTCGAGAAACTATGTTAGGCGTCAGCCAACGAAAAAAAGCCTGCAGCCGAGTTGCTTCGAGTATTTACAAAGGGAGCCATTTTCCCATCCACACGTGCGAAAAGATTTGCGCCAGATAAGAGAGATCCCCTCGCACTTCGCAGAGGTCTAGACATTCGACATTCCGCGGAAAGCAAGAGCCGAACGTATGATACCCCGCCAGGGTAAGCAGTCAAGCTCTGTGGTGGTGTAGGTGCATTGGCAGGAAGTGGTTCAGTAAATGCGATGCACGGACGAATCATAAGCCCTAACCCTGGGATTTCCTCTCCAATGTGTATTGAACTGGAACCCTGCTGCTCTAATCAGCTTGCGAGCCTGATACTGACATTGAGATCGGTACGTTTGGTGCATCTGAAAAGGGTGATCAACAGGGAGATTATCAACGACGGGCACCACATTCAACAATGTCACCGTAGCAGAGATGGTTGTAAGAATACAACCTACAGAACCGGGACTGCCAAGGTACGAATTGTGTGAACCTGTCGAATGAATGCTATCGCAGACGTACCATGATAGTTCAACCTGTACCCTTGTCCTCCAAATGACCAAGCTGGCTTCTGAGACTGCGGATTTCGTCGGCCATATGCCGAAAGTTGATCTGTGATTCGTGAATATAGGCGATTACATCGTTGATCACCTCGAACTTTTTCATGCCGGCGGATGGCTCACTTGTGATACGACATTCCGAGGCCATGGTTTGCAAGTTCAGGTGAGAATTCGCCTGGTGTAAGGTGTGATAGAGCTCCTTTAGCTTGTTATTTACTCGGTTACGATATCTTCGTTCGACGAGAGAGTGCGCTTGTCTGTTATCCTTGGCCCCTTTCTTCTTTGGGATCATTGTCATGGAGCCACAGGTTCCTGTCATTTGGGTGCGTGCTTTAGACCCTGAGCATTCGAGGTGTAACTGGCGGCGCAAAGCCATGTAGACAGGAGTGGTCTCTCTTTTGTGACCATGAATGCCTGTTTTCTGGAAAGGCCAGGCATCATGGTCCATATTGCCACACTCCGAAGGTAGACAGATCGTGCTGTTTCAAAAATCTACCCGTTATTGTTGTATTCCCTGTGGATGCAAGCCGTGTTTTCTGAATGGATATCCGGATACATCGCCAGGGAGATGACTTGATGCTCCATCCGGGAGTACATAGAGAGCGCTATTCTCGCAAACTGCGGTCAAGTATAACTCATGGTCGGTTAGCTCGGAAGGCCAGTGGCTGGCTGAAAAACATTTGTCGTGGTTGGAAGACATAAGCTCAACTCGAAAGAGGACGCATTGGCCTACTCGACATTCCCGTTCGTTTATCAGTGTTGGTGATCTCTGTTGCGCGAGAGCTCGTACGGCATTTTTGATATCTAGTGATGTTGAAAATTATAGCCCGCTACCTCGATCTTATCTAGGTATCTGCGACGCAATGCATGACTTCAGCATAACGTCTTGCTACGTACCTGTAGCCCCGGTGGTTGCAGCCCTCACCACCAAAATCGGACTGTGGGCTCGGGTACTGGATGAGGCGGGATTGGAAAGCAAGGGACGAGTCATCGACCGCTTGCATGGCTCTGTGTGGAGTCCGGTATCCTTCCCGTTTGTTGAATGAGGAGCTGAGTGACCTCTAGACTTTGTTCCCTCTGGCTGTTGGACCAAATGAAGTACCCCTCTTGACAAAAAACCCGCTCATCTTTCGTTCTTCAAGCCGGACAGAATCAGCCGGCAGTGAAGATCGTTTTCTTACGACAAGAGGACCTATTGGAGCTGACACCTGCTGGATCTGGTGTTTGATGGCTGAGGGGGAAGTCTCCATTTGACGTGCACTGAGCGGAACTTGGTTAACGTGCCTCAACCACCATTTTCAGAAGTACGATTCTTCAAACACAATTTGCTTTAAGAAGCCAAAAATAATCTAATATCAGCTGACTTGAATATTTCAAAACACTACGAAACTCTTTCCAAAGATGCTCCTCGAAATCAAATATCGTGGGTGATATCTCCCATGCTATCAAACACACAGTTGATCTTTACACATATTAGACCGCTGGAAAGGCTCACAGAAAGCATGCCCATCGATCTGGAAGGGAATTGGTTTGCGGTGCCTGCATGCGAGCCAATGCGCTACTTTCTCGCAAAAATCGTGAATGGGGAACATGATTTGTTCGAATGGGTCAGAATATGCCTGATGTGGAAGGATTTCTCGCCTAGAGGGTCCACAAACTTCTATACTATAGGCGGATAGTGGACCGAACCCCTGCTCCGAAGATCCATTTTACATAAAAGGATAGGAGCCTCGCCTGTCGGCAAGTGACCTACACGCAGCAACCTTGAAGAAGGGGAATCGATAGTATTCATGGACAGGAACCAATAGGTATCCCAGGATCTCTGACACGCAATCATACGGTCATTACGTACCGATCCATGCAGAAAGTGGCCCGTGCAAGGGAGGAAGGCGCCGGAGAACGCCAGTTCGATGAGCAATCTCGTAGTGAGAACTCTAAACAGATCATAAGGGAAAAATGATCCGCCTCTCTTCGCCACCTCTATAATTCAACGTGATAGATCAAGCATTTGTTGCGATGCAACTTTCGCTAGAAGAGGCGTCACAATAAAACTCCCAAGCAAGAAGCCACGGCAAATCGGGCCGCCAGGATGAGAGATTCGCAGAAACCCCGCTTCAGACAATTGCGCTACCAAAATAAACTTTGGCTGGACCAATGCCGTCACAGGGATGTATGCGATGTTCGGCTGTACCTTACTTTCCCGTTGGGTGTCAGCCCAGATGGATAGCCTCAGACTAGCGGAGTCGAAGCGACGGGCAGGTGTAGGCGTTCACGGCCGAAAGGGTGCCTGGCAGTTGTCATGTCACCACAAGAAGCCAAGTCTGAGGGAGGGCGTCTTGAAAACTGCTACGCCAGTTGTCGTTGGTCGACCCCATGAGCACACCAAGCCAGGCAAGGGTTGGCATTACATGCACCATGAAATATACTTTTGCCTTGCGCTGAGCGGCTACGAGAAGACTCCTCCGGATCCATTGGATTTGGAGACAGGCTTTCCAAGACAGTCGCTGATCATAGCTGATTCAAGAGAAATGGTACGTACCTATCGATTTGCTGGCGGTATATTGTACACTTATCTTCTAGATCCCAGTGGGTATGCTGTACTGTCCAGATCAAGCTTCCGTAGTCTCTTATCAGGTAGCATGGTGTACATCGGGTTAGGCTCAAAGCAAAGGATGGGAGGCACAGTCGCCGTCCGTATCGAATTGGGTGGAATTCGGATAATTACGAGCAGGCTGTGCTCTTTCCTTCTTATCTTTGGAGGGATTGGAGGCTCAACCCCTCCCACACCTGGTCTAGGCCTGCGAAGGTGGCGTGCATCCTTGAAAGGTGTTGTCCTACTTATCCTTGAGCGCTAAGCCCTCGATTGATCGACCTCGCCATTGTTCTTCCATTTCTTCAATACTTGAATTCGGTGCTGCAACCTCTGTCTGTTCAGGTTCGATCCCTTATGATGAATGGAAAGTCGAGACTTCCTTACTCGCCGGGGTACCCGAAGCATTCGCAGACATCCCCCAATCGCGTACTCAAAGCATGTGACAGGTGTAGGTTGAAGAAGACTAAGGTTTGACAACGACTATTTGCAGATTCTACTTCAACTGACATTTGACACAGTGTGATGGGAGAAGACCGTGCAGCCGGTGTGAAGCCGAAGACACGGTCTGCTCATTTGCCATGCCAAAGAAGTATCGCAACGTCGTGCATCCGAAAGGGTCTGTCATCTTTGCAGTAGATGAGAGCTTGACTGATAAACCACAGCTCCGTGGAAATGCTCTTGCAACAGCAGGAATGGCTTGTGTCCGGCCTTCTTGAGCTCTATAGGCGTACTCAGCTCGCCTGTGGGCCTTCGAGCGACTCTCCTCCTGATGCGCAGAATGGACTTCCTTCAGTCCATAACATTTTGGAGCAGCTGGGTGTGCTGGAAGAGAGTCACAGTTATTCCCCTCCCCATCCCGGCCTAGTAGCGCCTTTCAGACAGCATATCTACGAAAAGCCAGGCGACATGTACGAGAGAGCGTCATACTCCCCAAGAATAACTCCCCTTGACAATCACGTTGTTCCGTTTGAAGACGGACCGTGCTATCAGACTTTTGCACCCCCAGCGACAGATAGGATCTTATTTCCGCCAAACGGTGATCACCTCTCTCCATTCTTTGAACTCCACAATACTCCTCACCATGCGCCGCCTACTCTGTCAAGTCATTCGGACACAGAGCCTTCATGGGACAACGATCTTACCATGAGACTTGACGAAACTGGTGAGGAGCTGCTATCCGCCGAGCCCAAGCCAGCCCTTCACATTCCTCGACCACCAGAAATCTATGCTAGAAGAGATTCTTTTCATCAGCAATATTCGACATACCCTTCGGGCCAAATCATACCCGTATTGATCACCGCAAATTCCGTTCATCATAGCCTTGAGCCACTCGCTTTTCCGGCCGCAAATACCGTGGAACAGCCCAACAGATAGACTATATATGTCGATAGCACAAAAGTATTTTTTTTTTTTTAAAAAAAAAAAACCTGACAGGCGTCATGCACATTTTATGTTGAGGCTAACACTCGAGGACGCGACTCAGGCAAGGAAGCATTCTAGTCTATTGTGCCCAAGAGTGACAATAATTCGCATGCAGAAAGACTTTCAGCTGAAACTGCTATGGATTCCTTTTCAATTATGTTTCCGAAGAACTAGGACAAGCAATAGCTCATCTCTGATCCAGGTGCAACACAAGTTATTTCGTTACTTAAACACGAGACTTAAAGGTTCCCCTCCAATACTGAATCATTATTTCAGCGGATGAGATGGTATAGGTCCAAGAATATTTTGAGCCATAAAGGCTGAGAAGAGATTCTCAGTCGTGTTTGGTCTCAGGCTTCGGTTGTCTTGTCCCTACAAGCAAATAAGCGGAAGATACCTGTATTATCAATCGCAATTGGGCACTCACTGCATTTCGGGCCTTGTAGCTTCTTCCCTGTGGGCAGGTCGATCCTTTGTACATACGTAGAGCCCCTGTTAATCTGTCAGAGTATTCTTTGCGCGCATGGGGAAACGATAACATACGCAAAGGCCACTTCCCAGCCAAAGGAAAGCTCCTATGAAGATAAAAGCGTTGCTGGTCCTCCACGTGCCACAGTGGACTGTGCCAACAAGAGTTTCGTTTGTACCAGTAATGGGAACTACGCGGTACCAGTGTCCCCAGTAGTATCCCCAGTTGGACCAATACCACCGAGAATTGCACCCTCCGGACGATGTGAGCTATTGAGACGTATGAGCACAACAGATCGACTGGCCACAACCAATTAGCACATAGTAGAGACTCACATTGACCAGCAATCCAAAGGAAACGATCCAGCATATGAACAATGCGAAGTCGAGTGGGAATGCCCAGAAAGAGTATTTCAAGGGAGGCATCAACAGCAGAGCTGCAAGTATGCTGATACCCGCAATCACCATGGTATACACGATTCGGCCATTCGCGTGAGCGTGAGCATCGTCAAGAAGGTGCAAGTAGAAGCCGAGTATACCGGCAACAATTGCGGCACTGACAACTTCGCAGATGCGAAGACAGAATGAAGCGACCTGGGATCCTGTACCCATGATGTAGTGAGTCGAGTACTCGTACTATCTTATTTAAGAACGAATGATCGCCCTTGTTATTTCAAGGTCTGGAAAGTAGATTGCAATCCGAGCCAGGAAGGGAGGTCGAGGCCGAGAAGCAATTGTTTGATCTTTTGTCTGAGCAAAAGGTAGGAGAGGTATCTTATGCGAAAGCCAGTCTATCGCAAAGATAATACGATACTCGTTGACAAGCTATACGAAAAATAAGAGGGAGGCCACGTTGCTCAAAGTCACTGTACTCTAACACGAATGCTCTGCCGCCTCAGTCCGAGTCACTCGAAAGTTAAATATCACGTAGCTTTCCTGAAGTTCTGCGGCGCACAGACACCAAATGAGTTTCAATTATGTAGGCGACCCCGTCTAGATCCGGGGAACAGGAGCCAAATATAGCAAATGGAGGAAAAGAAGTTGATCGAGACCTGGAGTGGCCGTAAGTGGGTGACACACTCCAGGGTTGTAATGTGGCTATCGAAAGGCTGTACCAGAGACCCTTGCGGTCTCCCATTAATGAAAAGGTATTAGAAGCTGCTGTGAAGACCACAGAAGTAGGATATGTATCTACCGGAACCTATAGTGATCTACAATGGCGCCCATCGACTTTCTGAAGTACGGAATTCACACAAGACGAGGAGATGTGGGCGGTGGTCTGAACAGTATGAACGCAACGGACGACTCTTCAGGAGATGCCCCTCACGTAGGCAACCTGGTCCCAGTATACGTCACCATCACTCTGGTTGTAATATTATTATGCCTTGGGTAAGCTCAGCGAAAAGCATTTGCTCTGTTCTGTGAGATATCGAGCGCACCAGGGCTCGATCCGGATATCTGTCTACCGCTGTGTGGATTCATGGCTGACTGCGTCCAGTGTGAGGGAGTACTTGAGAATCAGACGGGAAAATCGGCAGCGTAACCAGCTACTCACAAAGCGGAAAGAATGGGAAGATGAATTTCTCGCTACTCTGCCGTGTGCCCTTAGCCTGAGAGAGTATCGGGCTTCGAAAGGCCTCGTCAGTGCTCCTGTCCTTGGATCAGATTGTTCATCAATCTCGGAAGAAGAGATAATCTGGTGAGTCTTTCAGAGGCAATGCATTGAACTGGTGTCCGTTACAAATTGCTAATGACGATCTTATTTCCACAGCGCAATATGCCTTGACACAATTCAATTGGATGATTCCATAAGGACACTACGACGTTGTACACATTTCTTCCACCAAAACTGCTGCGACGAATGGATCCGAAGAGAACTGCAGGCTCAAGGGAAATTCAAGGCTGGAGCAACATCTGGCGGTCAGTTGGCTCTACCATTCAACCGGATTCCAGTTTCTTGTCCGGTCTGCCGTACGAAGTTTGCTTCAGCCTCGAGCTGCAATCTGGCAAAACCAGAGACTGCACATGTATGTGATTAGAGGGCGTAAATCGAGACGTTCACTCTGGTCTGTCATACTATGTTTTTCGCAGCCTTCATCAATGCTACCTCAAAGCTTGTCTAAAGCTGTCTCAGTTTTACGTTAGTCCCCTCGAGAGCTCTGTTATCTCACTGGGAGACAATACTCCGTACTTTGGCCCAACAGCCCTACTCAACCTGGACTTTTAGTCACGGGTAATTGGGTCATGCTCACTTTCGTCTCGCGATGGTCCGAGCTCGAGCATGTAAGTATTGGTGCCGGGGATTCCGATATGTTGTGACAGTAAAGTTTCTTCACTCTCTTGGCCATATTATTATCAGACTGTCCAGTTGAGAAGTGTGGTATGTCTGTCTGGATACCGGGTTCGCCACTGTGGGGATATGTCAACCAGCCAGCCGGTCACGGCTTCTCATGGCCAGCATTCTGCGCCGAGAAGCTCGTTCCGGGAAAGACCGAGCTAGGTGTAAACTCAATACTTCGATCCTCCTGGATCCTGTCAGCAATGTCAACTGGGAGGACTACATGTGTGAAGCATACTTTTTGGTGTGAGAGAACGCATGATCGGCTTTGGTTCTTCCCTAAAGCATATTCCTCGAATGACGACACGTAGGGAGCCATGACAGGAAAGAAGAGATGAGGGGAGGACAACAGAGTCGAAACATGAGCCTACAAATGCAGCTTGTCTCGCAGATACCCATGCATCCGACATTATCTCGACAATCTACATCTTTCGACCTCACCATCATGTCCTTCAAGGCTCATTTTCGAAGGCCTAGTAATGGCGTAGCTATGGGCTTCCTACGTGATGCCCATAGAAATCACACTACCGCCTTCTTGTCAGAGCTCGCAGGAACCTTTCTCTTCCTCTTTTTCGCCTTTGGCATCGCCCAGGTTGCAAATACTCCGCCACCTGCGGATGCCAACTCTGAGCCAAACCTTTTGGCCATCGTATTCATTGCCCTTGGCTTCGGGTCATCCCTCGCTGTTAACGTCTGGCTGTTCTACAGAGTCAGTGGCGGCATGTTCAATCCGGCTGTAGGTTTGCAAATACGAACAAAATACTTCCAATAGCTGTGGCTAATCCGCCAGGTGACTTTGACGCTTTGGCTCATTCGTGCCGTGCCTACCTCACGCTGCGTGGTGGTCTTCCCTGCCCAAATTATAGGCGGAATCGCTGCAGCTGGTGCTGTATCTGCAACATTGCCTGGACCGATGGCGGTGAACGTGAGACTTGGGGGAGACACCAGCGTTGCCCGGGGCCTGTTCATCGAGATGTTCGCAACGACCCAGCTCAACTTTGCTGTCATCATGCTCGCCGCCGTCAAGCACAAGGCAACTTACCTCGCCCCCATCGGCATTGGCATAGCTCTATTTATTGGCCATCTTTTCAGTCAGTCTGCGCCCTGCCTCTTGTGACAATAGTAAGATCAACGTGGCTGACTTCTGCCAGGTATCTACTATACCGGTGCTGGCATCAACCCTGCTCGGGCTTTTGGTCCCGATGTTATCACACATAGCTTCCCGCACTACCAGTGGATCTACTGGATTGGTCCGTTTCTCGGCTCCTTACTGTCGGCAGCATTCTTCTTCCTTCTTGAAGTCTTCGACTGGAAAACAGCCAACCCTGGTCAAGATTATGATGACTTGGAGACTCAGGTTATTACCCCGACCAAGACAACCTCTCGACCAAACGTTGCGTTGCCAGACCTCTGAACGCTGAGAGAGCCTCCAGGTCACGCAGACAGAGAGGTGGAGACATTGGGCAGCGGTGCTGAAGGGTCAAATCAGATCAAAAACATAAATGAAACACACATACAAGGCTCTAAAAAGCCGATGAGATCATCTGGCGCAGGGACGAGGGCAAATAGGCGCAATGTTAATGGAACAGCACAGCGGACGAGGGTTGAATGAGGAACGGGAAGTACCTATCACTAAACATAAAACTTACTTGAAAAACTTACATCCTTTCAGAAACTTAGCTAGCAGTTTTGCGTTCTCTCCGATTCTTCGCTGGTTTCCCTTTTCTAGACCGACTGTCGAATATAGCAGCCGTTGTTGTCATGCAGGGATCTTTCCTGATTATGTGAAGCCTCTGCGGGCTACCTCCTCAAAGGCAACTTCGCGAGCACATGTGAGGCAAGCGGGTGATTCTTCGTATTTATCCGATCCTGTCCGGCGGACATCCGTCGGGTCAGCCCCTCCATTTTTTGACCTGGGGCCCCAGAAGGAGGAGTATATCACTAACCCCATCGGTCAAACCAGGACGTCAGTTAAGCGGTGTTGGTGTGGCCAGGCTATGATAATGTGTTGAGTAAACGAGACCCCAGCTAGAATGGTACGAGTAATGCACATGGTGAATGAAATTTACAAGTGAAAAAGGCAGGATCTGTGTATCTTGTGGGATAGTCTTCAACCTTCGAGCCTAGCACTTTGCGGCTGCTCTAGGGCATTCCAAGGCTACGACGGGCAAAACCCATATCCATGCTCTTTTGGGAACACGCCGATGGAAGCATGGATTCGATCAATCAATGTTTCCTTGCAGTGTGGTCTTAACACGCAATGGCAGCGACAGTGGCCCAAACAATGCAGAGGAGCACCCCAGATCTTGTCTTGCTCGAGGCTGGAGCGAGAAAATGATGGATCTAGATCTTTCAGCTAAATGACGAGAATCTGCTGGATTAAATGGCCGTAGAACGTCCCAATCACTCAAGCAAGTCAAATGATTGAATAAAAGAGAGTTACTCGTAACCTTCAGTCAAGCCTATTGGATCCCTTCGCAACTAAGTAAGAGAGCTACATCAAAGGGACAGACAGGCGTTTGCTGACCGCGTCTCTGGTGACCCGGAAGCCCCGCTGCGAGGCCAGTCCCGCCAAATTTGCCACTAGCCGAGACCCCCTCGTGCGGACCAGCGACCACCCGAAAAGGGCCAGTAGCAGCAGGATGGCTCTACGTACATATATCACGAAGCGTCTGCCAGTCTAAGCTCTTTGATGTGGAATTGCTCGCTCGACTTGGGAAATGCTCCAATGCTTTCCGCAGCACCGTGGCCAGATTTGGAACCATCCATGTTGCTTGAATCATGAGACGCAGCTGCGTATTATCGTGATCGGTGCAGGCTGTGCACGTTCAGTTTGGGCCGCACTGGCATCCGACGTCCCAGGACCGTCGACGACCCCCGGACTTCGCCTCATGCAGAGGTCAATCGTTGCTATATGTCATTCGCGGGTTAACAATGACTCCGACGTAGACCTATCGAAACAAACAAAGCTCTTACCTTGATTCCTAGAACACCTTGGGTCGAACAACTCCGCATCATGTTTCTCGACAACTTTTATCACCTCGTGCGTTTGAACACTTAGTCTTAATCGCCCTGACGCTGGAAATCTAAAGACTTTGAGCATAGAGAACATTCAGGATCACTACTACCCTACAATCGCCATTTCCCCATATACTCCGCTCCCAATCATCGCTCCAAGCTTTTGAATCCACTTCATGGACTTGTGATATGCGTAAGTTATCGCTGCTCAACCCGTCTTCGGCGGGAGCAGTCGAGAACTCATCTTTGAGCCGCTCTCCGACCTAGCGAGCGCGACAACTCGACTCCATCGGCAGGTGCATATGGCTTTGTGGCTGATGTGGCAGTTGCCGTCGTTGCAGTATGTTTCGCTGACCGATTCGCACACAGCTCTTCATCCTTCCCTTGTGATGAAGTAGGCTGATAGTAATTTTGGATCAGCTGTTCTGCTAGTGATCGAGTTACTGGTGCGACGGAGAGCTTATTATATTTTTGCCGCCGTCACTGCAATCACTCACGCTCAATTAGTGCGGAGAACCCTTCAGGAGTTCTCTGGGGACAGAGCTGTAACCGGGTGAAATTTTCGTCATGGAAAATTTTGAAAGTACACGGAGATAAGGGCTAGCTATTCCGAGCAGTGTTTCGAGCAGCCAGGCCGGCAACCTGACGAACGATGTGCACGAGGCTGGAGTCGATGCTCAAAGATATATGATTCCACAACCAGTCACAAACGCCTTCCGGGTGCATTAGGAAAGCCAAAGGAGCGGGTTGAGGGGTCGTTAAACTAGAACGTTTATATCGATTGAGTGTTTTCCAGATGAATTCACATAGGCAGAGGATGAGAATAGGCCCTCTACCACGGCCACAACCAGCAGTTAATGAAGCTGAGACGGGACCAACGGAAGCTTCCAAATAATGAAAGAAAACACGACGTTTTTGAACAGATGCAGATGCATCATGTGTGTAGGTTCTAAAATCCTGGAACCCTTCATCGTCGGTAATATGATGGAAGTGGATACGTCTGCTGGAAGATCTGCTGGAAGATCTCTCTGTACTGACGAGCAATTTTTGTGCACAATCCATGTTTCTGCGAAGCCGGATTACGGATTCGAGCACGTCCTCTCAGTGTAAGAGACATGAGAGGCAGTCGGTGCGAGACGCGGTGGATGGGAGAGACGGTCGCTGCGAAAGACAGCTGGCGTGAGAGACATACAGTCGCTGCGAGGAGGACGGGGCCAATCATAGACGTCGCTAGATACAATAAGATTGGCCACAAGCATTCGCTGAGCCTTTGCTCACATTGGGCAGCAGGGAGGTTCTGAACAGGAAAACACTTCACACTTGCATACTCTAGTCACCGACTTTTAACCGTCTCCACCGCCTTAGGCACGGTTCTTTCAACGACACGAAAACTTTCCTTCCTTACAGCACCCATACGGCGACATCTCGACGCCGCCCGTGCAATGGCGACACGCTCAATAAACATACAAACATTAATCAAAGATATACGAAGTATCTCTGGTCTTTCAGAGCAGGAACTTAACAATCTTACCGTTGGCACCACCCTGCCTCATGCGGCTCTAGGAGATTGCACTAATCGTATTTTGTAGACCTTCGCAAGGCAAGTAAACAAGCAGATGTGCCAAAAAAACAGACTTTGGGCGGACCCTCAAATCGACTGGCCGGGGATCCCTGAGGATGAGATGGTATTAGCACACAACGAGATGCGGGAGCGAGCGAAGGTCATCTTTGAGCGACACTCATTGGACCAGACACAGCAGGAGGCCCTCATCAAAAATCGATTGCACCATGCAAGGCGGAATTGGAGGGGGATGAATAGGAAACGATCTCAGACGACTGGGCCAGCCGAGAACCCCGAGCATGCATCTCATCCACCTGATCCCACGGAAGACGAACTGATGCGCATTATCCAGCGTTCCGAGTAGGCTCCTGATCCCCTTGAACTCGCTTACTGTGGGGTCCCCTACGTCCCCGAGAGCTGCGAAACCATTCCCGATCACCAATCTCTGACAGACACACTGCCTCGTCCGCCAAACTCGTCATGGTCACCACAATTGTCACACTTGTCACACTCTCCAGGGTCTTCAGACTCGCCAAAGTCGTCAGAGTCGTCAGAGTTGCTACGGGTTGGAGACCATCCACGTGAACCTGCATATTGACTCCGAAAGCCTGTAGTTGGCGGTAAAGAACTTGGAGCAAGTGTCCAGGGCATGGATGCTTTACCTGATGAACCGTAAAACCTCTTGCGGTGTTATCTCGAGATGTTTAATTTCGGTCATTGCGGCATATGGTCGTTACCAGCATTCGTTTCTTTGCAAGCGAAGAGGCAGCGAGTATGAAAATCTTGTATTGTTAGTCCAGATAATCTCAGATATCGCCTAGGTGTTCTGTGACTAATTTCTCTCTTCCACGGGTCTTCAGATTCATTCGTTAAAGAATTGCAATTCATTGACCCAATTCCGCATCCAGCCGTCTTCGGGGAAACTGCTACCAAGCAGTTCAAAGTCCGGAACGTCGTCCATTATGTTTGCGGGACCAAGGTTGCTTGGTGTTGGTGTAAATGATTGTGCTTGATCATAAACCATATGTGGCATGTTTTGGTCTGAAGAATGTACACTTTCGGCTATGCGACCACTCCGCAAAATGTTGCTTGCAGAGGGTTCAAGCGCGGCAGTAATACGGTGATAGTTTTCTGGAACGTCCGCTCCATAAGGATCGAACAGTCCAAGAGGAGAGAAGGACAAAGTATCCAGCGATGTGCTGGTGCTGAGCCGCGGCATGGGAGGTGGTTCTCTGGTTTCGAGTACCCTGCGAATTTCTTGGATATTGCGTAAGTTGTTTGCTGCAGAGGGCCTGGTAGACGCTAGCGTCCGAAGACAGCCTTCAAGAGTGTCAAGGTGAACCTTGCATTCTTCCCGCAGTGATGGAATTCCGAGACAAGAGAGTTGCGGAATGGCGGTGACAAGTAAATGCCATGCAAAACCAGAACTCAGGGAACACGTATGGCCCCGCAGCTCCATCGCCTCAAAGATGCGGAAGCTGAGATTTGATGCCACGATAGCAGGTGAGCTAGCTGGTTCGATGTGAAATATAGATCGCGGGCGGTAGAGGATAATGATGGTGGTGAGTAAGTGCACGTGTAACTGAGCCAAGTCGAAATGGTATGGCTTTGCAGTTCCATCTGCTTGGATAAGTCGGAGGACAAGGGGCAACGATCGAACAAACTCCAGGAGTCGAAGGCCTACTTTGTTCTTTTCTGCTGGTGGGGGATCGTTCTGCCGAGTCAGCAACTGGCAGAGATCACATAGGATTTCCGTGATAGCAACATAAGAAACAAAGATCTGCGCGCGAATATCACTAGGGTCCGGAAAGTCGTATATAGATGGGGGCTCAATCCCGCAGTCTGTGGGGTTGATGATTCGTGGGCGGCCATGTGCAGATGACATGATACTGTCTCTCGACTATACAAGACAGTTTGTGTTAGTTACTTAACATGCTCATATGTCCGTGATACGTACGTATAAAGTCCACCAAATTCTTCTTCTGAGCCTCTCTTGACTATTGCGCCGAGTTGACTTCATGTTTAGGCCCATCTGCTGGGCAAGGCCAAGAGCATAGTTGCCCCAAAATCTTGGATGGTCGGTGGAGATATCTTTCGGAGCGGCTGGCGCGTAGAATTGCACCAAGCATAATGCTGCAAGCAGATTGAGTGGGTTTCGCTCGGCACCGGTGTCAATTATAGCTTTAATGCGGCGGTATTGTGGATGAGCAGGAAGGGTAGTATCACTTTTAGGCTTGGTTGTGGCAGCAGCCAGCAGAACCGCCTGCAGAACCAGCAACGAAGTCACTCTCGAAGAAGCGTCGACGGAGACAATTCCATCATCAATAACCGGCATCCAAGTCCAGCACCTGTCGTAGAATACTTCGAACAATGTTTGACGGACAGGGATTGGTGGAAGTTCAAAGGCATTATAGAGCTCAAGGACTTTCATGTCGGTGTCGGTTAGAGTGTGCTCGTGTAGATGGCGACCTCCATGAGAATGATCGATCCCAGGAAAATCGTCTCCCAGGACCGCGCGCCGAGACAGGTACGATGAGTTGTAGAATTCATCGACTCTTGGGGAAGAAGCCGCTGCCACTAGATCTGTCGGGCTCGGGGCGGCGACACGATGATGTACGAAGAGAAGCGGTGCCATGACGGCGTCAGCCCGGTCCTGTAGTGGCGACGAGGCGGATATCTTCCAGTCTTGTGTTGGGCGACTGGTCTGTCGATCAGCAGCAGTTGATATTGACCTCGAGGCATGGCTCTCGGTTCTGGCTCTTTTCTCCGCTTGTGGTCGCTGCTGACTGTGTTCTTTCCGCCGCCGTAGACGGGGTCTAAGAGAGGTTCATTTCTGGTCTATCTGGACAACAATGTGGCACTTACTTGCAAGGGATATCATGCTCAGCACAGTTTGAACATGAAACAGAGGTGCCGTTTAGATCACAGCGTACTATGAGCCGTCAGCACTTCTCCAAGCTCGACATGTTGGAATTTTTTACACCTTTTCGAGCATAGCAGGCTTCACATGCCCGGGCATGTTGGGGACGAGTACTTATACAGCTCGGATCGTAGCTTTTGAATGTAGCCATGTCTCACAGACTGACCTGAATCATCGCGGCGCGATTTTCTTTGTGCTCGGCGGAAATAGGAAACAGATGTAAAGAAAGATAAGACTTGAATGACAATGGATCTCAGCTAAGTAAAAATGCGGAGAAAAGCGGATTGGTGCAGCCTCGGGTGGAGCATGTACGAGGTACTCGGTACACCATGACGATCCGCCCGATCTTTCTGGCCTTCATCTCATATCGAAGCAGTTGTTACTATCAAACCGCACACGAACACTTTGCGACAGGAAAATATGCCCAAAGCGTGCCTACATATGAGCTCGACTAACAGTGCAATTTTAAAAGAACAAATATCCTTACAGTTTTGCCTTGGCTCCGTCTCTCTCAGTGCTCTGCTTAAACTGCTTCCACATTTGCCTAGTATTCACCATCATGGGCCAGAGATGTTGCATATGATTCATCTCACTTTTTCGGGCACCGTCCAGCAATGCCTCGTACGGATTCTGGTCGCTTCTTGCTAGAGCACTGTCAAGCTCAAACTCTGTGAAGCCGTACGCGTCCATGATATTTCGCGCGTGCTTTTCTGCCACTTCAATAATAATTGTGTCGTAAGCCAAACGCAGTGAGGACCGCTGATCCGCTGTTAAAGACAGGGGCGGACACAGCACTGTGTGAGCCGATGTCATGATAGAAAGGGAATACTGGTGGCGGGTAGATAATTAGCATCACTCTAGGATCTTTTACAAAGTATAAACATACCAGTTGAGCCAACGCTGTCATCGGCTCCTTGTATGTTGCATCATTCGGTATGGCATCAACAACTTGCCAGAATGCCTTCCAGTATACGAAATCACCATGCGCCATTGTCAGCGCATGGCATGCATAGCTGGTATCCCGGTCTGCCTTCGTGTCCTCGATGTGTTGCTGTACAAGCACAACGAGACGCTGTTCGAGAATAAATCTCTGTGCATCACGCTCGAGCCACTGTGAAGGCGACTTGACACCCAGTGGCTGTGGTGTTGAGCTGCTGCGCAGAAAAGAAAGGTATGAGAGCGATGGAAGGGAGGATTCGGTTCCACTGTAGGTCCGTCAGAACAAATCTTCGAAGGGCGCAAAAGAGAGCATAATACGCCTTGAAATGTTTTAGAATCGCCCTAGGTACTTGTTGTGCCACAACGTAGTTATCGCCCTCATAGGTCACCGCGTTGATGGAATTGGCATACATCCGGCCAAACCCTGATAGAGCACTGTAACCGTGACCGCCACAAGCAACTCGACATGTTTCCACGCCGTAACCTGTGATTTCAGTGGAATACACTTTGGCACCAACAGTTTGGAGATGGAGGTCTTCTAGCTGAGACGTGTCGTCGGTTCTTAAGTAGTTTGCGGTATAGTCATCGTATGCGCGCTTGATAGCTTGCCCGACAACCACAAGTGCAGTGGCCTTGAGGCGCGTCAGCAATCAAACACTGTCATTCGTTGGTAACAGGCATTACCTTGGCAAGAAGTGGAAGCAACCTATATCGCACACTCGCATAGTCGAAGACGGGAGTTTCACTCCCATTTCCGCTCTTCGAGAATTGTTTCCTGAAAGTGGTGTAGTGATAGGCGACAGCAACGGCTTTCAGCAAGTCCCAGCCAGTGATCTCCGCCATGAGAGCACGTACCGTCACCATCGATCCGTAGGAGTGCTTGAGATTCTTGGGAGGAACGTACGAGCCGTCCCTGAGCACTTGCGCATTTCTTGCCAACATTTGAGACCGGGGAATGCGCACATTGTGAAATCGAAGTGCACCATTATCAGTCCCCAGCATACCCTGGAATGCCTTTGGGCCCAGCTCATAAATTTCACAGCCAGGCATGAGTTCCTGAGTATCAAGATTGCGCAATTGAACCAAGAAAAGATGATTGCCATAGTCCTTTCCTCTGATGATCAGGCGAGCCACAACAATCCCGTGAGTAGCCCAAACCCCGGTGGCACCGATCCAATATTTGGTGCTACTAATCGTAGGCGAGTTGATTAAGAATTCGTCGGTCTCAAGGTCAAGAGTAGCGGTGGTTTCAATGCCTTTGACATTTGATCCATGGCCCAGCTCTGTCTGACAGTACGAGCCAAATATTTCGAACCGCTCCGCTTTTGGGATCCAAATTTTCTTTTGTTCGTCCGACATTTGTCGCTCCAGGTTTGACATGAATACTAACGCCACACATTAATCTTCCAGGATATATGAGCCCAGAGCGCTGGATATACTTCTAAACTGTGGCTGGACGGGCAGCATGTTGTCTGTCATTTTGATGGCTTCCATGAAATGGCGATGGGGCCAATTGTTCTCGAACTTGAGTCTGATAAGTTCACGACTCTGCAGCGCCGCACGGGTCCACGCATCTTTGCGTGCCAGCGATGGAGGTGTGACAAGCTTCTTGTCAAATATGGGATTGCCAATCAATAAATTTAGCAATGCTTTCCTTCTCTCTAGCTTTTCTTCGCCTCCCCAGAGGAATAATGTGAAATCCGAATCTTTAGGCTGGACTGGAATATTTCGAGACATATTGGCGCCTGATTAAATTCGGACTGCCGGTTACACAGACACCAAATCAAGATAATATGTAATTCATCCGCTTGGTTGCGTTGTATTATACTTGAAAGTCATATTCACCTTTTGGGTTAGTGAGATGGAGTCTTGTCACCAAGTCGTTCTCTCCGCATGCGCCGGGAATTTCCAAGCATGGTAATCTCCAGGCTCGTCCGGCGTTTTCCAGCTTCGGTGTTCACCTTCTCCGCACGACAGCGAAGGACCGACAAGAGGGATACTGGGTAACCTGTCTTCCTGTGGGCTTTTAGCAGACCATCCATTGGTTTCGTAAAGAAACACTACAAAAGCTATATGGAGCCAAGAAGATAACTTGAGTCTTCAGAAATTTCCAGGCTGCGAGAGTATGGGCTACCAGTATCTCACGGTTGAGCGCCAAGGCGACGTCTTCATAATCACGTTAAGAAAACCTCCTGAGAACCGCCTCAATGTTCCGTGCTGTCAAGAACTTATCAGAGCATACCACTCGATTCAGAAGGAGCTAGGCCAGGATGCTGAAGGGGCGGTGGTACTGACGGGCAGTGACGCCAAATTCTTCACCACGGTCAGCGAATCTGGACAAAGCAACATATGCTCAAACCTTGCAAAGCTCTAACATTGTCCTAGGGACTTGACTTGGACGAACGAGAAGGCAACATGTTTGCGTCAAGCGACGGCTTTTATCCCGTAAGTGAAGGCTCGCGTCGTCCAGGAGCTAAGCTTCTAACGCAAAAACCAGCTTCTGGCCACGATACTCGACTTTCCATTTCCGACAGTAGCGTGCATAACAGGTCACGTTATGGGCGGTGCTTGCCTTCTGACTCTTGCTCATGACTACCGAGTGATGAACTCACAGCGCGGGTTTTGGCAAATGCCTCCTGTGAATGCTGGTCTGCACCATGACGGCATGGGTTCACTGATTCGGCTGAAACTCGCACCTAAGGTTGCGAGAAAGGTGTTGCTGGAGGCACACAGGTATACTGGAAAGGAAGCATTTGAGGATGGGATTGTGGATGTGATTGCTCCGCCAGATAAGATGCTTGACGAGGCGATCAAGATCGCCGAGAAATGGAAAGTCAAGGCGAAAATGGGGGTTTATGGGCTCCTGAGGAACGAACTTTGGGGTCAAGCTCATTCTGCTTATCAAACAGTGAGCTATGTCCATTCCAGGCAAACATCTAGAGAGCCAAAAGTAAAGTTGTAGAAAACCCTCAAACGACGTTCACATTCACGAGATTGAACTCGTCGATTGGACCTTGCTCCAATTTATTTCGCCCAACCCGGAGAAGGTATGGCCGCTCAAATCTTGCTCTCCCGCTTTCTGGAGTCCCAGCGTTGTATGTTGGGATGTCCTTCTGCAGGAAACAGTTCTTTGACAAGCACTTTCTTGATAACCTTTCCTGTAGCGTTTTTCTTGAGCTCGTCCACGACGCGCAGGAGTGTTGGCATCTTGTATCCAGCCAGCGTGTCTCTCAAGTCGTGCCTAACCCTTTCTAAGGTCAAGTTCCGGGGTGCCTCCGCTGGTCAGCCTTTTGGAGCACAGTTCAGAAGGCTGCACTTACATCTGGCTGCAGGACTAGGGCGGCAGCAACCCTTTGACCAAACTCCTCATCTTCAACTCCGACTACCATTGCTTCGGCAACGTAATCAAGACCTAGAAGTTCTCGTTCGATATCTAAGGCGGAGATTTTGTAGCCACCACTTTTGATGACTATGAGCCCAGTCAGTGGTAGTAGCGAGGATCTCAAACGATTGCTTACTGTCGATGGAAGCTCGACCCAGGATGAAGTAGTACTTCCCTTCCCGGCGGGCGATGTCGCCAGTCTTGAAATACCCATCAGCATCCAAAGCGTTTCTCGTCGCTTCCCTGTCAAACAAGTACCTGCATCCGTCAGCGATCCGGTAAATGTGAGCCGGCACAGAATGCGTACTTTGAAAAGAGGATTGGGCTTCGCATGAGCACTTCTCCTTCGTCACCGTTGGAAAGTTTAAGGTCAACTCCGGGCGCCTTCTCTCCTACAGAGCCATCTGGTACGCCTTCTGATCGCGGCGTTACCGTAAAGGCATTTCCGAATTCTGTACCTCCATAGCGTGTTAATATCGCTCTCCCTCCTCTCAATTTCGTCCACTTCTGCTGTAATGGTCGTGGCAATGCCGAAGTGCCGCACAGCAGAGCCCTGATTTCGTTCACGCCTTGAACGTATTCCTCCAAATGCTGTGGTGGTAGTTTTAACAGTCGCTGTTCATAGTATGCCATCAAGCGCATGTAGATGGTCGGCACTCCCGAGAAGAAGGCTAGACCCCCTTGCCGAATCCGCTCCCACGTCCATTCGACGTTGAACCCACCGCTTCGGAACTCAATACACCCTCCACAGTATAGGAAGGGAATCAAAGTAACAGTCACTCCCGTCGCGTGATGTACAGGCAGCACATGTAATACCATATCCCCTTCCTTGATACCATGTTGGTCACTGAAAGAAGCCGCCACGTCGTAGAAGAACCCTCTTCGCTTGACCCCGCCTTTAGGGGGCCCGCTGGTACCCGACGTGAAAATAACCAAGCCTGACTTGTTCAGGTCAAAATATAGATCAGAAGAGATTTGAATTTGGCTTGGGTCCAAAGGCTTCTGCATGATATGGGGAGTGATCTGAATGGCGCAAAAACCATCATTCTGCTGCTTGCGAACCGCGGATTCGAGGTCTTTGGCCAGCTGCACGCTACGCTGTGCAACAAGGACTGCTGAAGACCTTGCTTTGATAGCATAGTATGTTGCTTCCTTGGTCGGAAGATCAGGGGCTACATTTCTTTAGCCAATACAGGTGCCAAGGTTCCTGGGAAATCACTCACAAATGGGTACTATGACGGCACCCAGCGCCATCAAGGCAAAAAAGCCCACCACAAATTCATAGCCGCCCGGACCAAGGAGGTTAATGAAGACCTCTTCATCTCTATCGATCTTCTGGACAACATCACCCGGCAGCGTCTGTCTCAACACATTTCGAAGATGGAGGACATCCGTCAAGAGTTGAGTGTAGTCGGCTGTATACCCGAACGTGATATCCTTCACGGCAACGAGATGGGGTCTGTAAGCCCAACGCAACAGTCGGCCAAACAGGAAGAAGTTGGGAAAGACATTTGGACCTTGGTGCTTTGGTACCCATTGTGATCGATCATCCGGATAATTGGCACGATCAACAATGACCGCTGAACGACCATCCGAGGATAACTCTGCCAGAACATCTGAACGTATTGACATGACCGTGATGTGGTGCCAATCTGTCTTCAGTCAGTGTTGAACTTGTACAGAGAACAAATCAAAAGTAGTCTCGGAATTTGGTATAATCAACGAGGAAACATTTGGTTTTCGCCCTTCTTCCGATCTTCAGCCTTGTGGCGTAGAACAATGTCAAAGTCGTTCGTCCTCATGAGGGGCCGATTTATCTTGGAGATACTGTAATCTCCTAGACAGGAAATTCCCGAGACGAAATCCCCGGCCTGCATCAAGGTTGGGGAGACAATTACGAATCGGTCAAACCCCGTCAGCGTTTCTCCTAAATCCGGCGCATCTGGGGCCCCGTATGGAGACTACGAGAATAGTATATCCACCATGTGCCCCCGGACCTTATATGAGGGGGTTGACCGACTGTTGCCCAATTGTCACCTGAAACAAAACTCCCTCTCGTTGCACAGAAACCGCGGACGCAAATAGCATTGTGACAATGCTTGGCTGGCAAGCTGCGAAGGCAGCCGTCGAGGCTGAGGGCATCTACATTGGAGGCTGGGGCCTGCGGAATGCTATCTGGCCCAAACGCGCTGGTGGCCGCCACGGTTGGTCTCTTCGCAACGCGTGACTGTTGATAAAGTGAAACGAACACTTAATAGCAAGCAGTCAAGATAGGATCGAGCATGTCGCAGCGATCCAGGACTGGGACGAGGACGAAGAGCGGAAGCTGGTGAGAAAGCTTGACGCCAGAGTCCTGTTCCCTTGCTGCATCATCTACTTCCTCGCGTACCTCGATCGAGCGAACATGGGATTCGTCAACGTGCTCCAAGCTGGCAAACCCAGTAGTTTTGAAGAGACCCTGCATCTCGAGGGCGCAGATTTCAATTGGGTAAGAATTTGCAACATAATCTCCGAGCTTTATGGACACTGATAAACACGCAGGCCGTATCTGTCACTTATTTCATGGTCACCGTCCTCTTGATCCCATCGAATCTATTGATGAAGAGGTTCTCTGGGAAGTATTATTTTCCGGTGATCATGATCCTCTGGGGCACCATTGTTATGTGCATCGGCGCAGTTCACAGCAAAGCGGGTTTGCTTGCCGCCCGCTTCTTCCTGGGAGTTCCTGAGTCTGGCGTTGTGCCAGCCTCGATCATGTACTTCTCTTTTTGGTACAAGCCCCATGAGCGAGCGTGGCGGATTGGTATCTTCCATGCTGCAAACTCACTTGCCTCTGGGGTGGGAGGATTCCTGGCCGTTGCCATTGACCACGTAGGTCACTAAGATATGTTCATGCTACGAGACGCAGAGCTGATTAAAAAAAGCTGAATGGAAAAGCCGGACTGGAGAGTTGGCGCTGGTTATTCATAATCGAGGGAGCCATGCCGTGAGTTTTCATTCCCCAAACTCGGCTCTTTCGGCCTCAATACTGACTGTTGCGAAGCATTGTCTGCGCAGTACCCATTCACTTCCTACTACTTACTTTTCCGGAAGACTCGAAATCACTGACTGAGCGAGGTAAGCTGTGATCTGGCTATCTAATGGGAGATAGCTTGTTAACAATTCATCAACTTCAAGAACGTTATATTGCTGTCAATCGCTTCGGGCGTGGGGCGACGCGAAAGACGGACGTTACATGGGACTGGCCCGCCTTCTTCAACGTCATGTCTCGACCGTCGACCTATGTTTTCTTCGTGTCGTACCTTTGCTTACTGATCGTCGCGGTGGCACTTGGGACCTTCTTGCCCACGATCCTGAAAGTGGTAAACAATTGTCTATCCCGCTTCACAAGAGCTTCTCGCTAAGTGTCACAGTTTGCCAAATTCAGCAGCACGAAAGCCAACGAATACAGCTCGTCGGTGTATTTCGTGGCAATTGTCGTATATGCCTTCTGGAGCTGGCACTCTGACTGGACGCGTGAGAGAATCTGGCATTATATCATCCCAGCCGCCATGGCCATTCCGTGCTTCGCCATCTGGACCCACGTGGCAACGCAAAAGAGCTTCGGTGACATGACACCGATCCAGCTTTATGGGTTGGCGTACCTCGGAAATATGGTCTCAATTGCGCAGCCCGCTGCCCTGGCGTACCGAACGTCAACTTTATACGGAGCAGCTGAGCAAGCTATTGGTGGAGCTACAGCCATAGCTTCGCTATCCATCGCAAGTATTATCGGCCCTCAGGTGAGGAGCAATCACTGTCAAAACACTGGTAAGGGTGCTAACTCTCGCAGATTTTCCCGAGCACGGACGCTCCTTGGTATTTGCCAGGCTTTGCCGCTGCATCCTCCACCATAGCCTTTACCATCATCAGCTTTGCAAGCTTACCGCTGTGGCTACTCTGGGAGGCGAAACGACGCAAGACAAAGACGGGGCATGCTATGCCTCTACGAGCCATCGAGGATGCAGAGCACAGTACTATCTCAGCTGCCAATCTCGCTCGTCTTCATGAACAGAAAGCATTGGAAGAAAAACGCGCTCTAGATCTGGAAGATCCCCGCCACATTGAAGAGATTCCTGATGCAAAGGCTTAGAAATACGCCCGTCCTCAGTTACATGCGCAGCACGACAGTAGGTTTGGAAGGTAACAACCTTCGCCCTCTGGAACTAGGGAGCTTGTGAGAACGCTTGCATTGACACTGCTGTATAAATACACAGTGTCATTCTCCGGAACGTTGAGAGATGCGGCAGTCAGACGAATGTTGGAGTCTGCCTATTCTAGTAATTTAGCAAATGCCGACCTTTGGGGAATCCTGGAGACGGTGTCAAGGGTCTCCATTCTAAAACTTACCCATTGATGACATGGATCACATACTGGACGTTTCCCTGCATCACAAGACACACGTTATCCTGGATGACTAGGCGATATTCCTAGCGCCGTTGACCCCGTTGGGCTCGGACATTACCCTTTTTGTGAAATTGCCTTCAAGTAATTACCCCACGGCGAAATCCTTTGCTAAAGCGGAAGATAGTATTCTGCTCAGGTGGTTGCCATACTCATGGCATGACAGGACCTCCACAAAGACAGTCAATACTCAGTATCAGGTGAGTCCGACGAGCGTTCAATAAATTTCGTTGCAATATTACTATTGGTGTCGCTCCCTTCAGGTCAGAAAACTTTTGTCAAGATAAAGTCCTTTTTTTCTCAGTACAATACAAGGAGAGTTCCAACTTCGTACAGACTTTTGACCGGTCATGGATTCCCCTAGTGACTTCAGCGCTGGACTCAAGCCCGCCGCCCCTGATGGCGCTACGATCATTCACAGCGAGCGCCAGCGCTCGAACGTTAACATCCAGCAGCTCTCGGAGCATTTGATGGGGCCTGAATATCTCGAGCGCCAAGGACGAGTGTTGACCATCTTGGGTAAAGAGAAGATATTTTCCAAGTCAATCCAGGCAAACCTTTCCCGACCGGACAGGTACAAGCTCGGGCTTGCCCGCGGAAAGCGTATGAGACAGCTCCAAGACAAGCACGGCTGGGACGATGATGATTTCCTTATGGCGGAGTACCTCGTGGACGACATCCAGCCATATCATCTTCATATATCGCTTTTCACTGCTGCGGTCCGCGAACAGGCAAGCGACGAGCAGAGGGCGTACTGGATGCCCAAGATAGCAGCATGGGAAATTATCGGTGCCTATGCCCAGACGGAACTCGGCCATGGCAGCAATGTTCGGGGGATAGAGACTGAAGCACGGTGGGATTCGGCTACGAAAGAGTTCATCCTGCATAGTCCCACAATTACAGCAAGCAAGTGGTGGAACGGTACGCTCGGCCGCACAGCCAATTATGCGGTCGTCGTTGCTCAGTTGATGTTACCCGAAAATGGGATCTACAAGTCATACGGGCCGCATCCTTTCATTGTTCAGATCCGCGATCTGAAGACGCATCAGCCACCTCATAGTATCGTTGTCGGCGATATAGGTCCAAAGTACGGATATGCTCCCATGGACAACGCATATTGCCTATTTAACCAGCATCGGTAGGAGAGACTTCCCTATTTCGAGTCTCAACAAAGCACCTCTGGCTAATCAAGGTGAATAGTATTCCGCACAGTGCCATGTTGTCCAGGCACTCTCGCCTCGACCCTCAAACAGGCATATACACCAAGCCGAAGAATCCGTCCTCGGTTTATGGACAGCTTACTCGAGGACGTTCAGTCATTGTTATGAATGCGCGTCTGGTGCTGGCTCGAGCCGTGACGGTGGCGGTACGCTACCTGTCGATTCGACGCCAATTCCGTGACCAAGATAAGCCAACTCAGCCACTGGAGACATCTGTCCTCGATTACACCACCGTGCAAATACGCATTCTGCCTCTGTTAGCAACAACATTTGCCCTTCATTATTCAGGTGCTTATATGCGGCAGCTGTACGAACGTACACGCAAAGATGACACCACAATTGACACGATCGATCATGCCGCTCTCTCCGAGCTGCACAGTACGTCGGCCGGGCTCAAGAGCCTAGCCACGACACTCGCGGCGGATGGAATTGAGGTCTGTCGACGCTCAATGGGTGGCCACGGGTTCGGTGGAGGTACTGGCCTGGTACAGCTGAACGCGGACTATTTGTCCAAGCCAACGGTGGAAGGTGATAATTGGATGATCACACAGCAAGTTGCACGGTACCTCATCAAGAAAGTAAAGGAGCAGATACACGCACCGAAGGACAAGCCGTCGGGTCAAACTGAGGAGCATATCAAAACTTATCTGTCCGCCCAATCCCCCACGCGGAAACTCGACGTTCTGGAGAGCGACCAGTCCATTGTGGATGCTTTCAATTGGCGCATGTCCTGCATGGCATACCGGGCATATGATGCCCGAGAGGTACAGAAGAGATCCTGGAACAGCCTACTCATCGAATTCCACAAACTGAGCCGGGCTCACTCTCAGGCAATGCTGGTATCGAACTTCTACCAAGCGGTAGCCGGCCACAACAAAGATATCGTTCTGGATTCGGCAACACGCTCTGTTCTCCTGGACCTCTTCCGACTGTTCGCCCTTCATACCATGGATTCGGATGCTCGAGAGTTTCAGAACTCTGGTGCAGTCTCTTCAGAGGAATTAAATGAATTGCCTGCGAAAGTGCTTGGGCTGATGGAAAGGATCAGGCCACACGCTGTTCGGCTTGTAGATGCGTGGGCCATCCCGGACTATTTGCTTGACAGGTCAGTAAATCCAGCCTCCTTGCCACGATCCTAGAAATCACGCTAACATGCTGTAGTGCACTGGGGCGGCACGATGGCAAAGTCTATGAAGACCTCTTCTATCGCGCCCACGTTCTGAATCCCTTGAACAGGGAGACATTTAACCCTGACTACAAGACCGACGAGATTGTTATGGAAAGCGGTGATGCAGGGAAGATCTTGGCGAAATTATAGATATCGAGGGTGGCATGCCAGACGGCACATGGTGGGAATAGATTGAAGCACTGGACGTATGTTATCTCTGTCACGGCTGGATCAGCTCCGATTGGCAACCTAATAAATACTAGGCATCCAACCAGGTAGTGTCTTGCCTAGCCGCCTACGTCAGGTTGAAATCCACGGTGTCGGAGGTAAAGTTGGAGAATATTCCAAAAGTGACCCGTGTGGAGCCTGGAAGCTTCTACCAGGGGCGATAGCAATGCCCAAGACTTGCATATAATATTCGTCGAAAACGTGAAACGAACCCAGTTCCGTGTCAAGCTACATCGATCACAATCATCTCAAATTTTCCATTCTTCTCCAAAGAGACAACTTCATTACAAGGCCCTTGGACCGCTAAACCATGACATCGAATCAGCCACAGCATTTAGAGAATCAATCTGCGAAAGAAAAGGACGAAGGTCACATTTCTTCAACACCACTTGCACTACCAGGCCCGCAAGATGTAGGGAGTTCATCTACGACAGAACAATCACAGACATTCAAACTTGATGCGCTGGGACCACTTGTCATAAACTCGGATGGTACGCTATCAAGGATCCATAATTGGGCCGAGATGACTGAATTGGAGCGGGAACGCACTCTTCGCATCCTGGGGAAGCGGAATCAGCTCCGAAGAGAAAATATCCTCGAATCGGAAGCTGAACACGCCAACACGGAGCCTGGGAAACAATGAGGGGCCATAAGAGAGAACGACTTCCCGAGATAGATGAAGTTCACTGCTTCAGATCAAAAAAGTGGACGATACGTTCGGGGAGGGGCGCAAATGCATGTGTAAATTGTGATCAATGCATGAATGCAAGGAGAGACCACCGTCGTCAGCACACCGGAATGGCCCCTGCTGCTGGTCACAAGTCAACGGTTACAGGGACAACGATCTACTCCAGCATGCGACAGCTTCAACGCCCTTATGCACCCCTAAAAAACTGCGAATATCCGCGGAGAACCTCAGATGCTATATATACTCTGATGAAAGCCAGGAGGATCATTGTACGCAGCGCCATGATAATGAACTTGTCGATTGAAGGATGGGTGGAGCGAAACATAAAGGCGCATGAGCACCATGCCTACTAAGCGATAGGCATTGCGAGAGGAATACGGCTTGTTGACCGAAGAGTACATGCTTCCGAGTGACGGGCTCCAGAGCGGAGGGGGGAGACGTAGCCCTCGTTCCCCGAAAGTTGGTTGCGTGACAGAGAGCGGCACGAGGAGAATGTTGCAAGTAGTTTCTGCGATGAAAGAATATATACCTAGTACTCCGTACTCCATACTCATTCGTCAGAGGAACCTCTCGGTTAACAACTGATTGGATTATGTTAGTCCCGACGGCAAATTAAACAGCATCTGCCAATGGACCGTAAGCCCGAGGAAAGCCGGTTGGGAACACATCCATCGAGACAATAGAAACCATTCGTTCTCATGGTTGCCCGTGCCCGCTTATTAGGCTAATTCCCGGGCGGCTTGTAATAGCCTTTGTCCTCTTCAGTCGAGGAAGGGCGTCCAGCGTATATATCTGCCATGGGCAATCTCCACCGGCGAGATAACTGGGTACTGGAACGTCTGTTTAAGCATTACACTCCTGCATCGACTCTTTTTTCCAAATCCAAAGCGAAGCAACTATGCCTGGAAAGATCAGTGATTGGACTGACTACTCCTTGACGGAGGAGCAGAAGCAGCATTGGATGGAACATGGATTCATCAAGGTTGAGAACTGTTTTAGCCAAGAACTCGCAGAGAAGTGGACGAGTTCCATTTGGACGAGACTCGGCGCATCTCCGGACGACAAGTCGACGTGGCCAACAGAGAAGTTGAATATGCCCGGCCACACGGTCATATCGGTCAAGGAGCATGCGCCCAAAGCATACGCAGCAATGTGTGAGTTGGTTGGCGGAGAGGATCGAGTCGCTGACTGGTATGTATTCCACTCAGGTAGCCGCCTGACGGACCAGGTTAACGAGGGTCTACACGCCGAGGAAGCATATGTACAATCCTAAATTGACTTGCTCATATTTCCACAGGTGCAAGTTCTGGAAAGATGGTTTCATTCCCAACCTGGGCAAACCCGAATACAAAGAAACTGATCCTCTGGACATGAGATCACTGGACAACTGGCACTGCGACGGAGACTGGTTCACTCACTTCCTCGACTCCCCGGAGCAAGCCCTTTTGGTGATTCCCCTGCTCACCGAGATTAAGCCCAAAGGCGGAGGCACCGTCATCTGCACGGACGGGATCAAGTTGGTGGCGGAAAAATTGGTATGTGTACTGTTTCTTATTCTTTGGTGGCCTCTCGGACTCTGTGCGTTCCTCTTACAGCTTTGAGTTGTAGTATTCGCTGCCACAAGGGGCCACACCGTACCTGGCGCCTCGAGGCACGCCTGAAATCCCCAAATCCAACCCATTGCGTCGCCAGCTCTGGAACTCCTGGGTACAGGATCCTAGCCTCTGCCGTGACGAGTCGTTCCACGAAGCCACAGGTCAAGTGGGCGACGTTTATTTCTTACATCCGTTTATGCTGCACTCGGCGTCGAAGAATTTACTTCGAAGCGTCCGAATCATCACAAACCCCCCTGTGGCCTTGAAAGAGCCATTCAACTATAACCGTCCAGACGGAGACTACAGCCTTGTCGAAGCCAAAACATTGAAGGAGCTTGGTCGGCCAGAAGGACTGCCGGAGTGGAAGATCACGGGACCCAGAGAGCTGCTCCCCAGTGCCGGCGGCAGGATAAAGGTACGCTCTCCTCGGGTATTTTCATGGTAGTCTTAACATCAATTCAAGACCATACTAACACATTCGACTGCAATGCAGATGCAAGAGGAAATGAAGAGACAAGAGTTGGAGCGCTTGAAGAAGGCCGGGATGCCTATTCACACGCTAGAGGGGACCAATGAGTATGGTCTTGAGTATTATCCGTCTTAAATCGTCCCGGGGTCGATTGTTTGACCACGACAGCGCTTGCTTCAGGCTTGTAACACCCTTGGTAACGTTGTAACAAGAATATACATGTATTCGTGGGTACTCTACTGTGAGTAGTGTTCTTGCGAGGGTTGATATGCTTCTATTTCAGTCCCTCACCATTCAAGTGACCTAGATTTAGATGATTCCTCAACAAGCCCAGCCTCGGGAGCATTTCGCGAAGACTTGCCACTCTTCTGATCCAGACTCTGCAGCTTGGAGAACAAGCTGGGTCCATATCTCTCATATGTACTGATAAGTCCACCTTCGGCGAGCAGTTGTTCCTGAATACGATCGAGTCTGAAGTTCCAGATCCGGCCTTTACAATGGATTTGTCGGTTTTTAACATCAATCTCTACCTCCTCCCCTTCTTGAGCGAGCAGATAGAACTCATCGTCCTGGAGCTTGATTCCCATCAAGCCGTTGTTGACTTGATTCCGCTGGTAGATGAAGGCGTACGACTTTGCAATCACTGCTTTGATGCCTGACCACATCAAGGCCTTCGGAGCCTGTTCTCGAGAAGACCCACAACCGAAGCTCTTCTCGGCAACGACGATCGAGGCACCGGCCTGTGCACGATCATAGAATTCTGGTCGAGTGTAGCAAAAAGCACCACGAGCCACCTCTTCTTGCGTGAGGTGCGAATGGCATTTGTCTGTCGGAATGATACTGTCGGTGTCAACGTTGTCTCCAAACCGCTGTACTCGTCCTCGAATCGATTCGGGAAGCGATGGCGGCGGCTTCTCTTCTCTCGATGGGAGGTCTGCATCCTCCTTCGCTGGGATGGAAGCGAGAAGCTCCGGTTCGACATATTCTGGCGATTTTCGTGCTTCCTGTGGGCCGTATCTCCTCATGGCATCGAACTCGGCCATATTGATCTTCCCAAGGATATCTGTGGGGCTTTGCAGCGACATCGAAAAGCTGGAGACGGCTACCGTTGCTGCAGAAGTAATATTGGCGATTGACCCGGGGCCCATTCGATCACGGTAGTTTCTGTTCTGGGAGGACAGCCAAACCTCTCCTTTGCCAGCTTTGTCGACTCCCATACCCACGCAATAGCTACATCCAGGCGCGCCAATCTCAAATCCGGCCTGTTCATAAACTTCGAGATGGTTTAATTCTTTCAGCCTGTTGATAATAGAGTTGGATCCAGGAGTCACTCGGCGCAGGCCCGGCGCCTCGGGTTTTAAGCCTTGAGACATCGCCTCCTTTAACACTAATGCTGCCAGGATCAACTCTTCTTCAGTGGTGGTGCATGCTCCAATGAAGACACCTTGCAGGTTTTGAAGCTGGTCCTTTGCTTCTGAGACAGGGACGACGTTGTCTGGAGATGGGTAAAGCGCAATAAAGTGTTCCAATTCTGATAGATCCACATCGAATGTTTCAGCATACTGCGCGTCATCGTCTGGCCGGAAATACAAACTGTCTGATTTATGTCGCGGATCCTTCCGACGTTGGATATATTGCATAGTTACCCCGTCTGGGACAACACAAGCACCAATGCCGCCAAATTCGGTCGTCATGTTTGCGATGGCAAATCTTGCATCGCACGATAGATACTGAAGTCCTTCACCTGTGTATTCGACGAGTCGACCTGCTGCGACAGTGTTCCTTCGGAGCTTACGCATTACTCCCAGGATAACGTCTTTACCGCTGGTCCCAAGAGGTGGCCTGTTGATGAAGTTGATGCGGACAATCTCTGGAACCTCGAGATATGTCTCACCAGTGACGAGCTGCAAGATCATATCGGTAGCCCCTACGCCAATTGCGAGACTCCCAAGCGCGCCAGCAGAAGAGGTGTGGGAGTCGGCACCGACGACAAGCATACCCGGTTGACATCGGGAACGATAGTATTCGGTATGCATGATCGTGGTGTTATGTCCGGCATAGTTGTCCCCAAGGTCCATTTCTTCCGCAATCCGATCACAGGCCTCAATGAGAGACTTCTCGTAAGCTCTGTGATTGACTCGTGGATCCACGACATGGTCTCCCGCTAGCCAGAACCTGTCTTTACGGCGAATGCCAGGTCGTCCCATCCGCTCATAGTTCTTGTTCATGCCAAACCAAGCAACTTCAGATGCCAGAAACCAATCTGGCGCAACCCGAATGACTGTCCCCGGTTCCACGTACGGAGTCTCAAGGCCGAGTGCATGGTGAACCAGTATTTTCTGGCACGCACTCATCGGCCGTCGGCTGGTCTGGTCCATGGTTGCTTTCGAGATATGACCAAAGAGGTTCGATAGTTTCAGTTGCAGGAGTTGTGGCCGGACAAAAATGGTGTAAACTCGAAATATCAACCTGCGACTCACAATACAGTTGGTGGATAAGGCGCCGTTGTACCCCCTGCGTACTCCAATCCCTCAACCCAGCACTACCGAAAGCATTCGAGATGCCCCGCGACCCGGTACAACTGCCGAAATGCTCAATGGTGCTGAACCCACATGAATGAGAATCGCTTCCAACGACTCCCCTGGAACCCAGCACACTGGAACCGCGAAAGTTGGAGGCATGGAGGTCCAGAAGCCCCACGGTTTAGAGACTGTCCGCGTAGTGGAGGAAGGGTAGAATGCCACTAGGCGAGATGTTTTTGTTTAGAAGTCGTGCCATTGGCGAGATGGAAGCCACCGGCGAGATTCCGGACCATGCTCTTCGGAATTCAAGCGGCTGGGACGATGCCCCTGGCGTCCGATCTTACCCCGGATTGATGGCTCCAGACTGTTGGATCAATATATTCAGCGAATGGAAGCCATCTGAATTCACCAAGTCTTGCATACTATCTTGTCATACCGCGAGGACTGCAGTCCCCCAAGTCAAGATGATCAGCGAAGGAAGAAACAACCATCTGATCGACAATTGGAAATGTCTGCTCATTTGTTGTGCGGTCAGCATGGCAAATTGCCAATATGGCTTTGGTGGGTGTTTCACCAGAAGGCACTGGACGACGCTGACCACTTCGCAGATACTGCCGCCGTCGCCGGTTTCCAGGCCATGATTGGATTCCTCGAAGTTTTTGGCTACAAAGACCCCAAGGTCAAGTCGGGATGGAACATCAACACCAAGCCTCAGCAGCTGATTTCAAGCTTCCTTAACGTCGGTACTATTGTCGCGGTGCTTCTTGGTGGTCCCTTCTCCCATCGGTTCGGTCGCAAACCGGCAATATGGGTCGCGGCCGTCGTATCGATGGTAGCATGCGGCGTCCAGGTCGGAGTCAACAGTCTTGCAGGTCTATACGCCGGAAGGATTCTCCTTGGATTGGGAAACGGGTTTTTCATACTCTACAGCAACACCTATACCGTCGAGGTGGCACCTCCACAGCATCGAGCATTCCTGGCGTCGTTCTTCGGATTTTGGGTGAATCTCGGCAGTATTCTCGGGGCCGTTGCCGACAACTATAGCAAGAACTTGCATAGTAGATTGGCGTATCGGATCCCACTGGCTTCATTATTCGCCATCCCATTTTTGCTCAGCATCTTCATGTTCTTTGTACCGGAGTCGCCTCGGTGGCTCCTTTTGCACAACAGGCCAGAAGAAGCGCGCAAAGCATTGGAGAGTCTCAGAGGGAAATCACTCAAAGTTGAGCTCTTGAACGAAGAGTTCATCGAGATGCAAAGAGGTATTGACCAAGAAAAGGAGCTGGCATCAGCAACATCGGCCTTAGACATGTTCAAGGGCACCGATCGCCGACGGACTATCCTGGCAGCAGGAGCCATCGTATCGCATGCAGCGTCAGGAGTCTGGTTCACCATTTCGTACAGCACGTTCTTCTACCAAATGGCCGGCATTGACAAGCCATTCCAAGCGACCATTCTGCAGAATTGCCTCGGATTGATTGGTGCAATGTGCGGCATGTTTCTCATGCACAAAGTGTTTGGCCGCCGCACCATGCTTTTGATTGGAGCTTCCGGATGCTGCATTTGTATGTTGGTCATTGGCTTATTGAGCCTTGCTGGACATTCGAAGAGTGCTGGTCAAGCCCTAGTGGGCTTTGCATTGATGTTCAGCTTCTTCTACAACGGCTTCACCGGCACGATTACCTGGCCGATCGCGGGAGAGCTCGTCAGTTCACGTCTGCGAATTTTCAGCGTCGGCCTGGGCACTGGAATCAACTATTTCTTCAACTGTGAGTATGGCAGGAACCACCGTCGAGCTGAGACTGAATATTCTGCAGGGCTGATCTCGTACTGCACACCATATTTCCTGAATGCAAACAATCTCAACTGGGGCGCCAAGTACGGGTATATCTGGGCCGGATCAAACGCGATTGCATTTGGTGGGTATTTCTCAACTTCTTGAGAAATCTTCGCGCTAACTTCGGATCGCAGCCTTTTTCTTTTTCCTAATCCCGGAGACAAAAGGACGCTCCTTAGAAGAAATTGACGAGATGTTCGTCAACAAGGTCCCACGCGGTCAATTCAAGACATATCAATGCGTCTCGTCAGAAAGGGCGCGCGAGATCGCGGGGAAGGAGCTCGATCAAGTCACCAAGAGTGGTATTACCGTTCATGCCGAGAAGGTCTGAGACTGAACGCAGTTGCTAGTGGCCCCATGCCTCTAGGAACGGACATACTGCTGGATGACAATTGTAGTCGATGCTTGTTCAATTCATATCTCTTCTTCTGGATCTCTTTCGGAATATCCCATTTTCTAGTGTTTGATTTTCGGTTGTCGTTGTCCTGAGGAAACTAGTACTTACCACTAGACTAATTATGGTAAGTACATCTCTCATTTGGTATAGCTCGCGTCACGTGAACTGATACCTCACTCACTCGACAGTCAGCCAATAGTAAATCCAAACTTACCATCGATATTGAAACCTTTAACGATATCCAATGAAACGCCTCCTATTACTGTCTGTATCCACACAGAGAACAACAGCACCCATTTCCTGCCCTCGAGACGTTGTGGAAGTTCGCTATCGAGAGCAGACAACTGGATGGTGGCTCCGCGGCTCTGCACCTATCAAATACCTTGTTTCTCCCGGGTGAAGACTGTAATAGCTGCATCATATGGGCCCACTGAGTTCCTCTATTCGCGTCAGGGTCCCCATTGCCAACCACAGAACTTTTGCAAGAGATTAAAACAGAGCTATACTCTACTGCGCAGGCGACCGGCAGAGCAAACCCATTGAGGTTGTAGCGCCCTAGAAAGAGTCTGTCCCAGCCCAATGGCACAGGTATATGCGGAGGTCATACACCTGAAGCCTTGCCTAAGAGAAGTTGAGGTGAGTGACACGGCAAATACTTGTAATGTCAGACGATCACTTCAAGAAGAGACTCATTAAGCGGGCCATAATTTCTGATAGTAATTTCACATTATTCTTCTCTTTACAGTTCTTGCTCGTTATCGTTCTGAAAAAGGACTTTGAGCTTCGTTAGCGCGTCATCGCAGTTGACTTCCATGCTGGTGATAACATCGACTGCTTCCTCTTTGGCCATGATGAATTGAAGGACGACCCAGAAATGAAGCGCATTTCTGTACATGCCCTCAGCTTTCAGGGATTTATCTGAAGTTTGTGAGCGAATGACTTCCCACAGTTGGCGCCACCTTTCCAGAGCGCCCTTGATCTCTTGGGCCATTGGGCCCATTGCAAAACTAGAAGACTTTCCCCCGTTGATCCGGCGACCGAAGTTTGTCGTAGGTAGGTTGAGTGACATCGTCATTACACAGGAATGTACGTATGTGTACAGAACTGCGAAAAAGGTGAGCCTGCCGCTACTTTACCAGTACTCGCAAATGATAGGAAGGACAGGACGGTGGACAGAACGGATGAAGGACCTACAGTGGATGAGAATGAACAAATCAAATATAGTGAGATCGCAACTGCCATCTGTCTCTTCCAAGGACGTTCCATTTTCAGATGGATCTGTCTGTGACGCGGTCGTTGAGTCAGAAGTCTTTGCTTTTCCATCAAAGAGGAGAGCAAAGGCTTGAGACATTGTCAACCTTGGTGCAAAGATAGAATCGTCCTGCATAAAGGGGTGCCGTGAGCTGAAGATGGCTTCTTTGCAGGGAAGGTCATTGTCAAGCTCGCCGAGGGTTATGCGGCAAGGATAGTTTGAATAAATTCTCATAGCGCAGTCAAGTAATGCAATGACTGATATTGTTCTGCAGTGGATGGAGTCAGCAAAGACCCGCGACAAAGCTGAGCCACATACCGGATCTTCGTCTCCTTTTGTAGCCAAGCAACTTCTGAGATGCGATCGGACGGCCGATGACGTGCATGGTGCAGCTGCATGCTCCGTGCAACCTGAAGATACTGGTAAGCAACAATCTAAGCACAGGTAGGAATTTTCGAACATTGATGACATCTCCGAGCCGGGATTGCATGGCTCTTCGTTTAGACCCTCGTGAGCCGCCCCAATACTGGGCAACGACCATCAAATAGCCAGCCTGAAGCTCTTGGAAAATCTCCCAGTCACGGTCCTGTTGAAGCGAGTCTGAAGGTGTCGGCAGCGAGTCGCCTTGGATAGATCGAGTGACTTCAATCTCGGAGGAGAAAATTTCCGAATCGAACACCACCAATTCCGCAACATCGACTAGTCTCTTTGCGGCAAGCCTTTCTGTCTGATCTTTTGAATACATGGCCCCAATAAAGACCACGCTGATGACCAAGCCAACTGGGACTTTGGAAGGATCAAAGGACGGCCGATGAATGATGGGGCAGTTCAGGTGCCAATTACGGAAGTAAAGCGAGATGAACTTGCGGATCTTCTCCGAGGTCAAAAGGAAATTCAGGCACGCGGTCAGTTCCTGACGAGACTTTTCATCCAAGGCAAGGCACCATAGCTTGTTGTAGATGGCCATATTCAGTGCTGAAATATACTGCGCCTGATCCAAAGGCTGCTGTGTCGAGCTGGAGGGTGTGGAGCCAATCTGAGCCTCGGGCGATATCATCGCCGGGTCGTAAAGTTCCAGCTGCAAATCAGTATATGAGGGGGAGTGAATCATTCCGAAAGGCCCTGTCCAAAAATCCAGATACTGATCGTCAATCCCCATAGGTGTCTGAAACATCCCGGAGAAGTCGAAAGCAGCTGGACTTTCGTCTTCTGATTTTGGCTCAACATCATCATTTTCCTCATCCTCCCCTTCCTCATTTTGTTGATGGAACTGCAAACCTCTTTGCCGATCGTCGCAGGGCGGCAGATTGAAGGTCTCTGTGAATGTGTCGGTGCCGCCGTTCAGGAGCGCTTGGATGGACACGCGGTCGCCTAGGGGACCCAGTCTTTCTGCTACTGCATGGATAATCAGCATCATCGCCAACCGGGTATTCCGTATGCGGGAGGCCGGGGTACCTACTCGACTTTTCTCGCACAGTATGTTTTTGGCGACATTGTACTTGTTTCTTCTTACACGGTGCACAAGGGCTGCCTCCGTCACACCGGATTTTAGAGGAAATGCACTTGCAAGAGGTCAGCTCGATTGCATGATTTGGGTGCTATTTCCAGTGTAGTCACCGTCACACAGGCATGCGGTCGTCGGCCTTTAGGAATCGAGTTGGGAACATCTCTGTCCCCACGCCGTTGACAGTGGCTGTAATGCGTTTGAAGGCGATCCCTTCTCCGGCGTCAGCAGCAAGACTTTGAGGTATACAGAAGTCACGAATATCGTACTTGCGCGAGAAGTCTCGAGAGCAGAAGACACAGGAGAATGGTTTCGCTCCGGTATCTTGACGAGAAACGTTAGCGGCGTTGCGCAGCCTCTGTGTCGCAACTCACGTCGGGTTTGATGGCGCTTCAGGTGTTCAGCACGAGAGAAGCTTTGGCCGCAGTCCTTGCAACGATAGCGCTTCTCTGGAGTGCCAGACGCGCCGGTAGGAGTTGCTGATTGCTTCATACAGGCTGAAGACAGGAGCGCCTGGTTTCTGATCAAATCGTGGAAGTTTTCCATGGTTGTAACCGCAGCCAAAATGCTGCGAGTTTCAGCGTTGGGAGAGAATTATGGAATGTTATTTAGGAGGGGTTGACGGCTTAGATAAGTGCGGCGGCAGCGGCGGCGACACACAGCACCAGCCCCAATGACGGGGAACCCTTACTGGTAGGGATATTAGTAGTTAGCAAATGGGAACCCGCTCAGTCAGGGGCGGGATGCGGAGAAGGGCCCCCACGAGAATTTTGTGGGCGTCAGCTGCCCCCATAATGCTCACTGATCAGGACCTTCCCTTCCTGGCGGGTGACTGATGGTGCGGAGAGCACTGGCGCCGCACCGAATGGCAATCCTCCGTTGCCCCAATGTTCGTGAGTGACATGAATATGGTAGCCCTTTCGGAAATACCCCCAGCCCGAACATAAGATTATGTACTTGGGTATTACCTAGGTTCCCCGTTATTAAATGAGCCCATGTCGACGACAAAGGGATGCAGCAATTACACCACGAATTGCTTCGATCTGTATCCATCGACACGAGTAAGACAGATCTCGCACTATTCAACGTGGAGGGAGGTGCTAACCCACTTCAAAGATGTAGAAATGAAGCGCAAAAGACGTCCCAAACGCTGACCAATGATTCTCTCCGGGTTATCTCGCCTTCGGTCCGTTTGGCACCTTTTTTCTTGGCAATCAATTTGTATGGAAACCTCACCAAACTGACGAGATTTCAGCCTCGATTTACTCGATAATTTTATCAGTTGAACTACTAATGTTTGTATAAAATCCGGTTATATTAGTGGAACCACTGTGTCATGGAGACCGTGTCTCTCAGAAGTGCTGAAGTCATAATGTCGGCACAATGCTCTGTCATGCGCATGACTTTATACAACAATACACCTAGCGTGGCATCGCTGGAGTTGGGTTGCTCCCATTTCAAGTCTTGGTTGAGTCAATAGGATAGAGCCTGGGGTTGTCGATGCGTTAGCACAGGGCTTGGTGAAGTCGAGCAGAGCTCTATATCTTTGTCGGGCGAAGCCGGTTATCGGCTGCTGCCCGCCAAAGGTATTCGATCGTGGCCTAAAGGGCCGCAGGTGAGATATTAGTCCACAGCCATTTCAATCAAAAGAGCAGCCCGGTCAATAGTCCGACAACTCGTTGTACGTAACCAGAGGCTGGTCTCGTGCTTCTGAAGGTAGACCCTGAAGACATGAGTGGGAGGAAATTCATATTCTAGTGCAAACAAAGGGAACCTCTTTCCATCGTTTGTCCTCGGCAATCCGCAACATATATCCTGACATTTCCGTTTCCGCTCGGATACAGAGACCAAACCCCGGCGCCCAAAGATGATCTCGGGAGGGTTAGGTGAAATTTTGGGAGACGTATTGAGTTGTTGTACGATTTTTCTCTGGCGCTTTCTAGGGCAACTGAATCAACATAATGAAAGCGAAGAACCCGCCAACAGGTTGAATGGATATGCCCGATTTTATCGTTCGATCAGGCAGGAGGATCTTGCGCCGGCCCATCCGCATGGTCTGTCCGGCAGAAACATGAAAATTTGATGGGTACATCTGCCATGGCTGTGGCATGCGTCAGTTGGGGTCTGATAAGTCGAGCTTCTGCTATACGGCCCAGCTTCATCAGACATTCGTAGTATCCACGGAGCGCCCAAACATTGTTCGGATGGCGAAGAGCGCGTGGGAGCGTGTCGTCAAACCCCAGATCAGCACTGTAAACCGCTACGGCGAGTTCAGGGTGACCTTGTTCCAGCAAGAGAGCACCATAAGCATGTCGAGGTGGCTGCATCCACCCCCAAGGCTCATCGTACGGAAGTGCGTCATCGAGAGCAATAGATTTACGGAGATGTTGGAACGCTGCATGGAAGTTGCGCCGTCTATATTCCAATTCACCATCCAGCATTGATCGGGCAATTGCAAGAATGTCGAGACAGTTATTGTTGAAAAGTGTTCGACTGGATTTCACCCGCGAAACTGCTTCTTCGAAGATGACGCGTTGCTTCTCTGCTTCCTCCACGTTTCCGGTAGCCGCCAAGGCGACACCTTTTGCGTAGTGAATCAAGGCTGTTGTAACGCAGTAAAGCTCTTGATCGTCGGGCAGAGAGAGTTCAAGAATTTCTTGCCACAAGCCGAAGCGAATTAAGGCGTGAACACGCATCCCATGGAAGGCCTCGAGCCAATCGGCCATGGGTGGGGACTTGACGCGAAGGAGTTCTTCTGGGACCGTTGCTTCGAGCCAGTCGGCAGTTTGTAATGCGATTTTTGACTGGCCCGCAAACATTGCAGCATAAAGGCGAAAATGATAATCATGGCATCGATAGAGGGTGTAGAAGTTCAGCGCCCCGGCACGAGCCAAAAATCTCTCATCCGCGCGGATTGCATCTGTATTCGAAGCGATCGCTCGGCGATAGTCGCCACAAAGTATGTCAAGGTGGGTAGGCATATGCTGTAGATGGCCGGCATCAGGTATCAACCCTCTCAAATGGTCTGCTACGGGCATAGCAAGCTCAGGGCTGCCGGACATTTCCATCAGATGTATGTATAGGTGTAACACGCCGGGATGTTGAATTCCACCCTGCAAGGCTAAGGCGTGATCAAGGACGGCTTTAGCTTCTATCGTCCTTGCTCCAGTGGCTGGGCGTCCGGTGGATAAGTCCCAGAGTCTCCAAGGGGTGAGATTCATCAAGGCGTCGGCGTAGAGCGTTGCTACATCAAGGTCGTCGGGGAATGCTTCATACACTGATTGCATGGCATCGGCGTACGGTTGATTCCAGATAGAACAATCAGCAGCTGCTTGCGCACGTGGATATCGGAATTCGAGGGCATCAATAAGGGCTTTTTCGACCGCCGTGCCGTTGATGACTTCGGCTTTCGCTTTCTGAACAGCAGTATGAGTCTGAGTCACAGTTGACTCGAGCTCTTCTCCGTCAAAAAATTGCCATGGTTTATTGTAGTTAGGACCCAGAGCGTATGCCAGACCCCAGTAAGCCATGGCACATCCTGTATCCAGGGCGATAGCCTTTCGAAAGCATTCTGCGGATTCCTCGTGGTTGAAGGCGTAGCTCCAAACCAGACCACGGTCAAACCATACTTGGACTTCTTTGTTGTTTGTGCTTACGGGTCGAGTGAACGACCCCAGGTTGAAATACGAGTCTGAAGCCCTTGGAATATCGTCTTGAAAGCGATCACCCGCCATCTCGTCCAGAATACGTCAATGTGATTTGTTTTACGAGTGGTCAGATGTTACGAAGTGACAAGGAACCGCAAGCACGAGATGGCTGGCGGGGTTCGCTCGGAAAAGCGTTATTGCGGACGGAGTCATCGACTCAACACTCAATTGGCTGTGCCTGGACATCGTCGAATTGCAGTTGCACGTGAATCGCAGGCATTCCTTCGCCCTGTAACCTGGTTCATCAGTGTCGAACCCATCCTGGGATAGAGCACCTCAGTCGACATCGATCTGTTCCTTGACCACATTATCTGCTGCGCAGCTCCTCCTGCACTCATTCCATAAGCCTCCTCTGTTACCACCGTCTCCCTTGACCTCTCCAGCGTCGCGAAATCCCCTCCTCGGTCGAAGTCCTTCTGACTCGCTACCTGTCCAATTGAGCTCGGGGTGCCTTCTGAACCTGCGGTTAATGAAAGCTTCAACGAGCTCTGCGACTTTCCAGAATAACTGGTCGGACAGGACAGTACATGAGTGAGTCTACGGGTGGCGCACAAACGTTTACAACAAGGTCGGCAGGTACAATTTCTCTTCTATCAGGGATGGTCGTCGAATCATTAAAAAGAACTTTGCCATGGTCATGTCACCGAATCAGTCGTCCGGGAAGAGATGAAGAAGACCCTCTCGACGTTTGGGAATGTGTCTACGTCCAATTGATAAAAGGAAATCGACGTTGGTTTTAATCCAGGTCTAGATAGATAGGGAGTATGCAACTTCTTCCCCCGCTACGACTACCATGCTTCAGCATTGTCTCGTGCATTTGAGGCACACCTGCTTCCCTGTGCTTGTCTAATCTGGGACTCCTTTTACATACGCTATTGTAGTTGCCATCGAGAAGTTCATGCTTGGACTACAATTCATGATAGTAATTGTCCAATTCATTTGAAGCCCCAGCGGGATGTCTCATCTCAACGTCCATCTCGTGGAAATGAGGATCCCCCCAGTAACCTGTTCTTCCGCTCAGCTCACTGGAATTCCTACAACGTGGATGCTCCCGATCTTCCGCAGCGCCAAATGGCCACATTGGTATGAAACAGACCTCGTTGAACGCGCAGTGAGGACACCTTTTCCAGACCGACCAGTCGAGATAATCGGTGAGCGACCGCAATTTTTCCATGGACTGCGATAGCGTGACGTTCGTGTTGAGCGCTGCGAATAGAGTCTCGCAGATCTTCTTCGTCACAGCCCGGATCGAGCGGCCCGCAATCGAGGTAGAGGCATCAGCGTCCGGGTTGAACTGGGCCACACAACGATTCACCTCCGCTGTTGTGTTTCGCGCATCTGAGTCAACAAACACGCGCAAAATCAGCTTCAGCTCGTCAAAAAGGTCTTCGGCACTTGTCCAACTGCCTCTCAGCAGATACTCCAGAAGCCCTGCATAACGCTCAACCACCATATCTGCAATACTTTGCCAGTCGACAGACATCTTGTCATCGAGGGTGCTGAGAGGATCCCATAGCTCTATCATACTGTCAACATCTTGTCGAACTCGGTCCAGAGCTGCGGTTGAAAGGCCCTTCAACCTTGGCAAGTCGGTCTCTCGATCGAACAGATCGAGATCATAGGCGTATGCCGTCACGAAATAGTCATAGTCTAGTCTCACTCTGCCACCACCAATGCCGTCATAACGAGCGGCAACAAATTTGATCCATTTCCACACTTGCCAACCGAAGCTTTTGTCGTCGGTACCTGAATCGGGTGAAAATGGACCGGCCCTCACCGATTGCACGAAATCCAAGGTGGCAGAGAAGGAGCACATGATGATCTCGAAACCAGCCTCCATGCGAATGAACCCCTTGATCTTGCCCTCCCAACGCTCGTGAGCTAGTTTGCAAAGGTCGTGCGCTCGTTGTTTCTCCCCTCTCATGCCGCCACCGTCAGACGTAGTATTGAGAAGCAGAATGTCTTGCGAGTCCAGGGTGCCCTTATCACATTTACCGGCTGATGTGCCGTCGATGTAGAGCAGCGGAGTTATCTCTTTGGTTCGATAAGTGTGGAGCCAGCCTGGTTCGACATGAGGCCTCTCGGGCTTGCGTTCATGACTCCGGCTCCTGTGAGACAGTATGTTCTGTGCTTCCCTCAGCGTATAGGAACTAATTTCGTGCTTTGCAAGAGGCGGATCGGGCAGGATGGCATACTCTGCCTCTCTACCCTCCTGTGGGTGCACCGGCTCATGCGGCAAATACAATCTTCTTGCAAAATTGATCGCATGTTCGGGCTCGAATGCAAGCCATTCTAGCCCTTGAACGGGTTCCCTGTTGGGGTTGCCATGGTAGAACTGCGTTCCAGCTGGAATTAGGGCTGGGAAAAACGACATGCCGTTGTGATGGATCGATGATCCCCATTGTCGCATAGAAGAATGGATGGCGTTGAACACATGGTTTGCATTGCGGACTTGGTCATCGTCGCCGTCGACCGGCTGGTGGGCAGGCAATGCTATTGTTTGTGCGGCTCGTGGGAGGATGAGCAGGGCCAGGACAAGGAGTGGCCGCAAAGGCCACATTTGTTCAACTGTTGAGCGAAGGCGAACGAGACGACACTGAACTGGGTTTCGAGGAAGATGGACCGGCGCCTGATTACACTCATGGTCTTCGACATGTATCAATATCAGTGGGCCAGAGTGCGTTGTTGGGATCTTATCTGGCGGGTGCCTGAGTGATTGAGCTTATGCACACTGATTGGCGTTAACTCAACCTCGGTCCACTAGGGCATCGGATGCAATTGGATGACGATCTAATACTCCTCAGATAGACGCCTCGACGCTTACGTGGACAGCAGACGCAGCTTTTCTCAACTTCATCTCAGAGGTGCAGGGCCGACTGTTACGATCCCCTTTCCCTTCAGCTCTGCAAGAACCCATCGCACAGCGTCACCCACTAATTCAGGCTTCCTCAAGGGACTGTCATGCCCCCAGTCCATCAGCTCCCTGAACAAGATGCCGCCGTTGATGGTGCTCCCAACCAGATCAACCTGTGCCTTCACCATCTGATAGTTAAACATTTTCCACTCCTCGATAAACTGCCTCGCTCCGCGGCGCTCCTGCTGCGTCCCACCCCCCAACCTCACCCCCTCGTCATACATCTTTTCGTAGTCTCTCGCTGAATTACACCTGATCACGGCCAAGATCCCCCCATCATAGGGGTGCTTTTCCAACTGCAGCTTCTCTGCCAACGTCCTTGCACTCGCATGGGTGTCTTCCCTCCTAATGCCCTTTATTGTCCGCATACTCGCTTGGATCGCAGCATTCCATTCCTCGTCGGTCATGCCAGATTCGGCCCTGAGATTTGTGAGCTTCTCCCAGTCCACGTCCTGAGACACAGTGACAAGGTCGGCACTCGGTATGCGCGGGAACAATGCCCATTCTAGCTCGCTGCCGGTGTCATATAGCACGGCTCCAGAAATGACATCTGTAGCTCTCGCTGGGCGATATTTGATCAGTTGATGGTGCAGGAACTCTCGCAGTGGGATTCCCCCGTATGAATGTCCGATGAGAAGATACGGTGGATGCACGCCGATTTTGTCGAGGAGCGCATCGAGGTCCCTGGCCCCGTCTTCGGCCGTCAAAGTCTCGACATTGGAGGGTAGCGTGCTAAGGTCATAGCCTGCCCTATCGTAGAAGAGCGTCCTGACAAACGTACACAGATGTTGTTCAACCTTGACATAAATTGCAAGAGGTCCGCCTGCGCCCGTGAAGAGGATGGCTACGGGGTCGCCGGGACGACGAGCCGGGCCGGAAGCACGAGCGAACAGAGACAGATCCCTCGAGGGTAGAGATACCAGGGCTGAGATGCTGGTGTCTTCCTCCCATGGATTATGTTTATGGATCGTCATTGCTGCTCTTTAACCCACCGCCCATCTGCCATCAACAAGCAGCCATCAAATTCGCTCCCTCATCTGGCCGCAATTCAATGATATCAGACACCGCATAAGCACCACGCACTCTTGATTACGTCACACTCGACGGCTCGGGCGGCAAGGCGGCAACGGCCAGTCTGCACTGTGTGACCTGTTGGGCCCTGAAGTTCAATCATCGTATTTGAGCTACAACTAAGCCACACTCAATCTCAACCTCGATTTCGACACTCCTGTCACCTCAACCTCTCCCTTGACGACCCCTCGTGCTCTATTTGGGGATTGCTGAAGAGAGCTTACCCTGTGCGTGCTCGGTCTGAGGTAGCCCCGCAAAAATCCCGAGCTCAGGCATCCGGCGGCATGCTACCCTTAGTTCGCCCAGCCCAGATCAAGCCCACTAGCCTAAGGAGCTCCGTGCTGTTGACAATCCAGGCAGCTTCCCCAGATCCTGGCCTGACCCATTCGGTGTACTTCGTCAGACTCAAGAACGTGTCGAACTGCTTAGACACCAATGTGGTGTGATTGAACATCTGCCGGGCCAGCCCTTTGGAGCCGCTGCCGATTTGTATGAAGAACCTCAGGATCCCCAGATCCCCTACCAACGCTAACAAGAGTCATACTATGACCAAGAATGGAGTACGGAGCACATACCAGCTTATCACCTCCAATTCCAAAGTTCTCTTCGTCGCCTTCCCCAACTTTGCGGAGGTGTGGCATTGTGGGGAATCCAGGTAAGGTGGGATCGCACAGAGGGAGCGGATGGATTTGAAGACCCGGATTTGGATGACTATTTATCAAGCGTCACAATGCTGCAGGATTACATCCTGGTCACATATACCCCAACCTCGTGAAATGTCTTGCCAATGTCGTCTTTTCGAATATACCCCTTTCCCTCGGGGTAAATGAGGCGCTATAAAACTGCCGTTGCTTGGAGAAGCCCGGGGCAGCCACAGCTGTTTGCAGAAGTCACACTCATGCCCCTGCAGAAGCTGGCATAAAGACCGCAGCCCGGCATGAAACCCCAGAACACTCGCCTGGAGAGCTATTAACAGTTTTGCGAACTCTCAAAATGGGTGCAGCAAACAAGTACAATTTTCTCGTTGTCTTCTTCGTGACCTTCGGGTCTCTGACATATGGGTACAACTCTGCAATCATTGGGGCCGTCATCGGCCTGCCATCCTTCTTTCAGTACTTCAACATCGACATCAAGTCAAGCGGAGGCTCCCGAATCACTGGAGGTGAGGAGTTTGCAAAACAAAATGGACTTTTACAAAATGTGACTGACTTGTTGTTGGCAGCAACCAATGGACTCTTCGCAGGGGGTGGATTCATAGGCTGCTATCTGATCACCTGGCTGGCTGACAGGGTGGGCAGGAAGAGGTCCATCCAAATCACTGCCTGTATTTGTATTGTTGCAGGTGCCCTTCAGGCGGGATCTATTCACATTGCTATGTTCCTGGTGGCCCGCTTCATGATGGGCGTGGGCGTGGGCTTGGTCAACGTGATCACTCCTCTCTATCAATCAGAGGTGTCTCCTGCCCACTCCCGCGGGCGAATGGTGGGCAGCCATGGGTTCATTCTCTGCGTCGGATACGTAAGTCTTCTTGCCTATTCCTTTCTCAGACCGCTTTCTCACATACGGCACAGGGACTAGCTGGATGGACGGGTTACGGTTGTTATTTCTTGAAGAATCAAGTGGCTCAGTGGCGTCTCTGCCTTGCACTGCAAATTGTTCCGCCACTCTGCCTTCTACTTGGGTCTCCATGGCTTCCCGAGTCGCCTCGATATCTGGTCGCAAACGACATGCAAGAACAAGGTTTCGAAATCCTTAAACGATTACACCACCACCCCGAAGATGAGGATGACACCATTGCCCGAGAAGAGCTGTATCAAATCCGTCAACAATTGGATCTGGAGAAGCGCGAAGGTTGGAGACAAGGCTGGATCCAAGGCTGGATTCTCTTGTTTTCCAGGAAATCTTACCGAAAGCGTCTGCTCTTTGGATTTCTCCTTCTGTGAGTACTCTCGCACAAGTTTTCTTTCCCATGTTCGCTATCGGTTATTGCGAGATCACCCTGACATTAAATGGATGTCGTTCGCATTCATTGCATTTGGCCTCCTTGCCGAGTATCTCTCGTGAATTGCAGCCTTCGAACCTGAGGCAATAGCTGACACTGAGCAGTGGCCTGGTCCAGAGTACGGGATGTTTGGTCATCAACAACTACCAAGTCCTTCTTTACAACGGGCTCAGTCTGTACGGGGCAATGCCCCTTATGCTGTACGCTCTCTGGGACACCTGGGCAGCCTTCATGAACTTTATCAATTCGCTTCTACTTGACAAGGTCGGCCGGATCCCGATCATGGTTGTTGGACAGGTTTGCCACTTGTGATCCCTTCCCTACAACAGATACTGATGTTTTAGATCGGATGCGCCATCTCCGTTGCTGGGTTTACTGCTTGCCTCGCAAGATATGGCGGTACCGACAACCGAGTGGGGAATGGGTTCGGCGTCTTCTTCCTCTACCTGTGTATGTCTACCTCAAAATGTGATTCCTGCTCCTCGACTACTAACTCCAAACCAGTTGTAACGTTCTTCGGTGGCTCAATGGACGCCTCATCTTACGTTTACTCTTCCGAGATCTTCCCGACCTCAATCCGTGCCCAGGGCGCCGGGTTCAGCGTCTCAGGCTTGTTTGCTTTCAGCTTGATCTACACCATGTGTGCCCCTGTCGCGTTCAACAACATTGGCTGGAAATACTACCTAATCTTCATCATCGTGCCGTTGCTCGGAGCCACAATCATGGCGCTGTTCTATCCCGAGACCAAAGGCCTCGCCCTGGAGGAAATCGGGAAGAAATTCGGCGATGAGATCGCTGTCGACCTCACTCATCTCTCGGCCGAAGAGAGAGCCAGGCTTGACAAGACTCTGGTGAATGCAGAAGTCGTCGAGATGGAGATTAAAGCTTGAAAGGGCGGAACATGGTGCAACAATAATGGACCAGAGAACCTCAGGCCCGTAAGGGCGAGGTATTGTAGTTATTCTTAGTATCTGCCCTGGTCTGGACACTGGAGACTAGGAAAGCGGTGGATTGCGAGAAATCGTTGTAGCTGTTCGATAGAGCTGATCGCTCACGGTCAGTTGGCCAGGAGTAACGGCTTGTTAAGCACAACTCGACACCAATTTCGAATATGACTGCCATTAAATTAGTATCGAGCAATCCTGTATTATATGTACGACGTTTGTCCCATCATAATTAAGTCTATCTATATCTTGCCGCCGTGTCTCATGCTCGCCACTGTTGCTACTCGAACTTGAGTGACGATTACCTCTATTCGTGGGTACTCTACTCGCACGCTAGACCCGTTCTGCATCAATTCCTTCTTGGTAATACAAGACGACCAGCGCCGCATCCTCTGGATTGCGCTGTAATGGCCGTGTCGCTCCCACATTTTGCCTACCCTGAGCCTCTTTCTTTGACAGAATCGTCCGTGCTCTGGAGAATCACCGGGGAAATTCTTGTTATCGCGTGGTGAGGCTGTCTCCACCGTAGACTTTTTGGTTGTTCGCCCCTCCTAGAGAAAGGAATTGTGTATGGATTTAGTTGAGTATCAACCGACCGGCCTGAACCTCGATCGTTCCCTGATCTTAGCCCCGTATATATAGAAGAGAACCGGCACCGGAAAGAAGAGGACACAGAGAAATGCCAAAAGTGAAGTTGCCCAAGGCACCCCCAGATTGTGGTACATGGCTGGGGCGAACAGGGGAAAGCCTGCGCCGGCTATAGACCTGACGAAAGTGTTGACGGCAATGGCACTGTTGGAATAGAACCCGTAGCAATCAATGATAAAGTTGGTGCCTTGCCAGAAAGTCGCCAGGCACCCCATGCCCAGAAGCGCTGTAGCAATTACTTGGGGAACCCAGGTGATGTGTGGATTAGACGTCCTGCCATAGATCAGCGAACAATGTGCTTACCAGGATATTGATTGCAGAAACAGTGCGAGGCAGCTACTTACCAAGCAAATAAAAATAGACCGATCGGAAGAACCGCGGCTCCGATAATCATTGGCGGCAGCCGCTCTTCAGGAATGACTTTGCCATGTTTCTTGAAGGCGCTCGTGAAGTTGGTCCTTGTGGAGTAGGCGATCATGCCTGTCCCCATCGCAATGCCGACAATAAACGCGGCAAATGGAAGAGACCCGACTCCAGAATTCCAGCCTCGTTGTTCCTGGAACGAGATGGGGTAGGCCTCGAAGAGGAGATACAAGATGCCGTAGATGAAGCTCATGTAGGCAGTAATAAGGGCCAGGATCGGTTCTTGGGCAAACATGACGAAAGGCCGAACGAGATATATAGTCGTCAGTGTTTTTATATTCACCCGACTCTCGTCCGCTTTGGCGTGCAGTGCCCAGTTTTGTGTTTCGTATCGCAGTCGCTTAGCTTTCATCTGTAGGATCCTCGAGGCGGAAGTCTCGGGAATCAAGGCCAGGCCGATACACCCAAATAGTGCGGTCATAATCAAGGTGATCCAAGCGGTCCATCGCCAGCCGAGATAAGACTGTGTAACAAAGCCGCCAATGATGGGCCCAGCAACGGGTCCTGTGAAGGCTGAGGCTGCAAACACGCAAATGCCATACGCTCTTTCGATGGGTCCCCAGATATCAGCCATGGCACCTCCAACGACTGCCAATGGAGCTGCAGCGGCAAATCCCCCAAAGAAACGACCGAGCATGATCGTTTCCACGTTCTGGGCAACAGCCACCGGAATCTGGAAGACTGCGAAGACGAGGTATCCGACAAAGAGAGGTACCCGGCGCCCAAAGACTTCCGACAATGGCCCAAAGAGGATGGGGCCAAACACGAAACCAAGAAGGAAGAGGGATACCCCGAGAGTAGACGGAACTTCGCCTATGTGGTATTCTTCGGCGACAGGACGAATAGCAACAGAATAGATCGAGCTTGCAAATGTGACCACAAAAGTCTTGCACAAACATATCAGCAATCCGATCTCCGCAGAAGAAGGATTCATTGCGGTTGGAAGTCCAGTAAACATACCATAAGACCCATTGAAATAGTGATACCCCATCGTTTTGCCTTTGACCAATTCTTGGGGTTTTCTGGATCGTTAGGGCCATCGAAGTCGACGAGGTCATTGCGAGGCCCAGAAGTTGAATTAGCATGTTCTGGAACAACGACCTGTTTGTCTTCGTCGAGTTCCTTAAGCGACAGTACGTCGGACCTTGCCTCGAAAGGCAGCGATGGCTTTTCCATATCTAGAGTGTCGTCAAGCGTGGACGAAGAAGCCGAGGCAAACGCTGCTTGGATGGCTCCTCGTTCGTGTCCTTCCATTTCGTCACAACTTTCGCCAATGTCAAGTCGTATGCACGATGGTCACCACCATGATGAACATCGACATCAGAACACTGTTATAATACCATGAACAGTGACAAGAATGGACATTGTGCCAGAAAAATATTGGCTTGGTAACAAGCGGCCGCATGGCGCTGGATTTAAAAGGCTCCGTTGTCGGAAATACGGCAAATAAGAGGTATGTACGAGGACTCATGAATGGGGTCAACCATTGGAGACGTCCAGAAATGTGATAACTTCCTGCAGAAAGGGTCCATCGTGGGAATCCATTTGTCGAAAAGGGTAAATTAGCGCTCCAGCCTTCTGTGCAGGGTTGTGAGCCTTCTGTAGGAAACAACTGGCGCAAAATCGACCAGAGTCTCTCTCAGCCCTGAGATGCTTTCGTTATCAAGATAGAAGCCACTTACCCGAGTGGCATTTATGCCTCCTTTGGCGGCATCCGGTCGTTTTCCCTGGTCAAGATGACTGAATCTGTCTCGAACCGGGGGTCCATGGTTTCCTCTTTCAGCAAGCCCAGCCAGATCCTGTCGATCAAGTTGTGCGAGTCTTCGGGGCGTGATTTCGGCGCATCTTCGTGGTTGTAGTTTGGGGCTGCAATTCGCGCGGAGAAACCGGCATGGTAGCAGAATTTCCCCGTCTACTTTTCCACCAAGGTGTCGTCGTCAGCAGTCAACGTGTTCGTGACCTTTTGCGCAAGCCAACGACGATAGGCAGGAATGATGTAGGAGTGCGGTGGCTAGCAGGGGCATTTGAGATCTTTGTACGAAATCTCCGAGGGACGCCCGACGTACAACGTACAACGCACCCTCGAGGCACTATCTCCGTCTTCATGGTGTGGGCTTATAACTCATGTACGCGTATATAGGCACCAGGAGAAGGTATTCTATACGCTACAAAAAAAGATGCCTACAGCAAGCGCGAGCAGAAGCCATTATCCCAACAAGAGAAAAGGAAATGGGTAATGCTGCAGGTACGAAGCGTCGACGTGTCGGGTTGAGCAAGGGAAACCGATGCTCTGCGGCATTTGCTGCCTCGAATAGTGGCCAAAGTCATTCTTTGTGTCTATGCCATTGTTTGGCGCCGGATGCAAAAGTATCAACATGCCTGAATCCTACCTGTCTTGGTTGTCTTGCACACAAATTACCGCTTCGCAATGCGGGGCAAAAACAGACGGCAGATAAAGGCCTTTCGCCCTATCCTCGGCTGCCCCAAGGATGTTGTAGTATATAAGGATGGGAATGAACCCTGGGATATGTGCTTGGAGGTCTGGTGGCCGGGCTCTGGTTCCAGACGCAACACCCGGACTTTCGGTGGCAGAGGCAAGTTCCTTCAGTATTTAAGATGTGCATCGCATTCGACCTTGCTAGATCTCCGGGTAGACGTCAGTCCTTCTAAGCAAAGGGATACTTCGTCTGACGTCTCTCAGTGTATCAAGATCAATGTCAACTGTGAGGATATCTGGCTCCCGGGCCTGCTCCTCCTCCTTATCTATGTCATCCACGTGGTCCAGCCGCCCAGCAACCTGGCCATTCGGTGAAACAACGATAGTATCACCATAGCTCACACGCTTCCCGTTGTGTCTACCACATTGCGCCGAAGCCACAACCCAGCTCTGAGTCTCGATGGCTCGGCATCTCAGCAGGATCTCCCAGTGGAGTTTGCCGGTTGGCACGGTGAATGCGGACGGATAGAGCAATATATCGGCACCCTCCCTACGCAATCTGAGTGCAGGCTCGGGGAATCGCAGGTCAAAGCAAATCAAGCTACCAATTTTGCCCACTGATGTAGCATATGGTGAAACAATCTCATGGCCGGGCTCTGTCGAGTCACTCTCCTTCAGCCTCGGTCCGCTTGGACGAAGATCAAGGTCAAAAAGGTGTAGTTTCTGGTATCTGTGTACGATATCCCCCTCTTTATCGATCCAGATCAAGGTGTTACGGATCCTTTTAGAAGGTGGGTCTGTTGGTTCGTGGATTCCGACATTGATAGGTAAGGAATGAGCTCTAGCTGCTTGTTGAAGACCGCGAACAAATGAGCTATGAGAGACATCTTGACAAAGCTCTACCGACTCAGCGGCAGAGGAGGCGATGTAATCAGAGGCTTCAGGGAGGAAGAGTGCCTAGAAAGAACGTTTCACTGGTAAGGATCAGGTCGATGGCCCCGTTGAGATGGAGAGCCAAAAGCCCTGGACGAGAATGATGATCATCCCACCTACCTTTGCTCCGGCCGCCACGGCTTTCTGCACGAGCTTCTGGCATTGTGCGAGGTTATGGGACATAGATGCATTCGAGCAGATCTGGCCAACAGCCTGGGCAGCAAGCGCGTCAGCCAACCCGGAGACTTCGGACGACATTGGGAAACATGGATCCCTACGGCGAGCACCATGGTGGGTGGCGTGATGAGTGGCTTTCCCTCTTCGGTTTTGGGTGGTAACTAAGAAGCAGAGCAAAGCAGGACGCAGGATATCTGGGAGGGTGGGCTGTCACAGCAGCGATATGTCCTCCGTTCGCCCGTTCAACCGACAGAGATGGGGAAAGAGGAAATAATCAGTGGCCGGTCCATTAGATGTTTAGTGACGTGGTTTCAGAGCGCGGTGATGTTCCGTTGGCGGAGAGTCGCATCTCGCGCGGCTGACTTGCCTGGTTGGGAGTCCTTGCAGCCTGCGCCCGACTGCGCCCACTTGCACCCCTCTCTGAACTGCGGACATTGCTATATCCCCCACATCGCACCAACCTCTCCCCATGCTATTGAAGTGGTTGTCGTTCCGAAAAGGTCAAGCCACTACCGCGTCCAAATCGCTTTCATCCTCTGACAGTGGGCTCTATGCCTAGTGCAGCCCATAGATATCAATTCGGCTCCTGTAGCCGGCAAGCGATGTTTACATGCCAATGACTAGGAAGACATTCGGTTCCTTCGGACAAGGGAGCTACGAAATGCTGCCCCTGTGAGACCCGTCGACGACGCGTTAGTCCAGCGCTATTGCCATTTTCTTTCATCAGGTTCTCCGCCTGTGTACCCCGCCTTTGAAAAGCCTCGACCGAATGAAGGCGCTTCCGCATCTGCGGGGCGTGACTCTATCCCATCGAGTCGAGCTGCCAGAGGACCATCCCGAGGCCTAAAGGATGGCGCTTGTATCACATGTATCGCAGGCTTGCTTGATGCTATAAGACCTCAATTGATCTTCTTCCCCCTCAGGCTGCCTTGTTCTTCCCCTCAGCCTTCTTCCCTAGCAGCAAATCAACCTCGACTGTGCTTTAGTCTCACTCTGATCCCCTGCTTTGAATCATTGACGGCGAGCAACAACCACCATGACGACAGTATCGATCCCCAAACAACAAAAGGCTGCGGTCAAAGTCGGCGAGGGAGCTGATTCGAAAGCTCCTGTCAAAGAAGTCGAAGTGCCAACGCCAGGACCGGGAGAAATCCTAGTCAAGATCAACTGGCAGGTTCTTCCTACACAAACAAATTTTCCGTGTCTGACAAGAAAGTAGGACTGGTCTTTGTGCTTCGGACAAGTCCTTGATCAAGGATGAATGGGCCACATTTGGCGTGTCAATGCAGCCAGCCACAAAAGGCATTGCCGGCCACGAGGGAGCCGGCGTTGTCGTTGCGGTTGGCGACGACATGCACCATCGATGGAAGGTAGGAGATCGCGCCGGTATCAAGTGGGTTTGGAGCACTTGTGGCGAATGCGAATTCTGCACAAACGGCGTCGATGAGCTCCATTGTCCGAATCAGAAAAACTCTGGTTTCAGCCAGGCTGGAACATTCCAACAATACGCGCTCAGCGATGGACGATACACCACTCGCATTCCAGAAGGCGTGTCCGATGAGGAGGCCGGGCCTATCATGTGTGGCGGAGTTACGGCATACACGGCTTGCAAGCGAAGCGCCGTGAAGCCCGGGCAGTGGATAGTAGGTGTTGAGCAGTTGGAGTATCTGAAAACTTGCTCACCAGCCCGATATAGGTCCTTCCAGGAGCCGGTGGCGGTCTTGGCCATTTCGCAGTACAATACGCCAAAGCTATGGTATGATCTTGGACATGGTAATCCGCACACTGGGACTCACAACGTTATATAGGGCATGAGAATCATCGCAATTGATGGCGGGGACGAGAAACGCGAGCTTTGCAAACGACTGGGTGCCGAGGAATTTATTGACTTCACAAAGACCCAGGACATTACTGCGGAGGTTATGAGGATTACCAAGTATGGTGCCCACGGTGTCATTGTCACTGCGGCTACGAAGGAAGCGTACGCCTCTGCACCCGGACTGCTTCGCCCAGGCGGCACCGTGGTTGCTGTTGGCCTGCCCAAGGATCCTACAGTCCTCGCGGGAGCACCTCCTCTAATGTTGTGCCTAAGGAAATTGAATATCGTGGGTAGCGTCGTGGGTACATTGAAGGATGTTGAGGAAGCGCTGGACTTCACTGCTCGGGGTTTGGTTCGCGTAAGTCCAAAAGAACCCACCTTACCGCAGTGTCGAGTCCATATCTTACTAACTCCTGTCTCTCTCTCTTCAGCCGATCCTGACCAAGGGAACCCTGGAGGATTTGGACAAGTACATCGACCTCATGGTCGCTGGCAAGCTTGCCGGCAGGGCAGTGCTCAAGGTTTCGTGACAGGCGATCTATCAAGATTAGCCCCCTCGATGCAGTATTTAAAAATCCAAATATATGCACCAACTCACTCCTGATTAGCTGGAAACCGTCCTTCTCTGCCGTGCATTTCTCTCAAGTGGCGGATGTGGAGGGGATGTCATGTGGTACGTCGGGGTGTCACATGTTGTCCTTGATCTCTGACTATATCGAATGCTAAGTGCATGATGAATAGATCCTGTGTGGCAAAGACCGTCTAGTCATACGAGGAAGATAGCAGTGGTGCCCAAAACCTGGCTAATTCCCGAAGGAGCCGGGTTGTTTTAGCTTTCTTATCCTTCCCAATTGTCCGATCTGTCCGCCCAACCCAAGAATACATGCCTTAAATCACAACCACCGTTTGGGCGATCAAATGCCTCGTGGAGAATCCTGTAGAATCCTGGATCGTTTTATCTCACCACGAGAACGTCATCAACGCTGGATTCAATACAATCGGCAACAGGAGATGGCTCGCGGTAACCGTACTCATGGGCAAAATGGCAATGAAATCGTCGATCACCCAGTCAAACGGAATGTACCCCCCTGGATTCGTGGCCAAGATGGCCATGCCGACGATTCCGATGAGCGCAAAGGCAATGCTGAATTTGAACTTTCTCACCACTTTGGGGACCTCGATGAAGAAATTTGAAAACTCCGCTTCTTTGGAGGTGGCGCCCCATGTCATGTCGACCTCGAACATGTGCGCCAGCAGAGCCTGGGAGACGTGGAGCGAAAGCCCCCCAAGGAAGATGGAGAGCATGATGATCCATTTGAAGTTCTCCAGCAAAGCTGGTATGAATGGTTTCTGGCCGATGCGGTACCGCATAACGGCAAGAGCGATATTCCCTAGGCCGTTGAAGACAATCACGATGCTGAACCACACTTTCCAACTGTCAATGTAGTATTTGTCCAAGTAGCCATTGAACCAGCCGATGGCAAAGTAGTTGGCTAGTGTCATGATCCACGCAGCACCAATGGCGTAGTATGTGCCAATATAACTGATGATGGTGACCTTGGAGGTGAACCGTATATTGGAGAAGAGAAACCGTCGGAAAAGTTCTGTGAAGGGTCCTTTGTAGATCCACTTCCTCATCGGATGGAAGAGAAGCTCGTTGCAACCGTATGCGTACTTTTCCCATCGAGCAAGTTCGTCATACACGGTCAAACTTACACCCTCCTTGAAGCCTCCATGGGCCCAGGACGCCAGCCTGATGATATAACCGTCGCATTGAAGCCGCAAGGACATATCGAAGTCCTCGCTGACATGTGATTCGGACCAAAATTTCTCGTAGCCGTCTTCATCCGTGTATGAGACTTGCTGGATGGCGCTCCAACGGAGGATAGCATTGTGGCCCACAAAAGGTGCAACGTCGCCGTTAGCAACAGTGTATTCGATGGCCGTGTAGATGAGGTTGGTAAAGAAGGTGATGCCATTCTCGAAGAAGGTATGCACAACCTGCATGACGCCGGATGCAAATTGCATGATCCCAACATTCAGAGATTGTTCCATCTCACTCACGGCATCCAATAAGCAGTCTACTGGCACTCGGGTGTCGCTGTCAATCAATAAGATGTAGTCTCCGATCCGAATGTTACCGTCAGCCCAAGCGCGTGGGGTCTCATCGAGAACCTCTCGCAGGCATTCATCGTAAGCTTCGGACTCGTCGTTCGGAGTCCAGGCAGAATTGCGGTGATACCTTTGAAGCTTGTCCTCGACTTTGCAGGACAGCATCAACCCGTAGTTCATATTGGAGGCTTTTTTGAATTTGCCCTTGCGAACGAAACCTTCACTGCCATGTTTTGGACGAGCAGTCCAGCCGATATTGTGGTCTTGGTAGAAGTCAATCCGTGCCTTCCGTTGCTCTTCGTCAATGAGCTGCAAGCCGTCATCGTTGATGAACATGTTTGCGGTCCCCCCCTGTAACTCGTACGTCGAGATAGCTTGCTTGATAGACTTAACCGTCGGCGCAATCACGGAGGCAAGTCCTTCCTTGTAAACCGGACACTGAATAGTCACATGCGGCAAGATTTGCGTACGTAGGCGAGGAGAGCATTTTGCTGAGAAGTATTTTGAATTGAGTTGCATTTGTTGTATAGGTCCAAGGCATTGTGCAACGCAGCCGACGATAACCTGAGCGAAGAACTAGGGAATTATCAGTAATCCCGCTTAACCAAGAATGATCACTTACCAAAGTAAAGAATATCTGCACAGGGACCAAGGAGACAAAAGCCAGACGGATGTATGAGCCATCCACGGCGATTTCCGTTGCCAAAGACCGACATGCTAAACCAAGCAATGTGACAACAATGATTAGAGTAAATGCGACTAGTATTGTGTTCATCAAGTTGGTAGGACGTTCCTGGGGTGGTAGCTCCCCAGATTCGGAATCGACAGAGGCGATAGAAGCCCGGTTCTTTTCGTTGGTGACTTCCTCCTCATCCCTCGCCTCGCCGGTGTGCCACACAAGTTCCATCAACTCTGACTCGATCGAGGCCGCTCTCTTCATTATATTCGAAGGGTCATCGTCCCATACAACCAACAAGGAGTCGGCGGCGATGAATGCAGCGAATTGATACTTCCGTGCACGAGGCAGGTGGGCAATCGTGGGTAAGATCTGGACTCGGAGGCCGTTCGTAAGAGGAACGTCTGTAGCATCAGGAGCCCAAGCCAAGAAAGTTTTGATGACTCTCGAATTAACCGTCATGGCAACCTGGTTTTCAAATCAGTAGACTGTACGGGCCCAGGCGACGTATCCTACCTGCACATTGAGCTCGGCACAAACTTCTCCAAAGTGTGAATCTCGAAGGGCCGCGGGGCATGAAAGGTAGACGCCGCGAGATTTTCGAAGCACTACCCCTTCGATTTCTCCACTTCCATCGCTGACCCATAGGCGCGAACACTGTTGCTGGTAGAGATGGTTCACCATAACCTCATGTTTGATGTCCTCGAGGGCGCTTCGTACACTGCGTGTCGACCTGCCGCCGATGGATGCGGCATCGCTTTGCGAAGGCGAGTCATTAGAACGAAGAAAGCCCGGTATCGGGGAGCCAGCCGTCGGAGGCGATATAGAGGCGGAAGTGGTTTGCCGGGTGATTGATGGAGGGGAGATAGTCCATTGCGTTGATCTCTGATTCATATTCATGGCACCAACCGCAAAGCTACGCTCTTCTATAAGCGTTCGGATCAGGAAGACTGCCGATCTGAGAGCGGTGTGTTAAGGTAGAGAGCCAGACAGAGCTGAGATGAACTTTACTTGTAAGTAGAAAGAGGCTGAATATAAATCTGGGTCTTAAGTATGTCCCTTCTTCCCGTGAAGCATTTTGATGGACCATATAGGGTCCGCAGAGATGGGCCAACCATAAATAGTGATATCTAAATGAGCGCAGCAGAGACAGTGGCGGCAGAAATCGAAAGGACAATTTAGGGTGCCATACGCGAAAAGACCTACATTTGGCTTTCGACGCACCACAGCCCTTGTCTATCCTGATCCTACCTGGGTGCTTTTCCACTGGGGCCATGTCATATCGATGAGACATGATCAAAAGCATACGCAGCACAGCAGTCACTAGCCCGGTCGATATTTGGTAGCGAGATAGGATCTTCCGGCGCCCAAAATAGGGGAGCTCCAGAGAATCAGAAAGGGAACAACCCTGACGTGGATCATGCTTAACCAATCCAGGTGGTAGACAGTTGGGAATATCGTGAACAGGGAGAAATAGAATGGAAGGGATGTTGTCCAGGGGAACTTGATGGATCATATTCCCAGACAAAGTCCCTCAGACAGTGACCCTGATCACTATGCCTATTTCGGTCTAAGTCAGCCTCATCTCCAACAGCAAACCACGCTTCCGTGACTGGATTTGGCCAGACCAGAGCCTATGCATGGTGTCATTTCCGACAGGGCAGGGGACATTTGACGGTAATTATAGAGGGTTACCCTGCTACACGAAGTGGCTATCCCTGTCGCCGACTGCAGACTGCTGAATTAGGTTTATGCTTCTTGATTTCTACCTTGTTGGCGACAAGCACAGCTCTCCTTCGATCCTGTGGAGAAGAAATAGCTGTGTAATAAGAAGGTGGAGTGCTCCTGTCCAATCCAAGAGATTGGGAGACTGGTAAGAAGCGACATGCTTGATCCGCTGTTCGATCGTAGTTGGTACTCGTGAGACATATAACAAATAGAGCCGAGACAGATCCATTTTTTTCTGCGCCGACGTGAAGCGCGCGTTCATCAGCATTGCAAAATGAGAATATCGATGGTAAATCTGTTCTTATGGCACAGTTCTGTGCATGACACCTTCCAATACGTTAAGTCTTTCAGTTCTCTTTTGCGTCGCCAGAAAGCGCAAAAGCTTCACCTCGACCTTCTTACCTGACCAATACCGCAAACTCAAAGCTTTTCATTCTCACCATGACACATTTCTCTCGTCCAAGCTATTATCGAGCGGACTCGGCGACGAGCATCGATGCAACGCCTCGGGCTGGTTCCCCAGAATCGGCGACTGCGAGCGGTGGATCTCAACAGGAGAAGGCCATCAATCCTTTTCTCACCCCGTATGCCTCTGGAGACCCCTCAAGGGCGGCATCATCGGCAGCTCTCCCTCAATCCACGCTGAATCAGAGATACTTCCACTCTCGGAGAGTAAAGAAGGGAGAGGTGGAGCGGCCGTGGACAAAGGTCAAAGATCCTCGGGAGAAGTGGGTGACAATCATCCCTCTAATTGGACTTGCGATCGGCTTGGGTCTTGCGGGCCTTCTCATCTGGGATGGTCTCCAAACCGTGGTCAATCACAAGTATTGTCCAGTGTATGTGGAAGACTTCTCGAATGGATTTGACTCCAAAATTTGGACTAAAGAAGCTGAGGTTGGGGGCTTCGGCAATGGCCAGTTCGAGGAGACCACCGTCACAGAGGAGAATGTGTATGTGAAAGACGGGATGCTCTACATCAAGCCGACGCTGCAGGATCCCAGATTGATCGAGACCAATAACGTGATTGATCTGCGGGTTGGTGGTATATGCACCTCGCCAGTCTGGAGCAATTGCATCACAGGCACAAATACCACCAATGGCACTATCGTCAACCCCGTCAAGTCTGGGCGGATCAACACCAAGAAAGGCGCAGCAATCAGATATGGTCGAGTTGAGGTCGAAGCCAAGCTGCCCCAAGGCGACTGGTTATGGCCCGCAATATGGTTGCTCCCTGTCGACGACACGTATGGTTTGTGGCCGCAATCCGGAGAGATCGATATCGTCGAGTCTCGGGGCAACAACCACACTTATCCGCAAGGAGGCAACAACATCGTTTCGAGCTCTCTGCATTGGGGCCCAGACGCTGCCAATGATGCATGGTGGCGGACTAATGTCAAGAGGAACGCCTTGCACACGACCTTCGCGAAAAAGTTCCACACATTCGGACTCGAATGGTCTGAAAAATATATCTTCACCTACATCGACACGCGTCTGCTGCAAGTACTGTACACCAACTTCGACAAGCCACTTTGGGGCCGTGGCCACTTCCCCCAGGCTGACGAAAACGGTACTCGCATTGTGGATCCGTGGTCCAAATACAATCGTGCATCGACACCATTCGACCAAGACTTTTATCTCATTCTAAACGTCGCCGTAGGCGGTACGAACGGGTGGTTCGAAGACGGTAGAAACGGCAAACCCTGGGTCGACGCTGGTCAGACTGCGAAGAGGGATTTCTGGAATGCGCGCAACGCGTGGTATCCAACTTGGAAGAACGGCGGTGAAATGACTGTCAAGAGTGTGAAAATGTGGCAGCAGCAGGGATATAATGGTTGTCAGTGACGGGGTTCCAGAGTCTCTGGGAAGGTCACGGACACGTTCGGATACTGGGATGGGATCTCGCTGGTTGATAGTTTCCTTAAAAAGATTGAAATGTCGTGGTCTGGTGGCTATTCGCGGCATTGAGGTGGATCGTTTCATATCGCTCGAAGTACCAGCAGTTTGACCAGTGAGTTGTCGTCCAGGACACGCATGCCGGAACCAGGTTAGACTGTTCCGCCAAAAGATCATCACCAGAGTAAAATGTTACACGGCAGTTCGAGGCATTTGATATAGAATTTTACTATGATTTTGAGAAGCGCCCTGCTGTCTGAATAGTACAGACTGAGGACGCCGATCCATCCACGTAGACAAGGTAAGTTTATGTACAATGACTCCTGCTAGACAGACAAAGTTACACCAATTTCATGAGACCTTCGAGATTAATACTCTTCGGTCGTTCAATCGGCATGCCCAGGGCGCGATCCCAAATCAGTTGTGCCAAAGGACCCAGGCCTCGACTAACTCCGAAGGTGACAGTATAGTACAAGGGATCCTGGAAGCCATAATGGTGGAAGAGGACACCTGAGGCACTGTCCACATTGGGATGAGGGTTCTTGGTCTTGCCGTGCTCAGTGAGGACGCCGGGGGCAATCTCGCTGTTCTTCTTGACCAGCCGATACACGGGGTTGTTTGCAATATCCTCACGGGCGTCGCCGAAGTCGATCAAGGCCTTGAATCGTGGATCAGGCTTCCGGAGCACACCGTGACCGTAACCCGGAACAACCTGACCGGAACGAAGGGTAGCCCAGAGGTAGTCTTTGACGTCTTTGTCAGAGAAATTCTCGCCGATTTGCGATTGCATCTTCAAAATCCAGCGGAGCACCTCTTGGGCAGCTAGTCCATGCAGAGGTCCCGCAAGGCCTAGCAGGCCAGCAGAGTACGACAAGAACGGATCAGAAAGAGCGGAGCCAACTAGGTGAGTGGCGTGAGCCGAGACATTGCCGCCCTCGTGGTCTCCGTGAAGGGCAAGGTAGAGACGAAGCAAATCCTGGAACCCTTCATTTTCCTTCCCAGCCTTCCCGAGAAGTTTGGCGAAGTTGTAGGCCCAGTCTTGCTCAATGTCCAAGGGCATGTCGAGAGCGGATTTGTCAAAGATGGCCGCAGCCACACGAGGCAGCTTGGCAAGGAGGCTGATGCTGTCATCGAACGTAGGCTCCCAGTAGTCCGCCTTGTTCATACCCTCGGCATACTTCTTCGCAAATTTGGACTCGGTATTCAGAGCGGCAACGGCGCATGACAGCTGCGTCATTGGATGAACATTCTTGTCGAACGAGCGAAGCATGGAGACGACATGGGGTGGGAGGTCTGATTTTTGGGCCAATTCGCGCGACAGAGCTCGGACCTGAGAGGTGGAAGGAACTTTGCCGGTCAAGAGGAGCCAGAACATGGCTTCAGGCAGCATCTCGGTGCCAGAGGTACCTTTGGGGAGCTCTTTCTGGCAATCGGCGATTGTTCGGCCGTGGAAACGAATCCCTTCATTGGCATCCAACACGCTACCCTCCCAAACCATGGACTTCATTGTTCTCATCCCACCGATGACTTGGCCGACGGTGATGTCGCCAATCTTCTTGTCGGAGTGGCTCTTGACCTGCTTGAGCAATTCTCTCTTCTCGGGAATCACGGACAGGAGCGTGGCCTTCAGGTCGGGCTCGGCGGCGGAGGCGTACGTACGCAGGGTGAAGGACGCATACGGGCGGGTTGAAGAGGCAGCACGAAGGCTTCTCAGGGCATGCTGGGTTGTCCTAGTTGTGGTAGCCATTGTGATGGATGAACCTCTTGTTCACAGTTCTGTCTCTTTTTTTTGTTGCTTAGACCGGGCTGCCTGTGCGGGGTCCGTCGACTTCAATGGACAAAGGGGGGAAAGATATCAACGCCGGAGGGAAGCAGTGAACACAGACTGCCGCTGAATGTGAAGGTGGAAAGATATCAGTGTCGACCAGAGTGCGGCATGCACGAGCTTTGAGCTTCGAACCAAAAATGTCAAGTCCGAATCAGTTGTTAGGACAAGACTTTAGAGTCCTAGCGAAAGGCGCATTTTCGGTGAGCTGCTTCTCAGCAACAGCAAAAGCTCCGAGCCTAACCGACTCCCGAGGCTGTTGCTAGTGCCAGTTGTCTAGCCTTCCATTTCTCCTCGACAGCTACCCACGCTCCCTGCCGGAGCCCTTCGCTTGACGGCCCGAAGTCGCAAGAGGCTACCTGTCTCCATATTCTGAAAGCCCTCGACATCATTCTTTCTACACCCATCGATGCATTGTTCCTGACAAACCAAATTCGGGCTGGTGTCCGTGGGGCTCATAGAGGTGCGCCTTTTCTAATGCTATAACTCATGGGAGCGCAGCTTGCCGTCTCCTCTACACAACATCTTGGAATGTTTCGAAGAGGTCATTAAACAACGACAGAACTATGCTTCGACGACTTCCCAGGAGCCTTGATCGGCTCGCAGCCGGACCCACGATAAGAACAGCAGCATCGAGACCTCTTTTTACAGCTATGCCTCGATATTTGTCCTCCTTGCCCTCTGTCGAACCGCCCGTGTCCACTTCGTTGCCCTCCGACTCGTTTCAACTTCTCTCGACGGAGGACAAAGCCGGCGACGCAGAGGATATCCTGTTCAAACAACAAGTGGAGGATGTAAAAGCATGGTGGGCATCGCCGAGATATAAAGGCATCAAGAGGCCATACAGACCGGAGGATGTCGTGAGCAAACGAGGAACGCTACAACAAGTGTATCCCAGCTCGCTCATGGCGAGGAAACTCTTTAATTTGCTGTCCGAGCGAGCAGCGGAGGGCAAGCCAGTTCATACAATGGGCGCAATTGATCCTGTTCAGATGACGCAGCAGGCGCCCAACCAAGAGATCCTGTATGTATCGGGCTGGGCTTGTTCATCCGTCCTGACCACCACCAACGAAGTGTCCGCCGACTTTGGCGATTATCCGTACAATACGGTTCCCAATCAAGTTCAGAGACTGTTCAAAGCTCAACAGCTTCACGATCGGAAACACTTCGATACGCGGCAGAAGATGACTGCCGAAGAACGAAAAAATACGCCTTATATCGATTACATGAGACCAATTGTCGCAGACGGTGACACCGGACATGGCGGTTTATCCGCCGTCATCAAACTGGCCAAGCTATTCGCTGAGAATGGTGCTGCCGCAGTGCATTTTGAGGATCAGCTTCATGGAGGCAAGAAATGTGGCCATCTGGCCGGCAAAGTGCTGGTGCCTGTGGGCGATCATATCAACCGCCTCGTCGCAGCAAGATTCCAGTGGGACATGATGGGCAGCGAGAACCTCGTCATTGCACGAACTGATTCAGAAAGCGGCAAACTACTCTCCAGTGCCATTGACGTTCGAGACCACGAGTATATCCTGGGCGTGACTGAGGACACGGAGCCTTTGGCCGAAGTTCTTCAAGAGATGGAGCTCAACGGCGCAGATGGACCAGTAGTGGACAAGTTTGAGGCTGATTGGGTCAAAAAACATAAGCTTGTCACTTTTGATGAAGCGGTTGAAGCTCACATCAAAGCCGAGGGTGGAGATGCCTCCGAGTATCTCGCCAAAACCAAGGCGGATCGCAACATGTCTCTCTCGTCCCGCCGCAAACTTGCGTCTCAATACACCAAATCTCCCGTGGTTTGGTCCTGCGACGTCCCTCGCACTCGAGAAGGGTTTTACCATTACCGAGCCGGCATCCCCGCAGCAACCAAGCGTGCCATTGAATTTGCTCCTTATGCAGACCTTCTATGGCTGGAGACAGCGGACCCCAGCGTGGCAAAAGCTGCCGGTTTTGCCAGAGAGATCCGTGAGGCGCACCCTGGAAAGAAACTCGTCTACAATTTGAGCCCGTCGTTCAACTGGATGGGTCAAGGCTTCGACGATGCTTCGCTGAGGTCATTCGTCTGGGATCTTGCCAAGGAAGGCTTTGTGCTTCAACTGATATCCCTTGCCGGACTCCACTCCACAGCCACAATCACCGCGGAGCTGTCACGAGGCTTCAAGGAAGAAGGAATGCTTGCATATGTCAAGCTAGTCCAGAGCCGGGAGAAGGAGCTTGGTGTTGACGTTCTCACCCACCAGAAGTGGAGCGGAGCGCCATATATCGATGGGATTATCGGTGCCATTCAAAGTGGCAGCAGTTCCAGCAGGAGTATGGGCGAAGGCAACACGGAGGCGGGTTTTTAAATTCCAGGGACCTGATCCTCTGATAGGAAACACGATCTGCCTTGAATACTTTGTCCCACCGAGCACTGCTTACGAAGCAGCCAATTTCCCCATCGAGGACGGCCAACGATCACCCGTTGAATGATTGCGACCCAAAAGTCCCACAATGCCACATGATGACATGAATCTGGATAGCAAAATGTTTTTTCATGGGGGGGAAAGGGCGTTCCAACTGTAAATATATGCTAGTCAAAAAGCTATCATCTAGGTGTCGTGAGGAATTGAGATCATTTTTTGTGCAAGTGGCAACGACAGTCTCTCCCAGGTATCACCCATCGAGCATATAAACCATTGCCCTGCTTAGTCATCCACTCGCCCGGAGTTAGACTGGTCACGGAGGCGGTTCTCAGCTATGCCAGTGGCGCCCAGATGCCCATTGCTTATCGATTAGCAACCCCTCTGGTGCCCCGAAAAATTTCCATAAGGCTGAAGAAAAATTGCCTCTCGCCCTCCCAAGCAGCCAGTGAAGTCAGCGGCTGGTGGGCGCAGGCTGGATCAGATTTCTCCCATAGGCTGGCGCCCTCCGCCAACGGACCCCTCATCATTTTGCGATATGTGATTTTTTTGTTTTGTGTATTTCCTCTATGATTCACTCTCCACACCTTCTCGGGCTGCGGCAGAGTAGGGAGTGGCACCCTCGTCTTTTTACCGGTCAATTCTTCGACACTCGAGATCTCTGTCTTTTTTTCTCTTTGTCTTCGTGAGATTTGGAGTTCCGCCTTGCACGGAATTTCGGCTTTAGAGTAATGCCACACCTTGAAAGCCCTCCCTTGTCTCCTGCAATGGCGACGACCATCGTCCCCTCGAAGTCGAACTTTTCCGGAGTCGCGCCAGCGCCTGAAGAAGTCAACAGCATTTTGAAGACCATTGTGGACACCAACTCGGCACAGACTTCGCTCGACGCGGCCTATGCGCTCACAAACCTCCTTATTCAGTCCGTGGGAATCCGAGGACTGCTCTCATACAACCTCATTCCAGAGATAAAAAAGGCTGCTGCGGACAAAAAGAATGGCGCCAAGCGGGAAAGTGCCATGTTCATCCTCGGGGCCATGTTCGAGCGATTTCCCCGCGAGCAACCGCTGAGCGAAGTGGTCTTTCTGGTTCATGATGGTGGCATCTTCAACCTAGTCCTTGATGGCTTGGCTGACAAAGGTTCTTCCGTCCGCGAATCCGCCCAATACGCTGTCGATGAACTGTTCAAGAATCTCGCGCCGGAGGCTATGGTTACTGGTCTCCTCCCAGTTTTGCAATCTTATCTGTCTAAACCAACCGGAAAATGGCAAGGCACCGTGGGCGCATACACTCTCCTGGGAAAGATGGCCGATAAGGCCCAGATCGGAACAGGCACGAAAGAGGAGGAACAAGCCAAAGATGTTCTGCGGGAGTCCATGGGTAAAACGCTCAAGGAGCTCATTCCGATCGTGGAGGGTGGAATGCACGACCTCAAAGCTGAAGTCGCCAAAGCCGCCACAAAGACCATGACCTTGCTCACGACTTTGCTTCAGAACGACGATGTGGCCCCTCGGATACCCTTGCTCATCGACACTATGAAGAATCCGTCTGCTCAGACCCTTCAGAAAGCCATTCACGCTCTTTCCCAGACCACCTTCGTCGCCATCGTCACTTCACCCGTCCTCGCTCTCTTAACCCCTCTGCTGGAGAGATCCCTGAATACTCCAAGCACCTCGCAGGAGGTTCTTCGCCAGACAGTGGTTGTGGTGGAGAATCTCACCAAACTCGTGCACGATCCAGTGGAGGCTAGAACTTTTCTACCCAAGCTGCAGCCCGGCGTGCAGAGAGTTAAAGACAATGCATCACTTCCCGAGGTCCGCGAATTGGCCACTAGGGCCGTGAATGTCATGAAGAAGGCCATGGGCGACGACAAAGATGGTGTGGCCAACGGCCAGATTGCCAGAACCACTACAGACGATGTCCTCAAAGTCCTTGACAGCCAGATTCGCGCCCAAGGTGGCCTGCCCAAGGAGGATATGCAAATCTGGAAATACGGGCAGACTTATGTCTCGGAGATGGTCAGAGAAGATGTCAACGCTCGCGTCTTCTCGCGGATTCCTTCTCGAGTAGGTCCATATCTCAAGTACATGCTGCCAGATGAGCTTTGCACAGCCGTTGCCGAAGCTGTGCAGAAGCATTTTGTTCAGGAGGACCACAAGAAATTTGGCGCCCCTGTTGTGGAGGATCCAAACGAGGTTGAGATCGTCAATGCAGAATTCTCTCTCGCTTATGGTGGAATGCTATTGCTGTCCCACACCAACCTCCGACTTTTGAAAGGGCACCGCTACGGTCTATGCGGCCGAAACGGCGCGGGAAAATCGACACTCATGCGGAGCATCGCAGAAGGGAAGCTGGAAGGCTTTCCACCTAAGGAAGTCCTCAAGACATGCTTTGTGGAGCACAATCAAGGCGAAGATGCCGATATCAGCATTCTTGAGTATGTGTCGAAGGATCCCGAATTAGCCAAGGAAGGGCAAGCGCGGATCTCAGAGGTCCTGAGCGAAGTTGGCTTTACAGCTGGTCCAGAGGGCCGACAGTCCCATAAGGTGGGCTCTCTGTCTGGAGGCTGGAAGATGAAGCTGGCTTTGGCAAGGGCTATGCTGATGCGAGCCGATGTTCTCCTGCTCGACGAACCGACCAATCACCTGGATGTGGCCAATGTCAAGTGGCTCGAGGAATATCTACAGAAGCACACGGAAATCACTTCTCTAATCGTCTCCCATGACTCTGGCTTCCTCGACGCAGTATGCACGGACATTTACCACTACGAGAACAAGAAGTTGGTCCATTATCCTGGCAATCTCGCCGCATTCGTCAAGGTCAAACCCGAAGGCAAGAGTTACTACACACTATCGGCCACGCAGGTGCAATTCAAATTCCCTCCTCCGGGCATCCTCAGCGGCGTCAAGTCCTCCACTCGATCCATAATCCGAATGACAAACGTTAGCTATACTTATCCCGGTGCGTCAAAGCCTAGCTTGACCGACGTTTCATGCCAACTAAGTCTGTCATCTCGAGTGGCCATTATCGGTGCCAACGGTGCGGGAAAATCTACCCTGATCAAGCTGTTGACGGGAGAAACCATCCCCCAGACGGGCAAGGTGGAAAAGCATCCCAATTTGCGAATTGGATACATTAAGCAACATGCTTTAGAGCACGTCGAGATGCATTTGGAGAAAACGCCAAATCAGTACCTACAGTGGAGATATGCCAATGGAGATGATCGAGAGGTATTGATGAAAGCCACACGGCAGCTCACTGACGAGGATAAGGCGCAGATGGACAAATGGATCGACCTCGGGGATGGAAAGGGCGGCAGACAGATCGAGAATTTGATTGGCCGACAAAAATACAAGAAGACATTCCAATACGAGGTGAAATGGCGAGGTATGCTCCCAAAATTTAACACACAAGTCTCGAGAGAGACGCTGCTGGACTGGGGCTTCCAGAAACTGGTTCAAGAGTTTGATGATCACGAGGCGTCCCGGGAAGGCCTCGGTTATCGCATCCTGGAACCCAAGGTGATTGCAAAGCACTTTGAGGATGTTGGATTAGACCCCGAGATCGCAAATCACAACCAGATTTCGGGTTTGAGTGGTGGCCAAAAGGTCAAGGTTGTGCTGGCTGGTGCCATGTGGAACAACCCTCACTTATTGGTCCTCGACGAACCGACCAATTTCTTGGATAGAGATTCACTGGGAGGCCTAGCTGTGGCTATTCGTGATTACAAGGGCGGCGTTGTTATGATCAGTCACAATGAGGAATTTGTTGGAGCGTTGTGTCCGGAACAATGGCATGTGGCCAATGGAAAAGTGACGCACAAAGGCCACCTTGCTATTGACCTGAATCGATTCGAAGACTCGCGTCCAGGGTCCAGCAATGTCAGCTCCTCGGCGGTATCCAGTGCCACCGCTTCCGCGGTCAACTCGGGAGTAGAGGACAACAGTGAGATGAAGTTCAAGGCAAAGAAGAAAAAGAAGATGACAAGGGCCCAATTGAAGGAGAGAGAGGTGAGAAGAAGGCTGAGACAGTAAGTTATGACCCTGCACAACCCGGAATCGTGATCCATGCTAACTATCCTGCCTCAAGCATCGAATGGCTCAACAAGCCTCCCGGGACTCCTCACCCACCTGACTCGGATGACGAATAAGAGTGACGAGACGGATGAGATTCATAGCGTTGGTGTTATTTCATGCGACTTTCGAACATATTATGGGTGTGTCCGCGTTCATGGGTGATAGACGATAGACTGGGCATGTGGGAAACTGGGCTAGAGACTCCGACCCAAGTAGCATTTACAAAGTTGACCTGGATTTTGTATATGTTGGCGCTCTCGGCAAAGATGGGTTTATCACGTTGGTAGAGGGGACTGCACCAAGCGAGGATACCCTTTTTTTTTAATGAACGAGCGCTTTTGATTACAGGTTCCTCATAGCAAAATAAGCTCATATTTCGCAGAATGGCTTGTGCAAGTCCCGCCCTCCCAATCGGAGCAATGACGTCGAATTCGGTATAGACAACAAAATTTATATTATGGTCATGGACTTATCCGACCCACCTTCTAAAGAGCCTGTGCGCGATCCTTTACACCACGCTGACCACTACAGACACTGAAGCAACCTGGTATATGCGACCATGAGCTCCCCAAACGGCACGGCAGTTCCACCCGACATGAAAATCACCGTAAACCCGCAACGTGCATCCGTCCTCTTACAAAATCTCTCCTCCGTCCGACAACGCGTCCATGGGGCGTGGTGCTCCTCCTTCCCGCCAGACACAAGCCCCTCCGCGCCTGCTACTGTGCCCGTCCGGATCGTGGCCGTGTCGAAGCTGAAGCCGGCCTCGGATATTCTCGCCCTACACTGCCCAGCAGCGTCCGACGATGGCGTGCCCCTCACAAGCGAGACATCTAGCGATTCCTCCAACCCTCCAGCAGCAGCGCATGCCCATTTCGGAGAGAACTACGTGCAAGAATTAGTAGAGAAATCAAAACTGTTGCCCAAGACGATCAGATGGCATTTCATTGGCGGGCTGCAATCGAACAAGTGCGTGCCAGTGGCGAGGGACGTGGACAACCTGTGGGCGGTAGAGAGCGTGGACAGCGAGAAGAAAGCGAATCTGTTGAACAAGGGCCGGGCGGAGAGGAATGAGAGACTGAAGAAGGAACATGGGGATCGCTGGCAACAGATCGTGGACGAGAATGGCCTAGAGGAAAAGTTGAGGGTCTTCATACAAGTCAATACATCCGGCGAAGAGTCCAAGAGCGGGCTGGATCCAGACTCGCCAGAGCTGTTGTCTCTGGCCAAACTCATCCGTGATGATGGGCGATGTCCGAACCTGCACCTCCAAGGACTCATGACCATCGGTGCTATCGCTCGGTCGAAAGCGACTACCCCAGAAACGGAAAACGAGGATTTCATTACGCTGCGCTCCGCCCGCGATCGACTTGCCGCAGATCTTGGTCTACAACACAAAGATGAGCTAGAGCTCAGTATGGGCATGTCGGAAGACTTTGAGAGCGCGGTGAGACTGGGGAGTCGTGAGGTGAGGGTAGGGAGTACGATATTTGGGGAGCGGCCGCCAAAAAAAGATGCTAAAGTGCTAGAGCAGACGGAACAAGAAAAGAGGTGAAATTACATCATATGAGAGCTTAATCTCATAACATTGTGGACAGGGGCGTGTACTCATGGCCACATCGGGAAGGGGACGAACGGCATCGTGATATGTGATGGCAGGAAGAAGATGCTCAGATTATATGTCACCCCTTAAGGATAATGCATGCCATGTCCACTCCGCCAAAGCCGCGGAACACCATGCGACATGTACTCAAAAGGACAGAGTGTCCATACCTGGTAATGCTGATGTTGGTGATATGAGCCGTGGCCCTTTCTAACATTTCAACCGTTCCCGCAAAAGGTTCAATAGGATCTCAGGAACCTTTTCCTGCGTTGCACGAATCGTAGCGCGGAACATCTAAGAGAATAGGTCAGTCTCGATTCTGTATGCGCAAAGAGAGGGGCCACCCGGGGATCATACATTCTGCTGATGATTGGGCTCTAATCTGAGGAGACATCCGACCTTTCCCTTTTCCAGCTGCAGAACCGCACATCCCACAATATTTTTGGGGTTTGGATCAACATTGTCCAAGAGGCGCCACCGGAACCCTACAACAGCCTCGCGGACATACTTGTCCATCACCGTCATGGAAGGATCGCGGAAACCGAATGTGCTTTGCGCCTCAAGGGGGCCGGCACCAATTTGCCGCCAACGTTTGAAGAAATCCTCCGCCGAGAGCTCCGATGGATCCATGAATCGGTGGGGCAGAATTGGCAGTCTTAGAGTATATCCCTGCAAGGCCCCAGCAAGATACGAGATGCGGATCGTGGGTGCCTCGGAGAATGGGGCAATTGAATTACACACCATGGTCTGTTGGACTTGCGAGTCTGCGCCGACTGATGTATCTGGGAGGCTTTTGATGTCGATTTTGAGGCCGGGGTCGGATTTGTTGTCCAGAGTTGTTGTGAAGGAGCCAATTGGGAATGAGGCTTTATTAGTAAAGTAGAGTTTGATCACCCCAAGGTGGCCACGATATTCTCCCCTCATGCCGACTTGAATCTGTGGATCCTCGTACAAGACACCTTCGTCTTCAAAAAACATTCTGTCATAACCCTTCTCCCAATCTGGAGAAAGATGAGCCGCGCTGGTGAGGATGGGAGTCGTCGCGTCGTTGCCGTGGCCGTTCATATCCAGTCCTTCCAGGTCCTTTGCTGCACTGCTCGTCCCATTCTGAGCCGGTGTGGCTGCAGCACCATTGGTATTCGAAGGCATCCCGTTGAGAATGGTGGTAAAGGATCGCTTCAGTCCCGTTTGTTGAGCCAGCAGAACTTCCTTTTCGTCGGTATTGGCGTCTTTGCCGCCAACTACCCAAGTTCTTCTTTCACTTATTCCTGCACTCTTCTTGTGCAGTCTTTGTAAGAGGATAGAGGCCCGTTCAGAGAATGGGGGCATTTCGTCACAAATCGTTCGCAGCAAGTCGTCCGTTGGCAATGTTGCAATTGTCAGGTACTCGCATGCCCTCTGCTGCAGCTCTGAATCTGGCGAATGGCTATAGAATCGGAACATCTGCAGTAACTGCGGCTTGATCTCCGGGAAAAGGTTGACGAATTTGACGAACGTGGACAACAGCAACGCCCTCGTAGGGTCGGGTGCTGATATCATCTTTGTTTGCAGCACCATCAATTGCTCAATTGGGCTGCATCCTTTATTGTCAGCTATTAGGTGGCCAAACTCTCCAAGGATGTAACCGCCAATCTTGACAAGCGTGTCGTGGCAATTGTCGGTTTTCAAATAGTCAAAAATGTGTTGTGCTGCATAGGGCTGCAGTTCTTCGTTATTGGTGACAATTTGGACCACGCGTTGCCAGACTTCGTCGCTGACATGATCGCCTGCCATAGCGAGCAGTCTCAGTGAGATATCAATGTACCACTGAGCATCGGTTGCGTACTTTTCCGTCAGAATCGCGATTTTGAGAGTCATCTCTTCGCGTATCGAGAAGTCCGCTGTTTGTAAGTACTTTAACAGTTCGTTGACAATGGGTTGAGCATTGGTAGTGTCGCACATGCTGTACAACAAATCCAAGCCCTTCCTGCGGACGCTGATGTCTCGATCTCGTAAAGAACCGATAATGATACTTTGATGTCGTTTGATGGGATCGAGCGTGTCGGTCCTGGCCGCAAAATGGGTCATGGCATCCAGACCCAAGTACCGCACATTAGTTTCGCGTGACTGGATAAATCTCCCCAGCTTGGACGAAATATTCATCATGAGCTGGTGCTCAGTGTCGAGGTGGATGAGGAGGTTGATGGCCTCAAACAGTACGGCATTCTGAGCATTGTTCTGTTGTACATTCTTGGGCGTCTCTGTGGCTGCTTGCATGACCGCCTGAAGTGATTCGCGGATGATGTCGCGGACGTGAGAATCTTCTGCTCTAAAGTTAGGAGCGGTCAATGAGCAGGGAAAATGCGGTCGTACTCACCAGAACGAGGATAGTATTGCAGCAACTTCAAAAATTTGACTTGAATCCACGGACAAGGAACCTTGTAGTACAGATAGTCCGGTGAGATGTCGTTCTCAATGACGATCTTTCTCAACCTCTGAGCAGCTTTCACATAACTCCCTTTATACGCCTCCGGGTTGTCCTGGATCAGAGCCATGATGAGAGAAGTAACAGAAAGCACCACACCCATGTCAGGGTCGTCCATCAACGATATTATTCTTTCTGCCCACTCTCTCTGTATTATGGCCGGGTGTTTGCGGTAGAGACGGAGCAGTGTCAACGCTGCCTTCTTCTTGACAAAGGATTTGGAGGTTGGGGAGATCAATAGCCGATGGACGTCCGCGCTGAGGGCCTCGCCCATTTCTCGACCGCCAACATTGGCCACAGCATGCAAGGCCAGGCAGTTGTTGAGCTCGTTGTAGTCCAGCAGGTCTTTACGAATGCTATTGACCACCAAATGTAGGAGTTCGTGCTGTTCATGGAGAAATAGGGTGACGGCCAGATACCCAATCTGCTTTTCGGAGTATTTGGTTGCGGAGATCAAGTTGACGGCTTCAAGGTGCCCAAAGTCGACATTGTATCCTTGGATGTAGATGTAAAGCAACTTGCAGACATATTTCTTCTTTTGATAGCCATCCAATTTCTCGCTCTTGAATTTCTGGCGGATGTTGGCGAGCTCTTTGTTGATTCGCTTCTCCTCCAGCTCTCTCGCCCGGGCGTTTCGGAGGTCGGCTATGAACTGGACAAGACCTCGCATGGACGACATGATGACGGGTCAGAAATGGACGGCATCCAAGGCAAGCCGCAAGGGCTATGCGCCGGATACAGCAGGGGATTGCGGGAGGGTAGGGTCGCAGGGGGTCACTTCGGAGGGCAACCGTCTGATCAACAGGTCATTGTTCAGGGAGGGGATCACATTTCACAGTGATCATCCACAGTAGTCAAAGGAACGTAGGGTCAGCATTCATGATGCTCCGTCTTCAAAGAGAATAAGACTGCTGAGCAAAGACAGCCTCGTGTTGAGATGGCGGATGAGAAGTTGTCCACGTCCGCTATACCCGCAGTTGGCCCCCTCAAAAGAACCCACAACCCTTGCGCAGATCGAATTTAGTAGCGCCAAGTGCTGGGTTGGTGCCAGCAGCACCATCAATAATAGCCTCACCTTGAACACCCTTACCACCACTTCGCCCGCCACCGTCTGTCACATTAATAGTCAATGTGGTCGGGCTTTTGAGGGGTTTCGCTCCGATCAGCGTGATCATTCGCATCACACATACATTGGTAGTTACTATGCATTCAGGACTAACAAGTCGATGTTCCATCCTGTCCACCCCGGCCTCTGTTTCAAAACATACCATCCACCTCCAATAGAGACCGCCTATTCGCCCTTTCCCAGAGCTATCATTTCGTCCAAGAGTGCCACGGTCTCTGCCGGACTGGCAATCCACGCACAACAGCATGCACTTCTGGCCTTGAAGTCATTGCCACCTCCACTCAGAAACTGGTCACCGACATGCAGCGTGCTAGACGGTGGAATACCTCCAAACCATTTCTGACATGATTGTACCCCCAGTGACTTGTCCCCAATGTCCAGGAAAACGTCGGCACCTCCATTGAAGACGGTAAAAGGGATATCCGCATAAGGGGCCGGTTTTGCAGAGTTAGCTGTGATGATCGAGGTCTCCACTACCTGCTGAACCACCAGAACAGTCTCTTCAAGTTGTTCACGGGTGAGCTTTTTGGACTGGTCAGCTGCATAGATTCCAACCGCTCGTTCTTTCCGGAGTACCTTTGCCTGCAAACGAAGCGTGCGAATGCACGACTGGAACGCAGACTCGCCATCGTTCAGAAGTTCTTGGATGGCTGATTCCGACCAATGTTTCATAGTATCCAAGATCCATTCTCGCCGATGGATATACCGCAAGCAGTGCTCCTCCTTTTCATCGAACACGAAGAGGAAATTCGATTCACCGCCCATGATGATTAAATTGGACTTTTGGGCAGCGCTAAGATTAGTTGAAGCTTTGACAGCTAGCAGGAGGCCAGACAGTCGATTGAAATAGTGCTCGGGTTGCATGTATCCAGCGGCTGTCACGATCCCAATTTTGACGTCCTCGGCCAGAAAGTGAAGGAGTCGTAAGATGACGGGATTCGCCTCAGGTGAATGTAGAGAAGCACCGTCCTCATACAATGTGACATCACCATCGAAGGTCAGAAGCTTGAGGCCGGGGTTCAGCTTGGTTTTCAATTGCCTGTATGGCTTTGGCCGGATCATCGCCATCACTTGGGCGGTGTTGAGGATCAGCCGGATGTCATTGAACGAAGGCGCGACAAAACGACGTGACGAGATGGCGCGCTTCGCATCTTGATAGCGGAAAGCATCTTCTAGAGCAAGAGGTGTAAAAAAGGCAGAGATGGTCGGCACCAGCATATTCAGTTTAGACCTTGGATTCGACACAGCTTGCTGATTGACTGCACCGAGTTAGTTCGTCAACATTTTCGTCTGCCAGGCTCGCAACGAACTATGATCGAGTATCAAATCCTCGACGTCTCTAAAAATCTCGGCATATCGTTGCTGTGCTGACCTCGCCATCGTATCCAAGCTCTGTCCATTGGTGCCATCATACTCGACGGCTGGCTGTGAGTTGAGGACGAACGGAACAGCAAGAAGACCCTAGGAGAAACGCGTTGAGAATTATGCTGAGTGCACTGAGTGCGCTAATTGTCGATTGCTGGCTCACCTTGATCCATTCAATCTAGCCGCTCGAAATCAGCAACTGGCTAAATCCAACAATGTCACTTACGCACCAGTTGGTCTCTGCGATGGGTCTTCAGTCGTAGGAAAGTCAGCACGATCGTAGTCTGTCGAGCAGAAAGGGGCTTGACTTGCCTTCAGCGCATCTACCCATTATTAGCAAGTGTTTGGGACAGCTGCGTGATAGATGAGATTGGTGACGAACACTCGACTCGATACCGGGTTGTCATCCTGTCGGTTTGCAGGCTGCCCGAAGTATCACGGTTGAAGGGGAAGGGTGTAGAGAGATGCTGTTGGATTAAACTGGGTGAAACCGTGATAGACGTTGATAGGACACGTCGGGGCCGTTACCAGCTGACAGACTGACCGTGTTGCACGTCACGTTTGATTTTCTGCCAAGCGGTAGATCAGGCGGTCGGCCCGGCCCAAATTTGGCCAAGAATGATGCCGCCCTAGCTTGCCTAATATGGTTCTCTACTATTAAATATACTGCTTGTACAAGGTACATACTATAACTGCACACGAGTAGCAACGGAAAGGCATTTGAGGATGAACATCACTCCTCCGTGATACATATGAAGATGATTTCGCTGCCTACCCAGCCTACGACCTCTCAAGGCTCAATCATAACTGTCTTGCCAATTCCTGTCCACTGCGCTGCGACGTCAAGCGCTTCCTTCCATTCTTCCATCTTGAACACCTTAGGGTCTACGAGCTCCTTTCCACGAGGAAACAAGCCTCGCTCCAACATTTTCACAAACAAAACCATGTCCTCCCTCTCATACATCAGCTTGCCCTTTATCGTGATGTTCAGAGCCATGACGTTCCAATTGATCACATCTTCAACATAGCCCATCATGCTGCACCGTCCCCCGCGCCGCAACGAGCGAATCGCGCTTTTCAGATGGGAAGACTTACACGCAAAAGGAGGTGTGAAGTCGATCACGGCGTCGATGGTCCCGAAAGCTTGTAGCGTAGCTACGTCGGTTTCATAGTCACCTGTCATCGTGACTGTTTCAATGCTCGCCGCAGGGCTCCTTTTCTTGATATGCTCTTTCAACCTGGCCAACTCTTGTTCATTCCTCCCCATGGCGATGACCCTTGCACCCATTGTTATGGCGACTTGCACACCCGCGCCCCCAAATCCTCCAGTTGCAGGGCACACAACGACTGTCTCGCCAGGCTCGAGCCGGATGTCTCTAAGTCCACCGAACGGCACCAGCAAGTAGATCATGTACATCAGCTCGCGGGTGGTGTATCCCAGCTCTCCACACAGCCTATTTTCATCCAGCCGGATACAGTTTTCCAGCGGTACCTTCATATATTCGGCGAATGCTCCGTCCCGCCAAACAGCGCTGCTCAATTTCCGACTTCCGGCGTCCATACCCTCATGAATAGCCGTGAGAAATAGAGAGTCCGGATTATCTCGAGCGCGAATCACACAGTCCATCCAGACGAGCTGACCAGGTTGCAGGACCACGGCATCTGGACCTACAGCGACGATACGGGCGATGGCACTCGATCCCCCAACGATCGGCTTTGGGAAATCATAGTGACGCTCTCCATTGTAGATTTCGCGATGGTACGAGATCACTCCAGCTTCGAGGATGCGTACGATGGCGCTACCGGGATCAGGCTGGGGAGTGGATACGGTTTTGACCGAGAAGCCTCCTTCGAGGGTTTCGAGCACAAGGGCCCGGTGATGGGTGGGCAGGGCTGATGATGCCATCGTTGATTAGGGTCGTTGGTAGAGAGATGAGCAATGAATTGTATCTTGTTTGCAAGCTGATTGAAATATCCTGGCCGGAAAAGCTGGTGCTTCATGGCTTCTTATGCACAGCATACACATACACACGTATTCAATGACCGCCACGTGCCGGAAACTTACATGTGCCTTACGACCGAAATCCGCGCCGCGCAACTGCGTCTGAATGCGGGATGCGGATTTGAGTCAAAGCCAGGATCATCTGATGTTTGAATTCATCGAGTCCCCAACGGATCTACTGGTGCTAACGATGTGGGTTATGCTCATAGTGACTAAGATCAGGACTGAGATAGAAGTGGAGACTCAGTACTATCTATCCTGGACAGCTGTGTGACAGAATAGCAAATGAAGACATTATTTCTGTTCTACTGCCTTCTCCTTAAACATGAGCAGATCTAGCCACGCCATCCAGATCAAAATCGGCGGGAATGAAAAATAGGTCATCAAGGCTAAAATTGGAGCCAAAGGTCAAGTTCGTTGGGTCGAAGTCATTGGGATCGAAGACGTCAGACATTTCCGGGTTTCCCCTAGACTCCATGTCAACTCCGTTAGAAGTTGCTCGCTCCTGAATAATTGAGTAGGAGGCTTCCAGGCTCTCTTTGGCGCTCTGGGCCAACTGTTGAATGAATGATGAATTCTCGCCTGCCACTTCTGTCTGACGAAAAGCCATACTCAACTTCATATGGAGCTTGACATTCGTCTCTCCAAGTCGGATCCGCTCGGTGGACTGCCGAAGCGCCTCTCTCAACGCGTCCATCAACATCGTTCTGTAACCAGAAGGTTCCTGCGAAGACAAGTGGTACTCTCCCGGCCCTTGCTCTTCCACTTCCATCAGTAACTCCGACGCTACAGCCAGGGACGCGTGGATCATTCGGTTCTTGAATATCCCGGCTCCTTGGAGCACGAGATGCGCGAACTCCGCATTCTTGGAGACTGGCGACAGTATGGCCATGGCGGCATCGAGGCTCAGCTTTCTGGAGAAATAATATATTGGATTACTTCGGGCCCGGCCAGCAAGGGGCCGATGGAGGTGAAGTAGAAAGCGCCGGAGAAGAAGATCTGCAAAGTTGCTGTGGAAGGAGACAATGTCGGGATCGTTATTTCTGGGGATAAGAGCACCGCAGTTTCGGCAAATTCTAGTAATTGAGGTGGTCAGAGCGACGAGCTCGTTGTATGATGTTTCTGACAGGGCGTATGTAATACCGTTCAGGCGACGGGCGATTTCCAACCTTGGGCGCAGAGACTGAAACAAGAAACGCTGAAGGGATGAATCCGTTGCCGTTGTGGGACGCTCCAGGAGGGTCTCAGTCTGCTCATTAATGTCCTTGTCGTTGACGTTGGAAGGAGCCTCGGTATCAAAGTCACCTAAGGATAGAGTAGGTGGCACTCCGGCATCCAAAGCCGCTTGGATATTCAGTTCCAAGATGGTGGCCCAGAGCCTTCGACGAACTTCTCCGTCACTGGTTTAGGAAACAATACCAGTCAGTCATGGGAATATACGCTGTCCAACTTCACCAAAGCTTACAGAATACCCATCCCCTTGAAATGCTTCGGGTCACGGTGAAGGCCCATTTGCATGGCCATCCGAACAACTGTCCCCATCGATATCCAGACGATATCCCCGCCCACGGCAAGAACCTGTCGAGCCAGGATCAGTAGACACTGCACCTGTAGACTGGCGATGCTGATCCGATCCTTTTTCAGAGGCCCAGACAGCCATTCCTGCGCGGTGTATAGCCACTGACGCACCATTGAGCAGGTATCTGTTCTGTTAATAGTACCTCGGTGAATGGACGTTCCAATGGCGATAACGAGCTGGACCTTTTGTCGAAGCACGGTTTCGACATTTTCTGGGTCGCTCCAAAACTTCTCATATTCCATCCTAAATGAGGGAATATGTAATATGCGAAACACAGACTCAAATCGAGTGATATACAAGTGTACCATCTGATCGGCGAACTCTTTTGCGATCGGGGGATACACTTGTATAAATGAGGGGCGCCTGCTTGGTTGAGAGGATTTGATACTTTTGGATAGGACTTTGCATTTTTGAAGGAGAGAACCAATCTCCCATTTTAGCCGTGCAAGGATTTCATTGTCCGAGGGATTTCCAACTTCAGAATTCAGAACAGCCGCTGTCTTTTGAAGCTTAATGGATGTTAGCCCATCGTTCTCGATGTGTAGGTGGGCGCCTGGTGTGTAACGACGTACCTCAAGAGTGGAGGTTGTCCAGTGGCTCCGGCCAAATACTCTGCATTTATTTAAGGAAATCCTTTCGTCCCGTGGACCGGTTACATTGCCGTCGAGTCCGGCGTGGATGGTTGAGCTGAAGTCGAAAGGCGTTGTAATACCCCGAAGGAGCTGAGCATTGAGTTGTTCGTCTCACGAACGCCCAGCCAGACGAGATGTGTCGGAGACGGGAGCGGTTTCTATCGCAGTAACAGAAGCCTGGGGCGGAGTAGAATAAGCTGCGTGTTCATGTAAGATGGAAGCGCGTCCATGGTCATCTTGACCGGCGAAAATGTGCCCGTTGTCAATTGCGCTGGTTAAAGCCAGTTCGTGACCGTACCGACATTGTTTCTTGGAGACAACACAATGACCACACGGCTTCAAGCGGTTACATTTTACTTTCCTTCGTATGCATTCCTGGCAGGATCGGGCGACCCGTCGTCGCTTCCGCGGACTTGGAAGAACATCGTCATTCATTGAGGAGGGAATATCGAAAAGACAGGGGTAGTTACCAGCGTATTACGAGCTCACAAATGTGCCAACTCCGTGATAGTAGAAATTTGGCGGAGTACGGAGTACGGAGTTGTTGTCGGGGTATGGGTTTACAGAAATAGAACCGTTGTTATCTCCGCCTTGCTGAGTCTCGGGTCCGAACAGTGCGAACGAGAGCTGTATAAACGAATTATGGTTGTCTGGGGTCTTTAGTTTGATTGGTCTGCCATATCAGCACCACCCTTCGCTTTAAGGATCAAAGAAAAGCATGTGAACTTTGCGAAGGGAGACAAGGACATTGATGTGATATTGGATATGGTCAGGGAGGCGTAGCAGCTGGGAACGTGCAGGAATGAGACAGTTGGCGGGCGCATTCCGAAGCAGCCAGCGGAATACATAACATTGCATGTCAACATGTCTTCTGCTACAGACCCACACGATGGGGTTCCTGGGGCCCTTCGTTGAATGGAACTCTCTAATATACATTTGTCTGGCACGCGGAGTTCCTCGAAGCCTTAAACGACGGCACAGCCTGTTGAGGGCGGACTAGATCCCGGTTCTTTGGCTGCTGCTCTTCATTGCTTCCTTTATGGCTCCGTCAAAGGTGACATCCAATTCCACGTTGGTTACAGCCCCCTCTGTCTTGGAACATCCTGTAGATGTCCAGGACCACACCATATTCTGAAATCTGCTTCTCCTTCTCGCTGGGCTCAGTTTCACGCCGATAACTTCTGGTTGCACCGTAACCTGTAGCTTCTCAATGGCTTCATGAGCATCATACAGGCTCAGCTCGCCGTTGTGCGGATGTGAGACAGTCCATCCTATTCGCTTGCTCTGGTTCGACTCCAAGCGTGTCACGGATTGCTTCGCCACGATCAGTGTCTCACTGTGCGCAACGAGATCCAATGACAACACGCGTCTCACAAATAGCAACGCCTCATCGCTAGTTTCGTGCCGAGATAATGGTATAGTGACAAATCCAAAATCGATCGACGATATCTCATAGCGAGATCCAAACAAAGGTGGCCCAAGGAACGTGGCCAGCCCAATCTGCAAGCTTCGCCCTGCTGTCATGTGTATTCTGAAGCAGGTTTTCACGGGCAACATCAGGTCTGAAAGTATGGTGTTCGGCGTGTCAATCTTCAGGGCTTGGAACACGGCAGTGTTTGAGGCTTCCACAGACACCGAATTCGGTAGATTTGCTCGTTTGAAGGCGCCGAGTAATGTTTTGCACTTATCCCAAAACGCCCCCGCTTCTGCACGATGCCGCAGATGCGCTAAAACAGGTCGGAGCAGCGCGTACTCAGGGGTCGGCCGTGCTTTGAGGGTCATTGGCAGCGACTTTTGCGATCGCTTGGTGAGGTTCTGCTCATGGGCAGCAGCCAACAACAAACGCAGAGACACTGCCACAAGTTGAGCTATCAAATTGTCTTCAGCATTAGCAGATGGCACATCCTCTGTTTGAGTGGAGGACACGAGTAACAAATGGTATTTGCCACCAACGTCAATCTCAACGCTCTGCGAACGCGTAGTAATACCCTGGTTGGCCACAAGCCGGGCTTCGCGGTATATCTCGTAGAATAACTCTTCTTCGAAAATGGCGTTGCGGTAGCTGTTGAGGTCTCGATTGAGTTCTGTCACATTGACCGGACCATGGGGTTGAAAGTCGAAAACGCCTGTTTTAACGCCGTTTCGGACGACATATACGCCCAGCCGCCTGCGCTGCTTGAGTCCAATCTGTCGGTCCAGAACGATCGAGCCATCATCTGCCTGGCGAAGAAGAGCAAAGCCTCGATCACGGAATTGGGGCGCAGATTCGACAAATCCGAAATGTACGCCAATGGCCTTCCGGTCTCGCGGAAGTCGCGAAACCGGCCATCCTTTGCTAGTCAGATCGGCAACCTGGTGCCAATACTCTGCCTCGCGCTCTGCCTCTTTCTGAAGGCGAACAGAAGCTGCGGCAAGCTTCTTCGAGGCGGACTGGAAGCCCTCAGACCTCCAACCCTGAGAGACAGAGGCCAGCCGCCGTTTCGTAGAAGCAGGCACGGGCTTGTCCTTGAGAACTCGGGAGGCCAATGTTCCCACAGGAACGGCTTGTTGAAGAGCAGGCGACATGGAATGTTGAGCGGGAACTGACTGCTGAGAAATCAGGAAAGACACAAAGTCCAGGGCGCACAAGACTTCGTTTTGTGCGTAGCTGTAGCGCTTAGATGCTGAAGAGGCAGAGACTACAAGGAGACTTACTTTAGACGCTCCAGCATCTCATCCCTGCGCTTCCAAACGCGCTCCTGGCGCTTCTCAGGAGAATCTTCTTCGCCTTGAGACCCGTGTTCCTCGCCAGCTTGGGTTGCGTCTGGCACAGCGGCTTTGCCCTGGATCTCGGCGAGAAGAGAACGTTCAGTGACATGGCGGAAATGCCCTTTTTGTGCGATGATCTGTTGGATCTGAGTTTGCAGATTTTGAGGTCTTGGTGAGGACTCGGGAGGGATCAAAAGGCTGATGGAGTTCGAATCAGACATTACACTTGATGCCGCGTCAACTACGGCGAGCATTCGCAGCTTGCGACTAGATGTTGTTCAGAGAAAACTCGCAAATGAGGCCTAGGGCGTTACTGAATCAAATGACAGGAATCTATGGGTTGCGTGGCAGAAGCGTGGTTTGATTGGTGAAAATCCTGCATGGTGAACCCAGGGTCGCTGTAATAAAAGGAAGTCCAAAACCCTGAGGGAGCCTAGAGAAAAGTTGGGGCGCGACTGGCCTTACCTAACATTTCTTCTGCCCCCCACTATCGTCGCCAGGACGATGCCTCAAAACCTATCGGCTCATCCGGCCACGGTGGGGGTTTCTGAAGCCTTGGGCGCTAGGCGTTGCGGGCACCCACCGCCCGACTTAGTTTTGCCTGCGCAACATTGGTGATACACGAATGACGTTCTGCGACCTCAGCTGTAGTTGCTGCTCGGCACAACAGACTTCGTGTGCTATCTACTGATAGACTCCTGCATTATCTCCAAATTCATCATTACCTCTACGATTTCCTTATTCCCTCGAGTTTCTTTTTCCTCCTCAAGCCCATTTAACCGCACCCTAAAGTGACTCTGCCCCTCCCTCAAGCAACTCTCAATCAATTTTCACCGGACCCCCGCGAGCCCTGTCTGGAACCCCAACCATCCAGTCTATCGTGTTGACTGCCTACGATCGCCTGCAGAATGGCCGCCACCGGTGTGCCAGCTCCTCCTAGGAAGCGCAGAATTGGTGTTATGACCAGCGGAGGCGACTCCCCTGGCATGAACGGTGCTGTGCGAGCTGTTGTTCGAATGTCTATTCACATGGGCTGCGAGTCCTATGCGATCTATGAAGGCTACGAAGGGTTGGTCCAAGGTGGAGATCTAATCAAAGAGATGCACTGGGAAGATGTGAGAGGATACTTGTCTCGAGGGGGAACGCTCATTGGCACTGCAAGGTGCATGCCGTTTATGGAGAGATGGGGTCGTTTGAAAGCTGCCAAGAATATGGTCGAGCGAGGCATTGATGCCCTGGTCATCTGCGGTGGTGACGGTAGCTTAACTGGCGCTGACAAATTCAGAGCAGAATGGCCGAGTCTTCTCAAAGAGCTGGTGGAAACTGGGGAGCTGACCCAGGGAGAAGTTGATCCCTACCAGCACCTGAATATTGTTGGTCTAGTTGGCTCCATTGACAACGACATGTCTGGCACCGATGCCACCATTGGATGTTACTCCTCACTCGAGCGGATCTGCTCAGCGGTCGACGACGTTTTCGACACCGCCGCTTCCCATCAACGCGGGTTTGTTATCGAAGTCATGGGCCGCCATTGTGGCTGGCTGGCACTTATGGCTTCTATAGCCACAGGGGCCGACTACGTGTTCATTCCAGAGAAACCTCCCCGTGTCGGTTGGGAAGATCAGATGTGTGATATCATCGCTACTCACAGACGGAGAGGCAAGAGAAGGTCAATTGTGATCATTGCAGAGGGTGCGCACGACCGGGAATTAAACAGGATCACCGCGAATCAAGTCAAAGATCTTCTAACCCAAAAGCTCAAGCTAGACACACGCGTCACCGTTCTTGGACACACACAACGAGGTGGCCATGCATGTTTCTATGACCGTTGGCTGTCGACACTACAAGGCGTGGAAGCGGTGAAAGCTGTTCTAGATGCTACACCAGACACACCCAGTCCGGTCATAACTATCCGAGAGAACAAGATTGAGCGGTCCAATCTGATGGAAACAGTGGCCTTGACCAAGTCGGTCAGTACTGCTATCGCGGCTAAAGACTTTGACAAGGCCATGCAACTTCGAGACGTCGAATTCAAGGAGTATTACAACAGTTATATTATCACTACTTCCACTGACCACCCTGCCCTACGCCTCCCTAAAGAGAAGAGGCTGAGAATCGCAATCATCCACGTCGGAGCTCCGGCCGGGGGTATGAACCCAGCAACCCGCGCTGCTGTTGCATACTGTTTGACCCGAGGCCATACTCCGATCGCGATACACAATGGCTTCCCAGGTCTACAACGCCACCATGACGACAAGCCGCTTGGGTCCGTCCGTGAGTGCAAGTGGCTCGATGTGGACCCTTGGGTTAACGAGGGTGGCTCTGAGATTGGCACCAACCGTGGTCTACCAAGCGCGGATATGAAGAAAACCGCAGAATGTTTCGAGCTGTACAAATTTGACGCACTGTTTCTCATTGGCGGGTTTGAAGCTTTTACGGCAGCAAGTGAGTTGAGAAAGGCACGAGACCAATATGACGTCTTCAAGATCCCTCTGGTTGTGCTGCCGGCGACCGTGTCAAACAACGTCCCAGGTACTGAATATTCCATCGGCAGCGACACATGCTTGAATACACTGATCCAATTCTGCGACGCCATTCGGCAATCTGCTTCGTCTTCGAGACGGCGGGTATTCGTCATAGAGACTCAAGGCGGCCGATCGGGCTATCTGGCCACGATGGCAGGCCTCTCGGTTGGTGCACTTGCGGTATACATCCCCGAAGAGGGGATCAATATTCACATGATTGCCAGGGACATCGAGTTCCTGCGCGAGAACTTCAAGAATGATCAAGGGGCATCGAGAGCAGGTAAAATCATTCTTCGAAATGAGAGGGCTAGCACCACATACACGACACAAGTCATTGCCGATATGATCAAAGAGGAAGCTCGAGGTCGGTTCGAATCTCGAGCAGCCGTACCTGGCCATTATCAGCAGGGTGGCAAGCCTTCGCCTATGGATCGAATCCGTGCCCTCCGAATGGCTATCAAGTGTATGCAGCATATCGAAGACCGATTCACCGGCAAGTCAAGGGACTGGATCGCAAATGATCCGTTGTCGGCAGCAGTTATTGGTATTCAAGGATCTGAAGTTGTCTTCACCCCGATGGGGGGCGCAACAGGACTCGAGGCCACAGGAACCGATTGGGTGGATAGAAGACCTCGGGATGAATTCTGGCTATCTATGAAGGAGACGGTGGATATCCTCAGTGGGCGACCTAAGCTATCGGACTGCTGTGAGGAGTGTGGGAAGCCGTTGTCTGGTGAGACTCTGAAACGTACTTTGTCGAAGCAGGTCTAATGGGAAGGAGCAAAGAGAGGTCGTCAAAAGCATACGTCTTCTGGGAATGAGTGCGGTCTACAGATGGGTGGTTCCGGGGGGCTAGATTGATGGATTGGTACCTGCGCGAGGAGGCTGGCGGTGGCGAGCCTCTGCTAAGACAATATCAATAGATGACCCATATTTACATTGCAAGATTTGGCGAGTTGGGTAAGGGACACGGTATCCACGCTATTTACGGACTCTACCGTAGGTCGTCTGAATGGGCCATCACCGGGAAGATCATACCACCCACTGCGTCTCGCTTGATATGCGTGAAAATGGATAAACCGAAGGCGTGCTTTGCAAATGGAATGACCGTGAATGGTTGACATAGCCCCACGAAGGGCAAGGCCCACCAATCATTACTCAAGCGATTGTCATCCCTGGTCTTGGTACGTCATTCATCGAGAGATATAAACCCCTCTAAGACCACCTGCGGTCTGAAAGAGTTTCGAACAGCTATCACCTGTACACCTGTCTCAGCGACTGCGACTGTTCATCCTGCTATCCAGTAGCAACGGCTTCTGTGAACCAGCATACAACCTGTCGAACGCAACAAATAAAACCCCCGATTTACAACCATGGTCAAACCAACCTCGTGCTGTGGCCGCAGTGCCGAATGCGTTTGTGCTCAGAAGGCTACCTGCTCGTGCGGCAAAACCTCCGCTATGCACTGCACCTGCGAAAAGAAGGATCAAGAGAACACCTTGCAGGGACCTCGATGCTCATGCAGTATGTCTGCCCTCCATCACCCGCGTTCGTAATTCGCATCTGTCGCATCAACAAGGGAACTAATATATTCTGCTTTCTCTGATCCATAGGAGCCCGCCCTGCCGGCCAATGTACCTGTGACCGGGCTGCCACTGAAAATGCCACTCCCGCGGGCGCCACATGTGCGTGTGGCCAGAGGAGTTCGGGAAGCTGCACATGTGAGAAGGCCGCAGACGGGGGGCTACTGCCGACGGAGACAGACTTTACAACCAAGGCATAGCGGCTCACCCTATTGTGACATAGTTCGAATGTACCAAAAAAAAAAGAAGAAGAGAAACAGATGAGGTGGTTTTTAAACGCACACGTGGACAATACTCGCCATCTTTTTTGGTGAGCGTGGATGAATTACTACATCGACATTGCCGCTGGAGGCAGGGGAATCGGCATAAGAACTTTCGAGAGATACGAGTCACAACCGGCGTCAGAGAATAATGTACTTTTGGAAGAGAAAGAACACACGGGCAAATGACGACATAGCTACAAGATGTCATCGGACCATATCATGATATGTTTCACCTCAGAACCACTTCCGTTTTCCTTTTACGTTAAGTTCCTGTTATCACATCTCATTCTGTGGCGGAGGAAAGAAACTTTACTATCGAACACGATGCCAAACAACTTCTCTAACAACCTGTAGTTGTACCTGGCCCTCCCCGGTCACACATAGCAAAAGAGTTGACCTTGCGGTAATCAACCCTGACGGTATTGGCTATGCTATGTAGGCGCAGATGAAGGAGATAACGCTTCCTGCTGTGCTATCTTCCTACCATTCCCCTTCCTCTGCTGCCCACCGCTATTGAGTTTCTCCAAAAGATGGACCCGGCTCATTTCCAGGTCCAGCCTCTTCTGCCTCTGACCAAGCTCGTTCCAGTTGAGCGTTGCCCATTTCAGGACATCATCAAATCTGCCTGCTTCATATGCCATCCTCACTTCGTCTGACCCTTCAAGCTTTTCCAGCTCCGCCGGTTGCTCTTCGCGATGTCCCACAATTTCTCTCTTCATCCCTTTCATGACATACCCAATCTCTGGCCCTTCCACGGGCAAGCTCTTCCTTATATCAGCCCACAACTTGTCCACCTTGATCTGGCGGACCATTTTCTTCTTCCTTGCTTCAAACCTGTTCGCAAATTCGACACCAAAATAATTCTTGGCGTCTTCGACGACGTCTTCCCTCGTCAGGAGTGCAGACTTGCCTGGTGGCTCGTCGATGTGAGCAGGAAGATATTCTTTGATCCAGTACGCGAAAAGCGGTCGTTTGGCGGCGCGCTGACGGTCATTTGCTTTCAGAAGCACGGCCGTTGTGTCAATTTCTTCTTTAGTTTCACCTTCTGATCTCTGGTCATGTTTGGGCCAATCTTTCCAGCGTGCCGGGTCATGAAACCTGCAACTTGCCACGTAGTCCATTAATTCCTCCCAACTCCCAAACATTTGCCAATACCTTTCTCTATCCAATCCCAAGAATTCCAGGACCGTAGCTGGGTCATTGCTCATGAGGACTCTCGCTTGCTCCTTGTTATGCATTTCCACTTCTTTTATCCGCAAAAATAGTCCCCTTGTGGTAGGGGTAATGCCGAACCGCCGGAGGACTCCTCCAAGCATTTGCCAGAGATCGCCGTGTGCTTGGAGGAAACTGTGCCAGCGGAAGTATTCGGAGGTAGGCATGATGCTGACGTCGAGTTGGATATGTTTTTGAGTAGATCCAAGGCGCATGGGTAAGGATGAGACCGTGCAACTATCAACTGTAGTGGGCGATGTAGCAGCTACACTGGCAGCGACGTTGTTGGTGTCGGCTTTGTCTCCCTTAAAGGCTGTCTCTTGCTCCTCCTGTTCAGATAATTGCGCACCGGCTTCTCTTGGACGATGTTCATTGTCGCCAGGGACTTGCACCGTTCGTTCCTCGGTCATGAGCAGATCTTCGAATTCCTCTGGCCACTTCAGCGCAAAATGATACGCGGATGTACCGCTCATTTTCTTCCATTTCTCGGCCCCCAGAAGATTTGCCAGGAAATGCCCAACTTCACGCCCAGCAGTCACATTTCGAACGAAAGGCTCTGCCACGAGGATGTCGATATCTCCGTAAGAGGACTTGGCAGGGGCTTCGATCGCATGGCCCACGAGCTTGAAGTGTACCCGGAGGAGCTCCTCGGCGCGGGAGAGAACCGAGTTGTAGACTGTGGGAGGCATGCGTGGCGTGGATAGACCCTCGGGTTTGAAGACGGAGCCGCCCATCTCGTTGTAGCAGGGATATTGGCACAAATTACCGAAGATCCGTCAATATTCTGTCGGTAGGCGACGCATGCGAAGTCCTGCGAATTGAAGCCCTTCTAGGAGGCCACCTTGAACAGAAAGAAGGAAGAGTTGAAATTGGATATTAAGGTAATCCGAATGCGGCTCTTCTTAACAAGGTCCTCTAGATATACAGCAGTTAGTTCCATCTCGACATTGTTTGTGACTCACACGAAACTCGGACAAGGGGACGTGCACAGCCTCGTCTAAGAGTTTGGGGCCGGTACTTTCTGCCACACATCACACGAGAGAAATTTTGTCAACCCGGAAGTGCGTCTTCAGCCGCCTTCCTCGAGCCTCATACTAGTCGAGACTGGGCATCTCTGAATTTGACACGGCTGCAGGTCATAAGCTGTATTCTTTGAGGCGTGTACAGAGGTCGTTGGCAATGGCCGTTGTTCGCACGGGTTAGCTGTGCGGACCCATCAAACCCGGAATGCGGCTGACGCAGTAGCATACTGGGTAGGAGGCCTGATGAGCGGCTATCCATCAACTCCACAGCCCATTCCGTTAGGGGTTGGCAATGTCCCTCGAGAACCAGTCTCTGCATTTCACAAGAATGCTCACTCAGAAATTTTCTGAGATGCTAAAGGACAACCCGGGAACTCGAGAATAGAGAGATCCCAAAGGCAGGAATGGATGGGACAACTGCCTCGACTAAATGCGCTCCGCCCGGGAGAGTAAGGGGTTTGTAGTAGAGGCGGAAGCATTTGTAGAGAAGAATCTTTCATCTAGACCATATCGTTCTCTTCTATGCTATAATTTTCTACATATAATACATTCACTCTGCTCCTCAATTGAGCACGCTGCTTTCCAAAGTTGCTTCGCTTGCTTCCCGAGATGCCTCATGCAAGGTTGTCCTGTCGCATAGTGAAACCCGCACGTCACCACGTATTACCTCGTCAAACTCCAATATTGCCATGGCACACAATTTGTACACAGACAAAATATTAACAACGTCAATAACTTCATAGCCCATCAATACTCCTCGTGGGGCGGGAACGAATCACTGACTCACTGTGTTCTCCCCAGCGGCCGAGTGCAAGTTCTTCCAGTGTTTTACTCCTTCCAGACCAAATCGAGCCCCGTTTTGCTTTTTCTTGTACCTCAGGGATGAAGAAATGTGTAACCACCGCCCCCAGAATCATACATGCGCTGAAGACTACGAGAATCGTGCCGTAGCGTTTCGTTTGGTTGTCACCAGGTGAGGAGGAGCCAAACTTATAGTAAAAAGAGAACACCTGCACCAAAATAGATCCGAGTTTCCCAGAGGCCGCTGCAATACCGTGGCAAGTACATCGATAACGAGTCGGGAACAGCTCGGCGGGGATGATGTATGTTGTTGAGTTCGGGCCTGTTCAAAGCGTCAGCCACAGCGCTGGGGATGACGTTGTGCGTAGCTTACCGAAATTGAAGAGGAATTGTCCAATCACGTACAGCGTTATTGCCAAAGCCCCTTCTTGCTGGACCACAATGAATTCAGTGCCCAAGGCAATAAACAATGCCGCGAGAGCCAAGAAACCGTATTTTTGCAGAGACACCCTGTTCAGCCGAGGCGCCGAAAGAATCCACAGAATTCCTCCAGCAAAGCTTCCAATATTCAAGACGACAAGTGCTTGTACCGAGGTCTTCATGAACATATCGTAGATATCGGTATTAGGGTCATCGTTTGTTTTCCAGATGGGCTGGGCACTGGCAATGTGCAGACTGCCCCAGGTTTTCGCGAGAAACTGGGGGTTCGAAAGGCCAATGCCATAGTATCCAAAGTCCAACAGAAGCCAGCACACTGATACAGCCATCAAGGTACGCCAATTGCCTTCGGTCCAGAAATACTGCTTGATGTCTGCCTTGGAAATCTTCCAGGATGAATTCAAGGTGGCCAGAGGCGCCGGAGTCACAGCAAACGAGGGTCTGGCGTCCGAACGTTCATCGAGTGACCGATGTGATAGGTTTGACTCTTCGAGAGAATCGCACCACATCCCAATCTCCAGCTCGTTGTTCGTGGATGTTTCCCCGAACAGCTGGGTTGCGTCAAACTCAGCCTTGACAGGGTCGTCCTCAATATCGAGCAGGAATCTCGGGGTTTCCGGGATAGCGAAACGGAAGAGGAGAGCGATCACTCCTGGTACAACGCCAATGCCAATAATCCACCTCCACATAATATCTACGGAGCGCTGGAGATTGTCCCTCTTCGAGTGGCGGGAGATGGCGACCACGATCAGTGAGATAAGATTGCCCATGATCTGTCCAAGTGGCTGCATGAAGAAGACGCCAGCCATCATCCGTGCTCGGTGTTTGGTGGGGGCAAACCTAAGAGATGTCAGCTGGACTTGAAGCTGTGGTGTAAAAATGATAAGGCGACTGACTCTGCAGTTATGACTGCGCTGAGCGGATAATCCGCTCCCACGCCTATTCCGACCATGAGCCTCCACCAGATTAACCAACCGTAGACGCTCATGCTTCCGTTGTAGCCTTCGGAGCTCATGACCACACCCAAGGTTGAACCGATGAGCAGGAGCAACTCAATACCGTACATCGTCTTTCGGCCTTTTTTATCGGCGAGGAAGCCAAATGTCGCTTGACCGATGAGTGTCCCGGCGAGGGTGACGATGTTGATACAGGTCAACCGGTAGGTCGAGACTTCTTGATTCCAGTAGACATAGGAGATCATTGGAAGGGCGATGTTTCCGGCAAAGAGGGAGAAACCATCGAGCAAGAAGCCAACTCCTGCCACGAGGACCACAATCCATTGAAAAGGCTGTCGGTCGATGGTCTCGTAGATCTGGCGTACACGGACATGGCGGTCCTAGAAGGCGAAGAAAATGTCAGGCTATACCTCTCCACACAAAGTCAACGCATGGCCTTGCCAAAGTGAGACGTACTCGCTCATGATCAAAGTCTCTTGCGCGATCGGTCGCATAGAGACGTCCACGCCAGCGTCCCATTGTGAGGCTTTTCTTTGCTCTAGCAGCAGAATGGGGCTAAAAGCGGGGGGTCAAGAGGGAGGGTCAACCGTCCATGGCGCAGAAGATGATTCGAGGACCGTATGAACGGTTAGCAGCAGCAAATCCGTGTTTATAAGAGGTCACCGTTGCAGTATGAGAAGGTTAAGAGGGAAGATTGTTTGGGGAGGGAAGGAATGGGAAGCCGTTAGGGATTTGCCAGAAGGATGGCGCAGACGGATATCTGAAGTTTCTTCTGACTGCTAACAAGGAGGACCCGGATATGAAGTACCTCAAGCAAAATGGGCACCAGTTAGTGTGCCAGGGAAGCCTAGGACGCCCCGTGTAAGTAGTTGTACTCGTAGTACTGGGATGTGAATTTTCTCCCTCACGTGCTTCTCAGATTGGGCAATGTGCAGGGCGTGGAACCACAGAACACACGAAACACTCCATGCTTTATGCAGGAGACAGAAACAGCTCTCTTCCCCTAGTTACCACGCCCAGGTGATGTCCACTTGCTCAATCCATCAGTCACTAGCTTGCTGGGGAGAGGGATTATCGATGGCTGCCACCAAAGAGATCCGAAGTTGCTACCACGCACCAGCAGCCCATGGCCGCCGGCATTGTCTCTGCCGAAGGCTTGGAGGCAGCCCTACCTAGATCCTATCATCCCATAAGAGCTGGAAGTGACTGGTGAAGGGGAGATGGCTGGAGGGGTGAGCATTGGTGGAGAGGCCGTACAGCGAGAAGATGAGCGAGTCGACAGTAGCTCTGGGTCCTTTGACCCTTGGGGACCCTTGGCGAGGTGCTATCACGGGCCGCAATCTGGACGTCCGCACTGTGGCCCATTCAGCGTCCACAGCCTCACGCACGTGGGATGTGGTCAAGCCGGGGTCGACGGCCTAGAGTCACTCGATCGTCAGATGCCATGACCCCTCCACTGACTCCTCTCTTCTTTGGTCACCAAAATACAATCCATCCTCTCTCTCCTGACACTGTCCAGTCTCAGCATCATGCACCTCTCCCAACCCGCCTTTTTCAGTGGAATTGCGCGACCCATTAACCCAGAACTAGTCCCAACCCCCACGCCGAACTTCTCGCCTCCGTTTGTCGACAAATAGGTTCTGCTTTAGGAGAATCGGAGTCTAATCCACCCCGGTCCGTTGTCCATCGAGCCAAGTTCTAAAGCAATGTTATAGCCTGGCGCAAAGCGAGCGAGGAGAACACAGTGAAAACGAGATAGCCGCTCTATCAAAGGACCACCAATGGTACAAAAGCATGCAGTGTTGGGGATGCAGGTCCACCTTTTATCTATCAACAACCATAAGGCACCAGACATAGGCATATCGAAAAGGGAAAGCTCCGTGAAAGGTGACAGTAGTCCTACATTTGCTTCTCCGTGTACTCGGTAGAGTCCCCCGTCTTCTCCGTACAAATAAGCATAAGAGACTACACGTCTTGTCTGTTTCGAGACTCGGTAAGTGCAAAGTGTTTGGCTTACATCCAAATCATCAAAGATCACCGATTCCATCCTGGCAAAAGAGTAGCGGTAGTAGGCCAGACTCCCTCTTTGTCGACAGAAAAACAGCCCGAAGCTTACCATCAGCGCAGGTCTCAGCTTACACTTGGAAACCCACTCGTCTACCACGCTACCCACCAGGTCTCTGATTTAAAAATGGCACCATATCAGTAGTAGTACGAGCGCTCGTGGTGTAGGACAACCTTCAAAGCCTTCAGCCTTTAAATCAAAACTCCTACTTCCATGCTCGCCGTATTATTGTCAACGTCTTCATGTTGTTGGTGCCAATGTCAATCTATATAATCCAGCTGGGACAGCGAATCGTCCCAAAGTATAGGTAATTACCGGGTATCTTCGTGATCGCTCGTACTCTCTCATAACGTAAATTCGTGCATCATCATGTCTAGATGGCGCTCTTATCATCCCTGGAAGCCTACACCATGGCATAGCAGGCCGAAGAACTTCTTTTGGTCTAGAAGAGCCATTAGTCAGGTTACGGAAGGACAGACAGAACTTCATACCGTTATCATCAAGGAAGGTAATGTGGAGCGCCTTCAACTGCGTCAACAAGTCGAAATTCGGTCGTAACGAAATAGTCATCGGACGGCCTGATTTTTTGCTCTGTTCAATCTGATCGATGCAGTCAACTGTCCACTGGTCAGTCTACTTAACAATCATAAAGTAGAGCGCCCCAAAAATTGGGTTCGCAGAATTCCAAGGGCTCTGACAGAATCGAGGGTGGGCAATCAACCATGACCACAATGGTCAATTGACTTGTCCTCTTCATCAGGCAGGCGATCATCAGTGCCGGTGGCCCTTCCAACTTAGTGGCTGCTCGGTGCTAACTCACGGGGAATAGTGATGTACCGCTTCTTTTCTTTTCGCTGTGAATTAGCAAAGAAGAGAATGACCTGCCTCCCCGTCCGCGAACGGAGAATGCGCAGGTTCTGGCTGATACATTCTTCGCCTCTCCCTTTGGATTTTGCCTCTGCAATACCCGCAGTGAAGATAACAGTCTGGCTGAGCAGCGCTTCCTGAAAACGTATGCAGTCTGATTAGTGGTCAGCAATCATCCCAATTCAACTCGAACTCTGACCAAGCTAGTCAAGACGGCGCGAAAAGAAGCCAAAAGTGTCAACGTACCCTCCCATGTCTCGAATGTATACGAAGGCTGCGCTTGGAACAAAGTTGACGCCATCCGCACGTTCTGTTCCTCGAGAAATGATACCCGGGAGATGTGGCTGGTGCTTGATGTCACGGGAGTCTCGAGATGAGGAATGGGCATCTTTGTGCCAGGGACTAACCACTATCAGCACTGAGTCTTTGCAGGGTAGGTTCAACTAACAGGAGTGCATAAAGGTGGTTTGGAGGCCAGCCGGGTCACTAAGCTCGATCTGCTTGAGGTGACCTGTCACATCTCTGCGAAGTTGAATTTGCAAATATCTTATCTTGAACAATTTGCTGCCCTTGCTGAAGGAGCTGATCGATAAGATACAAATATGTCAGCAAATGCTTCACAATAAGAGTAAAGAGAGGCACGGGTAAAGGAGGGCGCACATTGATGGGTCGAGTGTTGGAGGAGGACATACATATTGACCGGCTTGTTCAACGGGACGTAAACTATCTGTTCTGAAGAACAGCTTGACTGTCGACTTCTATCACCATGACCTGAGAGCGCTGGGGTGGGCGGCAGGTTGAAATTTGGGAAATGTACACTGGCAGTATCTGAAGGGGAGTCCAACGACGTTATACTATCCTGTCGAGGTGATTTTTGTAGGGGCCAGTCAGTGGTGTCGAGGAAGTTGGACTGGCTGGACATTGCCGCCGGTCCGGTCCCACTGACAGGGCCTTGAACTGCCAGTCCCGAGCAAAGGTTCTGTTCTCAGAGCTGGATCAGGTCAACTGCCAGTCGGAATAGGGATCGACCACATAGGTAGCTAAATTCGATTAGCTCAGGATGAGTGCCGCCTGGAGGAGACGCTGTGCAGGGTTGCGTGTTGCGCTGAATATTTGCAGACAAAGGAAAGTCTCATTTGGAGCCATTATTCAGAAGTGAGATTTGGGAAGAGGCTTCAGATGGCAAATCGGGAGGGATAAGATATCTCCTGAGGGAGAAATGAGCTCGAGCAGGCCATTTTGCGGAAGGGAGTCTTCGTCCGCAGCCTGGGAGCTGCTGGGTGCTTGTGGGCATGGTGGCATCTGTTGACTGCGATTTGTCCGGAGAGGCAATGGCAGAATAATGAGTGGGTTGCAAAGGTATGAGGATGCCGAGTGGCATCTTGGAGGAACAAGGAACGTGGTTGAGCGTGTGGCTAGAAAAGCTCGAGATGGAAAAAGGGACCTGGGCTTCTCCCCATCACCCGAGTCGCAGGCCCGTCCAATGCACGTCTACCGCCCCCGTTCGGTTGTTTTTCTAGTCTCCATTTGAACGTATTGGGAGTCTGTCATGCTTCTGCGGCGAGTTATTTGACCAGGTGGTTTTCTGACGCTTTGTGCTTGGACTGTAGAATGCCCTATGAGAGTGAAGCGGCGACACTTCCCGGGGAGAGACAGACTCTTGGAGCAAGTCGAGCGGCGATACGTACCCCTCCTCGCCATTCGCATCCACTGCTTATCGAGCCGCTTTAGGAGATTGTTATGGTGTCTGGCTGGTCGTTATTGACAGCAATGTAGCGAGTTCCCACTATAGTTGTTTATAGGGTCAAGGGCTGACATTTTACTGATGGTATGTATTTCGCCAAGTTTGAAAAATAGCTGCCCTCTACCATGTAATTTATACCATAGCTATATCTTGAAAAGTCAGCTAATACTCGAGTATAATGTATGAGGATGTTTCTCAGCCCAGCTCGTCGTCTACGTATCTTCACTTACACCTGCCTCGCACAACACACAAAATATCACTTCCTCCTTGCCAGAAACAGAATGGAATAGCTCGAGGAGTTCAATAGCTGGCTACTGAACTTATCATTGCAAACTCCAGATCCGTCATAACACCAAATCGGAGCAACTTCGACATACTCGGCCGCCCCCGTCGTCACCGGTGCTCGTGGTTTGTGTCATGGAAACCGAGCTGTATGGAACGAGGATCATAAGGTTGACTCGCAAAGAGGTTTGTCAGGGCTCAGAAGGGCACAAAAGAAGATGGCGACAGTCATTCGCCGATCACAGACGGTAAATGCTTTACCAGGATCTGAAGCAACGTAACAATTCATTCGTGTCTTGGTGGCAAGATAGTACGCACGCTCAGCAGGTCTCCTGGGATATGGAAACGAAGTGAAAGTGATCCTGGGTACCGGCACTCTTAGTAAGCTTGTTTTGCTCAAAGTGCACAAAAGAAAGAGATCCATACTGTTCCGCCAGTTCGTGCCAGAGACATAAAACCTGTATGTAATATTCGCGTTGGAAAGCCTTGAGGCGATTCTCTCTGCGCCCATCTCAGTCCCGTGACCAATTGCACATCAATAAACCGATCCTCAATGTGCAACATGTCAGTGTTTTGTGTAGAACAAGACGTGTTGTTGACGCCTATGGAGGAGGAATCAATGCTGAAAACGTCAAGGGACCTGCGCAAGGAGTGGTCCAGCAATTGGTAAACTCTCGACAGAACGTATCTTGCTTCCCATGTTTTCTATATCAGCATAGAGTCCCATTCCGTATCGAATAAAAAGGCGCCTGCAAGGATATTCCGCTAGCTGACAGGGACTTCGCTGGGACGGTTGTGTTGCTCGACTGACTGCTTCGAGTTTTTCCAAATGTATCCAGCAAGCTCGTCGCACGCAACCACGTGATACTTTCCAGTCTTTGCGACCTTCAGATACGGATTCGATGTTTTGCTGCAGATGATGCTGATGTCTTGGAGGCTTTCAATGGCTTGTCGGTCTGCGTCGTCAATGTCAACCGACATTTCCAAATTACAATCCTGCCAAATTTGATTAGTACAAGTGCCTAAGGGCTCATGATTGCCGGACTCACACATTTCCACGTAAGGCGGCGATGCGTCTTGGGAGGCTTGGGTCTGATCAGCTGATTGATAAGATCTTCTAGTCGATCCCCACTCCCCGAATCACCTTGAGCAACAGTGCCGGAGGCCCCTTTTGCTCCTTGCAGCGGGGGGGGTGCGAGATTATAACCACGTCGTTCGGGGGGTGTTGGAGGAGGTTGGAGCTTGCTCTCGGGCGAATCAGGTACTGTGGCAGATCCAAGGGCGGCGGCTGCAAGCGCAGGAGCGATTGCTTGTCCAGCAGCTGAGCTTCCAGGTGCGGGCTGGAGCAATGGCACGGAAGGGGCGCGAGGTGTTCCGTTGGGGCTCATAGTATTGCTTAGTCGTCGAGCTTCGCGGGGGCTATCGAGCTTGGGATAGTTGCTTTCTGATTCTGGCCTTCGGGACGAGGCACTTAGCGAAGGGGAATGTTCAGGATCGCGGGAGAGGCCATCGGAGCTCGGAGCGTCCGTCATGGCGACATCCCGGTCCCTGGACGAGTAAGGTCTATCGCTGATGGTGGGAGGCTGATCGACAAGAACATGGCGACCATTACCCGCGTCTTTGATGATCCCCTCTTGAAGGGCCCAGTTGGTCAAATCTTCGTCTTCTCGTTCTTCCTTGGCTTCGACAATGTCACGGGAGAAATGGCCTCCGACGTGCTCCATACGCTCATTCCAACTGCCGTCGCCTTCAAAGACCCTGCCACAGAAGCCGCAGGTACTACGCTGCGGAGGTTTTCTCTTCTCCATCCAGCAGCGATTGCGGACCTCTTCAAGGCTATCTTCGAAGGCTCTCCAGTCCTTGTCGCCGGCGTTACCGGGTACAATGGGGCCTGAGCCTGGGCCAGTCTCTGGCTTGTGCATGCGTCGATGATGCTGGGTGAAAAGATCCTTACGGTTGAAGTCATTGTAGACTCGCTTGTGATTGGGAACATTGGTGTTCAGGTCGGGGTTGCATGAGCCGACGTCACAGCGATAGAATCCCAGCTGAAGGTGCTGAATGGAGACATGCCGCTTCCACTCGTTCTTGGAGCTCAAAGCGACGTCGCAGCCGTAGTGGGAGAACGAGCAGATAAATTTGCGCTTCGCTGGTTCGGACCTCTTAGCTCCAGAACCTGGCGATTTGCGCGCACGAGGCTTCACTACGCGCCCTGGGTGAGTATCTGAACCCGAAATCGACTGTAAAGAGTCCTTCCGGGGACGTGGTTTGATAATGCGATCGGACGGGCTTCCACGCAGAGACGCAGAGGTGATATTGATGTTTGCATCGGTAGCCATGATGGATGGGAAAATTGCCGAGTGACTCTCGGTGGGTGAGCTTGGAGAGGTTGAGAAGCGGAGTTGAGCGAGTCAACCGACGAGGCGTGGCAACAAGGCGCGAGGGGACGAGGCTTCCGGGACTCGGGTCACCGTGGCGTTTCAATCGGCGTGGAACATCTTCTGACGGACAAAGACAGAGATCGACGGCGGACACAGTCGAGCGCGACAATGAAATCGATGAATGCCTCGATAAATTTCCAGCAGATGGACAGTACCGCGACCGACAAAGCTCGGATCAGATACGAGCTTGCAAAAAAATGTGGCGAGGGCGCCAAGAAGACGGTGGGTGAAGGAAGGATGGAAAAAGGGAAATGGAGAAGTAGAATTCGCGCGAAAGAGGTTCTTTTCAGGGGTGAGTTGTGAAAAATGTGATGAATTTGCGCCGGGTGAAGTGACCGATAAGAGTCAAACAGTTTCTGGTAGGGAAAAGAGGAAGAGAAAAAAGGTGGGAGGGTGAGAGGAATTCGAACGGAGAGGGGATGCTGCAGTAGGTGTGCAAATGAGATAGTAGAGGGGGAGGAGGCTAGGAACTGGACAAGGCTTTAGCCTGAAATAAGGCTGCGGAGGGACCCTTTTTCACTGAACGAGGCGCTGTAACTCGACACCTTGGAGAGGGGGGGGCAGGTGGCCGTCGCGCATTCGCAATCAGCCTCAGGCATTCGGTCAGGCTCTTGGTTCATTATCGAGTCAGGCTTCGTAAAAGACCTAAGAAGCACCCAGGATTGTCACTACAGGCTGGGCCTGACTCTCCCGTCGACGACCCCCCAAAGCAACCTTTTTTTCTCCTTCTCCAAGCTCGCAAGCACGTGTCAATGCACCATGTCTGTCTTTCTCTCCGTGTTTACCCTAGTCACCTGGCGATTGCAGCAATCCATCCATCCATCACCTTATCCTCTAACAGCCAAAACTCGAATCTAACCCGCCGCCGTTGTGGGCAAAAATCAACCACAGTGGCGGCCACCCTTATCATCCACAGATTTGCACAACCTCTCGAGTAGTGGCAAGGCCCAAATGGCAACATGCCTCTTCGAATCCAAATGGGCAGAGATCTACCGAGGCTGCACGACAAGGTGTGGTGCGAAAGCCAACCCAGTAGTCAGTGCCACTGCACGGCAAAGAAAAGAGGGGGCGCAGCCCAACACACCGAGACACCATCCAAGGGAGTTGCGCCGTGACAGGCCCTGACAGGACAAGGCTTTGGAGAATGGCCAGGGAGGCCACCACTGAGTGGCCAGGCTAAAGCACGGCCTTCCCACAAAAGATATTGCCTCCGAGAAGGTTAAGTGGGAGACCAATGGCGACGGCGAACGAAGTCATTGCCCCCCTACAAGAGGACAAGCCAATCCATCAGCTCATCAGCCCATCAGCACCAAATGCTACCAAACGGACACGAAGATTAAAGGGATTTGAGGTCGCCATCCATCGATCACAGATTACGAACTCGGGCTTCCGAAAACTGCTGGCCACCACTCACCGTTACATCTCGCGTCCGCCTCACCACCACCAAGGCCACTGTATAGACGACCTGTGCTTTCGCGTATGGGTACTTAATGATTGATGTCTTCCACAATCTCCAAGTTTTCCCTCTGGTCAGCCTGGTATTCTTTCACAGTCGCCCCGGATTTCAGCCTGCCCAGACAAGGCTCGAAGCCTTGCCCCAGCTCGATAACCATGGCTGATTCCTGGGCCCTACTGCCCAGCCCTGGAACTGAGTACGCCTTCTGCACGTAGAATTTTTCCGTGTCCTGGATGGGCCGCGCATGAGTTGGTCAGACTCAACGATCCCAAACCCTGGTCTGCGGAGCACTTCTCCATAGATTGTGTGGGTGTCTCGGTATGACCACATCAACGAATCTGAAGGCTCTCGAAATAGGAGGTTCACGATGGCTTTGAATTCCTCCCGGTCTGTTTTCACGTGTCTGACAAGTGTCTAAGCAAGGGATCATAACCCAAATGGCCGCGACCTCGGTTCACCTGTCGAGCTCCACAGGGTTTCGCTTCTCAACACTGATACCGGAACCCCCAGCCACATGCCGGAAATCGACTATGTACTGCGTAGACCTATCGCACCTTCCCTTTTTGATCTCGGCACAGTTGTCGCGTTATCGGAAAGTCAAGAAAACAAACCCGCAGCTACCGTTACAATCACAATCACAGTATTTAGACCGACACGAGGCGCCATCGTCAGCCCGGGGCGTGAGATTGAGCTGGTGTCCGTACTGATCCGGAAGAGTTACTCCCTGCTGGCGGGAGATTAGGCCCCAATGCCCCAGCTGCCACCTTCTCTCCCTTCCTCCCGCCTTTCCTGTACTGGGGATAGCCTTACCCCGCACTCACACTGCGCGCAGACCGGTCGACGTGAAGCCATCATTCGTGGGAATTTGGCGGCCTCCGAAGCGAATATCCCATCAATGCGCGGAATTTCGGTTGAAGGTCACGTTACATCTGCTGCGTGAAAATTTTTTGCTGGCATGTTCAGGAAAATAGATTCTCCTTCTCCGCACTTCCACGGCTCGTCGGCAGGGCTGCGGCACAGCCTTTTTGCAAAATTCTCTGCCTTTCTCCGGCCATTGTTTTCTCCTACGTAATTCATTCCTCCTTCGACCATTCCATGACACATAGTTGATTCTTTCCTGGCGACAACATCCAATCTTTTTGACGCCTTCTAGCATTCTCTCTCGAGGTTTCAGCGCCTTCAGAATTTTCAGTTGCTCGTGATCATGGAGGAAACTGATGCAACTGCCTAAGTTCATCAACTCTGATGTCACCCCTGCGGTGTACAATGAGGCCATGGGGCGCCATGGCGCCTGCGGCGTTGCGTCTTTACCAATCGCACAGTTGAGAAACCCTTCTGCTCGCCTGATCAAGCTGAAATTTTTGCCGCACTGCCCTGTGAATCGACCCCCCTTACCCCGGATTTCTTGGTTATAAAGAGGACCCAGTCCGTGTGGGAACCTGGGGCTGGTCTTTCACACCAAACAAGCATTGAACAAGCATTCCAATCCAAACCTTGGTTATAGATCCCAGTATACGAACATCTGAGAAGCTACACTTCACATTGCTCGAAAGGTCTCCGCAAACCCTACACAACCAACACCAACGAAATGTCTACTGCAAGCCGCACATCCGTCTCCTCAAACGGCACCGCGTCGTCCATCCCTGAACCCTCTCCCCACCAAGTCTCATCAATCTGCTACCCAAAGGGCAAATGGTATGACTGCCTTCGTCCGACAACCACTCCTTACTCAGGATTTGGTAACATGACCAACTTCGCGAGCATGTCCGGCAACGAATCTGTGGAGAAGGCTGGGGAGAGCTGGACGCGAGAGGTATATGGGAAGATGAAGTGAACTTCCTGACCTACCAAGAAATGTATCTTCACGATTGAGGGTGTGTTGGGATTTCACGGGCCACAAATTGCTGCTTGGAAATGTGACTGCGACCGTGGCTCTTTATTATGCGCTGGAAGAGGGTGCTCGAGACTACAACTTTCGCCAAGCTTCTATCGGTATGAGGCACGAAGTTTCTCCCCGACGAAAGTGATTCCATATGGCTTTGAATTTGTGTTCTAGGGCATGTTGGTGGATGGAGAGCTGTTTTCCACTGGGTTCTCGCATGGAGTTGACAGTGCATGCACCGTTATGAGCGTTTGAGACTATTCATTAGGCGTTCTGCGTGCACGGCGGGACGTAAGCGTGGAACAACAGGCAAGTCTAGTTTACTGGGTAGCGATCACCACTTAGGTGCGACTGAACTGTAGTCTTATTACTCAATGAAGCAAGGTTCGATATGATTCTCGTTTGGAATGACCGCCGATCTTTTCTGAAGATCTCGTTGTATCTTTTTCCATGTCAGAGCAAGAACTCCGGGGCACTTCAAGTTTCCTCTAGATTATAATGACGTCACTTCATGCGTCTCGCTACCATCGCCACCTAAATCGCCTGAGGCGATATCATTCCTCCCCTTCTCCGTTTCGCCAGTTGTGTCAGAGACAGAGGCCGGGTCAGGCATATCCATCATTTCCGCATCCTCGGTTTTGGACACTGTGACTTCTTCTGGTAGATCTGCTGCTGGCTGATTCGTGGACTGCGATATGTCGGGCACTGCGTCTGTCTCTTCGGCGTGTAGTGACTGTGTGTCCGCACGGTCATCACCAATGCCTGTTCCCTCTACAGTTCCATTCTCCTTCGGTACCGCCTCCGTTTCGACCTCCCCACCTTTTTCACCTTGGTCGTCGAGGTTGTCTGCCGTCAACAAAGCCTTCAAGTCGCTTCCGTACTGCACTTTCTCGCACATGACGAAACGATTCTTGCTGGCTCGTAATGCCCTCCAGACCTTCCCGGCTTTCCTCTCCTCAATTTCCTTCCTTTCCTCGTCTGTCATTGCGAAATCCATATCTAGGTCATCCCTTTCAATGCCCCGATAATATTCCTCTAAACTTGGTACCTGATGGCGTTTTGAAGGATGTTTGAGCGCCTCGAGAGGTTCGATTCGCGAGAGGAATGCTAAGTCGGTTGCCCCAGGCGGGTTGACCAGTGGTGTTCGCGCGGACTCGGTCAGTTTCATTAGCGTGTCGCGCGATTCGAGATAGATCTGCGGTGAGACACTGTCACGCGATATCGATGGACAATTCTCAGCTTTCCATCGCACCCAATTTTTGTCTCGCGACAAGACCGTGTCAACCATGCGGTAGTAGAATTTCCCTTCATTGCCGTTTCCGCCTTGTTGTAGGTAAGCAGCTATCTGAGAGCGAGTTGAGTATGCCCATTTGATATCTTCTTCGGAGAGGATGAAGGAGTATAGCACGGACTTGTTGGTAAGCCCTTCGAATTTTGCTTTGGCGACTGGCGAGAGGCTGAGCAGGAAGTCGAGCATAATCAGTGCTTGTACGAGGATGTGTCTCCGGAAAGCAATGTCATGGATTTCGAGATCGAACAAATCTCTGTTTGTCAGGTATTTGGGATTAAACGTCGAAGTCAAGGCGGACGACATATCAACATCATGGCGCTTGCGCTTCACACCGCGTTTCAAGTCGGCAGGATTTGTAGAAGAACCGGAACTATTCGAGACTGACTTGAAGCAGGAGAGCGTCTGAGCTATGCCGTCTTTGAAAGCAGTCATGTTGGCAGGGTCGAAAAGCTTCGTTGGGGACGAAAAAAAGGATTGGAGAGACCAGAACTTGGGATATAAAGCGTCGAGGTCCGGGGGCTGCTCTTTAGATTCAGATTTGGAAGTCTTATGGACTGGTGTACTTCTTGCTGCTTTCTCGGGATCCTGAACCTGGGCACTCGAGGCAGGGGTATGGGCACCAGAAGTAGCTTGTGGCGTGTCAGTGTCAAGTTCCATCGGCTTAATAGCATCTTCTGACTTGACAGGCATCGGATCGAAGGTAGTGATATTCTCCACGTGGAATTCACCACGTAAATTGACCGAGCTCTTGTCCCCGAGAGGAAAGCTCTGGAAGAGGAAGATGAAGACGCGGCCGCAAAAGACGGTGTCCTCAGCTCGCGACAGCCTCCTGAGCAACTCATTGCAACATCTTAGAATGACCAAGTTCTTCTGTTTGAAATGTTTCGCCGTCATCCTGTCTCTGCGTGATTCTAGATAGTCAAAGACTTTTCTGCAGCCCTCAATGGTCTGACTGTCCAGTAGCTCCTCGACGAGCCAGAAACCCAAAGTAGGTTCGCATAGTTCGTTGTCAGACAGGATGGTAATAACGTCAAGGAGGACCCAGACCTGGGCGAACGCTGGTTCTGAGATGTCGGCTGTGGCGACGGTGTCGACGATGATGTCGCGGCAGACCGTCTCGACTGCAGCATTGTGTATCTGAAGCGCTTCGGGCAGGGTCGCTTTGCGCACCGCATTTATTTGGTTCAGCAGCTCCGCACAGTCGGTTTCGAGGACGTACGTGTCTATATCACCGTCTATCCGCGCTCCAGTAAGATTGTTGATACATGATTCAATCATGGATTTGTATGTCGTGACGGAGGAAACGCTTGTTGCAGCCATGTTGTCGCAGAGCAGAGGGAGGAGTGAGAGGATGGAGTGAGAGTTACCGCTCCTGATCGCTTACATCGAAAGCAAGCCACCAAGGCGCTGACCTCAACGGAGGAAGAGCTTGTATGTCAATAAACTAGAAAGTCAATTTCATGAAAGCATTAGCGGTGGGAATGTGATGTTGTTACTGCGCCGGGTTGAAGCGTCAGGCGCTGCGGCTCTGCGGAGAAATTAATTTTGTCTGGGCGCAGTTGCAAACTCCGCAGGAATCGCAGTTGGACTTGGCCTTACCATTCTCTTGCTCCCACAACACGGTTGTTTTCGCAGTCAATGGGCCTTCAACTGCGGCCGGCGATGGCTCTAGCCCTCGATGTGCAAGCTGACATCAGCATCCAGGCTGAAGACTGTATCAATCCGTGGGAAGAGCTGGCTAAAAAGTACTGGTGGGACAGGGACAATGCGCCTACAAAGGTCAAGCCAGAAGTGATCAAGTCAGCTATTTGGGATCCTCTCGAGCAAGACTCCTTTGCCTTCCACTCCCTCGCCACTCTTGAGAATTACCAGATTCTCGAAAGATTTCTTTGGCCGACCTTTTCATCAGACTCTTCCAACCACCATGTCCTGCTCATCGCGGTCTTCTTCAATGTGAAGCAACGGGCTCGACTCCATGACTGGTTTCTCTTCACCAGCCGGCCTGCAGAGTTCTCGAACCTGCTTCGTCGAGTCCTCTCCTTGAACCTCGACTCTTCTCTATCCGCGTTTTCTCGCTTGTCCCTGCTTCATTTTGTGCTCGGTGCATTTCAGTCTCTCGAAAATGATCTGGTCCGCAAAGAGTGCGCCCCGCTTGTGTCGATCGCAATATGGTACAATATACATGACGAAAGAACAAGGGAAAGACTTCTCGAAGCAAATCCGGCGCGGAAGAAAGCATGGAGGGCAGCTGCGCGAAGATATGATGCAGCTGATCTCGAAACTCAAAGTCGCTTACGCTTTGATCGAGCATGGCTGTATACGATGCTGATCGATTTCATTGGAAGACTCAACGCATCGAAGTTGACACATTCTCAAGAGATGGTCTATTGTGAACGGTTTTTGGAATTCTTGATCGATCTGACCAGTCAATTGCCCACCAGACGGTACACGAACGCTCTGTTGAAAGATGTCAACATCATCCCCGTGATTCGAACGTCGAAACTGTTTGAAAGAGAGGATGCTGTGCTCTTGCATGACTTGACCAGTCTTCTCGAACATTTTCAGAGTTTTGCGATCGACGAGCTGGGCGGCACGGAAGAAAGACATGATGGCTCGCGTAGGGCACATTATCAATCATTGGAGAAGCTGCAACGAGTGGCCCTCCAACACTTTGGGGACAAGCTGAAAGTCCTGGCACTGTCGAACTTCGGGTCCATCGACAAAAGAAGCGAGTTACAGTCTCACTTTTCTACGTTAACGGACGGCGAATTGCAGGACCTATGTATGCAGCTTGGGTTTCGAATTAGCTATCCCTCGGTTGCCGGAATCGTCGCGACCCGTGCAATTATGATGGAGATGCTCTTGTCATCCTTCTCCAAGCCTAGAGATTTCCGAGAGGTCGTCACCCAGTTAGCCGTACTGCCTACCGCAACCTCACTATATGACCCAGCCTTGATGAGGAGCGAACACTATGATGGCTCCCGGCCACTTGGGATTCCTAAGTTGAACCTGCAATATCTCACCATTAGCGACTTCATGTGGCGCTCATTCCAGCTCTATCAGGCTGAAGCATTTTATGGTATAAGAAAAGACATGGAAAGCATTGTGAAACGAATGAAGCCGAAAATGGGCCGAGAACGGAACAGCACAATATTTGAAGGGTTCTCAAAAATGTCTCTTCCGATTGCAGAGCCTGCTGTCATTGAGGTTGGTGCTCCAAAAGTTGGGCATCCCGAGCCCAGCTTTGTGCGAGTGGAAGTGATATTGGACGTGAGCCGCCTCACGGACGGCATCAGAAGAGAATGGGACAGTCTTAAACCCCATGACGTTGTATTTCTCCTAGCGGTTAACGCTCGAAACGATTCTCGACTTCTTACGAATGGTCATACTGGCGACCAAGATGGTCAACAAATATTGTTCACCGGTCTTAGAGCGGCTGAAGTCGTTCAGGTCTTGGACGATGACGGGCGAGCTCTCAGAGACTCGCAGACAAACGGATATACTTCAAGGCCTAGACGGAGGCGTCTGCTGCTTGACTTGGACGCAAGCGCCTACGCTATCGACAAGCAGAAATCAGGCCAGGTTGTGTCAGAAATCGCGTCTATGAATGTGATCGCTCGCAGACAAGGGCGAGAAAACAACTTCAAACCTGTGCTGGAGACTATCCAAGCTCTGGTCTCCTCCGAAACTGTGCTCCCCTCATGGCTGCATGAAGTATACCTAGGGTATGGTGATCCACGAAGTGCTTCATTTCCGTCGCTGTCAAACCACATCGACTCCATAGACTACTTGGATACATTCCTTGATTGGCAGCATCTGTTGGACAGTTTTCCGGGGACGACTATCGAAACCGGCGCCGCTGGTCGGTCCACTCCTCTCGAACCGCCTTATGTCCTTCAACGCACCATGAACACTATGGCCGAGCCCCCAGCGAACCCCAAAAAGAGACGTCGCGATCAAATGGAGCAAGATTCATCTACGGTCAAAGTATTGACCTACAAACCCCGCAACACCGGACCATATCCAATGGATGCTCCTCGGAAGAATGCAATCCGCTTCACGGCAAAGCAGGTAGAAGCAATTGTATCTGGAACGCAACCTGGGCTTACTATAGTGGTTGGGCCCCCTGGGACGGGCAAGACTGACGTTGCAACACAAACCATTAATTTGCTTTACCACAACTTTCCGTCGGAACGAATTTTACTTGTTGCTCACAGCAATCAAGCACTCAACCAGCTTTTCCAGAAAATTATTGCCCTCGATATCGACCCTCGCCATCTGTTACGATTGGGTCATGGCGAGGAAGACCTGGAGTCAGAGGCTTCCTACGGTAAATACGGTCGAGTGGAGTCTTTCCTAGAGAATCGCCAGTCCTATCTATCCGAAGTGAGTCGTCTTGCAGCTTCAATTGGCGCCGAAGGAGCACATGGCGCTTCGTGCGAGACTGCCGACTATTTCAATCAGGTTTTCATTAGACCCGCTTGGCAACGATTCTGGGATATCGCCAACGCAGAAAATGCCACTGTCGAGTCCGTCCTCGGCTCGTTCCCCTTTTACAAATTCTTCAGCAACGCGCCAGTTGCGACGCTGTTTCCTCACGGCGCTACGATGGAGGAAGCACGGGAAGTCGCGTCTGGCTGTCAGTATCATATTGATAAGATCTTCTCCGAGCTGGAATCGATCCGGCCTTTCGAGATCCTGCGTGCTGGTCGCGATCAAGCAAACCACCTCTTGGTCAATGAGGCACGAATCATTGCCATGACATCAACGCATGCGGCCATGAGGAGATCCGAAATTGCCGAACTAGGCTTTCATTACGATACATTGATTATGGAAGAGGCGGCGCAAATCACCGAAGTCGAAACCTTCATTCCATGCGCGATGCAAAACGCGGACCTTGAGACTGGCGATGTACCCTTGAAGCGAATTATTCTCATAGGAGATCATCTTCAGAACTCCCCCGTCATCCAGAACTTGGCTTTGCGCCAGTACGCCAACTTCGAACAATCCCTTTTTCTACGTCTCGTCCGCCTTGGTGTGCCCACGATCCATTTAGACCAACAAGGTCGTTGCCGCCCCTCGATTGCCAGTCTCTTCAAATGGCGCTACAATAATTTGGGGAATTTGCCTTACCTCATCTCAAAGCCAGAATTTTCTCGCGCCAACGCGGGCTTCCGCTATGACTATCAGTTCATTGATGTCGCAGACTATCAAGGGACCGGTGAACGTGAACCCACGCCACATTTCGTTCAGAATCTCGGCGAGGCTGAATACGCAGTGGCGTTGTACCAGTACATGCGCCTCCTTGGATACCCGCCTAACAGCATCTCGATCCTCGCCACCTACGCTGGCCAAAGAGCGTTGATCCGTGACGTTCTGGAGCACAGGTGCAAAAACAACGCACTTTTCGGAATGCCGAAGACCGTGACTACGGTCGATAAGTACCAAGGTGAGCAGAATGACTACGTCATTGTAAGCATGACAAGGACGCGGACGCCGGGTTACCTCCGAGATATCAGGAGATTAACGGTCACCCTGTCGCGTGCAAGACTCGGATTGTATATTCTCGGCCGAAAGGAGCTCTTTGCAAGTTGCTTTGAGATGAGGCCTGCCATGACTATCTTATCGGAAAGACCGCATAAATTGGTTGTCACGACTGGGGAGATGTTTCCCACTACTCGCCTACTCGAGGAGGAAGTAGAAAATACATCGGAAATGGAAGGTGTAGAGCACCTTGGCCAATATGTATATGAAATGACCCAGGCAAAAGTCAAGGCTTTGGGTGGACTAGTCAAAATGCACATGGAGGAGGATGAGCAAGATGGCTATGCAGCCGAGGAGACGGAGGGTTTCGGCGCCGATGTTGGAGAAGAGGACCCGTTGCATGAGATTGTCTAAATGTCAGGGAGCTGTTGGGGCGGAGAGACCCAAGATACCCAGTGGTTATGCTACAACAAGAACAGGAATACGACTTTGGCCGCGGGTGGCCTAATCACCGTTGGAAATGACAAGCATCTAAGCCGAGAGGTTGGAGTAAATATCACAGGGCTCTAACCGGGTCAGACTATGCCACTCATTGGAAAGGCGACTCCACGTAAGGAGGACTTCGGTTGTCTTCCTTCTCCCTACATCCGATAAGTGGCTTCTCATTGGCTAGTTGCTGCCGAAAATGGGAAAGCCCCGACTCTCGAAAACCATCTGTGAACGTCATGGTCAATTCTCCAACGGACAGGATCATCATTTACTCGATCCAAAGGCCTGCAGGGCCACAGCTATGCCGGCCGGGGCTGTTCATTTCCTCATGCAAGGAATTGGGGAAGGGAAGTTTTTGGGTTGCTGGTCTGTTACCAGCCAGACCCAGCTCTGCCCTCAGATTCTAGACTCGTTTGTACCCGCCCAGCTTCCAGCTCGGGTCTGCTCCGCGACAGTTCGACCCTTAGCTTTGCTTACCTGACAATCCCACCATAGTCGTTAATTCAGCCCCGGAAGGCCGAGATCAACAAGGATCTGGGACAGCTCACAGTCCCTCTCCAAATTGTTTAGGGCCTGCATCTCCTCATACCAATCTACACATAACAAGACTAGTACGCCATTTCACTGGCCTAAGACCCGCCCCTGGTCCTCCAAATGAGCAGAGGTGGATACGGAGTACAGCCGGCGGTCTTATGAGACGCGGGGTCGAGGACCTTTACGTCGCCCTTCTCCTCTTCAAGCCTCTATCTGTCGATCCCTGAGCGTAACGGAAGGCAACAACTCAGCTATGGGGTTATTGGTGAAGAAACTCCATTCGATGTCGAAGTTGCCTCTCAGAGTGATTGGAATGCTCTTTCTCCTCGCCGAGGTTCGTCCCCCTTCTGCGCGGGGTACAGAGAGGGGAGGAGTGTGAGATATTTATATTCGAGGAGAGCAGCGGAACGCTTGTCCTCTGCTTTCTGTGAGACCGCACTCGCAGCAACGCTGGTCTTTGTTTGCACACCGTTAAATTTTCGAGTACAAAAGCTTTCACGCAAATTCCAACAGAAGCCCCAAGGGTTCATCTCATCATGGGCTTGTTTACAGAATTACCAGAAGAATTCCGGGAGGTGGACGTAATCGTGGCCGGGGGTAAGCACGTCCAGATCATAACGATACAATACACTGGCTGACCGAATCCGCCTAACAGGAGGGACGGCTGGGTGCGTGGTTGCTTCTCGTCTCGCAGAAGCAGATCCGAAATTGTCGATTCTCGTTATCGAGCAGGGCATGAACAACTACAATGTGCCTCAAATTGTACAACCCGCTCTCTTCCCACTGAATCTTAATCTTGACAGTAAATATACACTCTTCTGGAAAGGCAACAGGGCACCACAGCTTGCGGACAGGGAGCCTGTCGTTCCCAGTGGTGGCACTTTGGGCGGTGGAAGTAGTATTAATTGGATGGTATACACCCGCGCTCAACGATCTGACCTTGAGTCATGGAAGACGCCAGGGTGGTCGTCCAAAGAACTATTGCCGTTCTTGAAGAAGGTAGGAAACGCCCTGGCCCGATCCTTTTCCAGAATCTAAGCTAACTTGTAGAACCCACACAGTTTGAAACCTATCATGGCCGAGGCGAAAAGGAGCTGCATGGCGACAATGGCCCTGTCAATATCTCCAGCGGCACCTTCCGAGCAACCCGCGCCGAAAATGATTTCATTGAAGCCGCCGCTAAAATTGGCTACCACGAACTGAAAGATTTACAAAACCTTGACTCTAACAACGGTACCGAGCGTTGGTTGCGCTACGTTGGCCCCGATGGACGACGCCAGGATGCCGCCCACAGGTTCCTTCACCCGAAACTTCAGAGCGGGCACTATCCGAATCTGCATGTCCTGACGGAAAACCAGGTTGTGAGAGTCCTACTTGATGATAATAAAAGAGCCGTTGGGGTCCAGTACCGGCCGAATCCCAAATTTCAAGCCGCTGCACGTGGGAAGTCTCTACTTACCGCTCGCGCGTCGAAATTGGTCGTTGTCTCGGCCGGCGCGAATGCTACACCACAGATTCTGGAGAGATCGGGGATTGGCGACCCGAAAATTCTTAAACGCGCCGGAGTCCCAGTCGTCGAAGACTTGCCCGGTGTGGGGAATGATTACCAGGACCATCACCTCACACTGTACACATATCGAACCAGCCTGACACCGAACGAGACTATTAATGCCTTTGCGGATGGGCGACTAAATGTGCAAGAGGAGATCAGGAAAAACAATAAGCAGCTGGGTTGGAACTCCATGGATGCTTCAGGCAAATTCCGTCCCACCGAGGCTGAAGTTGAAGCTCTTGGACCCGACTTCAAGAGAGCCTGGGATCGAGATTTCAAGAATGCGCCTGACAGGCCCCTAATGATTATTGCCATGTACTTGAGGTAAGAGGGACTGTCCGCTACCGTTTTTGGCTATCGTACTGACACAGGTATAGCTTCTTTGGCGATCACGCTACATTGCCAGATAACTCCGAGTATGTTTCCATTGCTAATTGGACGGCTTATCCATATTCGCGCGGGCACATCCACATCACAGGGCCGAACATCTCCGATCCTATTGACTTCGACGTGGGCTATTTGAAAGACCCCAACAACATTGACGTCAAGAAACATATCTGGGCATACAAAACCCAACGCGAGATCTTTCGTCGCATGAACATCTTCCGTGGCGAGCTGGCAGCAGATCACCCCAAGTTCCCTCCAGGCTCGAAGGCCGCCATTGTTGAAAAGGCGGACGGCCCTGTCGCTGACGACGCAAAACGTATCGAGTACACGCCCGAGGATGATAAGGCTATTGAAGAGAATGTCAGAAAGATCGTCACTACTACCTGGCACTCGTTAGGAACATGTAAGATGGCACCAAGAGAGGAGAAAGGTGTTGTGGATGCCAACCTGAGTGTGTACGGCATAAAGGGTTTGAAGCTGGCGGATCTGAGTATCGTCCCTGAGAACGTTGGTGCAAATACGAATAATACCGCTCTGTTAGTAAGGGAGAAAGCAGCGGATATATTCATTCGGGAATTGGGTCTTGGTGGGAAGTCGAAGGGGCGGGAAGCTACAAGATACTCAGGAGAGAACCTTAATATTTCTCGGCTCTAAATATAGGTCAGAAGGCAAAGATAGAGAATGCTAATCTATCTATCTATCTCTAGCTACTATATTCCGGTGAATTCTGACCGAAACATATATAAAATTAAGGTTACGGGATCAATCTTAGTACGAATTCTAGCCGAATATTTCGACGTATTTCCCGTAGAAAGACTCTAGCTTATAATC